CCTAGCTATGAGATGGTTGGTCGATTCTCTGTGATGGCTGATCAGTCTGAATGCTCGACTCTCTTTGACATCCATGGAAGACCAGTTGTGACTCGGTACCCAGAGTATGTCGAAGCTGAAGCGCATGAGGATCTGAAGATTACAATTCCAATGAAGGTGAAACCGGAGCCAGATGTCGACGTAGTAGTGGGTGATGAAAGCTTATTCTCGGATATCAGGACATCTTTCGAGTTCATCGACGATACACTGATCATAACACGAAAAAATGTGACCAGGAAGGACGCTGGGTTGTATCAAATCAAAGTTTCCAATGAATATGGCGAAGATCTCATCCCTGTAAATGCAATTGTCAAAGGTATTGTTTGTGCTTTAAGTGTATCTAATTGAATTTAGATGTTCCCGGTGCGCCTACCAGCATTTATGTTAAAGAAGTTGGAGATGACTTTGCCACTGTGACATGGGATAAGCCTGACAATGACGGTGGTGCTCAGGTCCTGTCTTTCGTTGTAGAAAAGAAAGAAGCGAACCGAAGAGTGTTCCAAAAAGTCGGCCAGAGCTCTGGCCGAAGCAAGGAAATGTTTATCGATGACCTCGATATGGAGACTGAATACCTCATTAGAGTAGCTGCAGTGAACAAATTTGGAGTAGGAGACTTCAGTGAGCCCGTCGGCATCACTACGGGTATCCCCTATACTGCTCCGGTCCCAACCAGCCCACCTGAGGTCTTGCATCTCAGCACAAAGGCAAGTGAACGTGAGAAATTTTTTAAATAATGTCTTTAGTCTTGTTTCCTGCAATGGGACGAAGTTACTGAAGATGGAGGCTCTCCAATCTATTGCTATGATGTTTACATGAGAGAGGACAGCGGCAAGTGGACCAAGGTCAACTTAGACCCTGTCTTCACAAACGCGTTCCATGTTGAGAATCTACTGAAGCCAGGGGTTTCCTATGAATTCAAAGTTGAAGCTACAAATGAAGCCGGGTTGCGTTCAGTTACCGAAGTCAGCTCCAGTCCCGTTAAAGCGCCTAAGATCCACGGTAAGGATGTTATTATTTGGCTTTTTCTAAAGTCTTAACCTTATTTAATTTTAACTATTCTTTAGATATTCCAACTATGGAAGGAGTTGATTTGAATGTGACTTTGACTGCACTAGACGCTGTTACTGTAAACTGGGTTCCTCTTCTGGAACATTCGGAGGATAAATTTGTTTCTTACATTGTTTATTACAAATCCGAGAATAGCATTATCTGGAATGAGATACACACCAAGGAGACCAATGTATTCGTCGGCGACTTGAAGGAAGGAGTCAGCTACATCTTTAAGGTTGCTGCTGAGAACGAACTTGGCGTTGGCCCTCCAACGGCCGAAACAACACCAGTCAAGGTTTCCGGTGAGGTTTTACAGACTTGTTTTTTGTTTACTTGTCATGTGTCCTTCCATTATGGGCAGATTTCTGAAATCCTTGAAATATCCATAGCACTGTATCTTTGCAAAAAATGCGTGTCAATTGAAGGTCTAAAAAAAATAAATTTTTGTACCAAGGCTTATTTATTACGTCTGTTGTTAGAAACTCAATAAATATCACTTTGTGCTAAAATAAAATTTGTAAACCTGTAAAAAAATTAAGCGGAAAGGGGTTTACATCAAAATGTCTTGCCTCACCGCTATCACGCGCCAAATCTCCAGGTGCGGCCGCCGTTGCAAAGCGATGATGGGAGATTCCAAGGCGCGACGACCCGCCGTTATTTTCCCGACAGACTGATAGGACTTTAAGTTAACTTGCAATTGATTTTTCACCCCTAAAACACATAATTGGGCAGCTAATTTTAACATATTCTTAATCAGCACGATTTTTCGCATTTTTTGACAAGGAAAGTACTTTTATGGGGGCTCCTACTTTTTGACGGGGCATACCTCAAAACATCAGAAAAAATGCGCTGATCAAGGATATATAAATATTAGCTGCCCATTTTAGGTTTTTAGGGGTGAAAATGCCCAAAAACTGGCTTAAATTCCCTACAAAAGGCGCAGGCATTCGAAACGATAAAAAGCGCAGTCGGTTTCTTCCTTCGGAGCGGTGTGGCCGAGTGGTTAGTGCCGTAGTCTGGGAATCAAGAGGGGGGACGCTGCACGGGTTCGATTTCCCTTTTGGGCCGAAGTAACTTTTTTTAAAGTTGAAGGTCTGAAAAATAAATTTTTGTGCCAAACCTGATTTATTACGTCTTAGAAACTCAATAAACATCATTCTAAGCCAAAATAAAAATTGTAAACCTGTGAAAAATTGAGCAAAAAGGGGTTTATATAGTACTTTAAGTCATCTTCCGACTGAGTTTTCACCCCTAAAAACCTAAAATGGGCAGCTAAGATTTATATATCCTTGATCAGCACATTTTTTCTGATTTTTTGAGATATGTCCCATCAAAAAGTAGGAGCCCCCATAAAAGTACTTTCCTTGTGAGATATGTCCCGTCGAAAAGTAGGTACCGCCATAAAAGTGTCTGCGTCCGGAAGAGAGCGGTGTAGCCGAGTGGCTAGTGCCGAAGTCTAGAAACCAAGAGGCTGACGCCGCATGGGTTCGATCTCGCTTTTGGCCCGAATCAACTTTTTTTGAAGTTGAATAAAATAAATTTTTGTATTAAGCCTTTATTACGTCATGGGCTTTCAGATGATCCAAGCAGGATTGCAAAAATTGATTTCATAATGTAAAGAAATAAGAAACTTAAAAAACAGCGGAGTCTTACGTACTTCTAGACCTAATACGATACACATTTTTTACAATGATACAGGTGTGCTAAGGATATTTGCAAGGATTTCAGAAATCTGCCCATAATGGAAAGTTGCCGTAATTTACCTTTAATGCTGACAATTTAGCCGCCGAGAGACCAATAATCATCAAACCCCTTCGGCACCAGAATATTCCCAGGAAACGCGAGTTGAGATTGGAATGTCATGCGCTCGGAGAACCTGCGCCAAGTTACATTTGGCTGAAAGATGGCCGTGAGATCATCCCTGAAACTGACGATGTGTCGGTAGGTGTCGTCATTCAGATACATTGAAGATTTATGTCAAGAAAGTCACGCATTATGCTGTTTCAGATAAGCAACGAAGGATTCATGAGTGTTCTGATCATTCGTGAAGTCTCCGCCGAAGATGCTGGTACATACTCTTGTAAAGTGGTAAACGACCATGGCACAGATGTTTCGGAAGGAAACGTCGAAGTCGGTGATGTTCGGGCCCACTTCCTCGCGTCATTTGCGGAGAGGATCGAGATGTCTGAAAAGTCAAACCTAGTCCTGGAATGTGAACTTTCGGACGAGGACGCCACTGTCCAGTGGTTTAAAAATGGGAGAGCTATAAAACCCACAGAAAAACTTCATATTCTCCGATCTGGGGCTTTGCGACGTCTTGAAATCAATGATCTAGCACCCGAAGATGCGGGTGAATATGTTTGTCAGACCACGGATGAGAGAAGTACAGCCAGGACCAGAGTCCACGTGAAGAAGCAGGTTACGCATATCAAGTTCAGTCCTCAAGACCATATTCTCAGCCAATTCAACCAACACGCTAGTTTTACTTGCGAGTTGACGGGTATTGCAGAAGATGTCGCATGGTTTAAAAACGGCGTCGAACTGAGTCAGCCATCATCCAAGTACTTTGTCATAAATGAAGACAACAAAGTAACTCTTGAGATTGTAAATGTGGATGAGAAGGACGTTGGTGATTACGTGCTTGAGTTACCAAACGGAGAGAGAAGTGCTCCAGCTCACTTGGATCTTCGAGTACTTCCAGAACTCTCATTCTCACGTGAGATAAAGTCGGATGAAATCGAAGTTGAGGCCGGCAAGGACTTGCAGTTTAGTATTAACGTCGATGGATTCCCTCATCCTCGTGTGGAGGCCATGCTGAATGAAGAGACTCTTAGACACTTTGCCAGTATCGACGATTTTGATGAGAACCATATTCACATCAGAATCCAATCCGTTTCCAAAGATCATGCCGGAATTCTTAGTGTGAGAGCCACGAATGAAGCTGGAGAAGAGATCAAAAAGATCAGAGTTAGAGTTCTAAGTGCCCCATCCCCTCCACGAAACGTTAGAGCAAAGGTATTATCCCCCACTACTGTGGAGATCACATTTGATCCCAGCCCAGAAGATGAGGACGCCCCAGTTGAGTACTACCAAGTTGAAAGAAAGACTCCAGAACACACAAGATGGCGCAACTCGGGCCGTGTTCGCAACCATCAACAACTCCGATTGATCTGCGACGACTTGTTCAGTGATGAGATCTACATATTCCGCGTCGTGGGGGTTAACGACATCGGCCGAAGTGAAGGAAGCGAACATGTTGACGTCATAACGCCTTCAGAAGATTCAGAAGACTTTTCCGTCAGCTCTATCACACCAATTAGCTCCATATACATACCCGAGACGCCGGAAACGCCTAAAGTTGTGCATGACAAGAAAAAAGTTCACATTTCCTGGAAAGCAGTGGAGAATGTCACTCTGTATGCAATTGAACGCAGGAAAGTAGATGAGGACATCTGGCTGGAAATTGCTAGTACAGACAGAAATTCGTTTGTGGATATGTCCATCTCAGAACCAGGAAACTATGTGTATCGCATCATCGCCAAGTTTGTCGAGGCGAGGAGTGCACCAAGTAAAGAATCTGCACCCACTCAAATCGAACCCATCGCCATCAAAGACAAAGGCGAAGAAACCGCTAACGGAAGCTTGAAAATGGTGGAGCCAGAAGTTCAGCCAGCCAAGCCCTTGAAAAAGAGGACAAAGAAGTCAGTAAAACTGGAGGAGGAACAGATAAAAGGGCCCACAGGTGGGTGGAAATTTTTTTCTGAAAGATTATCTAGGGAAGTCGTTATAAAAATAATTGCAGCAAGCCTAAAACTTAAAAGTTTATTCGACTTTTCAAGTACCAACAAATATCCTAAAAATGAATCTCTGATAATGTTTACGCCCGCATTTGAACCAACTTTTTACATTATTTAATCCAGTAACTCTTCGTCTTCCTGAAATTATATTACGTAGCATATGGTATACGAAATAGGTTGAAAATAAAGGTAAATTCTTACTTTTATTTGCTCCTGCTGTTGTTCGTCTTGCGCAACTTTGATAAAGTTGTCCACGATTATGGTGATAGGGAGGGCAAGTACCTTAGGAAATTTTACATACGTTTATGCGCTTACCAGAACACCACACATAATAGCCGCTGAAGCTATGACCTTGCCAAAGGTTGTTGCCGGCACCGCATCTCCATAACCCACCTTTAACTTTTATGAATAAGAATCCTGTTAACTTACCGTTGTCATGGTAACGATACCTGAAAGTAAAAGGATTATCAAGCTCTTAATTAGCCGACTTACACCACCAGTACGCCGCAGGTATGCTGGTAAAGGGGGTTCCCTCCTCGTCCTTTTCAAGGAAGTAAATCATCGTTGAGAAAAAGACAACACCCGTTAGAAGCACTATTGTCATCATCTGAAGTTGTTTTTGACTCCGTTGGAGAGTCATCCCAAAGGTTTGAAGGCCTGAACTGAATCGCCCCAATTTGATAATTCGAATAACCCTTAGGACCCTGAGAATTCGGACCACTAGAAAAGCCCATCGAAGGTCACGTAACATCCGGTCGTCGACTCCACATAATGTCAGTAAAAGCTCGAGGTAGAATGGCACAATAGCCAGCAAGTCGACTAGATTCAGTGCTTTTATGGCAAATCGAATCTTTCGTGGAGCCGCAAACATCCTGAGGCAATATTCTACGGTAAAAAATGCAATGCATATCCGCTCCGTGAACACAAACGCCGGATGTTCGATCCGGATTTCTTCGACCTTCTCCACCACCACGACCGTTCCATTGGGTAGGATGATCGTTTCATTATGGGGTGGCATACGATAAATGACCTGAAACATTAGTTGGCCGGGGACTTCCTCCTCACTTGGAACTCGGGAATCGTCCCGAAACTCAATCCCATCACTGAAATGGCGACAAACAACGTGGAAGAGAGCTCAAATGCCTTGGCTTGGAATGAGGAGCCCGGCCTCTCCAAAAACGTCCACATCCTTCTTCGAAGTTTTCCAAAAATTAGATTATCGAATGTGTTGTCATCGATCTGCAAGATAACAGGGGTTTTAATAATATTATGCAAGTTGGAAAAGAATGACTCTGTAATTTGATGAAATTTGTATGTAGCTAATTAGTTTAACAACATAATAACAAGATTTCGGACTTACTCTTTCTTCCGGTTTTTCTTCCGGCTTTTCCCGAGGCACTATTTCTGCACAGCACGAGCCCACATACGACGACGGGATCCGCCAAAAATCTAATTCGGCCAGAAACGCAGAAGGGCACACTTCTGGCGGTCGATGTATCACACCTGTTGCGTAATATTGGAAGATAGCTTCAAATGATTGAGGAGATCTTTGGAAGAAGTACATATTTTCATCACTTAAATACGCATCGGCCACCTAAAAATAATGCTTTCGATTGTCATCTTACTCGTAAGCGAGCCTCGTGGGTTAATTGAACGAATTTTGTGAGGAAACCTGTGTTGACATCAGCTCGAAGAAGGGCCTCGACCAGAATTAGATACGGAGAACCGCCAATGTTTAGCCGCAGAAACTCGGGCTCGTCCGAATCATTAAGTTTTCGCGGGAATACATGCTAAATGACAGTGAATAATTGATGGCGCCGCGCATACCTGGAATACGTTAGTACCATTGGAATAGATCTCATCGAGGAGCTTTCCATTCCGCCGATCAGCATGATGCATGGCATCGGTCTTCTTTAGCGGGATCAACCTCTTTTTGTGTTGTTGGGCCGCCCCGCTAATCATGTTTCCTGTCACCCTAAAACAATGAAAATTAACCCTCTCATCTGCACTCTTACTGGCCAGGTTTGAGACAAGTAAGACTTATGCTTGCGCAAGTCATGACTGATCCTTAGAATATTAGAGCTAATAAAGAAGGGGGAGCCCACTAATTAGATCTGCAACAGCACAACCTGGGTGCACTGTCACACAAGTCGTCGAATCGAGCCGACATAGACGGCACTTTCAATGCCGAAAGCGAATGCCACACCCTTCCGTTGCCAGACTTGAGTATAAGCAGATGATAACACAGCCTTCGTGAGCACACACACATATATTGCAGTTGAACGCCACGGCAGCAAAACCGCTGTGCCCGCTGGGTCTTTTCGTTCTCTCTTCCACTATCCAACGGCCATTTGGCCTTGCTTGTTCGCGGACGAAAAGCGTCAAAAACTCGACGCAAGCAATGAAAATATTACCCAACTGACTGCGTCCATGCCGAATACCCGTCGGGTTTAATTCCGTTGCTGCTTAGCCCACCGCATTTCTGCCGCTAGCTGTCAAGCGTTCCGGTTTTGAGTGACATAAATTGTTGTCACTCTTTTTCTCGTCCCCTGACCAAGAAGAGGATCCGGGCCGGCTCGAAACGGGATGTCTAATACATTAATTCGGATGTTAAAAAAGACGGATAAAGAGACAAAGGATCGCGCATACCAATCTTCAAAGGTTTCCTCAACAACTCGATGGCTCTTCATCAAGTTTTTTAAAGTCCCGATCAAGTGCTCATCAGTCCAAGGCGCGGGTCCGGTTCAAACATAAGTCATGTTTGCAGTAAACGAAGTCTAAAGACCTCGGGCCCACAAACTCGAGGACTGTTTGTTCTCCATCAGCTTTGGGGTTAATTGAACCGAATCGGAGCCCAGGGATGGGACCGGTTGATATAATAAAATTGCCTCGGCCATGGTCCCCTTTTTACCTACCCAGAAAAAGTCATCGCACTTAAGAATTTGATCCTTGTGCCAAAATTCGTAGAATTTCCTTAAAAAATGCACATGGGCGAGACGAACAAATAAACGTAAACCTTTGGGGATGCGCCTGGGAACCTGGGGATGTACCATATTATTCTTTCATACGCGAATTTTAGAAACACCAGAGCTCGCTTCCTGCATTTGCAGTAAATTTACTTACTTGGCCATGAGATTTCAACCATTTTCAAGGAATATTAAAACAAAAGGTGGACAAAAACCACAAACCTTTACAAAAAGAGATCATTCCCGACTTTGCTAATGAGACTGAAACTGTCGTCGCTAGGCTCTTTACAGCCAGGCGACATGCCAATACTTCGTTCCTTCTGACCCTTTCCAAAGGGTCTTCAACTAAAAATCTTTCTAATGAGCAAACCTTGTTTGTCCTCGCATTTTATCCCAGAACAATTATTTTGGGGATTTTACGTAGACATCACATCAAAACTCCTATTCCGACCACAGCAGACACTTAATGAGCGGAATTATTTAATTACATTCCCGCATTTATCCGCATTCAACGTACCCTTTACTTATGTATGGCATATTTAATAAGATCAAGAAAGTAATGATTTCCACGGGAGTGTAAAGTGCCCCAAATGCCGGACCACTCTTTTTCGCATATCTATGTAATGCATTTCCGGAAAGGAAACCAAAACAATAAGGGGAGAATGGACCAAATCTTAAAAGGATTGTCTGTAAAACCCCCACTTTTAATGCTGCATGCCTAAACTGTAATAAGGCTATTCACGGCTGAATAGGAGGTGTTCATGGCTTATCATAAATGTAATTAAATTTCTGAAGACATGCAACCAAACTGACGTCAAGTCGAACTTACCACATTCTCTCGTTACTGTAAACTTGTTAGGTATAATAGAAGTTGCAATTTGAATAATTCTAGTTTTAGGGAAAAAAGAGAACAAAGAGAACCGACCATTAGGTAATAAAGCCTCGCAGATATTAATAAACTTACATTGTCGGCATGGTCTTTTCTGGGTTTGGATCTTTTACACTGTTCTCTCCATTAGGTCTGAAAAATAAAACGAAACCGTTGAAAAGTTGAGGCCATTCTCAGACACAAATTTCAGATTTTGAAGTCTTTAAATTCACGAAAATGGGCAAAATGCATTATAAAACAGGGAAAGAAATGAATACTTGAAATCATAAGAGGCACGATACCCATGGGCCGCCTTAAATAAATCATAAAAAGCAAAATTACGTGAGCATAAAACAAAATGCAGACATGAATGAACATAAGATTAAACTATAATAATTTTAAATTCGGAATGACTGTAAATAATGTGTTTTCAGAGCGACAAATCTCCCTAGTTACACCATTGGAGGACATCGCAGTGCCTGAAGGTGCAGATGCCATTTTTACCTGCACCTTCGAACAATGCCCACCAAATTCTTTCATCTTTTGGTAAAATATTTTACAAACATTTTTGACTACTTTTATCATAAAACTAAACTGATTAATTAAACTTTAGGTCAAAGGATGGACAACGTTTTAGCACTGTAGGCAACAAAAAGTACATCAGTAATCTGGAAGACGGTGTCGCCACTCTCAACATCACTAGTGTCCAGTCGGATGACAGCGGACTTTACAAATGTGAAGTCGAAGATAAGGAGAACAAATGCTGGTCAGAAGCCGCCCTCACCGTAACAGTAAGTTAAGCCAACACTTTACGAACCTCTTTTTAGAAGCAAACAAATCAACCTGAGTTAAGTGACATCAAGATTGGAGAGGATGCCCAGAAAGATTCTAAACAAACATCCCCCAAGGGTACAAAACCAAAGAAAGTCCTTAAGAAAAAGTCCGCAAAGCCAGCCCAGAGTGAAAGGGACGGGCAAGTAGACAGTGAAAGCTCGAAGGAATCGCCAGAGGAATCAGAAAAAGAGGATCAACAGGCCAAATTGGATCAAAATGAGAAGTCAGAGCAAAAAGTAAAGCATGCAGCCAAGATTCTGGAGGATCTTGAAAATGTAGAAGTGAATTCAGAAGAAGAATTGGTACTTAAAGTAGCCACAACTCCTGAAGAATGGACTGAAGTTAAGTGGCTTCATAATGGAGTCAGAATTCGGAACACCGATAAATATAGCCTCGAGGAAAGAAAAGGTAAGCAGTCTGAAGGAATAAGTAATAGTATCCTTTAGACACCCTCGCGTTGAAAATCAAAAATTGTTCCCATGAGGACAAAGGAGAATGGAGGTTAATCATTAAGACCGGAACTTCTTCGTTGGAGACCTCTTGTTTTGTTGACGTTAACGTCGAAGAAAACACCCCTCCTTCTTTTACCGTAAGGTTTTGTAAAAATTACGACTTTAAAAATCCCTAATATTTAATTCAAATATTGTTTGCAGACCGAATTGGAAGATCAATCATATGTTTCTGGATGCATGGTGATGCTAAAAACGATCGTCCGCGGGAAACCAACTCCCAAGATAACCTGGTATAAGGACAGCGAGAAGTTGTCAAACAGTGGAGACTACCGAATTGTGGATAACATCAACTCCCACATGCTGACAATTCTAGAGACAACGACCTCGAATGCCGGAGAGTACGAGTGTGTGGCAAAGAATGTTAATGGCAAGGCCGTCACCAAATCAAAGATAACAATAACAGGTAAAATTCATATAAAAGGGTTGAAATTAAATTTAGATAAAAAAGCGATCAAGGAAAACGAAGACGAAACCCAAGCGCCGATCGTAAGACTGCCTTTGTTGCCAGTCAGAGAGCTTCCCGAAGCTTCAGAGATTAATCTGGTATGTACTGTTACCGGAATACCACCACCAAAAATTGAATGGTTCAAGGATGACGAATTGGTTACATTTGCTAACTTCAAGGTAGGTTATAACGAATTTCCACTTTATATTCTACAGTACGACAATGGAATCGCCACCCTAAACATTCCCGAAGCCAAGCTTTCACATTCCGGAATCTACACATGTGTTGCCAAAAACAGATTCGGCACAGTCAGATCATCCGGTGTTCTTTACATTCAACGTAAGCTCTCATCAAAACTAATTAAATGCTGTTTAGCCAAACCAAACGACGCTCAAAGGGCGCCAAAGTTTGAGGAATTGCTATACAATTCTACCATCGAAAAGGGACGGGAGTTATCCTTGGTTTGCAAGGCCTCAGGAAAGCCGCAACCCACCATCACATGGTTCAAGGATGGACTCAAAATCATCGCCAACCATCGGCTTGTTCAGTACACGGACAGAAGAGGAGTGGTCAGATTAAATATTATCAATGTCAACGATGGAGATGCTGGAGAATATTCATGTGAGGCCGAGAACGGATATGGAAGGGACTTCACCCACTGCAGTGTGAAAGTGGTAACAGACAAAGAAGTTTCCGAAAAGCCAGCAATTACTAGCCAGGCTCCAAAGTTGACCCGATCATTGGTCGATTCGAATGTCCATGAAGGAAACAGAATCATATTCGAATGTGAATTTGACTCAGCTGAAACACCTAAAGTCCAATGGTACCACAACAAAGAATTGATCGAAGACGAAAAGGCCCTAAGGACATACTTTGATGGAAGATTGGCTATCTTGAAAGTTTTCGAAGCCAGTCAATCTCATGCCGGTGTCTATGAATGCATCGCTTCAAACAAATATGGCGAAGTAAAATCCACTGCTAAATTAAACGTGGAACGGACGAACGGTTCGGAAGAATACCCACCCAATATGCCCGAATTCGACGTTCCCATCAAAGATACTACAGTAATGGAAGGAGAAGATGCCCTGTTTACCTGTAAAGTCAAAGGTGCCTTGAATCCGACGGTGCAATGGCTATTCAACGGAAGTGCCGTTGTGGAATCAATGCTGATTTCAGCGTCATCAAATGATGAAACTCACTCTTTGACGATCAAAAATGTCACCGTTGCAAACGCGGGGGTCTACACCGCCATTGCTAAAAACATTTACGGTGATATTCATTCTTCAGCCGAACTAAAAGTCACAAAGGGTGGGTTTCAATCAAAATATTCTTACTAAAAAGATTTAGACGAGACCGAGTCTTTGGTTGCCCCTACATTCTTACATCCATTGCATGATAAAACTGCCATTTTCGGAGAAAATGTTTCTCTCAAATGCAGTATCGATGCCGTGCCAACACCTAGTGTAATATGGGAAAAGGACGGAAAAGTCGTTCAAGCAAGCAAACGGTTGAAACTCGTTCAAGCAAACAATGTATACGCACTAAAGCTATATGATGTGACTATGAGTGATGCAGGGAATTACATGGTAGGGTTTCTCTTCTTAATTACCTCTCCCTTTTGCAGATTACCATCACAAATCCTAAGGGATCAGCAACTTCTGAGTGTGCACTGATGATTGCCACTGAGAGTGGGGCCGATTCCCATTTAGTAGCCGGAGAAAGTGATACCAATAAACCAGAGTTCATTGTCAGACCACCAGAAGAAGCCTCGGTTTCCGAGGGAACTCCGATTGAACTCCATGCCAGGGTCAACGCATACCCGACAGCTACGGTTAAATGGTTGAAAGATGGGAAGGAAATCGCTAGAACCAATCGGTCTTATCACACCCGTGTCTCCGGCGACGGAGAATATGTTCTTCTGATAGAATGTGCCATTCTTAAAACCGCGGGTTTGTTTTCTTGTTTGGCCGTAAATAAGCATGGCCAAGTCCAATCAGATACGCGACTCAAAGTGAAGAAGAGAAGTAAGTTTTGTCATCAAGATTTCAACTTCTTTTCAGCGTCTTTCAAAAGCACTGGCAATGAGCAATCACCAATATTCACGGCCGAGCTTAAAGAAACCGCCGTGAAGATTGGGATGAGCGCCAGTTTTAACTGTCAAGTCACCGGGAATCCCGAACCAACGGTGTCCTGGATTTTCATTGACAATCACGGAAACAAGCAGATATTGGAATCTGGAAAAAACGGATGGAAATCTGTGAAGAATGGAGGAATCTATGAGATCAGAACAGATGCCGCTGTAAAAACACAGGAAGGAACGTATCAATGTACTGCTAGAAATAAAGAAGGCTCGTCTGTCACCTCAGCCAAACTAATTGTCAGCGATGGAGAAGGTGAAATTGGCGCTCCAAGAATAATCGAACCTTTGAAAGATATTAATGTGGCGGTCGGAGGAAAGTCTTGTTTTAGAATACAAATCGTGGGAACACCACAAAGCATAGAGTGGTCACACAGTGGAAAGAAAATTGCCGAGGATCACCGACGACAGGTAAGTGATCAGAAGGGAACGTATGTATACGTCATAAATTCAATTTTAGATCCGTCAACCTAAACCCTTCTTTTATGAACTCCTTATTTACCCTACCAAAGTCTCGGACGTTGGAAGTTACTCAGTTAAGGTTACAAGCAGTCATGGAGAAGTGTATTCAGAAGCCATCTTGAATGTGATGCCGGGTCTGAATCCTCCAAGCCCTCAACCTATGAAATCCCCATTAAAATCGCCGTTAAGCCCATTATTTCAATTAATGTCAGAACGGGAAGAGATGAAAGAGCCCAGACTGAATGTGAAGAGAAAAGGCGCGGCCCCGGACTTTGTAGTCGGACTTCAAGACATTGAAGTGGCGGCCGGAGATGTAGCGGCGGTCGCCGGAAAGCTTCAACCGAGAAGTAAGTCCTTTCGGAGCATTGAGTATCAAACGACTGAGTATCTTGAGAAATGTCATAAAAAACACATAAATTCTAAACAACCGCATTTTAAGAACGGAGACACAAACTGTTCGAAAAGCGCAACCAAGACGACCCTAAGGCATTGACCGGATCCTTGGTGGCCCGTTTGAGTAATGAAAATGAAGAACAAACGGACTACACACCACAACATCAACGTCCCAATACCAGTAAGTGACGTCCAATGTAATTATCCCGCTATTATTTAGCATTGGCCGAAATCGGGAAGACCATCGCCTTGCGGAATAAGGAGCCCTGTGCTCCCAAATTCTTTGTAAAACCCAAGCCAAAAACAGAAATTGAGGAAGCCAAGTCGTTACGTCTTAAAGCCGCCATCAGTGGAAACCCAATCCCCGATGTTCGCTGGGACAAGAATGGAGTGATTTTAGAGACCGGTAACAAATTCTCAATTTACAACGACGGGGACCTCTATTTCCTCGAAGTGCATCAGTTAAGTTCGTTTGACCAAGGCTTCTACAACTGCACGGCCACGAATCACAATGGGTTGGCTACATTCACGACACAGTTAATCGTTATACCGAGTGATGAAAGTCCTGTTTCTGACCTAAAGAAACGCCTGAAGAAACAGCCAGTGCCTGTCTCTTTCATTGAGGTTTTGCCGGGAAGACAAAAGGTAATTTCGTGGGGAGCTGGATGTTATAAATATGTAAACAATTTTTGCAAAAGAAAATTTTTGAAAATTTTGTCTTACTTTACATTCTGATAGTATTGCAATTTCTTCAATTTAGGCCAACGTCGGAGAGGAATTTACAATGGAATGCAGTGTAGCCGGCTACCCAGCCCCCAGTATCACTTGGCAGAGAAATGGGACCACATTGGTACCCCAGAGAAATAAGTGTCAGATGTTCTTCGACGGGGAATCCGCTACAATCCGCTTTGTTTCCTTGTCTCCAACCGATGAAGGAACTATTGTCTGTGTTGCAGAAAACCCCTCAGGAAAGATTCAGACCCAGACATATCTGGAAGTGACACGGCCAGACGATCTCAACACCAATGTTCCCAAATTTCGGGAAACGAAGGCCAGTTACCAGAAGGTGGTCGATGGGACGCCGTTAACTATCGAGACTGCTCTTCTTCAGGGTACGTAAAAAACAACAGTGAAAATTGGATAAAATTGTATAAAAGACGTTTAATTTATATACGTAATGTTTTAGGTGTTGATCCAATTACCTTCAAATGGCTGCATGAAAATGTCACTCTCGAAGATGGTCATGGATTCAAATACGGCCGTAATAAAGAAAAAATTACCTTAACAATTGCCGACCCATTCCCTGAGGATTCTGGGGAATATCTCTGCGTCGCTGAAAACGCACACGGATTGGCGACAAGGAAAGTTCAAGTAACTATCAGGGACACTATCAAGTCCCCACTCGTTCAAAAACATCCCGTGCTTAATGCATTGACACCTGTTATTCATGGAACCCCCGGCTCTTCCGTAGAACTTGTAGCCGAATCCTCCGGCTCCGAAGCCGTCATTTCTTGGTATCACAAGGAAAAACAGCTCTTAGCCAGCGAAAAACACGAGATGTTTAATGTTACGAACAAACATACAATGCGATTACATGAATTGGAGAAATATGACGAAGGAATCTACAAATTGTTGGCCATGAACAACGTTGGACTGGCTGAAGCCGAGTTCATTGTAAATCTTCAGGACAACGTAAAGTCAAGGTAAATTATTTTAAGATTACCTTCTTGGGTTTGTTGTCGAAAAAGTTATTCTATAACGCTTTTTTATTTAGGGCTGGCAAATCGCCCAATTTCACCAGGAAATTGCCGTCATCAATTAGCTGCTCGATTGGGGACACGGCTACAGTATCCTGTGAATTTGAGGGTGACCCCATTCCCAAGGTTTGCTGGTTCAAGGGAAGCAAACTACTCCAACAGAAAGATAATCTTTACATCGAAACCACACCAACCAGTACCCAGTTGTCCGTTTATTTGGAGGACAAATCGTCTCAAGGAGAGTATTTGTGCACCTTGAGGAATCCATTCGGTGAAGATCTAAGCAGTTTCAAAATTATTTTAAACTGTAAGTATTACTGGAATTTTTTTATGTCTGTTTGTTAGTCCAATGTGTTCATTTAGTCGTTTCAGTCCTCCATATGTGTGTTGTCCGTACCATGTACACCAACGGCAATCTTTATGTACAGAAGAATATTTTGAATCCTTGTCTTGCATAACATACTATTATTTTCAGGAACCACAATGAATCGAATAACATATTTTGCATTTGCATGTATTACATACATCTGTCTTGCTTGCTCTTTCAGATTTCAGATTGTAAAAGTAGTTGTAGTTTGTTTCTATTGTAATTTTCTGTCTAGAGAAATCCCCCATCCGAAGGCCGAGATCTATCAAATTTGCATCTTTTGCCGACAACTACTGTATGATATCCACGTCCAAGATCTGCTGCTCAACGTTACTATCATTTGAAACTTGGATCGATTGCTGCTCAATTTTAACTTACATATTATACTAATTTTTATCTAATTTTAAAGGTCAACACGTCGAAGAACTTTGCAATCCACCACTTTGACCGATTTCGACTACGCTTACACCTACAACGTCACGGGGCCGGTGACACACCAGCGGGGAGGGAGGGGGTTTCTTCTCTTTGTCTTTTCTTAGTCCGATTTAGATTTCGTAACAAATAAAACATAAAATAAAATTTATGGGATTTGATGACCAACAATGTAAAAAACGCGCACCATATTTTGAGAACGTAAAGGCACTGCCAAGTTCAGTTTCAGTGTCAAACTATTACAGGGTGCGCCAAAAATATTGGGACAAAAATCAATTCCGTGTAGCTTCTTTCGGCTTGCCTAGAAATTAAAAATTTTAGGCCTTTTAGCAAGGGTAACTATCGTGCTATACAGCAACGGTAATGCCAGGGTTGGGGCCTATTGACAACTTGAAAAAATAATCAAAAGTTTTTAGGGGACCAAAATTATCTTTTCAAATGGATGACCGGGAAATCAATTTGCCCATTATTTCCGCTAAAGGAAAGTAAGGTTCTTCAAATTGATTGTGTATAAATCACATGCTATTCACTTCGTAACAGTGTGCGTAATCATGGTTGACAACCGATCTGGCGGCGCTGGTCGCAAAAACTAAAAAAATTCCCGAAAGTTCGGATTTTTATGTTTTTAACGATCTCAATACCATAGTATCGCCGTGTTGATCTAAAATTTTGTGGCTATGGAGCGTGTACATTGGGAATTGTTATACTGTAAAAGCAAATCTGCACCTACAAGGGGACAGTTTCTGTATTGAAAAAACTTTACGGTGCGGATTGGAGGCACGGTCCTTTGAAACTTGATAGATTTTGGCAGTTTACTACAAGTTGGAAAGTATTTGAGCATAAAAATCGACGCAACGCTGCATTCGGGATACACGCTGACATAACCGAATAACTTTTAGCGTTCTTCAGTCCAAACTCACTTGACGAGCAACCCTAGAGTAAACTCTACCGCTGTAGTCACTATTTCATCCCCCAGAGGCAGAAGATAAAAAATTAATTTTTCAAAGACGACTAGTCAGACTCTCGTTGTTCTTATAAAAGTATCTCTGATGCCTAATATGCTGGGAATCATACATTGCAACTTCTACATAAAAATCATTGATTTTATGGAAGTTTTCTGGATAACGGCGCGTTTTGAGACCGACTTTGACAGGCTGTAAAAGGTATAATCGTCATTATTAGGAAAAATCATTTTTAGTGTATAAAAAGCGACCGCTACTCTGTCATATAAAGTGAATTTCTGCCCATAGCATGCAACGGTAAAGCTAGTGTTACCAATTTTAACCATTTTGGGGTCCGTGTCTCAGGGGCCTTGGTTGTGAGCACTTATAATGGCAGAACAGGTGTCGTATGGGACTACTCTGTCTGAAACTTTGAAGATGGATTCTTGGGAGCATTACACGTTTGCACAAGCGACCACTTCGCTCTTGTACCATTACAGCCCGCAGGGCAAGTAAAAATATTAGTCCCAATATTTTTGGCGCACCCTGTATATGGCTTTAGTCGTGCTGGGAAAGCCATCCAAAGAGACCCCTAACCGGAAAATAGTACCATATATGCAATCAATAGAAAGTTCCTTTTTTCAAAATCAGCGCCATCGAAACGGATGGTGACATACGCATCAAATCGGGTGTCGTGGCCAGAAACTGCGATTTCTTGTCTGCTAGGCCTCTAGACAACAAATGCGCAATTCGTGTCTCAAATTACGTGACATTGCGCACTGTTGCGCAAATTTCAGCCATCCCCGTGACGATTTTTTCTTTTTTTCTCTGCTCACAAGGAAAATACTTTTATGGGAGTTCCTACGATTAGACGGAACATATCTCAAAAAATCCGAAAGATTGTGCTGATCAAGAATGCATAAAAATTAGCTGCCCATTTTGGTCGAAAATGCTCAAAAACTGCCTAAATTTTTCATCAAAAGGCGCAGGCATTGCAAAAAAGCCATACGAGTAAAAGCGCGGTCGGTCTCTTCTTCCGGAAGAGAGCGGCGTGGCTGAGTGGCTAGTGGCACAGTCTAGAAATCAAGAGGGCGGATGCCGCGCGGGTTCGATTCCCCTTGTCGCCTAAATCTTTTTTGAAGTTGAAGGTCTGAAAAATAAATTTTTGTGCCAAGACTGATTTATTGCGCCTTAGAAACTCAAGAAACGGCGCTACGACATTTCGGGTCAGGGACAACTCGGGTCGCGACAACTCGGGTCAACGACACCTCGGGTCAACGACATTTCGGGTCAACGATACCGTTTAATATTTTCGCTTCGGGACTGGGAAAAAAGAATTTTTTGGAGAGTTTGAATAAATTTTTGAAATCTTTTCGTTTCGGGACTTGGGAAAAGGAATTTTTTGGAGAGTTTGAACAAATTTTTGAAATGTTTTCGCTTCGGGACGTGGGAAAAAGGATTTTTTGGAGAATTGAGGTTTATTTTTTTAATTTTTGTTAGGAAAATAGTGTATAAGCGACGAGAAAATAAAAAAATCATATCCATAAAAAAATTTTTAAATAAACCTCAATTACGACCTAAAATAACTATTTATCTAAAAAATTCCAGAATAACATTTGTGTCTTATGTAAAATAAAATCGTAACATTCAGAACGAACCTCTAAAAATTCTTTTTCCCAAGTCCCGAAACAAAAAAACTTCAAAATTTCGTTCAGATTCTCCAAAAAATTCCTTTTCCCAAGTCCCGAAACGAAAAAATTCCAAAAATTTTTCAAATTCACCAAAAAATTCTTTTTTCCAAGTCCCGAAGCGAAAATATTAAACGGCGTCGTTGACCCGAAATGTCGTTGACCCGAGGTGTCGTTCACGCGAAGTGTCGTTGACCCGAGTTGTCGTTGACCCGAGTTGTCGTTGACCCGAGTTGTCCCTGACCCGAAATGTCGGGACGCGCAAGAGGCGCTTCATTCTAAGCTAAATATATCTTTGATCAGCGTGATCACACGAATTTTTTGAGGTATGTTTCGTCCAAAAGTAGGAGCCCCCATAAAATAATACTTTCCTTGTCAGAGAAGAATTGCGTATTTCTTGTCTAGAGGCCTAACAGAGATTTAATGCGTATGTCACCATCTTTACATTGTAAATCGAGTATTTTTAGAAAATATTTCAAAAACCTACTTTTTAGCAGTACGATACAAGAAAAAAGAGACGATAAAAAATGAGCATGATTTTCGAAATCAGCATTATTGAAGTTTGAGCGGTTTCGGCTCAAAAATAATTTTTTTAACTTTGGGGAGGCATAGACAGAAAAAAAGAAAGGTCAATTCAACTTATTTTTAAAATTGAATCGGTTCAAAATGGCAAATCTCACAATCAGCTCCAGAAAAAAACCTTTAGGAAAATCGGCGGAGTGTCTGCGGAAGAATTTGAAGAAGGAGGAAGAAAGTTTCGAATCGCCACCTTATTTTGGCTTGACGTGCGTCAGAACTTACCTTTGGGATTACATTTTCCTTCTAGTTTTCAGATTACAAAACTTTTATTCGAATACCTTTTCGTATTTGTGAAAGAACTTGACATAAAGCTGAAGACTTGGATAATCTAAAGGCGACTTTAAATAATGGCCCTGAAAATAGCCTAAGGGCTATTGTTTAAATACTTAGGATTATATGGGTATTTCTAGATGTAATGACCGCGTGAAGACTGTATAAAGAAGAGTATTTGAGTCGGGCAGAAGTCAATCCGGACTTCTCTTTTCAACTATTACAGACACGATGCAGCATAATCGCGTCTGTTGGGTGTTTCTGGTGATGTAAAATACCGACTGAAATTATAATATACGCACAAAGACGGCAAGCAGTTAGGCAGTACAGTTACAAAAAACGCGCTTTAGGGAGAGGAGAGAAGCACAACAAGGAAAACATGCTTGTACTGTAGAACAATAACGAGTTGGAGTTGGCTGGGCATAGGCGACCAGTCTACCTACTTTGGAGGTTGAGCTTGGCCTCGGATTGAGCAGTACCACTGGCATTCTTGAGAACACAAGTGTAAGTTCCAGCAGCTTGGGCGGACACACGAGTCAATTCAAGAATGGCTTTGTTGCCTTCTTGGGTCGCCTGCAAAAGAGTTTGAAAAAATTGGCATATGATATACCTTATGTGCAGCGGTTAAAGCTTTTCCATTGAAGTTCCATGTTACATTCGGAGCAGGTTCGCCATCAAATTCGGCAACTAATTTGACATTCTCTCCAGGCCGAGCATTAATTGAGGTAAGTTTCTGCAGGAACTGTGGCGCTTTAGCAGATTTGGATGATTTGGATTTAGCCGCTGAGCCTTCAGTCACTACAGTACCAGTAGCTCCAGCTGGGACAATTGTGATTTTTCCGCTGGTTGCTAAAATGAAGTTAGCGTTTGACAGATGAAACTCACGTTTGATCACCAAGTTTGCAACTGTGCTGGCTTTACCAGCGGGGTTGCTAGCTTCGCATTTGTATTCTGCGGCATGTTCTGCTGAGATTGAGGCGATCTTCAGCCATGCCTCTCCAGAGCTGTGCCCCATTTCGAAAGCACGGCCAGGCTTGATGGGTTCGTTGTTTCTGTACCACCTAACCATGGGATCTGAAAGTTTTGTTTGTTAAAAACCTAAGTTTTCTTGGTTACCTGGAAATCCGGTAAATTGAGATCTGAATTCGGCAGCTTGTCCGGTGGCCACTACCAGTGGTTTGAGTGGCGTTGAGAATCTTGGTGCTTCATACTTGGGTCCGGCTTCAGCATCCTTTCCAGTCTTCGAAAGGTTGACATTAAGTCTTGCTTTACACCGGGATTCCCCGGCCGGATTTTTGGCTACGCATTCGTAAACACCAGCATCTGGAGCGACAACACTTTTTAATGTCAAGCTGACATTTGTTCCATCCTGCACTTTCTCGTATCGGGAGTCGTTTGGTAATGGCTTTCCATCCTTGAACCATGAGATTGTTGGGGCTGGATCACTTGTTACAGAACATGAGAATACAACACTCGCATACTGAGCAGCTCGCTGGTCAGAAATGATCTGTGAGAAGTTAGGGGCAGCTCCCTTCTTGGCTGGCTCGGCAACCGTGAGATTGGCTGTCGATTCGGCCTGACCTCCAACATTCGAGAGCTTGACAGTATATTCTCCTTGATGATTATATTTGAGTTTACTCAATTCAAGAGTAGACTCGTTCTCGGTCGTTTTGATTTGAGTGTCAAACGCTGATCTAAGTTCCTTCCCATTCAAATACCATTTTGCAGTCACTGGGGCGTCTCCCGCAAAGTTGACACTGAACCGAGCAGAGCGGCCGAGCTCGGCTTGGACTGGCTGGAGCTGGTTTTGAATAGATGGGGCAGCCTTCTGAGATTGAACTTGTTTGGTTGGCTGTGGCTTGTTTGCAACAGTAACACGTGGAATCTCGCTGAATTAGATGACATGTATTGTAAGAATTATAAAAGAGACTTACTCCTTAACAACTTGTGGGGTTCCCTTCAACGGTCCGCTTTCAACAACAACGTGATCAGTCGGTCCAATCTCCTTAGGGGCGTATTTCTGTCGAATGTTCACTTGGTCTTTGTGAGGAATGACCTTCTCCTTCTCAATTTCGGGACCTTGTCGAGGCTGCCTGATCTTGGCCTTCTCTTCTTGAATACGAACCCGTTCATTAGAGGGAAGTTCAGCAGCAGGCTTTGGCTTGGCTCCTTTCAGTTTAACTTGGTCTCTGGCAGGTATATTGATCTCTGGTTCAGGTTCATCCAACTGGTTCACTTTTCCGACAGGCTCACCTAGCTTAACACCTCCGGCAGCCCAATCCGGTGGAGGACTTCTAAATCTTTGAGGGTCTCTTTCTTCTTTTGGTTTGTCAATTTCACGCAACTGAACGGCTTCCAACTTCTCTTGTTCAGGTTGGTACTTTTGAATCTGTCCTGGTTTAAGTTGGACTGGCTCCAATTCCAAACCGCCAAATTGTTTTCGTTCGCGCTCCACATATGACAACTTGTCATAGAACTGTTCATCTTTGGCTCGAGTGAACTTCTGAACCAATTCCTCAGTCTCGAGAGGTTCAACGGGATGCTTCGATCGTTCAACCCTAACGAGTTTGTTCACGTTGGCCTTCGGCTTCTGTTCAAAGACATCTCCCAACTGGCCAAGGGTTTCCTTTTGCCATTGGTTGACGCGGTCCTGAATTTCTTCGTTGGTCTTCTGGTCAGCCCGACGAAGTTTCTGTTGACGGAAGTCATCGCGTTGGAAGACGTCAAGGTTGGCACTTGCAATTACCTCGCCTTCTGAATTCTTAGCGATGGCTTCGATAGTTCCAGCATCAGAGATACGGGCGTGGGAGATTGTCAAGTAATGGACACCGTCAAAGTTAAGTTTATATCGGTGACCCTAATAAGTTGTCAGACTTGAATTATGAACTTACTTGTAGAGCTTGGATTCCATTGACATACCAAATAACCTTTGGCTTGGGATTTCCTACAACGGCACATTCAAAACGAGCAGGTTGGTTCTCCGTCACCTGCACATTTCGAGGAGAAATCGTGAACTGTGGAGCCTGCTTCTGTCGAGGCTGCACGCCTTTTTGTTCAACCCTGAATAAGCCTATGAGTAAATTCCATTTTTTCTTACCAGTGGAGGTTGTCATTTTGCTTCTTGATGTCACGAACCTTGAGGGATTGTGGTAACTGTGAGTCAGTAATAACATGGCTGGCAGTCGAACAAGCAAGTTTAGCCGTAGCGACAGCTTGGCCGTACTGGTTAGTCGCCACACAAGTATACTCTCCGGTGTCGTCAGGGAGAGCGTAAAGCAGGTCAAGGGAGACGTATCCGAATTCAAGATTGTTGCGGAATCTGTTACCAATGTTAACTGGTTTCCCATCACGATACCAGTCGACCTTAAGGTAGGGATCGTTTATTGGTGCAATTTGAGTTTCAAAGCGACAGAAGTCACCTTCCTCAACACCAATGTTCAATAACTGTGTCTTGAATTCTGGAGCTTTGTGGTTAGCTGGATCGTAAGCATCGTCTTCAGACAAGGCAATGTCAGCACGAGTGAACTGTCTAATATGATGTTCAATGTTCTCGGCAGTTGAGCCGGGAGCTTGTGGAGCAAATTCCAAAGATGGCTTGGCCAACACGTTGACGTGGGCAACAGATGACGCCTGTCCTTTGTCATTGATCACACGTAGTTCATAATCTCCGTTGTCCTCAGGGTAAGCGTAGAGGATGTCCAAAGTGACAAAACCGAATTCGAAGTTGGTCTTGAACCGGTTGGCATCTGGAAGTGGTGCTCCGTTTCTCCACCATTCGACCACCAACTTGGGGTCATTAATTGGCAAGACACGAGATTCAAGATGAACGGATTCTCCTTGGTTGGCATCAATGTTTTCTACCAATGGTTGAACAATCTGGGGTTCCTCGGCATCAATGATTGTGCGAACTTCAATCGTTCCAGAAGTGACAGCCTCACCTTTATCGTTCCGCGCAACGCAACTGTATTCGCCAGAATCTTGAGCGATCAGGTGTTTGATGGTAAGAGTCAAGACACCAAAGTCGTTTGTCATCTGAATTCGGTTAGAATAAGGGATAGAGTGACCGTTGTGTTGCCACTCAATTCTCAAACTGGGGTCTCCAATGGGTTCTAGAACACACATGAAGGAAGTCGCATCAGTTTCGGTGAATTCTCCAAGATCAGTCAAAGTCTCAGTGAAATGAGGAGCTTCGTAGTCAACATCAGGTTGAACCAATTCTCCTCGAGGACGGTTGATGTACTCTTCAAGTTGTTCAATGCGTTCCTGTTTCTCTCCAGGACTGACCCAGTCGTAAAGGATTCCACTGTCTCCAATCACCTCAATATCAACGGAAACTTCGTCTTGGCCGTAATCATTGGTTGCACGGCAAGTCCAGTTTCCTGTGTCTTGTGGTTCGGCTGGAATGAGTTCGAGCACAACAAATCCGAAATCATGGATCGTCTTCATTCGGTTGCTGTCCCGCACTGGTTCTCCATTATGGAACCACTCAACCTTCAATTTAGGATCGTTTACTGGCTCTAATGGAACGTCAAGATGAATAAGAGCGCCTTCACGGAGTTGCGGAAGTTGTTGAAGTTGGTTCTTAAATTTGGGTGGTGCAAAGACGATCTCTGGCTCTTCTTCTTTTGCTGGTGCGCGGTTCTCAATTTCATCAATGCGTTTCTGGGCTCCCTTCATGTGATCTGGCAGTTGCGTATCTTTAACAATTCCATCTTTCGGAGTGCAGGTAAGAGTAGTGCTGGTAACAGCTTCGCCAGCTTTGTTTCTGGCTCTGCAAGTGTATTCTCCGGAATCTTCTGGGATAACAGGTGAAATCTCAAGGACAACGAATCCAAAGTCATTAATAGTCTTGACTCGTGAGCTGTTCAACAAAGCACGGCCGTTAAGGTACCATTGCACCTCCAAGGTGTTGTCTGTGATGGGTTCATATTTCGCGGTGAAATGAGCACGGTCTCCACTTTCGCATTCAATTGGTGCAGACAGCGGTTGCACAAATACAGGTACGCGTTCTTCAGCTGGAATCTCCGTATCTTCAGGTCTTCGGTTTCGCAAATCTTCGAGTTCTTGGACAGCTCGGGCTTTGTTCTCATCCTGTGGGTCAAGAAGAAGGCCGTCCTTGGCTTCGACATTGATTGTCGCAGAAGTTGTAGCTTCTCCTTGTTCATTTGAAACGACTACGGAATATTCTCCAGCGTCATGGGCCAAGACATAAAGGATATCCAAGATAGCAAATCCAAAGTCGTTGACCATCTTATAACGATTGGCCTGAGGCAAGACCTGACCGTCTTTGTACCACGTTACGACCAGTCGAGGGTCATTCGTTGGAGTGTAATGAGCTTCCAGATGCACGCTGTCACCTTCCTGTAAGCCACTTGGAGCAGACAATTGGACGGTGATATTTGGTGCTTCAAAGGTGGGTCCCTCTTCTGCTGGCCGGGGTTCCTTTGGAGCTTCAATTTGTTGAATTCGAGCAAGAGATTGAGCTTGAATAGGATCAGTTGCAATACCTTCATGTCCACTAACATTAAGAGTCGTCGAAACACGATCTTCTCCGGCCGAGTTGGTAGCGACACACACCCATTCTCCAGTGTCGCGGAGCTCTGTCGAATTGATGTTCAGAATTACCCAACCAAAGTCGTTGATAAACTTAGCTCGGGATGATGCAGCAAATGGTTCGCCGTTAACAAACCATTTGATCTCCAATTCAGGATCGTTAATAGGCTCCACGGTGGTCTCAAAGTGGGCGGATTGGCCTTCCTGAAGATCGGCTACGTTCTGGATGGGAGATGTGAACTTTGGTGGAACCTTAGGTTCCGGTTCCTTTTCTGGCTCAGGTTCTTTTGGTGCCTCAATTTCTTGAATCCTTTTCCATGACTCTTCATGCTGTACGTTGCCTAAGATGGCCTCCTTGGCGTTGCATTTTAATGTCGCACTGGAAACAGCTTCCCCGTTTTTGTTAGAGACCTTCAATTGGAAAACTCCAGCGTCCTCAGGGAAGGTGTATCCTATTGCTAATTTACACAGTCCAAAATCTTGTGAGATTGCGTACTTCGAGCCGTGAGATAATGGCTCTCCATTACGAACCCATTGCACTTGGAGGTTAGGGTCATTGGTAGGCTGAACAAGGGCTTCAAACCCTGAAGCCTCTCCTTCTTCGCATTCAACGTCAGCAATCTGAGTAGTGATAGTCGGGGCATCGTACTCAGCTGGCGGTGGGGTTGGTTCTTTCTCCTTTGGAGCTTCAAGGATTTGGATTTGACGCCATGACTCTTCATGTGTTGTGTCACCCAAAATTTCCCCGATTCCGGCGATTTTGATTGTGGCTGACGTGGATGCCTCGCCTTCAGTGTTGACGATTCTCAGAGTGTAGACACCTTCATGATCTGGATTTACGGCGCTAATATCGAGAGCGGCCCATCCTAACTCGCTGCGAGTTTTAATGAGCTGAGACGCTCCCAATGGTTGGCCGTTAAACTGCCACTCAACCTTGAGGTCATTATCGCGAGCAGGTTGGAAGGTTGCCTCGAGGTGGATTGGAGTGCCTTCAGGAAGATCAGAAGCGTCTTCCAAATGTGTCAGGAATCTGGGCTTTTCCTTCTCCTCGACGACCTCGATCTCCTCAATGATCTTGGGCGCTTCAAGTTCTTGGATGCGTTCCCATGACTCGGGATGCTGGGTATTACGAAGAATAGCTTCGTAATCGCCGACTTTCACAGTAGCGCTAGTCGTGGCTTCTCCAAACTCATTGAAAGCGCGGCATGTGTAGACTCCAGAGTCGTGAGGCAAGACGTGAACAATGGTGAAGACCACTTGGCCAAAGTTGATCTCATTGTGATGACGATTTGCTAAAACAAGTTTTCAATATGCGTAGTCTCAACTTACAGTTTTGAAGAGGAACTCCATTCAAGAACCATTCGATTCTAAGGTTGGGATCATCGGCAGGGTCAACATAACCGGTCAATTTAATGATTCCTCCTTCATCTTCAATCTCCACATTCTCAAATGTCTGGACCCAGTTAGGCTTGTTGAATTGTTGTTCGGGATATTCGAGACGAGGGTTCTTGTCGATGCTTTCCAGATACTCGATCTTTTGAAGGGAAGCTGGATGGGCGGTGTCAAAGATGATGTTATCCGATCCAGCTACTGTCAAGGAGGCGTTGGTAATGGTAGCCCCCTCGTTGTTCACCGCCTTACATGAGTACACACCGTTATCGAACGACGTTACACCGTGGATTCTGAGAGCAACGTGGCCGAAATCTTGAATCATGACGTATCTGTTACTCTGTTGAAGCGGAGTATCATCCCGGAACCACTGAATCTGCAGGTTGGGGTCGTTGACGGGAATTACTCGTCCCTCAAAGACAACGATTGAGTTTTCAGGAACATCAGCTACACTCTGTAGTGGCTGAGTAAACTGTGGGGCAGCGTAAGTCACGGGCTCGGGCTCTGGTTGCTCTGGTTTTGGAGCTTCAATTTCCTGAATTCTTCTCCATGATTCTTCGTGTTGTGTGTCAGATAGAATTCCTGGGCGACGCTCGCATTCAAGATGGGCCTCAGTAGAATCTTGTCCGTAGGCATTTGTAGCAGTACAACGGTAGTCACCAATGTCCTAAAATCAATATTTTTCTTTTATTTTATTTGACAGTTACCTGTCCTAACACATAATGGATATCCAGAGAAACCAATCCAAAGTCATTTCTGATGCCAAATCTATTACTAGCGGGCAGCGGTCTTCCGTTGTGGAACCACTGAATCTTCAGATTAGGATCGTTGATTGGCTGAACTTGAGCCTCGAAATGGGCGGGTTGACCTTCGATAAGATCTCCCACGCTTTGAATTTGAGTGACAAAGTGAGGTGGGCCATGTTCTGGCTCTGCTTCTTCTTCCGGTTTCTCCTTCGGAGCCTCCAGTTCTTGGACTCTTCGCCAACTGGCTTCATGTAGAGGATCAGATAGAATGGTTCCATATTCTTCAACGGTAAGTTCAACGCTGATTTGGTCTTCTCCAGACTCATTCTTAGCCACCGCTGTGTATGTTCCTGCATCAGCGGCGACTGTGTGAGCCAGGTCGAGAGCAACCAAGCCGAAGTCATAGGTATGGCGGAATCTGTTGCTGTTCTGTAGCGGCTGTCCATCCTTCCACCAGGTGACAACAAGTTTAGGGTCAGTGTTTGGAGTAACTCTCGTCTTGAAGTGAGCTGGTTGTCCTTCAATTCTCTGGAGATTCTCAATAGGTTCGATGAATTTGGGTGGTTCTGCGGGTTCTGGCTCAAAATCTTCTGGCTGTTCTTTTGGTGCTTCAAGTTCTTGAATCTTCTGCCAGCTGGTTGGATGCTGACTGTCAAGATAAAGAATCTGATGTGGAGTGACGTCAACTATCGTCTCTGATGTGGCTTCTCCAAGCTCATTCCTAGCCACACAAGTATATGTTCCAGAATCTTGAGCAAATGCATACAAAATATCCAGAGAAACATAACCAAAGTCATGGACTGCACGGTAACGATGGCCGTTAGTTAGAGGTTGGCCATTGAAGAACCATTCAACCACCAATTGATTGTCATCTGTGGGCTCAATTTGGCCTTCAATATGGATAGGATCTCCTTCTTGGAAGGATGGAAGTTGTGGCAAATTGACAACAAAGGAAGGAGCAACCTTCTCAGGTTCGGGAACAATTGGCTCCACGGGCTGTCTGTTTTCGATCTCCTGGATTTTGTTCCAGGATTCTTCGTGTTGAGTGTCCAACAACAAGGCATCCGTAGGCGTGACCTTAATAGTAGTAGAGGTGGTGGCTTCCCCAAAGGCACTTTCGGCGTGACAAGAATATAATCCGGAATCTTCTCCGACAACGCCTGGAATCTCTAGTACAATGAGATCCATATTCCTGGAATGAATAAATCGACTGGCTTGTGGCAATGGCTGGTCGTTAACTGTCCAGGTAACCTTCAAGGTAGGGTCGTTGACTGGCTGAAGTCTGCACTCCAATCTAATATGGTCTCCTTCGGTCAAATCCCCGGTATCGTTCAATTGCTGAGTAAAGTTTGGAGGCTGGAATACCAATTCCGGAGAAGGTTCTCGTTCGATGACCCTGTTTTCCATCTCGTAAATCTTGTTCCACGACTCCTCGTGTTGAGTTTCCAAGTAAATATTCTTTTTTCCTGTGATATGAAGATCCAGATTTGTAGTCGCTTCTCCAGCTTCGTTCACAGCACGGCATGTATAAGTACCAGAATCTTCTGGGTGGATGTGAAGGAATTCCAATGCTACATAACCGAAATCATGAATGGTGCGGATTCGGGAGCTGAATTGGAGAGGCTGTCCGTTGAAATACCATTCGATACTGAGCCTGTTATCGTTGATGGGAAGGACTGTACAGTCCATGTGAAGAGGCTGGCCTTCAATAATCTCTTCTGATTGAGGTGTCTGAAGCTCTTGGGTGAATTTTGGAGGTTCTGGGGGTTGCTCGTCTTCCTCGGGTTCGGCTGGTCTTATAGCTTCGATTTCTTGGATTCTGCGAAGAGATTCCGGATGGTTAGTCTCGTCCAAGATAAGGGCACCACTTTCAATCTCGATCACAGTGGAAGTGTTGGCTTCTCCAGCATCATTACGAACAAGTAAAGTGTATTCACCGGCATCTTCAGAAATCAAGAAGTTGATGTCCAATGCGGCATACCCGAAGTCATTGGTAACTCTATAGCGATTAGAATGTTTTAATGGTTGCCCGTTGAAAAGCCATTCAACTTGGAGTCTGTTGTCATCAATAGGCGTGTACTGAGCATCTAGATGTACGGCCGTAGCTTCTTGAGATAACGGAATTGCTTCCAGTTGTTTCACAATTTTTGGAGCCTCCTTCTCGGCTTCGGGCTGTTCTTCTGGAGCAGGTCGTGGGGCTTCGAGTTCTGTTATCCTGTCAACAGCGCTGGGATGGAAAGTATCGGTTAGCATTGATCCTTTTGCTTCAACTTCAATGTTAATATCCGAAGTGGCCTCTCCTGTGGCATTGCGGACCACTAAAGTATAGGTTCCAGAATCCTCAGGGTAAATGTAGAGGATGTTTAGAGCAATAAATCCAAAATCCTGACTGGTAACAAAACGATGGGCCTGTTGAAGTGGCTGACCATTGAAAAGCCATTCGTGCTAAAAAAAATAATGTTTTTGTTTGTGTCTTTGACACTTACGGTCAGTGTGTTATCATCCACAGGGCCTGCCTGAGCTTCAAGGAAAATACTCTCGCCTTCAGACGCCTGAACGGCGCCTTGAAGAGGTCTAATAAAATGAGCACCTTCCTTTTCTGGTTCCGGTTCTTCTTCTGGGGCCAGTTTTGGAGCTTCAAGCTCCTCAATTCTAGCTACACTGCTGGGATGTTGCGTCTCTCCGATGACTCGGTTCTTCGCTAAAAAAGAATTTTTAGGAGAAGAAGAAGTACTCTAGCGATGACAATTGAAAATCTTACGTTCGCAGTTAAGGTTTACGCTGGTTTCAGCCCTGCCTAACGCGTTTTCAGCCACGCAGGTAAAGGTGCCACTATCTTCGGCATAAACATGCAACACATCTAGTGATACAAACCCAAAGTCATGGAAAGTCCGGAATCGATGAGCTAAAGAGCATTTTATTAAAGATGATGTCATCCTTACCATGAGGAAGTGGATTTCCATTGTGCAACCAGTAGACCTTAAGGGTATTGTCACCGACTGGTTCAACTTTGCATTCCAAGTGTAAAGGCTCGCCTTCTTCTACTTCACCAACATCTCCAGGCAAAGCTTGAACGAATTGAGGGCCGCTCTGAAATTGGATGAAGCTCCGACCCCACATTTTTACAAAAACATTGAGGACTGAGACGCTTTATCCGCGCGGTTTAAAAAAGAGCGAAGGAAGTCCGAGATCTCGAAAGCTTTTATAATCAACACTCACCTCAGGCTCTGCGTCCACCACTTCTTCCCTTGCGTACTTGTTAAGATTTTCCAAATATTCGATCTTTCCTAGCGCCTCTTCGTGTTGAGTATCCGACAATATGGCGTCGTGACCTTTCACGGTCAAAGTACATTGTTTGCGATCTTCGCCCAAGGCGTTTTTGGCAACAACCGTGTATGTTCCGGAATCCTCTGGGATCACTCCTTTAATTCTCAGTGAAACAAATCCAAATTCAAATTGTGGATGGAACCTGTTGGCTTGGTACAATTGGTCATCGTTGTGATACCACTCAACCACCATCGTGGGATCATTAACAGGAGTTACCTTAATTGTTCTTATGAATTATTCTAACCCTTACCTTAAGATCAAAGAGAATATCAGTATGTTCATCAACCTCAAAATCTTCCAAATCACCCAAAAATTTAGGCGGATTTTCACATTCTCTGTCCGGAACTTCAGCCAAGCCAAAGTCTTTTGGCTGCTCGAGTTCTTGAATTCTCTCTAGGCCTTCAGGATGTTGCGCATCCAACAGAAGAGACTCCTTTCCGAGAACATCAAGTTGAACACTAGCCTGGGTCTCGCCTAATTCGTTTCTGGCGACACAAGTGTAGGCACCCGAATCCTCTGGATAAGCGTAGAGAATATCCAAAGCAATGTAACCAAAGTCAAACATTGGTCGGAATCTGTGGGCTGCTACCAAAGGCTGGCCATCCTTAAACCATTCTACTTGCATCTTGACATCACCAGCTGGTTGGACACGGCATTCGAAGTGAACCGGCTCGTTTTCCTGTACTTCAACTTTGCCTTCCAAACCTCTGACCATTGAGGGAGCTTCAAGACTGTTGAATTCCTCTGGTCTCTCGTTTGGAATAGGGCCAATATGTACTTCAAATCCTTCAATATCATTAATGGCTTGGAGTGCATCTTCATGAAGGGACTGAAGCTGGAGACCTTCTGGAGTGACCACTGTCAGGTCAGCTGACGATTCAGCCTCTCCGAGGTTACTTCTGACAAGGCATGTATAGGTTCCGGCATCTTCAGGGTAGGTCGGATGGATGGTTAAAGACAAGAAACCAAAGTTGTTAACAGTCTAGAAAAATAGATTGTATTTAAAATAAATTAAGCGCCATTGTTTACCTGAATTCTGTTGGCATTGGACAATGGATTTCCATCTTTAAGCCATTGCACAGTCAACGAAGGATCATTTGGTGGTTCAACGCGGGCCTCAAAGTAAGAACGACCAAGCTCACGGTCGCAATCGTAACTCTGAATTTGCTGCACAAATTTAGGAGCAGACAAGAGTTTTCCATTGATTGAATGTTGAAGTTCAAGCTGATCTTCAACGTCCAGAATCTGAGTGTGATCGACATTTTCTAACCGAGCTAAAAATATGCGTCATCGTGGTGTTGAGTAAAGGTTGTTTTAACTGTGATCACAATAGTAAAAACTTACGAACAACAACAACAGTTGCACTTGTCTCAGCAATTCCAGCATCATTGGCAGCGGTTACCGTATAGTAACCACCATCTTGTTCACTCACATTATCAATGTGAAGAACAACGAATCCTGACTGGATTTGGATCTGTTGGTGATCGTTGGAATTGATGGGATTTCCGTTGAAATAAAACTGCACATTAAGGTTAGGGTCATTAATGGGAGTGAGCTTTGTTTCAAGATGCAACGGCTGTCCTTCAAAAAGCTCTTGAGAACGAAGGTCCGAATGGAAATTGGGCCGATCAACGGTTTTGTTTGGGCCCAAAGGAACGGCCGAATCTCCTTGACGTTGGATGTAATTGATAACAGAGTCACTTCGAAGACCTAAAAAAACTAGAGTGATAAACGGTTGCAATTTGAAACATCACATAATGGTGTCATCCTACCAGCAACTTCCACATTAGCTGTTTGACGAACTTCTCCAAGCTGGTTAATGACAATTACAGTATACTCTCCATGATCAAAAACGGTGACAGGGTTGATCTCCAGAACCGCATATCCAAAATCAGAAAGGGTGGTTATCCTCGACGACGCAAGAATGGGCTTTCCATTCAACAGCCAAGCAACTTTAAGGTTCGGGTCCTCAGTGGGGCCGAACTTGACGTCCAGAAGAGCATGCTGGCCTTCATTTAAGGTCAAGTTACTCAACTTGCTCAGGAATTTTGGAGCTTCTTTTGATTGTGGAATATCTTGCGTTTGGCGTGCATTTTGCCTTTAAGACTTTTGTATTTGATGTGTGATCCTTCACTTACAATTGTTTGGAACGGTCGATCTTCCTCAGGGTAACCCGCTCCATTTGATCTTCTTCAATGTTCTTTCGGGCTTTTACAACAACTCGTCCTTTGATCTGAGCTGTTCCTTCGGGTGAAGTGGCTTCGCATTGGTACCATCCGCCTTCGGCCAAGGTGGCCTTGCTGATCGTGAGGATGCTCTCATTAGCCGCCTTCGTCTCAATCCTTTATTTTGATGCATTATTATATAATTGATGTTTTTGCTTACTGGTATTTGTCGCCTTTGTTAACTGCAGCGCCATCTCTGGTCCAGGCGAGTTTGGTGACGTCATCGCTGGCCTTTGCGTAAAGTGTAACACCTTCTCCTTCATGAATGGAAAGGTTTGGTGGGAACTTGGTAAGAAAGTGCGGCTTGCCCACGTCTGGAAGCAACGTTATTGTATTGTAAATAAGGTTCTATTGGAACGCCAACAGCTGTTACTCCCACCAGGAAAGTGTTCGCTTTGCACGCTTTAAAAATCCCGAAGAAAGACGAGATTATATGGCAATAACAAAAAACAACTCACCGGCCGCCTTCAAGTTTCCCGACTGGCGAAATCTAGAGGCCTGGAAATAGAAATAAGTAATCATTTCGGCGATTGGAAAAAATTGATTACGATGTCTTGCAGATATACAAAATATTTTTTTGCAAAGGAAAAAACCGTAGCAAAAATTAAAGTGAAAAAAGCTTTAATTAAAGGAGTTTTCAATTCGTGGTATGCAGTCTAATTTCATCCTATGTTTTTTTGATGTCGTTTTGTCAAACATATCATGTTAAACATGTTTTTACAATTTTTCCAAAAATATTTCATAATGACGAAATAAATGACGGTTCAGCATTTAACAATTTCGCAACATAACAGACGTGTAGAACGCGAGAAAAACTCGCCGAAAATTCTTATACTTTAGTTTTGAGATATTCTGAAGACTTTGCTAATTGACAAAAAACATGGGATTACGGTAACTATGAATTTTTGCTCACTATAAATATGCCAATTTCAGCGGTTTTTACCACCGTTGGAACGGATTTTGTACGGAATCAACTTGTCATTTCGCCCCAATAACACATCTTGACTCTTCGGAGAGTGACCGGTTTCGGTAGTTAATTTTCATATCTTGGTTCAGATATATTAAAAAGTGGCAAACCTCGTTTAAAAGAATCAGAGAGACATATTTACAACCTCGACGTAGTAGACAGTTAACCATTCTGAGCCCTCTTTTATTAAGAAAATTATCATTGGATTACTGTAACACGAACTTTTTCTTACAACACTCTATTCAAAAAGGTGTAAAAACGATGAAATTTGAATATTTATAACTATTTGCATGATCAAAAACTATTTGTTACAGTAATCCCATAATTTTTGTCAATTAATAGTAAAGTGTTCAGAATGTCTCAAAAGGGTTGTATAAGAATTTTCAGCGTGTTTCCCCGAGTTCTTTTGTTATTTTGTCGTTATAAAACGTAAAAACGTGTTCAACATGATGTGTTTGACAAAACTACATCAAAAAATCGTTGCTTCACAGACTCTTTTAAACTAAAAAATATATATCAAAAATCATACCATCGCTTCTTCTTGTCTTTGCTGTGATTGTAGGGCGTACTGTACCTGTTCTGGCTTCCTCAAATACGGATGAACGTACTGAGTTCCCTCTTCAGACTCGTAAAAAAGAAAGTCTAGATCTCGGAAAGTAGCTGGTTGAGATGAAGGACCAGCGTGTTTTTGATAATTGAGTTCAACGAAGCTAGGTTGTTGAACTGGTGTAACAACTGGTTTAGAGACTTGTTGAAACTGGTAAGGCTCCCTATAAAAAGTTTCTTCCTGACGTGTCGGCTCTGCCCTTTGGGGGTAATTTTGTTGAGCTGGACTGGGCTGTGGTTGATATTGATGTGTTCTCTCAGCTGGAACCTGGGGCTGTTGTCTGGCTGGTTGCTTCTGGAAGATGGGAGCTTGGTACCCTCTATTTGTTTGTTCAACGTAACCTTGCTGCACTGGTTGCGTTGAATGAGAAAAAACTGGTTTTCTTTCGATTGATTCTGCGGTTGAATGGTGCTCCTGCTGCTTTGGAGGACTAGTCAATCGAGTAGAATGCGGGGAAAGAGCTTGTTGTTGGATCTGAGCTTCTCTTTCACGCTGATAAAACGCGGCAGGCGATGGAATTCCACGACCCCAATTTACAAAACGTTGCTGCCGTTGTTTTGGGACTGGAGCTGGTGATTCCGGCTTCCGGGATTGCTGTCGCTGGGGTGCCTGTGTTTTTAAAACTGGTTCCACTCGCGCTGGCTGATTCCTTTTCTCAGAAACACGAAGTGTTGGCTGAGACTTGGGAGTTGCTGGGATGACCGCTGGAACTTCAACGACTTTAGGATGTTCCCGTCCTTGCTGCTGGACTTGAACAGTTTTCCTGGGCGTCGAAGGGCTCACGGAATCCGATGGAGCTGACGGTAGAGCAAAAACTTCGATCCGTACCGAGCTTTGGACCTGAAAACAAGAAATAAGTTTTCAAAACACTCTGGCTCTTCTCGGGTGACTACGCGCATTCGGGAAATTTAATCGGTAAAAAAACACCTAGACCGCGCTGAACTCTATTTACTGTTGTAGACCAACAGATCGCAAGTGCCGAAAAGGTCCGTTGGGCCAAAATTTCCACAAAAGTTTTTTTTCTTGCTTCAGTAGATCTAGACGGGGTTTAGGGTAACCGGTGACGTGGATTTCAAAAATCCGATCTATTTTCTCTGATACTTGTTTTTCTTAAATAGTACTGCAAAGTAGTAACGTTTACCTTTAAGATCCCTTCTCATCAAAAAAAGTCAAGACATCCAGACATTACTAATTTACAGTACTACTCAAGGCAAACAAGAAAATTTGGAAAAAATAAAATAGATTTTCTAAATCAGCACGGTCGACCCCACACCCACTCTTCCAGGTCTCACTGAGCTTAGAAAAATCTTTTGCCGCGGACGTTTCCGTACCCAACGCAACAGAAAAGTCTAGTGGACCATTCAAAGACAGAGATTACATTTAACTTCATTGTTTTTTTTCCGTTTTCCCCTCTCAGGAAAGGCGATAAAAGATCAAAGATGTCGCAAATGCCGTTCGGTTTAGGCCTCAGATGTTCTTTGGCCACACCATTAAAAATCCGTAAACACATGTGCTTAAAATTTAAAACCGAAGCTTAAATCCCAGTGTATGTATACTGTCAAAAATGGGCATACGGTCGGGACTTAGTTAATGTCGGGCCAATAAAACCCTTAGGAGCTGATAATCAAGCTTCATGGATGGACGGGACTCAAGTGAGGTCTTCAACCCCTGAGGAAAGAAGCGTTCGCCCCCACCTTTCAGGCCAACCCATCATTGCACCATCAAAGATAAAAAACGGACGTTTCCAGCCCTCCTCAGCGACAAAAGGTGCAATTGCTCCTGGGGTGGGAAGAGGGAGAAAGAAAAAAAAGTAACCAGTCTTTTTTCCAGAGCCCCCTCCTCTTGGGTCTTGATCCCGGGTTGCATTATGCCGCGGCCATACCTGGCCTCACGAAATATACTGGCCAATTCCAAACTTTCGAAACGATTAGAACCGGGGAACACAAAATTGGGAATTCCGGGACACACGTACCCAGGCCTCCGCTGATTGGTCGCTCTCAATAACGGTCTGATCCCGGCCCTCCTCCCCTTTGTTTGCTGTTTATCACTTAGGACAGAGATTAGAAAGTCGGAAATGAATTGTGCATGGCATTCCGCCATCGTCTCCAGTCTTTAACGCCTCAAGCGTTTGATCCCAAAGCACGCCCAAATAACACTTTCGGCCGGAAATTGATTACGCTCTCATCTCACGGATTTTAAACGTTTGAGTTAATTCTGGCCAAAGTTCATGGACATATCAATAAAAAGACAATTCATTTCTGTTTGCAAAGACTTGAAAACTACATATCTGGTGCTTACTTTTCCAAAAGGATTTTCGACCACCAACGAATACTGGCCGGCATCTGATGGGATCACGTCGTTGATACGCAAAGTGACGCTTGATCCTTTGTAGCTGAATTGCCGGCGAGGTTCTCCGTAGGCCTCCAATAATTTTCCGTTGTGATACCACGTAATCTAAACATCTATTTATTACAATTTAACCAATACCCTTGGTTTTGGATTTCCTCCAATATTGCACTGTAAGACGGCATCCGTTCCTTCCGTCAGCCTCAAGCCCCGTAACTCGCTTCTGAAGAACGGAGCCAATCCTGGCCCAGTGTCCCGATGTAAATTTAATGTGGCTAGCTCGGGTTCGGTCTCGGATTCGCTTAATCCCCATGCCTAAATAGAGTGATCATTGTTTCTGAATCATACTGTATCAGTATCCGAAAAGTTGGGAGACAGTAATCCCCTTCTATCCACATTCCTTGTAGTTGTACTTAACTTGGAATGATGCTGCTCGTTTCGCGCAATCATGCGTTGTTTTTTTTCTCTGGTGAACGATGCTCGCTCATTAGACAACCATTTGTCATACTCATCTCTGGCCAAGATCTGAAAGATTTGTTCTTGGTGTTTGATTCTCACCATTTTTTACCTCTCTAATTGAATAAAAAAACTGCCTAATTTATTTTAAAAACTACATCACCTACATATGCAGAACAAACAGTAATTCCAATGGTATTTGATGCTTGGCAAGTGTATTCTCCTTGATCCTCTGGGAATAACTGTGGAATTGTAAGCAAACAAATGCCGGACTGAGAGTCGTACTCGGTGATGACTCTGAATTTACATAAGCCATAAAATGGCTCGAACAAACCTATAATTATTCAAGGGGCTTCCATCTTTCAGCCACTCAACTGTTGGAATGGGAACACCAACGACCCTGGCTTCCAATACAGCGACGCCTCCGGGTTTGAAGGGTTGATTGCGTAATTCTTTAATGAAGAATGGAGCAGATGGGCCTACTGGCGTCATAGGGGGAGCTGGTGAACTCCTAGGCACATAACAGATTATATAAAATAGAACCTACGCCATGCTGGCAGCAGATCCGGGAACCGGGGTGGGTGCTGGAGCCACAATCAGCATACAAGTTGATTGTTTTATTCCTCCGGTATTCATCGCCTGCAGTGAAAATCGGCCACAATCCGCTCCTTGAGCGCACGGAATCAACAATGTGTGCTTGTTGCCACTTTGAATTACCTAAGAAATTGAAATTAATGCTTGTTTGTGTAATAACTCACTTCGTAATCAGGACACGTTGTAACGTTTCGGCCGTCTTTCAGCCATTTTATGACAGGTTCTGGATGACCTTCGACTTGGCATTCTAGGCGGACGGATTGGCCGATTATAACACGACGATCTTGTAAGGGCTAGAATAAATTTTTTTAAAACGTAGAGTTTACAAATTGTAAAAAAAAAATCAATTTACTACTCTTTATCCGACAAATCACTGACTTTTTATAAAAGGCCTAAAACTTATAAAAATATCTGGGATTGTCACGACCGTACATTACTTTATCGAATGAGCATACAGCACTAAAGGATAAATTAAATGTGCTGTTTTTGTATTTTTGTGAGATTACGTCTTTATGATCTCACTTACCCTCTTGAAGATGGGAGCGGTCACATTCACCTCTCGCTCGCCCAAGGGAGTCTTAAATGGCATTCTTGAACTATTTCAAACCAAATCCATTCCAGACCTCAAAATAATCGGTAAAGAAGAAAAAGTGGACTCAAAGCGATCAGGGTGAAAAGATACGGCGCCGAGAAATCCGCGGCCCAGCTGTTGACCTACCCGAGGTTTAAAAAAGAAAAAGTTTTATATGATCTGAAACACCGAAAGCCACGGCTTTCATTCCCACGGCTGTGCAATCCACAGATTGTATAAACTCCAAAAGCTCGAGTATTTGTTTTGATCTCAAGTTGCGCACATCCTGAACACCCGCCGGGCGTTGGAAGTTAGAGATCTCGTATGTCCCGCTCCTTTCCCTCTGGCCTCGATCTCACGCTGGCCAGGTCTCAGCAGAAAAGTCCACCTGGCTACTCTATCTGATCTCGTCCGTCTCTCTTGTTTTAATATCGTTCCCGTTAAATCTGATATGGACCGGTCAAGATGACAAAACATCTTGGACACATGGCCCTTTACCACCGCAATCAAATTAAACGATCAGACATGTGTGGGTTTCAAAAGTGCCCAAGGCAAATTAAGCCTCAGTTCTGCGGGATTACCTAACCAAATGTCGCGGAGAATACTCGGCGTATTTTATCTCGGTCTTCTTGAATTGATAAGGTCCGCCGTTTTCATCGTAAGTTGTCTTATTTTTATATTTGACTGGTTTCAGTTTTTCGGCTCTTCAATATGTGCTCAGAATATCCTAAAAAGGAATCTGAATGACAATTCTGTCGTGTGCATTGGCTGGGGAGTCGCTTACTTTATATCTTCGATAATTGCCATAAATAAACAAGGTATGATGAATCCATTTTACCGTCAACTTATTAAAGGATCATCTGTGTTCTCAATAACTGCGCTTTATCATTTTTGGAACAAGAAAATAAGCAAAGGGGAGTTCTTCTTATCCATTATTGGGCAAGTTGTTGGCGCTTTTGTAGGGGCGTGTTTGGCATGGGCGTTGGTTTACGGTATGATTACACAGAATTATAAAGGAATTTACAGAGGCTGTATTCCAATTGGACAAGGGGAATCACATGCTGACAGGTCCCTTGAGGACGGCTCAGATCTTCGCTGGATATCCAAGTCTTCATCAATCTACGATCAACGCATTTTTTGCCGAGGTTCGTAATTTTCTTTGACTTTTACAAAACTATTCAAAATAATTCAGATAGTGTCATCATTCTTGTTCGTGTTCATTATTTCTGTAGTGGAAAATTCAGTTCGTAACGTAATCTTGAGTAAATTTATTCATGGAGTTACATTAATTATAATCCTTTTGTCTCTCGACTTCAACTCGACCACAACGATAAACCCAGCCAGAGAAATCGGATCCCGGGCGGCTTCTTACATTTTTGGATACAATGAGAAGGTGTTTAGGTATGGATAAATTTTCTTTACTTTTGTGTGCAACTACACCACTTCATTGAAAAATTTTTCAGTTTCCGTTCCTCAAAATGGTTACTCATTGTGACCATGGGACCAGTTCTTGGCTCCTTACTGGCAATGTGCGCCTTCAATCTGCTACGGCTTTGTTCAACATCTAAAAAGGTCAATAATGTCAGAAGTAAAGGGACTCAAGCGTCACCTCATGTATATGGCGTTCATTTCGATAATCTTCACTCTCGAATGCTATAAACAGTGTACAAATTTATGATAATGAGTAACAATGTGTTACAGATCTGATTAAAGCAACGCCCGCGTTTCTTCTATATGAGGTGAGAGTCGACGGAGGAGAGATTCGAACTTCTTGACCAAAGTGTGTCAGATCTATAAACAATTTTAATGTGTTATGTCATCATTATGCTCACCTGGAAATAAGCGGGTGCAGAGTCTGCTCGTCGCGCGAATATTTGTATCCATTTTTCATCGATTTCCCAGCCTCGGAGGTCTAAAAAAATATCGAAAAAGTTTAATCTCAGTCTGTCGGTAAAATAATGAGCACAATGTCGCTGCCGATCGCGCGCTGAAGTAAAAATTTTGATTTTGCCGCGACACAATTCATTTTCTCGGCGGCGATGCGATTTTCGATGTGACAGAGTGCTCATTATTTTACCGACAGACTAGGAGTATTTTCTTACCATGTAATACCGCTTTAGAAACTTTCCAATAACAAATAACAGAATAACAAAACATCCAACAATCGCAAAAGAGATGTAATATACATTTAATAGATGCCCGTTGTCGAAGATCACAACTTCAGTCTCTACTTTCGAAGAATACAATACATTTTCTGCAATAAAACTCATTAGGCAAAGAATCAGGATGAAAAATATCAAAAAAGATAGGACCAACATACCAGCACATGTAGGGCAGCACTCAAAAGGAGTGTATATTGGCCGTTCGCATTCCATACATTGAGTTGTGTTGCATTCAACATTTCCATAAATAGTACAAGTGCAATTTCTGCATAGACCATCCGAAAAGACCTCGTTTTGGTAATATTTGACGTCATTGTAATCACAAGATGCTTCCGTTTTGTGTTCTAAAAGAGATTTTTTGAGTCATCATTAACCTACCAAAGCAGACAGGGCAACATTGATTCTCCAAGTGGAGTAATTTTCCATCGCATTTCACTTCGGGACATATGATATCAACACATGCAATAGAACCATTTAATTGGCATTGGCAATGACGACAAATGCCGTCACTCCAGACGGAATGGTAGCCGTGATTACGGTTCTTATAGTCAATACAGTCCATCTGATAACCTTGCATTGCTTTATCATCAGGGAAACTAAAATTTAGGAGTTTACAAAACATTTTTTAAGGGTTTTGAACTTATTTAATTTTTTACCTGTTATTCAAATATTCCTTGTCGCAGTTTTCTTCCGAACACAAAACATGACCCAATGCACAGATGCAGACTGCGCAATCCTTTCTAAACATTTCTCCATCCACGTATTGACTAACAACATTATCAAAATGACAGGGAACAAATGAAGCCTCGACGAATTCCCCGCATGACGGACAGCATTCTCCATCTTTAATGTTGTATTGAGAAAGAGAACAGTTATCCCTGGCCATACATGATAATGCCGAGCAATAAGTTCGTCCTTGCAGACACAGACATTGTCTGCAAGATTCACTCCACCAATCCCCGTTTCTGTATTCTTTTTCTTCCCGATGACAGAGATCCGAGATATTGTTAGTTTCTATTTTCTTTGTCTCGAAACCGCCCGCTACGTATTTATTTATAATTATTTTTGTGCTTTTTGGTTACCTTTGCACTTGCAGATTGAGCATCCAGCATGATTAATTTGGTATCCAAAAAGACATTTCTTCAAACACATCTCCATTGAAGGGCACTGCTTACATTCGCATGTGTAACAACCTTGGTCATTTAAAGAGAACCCGTTGAAACAATGCCTAAGTATTTGTGTGTGACATTTCTTACCTCCCTAACATACCTCTCGCATGGTGATTGATCATTGCACTTATTGTAAAGCACGACGTCTTCTTTTGGGTTTTCTGAGGCACAGATACATTCTTCGCACCCTTCAGCATCACGCTTTAAGCCATGAATACATCTAAGGTCACAGTGGTCCATATTAGGGCATGTCTCCTCACCTAAAGTTGATTTACATATGTAATTTGAGTTGTAATGGATGTATTTACCGGGGCATTCTAAGCAACAAGGATTAGATCGTTCTGATCCGTCGCAAGAACACAATGATTTTTGACATTGGATTTTGAAGTCTTCGGAGCACGTGCAGCTAAAGTGAGTTGTTTTTGACGACACAAAAATTTTACCCAGTGCTATTTATTTCTTACTTTGTGCAGCCATCCACGGCCCAACTTTCATTCACTTTGTGCTTTCCAAGGTCATCAATACAACCCCGACATATTGGGCAACATTCTCCATCAGGGATCTCTATCCACGAACAATGTCCTGAGTTTTGCTTGTAGTAGTCTTATTATAAACCTACTTGCAACAGACGGACATTCCAATGATGTACACATGGATACACCATTGTTGCACCAGCATGTTTGGCACGGTTCATAATGCCAGTTATCACCAGAGGCATAAGTCTTGCCTTCAAAAAAACATGACTGATCAGTCGTAGAGTTAGAGTCGACCAAACATTGGAAGATGTCGCAACAGGCGCCAGGGGATTGCGTCCCTCTTCTGATCATTACAACTTTCTCGTTCTTTCCGCATCTTACTGGTGGACATACCGACCCTTTACACTGACATCTGCAAATTGTCCGTCATTTATCACCACCTACTCTGGGAATATTGGACAACATGAACCCTGTGGGATATATTCTTGGGGCCGGTAGCTGTCCCCGGGGCATTCAGTGAATAAATCAAGGTCTCGGTATAATGAACAACGAACACGGCCACAATAAAAAGCTGAAAGATCTTTGCTTATTAGTATGGTTGAATAGTTTCATTCAAAGGTTCTTTTTTGTAGAAAACGTGCCTGGTTGTCTGCATTCAAACTGATCGCAACACATCCCTGGATTATTTCCCCCTTTCCTCATCAGATAACGCTTTGTATTGTTCGGACATTTATTGCTTAACGTTTCACATGTTGCATAATCACATTCACATTGAGCCTTAGGGCAACATGCGTTGTCCGAGGGCGGTATAAGAACCAAATGCGAGTCCTCAGTGCAAACAGGAACCGAGGAATCGCAAAGTTCCGGATCACAGCGAGGAGTCAAAACTGTAAATCGATTCGGATTTATGGGCCACAAAAGACAGTGGGGCCGAGATATTTATTTTGAGAAAATATTTTGCAGGAAATGATCACGTCAATCAAACGTACTTTTATTTTGGCATACTCCAAAGGGTAATCTATCAAGATTGACACACTCTAGCCCATTAACACATTGTCCATGACCATCTCCACACTTCTCGTTTCGAAATCTCAGACACTGGGGACAACAATCACAATCATTCACAAAAGAGGTCTGGTTACAATCCAGTGATGGACAGATGGTGTCAGAGCAATCATGGTCACACTCCCTGCTCGACAGCACTCCAATTACCATAATCGCCATAGTAAGCAGCAACATGTTTAGCGGGCATTTAATAAGGTCACTTTCTACATTTAAAAACCTCAAAATATAGTATGACAAAGTATATAATTCTGTGGAAATAAACTTCAAGCGACAATCTAATAGTACAAAACATTCCACGGATTTCAACATTTTCCATAAAATTACAAAAGAAAAAAGAAAATGGGATCAAGGGGTTCAATTTTGAGAATACGTCCTGGTCCAAATAGAATGTCTGTAAAACGCAGTTATTTGTAATATGTTTGAAAAAAACTTAAAGTTCAAAGTGCTACACTAAAGCTACGCTAATCAAACAGTCTATCATACAATCTTTTCAGCTTCTTAGCTTCGCATAGATCAACCACGGTTAAACTGACCCCCCGGATATTTCTGGAGCCTTTCGAACGGCCCTTCCCCAAATCTGACTCATTGTCAGATTGGGGAAAGTGAAAAAGAGAATTAAGAAAATAAAAAAAGAACGACAAAACAATGCGACGCTTCGATTTAAGTCTTCAAGTCAAAGGGTGAGAAAACAGTGGAATGCGGGCTGTTCTGATCTTGGCCGTGTCCGTTGGTCGACACCCCCCCCCCCCCTTCCATCTTTCCCTCCTCGAAACAAAATCCCCTACACTTTTCCGATAGATTTAATTGCAAACTGTGAGACCAAAATACAAAATAATTTAAAAAATACTTTAATTAAATAGTCGTTTAGCGGATGCGGATCTGGTCCATGCAGTAATTAAGGCCCTTTTCTTCGTATGTCGCCTTCGAAATCCAAAAGTCCTGCAAAGAAAGAAGGTCAACGTCATAACGACGCGCGAAATAAGTAAAGCAATTGGCCACTTACTTCATTACGGTCCCTCATTAAGTGAGCCAGGACGGCCCCGCCCAAGAATACCATGTGTTTTCGTCGCGGGGGAGCTTCTATTCTAATTTTAAACTTCTAAAAAACAAATATTAACTTTAATTTAGGCCTACGTGGAAGTTTTCAGTATTCCCTCTCAGCACATGATGCAAATAAAGTTGCTTTAGATCCTTCTCGAGTCTGCTAGGCAAACCTGGATACATCGTTGAGCCCCCGGATAGAACAATATGTTTAAACAGATCCAATCGGCAATCTGTAACCAGACATATAACAATTAAACAGTAAACAATATTCATACCCATATCAGCCCCTTGAATGGAATTAAATATCAGTTCCGACACTCCAGCTTTCTCCACGTCAATCAGATGAGGTTGGAAAAGGACTTCTGGAGCCTCGAATCGTTCACCCCCAACTCGAATGGTTCGACCATCAGGTAACTAAAAATAAAACTAAAAAAAAATAAAAAATCATACAGTATACGACTGAGTTAATACTGTTGTCTCCAAAGCAAGTTTTTGTTCCTGTTCGACATTATAAGCCACATAGCACAGCTTCTCCTTCAGTTGTCTGATCGTCTCAAAATCAGCGGAATGATTGAAGGCATATCCACGAAGCAAGAGTAGCTAAAGTAAAGCAAAATACAAAAAAAATAACAATACATACCTTTATCAAATATTTTGTTATATCCCTGCCTGCAACATCTAAACGTTGATTTAGATGCTGTAAAGCAATACCACCGAAGACAGGACAGATATGTGTAACTCCATCTCCAGAATCCACAACGACACCTGTTAAGAGACCTTGCGCATACAATGTCAAAACTGCCTGCACAGCCACATAAACAGCGTTAAACCCGTACTGTTCGAACATGACTTCAAACATCTTTTCGCGATTCTTATGTGGATTCATTGGAGGTTCGGTCAGTAATAACTTGCATTCCTAAAAGTAATAAGAATTAAGAATAATTAAATCAGAAACACACCTGAGGATCAATATCCAACTTTTCTGGTCCAAATGTGTAGTCATAAACGTGCGCCATGTCCTCCCAGTTTCGAACAATACCATTTTCCATAGGATATGTAACATCAAGGCATTGCCTGAGCTCAGTGCACTCCTCCCCAACCATCAAATCCTTGATCTGGATGTTGTTTATCCGTTGGCTTGATCGAACAAGGGGTCTCCCGACCATAGATGGAAATATATGTTCCGGAAAGTTTGTACCCGCATATCCACACTTTACAAACTAAATAAACAGGGTAATATATGAAAGTTTAACTCACTCCTGATCCGTTATCAACTACAATCACTTTTCTGCCTTGGGAGTCCATATTCTACGATTCATCGAGATGTATATTCGGTCAAATTTTATTTTAGATTACTCATATGCTTTGACACTTCGCCATTTTATTGATTTTGTTGCGGAATGCAACTCAAAAATCGAAAGTGAAATTTTAAAAGCAGCTCCAAATTATTTTCACCAAAACGACAAAAAAACGCCCGAAAAGCAGGAGTGGCAAACGAGCCTACTTTTAAAAATTGCAGGCCCGACCCGGCAACCCTGCAAAAATCATGCCCGGGTCGCCAACTGAAAAATTTCGTTATCTAACCGCCTTTATGGTGCTAAAATCCACGAAGGACGGAAAGGTCCGCTAAACAACGATCATAGTAACAATATCACTATAATCCTAATTTTTCAAGAATTCAACCTGTGTGTCGTATTTTCCGGAAAATTATCATATCGGACTTTTAAATCATTTTCTACTACTACTACCACAGTCTACCGATGGGTTATGTCACCTTTACCATGATGACATTCTTATTTCTGATTTCCCTTATACGGTCAACATATAAGGAAGATTATATGTATGTTATTCGTCTGCTCACCTCAAAATCTTAACAAAATCAGGAGTTTATCGAGCACTTTTGTCAATGATTTTTAAGACATTATGTTTTTGATGTCATATTTATGCGAAAAGGTCCGCTGGGAAAAAAGGTCCACAAAAGTTTTTCTTACCGCAGTGGGCCAAAACGACAGAAAGATGATACTTGGTACAACGGATCTACGCCCAAATAGTATTCTGTATGTACATTTTTGGAGAACCTGAGGCGATTATTGCAAAATTTGGTGTTCTTTCGTGTAAGATGTACCCGGCGAATTACAAATCCTGGGCGCAGCTCGAGATATGTATAATTCGCAGTCAGTTTCAACCGCGGTTGAGACGGACTGCGAATTCAACCGTGCACGTCTGTCTGTTATGCATGGCCTCAAATACCGTTTCTGTCGACCTCAAAGATTTCCTCAATAGAATCACAAACTCCCCCGAGAACGCACCTGGACTGCTTGAAACATTTTTACAGCAGTCAGTTCGACCATCCGTACCTTCAATCGTGAGGTTCATCACATTCTCGATCGCTGATAACGATCTTAGATATAGAATTTTAACTATTTTGGTTCGAGAATATGGCGAAGAGACCGAAATACATGACGGTTTTCTGTCATTCGTGGAATCTGCAATCTTGGTAAGTTCTAAAATCATAACAAAAGAGTATTCGTTTATTCAGGAGCCGACTGATTCATTGATTGAATTAGTAACAGCCATAATTCAGGAATGTGGGCCTTGGTTGGGAAAGGCTGGTATAAAACATCTGAAGTGCTTCTTTTCGACGACAGACATAGCTCATTCCGCAATGCTTGTACGATTGCTGAACACATGCATTATTTGGAACAAAGAGTTTATTCCAGTAAGCTATAATTAACTTAATATTATTCTGTTTTAGTACGCCAAGGTCCTTCCCCGATGTAAATCCGATAACCCCGACTTGCAAGCTGCTCTCTCAGAATGCCAAATGTTTTGCAGTGCTAGTGTAATGTGAAATATTTGGATGTTTAAAATTTATAAAACAATAATTAAAAAATAGAAATGTCGGCAAAATATGTGTGTCCTAATCTCAGAATTGGTCATCTCTCCATCCTATGGTCTGTTTGTCGACCAGGGCTCGGAAGACTCCATCTTCCAGCTTCATCAGACCGTCAAACGTCCCTATCTCGGCTACGGTGCCTCTATCTAGAACGACGATCTGGTCGGCATGTTTGATGGTGGATAGCCTGAAAGTATTGTTACTATACCGTCATATGACCTACCTATGAGCAATGATTAGTACCGTCTGTTTGTTATTCTCCAAGAGCTGGCTGAGAGCTTTGCGGACCAAGTATTCTGAAGTCGCATCCAATGCACTCGTAGCCTCGTCCATGATGAGAAGTCTAGGTTTTGTGACCAGGGCTCTGGCTATGGCAATTCTTTGTTTCTGACCGCCGCTTAACATCGATGCACTCTGTTCACCAACAATTGTGTCAAATCCCTGAGGAAACGAACGAATAAACTCCAATGAGTTCGATGTTTCAGCGGCTTCGTAAACATCTTCTTCCGTGATTTTCTCCGGATGTTCGCAGCCGTAAATAATGTTGTTGTAGATGGTAGTTGAAAAAAGCACAGGTTCTTGACCGACAGCACCTATCATTCGTCTCCAGTGACTTGCATCCAAATCTCTAAGATCGATATCATCGACTGTAATTCGGCCTTGACTGGGGTCGTAGAGTCTAAAAAGCAATAGTAAAAAGAACATATTTACATGACTACCTTAACAAAAGATTTGCAATTGTTGACTTTCCACTTCCTGACGCCCCGACCACTGCGGTAATCTTTCCAGCTGGAATCCTGAATGTAACATCATTGAAGAGAGGGGCTCTGTTGGGATAAGAGAACCCTATTCCCTCATATCTTATCTCTCTTGTAATGTCTTCGATTTTCAACCCTCCGGTCAATGGAATTGTCGGCTTCTGGCTTTGCAGTTCGAAGAGTCTTGAACTGGCCCCCAATCCTTTCATGATCTCAATGTAGAACCCACTCATATTTGATAGACTTGCGGCGCAAAGCAGGGCATATAGACCAAAAGACGAGAGATCCCCATAAGTCAGAAGACCCTTATCAATTAAACTGCTGCCATAAAACAAGATCGTCGTCAGCGAAATGTAGCCTGTGAATTGGAACTGAAACAGAATTTGTTAACTGAAAGTTTAAGGAATTCCACATCATTGGAAAAACGCATACCCCTCCAAACATTAATCCTTTGGCGATGGCTTCTTTCTTAGATATCCTCCAGATTGCCTGAATTTTATCCTTGTATGTCTCCAATTCTTTTGCTTCAGCCACTAACATCCTGACAGTCCGAATGTTAGACAGACGCTCAGTTGCTACCTAAATAATGGTAAGACGATTACTGTGCTGACTTGCCTGATTTGTCGCTGCAACCGCCTCTTGCATTTGCATGGTGTACTTTCTTTGCAACTTTCCAAAGACATAGAACGTCCCGACAATGAAAGGTATAACAAAGACAACAACTTTGCAAAGACTGGGTGATGTGTATACCTAAAAGAAAACTGAATCCAAATTCTATACACTACCATAAGAGACCCTGATCCAATGCATGTAATAAGAGCTCGGGCGCCTTCACTCAGATTGGTGGAAACAGAATACCCAACGATGAGTGCATCGGTTGAAAGTCGACTGACGATCTCGCCGACCTTGTTCTTATCAAAGAATGACATGTCTTGTCGTAGAACAGAGTTGAAAACCTTTGTCCTAAGGTCATTAATCACCAATTGGCCTAAACACTATCATAAAACGACGTATTGCTCACCAGCTGTATGCATGCAGTAGGCTCGAGCACAAATCGCTGCAGCTCCAACAAATAACAAAGCCACGATAGCCCAAGGATTTTCCTTAAAGTATCTAGCAAGCTTCAACGCAACATCTCCCTCGTCCGGCTGCGTTTTAGACTGATCGTGCTCATCGATCAACTTTCCCAGAACTCGTGGAATAAAAAGGAAAATCGAGGAACCAACTCCCATAAAGAACAACCCCACTAAACAAAAATATATCATGTGGATCACAACATACGGAAGATCCTGCCTTTGTGCGGAACGGCTAGTCTGAATATCCTCCGTAGATCCTTCCAAGAAGCATTCCTCAGCTTTGTAGATGCCCTCTTCGTGTCTACTGTACTCAACTGGCGAAAGAACTCCCTGGCAGTGGAAGAAGGGACCCTTTTTGTTGTGATTACTCCATATCTTTGAAGTGTGCAAAATGCCCTTAACATAAATATTGCACCATTTTCAGAAAAAAAACTTACCTTCCCTGAGATGAAGATGGCAGATTCAGCAACCCGCATTTTATACAATTGAGCACTGCGAACCGCATGTCTCCTAAAAGAAACAAAATAAAAAACAACGGCAACAAAACAAAATCCGTTGCGAAACAGAAAAAAAGCTCTTTACACATAAACAATATTTTCTGGTAACTCAAAATAAACAAAAACAAGTACAAAAAAACTTAGACATCATTTTCCAGGCGTAATAAACATCTGCGGGGTTACTAGGACGTGTGAAACTAATAATACAAAAAGAAAGAATATGTTTAGGTAAGCATATATCTACAATCCAACTCCCAAACTTCGTTTTTCATCATCTATATATTTCGCCTGATAAGTTCATATGAAAAAACATAGAAAAATCAAACCTATCATGTAATAAGACTTACCCTGTGATAGAAATGGCAGAACTTCTTACCACCCGCAAGAAGTAGCAAAAAAATAAAAATTTTCTGAGGGTTAGACGTGACTCATTTCTGCAAGACTTGACCCAAACAAAAATAATTGCGGATCAATCAGGGGTGGTCAGCGGACCCTATTTTTCCGATTTTCGGCCCGCGGCCCGGCCCGTCTAATTACCGGCCCGGCCCGTCTAGTCTTTTTCCAGGCCCGGCCCGGCCCGTGACGGGCCTGGCCCGGCCCGGCCCGTGCAGGCCCGTTTATAGAGGGTTCTGCGAACTGCGCCCAAGCTTGGGATCTAAACTTAGGCAAAAAAGGCGTTGATATAGCTAGTAAAGGATCAGTGTGATAGTTTTGTGGTTTTATAATGGAACTATAGACTTGTAAACGTTTTAGAACTTGAGAAAGAGCAACTATAACAACATCAATTAATTTTCCCGGCGCGAAAACAATGAATGCCAACGGTTTGGCATTGTATTTTAGACGGGCCGGGCCGGGCCGGAAAAAACCCCAGGCCCGCGGCCCGGCCCGGCCCGTGACGGGCCCGGCCCGTTTGTAATTTTCCATTTTTGAGCCCGGCCGGCCCACTGACCACCCCTGCGGATCAATGATTCCCAATCGCCATCACTTTGTTTCCACGGACAGGTCATGACGTCAATGAACGAAAACATTAGTTCGATGAATCACGCAACGTTTATTCCGATAAAACATGCCTCCTGTAGTAAGTAAAATAAAAAATAATATCTACTTCTCCTTATCCTTTCCTTTCTCAGTAGGAGTAAATGGGAATGGCCATCCACCAATCTCAGGTCTGGTGTAATCATATACGTATATTGTGTCCGGAATGGTTATCTTCAGCTTGGAGGGGGCTGATTTCTCTGGTTTCTGCTCCCTGGACTTGTCGGAGGAACTTTTGGAACTGCTTCTTGAATCGGTGTCATCGACGAAATTGACCATAGATCTAACGGTGTTACTGAATACTAGCTGCTTGTTGAAAAAAATTGCATCCCGTTTCTTCATTTCCTCCAAATCACCGTAAGGCTTTAGGACCAGTCTAAAAATATTGTATGCATAAATTAGACATGTTTTTAAATGATAGAAATTTAATATAGACGCCTTCGTATTTCCGATTGCGCAATGCGGCCCACTCCCATACCCAATTTCCCAATTAGCAGGTACTCACTTTACAGAAGGCATATTATCCAATTTCACTTTTCCCTCATGCACTTGAACGATAACCTCGGCATTCATGGGTAGTTCGTCATCTGTCAGGTCCTCCTCGGTCATCTCCCGTTGTTGATCCCCCTTATTCTTTTGTTGCCAGAAAGGTCGCCCATCTGGTAGGAATATACTGGACTCAATGACGGCAGTATGAAGAGATTTGGATTTGGGAGACGCCCCCTTGCTCTTCTCTGGTGTCTTGTGCATCTCGATCGCAATTTCTCCGGATGTTGGTCGACGTTGTGGGAAACATTCATCGCCTTGTTTTAGGACTTTGTTTGGATCCTTTAGCGTAATTATAATTTAATGTATGCTTACCCGAGCTGCCTGTTGCCGTCGGGTAATCCTATCTAGCATTTTTTGCATTCCTTTTTCCTTCAACGGCGCGCTAACAAAGGTCTTGACAAGTCTGAATTTCTCTTTACTCTTTGTACGAACTTTCTTCCATGTCCTGTTCATACCTGGAAGAAAGAACACCTCTAGCCTCAATTTGAGGACTTACTTTGAGCCATCATGTCGAATGCAGTTTCGTCATCACTGCTTTTTCTTCTCTAGAATAATAAAATTTTTGGTAGGAGGATGAAAGTCGTGGCTCTTAATTTGTTGGACAACTCTCGACTAGGGTAAGAAGGGACTTACTCTAGATCTGGTGGTTTTATCGGCATCAATGGGTTTATCTGCGGCAGTTTTAGGCGTATCAATGCCGACGGACTTTTCCGGATTAGGTGCTGTTTTAGCTTTGGGATCAAGCGTGGGGCCAGAAATGCGACGACGTCGACTTTTCTTCATTGATTTCTCCATTGATTGTTGAGCTTCTTTGTAGGCCTAGAACTTGTTTTAATTAATATGAAAATCTCTCCTACTTCTTGTTTCTTGACAATACATCCTCCAGCTTTAACATGAGGACTCATAGATGTGTCTGAGTCCCCAGATTTCGCAGTATAGCCTTTTCCTCGTCTTTTGATCAGCGAGGAAACAGAAGTCTTTCTCCGTCTCTGGGTTCGATCGGCGTCATCGCTGCTCATTCCAGCCGACCGGTCGAGTGCGGTGCTGCCAAGATAAATGACAGGTAACTTCTTTTTTAGGATGGATATGAGTATTTTCTCAAATTGTGCTGATGAACGTTTGGTAAAGTTTCTCAAGCGCATTTTTTGGAGGATATAATAGTTTTCCTTCGGCCTCCCATGCCCAGCTATCCCTTTTTTGGGGGCTTTTGTCCTTATTCCATTCTAAGTTGCATAATCAAATTTATGTGGACAAAGACAGCAGACCAGGCGCCATTAAGGATTACCTCCCTCTTGAAAATGTGAGAGTGTTTGTGGAAGTGTAGTTAAAGTAAGTAATGAGAAGATTTTTTTGCCGCTGTGGGAACATTTTATGACACGCAAAGGTCTCTCCCTTGGGGTACTCTTGCAGCCAGAACTCATTTTGCTAATAGTAAGGTAAACAGAAGATATATTCTGTCTCCGGCTTCCTAAAATTATACTGGCACAGTCGATTCGGGTCCATCAAACAGGGTGACAATGTCAGCGGATGAGCGTCGGGATGTGGAAAAAGTCGACGAGCGGTAATTGTTTTATCGGATTAATGCTCGCATCTCTTGTTTTTAATGAATATTCTATCAGTTGTGGCCGCTCGCCTTTCGTTACCAAGGGATATACGTCCAAGTCTAGGTCATTTGGAAATGTCCATGTCGCTGCCGTACGAATTATCCAATTACCCTGGTGACTTATCCGGCCTAACGTTTTTGGTACCAGACAGACCTTCAGGGCATTTACGTTGTGGTTTGTTAGCTTTGAGATCCGTCTCTTTTACGCGACATTTTTTTAAGACTTAAGACATTTGGCATTAGAAATTATGCATTTTGTGGAATTGCTAGCGACTAACTGTAATGCGATTTTAGCGCCATTTGAGACATGAGCGCTTTTTTACCGAGAGATTATCACGAAGTATTTATGTGCGCGGCCTACGGGTTTATAGTTTTGAAATTTTGGCCATTTAGGGGGTTGTCGCGAAGATGCCTTCGGACCGTAGCAAAAAAAAAAGATATGGGCGCTAATCTGTGTTATTATCCCCTTCGGCCCTGTGTCCATAAGTCAAAGCACTCAAGAGAGTAGAAGACGGCTTCAAAACTTTGACGGCCTTTTTTCTATTATGAAAGTTCGAATTTGGGAAGTTTTGCGTGTCTTCGGCAGGCGATGATCATGTTGAATAGCTCTCGAGGCCACTTGTTATATCCCCTCCTTGTTTTCCTCCTGAGAGTCCTCTTACTGAAGTCTGAGACGCCGAACGAAGTGCGGGAACCTTCTTCTTCCCTCCCTTCACTCCTCAAAACTGGATCCGCTCGTTGGGATTCTTGCTCGGTGTTGCCATTGAGCCAACAGATTTTTTGCCATCTGAGACGACGACGCGGCCCATCCCAACTGTGTCTCGCATATTCTCTGTCAATCACACTAACTCTATTTCCTCTAGAAATATGCACGTCTCCTTCGTTCCGGAAATAAAAATGTAATGTAAAAATAACACTATTGTAGTGCTTTGTTTGTTGAATTGTTTATTTTTAACACTTGTGATGAAGAAATAATCTACTGGAGTTTCGTATAATTCTTGAAATTAGGTTGTTTCGGTTGTTTCCCTTGTTAATTTTAAAACAGAAAGTTTTTACGGAGAAGTCAAAGGCCTCAGTGTTATTAAAGGTTGTGTACTCGTTTAGGAACTTAATTCCTAACAATTAACGAGGAAATCTTTTATTGATCTTTCTACTTTTGCCAATCGATATCCCTCTAAGACTGTAGGTTCAGAAAACAGAGGAGTAACTCTTTTGCGCTCTTCAGAAGCCGATCATGGGTGGTTGTTTACAAAGAAGGAGATTATAGTATAAATTGAAGGTAAATAGTTTTATGGGCATTTCCAGCCGCATGCGCCCTCTTTTTTGTGTTTGTCATTACCGGTTTCGTATTCAGATAATGCCTTAGGTTAGAGACGTTTATTATGCAAGAAACTTCGCTCCTAAACCCCAATTTGTAACCGTTTTGAGACCAGAAGAACGAAAAACCGCTGTTTAAATTGTTTGCTTTTTGCGCAATGCACCTGGACGCTTAATTCCCCCTAAGGCACCGAATGTATAATTCCTTTAAGATTGAGAACAAACATGATATTGAGCCTTTCTTTCCTTTCTACGCCCTTTTGTTTGACTCACCGATCCCCCTCCTCTCTGTCGTTCTGGTACTGATAAGACAATATATTACTTCTTGTTTCAGAGTCTCGATTGAAAATGAAACCCAAGAAGAAGAGACAGACTTTGGCCAGGAATTTCTGAAGGAAGAGCACCAGTTCGAGCTTTCCCATTCACCCAGTCCCACTTCTTCGACCAACACCTGGTCGACAGCGGCGTCTGATCATTATACAGGGTCTTGGAATCGGACTGTCGCTATGGATGGGTTGACATTCCAATTGCAATCCGGGATTTACAAGCAGACTATTTGTTGGCCTAAGCCGGAAATTTCCCTAAAGGATCTTCGCAAAGAGGCCACGTCTTTTATTGCAAGCAAGGTAAACATTCTGTTTTTCCGTAATTATGACGTAAGGGACGTAATCGTTTTCCTATGATTGTTTCAATGTCCCATACTTTTTATCTTCGCCGATTTCATATCCACAAACTGTTTAGTACTCGGCTGCAGACACTCCAGCTTCTATTTTGGACCATCTCTTACTCTATCGGCATGATCTCCGTTCCATAAATATCCTTCAATTGTTGACCTCTACGGACGAAATCACCGAAGGAACTCTGATTGAGGCCGTGATCAGTGGTAAGTAGTACTCGAAAAATAACCAGAAACGGGAAGACAGATATTAAAAAGAGTGAATCCAGGAAATTGGGAATCGTGGCGGCTTTTTGGCGTCGGGGCCACGAGCTGGGCCTTCCTCTCACCTAGTAGGCCACCGGCGCAAAGAAAAAGAGACTCTTTGCCGTCCCTCGCACAAAAACACTTTTACACTACTCATTCACACTCAAATATTCTCACACTTTCGCCTTTTAATCTTTAAATGTATTAAATAGTTTTATTGTCATGCGAAGAGGTAAGTTCGTTTTCGGAGTGACCCGACCAAGAATTCCCTTAATTGACTTTTTACCGGAGCTCTAATTAAGGCTTGTAAATTACAAAAAATGCAATACTAATAATTATATTTAACTATAGCCTGTCCTCAACATGAACGTCTTGTTGTTCATCCCCATACTCTCTTCGTCCACAGCTACAAAACTCCGACTTTTTGTGATTTCTGTGGAGAACTTTTGTTTGGATTGGTCAAGCAGGGCCTCAAATGTCAAGGTAATTTTGGATTCTCCAAAAATTTATTGATTTAAATTCGTTTTCTGTGCAACATAAAATTGCTGACAAAAGTATAAAAAATTCCTTTATTTTTTTAAAGGGTGTGGCCTCAATTATCACAAGCGATGTGCATCCAAAATACCAAATAATTGTAATGGAAGCCGACAACGAAGACCTTCGGCGATTCCGTTGTCTCCGAGGAATTCTGTTGGACTCCAGCAACCGGTAACCATTCTGAAGACATGCCATGAGTCATCGTATACATTCACCTAAAATAACATATATTTTATAGCAAGGCGTTCTTCTCTCAACACTCTCCCAATATCAGCTCACTGAATCAACCAGCAATGACTTGGCAACATCTTCTGTTCGTTCTATGGCCAGCAATTCGACCTCCATGGTCGGTTTGGCCGCTCCTGACATTTTAGTGACGGCCGATCAGAGTGAAGATGGTGATCCCATAGGGGGAAATGTAAGATTACACTTTTTAAAATTATAAGCTATTTCTTAAAACATTCATTTTTTGCGTTTAGTTCCTTCAAATGCCAAGAAAAGATCGAAGTAGTTCGTGGAGCGGGAGACCACTGTGGATGGAAATAGCTGAAGCTACACGAGTTAAAGTACCACACACGTTCCAAGTCCATAGTTACAAAAAGCCGACAGTCTGTCAGTATTGTAAGAGACTACTCAGGGGTCTTATGCGTCAAGGAATCCAATGTAAAGGTAAGCATGTTTTTATAAAAAGGTACTTCTATGCGAAAAGTACTTCATACTTCGGCATTTCTTAACTGGGTTATTCTTATAGATTGTAAATACAACTGTCACAAAAAATGTGCTGAGTTTGTCCCGAAAGATTGCCCAGGGAATACTCAATCGATCACCCAGGCATCGCTGATGGGACGGACATCAGATGAAGGTAGGTTGAGATATACGTATGTACACTTGATTTGTGAAGTATATGATGATGATACCATCTCTGAGTTTGATGAGTTTGATAATGTACAAGTTTGTGATGGGTATGGTTCTGGTATGTTGAGTTTTGTTCTGGCTTCAGTTTTTTACTTTCCGATTATTTGATTATTTTTTGTTGAGCCTTTTGATGATCAATACGAATCAATATTGTTATTGGTTTTAGCCCTAAATGAGAATCGTCAAGATGTTCCCACATCTCCGCGATCTCATAAAAGAACTCAAGCAACACCGAGTGCACCATTACAACAGACCGAGAGGAATAATAACTCAGTAGACTCGACTCCCACAGAGGCCGACGACCCCACGGCTGAATCACAGAATATTCCTCTGATGAGGATTGTAATGTCCAAAAAACAAACAAAGCGTCATCAAAACAGAATAATCAAGGAAGGTTGGATGGTGCATTACACGGATAAACAAAACATGGTAAAAAAGTTGCATCCAGCATGACATGACCTTTATTTTAGCGTAAAAAGCATTACTGGCGTCTGGACACGAAATGCATTACTATGTACAAAGACGCCGAATCAAAGGGCTACTATAAAGAGCTGCCTTTGTCCGAGATCCTTGAAGTCAACATGGTCCCCCACGACCCGCTGAAGCGAGAGCCGACGCATTACCTCGAAATACGAACCCAAGTCTCCAAGTATTTTATCGGTGAGTGGGGGTTTCTCTGATGTGTGTGGGGGAAGATGAGCAGGTTTAAAAAGGCGTGTGAGAGCAAAAAACCGCCAAGAGACCGGTTTTCCGGGGATTTAGCAAGTAAATGCACCGTAGAGCGCTGATCAAACTTTTTTATATATCCATTCGAGAGTCGGGGCTATTTTTGGCACGGTCCTGAAGTCTGGGGTTGCTTTTTCAATCGAAAAAATGAAAATCAACCGGCGCTTTTGCTCTCATGCATTTTGTGACCTCGGAGTGAATAGTTATATTATGAGTTTACAATATAATAGTTCAATACTTCCCCGTACAATTCCTGCCTGCCGCGAGCTGGTGTTTTTTGTTTCTCTTTGAATTTGGGGTTTTAATGTACCACAAGCCATAAAACGGCTTTTCATGATGGGCAGGGACAAGTCGGATCACCTTCGGGATCTGAAGGAATGGCTGATTACGTCACAGGCTCTCAAAATTATTCCCGTTCCTTTCCTTCGCACAACATTCCCCCCTTCGGTCGCGAGCTCGTTTTCTGCGCTTCGTGTTATTGTCTCGACTAACGCTCCTTCATGACTCAAGGCTATTCACGCTGGACCGGGTGCAATTACACGAGCGCCTATCAACGAGGGCCAGTCGCCGAAGACGAGTCCGTTTCGAGCTGAGCTCCAAGTCTGGCAATTTGCAGACTCTCAGCATGCTGGTGGACAAGTATACCTACACCGAGGATCTGCCCTTAATCCCCTTCTCGGTGCATCGACGGTGTTGTCTGAATGCCCTGCAGAAGCTCTCTTTAGGCCCTAAAAACTCCTTAAAATTACTCTCTGAAAAACGGAAATGTAGGAAGATTGCTTTGAAGTTACATGATGAACTGCTCTTACGTCATCATATAATTGTTTTTTTAGCCGGTGCTCCAAATGATTCGGCCAAGCCCCAATCGAGTGAGAAGTCATCGGAAGTGATGACCGGCTGGGCGCAGGCGATCAAACAAGCCTTAATGCCCGTAACTCCACAGTCCAGTACACTTACCCGACGAGAGAGTACGCAGAGTAACATGGTCCAGTTGAAGGTCCCGGTTCCTGGAGAAACAGGTCATTTGGGAGTGCAGATCCAAAGCGAATATGAATTTTCTCAGCTTTATCAGATATTTGCTGACGAGATGCTGGGATCCGGGCAATTCGGAATTGTCTATGGGGGTATGTTTTTAGATGCATTTTTTGCGATTCATGTGCTTAATTCTTTCTAAATGCGTATTTTCAGGCATCCATCGGAAAACGGGGAAGCACGTTGCAGTTAAACTTATCGATAAATTAAAATTCCCCAGCAACAAAGAAGCTGCACTCAGGACTGAGGTCGAAATTTTACAAGTAAGCATCTTAGGATTGTAATCGTAAGCTTAATCTGCAGAAAGTTAAGCATCCTGGGGTTGTGGAATTCCAACAAATGCTGGAAACTCAAGACAGAATATTCGTGGTGATGGAGAAATTAAAAGGAGATATGTTGGAGATGATACTGAGCAGTGAGAAGGGCAGGCTTTCCGAAAGAATTACACAGTTTTTAGTTCATCAGGTATGGAATTAGTCGTTAAATTTATATCTCATCAATTCGACCTCCCAATTTCAGATCTTAGTTGCACTCCGATATTTGCACAACCAGAATATTGTACATTGTGATCTGAAGCCGGAAAATATTTTGCTGACTTCTGATTCCGACTTCACTCAAGTCAAACTTTGTGACTTTGGGTTTGCCAGAATTATTGGGGAACGGAGCTTCAGAAGATCGGTTGTGGGCACCCCTGCCTATCTCGGTACGCTTAATCCTTTAAAATATCAGAGTTTGGGATTGTTTTATTAAAAAATCATTATTTTTAGCACCAGAGGTATTGCGCAACAAAGGATTTAACAGATCTTTGGACATGTGGTCGGTCGGTGTCATTGTTTATGTCAGGTATACAATCATAATTTTTTGTTTCAATTATTTTTAGTCTTTCTGGAACTTTCCCTTTCAACGAAGACGAAGATATAAACGACCAAATTCAAAATGCAGAGTTCATGTACCCACCTAATCCCTGGAATGAGATCTCAGCAAATGGTATGTCCAAAGTTCAAATATTGATGACATAATACATGTTTTCAGCGATAGAATTTATCAACAGTTTACTACAAGTAAAGATGAGTAAACGTCTGACAGTATCGAAAGCACTCAGCCACATTTGGCTTCAAGGATATCAACTCTGGTCGGATCTCCGATGTCTCGAAAGGGAGGTCGGGGAACGATTCCTCACCCACGAATCTGATGACCAGAGGTTTCAAGATTACGAACGACAACAGAACATAACCCCGGTGTATCTATGATCTTCTAATTATGTTTCGCGCAACATATCATTTGTCACCGGCACATCATTTCGAAGGATTATATCATCTGTTATGTAAAATACGGTGGTCTCATCAACATAGATTAGAATTCAAAATAAACTCGAAGAGAATTAAGATGTCGTTTTCTTACCAATCTATAAGTAAGCGATAAGTATTATAGAACTGAATGTTCTGTCGTCCGTTGCGCAACGCTGAGCACAGCCTACGTCTGTATGTATAACAAAAATAATCCCATTTCGAATGCATCGTTTTCACCCTTAATAACAACAATAAAACCAAACAGAATCTTTGAATCATCGGAGCCTCCGGGCAAAAAGGAAATGTGAATCAAAACTTAAAAGAAAAAGACGCCGTTCGGGGATTTTTACACAAATTTTTTTTCGTTTCTCTCGTTCTATCAGTGATACGACTTTCACTGATCTCTTTCGCCCTCAGGCTATCCGCCCCCGACACTGCCTAACAGCAGGATTTTCGAGGCCATATGGCCTTCTTTTTGAATGAAGTATTGTGATTCTCTCAAAACTCGTCTTAGATGACTGTTAAATTAGCATAGTAAAATCGTGTTTTTTTGAATAAAGTGCCGGGTTTATTGTTTTGCTTTAGCTATTGTGTATCACTGTTTGCGCACGTCTCATATGACTCCTCGTCCATTAAAGGCAACCCAAGAAAATTTTCTAGATTTTCAGATGGCCCAATACGTGCCTTGGTATCTGAAACGGTCACCACCGGTCTTTTGCTGGCCTTGTTTGCCAGTCTACACTGGCATATGGCCTGGCCGAAAATGTGTTCTGATAATCGGAGGGTGTTTGTTTGCCATCGGTATTATGATCTTGTTATGCCTACTTCTCCTTTGTATTGCAATTGAATGTGCGGCTGTGTAAGTTTACTCAGGTTCTTCATTACGCAGAACTTTAACTCAACTTGATTTTTGTATACAAGGTGTCTCAAGACATTCCGCCGAAAGTTTTTTTCGATTTCTTAACGCTCATCCAAGATATCCAAAAAAAATCTTTTTGCAGTAGAAGAAAAAAGATGGGCGGTTTTTTGCCTAAAAAAAGATTTTTCTCCGCCGACACGGAAAGTACTGTATTCGGCGGAGACTTTCAGTCGTTTTTTGGTCATCACACCAATCTTAAACGCTTTATTATGATGCTGAAACAAATTTCAAAATTCTTGCACGGTGCATCAGAAGGCCGGCGACAGCGTTTAGCGACAGTCGTTACAACTCCGATAAAGTCCGAGCGCACGGTACGGGAATTTGAAAAAGAAGGGCAAAGAGAAATTTGAACGAAGAATACATATTCTGTCGTTTTTTGGTGCATCAAGTGGTTCGCCGATAGTTGAACTTCTGCCAAGGCTTTATTGGAGGGTATACGATACCAGCAGAAAATGCTGGCCAAACCATGAAAATTGTGTTGGTCCATTTCTTGCCCGCAGTCTTTTCAACCACCAGAAATCACAATAAAGAGTGTAAGATTTGTGTGATGACCAAAAAAGCGATTAAAAGTCTTCGCCGAATACACTACTTTCCGCGGCGTCGCGACACTTGCGGGCAACCACTTTGCGGGCAACCGACACTTGCGGGCAGCCGACATTTGCGGGCAACCGGCACCTGAGGGTAACAGGGTGGAGGTGGAAATATTACTGCGATATTTTGGAAATTTGCCGACATTTGCGGGCAGCCGACACTTGCGGGCAGCCGACATTTGCGGGCAACAGGAAAAAACAATCACACAGACTGTATTGGTACTTTTGGAACTGTTGCCCGCAAATGTCGGCTTCCCGCAAGTATTGCCTGCCCGCAAATGTCGGAAAACTTCAAAAATATCGAAGAAATTTTTTCACCTCTACCTTGTTATCATCAAGTGCAGGTCGCCCGCAAATGTCGGCTGCCCGCAAATGTCGGCAAATTTCCAAAATATCATAGTAATTTTTCCACGTCCACCCTGTTACCTCTACAATCAGGTGTTGGTTGCCCGCAAATCTTCCAGGCTGCCCGCAACTGTCGACCCTGCCCGCAAATGTCCCAGGCTGCCCGCAAATGCCGGTGCTGGCCGCAAATGTCGGCTGCCCGCAAAGTGGCTGCCCGCAAAAAATTTGCCCGCAAACTGGTTGCCCGCAAAGTGGTTGCCCGCAAAGTGGTTGCCCGCAAGTGTGCGCCCGCCCTTTCCGCGTCGGCGGAGAAAAAAATTTTCAGTCAAAAACCGTCCACCTTCTTTCTACTTCAAATAAAATTTTTTTGGATATCTTTGCTCAGCGCCAAGAAGTCGACAAAAACTTTCCGCTGAATTTCTTGAGACAACTTGTATAATTGCGCCTTCAGATCGGCTGGGCTTCTTCCGTTGGCTATCATCCTGATCTTGGTCGGTATCCTTTTGTTCCACTGTGGCTGGGCAGCCAATCTTTTGGACTATGGCGGAAAAGTCCCCACTGAGTAAGATTGGATCATATTCGAAAAGGGTATATAAATAAATTAATTCATTTTGTTTTAAGTGAAATTTATCATAAGAGGACGACTCGTGGTGTAAGTGAGGCGGATGATGATGGTGAAGACGATGAAGAATTGGTTGGTGTGGAGAAATTGGAACCTCAACAGCCTCAGCAACCAATCAGACAAGGATTCTGGCAGTTCGAACAGACCGATTCTTGGCAAAACGTCACGAACCCTTATCCTATCCAGTAAGCAATCAAGCTATTTTTAATTCTTATATTATAACTTTAAATTTACCTTTAGATTTTTACTTTTTTTCTTTAGGCACACATTGAAACCCGTTCTCGATCGTGAGCCCTACGTTTAAACGTTTTCCTCCCAGCTCTTGTTGTTACACTGCCATTTCTCGTAAAAAGTTTTAAGTTCGCAATTCACATCTATTGTAAATACCTTTGGTGACTATGAATTTTTACCTTTTTGTAGGAACAGTGCCATACAAGCTTCATACACTCTCAGTTAGAGTGCAAATGGATAATAATCAAAAAATATCGAAAAAATTTGGATATGAAATTAAAATCTACCTATTTTCTTAAAACAACGTCGGAACCCGAAACTTTTTAACGATAAATGGTTTACATTTAGTTGCGGAAAAATCAATTGTGACATTTCGTACTTTCTAAGGGTCCATTTTTTCGGGATAAATTTATTGCTAACAAGCAGGGGTGGTCAGTGGGCCGGCCCGGCCCAAACGGGCCGGCCGGGCTCAAAAATGGAAAATTACAAACGGGCCGGGCCCGTCACGGGCCGGGCCGGGCCGCGGGCCTGGGGTTTTTTCCGGCCCGGCCCGGCCCGTCTAAATTACAATGCCAAACCGTTGGCATTCATTGTTTTCGCGCCGGGAAAATTAATTGATGTTGTTATAGTTGCTGTTTCTCAAGTTCTAAAACGTTTACAAGTTTATAGTTCCATTATAGAACCACAAAACTATCACATTGATCCTTTACTAGCTAGATCAATGCCTTTTTTGCCTCGGTTTAGATCCCGAGCCTGGGCGCAGTTCGCAGAGCCCTCTATAGACGGGCCTGCACGGGCCGGGCCGGGCCTGGAAAAAGACTAGACGGGCCGGGCCGGTAATTAGACGGGCCGGGCCGCGGGCCGAAAATCGGAAAAATAGGGTCCGCTGACCACCCCTGCTAACAAGGGATCGGCATTTACGTGCCACCAGGTTTATTAACGGAAACTATATAATTTGACAGGTCATTAAAAATAGTCACATCGCAAAGATATTAGCTGCCGAATTTGCCTTCGGGCAAAGTTATGGCCAAAATGTCTTTGTGTCCGCTTGGCCAAGTGGTAGTGACTCCACGTCCGGCGCAGCAGGTTCCGGGTTCGAACGCCGGCCCGTCTTTTTTACCTTTCTGCTCTTATATGCCGTAAAACCAAAGTATATTCTCACAAATTACCATTTTATGGTAATTTGTGTTCCTTTCGGCCGAAATCCATATTTTTGAAGCTTTTGGTCTTTTTTGAAACAACCATAAATTTGATGTTAATGAGATGTAAGGATGCCATTGTCATATAATAAAATGGTTTTCGCGAAGTCTTGACCGACTGGCCGAGAATTTAAAATTAATCGCATGTGACCCCTTTTAAAGGGGTCACATCTAAGCCCTAAGGAAAATTAGGCAGCTAATTGTTTGCATTGTAAACGATTTTTAATGCTTCAAATGATATAGGTTTCATTACCTGGTGGCAAGTACTTCAGGGTTCAGAAAATTGGGAATTTCACCTACGAAGAATAGAGGCGACCCATAGTATCGTTGACCGGAAAAGTCGTAGCGCCAAATCATCTTTTATCTTTTCTGGGGACAGAGGCACTTTTCTAAAACGTTCTTTTCTGGGCAAAAAATTTAATTTCCCTAAATTTACAATAAATCGATTGTCAAAGGATGTAAATCTTAGCTTAAACCCTGTTCTTGCTGTTTTTCATTACGACTTAAAATCTGAATATAATAAAATATGCAGAAACAGCGAAGAATTTGCCATCTCTAAAGTAGAAGGAAGAGGGGAGCGGGCAAAGGGAATGGAGTGTGTTTGAAAGCAGCAGGGCGAGCCGGCGTGGGGAGCGGGGTGTGGAGGGGAGAGAAAGAACGCATCGCTCACTTTCAGGGCTGCCTCCACCCCCCTTCCTCGCTTTCCGCCGCCATTCGTGTGATTGGTCCCACTGCTTCGACCCTTCAACCAATCGTCTTGTTGTTCTCGTAATCTTCAGCGAATTGTCTAGGGTCGAGAACGGAACGCCTGGCCCGGCAACTTATCCAATAATGTAGGTTTATAACTCCTAATCTCCTCCCCCTGGGCGTGTACTTGAATTTCATTGGTATTGTTTGTTTTGTGGTCGGACGTGAAGAGTGGCTAGTAGTCCACGAATGACCGCTCTGTCTTTTCCAGGAATGCCCACTATGAAAGTGCCCATCCTTCTACTTCCTCCACAATGACAACAGGAAGGTTTGTTGCAGTTTCTTCAGATGAGCCGAAAGCAAAGAAAATGAAACAGGAGAGCATGGTACAGCAATATCATTCTTTGATCACTGTTCCCGACACTTGTATGGATAATCAACCTCAATTCGTGTTCGCCATGTCAAGCCCGGATCAACAATATCAGGTTTTTATTTATTTTAACGTTTTTTCGATTTAGTTAATCTATTAACGTTTCGTGAAAAAGCTGTTGTAAGTGCTCCATATAATTTGAGCGGTACAACTAATCAATTAAATACTGTCAGTGGCTTTAAGTTATCTGAACCTAACTCTAAAGGTTTTTTGACAACTGTTTTTAGCAAGTGCAACTCATAGAGCTTCCCGAGGGCTGTCACTTGCCCGGAATGGATGGAATGGCACCATTTACTGGTCATGATAAGATGCAAGTGGTAGTTCCTCACGAGAATCAACCCTTCAGGCTGGTCTTCACTAACGGTAGTTCTTTTCCAACCGTTACGACGTCTCCTGTAGTATCTAATGTTGAGAAGAAGGAAGACGACAGCCCGATTTGTGTAAATCCTAAGCAATATCACAGGATTATGAAACGACGAGCAATCAGAGCCAAGTTGGAGATGGAAGGGAGGATACCGAAAGAGCGAAGGGTAAGTTTAAATTTTTTTATTAGTACTGGGATATAAGTATAAGCGAATATAAAAATTTTTTGCAGAAATATCTACACGAATCTCGCCATAATCACGCTGTGAAAAGGGTCCGAGGGGAAGGCGGAAAGTTCAATAGCGGTAATAATGGCGGCAAAAGGCCCGATTCAAATGCGAGCTCAGGGAATGAAAGTACAACCTCACCAAAAAAATCTCAAATCAATGATCTCGGTTCTAATGGTAACCACTAAACCTCATGAAACATAGTTTTGTTATAATTTATTAGAGAAATAATTAAAGAAGTGAACGTTTAGAATCTGGACTTGAATAACAAGGCAACTGTAGTTACATATCTGACTGTGCGATTTCCTGAGGCCGCGATACATTTTGAATGTTCTTAACGGTCGAATGGGCTGAAAGCGAAGTTAGAGTCTCGTTGATGTTTCCCAGAACGGTGCAGAGTTTCTCTACTTTTTGTGACAGAAGGTTTAGGTGGTTGTGCTGACTTTGCTGAATGACGAACGCGTGAATTTGGTCGATTAATCGATGTTGACCATCAAGGATTTGTTGCTGATTCTGAAAATTTTAGAAACTGGTATTTTTTCCTTGGGATTCATGGCTGCATAATTGCGAAACAGAACGGGCGTACAACCTAGATAATCACATACTATAGACGGGGCCTTGTTTACCTCAACGATCTCCTTTTTCCACTTGTCTTCAATGTTGAACAGGCCATTCAGTTTCCGTTTTTTGACAGCCATGATTCGATTGACTTCAGTTTCGTCTGGGACTGCCGTTCGTTTAATAGTATCTCTCTCTTCTTTCTCTGGACTCTCCACTTTACCGTGTGAACTGTTCTGGATAGGGTTAACCGGATTCATCTTACATTCCTTCGTCAGTTGCCCCAAGGCGAAGATTAGATGCCTGGGATCGAGAATATTAGTCTGAGGACTTCTTGGAGGATTCTCTGGTAGGGTTGAAGGGGCAGTCGTTGTTGTGTTGGAATCAGAATCGGAATTGGATCCTTGTTCGCAAGCATTCTCAAGGTTATGTGAAGTTTCTAAAGTGATTCCGAATTGCTCCAACATCTGCTCGACCTTCACATTTGATGATAGATCAGTGGAACTACTTCTTGTCAACGAGTCGTACGCGTCCATGTTGAATCCATTACAAGTCAGTCGTTCTTGTTCAAAAAGTCTGAGATATTCGAATTCAGCAACTCCGAGATTACTGTAATTAGTGAAATATGACATAAACTATTTTTCAACATGTTAACCTACCGTTTCCCGGTTTGAATCTTTTGTCGTGAAGTGCATTGAACATTCTGGATCTTCTTCTTATATTGTTCCACAGAGAAGTTCGTATCATAAGCCGCGTTTAATTCCTCCGCAATTCCTTGCCAGATTTGAGAACGCAATCGGCGACCGTCGGCATCTTGCGTATTCCTTGCAATCTCGGGATAGTTGTTGTAATATAGCTGAATAAGCCTCAACGTCTGATCCCCGCGCATAATTGTACCCATGCTTGGCTACCTTAGATGTATTAAAGTAAGAAAATTAATCAGATATATATCGAATAATACAATAACATTTCGGAAATCATAAAAAATGTTTGAAAGTTTCTTAGCAAATTACGGTAACCCAAGGAAGGGATATACTGCAAAGACGGGCCATAAATGTTATTATTGTTGGGTTGAGGGAAGAGGGAATTCCTTTGGAAGACAAACTACAGTACTGGCCCCGAAGCGGGAAGAAAGCGCTACAACAAAAGCAAATAACAAGAGCTGAAAATGGACATCTCCGGACGTCCAGAAGTCCGCGGCTGGATCTGGTTTGCGATCCAGAAGTCAGTGAAACTGGAACGAGGTCGGGCTGTCTTCTGTGTACCGCGACTTCATTCATCCGGGATTAAGCCGAGTGACTAGGTGGGATGAACGTCAATGAGTTAGTACTTAACCGGTGGGAGGAGGTAATCGCAAAAAGCCCCGAAGTACTTGTCGCGATGATTTGAACAAGTGCATCGACTTCTCACTATTAACTGGACATGATCAGAGGGGGATGAAGTGATCCCTCCGCTTATAAAACCCTCCGCAAAACAAGCCCCTGAACCTCCTCGAAACCGCGGTCTACAACGCACCTAAAGGGCCTTGGTAATTGTTACTATTGCGCAACCTAAGCGCAATTGTTTACTAAAGTTTTGGTTCTTTTATTCTGTTCCTTCTTCTAATTACCCGCATGAAAGGGAGAAGAATGTAATAATATGAAGAGCTCACAATTAAGCACGAGCCCATCCCTCGCCTCTGGACTCAGCAACAATGCCAAGTTGAGAAGGCCGAAAGTTAGAAGGCCGAAAGAAGAACGGCCTCAGGGGACTGGTTGTCGATCCCCGACAGTAATAAAGCGCTGCTAGCGACCGGGGCCAAGTTGGTGGCCGACGTTAGAAAGGCTAGTTGGAGGCTCAAGTGTCAATGTCTTCCGGCTTCTTCTCCCGCAAAGAAGAAGACAAAAGACGAGAAGCAAGGAGAGGGCAAGGATCTATATATCTCGCCAAATCTCCAAGGCCCCATAAGCGGGGCTTGTCCATGATAAAACACTGCTCTTGAAGGCGTCACGTACCCGAAAAGCGCCACTTCCAAGCATGAGTGCCTAGTGGCTTCAAACACTTTCCGGAACGGAGTCAGAAGCATCCCTAACCTGTAATTTGGCTCTACCTGCTTAGACGACTCCATTCGCCCACTTCTTCCTTACATAAGCGAGACCTAATTGCCTGGATTCCCTCTATTTACCTTATTCATGCACAAGATCGGGCTGGTCAATGTCTTCGTCTTCCCTTTGATAGTCGAAAAACTGTTTTCTTTCCCTCCCGACCCTTTAACACACCGCTTGGGGCCATTAAGATCCTGATTTTGTCTCTCTATTGCGTTCAAGACCTACAAAGCGATCGACTTAAAATGCAAATTGTATGCGTTTATGGCAACGACCTTTCTTCATCACAGCCTTCTCAAAACCAATTCTCTAAGGCGAACTGATAGCCAATCCCAAGGAGGCGCTGTGGAGCTAGGGAATGACAGAGCAACCCAAATTGTGGATCTTCAACTTATCCCAATCTATGCAATTCCTTATCACATTATACAGGGTCGGCCACTTGAAGCTTAGCCGTATCTTTTCCAGTTTCGAGAGGAAAAACATTTTTTTGTGGAAACATTACCCTCTACTACAGGGTGCCAAGAATTATGGAAAAAACTATTCGTCAATAACTTTGTGCTGTTATTGACGAATTATGGTGGTCCAATCCGAAATTTTTTTTTGCGTTTTGCAGAAAAACCTTGGAGTTTTTTGAATCAAATTTTTTTTTCTTTTATCGGCGGAGACTTCCGTAATCCGCTTTGAATTCGGCGGAGTGTTTTTTCCCAAGTGGAGCTGTAAAAATGGGTTCATTGTTTTCTCCGCCGAATTGCCTTTTTTTCTTCTACCACTGGGCCGAAGACGTAATAAGTCGTATTTAGGCGCCATGCCACAATACGTTTTGGTTTTAGCCAATTTTGACTCTCTCCAAAGTCGAAGAAAAATCGTCCGCCGAGGTTAAAAAATGTCTCCGCCGAATCACAAAAATTTGAAATAAAATCATATTGTATCTTCTGAATCCTTCCCCGCCCATTTTCTTTACATTTACAGCCTCAATTGTGAAAAAAAACACCCCGCCGAATTCAAGGCGGATTACGGAAGTCTCCGCCGATAAAGGAAAAACTTTTCTTTTTGATTCTAAAAACTGTTTTTCTGCAAAATGCAAAAAAAACATTTTCGAATTGGACCACAGAGTACAAAGTTACTAATGAATAGTTTTTTCCATAATTCTTGGAACACCCTGTATAAAAAAGGCATAAACCTTTTCATGCCAAAAATTAAAACAGTGACTTATTTTTTCCAACATTCGGCTAAAGTCTTCTGTAAAGCGCGTGCTGGGCGTCTCGGATGTCTTGAAAAATTAATATTAATATAGTACCGTTTAAATATGAGCGCCGCTCTTGTGGCGCCTCATTCGTAAAAAAAACCCTAAGATCGCGTCCCACGACGCTACAGGAAATCTGAAAAAATGCCATTTTCGTAATAAGGATGGTTAGTTCCACACTGAGATGATTAGAAAGTGTCAAAGCTCCAAGGTTTTTTTTGTATTTTTATAACACTGTAAAGGGAAAACAAATAAAAACAACAATTTAGATAGGGTTGTTAACCCACTCGGCGAGTGGACCATGTTCTCGAATGAACTTGCAGTGAACACCATCTGGTACAACACGTCCTTCCTTTCTGTATTGTTCGTAATCTTCACGGTCAAACTTGGTGAATCCCCACTTCCTTGAGACAACAACGTATTGACGTCCAGGGAACTTGAACTTAGCACGACGGAAAGCTTCAAGTGCATGCTCAACTTGATGATCACGGATTCTGACGGACAACAGGATATCTCCAATACCAACACGGGCGACAAGCCCTTGCGGTTTACCGAAGGCACCCCTCATTCCAGTTTGCAGACGATCAGCACCAGCACATGATAACATCTTATTGATACGGACGACGTGGTAGGGATGTTTGCGCACACGCATGTGGAAACCTTCCTTACCGCAGGTCTTTATCATGTACTTGTTGGCACAGATACGAGCGGCTTCCAAAGCCTAAAAAAAGACAGATTAGATACGTCCACGGCGCTTATTTCTCACAACTCAGTTTCACTCGAACCTAAACCCTCCAAAAAAAGCAAAATACTTCGCAAACTTACTTCGGACGACAAGTGCTCTCTTTCGTTGGAGATCAGATGAACGCAGCTAGGGAACTCATCGACGGTGGCCTTCTTCCGGCCCAAATCGAAGATCCTGATCTTGGCATCTGGAACACCACGACAGAACCTCGACTTGGGGTACGGTTTATTCTTGATGTAACGGTAACAACGAGCGGGACGACGTCCCATGTTGACCCTGCAACGACAAAATTAACATCTTACACAATAAAAATTGCATCGGTAAACGCGAGACATTATGAAAAACATAAAAAATCAATTCAGCCACCCAGAACGTGAAGAAAACTTATTTATAAACGAACGACAAATATCTAGGCTCATTGGAGAGCTACCTACCGTAGGCTTTAAACATAATGCCAATTTAATCTTTCGTTGTGAGACGTAGCGCAACATACATTGTCACAGACGAGTCAAATTGTACAACGATAATCTTCAAACCCAAAACTCGATTACTTTATTTATACATTAATTTATTCAAAACGTACTTAAAAATTATTAAGAAAGTTGAGATCATTGAGTGGAAATTTCATACCCATAGATACCTGGTATTCCAGACGGTACACGGCGTTTATAATCCCGATATCTTTTACCAAAAAATTCTAAAAGATATCGTTCTTCTTCGTATATTCGATCGTCGAAGAACCGATAAGAAACATACGCATAGGCCATAAGACAGAAAGGATTACAAAGAATAATTTGAGTTCCAATAGACCACAAAAACCAGCCAAGGTAACCAGGATGACGGACGACACTGTAGATTCCATTCGTTATCAGATTATGGCCCTTGTTTCTTCGTATGGCAATCAGATGAGTGAATGCGGTACTCGCATGCCACATGGCCAATTTTCTTATCACTTCACCGGTCAGACAAATTAAAACACCTAAAATATGTCCATTTTTCTTGTGATAAGCAATAGATCAGGAAGTTTAGAGCGCAAAAAACTACTTACCAAATAAACTAACGTAGTTCACTAAGAGTTGAGGTACAAACAATGATTCAAGTCCAAACTCTAGCCAAGACGTGATCGCTGCAACCCAATACTCCAACGAATGATTCCAAAGGAAACTGTCAACCTTCAGATTCTCGTTGTTCGTCAAAGCAGTAAACACGAATTCGGAAAAATGGAACAAGGTTAGCATCAAGGTGTACCTTGTGAAGAAAACCATCGTGTAGCTTGTTCCAAAAAGTTGCACGCAAATACTGTACCCAGCCAGAAGACCACAGATGAATGCCTGTCCAGAATACTGAATGTAATGTGCATCGGTAACAAAATAGGACATCACTGCGGTTACGAGGATAACTGCCAATGTGAAAATCCATGAGTTTAGTCGTTCCAAAAATAGTAGTGATAGGAAAATGGGCAGGAATGCCAAAACGGCCGCTCGAAGACGCCTGTCATGAACAATATGTGCCCAGGGCCCAACCCTGGCCATCCCTGAAATCCATGTAATTGTAAAGCATAAGACATATTTTCAGGAAGATCTCGTAAAACAGCGAATGGGCGGTCTTCCTGCTAATGGAGAAAAGGGAAAATCCGGTTTCTTGAGGTGAGCGACACAAAAGAGGTCGACCTTTTTCACTGTTCCAATAGACGTCAGTCTCATAAAAAAATAACTTTAAAGCATTTTATGTAGTATTTTGCACAAAAAAACTGGCAAAATCAAATATTTTTTCAAAAGTTCTTTCTTTGTTTCGAAAAAAATTTTTGGCCAAAAGTTTTTGTAAAGACTTGACGCAGGGCGAAACTTGACACCGATAACATTTTTATTTTTATTTTGTTTGTACGTGAGCTTTTATGTAATGATATCATGACTCTGACAGATACTTTGTAAGTCATTATAAGACTCTCTATTTTTTTTAGCTCCGATTCGATGGACGACCACCTTCGAAAATGTCACTTGTCAGTTGAAGGGATGACATGTTCCTCATGTGTAGCACACATAGAGAAGGTTGTGAGCGGCAAAAAAGGTAAGTAGAGTTGGCTTTTGATCATCTTTGATTTAGGCATTCATTCTATCACGGTTTCGTTGATGTTTCTGTCGGCAGATGTTGTTTATGATTGCCGGGAAACGAATGCCGACGAAATTGCTGAAGTAATCGACGATCTTGGATACGAATGCCATGTAATTGACGAGGCTGTGTCATCTAATCACAAACAAAATTTCTTGGTGGGCATTTTGCTGCATTCTATATTGAATGTTGTTTAGATAACAGGAATGACCTGCGGGTCATGTGTAAAACGCGTCGAATCTCACTTATTGTCCATGAAAGGAGTCGAAAATTGTTCCGTTTCACTTACTACCGGGATTGCCCAAGTCGAATACTCTGGTTCAATCATTGGACCTCGGGATATAATTGACCGAATTGAGGTGTCGACTTATTTTGGATATTAATATAGTTTTAGAGTCTGAATTACAAAGCGAGCATCGCTTCAAGCGAGGATAGGTTGGAGAAACTTAGTCAAAAAGCCGAGATATTAAAGTGGAAGACGTCTTTTTTGGTCTCATTGATTTTTGGAATACCAGTTATGATGGTAATGATATATTTTCATTGGATTATTCAAGCTCCTATGCATCCAGAGAGGCAAGTCCATGTGCTTGTGCGGGCTCTGTCTTTGGATAACCTTGTATTGTTACTACTTTCTACTCCTGTACAGGCAAGTTTAATATTTATTAACACTAACTCCAATATTAGGTTTTTGGGGGCAGATCGTTTTATCAGCAAAGTTGGAAAGCTGTTAAGATAGGAACGGCCAACATGGATGTTTTAGTAACCTTGGCGACTTCCATATCCTATGGTTACTCAGTAGTCATCCTTGTTGTTGCAATTCTTCTTCGATGGGACTCAAGTCCGATGACATTCTTTGATGTCCCACCAATGTTATTAGTGTTCATATCCCTTGGTCGATGGTTGGAACATAAAGCTAAAGCAAGGACTTCTTGATATTCAAAACTATTTTGTAGGGAAAGACATCAGAAGCACTGAGTGAACTCATGTCAATGCAAGCTAAAGTTGCAACTTTAGTAACGTTGGAGGATAACGAAATAAAAACTGAGAAAAGCATACCAATTGAGCTGGTCCAAAGGTCGGATTACATCAAGGTTTTACCAGGAGAGAAGATCCCGGTGGATGGGACTGTCATATCTGGGAACAGTTCCGTGGACGAGTCTTTTATTACGGGAGAGAGTATGCCTGTAGTAAAGAAGTCAGGTATGCTCCAATCTGTGGTTTTGTAGTTTTTTCATAGGTTCTGCGGTTATTGGAGGATCAGTAAACCAGCTCGGACTTCTTATTATTCAAGCTACCCATGTGGGACAGGACTCGATGCTCTCTCAGATTGTCCGTTTGGTCGAAGAGGCTCAAACCTCGAAGGCACCTCTTCATCATACAGCCGATAAAATCGCTGGTTACTTTGTTCCGGCAGTAGTGGGTCTTACTGTGGTCACCTTCTTCGTTTGGTTACTTGTCGGATTGGCTACTTCAAACGGAAACAACCGAGATTGGGAGATGATTATAAGAAAGGCGTTTGAATATGCCATCACAGTGTTATCTATTGCATGTCCATGCTCGCTTGGGCTGGCAACACCAACTGCCATCATGGTGGGTACTGGAGTTGGAGCTCGAAATGGAATTCTGATTAAGGGTGGAGAATCGTTGGAACTCGCACAAAGGGTAATAATGTTGGACAGAACCAACATTTAATTAAAAGTTTAGATCAATACTGTAGTATTCGATAAGACCGGAACGATAACTGAAGGCAAGCCGAGAGTCATTAAAGTCGTTTCCTTGTTAAACCCGGACCAATTGGAATTCAAAACCCTGGTGGCGTTAGTGGGATCAGCCGAATCAAACAGCGAACACCCCATTGGAACGGCATTGGTATCGTTTGCTAAAGACGTAAGCTCTTTATATTGGATATCCAGTTTTTTAGTATCTAAAAAGTGGATCTTGGGCATCGGTTTCTCAGTTTCGGGTATCTGCTGGGCAAGGAATCTCTTGCGAAGTCAAGAACTTGGACAACGTTTTTAATTCCCGACTTATGTCTGATTTTGATACCGATGAGAAGGTCACTCTCACTCCCCTGAAAAAAATTATTCAAGGCAATGAGGTTGAAATATCTTCTCTCGTAAATGTCACATACGAAGGGGACAGTCTAAATAATTTACAAACGTACACTGTATTGGTTGGATCCGAACAGTGGTTGGAGAACAATGAGATCATCCCTGACCAAGTTGTCTTGGAAGCTCTTTCCAAAGAAAGAGAGAAAGGAAATATATCGGTGACAATTGCGGTAAATGGTAAGACTATTCGATAAGTTTTTGACTTTGTGTTTTTAGGCACCATCGCCGCTATTTTTTCGATTGCTGATCAAGTCAAGAAAGAAGCCGAAGTCACTGTTTATGCTCTCAGAAAGATGGGAATTGATGTTGTTCTTCTTACTGGTGACAATGAGAAAACGGCGCTAGCCACAGCCAAGAAAGTGGGCATTAAAGAGGTGTTTGCTGAGGTGCTTCCAAATCAAAAGAAAGACAAGATCAACCAGCTGCAGCAACAAAGAAAAGTGGTTGCGATGGTTGGAGATGGTGTTAACGACAGTCCAGCCTTGGCCGCTGCGAATGTTGGAATAGCTATAGCCAGTGGAAGTGACGTTGCCATTGAGAGTGCCGGGATTGTTTTAATTAAGGTAATTGTTACAGTAGTGTAATTACAAAAGTCTTTCAGAATAATCTTGTGGACGTGGTCGGGGCCATTCTTTTGTCTAAAGCAACTATTCGGCGGATTCGGATCAATCTTTTCTTTGCATTTGTTTATAATACTATTGGAATTCCAATCGCCGCTGGTGTTTTCCGACCTCTGGGAATCTCTATCCAACCTTGGATGGCCGCTGCAGCCATGGCGTTGTCCTCGGTTTCAGTCGTGTCGTCTTCCTTGATGCTGAAAAACTTTAGGAAGCCCACATTCAACAGTTTCTCGGGGTCGGCTGAATACAAGAAATTCCATGCGAGGATGTCCATTTCTCCTACAAAAGCCAGGAAAATTGAACCCCTCGAAGATGTGTTTATCCAGTCTGATGATGAAAGTAGTGCAGAGACCAAGCTCTTTGCTGCAGTTTAAAAGAGACTATGCGAGAAAAAAAGAATCATAGGACAGGGTTGATGTGCGGTGGAATTTGTCATATTTTTTTTGGCTTATTCTTAATGTATAGGAAGCACATCTATACCGTGGTTTATAAAGTAAGTCACGATGACTGGTTTTATGACATATTTCATTGTTGATTTTACAAGCGTGTGACTTCAACCTCAATTTGCTTGGGCAGTGCTGAAACTTATACATTTGTGGGTTTCTGACACCCGTCGAATCTCTGGGATTACTGTAACACAACGAAAGAAAAATTTTGCATAACATTTTTGAAAGAATCTCGATTTAGCGCGTTTGAATGATTTTTTGCAGATTTGAATTAAGCAAGGAATTCTGTATTGTATGGAACAAAGAAAACTCGTCGCCTAGATTTTAGATTTGTAAAATCTAAAATTAAATATGTCATAAAATCGGCGGGCCCACACTTGTGGGCAACCACTTTGCGGTTAGCTAGAAGAACCACGGAGATTATGCGGGCGTGTTTGGAAATGAGCCAAACATTTTTTTACAACAGGAAATTCAAATGATGAATTTGGCAGTTAGATGTTGAGAATTAAGTTTCCAGGTGTGTAAGTCGCTTGAATAGTTACTATATAAAGTTAACCAGGCATTTTTACCATTTTATGAAAATGAACTCCCATAACTTCGAAAGCGGTGGATGAATTACTACGTAGATTGCGGGAGGAAAATCGTAATTCTAATCGGAAAATGTTGGCTGCCCGCAAAGTGGTTGCCCGCAAGTGTCGCGACGCAATAAAATCGGTCATCGTGGCTTATTTGGTAAAAAAATTATATGCATGTGTTTTAACGGTCCTGTACATCCAGAATAAGCTAAGAAACAATATGCTAAAATACTTCCGCAAGCCATGATCCAGAATCGCGTATCTTTTAATGTTTTATGTATACATATTCTTGTTACAGTCATTACAACATTCCTTCGTGCCATGCGACTTTGCCTCCATATCGCTTATATTAGTCACTGTTCACATATAGATTTTTATTATGTTTGTTTTGTTGATAAATAACGTAAGATATCTGTATATTAGACGAGGAAACGTATGGTAGACTTCCCCGATATCTGATCTTTTTTTATTTTTGTAGCACAATTTTAGCAGATGAACCTGTCATTGCTCATCAGTCGGGTACAGATGGGACTCCGATCCTTTTCTACTTCATTGACTGTCGAAAACCAATTACAAGTGAGTTGACAACTGTTCATGGCTATAGAGATTTTAGAAAATGTTCTACGAGGGAGTTCCGTCTCGAAGACCAAGATCGTCTGACAAATCTCCGATTGCCGGTCAAAACTTTTTCAAAGGAATTGTCCTTAGGAGTAAGGCTCAAAATTCATGAGCCAAGAGATCAATGTATACTGTAACACCTTGAATTTTCAGCTGTAATTCGACATCCCAAGAAACCGAACTCTGGAAACAGAAAGTGTGCAATCGTCAAACTGAGTAATGGTAAAGAAGTTTGTGCTTACATCCCGAGCGAAGGCCACAATCTTCAAGAACACAGTCAGGTCCTGGTCAAAGGAGGCCGTCGGCGTGATTTGATCTCAGTTAAGGCCAACGTTATTAGAGGCAAACTGGACTGCGCTCCAGTAAAATCAGCTAGGAATTAAGATAATAAATTTTATTAAAATGAAACCAGATCCAGTATAGTGGAGTGAGTATCGAGGACGGAGCTGCGCTCCCTCGGTTTAAAGCGATTTGAGACAATTCAAATTTAACAACTAGAAACAACAGGGTTGGACCTTTACCATTCAATGATGGTAACCATTGATTTTGGCGTCGCCTGTTCCATTTATGGTATGACCTTTCTTCTTGAGCTTGGCTGCCAAATTAGCGGGGATTTCGAGGTCTTTAGGCTTTTCCCAGGGGAATTCAGAATGGCCGAAGTGTCCATTTGCAGCGGTCTTCGAGTAAATTGGCGTCTTCAAGTTTAACTCCCTACAAAAAAAGTATATCGTAGGAATAAGACCGTAGAATCTTTAAAATGATTTACTTACTTAATAATGGCTCCAGGTCTTAAGTCGAAGTTAGCATTAACAATCTGCAGTAATTCCGCTTCCGTCAACGGTGAAGTTCCGTACGAGATAACCGTAATCGATAAAGGCCGGGCCACAGCAATAGCATAGGATACTTGAACCAGACAACGGCGGCAAACTCCAGCCTTTACGAGGGATTTGGCAACCCAGCGCGCGCCATAGGCAGCCGATCGATCAACTTTGGTGGGATCTTTGCCTGAGAACGCACCTCCACCATGGGCTCCCCATCCTCCGTAGGTGTCGACAATGATCTTGCGACCGGTTAGACCAGCGTCACTTTGAGGACCTCCAACGTGGAATGTTCCACATGGATTTAGGTAGTAGATGGTGTCCTTATCTAAAAGATGTCCGGGGATAACCTCCTTGATGACATGTTCTTTCAAATCATCTCTAACTTGTTCTAATGTAACGTTTTCGGAATGCTGTACAGACATCACAATCGTATGCACTCGGACGGGAACGCAGGCGCCATTATCAAACTTATATTCGACTGTTACCTAAAAATTTATCATGTATTTTTTCTTTGCTAAACGAAAAAAAAAGAAAAGAAAATTATACCTGTGATTTTGAATCTGGTCTCGACCAATCAAGAATGCCGTTTCTGCGTAGAGTATGTAACCGACTGGTCAATTGATGCGCCAGAAGAAGAGAAAGGGGCATCGCCTCGTCGGTCTCATCAGTCGCATATCCAAACATAAGACCTTGATCTCCCGCTCCCACGTCTTCCTCGGCCCTATTCATGTGAACTCCTTGAGCAATCTCCGGGGCTTGTTGTTCCAAGGCGACAAGAACATTGCAGGATTTATAATGAAACCCTAAAACACCACACAAAAATTGCGAACTTAAAATTAAATATATTTATACATTCCACTACTTACCGGCCTCTGCATCCGTAAATCCAATCTTCTTCACAGCATTCCTAACCAAAGATTGATAATCGACGACAGCTTTCGACGTGATCTCACCGCATAACATAATCATGCCCGTCTTGGTTACCGTCTCTGTAATATCGGTCACACTAGAACGGTCATAACATGCCATTGATCAACACCAAGTGAGAAAGATAAGAAACATTGTTCCTTCAGCCATAAAACCTACCACAAGCGACCTTAGCATTGGGATCTTGAGAAAGATGGGCATCAAGAACTGTATCCGAGATGATGTCACACATCTTGTCAGGATGGCCCTCACTGACACTTTCGGATGTGAATAAAAAACGTTGTTCTCCACCATCTGAAATGGTGATTTGGGAACAGCATTCAAAAAATTTTCATTTAACCGTTAAAAACCATATTCTTTCGAAGTCAAAACTAAAACTCAAATCAAATGAAACAACTTGCCTTCGGTGGGAGATCCGCGTACATCCACGTCCATTTGAAGGTGGCGTTGACTCTAAAATAAAAGAATATACAGAGACAGAAACAGGCTTTAAATATCACGTAGAATTGCATCAGGCTTGGGGAATATTTTAATATAGAAAAACTAAAAAAAAGAAGATCCAAAAACTGTCAAAAAATCGAAAAAGATCTAAATATTTTTTTGTAAATGCAAAAAAATTTTGGCGCAAAAAAATTTCCTTACCGTAATTTTGAAATATAATATTTTTTCTCTTTGAGACTCAACAGATATCGATGTTGGCCAAACATTGTGGCTAAATTTGAACAGTTGCGAGAAATAACAATTAATTTTGTGACCAAAATGGGAGGAGAAAGTAGACTAAATCGGGATTAACCCCATCCTCAAACACAACAAGGTCTTCAAACTATCCACGGAGTAACCCAAAGTATTTCTATTACAACAAACGCGATGTTTGATTCCTCCAAAACTGTAATACCCTGTTTATCTCTGAGCGTGGTGTTTTCAATATTTTTGTTCAGGTAATTGCAATAAATACCGTAAACACCATACTAGTACTAATTTTTGTAGTATAATTTTTGAATACCGAAAAAAAGTTGAGGATGTCGAAATGTTTCTTTTGGATCAAATGGCCGAGTTTAAAAATCTCGAAGACTCTTTCTGGACAAATGCTGAAGCGACTAGGTCAAAAAGGCAGACGAAACCATCCTACGATTATGCTTTTTGCGAGTGCAACCGTCAGAACACATGTCCCCCTGGCCCTCCAGGTTGTGCTGGTCGGCCTGGGCTGAATGGAATCAAAGGACCGGCTGGTTCTCCTGGCCCTCGAGGAATGCCCGGCCGGATTTTCACCGAGATGCTCCTTCCTTACAATGGTTGCAGAGTCTGCCCTGAGGGACCAAAGGGGCCACGGGGAATGATTGGGCCTCCAGGGATTACGGTATGTTTTATGAATTTTGTAATGTTCAACTTATTTTAGGGTCAGTCTGGCATGGCTGGACAAGCGGGTATTCCAGGGAAGCCTGGGTCTGTGGGGGCGTTAGGAATAAACGGACAGGATGGAGTAACAGGACCAACAGGAAGGAATGGTAAGAATCCATAAAGAAAACATGTAAACTAACCGTAGGTCCAACCGGAACTCCGGGAACAAACGGGATAAAAGGAACCCAAGGTCCTCCAGGAATCAAAGGGCATCCTGGAGCTCAAGGATTTCCGGGGGAAGCTGGAAAACCAGGCAAAGATGGACAGAGAGGACCACAAGGTCCCATTGGGTCACCTGGAGAAGTCGGGCGAAGAGGAAAGCAAGGTTCGGCTGGTAAGTCAACATCACAGGGATAATTTCAATGCCTTTTATTATCAAATATCATAGGTAATCCGGGAAAGCCAGGCGAACCGGGTGCTCCGGGTCATGATGCTGCATACTGTGCCTGTCCACGTCGCTCTCGAGTCTCCAACTATGTTTATTTACAAGATAAAAATGAAAGAATTAAGTGAAGACGCTGTGAGAATAAAAGACTTAGATTCAAGCTTTATAATTAAATAAAAATTTGGTAATATCTGTGACGAGATATAAGAATAACCTCTGATAACTAGCAAAGGCTGAGAATCTGACGGTTATCTTCATCTATGAGTTGCCAAACTGTGCCTTGTTCGTCTAAACAAGGAAGATAATTCAATTACCATAAAATAAGAAAAAATAAAATCAAAAGCTTACCTGAACAATACCGATGATCATACCAAAAAGACCGATAGCACTAGCAAAGATTTCGATAATAAGGATCTTTACAAAGAGAGCCGGGTTAGCGGCATCAGCGAGAGCTGCTCCGGATCCAACAATACCAACGGCCAAACCGCAAACAAGATTACTGAAACCAACGGTCAAACCGGCACCAAAAAGAAGATAGCCCGAGGCCAAGTTTCGGGACAAAATCAATCGGCCAGCGTCGGTGGTAATATCAACAGCAGCACGATCGAATGGCTAAAGAGTAAAATAACAGCTTTACGAATAACTTACAGACAATTTCCCAGCAAACACAAAGGCCATGATGATACCGAAAATGGCGACGGCCTCACAGAAGATGATAGATACCAAATTCTTTGTTCGGATGCGCGGAGCTTTGACTCCTCCACCGAGAATGGACGAACCCGTTGTGAAAATTCCCCTAAGAATATGAATCCAAACAGTTAAACTTAACTTACCAGCCGGCTCCAATAACTGACAACGACAAGGAAGCTGCTAAACCCACACCGGCCCACATATGCGGAGAAGTTTCCGTCAAAAACCAGGCAATATCAAACCTTGAACCCTGCCCTGTCAGCATGTAAAACAAGGCTGAAATTATAATTTATCAATAGAATTTTGGAGTTGTACTAAACCTTACCTGTCCCAATAAACACTGCAGATGATACTGCCGATAAGGAGTAAAATGTGTACAGCATGGGACCCGCCATCTTGCTAAAAAAATGCGATATTATGCAAGAAATGAGCCGAACAAAGCCAAATATCTTATATATGAATACAAATCTTGTTATAACGTAAACATTCTTACAATCATACACGAACGGGTAAACTTTTTCAACGACTATTCAACGGTTTTTGCTCTCGATCAATTCGGCCAAAACACAAGGCTTTTCGCGGCGAGACACAGATGGGTCAAGTCTTCCACAACTTACTGGGATGACGCCAAGTCTTTCCCTGAAAAAATGTAATGCAACATTTTTCCTCTGACAATGGATGGGCTAATACTTGCCACATAAAACCTACATTATTTGATATATGATGGTTGTGACCATCCACAAACGAAAATCTAAACATCGAAAATTTCTTTTATCTCAGCTTCACTAATTGTTAGCTTTCACAGAGTTGGACATCATGTTTTTGGCTTATTTTACAACTTTCTCTTCTTTTTTCAGAAAAATGCGTATAACAGGCTCCGGTAAAGTAACTTTTTAACCAGTAATCAGAAATTTTCATGAACACTTCTTTTTCCCAAAAAACACGGATTTTAGCAAGCAATGCACTATTGAAACAACCTTATGCTTTTCCCTTGGTGCCACGAGAATTTTTTCTCCCAAAGTAGACAAATAAATGTTTTGCAAAAAGGCCGAGAAATACTGTAAATTACAGTATATCGTCGCGGAAAGGTATTCCGCAAAAATTGAGTGGTTTCAAGTATTGCTTTCCAACGGTGTAAAAACACTTGCCATTTGGCGATGGTCAGTTTGTTAATTTTTTTCAATGAGAGTGAATAGACGTTTAAACATCCGTTAGAGGTACAAAAAAATGTGTGATTTACTCCATCTTCGAGACATTGACCCTCAAGATTTGAAAAATCCTAAACTTTTCAGTTATCTAGCGGGCGACTTTTAGTTAGAAATCTTACAAAACTGGTCATTCAGCACTAAAGCACCATTGTCAATCACCATTGGATAACATGCAGAATTTATTCACATTGCAACGTGGAAAAGTGTCACACATTTTTTGAGTTTTAAAATTTTACAGATCGATTTACAATCAGCGACTTTTTGTTTCTATGTCATACATTAGGCAGAAATTACCCCCACATTACTCAGTACATATTTATTTTAAGTTCCAAGTCTGCCCAATTAAACGTCATGTTCCTTCACCACATGGCGTATGTTGTCCAAAATATCCGTGGCATTCATAGACCTTCCGATATTAGAAAAGGTGTACCTGGAACAAAATCTGATAAAATCGCTCGCCAGATGACCGCCCAGAATTAGATGCTCGCTCTTAATTGAACTTGTTCCTTCCTTTAGTCTGACCCAATAGCTAAAAAGGGCAATGGTTCCAGATAACAGGTCTCCTTGACCCCCGCATCTTCGGTCACATCCTTGCTCTTTGCCAATCTCAGCTGAAATAAACCGGTGTAATTCCCAATCAATGTCCCTACTTTTCTCTCCATCGGTAATTATATCTTCTTCGCCTTTCCGAAATATGATAACCCTCAATTCTTTGGCCAACTTCTGGACTTGCTTTGTGATGTCACCTTGCGGTTTCTGTCCACCAAAAACAATTTCATATAATCTATCAAATTCTCGATGATTTGGAGTTAAAATTACATTGGGACAAGCTTTTACTTCGTCTATGCAATCAGCTAGCAGGAACAAGCCATCCTAAAACATTACACTTTCATTGTGAATAACGGGCTACCCTTCTTTTGGTGCAGATTTCATTTGGGGCAGACCGAATTTGAGTGCTCAAAGTAGCATCTAAGTTTTTTATAGCTAGACAACGCTTAGGAACGTAGAAAGGCGGTTTATTCGTTATCTAAAAGCTTGAATTTGTTTCCGAATCGTCGTTGCAAAGTCGTTGCAAGTAATGGCTGGCAGACAAACGAGAGTGAATGAATGGCTGCCAAACGGTCTATAACGCTACAGAAGAAGTTAAAATGTCAGCCAAAAAACTGAGAATTCCGTAACGTTTTTGGCTACTATTCCAACTCTTTTACTACCGATCCAGGCTACTTGACTGCAGTTACATCCGTTTGTCTAGCGGTCTACGGTAGTTGAGAGTCATATACCACTAGCTACAGAAATTCGATCTGCCCCAATTGGAAGGTTGTGGAATAACGCTTACAGCATCAATCACAACACTTAATGTACCCTGGTTTCGGACTCTGTTCAGAATTTTTCTCAATAGAGGCACTAATTTCTCTTTATCTCTGCCTAATCCAGGCCCGATGACCAGACTGTCGATTCTTCCAATCATTCCGTCAATTTTCTCGAACTCTTGTGATGGATGTACAATAAGCTCTGGACTATAAGTTTTAATGACCGCAGCAGCTTCAATTGGGCAGAAGAGATAACTGAGATCGGCTCCCTGAACATGAATAAGTTGTTTATCGACCTTACAATTTTCATCGGAGCCATGGCGGAGAAGTATGGGGCCCCAGTGTACTCTAAGGCACCTCCAACCACTGCAATCCTCCCACATTCTCCTTTTTTCAGATGAGGACCCAATTTAGGAAAGTATTCGAAAACTCTTTTTATAGACATCAGTGCAACTACAATGAAGAATTAGACAGTACACTCAGAAAACATGAAATAGGCGACATCTTATAATCCAAAACGTTACAAGAAACATTAATTAGTCCGCTTATCTAAAAAGGATGAGTTACAAATTCGTTATATTCCAATTGCACGCAACTTTTTGTTTCTATATTTTTGTTTATTATTTTTTCTTCACGTTCCACACCGAAATTCAGGCAAAACGACCGCCTTTGGCATTCTGTAACAGGATTGGCAAATGAGGCTGATTGGGACAATTAGACTGATGCTACTCCCATTGATCGTGTTATGCTCGTATTTTAGGTGTTTGCTCTATCCGTTGTCGCGCTGCAAGAAAATTTAGGGCTTCAAAAAAAAAAGGGGGGGGGGGGGGGGGATAGAAACGAAGGCCGAACACAGACCGACGAGTTGGCGGGAGAGGAAGGGGCTTGGGTCTTGCATTGGGACGGGCGCTTTCTCTTTTTGCGTCTCCGCTCTCCAGGCGTCTCTTCATCGGAACGATCTCTCAGATTGTTTTTGAGTGCACGTGACGCCGTCGGTCGGTTCAGAAGAAGAGAAGGCGCCTGGATGGAGGGCCAGACAAGTTGCTTCGAGCAGAGATAGTTTTAGAGATTTCGAGAGATGCATTTTTCTTCTAGAGGGTCCAGAAGTGGAAGGGGAAGGCCTACCAACGATTTTTTCCACTATTCGTATTGTTCTAGGCCCTCCTGTGGCCACATGCTTCCTTGTTCCGTTCTCTGTTTCTTTTCCGTCGTTTTGCGTGTGGAGCGGGACCGAGGCCATTCCAAGGGCGACAGACGCACCCAATTGGTTGCCGCAGCTGGGCGATTCACAGGGTGAAGCCGGGTTTTTTCCAAGGGAATTTTAATTTCGTCATCCTCGGGGGTTAAGCTGGTACATTTTATACGATGGGGCCGAGAGGCCACGTCGGATTAGAACCAGCCATGTTTTTGATTTTAATTTTTGATCACGACATTATCAACTATTTTTGTATTGCTGGCCGAATTGAGGATGTTGTGAATTTTGCCTTGAACGTGCGCGAAAGTTTTCTCTGCTCGTGTTGAATTAAAATTTTGTTTTTTAGTTGATGAACATCTAATTTCTCCACTTACATCCTTACTGATCTCTTGGATGCTTTATTGATGGCCTTAGATGAGCCATCGACTTCCTTTTTGACAAATTCGGTTACACATTGTCAGGTTGATCCTGAAAATTCCCTGAACGAGGCAGAATCTAAAGGATATCGGCGTTGTCAATACGTTTCTAACCTTCTCCTTCAGTGTCGGAATAATGTCAGGGGCGAAGATACAGCTGCAAACTCTTCCCAAAAGCCAGAATTTATTGATGAGTTGAGTAATTTTTGTGATAAGGTGAGTTTTTTCCATCCGTTTTATATAATCTGTTGTTTATTTCAGCATTTGTCTCATATAAACGCTATTCGAGCATATGCGCGGAAGACCAGAGCTGCAATTGACCCCGGGTTTAAATTAAATACCAAAGAGTATGTTGTTTTTTTTATGAGGTTTAATGTTTAGACGATGAATATGTCTTGTTGTTTTCAGTGATGATAAGGAGGCAGTGGAAGACGATTCAAGGATCGAAGGACTTCACGTTTATGATCCCTGTTGTTCTGAGAGCTACATCAATTCCGCGGACAATCCATTGAGGGGGGCTACGTATATGACTGACAAGGAGATCGCTCGACAGTACGATGCAGCATTAGGCCGAACATTGGAACGACTAAGATGTATGCGGGAATTGGTTATGGACAGGTTTAAAGAGCATCTGAAGATGAGGCCAGAATGTAAAAAAGAGCAGAGGAGATGTTAGTTTATTTTCTTTTCGTTTATTCTTATGTTTAGACAAGCTTGTTGTAAGGAATCCAAAAGAACGGATAATGTTGGACAGATTGAGAGATGACAAACGATATGGGGTGCCAGGTCCGCTGGTATTACCATATATTGAGAAGGCTGAGAGAAAACATGTGTACGAAAAGAACGGAATTAAGGTTCCTCCAAGTATGTGGCTGACAGACTCGGGACGGAGCGATCCGACCTTCCGATGTGATTATGTGGAGAGAACCGAGATTTTTCCCGATGTTAATGCTCAATACCGATCCCCGTTGTTATATAATGCTTCATCCGAAGATACCGTTCTCTCCGTTGTCAACTCTATAGTCGACTACGTTGAACGACGGAATGGAGGGGTTCGAGAAAAGAAATGTGGTAGATTCAGGGTACCGATGACTGATTTTTGCACCAAGCGTAAGTTTTCCTTTTCTTGATAATTGGGTTGAAATATTTAATACGTTGGCATTTTTAGATATACAAAACGACGCTGCTCAGAAGTTATTTGTTCGATGCAAGCAATGTAGCAATTACTGTCTTCCGCTGGAGAGTTTATGCAAGATTCATTCCGCCCAGAAGAGGCCGGCAATAGTACCCATGCCTTCAGTGATCCATTCAGCCCCTACGGCACCGGTGAACGGAGGTCAGATTTCAGTTGCACCTCCTCCAAAAGTACAAAAAATTGTGAATGGGTGGCGGACAGTGCCTCAGGCGATGGAATGCTCTCCAATCTCGACCAAAAGTGATTACACTTTATCCCCCGTGCCGAAAACTGAGATATCAAGATCAGAAGACAATAACCTGAAAGCCGAAGAAAGTCATGATCTCAACTTGAAGTTCCCCGATTCATCTATGGTTCAGGTAACTACAAGAAAGGCGGTTCCTTTACCTGGCCGGAGAATGCTGAAGACTCCGACATTGTTGCCTGAGGAGATGTATAACGTGGAACAGAAGAAATTGAAGTTAACTGAGAATGCGCCTGTTATTGACGGAGATTTGCCTTTTGAGGAGCTCGAGCAGCAAGTGAGGACGTCCACCGAAGATAAACGGGTCAATCACGGAGGTAACGTAATCACCAATGGGCCAGTAGCGATCATTCAAAACAGTCGGATAGTTGACAAGTAAGCGCATGTCGATTGTTTTTTGGGCGGTTGATGATTCACGTCATGTGACTTTCAGTTTTTTCCAGTTTGTTATTTCATGTGAGAGTACATTTTTTTAGCAGGGGTATTCCCCGAAATCGGAGTACGGTTCCATCCACAATCCAAACCGGGAATCCCACCGTTCGATCGCAGTCATTCCATGTCCAACATTCTGCCATCGATCTTATGGCGACATGCGCTCGAACTCGACCTTTTATGTCATCAGATGACGCCCGGGCCCTATGTCGTCAAAGTAGTGAGGAAGCCCAGAACATACAACAACGACGACCTATAACTCGCGGGGGCCGAAGAAACGTGATGGTCCGCCCTCCCATGCCCCTAAACAGACCACGAACTCTACAATACGCTCATCCGGTGATGCCTTCGATTAACCCCTCGTACTGTATCCAGAACCCCACGGTCAGCAACATCGTCCGACATTCCAATCCTCTGGCAATGTCCGGCAACGGAGTGCGAGCGAAGGCCCCCATTTCGTACGTTAAGAATGGAAGTAAAAACGTCGCTGTACACGCGATGACTCGTTGATATCTGTTTTTATTCTTATTCATCTCATTTATATAATGTTTCAATTGTTTTCTTATAATAAATTCTCATTGTATGGTATTCATGGTTGCACCCAGGCCGATGTTTCCAGGATCGGTCCGGGTAAAATATCCTGTCTAATTTATTGAGTTTGGAAATTTTCATTCTGTGAAAAAAGTCCTATCCGGGTCTTTTCGGATGCCAAGAAACTCTTAATTCTGTTTTGATTTTTCTGGGGGAAGATCAGGTATTTTTTCGTTTTCTTACTTGTTAATGTCATGTTGCAATATTTTGGAGTGATTTTTTTCTCGAATTTAGTTCTGGGAAATTCCGAATTTTATTTAAAACCTTGCCGGGTCTGAAAATGAAAGCCTGGGGCTCGCAGCAAAATTAGTCGGCCCGGGCCGTTTGCAAAGCCCGGCCTAGAGCCATGCCTACTGTATGGCTGTTTTTTTTTATTGATGACACGCCTGAGGGCTTAAGCACCATTCAAGGAAATGTTTTAATCTCGGCGCAAAGAGGAGCGGGCACTTGGCCATCTCTTATTTGTTGTCTTCCCGGAGAATGACTATTCCGTTTTTATTTGTTCTCGTTCAATTTGGGATTGTATTTTGCAGCCATTTCAAGGCCTTTGTGGATCCTTTGCACAAAGAATTTGGGCTGATCAATCACGAGGAGAAGAGTTGTTTGGTGCTCAAATTCCAACTAAAGTTGTATAATTTGAATTTGAATGGAACAGACATCGCAACGGAGACGGTTGACTTGAGTTCCAATGAATTCAAACTCTCGGGCTACTGTGCACTACATAATGAAGTCAGAAAATCTTCGGAATTGATTGCAAAGTGGAGTTCTGGAGAGAGAAGAAAACAAATAAGACTTGTCTTCAAGGAAGCCTTCGTCAGAGTGCTTGGGCAGCCAGTGGATCAACTCAGATGGCAGTTAAAAGAGGTCATTTACACAGAGAAATTCAAGAGTAGGTTGAGCATAAAGGCCCGTAACATTTTAGGTCGTTCCATTGAGTTTCGATCTCCTAATGACACAATAGTGATCAGTGCTCCTATCAGACAAAAGTTCGTATGCAATGACCGGCTGAATGTGACCTTAATCCATGAAAAATACAAGAATATTATTGTTGAATTCCTTCCTGAAATTGATATGCAGCCCGTGAATACTGGATCTAATTTTGGGAGTAATAGTAAGAAAGGGTTTACTATTAACAATTGCTTATACTTTTTACAAGGAGAGTGCTTGTATGGCGACTCCTACTTTTAGACGGAACGCATCTCAAAGAATACGTAAAATTATGCTGTTTAAGAACATCAGCTTAATCGAAGGTTTTAAGCCTTCAATGCCTGCGACTTTTGTAAGGAAATTTAGCCAGTTTTTTGGTATTTTCGACCTTGAAACCCCAAATCGGGCTATTTTTTACATACTTGATCAGCACAATTTTTCGGATTTTTTTGAGATATGTTTCGTCTAAACGTAGGAGCCCCCATAAAAAAGTACTTTCCTTGTTTAAAAAAAAATTATTCTTTTCAGTATATCTGTGCGAGAGAACCCGAAAAAGAACCTTAAGTGAATCTTTCCAAAGCATGATGACCGTCTTCTCAGGTATTGTCTTGGGCCTGAGCTCAGTTGGAACATTAAGTGGCTACAGCGTTTGGCGACAACTATTACCATCTCGTCGAACTTTATATAACGACATTTAAATAAACATCTACAACTAATTTAATGACTTCCTAGGCTATTTGCGGACAGTTGTTCACTTAATTCTTCGCTTTGAACCGACTTTGAAGACACCGGGGACACTGTAAACACGGTATTCTGACTGGAATTTGAGACGTTGCTTCGGGTAGACGAATCTGATTGATAGTCATCCTTTGATTTTTTTGAGGACGCAGAAGACTGTGGGGTACTGCTACCACGTCCGGAAGACAAAGAGGATCTATTGGTATCACGATATATTATACTGGATAGCTAACTTACAATGAACCGGATCTTCTTACATTCAGTTTTACTTTGGCGGCACTTCTTTTCGCTTCGCTGCCGGATGATTTTACTCCTAGATCAGCCAAGGTATCATACATGATTGATTCCATTTTGTTCTAAAATTATGTAAAATATATTAATTTAGGTCGGCTTTACCTTATCTAAATCTGTTCGCTTCTCGATCTCTTGAGCAAAACACTCCATGATGACACTGCAAATGTGATTTAAAATTAATAGTTCACTTACCTGTCTGTGAACACTCCTCTGAGTATAATCAGGTCGAGAACATAGTCCTTGAATCTGTAGTAATGACTGCTCAATCTCTCATTCCGTCGTTTTTGTTCTGTTTTCTCAGGTACCGCGCGATACTGCACATCATTTGTTGCGTAGTCTCGTTGGCTTGGAGGTTTTGGGGGCTTCTCTACCTTGATTGGAGGTTGATAAACTCGACTGTTTAAAAGTTTGGATTGGATCTAAAGATGATGATTAATATAAATGGCCTTACTCTATTCATCGTGCCTTCCTTTTTTATTTCGCTCAGATTGAGGACTGATGTGGATCTGGCAAATGCATTAAAACCAAGATTAATTGGAGTGATTTCCTGGTTCTTCCTTGAGAGAAAGTGATTTAACTCTTCCTTCCCATGTTTTCTAAAAAGGAATATTACATTTGACCATTTGGAACATACTTTGCAAGAGCCTGGCAACTGGCGGGTCGTCTCATGGGAAATGGCTTATAATGGACACCTAAAAGGGCACAACTAATTTACCTATTACTCTTACTCTTCGGACTACTGTACATAGAGACGGGCGGAGAACAGTCGACCACCGGCCTGATGGAAGTGTAAAGTCGGTAATGATGATTGGTTAAGTGGAGGGCTTCCTCCCGCTTCATTCCCTTGAAACATATAAGTATCCGGAAGCAGGGAATGTCTGAGGGCCGTTGATTGTCATGACAACTGACCACTGGCTATTCTCGCGCTCTCTCGGATTAGTCGGCGAAATTAATTTTTTTGTGCCTGGAAATCGCCAGATTATGTACAAGTTTATTACGTCTTAGAGCGGAGGGCCTTTAGAATGTACGCAGCCCTCTCTTTGCCCACCCAAAAAGGGATTAAAAACGTATTCGAATCCTGGGAAAAAATGAATTTAAAAAATTTATTAAAGCTTATTTAGGAGGACAGAGGTAGATAGAATTTGTTGAATGCACTCTTTAGCTTGTTCATAGTGCTCCCGTCATGCTGCACGGATTCCATGACATCAATAAGCTCCTCAGGGGAGGTCTCGAAAGAAATGCCAAGTTCATCCAGAAGACCGGCTCGTTCTAATTCAGGGATTAACTTCCTTGTCCAGATTCCCATCAACTTCTCTTTCTCGAGGATCTCCAGATATTTGGGGTCCTTGTTTAATGCATCAATCTCTTCTTGGATGTCATTAATTCGATCAACAATGGGAGCCGCTTTGTCTTCAAATGATGAGATCTCCTTCCGCAACTGTCGAAGTTCGGCTTCCCTGTCTGAAATTGTGTATGGAAATGAATACCAAAAAAGCAAAAATGTATATACACGGCGCATGCGTTCTAAACTCAGGGTTTCTCGTTTGTGGGCCTGCTACGGGGAGGTCCGAAAGAAGAACGCACGCGCCGCCTTATATTACCTTATAAACTTGCCTTTATTATGCTTCACAAATTCTTTACTGAAAACTGGAATGTCTGGCAAATGGGCTTCTTGTTTCTCTGAAAGAAAACATAAACGAATCTCGATCGATGTAATCAACTTCACAACTACAGTAATGAACTTACTGACAAACTTTTTGTAATCGGCGGACTTTTTGTAATCCTCAAATTCTTTTTCGTATCTTTGTTTGTCTTTCAAAGCCTTTTCTTGGAAGGGCTGAAAAAGGAGTGCTCATGAACTGTTAAAGTACCTGTTTCTCTTCTTCCGACAGTCCCCTCCAAGCTCGGCCAATCTGAGATATCAAAGTTTTGGCATCAATGGCTGTTGTCGGATTTTTCCTATTAAACTGCTCATAATAATGCTTGTAGAAGATCTTGTAGGCATTCAAAGGTCTTTTTGGAGCATTGTCATCCTTCAACCTCTGGGATCTCTAAAACGTTGAGTAAGAATCCGTCCAAGTATTCAAAGGTCATAGCCTACTACAATATAACAGCAAACTAACCGATCGCGTCCTGTTGTTAGACATGCAACTAATTACCAGCTTCAAGACAGCCGTTATTACACTACGATTTTCTTGTTACAGTGGCCGAAAATATTTTTTTGCATTTATCGATAAATCGGGCGCATAGTGCGCGACGGGTCTGGCAAGCTGCGCCCAGTTCCACAAATTCTGTAAAAAGATTTTTTGACCAAATTCTTTGTCGATCGTGTACTTTGTTAGAAATGTGTATTATATGAATATTTGTATCATCAGCTAGTCAATATGTTAGTCCAAGATTTTGGGAAAAAGGATGTGGCCAGTCCATCCAATTCAAAGTAAGATACTTTTATGTTTCATCTGGTAAACTATTATTTTAGGCAATACTTTTTTTTGTTAATTATTGCAAAAGTTTTGCGATGCTTTGGTATCTTCCTTTCACATTTTCTGGCGAAACAGGTCCACGTTGTCACGTTGTTATGGCTGATGAAGATTATGTGAGTACGCAAGGATTTTTTTTTTGATTTTAAGTTTAGGGCTTCATCTATTCTTGTGCCGTTACAAAAGCCGTTTGCAAATGGGAAGTCGATTAGGAAGTCCGTGGTAAGGACTTGGCGTTTGCGTTTGACGTTTAGAGTTCGGTTGTTAATCGTCTAACATTAATTGTAGCATGTGCGGATAGCTCAGCTTGCGTTCTATAATTCCTTGGTGGAGGTGTTATGGTTCTACGGGATAACGTTTTGCGGGCCTCTCCGTTCAATTCTTGTGTTTGAACAGAGCCCGACTGTAATGTTTGCCGCTGTGACGGCATTGATAGGAGTTAATGGATCCACCTCAAAGACTCGTGGAGTATGGGGAATAATTTTTGGCTTCTTGATACTCTTCTTTATGGACGAGGATTCTACAGTTGAACTGAATCACTGTAAGACTAGTTATTCTTCTTGCTTGAACTAAATTATTATTATTGTTTTAGCGGAGGCCCACAAGCATCAAGGGGGTCTAAATCACATGTTCTATCATGTCCTCAGTTGGTTTGGTATTTCTGACCATAAGGGCGGAGTGGTCGTTCTATTATTTACATTATTCTTGAAGATGGGATATGACTCTCAATTCAGACATGTGGCTGTGGAGATTGGAGGTTCGAAAAGACTGCATGCGATGGTATCCGTGATGTCAGGGCTATTCTTAACGCCATTTGCGGTTTTTTCGATACTATTATCAAGTGTAAGGTTACCCTATTCACATTTATTTTATGGATAGTTGTATACTGTGTTATTGTTTTAGTCCCACATCGACGGCTTCTTCTCTTTCCTCGTTGTTTCTTTTATTGCAGCAGCTTTCTTATTTGTTATTGACTTCAATACCGAGCAAATATGTTTCAAAGTAAGTTTTTTGCCGCCACGACTTTTCGGGTCAACGCCAGTTTGAGTCGGCGATACTTTGGGTTGCCTTGCATGATTGGAGGCTAGGAGAAGACTTTGTTTACAGAAAAAATAAGATTGAGGTGGAAAATCGTGAATTGGGGGAAAAGGACGATTGAGGAAAATCAATTGGGGAAACTGTAAAGTATTATTTTTCTTCGACGAGAGAGTCGAAATTAGGATAACCGATGGCGCTGATTTCGCAGATGACATTCATTTTTTTATCGTTACTGTTTTGCTTAATTAGTACTGTAAAGCAGTAATTTTTTTTAACCCTTTTTACAACACTCGATTTAGGGGTTTTCGATGGTTCGATGGTGCTGAATTCAAATCAAAAAAATTAACGAAAACGTTCAAAACATTACTGCTTTACAGTACTACTTAAATAAAATAGTAACGATAAAAAATGAATGTCATTTTCGAAATCAGCGCCATCGGTTATCCTAATTTTGACACTTACATCTAAAAAATAGTGCTTTTCAGTTTCTCCAATCATTGGTCCCGGATCAGGTCTTATTGTTAGAATAGTTTATCACCACCAATCTTCATTTGTTTTGACCTTGTCTATTTTACAATAGCGCAGGGGCAAGAAAACTATAGTTGTTAGTTTTCTTGATAAAATTTAAAAAAAGGTCATATTGAAACTTCTGTCCTACAACTTTTGCGAGTCTCCTGTCGTCGACCCGAAAAGTCGGGATGTGATTTTTTTTCTTTTGCACATCTTTTTTTTAGCACGATCCAGATCCGGTAATGACGGCAGCCAGGTGGTCTCCCATCACCATGTTCGTGTGCTCGTTTATCATCTCCTGGTTGTGGTATGCACGAGAGACTGTGGCCATAAGCGATCATCCTCTTTCCGCTGGGGTCTTTTTAACGACAGTCCTGTTTTGCTTTGGTATGTTAAAATGAGCTAAATTAATTTGTCCTTTAGCATCACTGTCGATAACGTCATCGAAGGAAAAGGCTCCAAGAGGTGGGCATTATATTGGACTATCAAATGATGGGAAACCTTTATATAGTTATGGAGAGGCATTCTTGAAAAAGACTTCAAAGTAAGTATTACTATTATTACCTAATTCTCTTAGATCCATTCTGCATTTTTGTCAGGAGACGATGAAGGAGATCCTGGACAACTCTGACTCGAGGAGGATCTTTTACTTTTTATGCGCAAATCTGGTAACTTGTTACTTTTTTTCTGTTAGAAGTTAACATCGATCATGGAATAATGGTAACTTTCAGGCATTTTGTGGTGTTGAATTTCTCTATGGATTCTTAACCAACAGTCTCGGCTTGATCTCTGATGGATTCCATATGTTATTCGACTGCCTCTCCTTAGTGATGGGTCTGGTCGCTTCAGTTGCTTCAAGATGGATATCAAACCGGACATATTCTTTCGGCTACGGACGTGTGGAAGTTCTCTCCGGGTTTATCAATGCCATGTTCTTGAGTGTGATCGCTTTTTTCATCTTCTTAGAAGCCGTTGGTCGTTTATATTCGCCTCCAGATATCAACACCGACAAGTTAATGGTGGGTCAAGTTTATTTATTGCATCTTCTCTGCTTTAGTTAGTTGCCGTTGCCGGGCTTTTGATCAATATTTATGGAATGTATGCCTTTCACGGAGATCACGGCCATTCGCATGGCGGTGGTGATCACGGCCATAGTCATCATGGTCATTCTCATGGAGGAAATGCGAACATGCAGGGAGTCTTCCTCCATGTTTTGGCAGATACTCTCGGCAGTGTGTTTGTCATCATCAGCACTTTATTTCTGCAATATTTTGGATGGAAATGGGTAGATCCACTGTGTTCTTTGGTGTTATCCCTCCTCATTGGCAGTTCTGTGTTCCCATTACTTAAGTCATCTGGATCAGTTCTTTTACAGTGTATCCCCGATGAAATCGAAGAAGAAGTAGATCATGTCTATGATGAGGTAAAATTAGGTCTCCATGATGACTTGGTTATAGATCCTCAATGTAAATGGAGTGAAGTCACTATCCGACTTCCATTTATGGCAATTGAAATCAGAAGCCAACGTTGCTACCATCTGTATTCAAGTGTACGATAATATGGACGAGGAGGAGATACGATACATTGTCAGACAAATCATGAAACGCTACGGCGTTCAGCAAATGACAATCCAAGTGGAAAAGACTTTGTTCGAGACGAGAGTGCAATCCAGAATCCCTGGCTACAGAAGGGTAGGATTAGTGGACCGGAGTTCCTTCATCCCCAGCGCCAATCATTCCCATAGTCATGGCATTGATCATGGCCATAGTCATTCTGATGTAGCCCATGGTCATAGTCATCACGGACAAGAGACGTGTCAGAACGGATCTCTTACTCAACATCATCACGGTCATTAGATCTTTAATTTATTTATTTATATAAATCATTTTTCTGTTTTGTTGTTAATCGCGGTTATGGTTGGCATCCATATGATATAAATCTTTGAATTGATGTATCTATTATAAAGAGGGCCCCGAGAAATTCCCTGGAAAGTCTTTGTTGATTTCTTGGCGCTCAACCAAGATATCCAAAAAATTCTAAACAAAATAATTTCGTTCAAATTTCTCTTTTCCCTGCTGTTTCAAAGCTCCGCACGGTGCGCTCCGACTTTATCGGTGTTGCCGCGACTGCAACGCCCAATGGGTAAATGCGATTGCATAGCGCTGTCGCCGGCCTTCTGATCCACTGTGTGGAAATTTTAAGATTTTTTCTGGAAGTTTCAGCATCATAATAAAGCCTTTACGATTGGTGTGATGACCAAAAAAGCGATAAAAAGTCACTGCCGAATACACTTCTTTCCGCGTTGGCGGGGAGAAAAAATAGGTAAAACCCGCCCATCCCCTGCTTTCTACTGCAAAAAGTATTTTATGGATATAAGGATGGTGCGATCTAAAATTTTTTGCTTTGACTGGCAAAAAGGCCGATTTCTTGGCTGAAGAGTTCTCAGCCAAGAAATTCGAAATTCTTGAATGAGAAAAAAAAATCTCCACGGCGAGAGAACAGAAGTTTGCGCAATGTTACACAATTCGAGTCAAGAAATCGTGACTTTGTCAGACAAAACGAAAAATATAATATTAAATCGCACATCGTTATTTATGTCTGCTAAGCGCCAAGAAATCGACAAAAACTTTCCGGGGCATTTCTCGGGGTGCCCTGAAGTTGACTTGCCACTTTAGTAAGGCCCGAAATGAGCGATAACGAGTTCAGTGATGGCGATGTGAGTGGTTAATTATACTTGAGATGTCAAAAAACGTTCGTTGTTTTAGTTGGACGTTGAAGGAGGACACTCCCCTTTGCCTTCCTCCAGTTATCATCAATTGGATGACTCCAAAAAGAATGCGAGAGCTCAACATAACGCTCTGGAAAGACGGCGGAGGGATAATATTAAGGACATGTACACCTCCTTGCGCGAGGAAATACCAAATCTCAACGAGAGTGATAGGGTAATATTATTAATGATTCTGAAGAGAATTCATTTCCTTCAGGCCTCTCGTGCTCAAATTCTTAAAAAGACAATAGATCATATACAAGAAGGTAAGGCCACTCATGCCGCCACAGAAGAAGAAGTAAAGCAGTTGAAGGAGAGGAACGAGCAACTGAAACAACAGATTGCGGCCAAGAAAGCAGCTCTCCAAGGGCAAGGATGCTCCAAGAATTAATTTCCGAGGATTGGATTTCGTATTTTTATTTGCCTCATTATTTACAATGGATTTGTATAAAGGCACACGTATCAAAGGAAAGAATGAAATGTCCATAAAGGGTCTTCAGACACAAATAGTGTGGGCTGTATATCTCGAGAATATTGAAGGAAATAGGAATAAAAGACAAAAAAAGAAGTCCAGCTACATTTAAAGCCCGTTCAATAGCCAAAAAGAAAAACTGAAATGTCAGCGGCAACCACGAGCTCTTTTCTACACAGGATTACTGTCATTTAGACGTCAAGCATTAAATATTTATCAACAACAACAATAAACAATGAAGATAAGCATAATAAGAGTCCCAAAACGATCCAGTTTAAGGCCACAATGGAAAATTTTCAAAAACATTAGTTATTATTTGGAGAGGAGTCAGAAGAAAGACCTTACGAAAGGGTCTTGTAGAACTCATCCTTGGCAAGTACACTCTCCGCGAGGTCGGGAAGATCCTCGGCGACCACTCCGTCAACAGTGTTCTGCTTGGATTGGTCGATCAGATCCTTGGCATCTCCCGCCTCAGGCACTTCCATCTTCAACTCTCCATTCGAATTTTTGGATTCCAGATATGATTCCAACATCCACACCAAATGATCATTTCCGAAGAAAGGGACAAGGTTTTCTTCGGTATCCCATTCCGTTTTCTCAGGTATCTCGGCCTTGTCGCTGTTGTCAGCAGAGATGGGACGATTTTGTGGGTTGTGGTACTAAAAAGTGACGTTAGACAAATTAAAAATTTTAGTAAAAATAAGTGAACCAACCTTCTTCCTGAGGAAATTGAGAAGCTTGGCTCTTTCATAGAAGTCCAACTTGTTTTCTTCGATATATTTGACGACGTCAAAGTCATGTTTATCTTTCATATGTTCCGCAATGGATGGAATGTCTGCCTGATTGTTGGTGCAGAACAAACAAACAACTCGTAGTTGATCCTCATCAGTGTTATCTTCTTGCCACTCGTGCCAGCTTTCTTCTTCTTCTTCGTCGTCTGAATCGACAAATGTTGGCATCGTATCTTCGAAGTCCTCGGCCAAAACTTCTAACCAACGTTTACCAAGCTCCTAAAAACGAGAAAATAAAAAATCAAAATTTTCTTACCAAGTAGTTGATGATGTAGAACTTGTCATAATAGTTGTTGCTGGGGTTGACCTCTCGATGATTTCTCTTTCTCATATGTTCCATCAAAACATTCCTGTCCGGGAATGTCTTTTCACAAAAAATGCACTCATTTCTCTGCATCTTTTCTCTCAGATGTTCGATATATTCATTTACGAAGACCAAGTTATCCGGAGACCCCAGATTCAAATGATGAATCATGTAAAGATGGTGGATAATCTTGGAACGATTTCCCCTGGCCACATAACGACAAAAAATGCAGGGAAGAGTAAGAGTCGTGTCATCACGTTCTCTTTGCTGGCAAGACAAAGCTTCCTCCAAACGACGCATGGCCAATCGTTGACGGAGAGAGTAATCTTCGGGGATCCTCTCCGACATTTGGAAGTAATAATCCACTTTGCCAAAATGAGGATCACCCTCCTTCGGCTCGATTTTGGGGAAGATATCCGCAATGCTTTGTTTGGCAAACCGTTGTCGCCAGTGCTCGACATATCTTAATCCAACACATTGTAACAGATAAGATTTCTTACCTCTTTGGATCAACGATCAATTCCATTTCTTCGATCAGGATCTTATGCTCAGTCAACAGGTGATCAGAGAATTTCTCGATGAAATCCGGCAGATCAAAGAACTGCAAACAGCTCAAACACATAGTAGGTCCACCCCATTTAGGAGAGAATCCAACTGGCGGAACAGTTCCAGAGAGCGTTCGAATCCGACCTCTGGGGATGATCAGAGACGGCTTCTGAGGGCCACGACTTTCTTCGTCCTCCGAATCAGAGAAAGGTTCCTCAAGTTCATCTAAAAGTTTAAAAAAATATAATTACAACACAGGACTCACAATCGTCGTATTCAAAGCTTTCGCCATTGGAGTTGACGGAATAACTCTTATTTCGGAAACGGCCTTCAGAAGCCGTGGTCGAAGAACGATTTCTCTTTTTCTCGTCAGCTGAGACGGCTCCGTCCTGAGACTTGTCCTTGGAAAGCGTCCGACTCTTTGTTGATGGTCTTCTCTGATCAATGCTCTTATTTTGCGAGTTGTACTGGTGTCGATTGTAAGATTGACGACGCTCATTCGCATTATGGCTGTCGCCGTTCTTCTCAACCGAGTTTTGGCCATTGAAATTCTGGCTGGAGCGACGGTTCTGCAAAAGAAACGATAAAAAAACCGTATCAATGTCCAAAATCAAAAAAAAATGCAAATATTACCTTACTGTTGTTTCCCTTGCCGCTCTTCATACTCTCCTGGCTCTGGAGCCGATCACGTTGCTCTTTGGCCTTGCGAACGGCCTCGGGGTCAATGTGGATCGGCTCCACTACGACGGTTTCTTCCTTATCCACGCCGTTTTTTGGTGTTTTGGCAGAAGCCATAAATCCAGCGATTGATGCTGCTTTTGCTCGTTTACCCTAAAAGCAAGAGGTAAGAATGGTGTTACTTTACCTAAATTCTGTAAAAAATAACGTAAAAAACTAAAAACACGCCTACTCCCGTGAGACCTTTCCCGAGCTGCGTCCTAGAACGTTAACTTTTAGGGGAATCGATTTTATACGATGAATATGGATAATTTTACAGAAAAGGAAAAAATAATTAGGTTATCCAGTATAAGTGAAGGAAGGCTTCGGAGTATGAATAAGTTAAAAAAGCAGGAATGCAAGATACGAAATCCTTGTTTACGTGTCCCGTGATGTCAGTAAATGGCGTGTCCACGCGTGTTTACTTTTTCCATACGGGCCCAGAGTCGTATAAACAATTCGAATATTACCCAGACCTTATTTGCCTCTCTTAGAACAGAGTCAAAGTAATTTTAAGCGCAAGATTCCCCTAGAGTGATGTGAGAATAAAGATGAATTTATAATCTTCATGTCAAGAAATGGTTTGAAACGCCTTTCCCTTTCAAGGAAGACTCGTGATTGCAATTAAAACAAACGTTTTTGTTGTCTTATTATGTTAATCACAGTATAAAATATATTGGTGAACAAAAAAAGACATTAGAATCAAGGAATCTGAGGACGTGGCTTCGAAATTCTCGCCTTCAAAGGTCCAACAATCCGAAAAAAGCTGGCAGTCTGGCTAAAAAGACTGAAAAAAGAATGAGGGAGGATTTGTTTTCCTTTCAGTTAGAGAATTGAATGATAACACGTATCATTAAGAGTCACAAGCCTCGGGGAGAGATCCGCGTGATTCCTCTGTTCTCTTCCAGTAAACATAAAAAGCGAAAGTCGGGGATCAAGGGATTTTAATGGCAAAGGGATCTTCCTGTCTGAATGTTCGTCTTTTTGACCTCCTATTCGAAAAGAAGACTACGATGTGCCACTATGAAGAATATTCGATAAAACTAAACTGTCGTCAAAAAAGATACGATCGCAGACGGAGCTGATTAGAATAACAAATCGGATGGCCAGCCTTTTTTGAAACCATTTATCGATGTTTACAAAACACATTTCGTTTCGAAAGAGGTGATCTCGTTATACAGCTGCACTCACAGGCATGATCTCCCAAAAAAGGGAACGCCCGAAGGTCACGGAGTGTTGAGTTTAATATACAGTCATTTCTAGCATGGTCTTATCTTAATTGAATGTTATCAGAACTCGAGATGGATGTAATTGCTTGTTACGGCGATTATTTATAAGTTCGTTGACTAGAATTGAAGTGCACACTCAAGATCGAAACACGGTTAATAATTGTATCATGGGGATGATTATTCACGGATTTATGTCAGATAAAAGTAATACAATTACTATGCCATCGTCGTCAACGCCATGCAACTTTTATTTTGCATTGCGTAACATGCAGTAGCTCTTCAGAAGTCCTTGAGTTCATCCTCAAGTTGTCGGCACCGTTCGAATTCTTTTTTTAATAAGATCTGCGTGATTCGCGGCTCAATTAACTGACGCAAGAAGGGAGGGAGGGTTTCCAGGTTTGGAGCTGCATTAAGCCGCAACAATTACCACAACATTCCGCCCCGACTTCCTTTCCGGACCAGTGATTGTGACAGTCTTCTGATGTCTTGACTTCCGTCTATTGTTTTCCTCGGGTCTCACTAGCTTGAGGTTATGTATTTGAGAGTGAAAGTCCGCTCTCATCACATAATTATGACGCGCTTACTCTTGCTCTTCTCGTTGCTGGTGTACGGTAATGCGCAAGATGATTACTTGTCGGCTCAATTGTCAGGTAAGGGTTGATTTCATGGCTTGTTGGAGACCGTTTATGTTGTTATTAGATCAGATAAGGGATCAAGTGGAAGTATGAATAAGGAAGATTATCAAAAATTGAAATTACATTAGGGTTCGGACGGGGTATATAACCCGGTATATTCACGAACTCCCGCGAAGCCGGGTATTTTCGGTTATTTATGGGAATTCTCAAAGTACAATACTTTTGCATTCAAAAAATATAAAAAAAAGTGGAATTTGGTCATAAAAATTAACGAGCGTTGACATTTTGTCATAATTTGTATTTTGCCGTTCAAAACTTGGGTTTGAGGTCGAAAACTAGTTGGCCAGTTGCCGGAGAAAAAATTCCAAATCTGACTTGTTTTGTTTGTTGTAGTTGGGAAAGTAAAGAATATCACTCCAAATGTGATTAAGTTAATCAATGGGTTACAAGTGACTTCATATTGCTCCTATATTGGGCTAATTTTACAAATACCCCAATATACCCGAGGTTTCGTGTATATACCCGGGTATATACCCACCCACGTGTTGAATATGCCCGAATTTTCCGAACCCTAGATTACATATAAAATTGAAAAAAAATCCAAAAATATTTTTTTTTATTTTCTGATGGCTAAACATAGAAGGTCACCATCCAACCACATGTCATTTAATTTTCCCCGGATTATTACCGTTTCTTCATCTTCACCTTCCCAAATTACCCATCATCTCTAGGGTAAACAAGGAAAACTAGTATAATTTCAGAAGCCCCTAGAGTAAGATGTGGAGATTCCACCGTCAAAGTGACTTTATTATCGACCGAACCATTTGAGGGAAATGTTTACGCCAAAGGGTTTTTCAACAAAGATTCGTGTCGAGTGAAAGGAGATGGACATGGGAACATGGTGAACATTACAATACCCATTACATCAGATTGTGGGATGAGGAGGCGAAGGACGGTATGCGAATCACATTTCAAATTGACTGAGTTAAATTAACATAAATTAATATTAGATCAAAGTTAATCAACAAAAGGAATCTAAAGTCATATTAGAAGCGTGACGTCGTACTTTTCCGAGTTATTACCGATCTTTCTTTCCAGTTACCGAATCTTTAAATGCTTTTTTCAGAGTAATTTCTTTTCAGATAAATCCCAAGGGGATTGTAATCGAAATGACCTTGGTCTTGATGTTCCATCAGATGCTGTTAACTAAGAATGATAAGGCTTTCCACATTGAGTGTGTTTATCTCGAATTGTCGCAGAAAATTACAAATCGAATAGATGTTAGGTAAGAGGCGAAAAAATATTTAAAATAAAATTACAGTATGCTCCCTTCAATGGAAATAAGAGATGAATTGTCGGTAAAAGCAGAAGCAAGTGTCCCCAAATGTAAATATGAGGTTTTGAACGATGAAAAAGAGAAATTAGCATATGCAAAAATAGGACAAACTATCTTTCATCGATGGTTTTGTGAGCTGGATCAACCAAAAGAAGTGGAAGTAGATGAAGATGAACATGCCAGGTTGTATTGCCTTACTGTACATAGTTGTGAAGTGGATGATGGACATGGAAATATGCAAAAATTGTTGGATTACAATGGGTGCCGTAATACTTTGCTAAATTATTTAATATAATATTATTTTAGATGCCCCGTGGATAAGGCTTTATTGGGAAAGATAAACTACGTCTCTGATCTCGAAGCTGACAAGAAAGGACTCGTATTTAAATTTGCGGATAAACCTACAGTATATTTTAGTTGCCAGTTGAGACTGGAAGTTAAAAATGATTACAGTGAACAATGTTCGGTAAGTAATTTACATTTTTACAACTGCTAACAGTAAACATAATACTCTCTTAGAGAACCTCTGATTCTTGCGATAACTTTGACAAAGGACAGACAGTAGAAGGGCCTGTCGTAGGATATGATCCTTTATTCCCAACTCCGGAATATACTGTAACCCCAACTCAGGTAACTATTATTTCCTTTGGTTTCAAAATTATGCTCAGATCCCAATTGATGATGACGTGGTAACTGATGGATTGATAACAAAAGGACTGCCAAATGATTCTGAATTCGGATTTGACCAGACAACAGCTGATTGGAAGACAAATAATGGGGCTGAGGGACTGCATGGACACAATTCCGTTGAAGTAGAACCATCAACGCAGATCAGAGAATTCGACGAATATAACGGCGATGCCAGAATCAAGGCCATGGATTACAGGTCTAGGCAAGTTATAGTTTAGTATCAAGGAATTTTAATTATGTCATATCTCGATTTTAGTCAAAGAAATGACATCTCCGCTTCGTCTTCCCATCAGATCTTCGATACTCAATTATCCGGAGAATCTTTGTTTGCCAAGCCAATCGACGATCTGGTTTCTTCCTTTGAGTATACCATTAAAACAAGTTCCCCTAAGATGTTTGCCGGCCCATCCATCGAATTCGATGTTAATGCCCCAGGTGTTGATGTGATAGAAGTGACGGATGCCTCCAATCAGGAGATCATGCCAGTTATGGCCAAGTCTCCTAGAAATATCGCTGAATTCCAGCCTCAAACCCAGGTATCTCTAATTTTTTTTAAATAAAATAATATTTTTCAGATTTGTGTAAATCGACGGGCCTTTTCTTATTCAGTGGTTGTGGCAGTGTGCATTTTGGTGATGGTGGTTGTGATACTGGCCATCTTGTTGATCCGCGCAGTTAAGAAAAGTCGACGATTAAACAAATCAACGTGCCATCGATACTCGGAGAACGAAGGGGTTCTCTCCGCCTTCTCCCCATGATTTATTTTTGGAAAACGGTTTAAACGTATTCGTAGCTTCGAGTATGCGTATGTACAATCTACCAGTCAATTTGTCCTTGTATGAAATTGTAACATCTGGATTACTTTAGGTGACAGTAATCTTTATTTTTGTACCTAGATGATTACAATACCCCAGTCTCCGGTTACTTTAGAAGGTGCTCAAATCTTTGTAAAATAAATGTTTTCTTTTTTGACACGCAAACATTGCCCGAGGGCTAAATCTGTTCGGAAATTCCGTTACGGCTGACCATTCCGCTGGGCCTGAAACGAGAGAAGAGAAGTTAAGTAGATTGTTGGGCGCAAGAAACGCCAATGAGGCCATCAAACAGAGGAAGACCCTTACTTCTAACGAGGAGGACCTGACAATGAACGCCCTTCGATGGCCGCTGGACATTGCCTCGGGGCTTTATTTGGATAAAATTTCTCAGATTCTAATTTTTGCTCGTACTAACTAACATATTCTTTTTGGTCTTAGTCTTCGTATACAGCCTTTTATTATTTGCCAACTAATACTTGGCCAATACCAATCAGATTAGTCCTTTCCCTGGCTTCGTGTTTCCACATCAAACAACAGGAACGTTGGTTTAGACTAATTGGCAGGTGTGGCTGAGCCTTTCCTGATGAATCCCCTGCGGACACGATGGTTTAATTTACCCGATGACAGGGTTATCTGGCGGGGGAATTACCTGCCCAATGTGGCCAAATCCGCTTAAAAACCAATGCTAATCCCCTCTGGCGGTGGCCGGGGATCTCTTAAAGACATGTCCTCAGATTAATTGATTGTTCTTTTTTGACGCCAAACACATGTAATTGGTCGCGACAATCACTTAGGAGGGATCTGTCAAGTCCCTCATTTCCGATGAGATTTCTCTTGTTTTCGGCCCAATTCTTCTCAAATCTATATAAATTCCAACTTTAAGTCAAGCAATTAAATATTTTTTATTTTATTTTACCTTTTATCTAATTCCTATTTTTTTTACGCAAATTAAAAGCAATATATAAAATGGTTGCGTGCCAAGTATTTTTTCCGGCAGTAAGAGCATAGAGTATTAACTAAGACCGGCCATATGCACTTAAACATACATTTAAACATGTCTGTCAAACAATCTTCTTTGGTTTACACTTTGTAGCATCCGATTGCGCAACCAGATTACAGATAATCATTGTATTTTATATGTTGGCGTAACCTTTTCCGAGCGAGTGAGTCCTATGGATTTGCGGGAAATGGCCGTGTGCAATAAGTCCTGGCCATTGTCGCCACTTTATTTGGCGGGATCTCGAAGCGTGTAGATCGACAACGCCTAAGGGCATCTTGAGAGATTTTTGTTTATAAAGTGAGGTCGGGGAGAGAGAGGAGCAGGCCATAATTATTGTCCCACGTTGTTCTTTCTCTTCCAAATTAGGCGTCACGTAGTTTGAAACCGTGTTAGCCGAAACTTTCACTTAGGCCGTAGCCGTTTTTTGTTTCGACCCGAGATTTATCCACCCCGTCTTTTTTTGGGCAATTGGATTTTGTTTTGTCGAGTTTTCAGGCACTCGGATCCGCTTAATGAACCCTGAGGGCATTGTTGGACCGTTCCAGGAGAGCGAGTTGTCTGCCCGAATGGGGGGCTCACTCTTTCATTAAAGTCATCAAAAACAATCCCCGTGGGCAAATCTGAGCACCGTATCGATGGCCCAGAATCCAGAAGAAATCCGAGGCCCAATCCTGAAAACCTATACTCTTTTTCTGTTTGCGGATCTCAAATTGTGGGCTCATTAGTCGTGGCTTGGCTGATTAGGGGCCGGGCCCGGTCAGTGCGCCCTTTCGCGGAACTTGCTTGTTCGTCGTATGTTTATCATCCTCTTTCTTTTATAAGTATCGATAATCTTTGCAGAAACCCTGCAATCCCCGTCCTGGCCTAATCAGCAGCGCTCTCGGACAGCGGCATGTGATGGTCGAGGGCGACAGAATCGTCCACCTCGTTCGATTCTGGCTTCTGCTCTGTGTGGGCCCTCTGATGGCCGACATCATGTGGACGGACGTGAACGCCCAACAGGAATCCTACATCAATCAGCACACCCAGTTCTATCTCAGTAAGTTTTATGAGATTGCCCGGTTTTATGGGACTTTAAGAGTTTTAATGGGCTAATAACCAATTGCATAAAGGTGCATTGCTGATGATTCTTGAGAGTCTTAGAGACGACTGATCTTGTCATTAAGTCCAAAATAGCCATCCCAAAAGGTAAGGGGCTTGTTGAGTCGGCCCTTTAAGCGCCCCAGGTCTTCCTAAGACCCAAATCTTTTCAGCCTCAGATTATTAAAACAGGGAAACCCCGAGCAGCTTGTAAACGCACTTATGGAATCAAATGGACAATGCGATTACAAGGGGGGGTGTTGTCGGACGAGCCCCGCGGGCTTTAATTTTGCTGTAGGAGTCGACTTGATTGCCCACTCAGATTGGGTTCCTTTTAATTCAGCTCGACTTTGTCCCCGAAACCGGCAGTAAAACTCAGAAGACTCTGATAAAACGGCCTGAGGGAGTAAGGGTAGGGGAGCCGGCTTTTTTCGTTAGAACCGTTTGTTTATCTCGTCTGGCGGACTACTGATGACGGCATCAATCCAAGTTGCGACACTTCTCCGTATTTGCATAAAATCGACCCTTTTTGGAGCTGATTCCGATTCTTTCCTTGCCGCCCTCCCGGCGGGGAGATGAATTGCGCAACACGAGGAAAGTATCCCCTGAGGCGAATGGGTGAGAAGAATCTATTTGGCGCGGCCCGCAATTCAGCGAGCATCAGTCAAACCTGCTCCCAGGGGATTCCCGGATTCGGTATCTTTTGGTATCGCCTCAAGGCATTTTTATAAGAAACCGGGCCCAAAAGAACGGCCGGAAATATGGCCGAAAATCGCCGGTCTGGAAAACAGGTGTGGCTTTCTTGGGCTCCCCAGCTGTCTGGGAGCCGATTGGGATCCATTGTTCGATTGGGAGCGGCGGTGCGTGCCAACAAACTCTCGATTGCCTCAGGGTATGCGGAGATTGTCGAGGCCTTTTTTAAGACCTCCCATGGATTTGAGGGATTTGTCGCCGGAGATTCACGCGGTTCTTAATTCCTTTTACCCTCGAATTCGGGGCGTTTTGTCCTGATCCACGTGTGAAATCGGGGTCAGCCTCGAGGCGTCATCATCCTTGTTCTCATTCTATCGACTTCTCACGGCTGATTTAAAGCCCTTGGCCTTTTTGGCCACTTCCTTTCAAACAAGCCCTTGTTTGTTGAGTTTCTCAAATTTCCATCCCTTTTTTGACATGAATTGGCCGCCTTTTTCACTTTAGCGGATTAATCAGGTGTTTACCGAGATTCCCGAACGGTTGTTTGGTGAGGTCCATCCGCGCTTGATACGAACATACCACCGTTTCCTTCCATTCTGATTATGGTTTGAGGGTTGTGAAACACGCAAATTTCGGAGCACGCACTTTACGAATCCCCCATAATTTTGTTGTTTTCTCTGATTTATAATTTTCCTTTCCTTCGGTCGTTACGAGAAGCCCTTATAAGTTAGATCTGGGGCAGGCCCTGTTATTTTTTGACAGTATTTTTTAGTTAACTTTATACAATTCCGCGAACTCCTGTTTCTCTGATCGACTTCTCTTTAGTCTGTGCTATTATGCATGACACATATTGATTGTCTGGATAAGCGATGCCATGCTCAGAGGTTGGTGGTTCTTCCTTCCGATTCTGTTGGGAGCTTCTGATTTTCCGTATCCAATGCCGGAGAATTCAGAAGACGAGGAATTGAATGGGCCCTTCTATCAGCCCAACAAAAAGAAGGACCTGTTCACACAGCCACCCTTTGATCATCCTTATTATCGACCGTCCGAGCCCTCCACAAAAGACCTTTTCAGACATTTCGATCAACAATTAATGCCTGAGGAAATGTTCGGGGAGATTCCCAAAGCTGGTTAGCATTTGACTTTATTAGTAACAAAAGCGATGAAATCATTTGAATAGGTTGAGATAACGTAGTCTTTAATATTTTCATACTTTTTTTGTTTCAGACACCGCCCGATGTTATTCCTGCATGTCCAAGTTCTACGAAGCTGTCTGGCCAGCCCTTTCACATGTTTACAAAAGGCCGATGAACTTTACAGATAGTTGTAATGACGAAAAGATCGACAAGACCAAGGTCCCCTACACCCCGTGTCCCACAATTTGTGTGGCGATGTCCGAAGAAGCGACTGTGGCGGGTAAGGCTTTTCCCTTTCAAAACCGGGGGCGGCCTTTTTAGTGTAGAGGTAGTGAGCTGGGGGGCGAGTCCGATGGGAAAGGGTTCGAATCCCAGTCTGTCATAATTAGGGCCTCGATCGTTCTAAAGGTCGCGACCTTGACGAGTGACAGAAGAGCGACTTCGAACACTCCTTAGTGGACTTCAGGATTCTGATTTTCATGTCTTATGTGCTCGTACAGTCATTTTTAAAACTTCTTGTGCTACGCTTTTCAAAAGTGAGTAGAGTTTTAAGCGCAATTTTTTTTCTTTTTGCACTGTGCAATTGTTGTTGCTTGCGCAAAATCCGCGGCGACGCAGTTGAAAAAAGCTAACCTTGGGCGATTTTCGAATTGTACACTGCAAATTTATGCACAGCGAAAAGCTTTGCGACAAACAGTCTATGCACTTTTGAAAAAGCGTATGTCGAGAATGTACACAATAAAAATAATATTATACATATACATGTGTAATATTCTAGGAATGAAAATCCGCGGTAATATTCGTGGATGCCTGGACGATCTTCTGCACAATGGTTTCAACCAGACAATCGTGTCCTGGTACCGATGGATGCATCGAGATTCCTGCAGGATCTATCGGAAGAGAGAGCTTTTTAAATTACCTCCCGAGCAGTCGGATGAATCTTCAATTCAGGTCTGTACTTGTTATGCAGATTACTGCAACTCAGCGACGGTATCGCCTTGGCCACTGCCCATGATTGTAATGTTAGGAGTGCTCTTCACATTCGTCTACAATTAGTTCTGAATATCTCTTGTTCATGCGGGTCTCTTAATCAAATTCAAGTCATTTATGGCTTTTTAAATTAATTTTGTACATCTGTCATTAAAAAGTAAAACTATGCGAATTGTGATGACATATAAGCATCAAAAGTCTACGATTTCCGCAAAATGCCAAATTTTGAAATTTCTAAAATAGGCCTGAGGGAATTTGTATTCTACGGTGATTGCCGATCTAATCTCTGCCTGATTTTCTATCTTTTCTCTGGAAGATCTCATTTTTTCTATTTTTTTATTCTGTACATTAAAAAGTAAAAAATAAATGGAATGAAAAAATTATTATGAATAACCGTGACCATTATTTTTGAGAACGCCGCGAGGCGTGCCATCTTCGTTGAAGCGAACACGACCCCGAGATGAAGTTGAAGAGTCCGATGTGACATAAGTACCCTCGGTGTGGTGGAATTGGGGAGGGTTGTTGCTAAGAACGATAGTGCCCATCGGGATCCCGAACCCGCCTAAAATCAGACGATTAATAATTAAAACGGGATGCCAGAAATGACGTCATCCGTATGCAGCTCAATTAATTGCATCAAATGACGTCCCTTCTGGAGGTTTAATGAACAAAAGAAAGCGGTGAGAAGCGGGAAACGGCAAAGAATTAGAATTTCATACAGCACAGGGGATACCAGCCAGAGTCATGAACAGATTCGTACATGTGGGGGTTGCGACGACGATGCAGCCAGCATCCATTGCAGAGAAGACAACAGAGGAGCGACAAAAGGATTGAAATGATAATCGAAATGATCAATCCAACCACCAGCATTGTGTAATCGATTCTAAAGACGCAAAGGTTAAAAGAGATTCAAAGAAAAACTTACTGGAATCCATTACTGTAAGCAACAAAACGCTCGGCTCTAGTCTTCTGATGCTCTTCCGGGTTCCCTAATATCACCGAATTCTCATCTCCACAACAATAATAACCCTGAAAACAGAAATTGGAAGTGATGACTAATAAGCAACATAAACAACTTTACAAATCTAGCCTTACAACATTTGTTCCATGGTTACTTTCACAGCATTTGAAGGCACAAGTCAACTGAGCTCCAAATGGCCCGGTTGGACAGACTTCTGAGGCCTGAAGATGAGTCAGAAGACCCGTTCCGAACAGAAGAAGGTATAATAACATGGTGAAGATGGCGTTTGAAGGAACGTTGGGAAGTCGAGAGAAGGAAGAAATGGGCTTGATCAGGAAAACGGAACGACCTGACTTTTAATGGATGGTTTAATTGAAGAAAAAAAGGTGCGCGGTTTAAACACGACGGGAGGGGAAGATACGGAAGATACAGGTAATCTGGGCGGTCATAGAACTCGCCAAACGTGCAGAAGAACGTCGAGAAGTCATCTTTTTGAAGCAACAATTTATATTAATTTACTTACAACAAGGTTGCATTGGCCATCTTGTCTCACCTTCAACAAATTAATCAACGAAACACCCTGAACCTGATTACTTTTTATTTAATTATTTACTCGTTTAATCAAAATTGGAAGAAAACTGAAAAGAATCGAAAGTTTCCCCTTCGACCCTCAGGCTATACAGTCAAGAAAAAACAAAAGGTGGATGTGAGGGAAAGACGATAAAAGATCTCAAGTATCTTCCTCTTTTCACTTTTCACGTGTCCTGTTATCGTTTTATTTATCTTGAGAAAGGGATCAGCCGGCCGATTTCATAAAATTTTCAGGTTCAGAGGTTAGCTCCGATAAGCAGCGTATTCCAGGTGAAAATCTGCAGAGCAAGTAGAAAATTAAAAGAGTGCAAAAAATATGAGAAAATTTATAATATTGTTTTAAGCTTTATGATGATGCTGATATTCTTTGAATAGTTCCTAAAAAATACATTTGAGCAAGGTGGTATTGAATGTTTGTTGAGAAGTCCCTCTCCTCCTCCAAATAATGCCCCAATGATGCAACAGAGTCTTCTCGATAATTGTTTGTGGATTGAGGCGATTCCAAAGTCGGCGAATTATTCCTTTAATCACCGCCCGGCGATGCCTGACTCTACAAAGACGCCCCCAAACCACAGGACTTCCTGCCGCGACACTGGTTGCGCAAGAAAAAACAGGTGTCGAGGGAGGTCCAAAGACAAGGCTGAATTAGCGAGTCATTAGTCCCATCTGATGGAGGATCCTGGACTGTTATTGCAAGCCCGAATATGGAAGCGATGGTATCATAAGAGATGTCACTTCAGCCAGCCGGGAAGTGCTTGATTTGGAGTGACAAGCGAGAAGAGAGGACTTCATCCGCTCTTCTTCCAAAGAGTATTGCGCAGAGTTTGGGTGGCACTGACTTGTTTTATACACCTGCAATCGGCAGGTCGGTGACTTCCGAGATTTTCTTCTAATTTGTTTTGCTGTTGTTCAATTTTGTTGATCGATAACTTGTACACTTCGGCCGAGTATTTATTTCGGTACAATTATCAAAAAAAAAAGAATTCGAAAAGTCAGAGCGAAAGGCGGCCTCGGTCAGTCCTGGTTGACAGATGATCGATGTCTCTGATTAGTTTGAATGGTTGTCACAAAAATTTTTGAAGGCCCTTAGGAGATCTTCAGGTGGTATGAAAGGCCCCACGACAAACTTGTTGGGTTTAAATCCGTTTCCGGCCCATGATTTGATTTATCGGGCCGTTGATCATATTAAATCCGTCATGTTGTTGACTTTGTCCACTTTATTACCGTTGGACATTCGTTGCAAGAGACTTAAATTTTAAGATTTGTGTGTAACGTTACTTTTCCTCACTCTCCTTGATCATCGGCATTAAGAAAGCGCGGATATAGCCGACTTCGTACTTTTATAGGGCCAATTGGCCGTTTTTTGGGCCGGCCATTTTTAGGATGAAAAGGGCTGAGTTTTAATTAAGCGCCACCTCAGCCGGCCTCTTCCTTTTACAGCTTTTTGGCTTCATTTTATTATTCAAGACACCAAAAACAAGACCCGACTTGTCAAAAAACCGGCCCATCCCGGCTCCGAATCCTTTTCGTTAATTTGCGCGTATTAAGTCCGTAAACTGGCCCCAAACGAGTGACCGCCGCAGGGCAACGCGCGGCACTTGCGTCGGCCTGCGCCTAAACTCATAAGTGCGTGTTAAAGAGGGGTCCGCTAATTGGGGCCGAGCGCGGGGCCAAGCCTCGAATTGATGTCGTTATGAACAACTTGGCCTGTGTTTCGGTGGCCCAGATGGTATTCGGGTTGTTCCGGGCCTTGTTGTCTCGAGTGGACCCCTTCCAACCGTTCCCTCCCTGATTTGGCAACAATTACAGATGTCGCAGTGGTAATCCCGGGTTAATTTGCTGGCGAGGGCGTCGCTTCCCACGACATCGCGTAATCTATGCGTTGTTATTCCATTATAACAGAGGTTTGCTCTGGATGCGCATGGACAAATCGATGAGTAATTATAATTTGTAGGGTTATGTCATCACCTTGACAGATGTCTGACCTACTTCCCCGGCTTGTTGATTTCTCACTGTGAAGATTCTGGGATTAGAAGGGGAAGAGCTGCTTACGCAAGGCTCTCCTAATGTATTGGGTATTTGTATTCCCTGCCTTTACTTCATTTTATTACAACATTCTTTTTTGACCATCATCAACTGTGTTAATAAGTTTCTCTCCCCATTAAGTCCACATTCCGTCAGATTTCACGGTCGACTAATTCTCGGCACTAATTATTCGCGTCTTATCTGGGTCTATAATTACACCTGAAGAAGGGCATTCCTCTGTTTGGCCATTAAAGGAAGCTTTCGTGGCCCCTTGCCCTCCGGGCCTCTTATCTCGGCCTTTGCAGGAAATCAGCCCAAAAAAAGGCTGGCCGAGATTTTATGGCCGCAAAGTCCGAAAATGGCCAGATTATTAAAAGAGGAGAGAAAAAAGTTTTGTCCCTTTACGGCCAAGTGCCTCCGGCCCTCAGAATTTGATTTGCGAAATAGGACATTCAGATTTTCGTTTCCTCTTTAAAAGGTGCCTTCAAGTTGTCGTTCCTATGTTCTGTAACATCTTTCAGTCTTCAGAATTTGAGTTGATCTGCCAACTTTGATTTTGGGTAATCTTGAAGATGTTGCGCGATCACTTAACCCAAAATTGACATGAGTTTACCTCGAGTGTTACTTTTCTGAGTTTTGAGATTTTGTTGGGAGAACTTGGGCGCATTGCGTAACCACTGGTCTCCAAGCATTACCTGTAGCTATACATGTCTACCTTTGTCTCCTTTGTCCCTCTGCTCTCCCTCCACATGTAATTAGAGTTGCACTGCGGAGAAAATGTCCATTCAACCAAAGGTGCGCAATTTCCGGATGTTGCGTTTTCTGGGGCCTTTTATAACTTCCTTCTCTGCGGAATATTTTGGTTTATGCAGGGTTCATAAGGAGGTGGCAAAGTGTGGGAGAAGTGGTCAAGACCGCGCTCTAAAAGGGGAAATACGAAGGTTAAAGACGAGGTTATTTCGGGAATACGGTCTTTGATTTTTGAACAAGTCTACGATTACTGCAGTAATCAAAGTATGCATAATGTTCTTTACAGTATTTGTTTTGTTTTTACGACGCTCCAATTAGCCCGTAGTTATGTAAATTAGCATACTTCTCGACCTTTTCGAACCACTTCTTAAGCCCTGAGGGCGTTGCCCCGAAACTCCGAACTTTGTTTATGCAAATAAAAGTCTCGAGCATATGCGCCAAAACCCATCGCTATCTGCTGGGATCTCTATTGTAATTGACACATGCTGGGGACAGATGCCGGGACCTCTGCAGAGGTCTGTCCCAAGAAGTTTAACTTAATCCGGCGCGCTCCTCTCAGGTAGCGGGACAAGTGCTCCTAATATACTGCAAAGTGATGTGATGTTTGTGCTCGGACTGTTTGCTCTACAGGCTGAGGTCATGTCTGCGGGCGTCATTAAGTCCCGGTCCTTGGCGCCTCCCAAGTTTGGCCTTTGTTTATTCGGACAGACTGTTATGATGGCTTCCGTTCTTATGAATGTGTGGTTTGAGAGATGTTCGACATGTTGTCCTTTGTTGTTTGGACATGTCAGATGTCTCCGGAAGTTCTGTTTTTGTGGCATTTCTCTTACCTTGCTTTTATTCCGAACATATTATATTCCTATATCCTCGTGTTTACATCATGTATATATAATATATATTTTCTATTTTTTGCCATAATTTTCCCTTTACCGCATATTCCGAGGTAAAGGCGGCCTTATCGTATATCAAAGTCTGAGGCACCTGGTCGACTTCTTGGCCTCTGGTTCCTGAAATTCGATATGGCCAGAAGATTCTTTTAACGCCGTTTTGAGGACGCGGGCTTTCGCCCTTTTTCTTATAACATTCAGCGTTTTTCAGGATGAATCGGGTCAAACTTTTGTTCTTATTTGTAATACTTTATTCGGTGGATGCCAAGAAACAATGCGAACCCATCACGATCCCCTTATGCAAAGGAACTGGCTATAATATGACCTCTTTTCCAAACAGTTATGGTCATGAGAAGCAGGACGAAGCTGGTCTCGAGGTGCATCAGTTTTATCCTCTGGTCGAGGTAAACTGTTACAAACATCTCAAGTTCTTCCTTTGTGCCTTATACACTCCTATTTGCCAAGATAACTATGATATGTCCATCATGCCTTGTCAAGAAGTGTGTCGGGAGGCTCAGAAAAAGTGTTCCCCGATCATGAATACCCATGGATTCCAATGGCCAGACACTTTAAAATGCGATCGTTTACCAAAATTTGCGGATCAGGAGAAGACGGGCGTCCTCTGTGCTGCTCCTCCAGATGCAACTCAAGTTTCGAAATCATCAGAAGTCAAAGAAAAAGAAGTCAACGTCCCCAAGACTCCAAAGAAACCGGCTTCCTCCATCAAACATTCGGATGGAAGATGTTCTTGTCAATGTGGGCGCCCATTCAATCCAGTCTCAGCAGAAACCGTCTCCTATTATGGACAAGGTTACAGTATCCAGAACGTCTCTAACTGTGCGTACTCCTGTTCGGGATTACTCCCAACTCATTCTGTTTCTCAGACCAATAATTACAAACAATGGATCGTTTTCATGTAAGACCTTATTTTTTGATGACTATAACTTCTTTTTTTGGGTCAACATGACTTATAGTCATCATTTTAATCTAATATTTTCAGCACGGTGACTTGTTTCTGCATCTCTTTTCTCTCAGTGATCACCTTTTCCATTGATCTTGGCCGTTTTCCTTATCCAGAACGACCAATATTATTCTTGGTTTTATGCCAACTTTGTGTGGCCGCAGGGTTTATGATTCAATTTTGGTATGGGAACAAGAAGATTGGCTGTGATGCGGACATGCTTCGGACAATGATGACCCCAGAGGCGACCGTTGGAAGTAGCGTTCAATGGTCCTGCCTGGCCACTTTCGGTCTCACCTACTACTTTTCGATGGCCGCCGCCGTTTGGTGGGTGGTCCTCGCCTTGTCCTGGGTGCTAGCTGCAGTTCCCCATTGGTCGACTGAATGGATTGGCAAATATTCTTGTTATTTCCATTCATTTGCCTGGATTCTACCGGCTATTCAGACTGGATTGGTCTATATTTTCAATGCAATTGATGGAGATCCGGTATCTGGAGTCTGTTTTGTGGGAAATACCAACCGAAATCATCTTCTCTACTTCGTTATCAGTGAGTTTTAGTTTAAAGTCTTCGCACCGTTATCTATTTTTAGTCCCAATGATCATCTACTTTATTGCTGGAGTTTCCTTCCTTTTTGTTGGCCTCCAATACCTCTGGTCGCTGCGTTCAAATCTCCAGAAAGCTCATCACAAAACCTCCAAATTCAGTCAATTGATGTCCAAGATCGTTCTGTTTGCTCTGATCTACACGATCTCCGTTATTCTCCATGTTATGGTACTTATCTACGAGTATCTGAACCGTCCAAAGTGGGAAGAAAGTCTTTTATGTCCTTGTTCTCAGGAAATCCCTGTTAATGGTGAGTTTTATTCCCAAAAATAAAGGACGCCAAAAATAATAGAAAAGAAGAAACAAGTGAGAGAATGCGAAAATAAAGAGCCCGCAGAGAGGCAGAGAAATTAGAAAATAGTTTGTTTTTCTTGCCTTCTCTCTCGGAAAACGCCTCATTTCAAAAGCAAGATGAACTTTTTGGTCCCCGACCTTATCGGTCGCGTTTGCGAACGATGATGAGAGCCCCAAGAGATCGAAGGAGGTCCCCGTCACCTGAATAAGGTGAAAACCCACGGGAATCGGCTTCTAACGAGACGATCGGATGGCCTTTCTGAGTTCGTCGCATGCGAAGAGGGCGTGAGACAGGAAAAGAGACCCGGAGAGAGTGTTTATTTCTGCTCGTCTGACCTAATTCTGGTCCCAGTTTATTCTCTTCTCATCTTTTGGGGGGCTTTCAGTTTCCTTTACAAATGTTGAGTGCCCGTGAGGATAATCCAATATGGTTTCGCGACTCTTGTCTGAAAAGATTATTTTGAGGATAGTCTTGGCTGTCTGAGGCACTTATCCAAAACACAACAAAAAACAAAGCAAATTACACGTTACTATTTTTTCAGCCGATACCTTGTACTTCCTGAATTTGCTCAAAGTAGGTTCAATGATGGCGATCGGCTGGACTTCGATGATCTGGGTGTTCTCCTCGAAGACATTCCAGAGTTGGAAGAGGTTCTTCTGCTGTGGAGCTACCCCTTATGCCACTTACACTGGCCCCAAACTACCATTTGATCTAGTTGCCAGTCAATATCAACAAATCCCTCCGCCTCCTCCTCCCCTACCACACCCTCAGTTCCCACCCATGTCCCATAAACAGTTCCATTCGCCGGAATTCATCTATGCCAAACGGGATATGATCTCTTCGCCTCATTTCAGCGCTGCCAACACACTTAGGCATTGTCCGCGAGACGTTTAAGACCTCAGTGGCTGGTTTTTGACCACTACCTCTAACACTAATACTTCATAGATCTCGATTATTGTACATAGCATGGTTTACTGTGATATTTTATTTTTGTTTTCTCCTCTTTGATTGTATTTGAGCTTTTAATACATAAAAGGGTAATTATTTATATACGAAGTTGACGAGTGATTTGTTAAATCAAAAATTGAAAAGATGACTGCCGTCATTTTGATTTGGCGAACTGACTGAGATCGGTCGATTTCTTGCCGATCTCGACACCCACTGATGCCCAAATCAGGTAAGTGAGACGGCAATCAATGATCTCAGTCACCATTAGGCTCTACTGATCATAAAAAAGAAAAAGATGGAACTGGCACTGGCACCGGTAATGCAGGTAGTACGTAAGTCACCTTTAAACAATTAAGCTATCTTTTAGGGAGAATGCTGGCTCTGAGTTGAAGAAATCGTCGAAGTCAAGTCGGATATCGAAGGCAAAGAAGGCCTCCGGCGAGACAATGTCCAAAGAAGGGTCGGGAAAGTCATCTGGTCGATCGAAGAAGACCATAAAGGCTCCAGATGAAGACAAGTTCGATAAATTAAAGAAAGAACTGGAACAAGAAAGAAAGACCGATAAGGAAAAGGAAAAGATCAAGTCGAATAAGGAAAAGGTATACGGTAATTTTAAAAAAAATTGTTTAGAAGTCCAAGAAGTATAATCTCGATAAAACTCAATGGGAAAATACGGAATGGAAATCACAATACGATAAATATCTGAAAGGTAATGAAGGTCATAACGATGATTGTAACGGTAGTGTAGGTGAATTTCCGGATGAGGAGAACAAAAAAAAATCCGAGACTTCCCAGCAGCAGTCGATGAACAACAACAATCTCCTTGCCTCTCATTATGTGCCTGGAGAGAACTTCCAAGGGGCCAAAGAAAAGGGTGCTTATCTTCTCGACTTCCCTCTCTTTTCTCTGATCCTTTCCGTTATCGAGTTTGTAAGTCATCCCAAGGAATAATCAAAACTTTCGTTTAGATTCTGTATCTGGTTCTCTTTATTTTGGCGATTTTAACGGCAGGAGAACATATTTTTATCGTCATCATCTTTCTCGTGAATTCGTTGGTCTTGATGATTTTAACTGTGGCCTCTGCTTTGGTCCAATATCGCCGATGGCATGTGAAAAGTGATGTTGATTTGAATGGACACCTCGAGTTTACAATCAAACCATCGTTCAGAAGAATTGTAAGTGTCGAATTCTAAATGCAAAACTCTGTTTCCAGTATGCTTCATTCCACTTTGGTCGTCTTTGGATTTCGTTTTCTTGTACCTTTACCTTGTTATATTACATTGTAAATGGTGACAAGTTGACCGAATTACACACGGTTTCCTTCTACTCCCAGTCTCCCATCGGATTGTTGACGGCCTTGGTCGTCAGCCTGCTGGCTGAAGTTTTCATTCTAGTCCAACTTTTTTTCTTTTTCAAAAATCGGATGACCATTACTTCTTGCCGAAAATAAACATCGAACACCTACTGGAAGTCATTTATGCAATCACTTTTATTATACAAATGTCAGTAATGGCACATTTTTGATCAAAACAGCACCAATGAAAAGAATATATTGTTATACAAAAAGTACGACCCGATTACATGAATTCACATGATTGATTTACTGTACATTGCATTCAATTTTTTGATCAGATCTCTTGGATAACTCCACAAGAAGAATGTCCACTTGTTCCACCAGATTTGAAAATTCCCATAACTGTTTGGCATGGGATTCCAAGAAATTTAGGACCTCTTCGCTGGTAACCCGCTTTGAGCGTTCCAAGACCATGCTCATCCTTTCGAAGGCAAAATCTGGAAAGAACAAAAGATAGTGATAGGAGAGGCGGAAACATCAAATCGCAATTGTAAGAGGACTTACTTATATACTCAGCAACGTTGACGTACTCGTCCTTCAAAACGCCCTCGATATCTTCCTTGAGTCGACTCATCGTCTTCATCATCATCAACATATTCTTTTGGACTTCATCCATCTTTGCCGCAATTTCGGGGGCCAATTCTCCATTGATTGACATTGCTCCGGAATCGGGTGTAGTTGATGTGGACCGCCCCTGAAGTTCTTTTTTCCCCGTCAATTTGCATCTTTCAGCAGAATGAGGAGTCGGCGCAAATCCAAGTCGGGACTGGTTCATATTCGATGAAATCAGGGACGTTGGACGACGACTTAAACCCTGACCATATCTGGTAGCAGGCGTCAACGAAAAGTTCATGGACTGGGAAATTGGAAGGGGAGGTCGGTCTGAGGATGAAATCGAATTTACAGAGTTGGTGAGTTGATCAAGCTCGGCCAATTCATCCAATCTTTCTGTCAGTGGGGTGTGCTGAAAAAATATAGATTGATTAAAATATTTTACTTCAAAATACTAACTGGATTGGAATGGATTTTCAAATTCTCGAACAGCCTGTTTGCATCCTCCTCTTTTGTCCTCTGATGTAGAACGTTAAGATCTTCGAACTTTTTCTTCCACTCCTCCTTCTCCATAACTTCTCTGTCTCTTTCCCTCTTCACTTCCTCTAACTCTTCCATAGATCTCCTGTACTTCATTTCGATTTCTTTCATCGCCAAATCCAATTCTTTACATCTCTGCTTGTAATCGCGATACTCATTTCTTATTGGATCCGTTCTAAAAATTAATGTAATTCATATTTCAAAGATAGTCCTTACGACATTTCCTTAATATCCTCGAGCCTGGCCGGCTGAACTCTTCGTGAAGACAGGGGCTGAACTTGGGCGTAGACATCTCTGGGGTGGCCACGGCTAATGGATGACAACCTGCTTACATCTTCTTGTGAATGGTTATCAGCATAATAGGAATGGGATCTGAGGGTTCGGTCACGGTATGAATCATGGTTAAAGTCGCCAGCACCACTAAAAATACGATTTTAGCAAAAGATAAATAAGATCGAAGACATTGCCCTAACTACTCCGATTCTAATGGGAGTAGTTATCTACTCAAACGCCTAAGACCTAAACCCCAGATTACCTGGTCTTCTTTCTGGACTTGCTCTTGGAAGAAGTTCCCCCCAAACCCATGTTCAGAATAAATAAAACGTCGTGGTCGATATAAGGCCGCTCTACTCCCTGTCCCAATCTTTAGATGCATCTGCCTTTCCGCGCGCCCTCCTTTTCTCGCCGTTGGCACCGAGCAAGGTCCAGTCTACTAAAGAAAGCGTCGGGAATGCGTTTCAGAAGTCTTCCCAGGCTTTGCGGAGGTCAAACCCTTAAGGAGACAATGGCCCTTCAACTTATTGAATATAAACAAAGTCGTTAATCAGGGCTCCAAGCTATGCCAGGCCAAAAAAAACATAAAAACTGCGCAAGGTCGAGTGGTTCCGGAGATTACAAAAGAAAAGAAAAGAGAGGCGTTCGGCCAAGAGATGCCTAATTTAATTACACAAGAAATTTTGGGAGAAATGGAATGGTGATCAAAAATGCAAAACTCCCGGGTAAAATAGAAGGCCCCACAAACAAAAAATCCAAATTATTTTCAACTGCTAACAGAAACTAAAAGTTCCTCCATCAAAATCCCGTCCAGCATTATCATTCTTATAAAAAGTAACAATAACAATAACGATATAAAATAATACTATCTTACCTGTCTCCGACTGAGAAAACGCCATCTGATTGCTGGAATGCAGTCTCGAGACACATCTGGCCAGACTGGGCTGGAACCGCCACAACCGGCGGGGAGAATGTGGAGGAAGAGCCTCCCGTGATTACACTGTGGCCTGGAACAAAAATACATAAAATAAAAATACTCAGCACGCCTAATCCCCAAAGGACTTATTCATGAAAAAAGCTGTGTGAAAAGTTGTAAATGGGCACGGCATAGCAAAGGAAACGCAGCAAAAGAACAGCAAAGAGAAGAGAAAGCCCGGAGAAGTAATGAGATGGCGCCAAAAGAGAGCGTACTTGTCTCCTCGGCAGATTCCCGTACTCAGAAGCAAGTAAAGAGAGGATGGAAACCCCCAAAAGAGTGACAAACAAACCATCTGAAGACGCTTCTGCTCCACGCCGCTTCAGGAATTCTCCATAACACGAGACCGGGCGTGGTCGTCGCGCAATTACTGAAAAAATTAATCGGTAAGGACACTGGTTAAGTTATCTATCGAAGAAGAATAAATGTTATCCACAAGGCTCACAACACTCGCAATTACGTCAATCATATTTACCGTAGTTCTGTCCACAACCAGGATACTCGGATAGTGGGAATTCTGGAATCAGAGGCTTCAATTCATCATTCCAGATAATCGAAGAACTTCTGCTCGAGGTATAGGTATTCCTGTCTGCTAGACTCCCCTCGACATAACTCTTCCTCATATCTCTTGTCTTAGGAACTGCTTTGAAGAAAGCCGAGTTTCTATTCTTCTCGATATTCATCGTGGGAGCGTCGACCTCACTGACAGCCTTTCTTGTCCTCCGGACATTCATCTCGGGTTCCCGATACTTCACAAAATCAGACATATTGTCATAATCATCACAGGAGAGCTTGCCATAACAAGATTGATTCATAAGATCAGCTTTCCTTGACTTAAACTTGATATAATTGAGAGTAGATTGGGCATAATCGACTTTCAGTTGGTTCACATTCGAAGACGACCCATATTTCTTTGGCTTGGCATCAATATTCATAGAAGGATGAACATCTTCCGGCTTCGGAACCCAATCCAGACTTGGCAGCTTCTTCTTTGACCTGGATTTTGTTGCAAATCTTTTGAAACAATCGATGAGATTGATTCCATTGGAACTGACAACCTCATTGTGAGACTTTGAATGGGTCAACGGATAGGTCATGGTATTCCAAAAAAACTATTAATGTTTTAAATCTCAGGAACAGAACAAAAACCGCAAACTCGCGCAAATAAAACAACCTGGCACTCTCAAATAATCTGCAGAGAACAGTGAGAGAGGTCCGGGGTGAAGAGCAAGTCTAATATCCGGTCTCCAAACACTGTCACAGGCCGAGCAAACGGACTGTCGACCACCGAACGAACATCTGGAGGCCCAAATTCAATTCGAATTTCAATCGGACTGACAACTACAAGCAGGGGACAACAAGAATAACATGCGGACACTGGATAACGGCTATCAAATGACTCGAAAACTCGGCCCAAACATATTCTCTTAGATATCTGAATAGCGAGAGACAAGAGTGGGGTCACTCCACCTGAGCTGCATTAAGGACAAACAGATGAACGGCCAAGACTTTGAGCACTCTGTCAAATCGGCGACCTTCCTATGAATAATGCCGACACGTTTCCGAGACAAACCCCGCATATCTGATAGCCCTCTCCTGACCCAAACACAGAAATTAGCCCCCATCTTCTCCTTCCTCTTTAAAAATACATCGGCCTCAAAAACAGAGACATCACTCACTCTGGCCTGCATCTGTTGCAATTATAGACTGCGCAGATATAAATCATGACATCCGAGCTTGAGAACTGGGAAGAGCCCTTCAGTCAGTCATACAAACCCTTTTCGTACGCAAAGGACCTTAATTAAAAACCCATTTCTTCTAAAATGACAACTTACTACTTTGGCTGTTAACCCATTCTAAAGGATACCTTTGATTGAAGAACCTCGGGTTCTGTGGACTTGAGAATCCGGCTGAAAAAGGTATATTAGACACAAAAGAAAATCTTATTCATGATAATCTCATGAATAAGATTTTCATAAAAGAAGCTGTTTCTCTGTGTGAAAAGTGAAACAGAAAACACTCACCTTCATAAACACTGTTTGGCCTTCTTCTTGGCGATGTGCCAGTACTCACATGAGTTGCCGATACACTATCCAGATTGAAGTCTTCTTCCTCTGGATCCTTCTTCCGTCCCAACAATCTTCTCATAATCTTCATACTTGTCCTTCTGTTCGCCGACGATTTCTTTGGGGCTGAAATGAATTCAACACAATAAATGCAAATTAGGTGAAAGCAGTATATTTCCAATTCAGATCCAATCTCCCTCACCCCGAAGACATAAAAACAGCGTTTTGATTGAAAAAAAATATAACTTACTTGCGGTGCCACAAGACATGGATGTCTTGACCATTCCCTTCCAGAGATTCGCAGGTCTTCCGTTACAAGATCTTGTCTGTAAATTTTGCAAAGGAAAATTTCGTCCAAAAACTCTATTTGAAACTTCACTTGGCGGTTTTTTGTTTTCGTGGCGGAACCCGGACATGAAAGAGAAGCGAGCTTATTGATGCTAATTTCAAAGCAGAGGAAAGACGAAAAGACGCAGAAAGCAAATGCAAAGGTCTCTAAGCGTTCATAAATTCCTTCAAACCACCTTTGGATGTCATCGTTACGATAATTATGTGCAAACTACAGACTTTATTTATCACAATACAAACACTACTCGGTAATAGAAACAGTTCCAGTTCTCTCAAGGGTTGATGCCTCCCAATAGTCATAATTCGGGTTATAGTGATAGTAGTAGCCTTCTTGGTTTCCGTTATTTCCCTAAAATGCGTAGATGATCTATCGTATCATACCATCCAAATATCAGTTCCTCCTCCTTTTCTCTTGCTGCCTCTGGAACTCAAACTATTTGATGAGGGCTTTGAGCTCTTTCTGCCCTTTGAGTTCTTTGCTGATTTAAGAGATTTGGAAGATTTCGAGATTTGGGATGAAGCTGTAAACATTTCTTTTGAATAACTTTACTCACTTGGGTTCCCTTTTCTAAACCGTCTCTTCTTTATGCACAAAAATATCCACAGAACTATCATAACCAAATTGAGAAAGCCAAGGAATCCCGAGATTCCCATGACGGTTTTTCCGGTCGAATCATAACCCTCAGACATCCTGAAAAAAAAGAAAATCGTCAGAAACTGCTATACTAACTGTAAATTCAAGTACATAAAAATTTACTCTTCAAGATCCGACTGTGTAGTGCTCAAGATGTAACGAGTATGACTAATGGTTGTTGTGCCCATCGTTGTTTCATTTTCCGCTATTGTTACGGTTGGAGAAGATTCAGACGGAGTCGAACGCTCGGATTCCGCAGTTGTAAGCTCGGGAGGACCTAAAAATCGTGTCCGTCTGTTAAAACCATTATCGGCAGCACCCCTGTATCTTCGTAAAAAATGTGTATTTTATGTGTGTTTTACTGTTTCTCTTAAGTAGTACTGTTAAAAAGTAACGGCCGTACATGTACGGGGGTGTTTAAGACAGCCTTAGTGATTTCCGTTCCAATTTATTATATTATACTATGTAGCATCCAATATTTTCGTGTCAAGTCAAAATATAATAAAAATTATCAAACTTACAACGGTTTCTCAAAATTACACTTTTATAAAAAAAATGAATGTCATTTTTGAAAACAGCACCATTGGAAACCCCTAAATCAAGTATTTTTAGAAAAAAATCCAAAAATTACTTTTTAACAGTACGACTTAAAAAAGTAAATATATACGTGAAATATTTTTATAAAGAAACAGGGCTGTTGAGGATATTTGCAAGGATTGCAGAAACCTGCCCTTTATGTTATCTTTTAATAATGGACCGTTCCCTAAAAATCTATTTCGAAACGATTACATCAAAACTTACGTTGAGTAACCGTCTCGCGTATAACCATCTCCGTTTTCGGATGACTATCTTTCTGAGGGTCTTTTGAGGGTTTAGAAGTATTTTTTTTATCCCCTGACTGTGATTTGGGCTTTTCAACGTTCCGTTTGTCGACATTCGAACGAACTGAATGTTGATCGGAGCCACTGTAATGTCTGGAATACTGTAATAATACTTCTGACTAATCTACAGAGCTCTTTACAGAAGGAAAACTCACTTTCTTGCCGTTGACATCACTGCATTCTTCTCATCCGTGTCAATTTCAGGCCGGTTTTTATTTTTTTTACTCTGTAAAACAAACTTTTCCCGATAATTGTAATCGATCCCAGGTTCAGAATCATCATCCTCTTGGGATTGAGGATTTAAAGGGAACTCGGAACTGGACTCTGGCCGACGATTCAAAAGCTCAAAATCATAAACTTGTGGATTCTGAAGACCAAAGATTTCATTTTGGGGGATCAAGAGCTACAAGTAATTACATTACAGACCTGATATTTTGATGATTTGTAATCCCGTTGGCGAATCTGATCGCCGTAAAAGTGCTGAGCTTGGATAATTTGGGCGAGAAACGCAAGTTCCAGAATCCTCATTTTAGTCGTTATTTTGCACAACCAAATGATCCAAAATCATCAAAATCAAATTTGTTTTATGAGTCATTTATGCTAATTTCCTTGTGTTTGAGCAAATAATATTTGCATTCCCCAGTCAGTATTTAGATAGACGAATCCGGCTTCAATGGCGGACCCTACAGTAATCCCCCCGATCCCTTTACTCCGCGGCCAAATTGGATTTGGCCAGAGAATTAGGCGTTTTTTAAATGAAAGATGCCGACAAATGTGATCTCTACCAGCGTCTGTACTGTTCGACTATTGGGAGATACATCTTATTTGCATGTTTAAATCTCATCTCTGTCAAACCTACGAGATGAGTTGTAAAAACAGTCACTTTGTGACGTCCATTGTAATCTATTAATGTACACGAAATGTTCTGGACATTATCAGGGATTCCGGATTTAAGGAAAGATGTAAAAGACGCTTATTGTCAGAGATATTAACAGCTTATAGTAGAGTTTTTACAGTTGTGACGACAGACCGATCTGATTAAATGCCACAAGTCGTGGAAGTCGTGCGTATTCTGATGGCCGTCTTATCACAACTTTATTTGTGTGTTTCCTTTGCTTGTTTTGTAATTCTTTTTTACTTCTTACAACTTTTTCGGATTCACCACCGTGGATGTGCTAATTTTGAATAAACTTTTCCCCGAAACGGGCTTTTAATGTGTTTGTTTTACAATCGGAAAATGATTTATGGGGAAAAGAAAACACCACACCTGCGTTTCGCCGTATTATCATCAACTTATCAGCGGCGATAAGGACCCTCTAATGGTCCTGTTCTCTTAATTTTTTCTTGTTTCAATTAAAATATTTTGATTTATTTTTGGCGGCTTCTTCAAAGCCCTCGGGGATTTTGACACTTGTGGGTGGTGAAGTGTGTTCCCAATCAGTGCCCATTGATAAGGGCTTCTCCTTCCGTTTAAAGCAGCTTTCGATCAAATGATTTCCGCGTAGATTGATTCCTCGACTTTCTGGTGAGGGAAGAGGAACTGTAAGTGATGAAAGAAAGACTTGAGAGATTACTCGGAGAGCCAGGAGATATGGGAGAACTTCATCAGGCTGGAGGGGAGTCTCTGTTCTCGCAATTCGTACTGTAATTTCATGCACAAACTTACGCTACAATTTTTTTATGAGCAAAATGTTTTACCTTTATCGCATTAGCATCTTGTTTTAGATTGCGCAAGTGTGGGGTTCCGGTCATCAGATCTAATCAAGTGCCCTCCTTTTACGGGGTCAGGGCCTGAGAATGTAAAATATATTCGATTTTGAACATTTTCGATACCCATCCCGACTAATCCCATCCTCAAGAGGTGCATTAGCATCTGACCCTTTTAGCGATTAGTTACAAACCTACAATTATAATGCCATTTGACCTCTCCTTTCGTCTTTCGCACCTTCTCAATTACTGTATTAAAGGTGGTGAAGGTCTTTGGAATACATTATCATCCGCTCTTACTCTTACAAATTGGTTTTGGGATTGTAAATCTGGTCCTGGTTGTTAGTACAGTTGTGAAATTGGCTCTGAGGAGGATTCTTTTAATGTTCTTTTCTCCGGATATCAGCTGATTGAGATGAGTTAGAGTATGGTTGAGGAGCTTATTGCATTGCAGAACAACATATAGTATAATTGATATTATTTTTGTCCAAGTCTCCTCTGATTATTTTCTTTGCAAACCCTCTCAATATGATTTGATGACCTTTCAACCTCCCATTTACATTGGGTCATTAGCTAACAAGAGAGTATTTACTCACGCTTCATTTCACTTGTATCCTTAACGTTTCGATTGCGCAACGCCGCCCGCATCTGCCTGGATGGCCCTCAAAACTCCTAATGGGAGGTCTTGGCCAAGAAGCGCCGGTTCCCAGGCCAAAGAGACTGCGACTATTTATCACGGTCATTATGCAAATTTAACTTTCTTCTTCGAATTTCGGCCCAACCATCCTCGCCTTCTTTAGTACCGTAGTTTATAAAAACCAACATTTGGAAAAATGAAAGGCGCGTTTAAGGGCAGGCAATAATCCTCGGTAATTGTCCGTCTTACAGTAAATTTATTTCTCTCTTGGTTCGCTGTCGATTCTTATTTGAATCAAATCGCCGCAGGAGAAATTATTTCCGCACTTAAATGTGTCACAAAAAAGTGTTCACTTCCAGAATCCGATGGACTCGGGTGGCGACGCGTGAATGCCACACTTTTCCTGAATCCCCAATCCGCGATTCTATTCAACCTTGACTAAAACCACATCAGGAAAAGAGAAAACAGACATTGGTTTAGAGATTAAGGAGGTCAGACTTGTTGAGGGGACTCCTGCTGGGGAGGGACAATAGAAACAAAACTTGACAAGATAGATCCAAAAAAGTAGGATCAAATCGTATAACCTTCCTAGTATCCATTTAGATTCCAATGTCTGAGATGATGTGTAATGTCTAACAGAATGTCCGGCCAACGTCATTCTTAGGGTTTAGAAAAGCACAAACCAATGACAACAATGCATTGGAGAGAGTGAATCGCTGCTTCGTTTTCCCTCAACAAACATTCCCTCAAATTTGGCTGAACTAATCCTTAAGTCAAACTTTCCGTTGGCCCGGTCCAAACATCGGCCAAAGGTGTGATCGAGGGACCGATTACATGCCCAACTGAACCTCCCTTTGATCTCGAGAGCAGTGGATTAGCGGCCCTTTAAGGTCGAGAGTACCGCGACCCATTTCCGGCACAGATTAGCAAGTTGTGCGCGAAATACCAGAGCGCAAACAAAAAACACTTTTGATGCCAGAAAGAGACCGCGGAGAGATCGGTGGGGATAAGTTCGCTCTTTCAGCGAACACTGCCCTCGGTTATCAGATGTTTACAGTCTTCTCAGAGCTACACATCACTATTCGACATCCAAAAAGATACGTTTATTCGGGCAAACTTTATTTTTATTCGACAAAGCTTGTCTGTAGACTACGATAGTTGAGGAAAGCCAGTTATCAGTCCAGCCCAGACCCAGCTTAGTTGTTTTTTCGACCCTCCTATGTGTTATACAAAGAGGGTTTAGAGGCCCACATCGATCATTTCTCAAAACTCTTATCATTAAAACAACCGAGGGGATTAGTAACAATTTCTGTGACGGTTTTTTCGCGGCTTATCAGGGTATGGTCTCGCCTTAATTTCTGGGCATCGATTAGAAAAAAAACTGGTGACTTTCAGTCTACTATCACCTCCAACTCAAAGGCAAAATGAAATGCCAAGGAAAAAATTTGGAGGATGCCGATAAGTAGAAGAAGAGTCTCCAAAAAACCATTCAAAATTCACACTTATCCTCTTGGAAAAGCGTTGCCTCTAAAGATCTATGATATCCGGGAATTGTATGATTGTGAAGATGATGCGCGGAAAAATAAATTCTTTTCGACGTGACAAAAAATGGGAATTGGAAGGGAAGAAGAGAGGTCGAGAGCCGGGCTACAGTAAGCGGACCGAACCAATCAGAGCACGACGCCCCGCCCCTTCCTTGGGAGAACAAACAGGGCGTGGGAAAGGAGGGGGACCGGGCTGGTCGACTTCTCACAGCCTCGACTTGACGTCCTCTTCGTTTCTTTCATTTTTTTGCTGAAATCGGCTTTACCAACGTTTTTCGACGACTTTAATCAGCTAGGACCGCGGCGAACGATTTTCTCGGCTGATCCTCGGGGAATCCAACCCCAATCCGCTAGCGCCTGATAAGCCGGCCGGCTTACCTCCCGCACCTTTTTTGTCCCACCCCTTTACCCGAAATACTTGAGTGATAATCGCTTTAGGAAATGAGTAAACTTGGCAGCTTACCGCGACAAATCGCATTAAGCGAAGAGGATGAGCCTTCCAGGGAACGAACGCCGTGCTTAGGCCGATTTAACCCCCCACTTAATCCCGAGATAAGCGGTTAAATAACTTAACAAGTCTAAATTTGTTTGAATTTCGATAAACAAACAAACAACCGGGGGATGGCAGGGATTCCGGCATCTCGATCCATAAAATGGACAATGCCGGAAATGGATCAAGCCGTTAAGAAGTTAGGAATCGACAAATCCAGATGATGAGCAACTCAGAGTTATAGTAAAGGCATGTAAAATCAACTAGCAGAATCTGAGCCCGTAGAAGTCTAGCCTAAGTCAATATAAGTCCGATCTACCAAGTACCAAACTCTCTGTTTGTGCTGGGTTACTGTAATCTCATGTCACGGGTTTCAACATTTCCCAATCCCAAGGAATCCGCTTACATTACTTTTATTAAGCATGACTATTTACAGCACTGTTCCCGTGCCTTTGTATGGGGCAAGATCTTTTGTAATTCCTTGACATTACTTGATTAAAAACATCGCTTACGTCCCCACCTGTTTGCCATTGCATTAGCGTAATGCAGGTCTAATGCCCGCCCAGAGCGAGAAATGCCGGATTCAATCGGAATAAAGGATCTGAGAGAGTATTAGCCATCTCTCTTTCCGATTCCTGATGCGTGGATACTGTAGATGTAGCTGTAGAAAGGGGTTGTATAGTTGGTTCAAAGTCTCTTAGCTGACTCAAACTTAAATGTTCCTGGGATTTGATTATTGAACTTGCGCCACTTTAATTGTGATTGTGATTGGTCGTTTTTAAAGCTTAATGTTCAGACAAAGCGTGGCGGTCCCAGCCCCGCTTCGATCCGGCAAAGTGGAATCTTCAGACCTGACCAAGGCCGAAGAATCAGAAGATCAACAGAATCACGTTGCCAACGCCCTCAGCAACTTCAACAATTTCAACTACGACACTTTCTCGGCCGTCTCCGCTATGAATTATATTCCGAACACAGCGATCAATTCGGCCGCGAATATGGCCGCCTATTTCTCGAAGCAAACCTATCCCACAACTCCCCAGTTATCGTTTACATCACCCGTTGCTACAGCTGCGGCCAACTTCCTGCAACCAACGATGGGATTCTCCCTGCCCGACTGCCCCAGCTGGTCCAATGGTCCACCCCCAAGGTCGGATTCGATTCCACAATCCTCCACCTCCCATCTCTTCGGCCACACTTTTATTCGGTCTCTAAATATTTGATATCGGGGATCGGGGGATTAATTCAAGTTTCAACATTAAGGAGCTTGGCTTATTCCCCCGATCGTGTAATTGTTGTGGTTGACTCTTTCCCGGCATGAATGTGTAACTTCTCATTTTTTGTTACACGTTCAATCCGTTGTCCTGTCCTTCTTCCCAAGATGCTTATTTATTTAGTAACGCTAAAATTTCAGGAAGCAACGTCGAGAAAGAACAACGTTTACCCGAGCACAGCTTGATGTGCTGGAGACGGTGTTTGCGTCGACTCGCTACCCGGACATCTTCACCAGAGAAGACATGGCCCTGAAGATCGGACTGCCCGAATCGAGGGTGCAGGTGAGTGGGGACTGGTTCTACTTCGGTTCTACTTCCCTTTCTTTCCCCCTCTGATATAAATGTTTTTCTTCGCTGCGCGACTTCCGAAGCGAAGCGATTTAAAAAAATAAAAGTCAGCGGTTGACTGCACACATAGAATCTACAGTAATCTGGTTGCAGGTATGGTTCAAGAATCGGCGCGCAAAGGCACGACAACAGAAGAAGTCGATGACCCAAAACGGAGCCTGTCAACCCTCCACAAAGAAGGGCTCTGGGGGCAGTGATGGATCTACTGGAACCACTTCTGGAGGCTCCAACTCATCGTCCAGTTCAAATTCTGAACAGCCGAATGCTGGGGACTGTACAGATGTATGTTTTAATCATCATTTCATGAAAATGATCAGTTTCCAGTTACTGTAAATATATTTGCAGATCAAAACCGAAGAAGGTCTCACCGAGCCAGGCTCAGCGGGCAGTGCTGATATGCAGAATGGGGCAGAGAATCCTTTGGACATAAAGAATGTGGCCTCCTTGTCCCAATCGTATCTGGATGTGTCTAATTACAGTAATTACCCATCAGTGGCGGCCTCCTTTCGGTCTCAGCCATATGCCTCAACTTACAACTACACCCCTGGAGGGTCCGGCATGGACTATCTACAGTACACAGCGCCTGTCACAAATGCCACTGGCAGTTATTCGGCCGATCAATGGAAGTTCAACATGAGTGGATAATGTCATTAATGGCCCAGAAACCGCGTCATTTCGTCATGTTGGGCTGTTTTTTGTTGCCAATATTATTTAGCCACTGACGATGCGGGCTCTGGGCCCAGGTGTTGGTTTTTGTTCTCATCCGTCTCCTCTGATGCAATATGTTGATGCCGTCCCGTTTTTCTCTGTTTCTTCGGTACATTCACTCTTCTAGACTTGGTTCAATCGTATTCTAGATGTTTTATTTCTTATTTTATGCTCCCGATATTTATACTGAAATTACGCAACGAATAAAAGCGATGACGGGGCTTAAAGAAGGGTTCTCGAAGTTATCGTCGCCGTCTTCAAATCAAATCTACATCTACATTTATTCTCGAAAACAGATTTAAATCCGGTTTTATCTTCGACTTCCCTTGTCTCCTCCATTTACATTACTTTAATTAATTAAATTGTACATGTGTTACTATCAGATACGGTAATGTAATCCCAGACAAACATTTATTGGTTTCAAAGTTAGATTTACGGAGTTAAATGCACCAAGTGCGACGCTCAGATGTTGATGAAACTTGGCACAAATTTAAATTAATTTTTTATGATATGTGCGGCTCCTACCATGCAGTTTGCAGAAACGACCGGCATTTTTAGTTCGAAAGTTGAAACAATCACTCTTCTGTCAATTTTAGCAGGGAAAGCTTCACGCCTGTTTGCAAAGTTGAATATTTCGGCTGCCCCTGAAAAGCGCAAGCTAGAACTTTCATATATTAATACGCGGCCCATGTCTAATAATTTAAAGGAAATCTGACAAGTGATGTGAGCGTCGAACTTGGAGTTCTTCCCTGGCAAGTTATTTTTCCGGCAGACTCATAAAAATTAAAACTAACTAAAGGTTGTAATAACAATATAAACAAGTCTGATCAGACCCCCGTCCAGACTTTGCATCTTTTTTCTGCCGGGGGGAACAAAGTCTGTCCTCTTTTGCATCCAAAGTCCTTGGCGAACTGAGGGATATCCTGCATGACCTGGTTGACCCGACATTTGCCTGGGGCATGTTCGTTAGTCAGCATCTGATTGACAAGACTCTCCTCTTTTTGTTTCATACACCAAGAAAAGCCATATGATATCCAGAAGATTTGATTGGAGGTGAAGTCATCCAATCCTGGCAGTCCCTCTTCCTCCGCGCCATTATTATATTTACTGATCCAAGTCCGATAGGCATTGAAAGAAGCCAGTTGACCTCCAATATCAGCAATATTCTCTCCTGTAATTATTTTATATATATGGAGATTAACCAAGTATAATAAAAATAGAGACCGACCTTGGGTCAGTTCTCCATTGGCACAATGGACATTGCCAGTCTCCAATGGACAACATTGCTCTGAATACTGTGAAATTACACACTGAGCCATGTCCAGAAATCCATCCACAGACTTGGGCCTTAACCAAGTACAGTATTCAAGGGTGCAGTTTCTGGAGAGAGTGCCACTGGGGTCGTATTGAACACCTGAAAATGCAACATAATCAGCTAGAATACTAAGTTGCACATTTCCTTACCCATACTATCGAAGGCATGGGTCAATTCGTGTCCCAGAGTACCTCCTTGGCCTCCGTAATTATATGCCTGAGGGTATCCGTAATTGTAATACGGAGGATTCAACGTGGCAAAGGGTATTGTAATCGAATTGTATTCAGGGGCATACCAGGCATTCACAGTAGCCGGAGATGCCTGGAAATCTGATCGATCGGCCGTCTTTCCAACGCGGCCAAGTCTTTCCGTCTTTTGATAGGCCTTGGAGAGGGCCCTCAGTATCTCAAAGTATGATTTATCCTTCTCAATCTTATCAAAGTCATCAATGTATTGTTTATGGTACTCGTCCAATTCAGCATTATCTGCATTGGTTTCGTTCATTGCTCCCTCGAAGAACGCGGGATATCCCAAATTCAGATTTTTTCTGATTTCGTTGGCTATAAAGTAAAAGTAATTTTACAAGAAATAGAGTTTTCCGATTACCTTTTTCCGTAATTTCCTTCACAGAATCCTCCATAAATTTAATAGTAGCCACATTTTCGAGAAAAGAGTCAATAACCAACTCAGCCTGTAATCTGATGTCATCCACGATCTTCTTCCTGTTCTCAGCTCCAATACTCCTAACATAAATAAACCCGGGTCCATAAGGCATCAAATCTCTGATTGTGTCCATGCATTCGATTTTATCATCAGTGGACACTGCTTCTTTGGGATGTCTGGTGACTGCCAAGATCAAATCAACCTGTTCTCCAACTTCCCCGTTAATAAAATCCTTGAAGTGCATTAAATATTTGAGTCCAAGGTAGTTATACCATGTACTCTCGTTTACAGTATTCAATTTGATGAGAGTGTTTAGGGCCTCGTAATATCTGGGCTGAGTTACAATTAAATTGTAATCGTTAGATTCAAATTTTAGGCCGTCCACGAATGATCCGAGTTTGTCAAAACTTTCTCTGAACTCGCTGACATTAAACGGATTGTATCCAAATTTTTGATTGGTCAGTAAATCATCGGGGACAACATTCATGGCCAGTTTAATCTCAAGTGTGATCATTTCACTTACTTCCTTACAATATCCGTTAACGTTTAGATGTTTACTTACTTTCTCATAATCCACTTCCCCTTTATAACCAATACTTTTGGCAAATTTTTTGAGAAGATCAATCAAACCTTCTTTGTATTTTAGAAGTTTTGATTGGAATGTTGATTTCAAATAAAAATCAAGGGGCTGGTTTAGTTTGGGCTGCAAAATAAAACAGTAAAATTAATTGTGGAATTCTATTATTATTATTAGAAAATTATACAAACGTAAGAGAAAAGGATGGCCTCCGAGCCGAAAACGTGAAGACCTGACAAATCTTTGAACGGGCCGGACCCACCTCTGCTCATTATCAAGCTTCGTAATGAAAGGCTTATAAAATTCCTTTCTTGCATAATTCTTCAAAAAAAAAGGCTCTATTGTCGCGACTTTTCATCTGGGGCAGATCGGGTATTAGCCCAATATGCATAGCCAATGTTACGAAATTGTTTGACCAGCGAACCAATGAGTTGCAATCACAGACTATAGCCAGAAACGTACATCGGCTAGCCAAATGTTCTGTAGGATACCCAAAACTGTCAGAATGCGTTCATAGGTAAGGGTAGGCAACACCTTCGACCGCCATTCTGACACTTTGGCTAGCCGATCCATGTTTTTGGCTAGCCATTTAAAAAATTTGACTGTAGTTTTTAAACTACAGCCAAATTTTTAAAATTTTAAAACTTGATTGGTTAGGTGGTCAAACAATTTTGCAACATTGACTGTACATTTTGGGCCAATACCCGGTCTGTCCCAAATAAAATCTTCCCCAAATAAATTCGGCCCAAATGAAGGGTAGCCGATTTTTTTCGACACCAATATGTGGCGGAAACACTTCGCAACGCTGTTCTCATTTTTTTAGTTGGTGTTTGAAATTACACTTGCGTCCAGTAATGATGAAAAACGTAAAGAATATTGGACTTACCCCACCCAAAAACAATGCGATCTTCTCAACATTCCTAAAGTCCGCCGTGACTTCATGGCTGATAAAAGTCTGCAGATTGTCATTCTGGAGCCATTCTGCCGCCACCTTCAGTAGATCCGTATTAGAATTCCACTTCTTCGTGAACATTGGAAAACCTCCAATTCTAAAGCAAACTTAAATCTCATTACGGCTCTTACTTGGCCTTGAGTTCTTGTTCTAATTCTTTTGATTTATCTCCTTCTGATTTCTCAGCATTTTTTACGCAAGAATCGTACACCTAAAATTTTTGATAGCCTTGAAAATTATAGTAATCTCACTCTTTTGACCAATTTCACAGTCTCACTTTCACTTTTTGGGTCTATACTGTCTAATATTTGAACAATCTTTCTGTCCACAATGTCCTGTCCATCATCATAAGTTCCAATTCTTGATGCTCCTGCAGGTATTTTCGCAGATTCCAGGTACTTATTGCAAGTAAAAGCATAGAAATCATCGCAAGGGTCCTGTGTAAAGTCCAATCCGGCCAATAGTCTTTTGGCCGCATCCTAAACAAAAATATAATACTATAATATTTTTCGTTAACTGAATATTAAATTAAACGAAACCCACCGCAAACTCTGGCTTCTTACTAATATCCCCAGTTGCACGGGGGCGATTACTCTTCAGAATCTCAGATTGGGGCTCAGGTTTGAAATGATCAATCAGAGTAAACACAAGATTAGTAATTGTAATCCCGAGAAGAGCCACACATACGGCTGGAAGTAATTGTTAAAATAAAATCATCAGAACTTACTCAGAATCAGCACTAACAAGCCTGTCTTCCCCATAATTGTAGTGCTTCTGGCATCTAATCAGGCGAATTAATTAACTGCAACTCTTATCGCTTTCTGAGGGAAGGCGGGCCTCAGGGTTTCTGCCTTTGGCAACACCATTAGCGACGCTTTTTTCTATTTCATTTCTATTTTATGATCCATCATGATGGGTAATTGTGTGCGAGAATTTTCGTCCATAGAGTAGAATGAAATATAAGAAGTAAATTTCCAAAACCATTTCTAAAATCATGTCTCAAAAAGATGGGTCCAAAGAAAAAGGGCCTCAATTGACAAAAGAAGAAGAAGAAAAGATCCGAAAATTGAACGAAATCTTCGACAAATGTGACAATGAACAGCTCCAAGACCTGGAGAAGAGCAAACATGACTATCTGGTGCTGATAGTGCAACTTCGGAAGGTCTACCGCACCAGATTGGGACTTCTGATTTTGATTATTTTGTGCATGTTCACCATTATTTCGATGTTTATTTTGTATCGAATGGACAGAATGAAGAGTGAAGAGCACTTTAATAGTTGTAAATAGTAAGTTTTTGATTCTAATTAATTTGGGTCTTCAGTCTCCGAAATACCTGTCCCAGCCCTCCAATTTCTTGTCCGACCAAATTCAATGAGGCATGTAATACGGATGATCAAATTTTTGCTGGTGAAAACCCCGTAAGAGGCCTCTGGATATAATAAAACCATTTTTAGTCATTCATCGTGTGCAAGGAAGGCAATCGGAGGCTCTCGATCCACCCAGATCTCCTCCTTGGTGGTGATTAATTGTAAGACCTTTGAATCCCGGTGGTCATAGCCAAACAAACTTTTAATGGGTTCCGCGTTCAAATAAATAGTTCTCCCCTGAGGCAATAGAGGTCAGATTTTCGATTATCGGTGATTCCCCTAAAGTTGTCATAATTATTTCTTTATGTCATCATTTTTTGTCGTCTCCATTCTTTTGATTCCTACTGCATTTTCTTGTCGTCCTGATGTTTCTGGATTCCAAGGTGCAGATGTAGAAGCAAGACAACTCCGAGATGACCCTCGTCCTCATGTTTTGGCCACTGCCAAGCCAGCTGATGCCCTTACTTTCAATACAGTATCCCTGGCGCCATTGCCTACTCTACCTCCAATCCCGTCCCTTTCTGATCTTCTGAAGTTACCTCAGCCTTTGAATGTGGATAACAGTATTCTGCAGATGACCTCAACTTCTCTTTCCCCCCTGTCAGCTGTATCTTCCACCACTCCAAGCCCTCTATTTTCTAGTACTATTATTGATGACGTGAATGGAAATAAAATCACTGAAGATGATAAGGCAGGAAATGAGGAGATTAATTCGAGTGGAAATGGGACTAACAACGAGGAAGATGCAACGAATGCCACAGGAGCTTCATCAACAATTGCAACTGTTACATCAACATCTACTACAACCACTAAGATTACAACGACGGAACCTCCAAAGGATGAATGCCCTCGGGCTACTGTAACTGCGATCACCTTGATGCCCTACAACGATCAGTTGGTTGCAGTAGACAAAGAGAGAATCAAACAACAAGTAAGTTGTGAGATTAGTAATCATTTTCTTGCAGATAATTCTCCTCGAGAGCTATACCCAGATCAAACTCCAATCTTTTGGACCCTTTGCCCAGGAAGCAATGTGAGATTCTAGTTTAATTAAATTGATAAATACGAATTATTTTAGCAATGTTGACGGTCAATTTGCATTAGAATACAGAATCCAGCACGTCAAAAATTGTGCCGATCTCAGAGATTACGCAACAAAAGCCGTTTCCTATAGTCGCGAGGCACGTTTATGCCTTGTAAACCTAACCTCACTCTGCTTTCAGATCGAGAGAATACTATTCACTTGTCATTGCGAACCCATGTGGATCATAGCTAAGCGCCGGTCAGGCTAAGATAACAATTTATCGAGCTATGACTAATATAAATTATTCTAATAAATATTTAAATTACAGTACATTATCGTAGAAAAATCCGGCGACCACAAATCTGATGAAGAAAGCGACCAGAGAACAGGTGATCTGATACTTGATGAACAAATTATTTAGCTCGTATTCGCTCATTGGCCCGTGCAATTTGAGGAGAAAGTTCAGGATCGTCATGTTATTCACTGAGATCCACCTGAAAAAATAGAGATGTTTAAATTCACATAAAATATTACACAAAACATTTGTGTAATATCGACATAACTTACTTTTCTCCATCTTTCTCAAACTCCGTGTAATCTAAGAGTCTGAATACAGTCAGCACCTTGATCATAAGACCTCCCAGTAGCTTAACATCACCGGCTTTGAACTCGGCCCTGCTCATATTCAACAAGTCCGACTTTTGATCATACTTCGGTAGCCTATGTCTGGGACACGGAACAAAGTGGAACAGTTGAGGACATGAATATAAGAAATTGAATATCTGAATACTGAATATCATACTGAGACTTCAGATTACCTGCGGGATCAAGAACAATATCAAGGTCTTTGAGAAGTGGCCAATTACTGCAACCACAGCCAAAGTCATCCCAGCAAAGTAGCAGAAAGTGTCGCCCACAAACGCCTTAGCCGGATACTTGTTATGAAGATATAATCCCAGAGAAGTCGCGATGAAAGGGCATAATAAACAGAAGGACAATGTGTGAGACCACACGGATTCCGAGTCATCCAGCCTTCCAATTTGAATCAAATTAAAAAGGGCCAGACTGGACGCTACAACGATCGACTGACTGACTTCCACTCCATTTATACCGGCAATAATATTAATGGCATTCGTACAAAAGATGACCAACATAATGATGTACACATAGAAGAAAACACTAAGTTCAATATAGTGCTGTCCAAGGAGTCCGTGCAAAAACTTTGGCATGGACATCGCCGTTCTTTCACCTAAATAAAAAAGCTGAAAAACAAAAACTAACTCATACCTGAAATGAAATATACCAGAACAAGAGGAACCGAAGACAAGAAGGGAAATATCAGCTTGTGCCTCCACCTTAGATCCAGCATATCATCAGCAAATCCAAGAAGAATTGACGTACAAATGCTGATCAAACCCGCTAAAAGAAAGAGTAACCTCATCGTGGGCATAAAGTTGTGAACTTCGGCCTTCCATTCATAAAAAGGCACGGCGATGAAGAGGAAGATAAATATAAGGTATACAGCCGCTGCAACGACCCCCAATGGCTCTGCAACAGGTCCAGAAGAACTCTAAACCATAATTCTCACAATCCTACTTCGCTCACCTTGCATCTATCTTGTCCGTAATGTCCTTTCTCAATAAACATGGGAATGAAGACTTTCACATAATAATAAGAGGTCTTGAAAGTGAGAATACTTAAAATAACACTCGAAATTATCGTCTGGCCAAGGCCCCAGTTTAGCAATCCTATCACCTCGGCCCACGACATTGCACATTAGATCGTTTCTGATTGCGAATAAAATATTTTATTTTACGTTGAATTTCTAAAAAACCCCGTCGTCATGACTGCTATAATAATAATAAAGGACTCCTCAAAAATAGTATCAATAACTACCTGTGCTGTTAGCTGGATAAGTATCCGTCCACATGTGGAATAGGTCATGATTCCATCAAGCTGGAAGAAGAAGAAATTCCGTATTTTCTGCTCGTTTTTGTCAGAATGACGCCTTTTCAAGAATCCTGCTTCCGAAAAAAAAATATTTAGTTTTGCAGAACATGCTTTTGTGGCTTCATGGAAATTGGACAGAGTGAAATTCCACTAAAAGAACGTGGATAAGGTATGTAAGTTGGACACAGGGAAATTCGAAAAAGTGAAATTGGACTGAATTCAAGGAGGTATACACATGTGTCGGGAAAAAAGAGATACAAGAAATCAGTCCAATTTCTATGAAGCCCAAAATAACTGCAGGACATCGAGATGTCGATGGATTATGTTCAGCCACCGGTAAAACATAGTTATTTCTCTCCTCCCGTCAATATAAAAGAGTTTCTGAATGAGGCGATAGAAGCCGAGAAAGGATTATTTAATTTTTTTAATGGATCTGATCGAACTGGAGAGGAGGATGTACGGGAGAACTTCGTCGCCTTCGCGCAGGATTATGATCAAAACTCCGATGAAGCCCAGAAGACAGTGAAAGAAGTTGAGTAAGTTAAATTATATTATCCTTGATCTTCTTTTAGTGCTAATCTGGAGCACATTATTGAGCAATACCCCGTTATCGAGTTTGAGCCTGGCTTTCCTCCGCTTGATAGCACTCTTCATAGTCACATGTAAGTGGAGTATTCTTTACGTTTATTTTTTAGAGTTCTGAATGATATGAGAACAAGAAATGCAGGGAAAACGAAGCTGAAGAATACCTATTTAAAGCGTGGAAAGTATTATAAATACAGAGATTTTGCATTAGAGAAGCCTTTACAAGCAAAAGTGGAGGTCGCCGAGAAGGATGTGGTTGTCACCGTCAGTCTTCTCTCGCCCATGAATACCTTGTCCAATCAAGCAACAGACATTTCAATGAGAAAGCAATGTGAAGTGAAGTATCAGGTCAGAGGTGACATGTTACTCACAAAGCTGAGGGAAAAGATCTTTTGTCAAGCTGACTTCTGGTGTAATAAGCAGGATTTCGAGGAAGCCAACGATTCTAACAATTACTTTTTGGTTAGTTTGCTAAGTTTTAAGTAAAAAATGAACAATTTGTTTCAGAATAAGTATCCGTCAGGCTTCTTCTTTATATTCGACACGTTTTTTATTGACAGGACTAATCCCAATTCTGTGGATATATCCGAGTAAGCTTTAGTATACCTAAAATACTGTCTTCTTTAGACAAACACGAGAATTCATGACCAGAAAGAACAAAGTCTTTAAGGAACATCATGTAAAAGACATTAAGGACGTAAAAATAAGGGATCTAACTCTTAGACTGGGACAGCCCTACGTGTTCATCCATCAAGGTACTTTTAAAATGTTCCTTTATGTTATTGTAGGTCATTGCGAACATCTGATTATTTTCACTGATCTCAGACTGATGAACCCGAATGATGTCCAAGATGTAAATGAATATCCCTTGCTCGTCTATGATAATATAAAGCAAATCAACTGCTGTGTTTGCAAGGATAGTATTGCTTCGTAAGGTTAATCTTGAGTAGTAATGTTCTTTATAGATTTGTGGTGACGGAAAGTGATCGAATGCCTGTAAATCCAGGTTTTATGTGCGATGATTGCTTCAAACAGTTCCATTATGAAAGGAAAATGAGGATAGGCACCTTTAAAGCATATCATTTCATTGATCGAGGATGTTTGGAATAAGAAATCAACTGTAATATCTTGTTTTCCGGACGAAAACAGCTCCAAAAAGACATAATCATTTACTTATAAATACGTGAAAAGAAGTGTTAACTGTTTATAGATATAGGTGATTATAAATTTTTTTTCCAATCCAGTCAAAAGCGGCAAATTCAGTATTTGGACTGAATTCTGTACATACGGGCAAAATTAACACTTGTTTACACTATAAAATATAACAAACATAGATCTTAAACCCCCGTATCCTTACCTTTAAACTATTTACAAAAGAATCCGCGTTCAGGTCGATTCGGACTCGGGTTTTGACAACAGCTGACTGAATGAAGAGATATTAAATAAAACAAAAGAAAACCCTTTTGGCGGCCGTAAATCAGAAGACGACACAGAAGGCAGGGGACGTTATTTCTGATCGGTTCTGTCTAATTGCGCACTTTTCTGACCTATATCGCTCTCTTATCGGGTTTAATTTTGTCTTTTTCCAATCGCTTTTGATATTCTTTAACTTGATTTTTTAATGCTGATATCCGCAGTTTACCGTGCGTAACAGTAAGTGTACTGCCTTACAATGTTTGCATACCGCGTTTTATTTTTTTATCTCAAGTATAATATTTCTTGGTATCGCTCCCATTTTACGGTTTTTATGCGTTGAAATTAAGCTATCTAATTTCAGAAAATTGTCCACGCTCTTTCTGGATGGAACATTGATGTCAATGGCTGCATCCGGGGGCTCGGAATCACAGCAAAATGATGAAAGACACCTCTTGATGGAGAAGTTGAATCAACAATGTAAAGATCTCTTTGTCGACAGAATATATTTGGTAAGCCGGTGTTTTTTCTTATTCCCTTCGTCTTTTAGACATGCAATCAGACTCATCCAGGGATGGGATTGGAGAGGGAGGCCATGTTATTTATATCTGATGTTCTTATTCATATTTTGGGGGAGATCCTCAGACAGAAGCCGGAGAGTCGAACAGATCTCATGGACAAGGTCCGAGCGACTTTTCCCAGTACTCTCGAGAGTTTTGTAATGAAGGTACGAGCATTTTGAATCATTAATTAAACCCCAGGGTTACTGTCGTCACTCTAATGCCTGTTTATAGCATCATGACCCGAAAGAGGAACTCCCTGGTCTCTTTAGTAAGAGCAGATCAAAGGAAGCCAAATCTCTGAATTCAACATTCACTCGTCTCCAAACGATTGTCAAAGAGAATAACCCCCATCGTTTGGACGACAATGCCACCATGGAGATAATGGCCATCCTCGAATACATAAACTATCTGATCATTAATTGGTCGGGTACTTATGTAAATAAGATGATGGACGATAACAGGACGATCACTTTATCTGCATTAAGAACAGCTTTGAATGCAGATCGAGATTTAGCTGATTTGGTGGATGGATTAATGGGAGAAAGCGATTATGATGATGTGGAAAAGGAGAATGCAGTAATCCGGGAAACAATGCCTGCCAAGTTGAGTACAGCCGATGCCAATCAGTATGAGAAGATCTGCAGGACTTTCTGCAAGGACGAAAAAAGTTTTATCGAAGATGTCAGTACTATTGTGAATGTGTTTAAGAGGAGATTGGAGCAAGGAATTGGGACTGATGCAACTGGAAAGGTACTTTAATTTTAGGTTTAAATCCCTTTATAGAGATTATTAACATCGGTCTTTGGAAACGTTGGGGAAATCTATGAATTGGCGATCAAAATTCATCGGACGATTGACGAAGGGATGGAGATGACAGATCCCCCTTGCATTGGTGCTGGCTTCATCGAATTGGTCGAGGGAATGGAATTCGAGGCCTTTGTTAATTTTGCTGTAAGTATTATGGTTACAACATTATTGGTTTAGTCCATCTTCGAGGGGAACATCCATCAGAAAGTGATCCATCTTATCCAAGAACCCAAATATAAAACCTTTTTTGACCTGGAAGACAGAACTTATAGCTCATTACCTACAGGCCAGACCTTTCGAATGGCCGTGAAATACGTTCTGCCAGCTTTGTTATACACCGTTGTTGCCCATTTTTACACTTACCTCAAGTATATCAAGTTGTTGTATAAGAGTAGTTTGTCCGAGATGGATCGGGAAGATCTTTACAACTGTGAAGTGCTGTTGGTACAAGTGAGCAAACAATTACCGGCTCTAAATAATTTGTAAGTACAGCGTTAAATTCGGATGACATTAAATTAAAAATTATTTTGCTTTAGAGAAAAACATGGCCATCGTTTTAAAAAAGAGACGTCATGGCCTGTAGGAATCATTCCGAGGATTCAGAAGAGCATTGACGGATGGGTGGGGAAGAATATTGGAAGTCAATGTTATGCTTTTATCAGAGAAGGCGATCTTCAGAAGGTTAGACACAGTCCAACATTGGCCGGTAAGCGTAATATTGCATTTTTATTTGGGTTTTGTTAATATAGATAACATCCTGAGAGGAAAGAGCTCTACCGAACGGCATATCTTCCTATTCGACAACATTCTTGTGGTTACGAAGACAATAAAACAAAACAAAGGCGATGTTTACAAGTACAAGGACCAGTTTGATATACGAAAAGCTGATATTATCGATCTTCCTGATGATGAAGGTAGCTTTTTTTGTATATATTTTGTTAACTAATCTATTTTATCCAGATCTCAAAAATGCCTTTCGAATTCGAGCAGCGACGAAGGGATCTGATGTAAAGGAGATAACTTTGTTTTGTCATACTGTAGAAGAGAGAGATGACTGGATGACGTCATTAATTGAGATGCAAACAGCCAGTATTCTTCATCGAATGCGCGATTCCTATCAGAAGGAGGAAGAGAAGAGGGTACCTTTGATGATCCCTACACCCGCTGAATACCGTTATGCCGAGCCAGATATGGATGAGAATATAATATTCGAGGATTACACCCATAATAGCGGGGTCCCCGTGGTCAGAAGTGGAACCATTCTCAAGCTGGTTGAGCGCCTCACTTATCCCCATTACGTGGACAGCGAGTTTGTGAAGACGTTTATGACAACCTACCGATCTTTCTGTTCGTCTACAGACCTAATGGACTATCTGATCGAGAGATTCAGCATCCCCGTGCCCCAGGTTTTTGCTCATCTGGACCAACAATTCACAACCCCTATTCAGGCAATCAAGAGTGGAGGTCCTCTTGCTGGGAGATATGACACGGTCCAATCCCATGGATGGCAGACTTACAATCAAATCTCGCCAGCCAATCTTGAACAGGCTTTTCATCGATTTAGAGAAGAATATCAGAAGCCAATACAGCACAAGGTCATGCAGATAATGAACCATTGGGTCCGCTATCACTCCTACGACTTCTGTGATCCGGATCTTTGCAAGAAAATGAAGGAATTTTTGAATGGGAATGTTATAAAGCTATCCAACAATCAGAAGAAGTGGGCCGCCAAAATTCTGGATGCTCTGGAAAGGAAGCAAAAGGAAGCCGATCCCTCCTCACCCACAGAAGATCGAGTAGAAGAGAACAAAGTGGAGATCGCCTTCTCTCAAGATGTCCCCGAGATTGTATGGCATACAGCCAAGCAAGGTGACATTGATAATTATGACATCTTGACATTACATCCATTGGAGATTGGTCGTCAAGTCACTTTACTTCACTTTTATTTATATCGGGCTATAAAACCAATTGAATTGGTAGATGCTGCATGGACAAAACAGGATGAGAAGTACAAAAAGAGTCCTCAGTTACTAAAGTTGATTGATCATAGTACCAAAGTGGGTCTCGTTAATGAACAATAATATTTTTAGTTGACGTATTGGGTGGCCAAGTCGATTGTGGAGACCAAATCGATGGAAGAGAGAGTTGAGATCTTCTCCAGGGTCCTTGAAATCATGTGTGTTTTTGAGGAATTAAATAATTTTAATGGAGTTGTCGCCTTCTATTCGGCGTTAAATTGCAGTTCGGTGTTCAGGTTAAAGGACAGTCAATCCGTGAGTAATATTATGAATGAAATTATTGTTTTAGCGATTGGATAAGGAGAAACAAGCATGGTACGGTAGATTCCAGAAGCTCTGTGATCCCCATTGGAAGGAAATGCTTCAGAGATTACGGTCAATTAATCCACCTTGTGTTCCCTTTGCTGGTGAGTCTTTTTTGAGAATGTAACAGTGTATTTCATGTTTCAGGAACATATCTGAGTCAGATATTCTTCTTTAAAACCGGCCGAAGTACTTATCATCAAGCGGATAATGATCTTCATGACAACGTAAGTAACAAAACCCCTTATTAAAGTTATTTCTAGGACCCTGAGGCCCACAATCGAAAGCTGGTCTCATTTATGAAATGTCGTAAGATTGCTGCAGTGATTCGGGAGATCCAGATGTATCAAAACCAACCTTATGCCCTTCAAGTTGAACCTTCAATAAGAGTGGGTTACTGTAATTCTAAAACGAATTAAAATATTTTAGCAATTCTTTGAGCAGATCGATCCATTGGAAGGATTTTCGGATAAAGATGATTTCGAGACTTACCTTTACAACAAATCAAAAGAGTTGGAGCCGAGGGAAGGGACCAACACCGACAATACGGTAGGAAGATTGCTGTAGTTTAAAAGTGCTTTAGAAACCGAAACATTCTCAAGAAGAACTCAAGTCGCCTGGAATCAAACCTTCCAAGACCAACTCCAATTTCCAACGATCTCGTAGTCACAACGCCTATCATTCCCATACCATGCCGGCCCCCTTCCCTCACAAACCCGCCCCCAAGTCCAACCTAACATCACCGGTCCAAAAAAGCCCTCCGGCGTTAAATCCGACGGACGAGAATCCCTTTGCGATCGTCGATATCAGTCCAGGACACCATCCCAAATGGGTTGGGGATGCTCACGGAAGGATCAATCAGGCGTTTACATCCGAATACATCTCCGCCCAACCTCCGCATTCAGCTGGTGTTTGCTCTAGTTCTTCTCCAAGTGATCACAGAAGTCCGTCCTCAGCGAATACATCTTCTACACCAACATCTTCCAGAAGATTCCCTCCGGCTCCGTTATCATCCCATGAAACAAGATTCGCGTTCCCTCCCGTTCATCCGCAGGCATCTTCCAAGATGAATCCAAAGGCCTTACCTGCCGTCACTAATGCTACCTTCACCTTATCTCAGCCCCCATTGAGGAAAGATGTGACTGGATCGTCTCAGACGTTACCCTTAAGGAAGCCGCCGGCTCCGAATCCAAGTTCTCCTCCGCTTTCGGTACCTTTAATGGGGAGGAAAGAGGAGTCTGGTAAGCAATTGCAATATCTAAGTGTCATGTATACTATGATATTTAATAAAAAAATCATTCAGAGATTCGGCAAGACTTCTCCGCTTCATTGGATGATCCTCCGGGAATTCCACCTCGTCAGAATCATCATATAGGTATGTCATTAGCAGGGTTTCACGAAGGTTCGAATTAAGTTCAAGTTCGCGAATGCAAGTTGTTTATCAATCTGTCGGGAAAATCGTGGTGAGTCGTCGCGCTCATCGCTTTGAGACGACAAGTCGCAGCTGGAGATTTGGTGCGCGACTGCACGCTTTTTCGACGAGGCGAAAGATTTTGTTGCGACGACCCGCCATTATTTACTGATATTTGAACGGAAATTGGGCACTTATTTGGGTCTCAAACACAAAAACTTTTTTTAAAGAAACTCGATTTTCGGCGTTGGAAAATTATGTTTTCTTCCTGCATACTGAAGTTTATGCACACAAAGAGGAAAAGATTTGCAGCAAAGATCCTGAAAAAAATAGACTTGGTTTTGAACTTGGAGGCCTTGAATTCCTGAACTTGGCGTTCAAAAATTATCCAACTTGAACTTGGGTTTTGAATTCTGTGGAGCTCTGGTGATTACCGGAACAATGATAATGATTATTCAGAAGATAGCAGATCTCCCTCGCCTCGATCCCCAACTGTCAGTCTGATGGTCCCACTTCCATCCTCGGCTGGTGGAAGATCAGAGCATTCGGTGACTTCAGATGAAGCCCGGGCCCCACCACGACCTCCCAAACCGACTGGATTGTCGAGGAATCCATCTTCGGCCGGCATGAATGGTCCCTCTAATGAAGAGATGCGGGCGCCCCCTCTCCCACCCAAGCCTAGACTGGCCTCCCAGGATGCGCGCCCTTCTCCTCAGGATCCTCAAAGTCTGGACGCCCCTCCGTTGCCTCCCAAACCGAAGCACAAGTCATGAACCTCACTGCTCGTATGTTACACTTATCGCACCTTGCCAGATTTCTATATAACGGGTCATGTTGAAGACTTTCATTCATAAAATAATATAAAAAATAGAAAAGAAAGGATGTGGAATGTTTTGTGGCGTTGAGGAATTTATAACATTGAGGCTAGGATCAGCCCCACTAGAACAGCCATCTTCATGACCCCGGGTCCCGTGACACCATTACAACCATCGGTGTCACAGGACTGCACACAACCCGTATATTGTTTTCCCTCGTACTTGAAATGGCCACAGTGACTGATCCGAACGATCTCTGTAAATGTTTGATAAACAAGTTTATGGCAGTACATATTTTTGTTTCAGTTCGGGTTCAATATAAAGGTGGTCATACAAATATTAAAATTTTTTCCCCAAATCGCGATTTTCGGTGCACAAAAAAGTCGACGCCCAAATCGAAAAATTGGCGGCGACTTAATTTTTTCAGCACCGAATTCCGAAATGCGGTCCAAATAGACTTAAGACTTTGTGCACTGATTTCGAAAAACAGAAAAATTCACCGGGTTTCAGAATTCGGTGCCGAGAAAAAATTAAGTCGGCGGCAATTTTTTGATTTGGGCGTCGACTTTTTTGTGCACCGAAAATCGCGATTTGAGAAAAATATATTTTGAATACTTATATGACCACCTTAATTTGATACCACATAAATTTTAATTTTACAAAATGCCTATCTTAACGGCAATTAATTTGAGGAACTGCAAGGACTTCATGTATGGTCTGAAGTTTGGACTCGTGCTTTTTGACTCATAAAATGTACGGCCCATAAAAATCCCGGATGTTAAAAACCAGTAGCGAACAATTTTATGGTCTGCTTTAGATTATAACTATTCAAGGAATGCACAAAATGAGTCCTAATCGCATAAATTTCGACATACCTGTGTCTGCGGTTAGAGTCCCAGAGTCCAATGCACATGTTCGAATGAGGATTGTCTGGGAATTGTCATCGGCTGGAACGGTAAAGTAAATAAATCAAGAAATTATGAGGAGTGAAAAAATAATAATTGAGACTTACTCTGATATCCATTGACTTTGACACAATGATCGGCTGGGAAGAGCCCTTGTCGATCCTTTTTGAACGCCCAACATGGGTATTGATAATTGGCGACAGATCCCTTTGCACTGTGCGACACACTCGAGTTGAACATGTCTTCGCACTCGGGGTTCCCCTGATTGAATGAACTACAGACGAAGCAACCTATCCCAGCCGAATTAACTGAAAATTTCAGAAGCTTTTTTGATCGTATTACGTAATATTAAACTATGTATATTTCATTAGATTATATTTTTTAAATATCAGTTATGATTACTGGGTGCGTAAAAAAAGTGGGAAATACGTTGGATGCCTGTTGACTGTCATCCGATATGGGTCTGTTTACATGTCTGACCGCATACCTGTTATTAGTCTTACCTCCGAAGAAGGAGAAGAAGAGAAATGCCTGCAGCAGTCGCCTCTGCTCGACATTCACCTCCATTGAGCTGAAACAAGAAGATGGTCGATCAAAAGCGGCCCAACTCTTCGGCCGGACATGCCCCGCGGTCCTCCAAGCACGGTTGACACGCGAGGCCGACGATCGGCTGGGCCAGGTTGGGCGTCGTGAGAATATGGCGTCGCTCGGAGAACGTCCCAGGGTCCCCTAAAACAAAGAAAACTCGTATCCAACAGCGACCTCAAGTTAACCAAGCCTCTCCGCGTCCTTCACAAAGAAAATAAACACAAAAGTAATAGTAAAGAGGGATTAGGACACTTGGACATCTACCGTAACAGGGCTTCTCAAATAAATCAAGGAAAAGCAATTTATTGGCAACATAAAAAATCAATCTTCCCTCTCTTCAAATTACAACACCTTTCTGGCCAAAAACCTTTCCTTAGGCTGACGTTGTCACCCAGCAAATCTGACCCCACCACAAACTTTGCTAGTCTCTTAGCCTCAGGCGCTTTTTAGATGTCAAAAGTCCTACGAAAAGGTGCCCATCAAAGTCAGATTCAGAGAGATAAATTAGGTGCAAACTCGTTTCTATGATCATTTATTTTGCATACAACCCAAATGATGACAACCGAAAAGTGGGGAAAGACTCGAGGGTTAACCGAAAATGTTCAAAACAACTCAAGTTTTGCATAAATAGCCGGGTGCTTTCCCTTTAGGGCTGTACCCGAAAAAGTAGCAACAAAAACTGAAACCGAGTGCCCTTGAGACGGCGGCCAAGACGGCCTGAGGGAAAGAAGAGGTGAGTGCCGGAAACGACCAGAGTTCCGACCTGCCCAACAAAAGAGTTTCCGAACCCAAACCCTCGTCAAAACTTTCCCACGCCGGTCTTCGATGGGACTGGGGGCCCGTCCCCTGGGGACATAGAGCACGCGCGACTTCCCGACCGGACGTTCGCGGGTCTTTGTTACTCCCGCTACTTCTATCCCCCCTTCTTAATGCATCGGCCTTTAAACCGAGTAATCTCGAGGAATCGGCAAATGAAAACGCCCCGAAGCAAGTGCACCTTTTTCTTGGCCTTTGGGGTTTGGGTCGGCTTCGGAAGACAGCACGGGCTCCCGAAGAGCGCCCGAAACCAAATAAAGCAAAGGAAAAGATCTTCATCGGCCATGAGATCCCCGTGCACAGGACACGTTGTGCGAGCATAAAGTGCAAAAGACGGGAGGAAAACGCATTACCTCTTTCTCTTATTTAGACTTGACATTTCTGCGTCCTTTTCCCCTCCGGGCTTCTTCGTTTCTCCTCCCTTCAAGCGCCAAATTGAATCTATTTGGACATCGCCTGAATGCCGCCAATTTACTTCAAAGAGGTCTTCAAAACGAAGTCATTACTGCCGCGAACTACTTTGTTTTTATGTAGATTGTAGGTGGTCGAATTTTGAGTCTGATGATGTCATCTTTTTCATTCAAATTAATGCCTAATATTCCGAACTTGTGTATAAAAATCGAAAAAAAACATAATTTACGAATGAACGAGTAATAACAGACTAAAAATGGCTGTTTATTTCTAGTTAAAGTCTATTACAACCACACCCTCCTTGGTAACTACTGCAACTGTAGACGCATTTAATTGTTTCGGATCCAGCGATCGATCGTTCGAATTGCAATCCAATGGGAGACTCACGTTAGCCACAAGAGACGCTGTAATTGCGTAACATTAATTCTTATCTCTTGTATTAAACCAGATTGAGCGAGAGAGTCGAACACCCAGTGCACACGAAACAAGAATTCAGAACATGATCTTCATACCGTCACCACTGATAGCATTTGGAATAACAATTAAATACAAAAAAATTTAATTTTGATTTTTTAGCTTACTGTAGGTTCTGTAACATTTTCGTACGCCTCGATAACGGCGGCTCGGATTGGCTTCGGATCTTTTTCACAAGGAAAATACTTTTATGGGGGCTCCTACGTTTAGACGGGACATATCTCGGAAAATCCGAAAAATTGTGCTGATCAAGGATATGAAAAAATTAGCAAATTTTGGGTTTAAGGGTCAAAAATGCCCAAAACTGGCTAAGTTTGTCAGCAAAAAAGCAGGCATTGCAAGATTGGTACCGTTCGAATCGACGTGATGTAAGAAACCCTTTTGTAATCAAAAAATGAGATATGAAAATGCTACCTACAACTCAAAAAAATATTTTTTTAAACGATCAGTAGTTCTTATCACAAGTACTATGTTTGGTACTGATTGTGACATTCTTCGTGTGCACAGCCTGGCTCTCAATGCTCGCTCTTCTCAAAAAACTTGCTTTAACTTTACCTTTTCTCACATGCCATAATTGGAATCGGCTAGCACTTCGATCTGATTTTCTGGTTTCACACAAAAATAAATGAGAGCTGACGAATCCCACATCAGTAACGTGTCCTCTCATGATGATCCCCTTGTCGATCCACCCCTCATCTGTCAGATTCCAGACACTGACCACGGGGAATAGGGTCCCTGTTCCCGGGGGTCCTCCCATTAATCCAACCAAAGTCCGAGCTCTGTAATGGAGGGTAACATGGACATCAGCAAAGTCCCCACAACTGGGAGTGACTGATTGGAGCTTGATCATTGTGTCTACATTGTAGATCTCACATTTCCAGCGAACATAAAAGACGATGACTTGTTTGATGTCACTCAGTACCTACAAATATTAATCTAAAGAAACTACAGTTACCTTGAAATCAGTGCATTGGTCGACTTCTCTGACCGTGTTCTCCCTCAGATTCCATCCTTGAAGTTTTTTGGAATCCCTGGCACAAGTCACAACTCTGAATCCATCGTATTCCACAAAGCGATTACTCGACTTTACAACCTTAGTTGAATGCACTTCGGTCCCCGTATTCAAATCATAAATGTTCACTTTATCTGGACCACTTATGGCCACACTAAAGATGACTGATCGCCTTTACATTACACTCACCAGCTTATATGAAGACAATCTGCAAGTGAAATGTGGAGAGATTGGGAGAAGGAGTAGCTGTTCAACAGTTTCCCATCCTCCACTCTGTAAGTATTCAATTTGGACCCCTCTGGAGATGGGATGAAGACGACGAATTTGGTCGAGCCATCAAAAAAACTGGTCGCTTCGACTCCACTCACATTTACAGTAGTCACCTGGAAGTAATTATACCATAAATCATACAGCAACGAATAAGACATACGTTCTTTGTTCTCTTCGAGATAATGGCAACATCGGAGTTGGACCAGGCCAGAATATACTCCCCTCGAACTACAGTACCCTTCCTCTGAGTAATATTGTAACTAGTACTGTTAGATTTATTCTTGGCCCAATTGTAGAGGACTCTAGGCTGAAGTTAACGAGTGGTAAATTCACTTACTTCAAATAAGCCCGTCTGTAATGTCCATGGGGGATATCCGAATCATCTAACCTCTGTCCGAAGGAAACGACTGATCTCAGCTTCTCGGAGAAAGCCCTCAATGGATTTGGACTTCTAGAATTCCTGACTGAATGGAGGTAGACTCCTTCCTTTTCACAAAAACAAATCCAGAGGTCATTATCAGAAGATTTGTGATACAGAAAACGATTACAAGCACCAAGAGAGAGCAGATCTTGAGCATGGAGGTATTGGAGGATGCGGAAAAGCACCTAAAGTCAGTTTCTATACTCCATACTGAGCCCGACATGAATGTTCACTATTGCCGTCGTTTATAGAGCTATCGTCCAAAATTTTATTACGTAACGCCTACCGTAAATCAAATGTCAAAACAATCAAAAGGAAATTTGTCCCAAATAGCAAAGTTAAAGCAGTAGCCTTGGCCGAGTACTCACTTTCTGTTGTAATCTAGACAAACGATCGCTAGGCTCGGCCTGTCGCGAGAACTCGGGCAGCGGGACTGTAGACGATTTGACTCTTCTCATTGTAATTGACGTTAAGTTATTTTAACTTATCCATGGAAAAGAGTCGAAAGCGATCGGAACGGGCTTGAAAAACAAATTCGACAATCGAACAAGTGTCACCCTGAGGGCATCTCCTCTTGGCCGAGGAGCCTTTCCGCCCCGACATTTTAATCCCCGCCAAGAAAGTATAAAAAAAACAAAGTTTTAAATCTATCGAACAATTTATTTGTTTCAGACTATTAAAAGGAAACGTTCCAGAACGTGCCAATCCTAATCCTCGCGGTACAGATCTTCCACTCCGAACTGAGCGACTCCCTCTTCGAATGGAATATTGACCACCTGAAAGTGAAAGATCAGTCATCTGTTTTGGTCATCAAAATATCATATTATCTATAAGATGCTACATGCAAAAAGAGTATAATAACGTCTCAATACCGTCTCTCGTCTTATACTTACCTTCATTAAGTACTTCATCTCGTCCTGAGAAGCCCACTTCTTCTTCTTGGCCTCCTCAGCAGCCTTGGCGACAGCCTTTTCGTGTTCCCAGGCTCTGATGTCAGCGTGGTATTCCTTCAGGTAACTCAGTCTATATGCTCCGTAGACAACACCTAAAAAATCGTAAACATTTTAACAAAATCTCCTTACCCAAGCCCAGAGCTGCCCATCTTCCTAATCTGATCAAAGGTGAAACATGGATAGGCTCGGGAAGGATCACGGCGTTTGGATGACGAGACATACTGGATGCCTAAAACATTATCATGTAATTACTTGGAGAGCAGTTTACGACAATGGCATTTTTTAAACAACAAAAAACGCTGAATCTTTGAAAAAAACGTATCAATCATAAAAGTAAACTACGCGTAAATAATTGTCATTGTAACGACCAATTCAGACAGCATAAACATAACCGGAGTTCACAAAATCTAAACTGATCGCGTGCCCTTAACTCAAAATCCGAGAAGGAAGAGATTGATTAAACCTAAATAGAGCATTTAAACGGATAAAAAATGTAAAATTGAAATCATAACAGTCACAGATATAATAAAAAAGCTACACCAAACTTTTTATTGTAAAGAAAGATTTTTAGCTAAAATCGAGGAAGATTGTTTGGCATTGCCAAGATAATGTCCTCGTTACGGGACCAAATAATAAAAAATAGAAATAATTTTTGCAAATGGAAATTGTAAAAATTACGATTACTGCAGGCGCTTTATACAACGTAAGTGATACCATCAAGATCCAGTTAAAATATTTCTACAATTTTGAGATAAGATTTGTCAAGTCTTTCTTAATTTTTTCCTTGAAGATATCTTTGCTCTTTTTAGACGACCTTGATATTTTCAATACATGTTTCGGCGATTCTTTAGCGCCCAAAAACAGTTGGAACGTCATGTAGATATTGCTATTGTGGGCGGTGGACCAGTGGGAAATGCGCTTGCGGTCTCTTTGTGTAAGATCAGTTATAATCTTTATTTATTTTTAATTCAGCAAAAAGCGAATGGCTGAAGAACAAGAAAATAGTTGTACTGGAAGCAGGACAGCCTCAGAGACTTGGATCACCACCACCAGTGTACAGTAACAGAGTATTTGCATGTAATGCCGCCTCAGTGAATATGTTTAAAGGTAAAAAAGTAAAACTGATGCCTGAAATCTTTTTTGTAATCTAGAACTGGGCATCTGGCAAACTTTGAAAGACTACAGAGTGAAGGAAGTTGGTGGATTGTACGTTTTGGATGCTTGTTCCCGATCAAAGGTTCAGTTTGATCCTCGAATTGGGACAAATAATGTTAGCCATCTGATAGAAGACGAGGCTATAACCCAAGCGTTGTATGGCAAGATTGTGGACGATTGTTCTAACGTCGATTTCTTGACCAAAGTCAGAGTTATGGGTTGCAGGCAGGTTACTTCATATAATTTTATTTGGTTTTAGTCTTCCCCGTGATCTCAAGGATCCCGCTAAAATCAAATTGGCGGATGGAAGTGTAATCAAGGCGCTTCTTGTTGTACGTGCATGTTTACAGACACTTATTTATTTAGGTTGGAGCTGATGGAGCTCGAAGTGGTATCAGATCAGCGATGGAAGTAGAGACAACTGCATTTGATTATGATCAGATGGCCATCGTTTGCACATTAGAAGTTGCCTGTGTAAATACTAATTGTAAATATTGTATTGTTTAGAATGGCGAAAACGTCATAGCTTGGCAAAGGTTCACTCCATTAGGGCCTATCGCACTGCTACCCCTCACAAATTCGCTCTCTTCCCTTGTTTGGACATCTAAAACAGCTGATGCCAAGAGATTATTAAGTCTGGGACCCGACGAGTTCGTCGAGGAATTGAATCATTATTTGGTAAGTGGTTCTGATGGTTTTATTTGTTTTTTAGTTTACTAATAATCAACAAAGTGACCTTGCCAATAATGCATTAAATCTAATGGATAAGGCTGCACAATTCTTAAAATTCGGATGCCCTGAGGAGTTAAAGACTCCCCCAACTGTTACCAAACTGTTGGTGGATTCTCGTGCTTCATTTCCTCTTGGGTTTTCACATTCACACACTTATGTCAAGCCAAGGGCAGCATTAATTGGGTATGATTTATATAATTTTACTGTTTATTTAATGTTTTAGGGATGCTGCTCATCGGGTTCATCCGTTAGCTGGTCAAGGAGTAAATCTGGGATGGTCAGATGTCAAATTACTAACAAAAACGTTAGAGAATGCAGTAAAAGAAGGGTCAGACATCGGTTCGTTGACTTATCTGGCTGACTATGACACTAAAAGTCAGCGACATAATCTCCCAGTTATGGTCTCTGTAGATTGGCTGAACAGGTTATACAGGACATCGTTTGCTCCCTTAGTTTTGGCCAGGTCTCTGGGATTACATTTTGTTGACAAGGTTGGACCTTTGAAGGTAAGATTACTATTATTTTCATTACTTATCTTTTTTTAGGACTTCATTGTTTCCCACGCATCCCATTGAGTACTTATAGGACTTTGTTATTTTTAATAAGATATATTAAAAACATTGCGGATGTTGGAATCGTTTATTTGGGTTGTTGCCAATGTTTATCATTAAATCGAAATTTTGTTTTAATATTTTTAGTAACGGAATCAATGCATTTGCCATGAGCAGAGCCCTCTTGGCACTTCTGTTGCCATTTGTAATACGTTCAGAGAATAATAATGGCGATTACATAAAAGTTTTCACATTTCTGAAGCCATTGACACCACTCGAAAGGAGTAATGATCTCAGTCTGCTGTTACAAAGGGAGAATTACAGAGATGAGGCAGAGAGATTGCACAAATTGTTCGCGGATTTCAACGTAAGTGCATTGTAGAATATTTTCTATGATTAGGTGTCATCGTATGACAAAAAAGTCAGAAATAGAGTGGAAGAAATGATCATTGCCAAATATCCGCACTGTGCAGAGACATTCCAGCAGAAAACTGAGGAAATCCCAGTGATAAAAGGACTGGATGCGGACTTTCTAGACTCAAATCCAACTATTTATATCAATAGGAGCATCATTAAGTAAGTACAATCTATAATATTACTGTATTTTTAGTGCATTGAGCATTCAAGAACCGAAAAACATCGAGGAAAAGACTTTATATGAGAGGTTCAGGAATATTGTTAGTGATAAAACGGAGAGAGAAAGAGTCATCGAGTTGGATACGACCGAAGATTTGAATTATTTTGTCGGAATCGGACAACAATTACTCTATGGATTGGCCGGAAAAGAGAAACTAGAACATGTAAAGTACTACTCGGTATTGTATTTACTCAAACGACAAGTTCTGGATCTAAATTTGATTGATGACATATACAAATTGGATGAATCCGATAACTCGCGACTTGATTTTATACTCGGTAGGTGTTGTTTGATTACTAAGTATTGTTTTAGGCCAAGTGTATATGTTTACAAACAATAACAAAAAGGGCCTCGAATACATTAGAAAAGTGATTCAGAAGAAAGGGAGTACTGCCCCGTTACTTTATATGGCTTCTTTTTATTCGTTGAAGTTCAAAACCGCAGAATATAATGATTATATTAAACAGGCCCTGGAAGTGGATCCAGAACTCAAAAATAATTTCCAATTTAAGAAGAATGTACAATTTTACAACTGCCGAGAGTTACTATATGACAGTCTTACCAAAGAAAACGAGAAATTGATGAAAAAATTGGATGAGCTTAATCGATATCACTCTGCGTAAGATTACGGTAAGAAAAAAACTTAAATATTTTTAGATTCGAAAGGGAATTAAAATTACACAACTTGATCAGCAGCTATGACATTGATCCCATTGACCACTTCCAGTCCATTCTGGAGTTTTTCTACACAAAATTTGGATACCTTCCAGGTGAGTTTGCTGCACTTTATAATTGCTTTTTAGGTCTCAAATGTATTGAAAGTTCAAATGAAAAGGGAAGGGCGAGAATTAAATGTACTTTAATTGATATCGAAGAGTTCGACAAAGTCAGTACTTTAAAATTAAAGGAACTGGAAGATCAGAGACAAGTAAGTCGAAATTACTGTAATTAATTGTAATGTTTAGGATGGCGATCGGAGGGTAATGGATGCATATCACAAAAAGAGAACTTTGGAAGCGAAGATTAATAATCAAAATAAAATAGAATTTATGGAGAACGTGAAAGCGTATCAAGGATTGACATTGGAAGAACCTCCTTTACCTGTGTTATACTTAAGGTAAGGTTAGAATAATTTAATTAATTTTTAATGTGCTTTAAGAGAGCAGAATCCCCCTTTCACAGCTCCAAATACTCAGGATTTTTGCACAAAGGAATTTGGCCGTCAATCAGCGACATCATTTGATTTTGGTCACTTTATTTCAATTGAGTCTCGGGGTTACAGGTATGTTTAATCTAATTTTGAAGTTGTGCTTTTCAGTGTGAACGATTTACTAAACAAATATCTTGGGATAACCCCAGACGACCTTCTTCCTTTCCCATGGGCCGAACCAAATTGTGATCCAGTGAATGTAAACATATTGAATAACATTACCTTGTTACAAAATGTAAGTTACTTTTATTATTTGATTGCTGTTTAGATAAATACAATCAAGGAATTATGGGATTCTCCGAATCTGTTCCCCTCAGATATTGAGAGATCTTATTTCATGGATAAACTGGAGGATTTAATGGGATCCCGGAGTGATGGCAGCTTTCTTCTTGCGGACTTTGGAAATAGAATTTATCTGCTTAAGGAACTGGTATGTTAATTTGATAAATTGGATATCAAGTTTTTAGAAAATTGGTCCGAAATGGGTTCAAAATGAGTTGGCGATCCTTTATTTCCGTGCCTTAGGGCGTTTCAGGAATGCTTTGGAATGCATTGTGGAGAATTTGAGTGGCGATGAGATCGAGGATATCCCCAATTCTGATATGACTTTGGTCCAATTGGTATCAATCATCAGAGAAAGTGGAATTGAGAACGCGACTGATGACATTAACTTATTATTAAAAGCGGCTCTACTAAATTCAAAGTTTGAGCATGTAAGTACTCGATTATGTATAAGTGTTTTTATTTTCTTTAGCCTCTCACTTACTACTTAATGGGAGATAATTGTAATGATGTGGACAAGAGAGTCGACTTCTTGTTGAGGAGTTATAAACTGGATCCAACCTTCAAACCTCTCCAAAAACAACTTTATTATCAGTTTTGTCGGAATGTGAGAGGCAAAGGAATCCCCGTCGAGAATTTCTTCCAACCAATTTGTTGTTGGAGTACTGAACACAATATTTATTGCTTTGGAGATCCGAATAATGAGAAGAGCTGCTTCAAGATCAATGTCGACGATAACACCACTGATGTCTCCTTGTCCAGTTTCAGATGCAGTGGGACTTATACGGTAAGGAAATGGTTTATATTTTGGATGATTTAGGCCCGCTCTTTCCTTCCTCCGGCCCGGATTTTATTCTTCATCGGATTTATCCATCCAATCAGCAAATTGCGTAATAAAAAGGTGGAAAATAAAATAAATTCAATCATGAGAGAGAAAACTGTAAAGGGAAGACAGAAGAAAGTTGATACCGATGCCGTAAGTGGTACTCGTAACAAAAATTCTTTAGTTTCCATTGGATTACGGAGGGTATTCGGAAGAAAGGATCAACAAATTCAGAGGGAAAGTCACTTTGAATACGGATAATTTGGTCCACAAATATATAAACCCGGCCTTCAAACGGACTTCAGAGGCCACCGAGAAGGCCAAGGTAATATAAGTACGAAATTATTTTACTTTTAGGTCTTGGAATCGATTGATTCTGTGTCCTGGGGCGAGATCCTCAAGTATGACATGTCTCCGCCAAAAGTAAGCAATCAAATTGACCTTATCATTGTTGATTTAGCCTCTCCCATCCCCAGAAGTATATCTGAAAACGAAAGGAAAGAAGTTGTACAAATCCCTGGCCCTCTCCCCTCTAGATTCGTGTCCTCCGAGTCTGGATTCGAAGCTTTTGGCTCCATATTCGACGGATATGTTGATCACAGCCAAAGGTGTTGATCTGAAGGCTTTTGTTGAGCTCCAAGCCACTTCCGTCAACGATTCTTTAGAGCCTTATTGTCCTCTGACCTCCGCCACTTCCATCGCTTTATTCGATAATCTGGCCGCATTTAAATATCAGGGCAAATTCAAATTTTATAAACCAGAGAAAGCTCTCAAAGAGGTTGGTTCACATATCCCTTGACATAACGAAATAACTCCCAGCCATTCTTGAGTATCGCCAAAGAAAAGGACACTGTAGAATCCTTGGCCACGAAGCTAACATTGGCCATGAAATCGAGAAATAACAAAGATCAGCTCTGGAAATTGAGTACGATAGCTGCATTGTACTGGAGATTACAAGGGGACGCTGTAAATGCTGTTAATTGTTTATCGTATGCTCTCAAATACGCTCCAAAACAATACAGAGTAAGTATTTTTATAGGATGTACATAGCTTTATTCATGATGACTAATTTTTTTTGCAGGATGTGGCTGCCAGTGGCCTAGCCAATATTTATCATCAAGCCGGCTTTCTCCATAGTGCCTTATACGCTGCCGACTTTGCGTTGAAGAATTCGGAGACCAACGAAGTCTCTGTCCATCTCACTATTGCCAATATTTATGCGTCTCTTAGATATTATGACCATGCCTTACAATTCTATTATTCTACTCTGGCCCTCCAATCTAACTTTATTTTGGCCAAGGAAAGAATCCGCGCCATTGAATGCATTCGAAAGAGAGACGTCTAATCTCATGATCGCCTTGCCTTGTCTGAATTTCTGTGATATCTTTTTTCTCACCTTTTAACCTCATCAAAAACCGGGACCTTAGCTTATCCATAATAATCATTAATCTCTTCTGAATACAGGTTGTTTATTCAATTTAATTGAGATGAAGCAGCTTCTCCGTCGAATGTATGTTCAGAAGGAGGTTGAGAGATGTCCACCCGCCGTCTGTAATATTTCTGTTGACATTGGCAATCCTCAGTTTCATCGCTGAACGAGAGAAGACCATGATCGCATTGATAAAAGGCTTGCAATTGATCCTGGGACTTCCTCTCGATCTCGCATCCAAGATCTTTCAGGCATCTTTCACATCCAATCAACTTCTGGCAAGGATTAGCCAACAATCTTATCCTTCCTTGTTCCCTTTGCCGGGAACAGCGAGGACATTTCTCTACTTCAACGTGGAAATGATCCATCTTGTGGATGGTGTGGAATACATTCGCTGTCTGAAAATATAAGCATTAGAAGTGCCACAAACAGGATTTTAGAGATGCCGTACCTGTTTGAAGCACACCCTCAACTTGGCTGACAGAATGTCGGCGAAAATCTTCTCGGTGACCATATCCCGATGTTTCTCCAGATTAATCAGCGATAGCCGGGCTGCCACCAACATGCAACTCTCCTGAACCAACTTGTCAAATCGATGTTTTAACGCCCAATTTAGCCAACATAACGCTGTCATCGGGGCTTTTCTGTCTACCTAAACTTCGAGTCACCTTACTTTCATTGACGACTTACGTTCTCTCTGATATACCGGGCACATCGAACTTCCAACCCCTTGGCTGTAAATCGCTTGGATAATCTCATACAAGTCTCCAGAACATCGTCTACAAAGTATCGGTTTAGTTGCGACGTAGTAACAACAATTAATTAATATTATCCGAATGTAAAACAGATTCGTAATCTATATTTACCAGTCATATCCTTGAGGACTGGGCCGGGGACGGTGCACTCAATGAACCATTGGAATTGCACATATTGTGGGGGATGTTTCAAGCTCGATACGACGATAGTATACTCATTGGTCGATAATTGTTTAACGCCATTTTGAGTGAGAGCGCGATTATTCAGAAAAAGAGTTCGAAAGAATTCGGAAACATGAGCAAGCTGATGTTTACATACAAGGAAACGAACATCCTGTAAATAAAAAATGTCGTCATGGCTAACACGACTTACATCAACAATAATCGAGGCCGAACAGCCCTCGATCCGGCACTGGGAATGAAGATAATCAAAAGTTTGCTTGAAGGAAACCGGGGATTTGGTGGGAACTTTCTTCTTCGGGGATTTGGAACGAGATCTATGAACTGAAACCTGATACATGCCCTCAGGCCACTTACTAAACACTTCTTGTGGCGATTTTTGAGGTGATTCGGATCGGAGCCGAGGCTCTGTCATCGTGTATTCGGGCTCCGTCAGATGGACTTTCGAACTGGACCGTCCAAAATCATTGGAACTCTCCCTCGACCGAAGAGTCGCCGTATTCAAGGTGTTCTGATTGTTGTTCATGCTAACATACTGGAAGATCTTGTAAATAAAATGGGGTGTTCTTACTTCTGAAGAACCATGACCCTGACTGGGAGGCTGTAGCAAGGTGAGAGGCGGCTGAATCCCCGTCGCCGCCCATCCATTCACCGTGGATTGATGATGGTGGGAAGGGGCTGTCCCGGGATGCCAATAATTACCAGAGTACGGATGTTGGAAGTTCTGAAAAGGAGGAATAGACTTAGTCGAACACTCTACTCATCCATCACACTCTCTTAATATCTGACACCTCTCTGGCAGCTGTTGATGATATTAATTAATTAAAGCTTACAGTTAAAGTCTGAAGTTCAAGGTCCTCATCCACATACTGGGTTCGGATCTGAGGTGGGAGTCGTTGCAGAGGAGGCGGAGGTCGAGTCTCAGGGCCCCGGGTCCAATGCTCGAACTCATTATCGGCTGCGTAATTGTAATTGGCCTGAGGGGATCGTTTCACTGGGCTCTTGCTCCTTTGCCTGGCCGACACAAACTTGCGCAACAAGGACGTCATCCAGGAACGAGACTCATAATCAATAAGAGGAGGTACAAAGATAACCACTTTGCTGTTTTTTGGTTCCTTTCTCTTTTTTCACATAAATTCCATCAGGCCAAATGACGCCCTCCGGCGGCCAAATCGCTTCGATTGTCTTTCGCGTTACAACTGTCGTCGTTATTCTCTCTCTGCTCTGGATTGTTTTGCTTATGAAAACAAAAAAACGAAATTAATCTCGTTGGATTTAATTATGAACAACAAGTGGAACAGCCTAGTCCAGGGGATCGACCTCGTTTAAAAAGGTCGACTTATCAATAAATAACAAAAAACAATCGCAAGGATTAGATTTGGAGATTGAGATCCGATTTTCCACCAGTTTTTGAGATCAATTTGATATCCGATATAAGGATGTCGTACCCGAGGGCTTTACACATGTCATAAACAGTAAGGGCGGCGATGGAAACTGCAGTCAAGGCCTCCATTTCAACTCCAGTCTCTCCTTTGCAGCGACATTCAGAGGTGATGACAATTGTATTCTAGAAATTCATATTATGCGCGGCAAAATAGATTACCTCTCTGAGATCGAAATCGATCTTAATATTGGTCAGATTCAGCTGATGACATAAAGGAATGAGATCGGGGGTCTTCTTGGCTCCCATTATACCAGCAATTCTAGCTGTGGCCAGAACATCCCCCTTCTTCATCCTATTCGCTTTGATCTCTTCCATTATTTCAGTAGTGACCTTTACAAAATAACAATAAATGATGACATTACACTTACGACAACCTTCCCCGAAGCCCTCGCCGTTCTAAAAGTCGACTTTTTCTCAGACACATCAACCATCGAAGCCTTTCCATCCAAATCAATATGACTTAATTTAATCGTAGAGTAAAGTCTGGTGGAGACAAATAAACTTTCTAAAGCGGAATAAAAGTAAAGGTCGTATCTTACTAGACATGACTCCCGGCACAAGCCAAAGAAAATTTTAAACGGGCCGGCCCGGGAAATTGAACTACTAGCAAAAAATTTTATAATAGTAAAAAAGTTGATAAAGTCCAGGGAAAATTATTTAAAACGTACCAAATGATGTTCAAAGTAAATGCGTGTTGAATTAGCAGCCGTTTTTTATTTTTTAAAATTTTTTGGAGTGTTTGGCTAGTTTACCAATTTTGGTTATGGTAGAATACACTAGCGGGCCTAACCGGGCCGTGCCTGACTTCCATCGGGCCCACGATGGAAGTCAGGGGCCAATTCGACCCCCTCCGGCCGCGGGCGGGTCCGAGAGCAATGTCTATCACTTACTATTAGTATCTAACATTAGCCCCCAATTGTAATCATTGGACGGTTTGGCTGTTTGGCGAGGACCTCCATGCCTGAAAAAATACAATATCACATAGACAAAAATTTCTCATTTCTTGTCTAGCGGGCTCACAGACAAGAAATCAAGGTTTTGTGCGGAACTGAAGTAGCACACACACGCCCTATATTATCATTAAAAAAAGCATGAATAGAACTAGTCCCTTACCGGCATGAGCGGCCTTCTTTTTGAATACTGCCGCCCCAATCACCTCCAGAATCTCCTCGTCCGAAGCTCCTGCCCTCAGGCAATCTCTCAGACTGACTTCTGTATTTCCGTGAAGACATACCTAAAGTTATAAAAACATTAAATAGTAGTTATCTCTGACCTTGAGATTACCGTCGGCGGTGATTCGAAGTCGATTACAAGTACTACAGAATGGAGTGGACATGGATGTTATGAACCCAAATTGACCTTTAAATCCATTGACTTGGAATGCCTATATTCAGAAATGACAACACTTATCGCAACTTACTTTACTAGTATCATTTGGTTTATCTTTCAATCTGATCACTTGATCGTATTTCTTAGAGATGCCGATCATCATTTCTTTGAAGGAGACCATCTTCTTCGAATTGAAATTATTCCCCCCAAAGGGCATGTATTCGATAAAACGAATGTCCAGGTTCTAAAAAAAATTATAATACACTAGACACCTTACTTTATCCCTAGTCATCTCCACAAAATCGACAACTTCCATGTCATTTACTCCCCGGGTCACCACACAATTCAACTTGACTCGGTCAAATAGAGGCAACGCTTCTTCGATGGCCTCCATGACTTTCTTGAATCCATTCCTTCTTGTAATTATCATGTACTTGTTCTCATCTAATGTATCCAAACTCAGATTTATCCGATTTAATCCTGCATCCACAAGATTCTTGAGCTTTCTTTTCAGTACAATCCCATTTGAAGTGATTCCGATCTCCTTTATCATGTTTGTTTCCCTTATTTCTCTTATTATTTCCTCCAAGTCTCTTCTGATTGTCGGTTCTCCACCTGTCAGTCTAACTTTATCGACTCCATTTTGAGCAAAAAGTTTTACCAGTTTTATAATCTCGTCTTTAGTCAGTAATTTTTGTGTAGGAGTAAGCTCTACTCCATCTTCTGGCATACAATAGGTACCTAAATTTTGATAGATAATATAAAAAATTTAAACTTACATCTCAAATTGCACTTCTCGGTCAGAGAAATACGAAGGTAACTGTGAAATCGACCAAAAGAGTCAACCAATGCGTGATTCTGAGGGGCTGTTGCTGTCTTCGAAGCTACAGAATCGCAGAAAAATCTTCCAAATCTCCGCATTTTACAAAGAAGAAAAGGAATGAAAATAAAAGAAAACACCCTTCACAAAATCTGATAAGGGATGATCTTTGTTTCCTGTTTAGCACAATACACACCGTGTTCTCAAAATATAGTTTAACGTTCAGTCATTCGTAACCGACCATTACTGTATTTTTTCTGATTACCTCTAGGCCTCTACGAAATCAAACTTTTGAAACACCAATTTTACAATTTATACAAATGCTGACAACCTTGATGGCACTTCAATATCAAAAGCTGACTTTATTCATCATTAATTTTGGTTTCATAGTTCGACTTGTCGTCCACCCTTGGGTTAGAGTCAATAGTGACACTCTGCAACATGTTGTGGCATTTCGTAATTTTGTCAGCAAAAAAACTATTTTGCAGAAAATATTTCTTGGTGAATAACTCGGTGAACCTCCCATTCTAACATGAGTAACGAAAGCATGGAGGTTGATGAAGGATCCAAGAAAAGGTTTGAGGTAGGCTGATATTATTTTAGCCACGTTTGCTCTGTTTAGGTGAAGAAATGGAATGCCGTGGCTCTGTGGTCATGGGATATGGTTGTGGATACCTGTGCCATCTGCCGGAATCATATCATGGATCAGTGCATTGAATGCCAAGCAAATCAGGTAGTTTGACTTTTTCGTTTTTAGATAAGGATTACGTATTGTTTTATTTGTAGGCAGCGAGTAACAGTACGGACTGTACTGTCGCATGGGGAGTTTGTAACCATGCCTTCCATTTCCATTGCATTTCCCGCTGGCTGAAGACTCGCCAGGTTTGTCCCCTGGATAACAGAGAATGGGAGTTCCAGCGGTATGGCCATTGATCTCCCTCATGTACATCAACTAATTTTTTCATGAATAATTTTATTCGGAGGTAAAGGGTTTAAATTATATGAATGGCTGTATTGTTAGAATCCATGGACTTGTTCCACTTTCTGCCCTCCGGCGGTAACATCTGTGACGCGAAGAGCAATAGGACCGCCATAATTCAGTGGTATCTAAAGTAATATTTTTTTTATTATTGTTCCGTTACCTTTTTGGCGTCTACATCTACTTCCGTCGCTTTTCTCTGCAAATTTACAGTCTTCAAGTCTACATCGTCTGGTAGGCGATATTGGCGATTTAGAATTCTGAGCGGGCGATTTGGATTAATCGGGTTTTCTTTCTCTCCGTATATTTGAATATCATACCCATAAACGTTTACCTGTTATTTTTAGTGATTGTTTTGAGGACTTACATCGATTTCTTCTTTTTCGAACATTTCAAACATGTTCAAATCAATCTTGACTCTGAAGAAATTGTCGTTGTCCACCACCTTAGCGAATTGCACATTGCTATCTTTGCTGCTGAAAATATAGTAAACGTCGTACTGGATTACTTAGCTATTTATTACTTACTTTGGTGTTTCCCATGCCGTACTCGACACTCTTCTTACTCTGACAAACTCTTGTGGTTTTTTGAAGGCATTCTCATCAAAAGTATATCTTCTATACTTGCGTTGTCTCAACTGACTTGGATGGATGGCTACGACGGAGTTGAACCCATTCCAAGGTCTGGTGTAAGGGAGGGCTTTACTGTTTCTGTTCAGCCCTCCATATGATGGGTTATAGGACGGGCTATGCGCTGAGCCATAAGATGATGTTGGAGTAGAGAAAAGTGACCGGAAAGACGGTCGATAGGAAGAAGAAACACTCGAATAATCTGGCTGAAATAAGCGACTCATCTGAACAAACTGGCTGTTTGTAACCTGATAACCGATACCCTGACGTTCTTTAAAGAACGTTTCCAGGACACACGTGCTCCTTCCACTTAGCACGCACTTGGATTGGGACAGGTGATCCGGGAAGGCCTCATGGAAATCAGATTGGTCTTTATAACAGCTGCCAGGTTTCGTAAAGATGGGCATCCGGGCGATGGCTCGTTCGTGTAAATAAGATGCGAGAATAGTAAGGAAGAGAATGCAGACATACATGTTTTGCCTATTTTCCGTCTGTCTGTATGAAGACTCTAATTCGAGCGCTGATTGGTCGAAAAATAGCGGTCGATTTCGTTTATAAAATTCAAAAGTAATAATAAAAAGTCAAAGTACCGAAAGAGCCCCTAATTTCTGGTTACGTTTATTATTGATAAATGAAGGTTACGGTATTAAAAACAAAACCCTTCTTATGAAGAGTTTCTTTCGTCTATGTCGCCTGTTCTACTTTAGGATTGTGAACGAAGTTGAGAAGTCCCCCTTTTTCAGGTTTATGTTCAACATCCCACCAGAATCTGTTGACTCGACTCAAGAATTCTTTGAAATGACCCTGAACATATCACAAACTACCGATCCGTACTTACTTGTATGCTTTCCAAATCCATTTTAACCACTTCTACCGTATCTCGGTTCTCATAAGCCAAAACAATGGCAGCTTTCTGAATTCGAGGAAGATCTGAATATAAGGAACATGCATTCACAGCTGAAACATATGCGGCCAATTGTAAGGGATTCGTATAGAGATCTTCTGGAGTTTGAGCAGTCAGGTTGTTGCTCTTAACGGACTCCTTATTGATAGTTTTCCAATCTACCAAGGTCAACTCTCCACTAAACCGATGTCATCATTAATACAAGTTACTTACTCAATCTCCACAATTGCATCAAACCGGCCTTTGAAACAAAGAAAAGGATTATCTACTTTTCCTTCCAGGATAATATTCGGATTGGGATTCAAGCTCTTCAAAAATGGGAGCAGGCCGGTAAAATAAGGAGTCAGTTCCCCCGACAGTTCGCTCCAATTTGGTTTCTAAAAATTAATCCATCAACAACAGAGTCATCACCATCTTTCTTAAAGTTAATTCTGCCTTACTGATGCTAAGATCTCTTCCGGAGTAGACCTTATTTCCCCGTGAACCTTCAATTCTTTGAGTAAAGCCTCTACCACGCTATGAAAACGGGTCCCAATCCTCATTCGCCTTGTCATATACTGGGAGAAACCAGCTCTTCCCATCTTGTAGATAAGTTGTTGTTGCCATCGATACAGATTCTGCATGGATTCTGTGCAACCCACTATGACAGAGACTGACGGAACACCAACTGTTTTTAGGATAGATTCAGAAGATCGAGGGCCCTAAAGGGTAATTTAAAGTTGAAGATGATTACCATGATATCCATTTCTTTCACTTTAGATGATTCGGGGTCAGTAATCGAAAAAAACGAGTTAGGAGGAAAGGATGGCAATATTCTGGTGACCGTCATTGGGAAGAACGGAGTCCCATATCTAATCTGCTTGAATAAAGTCATCTATAACATCAATGCAGACACTTCAAGAGAATTTTAATTAACAAAATCCGTTAAATAATCAGATAAGATCAATTAGTTAATGTTAACAATAAACGATACTCGTATGGCTTGGCTTAATCTCATTTATACGCTTATTTATTATATTTTATACTAGACCAGGCGGCGGAACCGAAAAGTCTGTCGGTGGCGGAGGGACGTTAAGAGATCGATTCATCGGTGGTGGAAAAGCCTGGCCTCCAGAGGTTGTAATTGGCAAGATCGTTCCTTCGGGACCATCTTTAACTGCATTGAATAACGATGGCGGAATTCCTTCTGAAGAAATCTCCGGGACCCCATTCAAATTCACATTATATCCGTAGAAAAGCCCTTGATCCTCCATCTTCTTCATCAAATACCACGATGGGTTAATTGGAACATTGCTCGGTGGAGGTTCATACATTACTTTGAAGTTGGGTGGAGCCGCTCTGATTCCCCATCGAATAGACATAGGATCTGTTGGAGGAAAATCTGCACCATCCGGACCCCAAAGAGCAGACCGTTGAACATTCTGCGTAGAAAACAAGGGCTGAGGTTCTGCTTGAATGTGAGGACCTCTTTTTACTAAAATTCCAAATTTTAGGTATAAATTAATATCATACTTTACTCACTTGTTTCATCCGCATGGCCTTGAGCCTGTGCTGGGTTCTGTCGTTGTTGCCGTTGCCGTTCTTCTTCCAGCATCGCCTTTTGATGCATGGCCATATAACTTTTTTGTTGCTCAGCATATTTGGCTGCGGCTTCTAAAAATACTAAAACTCCATTTAATAAACTCACCTTCTTCATTATGTTGCTTCTGTTGCTCTTGCAAAGCTTGTTGTCGTCTTTCTTGCTCAGATTTTGCTCTTACAGATCGCCTCCTCGCTTCCACGTCTCGTTCCCATTTCTCGAACTGTTTAACGTATTGAATATAACCTTCTGATCCTTCGGAACCCCTGAAAATATTATGTTGATGATAACAAGAACCTACCTGTTTGCTTCCCTCCATTTCTCAAATTGGGCTTTGTATTCCCTGTATTGTTTTTCCAACTCTTCTTCCGGAGATGTCTAACGAAACACCTTTAACTCGAAATTATCTCTTACCTTTTTACTCATTGTTACGAAAATTGAAGGCTAACAAAGCCAAAAAAATCGATCCAGATACGTTCTATCGGAGAATCTATTACAATATTCTTGAAAAAAATAGCTTCATGGAAATTGGGATGAGCTGAAAGAATTGTGCGGAGTATGTAAATTGGGTAGAGGGAACTTTCTTCGTGTTCGACGGAATTTTTCGGCGCACGTCGTTTTTTTTTGGCTAATTTTGGTTTGTCCCACCACGGCCAAATTTATAAGTGCCAAAAAGTCTTGGCGTTGTGCAAAAATCGGAAAATTAATTTTTCAAACGTTGGATAAAGAAAGTTAATTTCGATGATCTGTAACCCTTTTTATGGGTCGAAAGCGTAGAGTGTATCATGGTAGATTTATAGGATATTGGTTCAACCTTCAACTGGTACTTCATTTTTAGCCATTACGGCACTTCACGTTGATTTCATTCTCAAACTGAAACTTATGACTTTAGAGGAAGACTTGGTAAATACTTATTTATTAGTTTATTACGAGCATCCTTGTCAATATATACAGACAATTAACGACGGTGTTTTAGCATCCACCGGATTTCTGATTGGAGCCCGCACATCCGTTTCTATTACCATTACCGCCCATTCCCGAAGGATTCATCTGTCGGTTGTTGTTGCCCATAGGAGGCGATCGCATAGCACCGCCATTTCCCATGTCTCCCATCGATCTTACATTCATTCCTCCCATTCCATTTACGGGTGGATTGAGCGATGGATTCATTGGCTGATTCATTGATGGAGAAGAGGACTTTCCAGTCGAGCTTGTGTCTAGCTTGATGATTACATTTGGTGGTTGAGGTTGAGGCTTCTTGCAAGACGCCATTTTACAAATATAAGCTGGAGCTGCTAATGGGACTGGAACAGCTAGCGGAAGAGGTGGTGAGAATGGAAGAGCAATGGGAGAAGGTGGTGGGGGAGGGGAGAAATATGGTGGGGGCCCGGGTGGAGAGAAGGCTGGTGGAGGGGGAGCTGGGTATGGTGGTGGGGCTGGTCCCGGGTGGTAGGCTGGAGGAGGTGGTAGGCCAGCGTGATAAGCTGGAGGAGGATAGGCAGCCGGAGGTGGGGGAGGTGCATGATAGGCTGGTGGGGGTGGTGCATAGGCCGGTGGAGGAGGGGGACCATAAGCTGGAGGTCCATATGCTGGTGGAGCTGGAGGGCCGTACGATGGAGGTGGTGGGGGAGCATAAGCAGGATGTGCATAAGCTGCCGGTGGAGGGGCAGGCGGTGGGGAGTGGTAGGCCGGGACTGGGGCTGCATAGGCAGGAGCTGGATGAGCAGCATAGAGGGAAGGTGCTGGTGCAGCTGCTACCCCAGCGGAATATGCCACATACGGAGTTCGGGGATCATAAGAAACTCCAGCAAGAGCTGGAGAAGCCGCATAAGAATATCCCGCGAGGACGTAACGACCATATTGGGCTGAGGTAGAAGTGACGGAGATGAGTAACATACTATAAAATCTAAGGGGTTATTAAACATGGGAATGTCATAAAAGTAAGAATTAAGGAACCTACAACGTCGAGAGCCGAGAGGACGTCGTCATTTTCCGAGGTGACAACTGGGATCTGACGATGCCTGGGATCTCGCGGAGACTCTTTAAATAATTTTGGCCGCCCCCTACACTTATCTTCACGCTTTGGACGAACAATTGGTCACTCAACGCATTAGATCATCAGAGTTCCGGTCTCTGTTTGCGCTTTGAGAGTGGCTAGTCCAAAACTTTTCGTCCCTAATCTTCTCATAATTCTCACGGAAGTACATGTCATACAAATAGTTTATTTACTGATTCGTTGTCTGTTCTCGTAGATCGAATTCTTGTGTCATCTTTTCCCATTCGGAGATTCTGATCCGAGGTTTGTTTGGGTCAATTTCCAAGGTTTCTTTTGGTGGATAAAGTTCAAGATCGCTGATGTCATGATTGGTGTCAAGAAAGGAAAAATCTGCAAAAACGTGGCATCAAAAAATTATGTAGTTAAAAATAATTTATTATTACCTGTTGACATTGTACTTGTTGTATATTGGGTGGGTGTGGAGAAACACGAGCTACTTGTGTTCTCTGATGACAGCGTATCAGTGCTGGATCCAACATAGATCGGCTGATAAACAACATTGTTTGCAGTTCTATAATTCGAGTTGGGGTTACTGTAACTTACGCTTCTTTGATTTTGTTCCGTATGCAAGTATCTTTATCTTCTTCGTTTTTTTCTTCAATTTGCTTCTTCTTGTGAATTCTGATAGCTTGACCCATCTTGGATTACAAAAATGAAAAATAAAAAAAAATATGAAGTACCAACATCATACTGTACAAATTATTTTATTTCACTCTTTTGAACATCCGAATGCGGTCGCGAAAAGAAAAGCCAACAGCAAAAGAGAATAATGTCGATCAAGAAGGGAACACACAAAGTCAGTCAGGCGATGTGAAGGAAGATTTGACACCTGAGAGTAACAAGGACACCCTTACGGCCAGATTCCCGGACCAAGCTCCAGATGATGTGGCCAGGATGGTCGATCTCCCGGAGGTTACTCCGCCCAGCAAAAGCCCGAGGAAGATTGGATCCAGTCAGTTATTTATCATACAGAAAGAAATCGATGTCATAAAAAATAATAGAAATGTAGCGCTCGGACCAAAAATTCTTTCTGCAGGAGACAGAAGATGGGAGGTTTTTTGCCCGAAAAATTCTCCGCCGATGCGGAAAATGGCGTATTCTGCGGAGACTTTTGTGCACTTTTTTTGGTCATCACACCAATCTTAAACGCTTTGCAATGCTGAAACTTCCGGAAAGCGTTCAAATTTTTTGGCTAACATAAACTTCAGCCAAAAATTAGCGGCGAAAGATTGGAGGGATACGAAACCAGCAGGGAATGTTACTCAGAGCATAAGAGTTGTGTTGAGCTATTCTCCAGTTTTGCATCGTTATCCGGAGCTGAGTTATTGCCTCCGCCGAGATGGCAAGCGTCCGCCATGTCTTCGCCGAACGCTTGATAAGCATAAAAAAGAAAATTTTGGGCAAATCCAATCTTCTTTCTCCTGCGAAAAGAATCTTTTGGATATCTCGGCTGAGCGACAAGAAATTGACGAAAACTTTCCGACACTTTTCTCTGGACATCCTGTACTTTTAGTGTCATCATTACAAACATTGGAGCCGACCACGATGCCTTCTCTCCCCATGCAGAAGATGACGAAAGTTATTAATCTAGCTGATCTCATGCAGAAGGTGGACCGGCCTCTTGAGAAGTCTTATACTGCTCATTCCAGGACTCCTGAATACTTAAGACAAAAGGATAATGGGTACATTGTCTAACTCATCTTAATTCTGCTTTTCAGAAATCCTTTAGCTGATCAACAAACCCAGAATTATGTCCCTGCAGTTATTAATCAAGAGGAATTTGATAAGAAGTACGGATTCAGAAGAGTGGATCTCTCCTTAATTACCAGAATCTACCATTATGTCGCCGAAGCCAGAAGATGGAGCTATATTCAATGGATTTGGTTCGTCAGAGGCTTTTTTCCCATCACCCAATGGTTAGCCGATTACGACTGGAAGCATGATTTATTGATGGATTTCATTGGTGGAGTGATGCTGGCCATAATGTCTATTCCTCAGGGCTTGGCTTACGGACTTCTGGTTGGATTGAAGCCGACTCATGGATTGTATACTTGCATTGTTGGACCTTTGGTATATGCGGTCTTGGGAACTTCCAAACATGCGTCGCCAGGTAGGTGGTGACAAAACGGGGAGAGAAGAATCGACACCGATCAATCAACTTTTCTAAATAACGCTACTAATTGTTTGCAGGTGCGTTTGCCATAACTGCCCTGATGGTTGGAGTTGCAGTAGAACAAGTTGGAACCCTGAATGACAGTATGCGCACTGAAGTCCTGAACACGACTTACTTTTGTTGTTCCCGCTCCAAGAGAATGGATGTAGCCCCCGAGGCTGCTCTCCAGATTGTCACTTGTTTAACAGTTTGCGTTGGCTTGATCCAAGTATGTGGATTACCGTAATTTCAGTTGTTTATATAGATCGCTTTTGGCATCCTGAATGTTGGACTGCTGGCGGTTTGGATGTCTGATCATTTGGTTCAAGGCCTCACTTCTGGAGCTGCGATTCATGTTTTAACTAGTCAGATCACCACGATGACTGGAGTTGAGAATGTCCCCGGAACCGCGGATACTTCCGGAATGGCGAAAGTAAGTAGCGACTTGTTACGTAACACGGTGAGATTAGTTTTATGTCTGTTTCTTCAAGAATATCACCACCATCAAATGGAATACAGCCTCCACTTCCGTGGTTGTCTGTCTGACTTTGATCTTCTCCAAGGAAATCCTCGATCCCATCTTTGTAAAATGGCTGAAGATCAAGTTCCCGATGGAATTCTTTGTGGTTTTGTTCTCGGTTCTCCTCTGTTACTTCTCCGATGGCACTGATTATGATCTGGACATCAAGATTGTGGGTCCAGTCCAGCCAGGGATGATCCCTCCGTTCGTTCCTGACTTTGGTTATGCTGGAGCGGTGATTCCCTCGGCCCTTTCCATCGCTGTAGTCTCCTTTGTAATTCATGTGGCCTTGGCCAAATTGATCTCCAAGAAGTTGAATTACTCAGTAGATGCGAACCAAGAATGGTTCGCCTTGGGCATGATGAATTTTATTGCGGCTTTCTTTGGCTGTTTTGCTGGTGGATCTTCACTCAGCCGGACCATTACATCGGTCAAATTGGGAAGCAAATCTCAGATGTCTACCATAGTATGTGCCTGTGTACTCATACTGAGTGTGTACTTCGCTACTCCCTTATTGTTTTATCTCCCTCAAGTAAGTGTTTGTTTTATTTGGTCGCATTTTAGCCCGTCCTTGCCTGTATTGTTGTGGTCGCCCTTAAGGATCTGTTTGTCCAAATTGGTCAGTCGGTCAAATTAATGCAGAAATCGATGTTTGACTTTGTAAGTATGATACTTTATACTAACTCTTGTTTTAGTTAATCTGGTTTGTTACATTTGTTTCTGTGATCCTGCTGAATGTTAACTGGGGTCTTCTTTGTGGTGTCGTCTTTGCCCTCCTTACTGTAGTTTTCCGATCTCAGTGGGCAGAGAGTACTTGTATGGGTCGAATCCCAGAAACGACCGACTTCAAAGGGCTGGATCATTATCGAGAAGCGGCAGAATTGCCGGGAATCAGAGTCTTCCGATTCGACGCCCCTTTGTATTTCGCTAATTCGGAACTCTTCTTAAGGAGGTTGCATTTGTAAGTGTTTGAAAAAAAAGTAATTATTTGCAGAGCATTGGGAGTGGACCCAGTGATGGCCTACACAAAACTGAAAGCCGAGCGTGAGAAAAGGAAGGGAGAAGCGTTGTCTCAGACCCCCGACCCGAGTGTAAAGACTGTTGCTAAACGTCTGAACCCAGTTGTGGATGATCGGACACCAATTGAATTAAATGTTCGTACCAGATATGCCAATTCAAAGGAGATTACTGCTTCTCCAGACCAGGAGAAACAACCTCAAATGGGAACAAAACCTGAGGGAAAGAAAAGGGAAGAAGAATACATCCATCTGAGTCATTTCATCATCGATTGCTCCTCCTTTCCGTACATCGACTTGATGGGGCTGGAGGTTCTTGAACAAGCCTATTCCGATCTCTCAAACATGGGAATCCGAGTCTTTTTCTGCAATTGCAAAGGTGAGTGTGCATAGTATAGTGGTAGTGGGTCGGGTTTTGGATCCGACGTTCGTGGGTTCGACCCCCTCTTGGCGGTAAACAAATTTATTGTGTTTATCGAATTACGTGGGGCCAAGACGATTGTCGAGATTTATTCGGCCGCGGGATCTGTAAATGGCCTTCGAGTCCTCTGACCCTCGAACACCTCTTTTCGTCATGAAATTTTTATTTTTATACTTTTTTTCAGTTGCCGTTCGTCAATTCTTTGAGCAAAATGAATTTTATAAGCGGGTTCCCAAGTCAAACATGTACTGCTCACTGATTCCAGCGATCATCCAAGCCGAGATCGAGAGAGAACAAGAGAAACAGAAGAAAGAACAGAAAATAAAGGAATAAATAAAAGTTTATTTAACTCGAAAGACTATCGTCATTGCTAGTAATATCACAAGAATCAGAGTACTCTTCACATTTAATAAGCTCGAGGAGTTACATAGATATCCATTGCAGGTATACACAGCACCGATTGTCCGATCTGACTCTGCCATTCCGATAAGGGGCACCTAAGTTTAAATTATTTGGATTTGAATTTTTTGAAATACTTACAGGCTTGTCGTCAAGAGGTCGGAGTTGAAGGTCGGGGTCGTCTGAATGGAGGATCCGACTCCAACAGTCTCTAACGATGATGGGGGATTGGACTGAAATTATCTTATTTTACGGTAAGCAGCATCATTTCATCGGCATGATTAATAAGGAGATTTAATTTTAATGTTTATGAGAATTCCCCTTGCATTTTTATTTTACGTCCTTCTAATTCGTTTCATAAAAATGTCTTTAAATTGACCCCCATTTTTTAGTTGGAAAATACTATTTTGAATACAGATAAACCAACTTACGAGCACTGCAGACAGCCCTGTTGGCCGAGGTCTCGACCAAAACAAATTTTACACAGACACTATTGGGACACGGGACCACAGGAAGGGCACTTTTCATGTTATCACAGGTCTCGTTGGCCACGATTGGAGGGTCCCTTATGAACAAATAGGTGCTGTTCTGAGTGCGGGGCCATCGATGGGCGAAAGTGGTCGAGGAACAACTGTAACATTTCTCTGAAATTTCATTTTTTATGCATAGTATTAGGACTGGTCTAACATATACCATTAAAAGTCAATTTTCAGCCTATTTGTTCCCAGTAATCGCATTAAAAAATAATAAAATTAGACATTCGAAACACCGGAGGTCCGAGAATCATGGAGTGATGTAAAAAGGAAAAAATTTGATTTACCGATTTCCTCGAGATCCTGGGCTCGCGTTACAGTAATCCAGTAGAGGATGGTGGCTACCCAGACCATATTGTGTGACTGTGAAACGACCGGACCATTCCCAAAAAAAGTCTCGTCAAAAGTCGTTGAAATGTTTTCTTTTCCACAGAGCTTGGCACCTCTGGAAGAAAAAAGGACCGACGCTGGGAGTCCCGAGGCCCTGCGGGCACTCTTTTTTTGCGTCAGGAGTCTCGAGTTCTCGTCTCCGAAACCCAGAAAGTCTCTTTCCCTTCTCTCGGCGTTCCGTGTTAATCTCGTTATTGGGTAACTGAATTTGACTACAATTCCACCCACAACTCACTCAAAATGGCTTCACAAGCCAACAAAGGCATCAACATTTTTACAATACTCTCTACAATCATGACAATACTTTATATCAGCAGTACAACCAAAAGTGTAATTATAAATTGGGGTTGAAGTAGCCTTACCACGGCCTTCTAAACTAGTAATGTACGGAGCTCATTTTAGATAGAAAAATTATGAAGGATTACACTACACCCGGAGGGCATTCTCTTGCAATGCCAAACTCGTTTGCTATAATTGGATAATTGCAATTGGAAGTGATTAAATTAGGAGAGCCTATTCTTGGTTGTTTTTAATGAGTGGCGATGCAAATGTCACACTTTTGTTGCATTTATTCATAACCTAGGCTGTTTGTGTGCATGGCGCTACGACTGTTCGGGTCGACGATACTTTGGGTTGTTTCGATTTAATGTGAAGGAGGCAAGGAGAAGGCTTAGCTAACAGAAATGATAAGATTAATCAAATAATTTATCACCTATTTTAAAGTATTTTACGTATATCACTGCAATAATATCCTGCTAAGACTTACGGTTTTTTGGGCAAGTTTTGGTTGTTTTTATGTTACAATAGCTCGAGGTCATGAAAACAAAGATTGGCAATAGATACAGTTGGAAAAAGTAGTCATGTTGAAAGTCTTCGCCAGTCTCCGCCGAGCCTTCGCCTACTGTCCGCCCAGCATGCAACGGCTTTCCGGGTTTCGATTTTTTAGGTCCTCGCCTGTCATACGCGTCGTATCGCTCAATTTTTTGTTGACCCGAACTGTCGTCGACCCGAAAAGGTGTGTGTTGCCCTTTGAGGGGTTCTTTTCATTTCCTAATCTTTGATGAGTAATTCAACTTGTAACACTTCCAAAGCCCAGTCTTGTTTCCAGAATCCTCATGTGTAATTTTTTTGAAATAGCTTAGTCGTGTCTACCGTTGACAGGCTTGAGAATCCGTCAAGTGTTACAACCCTTGAGAAAGTCGGGTGGGAAAGGGGGATTATGGGAGAATCTCGGTTGCCATGGGGGGCTACTGAAAGGTTTCGCTGAGAAGGAAAGGTAAGCGTGATAGCAGATAAACGTCCTTGTCTTTATTAAGGGCACTTCCTGGACTTCCTCCGGGCGTGCCGCCGTAAACGCTTAAGGCAATTGTCACCAATTCCACCTGTTTTTTCCAGGTGAATTCCCGACTTTTCGGCTGTAAACATAATTTTTTACCCACATTTTAATTACTTTTCAACTTCCCTGAAGGGATTATGGGGTAATCTTAATGGTCTTACTATCGTTTGATTTTTTTAGTATAAGTAATAACGTATTTTGTTTACTCATTCTCTTAAGTATTGCGTGTTAATCGCGTTAATTCATGAAACTATAATATGACGTCATTTGCAGAGGATGACAGAAGATAAACGATATGGATACAAACCGGCGCATAACAAGTTGGGGGAGCAAGACCAGACCCCTCTCAACCGAACTTATACCATCGGATCTGCCAGCAGAACGGCTGCGGTGCTTAGGGAACGATCTCGAAGTCAGGACAGGAATACTCTCAATCAGACGTTCACCTCTTTCCCCAGACATTTCTTGCCCAATGGATCGCTTCTTCGATGGTAAGATAACTTTATTTAATTTTTTTAATTGCCATTTGAATGGAAACAGTGGCTTATACAGCGAAGCCTCTATTTGTCTGCTCCTGCAGTTTTCTTATGACCTTCGGGGCTTCTTTTAATGCTCTGTTGATCTCTTAAGTTACAGTAAACCCCAAGGACAAAACCTGACTCGGATGTTATCAAACCAATTACCATCTTTGGAAGGATGTTCTCCTGAAAGAATCTGCACTCAGAGGCCTTGGACTAGGACACAGATAGAGCTGGCCAAGTACAAGGAGACGCTCAAGGGTTGAGCTGGGGCATGCCGGACCCATTCACCTCATCGTTTCATACTTGTATATACTGGAAGGGACTGTGATATTGTTCTTGGTTTAGTGATTGGAACAGCAAAATATTTGATGGGGTTCTGAAAATCCCAGTCTCGTCCAGTCGATTTAATTGTTTCAAGAGTGTATGCTTTCCTTTCCTTGTATTATTATTCACTTTGTTGTTTGGTTGTTTCTGTAAATAACATAAATCATATCATCAGCTGACTGGCGCTCTTCGTGAGGCTTATCTTTTTCATGCGCGCGACAAAAATCTCTTACTCTGCGCGCAACTATTCATCGTATGTTTGCCCAGAACGGAAATAGACGGAGTCTGATTGTTCGGGCCACAACCGGTCAGAGGCCACCCTATAAAAGCGTGATGTCACCCCAGGGGTTATTGTTTTCTGCGTTCCAAGATGCGTCGCCCCTCAGCCAATATTCTGTAAGAACTTATTTTACTTCGTTTGCAATAACATTCGTCTTTAAAAGTCGTTTTCCATTGCAGCCTTGCCTTCTGTTTCGTCCCCTTAATCTCAGGCCAGTCGATCCTTGCCGGGCGTTATTACGCGACAGCTCCTGTGGCAGCTGTGGCCCCGGCCATTCCGCCCGGTCCAGTCCCGGCTGCCCATCCTTGTGGCCCGGCCTTGGCCCCTCCTGCAGTCCCAGTAGCCGCTCCTCCTCTAGGCCCTCCTCCTCCGGTCCCAGCTCCGGCGTTTGGCCCCGCTCTTTATCCGGCAATCCCAGCAGCTGCCCCAGCCTTGCTTCCGGCCGCTCCAGCTTTTGCTGCCCCGGCTTGTGCTCCAGGCTTCGGATATGCAGGATTTGGTCCTTTCGGATCCAATAAGGAGGCCAGACATCCCACAGAGAATAATTCGACCGAGACGGACATTCCCACGACCTCTGCACCAGCCAAGGAGAAGTGAATTTTGATCTGATTATGTTGTCTGTACATGTGAATATAAATAAAACGAGTATTTTTTGATTAAAAAGTTCTTTTGATTACTTCAGAGTATAACTAAACCACTTCTAAAGTATTACATTTTGACCTCAGTTTTATGTCGGTTATTTTTATTGTATAAGTGCATTTATATTTAATTCATAGAGAACAATAGGGTGAGAATTACGTGGTTTATGTCTTTATTAAATACATGCAAGACACGGCGGTACATTTCATTCCCCTTTCGACGTGGGGAAATGCGATTACTACTTCAAATTATTTACAATCCTTCGGTAATTCAATTATAAAATGCATCATGTTCTTCGGGTTACTGTAGCTCGAATGATTGCTTATTATATATTTTGTTTTTTAATGTTGTTATAACTTTCTTTATCATTCAATTCGATTACAAGATTTTGACATTGAATCAGCAAGTGAAGCAATAGAAGTTTATTGATTAATTAAAACAACAGCACAACATTGGAATAGAATAATAATAACACCGACACCTGTATTTACAGACAAGGCAACTGTCCGATGAGCAATTTAATGGCTTTTGCCGCTTTGGACGCTCGAAACATCACGCTTCGACTTGGCCGAACCCAACAGAACGGCTAGCCGAGTGAAGGGAGAGACGGCCGGGAACAGAGTCGGAGCAGCCAGATATGGAGCCGGAGCTACAGGAGAAAAGGCAGGCAACAATGGAGCCGGAGCTGGAGCGAATGCAGGCACTGGAGGGGGAAGAGCTGGAGCAAAGGCTGGGAAGGCCGCTGGGACTGGAGGAGGCACAGCTGGGGCAATGGCTGGGACTGGAGCGGGAGCGGCGAAGAATGGAACTGCAGGAGGAGGAGGGGCCAGAGCCGGAGCAAAGGCGGGAACCGGGGCTGGCAATGGAGCCGGGAAGGCTGGGACTGGTGGTGGAACCGGAGCAAATGCTGGAGGAGGAGGAGCAAAAAGTGGTGGTGGGGGAGGGGCAAAGGCTGGAATGGCAGCTGGCAGGGCTGGGGCTAGATACGGTCTAGCAACAGGAACTGGAGGGGCAAAAAAGGCTGGAGGTGGGGGAAGAGGGGGCGCCAATGCTGGAATGGCTGCCGGGACAGCTGGAGGATGGGCCAGAAGAGGAGCAGTCGCAAAATATCGACCAACAATCTAAACAAAACTGTACGATAAACGAGAAGAAACATACGGCTGCTGGGACAAGTTGAGATTGGACAGTGAGAAGAACGGCAGCGGCGCTGTAAAAACAAAAATAAGTAATTGTAATCAAAAAAGAAAAACAACAAAGGAAATACAACAGGTCGAAACTCACAAGAGGATCCTATTCATTGTGGAGATGGGGATTCACCGGGGACTGATGATGCCAACTTATGCCCTGGGGGCTTTTATATGACCAGATCAGTGGTGTGCAACGCCCCTAGCGCACTCGTGGACCTGAGCCCTTAGCAAATAGCGGGTGTTATTGTCTTCCTTGTCCCAATCTCTAATCCGCGGTTCTGTCCACTCCAAGCGAACAATCCCCTGCGGGGATTGCGTGAACGCGCGTGGGAGTGCGTGTTCCGGTTTTAACGGCCACTCTCTTTTTTTATCCGAAAGTCTGGCTAGTCAAAAGCCAAGTCAAATATAAACTCCGCAGATAACCCTCCTTTGTCCCATTGTTCGGTCACCTGCAACTTGTACAAGTACAAGGTCGGGGATCAGCTACGGAATTTTTTTGTTTCTTGTCACGCACCCCAAGAAACACATATATAATGAGTAATAGAGGGACGTTATTAGAAATACCTAGGCGTTATCCTAATGATTAGGACGAACAGACATTTATGCAACAACCTTCCATGAAATAAAAGCCGCATTCATTGGGTACTTGGTGAACATAAAATTTTGATTGGCACTAAAGAAAACATGCATGAAAAAATTGCTAACAGAATCATACTACAATCTGAAATTTTCAGAAATTCTATATTATACATATAATTTTTTGAATCCTCATAAATTTGTCCAACAACATAGGTACAACGAGAAATTGAACCTCAATTGTTTTTTTCGAGCAAACCAGCAATGTAATTAATCCGTTTAAAGCGATCTTCACGCGATCTCCGCAGTAAATAAAGGAATGCATATAAACGGAAAAAAGTAGACTCTTTAACATGGATCACTTCAATTGTCTCCTACTTCTGATTACATTCTCGTCTTGCGGCTTTGGTCAGCCATTGCTCCCTAGCTTCAATAATTACAATTCCTTTTCCGACCCTTGCACAAATGCCGGTCCGCCAATTTATTCGATGATCATTACTGTCAGGAATTTGCCTTGTTCTCCCCCTCCGTTACCTGCACCTTCCTCCTATGAATCTCCATTTTATCAGGAGCCAATCTCTGCTCCTCCAAGCCCTCTGCCAGCTCTAATTTCTCCAAGATTACCTCCAATCCAACATCCTGTACCTCCACCAATCCATCAAATCCCTCCTCAACCGCCCCAATCACAGCCAATCCCTTACAATCAGCCACCAGTCCAGCCTCTTTACAATCCAATCCAGCCTCAATATCTTCCCCAAAGATCCCCACAGCCTTATCCTTACGATCATTATCGTGGTTATCAACCTCAACTGCCCCATCCTCACCGACAATATGAGTCCTCTCCGCAAATTCCATTCCCTGATCCATGTGGTCCATGCCAACCTCAAATTAATTATGGATATCCCACTTACCAATATTCCCCTTCATTCAATCCTTGTCCTTGTAAAAAGTGAATAAATTGTATTTCTTGGATAATTGCGCGTTTTTTACGTAAAAAACATTATCGTACTTTTTGAAAGTGGGATAAGATGAGTTGACATTTCGTTGCGATATCAAGTAAGCGCAATGTAAAAACATTATTTTATTTTTTATTTGGGATTTTTTTACTTCCGAATTTTTTTCTGTAAAAATTTCTGAAATGACGCATCTTAAAAATTTTGACGATAAAGTAGTCGTAGATGCTGAAGTTGACAGCGGAAGTGATGCGGAATCTGAAGACGAGGAGCTTATTGACGACGAGAAAATGGACACCATGGAGAAAGTAAATTTCGACTTTGAAGCCTTTCCTCCTTCTCCAGATGATGCCGACCAAGTAAACAATTTGCTGACTCAAGTGGGTGTTTATCCAAAATCTTTATTTAAATAAATTTAGATATTCTTGAGAACGGATATTGACTATGACAACTTGTCTAAGGCTGTTGTTAATCTGACTCCTTTTGGAAGTGTCATAAAATCGGCTGAGGAGTTTGCAGACGAAGATAATCAGGATTGTTTATACGGAATCTCGTCGGTGCTTCCATTGACTGCAGAAAAGGTTGGTTAACATTTTGTTGTAGATGATGGTTCAGAACTACGGAATTTTCAACTTTCTTACTTCGCGAGCAAAGAAGAATGCCGACAAAGCCACATCAGAACAGTTGGAGAAATTGTTCAAAGATGGATCTAAAGTTGGGCTTGTTATCAACGAGAGAATGTTACATTTCCCTGCTCAGATCGCCGGACCCACATTGAATGCTTTAAAGTAAGTTGTAACATTTGGAAATTATATTGTTTTAGAGAAGATATTAAAGCGGAAAAGTCTTTGAATGATATGGATAACTTCATAATAATCGTCAAAATCAGAATCAGTGATGAAGAACTAAAAAAAGAGAAGAGCGAGGACACTGAAGTTAGTTATGATAATAATGAAGAAGCCCTATTATTCGAAGTAAGCGTTTAAATGGTTCAAAATTCAATTCTTTAGGCATTCCCCGAGAAGTTTCCATACTTCCAATATCCAGTCCAATCCGATGTCGAGAACACCAGCAAGTTCGCGGCCACAAAGAAAGATGGCATCACCTACCGTCCGTTCCGAAAAGTCTGTCTGCTCAACAAGAACCAACTCTTACATTTCTGTGACACAGTCGCCTCGGCCCTCTAATTGTTATTTTATTCGTTGTTTGTTGAGTTAAATAAATTTTGTTGAAATTAATTTTCATTTCGAATGTCTTGAATGAGAAGTGGCTGGATTATGCGAGTGATGATCACTGGATACGGAAAGGCAAAGACCAGGATTTTTTCCTATGTCCACGCCTAACTGACGGCTGATGCATGAAAATCGTCTTTTAAAAAATAAGGTGTGAGATGTCATACGATGGAAATCAGATTCACTCGATTACCCATAAATCTACTATTTTTAGACGAAATTCAAAAAAAAAATATGTTTGTACTTGACCCTGTAAAAAATATAAACATTGCATAAAATGCACATTTTTTACAAATAAGGGCGTCGAGGATACTTGCGAGGGTTTCGGAAATCTGGCCATTATGCCCATTGTGTCTGCCCATTATGGACGGACACGCTTTTGTCCATTTGCTTTAGAATAAATTTTAATACGCTGATCGTCAAGGCTGGTCAGGCTCATTCACCGGGCCGGGCTTCATTTTTGCCGGGCTTGCCCTGAGGCCCGTTTGCCATCTTTGCTTCCCGTACATAATAATCCGACAAACTGCGGAAAGTGTGGGCGCAGCTTGCGCGGTGCCATAATGTAAAACACGCCGCGCTTTTTCTCTCCCTTTTTCTCTGCGCAAGGAATAAGCAGATCTCCATTATCTGGGTTCCACATTTACATTACGTGCTTGGAAAATGCGAAAAAGGTAAGTATATTAAATTTGTTGCAGGAGATTTTTTGATTCGCTTACCGTGTTGTTTTACAGTGGCACCAAACGAAGACGTGAGGACGAGGACGGCGATGCCGCTGATGCTTATCCTGAGGATGAGGATAGCAGAAGTCGTCTGACCCCGGTACCCGTGCCTAAGGGCAGGGAAAAGGATGCCGAGTTCTCCGCTCCAAAAACTCACAAATTGACGGATCTCGACGAGGAGACACAAGCTCAGGCTCCAAGAGATGAGGATGGTCCGGCTGTCGTCGACCAAACTCATTACATTATCATTCCATCTTATGCGTCTTGGTTTGATTATAATTCGATCCATGATATCGAGAAGAGAGGAGTGCCGGACTTTTTTAGAAACGACAACAAAAGCCGAACTCCCGAAGTGTAAGTGAAATAGTAGTGCCTTAACTTCTGTCTTAGGTACATGACTTACCGAAACTTCATGATTGACACTTATCGTCTGAATCCATTCGAATATCTCTCATTTACTGCTTGCCGTCGCAATTTGTGTGGGGATATTTGCTCCATTGCCCGAGTCCACTCCTTCCTTGAGCAATGGGGTCTAATCAACTACCAAGTTGATGCCGAGAATCGCCCAGCTCCAGTCGGCCCTCCAGCAACTTCTCACTTTATGGTTTTGGCCGATGCTCCGAATGGAGTTCAGCCCGTTAATCCATTCCCACATGGATTCCAATTAACTGACCGAGCTGTCAAAACTGAAAAGGTTGAGAATAGAGAAGTTGATCAAAATGGGGAAGAGGAGGTCAGAGAAGAAGGAGAAGAGGGCAGCAAGATCAAGGTGAAGGTAGAGAAACCGAAGTCTGGAAGGTTATTTGAACCTGGGCTGAAGACTGATCAATATGCAAAACAACTTGCTGCCATGAAGATAAAGGGTGCGGCCCCTGGCCGAGATTGGGATGATCAAGAGACCTTGTTGTTATTAGAAGCCTTGGAAATGTATAAGGACGACTGGAACAGAGTCGCTGATCATGTGGGCTCAAGGAATCAGGATGAATGCATTCTTCGTCTTCTCCAACTTCCTATCCAGGATCCCTTCTTGGAAGAGGGTGCGGATGATGTTCTTGGTCCTTTGGCTTACCAGCCCATTCCTTTCAGTCAGGCTGGGAATCCCGTCATGAGTACAGTCGCCTTCTTGGCTAGTGTTGTCGAGCCAAGAGTTGCGGCTGCTGCATGCAAAGCTGCTTTGCGTATGTGTTTCTTTAATTATTTTAGGTAGTAAAATTTTGGTACCTAAATTATAATTTTTAGAAGAGTATACAAAGATGAAGGACGAGATCCCTCCGCTGTTGTTGGAGGCCCATGCAAAAAATGTTGAAGCCCATGCCAAGGCAAATAATGGAGAGATTGATCCGGAAATTGGATTGAAACAATCGGGGATTGCTGTTGAGGAGAAGGTAAGAGAAATTTTGTATCCATTCATCTTTATTTAGACTGATGACACCAATAAAGAAGACGAATCGATGGAAACTGATGAGAAGAAGGATGAGGAGAAGAGTCCTGAAAGTGAAGTTGTAAAGGAGGCCCGTCAGTTAGTCTCAGAGAAAGTTCAGACGGCCGCTGCTTCGGCGCTGGCTGCCGCGGCTGTAAAGGCCAAGCATTTAGCCAATCTGGAGGAAAGGAGAATGAAGAGTCTTGTTGCCCAATTAGTAGAAACTCAAATGAAGAAGTTGGAGTTGAAGTTGAAACATTTTGATGAGGTAGGATGATTTACTGTCGTTTATATTTTTTCAGTTGGAAGCGATTACTGACAAGGAACGAGAATCGTTTGAATATCAAAGGCAACAACTCATATTGGAACGTCAATACTTCCATCTAGATCAACTCCGTTATATGCAGCAGAGATCGAAGACTGATGCTTATCATGCATTGATGCAGAAAGGAGAGTTGGAGCCCGGATTTGAAGTTAGAGGATGTCCACCGCAGATGCAACCTCAACTGGTACCATCACAACCAGGCCCAACGGTTGCTCCAGGAATGACCTTACCGCCTCGAGGAGACTCTGCCAATGGAGCACCATCTGATTCGAAGCCAACTGAAGTCGCCCCGGCTGAGACGGCTGCTCCAGTTGGAGCTCCCCCCGCCCAGGCTGTTCCTCAGCAGCCCACACCTCCGCAACCAGCTCCTCCAGGAGCTCCTTCGGATAATCTAAGCCAGCCTCAGGTATCAATAGCAGTTCCCCCGTCGTCAGGAGCCTCGAGTCAACCACCTCCAGCTCAATCTTACGGGTACCAACCTCCGTATGGCAATGGACCTCCTCCTCCGCCCCAGGGCTATCCCCAAGGATACCACCAACCTCCTCCAGCTGGTCATTATCCACCACAGCAGCCTCCTCCACCCCAACAATACTATTCTCAAGGTGCCCCACCTCCAGGTGGACCTCCACGACCGTATGCCCCACCACCACAGCAGTACAACCAGAGGTTCGGGCCTGGATATGATTACAATTACCAACAAGGACGGCCTGGAGGATACCCACCGAGTCAAGGGCAATATCCATATCCCCAAGGATATTCAAGTGGTCAAGTAAGTTGTAAGCAGTACTTGTAAGATTCCTTTAGTACTATCCCCAACAAGGAGGTCAACCCCCTCATCCCCCACCAACACAGCCAGGAGAAGGTCAAGAACAACCTCCGCCACAGTAATTGTAAAGACCATCAATACATAACTCCGAAATGATCATCTGTAATACTCCGATCTTATGTTTGTTAATTACTTTATACACTATTTATTCACCATTAAATATTTGTCTACTCTTTAGAGATAATTGTAACTTTTGGTAACTAATATTCAAATAAATTTGCGATTTCACACATTCAGATCTTTGGGATTTAGAACAAGCTCTTCTTCGAGGCTCTGCCAGGAGTGGTCAGCGTCGGGGCCAAATTTCCGTTGATCTTTACCCTCCCCTTCGGTACCAAAGATTGTAATAAACTGTAATATATTATTATAGCTATAGTTGTTCTATTTTTGTACCGTAAAGGTTTAAAAAGGTCCTAAAAACTGCTAAACAGGACATGAGGCATGGGCGCATGCTGCTTTCAACGACACAAGCCGCGAAAATATTTTTCAAATTCTTTTCGAATTTTTTTTTAATTTTTTTTTGTACAAAAATTGTCTAGCTATAGCTAGACCCTATAGTTATAACTAGCTAGCAATTGATTGACTTACAACTCTTTTTTAAATATATAAAATGGATGAAGATATTCCTGCTGACCTTCACGATTTTGAAAACATCAATGAAGAAGCTCAGGAAGGCGTTACGATTGTTGAGGTAAGTTTTTTTATTAATGTGCGTGCGATTTTAAGGTATTAAATGAAATGAAGAAGGTATGGGAATTTGAAAGGGTCAGCCCTCTACTTCTTCCTCATCGATTAGAGCTGGTCGATGTATTAGTGAATGAATTAGACAAGCTGGAGAAAGGGATGGCTGAGGCGAAGAAGGCCGGAGTTGCTGGAAAGAATGAGATTGTGGGGGCAAGAAAGTATGAGGTCGCGAGGGTTCGATACATCATTAACTCATATCTAAGGTACCATTTGTTTCTATTTCTAACAAAATCCCTCATCGTTCTCATTATGTTGCTTTAGATGCCGACTCCAGAAGATCGAGCGAAATCCAGCGGATGTAATGGCCAGACATTTGGAGGCCAATGAAAAGGGACATGCAGATCTCCTTGATGCTCATGAAGTCACCTTCACCGAGAATATTGTCAGATCCAATTGCAATTATTTCAATCAAAGTTTTCTCGGTCTTTTGCCCCCAGGGTTGGATAAGCCGGTCGTCTCCAAGGATCGATCCGAGTTGAAACGATGTTTTGTGAAGGTGCATAAGCATGTAAACGTGAATATTTTCAAGATGGACGATCCTAACTCTGACAATGCGGTAATTTTGGAGACCGGTACCACCCATTACCTTCCGTTTTATTCCATTTCAGAGCATCTCAATGATGATTCGGTAGGGTTATTGTAATTACTGGAAAAGTCATCGTGTCATGTATATAATAGTGACAATAAACCTCTTTGTCATGAAGAAAGTTTTCAATGATTGTTAATTTATTAGAGCCACTCCCCAAAAGGAGCGCTTTTTACGAATTATGATCAGTTGGTCAGTGTGTCTTCTATTCGACTTGTGCCTTTTCACCTTTTCTTTTGCACGCATTTTTTTGATATTAACCTTTGATTGGTAAAATGCCCACAGTTTTGATTGTTGGAGCTGGTCTTGTTGGATCTTTGAATGCGGTTTTCTTTGCCCGCAGGGGATGGGATGTGAATATCTTCGAACAGAGAGATGACATTCGGACCATGGAACATGTCCCTGGTCGTTCCATCAACCTCGCCCTTTCTTGTCGCGGGAAAGAAGCATTGGAAGCTGTTGGTTTAAAGGATTATATCACTGATCGGGGGGTTCAGATGCATGCTAGATTAATCCATAGTAAGGATGGGAAGCGGTTTGAAAGACAGCCTTATGGACAACCTGGAGAGGTATATTCGTGCTCAGATTACAGTAATATAATTACTTTAGCATATTGTATCAATAAACAGAAGACATCTCAATGAAGTTATGATCACGGAAGCTGAGAAGTATGATAATGTTGAGTTCCTTTTCAATCACAAAGTTTGCAAAGTAGACCTGCGGAAGAAGGTAGTAGTTGTTGTAAAGGATGGGGAGGAGAAATTCTTCTCCGGAGATGTTGTTTTAGCCTGTGATGGGGCCTATTCTGCAGTCAGGAGGAGTCTCATGGCATATCCAAGGTTCGATTTCTCTCAGGTACGAAATCATGCTTCACTTCCACTTCAGATTTCTCAAACGGAACGATTTTAGGAGTACATTGAGCACGGATATGTCGAATTAAACATTTTACCCAAAAACGATGGCTTTGCTATGGAACCAAATGTTTTCCATTTATGGCCCCGAGGGGATTTTACGTTGATTGCGTTGGCCAACACCGACTGTACTTTCACTGTCACCCTCTTTGCTCCGTTTGATCTGTTTGAAAAAGAATTATTTGACACGGAGGAAAGGAGGATCCAATTCTTTCAGGACAATTTCCCTGATGCTCTAAGCTTGATGTCAAAAGATCACGTGAATCAAGTAAGCCTTTGGGTTATCTGGTAACGGCTTTATAGGTGTTTAACAGAGTTGGAAATGCCTCGGCGCTGGTTTCGATTAAATGTAAACCCTTTACTTTCGAGGATTTTGTGATCTTAATGGGTGATGCTGCTCACGCCATGGTCCCATTCTATGGCCAAGGAATGAATTGTGTAAGTAGGTTGATTCGACATTCCTTTTAGATTTCTATTTCTTTAATTTTAGGGGTTTGAAGACTGTCTAATTCTACATGAGATCATAAACGAAGAGAACGGTGACTTGGGTAGGAATAAATTAAATTTCTTTTTGGCAATTTTATTCCTTATTACGCTAATATTACTTCAGTCAAGGCAGCGAGGACATATTCAGAGCGTCGCTGGAATGACGCCCATACGATCAATGACCTCGCCATGTACAATTACAACGAACTCAAGCATTTGGTTAACACTAGAGGTTACAAGCTCAGAAAAAAGTTGGATCTCTGTTTGAATAAGTATCTCGGTCAAAGATGGACTCCCCTTTATTCTATGGTAACCTTTACACGAACTCCTTATCATAAAGTGGTTGAAAACAGGAAAAGACAAGATCAGGTACGGGGATTTCACATATCCGATAAAAACTGATTTAGATCCTTAAATGGACAACATATGGGATCGCGGGAGGTATTCTGGTCGGAGGAACGGCGTTTCTGGTACATAAATACTTTATAGATTAGTCTTAAGTCATTTAAATCACTCTGAAGACATAAATAATGATTTGGCTCAAGAGAATCGCCACAAAGGACATCAGAAACACCGTGGAAGTGTCGATTTTCTGATTGTAGAAAGGAGTCGTCTCCCCTGAGCCCGCCTCACTTCCCACAATCTCTTTTCCCGCGGCCAACATCACGTCGCATTTGTTTCTGAGCATCTGATTTTCAATCTTGAGGGCCTTTACTTGTTGTTGATACATGGACATGGTGGTCTCGGTATCCATGGTAGGGACACGAACCGACAATTTCCAATGTGCCAGTTTGTCATTCCCATCCCTATTCTTCCAGAAATCTTTGCGATCTGCCGAATCTGAAGCATTTAACGGTGCCGTCTTTCGAACTTACCGTCTTTGCACTCGGCTACCGTAACCACGAAGCGATGACGGGCGTTGATGACCTTGCCGGGCTTCACAAAGATCAAGACTTCGCTTTTTAAGTCCTTCTCCACAAAGCCGGGGTTGTGCTTGACAGTGTAAACATCCTTGGCATTGGTTCTGATCCGATAAGCGATCTTCGTCTGGGCAATATTCTCGATCTCAATACGGGAAAAGAGACGGACTGAATCGTTGAGCAGGACTTCTTTGAAGTCGAGGAATTGAGAAGGATGGACGAAGAAAAGAGGACCGCTCATCTCCCATCGGCCGTTGCAAATAAAACGCTTGAATTCAATTACCGACCGACAAAACAGTAGATTTACTAGGTTAGTGACTAATTGCGCAGATAACTAATATACTCAACAGGATTCACTCAACATGTTCTCTCGGTTCTCTGAATGCCGCGGCCTGAACTTGACAGGAGTGGCTGATTTGACTACCAGATCTTCCTTATCCTTGGTTTCATCTCCATCCAGGAGTCCAATCTGCTTCAATTCTTCAGCTTTCTCGGCTACCAAATCGCGGAATATTGCCTTAAAAAAGTTTCAATTGACTCGAGTTACCCAACCTTGGCACTAGCGACGATTCTTTGCGCCTGCGGCATTCCAAGGCACTTAATTTTGCGAGTCAATTCTTCCGGAGTCGCCCTGGAAACAGCTCCAACATTCTTGTAGCCGAGATCAAACAATTGTTGAGCTCGAGACCTCTTAACACAGTCGATCTCTAGAAGAGGGACCAGCTCTTGTCGAGCACAGACATTTAATTTCTGCAGGAGTTCAGGTAGAAGCTGACGATATGCCCAGAGTTGAGGTACTTCCTAAACAGCAATAGTAATCTAAACTCAACTTACATTTACAAACCGGGTTAGCTGATTAGCGTAAGATAAGGCTGATTGAACTGTAGAATTCAGCCATCCTCGGCTCACCTTGAACCGATCAGCGACCGTGGAAAGATTCTCGGCCGCCCAGAGATTACGTAACATAAAGGCAATATATACACGTAAACGGTAATCCCCTGCGTTCTTCAAGAGATCATTGCGTAACGCTAAATTAACCTACCAATCTGGGTCTGGAAATGATACATTTCATAATCGAATTGTGGTCGATTCCCCATTCGACCAGCAGCAATTTCTCACCATATGACAGCGAGTTGAACTAAAATACGAATAAAAGTAGAATAAATTACTTACATCTTGATAAAACAAATTGAAATCGACCACTGGTAGATCGACATCCAACGGAGCGATGGTGCACAATAAATGGAAGTGAGACGACAGCACCAGACCTTGATTCAGTTCATAATTGTTTTCTTGGGAATTATAATTACAATATAAACAGCAAGAACTTACCCTTATCTAATGCTTTGACCAGTTCGTTATAAATATTGGGACTAGAAGTCGGTTCAAAGGCTCCTTTCGATGACGCCAGACCCAATTCCGTTACTGTTAATTCATCCTAAAAACTTAAAAAAATAAAAATCAAGACTTACAGTAATCATTCCCATTTTAATGAGTCTCTCCAAAGCCTCAGATATCATTTTAATTGCATCTTCATCTTCCAAAAATGACATTCGCAAGGCAGCCTGGATATCTTCTTCATTTTTGCAAACTTTCAGAGCTAATAAATCCAGGATAAAGCTCTCCAATTTGGCAATATCTGCCATACCACTCACAATTTCCGGCAACTCATCGTACCTCATTTTTAGAAACTAAATAAATACTTTTATGCAATTCATATCACACTTACATTACTCCTTTCCATTTCCTGGACAATCACAAAACTTTCTCCTTGATCATCCAATCCTGCACGGCCCGCCCGCCCAATCATTTGTAGATATTGGGCCTTTCCAATGAAATCCCGGCCAACTTTTGGAGACCTTATAATCACTCTTCTGGCAGGGAGATTGACGCCTGCAGCTAATGTGGAGGTTGCGCAAATCACACAAATGATTCCGCTCTAAAGTAAGATAAACAGCAATCAATGGCAATCTTACTTTGAATGCATTCTCCACTAAAATTCTCTCATCCCTCGTCAATCCGGAATGGTGATAGGCGATTCCACTCTTGATCCCGCTCTTCATTACTGGGCAGATCACTCCATCGTTGCTCTCCATTATCTGTTCAATGATCTCCAACTTTTCTACTGCCCGATGGTCTCGAACAGGTCTAAAGAAGTATATTTAACGGTGTATCCTTGAAATAAAACCATAATACAAAAGGCATACTTTGGTACATTCCTGGATAACATCTGACACAGATTCTCGCAGTTTTCCTTCGACGGACAGAATATCAGAATCGACTTTTGGGGAATGACGGGAGCAATCAATGGCACAAGACCATCCGGATCTACCTTCGCATCTAACTAAACCAATATTATTTAATAAACAGAGACTCACCAATCTTTTGACATCCTTCTTGTAATCGAACCCTCCACTTTCTTCGTTATAATAAAAGAGTTGAGTTCCAATCTTCATAAATTCATTCAATTTGACAGGTCTGAAATTCGTGGCGTATATGTGGGCCGAGAGGAACTTTTTGAGTTTTCCCAAGGAACTCAACGTCGCAGACATTCCCACAATCTGACAACTCCCTTTAAACAGCAATTTATTGAGAGTTTGCTCTAGAATGGTTCCTCTTTTGTTCTCTCCGATCATATGCAACTAAATTAACTACAACATAATACTTTAATAACTCACTTCGTCAACAATAACAAGGCCAATTTCACCAATTCTGTCCTCACTGATCAAAGAGTTAATCAACACATTAGCCTTCTCGATCGTGCAGACATACAAGGACTTTTGTTTTCTTCTCAACGGGGGAATACGCCCTCGGGTATTCGCATATTCCTCGATACTGAACCCCATTTCCTCTTCTAACTTATGCAATCCTGTAGTCTAAACAAAAGATTTTTAATAAATCAGAATCCTACCTTTTCTTGAACAATGGCTACAAAGGGGAGAATCAGAATACAACTTCTTTTCAAAGTCAGCAATGTCCTGATTATCAACAATTCTGCAACCAATGTTTTACCGGCTCCAGTAGGCAAGGACAGAATGAAATTGGATCCTCTAAGCATTCGATGATCACATAGACATTCCACTTGCCAATCTAAAGAAACAATTATCCAACCTTTGGGTCTTACCATAAAATTGCTTCACATTTCGAAGTATTTTATAAGAATTCCCGATATTCTCAGGAATTGCCATTACTTTAAAAGGATCAGACGGTAATACTTTGGTGCTTATCCGCCGCGTCGATCCACCAACGATGTGCGTCTTGTTCAGAGGTTCGTTGATCCCTAAAATACTACTCGTAGCACTACAAACCAAGGAAATACAAGAAAATTGACAGTTGCGGTAAATTATTACCAACTTCTCCAGTAATAGGATTTCTGTACGGTTTCGCGGCCTGAGAGCTGCATGCCAAGATTCGTCCATTCGGCGTTCTAGAAGATGTTCTTTTCGGTTTCGAAATGGAAACTCCCTCGACTTCATCGGATACCCGTTTCCTGGCTAGCCGAGGACTGGATCGGTTCACCATAACCACGGAAATTCTGGCCGTATCTGTAATTTCGAAATTCCAGAATTTTTATTTTAAATCCAAATTCGTGCGGCACAAAATTCGCAGGCTACAACGGACGAGGACGCAGTCTGCCGCACACATTAGCAGCTTGCGTCCGAAAATAAAAAATAACTTCTTTTTTTGCGAAACGAAAGGAAGTTTGTTCAAGATCTTCGTTTGGCCATAGTATATATATAAGCGAAAATGGCTGACGGTTTAGGAGATCATCCAACTCTTGAACAGGACTTTAATGAATGTGAATTTGTCGTGGACAAGCTGGAAGAAAGTTCAGATGCGGTGCCGAATGAACAAGTAAGTTATACTTTACAGGTTTCACACCTTTAGATTGCAAAAACAATTGAGAAACTGGAAGGGCTGCAGAATATAATGACTAGTTCTGATTTTGTGAGTGCAAATGATTGTTTGGAAGACTTCTCATCTCAAACGATGAAATTACTTCTTACTGAGGTTTATCTCGGAAGAGTCATGGAGAATGTACATGCTCATGATCGGCTGAAGCAATTGCAAAAAGTAAAGGTAAGGTATTTAATCTAAGATAATAATGGTCAAGGGTTTATACAACGGATATCTGGTAACAGCGGAGGTTTATGGCTTCAGTCCATTAAATGAAGGTCTCCCAAGGGATGCAGTGGATCGGACTTCTACTCAAGGGCTTATTGCTGATGCTGTTATCAGCAGAAATAGAAAATTACAATTGCTTGGAATGGAAGACGATTTAAAGAGGGAGGTCGATACCCTCAAGGTTCAGAAGAATCCAGATGACGCCACATTAGTAAGATTAAAATTTGCAATATTGTTGCGGCATTTTAGAGGAATCTTTACGAGAAGAAGTTGAGATTATGGTGCTTGAGAGCTGTTCGTTTTACCGAAATGATTAATCGTAAGAGTTATTATGAAAATTAATAATCGTTATAGGGGAGATTGAACTGCTAAAATTCCGAAATGAGATGAGTGATGCTGATCGAGCAGAATTATCGAAGAGACCAGGTTTGCCTTTGATCGTGCTGTTTGTTAACTTATTTAGAAGTAACTCCCCTGAAGACTATGTTTATTCCGAAAAGAGAGACAGAACAGAAGCAAGTTTACGGTCTCGGATATCCTTCAATTCCTACACAAACAGTCGACGAATGGTACGACCAACAAGTTAGTTCTGGTCGATTCAAAACCGAGAAACCAGTAACAATTACCGGAAATGAAGGCAATGAAAGGGAATCTGAGAACGAAGACTTCGAATCTGAAGCCGACAGAGATCGAAAAGATGAAGAACAGCGACAAAAAGACATGCGAATGGATGAATATAAGGACACTCATCCCCGAGGATGGGGAAACATGTACGGGAAAGGATAAGTATCGGCTGCTCCACTTCGCTTACTAGAATATCACCTGAATATCAGATCATCTCATGCGGCCGGTGGTGTATTATATTGTTTGTTTGGTGTTATCTTTGTAGCCTTTACAATGCCTAATAAATATCTTATTTTGTACTTTCTTGGAAGATTCAATCGTTTTTACCGATCAAATTATTTTAGATATTTTCGGGGTACCCAAATAATTCGAGTGGAATCATGGAGATGAATCATACTGAGTATTGTTTACAAGTTCAACTTGCAGATGATGAGACGCAACGATTCTGAATCAGAAGAAGGAGAGTTATCTGATCAAGAAGTTGTTCCCCCTCCGCAGAAACCTGTAAAGAAGAATGCGGGGGCACTTTGGGCAGAAGTTGTTGAATCACAGAATCTAGAAGACGAATTTAAAGCATCTGGAGTGACTGAAGATGGGGGAAATTATGTGGACCGAGGGGCCGAAAGCTTTCATATTCCTGAAGAGGCCGTCTTTGGTAATCCCCCTGAACAATCACACCAAATTGTAAGTTTGACCTTTTTTCAAACTTGTGGCTTGTTTGGTATTGCTATGATACGGCTTTGCCGTCTTTTAATACATTTTTTAGAATGAGGAAGGTGATGTTGACTTGTTTGATGTAGCCTCAGTGTCAGAAAGATTTGGTGTTAAGAGAGATGTGTTGAGTCCAAACTCAAGGAAGAGACGAATGGAATCCCCTGAATCGTCTTCGCGAGCATCCAGTTCATCTTCCCGTCCGAATTCGAGAGGATCATTTAAGATGAACAACAAAGCGAAAAAGAAGAAAGTGCTGGCCCTTCCTTTTATGAGTAATGGCTTCTCTTATGATCAGATGTTTGAATCAGAGATTCCTGGAGATCTGGATGAGAAAGAAGTTGGAAAGCGAATAGCCAAAGTATTCGGAGAATTGGATGATGTAAGTCAAAACAAGTGTAATGTGATCTGATTGTTAAAATTACTTTTAGGCCTCTGTTTGTTTCGCGGTGAAAACAATTGGAGTACCTTTAGCTTTGGAATTGTACAATGAAGCATTGAAGATTGAGAAAGAAGGAGGAATGGCTGTGGAGAATGGAGCCAGAAGAAGAACACCGGGCGGAGTCTTCTTCAAATTAATCAAGGACAGCGACAAAGTGGAGAAACAGCTGAAGGTAACAGAAGTGGATGTAATTGTATCAGCTTGTTATCTATTTCAGGCGAAAATAAATGAAAACAGTCGAAAAATAATGGAGAAGATGAGAAATGAGAAACAGAAACAAAAGGTATGCTCAACTACATAGAAACAGTGTTTTCTCTGTGACTCGCTATATTAGTAGGGGGTTTTTTTTCATTTGTCATGGATGCTGTAACGTTTCGTAATCGAGTCAACTTGTATTACGTTCAAATATATTTTGAAAACTGATTTGTTTAAAAATGTTATATCGTAACTTTTTGCACGGTGCAATCACGAAAGAACGTCACATTATTTTAAAAGTAACAGGTTAAATGTCACTCAGAAGGTCTTAACTTGACAAGTTTCCTTTCCAGGAGCGTAATTTGAAACCTCTCCCGAAAGCGACGGACCTTCTGAAGCCAGAAGTCACAGCTCCCAGTGTTTCCGGTCCAGCCCCGACATTCGATCTCAAATCGGAAATCAAGAACCTTATGGATTTTGCTTAATCTTAATTTATTTCTAGTTTATATCCAATATCTTTTTGTCGATAAATCGGCGCCCGAACAGGTGTGATGTCCTTCGTTGTAAACCGAATTCCTTTCATTCCCCATCCCTAATCGGGAACTTTTTTAAACTGTAAAATGTTTCCGGTCTCTCAGGCGCCTCAGCATAACATCGATTATACCGCTTAAAAGGCACAATCTTGTTATCATCAAACCAGTCAGATGAACGTCTTTTTTTGCACTTTACGACTCAAGAGACAAATAATAAGTTAAAAGGCTATGTGATTTTTGTTTATTTTATCAACGTATGATGCAAGCTCCCTCCAATCAGCCCGCCTTCGGTTCCCGATTCCTCGTTTACTTTGCTGTACTCTCCTCTTTTGTTGTAAGCCGAGAGTGATTTGAGTAGTGCATTTTCTCGGGGCCAGAGGCGAATGCACTCCCAGCCGCCCTCCCTGATGCGGTTTCGCGATTTTTCGATCGGATGACAAGACGGAGAACGCCAGGCTTGAAGCGTTACAACGGCCGAGGAGGAGGCGAGGGACGCGGCCGATCAGGCCAGTTGGCCCCACCTCGAGCCGCAACTCGACATGCGGAATCATCGCGTCCTCTCCATTTCAAAAACTTTTAGGCTCGATGCCATTGTTTGGGCAATCGCTGGTGAGGGATCACGCGAAACAAGGGGGGCCCCGACAAATTAGACCCAGTTTCAACGGCGTTGGTCGGGTCAGTTTGTGGGATTTGTGGCCGTTATGTTTGATACGAAAACAACGAAGAGGTCATCCTTGTTCTGCTCGGAGTCCCGCGGCTATTTATCAGTCCGAACAGAGTTCCCCAATCCTGACAATTACTCTTATCTAATTGGTGACAGCTGACTGATGCAAACTACGTGATCTTCAGCTGTCAGTCGTTATCAATGTTTTGTAATAATTGTATCCGTGACCTCAGGCATTTGTCTACAACCGGACCGTGTGGCTGGAGTCCCCCCTGGGCCTAAAATTCCCTGCCTTTCAATTAGAAGGGTTATTCCCATAATTTATAATGGAATATAAAAGATTTGGGCTAGATCAATGTTTTCTCGAAAAATCAACATAAATGCGCCCATGACGGGATTTACGACTTATTTTATATAATCACTCTCCAGATGAGGCAATTTCTAGACGAATTTAGAATTCCTCTCCGCGCAATAGTGCTGCTGTTTTTGTGATCCGTCGGATGGAACGCAACTCCAGTAAAGTGACTGCAGACCAATCTCAATTTGGAATTGACTTTGAGGACCTTTCTCTCTCGATGTCATCGAAGCCGGGAGGAAAATTGCATTTTCGAATAGACTGACCCGCCTAAAAAATGGCTGTTCCGTTTGCACTTAATTCTGGACAGGGTTGGACCCGTTTTGGCCACTGAAGTGACCGGCCGCTTATTTTGAAATCCATCTTCTCCACCCCTTCTCTCCTGTCAAATGAATCATCCCCAATCTCGGGTCCATACGCTTACATTAATTTCCATTTCATCCGACGTGATTGCTGATGTGACTGGCGTCGAAATGCCATGTTCTAATAACTGCATATCAAATTTTGATGATTTTGGTTAATCCAAGAGCTTCCTTTTAAAATTTTTTCATATTTTTAGGTTTGTTCGTTGAGAATCAAAATATGAGCGACGATAACAAGGCGGTGGAAGTGGCTGATCCTGTTCTTCAAGCCCATGAAGATGCCAAGGAAGCTGGAGATACGGCGATCAAGCAAGATGCCCACGACCTCTCATCAGGCCTTCATGAATTGTTGGAGGGATCCAAACAGAAATTAGCTGGCGCAGTCGAGTCGGTAAGAGTCCCATTATTCTTGCCTAATATTTTAGGTACATCATGGTTTGGTAGATGCGGAGGAAAAGTTGGAACATGTTTTAGAAGAGAAAGGCCATGCTATCGCCGAAGGAACTCAGGCACTTCTGGAAACTGCTTCTGAGAGAGCAAACGAGTTGAAAGAGAGCGTAAGTAAAACAGTTTGAGCTTTTGCAAAAGAAAAGAATTGATTAGATAATGTTATCTGTTTGTTTTATTTGTTTGGCGGCTCTGACCTTTCAACAAGCCTTTATTTAGATTGACCAGACTGCTGCTAATGCCCGAGATGCTATTCAAAGTGCAGAAGATTCCGTCCACGACAAAGCGGAACATCTGATTGATGATGTTAAGGACTTGACTTCAACTGCCGCCTCTGAACTCCATGAATATGCTGAGAAGGCAAAGGCTTTGGTATGCCCCCATATATTTTATTGTTTTATTCAAATTTCAGGCTCACAATGTAGTTCATCCGCAGGAGGAGGAGACCAAAGTTGATGGAGAGGTTGCTGAGAAAATCAACGCCGCTGTGCAGGAGGCAGAAAAGAAATTAGAAGAGGTTCACAATGACATCATTGATGCGGTAAGTCGCGATTTGTTCTTTTTATGTTCTTGTAGACCGCTGAAGTTGTTGAGGACGTTCCATCTGCAGAATCAAAGTCAGAAGACTCAAAGGGAGAAGATGATGCTGCTACAAAACTCGAAAAATTGACAGAGGAGGCCGGCGCTTCGGTAGGTTTGATTAAAATGAACTACGTTACCTTTACAGGTTACGCAAATTGCACAAGAGGCTGTCGAAAAGGTAAATGCCATTCTGGAAACGGCCGAGAAGAAGAAGGAGGAAGTAGAAGATGAGTTTGTGAAGACTTTGATAAGTCACACATCCAAAACCCCGTCTCCACCTCCAGAGAAGGTCGATGAGCCAGAAATTCAAATTCCTGAACCAATTGTTGATCTCGCCACAGAACATTTAGTTCAAGAGGTTGAACCAGTCGTAGAGCCAGTACGGGAGCCCACTCCCGAACCTGTCAGGGAGCCCACTCCCGAGCCAATCAGAGAGCCAACCCCAGAACCAGTGAAGGAACCCGAGCCAGAACCATCGCCTGAGCAAGTCATCGAAACCACTCCAGAACCTATTCGCGAGCCAAGTCCCGAGCCCCCACGGGAGCCCACTCCAGAACCTATCCGAGAGCCAAGTCCGGAGCCCGTCCGGGAACCAACTCCAGAACCCATTCGAGAGCCGACCCCGGAACCCAAGAAAGAGTCAGAGCTAGTTCGGGAACCTTCTCCTGAGACAATTCGAGAGCCCACTCCCGAACCGATCAGGGAGCCAACTCCAGAACCTGTCCGAGAGCCAACGCCAGAGCCGGTCAAGGAGCCCGAGCCAGTAAAGCCTTCTGAATCAGAATTTGCACTCCCAGACGTTGCTGCGGTGGAGGTCAAATCCGGACCGGCGGAAGTTAAAGTGGAAGAACAGAAGCCTGCTGAGGTTAAGGAAACCAAGACTGGACCTAAGAATGAAGGTAGGCATTATTTGTTATCTCGATTATTCACGTTTATCTAGCAAGGAAAGTTCCCGATGTGTTTTTGTCTTTTTGGCGCAATGATAGAGGCTATCATAGTAATTTATGAAGATTTTAGAGCAGATTTAATGTTTCTTCCGAGAACAGCAATGGAGAGTTAGGCTTTTGTCCGACTGGGCCCTTCTAGAGGTGGCAATAGGGCCGGCCCGGTGTTTGGTCCGGGCTCGGATCTAAGCAAATTTGAAAATCCCTGGGCCGGCCTGATCACTTCAACATGGAAGGTTGAATTCTTGGGTATTAGAGTAACCTTTTCGACTTGTACATTTATTATAGCAATTTTTTTAAACCCTTTCATGTTCTTGAGCAATAATCACCGCACCGTAATATGTCCGGCCTTTCGTACTAGGGGCTTAACAGGGACGGGCGCCTAACACCTTCGGGCCGGGCCGCGAAAATCGGCTCGGCCGGTTTGCTTTTTTTCTAGGCCTTTCGGGAAATTCCCCTGAATGCATTGTCGCAATCTTGCGCAATCGATGCGAAAGCGAAACAAAATAAAACATAAACAAAGGGCGAGAAAGCCAAAGAAAAAAATAGTTTGTAAAATTGACTGTGTCGGTGAACAGTGCCCAAAAGCGCGCTCTAATATTTTAGCTATTACAATTTTCAAAGAACTCAAGACGTCACGCATCAAGACCTTGCATTGTAAACAGAGATTGCCACGGTCAAAATTTCGGCTCAGGCTCTTAGCTCCCAGAGCCGGAGCCGAGGCCAAATTTGCAGCTCCGGCTCTTGGCTCCGTGCAAAATTTAAAAAGGCTTCCGGCTCCGAATCCCGGCTCCTATGCAAAATGTTTTTTTTAAAATATTTTTCCAAAAATAAAAGTTATTAGCGCCAGAGATCATACAGCCAACGTTTTTGCAGTCAAGTCACATCCTCCGCAGTGTTTTCCAAGCAATTTGGTTTAACAAGATCACGAAATTTTTACTTTTCTGACCGCTGGGAAGCCTGGCTCCGACTTTGGGCTCGGGAGCCGGAGCCGCTCAGAGCCGGAGCCAAGAGCCGGCTCCGGAGCCGTGGCAATCTCTGATTGTAAACCAATTTTCTGTTTTAGAATCTTCACAAGAACTTCAAGCCAACCGCCGCGCCACTCTCACAAACCGGGCAGAGGGTGCCATCCAGGCCGTCCGTCGCCGATGTGCCATCCTCTGAGTCTGGTGATCCACCATTCATTGTTGATTTATCTTTCATACACTTGAACTCGCCGGTTTGTCCGTCCTCTAGTATTACGTCTATTTCTAAGCTTTCCATGTTTCTAATTTTTTAATTTTCCTAAATACTGTAGTTGTTTTAGTGGTACACGATCTTGTACAAGCTAAATGAATAAATCTAAGAACGATCTGAAGTTGATTTTTTGTATTGGCACGATAGAATGGAAAGAGAATGCCATAGAAGAGAATCCCCCAAGCGGGAAATATGGGATATAAAGGTAATCGATGGTGCTGGTTTCAAAAATCATCTGTTTTTTGCATGTTATATTCTTGTGCTTCTTGTATCTTGTGTGATCTGGCTTCTATTATTATTCGGAAACAAATTAAAAAAAAGGCCTTAAATGGATAATATGGTGTTTGAAATCAGCACAGTCGATTACCCATAAATCCACTATTTTATAGAAAATTTTTAAAAAAATACACTTTTACACTACGCTGTAAAGAAAAAATTTAATGGTTTTAAAAATCAGCACCTTCGAGAACCTATAAATCCACTATTTAAAAAAGTCGAAAAATTACATTTCTCTGTAACAATTTGCGGGAAATTTTACTCTGCACGTGTAATGTGAAAAAGCGTTGCTGCTGCCGCATCAAAAGCTTATGGTGGTCGCGGTTTGTGAGAAAGAATCTGTCGCGAATCGGTTCAACGTTTCAAATGGCAGCAGCGCTTCGCTGAATACGACGATAAAAAATTTTTACTGGTGCTCGAAAGTTGCCCAAGTTGTGAGAAAATGTCGTAATTAATGATGATTATAAGTAAATAAAGTTTAATGCAATTTTTTTGTTTGGATTGAATTATGAGCCGTAAAAACGACAAAGTTATACTTCTATTCCATTTCCAATAAATAACCCTAGGTCTACAAGGATTGTACCTTACTGTAATAGAGCGCGTTTTATCACAAAAATTTAATCCTTTTGAGGGTAGAAGGGTCGAGTGAACTTATGCAAAAAATTCCGATTTATTGAAATAGAATTTACAAAACCTTTACGAATGTTAAAAAGAGTGGAAATACCACCTGAATATAACCGGAGTAAAACGAAAACGAAGAGTTGGGTGAGAAGAAGTTGGACTTCCGTTTCTGGCCGTTACAGTAATCCTCATGGCAAATTCTGAAATGGAGGGTTCGGGAGGTCTTTCTGGACGGAATTATGGACTCAAAGGAATCGGCCTGGTCTTCATTAACTTGTGACTTCAACTTTCGGAAGGACCGTGAACTGCCACAGTCTCTCATTACACCTGGAAATACATTTGCTTGTCAAGTAGTACAATATAAAAAAGGCGACTAAGTGAGTATTCTTACCAAACAAATATTCCTCGTGATTAATAACACCGTAAACCTTTAGAAGTCCACATTCAGAACATCTGACCGTTTCTATGTTCATCGAGGCATTCAGACATTTACTTGTTCCCATTACCTCATCGCCAGGATTCATTCTAGTCAAATTCACTTGGTTCCATATCTGAAATAACAAAAACCATTAATTTATTACCTAAAAAAATAAATAAACGGATGAACTGAAGTAACGGTTCAAGACTTACATCTATAATATAAGGTGAAACACACCTATAACATTGGAGGCCATCCGTAAATCCGAGAAAATTGAGAGTTAGAAGAATCAGAGGCGTTATGGCCACCATTCTTCCATCTCCGGCCTCAATTTATGGGATCTGGCCGGAGAAAAGCGGGAAAAAGAGCGATCTCAAAAAGGCGCAACTTATGGACGCGCACTTGGACAGAAATATGGGCTGAGTGAGGGCCTTTTAGCACCCAGAATATGAAACCACGTATCGTTACTTATTGTTTGTTCAAACAAAGAACTCGTGAGGCCGATCTTGCTAAGAGCCCGAGGCAAACGAAGTTACAAAAAGTATTGCTACATTAGGTGTTTATTGATCAAAGTAATTGATCCTCCGAATACACGGTCTCCGCCACTCGAGGATGCAAGAATTCCATCTCGGGCATTCGATTGGGCACCTCCTTCAAAGTGTTGTCCGCCGACATCTTCTTGGCCGTCTCATCGTTCAGTTTGGTCGAGTTGTCTTCTTTGGGAGCTGAAATCAAAAAAAATTATGTCATCGCAGGAATCCAAACAAGCTTATTTTTACAGTAACCCCTACCTTTTGTCTCACCATCATTCTTCTCGTCCTTCTTCGAGTTGGGCGAGGTCTTGCTGCAAAAAACTTTACAATTATTTGACCTCAAATTTGAGGTATCATTTCGAATAGAATTATTTCAAAAACCATTTTGGAATGTCACGGATGTATAGCCTGACCTTTCGTCCTTGAGATCCTCAGGCGGACTCTGATTCCGTCGTTTCCTCTGAAAGAAGACATTATCCCTCCCGGCAAGCGTACCTTCTTGTGTCTGGCAAAGCACATGACCTACAATAACCAAGAGATCCTCTAGAAGAAAGGTTTCCGACCGCTTTTGGGTCCAGATAACAATAGCAATGATATCTGAGTAACGTTCAGGTTCGGTATAAAAAGGGAATGGGTCTTATCCAATACATTATTCATAGTTATCATGAAGATTGTGTGCTTAATCGTTGTATTATTGACAGTACGTGTTGAGGGAGCACCAGTTACAAAGAACTGGGACATCCTGGGGAATATCTACGAACTGTTAAACAAGCATGATGATCTTGAGGTTAAATTAGAACTGGTAATCATCAGGTTCATGGGTAACGTAATAATTGCAGGTTCCTGATGATGAAACTGTCGAGCTTGAAGCAGCCACAGCTCCAGGCTATGCGAAGCCGGATTCCACTGCCGCTCCACCTGTTCCCCCCGTCACAGCCGAGACCCCAATAACTGTGAGCCCAGAAGTTCAGACCACTCAACCTCCAACAGAATCAACAAAAAAGCCGCAGGATGATTTTGATATTGACGCATTGAAGAAGTTCATTCATTTGGAAGAGACGAACACGGAGAAAAACGTTGTTGAAAAACTCAATTCAGCCTTGGCCAAGCAGAAAGAAGGAATTGACGCTGAATTAAAGCAGATTCTGCAAATTGTGAATGATATCAAGAGCAAGATGGATAAGGATGAGACTCCGTCTACAGCTAGTCCCGCTTCAATTGCTTCCGAAGAACCGACAACCAAAGAAAGGGTTGATGTGACCACTGGATCTGCGCCATCCGAAGCTCCGGAACCTGCAGCCTCCACATCGGCTTCTATTTTTTAAATGAAACACATTTTAACACTATTCACTATCTTTTTTACAAAATAGCGTTGTCTATTTCTCATTGTCACATTTACTGTTGTAAAAAATAAATTACCAATTGTTAGTGGCGTTTCGTTCCAATCAATATTTGAAATTCGTTTTATAGAAAAGAATTTTTATTTATTTTTTTGAAATAATTGGGGATCTGCTCTGGACGCGTCCAACGTTTCTAACTATGGCGAACAGAACCGCAAAAGATGCCCACACAATCAAGGGTACCAATCCGCAGTATCTGGTGGAGAAGATCATCAGAACTCGGATCTACGACTCGCTTTATTGGAAAGAACATTGCTTTGCTTTGACAGCCGAACTTGTGATTGACAAAGGGATTGAACTCCGCTATATTGGCGGTGTGTACGCCGGAAATGTGAAGCCAACTCCATTCTTGTGCCTGACTTTGAAGTTACTTCAATTACAACCGGATAAAGATGTGGTTTTGGAATTTTTGAAACAGACAGATTATAAGCAAGTTAAACCTTTTCTTTTTTATTGGCCTTACTTCTTTTTTTAGATATCTCAGAGCTCTCGCAGCCTTGTATATTCGATTGACATTCAATTCCGTCGAGATTTTCACCTTTCTGGAGCCGTTGTATGGAGATTATCGGAAGTTACGATATATGAATAGAAATGGACGTATGTTTTATTACCTTCGATAAAAATTGTATTTAGAATTTGAGTTGGTTTATATGGATGAATTTATTGATCATCTGCTCCGAGATGAATCTTACTGTGATATTCAATTGCCTCGATTGCAAGTAAGCGTATATTGCCTTAATCTATTATATGGTTTAGAAAAGACAGGCTTTGGAAGAGAGCGATCAGATTGATACCTATGTGTCGTCATTGGATGAAGATCTCGATAATTTATCCGAAAGTGAAAGCGAAGAAGAACCAGAAGAGAAACCGAAGGTTAGATTGCAGTTGTTTATGCATAAAATATCTGGTTGGCCATTTAAAAAACTTTTGAATTATTGTTTTAGAGATTGACAAAGAGAAGAAATAGAAGTAGATCAAGATCCACATCCAGAGAACGGGAAAAAGATCGACGAAGAGGTGAAGAAGAAGGTCGGGAAAGAAGGAGGCGACACGATTCTCCAGAATACTCAAGACGGGATCGAGACAATGCCCGTGAAAAGGAAAGGGAACGAGAAAAAGAACGGAAAGAGAAGAAGGAAAAGAAAAACAAAAGCAAAGATGATGAAGAACGGGAGATCGAGGAGTCCAATGCCCTCAGGAAAAAGCTCGGATTGGCTCCATTACAGCGATAGATTGATTGTGCATAAAGTTAATAATCGAATAAACCAATGTTCTCACAGTTACCGTGCGGGGGTCTAACCAGTTCCGATCCCACCGAAGTTAGCGTTTTCATCTGAGAAGGGCTCAGTTTACATACTCCGCCCAATGATTTCAGAACATCTACCCTTCATGGTCTGCCCTTTACGGCATCTGCCCATAAGGGACGGACTCGTCATATGGGACTGTTAGCCAACTTCAGAGAGATTTTTCATCGCATGTACAGGTATATACATCCCATCAGTCAAACACAGGAGATCGAGAAATTAATGGTTTATTTCGTTGTATTTACACTTACATTAATATATTATACAAACATAGATCAGCGAGCAGTTTGAGGAGGAGAGGGCATCGAAATGGGGAATTGTTTGACGTGAGTCTGCCATTGTGAGGCCACCTGGAAGAAGCGGATGTGTTTCCAGAAGACCCCGTCGATGGATAACTCCAATTCCGAGTTCTTTCCTCCAGAACAGAGAAGACGGGAGACATTCGCGACAACCCGTGCTTGGGAATGCGCAAATCCTTCCGCATTCTTCTGAAAAAACGAATTAATTACAATTAAACCCAACTGAATAATGAACAAAAGTATATAACCTTACCGGCTTGGGTTTCCTTCCCAACTTTTGGAGGACCTTATCTTTCCTTTTTTCCTTCACAAATTGAATGGATAAAAGACTGGACATGGACTCCCTAGCAATGGATAAGGTCCTTAGCGTCGCTTTTATCGAATACTTGTTCCCCATCACACTAGACTTCGCTGATCCTGGAGTATTCTGCATAAAACTCTGGTCCAATGGATCTAGATCATGATGGGTGGGCAGGGAAGTGCTCGGAAGATCGGTCCAGTACTCCAGATGCAATTCTTTGCTCGACTCTTGTTGCCTAAAATAATAATCAAACTAAAAAACAGTAATCTTACTTTGGAAGTTGAGGTGAGACGGGTGGGGAAATGCTTGAGGGATTATTGGAGAGCTGGACGGGATTATTTTGATTGGATTGCTGACTAGAAGAGGACTGATTGCTGTTGTTATTGCTCTGGGAAGGGGCGTCGTCGAAAGAATTCTTCATAAAATATAAATAATTCAATTCGTCCAGATTCCCTAGATGGATTTCGGATAAAAATGGGACAAAGAGCTGCGTATCCGACTTGTTTTCCGGCTGATTTCCATTGTTTGAGGAGTCCCAATTGCTCTGACTCAGTTGAAGCATTACCTCGCCTATGGGGAGATTCAGAAGACGATTCTCCGAAGGATTTACAGCGGCATTCATGGCATTGAAAAGGATCTCTTCCATCTCATTCACCTTCCCGGGAGTGATGTCGCCGGCCTCAAATTGGCTTGCGATCTTACTCAAAGACCTCCAAGAAGCTTCAGCATGACCGGTATCTGACGCTTGAGACAATAATCGTCCCAACGCTGAAGCCGGAGGACAGAGAATTGTGAATCGAAGATGTGTAATCCACGCTTGGGTCGGTTTGTTCTGGAGGAAATCGACGTAGGCACGGAGAATGTGAGAGACATGACGATCTGTGCCATAGACACCGATCAGAGTAGGAGAGGGGGCAACGGAGTTGGTGTTACAACTGAAACAATGACCGATAGAAGCAGTACTTACAACTTCTGAATCCTCGAAATTATATTGTGAACGACCGTGCGGACATCTGAAGCTGACGGACAATCAAGAACTCGGGTCCTCTTTAAACTGCTGAAGTCGACACGCGAAATCCAAGAAAAATCCGTCGAGGAACAGATCCAAACATTCGAGGCGACAATCGACGAATCACTGTCCAAGCGCGTCAACTAAAACCACACGATATAAATAACACTTGCACTCCGAAAGTGTTATCCAAACAAATTAAAAGTTAGATTCAAAAAGTACAATAACCTCACCATATCGTTTATAGTGAAGGTTGAGTCGGCGTTTGGCTTGACGTCATTTGGAGTGTAATTGATGGATCCGTTCGTATTGGAATGCTTGAGGATTCTCTGGTCGAATTTACTCAGATTATGAGCTCCTTCCATGGTCTGATTATTCTCATTATCCGAACTGAATTGCTCTTGTTCTTCACTTTCCGACTCTTCAGAAGCGATGGCATCATCGATAACTGGGAGAATATCAGATTTCGACCCGAAGAATGGACGATGAAGACCTGGCCGGGGGTTGGAGCGGATGCTTAGCTTATCCATCTCGATCTCGGGACCCGAATCCGAGATGTTCTCCAGTTCCTCAAAGATCTCTTCCAGTTCCTCGGCCGTTGGTTTGAGCACCGAATGTGTGTCTCCCTCATCCACCTGAACCATTTATGTGAGTTTAGAAGTTAACTTACATTCTCTTCAGGAACTTTGAATCTTCTCAACAGCTTTGTGAGCCGTTGTTTCAGGTTCTTTTGACTCTTCTTAGTCGGAATTCTTCGCTTTCTTCTCATTCTATTTGAAGAATCGAAATCAACGAGATCGTTCACTTCTTCCTCACTCTCCCCGCTTGATTCATCTTCCAGAACATCGTCTTCGCTGTCGTCTCTGGCCGTCAGATCCTTGGCCAAAGAATGTTTTAGGTTCTTCTGACCACTTTCGATCGCGACGGTTTGGCAGTGGGAAATAAAGATAGTGGCGACATGGGAGTCTGAAAAATTATTACAACCAAAATAGGTAATAACAATTAAGATTTATCGTGGATAAAAAAGATTCATCTTGTAATATCCCTACCGTTAACATCCACATCCGGTTTGCTGAGCTGATTCATGGAGAATATCTTGACCTCCCTTGACCCTCCCATTTGCAATAAATCATCCAAATTAAGGAAGCCCGCAGCCAGTGTTTTGAACCCAGGGATCTGGCGATTCTTGTATTTCTTCCGTCGTTGGATGAAGATCTCCAGAACATTGGCTTTTCTTTTGACGAAATGAGAATACTGGATGATAAAAGAAATGTCCAGATCAACCCGGACGCCCTGTTGGATGCTGGGGACACTTATGTCATTCGATCTGAGGGAACGTTTGTGGCCTTGCAGGCGAACACAAATTACTATCGTATTCTCAATTTCAATGCATTTGTAGAACGTTAAACGGGATAATACCATAGAAAGCGCCCTAAAATGATTTATTTTAGATATTAAATTGGCTGAACTACTTTATTTTAGGTAAAAAACTAGATGAACTGCTTCCTTTTGTCTAAATAAAGCATTCTCATTTAAAAAATAGCGCACTTACCTCGGAATACTGTAATTCGAAGCCCGATCCGTATCCCAATTGGCGTAGAATCTCATCGGAACAACGCCAAAACTTGGGGGCTCCATTTTAAACGCGTCGAAATGCTCGTCTGTCAGGTGAAAGCGAGTTTAGAATGGGAGGTAATTTGGGATTGAGCAACAACGAAAGGGTTCAACCATCCTCCACTGGTCTACTCCATTTACAAAACAAATTCCATGGGATAAATACCTAAAACAATATCGTTAAATCCCTGTTCAAAGCAACCTAATCGAATTCCCGTCCCGTAACACAAAAAGTTGAAATTGTTCGTGTCAAATGTCAGGCCAGGGACCAAAGAATACCCGGACCCCAGCAAATATAATTGGACCGCTAAGCGCCCCCATTGTTTATAAGAACAAATCCATAAAAAGACTGCCGGAACTCGAGAGTCTGCACCCAAATCGTTTCAAATCCTCTACTTCCAAAGGCTTGGCCCCACAGAATGCGCGGAAAGAATGGGAAAAACAGCAGGAGATGGAAGAAATAAAAGGATTCTCGAGCAGAGTCTCACGAGAGTTCGGGCCTCCGGAAAGGGAGCCATCTTACTCAACACGGTGATGTTATTAAACCATGTGATCTTCATAAACACAAATTATCAATCAACGGAGCAGAGAAAACATTCCTTATTTAAAGTATCCTCCGCATAAAAAGAAAACACCGCCTGACAAAAGATAAGTTTGCAGTAACTGCTGTCTGCTCGTCAAAGTATTGTCAATAAAGAAGGCATCCACCGCCCTTGTCTTTTCTACCCACAAAAAAATCCAGAGAATTTCCCTCCACAAAAAATCGCCGAAAGATTTTCGGCGAAAAACAATATTTGGGTGCCGAGCTGCGCCCGATGTTGAAAAAAGGAGCAACCAAGTTATACGATGGAGTACAGCGATTGAGATCGGCCCCTGAAGGGTCTAGACTCTCTCGAACAAAGAGGCAGCCGCTGCAGTTAACAAATTTTTTCTCGTTCCGATACCAATTCCTGGCAGGTCAAAAACAAATAGAAGATGGCTGATATTGAACTCAAAAATGCCGAAGCCCAAGGCCAAGCCAAGAAAAGGGAACGCCCGGCCATGCAGATCTATCGTCCTCCAGGTAAGCTCGGCCCTCGCAAACTCTTCAACTCAAACTCAGGTCTCAGAGGAGGAGAAAAAAATGAGAAAAATGCCCAGGAACTGCCCGCTTCACCGACTTCAGTGAAGTACAGTACCCTTGGAAAGACCGAACAAGACCGAGGCAGGTTTGCAATACCAACGTTTTTACTTTTACTTTTCATAACCTTGACCTGAATTCTTCATTTGTTTGCAATGTTTGAATGCATTCTCAAATCTTTTGATTACAGTTTCTAATGCCAGTTCTGAATCCAGAAGTTCTTCTACAAAGAATGAGAAACCAAAACCAAAGAATAAACCCTCGGTTACAACACCGACAGAAAAGAAAAAACAATTTACTTCAAAAGACTTCGACGACATTGTAACTGGACTACGGAAGTTGGAAGCCATAAAAGACCAAAAGATCGTTGAGGACTTTATAAACTGTTAGTCCTACCTTAAGTTATATTACTGTATTCTTTGCAGCAAACTTGGAGTTGCCAGAAATAACGGAATCCTTGGCGCTTTGCTTAACCCGACAGGCCATAGAAGAGAGTAATAAACAAGTCCAGAGGGCCATAGCGAGACTGATTGCCCTTATTCTCAGCTGTCCCACCGGTAGTTCTTTCCACAAAGGTCTGTTGGCATCCTTGAACCAATATTACGAATGCCGAGGACAGTTGAGAGAGACTCATCTCAAGGTTTGGATCAATTTCCTCAGCTTTCTTAGTGATGTTTATGCAAATATTGGATTCGAATATGAGGGTGGATTGGTGGATTTACTCTTCAAAGTACTCGATTACATGTTGGAAGAGTCAATCTTGGAGACACTGAAGATCGAAGAAGTAAGGTTTTGGTATGATTAATGTGACCCACATAAAAGAGTATAAACTATGAGTAATGGGCCATTTGAAATTTGCAAACTTGACTAATGTGATTGTTACAGCTGGAAAGTGTGATCGGCTGTCTTCTGAGTGTTGGTTATGACCTGGAACGGAACTGTCCCGACCAACTGGGGAGTCTAAAGGATCGAATTCGAGACGCTTTTGTAGCCGCGCATGAACCCTGGGCACGAAAAATGATAATGTTACTCATGGAATTGTCGGCCAGTGGCTGGTCCCTGCCTTCCGAGGCCAACGAATATTATTTTCAATAACTTCCATAATCACATTTATGATCCTCCACAAGCTTTACACAGATTTCTATTTATGCTGAGCAAACTTCCGTGCAAATTCCATTAATTTTTTTGTGTTTTCTTCGTTCGAACTTGCTCGGATTACGGCAGTCGCCTCCCTCAGGTCTGCATAATTGACTGGTCGCACATTCGTGGCGCTTATCTTTTGTAATTGTTGTCTTGAAAGTCCTCTGAGTGGTGCCATCGCCGCTTCCTTGCACAGGGCGGTCATGTCCGAATAGGAATATCCTTTGGACAATCGAGCAATATCTCTGTAATCCTCGGGTTACCCATGTTAATACAAAGAGACCTATTTAATAAAATCAAAATACCTGATCTCCGTTGTCGAAAGACAAAATTTGGTTTTGTTCTTCTCGAAAATCTTCCGAATCAGCTGACTTCGAGCATATTCATCAGGTAAATCAATGTAAATCCTTTTCGGGAATCTTCTCAGGACACCGTCATCAAGCTCTTGAGGTCGATTAGTCGCTCCAAGTACAAGAACGCGGTCTTCTGCCTTCGAGACACACCCATCGAACTGTAGTAGGAACTCCGTCTTGACCCGTCTACTGGCTCCATTTTCGTTTTCCTGTCGCGAGCATAAAAGTGAATCGATCTCATCTAGAAACAAAACATAAATAAGATCATCAAAGAAAATGAACGCCAAAAAATTGAACATACCAATAAATATAATAGATGGCTGAGCATTTCTGGCCATTGAAAAGAGTGCTTGCATCAACCGTTCTCCTTCCCCCACCCATTTTGACATTATACTGGCCGCGGAGATGTTAAAAAAGGTGCAATTTGATTCTGTGGCCACGGCCTTTGCCTAAAAAATACGCAAAACAATGAGTACTTACCAACATCGTTTTTCCATTACCTGGAGGTCCAAACAATAAGATCCCTTTGCACGGTTCCCGAAGACCTGTGAACAATCCCGGATTTAGATTGGGAAGAATGACAGTCTCTTCGAGTGCTGCTTTAGCTGTCTCATTCCCCAGGATATCCTCCATTCTGACTCCAGTAGTATCAATCACACTTCCAGACAACTCTTCAGCTAATTTAGGATCTACATTCTTCACTAATAATTTCTTTTTAGGTACATTTGACTCCTTTGAGGTCGACGGTGTTGATCCTAACGTTGACATCACCTTCGGTTTCACAGTTTCTTCTACATCCATTTTTAAATACGTGGCTAAAAATCAAATGACTTTGTAACAAAGTGGGAACTTACTCAAGTCATTGATCCTCTCCTGTGTTAGTGTTAGATGCTTCATCAATGTTGCTCTGTCCTTCTCCACCTCGGCTCTTTTATTTTGTGGGCATCGTTGGGATGATATTGAACATGCCTGTTGTATATCACGGATGGCTTTTTTATAAAGCATCAAGACCTGTCGTTTTGTGTTGAGAGCTAAAAATTAATTACAAATTGACTTATTGTGAACTTACAGCCTTCGTCGGCTGAGATCGCCTTGTTCAGACTAAGTCTACTCTCATATAACAACTTCCTAAACCTCTCATAATTTGCTTCCAACACATCAGGCGCTATGGAGGCCATCCACGATCACGGTGAATCCACACAACGCCCAAATCACGGTTTGCCCACATAGAACAAAAAACGACAAAAAAGCGCCCGAGCCCTTCGCAGTTCGCGCCCGAGTCGTGAAAAATTCCGGAATTATAGGGTAAAAGTTTGAATGTAAAAGACAGCAAAGACTAACAGAAAGATAGAAAATAAGAGTAAAAATGAATTCTTGCACACTTCTTCTGTCGTATTGAATGTTTCCCCATCGTCCATGTCGAAACTCTGACTTGCCGTGAGCTTTCGAAAATGTGCAATTTTAAGGCGCTTTTTAGCGGGTCATATATGACTTCTTAGAGGTGATTTTCAAGATGTTTGATTTTTGTTAGTTACACGACTATCAGAACAGCATATCTTGAAAATTTCATGCAATTTGGTGAATTTTGAAGGGTCATTTTCTGGACCCCAATGAAGGGTACAAAAAGTACTTGGAAATTGATGTGTAAAACAACTTTACGTCGAAAAAACCGTTACAGCCGTTCTGCTCTGAGTGTCACTAGCATTTATCAAACCTGACTTGCATTTTCCACATTTATCCATTGATTTCAGGCATAGGTGTTCGGAGTGAGGGGTGTACGGAAGAAAAAATCGCAAAAAGTAGGCATTTTACAGTACTCTATAAATACTGTAGAACACAACATTGCGAAAATTTTTTAATTCTGTTAGACGAGGGATACACTAGAGTCAAATACTGGAAAGTTTCAGAATTCTAGCCCTAAAATTTAATTCGATTTTCTGGACCCCAATGAAAGCATCACCCCTTGACTACAATAAGTTTTGCAAAAAAAATTTCATGATGGCTAGTGGATGTCGTGACGGTTCTCCCAAGCTGTATAACAAATAACTGCACTGCTAGATGCAATTTTTTATTGTACCGTGGGTTTTAACAGCTTCTGTCATGACCAAAATCCCGTAGATATGGTATCAAAAACATAATGCCTTAAAAATTATTGACAAAAATGTTCGATACTGTCCTGATTTTTTAAAGATTTTGACGTGAGAAGATAAACAGCATTGAGGCAATATTACTTATATGGTAACTGTGAAAAGGTAATCAGAAAAAAGAGTGTCATCATGGTGAAGATGACAAAACCATCGGGAAACTGGTAATGGTAGTAGAAAAAAAATTAATGTCCCATTATGATGATCTTTATGGAAGGGCGGCACACAGATTTAATATTTGAAGAATGATGATTGTAGTTATATTATTGTTACATAATATAATATTAATTTTATTACGGAGAATAATTTTATGATGCACTGAGTATTGTGATATTTCAATTTTTTTAAGCACAGAGGGCTGACAGGGAACGAGGGTAGTCCCCAAATGAACTAGAGATGGCGAAAAATGTGTTGATAGGGTGCAAGTCGAGGTAGATGAGTGTAACCAAAAAGCGTGGTGCATCTACAATATAAAAATAGGCAAAAATATAATAAAAATTCCGGTTTAATCCAAGAATTACGCAAAAAAAAAGTTGTGTTGTTGGCTACTTGGCCTATTCGTTACTTCGATCATATTTGTCTATTAACAAGACATTTCTAGTACCGGATGATAATATTGTGTTTATTTATGCTAATTATATCAATCACAATCTTCAGTAACGCTTAGAATGCCTTGCAAGGTGAAAGTCCCAGTTAGTTCTCTGAAACTTTGATCGTATAAAGTGGTTTTCGCAAAAAACAAGAAAAGTCTTTTCGGGCGTTTTTTTGTCGTTTTGGGCAAACCGTGAAATTAGAAAAATGATTTGTAAAAAAACCGACAGGGACATTTTATACGACAGAAGTTTCCCGATAATTTAATTCCGAATCCAGAAATCGAAACTGTATCATTTCGAAACATAAAAGCTTCGTAAAACTTTATTTCTAAACAATCATGTACAATATGCTAACACTAAGACCATTCACCGACCACTTATTTATGTTCTCCGTCTTCAACAGGAAAATAATTCAAATCTTTGAATAAATATTTGGCCAATTTCTCGTCCGGTAACTCTGCATTTCGTGTTGATAACAGCAGATAGTCGCCGCTAAATGAATTAGGAATATTTGTATACTAACTTACTCAGTGAACGTAAGCTTGAGTACTGCCTTGTTGTCATATGTAAAGTAATGTTCAGTAAGAGGGATGACTTCATCAGCCCTTACAATCTTGTTCAATCTGGTTCCCCAAAACGAAAGATAACCAAAACGGAAGGTGTCATTCTCCGGGTTATAAGAGACGACCCCAATGATCTTGTTGAAGAGATTCGCGAATCCGATCAGCACAATAGGAGCGACAAAAGCCAGACCAACGACGGAGAAGTACTCATTCATGGTGCAGGTACCCATTACCATCTTGTAAGTTTGCCAAGGGATCAACCCAACACTCAGAATGGTCTGATATAGCTTAGCTTTGGCAATCATAAAGCACAATGAGATCTTTTTGTAACGATAAACAGGGATCCTGGAGAGAAACGTAAGGCCAAGTACAAGATATCATACCATTCCTCGGTACCCTCCGCATTCGTCGACGCCAACCTTCTAGCCGAGAATCCGCCAATTCTCTGTCGTAATTCATCTGGACTGAAAGGATTGGTCGATGACATTACCTTAGTCCTCCTTCGGTGGGTTCTTTTGACGGTTGTTGTGAATAAACCCCTTGTGGGGACGACGGCCCCATTTCGTTGAACTGGTTTTATCCGTTTAACAAACTCCCGGACCAACAGGCCTCCCGAAGTCATGAAAAATGGCATCCTCAACATCAATAAGAGTGTTCTCCAATACAAATATCTGATTGATCAAAAACAATAAAGAAGAACTCAAAATGAACAGAAATCTGATTTATTCTCAAAAGAAGTTCTTAAAGGCATGGGCCACATATCTGACCCACCATGGCACATAATGATCTGGCTTGGCTAAAATCACATTATCCAGCTGTCTCGTGTATTCCAACATCATATTCTTTTCTTCATTTATCCTCTGCTTTAAGACTTCATTCTTGGTAACGATCATAATTTGAGCTTCGAGATCTCGTATGGTACTTCGGTATCCGTAATTAGAAGACCCGATGACAGTGGCCACGTAATTATCCTTCCAATTTATCCAGATTCCTTTGGCATGAAATGACCATCCTGGTCTCTGGTATTCCAACAACCGTATCTTCTTTCCCAAGGCATTGATTTTCTTATTTAGGAGATCAGATATGTATACATACAGAGCTGGGATATAGCCTGAGAATCCTTCTGCTTGATAAAACCCGTTAGCCTAAACACAAACAGTTAAAAAATTATATAATTCTCACCTCAGGGGACGCAAAAACAATATCAACCGGGAAATTAGAGTTTCTGAGGATTAAATCTTGATATTCATCATAGAGATTAAGGTAACCACTTGCTAATGTTACTTCTATGTCCTCATCTTGACGCTTAAATATATTTTTTATCAGGTCTTCTTCTTGTCTTATGCCAAATGACCCCATTTGGATGATTGGGAAGACAAAAGTATCCGTTTCTACCTTTTTCTTCTTCAAGACTGTCAAAACTTCGTTTGTCTTGGACAAAAAGCGCTCTCGATATTCATTTATGTCTCCTAAACACTTATTGTATCAAAGAGCAATACTCACCTTTAAAAGGATGACAGTTACACTTCGGTTCAAGTTTTCCCTCTGCAGACAACTGGAAAGAACAAGACGACACAGCATCGAACAAGGCAACAAAAAAATCAACTAATTTGGGAGAATTTTCAATAACAACGTATCGATCTTGTCTATTGGTAAAGTAAGTTTCAGAGAGGTTGGCACCTGATATTATAATTGAATCATCGAAAATAAAGAACTTCATATGTTGTAATCCAACAATCTCATTAACTCTTTCGGGCAAGTACTTCTTGGAAACCCCCCGAAGATCGGGTGTATGGAAGAAGTAAGCCTAAAAAGATAACACTGATGCATAAAGAACACTTACTTCCAACCGATCCGCCAGATGCCGAAGAATCCCGGCTGAACTCTTTTCTCCGCCTCTTGTTCCTCGCAAGTAGTCAAACAGCAACTTTATTGTTATATCTTCTTTTGAATTCAAACAGCTTTCTAATTTTGTTACCTAAAATCGTATTTCATATTTCACAGTCTTGCTTACCAACTTTTTCTCTAAATCTCCAGTCCCTAAATATAATGCGGACATATATATTCGATTTTGAGCATTACCAACTTTATCCTAAAATAAATAATGAAAAGAGCTTGACAAACTTACAATCAAAGTATTGTAAAATTCATCCGGTGTTTTCAGAAATCGAATATTCTCCGGATCCACTTCAATTCCATCAAAATTGGAGGCAAATGAATCGCATGTCATGTCTATCTACGCTGTAACTAAGCTACTTGGGTTAGAAGAAGGGCATATTTTTTTCAAAATTCCAATTTCGTTATCCACAAAAATTTTTTAAAAATAGACTTGACACATTTCAGAATGTGCCAAGTGCTCCTCTTGAAAATGAAACGAATTTTAGAATTCTATCATGATCGATCATTTCATGTTCATTTATTATTTAGTCGTCTTATTCACCTTGTCGTTGGATAGTTATCGTGTTTTCTGCCAATAATCACAGCAAGCCCGAGAATCGTTGTTTATCGTTTCCGATTTAGAAAGATGTTTTTGGATGAGTCATTTATTTATTTCTTAATTCTTTTTTTTGTCGGACGTCATGTTGTTCAAACGCAGTTGCTTATCGTTGGTAAACCCGCGTCTAACTTCATATTCGTTAAAAGAAAGAGGGTTTTAAATTTCAGTTTTCCCGTTGCAAAAGTATTGTCATGTCCGTTTCGTGGGGTACTCAATATGCCAAACTGAAGACTAACCTCCGACTTTGCGCTAATCGTTTGAAGTTACTCCAAAAGAAGAAGACGGAGATGGCACAGAAGGCCCGAACTGAAATTGCTGATATGCTTTTGAGTAAGTTGTTGGTTCTACTTTCTTGATTTGAGTCTTAGATGACAAGGCAGATAGAGCCAGAATCCGAGTAGAGTCCATCATCAGGGAAGACTTTGTTGTTGAAGCCTATGAACTCCTCGAAATGTTGTGTGAGTTATTGTTGGCGAGATTTGGAGTAATTCAACAAATGAAGTAAGTCACAGGTCTCTAAAGTAAATTTTTTTCAGAGAAATTGACGACGGTATTGCAGAAGCCGTGACTAGCATGTTGTGGGTAGCTCCGCGGATTTGTCATGAAGTAACTGAATTTAAAGTATGTATAATGCCTTTCTTAATTTGTGTTTTAGGTAATAAACGATCAGTTAACTCAAAAGTATGGTAAACAGTTTGCTGAGGCCGCAAGGATGAACCAGCTCCCTGAGCCCACTAGAGTAGCCCCTAAACTGGTGGCTAAGCTCAACGTTGGTGCACCGTCCAAACTTCTTGTTGAAAAGTAAGCAAACTGTTTCGCACTTTTATTTTTACTGTTTTTAGATACCTAATCGAGATTGCGAAATGTGCTGGTGTTGATTTTACTCCTGATCCACGAGTAATGAGAGAAGATGACGACGAATTGGCCAAGGCCGAACAGAATCTGATCAACTTTGTAAACGAGGTAAGTTAGACGTCCACATCGTGATATGTTTTATGAAGCCGGCTACTACACTGCTCCACGAAATGATAGACGCACCCTGTTTTTAGCGATTATCTTCCTTGTACTAAATGATATCGAATAATGTTCAACAGATGAAATGTGGCAAATTAAACGAGAATTCATGCCCCGTAGCGATTTTGGAACAAAATTTTGCCTTGACTGAGATATGACATTTTTAGACTTTTTTGGGGTCCACAAAATGATAGACGCAATTAAGTAATTTTTTGTTTATTTAAAAGAATTTTGAGTCAACCTGCTGTTATTACACTTCCTCGTGTTCTCTGTCGTATTAGAAAGGTAATTACATTTATATCCGCTGTACTTCATCGACGCAGTGGCCTTATGAGCCATTTCCGACCTTGTACATGGGGTAAAAATTCGTTTGAAAAAAAAATTTGATTAACGATTTTGCTTTCGCCAAAAAAACATCTTAAACCATCATAGATTACTAGTAGCAAATATAAGACATAAAATAAACCAATACCGATTCGCTGAAGTCATTTAATCGACCATTAAGTTACCGTATACCTTCTACAGTAACCTTCAAAGGCTCTAAAAGTACAGAAGATTACTATCGATGTCAATTTTTTGCTCAGAAAATCAAACTCAGCATGTTAACAAACCTAAAACCGCAACTTATTGCCTGCTTAAATGTCATGATGATTGACAGATGATTGATTAAAGATAAACGTGTAAAAACAAGCCTATTTTTGTGAACTTTTTTTTGTCGAACGACGTTACCGACCAAAGGTATTCTGTAACGGCTGATGATTAAAACATTACGTTTTCAGGCATGCTCAGTTCGAATTTGCAAATTAAATTTTGTCATTCTCTTTATTCGCCTTGGTATTTCGGGGGTCTAAAAGTATTAAGGTAGCTAGTTGTTGAAGATGATATGCCAAGAAAATGCTCGGGATCCTTGAGCAAGCCGTTTTTTTTTCATCAGTGAGATCTACACGTATAATGTGATAGTATTAGCTAGTTTTTCGCCCAAGAAAACTGAATCACCTACAGTTTTTTTCAAACCGAATATTTACCTCATGTACAAGGTCGGAAATGGCTCATAAGGCCGCTGCGTCGATGAAGTACGGCGGATATAAATGTAATTACCTTTCTAATACTACAGAGAACACGAGGAAGTGTAATAAGAGCAGGTTAACTCAAAATTCTTTTAAATAAACAAAAAATTACTTAATTGCGTCTATCATTTTGTGGACCCCAAAAAAGCCTAAAAATGTCATATCTCAGTCAAGGCAAAATTATGTTCCAAAATCGCTACGGGACATGAATTCTCGTTTAATTTGCCACATTTCATCTGTTGAACATTATTCGATATCATTTAGTACAAGGAAGATAATCGCTAAAAACAGGGTGCGTCTATCATTTCGTGGAGCAGTGTAATTATCCATTTCCAGGATAATAACATTGGCTGGAATGTGGCTGATCCACGTGTGAATCTTCCAAATCCACCCTCGAATTCGTCGCCAAATCATCCAGGGCCTCCTCCCCCGCAATTCTATCAGCCTCCTCCACCTCAACTTCCAACTTCTCAAGTCCCTCATATGCCCCCACCCAACTTCCAGCCTCCATCTAATCAGTTCCAACCACATCCAACGCAGTTTCAACCTCCTCCACCTCCGCAATTGAACAGTGTGGCTCCTCACATGCCGAATGAAGTAAGTGTAATTTTATTGTCATCTTCTGGCAAAGCCTTTTTTATTCTATATAAAAGTATGATTATGTTGCAGTATATGGCACCCAAACCCTCTCAGCCTCCGACTAATCAGCCCCAGGAGCACATCTACGAATCCCCTCCAGACGATTCCAACACAGGTTTGTGATCCTGTCGTAATAATAATACCTAAAACTTTCAGATTTCCTCTATGACTTCCCAGAACCGCCATCAGATTTTGGTGACGACAAAAAGAACGGAGGAGGAGGGGGGAAGTCGGAGGGAGATAACCTCAACTTTGAGGACCTGACTCAACGATTCAAACGTCTCAATCAGAAGTAAATTACACTTGTCATGTAAAATATGCTAACCTTAACGAGTAAAGTTTTATCGATATTTGAAAGACTTGGCCGTTCTGAACACATGAGCTTTCAGATTTAAATTCTAAACCTAAAATATCTTTCAATCCCAATTTAAACCAGCATCTGTTCCCTCACGTGAAGTCTAGCGTCAACGTAGCATTAATTGTAGGGTGTCAGCGTGTGTCTGAAAGATGGCGTATTATTATTTTAGGTCGGGGATTGTGGCTGGAGTCCCATGCCCTGTGGCATTGTGTGAGCGGCTTGTCAACGAGCTGGGAATGAAAGATCTTCAAGTTTGTTATGGAACTACAGAGACAAGTCCGGTCTCTTCAGATGAGATCAGGAATGGACTCAAGTCTTGGGTCATCTTGAGGCAATGAAAGCCAATGAACACGGCGATTGTTTGCCTCGAGGACACAAATAAGGACTTTTGATCAGAGGGAATTGCGTAATGTTAGGGTATTGGGAAGGTCCTGAAGTGGTGATTCCGTTTCAAATTCCATGAAGCAATTGCTATCGTACGGGAGATTATCGAGTAATACCTACATATTATGGTACCCCAACAAAGCTTTTCCACATATGCAGTTTTAAAAATAAGTTGCGAAAACTTTATTTTTATCCAAGTTTGATTTGGAAATTGGTCGAAAAATGGATGAGAAAGCGACGGAAACGCAGAAAAAGAACATCAAAGTGGTCACTGTTGGCCAGGTAAGTCAGAAAAAAAGATTAAAGAGATGTTATGATTGACAGTAAGATTGTAAATTTAGTCACGGGTCTAGTCTGAAGTTATATTTTACTTCCAAATCATAGGAAAAAGAAAGTTTTCGAAGAAAGTAGTAAACAAATTTAACTATAAGACCAAAAATCATACTGCAGCTACGTATATATATTGATAATATATCAAAAATCATTACGTCTTTTAGGTCCTCCGTGAATATCTGCGGCCTTTCGATACCCCCGATTACTACTACCAATTCCCGAATTCTTACAGTTATGAGTGAATAAACCGTTGTCTTCTAAATCTCTGCAATAATTTTGCAAAAACACTGTGTCTTATCAAAAGAAATCGTAAAATGAGATGCCAATCACTTACAGTACTGCCTTATTGACATTAGACTGGAGTCAGATAGAGATAACTGACTGGAAAGGGGGTTTTGACTGTTGTTTCCTCGTTCTGTCCTCATGAAAAGAAATAAAAAACAATCTCTCCAATCTTACAGTGTTTTCACTGATAACCAGCAATGTCAGTCGTCTTTTTATGGCTTTTCGAATGCCCTTTTAGATTTCACAAATTACGGTATCGAGACAAAATTCATTTCAATCCGACCTTGCACGAAGATGAGAAATCGTTCCTTTATTACTTATATTGCGCAATAAATCGGTTATCATGATGAATATGACTGATGCGTTCGTCGAGCTTGATCTGTTTTTATCTTGTCGTAACATGAAATTAATCTATCTTTTTGAGAGTTTAGTATGGGGGTCTGCCAATTATTTTTTGTTCTTTGAACTGAATTTTGTGAAGTCAGCGTTCCCGAGATTCCTTCCCCGAAAACTGATACAACCGTTGGAAGGCTTATCACTATTCCTATCGCTGTTTTCCAAGACGGGGTCTTAATCTCTGGATTTCATTTATCTCCCCATTTCTTCCACTTTTTTTCAATTTCGTTGTAATTTCCCTGGGAATACTGTAGACATGTCTCCCGGGCCGGGGGCCGATAAATCGCCAACCGGCCTGCCCCATTCTAAGATTCCTTCGGTCCGGCCCGGAGCGATGGAAGTCTGGCCCAGTTAATTCCCGCTAGTGTATTAGATCACTTTGACCATCATATAGTACATATACAAAAAAAATTTCAATTTGAGTATTACAATTTTTTTGCTAGTAGGCTTAATTTGCCGATCTGACCAAGCCGGCCGATGGGACGAAACTCCGGCCCGTTTCAAATTTTGTTCGGCCCGGAAGCATGTCGAGAATAAACTGTGAATATAAGGATGGTGCGATCTAAAATTTTTCGTCTTGACTGGCAAAAGTCTCAATTTCCTGGCTGGAGAGCTGCCAGCCAAGAGACTGAGCAGGAAAAAAAGGAAAAAATCTGCATGAGGAGAGAGCAGAAGCTTGCGAAATACTATGCGAAGTTACGCTATTTGATCAAGAATTTGACATTAGATCTTTCCCGCCGAGAAATCGGGACTTTCTGCCAGTCAAGACGAAAATTTTTAATCGCACCGTCGTTATATTCAGATTTATTAATTCTCATTATATTTTTGTGATCCTTGAAAAAAGTTTGACCTATTTTTTACATTCATATTGCAAATGGACAACAGAGTTGCGAAGAAAAAACAAGGAGCTTAAGACTGTGAAACCAATCCAATCACGCCATTAACTTTCCCTTCGGCCGGCTTATCACCAAATAAAACTCCGCCCGAACGGAATTTGATTATAAAAGTGATACCGGCCCAGTCCATGTAATTCGGGAGAGGAATGACATTTGCTGATGTAAAGGAAGAGCAATTCACATCTAAGTGGCCGCCAATTAGCTACCGTAGCGGTCAACTCCAATTAATCCGAGTGGATTCTGCTCCATAAAAGAGGGCGGCCTTAAAACGGACGTCTGGAATGCGATGGCCAGAAGACAAATGGCCTTGGGGCGTCACGGTGTAGCTGATCGGAAAAGTCGGACAAAGTCTCTGTTCCGGTCTTATCAGGGTGAATTTAATTACGATCCCCGTTCGGAAGTAATTGCGAACCTCTTTCCGATTCTTTGCCCTTAGGGCCTTGACCTTATAATCTAATTATTTCCTTTTTTGGAGGTTGCAGGGGTCCTTTTATAAGTGCCAACACAGGTTCCGAGAGCTGACTCATCTAAATTGAAAGTTTTAAATCCAAACGTATTTATTGCGCCTAGTGCCCTTAAAATGTAAGATGTCGTTACTTCGGATGAATCATTTCCTCTGATAAATGCGGTAGACGATTTCTCTTGTCGCACAAAAGCCGACAAACATGTTTTAGTCGGTTACGATCGCTGATCCGAATGCCTGAGGCGAAAGCGGCATGGAGGTTTTGGAGGTGTTCCCTCCTTCGCCTTTGTATTCATCTTCCTCATTGTCTGGCTTCTGAAGGTTCTCCAATTACATTCCCATCCGCGCGATTAATCTCTTCGTATGACGGGAGATGTCGATATTCCAGGCCGTTTTTATATTTTGGCATCCCGGGGTTACTGGATGAGATAATGTTGCGCAATCGCCCATATTACCTTGTAGATTAATTAACCGCAATCCTGTGATCTTTCCGTGGTCTCCGATAACGACCATAAAGAATGCTAATGACAATGTGTTACATTATCCAGTTCATAGTTATTATTTAAATGGCCTCCCTTTTTGTGACATTCCACGTCGCCCTTTCTTTGCGTTGGTATTTTCGTCGAAGATTTGTGGCCCGGAGGTTATGGGAGGGGTGAGAGATGGGGGGATGATAAGCCCTCGCCCAACCAGTCTCCTTCTACTTTACCTCGTCGCTTCTCTACCTCGGTTATTATCTGATTCTTCTTCTGGAGTCTCCCGTTTTCGGCGCTCGGAAACCTCTTGACCCAGGCAATTTCCTTCTCAACAATTGTTTGGTTATGTACATCTTCCGCGCTTACCCCGCCCGTCATCGTCTCCCATGACTTCTTTGTGTTCATCGTGCCGTGTCCGCGTCTTGTTATTTGTAATCGTTCCTCATCAAGGATAACATTTTTTATCGATCAAGGCTTATGTTATTCCCTTTGATGAACCTAACCCCATTTTATACGGGTTTATGAACCGGATTTGATTACTCCGCATTTGGCCATAGCGTATAAAAGGCTGTGATAGCATCATTTACTTTCAGTCGTCATGACTTCTTCAGCAGAGGCACAGTTGAGTTACGTTCACGGTGCATCGACGGTGCCTCTGATCTACGATACCATCGGAGAACGACTTCGGAAGGCGGCCAGAGAGGTAAACATAGCATTCAAGTTGTTTTTTTCATATTACCATTCTAATAACAATACCTTTATTGCAGAATCCAGACAGAGAATTTGTAATCTTCAGAAAAGATGGAATCCGGAAAACTTATGAAGAAGTCCTTGAAGATGTAAGTAAAAGTTGGCAAAACAATTGCTATTACAGTTTGGGTACAACTGTTTTTGCACTTTTCGTAGTTATTTTTGGTTACGTAACAGATCAAGGAACGTTTCCTCTTATCTCCGTCCCTTCTGCAAGTAAATATAGAATGCCCCCTAACCTTAATTCTTTCGCAATTTTTTTTTATTTCTTGAAGGATTAAATTGATAATGACATAATCTCTAAAGAAACTATTTAAAAATGACATACGAATGTTGCGGAAGTCAAGTATAATCTAAAATTATTTCAGTGCGAGAAGCTAGCCCTTGGTTTGATTCACCTCGGTCTGGATAAAGAAGATCGTGTGGGGATTTGGTCGCCCAACCACTACGAATGGATCGTGACCCAGTTCGCGGCGGCTCTTGCCGGCCTCATCCTTGTCAATGTGAACCCCATGTATCACTCTGAGGACTTGGCCTATGCCATCGACATGGTCGGGATCAAGGCTCTGATCGCCCCTCCGGCGTTTAAACGGTCTCAATATTACAAAACTCTCTGCGAAGTCATTCCTCAGCTCACTCGAATGCCCGAGGGCAGAAGCGGTCTACAGTCTGATGAGTTCCCCAAACTAAAGCATATTATTATTTTTGATGGTGAAGATAAAGCCTACAGGTAGGCAGAGTACGCCTCATAGATAAAACTGTATTTGTACAGAGGCGCCTGGCGATTCTCGGATGTCCAAAAAATGGGCACGGAAGAAGATCGTCGCCGAATGTCCCAACGCAATGTCCAACCCGATGATCCCGCCAACATACAATACACTAGTGTAAGCAGTCATGTTCATTCGTATAAGTCGATTACAGGGAACCACTGGCAAACCAAAAGGAGCAACTCTAACTCATCACAACATCATGAACAACGCATATTTCGTGGGTCGCCGAGCTGGTTACCACGAAGCCCGGACCATCATCTGTATCCCCAACCCCTTGTATCACTGCTTTGGCTGTGTGATGGGATCTCTGGCAGCCCTTATGTTCAATCAGACCTGTGTTTTCCCAGCTCCGTCTTTCGAAGCTGGAGCAGCTCTCCATGCCATCGCTGAAGAGAGATGTACTGCGTGTTATGGGACCCCTACCATGTACATCGACATGTTGAATCATGAGGATTACAAGAGCCTTGACTGCTCTTCCATCAGGTCGGGGATTGTGGCTGGAGCTCCATGCCCTGTGGCATTGTGTGAGCGGCTTGTGAACGAGCTGGGAATGAAAGATCTTCAAGTTTGTTATGGAACTACAGAGACAAGTCCGGTCTCATTCATGAGCATCCGAGAAGACGCTCCTCTGGATCGGATCAAGAACGTTGGGCACATCATGGACCATTTGGAAGCCGTAATCATCGATGAGAATGGCGTTTGTGCACCTCGAGGACAACGTGGAGAACTTCTAGTCAGAGGACACAGTGTAATGAGAGGATATTGGCAAGATACTGAGCAATCCCGAGCGAGTATCACGGCTGACAGATGGTATCACAGTGGAGATATTGGGGTTATGCATCCAAATGGAGCTGTCTCCATTGTCGGACGATCCAAGGACATGATCGTGAGAGGAGGAGAGAACGTTTATCCTACAGAAGTCGAGCAATTTCTGATGAGACATCACGCTGTAGATGAGGTTCATGTTATTGGGGTCCCTGATGATCGGTTTGGAGAGGCTGTTTGTGCTTGGATCAGGGTAAAACGAGAGGCTATGCATCTGAATGTGAAGGCTGATGACATCGTCGACTTCTGCAGGGGAAGAGTAAGTTTTCATTCTTTTTTGTTCACAACAATAAAACATGATAAAAAAAGTATTGTGTTATCATTACTCTAGATTGCACACTACAAGATCCCCAAATACATTCTCTTCAAAGAGAAACACGAATTCCCCATGACCGTAACCGGGAAGATCAAGAAGTTCGAGATGAAAGAGAAGTCCAAATGGGAGCTCGAACTCCAGCACGTCCAGTCTCACTTCACTCAACTCGGCCAATAATAACAATATTATTTAAAGGGACCCATAGAGCTTACATATTTTATGTTGGGACCGCATTCCTTCGCTGTACATCTTGTGACATTAGTCTCTGATTCAATAAATATTAGAATCGAGTAAATATTTAAATTAAAACCTAACATGAATCAATACCAATCTCGAAATAGTTTCACAAGTACTTTAATTTGGCATTTACACGTAAATAAATATGCTATATTAAAACTTCTTGAGCCATTTGGGCAAAGAAGGACCCGAATTGGGGGATTTATTGATAGGGCCATCGTAATTTCGTTTGGTCCCAGCTTCAGAAGACTGCATACCATCAACCAGAAACTGATCTGGACTATAATTAGAGTTGGCCGAGAGCCATTCATGAACATCTGAATCCGCCTCTGACTCGCTTACACGTGAAAGAACATCATAATTGATGAGGTCTTCTGCAAAAATGAAATTAACAGGGGAAGTACTCCGAGTGCGACGCTCAGATCTTTATGAAACTAGGCATAATTTAGAAAAAATTTTCCGCGCTCTCTCGGCCGCAAAGGTCATTGTATATCTCTGCTGCGTCTGCAAATAGCAAACTAAAATTTACAGGAATTAATATGTAGCCTGTCTGCAAAGAATAATTTATCCGAAGTGCACGCAAAATTAAAGAAAACCTGGGCGTCGCACTTGAGGTACTCCCCATTAAATTAACTAAAACTAACAAAAACATACCAGTAAACTTAACGCCCTTCCATTGAACCGTTAAAGTACTCTTCGGAGCTAATCCTTCATCGATCAGATCCCTCTTGGACTCCTTGTCTATCTTCAGCACAGCGATTAATTCGAATTCATTCCATCGGATAACTTGGTTTACAAATTTAAATAAATTTTGAACTGAAATAAATAAATACGTAAGAAAAAGGCCCCTTTTCTCTTACCCGGCTCTGTCGAGGTAAATCGAGCTTGGATAATAATCTTCTCGGCCAATTTAATGCGGATTACTGTATTTTTATACGCATTTTTCTTCTTTTGTTTGTTTCTATTTTCAATAAAAGACGCCGGAAGAAGAGATTGCTGGTTGGATCTTCTACTATAGTAGCTTTTTATTAAACTCAATACCAGACTTACACTTCCTCCCTCAACTCTTTCTGCAATCTTTTCGCATCTTCAACAGTCAGATCAAAGAAACTCTCATCAACTTCCATGTCGACGTCTCTCGGTTCAGGGGAAAAGACAAGAGCATGTCTCTCGGGGATCTCCACTTCCTCTTCCACACATCCTCTTTCCTTTTCCAACTTCAGAAGATCACCTACAGTAGCCACGGGCTTATCCGGAAACTAAAAATAAACCCGAATTTAGAAATAAAGCAGTCAAATTACTTTAAAATTAATAAACTCAAGCGGCTGCGGTGGAGGTGGATTAAGAGTAATACGGCCAGTATCAGTCAACAACCTATCAGCCAGATCGTCGACCCTTCCTTCACTTAGACTGTCAGAGAGAGTAGAGAGGACAGATTGCAATTGATTCAGTCGAGATGTTTCTGAAGATGCAGTTGGAATACTCGCAACGCTTGTCGAGACCTCAGATGGGGTTGGTATGTTAATCTGAGCAGGAGATTCGGTCTGTCTGATCCTCATTTCCTCAGTTCTCGAAAAAACTTCATCCTCAAACTTCTTCTGAAGTCGCAATCTCTCTTCATTCTCATTTTTCTTAGCAAGATAATTCTGTTCTAACTTCTCTTGCTTCAATTTATTCAGTTCAATCTCCTTTTCTAGCTGCGCTTTATCTTCCGGGCTTAATTTTATTTGCAGATATCGAAATAAAACCCGTCCTTCGATGCCCATCGCTTTCAAAGTTGTCTGCGACAATTGCATCTGACCTTTAAACTAAATCAGAATTCAAAAATAAGTGATAACTTACTGTTTTCTGCATGAATGAGACGGCTGGTACAGTATCCACATCATCAAAACTCAATAAATTCACATTATAAGACGATTGGAAAGCTTCGAGAACCTCCCAAATTGTACATTCTATGGCAAACTCGCTTTCAAAACGTCCATGAGGTGTCTGAAGAGGTTGCGCAACGATATCATATGAAATTTACCTGAAGGGCGATTTTTACAGGGCTTTGGGAGACCGTTGGCTTCTCGATCAATTCAAGATGAGCATTATTTGGTAACCCGGATAATCTAAATGGCAAGGAGAGGTCAATAAACTTCCGTTGGAATTGCAGACCATAAATATCAGCATCGTAACCTTGTTGTAAGCATGCCTCAGTCAAGACCTATAAGAGTAACATACAAAGAGTAAGGCATACCTCTTTCATAGGCTTTCCAGGTGCCACTTGGACTTTATGTTGACGAGCATTTGGACAGAACACAATTACAGTGGACATCGGCGATTTTTCGATGAAATTGCGTAATTCAAAAAATAAATATTTTTTTATAATTATGTGAACGAAGTGTCAAAATCATTGATTATTGACTTTCCAAAAAAAGGCGCCCGATTCTCAATAATATAAGGCCTACCGGAGATGCGCTTGTGGTCAATGTCTGAACCAATATTATTCGCATTTTTCCACTTTACGATCATTTTGTAACGTTTTCTCGGGGACCGGGTTCAGGTCACATGGATATTTAATTGATAGTGGGCGGCCAAACGATCATCTTGATATTCTCTCTTTCCTACCCTTTGCTTTTTCTTTTATCCCCATCCACCTCCTCGTTTCAGACATTCGAACTTTTAGTCCTTAATCGTTTTTTATGATATTGGGGGGTGGTTTATGTGTGATTGATCTAATTCTACTGATTTTAGGTATAACAATGTCGGAGAACGAGATCAGCGGGTCATCTCCGGAGCCTGAGGATATTGAAAAGGAGACCGTAAGTTGATTTAATGGATTATTAATTTATTTTTAGTACGTAAACTTTTCCGTGGACGCCCTTCGGCATGTTTCGAGGGAAGCTGATGAAAGCAGAAAGTTTGCCGAAGTTGGAGCTCAATACAATATGTGTTTCAAGATGTTAAAAAGTGATTCCCGGCTTGTGAAATCGGTGTTGTTTAGTTATGGATTTATTCAGGTGATTTTTCTGATTTATTATAACACTCTTTATTTAGTGCTCTGCAAAGAATCAAAATTTCAACGTTTTCTGGACCAACACACATCTGAATTCTAACTCGTTGAGACAATTGAAGTCGTGGTACGTTTTTACGCCGTATTTTATAGGCACGCCGACATTCCAGGTTGAGGACATTCCGGGCTTGGGACATTCCAAGGTGTGAATAATTCTTGAAACTTTACCGTTCAGATTTATCCTGTCTTGGGCTCTGCACATTGCAGAACAAAAAAATTGATGTGAGCGAAACTCGTGGTTGAGCATCATGGGCGAAAAAATTATATTCTTTTTCGTAAAAAAATATACCCGGAATCATGGTGTTTTGACTGTACCAAGTCGAAGAAAACAGCGGGAATAAAAACTTTGTATCAGAAAAATCTTTAAACTCTTCAAGTATCTACACCAGTCTCGTCCTGAGTACCCACAAAAAATTTAGTTCAAAAATTGCTGTTATATGTTATTTGGATAACGGATTTTCTGAATCGCTTTTTCGCGGCAAGAACCTTTGTAACGCCCGCAATTTCTTGACGTGCCCCGCAGGTCCTTGTACCCACAAGTCTTTAAAAAGTCTCGTAAAGTGCGAGTGTATAATAGTCATACAATACACGATTATGGTTACCTCATAGTACAAACACTATAGGTCGGTTAGTCAAGCCCGGAATGTCATCGTGCGGTTTTATGTGTAATTGTAATTTAGGCAACGAGTAAACCACTTTCCACGTAGCTTTCTGATCACCAAAAAAGACGATCTCTATACCAATATTCGCGCAGCCCAAGCCCAGTATGGCGAGAATATCTTTGACTTTGTAGGTTAAGCCTTTGTCATCGTAGATAAATTATTTAGATGCCAGAATCATATAACACACCACTGAGTGAGGAGAAGCGAGAAAGGATAAAGAATGACCTATCAGCGGCCAAGGAAACTGGATGTTCTTTTATTTTAAAGCCGTCTAATTCATCTCGGGGACGGGGAATCATGTTTGTGTCGAAACCAGAACAGGTAATTTACTGTAATATATTTCGGAATTTGTGTTTAGGTGGATGAGATCAAGGATAACGACAAAGTTATTGTCTCGCGATACATTTCCAACCCATACTTGGTGGAGAAAAAGAAATCTGACCTCAGGGTTTACGTCGCCGTAACTTCATTTTATCCTTTGATGGCCTATATGTATACAGACGGATTAACTCGGTTTGCTGTTGAAGAATACGATAATGATGAGAATGGATTATCACAAGAAGCCCAATTAACTAATTACTCTTTACATAAAACGAACGAGAAATTCATAAAGTAAGTCAATATACTTTAGAATGGATAGTGCACGTCAATCCAGCGTAGTTGAAGCTATTTCGCGACCAAGATTTATTCAATGCGGCGTTTGGTCACAAATAGATATTTTTGAGAAAATCTTTGGTTGTTTTTTCTTGGCTAACCGGGACAAAACCTTACTTTCTGGTCAGAAAATAGCGCTCAAAATTTTTCAAGACTAATTTTGTCCTCCAAAATTTGTTCCGAAGGAATTTTGATATCTAAAGTGTTTTGGTATTTCGCTCGTGTGTGGATAAAACGTCCAAACGGTTCAGAAAATGCGATGGATTGACGTGTACTGGTACGTTTCAGAAATACAAGTACAGCGTCCGAAAGTCATGGCCATAAGTGGACACTAGGCGCGATGTTCCGACATATGAAAAAAGATGGGAAAGATACTGACTGTAAGAGTGGTGAACCACATGGTGGTTCACCCGGAGCTTCCAACCTTGTTTCAGGTATTTCTCCGCCAAACAATTTATATAACAAGGAAAGTACTTTTATGGGGGCTCCTACTTTTTGACGGGCATATCTCAAAAAATCAGAAAAAATGTGCTGATCAAGGATATATAAATCCTAGCTTCCCATTTTAGGTTTCTAGGGGTGAAAACTCAATCGGAAGATGACTTAAAGTCCTATATGAACCCCTTTTCGCTTAATTTTTCACAGGGTTACAATTTTTATTTTGGCTTAAAATGATGTTTATTGAGTTTCTAAGACTTAATAAATCATTCTTGGCACAAAAATTTATTTTCCGACCTTCATCTTCAAAAAGTAAAGTTGATTCAGCCCAAAAGGAAAATCGAACCCGTGCGGCGCACGTCAAGAAAAAATAAAAGAAAAACGGGCGCCCAATGAAAAAGCCTAGAATTTTTTTGGCATTCTGCCCGGTGCAAATCCGTTTTTGTCCAAATGGTTTGCAATATTTTGACATAAAGATTATTAGTAAATCACAAGATATTGATACCAATAGAAAGCTCGAGAGTTGCTTAAGCTAATAGAACCAAAATATACCCATAATCATAGTATTTTGACAGTCTTCCAAGGCGAAGAAAACAACGTCTAAATAAAATTTTGTATCGACGATACCGAGTCAGAGAGAACTGGAAGGGGTATAGGCTCCACGTCAAAAAAATCCTTAAACTATTCTTCAAGTATCTACATCGGTCTCGTCCCGCTTGATGGGACAGTTTTTTTGATATTCGGCCTTGAAATTTGCACTATTTTTAGCCTAGCTCGAACCGTGTTCAAAAAATGCGTCACGATGACACCCATTCAGAATGTGCCAGTGGTATAAAAAACAGTTGTATACGACTAGTAGTACTCCCTAGAGCTCCCATAAAAAAAATTAGGTTAAACATTGTTGTTATGTGCAATTTGGATGACAGATTTTATGAATTTTTTTCGCTGTGAGAACCTTTGCAATGCCCGAAGAATGCGGCGCACGTCAAGAAATCTCGGGCATTGCAAAGGTTCTCACAGCGAAAAAAAATTCATAAAATCTGTCATCCAAATCGCACATAACAACAATGTTTAACCTAATTTTTTTATGGGAACTCTAGAGAGTACTGGTAGTCGTATACAACTGTTTTTTATACCGCTGGCACATTCTAAATGGGTGTCATCGTGACGCATTTTCTGAACACGGTTCAAGCTAGGCTAAAAATAGTGCAAATTTCATGGCCGAATATCAAAAAACTGTCCCATCAACCGGGACGAGACCGGTGTAGATACTCGAAGAACAGTTTAAGGATTTTTTTGACGTAGAGCCTATACCCCCATCCAGTGCTCTCTGACTCGGTATCGTCGATACAAACTTTTATTTAGACGCTGTATTCTTCGCCTTGGAAGACTATCAAAACACTATGATTATGGGTATATTTTGGTTCTATTAGCTTAAGCAGCTCTCGAGCTTTCTATTGGTATCAATATCTTGTGATTTACTATTAATCTTTATGTCAAAATATTGCAAACCATTTGGACAAAAACGGATTTGCACCGGGCAGAATGCCAAAAAAAATTCTAGGCTTTTTCATTGGGCGCCCGTTTTTCTTTTATTTTTTCTTGACGTGCGGCGTTTCCTCTCTTGATTCCCAGACTACGGCACTAACCACTCGGCCACACCGCTCTCTTCCGAAGGAAGAGACCGACTGCGCTTTTTATCGTTTCGAATGCCTGCGCCTTTTGTAGGGAAATTAAGCCAGTTTTTGGGCATTTTCACAACCTAGAAACCTAAAATGGGAAACTAAGATTTATATATCCTTGATCAGCACCTTTTTTCTGATTTTTTGAGATATGTCCTGTCAAAAAGTAGGAGCCCCCATAAAAGTAATACTTTCCTTGTAAAAATGAAGCTGAGACACGTAATTTTTTGTCCACCGAAAATGGCGGGCTGGAAATTTGTAACACATCTCGTGGTGGATGTCGTGATGCATGCAGACAGTCTCGCCTATTTGTTCACATTGTTTAAGATTGCGATGAATTAAGCCTGTTACCCCCGAAAAAATTAATACGTTGAAGGAATAATTACGACTATTTCGTTGGCTGCCGTAATTTCATATAGCCAAAGACTCGTATATTTTCCATGTCCGAAAAACTCAATTGAAAATCATTGCAAAAATTTTCTGTTTTACCGATTTCGGGCTTCAAAATTTGAAATGAAAATGTCAAAGGCCAGTGAACGTGCCGTGCCGGTCATAGTTGGTGGACGAGAAATAAATTGGCGGAGAAATACTGAAACAAGGTTGGAAGCTCCGGGTGACCCACCTTGTATATACTAGTCGCGACATAAAGTCCTGACACATTTTGTCGCGGGTGTCGCGCGAGAAAAATTGCCGCGACGGGTCCGAAAGAAAAACAAAATGCACTGTGCAAATGTGTCAGGACTTTATGTCGCGACTAGTAAGAGTGAAGAAGTACTAAGTCGCTTGGAAAGCAACCTCTAAAAACACTTTCATCATTTTTTTAAGTAAATAGAATGGAAAGATTGAGACCGACATGAACAAAAAATCACGAAAAATTTAATCTTGCGGTTCCTAGCGATTGGTGTGGACTTATTTCTTCACTTTTATACACATTTTTTCATATTTTTAGTGTTGATTGCACGAATAGAAGATCTTGTGGTAAAAACTTTACTTTCGATTCAACGAGTCGTTGCCAGCACTTGTAAGAAGTTGAGCATCAATCCCCGATCTTGTTTTGAACTCTTTGGATTTGATATTTTGGTGGATGATGATATGAAACCCTGGCTTTTGGAAGTTAATCTGTCGCCTAGTCTTGCGTGGTAAGTTCTGCACTGTATATTTTGAATTCTTCAGTGATGCCCCTCTGGACTCTATAATCAAGACACATCTTATTTGTGATACTCTTAATTTGTGTTGTGTCCCCTTGGTCCTCAAGAAGAATACGGCGGTCACTGCACTAATGGGCACCGTGCACAACCCAATAGTTGACGAATTGGCTGAATTGGCATCGAATGCTTCAATTGGAAGTGATTCTGCTGCTGCCAGCCCTGCCACCGCTGATTCTGGGTATGATACCCATTCCGCGGCCAGTGACAATAATCAAGACAATAGCCAATCAACTGAGGAGAAACCGGGCAGAGTAAACTCGCTTAAGAGGAAACCCCTCAGGAAAAATAATCTCCGATCCTTGAAGTTGAAGAAGGCCCAGCAGTTCGTAAAGGTCGGTTGTAATATTAGTTCCGACCGGACATTGTTTAGCCAGTTTATGACAGCGGGGATCTAAACACGGCCTATAACTCGCGATTGGATTTGTTTGAGAGGAAGATCAGAGCTGAGGAAAAGAGAACTGGGGACTTTATTAGAATATTCCCAAGGCCAGAGTCATTACTTCTTTATGGCCGAATTGTGGAGGATACGGGAGCTGAGAATTGGGATAAACTGTTGCATCAAAGATTGTATGGAGAAGAACCGGAATACAGTCACAAAGATTACTTGAAAGCTCACGAAGAACTTTTGAATGCGAAGGATGTAAGTGTATGTTTTGAATTGTCTTATGCTGTGTTACAGTATCCAACAAAGGCATCCCTTAGCACGACCACGAGAAATATGTTCCTCAAGTCATCGTTGGCGACGGCGAAAAAGTATTTGGCCCCATTTTACGAAAACGAAACGGATCCCTATCCAGGTAGATATTACAACTTTACTTCAAAATATACCGTACTTTACAGCTGCTCTCCCCAAACTGCGTCCAACTGCTCGTCGAAGAACCCGAAGTCAACTTGATTTTGATATCAAAAGAAGAGCGGAGATGTTGGAAGCCCGAGAAAAGGCCGGCCTTGTCTAATCTGTTGTTAAACTAGTGGTTGTTTGCTCTGTTGACGCTCTCAATTCATTTTGTAAACGCGAGAATACTTTGTTATCCTGAACTTGTTACATTCTCTGTGTCACGAAGTGCCTTACCTCTTTCCGGAAATGATGAAGTCTTGGACATTGAGATTGGTGGCTTCAGGTGCCATCAAATTGAATAAACTCTGGGACTTTTGAAGAGATTGGAATGTATTTTGTTTATCCTGTGGATCCATTTCGGGAGTCACGTCCGACTTCTCTCTGAATCAATGCGTGTCTTACTTCTTGGCTCTTACTTGAGTAATTTGAAATCGATATATCTTTTTGCGGCCGAACTTTTTGAATTGGCGATTTGAACGGCCATTGGATTGGCTTTTATATGGGCACGGATTCGTGGTTTCTCGGTTCCGTTCGATTCCTCTTTATTTGTCTCGGGTACTGTTCGTATTACAACCTCCGAATCCAATTCTTCCAGTCCTGGTAGTTGTTTCTTGATGTAATCAATATAAACTCTTCTGGCCGTCACTGGATTCTCCGAGCAGTCCAAAGATTTTAGGTGTTTCATATCCTTTAAACTCTTCATGGCTGCGCAAGAACTGATTCTAAACAAAACTAGGGGTAACAGAGCAATAATCCTACTTATTTTTGGAAACATTGAGTACTGTAACATTGGGAAGACTAAGGCCTTCCAAGTCTTTGAGACCATTGTTTGCGAGACTTATTTCCTTGATGTTCTTGAGAGTCTTCTTTCTAATAATTTTGATGTCATTATCACTCAAATCCAGGCTTTCTAGACGTTCCAAATCGAAACTATCTCCGTCGAATCTTGTCAATTTGTTTCCACTTAGAATAAGCCGCTTTAATTGAGGTAATTTGGCCAATCCAACCCTGGCCAGGGACTGACAAGTCAGATTATTCGATGAAAAATTAAGAACTTCTAATTTGGGGAGGATCTAAAGAAGTATTTTCTAAAATTATTAGGATTTACCTCTGGAAGATTTTCAGTTGTAAGTGATATAATTTGATTGGAGGAGAGATCGAGATCGACCAGATTGTGTAGATGAACTAGTTCGTAGAGATGTTGGAGATGGTTGTTCGACAAATTAATGGCCGTTATGTTTTGTAATCTGCAAGAGAGTGTTTGTTTTATGCCTATCTTACTTGTCCAAGGCAGTTCTGTCCAAAGCTATCATCTGGAATTGATGGTCGCTCCAATTGAATTCATTTTCCTGTCCCAAAGATTCCCCAAATTCCTTTTCCAAAAAGTCCATGGTTAATATCTTGCCGGCCTTTCTGACCACTTGATTTTGTTTATCAGCATCACTTGAGTTTTCATTCTCTGCATTCGAGTTGTTTCCATTCAGCACTACCTTTTTGTAATTGTCATCGTCAGCCAAAGGATTGCCCATTAAGTCGACAAAACGAAGATTTGGGAGTTCCTGGAGAACTTTTTACATAACATTTTAATAGTCAGCACCTGCAGTAATTCGACTTCCGTTTTATCCTTAAGCATGTTATCCGTCAAGAGTAATGTGTGTAAAGTCTTCAGTTCTTCGATCCCCTTCATCGATTTTATCCGATTGTGAGATAGATTTAAGTACGTCAATAGCTGCAAGAGTAATCATTACAGTATATCATTTTACCTACCTGTAATTTCGAACAGAATGTTACAGATGTTAATTGATTTTGAAAAGCTTTTAGACCGCAAAGAGATCCCGGCAGTTCATCAATCTTGCTGATATTGTTCTGAGAGATGTCTAAGAATAATAACTTATCCAGTTTTCTTAATCTTTTGACACTTAAGAGATTGTTAGAAGCCAGGGAAAGATACCGCAACTTCTCCAATTGTTCGATCCCATCCAAAGAATTTATATTTAAATTCTCCAGATTTAAGGCAACAATTTGCGACTGAAAGCATACTGTAATTGTAATCATAACGCTTACGAACATGTTGGACTCTTCGACTTTGGCACTCTTTGTGTAAGCCAAAGTCAATTCGATTGGATTTCGAAGGCTTAGTTCTTTTCCGCTCCAAATTGGACCATTGATTCGATATCTGCCAGAAGTTAACTTCTCCGTGATGATTTCCGAAACTTTATTTTGTCTAGAAACAATTCTTAATTTACCCAATTGACTTACTGTTTTGGTTTTACAATCTCTTGAGTCTCTCCTTCAGCTCCTTCTTCTTCAGTCGCTTGCTTTTGTAAAGGTAAAACAACCTTTTCCAGTTTTAATTCGATCCCCAAATCTTTTAAGGTCTTGACTTGATTATTGATGTGCTCGTCAAAATGATGAATATTCTTGACCTCTTCGAATGTAGGCCAAGAAGAGCGTTGTAGTTCGATTACGCAGAGGAAAACCAACTCTAGGTTCCCCCAATAGTAACATTCGTCCTTCCCTACAATCGATTTATTTTAAATGTTTGAATTGGTTAGGGTATAAACGGATGTTTTGAAACTAAATTTGAGCTTATAATCAATCCCTTTTTTGTTTCAGTGATTGTAGTTTCAAAACTTAACAAATGTAATGGTGAATAGTGTTATGTATAAACACGCTAATATTATGACATACTGTAAATACCGACTTTTTCGCCTTGATAGATTAGGTATACACGCCCGTTTTAATCCTAAATTTTCAAATCGCATCAACTTCGGGATGGACTTGGGCGCAGAGATTTATAGGTTCCTCGCCATACAAGGACCAATGATAATAGAACCTCCAAATTATATTTTGAAGTAAACGAATTTTGTATTTGATGTGCATTTTAAGCTTTCTACCTTGAGCCTCATAGCTATTGTTGTTTTGATCTTCGATCTTCTCAGCTTTGGCGTTAGCTTTAACTTTAACCAAAGGCCACGAACATGTGCATAACTGTAATCAAAGGTTGTCTTTTTAACCTTCTCTTACAGTTTTGTAACTTTCATTGGATAGTGATGACAGGTCTTTGAAGACTTTGCATTTGAGATTCCCATCCATTGCCAAACGTTGATTCCCAATTTCAATGAGATCAGCGAAATCCCAGACGGCAGTCTCCGAACTTGGATGCAAGAAAAATAAATTCTTCATCTCCGTCTTGTCCAGTGGAGTCAGGCTGAATAAAACAGCGGTTTTTATTTTGATCTTTGGTTCTTCGATGGTGCAGAATCCTTGGAGAGTCTGTTCGAGATCCAAAAGTTCAGTTTTGGGAGCTTCCCGAGCCATGGTTCTGCCAGCACTCTCCATTTTCCAGGAAGGGAGAAGATAATTAGAGATGTAAAAGACTTCCTTTTCACATTTGATACATCCAGCTACAAGGTTGGTGGTATTAAAATAACATTACCTTGAGAATTCGGGAGAGCTTTGAGCTTGAGATTGTAAAGATCATGAAGTTTTAGGGTTAATTCCCTCCGGCCTTCTTTCTTCGACACCACAGATGAGGCTTTCGTCAACGCGTTGATGAAAGAACTCAACTTTTCTTGCATCTTGGCCTCGTTTTTGGATATTGAATCCAATTGGCCAATCATTTTTCGTGATGATTTTATCATGCTATTCATCTCAAGTGCCGCTTTCTTCTCAGCTTGCATCTGTTCTATGATTATTACAGTAATCCATATAGACTTACTGTATAATTGCTGATAAACTTCTCATTTAATGTGTCCCCATCGAAACTTTCCAAGAAAGGGAAGTGGAACGTGAGCCAAACAAGTTGCTCTTCTTCTCGAATTAATCCATTAGAGGGGTATTTGTCGTTGCAAATATTGAGTCTACGGAGAACTTCACAACAAGAAAGGCTGAGAAGACTCTATAAACGATAATTAATTAATGAATTATTTGGATGGAAGTACCTGAAAAGAACTCAAAGTGTTGCCAGCAATGTCTAGAAATTGAAGTTTGGGAGGCCATTGGGAGATGGAGAGGGCCAGGGAATCGTTGAATTGATCTCCTCCAACTTTGAGACTACTCAGATATTGGAGATCTTTCAGAAACTGGAAACAATTTGACAAAAAGAACCTAAAAGAGTCACCTCTAGACTGTCTAGTTGGTTGTCCTGGATCCACAGAATATCTAGCGACTTCAGATAAGATAACACAGAAGCATCGTGTATTCGATTACTGTACAAATAAAGACGCCGAATCTTCGTACAAGCTTCCATTCCTGCTATGTCATCTAATGAGCATTCACAGATCCACAATTCCTCGAGAGTCTCGGCGACTTCAGACAAAGGGCTGAGGTTCTGGATCTCCTGTCCCATCAATCGGAGGGTCTGTAGGTGATCGAAATATCGGAGGCCGACCAGAACAGGCAATCCCCCAAAAAACATCTCCAAAAGCTCGTAATCTGTCGCCATTGCCTTCAATTTGTCCATCTCGATTCCATTGGAGACACATAATGACTCGAGATATTTGAAGTAGCGTCCCTTCAGATTCTGTTCGTTCCGATCAGTAGAAAGCGACATCTCGGCTTCCAGGGAGAATGAAGGGGTAAATGTTCTTTCAAACTCTTTCCACTGAAGTTACGCAAGTGTATATCCGGTCCGAGAGTTGAACATTGTTTCTCGAATGGCTTTCTGCAAACCTTTGCCTACACATTTCTCCGTATTTGGCTAAAAAGAGGACAACTCGGATTTGAATTTGGCGGAAATCAGCGTCATACATATCATTACGGATAGTCTTAATACATAAAATGTAACAGTCCAATGCTTCATGCTTCAAGATTACTTACAACTGCTTACATTTATACATTGAACAAAATGTCAAACTTTTATTTTGAATTTCCCGCTTTTTTCACACTTTTCCAGTCAAGACCTACCGTATTTTGCGGGTTTAGGTATTTCAAACGGAATGAAGACAACGGGTTGCAAATTTTTGCAATTTCCTCTCCACTCGGTTATGACGTCGTTTTGGGCCAAGACTCCGGTTTCCCCTGACCACGGCCAATTTGACAACCACCTAGATGATTCAATTGTAGGCTTATTAGAATTTTTTTGCGGTCTTGTACCCTGTTGATGAAGTTTTGGGTTTCAGGGCTACGATTTCTTCACCCGTTATGAGACGGCTCGCGAGGTCGCAAAGCCGAAGAAGAGAACCGACCTAACCCTTGATATTTCATGGAATTGTGACAATGAGATTGCCTTCTATCACGATGGAATTCCTCATGGTGAAGATGAAGGAGTGAAGCTTGATCAAGGGACCCAGACCGACGTCGGGTCGTGTTTTGATGCCAGACATTCCCATCTCGAAAACTATTATGTGAGTCTATAACGTTTTTACCTAATTATATGATACATTATTTTTGACGGATAGGCACGATATTATCCATGATCGGAAATTGGCGAAATATATGTTATTTGTTTCAGTTGGTACCAATCCAGTCACATATTTCGCCAACGTCGGACTACTCTTCTCCAACTTCTCCGAACACGTTCCAATTTCCTTCGCCAGTTAGTCCACTTTCTCCAACTGTTCGAAACAACAAACAGGTCTTCGATTTTAATCTCAATTCCTTTGCTGCCGATTTTGCGACCAAGACTCTTCTTAATGACAATCGTAAGAAGCATCATAATACGTTCTGCGGCTTCTGTTACAACAATGCGAGAGTTAACGTAAGTATTCCTTTTATTTTTTTGGATTGTGCTAAATAGGCGTAACATTAGATTGTTTTTCCTTTCAGGGTTGTGATGTTACTGGTCCTGGCAGGTGGTTGGAGCACAATCTTCGTGATCAAAATGGCCGTGTGACCTGCCCTTGCCTACGAATGTTCCAATGCCCGATTTGTGGTGGCTCCGGGGACGACGCCCATACTCAACGCCATTGCCCCAAGCGCAACCGCGGCAGAGAGTAACTTTTCAAGTTGTTATATTTATAGTATTAGGGTTCATTGTTAAAATTTTCATTTGTTTATGGTTGATACATATGTATTATATGTTGTTATTTTGTTTGTTATGAATTAATTTCATGTCATTGGCTAAGTTAGTCTTAGTTGTAGTTTGTAAAAATTCTAATAAAGCATTTAGTTCGAAGTTCGTCAATCTATCGGCTTATAGTAGGGTTTGGAAAATTCGGGTATTTATAAAATCGGCTTAAATTAGCCCAACATAATACCAATATGTAGTCGTTTGTAACTTTTTCATTACTTTAATCACGTTCGGAGTGATATTCTTTGTTTTCCCAACTACAACGAACAAAACAAGTACTTTAACAATGAAAAGTTTAAGAATCCAATATTTCGCAGTCAGATTTCGAATTTTTTCCCTTTCATCTACCGATTCCGGCAACTGGCCAACTAGTTTTCAACCTCAAAACCAAGGTTTGAACGGCAAAAAACGAATTAGGGCAAAATGTCAACCAATCACTGATTTTTTATGACCAAATTCCACTTTTTTCCTTTTTTGAATACAAAAGTACTTTGAAAATTCCCATAAATAACCGAAAATACTCGCGGGTATTTTCGGTACCCGGCCTCTCGGGTATTTGGGTATATACCCCGTCCGAACAGTAGCTTATAGACGTTCCTTTCGGTAGTTAATGGGGACCTTTTATCTTCTTGTTCCGACTTGAAGTGGTCGGGCCGGCCCGGTGGGCAACCCTGCTGTGGGCAGGAGTGACGTTTTCAAATTTGTCAGGCCCGGCCTAAACGGTCCGGCCCGGTGGCCACCCCTGCTGCCCGCTGGCCACTCCTGCCCTAGAGATAGATATGTCCTGGTCAAGTGTTTCTCTAAAAAATAATTTCTACTATTTGTTTTTTTTTGTAAGAGATGTTATCCTCTTACCTTTTTACCGAGTTTGTGGCTTTCACATCTAGGATAAACGAAATGAGTGATTCAGAAGACGATTACATGTCCGAGGCTATCCTCGGAAAGGTGGAAGATGTAAAGCCGGGTAATTAAGCAATTTGTAATCTTTTTCATGTTTAGGTATTGCCAAAAATCGAGAACACAAGAGGCAATTGGATATTCTGAAGCGTGAGTATAAGCCAACCCTCCCCAAACATGAATTGGAAGCTCAGAGACGTCAAGAAGCTCTCAGTAAACCTGTTTCGCATGAGAACAAAGGATTCGCTCTTTTGGCCAAGATGGGATACAAACCGGGGATGAGTTTGGGGAAACCAAAGGATTCCGAGGAGGGAAGAAGAACCGAGCCCATCACTTTACAAATAAAATTTGGAAGGAAAGGATTGGGTCATGAAACTCAGGAGAAGGAAGATCAGGTAGAGAGATGTGAAGCTCACATGAAGTACATGTCGGAGAGGGCTAAACAAAGTGTAATTAATCCCTTTGGATTTTATTTTGCTTTTAGGATGAGTTGGCAGAAGATTTTCGGAAAAGGAAACGATTTGATGTGAATGTGAGGAGTGTCGTGGGGGACATCATGAAGTCCAGAAAAGCATGTCAAGATCTCGACTTGAGGTAATTTGGTGTGAATTAGTACATATTTCTTTATTGCAGAGAGGGTAAAAGTGCTCCAGATATGGCGCATTTATGGCCGGTTATACGAGAAGTTGTGGAAACTGAAGAATTCGAATATATGACAAAGAGGACAAGACACGAGCAGGTCAATAAAGAGTATACTTTCAAATATTCGAGTGGTGTTGTCGCTCCAGAGGAACCAGATCTCTATTCGTTAGAGATGGATGACCTAATATTTCGGTCAGTTTGATTCTGCGGTTATTAATCTTTTTATTTAGATTAGCTACAGTAACCGATTATCTGAGATCGCATCACTTTTACTGTGTATGGTGTGGATGCGCATTTGTTTCCGAAGAAGATCTTTCCTCCAATTGTCCGGGACCAAGACGAGACTGTCATGATGAAGATAATCTGGATTAAACTATGTGTAAATAAAATGTAAACCTAGAAATTGATTTGTTTAATTTTTGTGGTTCTGTACCTAATACTAATCCAATTTTCTAAGAGCTTCAAATACTTTAAGATGGCTAACAAAGATGTTAAAGTGTTGGCGGTAGGAGATGTAAATGGGAACTTCAACTTGCTACGGAAGAAGTTAAATGTAATCAACAAAAAAGTAGGCACGTTTTAGAGTTGATCTACTTTCAGAATGGTCCTTTTGACCTCGTATTTTGTGTGGGGGAATTCTTTGGCCCAAATGAGGAGGAGAATCAGGCTGTGGTGGAGGGGAAGATAGAATTCCCCATCCCTTTGTATATATTGGGTATGTTTCGACTTTGCTTATTTTCCAAAAACCCATATTCAGGTCCAAACTGCCCGTCGACAGCTCGTTTCTATCCAGAAACTGGAGTCGAATTCTCTCCTAACTTGACATTCCTTGGACGTCGCGGGATCCTGCACGCCGCTTCTGGTCTCACGATTTGTTATTTGAGTGGGATCGAAGGGAAATCTGCAAATCCATTCCAGTTTGTAGAAGACGACATTGATGATCTCTTACTTCCTGTCAGAACTCAGTCAGGGTTCCTCGGTATTGATGTTCTACTGACTTCCGTATGGCCTTCCAGCGTGGCCAAACATTCTATAAATCAGCCTAATGCCGAAAATGAGGGATCTAAGCATATATCCAGATTAGCAGCTGCCCTAAAGCCTCGCTATCACTTCGCTGGAATGGGACCTCATTACGAGAGGTCGCCTTATAGAAATCATCGAGTTCTTGTAGAAGCCGCCCAACACGTGACCCGATTCATTGGACTAGCTCCAGTTGGGAATCCGAATAAGGAAAAGTGGATATATGCATTCAATGTAAAGCCGATGAGGTTCCTCACCAGACCTGAATTGACAACTCAGCCACCCAATACTACCGAGTTCCCTTATATGGAAATTTTGACAGAATATGTCCAAGAGTAAGCATCTAAATGGCAAAGTAATATATAATACTTTAGGCAACGAGAAAAGGAAGTGCAACGGAATTCAAGCCAATTCTTCTTCGATACGGCGCATTATTCAGATGAGGAGGAGGAAGGAGAAAATTCTCGGGGACGGCGACGAAGAGGAGATCAGGAAAATGGACCTCCACCCAAGAGGAAGCAGAACATCACCGAGGAGAACTGCTGGTTCTGTTTGTCCAATGAGAAAGCCGAGAAACATCTGATTGTCAGTATTGGCTCGTCCAGTTATATGGCCATGCCTAAGGGTCCATTGAATGATTTGCATGTTATGGTATTAAGTGTTGGCAAGTTTATTTAAATGGATACCACCTGTAAATGTAATGGATGACACAATTGTTTCGTTTAGGCCATATCCAATCATTGGCCGCTGCGTCAGAACAACTCAAAGAAGAAGTCGCTAAATACAGAGATGCCTACACTTTGGTTTGTAACCAGAAAGGAATGGCTTTATGTATTTTCGAGAGGAATTATAAGACCTCTCATCTCCAAGTTCAATTTGTTCCACTTCCAAAGGATGTCGCCAAACATCTTCGATCATCGTTTGTGGAAGAAGGCTCCAAACGGGGAATCGAATTCGTTTTCATGAAAGAAGATGAGCAGATTTCTGACTTTGTAAACGAGGGATCACCCTACTTTTATGTGGAGCTCCCAGATTCAACCCGCCTTTTCACCAAGTCGATGAACGGATTTCCAATCCAATTTCCTCGGGAAGTAAGAGATTTACAGATCTAGACGATCACTATTACAGGTGTTATGTGGTCCCAAACTCCTGAATGCCCCCGAGAAGGTGGATTGGCGGGAGTGTGTTCTGAGCAATGAAAATGAGATCGACGCCACTCAACGGGTCAAGAAGCTCTTCAAACCATTCGAATTCAATGAGGATAGTGATTCAGATTAATTGTTATGAAATAAATACAGCAACCCCACTCTTATCTCATTGAAGATCATATCAGAACCCAAGTCATCCTATCTTTGGTCTGCTCCAAAAACTGTCATCTTGCTATGGATATTCGGATCAGCTCTGGAAAGTCTGTGTCCGATGTTTTCTTCTTCTTTTTGTTCAAAATCAGAGCCAGATGATATCCTTTTTTCTCGGCCGTGCGTCAGAACGAGAGGAAGGATAAGAACAACTGTTCAGAGGTCTCATGACTTTGTCAACAATCTTCCCTATCGGACCGACGTGTTCCTAGTGGAAGTTTGTTTTTTGTAGGACAAGGGTTTTCGAGCTTGGCCCCCCGCACGTGTCCCCAAAATATCCGATTCAGAGTCCATCAATCGCCCCACCCCAGCTGTTTTGGCCGTTCCCAGGCGGTGATGTGTCTATCCTGACCTTGATTATATCTTATTTGTTTTCCTCTCGAAGGGCAAAGAAATGTTTGAATTCGAATAAACTCTAGATCCAACAGACGTTGCGCAATCCTAGATGTCTAGGGACCCCAGTCTGGAACGGTCATCCTCCGAGGCCTCGTCATTTGTCACGGAGAAGCTGCCTCACACGAATAATGTGATCCGAGGTCAGGAGAACGTCTATTCTGTCGGCAGGAAAATCGCCTCAGGGCGTTATGGGGCTGTCTATGAGGTAAGTTAAAACACTCTTGGCTTTTCAATATTAATTTATAGGTTCTTCGGCGAGGAGATGGAAAACATTTCGCGGCCAAGTTGGAAGTGTCCGATACCCACTTCCATGGATTAAACATGGATTACAACGTTCTTAAGGAAGCAAATAAAGCTAAACTCGCCCATTTTTGTCAACTAATCGACCGAGGAAAGATCGAAGGTCACTTTAAGTTCATGATAATGCAAATGGTGAGCCTATCCTTTCCACCATTTTCATGATGATTTCAGCTGGGACCAAACCTGGACAAACTTCGACAAGAATTCCAAGCCAACCGTTTCTCAGCACCAACTGCCTTGAGGCTAGGATTGGAGATGTTGAGTGCCTTAGAAGAGATCCATTCCATTGGATTTGTGCACAGGGATGTTAAGGTAGGCATAGCGTCCAGATATAACCTTATCAAAAAAAATTTCAAGCCGTCCAATTTCGCCGTCAACTACGAAATGGGCGAATGGAATGTGTATATGATCGACTTCGGGCTCTGCCGGCAATACAAATCAAAGAACGGCGACATCAAACCGGCTCGTGACCAGGTCCAATTCCGAGGAACACAACGTTACGCCTCTCTGAATGCTCACAATGGCATCGAACAGTCGCCTCGGGATGATCTCGAGAGCTGGTTTTATGTGTTGGTGGAGTTCCTGACTGGAGAATTACCCTGGAGTATATACAAAAAGAGGGAACGAGAGATGGCCAAGAAGGCCAAAGAGCTCGCAAGAACCTCTGAAGGAACCGCCGAACTTCTACAATATTGTCCAAGGGTAAGTAAAAATTGATGGAAACAAAATGTCAATTTAGACGGAATTCCGGCGGATTATGAAGTACATCGATGGGCTCGGATACCTGAGTCATCCGGATTACACTTTCCTCCGGGATCTAATTCAATTGGCTATGAAAAACAATGACATCAAAGCTGATCAACTGTTCGATTGGGAATATGAATCTGAAGAATCTGATGGAGAAGCCATCGAAGGATCATCTAAAAACCCAGAAGACACTACTGTAGCCATGAATGGGCTGTGCGATAAGTTAGATCGAATGGTCCAGACTGTCAACGGAAAGGATAATGGAAATCCCGCCTGAGAACAACAATATCATGTCTATAACAGATTGTTATCGTATCTGTGTTCACATTAAGAACCCGGTTACTCTTACGCAATTCTCACTGCCACATCCTGAGGGCATTAAGTGAACATTGCGTAAGAGTTAGCGATCAAAGATTCCTTTTTTGTATTTGGATAACCACAGATACCTCCTCCTATTAATCCTTTTGCTTATTAGGAAATTCCGTTTATCTAGACCCGCTCATCTATTAGCTCGACCTAGAGTGAGTAGTAACTACTAAAAGCAACTTAAACATGTCAACAAATGCATCATCTAGATCGCATTCCATAGTCACCAGATGTAATAATGTAAAATATCAACCGTCCTTAATTCGAATTGTAACTAAATAAATATTTTATAAACACTAGGGTTGTTATGTCAAATTGTTCTGTCACTTTAAATGTCAGATTGAGCTTTTTTGGAAATTTTTGTCAATTTTCACAAAAAAAAAACCTCGTAGGAATTTAAAATTTTTAGGAACTAAATGGCCCCTTCTCGCCAAAACGACTGATGAAATAAGCAGTAAAACTAGTTACGACTAATATAAACGGCATTCATCATAGTATATGTTTAACTTGCGTCTGAAAGCTTCGTACATCAGAATTTTCAATTTTGCCAAAATGAGGGCATATGACGCAATCTGACGTCAGATTGAAAAATTGTCTTCCTGACTAAAACCATGACCTCGCCGAAACATTTTCCCTGGTGATTTCTGATGATTTTTACAAGCGTTCCTCGGAACCATACACTAAATTAACAGAAAATAAAAAAATAACGCACCGGCCCAGTTACCCACTGCTTTTATTATGACAAGAACCAACTTCAACTACATACACTTTATTCGGATATCAACAGAAGATATAACAATATAAACGACATACTTTAGGGAGTAGTCGGAACTTCAGACTTCTTTTCCTTGGAAGATGTGTTGTCCCTGTTCTCCTTAGACAACACAATCTTTGGACGGACCATTGATCCGGTTCTGGCAGATGCATCTTTATGGACTTCATACCGGATATTGTCCTCCATTCCCAACTTATTTTTCACGGTGATGCCAATCTTGCGGTTCACATCATCCAAGCTTGCATCAGACGTCCACAAAGCAACCTACAAATTTAAAACATCTATTATACTACCCATACCTTGTCGCCTTTTTGTCTCAAGTTGACCGCCGCTCCACAAATATACTTTCCATTTCCTTTGAACTGTTCTCCAATAACAGCCATCATCAACTCCAACCAAAGCTCATCCAATTTGGTGTGTCTCTGCTGCTTGTCAACCACAACCAGCCATCTTCCGCCATTCACATTATGGGGATCTTCCCACATCGGTTTGACTCCCTCCTTGAAGAGATAGTAGTCACTCCCGAAGGAAAGACAACTGGCTGGCATTATCTGGATGTAGAAGCTAAAGACATACGAACCGAATAAAAAGCACTTACCGCCAGAAGAGTTCGACACTGTCAATAACAACAACTTGTTTCAGACAATCTTCCCAATTCTTGGTCCGATCTCCCTTCAAGAACCAAAAGGCCCATTTGTGTTGAAGCATATGACGACTGTGGAGTGGACGTTCGACCTTCTACAAACAAAGTTTACCATAACCGTTCTTTTAGAAAATCTTCAATTATATTATTCATGCGAAGGTGTTCAAGTAAAACTAATTGTTTTCCTCAAATTAAAACGTAATGAATTGATCTCACCTTATTCTTGGATTCATCGGAGTTGTCCTTAGAAGCCTTCACTGTGTTCTCCTTGTCCGGGGAATCGGTGATCTTCTCCTTGAGGACAGCAGCTCCCGGCATTCCATCATCTCCAGCTCCTGGCTGTCCCATCACGTAATAGTAAAGATCCTGTTTCTACAATTCAAAAGCTTTTTTTGTCGAAATCCGCCGGGTTTTCTTCGGTTTCTTACAGTGTTTTTTTGTGTCCCAAAGCGATTTTGGTTAATTGCGGAAATCGAAAATTCAAATTTTCCTTAAATTTGGTTTGCAGCATGCTGAGCTGAGTTTATAAGTTCTACTGTTTTTTGTTTCTGAATATGATTTGAGACATTTAAGATCGGCAGCATCCCGTTTTTCCAAAAAACATTCTTGTTTTTGGGCGTTTCCTTATACGTGAAGATGCATGCATACAGATCGTATTCCGGACTGAATAATTCATCAAACGTGGAGAGTTTGCTTGTATTCGAAGAGGATAATATTCTCCTTGGTGATGGATGGAAAAAGGAAAAGGAGCTCTTAATTGAATAATTCGAATAACAAGAATAATAAACTCCTTTTGAGGGAAGGAAGGGACAAGACCTGTTCGGAGGGGTTTCTCTCCAAAGAAACGCTTCATCGACTGATTACTTTCTCCCATTACTTTCACTTTTTATTTTTACCTCCGCTCTTTATCTCAGAAAAGGGTTTTTCAAAAATTAAAACAAAGTAATCTCTTGACCTTGCAATCATTTTTTCATAGTTAACAATATTATTTATAATTTAATAAATCTTTTTTGGATTGGAGAAGGTAGAAATATTGTAATCATGTGGGTCTTTTTTATGATTTTTTTCTGATAATCTGCTTTTCTCTTCGTAAGAGAGTTCAGAGTCTTTAAGGTCTTTAAGGGTGCGAAGGCTTCATTTTATTGTTTTAGATCGGCAGCCACACTTTTGAAACGTTCACAAAAAGAATTTCGCCGATTTTTTTCATCGATGCAATTTTCCAATTTTATTCCGAAAAATGATTAAAATTGCATAGCACAGCATAGCGAATGACATAGAATGATGCATCGTCATTCTATGTCATCGTTTTCAAATCTCAATTTACAGTTGCCCGATTTTATTTAAAATTATTTATTGTAATTAATATTTCCTTTTTGTCCCTTTTCTCCGTTTTATCCGAGCTTAATCTTGATTACCTTTACAATATTATTGAGTGCTCTTACGATTACTGTTTAGAACAGAATGCTTTGGCGATGATTCTTCTGAAGCGGGTAATCTGCGTGATTAGTGGCCTTTTAATGCTGACCACCATCTCCTTCAATTCTTTCAATCTTTCCAAGTCTACTGTAAGTCTCAGTATGACTTGATAAAACCTTATTAATCTCTATGTTCAGATAGCTACAGTTACATTTTCTGACAGTCCAGAGACTATTTTTCTCAAGTTTTCTCAATATTCTAATAAAGAATTCTGTGTTTTATATGATTTCTGGACGCCCTCAGATCATCTTAAGGATAGGATCACATTCGTTGTCCATTCCACAATAGATTATGTACAATATTTAGAGAAACATGTAAGTTTCGCTTTAAATTAAATTAAATTCTCGTCCATTTCAGATAGATTCTTGGACCGGGGCCATTTCCTTGGCTATTTTTATCGATTATCCCGACGAAAACGACTTTATTAAGAACACGAAGGCAAGTATTTTTGATTACAATATAAGATTACTTTATTTTTTTCAGTTAGTGCTTTCCAAATTGGAAACTCTGGAAACAGCAAAGTCCTCTGGAATCGTGGGGATCCATTTATTCTACAGGAATCCGACGAATACGACCGCGTGTGGGGATATTACTATAACAACAGCAGAGACGAGAGGGACATATTCTGATGTGGATTCGATATATCCGATTAATGTTGCGAGGAATATTGCCCGAAAAGGGTCCAAAACTAAATTATTTATCTCCGGAGATATCGAGAACTACTTTGTTACAAACTATGAACACAGGATGAGAAAGCTGGCCATGGAGAAGTTGATTAAGTAAGGAGATTACAATAACTCATAACCAAATTAAATATTTAAGCAGCAAAGAGAAGTTGGCGTTGGTTCATCGACGATTTGAAGTGGAAAACGGACTTAAACTACCGAAAACAAAGAACGAATTACAGCTACTTTACAACAGGGGAAAAGCAGTAGTCTTTCACAGATATTTCTACCAGGTCGGGCATGCCATTCCAAATATAGATGCTTGGTTTAATCACAAAGAAGATTTGAATAACACTTCTGTTCAGAGGGTAAGTTCACTGCAAATCGTACTACTATTAACAGACAGCGTAATCTCATCGTTTCAGATAATGGATTATCCAAATCCTCGATGGGAGCCTCAGTTTGTTGGTCTGAATTCAGAAGTTCCTCTCCACGATGAATCTTTTCCTTTTCGAATGAGTTCCAATACTCATTTGTGCTCGGAGATGTGCAGAGCCGGCTTCAGATTCGCGATTGTTTATGATTTATTCACTATTCATGTGGGGATCAAAAAAAAAGAAAGTCCCAATGAATTGGCGGTAAAGAAGAAGGTCTGGAAGAGTGGTTATCGGCAGGTAATCTTATCCATGCTTTTTCTGGATATCATATTTTTTCAGATTGTCGATGATTTTGTAAAACGCCTTGACCTACAGTATCCCTCAACCAAAAATAAATGTCCCAAATTTGTGCCATAGATCCCCCGACTTGTTTGGGTTATAAATAAAACGGGTAATAAAGTAACTCCTTTCCTCAGAAGCCTCGATTAATAGTAACGACCGCCCAGCTGGGGCCAAAAAGTTGACGAATTCGAGCGAAAACCCCCACACTTATTGTAAAGGGCTTTCAGTAGATTACTCCGCTCTTTGAACAGTTGCTTGTACTCGGATTACTGTAGAATGAGAGTAATTGTATTGTTTCTGGCCTTTATTCAACTGATCACAGCCTGGCCAATGTATGGTAAGTGTAATTTAACTACGAAAATTAGACTAATTTTAACCTTATTTTGGGCTTATACACAGCCAATCTGCCAGACGGGAACGCCTATCGTCACCAGATCCTGGGGAATTTCCTCTTGAATACGAATACTTTTGATGCAAAAACGATGAAATGAAAGTGGAATCTGAATTTGAATGTTTTTAATCGGATTAAATAAAGAATTTTGAAAACCCTGACCTTCTATTGCTTGATTCATTCAAAAATGGCGTCGGTTCTAAATTCCCTGGAAGCCGGGGGTGTGGATAATGCAGTAGGCAGTAGCCATGTCACACTACTTAAGTTTGAGTCCCAAATAATTGATTTAAAATGTTTTAAAAACGAATTCCGGGCCAAAAAAGATGTGAATTGTTTGGCCAGAGATGGGGCCATTATTTTGGATCTGGATGAGACCAATCTGGAGGTGATCATTAACCGGTAAAGTTGTATACTGCGGTGCCTTTATTGTTACAGTATGCTGGATTCGATCTCTCTGGGAAATCAACAAAAGGCGGAGGTTTTCGGAAGTCTGTTTAGCGTAGATGATTGCTCTAATTTCGATGGTATGTTTGTAAAAATAACTTTAAAATTGTTTAATTTACAGTCACTTTCATTACGAGTCGATTACAGAGTATTCAAATATCTGGATCTGACTCCTTTCTGGATCAGAATTGGCTGTTACTATAGTAAGTTCATAATTTTAAATGAACCTAGCTCTATTTTAGTACTGATGTAAATGGAATTACGGGCCGTAAACTCTCGATTACTCGGCTAAAACACCCTGTAAACTTTGGCCCTTCCCTTGAAGAGGTTACTTTCGTCATCTTAATATTGTCATCAAATGCTGAAAAGCCATCTAAAAGTTCGTTGGAGACCTCCAAGTCGTTTGCAACGGTCTTTGCATTTCCGCAAAATCGTTTGAGGCTGTCTCAAATTCAAACGGAAGGAGATTTTAAAGAAGAATTAATTAATATTAGTAATGAATTGGAGGAAAATAAGAAAGAAAAAGATGAAATAAAGGGGGAAGAAGAGGAATGGTGGCCGGGAAAAGGAATCAGAGATGACTTCAGAAGACGGTGGAAGTGCTACAAGGATGATTACTTGGACGGTAATACAGTAGATTCGATTATTTTTTAAATTTTTCAAATTAATGATGACAAATTAGGAATCCGAAATGCCCGGGATGTTCAGAAGACGCTCAGTGCCGCTGTCTTCCTTTATTTCTCAGTTTTGCCTACGGCCATTGCCTTGGGCATGTTAAATGATCAAAATACGAATGGAAAAATAAGTAAGGAGATTCGTAATAGACATCATTGATTATGGTTAGATGTGAAAAAAGAAATCCTAAGTCAAATCATCGGGGGACTCTGGTTCGGTCTGCTCGGGGGCCAATTGTTTCTGGTCATGTTGAGTACAGCCCCGATCAGTATCTACATCGAGGTCATCCAGCAACTCTCTCTTCAGTATAATCTCGATTTCTTCAAGATATACACCATGACCGGGATCTGGTGCTCCTTTTTCTTGATTGTATCGGCAATTTTGGAGTTCTCAAAACTTATGAAATATGCCAGACGGTAGGAGCAGTCGTTCTGGAACTTATTTTATTGCTTTAAGGTCATTGGAAGAGTTGTTTGGCCTTTTTATTTCCTTGGCTTTGATCATCCGGAGTTGTAAGGCTCTGTTCGCTGCCCTTATTAATCACCCGCCTCAATGCCTTGATGGTTCTCTTGAATACGAAGGTACGAGATTGACACATATTGTAATATGTCCGCAGGTCAAATGCCGTGTTCGAGATCGAGTGGTTTGATGTTTTTGATTCTGTTATTTGGCACTTTCATCGTCAGCTTCTTCTTTTACCGTTTCCGCGTCTCCTGTTACTTGAGTCGATTAAAAAGAGAACTCCTGGCTGATTATTCGCTGCCAATTGGAGTCCTTTTGATCTCTTTAATCTACCTTTTACTCTTCCAAGATATCCGAATGCAGAGTTTCTCGTATGATGACGACCATCACCCTCCCATTACAGTCACCTTTTTCCTGGACCAATCAGTCGTCGCTCATCTAATCTCTTTCCTTTTGGGAATCCCTTTGGCCGTTTTATTCTTTATGGATCAATTAATTGTGACTAATACTGTGGATAATAATCAAAACAAATTAAAGAAGGGGTCTGCTTCCAACTGGGATCTAGTAATTGTGGCCATCATGAACATTTTCCTCTCCATTTTGGGACTCCCTTGGATGCACGGTGCATTGCCTCAGGCATTTATGCATTTAAAGGCGTTGGCTGATGTAGAAGACAGAATAATTGAAGGAAGAATGGACAGCAGGTACTTTCAACTTACATTCTGATTGTTTTTAGTATTGTGAAAAACCGCGAGACCCGCTGTGCCACCCTCCTCGCCCATTTGTTGATGATCCCGACCTACCTTTTCCTTCTTCCTTACCTCAAATTAATCCCTACTGCCGTTTTCCATGGACTTTTTATTTATTTAGCCATCACTTCGATGGATGGGAACGAGCTTGTGGACAGGATGTCATTGATGTTCACTGAGCAGGCAAGTCTGAGCTAATAAATCTCTTTTATCCCCGTTTCAGCGCCTTTATCCGCCTTTCCATTATCTCCGCCGGGTACCCCAGAAGATTGTCCATCTGTTCACAACCATCGAGTTCTTACAATTAGTTGTGTTAGTGGTGGTTGGCCATGCCCCCTGGCCGGCGGTTGAGTTGGCTTTCCCTGTTATCACCTTTTTATTCATCCCTTTCAATTATTTAATTGTGCCTAAGGTCATCGATCCCCATTATCTCAACGTTCTAGATGGAGTTCATTAAATCTTTTCCAACCAAGGATGTCTTCCAAGCAATGCTCAGATTTTTTTTTGATCTTGTGTGGGGTATCAATTCCTGAAAGTTTTAGTTCGCCCTTTCCAGGAGCAGCCCAGATATTCAACGATCTTTGCGGCCGAGACAGTACGCGAAATGCGGTGAGCATCCAGATAGAGAAACATTTTTTACCGTATCTCTGATAGTCTCGCGCGAAAAAAATGTTTTTTGTTAGATAAAATTACTCTAAATTGGTGCTAAGTGTCATCAAAATCTTAGTGTCACACTTGGAGTAATTCTCGTTAAATTAATTAGATATTCTGATTACTTGTTGCGTCTCTTTTTTATTCTTATTTTTCTTGTTTCCCTCCACATTTCCTTGTTTTATTTGAAATCCAATATGCCTGGGAATATTTTTGTCATACTTTCCTTGAAGATGCCCCTCTTTTATGGTGTATTATAACATGAAATGGGTTCTTCCGTGGAGAACCGTAAAATAAAAGTGATTTTTCCAAGAAACCCTCCGGATGTTTTCGATAATTGTATCCAATTTCCGACCCTAAGGCCATCGTTGCGATGCCCCTTTCCTGGTTGGTGTGTGGAGGTAAAATACGGTGCTAATAACTAAAAAATTCAGATTATAATGCACTTGGCCGAGTTCCTGCACTACGAAGTGGAACCTGTTCTGTTAGAATACAATAGAGGGAACATTAATTGGGGGAATTACGTAGGTTTACTGTAGTTTTGACTATTTTTTATTGTTAGAAAAATAACACATGGGATGGAGTGCTGGGGATGATCGCCAACAATTCCGCAGACACTGTGTGCATGTTCTATCAGCAAACCGATTCCAGAAGAGAATTCTTTGACTTTTCTTATCCAGTCACATCGGTAATAAGATAAAAAAAATACAATTTAGAGGTTAATCAAAAGCAGTTGAACTTTTACTAGGCAGTGCGTAAAGTCGCTGGAATGTTTTCGCCGACATGCACTCCGCGAAAACAAAAGTTCACTTTGCACTGTGCAATTGTTGGCTTTTTGCACAGTGCAATAGGCCCTTTTGGGCTGTCGCCCGCACCCTGAGTTTTCTTGCACAGTGCACGTCGCCGAAATCATTCCAGCGACTATGCGAACGGACTGATAAATAACAATTTCAGGTACGCCCCATCTACATTGTAAAAAGGACGACCGATGATTTGTCCTCAGGACTTTGGAATGCGTTCAGTCCTTATGAAAACACAACTTGGGCTGCCTATCTGGCCATGTTTTTCGTCCAAGTTATCTTTATGATTTTCCTATCTCGAGTTGAAATTGAGATCGGGAAAGGAGAAATCTTCTCTCCGTTAGAGGTAAGGCCCGTCCCCTTCTCTCATATCTCTTTAGACCACCTGGAAATTGATCCGTCTTCAGTTATATCAACCTCTGAACGTCCATCACTTTACCGTGGCAGGTACCTCCTTTCTGCATTCATGAAATGACCTGTTTGTAAAATTTACAGGGAATTGGACCATTCTTGTCTTCTCCATGGTGCAATGTCGCCTTTTCCTGGACATGTATCAGAATTTATTATTGTCATCATTACTCCGACCAATGGACAGATCGCCGTTCAGTAACGCAGATGATATTCTGGAACAAGTCAAGGACAAGAAGTACTCTTTTGTCACCAATTATGTGGGACATTGGTAAGAGTAACCGCATTTAATTCTTTCAATTCAGGTATTTCGAAGAGATGAATTCGAATGTAACTACTGGCCATATGAAACTCCTCAAAAACATCACTACCGATAACAAAGTGAAGACAGTCCGCAGTATAAAAGAAGCCCTGGATCTGGTTTCCACTGGCAAATACATATATCCTATCCAGGCAGATGCCTACGCCGCTCTTTTGGCCAAGGACCGCTGTGATCTGGCCTATGTAGCCGAAGGAATGAACGAGAAAACGGCCCATTTTGTGTTTTCAAAGAACTCCAGAATCCTCTCAGAATTCGATGACGCCATTCTTCAGAACCTGGACTTTATTCGCAGGACCCATCACAAGTATTTTCTCGAGGGATTCTCGATTCCATTGGCCCGAAAGAAAAGGACCAAGATCTGTCTTGAGAATGAGGTCGAGAATGAAAAAAGAAAACCTCTGAGTGAGTTGCTTTACAAATATAAATCAGAGCTTTCAGCTATGATGTCCATCTTTGGGATTGTAATCATCGCAGCCGGAGGATTTATTCTCTCCGGAGCAATATTTGTATTCGAATTGTACTTGTTTTGGCAAGGGAAATTGATCCAATACAAGATCAAGGCAAGAAATGCATGGCATACAACTATCAGCACGGCATTACACACATTGCCTGGGGCACCAAACTGCAACGACACTAACAAAATAACATCAAGTAATAGTCCGGAGATGAGTATTGACCAATCGTAATCATATTCAATAAAAGAACCTAAAAAATATATTTTAAAATAACAATTAACATTAAAGATCCTAAAATCCTGGAGGGTTCCAGTTAACCTCCCTAGGGGTCATTACAACCTCATAAGCCTCGATGATGTCATCAGGACTAAACTTGACGGGATTGTTCTCGATAGCGATGCCGACTTCGTTGTTAGTCGATACCTCAGTTACGAACTCGTTTTCCTTCTTTAGAGATTCCACTGGTCCTTCATAAACCACCTCTCCAGTCTTCGTACTTATCACCCGATAAGTTGCAGCCCTATATTACCGTAAGATCCACGACTAATTACTTACTTTGGGAAGACCCCCCAATCGACCAGGGTCCCTGCAATCGGTCGTTTTTTCCCCTTGTTATCTCTGATCAGGAATTGTTTGAGGACATGCCCTTCTCCAATCAACTTCATCTCTTCAATAGGACCATAGGTCTTATTCAGATCATTCTTCAGGAAATCGACCAGTCGATAGATAACATTAAATTGTTCAATTTGAACTCTCTTTTCGGCTGCTTCAACTTGAACTTTAGGAGGAATTGGGACATTGAAACAGATTATCTTGGCTAAACTATAATTTAAAATATTCTCAATTAAAACGACATACCTTCAAATTCAGCCGCGACCTCAACAATCTCGGGATTTGGAACTCCAACATCAGCATCGACAATCTGCAGATCAACCTCCTTGTTGTTATAAGTCTTGAGAACATTCGTAATCGCCTCCAAACTCCCATCCACATCAGTTCTGATGATAATGGGAAGAGCCGGCTTCTCTCTTTTCCCATCATCCTTCCTCAGTTTGTTCTCCTTATGATAAACTCTTCTTATTGTAGATCCATATCTCATTCCCCGGTCAATCAACTTCTGCCTGTTCGTCAAGTAAATTTGTCGGGCTTCCTCTCTTTGGGCGTCTATCGATTCCTGAAACAAGAACATGTTCTGAAACGTTTCGTCATCTTACATATACTTCTTCGGCAAACTTCTCGTTCAACTTTTCTTGTCTCAGTTGAACTACTTTCCATGCTCTTTCTTCTGATTCCACTTCTAATGCAGTATCTCCTGGAGATGGAAGAACATCCTTCCACCCTAAAATTAATGAACATTACTATTAAATATCACATAAGAAAGATATTGGGATACCAATTCGAACCTGATATTTTTACTGGAGTACTTGGCCCGGCCTCGTTGACATTATTTCCAAACTCATCAACCATACTCTTCACTCGTCCCCACGTATTTCCAGCCACAAGAACGGCATTCCTTTTCAAGGTCCCTCGATTTACAATTAGTGTGCACATCTTTCCAACACCTAAACAGGAGGGGAAACGAATAAACTTCAAGCAAATCTTACCTTGCACCGTGGTTGATTCTATAACTACAGCCTCAGTCAACCCCTTAGGGGTTGATTTCAACTCCATTAATTCGGCTTGTGCAACCAGAAGTTCCTAAACCATATAAAATAAATGGAGATCCCTTACTTGAAGTTTGTCCAAGTTGGTCCCCTGAAGTGCCGAGATCTCGACCACAGGAACGTCCCCTCCCATATCCTCCAACACAACATCATATTGCATCAGAGATCTCTTAGCCTTTTGGATATCTGCGTTAGGCTTGTCAATCTTATTTATTGCGACGACAAAAGGAACTCCGGCTTCTTTGATATATCTAAATATGTAAATAGTCAATTTTTAAACACATTACACATACTTTATCGATTCCACTGTTTGCTCGTTGGCTCCATCATCAGCCGCGACGACTAAAACAACAAGATCGGTGGAGTGAGCTCCTCTTGATCTCATTTCCTTAAAAGCGGCATGACCAGGAGTGTCGATAAAGGTTACTCGATCAGAAGAATGTGGAAGAACAACTGAAGAGGATGCTTAAAGAAAGTAAGTAATCACCTGAGAAAGCGCCGATATGCTGAGTTATCCCTCCAAATTCGCCAGCTGTTATCCTCGAGTTTCTCAGCGAGTCCAACAAGGTTGTCTTTCCATGGTCAACATGTCCCATGATAGTAACAACGGGTGCCCTTTTGACAAGTTCTTCATCTGGTGGAGGAGGCTGGGGGAAGACGTCTACTTCATCTTTACTTAACTTTTCCATCGCTTTCTTCTCGCTCGGCCTATGAATCCATCGAGGTCTTTTGTCATAGATTGAGGCCAAATTCATAAGTATTCGTTTATCGACGGCTAAAAATTAAAATTTATAAAAAAATAACAAGAGTTTACCTTTATTCTGATCAGCAAGATCAATTATTTCCGGATTCACATCTACCATCGCTTCCAAGACGCTTTCCAGCGGCTCATTGAGGGCCTCAGCAGCTTCTCTAAACCAATATTAGGTAAATTTCCAAAAGTTAGTCAACTTACTTTAAGGTCATGTCATGATAAAACTCAATTGGTGTTTTCTTGGACTTGATAGACTTTACCACAACAGGAGTTACATGTTTTGTTCGCTTTCGCTGTTTACTATATTCTGGGGTGAAACTGAGACTGGCAATTGATCCATTGAGAAGAGATCTAGGATTTAAAAGGAGAGGCCTGAGCAAAGCTGGAATTAACCGTGGAATACTCATTTATGTGGCATCTGAGAAGCATCAGAGGGTCTAAACACCAATTACAAACAATTTATAACAAAAATATGCAACATTTTTTAGAAATATTTTTAATTAGGGCGCAGGCCGCTCTTTTACTAATTCCAAAAAACAAAACTCGAATTATACGATGCATACCGTTTCACTTGGAACGGCAATTTCTCAAATTGGAACATACACACTTTTAGTTCACTGATATCTGTTGTGGCTAGACAGGTACACGACGAATTGTAAGCACCACTTTTTATTTTTTTTCATTTTCGGACACCGAACGGCGCCGAAAAATTTTTGAAACGCTGTGCGAGGAAATAAAAATTTATTCGAATAATGATGATGGAATCTATTCGATTCGAATGTTATGAAATTATGTAATGAGCAAGCAGTGTTACGAAGAATGGCTGAGAAAACCGGCATGTGATACAATATATTGTACATGGAATGAAGTGGTTCTCTCGAGGAAAGCATCCAAGACCCGCACTTTGGACAACTATCAATTACTTCTACCATTCAATGTTCAGATCTTTGTACAATGCTGTTCTGTATGAGTGTTTGGCCCGACTCATCGTCCCGACTTCATCGATGGCCTTCAAAACTTCATCCAGCATTTCCTTGGTGTGGGCGGCCGAAAGACAGAAACGACAACGGGATTCTGTCATCTCTGTGGCCGGGAAGGACACCACTACCACTCCGACATTCCTTTTCAACATCTCCCGACCCCAGAGTCCACACTTTGTAGGATAATAGATCATGACTGGGACCACAGGACTGTCATCTGATCCATAAACAATAAATCCCATTTTCTTCAAGTGTAATCTGAAGTACCGAGCATTCCGATGAAGCCGTTCAATTCGATCACGACCTAAAATACCCATACAAGTCTCATATAGATAACTAACATTTAAAAAATAAAGCATATTGTTTTTTTTTTCTGGATCTTACCGTCGGTTGTGTTATCCCTGCCCATAATAATGCTCATTGATGCATAAACCTGGGCTGCTACGGCTGGAGACATAGGAGTTGAATAGTAAGCAGTTGGGGACGTCTTCCTGAGATGAGTGATAACACTCTGTTTAAATTAAATTACTTATTCCAATATTATCTTACCCGACTGCCAGCAATGTAACCACCAGCGGCTCCAAAACTCTTGGTGAAAGTGCCCATGAGAACGTCGACGTCCTTTGGATTGCATCCCCAATATTCAACAACTCCTCTCCCATTGGCTCCCATCGCTCCGATACTATGAGCTTCGTCCAGATATAGGTAACAACCGTATTTCTTCTTGAGTTCGATGATGGCTGGGAGGTTGCAAATAGATCCTTCCATGGAATAAATGCCTTCCACAATAATTAAGATCTTCCCAAAAGGTTTTCCAGTCTTCGGATTGCCCTTCGAAATTGCGTTTCTGATGGTTTTCTCGAGACTTTTGATGTCATTATGTTTAAAAACTTTAATTCCAGCACCCGAAAGACGACACCCGAGAACAAGGGATGCGTGATTATACTGGTCGCTGATAATGAGGTCGTTCTGAACGTGATATAAACATTAATCTCCGTCGTTTTTGATTACCTTTCCAACTAAACAAGGGGCATTCATTGAATTGGTCGCGAATCCCATACTAAAACAAATGGAATCCTCGACTCCGAGAAACTCAGCCACTAAATCCTCAAGCTTATTGTGCATTTTCGGGATCCCGAACTCGGAAACCGTGGAGCAGACGGAGATTCCTTGTTCATCTAGTATTTTTAAAGCTTCTTTTGAGCATCTTCCATGATTCTCCGCAAATCCGAGGTAATTATAAGATCCCACATTGATAACTTCTGTCTTCCCTCCAGTAAAACTAAAAAAAAATAACGGAAAAAAATAAAGTACATACTCGAAAGTCCATCCATAATCCTTGGTAACCCGATCGAGCAAGGTTACCTTGGCTCCGGGGACTGAACAAATCGGCCTTTCGAAGACATCCCTCACTCGATTGTAGCAGTTACGAGAGTACACTGACTCGAACGAGCTGTACAAAGGTGCAAAATCCTAAAAACAAAAGTACCTCACAAAAAAAACTAGTTACTCACCTTCTGTTCGGGTCTTTCGACCGCTGCAAGATTTTTCTCAAAACCATATTTGCGAAGAAACTCGCGGAAGTGAGCCATCAACATTAGAATAACCCAGGTGATGTAAACGGAGAATGATACCAAGGGATTACATTTTTCAAATTCATTCAAAGCAAATTTTGTTTCGTCTTTAGGCTGAAAAGAGTGTAATATAAATAGAGAAAACAAAGGCAAATGCTTTTAACCATGATAAAAGTACATGCCAAAACAAAAAACAACAGCAAATGAAAAAAGGCTACTCCAATCACCAAGTACAGATTTTAGCTACAACTTACCTCAGACTTGGACAATCGACTCCTCTCGAAGATCGTAGAATCTTCCTTGAAGGCAGACAACTCGAGGATGTTGGTGTGATCAGCCAATCTTCGTTCTAAGAAGTCGATGCCACCGGTTTCCACTGGGTTCATATTGGAATCGCGGTGGCAGTTTGTCCTAAAGGATACCATAATTGAAGGTCTACTGATAAGAAAAATAATAACGCCCACAGCGACTAAAGACCTTATCCATGAATAGGTCAGTTTTCAATCGAGGCAACGCCCAGCCCAGAATCCACAATAACGATCAATCATGAATACTAAAACCAGAATCAAAACAAGTCGAATATGAATTATATTATCCTTGATTGAAAACAAAAATAACAGGATTTGGACAAGAAGAAAACAATATCAGACGCCGCTTCACGTGAACTTTTTTTTAAAACTTGTCCCGACATCAAGCAAGACTTTCCAGGAGAAAGGTAAATCGAAATTGCTTTAGGTATATTAGCCATAAATTGTGATAAAAAAAGTGGAGTCTTCTTTGTAAAAATCAAAAGTTCAATTCATATCGTCCCTTGTCCTTGCGTGCAACATAAAACCAGATTGCTTCGGCGACAAAAGCGAGAAAATAATGGTATGATTTCATAAAATGCGTCATTACGACGGGATTTTTGAAGGAAATAAATGAATTTTCGGATCATTGGAAAGCGAACAAAGTGGCCAAGATTGGGAGAATGGGAGGAAATGAAGCCGGCGACGGTTTTTGTAAACAGATCCTATGTGACTAATCGACTCCGCGCTGATAACGACCAATCTTTAAAAAGGAGGGGGCGCCTTTTTTGGCGAATCGCTGATTTATTTACGGTTCATATTTAGTTGGGGAACTTCCATTGAAACCACCTTGGAATCTTCCCGAAATCATGACGATTACAGTATCCGGTTTCGGATAACTGTGAATAACTATCAACAAAAGGACAGTTCTTAAATGGATTACAAAATTGGGAGTCTAAATGATCTGAAATTCAGAATAGATTGGTCTATTATAACTGAGGTTATTTCCTTCGATTTGAATTTAAATGTAGTAATCATGAGAGGCGGTGATAATAAATATGGGTAAATAAAAAGAGCGGTCGTATTCGCTGAACAGAAAACTTTCAGTTGACGGACTTTGAATGCATTATTTCGCTTTTTATTTTTATATTTACAACTAACAGGGAAAGTACTCCAAGTGCAACGCTCAGATTTTGATGAAACCGTGCAAAAATTTAGATATTTTTTTGTAAGAATGCGAGGTTTCTAGCTGGTGCTTTACAGAAACGATCGAGATTGTTAGGTCGAAAGTTGGCTAAAGTGTGACACTTTTTGGCGAATTTGGCATGAAAAGTTTCATACCAGTGCGGCCAAAAAGTGTTTTTGTCTCTAATCAGACATTTATACGTTACCCGTGCCCGTCCTGTGTGCAAAATTTCAAGAAATTCTGAACTTCGCACTTCAAAGACTTCCTTAAATAGCTGCAAAAAAAACATTTCCACGAAAAAGATGTAAAAGATGACTACGTTAAATATAAAAAGTAGAAGATGGATCATTCATGATCTGAGGATGATTTTATAAACAGCAAAAGATTGGACTTTTTAGTTGATAACACTAAATAATACAGGGCACTGCTTTTTATTTGAGTAGTTTCTATCTGTTTAGATTACTTTTGCACTTGAAGACAATAAAATATAATTCAAAATTCTTTAGACCAGACCAACCTGGAGCCTATGTAAACTTTGAAAATCATTCATTGCTAATGATTTGCGAAAGTATTGATTGCTTTCTATTATATACTTACATCTTATTGATCTTGAGGACCTTGAGAATGTGGAATCTGGTGTGGGTCTTCGTCATTTTGTAGGTCAAATAGTAGATCAAGGGTCTCCAAGAATAACAAATAGTGTTGTGTATGAGGGCACGGGCACTTCTTTTCTGGTTACATTGTTTCCTGGGTGATTTACAAACATTCGTTTAGCTCTCATTTTTTTGTTTTTTTACGTTTTCGAGAAGATCCGACAATGACGAAACTACTTTGAAACAAGTAAACATGGACACGGGATACAATTCTGCAGGACAGAAATGACTCGAAAGGACATCAGGAAGTCTATTCGAGTTACAAAAGTAATCGAATAATCGGGCTTTGATGGAATCGAAATGACATGTTGATATAGGGCTGACGTGGGAGGAATGTTCCCATCATTCTGCAGAGTAATTGACGATTACAATCTGCGTACAAGTGCATGACGGATGGGGGAGATGATCTACAGAGTTGGGGTATCACAATCGATCACTTTTTTGATGATCGGAAGAGCGCCGGAAGTGGGTAAAACGCCTTTTAATCATCCCTCAACAATCATTAATCCATTATCGATAAAACTTTTTTATTTCCAACAAACAGGAACCAACAAAAGCAATGAATAGAAGTTTATTTAAGGTAGAAGTTACTCTGATATGTTCGAGATCAGACATAAAGCCAAGGTGGGGCACTTAAATATTTTGATTTATGGAACGGCGCGAGTCCGAGGAGCTGGAAGAAGATCTGGAATGGGATTTGGAGCGATGACTGGGAGTGCCGGGTATGAAGCCAGTGGCTAAATCGTCGAGCCCAGTCTCCTCGACGTCTTTGGGCTTCTTCCGATTCCTGAGCGAGTCCGAAAGATTGGAAGAATAATGATTTTCGGGTTTAGGAAGAGGTTTGTATTGGCTTTGGTAGCCGAGGAAGATCTTGTAGAGATTCATGACCAACTCCGTCCCGAAGATTATCCCCGCATGCATCGAGACCATTCGCAGAACAAAGATTCCGTCTTGTTTTAGGTATTCGTTCACAAACTTTTTCACATTCTTTTGATGCCCTGAAGAAAAGAGAATAAATTTGCATCATATTTATTATGATTACACAAAATATGTCAGTATAGTAAATGTATTTTTTAAAGTGTAAAACCTACGTTTAACATCCAGTTCCTCCGTCTGATTCAATTCTAGGTTTGTGGCTACATACCAGCGGCCAAAACAGGGGAAAGCGACCACTAAGAACCAGTAAACAAAGGACCCAATTGTGACCAAAGTAAGGAGAGTGTACCAAAACCAGAGCAGGATGAAGATCTTCTCGTTGAAGATGTTAATTACAAGTACACACTGGACGGAATATGTTTGGATTTGAGCCACGGAACGGACCTGTAATTATAAACAAATGCTGATATAAAAAATATAAGAACTTACCGCGAAATCGCAGATAGAAACCCTCGGGAAGAACCCTGAAGATTGCCAGTTAACGCCTCTCACAATATCTCTGATGACCTCGAAGCCATACCAAGTGTATTTGTCAGTCTCCAGGAATCTGAAACCACGATATCTATTACGTAATCCGATTATTTTTGCGTAATTTTTACCAGTTTTTGCAGTAATATTAATTAAATTAAATTAAAAAACGACTTACCTGTTCATTAAATAAAGTTGTGTCACAACATTCACAACATACAACGCCTTGGTAAACAAGTACATATAACTGATGAAGCAGGCTGAATAAGTAATGTTGAGCACCTTAAATGTCCTGTAGATCATAATATTCCTCCTCTGGATATGCCTTTGGAATTTGAGGACATTGCTGATGTGACCCCCAAGAACTTCGACGTTCTTTTGACGAGTCTGTTCTTCCATATTCCCGGGATCCAAAGCCCGATTTACAATCTCGTGGATACGAAGTCCTAAAAGCGTAAAGTAAAAAGAATTACTTCGATATCAGATGCCAAAGACCATATGAATTATCTGAGTACAGATCCTTATCAACAACTCACCCGAGTTAATACTCATACACTTCCACAGAAAAGAGGGAAGTCGAAAACAAGCAGCCTGTAACAACAAGAAGAACGGCACCCATTGATAATAACTCAGTTTCCTCTCCGGAGATACCCTCTCCGATTCCTTGATAGTGGCCACATGTATGTCAGGTTGGACAAAGTAAGTGTTCTCCGACCAACAATAGTTCTCGGCATACTGAATGCAAGTCAATTAGAATACTGATAAGGGTCTGAAAAGTGATGAAAGAGGAGATATTGAAAAGACGGACTTCTTGCAACGAACCGCTGAATTTGGAAGGAAAGATACACTCGAGAGGCCGACCACCGAACTGTTTGAAGCTGATCAATACACTGAAGGCAAGCAGCATGTTGGGGGTGTAGAGGTAATTCATTCGATCCGCAAAGTCATCATCCTCCCTGGCCGAGAGGTATCGGGCCATGGAGATGAGGGCCTCGATCATCATGGCGCCGGATTAAAGGAGCCCCGGCTGATAAGAGAAGACCTGGAAGACACGGTTCAGAACAATCAAAACGATGGCTGACAGGCTGGAGGGTTCCCTTCGAAGGCCCCAACCCATGCCTCTCAGGATGACGAAACACAAAAAGATATTATTGTACGGAACAATGGCCGAGAAAAGATGCATTCGGTTCAGAGAAGGGAATAAAACCCGAGATGCGTAATTAAAAATACCTGGAAGAGTATATCGAAAAGGGATTAAGTATTGTCAACTAATTGTAAAGAAAGCGAGGTCAGGGAGAAGACAAAGAGTCTCACGCCTATCAATTAAAGCCATCGATTGCTTTGATTACTCAAGGACTCATAATTCCATCGACGAAACGAAACCCCAACGGAATCATATTTGAGAGTGATTGCGCACCACGGGTCTTCTTAATTTGTGAGGGGCCCAAAAAGCCTCACCACCGATCACTTTCACAGGAGCGACACCGAAAAAGCCGCAATTTGCCCCTGACCGGTTCCGCCGAGTGTTTCCTGACAGTCGGTTGTTCGCACGTGGTCGCCCCCCTCCCTCCCCTCGCGCGGCCCCTAATCGCCCGTTGTCCATTAAGTGTTGTCCCCACTTCAGAAGCAATTCGAATAATCTCGGCCGACAAAAAGTTGTACAAACAGAGCGATCGCGACACATTCCGAAGGAGCCGTGTAGATAATAACCAAATTAGAGACGTTATGTTATCATAATCTGCCCATGGGCCGTCTTATCGTCGTCTCTTAGATTCCAGGATTCTTTTTTTTCGAATTTCAAGTTTTTTATGACCAAAGCAGAGATCAGCAAATCGTACAAAAACAACTTTCAAGAACATAAAACAACCTAATTCCTATGGAAGAGGTTTCATGTAGCCAAGAAACGAGATTCTTATCTTTGGTTTAGTGCCTCAGGGTGAGTCGATGTTTAATAATTTACTTCAAGGTCGCCGAAAGAAAGAATTACAAAAGGAAATGACACATCGGCGAAGATGGAGGTCGTTTTAGAATGACAATAAAATGGCTACCTGCTCGATCACGTGATCTTTATGACCTTGATGATGTAATAATATGACTCCACAGTTACGACAAGAGACGAGTACTGCTTTATGACTACTTCTTAAGAGACCAACCTTTTCCCAGGTGGACGGAAAGTGAGCTCCGGACCCGCACTGTAATGGATGGCCGAGGAAATTGCGGGCGGCGGTGACGCCGGCGAAGACCAGGATCAGATTGGAGGTGAACACAGAATGGAGAAGATCGGTGGGATCCGAGGCCGAATCCGGCGAAAAGGTGTGGGCCAAGCTGAGGAGGGCACTGATCGACATGATCTACCCGCTGGACCCTGGAGCGACTTGCACCACCGCTTTTGTCTGCACCGTTTTTTCGCGATCGGGGAGAGACTGAAGAAGGGGAGGGGAGTGGGGAGAGGCGGAATCTAAGAGCGACTGACTTCTCCTTCTCTGATCTCGCTACACTTGCCGCCCTTGCCTTATTAGGACGCCCTTTCCTTGCGGTTTCACTCGAGAGGGGGTTTGTCATATCAGCGATGCCTCCACATGATGCGATAAAAGACTCAATCAACTCATGCAAACAAAAGCCCTCTGGCAACACAACACCCTAATAACACGAAAGGGACCATAAGTGCCCTCGATTGCCCCGATTGGCCCCACTCACGTTCAGTCCGGACTGGGTCTTATTTTAGACCAGCCGTGTGTTCATTGTGACAAAGGTCGTCGGGGGAACGATGAGTGAAATTGACACGGCCTGATTATTATCGATGTGATGACTTGTTCCTCATTTGAACAGTCAGGTCTATAATTGGATGTGTTTATATGAACAGACCAAAAGCATTGTTTTGAAAAGGATTCCACTAATCTGTTTCAAAACCCTGTCACGCCTGGGTAATTTGTTTTTGTATTTTTTGAAACAAAATGCTGATATATCCATCGTTTACTAGTTTTAGCTCTCGCTTGGTTGCTGGTAGTAAAAATAAATGAATTTTTGATTTATAACGGCCATAAATCTGGAGTCGAGGATCCCACATTTCTATTTCTGCACTATTTAAATTGGGTTACTTGTGTCTGGTGGGTTGTTTATCCAACAATCTTCTTGTAGGATAACCTATTGAATGTCTGGATGTCCATAATCTTGAGTCGCTGTAGTTTGCGGCTTCATAATTGTAATTAGCGGATGGATTGGCGTCAAAGTACAAAGTAGCTCCGATTTAGGAAAGAATGGCCTCCACGGGATGGACTCGCATCTCTTCGTTTTTTGGATGAGCCACTGCCTGAGGCGTTATTATTTTTGCCGGGATGAGTAGGACTTAGTTGGCCAGTTATGGGAGGGGGAGGGTGGACGGACGGACGAGTGCCAGGTTCGGCCTCGCGCGGGTTTTCTCTGTTCAAATTGAATTGTTGCAACTGATTTGTCGTCATTTGGTAATTTGTTCATATCTATGACAGTCATCTTTTTCCTGAGTGTTTTTGGAAGTCTTTTATGTCTCTTCCCCTCTTATAACCTCATTTGCAAAGATCATTCGATTCGAGTATTAAAAACCCCCTGCGGGCACAACAAGCGAGTTACGTCAAGTTGATTTTGCTCGGTTTTATTGGCGTTTTGTCGGCTCGGTTGCATTTCTTTAATTGCTCTTTTTGGAATGGCTTTGCTCAAGGAATGCTGCAAGCAATTTCGCCACAGGGTCATGGGGTTGGACGCCATAAAGCCGGAGAATTTAGTGATAAGCAGGTGCTGCTGATAATACGCGAAGAGGAACCGGTTCGACTCCAACGCCGGGGCCAAGTTTTGGGGCCAAACAGAATCCGATTTGAAGGTCCCTTCCGTCTCCCAATTCGATTAGAGCGCTTTCCACATCAACCCTTATACGGACATCTTTGAGCTGTGGACTTGAACACAACTACGGCATAAAGTTCCAGAGGGGAATTGGTCGCCGACAGCATTATTATTGAGCTAATTTGGTGCACGGTTCCAGCTGCGGGGGCCCGCGGGGACGATTAGTTCCGCTGATTTCATAATGTTCCTATACCCAAAAAAGTTATTTTCTTTCGGAACGTGTTATTAGATACCAGTCCATCCGTAAAGTGTCACCGGACTGATTTCGGCGACGCGCACTGTGCGAATGCACTGTGGAAATGGCCTTTTGGGCTGACACTGGCATTATGATCTTTTTCACATTTTAAACGTCAAAAATCAGTCCGGCGACTTTACCAATGGACCAGTATTCCTCAGACATCTTGTAACATTCCTACGTACACTTCGTAATTATGGACCCAACGTATAGCGTGTTTGTAAGGGAAACGCATCCCAGCTGTCATCAATCCTCTCGATTGTGCGGGTTTGGTCTTTGAACTGTCTTTTAAGTATTTTATTTTGCATTAAGTACCATTATGATATAGTTTACTCCTTCTCCAATATAGTAATACAATGACAAACTCTTTAATTAGCGCCATAAGCGCATAATAGACCGGCTGCGGAGCTGCCTGTCAAATAGTTTCTGAAATCGGCGGCTTTCCCACCGAATTAGCCACCTTTTTCTGACTGACACGTTTTGTTGGCCATGTTCGTAGGGCCATGAAACGGAACAACTGATGTCTTGGAGGAACTCGGCCAATGTCATGGGAGACCGGATTTATGATGAAAAGAGATCGATGGATGACAACTACTCGCATAAATATCTGATTCGTATGTTGCAGAGTTTGCTCTGTTGATAATCGAATATTAATAGACCCGTTGTTTAGTCCCAGTTACATTCCGGCTTAATCACTTTTCTGTCATTTACAGACATATTATTAATATACAATGTAATAAGGGGGGATTGTTTTGCATAGTCTTTTTCTTATGACCTGAGGGCTTGTTCTGTGACATGAAGACAGCCGAAGATCAATCAGCTTGTCCTTGATGGCTGACTTGGCCGCTCACTTTCACGGCCTCGTCTTTTTTTTGCCCTCGGGCAAGGTTTTATTTATTTCCGTCTTTTTGATAATTGCGTTGTTTTTTCGCGGTTCTCGAGACTCTCGACGGCGGATTTTTGGCTCGCGGGAAGTCTTAAGGTTTTAAACTTTTTGGAAATTGGCCCGAACCCTGGGGGCATCCACTGGAAACTCATCAAGACATTCCTTTGTTCCTTTTGTCCCAGCTTCAATTAGTTATTTAAATGCATAAATTTGTGGATGATGACTCCAGAAGTTGTTCCACTGGTTTGGAGTGCGCTTTAATTACAGCCCCGATTGTTGCAAGGCCCTTCCCTGGTCGTTAATTCGATTTGTCCCCGGATTCCACACAATTTACATTTTTGCATTCTTTTTTGGAACAAGAGCTGCCACGGAATGGTCATTCATTCACTTTTTATGTTCTCTTCACGTTTATCACGGAGATCACGTGTCTCAGATAAGAGTGGGTTTGTTGATGGGGACATCCTTATATATTATAGCTTCAAATCGCCGCTGCAGAGCGCCATTTGCATCTCATTAAAAGGTTGTTTTCTGAGAACTTGACATCTCCGGGATAAACATCTGTTACGTAATGGTCTTAAGAGTTATGAGGACTTGGGTTCGAATTGAACGCTCCCTTCGAGGCACTATAATCAGATTAGAAACGGCCGCGCATTGTCTTCTGATTAGTTAAGTGGAATCCCCGAGATCCGGCCATGCATTTGGCCGGCGGGTTTTTGTTTGCGATGCGTCCTCTGACTTTTGGAGCCGACTTCTGCTACCTTGTTCATCCCTAAAAACAGACTTACATATTGGGTGGGAACGGAGAGGGGCCGATTGTTTGGCCGCGTTTTTCTGCTGGGGATATGTTGCGGTAGATGCATATGAAGAGGGGCAGAACTGTCACGTCAGGCCGGGCTCTAATCAGCGGAAGCCCTGAGTGACTGCCGCTGACACTTTGGGGCCTGTCTTTTTCCCTGGGCCCCACGCAAATCGGCCGTTTAATGGAATTCGAAACTTTTCGGGACTCTAATTATAATATACCCTCAGGGTATGGTCTCCGAAAGGAGGGTTCTAATCCGATGGTTTGAATTCAGAGGTATTAACGTAGTCAAAGGTAATAATCTCGGCTGCATCTATTTGTAGTTGTACTCTTGCTGTATTCCCCAATGATCTACTCATTAATTTAAATGGATTATTTCTTTTTTTTGGACCAAAAAAGTTTGAGATTCTTTTAATCTCGTCCGTTCCCCGGCTCTCGGTTCTCGGTGTTTTTGTTGAAAGTGAAAGAGGGAGAAGATGAGCCCTCTTCTCATCGCATGGGGGCTCTCCTTGTGGCCGGGGATTTTTATGGCCGCGCAGGTACTTACTTCCCTGTTATTAGCTTGTCAATTAACTCTCCTGAAAACATCTCGTTCCATTTATTTTACTTTCTTTTGGGGCGTTGGGCATATTTTTTGGACGTCATAAGAGGAGAATACGAATACAACGGGGGGATGTGTCAAAAAAAATTTACACGTGCCCCGAGGGGATTTACACTTGTTGGACTTACTCTAAGTTTATTTTAATTCTTTTAAACTGTAATGTAATAAGATTACGCGAACTTATTTAAAGTTAATTTGATTTTGGATGACATGACATTTTTAGCTTTTGCTTTCCTTTATGGCCGTGGACTGATTCCCCGTCAATGGACACGGCCGATCATTGTCAGACGGTGGTGTTTCAGCTGCCCAACGAATCGGTGATCTACGATCGTCTCGCAGATCTCCATGCCTTCTACAAGCCCATCCACACGTATTTATCCATCGTTCTTTGTGCCTTGGGGGCTGTTTGCAATTTTTGCAACATCGTGGTCCTAACGAGGTACGTTGATTTTGTTTGTTTGAGACTGTTTAGGCGACAAATGAGGACTCCGGTCAACATGATCCTCACGGCAATGGCCTGTTGTGATACTGTGGTGCTGTTCTCCAACCTCATCTATACTACCCACTACACCTTTGTGGCGTTCGCTAATTGTCATCCCCGGCATTGGAGCTATGGCTGGGCTCTGTTCCTAGTTTCCCACGCCCATCTCTCGCTCGTGGGACACACTTCCAGTGTGTGGTTATCGGGTTAGTGGAGGTATACAATATGACATTACTTTCTGTTTATTTTTAGTTATGTTGGCACTTATCCGATATCTGACTCTCAGGAATCGCGGAAGGATGTCCGGAATGCAGGTGAGAGTCTTGCTTTTTGTTCTTTTTGCAATCCTTTTAGCAGTTAAATGTTGCGATTACTATAATTATGCCTCTCTGCAAGCCACCCCCGCTTTGGTTAGAATCCCTATTTGGCCCGTATTATCCTATAATCGTCTACGTGTTTTATCCCTTTAGGGCTTTGTCTTTAACCAAAAACTTGAAGGGAGTTAGCCACCTTTTGCAAGACTACATCCTCTAATGTCATCATCTTTTACAGCTCCATTGTACATTCCTTTTCTTAATAAATACAATTTTTCAGATTGGCCTCAAGCACTCTTACATCTCCATAGCGGCGGTTATTTTCTTCGTTTTAATTATGAATTCCCCCAACTTCCTGACCTACAAGATCATAGAAATGCCTCTCAAATACACATGTACAATAACAGATCCCTCAGTAATGGCGGCCTTGGCTTACTTCCCCGAGGTCTCTGATCTGGCCTTGGAAACGAACTGCTTGGTCTTCAGAATGGCCTTTTGGATCTCAGGAACCATCTTCAAAGTACTCCCTTGCATGCTGCTAACCTTGTTTGTATGGTTGTTGACAAGGATATTGAATGAAGTGAAGGAAAACAGGGCCAGATTGATGAAAGGATCAGTAAAAAATGGGAATTCAGTTCAGCCAAATGGCCTAAACAGGATCCCAGATGTCCGGAAGGATTCGAATCAATCATTGGCGCCATATTCGAAAAACAATAGGACTAACTCTATCAGGTAAATACCGAATTACCTTCTGTTATTTATACGGCCTATACTACACTATACAGTGGCGGTCAAAAAAAACGGCCACCTCAAGATGATGCGCTCTAGCGCAGAAGAGAGTGGTCGTAGGAAGATAAATATGGTATCAGTGTAAAGCTTATGCAATACTAAGACGTGTGACTATAAACTTGTGGTGCTGTAGTGCTGGCTTAGCACGTACTGGGGCAATATGTTATTTTGGCCTGGTCAAAAAAAATGGCCACCCATAATTATTATGCTTTAAACGCGGTTTATGTTATAAATTGCCGCCATATGCGACTGGACTAGGATAACTACATCAATACACATCAGTTCCAGTATTTCTTACTTTGTACATATGCCCTCAGGCATCAGTTAAGGTTGATGACCTTGTTCATGGTTAAGGCCCGGCCAAATTTTTTTTTGGATTTGTGTCGTTGTTTTGATAATCCTGAGCAATACTATAGACGGTATTGATCGTATTCATGTGTAAAACTGTCCACTTCTGCCACAATTGCGCCCCTTCTGATAATAAAACTCAAAAAAGAAGATTTTTTGGCCGAAATTTTTTCAAAAATCTGTTTTGGAGGCCGCTAAACAATTAATGTAGAATCTTAAACAGACTTTATTTGTACAAGAACATCATGGACATTTGTTTCAACACGGCACCGGTTAAAGGAAACGACCGCCCGAAACGACAGATACCGTTTTGTTACAGTTTTCGACTTCAGGAAATAATCATAAACTTTGTCAAGGTCTGCAACCCGAATTTTAACTTTAGGGGCTCATATTTATCTTTAAATGATTGAGTGGTATCTCAGCTATGCCACAAATGCAAGACTAGATTCTAATTTCTATTCAACGATGTTTCGGAAACGGGCAAAATTCATGATTACTTCATGAAGTCGAAAACTGTAACAAAACGGTATCTGTCGTTTCGGGCGGTCGTTTCCTTTAACCGGTGCCGTGTTAAAACAAATGTCCATGATGTTCTTGTACAAATAAAGTCTGTTTAAGATTCTACATTAATTGTTTAGCGGCCTCCAAAACAGATTTTTGAAAAAATTTCGGCCAAAAAATCTTCTTTTTTGAGTTTTATTATCAGAAGGGGCGCAATTTTGGCAGAAGTGGACAGTTTTACACATGAATACGATCAATACCGTCTATAGTATTGCTCAGGATTATCAAAACAACGACACAAATCCAAAAAAAAATTTGGCCGGGCCTTAACCATGAACAAGGTCATCAACCTTAACTGATGCCTGAGGGCATATGTACAAAGTAAGAAATACTGGAACTGATGTGTATTGATGTAGTTATCCTAGTCCAGTCGCATATGGCGGCAATTTATAACATAAACCGCGTTTAAAGCATAATAATTATGGGTGGCCATTTTTTTTTGACCAGGCCAAAAGAACATCTTGCCCCAGTACGTGCTAGGCCAGCACTACAGTACCACAAGCGTATAGTCACACGTCTTAGTATTCCATAAGCTTTACAATGATACCATATTTATCTTTCTACGACCACTCTCTTCTGCGCTAGAGCGCATCATCTTGGGGTGGCCGTTTTTTTTGACCGCCACTGTATGTACTACTTGAGGCGTAAAGTGAATTTTTGTCGCGCATCAAAATAAAATTGAAAAAAGTCATTGCAGGGGAACTCGGGCAAACGGACGGGCAGACCGAACCACCAGGATGTTGTTGGCCATAGTTTGTGTGTTCTTAGTAACCGAATTACCTCAGGGTATCATGGCGGTTCTGATCGGACTCTTATCCCAAGAGTTCCGGAAGAATGTCTACAATAATGTCGGGGACATCCTTGACCTGTTATCTTTATGTGAAGCATGTACCTCGTTTATTATTTACTGTTCGATGAGTGGCCAGTTCAGAAATGTAAGCGTTTTCAAGCTTTGTGACATTTTGTCCATAGAATGCATCTAATACATAATATTGTTTTTTTTCAGGAATTCCGTCGGGTTTTTATTCCCGCTCAAGTCAGTTGTTGGTGGTCTCCCCAGACAGCCAGAAGGTATTCAGATGCACTTTTTTCGAAGACCGGCACTCAATTTCTTCAAGTGGATCCGGGGAATGTCACCGACCGGTCGATTACCATGTCGTTGGTCGATTCTTCCAAACAATCGGTCCGTCGATTAAGTGCGGACAAGGTCGAGGAATCCCCATCGTATTCGCGGGCCTCGTCCTCCGAGCATCGAAGGTCCACACAGTTCTCGGATCGGGAGATAGTCCACTCCAACGGTCAGGAGATGCCCCTCTTGCTCAGTCCAGCCAACAGTGCAGAAAACGGGTCAGCACGATGAACACAGCGATGTCCTTAACTCCCAAATAGCGTGTCTTTTAACTACGGGTACAACGGTCTGATCTTCGGTTTTCTTTGCATATTGTTTCAGCCTTTGATTACAAGCTAACCTTGGGTTTTAGGGTTCATTTTGAAGGTTAAAAAGAGAAATAGTTAAAACCAGAGGCACAGCTAGGAGGGGGCAGGGGAGGGTACCTTCGCCAGATCGGAGTCGACGGAAAGAATTGTAATGTTTTGTTATGAACACGAGTAATTTCGCTACATGCTAAATCTAAGCCCTCCAAAAAATCCCCTTAGCACCTCCTTTGATGGAACTTTAATGGTCTTTTAATGACTCCATTATCTCCACCAGACTTGTAATCAGATGCTCATTTACTAGAAAAGGATAAATCTGGTTGTTATGTAATAAAGTAACGATCCTGCCAATCTCATGTATGATCAGTCCGTCTTGTATTTATTGTCGTTGTGATATATAATGTAACGACTGAATAAATCTTTTTTCTTGACTTAGGCAGATGGTTTGGCAGTAGCTGGAGTGCTGATGTTTTTATGATCGAGGAGGATCTGAACGGAAGGTGACGTCAGAGAGATCGCACCGGTTCATGGAATGGAGAATCGAGGCTAGTTGCGTGGCCGAGCGAGCATCGGCCGGGACCGCATTTCGGGCTGGGAGATTGTGCGCGAATTCGCCTAAATAAGGCCAATTAAAGGCCCTGGGGGCACTTACCCGGCGTATTGGAATTGCCTCCGGGCCGATAAAACGCGACAATGGCCAAGCAATTCTTGGCCGTATTCCAGTGCCGAGCCACTCCCAATTCAATCGAGGACTGCCAAATCATCTGGGTGAAGTTTTTGCACTCTGCAATAACAATTACATTAGTTCACATCACCCTCGAGAGGTCTCACTCAGACTCCAATGGGGATTTTCGAAGTCAAAATAATCGGCCTCTTTGGCCCATAAAGCGACGATCTCGCTTCCCGTAGTCAAATGATTTCCCGTTTCGTGGATCACCAAATGGATATTCTCTCCAATCCCTAGGAAAAAGGTTAAATACACCTCGATGGAGTGAGTACCTGGAAGTTCTGGATACATTACGCGCCCCCGATCGGCCAGGCTTGTCGCCCAACTTTTGGCCAGATCGGCCAGTTCCTGACTCCATATAAGGGAGGGGGAACCGTACTTTTCTCTGACCAAATTATGCGCCTCAATGCATTGCCTCTGAAAGTTGGCATCGACTGCAAATAGGAGGGAGGTCAGTTGTCACTTACCCACAGCCGTGAACTTGGGCCTCCGCTTGACGTATTTGACGTCTGTGATCGTCTGCATCATGGCCCGATCTAATTCCGGGTCAGCACGCGCATTTTCAGCGCCGGCTGAAGACGTGGCATCCATAAAACTTCTGCATTCTTCGACTCGATACCCTCTGGAGAAGGTTTGGTGATTAAAAGAAAACGTTTACCTTGAGGCATCGAATGTTTTGCTTGGGGCTAAGTGTGGACCCCCATTACTGGTCCCTGCCTGGATTACATCGGTCGAATCTTCTTGGACGGATTTCGATTTCCGGAGATTTTTCCGTCCAAAAATTCGTTTTATCATGCTACTAAAAGTAAAATAAACTTTTACACATACTTTATGTGTAAAGATTGTAATCATAAGTTTATTCATCGCGCAAAATCCGAGAAGAATTTTGTTAAGAGAAAACTCTGCGGCCCAAGTTTGTGTCACAGAAAAGAATGGACCCGGTCAGTGGACGTCCAACACTTTGGGGATGGTTTACAAACATTATAAACGACTCTCTGAACAGCCATACCAGGTCGAGAACCAATTTGCTGGTTGGTTAAGCGCTCAGTGGAAGGGGGGATGCCCGGGTGTCTGGAAGCGGCGGAGATAAGCTCGAGTGCCGGAGCCGGCTTCAGAAACCAGAATGGCCGGAGGTTGCGGTTTTTATGAGCTGCACTGCTTTTTTTGGAATAAAGGGGCCGTGTCGTTTTTCTCAAGACCCCGAAGCCGGGAATGACTCGCAATGCCTAAGGGCGTCTTCCTTGGAGCCGTCGGCTTTGGCCTCCTTCTTGACCAACAGGGCACGAAATGGCTAGCATCCTGTTGCGGTCGGTTCCGACCACCAGTTTTTTTTCTTTTTTCGCTTTTGGCCTTTAAGAGTTCCGAAGGGCCAATTTCGGGAATGAAAGAGAACACTGACCCACTATTCGGCCACCTGCAGGAATGCTTATGGAAAATGTCATCAATTATGACAAAACATTTTTTATAAAACAAAACTAGGTATAGAGGCAAATAAATGTCAGCAAAAGGCTTCAAAAAGATGATTTCTTGCCCCGTTGAAATCAAATTTCATATCCAAAACGATGACATTATTTGTTGGCTTAGAACTTTGGGGAAAGTCGTAAAACAACCCAACCGAACCCAATGACTTTAAACTGTAAAAAACACACAAATAAAATGGGCCAAAAACAATTTGAGATAATCATCCAACTGACACCGACAGCCGCCTCAGGGCAAGAGAACGTGATTTACGTGCTGAGTGCAATTAGTCGCAGCAATGGGTGGCGGGTCATTAATTTGGAAGCGGTTTGAGGATCTGATGGGGGGAACGGGGTCAGAGATTTGATGTCTGAGGTCCGAATTCTTTGGTTTTATCTCTTGACCAAGTGTAAGTTGATAGGAAAAAGGACTGATTATTCTGATTCAGATGTCCTTGCAGAAGTTTTGGTCAAGGAATCCACTTTTGATAATGTTCAATTTACAAAAGTAATATTGTCATCATTTTAAAAAATAAATTTAGATCGTATTTTACGACAATACGACGCTATTTGATGACATTTCCTATCTCGATAAAGTGGTGCAAGACTTTGCTTTGTCCAAATCGAGTAATCCGAGTGAGGGTAATGTGACTGAAGTGCCTGATTCTCTGTTCCTCGATCTCTTACTCATTGCCGACCTCTCTATGTATCATAAATTCAAAGAATTGTATCCTTATAACTCTAATTCTGCTTATTTTGCCCTTCAGGATTACTTGAGAGTGATCTTTGATCAAGTAAGAAGACCGTAAAATAGTTAATTATCTTTTAGTTATACTCAATTTACTATCGGCTTATTTTCTTCGAGAAAACTCGCGTTTTCCTCCGATTGGCGGGTACCCTGCCCATCTTCAGAGTGGATGATTGCCCCCTCCAAAGGGTTAACACCTTCAATCTCTCCGAATATGACAATTCCACGGATATCTTCGGGTACTCTCTTCTCCTTGTATAAATCCTTTTTAAGCGTTCCTAATTTCTCTCCCATCGATGCCTTGGATTCCGTTCATTCGATCCACGATTGGCTGGAAGAACACAAAGCTCTGATCCCCCAACATGATCATGCTATCGTCTTTACGCGGTGAGTGTAACATCAGCCAAATATCTTCTCTTTTTAGGCGCGATCTCTTGTCCCAAAACAATGAAAGTGCCACTCAAGGGATGGCCTATGTCCGGGCAATGTGCCGAGAATCTGATTCTGTTTCTGTTGTCGAGGATGTCGGGGGAATCACAACTGTGGCCATTGCTGCTCATGAAATGGCCCATAGGTATGTGTATTTTATAAAGCAATCACTATTTAGCTTGGGGGCGTTTCACGATGGCTCTGGCAACAGTTCCGTTTGTTCTCCATCTCTCAATTTTCTGATGGCTCCTCAGACCTCAGGCAATGAATTAAATCAGAATTTTGGGAATAGTTTCCTCCTCAGTCAGTGTTCTTTGGACCATATCGAGGAGTTTCTCAGGTAAGTTATCTGGTGATACTGTACTTTTAAAACTACAGGTCTTCAGATTCGGATTGTTTGAAGAAAAATATAACAACTCCAAGGCCTAATCTAACAAATAAACGGAGGAGTAAAAAAGCGGGAGAGATATTCGACCGTACAATGCAATGCAGGTTGGCTTTCGGTCAGAATTATGGGAAATGTTCGGTAAAAGCATGAAGAATTATATTAGCGATGACATTTAGAGAAACGATTTCCATTATTGGAAGGTCGACCCATGCAGGAGACTGTGGTGTCAGGACAGGAAGAAGCCGAGATATTCAACATGTGAAACAAAGGCATTCTTACCAGTTATGGATGGGACAGCATGCGGGATTGGAAAGGTGGGATATATCAAGCATAACACCGTAATATTTATTTTATGATAACATTGTATAATACATAGTAGTCGTGTTTATAGTGGTGTCTTCGAGGAGATTGCATCCAGAACGAGAATTATATGACCGAAGAATGTGCTGACCTGAGGGCAGATTACTGTAGACGATTCAAACAGGGGGTGAGGAGAAGATATTGCGTGGCCAAAAGTATTAAAAGCATCTGCTGCAGAACCTGCCAACATTATGATCCGGATACCAAGAAAATTAACAAATTACGGGATAAAGAAATTACTAGAAAGTTAATAATAAAAGAAGATTTATAAAGGGCGCATTTTTTCCTCACAAGCGTTTTCCTCCAAAGCTATTAAATAAATTTTTGGGGCTTTGGCGGCGGACGAAGTGGTCGCCAACCTCATAATTATTGCGCAGTTGCAACCTCTACAATTGATTTCTTCCCAGCCGGGGAAGAAAAGATTTGGTACCACTAAATGTGATTGACAGAGTTGTGCAAATGCGGAGGAATTGGCGGAGAGCCTGACGAATAGAGACTTTTTATGGTGGCTTTAAGTGAACCCAAAGCCGATCCCTCCGCTGAAGCTTCTCGGCATAATTCTTCGCCAATCCCATTCATTGCTATCAAATACTTTGATCCACAGCTGGGGAAGCCGATTCAATCATACGAGCCAAGTTATTTCATAAACAAAGTCGATTATTTTGAGACCTTGGAAATTTTTCTGTAATCAACCAAGAGAAATCGCATTTTTTCCAGGCGTCGGCTTATTCTCATCCAAGGATTTAGGCTCATCTTCCATCACCTTGATCCTGCTGATAATCGCCTAAAGAATTTATATCATCCATGAAATTTCATACCTTGTCATTAACACTGTCCAAACAAAGAATTGCTCCCATGTTTCTGAAATTATCCAAGAAAACAGCAGCTGACCAGACCGTCAACATTCTCTGGGGATGCTGCAGAACTCCATCAAATACAACTTGCCGGGACCTGATAATCATCTTCAAGTTGTTGTTCTTGACGAATCTCTCGACCTCTGACTCTCCAAATGTTGGACATCCATCATGAGACTTGTAGACGGCTGCATTCTCTCTGAATGCTCCCCAAACACATTCCTGTTCCAGAGCCAGATCAAGTGAGCATTTGGCGGGTTTTCCGTGCTTCTTCAGCCTCTTGAGTCCATGTTTCAAAAGTTGAGGGCCAATTCCTCCATGAACACAAAAGTATTTATTGGAGAGTACAGCAGCGATTGGGAGTTGGTTAATGACCGCACAGACTCTCTGCCAAGTCATCGACGTCTTCAGAAGTCCACGAAGGTATAATCCTTCCACGAATTCATGGGCCTGAAGAACATTGGTACGAGCAAGTCAGCGCAATAAGACCATTTTTTCTATAAGCTTACTTTTAATGCCTCAGGGTCTTCCCATCCGCCCTTGAGGAGATAAACGTGATTTGGATATTTGATTTTTAGAGCCAAGAGAAGGAAAAGACATTCATGAGGAGCATGTCCTTGACCAATGTAGTTCCCTAAGAAAAGAAAAACATTCTGAGGAGGGGTCTCGACTAAACTGGCAAGGCTCAGAAGACTGTCAGCATGACCTTGGATGTCACCGAAGATGATTACCGATCCCTGAAATTATATTATATGCATTTATTTCATATCAACAGTTATCGTAAGCATAACTATTATTATAAAGTGTTACAGTTAATTCGAGGACTGAAGGTTCAGCCGTCAAGATTTCCTCAGCTCTGATGAGGATCTTAAGTAAAGTGGATGCTGGGTACGTCATAGGTTCGGTCTCATTGGCGACAAATTTGGTAATAAAGGACCAGATATTGCGAATCAGCTGATCCACTTCGTCCTCCCTTCTCTCATCCACTCCGTTCATCTGGATTTCATTTGGATTCTGACTGCCCATCACCAAAAACAACCACTTTCGATACTCAAAAAGACGAAATGAATTTTTATTTACCCAATAAAATTCTTATAAGGGCCTATGGCAAAATCAGAAATCGGAGAAAACCGGAAATCAGTGCACTGTGTCTTGTCGAACTGTCCCCATAATAAGATACAAGATGCGATCTTTCAAACCTCAAATCATTAAACGCCAGTATGAACCTTAGCCTAACAAAGTCTAAACAAACAGAAGATGTAATCCAAGTGCAGATTTTGATGAAACCTGGCACAAATTTAGAATATTTTTTTGTCTGGCTCGCACTTTGCAGAAACGACCGAGATTTTTAGGTCGAAAGTTGCAAAACAAAAAATGTGATACTTTTTGCGTAGTTTTCTCATTATTTCTACCGTAGAAAATAATGTTTCGAGAAAATTTTTTCCCTCAAAACTGGCAATGGCCCAAAATCGTTTTTTTCTGTGATTCTCGCATGCTCTCTCGGTCGCTGGTTGAATATCTCGGCTGCTACAGCGAGTCAAAGTTTTAAAGAATTGATATGTGGCCTATGCCTGAAGTGTGTGCAGAGTCTAAAGCAAATCTGAGGATTACACTTGGGGTACTTCCCTTGTAAGACTGATCTTACCCCACACATCTTAAGCACGTTATACCGATTTACGCTCTTATCCAGTTTCCGATTTTCCCGTTTTGTCCAATTTCCGATCTTGTCGGGGAGCGCTTATAAGAGTACATTAATTAATAATAATATCTTTTCTTCCAAAACGGTCGTGGAATGCTCTCCCTTACAACAACTCTATAACTTTACAAAAAATGATATCTGTATGCTCTGAGAGTGACCTGTTAATGCAATAACTCTGAATATATATCTATCTAGAGAATAGTAAAATGACGGCGACCCGTGTGAAATATAATAGAACCAGCTCTGTGGGGGTGGATTAGACCACTGACTCGGGTTTGGCAGCAAGAATGGACTCTTGTTGGTTCATCTCCTCTTGCTGTAGGCTCTGAAAGCAAAGAATTGATATATGAGGTCATGTACAATATAAAATTTCTTGTTTTCATCACTCACTTGACGAAACTCCCTTTCAAGGGCTTCGTTCTGTTCAATGTGCTTCTGCACTGTCTGTTGGATGTTCCGTTCTCGTTTCATGTGATGTCGTTTCCGTTCTTCCATGAATAATTTAACGTTTTTCTCATTTAACTCTCGGATTCTTCGATCTCGCTCGGCCTTGCTCATGTTACGATCCTGAAAAGAGGACATTAACATCCAGGATGCACATTCGCAAAAAAGCAAAAAAGAATAATCAATAATGTACGTTAAAATTAATCGATGAAGACATTTTGGTAAAAGATTTTTGAAAACTAGAAATCATTTTTTCGAAGATCTTAAAACATAGGAAAAAATCGATTTTGAGTTTTTTGCATTAAAATGACTGCTGGAAGGTGCTAAGCAAAAGCGAACAATATTTTTTCCCAAATCCTTCGTTAAGGTATATTTTTTTACAATTAACTGTTTTAGAAGTAATCGCCTCTAGTTGTGGTATCTTGCCTTACAGTGCAGTGATTTGACGGCTACTGTAGTTTTTGACCCTTGCGAACACGATGGAGTGATTATTTTTCCCGCTTTCCTACTGTAACATACCGTAATACCGTATCGACCGCTCAAAAACGGTCGTAAAATCTTTGTTTCTAAAAACCCCCAGCTGATTTTTTGATATGTTAATCAGCGTAAAATTCTGCTCTAGACCCAATCAAAAAAAGTGCAAAAAGTGGTGCGACAAATTTCGTGGTGTAGTGGTTAGTGGGCGGGACTACCATTCCAGCGTCCCGGGTTCGATCCCGGCTGGGTGCCAATGTCAAAAAAATGCCGCAAATCAATTTTAATGTAAAAATAAGGAATGTCCGAAGAACACAAAGCAATTTTAAATGATTATGACACCTCTGTTTTCGAGTAAACCCTGTTTAATGTAACCTTAGCGGCTGAAAACGGAAAAAATAAAAGTGCTTCAAATGTGATAAAATTCATAGATATGGTTCTACAGGTTATAATAAGAAACTTTTCCGTTAGTCTTTTTTTGTAGCTTACAGTATAACGGATTACTGTAACATGAAACTATTTATAAAAAATCGATTTTCCCTTCGATGTTCTTGAAAAAAGGTTGGGGTTTTTTGTTAGACCGCTCTGCCAGCAAAAAAAGTCGCCTTTCGTTATCCGAAACAAAATTCCAAATTATTTTGAGTATGTTCTGACGTCATCGTTGATCGCTAATACGGTGAAAGATTATTCAGGTATACCAAATCATCCTGCCATAAAAAATATTTTTTTCTCACAGATAAGCTTCTTGGTAATAATTCTGCACATTATGACTTTACTTCCAGCTCTCTTTCGCCATGTAGAACGCAAAATACGAAATTCTGCATTATGCTACAGTAATCCGTTATACTGTAAGTTACAAAAAAAGACTAACTGAAAAGTTTCTTATAATAACCTGTAGAACCATATCTATAAATTTTATCACATTTGAAGCACTTTTATTTTTTCCGTTTTCAGCCGCTAAGATTACATTAAACCGGGTTTACTAGAAAACAGAAGTGTCATAATCATTTAAAATTGCTTTTTGTTCTTCGGACATTCCTTATTTTTACATTAAAATTGATTTGCGGCATTTTTTTGACATTTGCACCCAGCCGGGATCGAACCCGGGACGCTGGAATGGTAGTCCCGCCCACTAACCACTACACCACGAAATTTGTCGCACCACTTTTTGCACTTTTTTTGACTGGGTCTAGAGCAGAATTTTACGCTGATTAACATATCAAAAAATCAGCTGGGGGTTTTTAGAAACAAAGATTTTACGACCGTTTTTTAGCGGTCGATACGGTATTACGGTATGTTACAGTAGGAAACCGGGAAAAATAATCACTCCATCGTGTTCGCAAGGGTCAAAAACTACAGTAGCCGTCAAATCACTGCACTGTAAGGCAAGATACCACAACTAGAGGCGATTACTTCTAAAACAGTTAATTGTAAAAAAATATACCTTAACGAAGGATTTGGGAAAAAATATTGTTCGCTTTTGCTTAGCCCCTTCCAACAGTCATTTTAATGCAAAAAACTCAAAATCGATTTTTTCCTATGTCCACGGCTAACTGGCGGCTGATTCACTGACTCAGAAATCGTCTTTTAAGATCGAGTAAATTTTCTTACTTGTTGTAGAGCTTTGGTGTCCTCCATGGACTTCTTGGTCTGATTCAGCCTCATATTTTTCATATCCTCATCATATTTCTTGGAGAGGACGGTGATTTGGACTTTCTGATTGTCTATTAGTAGCTTTCTAGAAAGAGTTTTATAATGTGTTTGTTAACTGACTTGAGTAATTCGAATTCTTCTTTTATGTGACATTTCCGTTGTTCGAACTCCTCTTGTTGTTGTTTTTTGACCAAAGCTGACCATTCATCGGTCTGAGTTGTAACCAAAGACCTCATCCTCTGATCGATCTGAATCCCACTCTGAGAATCAGAATCCTTATTGGATAAAGAGGCATGTCTACTTCCATTGGAGCTGGCATTCTTCTTTTTCTTCTTAGAGTCCCTGGCTGAATCCCCGACCATTCTGTCGATTGTCATCTGTTGTTGTCGTTGTATGGCGTCTCTCTGTTTCTGATGTCTTTTCTTCATCTCGTCTAATTCTTTGTGGAACTTCTTGTTTAATTTGACGAAGCTTTTCTCCTTCCTCAAGTCATTCAGATTTATTGGATCTGACTGAAATTCGGTTAATTAGAGGGGCAAGGTTCACGCTTACGGTAACCAATTTAGCAGTAAGGCCTGTCTAATAACATTAACATATTATGTTTACAACAAAAAATAAAAACGGATAAAAATTTTAGAAACGGGTTAACTGTAAAAACGGGATGACGACATTGTTTTTTAGCTACCTCGGTAGAGCGGAAAAGGCTACAAGCTCGGGAGAAGCGACGCCTGGCCCCTTCTAGTCTTGGACTGCCGGGAATAGGGCTGGGAGGTCTTAGATGACCAGTACCCACATGCACAGTCAATTCATTCGACCCCCTTCGGCCTCCAGAATATGTCTGAGAGAGCAAATTTAATGAGTTAAATTATCGTTTTTTAGGTGCTTGTGAAAGTTTTGTTTGGTCGGAGGCTGAAGTTTCTAGTACTTACCTTGTATCGGTTATCTGGATTAACTTCTGATGCTACCCTGGCTGATTGATTTCCATTAGCACCTCCAACAATGGGCGAGGATGTTGTTGTAGAAGGACGGGCTTCGGGGGCTTGTTGAGGAGTTGACGCACCATTCGCTTTCTGTTTCGCATCTTGTCGATTACTCTTATTCAAATCCTTCTTATTTGTGGAATTGGGAGATGAAGATGGGACGATATCGACGATGTCGTTGTCATCGACGCCCATGTTATGTAATGCTTCTTTGCGTTTCTCTTGAGCTGATAGATATGCTCGAGGATCGGCCAAGGCATCTACCAGTCCACTCAATTCATCCGGAACATACGTTTTCAAGACAAGGTGTACAAATAAGGTGGACAAGGTCATGGGCATATTGGATTCAGTTCTGAGCGAGATGTGTCTGTATCCAGATTGGAGTCCATCTAACGGCAATATCCGTTGACCTATCTGTTTTCCGCTCTCATCATAGACAGCGAATCTGAGGACGGCCAACTCCGGGAGAACTACTTTCCTGAAGACAAAGGGTTCTTCATTGTAGATGGGATTTAGTCCATTGGCGGGTACTGTCCTGGTCCGATGCTCCTTCCTTATTGTATCTGTTGGCAGCCCATACATCTCCACTTCTACATAAGTCCCCGCTTTCCTCTCGCATAGAAACTGACCAGAAATTACCTGAAAAATTTTTTGTAGACTACCATAGAGATGTTTTATCTTACCCGTACTGAACAGTGAGCAGCAATAACACCATCTACAGGCGATTCCGAGAAGGGATCAAAGGTCCGATCCGGCCGTCGCATGAAGTCTGGTTTCAAGAGGTATCCAGTTTGACCATTATAATCGAATTTTCCCTGATTTAGCTGCATACATACATCTGGAGTCTGGAAATTGAGCGAGACCATCTGACAACCGGCATTCCAAAAGATTTGAGGCAAGAAATTGGAGGAATCGACACGCGCACCCTTAGGATAAATCCGTGACAATTGTCGTTTATTATAGTTGACAAATTCTGGAGCTGATTGTTTCAGATATCCGAGGCCAGTGCTTTCGGAAAACGAGGACATGTGAAAGTGAAGATCATTGCCTAAAGTCATAATTAGGCCTCCACATTACGATTCTTACTTTCCGCAACTTCAAAGCCGGAGAACTTGACTGGATGAGTGTAATTAACCAGTGTCGACAACAACGGATGGATATTGGTGGTCGCGCCAGTGTAATTATACTCAGCAAAGATCCTCTCTTCCTCTTCCTTGGTGAGTATCGGCTGAAACAGACAGCGTCAGAGGCTGACACTACATCCCACGCATGAAGAAAGCACACTAGGAAAAGGTAGCGGTCACCATCACGGACAAAACACCAGTGCATAACAGGACTAAGCAACCAAAGAAAAAAACAAATGCCTTTTTTGATTTGGAGGCGCGATGCGAAGATGATCGTTTGGGAGCGGCATCCAGCAATGCGGCCGATATGGAATGGTCAGCTGGCTCGGCAGAGGGACGACGGAACGACCGTTTGTCACGTCCCAATTGTAGAATACTACTCATTTTGCCACCGCCACTTTGTTGAGCTTCTTTCACGTCAAGATACATCTGCTCTCCCCATTGTTGTTGGTTGCATTGCTGACGAATAAGGAAGAAAGCTTAGTTAAAAAGGCCAAATTGCGGAATGCATAACCCTTCTGAATACCCCGGCAATTACATGAATATGAACTCGACCTGGGACTTGTCTGAGACGGGACGGTGTTCAGAAGGAGAAGATCGGTGAGTAGATTCAGCTCAGAGAAGGAGAACAGAAAAAGAAGTGCTCGTAAAAGAAATGTAGAATAGTGACCAGAACTGAAGTTTAATGATATGGAACTCAACAAAACAAAAGAGAGTCGAAGAAGTGCAAACATATTATCGTCTCCTATCCCCGTTGTGAAGGCTGAGCACTTACCTGTTGCTTCTTGGCAAACCCCAGCGGCTTTAGTTTTGAGATAAAATTGGTCTGCTTTAGCTCGGGATGAGCTTCATCCGGGATTTTAAGTTCTCCTGAAAATAGAGTAAGATCATGAATATTGGAAAGGTTGATTGAGATATTTATGTATTAGTAAACTCGAAATGTTATCCCATTTATTGTTATAATAGGTGCTGTGGAAGGGAAAATTGGTTGGAAACGAAGGATCAAGAACCAAAAGGTAAGAAAACAAACCGATTTGAGGTCGAACGTTCTCCTGGACTGGGGTCAAATGGTCCTGTTCAGGATGAGCACGCTGATCAGAGGCTGAAAATAACCGATGCACATCACTATAGAGAACCAAAAACGGAAAGAGCAGTTACTAGCACAGTGCAAGAACAGAAAGAGGACCAACGATTGCAACGACCACAATCACGACGACCGAGTAGAATCGCGCCAGAACTGTCTGGATTCAGAGTCTCCAAAACAGTTCCGGAGCTACAACCCTACCCAACAAAAACACCGTCACACCTGTTCCCGTCGGAGTGCTGGGCAAACATCCACTGCCAGGTCCAGAGCCATATCCATTTCGTCCACCGGCTGGCGGGGAGCTGGTCGATGATGACTTCATGCTGGATGTCATATGCCGGAAGGGGAAGCGCGGCGATCGTCCACCAATAGAGCGGCTCGAGTTGGAACGGTCGATCACCACATCGGAGGCGCTGGATTGCTTGTGACTTCCCCTGTATTTTCTCACATCCCCACCAAAAGCGGCCAACAAAAGGGACTTAGAGTCGATGGAATTCCTTGGGGAGGACTGTCTAGAGCCACAGGGGCCACTTATCGAGGCGAACGTGCGTGAAGCGCTAGGCGTGAGGCGACCGTAATTTAATGGGTGATTGAGAGACCCCAGGGCTGTTAATTGCCCATCATGAGAGGACTGAGCAACAACACGTGGCGCTGGTGAGGCGTTCTCGGATTCACGGTCGTGCTCGTCGTCGGTCATTTCACATTCCTCGAGTTCTAGAGGAGAGGTTGATTGGGGATAGGACATTCGGACAAAGGACTCACAAGGCACAATTTAACAGGGGAATAATCGGGGGGAAGGGGCGTGTGCAGAACCCAGGTAAATGATAAGAGGGTGACCCGAGTGCTTCCCTAGACTTTAACATGAAGCCTTCAAGCAGTGCCTTCTTCCCTATCTGCGATGGCTAGACTTACGTGATGCCGCGGTCTCCTCCCCCATTCCTATGACCTCAGGGGTTTCACTGATCTCGTCTTCCTCATCCAGTTTGCCTTCTCTCAAGAATTGCTCCATCTGATGCTTCTCAATGTCAGCCTTTAATCTTTTGTTTTTAATCAAAATCTTTCGTCTTAGACGGTTGGGAGATGGCAGAGGAACTCCAGGTTCTAATGGGAAGTCCTCCAAGGGCTGCGAAAGTAACATATCTCCAAAGATTTCCATACAATACTTGGCCATTTTCAGCTGATTTGAACGACAACAGTGATTCTCGAAAGACAAAATCACCGGGAAATCTGTCCGAGCAAAAGCTGTATCCCTGATTTGGTACAGAACATCCTAAATTTAAGGTAAAGCCATGAATAAACCCAACTTACCTTGAAGAACACATCCGTGCACATTGCCATACCGTGTGTAATAATGGGCTCGCCCTTGTTTTCACCGTTTCCATCCCAACAGTCAAGCTCTATACAACGACATCCGGATAGAAGGACTTGTCGATATATCTCCGTCGAACTTTTTCCACCATATTGGCGGCCCGTAAGGTAAGTGTTATGGGAGCTAAAATAACAAATACATGATGGGTCAGAATAAAATACCTGTTGATGTAATAGTGACACAATGGCTGATCCATGTCCTGGTACAATTCTGTGCGATCTAGGAAAACAGGAGAGTTCTCATCGTTCATTAGAAACCTCAGAAATCCATCACCCGACATCTTTCCTTGACTAATGTAACTCTCATCGGTCTCATACTTAGCGATGAGTTGTTGAACTCGTTCATGATCGAAGAAGGGGAACAGGATTTCGTTTAGCCGGGGATCTCGTTGCTCTTCATTTAGAAAGTTTATCAACCGATCCCTGGTCAAATACTCTTTTTGCCCAGATCTGTAAAGAAAACGATGACAAAAAAAATAATTGTGAGTATGATTACATGTATGCATGTAAAGCTATAAAATAAAACTTACAATTTAACAAAAAGTTCTTGAACTTCAGTCCGAGGGCATATCTTATGATAAAGCCGAAGGAATTTCTCGAATGTAAAGAGACCCACGTCCAACTCCTCTCGCTCCTATAAATTGTTTATTACGTACAGAATAGCACCAATAAACGAAAGGTACACCATCATGGCCACAACGGAACACTACCTTGTGTTTATGTTTCCGGGCCGTACCGCAACTGTAGATAGCCCGGAAACTACGCGACCAACGACCACGTATCACACGACCAGTAACCAGGAACTAAAACACAACAATAACAATACACGACAACCACAACGACGACACCAAAATAAAGTATGTAGTACCTTATCTCCAGCCAATCCCAAGTCGGTCAGACATTTATGGACCATCCTTTCGGGTTTTCCGCTGGAGAAGGTCTTGATGATGTTACGCAATGGGATCTTGCCTCTTTCATTGGTGGACAGACAGAGAAACTTCCAACTGAAAATATTATTATGTCATCATGTTGGTTGAACTTACTGTTTTTGTAATGAGATCATGGAATTACAATGTCTGAACTTGTAGTTTCTGATCAGTTCGTTGATAAGGAATCTCCATTCCTTCGCAATCTGGGCAGTCTTAGCGATGAGGAAGAGGCTGTTTACATTGACCAGGTCTTGGCCGTATGTAATCCAGACCGTCCTCTCCTCAATGGGCTCCTTGGCCCCTCGCTGTTCGAGATCATAGAGAATCCGAGCATCTTTAATCGTTCCTGACGATCTGGCCTCCCACACCTGAATATTTTGATACAAAACAAAAGGATGATTTCTGACCTGCACAAGATCCAATACTCCTGCATCTTTTCCTTTTGGATTCCAAACAATGTAAAACCCGCTTTCTTCAAAATAAACATGGCAAGAGAGGTCCAAGGTGCTGGTTTCGTCGTCGAACCGGTCGAAGACATCACCTTCCAGCAGTTGCTCGGGGATCTTAGATCGCCAATTGAATTGATATTCCTTGGCCATAATTAATTAACGGGCTCGGCCAAAGGCCGAAGCCCAGAAGTCCGTATCACTGGGCTGAAGCTGTAAAATACGGGGAAGACTAGAAGAAAGAGGGATAAACGGACTGGACTTCTCGACAGTCGTCTTAGCATCAGCCAAGAGGATCCCCCGAGATGGTTAGGGGCCGCCTGAAATGTGTAATATAATCTGAGGAACACCTTAACATAAACATTGATATCACGACCTCAGACAATGCGGCGACCTGAATATGATAAGAAGTCAGAACAAAAGGGAGAATGTGTGAGGCGATGACTCAAACCAGGCCCAATGATAAAAGGGACGCATCACATTCGGGGAATTATTCATAATGCGCCCATTTAGCATATCAGTATGCCCATCAGCATGTGAAGACATCATTATAACTATAATAAGACCCACACGACCGCTATCTCGCAGGCCATAATCATATGCGGGGATGGTCGGTCCGGCCGTTTCTAGCAACGAATTCTTTATAGAAGGAGTAAGTAAGCACGTGTGACTTGGCCAAGCTCTTTTCCAGCTTTTCCGCGTCCCAGACCGGCAAAATAAATAAAGCTAATCAAGGGATTTATTCCAAAAAAGGAGAGCTTCGGTTGACCGAGGAATCAATGGAGAAAAGCTGTTGCCCTACTTATCCCTTTAATAGAGACAATCACGCATTCAACGGAACACGGCTGTTAGCCTCCCCGAAGAGACAAAAGACATCAGGAAAAGGAAATGCCGTGCTGTCTGATGGCCATAGGTGTGGCCAGAGGCCCCGCCTAACGTGTCCATTCGACCGTCCAGAAATCCATTAGACCGCGGCTACATGGCCGGGCCCCGACCTCATTCCAGAAAGCTCATAAAAAAGCAAATGTCTTGGGTCGGGCTCAGGAAATAACAGATACGGACGCTACCCATTCACTCCACATCCGGAATCGGACGCTCGCAAACTTGTGGCCGTCTTAATTCCCCCTCTCCCCCCATTATCAAACCCCAAACCGAATTAAGAGTATAGGCACAAAGCCCGCGACTCACCAATTTCCGCGCCGGTACGACCTGAACTTTCTTAATGAAAACGGAAATTGTTTTGAAAAGCAAACGACAATATTAGAACGTCACTCAGCGGCCTTCAGATGCAATTATGCACGTTGTGGAACGACATCCCGCTAATCACGTTTGAAACAAAATAGTGGCCGAAGAGGGAATGAGCAGAAAATGTAATCGACAACTGGGTTTGGAACGGAAAAAGACCCTGGGAACACGGGCCCGTCTAAACCGACACGTGGGAGAAGGCTAAAACAAAAAAGAAGTCGAGTGACCAGCTGGGATGTCTGCCACCTGAGTTGAGGCGCAACGGCCCATTCCCGTACAAAACAAATCCCCGAAACGAGGAAGACGCGCATTTCAAGCCGACGGCAGTGAGCCGCCTTCAGTCAAGGCATCTTCGGCCTTCGTTCCTCGCTCGGGTCCGAAAGCTCATCCAAGCCCTTAGGGCTTGCCGGCTGGGGGAGCGAAAAACCGAGCAGAATTCCCGCTCGAAGCCGCGGGCCGGGACAGGTAGGACGGTTGCTTGTCCTCAATCCCAGCGGCGACCATGGATGGGAGCCGGGAGTTGGCGCAGAACCCTTCTGTCCCCTCAGGGGCCCGCTCCAAATCGAGGTGAGAACCAGTCCACAACAACCCAGGGAGAACACACCGTTTAGGGGCCGGGCTGTACACTCTCGCAAGCCCCGCCACACACCCGCTTTCCATTTCTTCGCTCATCGTCGTCTCTGTGTTGTCCTTCTTCTTCATGCGCGCTCACAACAAAAACTGAAAAAAAGGAACTGGTGGCGGCCAAAAGCTTTATTTGGTACATGCTGCAGAAGGCAGGGGGAAAGCATAAAATCCGTTGAAAATTCGCCTTTTACGCGTCGAGTCTATAAGCACTCAGATATTAAATTTAATTAGTCACTTCTAGAAAAGCGTTAAACTCTCATTTTTTCACATCTGTTGAGTGATGACAAAGGACAAAAAGGAAAAGAATTAAGCGCTCGATTTCGATTCAACGCCACTTGCAACAAAGAGTTAAGCATCGGGGATTTAAAAGTCATAGAAATGTATTTTAGACACCTTGGAGATCTAATAGAAATGTTTCCACAATTCTAAAAAACAGCGAAGGGTATAAAAAGCCGGTAATTGAAAACAATTCTTCCGATATGACTGGCGATAACAGGTGTCGGAGGAAACAAAACAAAGGAGAATTAATTTCTTGTTGATATCGTTACACCCCCAGGGATCTCCTTTCTCGGATTGGAGAACTTTCTTACGATACTTTTTACATTACAAAAATGAGTTCCTCTTCGCTGAAAACGATGTTTTCAATGTTTTCCGTTGACGTAAAAGCTCCCTTCTAAATGATCGACTTAAAGTAATATCAATTGTTATCAATCAAGAAAAGAACAGTAGTTTCCTAAGAACCAAGTTGTTTTTCTTCACTTTCACAATGTTGGACATGTACAACAACTCCAGACGCATAGGCAACCAGACTGCAGCCAAGATTTATTAAAGATTGTAATCTCTTATGGCCAGGAAGTTCGGCCAGATGACCTTGAAAGTTGTTTTACGGAGAAAAGATGTCAAAAGCCATTCCACTCAAGCGCTCTGATTGAATTTAGTCCCGCTTAGGCCGTGCCTCTTCAACAGATGAAAAGTCCCCAGAAAGGATCCAGTCCAATATTCAAACCTGATGACGTCCGTTCGAGAAGCTCGCAAATACAAAATTTATAATTTTACTCAACCCATCCAGGCCCAACTAAATTGATATAAAAAATTGGGGTAATGGGATGAAATCAAAGCAAGAACATGAAGGTTATAACAATAAAAGACAACTCATAATGTTGATCGATCAGATATATTCGTAATAATATATCTGAAAAAATGGATCGCTTTTTCAGCCCGAAAAGATTACGGTAGTCCCTAAAAACACTGAAAACAAACTAACAATTACAGTTATATTAATCATAATATAATACCTCGCATTCTCACAAATCGAAACAATAAATCATATAATTTTTGTTTTGGAAGATGACCAGACATTCAAACCATATTGTTTTTATCTTTTCCAAACCGTATTATCATAAAATTTAAAGGTCAGAATGGGGAAGAGTAGGTCGAAAGAGGGAGAGATTATTGCATATCACACATGTTATGTCATACCAGAATTTAGTCTTCCTTGCAAAGGCGATTACGAGCGATGGAAAAGGATCAAGACTCCGGAGCAAACCCTTCTTCAACTACAAGGTCAATTCAGAAATAAACTCAAGCGCTTAGTACCCTCTCCAGGTTTACTCAATTCAACTCAATTATTTACCTATAGAAGATAGAGACTCTATGAGCTATGAGCAATGACTAAAAATTGATGACTAACATATATAAAACTGAGCCGCGTATATATTTCAGATTTCAGCTTCATGAATAAAATTTTTGATTGAGCCTTTTTAGTATTTAAAGAGTTCATGGTGAGGCTGTCTGTAACCTTTTGTTCCCCATTTCTATATTGTCTCTCCTTACACGCAAACTGCGAACCTCGGGCGCGGGCCGCCACAAGCAGTCAAAACATTTTCGCGCGCGCTCTATTTTTTTTCAACGAGTTTTTGGAAACTTAGCGAGTACTCGAGTCTGTTTCATTGACTATATTGTTTTTATAATAATTGGAATTTACATTTAGAATGCCCGAAATTACGGAGAACGAGGAAAAGGTAAGCTCCGCAGAAACAATTATATCCATTGCAGCAGATCGAGAGACCTTTGAAATCAAAACATCCCCTGCAGCACAAATGGGCGTTTTGGTTTCTAAAAGGCGACCGAACCAGAGATTGGGAAGATTGTTTGAAACAGGTTGTAGTAATTGACAGTGTCGAAGACTTCTGGGGGTACGTTCCGTTGCCACTGATATCATTTCGAATTTAGTTTCTACCTTCGGATTGTTCCGGCTTCTGGTCTCTCCTTTGGAAGTGACTATTATCTCTTCAAAGAGGGCATTAAGCCTATGTGGGAAGACCCCCAAAATGTGAAGGGAGGCCGATGGCTTGTTATTGTGCACAAAGCCCAGAGGGCAACCAAGTTGGATGAACTCTGGTTGGAGATTATGATGGCTATTGTCGGTGAACAATTCGAAGGACACGGGGAATACATTTGCGGAGCTGCTGTCAATGTCAGACAGAAGGGAGACAAGGTAAGACTGCTTTTTTTAATTTTATGTTTTTTAGATCGCTTTGTGGACCTCTGATGCTTCATTAGACGATGTAAACCGACGAATTGGCATGATCTTGAAGAATAAGCTTGGATTAGACGACAACATCAGATATGAAGTTCATAAGGACGCCTCGGCGAGAACTGGTTCGATGGTCCGTCCAAAAATTGTCATCTCCAAAGAGACCAAAGACATTCCCAAGGAGAAGAAGGTCGAGGGAACGCCACCAGCATAATTAATTATTAATCTTTTTCCTAAACCTTTATTACTGGTATTATTTTCTTGTAACGGCTCTTTTGGCGCGATAAAGCGTTTATTATGCATCCAGGAGGGAGTCTAGTTTTCTAATTATTTGATTTATCAGATATTCGCTGACAGGTTCGATCCGGTGTTCGTTTAGACAACCCCATACTCTTAGCGCTTTCAAAGAATTGTAGATCGATTCAGAATTAGCTGCTTCAAGCATTTTGAGATTGGGATCACAAGCCATAACTTGGACCAAATCGCGGATAAACGTGTTGTCTATAACTACAGATTACTATAAGCAAAACACTTACCAGCCACATCTGCACATTTTTCATGACACTCCTTTACATAAGAGGCCACATATTTGAGAGTCATCAGGAAAGGGGTTATCATGTTTTGGTAGAACGACCTTTCGAAGGCACTTTTACCTGCTTTCCAAAAACTAATCGAACTTTTGATGTGATCTTGCATTTTTCCGCACGGCTACAATCATAAAAATGTTATTCCATTCATACCCACACTGCAAATTAACATTTCGTATCGTAAAATTGCACAGATGGCACTCATTCTCTTGGTCAAGATCCCTCCATCTCCATTCTCCGCTGGTTTGTGTTTCAACAGGGCTATAAAGGAATAAAAACCTTAAAACTGATTCACCTGCAACAGAAATTAAACAATAAACAGGTAACAAAGCGTTCTTGTGATAGGCTAGAGTAATAAAAGTTTGATGTGAATCGATGATCTGCACCAATTCTCCTTCAATAACCAGACAATTTTCAAAATATTTGTTGAATTCAATGATGAGATCACGGTAGCTTTTGACGTCTGGAGTCCATCCGAGAATCTCAAAGCCAAGACTTTGAATCTCATTAGATAATCTCTCCATATCAGTCATAATTTCATGAAATTCGACTTTCTTTGTGCGATATTTGCATAAGAATAAGGTGGCTAGAAGACTGGAGAGAAGAATTGGTTGTTGTCGTTGAGCCACTAAAAGGACAACATAAAGTAAAGAACTCTTACTGTAAACAACATTGTATCCCACTGCTCTGACTTTGTTTCGATGGGTTAAACTGTTGTCTGACCAAGGAAGAAGTTCTCTGTATGACTTAGTATTGGAAGCATAATCAAGTTCGGGCATGTCTACCGTCTCCATCCACTTCGTTATTCTTTTCAGTTCTGTCTAAAACAGGAAACTTCTCACGAACAACGTGACCTACACTCAACAAACGTGGTCGCCCAAAATCAATACTGACTACGCCACATGGTTTAGTTCTGCTAAAACTCTCCCAAACTCCTTTGATGACTCCCAGAAAGTTCTCCTGGACCTTTCTGATGCCCATTAATTCATTGTAAAAGACCCCCTCGACCACAGCATCATATGTTATGCTTGTTGGTACAAGATATACATCCTTCAATTCTCCCGAATCAACAGCTTCAAGGACATTGGAGATGAGTCCATTCTTCGGAAGTAAAGATTTCCCCATTCGAGTTCTCGTTCCCTCCAGAAAGAATTCTACACTCATACCGGATTTTAAAAGTTCAATAAGGTAGGTCTTCAAAACTGTTCGATAGAGCTTATCTTTTGTGGATTCATCATTCGGATCCAATCTTCGCCGGATAAAAAACGCTCCGGTATATCTGAGCATCCATCTAAAAGAAACACGATGATTTCATTATTAGCCTTACCCAAATCCATACAAATTCAAGTTGTCGCCAGCCGCCACATGTGGAAATCTTATTCCCCAATGCCAGAGGACCCACGTGATTATCTGATAATCGAGATGACTCCGATGTAATGGAAGATAGACAACTGGGACACCTGACTGAAAGAAGCAAATAAGATATTACGAGTAAAAAGTACCTCATCGGCTTCTTTGACATGTATTAGCTGTTGCGGAGAGACGTATAGCACCTTCATCAATCTCCGGAATACCTTGAACATTAGATATCCAAGAAATCTGGTCCATATCTTTGAATATGCTGCTCTAATGCCATAGTAAAACCCCCACGCTCTTTTAGTGATCACCTTAACACTGATTTCTTCTTCCTGCGCTACCTCTTTGATTACATTTTGGACTCTAAACAAGTAAACAAATAAATAACTTAGACCTACCTATGAGAATTCATGACTTGTGATTGAACTGACGGATAATTGTACGGGATCGAATGATTCCAGACATAACGAAAGTCTGCAAACAATCTGATGTTGCCATCCGAGGTATGTGATCCCACTCCCACGGCGTAAACACTTCCCACATGAGAGATATCCAAGAGATTGAAACGGAAGTTGGTATTCCCGATATCCCGATGGTAAGGGACATACTCGACGTTATTATTCATCGCTCATAGTTGTTTACTTACTGCAAGCTTACTGCAAAACAGTCAACAAGACAGCAGTTTATATTTCAAAATTTTATAAATATTTTTTTATTTGAACGGAATGCCAAAATTATTGTCTTCTTTTTGGAACGAAACTGCAAAAGAAGTTCCGTAATGCGGGAAGATACCGTATACGCACGACTCGGTCTTCCGCCGATGGAAGTGTGAAAAGACTTGAAGGTGGATCAAAATTGGAATACATAAAATAAATTTTTTGAAAACGCGTGGTCTCATTTTTGACAAACTCGAATTATCCGAAAAATTGTGAAATAAAAACATTGAACTCTTACAGAAAACTTCAGTAATGGACCCACTCATTTTTCCCATTTCAAGTCTTCTCGTACGGCCGGTGATCCCAAAATCCGATGAAGAAGTCGACCAGCCACGGACCCATGGATGAAGTTCCCGAAGAATTCAGAGTGAAGTCAAATGATGTGACTGTCTACAAGGACAAACACATTGGTGCGGGAAACTTTGCGGATGTGTTCAAAGGTTTGTTCGGATTCTAAGATAGGTAATATAACTTTAGGGACTTATCATAAGAAAGGAATCAAGAGCTCTGAAGTCGCGGTGAAGGTGATAAGGACAGGTGCTGCCATCACTCCCTTTGGAAAGGAGACAACTCCAGCTTGGCTACAAGAGATTCGGAATGAGGCCATGGTTATGACTCTGTTCGATCATGAGCATCTTATTCAGCTGTTTGGATATTCTGATGTCGAAATGGATGCTGTAAATTACTAATCTGATTTTAAGGCTTTTTAGACTTCTTTCCAACCTCCATTCATTGTTCTCGAATACTGTCAAGGAGGGTCTCTGGATGTTTATTTACAGACAACCAAAAATATATGTGTTGGTGGTAAGGTGACATCGTTAATATGTAATAATAGTGGCCAATTGCAGAAAGGGTGCAGTATCTGAAGGAAGTGGCTTCTGGGATGAAATTTCTGGAGAAAGAGAAGATCGTCCATCGCGATCTGGCCTCGAGGAACGTCCTCATCAACAACTGCGGAGTCCTCAAGATTTCTGATTTTGGGTTAAGCAGATCCCCCAACGTGAAAGAAGTGCCGGATTCAACTCATACACAAGTAAGAAACTTTAGTCATTTGAATAATCAATGATTACACAGATTCCAATACGATGGATGGCTCCGGAGACATTGAAAAGAAGCCCGAACTTTGACAACAAGTCTGATATGTGGGCGTTTGGAGTGTTTATATATGAAATCTTCACTGGAGGAAAGAAACCTTGGCCGAACAAGCCCGTCAAGTGGATCGCCACTCAGATCAGGAAGTATCAGATGCCCAATCTTCCATCAAACGTACCTCGAGCCATCAGGGACATCATCGTTCAGAAGTGCTGGGTCAAGGCTGAGGATCGGTGGACGTTTTCACAGGCAGGTGTAACATTACGTCACAAATATGTTTTGTAATCTTTTAGTTACATTCGGTCTTATGTCTACTACTATGCTCCGTATTTACATCTTCGAAGGTCTCAATGTTTGGATATTTGGAGAAGAAGGGTGTTAGTATCACTTGTAAAGTTAGAGAGAAACAGGAACGATGGGTCAGTGATATTGTGGCCATAGAATGGCTGAATGACGAAAGAGAGCTGCCTAGATATGACACTATTCCGTGTAGACCAGCCGAAGGAAATTGTGGAATTTCGAAGAAATCAAAGTCTTCAAGAGACGGGAAACGGGAACAGGTAAGAAGAACATGAGTTTTAGGGATGCGAGGGGGTATTTCAGCGAATACATCAATCGAAGAAGGATCTGACTAGTCGAGAAGTAACGAAGACCCCAGCCATCAGTACGACTACTAGTCAAGGCAGCAGTGAGGATAGAAACAAAGAATCGGATGACGGAAAGAAACGGAAGGTCAGATCACTGCTTGTATAATACAAACTACTCTTACATTTTGATATTTTGATATTATTTTTTTTCCAGGCGCTCTCAGAGAACAATCGCCGGTCTTCCAACAATCGACAGGCTCGTTAGCCTCCTCCAACCTCTTTCTAAATCTTTGGGGATTATAAATATATTTGGTCCGGCTCAATTAGTGCTTAATATTATATTTATTACCTGACATGTACATTTATTGCACTTACTCTTTTGCTTACTCTTTTCTTTCGCTGGATTAGTGTTAGAGATTGTATTAATGTTTTATTAGGCTGTATTTATTCGTAATCAAGGCCTATTCAACCTCTTGACTGGGCTCTCATCATGCCCGGATATCAGTTGTATCTTCATGTCATGCTGGTAACAGACCTTCCGTCTACGGCTGTCAAGGACTTGGCAGCTATCTTGTTTACACTACTCGCTCTAAATGGCTTGTTGCTGAATTGTTTGTGGGCTTTGATCTTAATCATGGGTCATCGTCACTTCTCTCGCCGTCCCTTCTACATCATCTCTCGACATCTCTTGGTCTGTGATCTCTTATGCATCAGTGGCCAAGTGGTCCTAGCTGTGCCTTTGACCATTATGGATTATCACCATGCTTGGGGTAGGATCAAACTGATATATTAGATGTGTTTAGCTTACAAAAGGACGAATGTGTTCAATGTTTTCTCGACCTTTGAGACTGTTGGCCACATGTCTACTTTAACTTTCGTTTTCCTCCAGTCCCTCAGCCAGATCGCTCCATTTTTGCCCAACCAAAAACAATTAATTTATCATCTCAGCTCCTCGGGCACTGTTATTTGCATGTTTGGATGGATATTCAATATAGGTAAATAATTGCATAGTATTTACTACATATCATGTAAATGTGCAGGTTTAATGGTGGCCATGTACATGACCAAATGCCGGAAGGACTTTGATCTGTTCGACTTCCATTTTTATTTTATTTGCACCGAAGATCGAGAGACCGCTGAATTCATTTGGATGATCTTGAACATTGTGGTAGTTGTAATCATTTCTTCCGCTTACTTTATTTACATCATGGGATTTAAAAACACACGAATACGAATTAGGTGAGGGATTAATCGCTTCTGCAATTAATCTTTATGGGTTTTCATCTACATACATCTCCTAAATTATTATAATTCTAATATCTTCAGAGCTCTAGAAGCCAAAGGATCCTTGAATGAGGACGACAAGAGGGAGTTGATTGAGCTGCGGAAACGTCGTCTCATTATCTTGCAAGGTCTCCTCATCGTAACAATGCTGACCCTCCGAATGACCGCTTATTATGTGTTCGCGCCCATGCTGAAAGGCCTTGACCGTGACGTCCACACGGTGGGAAGTGTGCTCTCGAATTGTGTGGAGATGATCAGCTCCTCCGTCCACCCCTGTATCTACATCAGATTCAATGAGAGAGCTCACAAGTACTTCCTCAAGATCATCTCTTCGATCAAGCCTCAACGGGAAATCGATGAAACCACCGAATTCACCAACGTCGAGATCTCCAGAATGGACAAATAATCGGGATACCCCGCTGTAATTAGGTTAGAGATAACGACCAAAACAGGATTCCAAATAAATTTGTTTTATTTCTCTTGCAGTTAGAATTCTAAAGAAAACAAACGAGAAACCCGTATATAACACTCATACACTTACACTTGCATCTTCTGTGTTTGGTTATTCTTTTTGCGGGTTTTAAAGCTCAGAAATATATCCATGGGGTACTGTAAAGAGTACGGTGCATAAGATACGACAGTAAGGCCGGAAGAGACCAAAGATCATAGCAATGTAGAATATACAGAAGATACGACAAGAAAAGAATGTTTGGTATTTGGTTAAAAGAGAGATAAATATTCCGATGGAAGAAGAGCTGATCCATCGACCGGTCGATTGAGATTATCCCAAGACATTCTCTTTGACTTGGCCGTACGGTAAGGGGACGTCGAAGATGATGGGCGGATAGATCGTGTTAAGTTTGTGGTCACAAATAGAGGCATTAATGAAGGTCGTCTTGCCATTGGTGGTCGCTCCATGTCGTTGATGAACATGTCCGAATACATGGTACTTTGGTTTGACTCGATATTCAACTGTATTCAACAATTCGGCACATCCAGCCAAGATTCCATCCAATTTATTCCAGGCATTGAAATCACCATGACCTGAAATACATACGATCTTGATTACGCAACAGATACAGTAATTTTTGAAAAGAATTTGGAAAAAATATGTTTTGATCGTAACTGTCAAAATAAATAGTGCAAGAAGAGAAAGAACTGACCGAGAGGAGGGGTGTGGGTGATGAGGACATCCACCTTGCTCGGTATTCTGTCCCATTTCTGGAGAAGTGCAGCGCCCCGATCTCTGAAGAAGGAATATCCGGGCATTGGATGCCAAGGGGTGCCATAGATCTTGAGGCCGTATAGCTGAAAGCATTTTGTAATTTTACTCTTTACCCACCTCGATCTGTCTGTCACAAAGATAAGTGCAATTAGTCAAAAGTTCGTAGGCCTTGTTGATCCCCAACATATTCAAGCCGGCCAGTTGTTGGACCGTCATTTCTTCGCCATCTTCAAAGCCAAGTTCATGGTTTCCAGCGATGACGATCTTATGTTTATGAGGCAACATTCCCATGGCCTGATTGAAGTTGATCACTTCACTCACATCTCCGTAATTCGTGAAGTCTCCAGCATGAATAAGGACGTCTCCGTCAGGGACAACGTCCACAATCTCGTCCAGTTTACCATGGGTATCCGAGATACACACAAATCGGACCTTGTTCTCGTTGATTGGAGCATTTAATCTAAGGATTAATGGTTACTTAGACAACCTGAAGCTTTGTTTGCTCCGCTCTTTGTTCCAGATACTTTAAAAACGGAATTAAAGAAAGGAATTTGAAGTATTATGACGGCATTTCTAGTTTATGGCGATCTAATTGGATGACATGTGATGGGATCCCGGGGCGTCAGGAGAAGACCGGGCTCCAATAACAGCAACCGGTTCCTCGGATAAACATTTTATTTACCATGAGTAATCTCAAGAACTAGATCAAAAGAACAGAGTTCAGTTTAATCATCCCCGTGAAGGCATCTGTCATCATCTTGATGGCATTGCTTTATATTAAACTATATTAAAACTATATTAATTTACTCACCTTAATGTCTTCACGGGCTCGCTGACTCTGCCTTGTCGCAAATACCGTTTCCAGAGCTCGATGGGCTTGGCAGTCAAGGGGTCGGGACGGATGATCCCATTCTCGAACATGGCCGACGGCTACAGTAATCCCTTCTGGAATCAGGAATCAGTGTATTTCCCAGAACCGAAAAGCCGCGTTCTGACCGCGAAGTTGGAAGGGGGACGGGAAAGGCGGGGGTTGAAGGATTCCAGAAGGAGAGCTGACAGAAGCATTCAATTCAAAGGAAAGAATCCCAGTCAGCGGGCGATCCAGGAAATCAATGAGGCTTCAGACAACGGGACATAATTATGCGTGAAATATGAATTCTGAATATTCTGGAGCCGCCGGAGGGAGGGTTGATGGTAATGAAAATCTTCGCAAAATTATTCTACAACCCCTACATTATCCGTACAAGGGCCGTGACCTTATTCAGGTGATCAATGAACGACGGAGGGCGAGGAAAAATGAAACCGGGGGAAGAAAGGAGTAATCGACTGCTGTAATACAGGTCCGGGTCAGGTCATGAAGCAGAAAAAAGTGATAAAACAAAATTCGTCTAAGACATGACGTCATCCTCTCTCGAAGGTCATGTGGGTACAAGTTTCTTTCTGCAATTAACAAACAATAACCATCGAAATGATTGGTCCGACATCAATGCCTGACATCAATTAAAGGAACATTCCTTCCAAAACCCAACTAAAAAGCGGAAAGTTTAATAAAAAGTAGGCCATTTACATCTGCCATCTCCGACTCTTCGGCGGATGGGCTCGCGTTTTGGGCAGCTCTCAGATCAGGCGACCCCCAAACGCCGAAATCCTTTTTTCCCACAACAAAGTAGTGTACATGTTTTGAATAAAAACTCTCGAGGTCATCCGACTCGAACTAAGGCGTCTTAGCGCCATACCCCAAAACTGTGAGGGGGATCTCTACGCCGCGAGTGAACCAATTCTGAGGCAAACCGACGCCTTCAAGGCGGGCTAGTCTGATCTTATCGTGCAGTTATGCTGGCCGAAAACGGAATTCCGCGGGTTATGTCGCGCTGATGTTTATCTGAACCCTTTTTTCGCCTTATGAAAGACGTCTTTTCCTCCCCCATCTCTCGCTGGACTAATGGCCCTACAGTCCAGAGAACTGGCCTTGAACAATCGACAACAACCCTCTCCATAATCGCCGCCAATTCATGCAACCACGGCGTACTGTAATGTGCAAGTATTATTATATTTTTTGGTTGGAAGAGAAGAATAAGTTTTGAAGAAGACCGGCTCCTCCTCATCCCCGCCACAACAACCTCCCGCGACAATAACATAATTACTAAAAGTAGCGACAAAAACTGACATCGAGTGGAGTCACTACAAGATGGGTCTGCATTAAATAGGGTTGCAGGATTTGGCCAGAACGATCCGAGAACAATTACAGCGTGGAGAAGGGCCTCCTGACAAGGATGTTCACCTTTCCGCGGCTCTTATCTCATCTCGGATATCTTTATTTACGCTCCGCCAATTCTTCCAGAGATCGCTTCTGACTTCAGGAAGCAGCCAGGATTTCTTTATTAGTAATAACACTTCCTGACACAATTCGAAAGCAGATTGCACAACAAGTTACATTACGAGAAGATAAAAGATGGGTTCCACTAATAATAAGGGGTTACTTCTTTCCAAACATACTCCCATATCCTCCTCCATAAGGCATTCCCATGCCCATTCCCATGCCACCCATACTGCCATAGCCCCCTCCGGGCATTCCGTAGCCTCCGCCACCGAAGCCAGGGTACCCTCCCATGCCTCCATAGCCTCCCATCATCATCCTGTTCATTCCCATCATTCCTGTAAGATCTGAACATTAAATTCTCCAAGTAGAAGACGACTAACACTATCGCGATAAAAGCCTCAATTACAAGGTATTATCCCTGGATTTGCAAAAAACCTGAGCCTTTGAACTACAAACTTAATGACTTACCAAATTGCGCAACCACAGTATCACTGAATACAATCGAAATAACAAGAAAGAGCACATTCATCTCGAAAAAACCAGAAGATTTATTAATAATCCTTTCTTATATACTTCGAATACAACACAAATAAACGCAAATGCCCTTCAAGTCGGCAAAAGGACTTAAAATCTGAAGATATCCGGCATTCCGTGGTCGGGCTGACAGATAACCGGTCGATTCTTTTTTGTATTTCTTCCATGTTTGTACCCGGACCGAGTCACTTCAACCCTTCGTATCTTTTTCATTTAGCTCTGATCATCTGCACGTTCATCTTCTTGGGTACTCTTATTCCTGAATGTTGTAAGAAGAAGATTAATTCCAAGAAATCAACACAAAAGGTCTTTCCCACAGATACGAATGTTGCTAAAAACAGTAAAATAGACAGTGGAGATGTCTTGGAGTCCAAAGAAAAAGATAAAACTAATCCATCTAAAGAACAGGTAATTTACAAACGGGGTACTGTAATTCTGATGACTATTTCAGACAAAACGAGAAGAATCGAAGAGCACGACCAAAAATATAGACAAGGAAGACAACAAGAAAAGTGCCAAGCTTGAGGTGTCTGCGGCAAGAAACGAGGATGTAAAGTTTTAATAATTTTTATTATTATATCCGATTAAGCAATTTATTAATCCAAGTCCATATGAATTATTAGACTTTTTAACACCGATTGATATCAACAAATCGTACTTTCAGGATTCTTGCAAGGCTGATCCTCAACATTCTGATCCCGTAATTGAGGACAAAATGTCGAACAAGTCAGAAGCCAAACAGCCCCAGAGTCAGGACCAGGCCGATCCATCCAATAACCCGTGAAATCAAATAAATTTAAATTGGATTTGATTATTTGAGACTTTGGGAACAGGTGCCATCGTATCTTGTCTTCGCATTAGATCGCTGTGTTCTCCTTTGCATATTCCGACATTGGCCAACATTTGACTCTTTGTGGTCGGGCCGAAGTCGGGTGATCGATTGGTCAGACTGGCCCTTCTTTTGTCTGTTTCGTAACCCGGCTTAAATATTGGTCTTTGTGTGGTACAGAAAACTCAAAAAAGCTGTTTTTGGTTGTCTTTTCAAAATTTCCGCGATAATTGCAATTTGTCTTGCCATTACATATGACGGTACTTTTTCAATACATCGTGAAAAAAAATTATGACATGATTTGTGAATTCACTGTTCATTCTCATTACCCTCGCCGAACAAGCAACTTCTTCAAAAATATCCCGTTGTAGAATTTCGACGTTTTGACCCGTCATGTTCCAAATTTGGGTTCCCTTTGCCCTCGCTCCTCGTTTGCAACCTATTTTCTTCGAACAGCCAAGGAGGGATGAGTAACGCCTTGAGGGCATGCGTCCAGCTTTAAGAGAGGAACGGGAGCAGAGATCGGGCGTGTCAAGACAAATTGGCAGCCGATTTGGACACTGGTCAGTGCTAAGGCAATTGGCTGGCAGATTTCAGATCACCCGGACTTTGTTTGCCCTCCGGGTCGACCAGTTTTTTGGGGTTTATCGCGCCTAATTGAAACGACCTTAAGCCCGGACGGGGGTTCCTTCTCCAGAATCCTGTTCGTCTTGTACGCCATCTCTAATCTCGACTTCGAATTTAGGCTAAAGGGGGCTTTGTTTTAATTACCAACAAAAAAGATTGGATTAGATGTTTATGACCCCAATGTTTTCTTTATTACCGCCAGCTGGACGGGAATGGGTTTACGAATCGGGCCGCATATAATTTTATATGAGACCTCTAATCAAGCTGTTATCAGAGTTCGGCATTCGAAGGGCAAACCTTCTTGGCAATACCGGTATCTGAAAAGTTTCCTCGTAAAGCGAATACTTGAAGGGTCACGGGTTTATTAGGCAAATAAACAACCTGCGTTGTGATAATCGTGCAACTTTTTCTTTTTATATCAATGTTGACTTGTTGCTCCGCGTTTGTAATTACTTTCAATAATCATTTCTTTTATTTACCGGAGTCCATCTTCTTTTCATACGTTTGAATTTTGTTTTTCTTGACAGGTTTCCTCGCCCATCACTTCCAAAAAACAAAAAAATCTCATTTCGATTATTTTTTGGTCGAAAACGCATGTTTTGGACGAAGAATGAGACGGTCATTATAAAGGCCAGCCTCAATGCATAGCCCAACATCGCTCTAGCTCTCTTCGAATTCCCTCGACCAACTGAGAGAGTCAAGCGACAGATATGAGAGCGATGGAGTCGAACTCGGGACCTTTCATTTCTATTTGTAACCCACTTCCACTATACTATACGCTCCTTTAACTAACCGTCTTTCGTTTCTGTCCGCCTTTGCGAGCAATAAAATCAAATTGTGGGCCCTAAAAATGTCACGGAAAAGATACGGTAGATGGGTTCTAAAATTCATGAATTTTTTTATTCGAAAGAACGGTTGCGCAACTGCAAAATTATTTTCGCTTAAGAATGTTGTCCTTTTAAAAAAGACCAAAAGTATACGGAAAAACGGACGCTTCGCACCTAAAAGTGGGTTTGATGCGCTTGTTATAAAGTCCCTTTGCTGTCATAAACCGCTCTTTTTTTGATTTCGAAATTTCGTTTCCTGCTGATTAGAAGAGCGTTCGTGTTTTATTAGATAGTCAAGGTTAGGCCGCTTTTCTGCAGCACTTCCCGACCTCAGGGCTCTTCCAAACGCGCACACTGATAAGGATCCCTCGTTGTCTGTGCTCCCGATCAGCCACGCTCTTTTCTGAAGGTTGAAAAGGGAATTTCAGCGTCGATTTCTAAAACACAAGGCTCCTGAGGAGAGGGGAAGTGCGCCCTGATTATGGCGGCCTTTTCTTTCGTTTTGCCCGCTTGTTCCAATCGAGAATAGCCACCGATCGACTAGCCAAGATCCTCGTAATCCACTTGCTCTCTCGGTTTGTGGTCAGCCAAGGGCACTCGGACAACGGGCGGGAGAGACGTGGGATCACTCCCCGCTGAACACGGGCGGTCTTTCGGGCCTGTCAGTCGTTTTTGGATAAAATCCGATTCTGGGATTTCCATCACTTTTGGCGAGCTTTTAATTTTTTTGTGCGGGGAATGGAAAAGTTTAAATTTACGACTTTTTTACGAGAAAATCTCTGACTCCGCGTTCCGAGGCGGACGGCGGGCAGGCAGGGGACGGCGTTGCGCTGACCCTGAGAGAAGCCGCGAAAACGCCGGAACGCCGTGCCAAGGACGGTAGCAAATGTTCGGGTCAGGGGGGAAGGGAGCGGGGGTGATGACTCCAGATCAACATCGGGGTTTCCATTTCCCTAGAGTTTTATTAAGCGGTCTTCCGATGCCTGAGCAGTTGCTTACATTCCGGAGTATGCGCTTTGAGTAACTTAAATCATTGCTCCCAAGAAAGGCCGGTGTTCCCGCTATCGTTTCTGGAATCGGAGTTCTCTCCTTCTGATTGATAGTTAGCGGGCCATTCAGCCAGAATATTCCTTTTCCTTTATTGGAGTCAACTTCTTTTTACAATTGTTTTTGATATTTTCTTCTTCAAGACTTTTTTGCAGTTTTTTTATTGACGGAAGGGTTTGTGAAGCCCGTCAACACCTGCCCTCTCACTTCTGTTGGAAGACGTTTCTTCTTTTGTTTTGTCATTTTCCTTTTTTGCAACCGATCTGCTTGATTAGCATACCATCAGGCCAACTACTTGTGCCGTTTCCAATCTTGCTTTGGTTTGTTTTTTTATATTATTTAGAATGCGACCTTCGAATCGCGCCAAAAAGAAGAGGTGTAATAATTATTAACTTTGATTTGCAGGGAGCGAGATTTCATTGGTCAAAAGAAGGGGATCGAACACATAAATCGTGCTCGATTTCTCGCCCAAACATGGTGATCTTGTGCTCTGAAATCTGAGCAGAGAACCGCAGCCCTTTTGACCCGAACTCTTCCAATCGTCATTCTCTCACGTCAGGGAAAACCTAAATCGGCATTTGTTTTACAACCATACAGTAATCTTTGAGTGAAATCCACAGAAATTGTGGAGCTCTGAAGTCGCTGTAGTCACGCAACATCAGTATCTATCATCATGTCAGATCAGGAGGAGAACGTTTTCGAACAGTCGATGAACAGCAAGTACAGTGACTGGACGGCCGTGTTCGACCCCAACGAAGTGGACTCATATCGGCTTCATTGGGACGAATCCGTGACCTTTCGAAGCCGACAAAATTCCGGAGAGCGGTCGAGTGATTGGGAAAGCGATATGGACGAAGCGGTGAGTTGTCGCTCTCACTCCCGACCTGATCTCGAGAGCCCCCTAAAATGGCAGCCCCGATATTTTGTCGCCATTATTTTACACATGGCATTCTTTTTTTTTCCTCGGCTCATTTATTTTATTTATGTGTATGTTCGGTTTTCCAGAGAGTCCACAACCAGATCCTCGACCTTTTCAATCAACTCTTCAAGGAATTATTGGAGGATATACGACGAGCCGAAGATGATTCGGACGTAGGCCAGGTTTGTTCAAAACTCGATTTTTATGTTTATCAACAGTGCGCGGCTGTTAAAAGCTCGCGAAACGGGGAAACTTTATTTACTCATGGACTTGGCCCGGCCAAAACCCCGCAAACTACTTTAATAATCTTGCGTAACGGCTGAGAAGAACATGGTTTTTGGAGCTTATAACCGGCTCCATAAGTGTTTACTCAAGTCGAGAGCTGCAGCCGCGACTTCTTTCTCCAAGAAAGGGGCCTGAGGGCAACAAGACCTGAGGATTTATGGCCTTTAAGGTCAGTGCGTCGTTTGATTAATTTGGACGGACCTCTGATGGACTGCCTCGGCTGAGAAATTGCCGTTGTTTCATCCTGAAAAGACCTTGAGAACGACTTTATTTCGCCCCATTTGTTGGCGAGTATTGAGTTATCAAGATGGGGAGGTTCGCATCCGAATGGAGTGCAGATTTCCCTGGGAGTTTTATGTACCAAATGCGCGTTTCTGGCCACATTGGCCGTTTCTTGACCATTCGGCCATTGTGTTTACGCAAGATTTGCCGCCGCTCGGAGGGGAGCCTCTTCATTATGTTCTCCCTAATTTGGGTCGTGTTCGAGTAGCCATCTATTCTATGTGTTCCGTAGTCTAAAATACCCTCGGGCTTTTGAATTTATGATATTACTATAAATCCATATGAGGTTATGTAATTCTGACCCCAGTTACAAGGATATCTTGATACTTCGTGTTCGATTTCCCATTAATCTTTCCCTGCGGCGATTTGGCCTTGTAAAAGTCACAAGTGAATCTAATGGTATCAGCTGTTGTGATTTTTATGTGGTAAACATTGGATTGGCGGGATGATTTTGCGTTTTTATAATGTGAATGCTTCACGGCAAATCTTGCGTGAACACTACAGAATGTCCATAAAAATGGCCGTTTCTGAGTCAGGTTTTCACTTTCCGTCGCGCATTCAATCCCTTCGAGTGCGTTTTACGTCTCGTTTACATATGCAAATTTATGAGCGCAAATAGATAGGAAAAAGACCGCATGAACGGCTTAAAAACGCCGGGAATGTGTGGCCGGTGATCTGTCAGAAAGGATTAAAGTTCCTTTACCGGTACCCCCGATACCCATACGAAATGTTTTGAGTCGTAAAATCAACTATAAAATCTCCTCAACTTTATTTTTATTTTACGTCTTCTTTACGGCCTCAGGGTTTACCTTTTTTTTATGCTCATTTTAGGAAGTCGTCTTGAATGATTTGTTGGAACGCCAAGTAATTCTACAAGCTAACGGAGATCGGCTTACCGAAATGGCTGCCGAACTCAATGATTATGTCCAGAGTAAAGTCTCCACGATTCATATCCATATGGAGAGATTGAAATTGAAACAGGAACCCAGCACCAAATTTGGTTAGTAGTACTGCATGATTACTGTAGAATATATTTTAAGTAGTTATAATAATGCTTTTTAGTAATCAAAATACTATTGGTGACATTTCAGCATTTCGCGATAATTCGGCCGCTTCCCATCTCCGTAAATGGCTTCAGAACAGTGAGCTGACCTTGGAGAAGATAAAGGAAGACACTTTTCTCCTCTGCAATTCCCAACCTGACCTTCAACGCCTCCGGGCAACTCTTCAAGTAAATCTATTCTAATTATATTTTGTCAGAGATCTCTCGTCCCTATATGCAAATATCTGAACGCTTGTCTTGACTTCGCCAGAAGACCTTGATCTTGACTTTACAGCCGCCCCTTCCTTAGGGGGCCGCCTGATCTGTCAGTCTTAATCTCCTAATCTCCCAATGCAAAGCGTGCGGTTAATCCAAAAATGACCTTAAGAGAAGCTAATTATGAACCCCAATTATTGGTTCTCGGTTTACTTTGACTGTTCGAACAATGCTCTTTTGGTTTAGTTGCTTTTCCCTACTTTCATACAATGAACACGTGTTAATCCCCAGTTTTCTCAAAAACTTCAGAACGGACCCTCAAGGGCCGTTATTAGAGAACGCCCAACGATAAGATCGGGTGTTCCTAACGGTTTCAAAAACGCCTTTTCGATATTTCCGTCGGACCCCCAGCATGATGACTGAACTGTTCGTGAATATGAGTTCGATTTATGCGTGAAAGAATGCAATCGGGCTCTTCCAGAGATTTTGCGAGCAGGGGAATCGCCCATACATCATTTTTGACATTTTTTTATTTTTTAGTATCTGGATGACCAATAATTCTGGGTTTTTTGAAGGAAAAGAGTTCTAAAACTGTCGCTATATTTCTTGTTTCTTTGGACGGTAGACTGAAATTGCATGCGTCACTCATCTTTCCCTTTCTAAACTGTTTTTTATGCCAAGAATGGTAGTACTGTAAAGCTTCTTGGAATCGAGAAGAAGTGCAGATAATGCTGGTCATTCCAGACGAGATAGATAATGCGTTTATATTGCACTTGTTCTTTTCCCAAAGAACGTATCATATAAGCCACTAATCAACCCGTCACCCCCACTTATTGACAAAAACATTCCCCTTTACAAGCACGGTTTTATTAGCTTTCTGAATTTGCAAGGAAGCGTGTGATCACCAGCCGTTTTTCTCTCCCGTCGCTCTTATCAACACTTTCCATTTTTGCGAAAATTGTTTTAAATAATCGATTCGGGGACATCTGGGCCCGGATCCGGAGTCAGTGGCGCCAGATGACTTGCTTCCGTGTCTCTAGAGTGCCCCAAAAGTCGGTCCTTTTTTGTAGTGCCGCTTCCATTGTCTGCCCAGATTCTGATCTCACAAAGATTTTTTGTGCGAACGGTTACCCGCATTCAAATCTTACTCCTTCTTTACTTTCAGACCCTCCAACTTGAGATCGACACCGAAGGTCGTCATTTATTGCGGGCGGCGAAAAGACATCTGACTAACAGGTAAGAACGGTAATTTCAAAAGATTTTAACGGATTTGATTACTTCTGAGTCCCATTCCTTTCAGAGCTCTCGAACCCACAGCTGACGGTTTAAAAGTGCAGAAAGTACAAAGGAATCTTGAATCCCTGGAACAACGCTGGCTGAAGCTGTACCTCGGAGGAGTTGAGCAGATCGAGAGAATTAATAATCTCGCTCAAAGGTTTGAGGTAATTACTATTATTTCTTACTCATCCGAGGTCATGCCTTTTTGGGAAACGTATCCGGGAATTTGGATATTCCCTCCTGGAATACTAGAATTTGATTTCAAGTCCTTTTTATGCAAAACCAGGGAAAGAGGGGGTTTGCGCAACCCAGAAAAGCCGATGCGAAAGTATTCGAATTCCATGCGCACAAATATTTTAATAACCTTTTTCCCGACGACCGCAAAGGGAGGGAGTGTACGTGCATTATCGACACAGGATGACCTTCTGCGCAATGTGATTTGTCCAGCGGGAATTTGCAGAGGGCCCCCATTAACACCCGATGGGGCCGATTGCATCTTCATCCGGACATCCGGCGACATGTCGAGATGTGGTCGTGTTGTCGCTCTGGAAACGGGCCGACAGCTGTCTTGATCCGATCAGTCCTTCCCACCTGCAATGGCCCCGCCAAGTGCTTGGCTGACCGCCACAGGCAATCTTCTTATTATTTATAGCCGAACACACGGTTATTCTTTTGTGGCTCTTCCCGTTTAATCGAGGTTCTATTTCCTGTGGCAACAGGTGCGATACAAAATTTATTTTTCGCGCCACTTCCCCCTTCCCATCGGCAATTCCAAATTAAAGGCTATAAAAGCGCGACGAATGTCCTTGTTTTGGAACCGCAGATCTCGCCTGTTTGTGAAGTCCTCTTGTATTCAGAGTAATTCAGGCTAAGCTCGACCTTATAAAAACAGAGCGCGTTTTTTGTGTTTGATCAGCTCTCGGCCACGGTTAATCTTAAAGTGACCCCATCAAGTTGTTGGGGGAGCCCATTCCCCGATCACCGCCCCTTTATATCAAATTTCGCTCCGTATTGTACCCAAAGCCTGAATAATTGCGGGGAGAGGACGGAGTCGGATCGTCATCCAGTCTTCATGGGATTTTTAGAAATCTTTCATCCCCACTTCCCTCGCGCCCCTCTAATGACAACTCCGGCGCCATGTATTACGAATCCTTTCTAATGGGTCGCATGGTTTCAGAGTGACGACCAGAACGGTTCGGACCTTGAATCGGTGGGGAGTCTGGAGCCAGCCCGCAAACGAGCCCGGCCCTCGACCTTCTCGGACACTGAGAGTTTTGGCGACGACGAGGACACCATTCCCTTCGCTTCAGAAGAATATCGACGAATACCCACCAGTCACATGACAAGTACCGAGAAGTAAGTGAACAGCTGCATTTTTTATTCCATCAATTTGTCATCATGTTATGCCTTAGAGAGATCAGTGGTACATCTGTTATCTCAACATTCGCAAAGATTCCGTTTTGTTTCCAGTGATTGACATCTTTTGATATACCAATAATATCATCCTTTAGCATTGGCTCGGATCTGGACAATTCAACTGACAAGGGCTCAAACAAAAGCGAACGAGAGGATGGCTGGTCTTCCTCGAAGACACAGGATGTCGGCTATTCCAGTGGAGAGAACTCTTTGCACGAAGCTTTGAACCACATTGACAGGTATGGAGGCGGAATTGCACCATCTATCATAACGGGAAAACGGCTCCATACGATGCAATGTTTTTTCTCCCTCATTCAAAGTTTAGGGCCCATGACGCATTTTCTTGACTCATGGCCGGGGAAAGAAGGCTGAATATTTCGAATCAAGAGCTCGGGATTGTCCACCATGCTCGCGCTCACCTACCTATTTGTTTGTCTAAGCTGCTTCCCGATTGACCGAACCCCGGGTTTTTAAGCGTATCCATTTCAATAATTTTAATGCTGTTATTTCAGTTCTCCAACGAAGGATTGGATGAGCAGTCAAAGCTTGGTTAGTAGTTACTACAAGACTGTTCCCTTGGATGATGCTGGAGTTACGGACAATGAAACCCCGAGGCTGCCCGTTCCTGGGATCTCTATTAATCTCCCTGAAGACGAAATGACCTCTTCCATGATTGTAAATTTTGATTCCATTCACAATTCCACCATCGATACTTTCGATGATTACAAAGAGGTCATGAGTATGTTGGATGAGAAGTACAATAACGTTGACCCTACTCGAATGGGAACTAACTGGAAAGAACTAAAATCAAATACTAAGAGGCTATCTGCTCCTTCAAGACCTCAAATCAGACATAGTTTTGTGTCAGAGTCCGGAAGAGTAAGTATTTCTTAGGATGTAAATAATATATGCAACAAACATATTGCGCAATATTATATCTTGTTTTAGATGTCTTGTGATGCTAGTTCTGAAGACTCAGACGTTCATATGCCTCAGCAAATGAGTGAATCATTCAGTGGATGGTCTTCCCAGGCCCTAAAGGCATCAACTCCACAAACATCGTCTATCAGAAAGCGAAGATACCAAAGAAACAGTGCCTCTAAACATAGCGAATCTCTTCATAATTCGTTCATTGCTTGTGGTAAAATGGTGAGAATTTTTAAATTCAGTTTGGATTATCAGTCTGCCGGGAAAATAGAGGAGGGTCGTCGCAGATCGCAAATGTTTCACCTCTTCGAAAAAAGGGTGCAGTCGCGCACCAAATTTCCAGATGCGGCAAGCCGTCGCAAAGCGGTGATCGGCGTTTACAAAGCGCGACGATCCGCCACTATTTTCCCGACAGACTGATATTATTCGCATGAAATTAATCATGCAACACGATCTTTTGTAGGATCAATCCATATATGAATTCACCACCCCCGAGTTCATGAGTCAATCGCTAAATCTATCCACTAGAGCTCTGAATAATCGCCGTCGCTTCCTGAAACGTCGAGTGCATCGAAGCGCTTCAGAAAACACTAATCTTCTAGGAGGTAGGCACCGTAATCAAAAATAAACATACACTTGTTTAGATGAAAAAACAAGTGTTCAACGAAGAGATTCCCTCAACAGTAACTCCTCAGGCATCACTTTCCAAGACTCTGGAGACGCGCATTTCGAATGGGATGACTACAGAGTAAGTATAACATCTGCTTAGTGTCTGAGACGACTCTGAACACTTAACTTTCGACCCTTTGATTTAATTAATCCGGTCATATTCACCGCCATTCCCTCCACTCCCGTCGGCAGTTTATTTAAAAGTCCCCGATATAAACGATTCGCACTCCCTTTCGCCTTTCCAACTTTTTTTTCACTGTAGTCTTACTACGAACAAACAGTTGAGTTCTTCGTTTGTAAAAAAAGCTGAGGGGGGGGGGAGGTTGCGCATTTTTTGTTTTCGCGTGAGTGTCAGCAGAGTCGTTGTTTTCGATGTTTTCCAAAGAGAAATAAAAGCCGCGAAGAGGCCCGGCTCTCTCTGGGTTCGGCCGTCCTTCCTCTGGATTTATTGCCATGACGCGTTGTTTTCTGTTGCCCTCTGAGCACAAAAACCCTATTTCTTCACTTTTTTCAAGCGTTTGACTCGAACGTTGTATCATTCCAACGCTTTGAGGTTGAGGCTCCTGTTCAGGATTTAAAAGTTTTTCTATTTAAATCGGAACAGCCATAATACTCAAAGCTAACGTACAACAATTCCGCTCTTTTGATTATAGACACAGGAAATAGTCGTGGTCTTTTTTGGAAAATATGCAAAGTAAGAGCGCTTTCCGTGCAAACCCCAATGGGGTTTCGAACAAGCTCGAAAACGCCTTTACTCGTTTATTAAAATTATTAGACCAACACCCCTTGTTTTTGATAATACATCGAAAAGAAACTTTCTTATTACTGTTTTGTTTTCCACAACACTTCATAAAACATTATTATCCGCTATGCCGACCGATCGTTCCAATCGATCATTCAGTCAATACTTTCTAACGACCTTCCCTTACTCTTATCTTCACATCGATTTCAGGACGAATCGGTGGTTTCCCATGACCTAGAACAGTCGACCAACTTCAGTCTGGACCTGAGCTCGCCCCTTTTGGCCCCATTAATGGTGGACGACGATTTCCAAACGGAATTGCCGTTGATGGACACCGCCGAACAGAGCGGAATCGCAACCTTCCTTCAGCAATCAATAAACGCCTTAAAAGAGGCTCGCCTCACACTCGAGAGCGATAAAGAGGGCGGGAAGGTAAAGGTAAGCAAGAAACCCTCAGGAAAGACGGCCTTCCCTCTTTTCAGAATGTCGCCCGAATCGCTGCGGAACATCTAAAGAGTATCCGTTCCTTGATGACCGGGTCAGTCACTTTGGATCCGGTGAGTTTTTCTTTACTTTTGAGTCGGCTTTAGATCGCGCGTCTAATAATCCCCTCTACTTACGAAGAAATTTTTTCCTCGCAAAGTCTAACATTAGATTTGAATATAACGCAAAATTGTAGGGTAAAAAATGGCTGTGGGGAAATTGGACGGATTTTTAACGCGAAATAGAAGTATGCAGGGCCCGCCCAATTTCCTTCCGTCCAATTCCCCACAGCCTAAATAATTGGGCTTCATGGAAATTGGACAGAGTGAAACTCGACAGAAATAAATTGGACAAAGTTTGGAGATTGGACAGGACAAAATTAGACAGAGTGAAATTGGACTGAAATCGTACGAAATGTCACTATTGAATCATAAACTATTTTTTGCAGTGGAAAAATCTGTCCAATTTCCATGAAGCCCCAATATTGGTCTTTAAAAAAATCTCCATTAATCTAACAAGGGAAGTACCCCAAGTGCGACGCTCAGATTTTCTTTAAATTTTGCACACACGTCGGGCATGGACTAAGTATCAATTCCTGAAAGTTTTAGCTCGCGCTTTGCAAGCGCCGCCGAGATATTGGACGATCTTTGCCGTCGAGAGAGCATGCTAACCGCGGAGAGCGGTCAGAGAGAAAAACACTTTTTGGCCATAACTTCGCTAGTTTCGTACGGAAAAAATTCATTTCTTGTGGAAGCATTACCCATTACAATAGGAATAAGCATGAAACTTTTCGTGTCGAAATTCTGCAAAAAGTGTCAAATTTTCGCCGACTTTCGGACTAAAAATCTCGGTTGTTTCTGCAAAGCGCGAGCTAAGATTCTCGCATATATCTTAGAAAAAACTATTCTAAATTTGTGCCAAGTTTCATCGAAATCTGAGCGTCGCACTTGGGGTACTTCCCCTGTAAAATAGACTCTATAAAACGCGTCGTAGATGACATATTTTCTGAGACACAAGAGTACGCCGTTTCCGGTTTGTGTTTCACTCAATTATTTAGAATTTTATTGCTTTGGGGTCGGGATTGATTTATTCTGATCGCCTTTTATTTTTTTCACAAACCTTTTTTTACATAGTTTTACAAGGAAAGTACTTTTATGGGGGCTCCTACATTTTGGCGGGACATATCTCAAAAAATCAGAAAAAATGTGCTGATCAAGGATATATAAATCTTAGCTGCCCATTTTAGGCTTTTAGGGGTGAAAACTCAATCGGAAGTTGACTTAAAGTCCTATATAAACCCCTTTTCGCTTAATTTTTCACATGTTTACAATTTTTATTTTGGCTTAAAATGATGTTTATTGAGTTTCTAAGACGTAATAAATCAATCTTGGCCCAAAAATTTATTTTTCCGACCTTCAACTTCAAAAAAAGTTGTTTCAGCCCAAAAGGGAAATCGAACCCGTGCGGCGTTCCCCCTCTTGATTCCCAGACTACGGCCCTAGCCACTCGGCCACACCGCTCTCTTCCGAAGGAAGAGACCGACTGCGCTTTTTATCGTTTCGAATGCCTGTACCTTTTGTAGGGAAAATAAGCCAGTTTTTGGGCATTTTCACCTATAAAAACCTAAAATGGGCAGCTAAGATTTATATATCCTTGATCAGCGCATTTTTTCTGATTTTTTGAGATATGTCCCGTCAAAAAGTAGGAGCCCCCATAAAAGTACTTTCCTTGTTAAAAAAAGTCACAAAGACAGTATTTTGGGAATCGAGTGACTGATTTTATAGATTTGTCAAAAAGATATAAATTGAAATCCAGGGTTGCTCTAGTTTCGATGGTTGTTTTGTATAGAATTGTGTATTTGGTAAGCTTCTGATCGTCTTCCCTTTTGAGAAATGTTTTCCCCTTATCTTTTGATGGTCGATTGCCCTTGGTTCGTCTATTTTCTGCTTAGCTGGGCTTGAAATCGTCTGTTCTTATCGTTTCTCAACTCTATTTGAATATTTCAGAGTGGCGCGGAAGCTTTAAACAAATTGCATACGGAATGGCTGGATCTGGTGAACTCGTTTGATCTGCCTTCCAACGACGCCCTCTCCCAGTATGAGATCGATGAGGTAATGGACTTGTTCCGAACCATCAACCACCATTATATTTTGTTTGGATCAATGTGTGATGGTTCTGATGCGAAACTCTTGAAGGAAAGCACATTGGATGACCTCAGGGATACTCTAAGGACAAGAAAAGTGAGTTGATCATTTTTTCGTTTCAAGCAGTAAGGGGATATTGGGACATATTGTTCTCGTGCAAATATGAGAATATTATTTTAAACAGATTCGTTTGTTCAAACTCTGCAGATCTTTCACTCGATGGATAATATATACCTTTAAAGCTTATTCAAGTCTCTTTTTAGAAGCTCTTCCAACAACTCCGAACAAATTACATGAGGATGATGACTCTCGTATCGCGTGTTCCAAACCTGGTCCCTGAATTGGAGAAGGTTATAAATAATATAAACGTCCTGAATGGTTCGGTTTCCAATCTCGAGAACTTCTACGAGCTCTATTGTGTCAAGGAGAAGGTCGTGGAGTTGGATGGAGGAGTCAAAGAGTTGGATAATTGTTTGGGGGAGCTGTCAAAGCGATCTGTTCTCAACTTGAACGGCTCACTGGAACGTCGTGTTAGGGAAATCGATGAAGAATTGAGTCATTGCCAGGACCGAATGTCTTCTTTGGAGCATGTTTGTAACGCAATCATCTCGAGATTGAATTCTTCAAAGTTCGAGAAGGACGATGAAGAGCTGGAATGCTGTCAAAAGTTCATCAAGGACTTTGAGGAGATGAAGAGAACCATTTCCCAAGTCAAGACCAGGTGAGAGAGGGGGATTTGTTTGCTTAAAGCCCAATTTCTGGATTATGTTATTTGGGGGATGGTTGGACCATTTTTTTTTAAATCTGGCGGGTAGTATAATATTACTCAAGAAACTGGCCTTGACAAGCTTCAATTTCCCTTTTCTTGGCATTTCACGTCGTTTACCAGTATTTATTTGCGTGTAAATTAGAAATGTGTGAGTCCTGTAGGATGGGGAGTGAGACAGGATATTTTGAGTTTATTTCGGGTTAATTAAGGTGTGATGTCATCTGGAAAATAAAACTTTAAGAACATGTTTACGTTCTTTGATATAAAGTTTTGTATTTTGCGTTTTATTTCGGAGAATTTGTTGCAAAAAATAATTGACGATCTCTCTAATTACGCTCCTCTTATTAATTATCGCCTTCTTTCCAGACTGGACCGTCTGTTCAAGCTGTTTCCTGACTGTTCTTCCCGCTCCCAACAGCACGATGACAGTTATAGTGATTCATCGCTCCCGGAATCCATCGCCAAACCACGGAAACGAAGAAATCTGTTTGAGGAGACCAAAGAAAGCTGCCCTGAAACGAATGAAGCCCCAAGGATGAGCTGGTTAACTGCTGACCGTCTTCTCAGCCCGTTGAGATCGAGTTCTTCAGCGCAGGGAGTCCTGGTATGCATCGCGATGTTAGCCATTGGAACTCTGCTGCTGGGGCTGGTGGTGGACGAGGAGATCTTCTCTCGTAATGGCCACTGGTCGTTCAGGTTCGGGCCCCAGCTCCATTATGTGGACGGACCCCCTCCAGTGTAATTATTTTGTATATTGTTGTATCCCAGATGAAGTGCCTTCTTTTTGTTGTTGTTTCTGCATACACCCGTGATGATCATTTGGTACGCTGCCCATTTTTTAGCCTCTTCTCATAGTTATCTGATATTCGAAGAAACAAAACCCAAAAATACTCAAAAAGTGTTGAAAAAGGTCTCAAAAATATTTTTATATCTTGCAATCTATTGTGAATTACATAATCTATTGAATAATAAACGAAAAGTAAAGACGGAGGGTGTTGTCTTCTTCTTAGTAAGTTGTCAGCTTAATTGGAGGACAGACGCTAGGACAATAAAAAGACTCCTAGTTTTTAAAAGTGCCATTTTAAGAGGAGTGGCGCTTTTAATCGTGTCCGGTACTCGAAAAGCGTTGGCCAGCCCGGCTCCATATCGCTTTTTATACTGGCGGATGGATGCCCTAATATGCCCGCCGTGATTCCCGCGGGGGAATCGAGTCGAGGGAACAAATCAGAAGTCGGCCGCCGACTTATCAAACCGGCTCCGAAATAATTCGAGGCCGGCTTCAATTACTCCGGGTTGGTGTTGGGATGGTGGACTTTGTAGGAATGGGAACGGACTTTACAAGAACTAAATTAATGTAAGCAAAAATAATGAAGCGAGCTGCAAGTTCCCGCATTTTGTATCCATCCAGTTGTTGTACTAGTGGGCAGGCTTCTGCTCCTGTCTTTTGAGAGCTACAATTGCAAAAATAGGGTTTAATTTTGAAGACCACATGGATGAGGGCATCCTTTCTTCTTTTTTAAATTTAACTCTCCGTTTACTTACTCTCTGATTATTTCGAATTGTAGTGGGTAATTCTCAAATAGCACTGATAAATCAGAAGAATTGGGTCCGCGTAAAAGGACAGCTGGGGTATTACTATTGACACGAGCGCCCCCTTTGACTGTCTAAGCCTTGCCGAAAAGGGGCAGCACCAATTGGGAGAAGGCATATCAAGAAAACATTGTGTCCAGTTGATTACCCTCAGGACAACACTTTCCGGATGATTTCCCCAAAAGTCCTCCTTTGACATATTCGATTTCAAAGGTGGAAATGAGGCTGGCATGTAATGAGAATGTGTTGCGTGGGGCCGAAGGGAGCCGGCTTGACTCGCCAAGACGGAGTTGCACTGTGGCGCCAACCTCTCTGGGGCCACAAAAACGGTCAGACCTTATTTATTGGACGGGCACATTAATTGTGCCATGCAACCGGACACTAGAAAGCATTCTTCCCCGCGAAGATATACTGCCTGTTAACTCGACTCACATTTGTTTTTAACCTGCTGATACTCTCTTTCTTTCCCCGAACTCTCCGTCTTCCGAAACGGGACGCTTCCACAAGTGCCAAGCTTTACCTATCTCCTCCCTCGAGTGGAGCCTTAAACGTTTCCCGAATGGGACCGGATAGTATTCTTTGTGTAATTGACGGGGTGGAGCCGCCTCCGGAACCAACGTCTCCAGGAATCCCCGAAAAAGGTCGGAAACAGAATGTCTCGACCGTGTTTCGACACTTGCAGTCGTGAAACCTTTGCCCGAAGGGCGTTCTGCGACGCAGTCGAGCGAGAATTTGACCGTTCATGTCTTTGTTTCAGACGTCGTCAGCCTAGTCCTGTCCTGTCCGGTCATAGCCAGCAGTTGACCCGAGCCCGACCGTCCATTCTTCTTGATGACGCCCAAGTCCTGAGAACTCCGCTGGCCGCGGAAGGCGTTCGAATGCGCAAAAGATGGTCTACAGTTCTCGAGGAGACCGCCAGATTCGAGCTCATCGCCTAGCACGTGGGTCCCCTAGCACTGTCGCTTCTGTCGTGTGCACCGCCAACTTGTGCGTGTTACCCTTCCTGGCTAATCTAATCGAGACGTTTCACCTCTGTCACCTATTATATTACAATAGAATTACCTCTGAGGGTCTCGCAGCAAACTCTTTCTGTAGGGTCTCCTTTCGTACATATTATATTATACTATGCACTCCCACCAGAACATTTCGCACTGAGCTTGCTTCACGGAATGCTCAATGTTGGGAAAACCGCGAACGATCGACAGAACGTATTCTCACAGCGAAAATGTACGCAGGACATTCCCATAAATCTGGCCCCACCCAACCCAACTACTCATTTTGGAATGCAGACAAGGTGTGTGGATGGAAGGGGTCCTTACATTACGCCGATTACCCGCCAGATAATCCTGCCTCGGCCCAAACGCCCTGAGGGGCTTTTTTGTTTTTTTATTATGAGATTGCACTCTCTTCTTCCGCCATGAATGTACAATTACATTTACAATTCGGGTGGAACATCCAGACCATCCTTGACGTCCCACTGCCTGATCTGTGACGTTTGACGAGCATGACCTGAGGGGATTAGGGCGGCATTACTTTCGAGAAACTATTTTACACTCGGGGAATTTATTTTTGCTCGGACTAACTTTAATTAGCGGCGGTCTTTAGAAGTTGGCCTATTTGTTTTCCTCACCTCCGAATATGCGAGGATGAAGCGAGGAATGGAAATGGGGAGCCCAGGCTAAATGACGATTATTTTGTTGGTATCTACTATTGTGAGATGGGGTATTCCTGTCTCGATTCTTATCTCTTAAAGCATTGTTTCGTATTTTAGCTGGCTTCTCAAACTATAACGTGTCCCCCAAGTACTTTCGCCTAGTGCGGGTCGTGTCGTCGTGTTTTAACGTACCATTTGCAGTCAAGTTGTGTAATTTCAGAATAGGATTCCGTAAAGGGAATCAGGATGACCTGAGGGCCTGTATTGTCGCTGTGGAGTTGACGGTCGGGTCCGTCCTCTGGAGGCTCGCCTATGACACACCGACCTCCCCCAGCACTGCCCCAGCTAACGGACCTCATCGTATATGAAACAGCATCCTCGCAAAGCTAAAAGTAATGGTGGCCTGATATTTCCATTGTCTTGACGTCGCCTGAGGGCAAGACGTTGTTCTGGCTCGTGCATCGCTTCCGGGTTTCTGCTTGCGCACTGGAGCGTGACATCGATGATGACACTCCAGGATTGACCTCTAACGAGAAGACTAGTCGTTGACCGCGTCGGCGTCCAATTCGTTGTGTGGATTTTCGGTGCCCCGGGCCCAAAAAAGTTTTGGGCGTGTGAGACGCTAATTGTCCAAGAATGGTGAGGATCTGGCCAGAAGAGTTAAATGGCCGACTTATTTTTCCATCGTGAGAGTCGGCCAAATTCTGGCAAGGTTATTCAATTATCCGGGTTTTGTAGGTACTCGAACGCAGGGGTCTTGTAGCATCGGAATTACTTCCGTTTTGTATTCGCTTCGAGGATCCCCTGAGGCATTAGCAATTCCCTTCCGGCTTCTGATTTCCGAACCCAATTAAATCCATTTGGGCCTGCATTCACACCTGTTAAGTACACAGAAAAAACAAGCGTCAGCAAATCGTGCCTTGTTTAGATTAGCGTCAGAAATACATCTCAATTTTATTTGTTTATTGTTCAAAGCGAGAAGAGATAATTAGCATAATCTGCTCCCTTTCTGATGAATTTAATCAATTTTTGAGGATCGGCGTCGTGCGGGAAAGAGGCGCAGTCCAATGAGGCCGTAATGCGACCTTGGTTCGGTGGAAATTCTGGCGGATTCATCGGCGGACGGGATCCTCATCGACAGTCCTCCCATTTCCGATATCGAAGTTGGTTTGCTTGAGGGGTTTCTGAAGCTGTGGAGGCGGTCACTGGGCGACGATCAATAATTAATATTTTTAATTAGTCATCCGCGACTCACGCAACCCCGACTGTAGCCTGGCATCATGCCCTGGGGGCCGCTTCCACAGACCTTGGAGTGCAGTGTTTGTAGAGTTGTTGAAAGAGCTCGTTCTGTCCCCAAGGGCAAAAAAGACGCTGGCCACCGAGAAGAAATCTTTGCTGTTCCAGGGAATTATAATAGGAGGGGCCAAGTGGGTGCGCGGCCAGAGACTGACGCCAATTACTCGACCTCGCGACTTCACTAACTTTATTGGAGTATTCGATGCGCTACTAAGGACCGAATCGACCGTCATTCTTCTTCGCCTTCAGCCAGCTGTTGACCAATTTTGTCTGTCCATCTCGACATCACGGCGACTTTACCCTCAAGAAGATTTGGTCAAGCGCACGGTGCGGTGGTCCTGGTGCCGGAGTCCGGATGGGCAGTCCCGAATGAATCCAAACTCCGCCGACGGCAACAAACAGGCCACGGTGCAGGACCCCGGCATCGGACTATTGGTTCACGACATTTCGTTCTCCAGAATCAGCAAGAAGTCGGTCATCCCAGTCTTCCTAAGAGTCGTCGCGCGCACAAGCCAGAACAAAGTTTGTTCTCCACCATCCTCGACAGTCATTGCTAAAACTCTGTCTTAATATCCAAAACGATTGTTTCCGGACTTGTATTCGTATGGAAACAATAAAAAACGCTATTTTTTGTATTTAATTCTCCCGGAAACACTCCCAGGTTTTTGCTTTGACTGTCGTAAGACCTATGATTACAATGTCTTTTGCAGTGAACTTTTTGCAGTGTATTTTTCTCTGCACTCTCTCACTTTTGCCTTCACTTCCCTTCACTCTCTTCTACCAACATTTATTTCGTGGATAGTTTACATTTTTTACACTTGTAGGACACGGTCGGGATTCGCATTACCACCAAGCAGCGGTCATCGAAGTTGGAGCCATGGTGCTCCAGAATATGTTCAGTGCTCTCTCCTTCCTCCACTACCGGAAGGATGATGACTTTGTGGACCGACTGTCTTACTTCTACACCTCTTCTTTTCTCACAATGATGGCTGTTCTTGTCAGTTTCAAACAAGTAAGCTCATGTGTTTCCCGGACCTTTTCTTCTCTAAAGTAATGTAGTGTTTGGATTTCCGTACCCATCCCACTTTTTTTGGTAATTGGGCTGAGGATACCCTTAGACCGAACGCAACTCAGCCTAAACTTTGGGGGGCTAGGCAAAAAAATCATAGACTGAAGCCGACAGAACGGCGTTCCGAGATCTAGCCAGTGTAATTGTAAGAGTACAATAAGTAACACGTGTACTTTCAGTTTGGCGGGCGCCCTCTGGAATGTTGGGTAAGTTGACACGCGCAGATCCCATGGGATGTTTATGGTTCCGTTAAGATGACAGAAGTAATGTGACATTTCAGGTACCGGCGCAATTCACAGCTTCTTGGGAGGCCTACACAGAGATGTTTTGCTGGGCCAAAAACACATACTTTGTCCCATTTGACGAGGTATTTGCGAAAATTCCGATGACATTCTCCCTGTTATTTAGAACGTATTGTAATAGTCGGTTTCAGGACATTCCAGTGGACATCGCCGACCGAGAATACCGCCAAATATCATATTATCAATGGGTTCCGTTCTTTCTGCTTATTCAGGCCTTTCTTTATTATATCCCCTGCTTGATGTGGAGATTAATGAGCGACAAATCGGGTAATTGCTTCAGCCAATTTTTATATTTTTATGCAAAGTCAGGCAGTAGTCTTAATTGGACTATTACTACTCTCCAAAAGATTAAGAAATGACAATAAATTATTACCAGAGAACAACTATTCGACACAAAAATTATCTTTTACAGGTATCCGTCTAAATGACATTGTCCAGATGGCAACAGAGAAGGAGAACATTGAGCCGGAATACCGTCTCCGGACTCTCGAGTCCCTGGCCCGACATATCGAGGCGGCTTTGCGGTAAGTCCATTCCTTGGATCGGCCCCAAATTGCCTTCGTTATCGTAAATAAACGATTTCTTTCTAGATACCAACACACAGCGACGTCCCGCACCCAGTACACTTTACATCGCGTGTTCAAATGCTTTAATTTGCGTTATTACGAGAGTTATGTGACAGGCTTGTATCTGGTGGGTTGTTTTCGAATATGTTATTTGGTGTTGTAGGCGACGAAAGTGCTCTACGTAGGGAACATCTTGACGAATCTGCTGTTGGTCAACAAGTTCCTCGAGACGGACGAGTACAGTGTTTACGGGCTGGGTGTGCTCAGGGATCTCCTTTTCGGCCGCTCCTGGATGGAATCCGGGAATTTCCCCAGAGTTACTTTGGTATGTTCTTTTAAAGACCAATGGGCATCCAATATGCTCGGTTTATCTTTCTTCCAGGTTAATATGTAGGGTTAACAACGTATCCCATTTTTTGTCAATTGTCTTAAATGTTATGCTATTTTTTAGTGTGATTTTGAAGTACGGGTATTAGGAAACAACCAGCGACATTCAGTGCAATGTGTGCTGGTCATCAACATCTTCAACGAGAAGATCTTCATTTTGCTTTGGCTCTGGTTCTCTATCCTTTTTGTGCTGGCCACATTAGATGGGCTTTATTGGTTCAGTATCTCGCTATTTCATCGGGATCGCTTCCGTTTTGTTCTCCGCCATCTCGAATTGACATCGGACCCCGATCGACCTGAACTATTCAGGAAGGAGAACAGGAAACAAGTCGAGCATTTTCTGAGAACATATCTTAAAGTAGACGGTGTCCTCATATTAAGAATGATCGCGCTACATGCAGGAGTCATGTATTGCACAGAGATCACTGATGCTTTGTGGAAAAGATACCTCTCACAGCATCCAGAGAATCTGATCGACGAGGATTCTTCGCTCATTCACTTTGCTCGGTAGGAATAACAATATTATATTGCTTCGAATACTTCGCAGCATTAATTATCACATTATGTTTGCAGAACACAATCGATACGGCGATCGCGGCATCTCAGTGGCGGTGATGGAGCCGGCTCAAGTTCTTCCTTAACCCCCAATCATAACGGCGGACATCAACGTCTTTCACGATTCCTTTCTCAACGCACTGGAGGAAGCTTCCGGTTCCACCGAGGCCAATCCGGCTCCAGATCTCTTCCCAAAAAACAAGACCGGACCCCAAGCCCTCAGGGCACTCCCGCCACTACAGGTAGGACTGAAAAAGACCGAATCAGTGATCCCAGTCATACAGATAACGCCGTCTAGTCGACCAAACAGTCGTTCTGGCCAGCATAAGAGCGTGATCAGCTCTGCCTCTTCAGAGCCAGTGGATTCAGGAGTTTCGGCAGCCATAAAGAATCGCTCAAAGAGTGCCCTAAGAGCATTACGACTTACAGGATCCGAAGGAAGCAAGGAGAAGTTGTTCCCCAACAAAAACGACGCGCCGGTCCCCCTTTGACAACCCCGAATGATCTCACTTCCCCCCGATGGTCTCGCAATATTTTGTTTGATACGGGTACAATGACCATCTCAGTCTCAGCACACAAAACTCAGTCGGTCTCAAGGTATTTCAGAAGCCTCTTTGACTCTTTTTTATTGACATTCTTATCACTCAGGCAATTTAGAAAGCACGAAGTCTAAGATTCCACTGCAATTGCCTTCGTTTTTGCTCAAAAATATATTGGCCTACAATTTTATAGACACTAAAATTTAATGTTGCATAAGCACTGGAATCGGATATTTTTGTATTATTATTCGAATAAAAGGTTGTTGAGTTTTATGATGATAGTAGAGAATCTTGAGAGTAAACGCCAAAAGACCAAACGCCTCTCATTTCCATACTTTTTAAATGCTCAAACTGACAAGGAACCCAACAAAATGCAAAGTGATCTCCACAAAAAGAAGCCGAGATGACACATTTTTCGAAAGGACTTGCCGTAATTTTTTGAAAAGTATATTTTTGTGGGCATTTAGACATTAGGCTTTGGACGGGGACGGGTTATACCCAAGTTCCCGCGACCTGGGAATTTTTCCGGTGTTCATGAGAATTTTAAAAATGACTAATTGGCCGAACAAAAAGCAAACGGTAAGGAGGACCAATGCACATCATTAATTTTACGTTGCAACGTAAAATTTCACAGCGCGATGCGCCGCGAAAGTTTTTGAATTTTTACCATAAATAAACCTGTGGGGCTCGGTCCGGCTGCGTACGACCTTGTCCAAGGTCTATAAAATTGCCAACTCACTCACTATCTGCAGCCACTACAAGCCTCAAAGAAACTGGAATATTTAAATTTTTTCATTGTCAAAGTGCTTCTTCCGCTTGTTTAGTTGAAAAAATCAAAATCAATTTACAAAACTGGTTAAAATAATGAATTAGTTACAAACGGCTTCACATTCGTACTTAGGCTGGCATGAAGTTAGTGCTTAGCACCATGCATGTTAAGCGCTCTCTCTGATGGGTCCCTCGCGGGCCCCGAATACGCGTTTTGTCATTGTTTCTTGGTTATGGAAGACACTTATCGTATTGGTTATATTCTATTAAAAATATTGTCAAGGTTGGCTGTTTTAGACATATTTTATTACCCGTTAACAATATATAAATACACCGAGACTATGGGCTCTCCAACGGCAGCATCGCTACTTTCGAATCAAAGTATTTTTGGTTTCTTGACTACAGCTAGCCAATCGAAGATGATGTCGTTTAGATAGCCATTAACAACGCATTTTATGTATATGATTAGAAGGCAACATTCCCTATCAACGGAGGTTCAGGTCGAATTATTTCTGAGGACCTAGGTGAGTCTGAGGATGAATAAGTTCCGTCTTCAGAGCCCGTACTTCTACGATTAATTGAGCCTGAGAGACTGTCCACTTGACCATAGTCTTTTTCTAATTTTTTGAGTTCATACTGTAGTAGCCGTTCCATTTCGTACCCAAACTTCATCTGACTGACCGCATAGATCGCCAACAGATTCCAGGCTTCGGCGACTCGTGGACAAACACTTCCTGAGCGACGTTGGGGAGTTACACACAGGCTGGAGAACTGGGTGGGGGAGGGCGGCGTACTGCTTCCGAGGTCATCTGATGGCAGAAGAAATCGACGATCGAAGATAACGTTGGAAGGAGATTCGCTTCCTCGACTTGACGACTCTACTTGAAGATCTTTGGCTGCGTAATTAATGGCGAAGACAAGGCCATCCCAATAATTACTGGGCACTTTTCTCTCCTCGGAGGCCTTGAGGTAAGTGTTGGCATGAAGAGCGCCCAGTTCTTGAAGTTGATCAATGCTTGTTCGGGGATGTTCAAATGATCTGATAACTTCATTGAAAGCCTCACAAAACCTCTGGAAGTAATTTTTAACCTTGATTTGAGTCCAAGAAGTTAAAACAATTAAAAGTCGATTAATTAATCTTCACTCACTTTAACGTGCTGCCTGTAGTTCACGTGATATCGCCACTCCAAGTTCCGCCCATGCGTCAAATGCCCGAGGCCAATCGCTTTGAGACAAGCGGGTTCTCTTCGGAACAAGGTCTCGAAGACATTTCTCCCCATGTCCAGAATCCCCACCCCATCCATCTCCATCCATTTGGCCTGGACCAACTTCTTCTGAGTGCTGGTGAGGCCAGTTATGGGACAGACTGGGATTCTGAAGCTCCCTCCGGATCCCCTTCCGTTTGGATTTCGGAAGCTCTTGGCGCGGCGCTGTTGGATTCGTCGACTCACTTCCCTTTTCTGCTCCTCTATGAATTCAACATCATCGTTTCCATTCCCAATTCTAAAAATGTAAAATAGAAATGAAAAAATTTTATAAATGTAAACCCCAAGAAAGTTATTTTACTTCAAGGACGAACTTCTGGCCGGAATCTGGATGCTGGGCGATAGTGAGTGACGTTTGTCACTCTTGGCGGGAGCCGTGATCTGTCGCGAAACCTTGGTATGTTTGATGTCCTTCTTGTCCAAATGAGAATCGCTGTTTCCCATTCGCTCTGAAAGCAGAGGAAGTTGATGGATAGAGAAGGAAAAGATCTACTTTAACGTGAGAACAGGTGTCCAACTCGGACTCTGAACGAACGACATAAAAAAGAGAACGCTTTTCATAAAGTTTACGGTCCACAGAAGCTCTGAGGGCAATTAAGAAAAGACAATAATGACCGGAAGCATGGACCTATTCAAACCAAAAATAAATGGAGGTACAATGGAAGGGGGTTTACCGTGGAAATGACTAATTATTGAATTCACTGCCGCTGAAACAACTGCTTCAAAACACCGACAACTCATTGAAAAGGGTGACAAAGACTACCGTTTTTTGGCTGAATAAAAAAAACAGGAAAAATTGGAGAGTAACCAGCAAAACTTGGGTAGGTGATGAATACAGTAATATTTATACTTGTACTTTGGAAGTAGAGAATAACGATGACACAAATAAAGTAAAGGAAAACTGATCAGATTACTCGATTGAATATGTGAATGAATGTAAATAAAACTGAGAAAGTAAAAAATACGTTAAAAATTAAATGTTGTGCAGTGTAGTGGAATGTAACATCTGTCATCTCCCTCACCGGAGACCACTTGAGGGCGGATGGAATGTTTGTTATGCCCTTAATCTTATATCCTCTCTTATTTCCGGCCTCTGGCATGACAGCGGTAAAAAGCCAAAGGAATTGACGCAGATGTAAAATCCAAAACCTTTGAACCACTACTACGTAAAAACAGAGGAAATGGGATTAGGAGAAGCTGGGCCGAACGGAAATATGCAAAATCTGGAAAAAAGGCCTTCATAAACATGGTCAAGCAGTGACAAGTCCCTGTCAACGATCACACCCGGGTCGTATCCACTCCCGGAACTTTTAATTTCACTTCCCATTTAATTGCCATGTCATATTTACCCGGCCTTAATCTCGCAAAACAATTAAACCCGGTCATAAAAACAGGTTTTATGTCAAAGAAAAAATTTATGACAAAAGAATCGAACGCTTCAACATCACAAAACTTTAACACAACAACTGAGCCCTCAGGGCACGTCAAATGAAAGGAATTTGGGGTCAAGAAGGGCAGCTGCCGCGGGATGAACGCCGATCAGCTGCATACCTTGTCTTAATGTGCCAAGGGTTGGAAATGGATCCAAAATACGAGAATCGGATCCAGTTATAAATCATGAGAACATTAAATGCCCTCCATCGGACCACTGATCGGGTCGAGAAAAAACCGGCCCGGAGGTATTAATTGAACAGACGCCGTCTTTGGAGGACCTGTATGAATTAATTAGCACTTCCCGGAAAGTCCCCCCCCCCCTCCGCCCCACGCAGAGTCAAAAGTTTAATCCCATAATGCCTGAGGCGATTGTAGCTGGGTCTGCAAGGCCAGAAGCGATGGGTCTGAACCGGAACCGCAGCGGGGACACCGGAACCATTCTTGGGTCGAAGAGCCGATGAAAATAAGTTTACCAAAAAGAGTTCGGATTTCCTCGGCCACCTCAGGCCCGCCCTTTCCAAATCCCCGATATTCTTCCTTTCTTTGCATACAATGGTAAATATCAAAACCGACAATCCTAAAAGACCATTTCATATCATGACAATATTGGTTTTGCTTTCCTTAAAAACTGTCTTTTGAAAATCCGAAAACAAAAAAAAATAACAAAGCTTCCGACTTCAGGCCCTACAAAAGTGGAAAACCGCCTGCGGGAATCCGCGGAAAAGAGACGTGATTCTCCTGAGGATTCGGCGTCAGAAAAGTTGGACGCCATGGAATCAGAGAAGAATCGACGGGACGGCGCTGGGTACAAAGAAAGCTACTGGATTAATTGGCATTCACGCCGCGGGGCAAATTGGAATTCGGAACTTGAAGTACGACACAAACCAGTTGACCTTTACTATTTAAATACTCGGAAAACAGTTGACGCTTATAAATAGAAGGGGATGTGTCGTTGGGGATAAATAAAGACGGTGATTTCTACGTCAAAATCAGGGAATGACGTTCGAAAAAAAGAAAGGTCCAAGAACATGATTAAAAATTCTTTGGAGCAATTGTTTTGCTTGAATCTCCCTTTCTTACTAAAACTTCTCCTGCAAGTTGAATAGATAAGTCAAGGGATCATCGTCCTGTTAGTCTCCCAGTTAAGTAACTTGTATTTGAACCTTGCCAACACCACAAACCATCCAAACTCGTAAATCACTCGTCTCTGGGCGTTTCCTAAAGTGCTTGTAATGCCTCTTCTCGCCATGAGCAACACTAGAGAGTACGTGGAGTACCCACCATCGCCGAAAAGCCGGGCCCTCGAGGCATCGCAAACGTCAGAATTGGCCACAGTTTTTATTCGAATGTCCAATTGACCTGAAGTGCCTGAGGGCAGGTTCTCACGGTCATTCAATCGGATTAATGGATGTTTGTTGACCAAATTATCACCTGTTCTGCATGCCTAATGAGGGCGGATCAGGAGTTTAAGAGTCCCGAAATCTATTTAATCCAATTTCAGCCAAATACTTGAGGCCGTGTCAACTTCGCCTCGAGGCAGTTTCCGACACAAATGGCCCAAAAAAGGGCTGGGCCGGCCCTTCCGCTTGGGTCAGCATCTGTCATCCTGCATTCTTGAGTCAGGGATATGAATCCGGAATGAGTGCCGCGACTGCTCGAGGACCTTCTTCTAGCTGATTCAATAAACGGAGATCTCCCCACTCGTATTACTTTGCATCTCCTTGACCCGTTTCCTGTTTTTCTTGGAGCTCTTGGCTCCATTTGGATTCGAGTCAATGCTTTATAACTACTTGTTCACTTACGTCTACTACCTAACATATCTTTGTTTATGCTCGCTTGTTCAGGGCCATGTAAGTATGGTTTTTACAATCCATCTTATTTTTTCTGATGCATCATTTAATTCGTTTGCGTTATAGAATGACATATTTTCCCGTAACGAAAAGAGATTTCATAATTTTTTGACGGCCTCGAGGTCAGAGCATATCCATAGGTAAAGTAATTTATTTGTACCTTTATTCGATGCTTTTAGACCCAAATCCAAACGGCAAATCAATCATTTTCGGGATACGAAATTCGATCCGGATTATGCGCCCAATGACCTGTGCGAACCCTGGAATTCGGGATCCCAAACCAACGATTTGAATTGGTAATTGCAAAGGTTCATACGATTTTAAATAATTAAGGAGTGAACCAGCCGATCGATTGTTCAAATTGATCTCAAGCAGCAATGGATATAACCTATTTATGCCGCCAGGGCAACATCAAGGTAATCACAAGCAAATGAAAAGTAAACTGTCTGATCCTCTTCTCAGGAAAGACCACCAATTTATCTGTGGCTTTGTACATAGAGTCAATGAGCTCAGTAAAAGCTCAGACTATGGATTTCGAAGTGGATTGTTACCTAGCCATGGGATGGTACGACCGTCGATTGTCTCACAACTGCACCCATCCTATTCTAATTACTCACAAACATGTCGCCGATGAACTCTGGAACCCCGATCTGTATTACGTAAACGCTAAATACGCATATCTGCAAGAAGTTACTACCCCCAACTTTATGATGTTTGTCTATCCAGATGGGCTGGTCTTCAAATCGATGAGGACTGTGGTTACTTTATCCTGCATGGTCGATCTTCAGTTCTTCCCCATGGATAAACAAAGTTGCCCTTTAACCATTCAGAGTTGTAAGTCTCCATTAACAGCTCCGTATGTCTAGATGCTTACATCGAGAACTTACTCAACTTATCTTGGCATGTTGACTATCCATATTATCCGATTGCGAGTAATGAGGGCCTTAAATTGAATGACATGGAGATCACCAACATCACCTTTTCTAAGTGCTCGGTTCCTTATGCTATGTTCAGAGGGACCGGTAAGTGTTGTAATACAAATTTAGACTCATAACATTGCAGCAAATTTTATAATTTTTAGGAAATTGGTCTTGTATTCGCGCAGTAATCGAGATGAAAAGGTTAATGTTATACCATGTTGTGCAGACCTATATTCCCTCGGGTAATGTTTTATAATAATGATTAAACACATTTGGATTCAGCCATGTTGGTGTCCATTTCCTGGATGACATTTTTCTTACCTCCACGAGCATCTCCCGCTCGGATTTCATTAACGATTACCAGTTTACTAACCTTAACAACAATGTGTAATGGAGCGAGACAAGATCTGCCTCAGGCAGGTGGCAAATCATCGAAATAATCTTTTCAGGTCAGTTACATCAGTGCCCTGGATGTTTGGCATTTTGCTTCGCAGGTATGATACAGTGCGGGTCATATTATAACCTCACTTTAAAAAATGATTGTAACTTTTGTGGTAGTCATTAGAAATGTGTCATATTTAGCACTAATATGAGTAAAAATGATGTGCGAAAAATTCCGTATTTTGGAAAAAAATGGTACTTTACTTCGTCGCAAAATTATAACCGCACTCACGGGTTTCATGATAGCCTAATTAAAACGCAGAATTGCAATAACTGATGTTTAGTCACGCTTCCCACCAAAATTTTGGTTTTTTCAGCTTTTTTCCAAAATAAGGAAACTTTTCAAAATATTTTTAGCACGTCGTTTCTAGTACACTGAGGCGTATTAGTGCTAAATATATATGAGACATTTCTATTGACAATCACAAAAAGTTTCAGGCATTAATCTTTCTCGTCCTGCTCGAGTATTCGTTTGTGAGTTATTACATGACCAGAGGCACAAATCATTGCAAACATAAGAACTCTGATGACACCAGCAGACATCTAAATATCAGACCTTCGCCTTCTTTTCCACAAGAAGATCTTCGAATTCGATTATTGAATAATAATGCCCATGCAAGTGTGAATGAATACCCCTCCAAAAGACATGAGTCTCTGGCCAATCCAATCGGAGGTGTGGCCAGGTTAAGAAGGACCCATTCCATGGATCGAAACTCCCTGGGGACCAGAAAGTCTTTTTCTGTAGCCACGGGAGTCGAACAATGCGTAAATCACTCGGCGGTGAGTAATTTAGAATACATTCAAGATCATTGCACCTGCTTGTTGCCAAAATTAAGTTCATCCCGCACTCTGATGCTTAGAACCTAAGTTATGCAATAATGTATATATCTGCTGTTCAAGGTCATCTTTTTTTACTTCTTTGTTATGTTGATGTTTGCTTTTTGACAGATGTTTTGTCGCTTGGCTGCTATTCAGCAACAACAGAAGAGACTGATGATCGAATTCCAGCAACAGCGACAGAGTGTATTCGATATCGAGCATGACACCGCCGTAAGTCCGGCTTGTAGTTGCTTTTGTTATGCACTAGATTACCGTAAGATTACTGTGACGATCTTTTATTGTTTTAGGAATTATTCGCAACTCATTGTAATGTCTCTATGGACAGTATCATGGAGATCGGAAGACCATGTACCAGATGTCAGCTAGAGAATGAAGGAATAGCCAGGAAGATCGATGCTTGTGAGTAATTGGATCCGCAATTGTTTTTTCAGACATAATTATTATATTTATATTATGGTATATCCTATGTCATATTACCAATTATCTTTCTTTATTTCCAGATAGCCGTATCGCATTTCCCTCTGTATTTTTTTCTTTTACACTTATTTACTGGTTCTACTACGGCTACTACACGAGAGCCGGCTAATCATTTCCGATCACTTATTTATTTGTTTTTTTCCAAAAAACTTTTGATTTCACCATGACTTAGACAAAGGATCGAAAGGGAGGGGTCGGACATTTGCCCTGAGGCGCGCGCTCTCCGAAAGCCGGTTTGGATGATCCGAGGCTGTGTTTGGATCACCTGAGGAGTCCCTTTTCGCGCAGGTAAGTCCTTTGTTAAGGAGGAAACAAACGAACGCTGGAACAAACCAGTTCCGGCAATTATTATATTGTCTTACGCTTTTGTTATGTCCTCCAGCTGGTGGGGCTTGGTGCTGTTTCTTACAGTGGGGGCGTTTGATGACGCCCCGAGGCTGGATCCCACTATCTCGACTGTTAGGTAAATCGGGGATACTGTAACATCCTTTTAATAACCTTTATCTTAAAATATGATTTTATGTTTTGTAGTCCTCAAACAGCCCCCACCTCCGAGTCCTGTGTAGGACAATGTGCGTTCCAATTTGTGGACCAGATGACCCAACAACTGGGCCCCACTCAGTCCGTGGGCCTTCTGAATCTGAATTACAACGACTTCCTGACCGCCTTCTCTAATGTCACCTTCTTTGAGACCTTTTGTGGGTATGTTTTATTTATATTCTAATATTTAAGTTTTCTTGTGGCGACATTTACGACAAACGCTCAATAGTATTTCAAAAAAGAGGAAAAAATGTGTGTTCATATAAGCCTGAAACCATACATGGCTACCAAATTTGCCCGTTAATTATTTGGGGGTTCTTAAAACAGCGGATTTTCATCAGGGATTGGCGCCCGAAGACGTGGAATTGAAGCGCGTAATCGAAGAAGAGGTGGAACGAGTTCGCCAGGATGAATAAATGAGGCGCCAAATTATGGAAGAATACCAAAGACTGGCAAAATTGGGCCAATTTTGCATAGCTGGGATCGGTCTGTTCGCCGTCATTTCCCGGTAACAGCGAGCGGTGACACCGCAATTCAAAAATTTTTGAAAATTAAATTTTTTAAAAAATTTACGTGAAAAAGCATGCTTGACTTTGAAGGGTCATAACTCGACGTAGGATTGATCGTTTTTTATGATCTTTTTTTTAAACAAAATGGCAACTACTAAGGAATAAAATGAGCTATTGCTCATAAAAATTGAACAATCCTATAAAAAGTTATAAGCATTTTACATCCGCGAACTTAGCTGGACCACCCTGTATACTTTCTTCTCGCCTGCATTCCGGGGACCCCTGGGCGTAGAACCTTGAAATTCGGCATGAAACACTCTGGGACAATCTAACCTCATAACCAAAAAATCATCTCATTACTTTTTATACACTTTATGTTTCTACAAGTTATGGTAGAGACTAAAAGTAGGACAATTATTCAGAAGAAATTTAGGCAACGCGATGACGAATTTCAAGGTTATAAGCCCAGGGGTTCCCGACATCCAGGCGGACAGAAAATTTTGTCGACTAGTTTTCAATAAAGCTTTATTAGTAGAAAAGCCGGTGGATGGTCGGCGGATTACAATAACTCTTTACCCTGAGTTATTCTAACATATATGTAAAAGATCAAAATTTGCGTTAAAAAACTAAGATCCGTAACGTTTATCCAGGTATTATTGATGTGACTACGTGTAAAATGTCAAATAAATAAGCCTTCTCCCCTTCTCCTACCTCCCCCATGCATACAACGACGAACCGACGCGATCCATAGTATCGTTGACCGGAACTGTCGGTGACCCGAAAAGTCGTAGCGCCCTTTTTTCACATAAAAACAGTTTTGCACTACATTTTTTTACATTTTTTTGCGCTTACACTTCATATAGGTCACAAAATATTAGCTTATATTAAGGCTAATTTCACAGAATTTTTTAAAATGACGTCTAATTAATTGGCATTTTCATCACTTTGGCTAATTGTAAATGGAAACATATGTCCTAAAAATTGTTTCCTTAGGACATGTCGCGTTGCCTAAATTTCTCCTGAATAATTGTCCTACTTTCAGTCTCTACCATAACTTCCAATTCTGTTATTCGAAATGTCCCCATGGTTATATGCAGGAGTTATTACAACGAAGTTCGGAAGTGGTAGATCACTTCTGTGTTTACAGTTACAAAGGTGAGTAAAACAGTAATTATATAATTTAATTAATTACAATCTTACAATTCTTAGAGATCAAAGAAAAGTTTGGATGTCTGAACAAAGTGGACAAAGAAGTGAGTCAGAATTGTCTCAAGACTTGCACTTCCCATCACAACGCCGTTACATCGCTTATGCAAAACTTTAAACATCTCGCCTTGAATGGGGATTCCACTCAAGCCGAGCATTATTTGGCTGAGAGCTGCGAGTAAGTTGCCAATCTTATGTTACTAATAGTTACTTGTTTGTTTGTTACTTTTAACTTTTTGTTATTTCATGTCCGTATTTCAGATACGTCATCTGCACGATGCATTGTGATGTCCCAACCATCGCCCATCTATGCGGATTTGATACGGCCAACCTTGTTATCAATTTGACCAGGAAATCATTTGGTTCCATGCAAAAAATGGCATTAGATACGGGGGCTGTGGCCAAGTAAGTAGTTTTACAAACTTTAAAGATTTATGAAAAAATGTTTGGTGTCGTAAAGTAGCCTTTCAAACAATGTAAGACTACCCAAGATTAATGTTATTTTTCGGTCTGAGCGCTCTTTTTGTACATATAACATTTGTTGGGTAAACAGAATCCATGTGAAACTACTTTCAAGTAGTTTTAAATAGCTTTAAGCCCTTAAAATAACTTCATCAGCGACTTTCTTACGTCTTTTTCCAATTACAGAGTACACTCAGATCGCAATATAAATACTTTATCTTGTTTTAGATGGCCCTCCGTTTGTGCAGATATCAAAACTTATGCATTGCCTAGATCATCCCGAAACCCTCCTTCCTCCGTGAATGGTGTGATCGCTCAAAGTCCGACAGTTCCGTCCGAGAAGTCATCGTATTTTAGTCTGATTCCCTCAGGCATTTCTCTCAGTTTCCTCATTCTGATCTCAAACTTGATTTAAATAAACGAATTTCAGGGTTTACTTAACTGTTTATCTATTTTTTGTTCCGCCAAATCCGTTATAAACCCAGTATTTTTTGGGCCCTCAGGCACTCCAGCGTTCAAGAATGCTTAGGGGAAAATGGGCGAGGTTTTTTGCTTTGGGAGAAACTTAATTTACGCACATTTGAATTTGGCTTTTCCCTCCGTGAATGACGGAAGGAATGACCGAACGTTTCATTTTTTGATTGATTTTTGCCTGAGGGAATCAACCGGATCACAGCAATTCAAGGGTTTAAATAGGCTTAGTCCTGAGGGCAAAGAATGGGCGGGCAAATAAAAAGGGCACGGGAATTGGGCGTCCTCTTTTATTGCTTACTTTTATGTGTACTACTATACTTGAAACACTACTTTCTAAGGAGGTTAACACATCTCTGTGTGATTAATTTTATATATGGGAATGGTAGACCGAAGGTCATTGCCTCAGGCGTTCTTTGCAAGATTTATTTTTTTATAGCAAGATTGATGGATTGAAGAGTACAAGGCGTTACTAGTAACAGTTGAAGTCATCGCTTTCAGTTCATTCGGGCTGATTGTGAGAAGAGGACATCTGGCCGTAATGGCCACTTCTTCTGAGTCAGATGTTCCCATAATTGTATTACTTTATCCTTTCATTCATGCATATTCAACAATATCAGCTGAATGTGAGCGTAATGATTCAGTCAGGAACCCTCTCATGGAGATTATGTTACTCTTTCCTTTTTATTTAACCTTGGGGTTTCTTTTTTCTCAAATCCGCCAGACATTCCCTTGCCCTTAGGGCATGAATTTGGCCATATTATTATGGGAAACCCGTTCAGTTCACGGCCCACTGGTCCCCCGCCCCCCCCCCTGGTCTCGCGTTATTTAATTTCAAGTTTGTGCATAAATTATGATCATTTGCTTTTTCATTTTACTTTCTTTACTTCCTTATCCAGTCCCAAAATGAAAGAACATCGCAATTCCCTGGATCAATTGATCTTTTTCCACACTCTGGATGTCTACATTGGGTTGATTGGAGTTGGACTGAATGTATTTTTATTATCCATTTTCTTCAGTAAACAAACCTTCTTCCTCAAGAACAAGGTGAGCCACGAATAATGTTACGAATATCATCAAGATGTATAATAATTAAATTTTTTTGTCATCCCTTGCTACGTCCGCCCTCTTTGTTTATTTAGCCATCCATTCCAGATGTTGGTTGTGCTGGCAGTTGGAGATTTAAGCGCTTGTCTTGGCACATTTCTTCTGGGCTACACCAGGAAGGCCATCTTCGAGGATGAATTAAATGGGATCCCTGTCATAAATCAGGTAAATTTGGCCTTGAGCATTCGGTCGGACATCAGACAACAGTTTTTAAAATTAAAATATTCACAAATTATGCACATTTTGAACACAATTTTGTTTATCGAAATGCGAAAAAATAAAAATTGTAGACGGGAGTCGATTAACGTTTTTCGAATACGTTGAATGATGAAGTCTTTTTGCGGTAAAATGCAGCTATAATAGTATATTTTTGAAGACGTATTTTTGATGACATAAGAGAACGGATATTTGAGATCTCAATGTTCTAAGACATCTCTTGAAACGTTTTCTTCTCAATGTCAATCATCATTTTGGTATTCCCTTAGGGCCTGCATCTTCAAAACACACTCGAATCCCATTAATCTACATGAATGACACGTTTCCGAAGTCATATTATGTTCGGTATCAAACCCTACATTTTATTTTTCCAGCAGATCCAATGTAATATCTCGTTTAATATACACATTACAGACAGCCTGGTCATGCACGAAGAAAGCGTTTGTTTGGTTTCGATTATGGGGTGCCGTGATTCCTTCGGCGTCCGTTTTATGGATCGGGATTGAGAGATTGCTGGCTGTTTTCACCCCCATCTTCTTCAGAACTCATATTGCTCAAAAGTAAGTGAAACAGAGCATAATGAAGCCAATAAGAAGGTGCTGAAGAACGCAGACGTTTCTGAGAAATAAGATAATATTATATTTTCAGCACCACCCGAACCTGTTTGGGAGTGATTACTTATGCCGTTTTCATATCAATTATTGCTTTTTGCATCGCCCACTCTCGTGGAGATCTCCCCGTCCAGAATTACTGTGGCCGCAAGGCCTCCTTCTCCAGTAATTTCTCCACTTTTATTTACATTTCGGCCATTACGGGCTACACATTGGCCTTATTGTTAAACTCAATCGCTCTCTTCAAATTGAAACAAATGCATTCCAAAATGAAAAACCGCGAGCTCCAATCTCACTTCCGGATCCTACGTTATATGGTGTTGATCTCTTTGATCAGCACTATGGCTGTTATAATTCCTAATGCTTTGTCTTTATTCGGCGCATTTTACGGAAGAGTAAGTCCAAAAAATTACAGTAATATCAAATTATAATCAGGTGGATATTGTTGTCTCGGAGACAGCCAGCTGGTTTGGAGCTTTAAAGAGCTCAGTTAACATCTTCATCTACTTCGCATTGAAGAAAGATTTCCAATACAGAGTGTTGAAAATGTTCAGATTAATGTCTGCCTCCAAACCCAGCGAATACGAATCTCAACTTCCTTCTAAATATAGTCCAGAAGAACCGAGACAATCCCTGTTGTCCTCAAAATAACACGGAAGTGAAAAGAAGTCCAGAACAAGCATTTCAATCCAGGGGTACCACCTTAACCAAAGTTAAGATGGAGATCAACTAAGGGTATTATAATAAGCATATTGTAAAAATCAATGTCGCAAGATATATAATAAAGACCGAATGCGCAGTAAAAGAGATTAACAGGCTTTAAATAAAAATCGAATCATATAAATACACAAACATCAAATGTTGAACTTAAAGTTTTATATGTAAATGTAACGTAACTGTGCTTCAGCCTGTTCTTTCTCGGCCTTTTTGAGGAGTCATCACAAATCCAAAAATTCCGCCATCGCAATTATCAATCTGTCGGAAAAATGGCAGTTCATTGCAGCAAAATGTTGCGAAAAAAGGGTTCAGTCGCGCACCAAATCTCCAGCTGCGGCTTGCCGTCGCAAAGCGATAACGAGCGATTCCAATGCGCGACAACCCGCCACCATTTTCCCAACAGACTGATAAGTGCACACTTTACTTTTTGTCCTGCAGTGATTTTCCCAATCTGCACTGGTTTTCACAAACTTTCGAACTTTTTTGCACTGATTTTTCAAAATCAATGTCAGCCCAATCTTTGGACTAAAATTCGACGCAACAGCAAAAGTAAAGGTTGAGAACTTCTGTGACCTCTTTTATGTGGAAGATGTATCTTTGGGTTGTATTTTGTAGAGCAGGAGAGAATCAACGCGTAATCGAAACAACGAGCATGCACTTGCTTACAATATCATGCAACTTTAGATAAACACTGACTGCTTGCACCATCGCGAAACTATAAAACCCGTATTATTTCCTTCCTTCAGCTACAACATCTCTAGTCGCGTTTAAAGCCCAGAAAGCGAAAACATTTCCTTCGTTTCAATTTTCAATTGCAGTGCCAATACGTAAAAAGCCTACTGTACTCAAGATCATTGAGAATGGCACAAGTTAAAGCGATAGTATTCGATATGGGAGGGGTTTTAATCCCCGCGCCATTCCAATTTTGGGAGGGTAAGGAGATTTCAGTTTTATCCAACGAAGATATTGTTGGACCTTCCATGATTTTAAAGTATTTAAGAACATTGCAGCCTTAGAATACGAGCATAATTTGAAGAAAGGCTCGATCAGAGAGACCCTGCTGTCCCCAGAATTTGTTGGGAGATTCCATGAATTAGAGAGGGGCCAGCTGACTTTGGATGACTTCAGAAATCTCTTCACTTTCTTTTACAACCGACAACATGGAACTAATGCAGCGTCTATCCCTTGTCTGGACTGGCTTACAAATGGTCCCACTATTGATCCCAAATGGATCCCCATATTGGAATCCTTGAGGTCTCAAGGATTAAAATTATATTTGTTGACGAATAATTGGTTCTTTGACAGAGCCAGATGTCTTCCGACTCTTCCCATTGATACCAGAGTCTTCCATGGGATCTTTGAATCGTGCAGATTGGGAATGAGGAAGCCGGAAGAAAAGATTTATGAACATGTCAACAGAAATTTGAATCTGCCTCCAGAGCAAGTGTTATTTATTGATGATCTAGGAGAAAATCTGAAAGTGGCCAAAAACCGTGGATGGAAAACTCTGAAGGTGGGCGTGCGACAAGAGTTTTTTTCAATGTATTATAATTACAGTGTGACAACATCGAAAATTGCATCGAAGAGATCGGAAAAGTTCTATCCGTGAATCTGCGGACTCAAGTACCCGGAACTCGACCTTGCTTGAGCCGTAAGTCGATGATGACCAACCAAAAGTGCTTTAGATGAAATTCTCGACCAAACCGCCCTCACCAGGTATCTCCAAAGTCTTTTCCAGTCGTCCTCCACTACTCTTGAAGTCAAGAAATTTGGGCATGGCCAGTCGAATCCAACGTATTACGTCAGATACGACAATCGGGAACTAGTACTGCGCAAGAAGCCGGTAAGTGTTTTAGATTGACTGGTTATAGTATTACAGAGCGGGAAACTTCTTCCCTCCGCTCATTTAATAGATCGAGAATACCGAGTTCAGAAGGCTGTCCAGAAGGAAGTCCCAGTGGCCAGAGTGCTCGATTATGCTGAAGGGTAAGGTGAAAGACAAAATTCGTTTATTTACAGAGTGCTGGACACTCCCTTCTATATCATGGAGTATGTCAGAGGGCGTATAATAACGGATTATGAACTGAAATCAGTCCCCAGAGAACAAAGAAGACTTTATTGGCTAGAGCTAGTGAAGGTTCTGGCCAAAATTCATTCCCTCAACTATCACAAAGCAGGTCTGGATAAATACGGCAAAGGCGGAAATTACATTGAGAGGAATCTGAAGACCTGGTATCGCAATTATAATGCCTCAAAGACCACTGAATTGGCTATCGCCGACCATATCCATGACATGTTATCCAAACAGATCCCTTCAGAATCCATGGTCACTCTGGTCCACGGAGACTTCAGATTAGATAACGTCATCTTCCATCCAACTGAACCCAGAATCGTGGCCGTTTTGGATTGGGAAAACTCGACGATTGGAGATCCGATGACTGACCTGGGAACCCTTTTGATCAACTATTATCATGATGAAAAGAAGTTGTTCCCAACTCTGAAACCAATTAATACGTTGCAACAGAGAGGATTACCCCAGGATAACGAGTTATTCCAAGTGTACAAGGATCTTCTCAGAGTGAATCCAAAGCCTCAATGGATGGAATCTGGAGTCAAAGCGCCGGAATGGAACTTCTACGTGGCTTTTCTGTTATTCAGAATTGCCGCCATCAGTCAAGGCGTTTACAAAAGACATCTAACTGGCCAGGCGTCATCTCCAGATGCCGCCTTTTATGGGCCTTTGGTTAAAAGATTACTGGAACAAAGCTATATAACTCTACAATACAAGAATTACGGTAATTCATATAACAAACAATCTTATTTTGTCCAGGAAAATTCGCCGTGGTACCTTCAGCATTATCGCCTAAAGCTCAGAAATACCATGAACTTGTATATAAATTTGTGCATGAGGTAAGTGACCAGGCCCACTCAACATAACAATATTCAGAAAATCATCCCGAGAGAACAAGAATTCCTGGAAATCTCGGAGAGTGACAACAAATGGAAGTTGAATCCATTAACGGAGCAATTGAAGAGGGAAGCCAAGGCCCTCGGTCTCTGGAATCTGTTTATTCCACATCATCTCGATCCAATGGAAAGATACGGAAAGGGATTAACCAATGTGGAGTATGCAATGATCTGCGAACTGATGGGGAAGTGTGTGTTTGCACCTGAAATCTTCAACTGCGGGGCTCCTGATACTGGTAATATGGAAGTGTTGATCAAATACGGGACTGAGGAACAAAAGAAAGCTTGGCTCACACCACTTTTGGAAGGTGAGATCAGATCTTGTTACGCAATGACGGAGCCTGATGTCGCTTCGTCTGATGCCACCAATGTCCAAGGGAGCATCGTCAGGGATGGAAAAGGGAATTTTGTCATCAATTCAAGGAAATGGTTCACTTCCAATGCCGCTCATCCCAATTGTAAGATCTGCGTTTTCATGGGAAAGGTCCAAGGATGGGAAAAGAAGAGGCTCCATGAGAGACAGAGCATGATACTTGTGCCTATGGATACCCCCGGAGTCACCGTGGTAAGAGCTCTGAACACTTTGGGGACATACGACGCACCGGGGGGACATTGTGAAGTCACATTTGAGAACGTTGTTGTACCCGAATCTAATCTGATACTTGGAGAAGGAAGAGGATTTGAGATTGCACAAGGAAGACTAGGACCCGGAAGAATTCATCACTGTATGAGATTGATTGGACATTGTACTAGATCTCTGGAATTGTTTAAAGAAAGAGTAAGCCCGTTAGAAAAACCTTTATAAACCCCAAACTTTTTCAGGTGACATCGGATCGCAAAATCCAAGGCCAGAAGTTGGTCACCTTCCAGAATGTCCGAGTTGATCTGGCCGAGTCTACGATCCAATTAGAACAAGCTCGTCTTCTTGTCCTCAAAGCCGCACATATGATTGACACTGTCGGCCCAAAGCTTGCAGCCAAAGAGATCGCCATGATCAAGGTGGCCGTTCCCCGAATGGCCTTTACTCTTATCGACAAGGTTATCCAGACCTTCGGAGCAGCCGGAGTCACTCATGACTATCCACTGGCCGTTTTCCTTATCTGGGCTCGGAGTCTCAGATTGGCCGACGGCCCTGATATTGTCCATCTGGAAACTGTGGCCAAACAAGAACTTTCCAAATTGTAGTCAGTCGTATTTACTGGCCTTAGTACCTGTTCATTGTTATTGATATGCATATAAATATAATTATGGTATACTGGTTGACAAAGTTGTCTTTCCCCCTCGTATCTCGGGAACCGCTGGGCCTTCCAAATTCGGCATAGAAACATCCTGGGACAATCTAACACCATACCCAAAAAATCATATCATTTGATGTGCACTTTTTATGCAAACGGCAAAAAAACGGATGACAAAATTTTCTTTCCACTTTGGAAAAACGTTTGCAAATCATAATCCGGAGGGCGCTAAGGCATGATTTTGGTATCGTTGTATTCGCGAAGAAGTCCTCTCTCGATCCGCGTCACAATTTAACAGGAGTTTTCGTTTGTTCAGAAGTGATTTTTCGGTTTTGCGGACCCTGGAAGCGCGCATTTCCCCTGCAACGCACTTAAATTAAATCTAATTCTACTGCCGGTGTAAGCAATGTTGCAACCATGAATACCAGTTTTTTAAGGGCATTTTCATCTCCTTATAACTTCTGTGAGCTCCTCTGGTCACGAATTTGGCTGAAAATGGACACGGCGACGATGAGCCGACACCCAAGGGCGAAGAAACGAAACCCCGGTAAAGTTCTGACACCAATCGAGAGAGCAATTTTTCGCAATCACAGGGATACCATAATCATGCCTTAACACCCTCTGGCTTATGAGTTACAAACGTGTGGAAAGAAAATTTTGTCATTCGGTTTTTTGCCTTTTTCAAAAAAAGGGCATAAAGTGCATCAAATGATACGATTTTTTTTGGGTATGGTGTTAGACTGTTCCACCGGATTTCTGTGCCCAATTTCAAGGTTCTAGGCCCAGCAGTTCCCGAGACCCAGGTGGAAAGAAAATTTTGTCAACCAGTATAGATTAACTAAGGAAGATATTATGAGCCTCCAGGGGATATAAAGTGGAATATAAAGAATCTAGCTGCACATTATGAAGGGCATCATCTCTTTGCATATCCACTCCGAAGTAATTGAGAAAGACTTTGAGATCGAGACCATAGGTTTTGGGATCAAATTGAGCTGGATTAGACAAAATATTAAACCATTTGGAGGTATGAACTCGGGATAAAACGGCTTTAAAACCATCAAAACATTCCTGGGAAACGCCTCGAGCCGGGTTATTGCCTTCACAAGGGTCTTCGATATTAATCAACGAGGTGCAATCTTCGTCACTCTGATAACTAAAATCATAAAAATTACTTCGTATAACACAAAAAGAAAAGGGTCTATATTTTTCTCCCAGAATTAAAAATATTTTTCCCCAGAAAAGAGCATTATAGAAAAACTCCTATTTTCTCCCAGAAAAAATATATTTTCTCCCAGAAAGAAAATATTTTTCCCCAGAAAAGAGAATTATGAAAAAAATGCTATTTTCTCCCAGAAAAGAAAATATTTTCTACCAGAAAACATGATTTTGTAAAAATAAAGCACGGAATTAGTAAAAATTGATGAATAAGTAACTTTACTAGTAAAATAAATTAAGCAGTAGTGTAAAATATTATTTGTAGTAAGTTTTTGAGGAAATACTGGAAAGAGATGTAATCGACGGTGCTGATTTCAAAAATGATGCTCATTTTTTGTGATTTTTACTTTTTTGTGGTCAAAGGGTGCATTGACAGCCTGTCTGTGTCGTCTTCTGCGTCAGGAAGAACATTCAGATTTACAATAAGAGAAACCCATCCATATTTTCATTGGGAACAAAAGACATCCAAGAATAAACCATTAAAGAATTCATTCATGCATGCCTTTGTATAAATCATTATAATTCTTACTTGTTTTTAAACTCAATTAAGAAGTCGTCTAAAGTAATATCATCTGGAAGTTGAAAATCTGAAAAAAAATTAGAAAAACGTGGGATTTCCAGCTTTATTGCAAGTAGTAATGTAAAATACGATCCATGGGTCCCAAAGAAGTGCATAATATCGGATTCGAACTGACTGACATATTGACTTGTCGTGCTGAATTATACCTTTAGGATATCAACGTCTTCGACATCACTATCTTTTAGAAGGTAGTAATCTCTCATGTTTTATTCTTGAATATCTTTTTTTCCCGATGAAGATAAGGATGAATTTCTCTTATTGTAAATCTGAATGTTATTCCCGGCGCAGAAGGCGAAAAAGAAAGGCTGTCGATGTACACTTCAATGCACTCTTTGAGCACAAAAAAGTAAAAATCACGAAAAATTAGAATCATTTACGAAATCAGCACCGTCGATTACATCTCTTTCCAGTATTTCCTCAAAAACTTACTACAAATAATATTTTACACTACTGCTTAATTTATTTTACTAGTAAAGTTACTTATTCATCAATTTTTACTAATTCCGTGCTTTATTTTTACAAAATCATGTTTTCTGGTTTCTGGGAGAAAATAGCATTTTTTTCATAATTCTCTTTTCTGGGGAAAAATATTTTCTTTCTGGGAGAAAATATATTTTTTCTGGGAGAAAATAGGAGTTTTTCTATAATGGTCTTTTCTGGGGAAAAATATTTTTAATTCTGGGCGAAAATATTTTTCCCAAAAGAAAACACATACCCGGAAGAAACATTTTCTTTCTTGTGAATAGCAATTAATTCGTTTTTGAAGTCAAAGGAATCGTAAAACTCCACAAATCCAAAGAACAATTCTATCAATGTCATCTCTTGTTCTTCAGGATCTAACAAGGAAAGTACTTTTATGGGGGCTCCTACTTTTTGACGGGACATATCTCAAAAAATCAGAAAAAATGTTCTGATCAAGGATATATAAATCTTAGCTGCCCATTTTAGGTTTTTAGGGGTTAAAATGCCCAAAAACTGGCTTAATTTCCCTACAAAAGGCGCAGGCATTCGAAACGATAGAAAGCGCAGTCGGTCTCTTCCTTCGGAAGAGAGCGGTGTGGCCGAGTGGTTAGTGCCGTAGTCTGGGAATCAATAGGGAGGACGCCGCACGGCTTCCCTGTTGATTCAGCCCTTTTGGGCTGAATCAACTTTTTTTGAAGTTGAAGACCGGAAAAATAAATTTTTGGGCCAAGACTTATTACGTCTTAGAAACTCAATAAACATCATTTGAAGCCAAAATAAAAATTGTAAACCTGTGAAAAATTAAACGAAAAGGGGTTCATATAGGACTTTAAATCAGCCTGCGATGGATTTTTCACCCCTAAAAACCTAAAATGGGCAGCTAATATTTACATATCCTTGATCAGCACATTTTTTCTGATTTCATGAGATATCCCCCGTCAAAAAGTAGAAGCCCCAATAAAAGTACTTTCCTTGTAAAATAATTGAATAATCGATCATAATACTCACCAAATTTCAACTCAAACTCCTTTATCACTTCAAACGGATCTTCGTTGAACTGTACATTGAAAATGTCCATCACTTCTTGGTGTAAATTCGGAAGAAGAGGGGGCTTAATTCCTCTTTGGAGATAGTAAATGACCATCAATGTGAGGCTGTAACTATTGAATCTCTGTTTACTGCCACCAAACAGATGATTCAATTTGGTCCATTCTTTAACAACCATATCGAGCAACCTGACCCGCTTGTCGATTCTAAAACTATTAGTTTTTACAAACCACAACTTTCGTAAGTAAACCTGAATATTACCTTACCTGGCATAACAGTTGAGTAAAAGAGAATTAGAGATCCCTTTACGACTGTTGATTCCCAAGTCCAAGAAATATGAATGGCCATTAAAATTGGACTGCATCTTGATCAATGGAAACTAAAAATAAATTATTAAAGTTTTGACAATAAAGTAATACCTTTGTTTTAGCGAGCAACATGGCATCTGAGAGGCCATTTTCTTGAACATTTTCCTCCTCCATCAGATAGGCCTTCAGATCTTCCAATAGCCCTTCTTTTGTTCGTTTCATTTGACTAAATAATAAGAACCATCCATAAAACGGATAGGCTTACTGCTCAGAAAATCCGATTATTGTAAGATCCATATCGGATTCCAAGTAACCGAACCCGTTAACTGCACTTCCAAACGCATAAACATCAACGCATTTGAACAGATCTGTGACTTGCTTGTGAATCACTGAATACAAGTGTATCTGGCCCAGAACAACTTCAGTAGATGGACGAAATCTAAAAAAAAAATAAAGAAACAAAGTAAACTTACTCATGATACACTTGCTCCAGTTTCTGATTAATTACCTGGACGGTGACTGACAATTCTCGTTTCTTTTTGGGCTGCAAGTAATAATACAACCCTGAATATTCATCCTCATCCAGGTCTTGTTCTTCCGCAGACTCAGAACTGGTTGACGGGAGGACAAAAGCCTCACTAGTCAGCTTCTTCTTCTTGCTGCTCCCCATAAACTTCGCTCTGAACCGTAATCTACAACAACTTTATATGTCAAGCTTTTGTTAATTAAAAAAAAAACAAGAATTTACAACACTTTAGAGACAATGACGACAAGTATACACTTTACTCACATCGTCTTTTGAAATTCTAATTTCATTTTTCAAAAAGCAACAATATACAAAACCACGGTAGCATAACAATACACAACGATTGCCAGCCATTTTTCATGATGTAAAAATGATAACCGACTAAAATTCCATTGAACGAAATGTCAAAAGACGAATCTACAACAATAATTATAATATTATCGCAACGTTTTTTCACGGAACTCTGGTCGCCTACACAGCGGACCCAAATTGACTTATAAAGACATATAACGACTTATATGAACAGATAATGACTTATAAGTCAAAATAACGTCAAAAGAGGAGGGGCTTATCTCTATTTACTTATAAAAACAAATAAGAACTTATAATAACAAATAAGTCATTTGCAAAGAAAACTTTTGAGCGCCAAATACGCTTTTTGCTTATTGCACGCGTGAGCTGGACTTAGAAATTCTAAGTTTTTGGAACGTCGTAACGTCTTTCTACCTTGGATCGATCAAAGTAAGGTGTTTTTAATCAAACTTTTTTCTTTTACAAGACTTTACAGTGCTTAGATGAAAGGTCCCGAACGTAACAGCCTTCCCGTGCAGGGAGCATGCCAGCCTGAAGAAGATCTATCCCCAGAAGATGTATAAACATGCACGATCAACCAACGGATTGCTAAAGGATCCATTTGCTTACTTTTGGTAAGTGTTTTTTTACTGCTTTCCACATTTCAGAGGTCTCGAAAAAACTTCAAGACAAAGTTTTGTTATATTGTACTAGGTCCAGGTGAACCCGTTGGGTTTTAGATAACTACAAAAATGGTCATGGAGGAATTCAATGGACAATGTATACACGATGAATGGAAACATGACATCCGGTTGCTTCAGGTATGATTGATAACATTCACCTGGATCTAGTACACTATCGCAAATCTCATGTCCAGAATTTTTTCCGCCAGAACCTTTTTTTGCAGTTCATTTTAGTGTTAGAAACGCATAAAACGTTGAGTTTAAGTCGAACTCGTATTATCATTTCCCGAAAAAACCTTTTTTCTAATATCTCCAAATATTTTCAGTGAATCAAGAAGCGTTAGAAGCAATAATATCCATCTACGGCCCCCTACAGAAGCGACGAACGCCCCATCAAAAAATCGCAGGTCCTTCGTGCATTGAAGTCTTATTCTACTTGTGCCGCTTAATTGTTTAAGTTATTGATTGAAATAAATCTTCATTTTTTTGCACGGTGTTATAAATAAAATGACTTATAAAAACATATATGAAATTATAAGTCAATTCAACAAGAGCGCACAGAGAACCCTTATAAAATCATATATGAACATATAAGTCATTTAAAATGACTTATAAGAACAGATAATGACTTATAAAAAAATCATTTCATTATAAGTCATTATATGTTTTTATAAGTCTATTTGGGTCCGCTGTGTACGCCGCGAAAACAAATGTTTGGCGTACTGTTAAATATTTTTTGTGGGATTCTTCGAAAAATTTGAAAAGTTGTAATTTAGCCCAATTGAACAAAATCTTGACAGAAAAAAGCTATAGACCCGATCAGTGAATTTTTCTTGTTATATTAGGTCTGTTTTGTCTTTCAAAGACACCATGTTTGATGAGTATGATAATTAAAATGTTTCTAGTTGCGGAATGCCAAGCATTTTGCCGTTTTACCAAAAGCCCGGGCAACGATTTCAATCATTCGAATAGCAGTAAAGATGACTCAATAAGTCGAGTTAAGAGTTGGAAAAAGTTGTGAAACTTTGCATAGTGATTGAAAATGGTGTTGCAGTGCAGACTGAAGATATAATAATTATAGAACGGAAAAAAAGTACCTGATGATTTAGATTTTTCTTAACAAATTTAATGAAGCCTTGGAGGCGCAGAAATATCGGAACTTCTTCGTGCTTCAGCCACATACTATTATACAACTACGAACAACAATTTCAAAGCTTATTCCATAAATTTAACAAGCTACCTAAAGTAACAAAATTTTTTGTATTCTCCCCAAGGCAAGGTTCCTTAAAAAATCCCTAAGTCTCGTAAAAATACATGTGAGTTGTTTATTCTTACATGAAAGATCGATAGCCACAGTTGTATGTCTTTCTTTTTGTCGTAAAAGACGAAATACTGTAAATCTCCTAAGGCATTATATCACGTAAACTACTACTTAAGAAAAAAAGTAAAAATCAGAAAAAATGAACATGATTTTCGAAATCCCCTTGAAAACCCCTAAATCCAGTATTTATAACAAAATTTCAAAAATTACTTTTTAACACTACAACATAAAAAAAGAAGTAAAAATCAGAAAAAATTAACATCATTTTCATACGATTGCAAAAAAAATCAAAATTTTTATGGTTTATGTCATGATATTATTATTAATTATTTAATAGCCATCAGTACAACATTTCTTCATCACCCGAGATCTGCCGAATTTTCACCACCCGAATATTCTCGGCCCCAAAAAAATTAACATGATTTTTGAAATCAGCACCATCGCAAACCCCCAAATGGATTTTCGGAAAAACACAAAGTCTTAATGGACCGTTGCCAAAAATTGGGTTCTTGGGACCCTTTCTTTGTGAATAAATGAAATCGTCAACAATCACCGATACGTGTAGTTAGGAACCTATAGTCTTAGAGCACTTCCATAACAGCTGCCGCAACCCAGCAATACACCCTGAAACCAAGGGTTCCTTTCTTTGAATTTGAAAACGAGCAGTTTCACTCGTATATAGCTAATTTGAATTTTCAAACATGCAGAATCAAACCGTAACCCAAGTTATGATGTTTTATATATGGCTCGGGACTTCTAAATCTCTCCGCAAGAGTCCATCCGAACCCTGCAAATTTAGTCCAAAGTTAAAAGTTGACAAAAAAGGAGGAGACGACAGAGAAAGGCAGAAATTCTTACAAAGAGAGAAATTGCGCAATGTTATGTCAGATTGCTCAACTTTTAACTTTGTACTAAATTTGCAGGGTTCGGATGGACTCTTGCGGAGAGATTTAGAAGCCCCGAGCCATATATGCGGGAAAAAATATTTTTTCAGTTTCCCTAATTTTCCTTTCTCCCAGTCAATCAACGAGTTGTTGTACTGTGTTTCGATTTTAATGATTCTTCCTTCGTACAGGTGTGAATCAACACCGCATTGTTGAGTGCTTGTGCTAGTGAAGCGGTCTCCAAAGCACTGAAAGAAAGCGGAACTTTCCTCGTGGAACCAGTATGGCCCCGGAGTAGAAGTAATCGGCCAGAAAGAGGGGATAATATCGTCAATGAACTGACCAGAGCCGAGATTTTGGATTCTTCTGCCTCAAGGGTGATGGCCGACTTCCTTTGAGTGAGAGTGATGGCCTGGCTCGCTCTATGAGGTCTGTCTCATCCGATCTCTCCACTTTCCACATGAAGTTTGAGGAATATCAGCAGGTTGCGGCTGATAAAATCTCATCTTTGAGGGCTCCGAACGTTTAGGAATAAATTGTTTTACTCTGTCGGCCCTTGATTTATTCCGTTTCCCCGTTTTTCGGCCGTTCTTTCCGCTTGAAACATTCAAAAAATTTAATTTAATATCCCGCTTTGGCCCTGCAACGGCTCCCAAACTTTTCGAACAGCTCACCAAACTGGACTGACTGACGGCTACAGTAATCTTGTTACTTCAAATACCCTTTATTTAAATGAAAGGGAGGCCGGACCTGTCAGGACCGTGTTCTCCGCGGACCGGTTAATTGGAAAAAGAACGGCCAAAGTCTCTCCAGGCAATCCTCGAAGAGATTTTCGTTATAATGAGGAAGATTCTCGGTCACGCGATGAAGAGGGAACAATTCGGGCATCACCTTTTCCCCTCAGCACATCCCTCCGTCCTATTTAACATTACTTTGCATTTATTTTACTGTAATTTGGGCTCCATTTTTAAGTTAGGTCTTAATTTGTTATCCTTTATTTTTCTGCATCATGGACGGCAGAGCGTGCGTGAGATTGTGGAAGATGCCTTATCTTAGCGCCATATGAATGGCGCATTGTTCTTTAGTCTGGCCCTGACCTCTTCTTTTGACATCGAAATCGGATATAAAGATGGGTTGTAGACGTTGTTGTTCATTTTTTGTCGGCCCCACTCTCGATGACGTAATATTACCTGCCAGAAGAGTAGAAGATGGGGGATAAGGTCTGCTGTCAACTTTTCAATTTATATGATGTCACGTGAGACTTGATATGCGTGGAATTTCTTGATCGTCGCTGTCATGAAACGCAATTTGAGTTCGTCGCGACATTCATTTTCTCAGCTTCGATACGATTTGCAATGCGACAGAGCGCTCACTATTTTCCCGACAGAATGATAAGAATGCCTTATATTCCTTCGAAATGATGCTTTAAATTAGCAAAATTAAATGGTTTGAAAGGTCAGGATTCTCGATTTCGGAAGAGAATATCGAGTTTCGGAGGAATGTATCGGATTAATAGGACATCAAGAAAGTCCAGCCCTTTATTTATTTTTTAAGTGTTATTGTTTAAATAGAGGACGTTTAAATTTTGGAAATTTACTCAACTGCTTTTTCATTATACTTGAGGTCACAGAAAATGAAACGTCATAATGACCTCAGGCATATTTGGTTATAACAAGTTGCACTCCACGAAACAATAAAACGTTCCTTTTAATTCGGTTTTCCTAATCCTCTTTTGTCCAATAAATGCCCTCGGGCTCTTTGGAAGTACAATTCGGCATCAGGTCTGAACTTTAGGCCCATATTCGAATGCTTTCAGAGGGATGACCAATTTCTCCTCATGGCAAGAGGATCCCTTAAGGCCGGACGATATGATTGCTGGATTTGTATTGCTTTTTTTGGGGATTGTATTCATCCTACTCTATTCTCTGGTCGCTTATTTTATGTACAGTCATGATAAAGTAAGTTGTTAATTATTTATGCAAAATACTTGGCATATTTCAGGATATCGTCGGCTTCAGATTCCTGTTCAGTGCGTCGATTGCAGATATCCTTTTACTCTTTAATTACACTATATGGCCCGCTTTTACAATCCTCTTCAAATCTGAACTGATTACCACAGATATGAGGCACTGGGTGCAGATGTACCTGGATTGGGTCTGGTTCTCCATGTGCTATCACTACATGGTGATCGCCTGGTCTCGATTTGCGGCCATCAGATACCCATCTTCTTTCCGGATACAGTCGAGGACCTTCAGTTACACTCTTTGTTTGGCTTGCTATGTCGCCGCAATGATCCAGGTAGTCATAACTTTCAATTAGGATATAATTATATCATCAATACTGCCAATGTTATCCTTTCAGGTGTTATGCACCCACTTTCAAGAATGGTATGTGACATTTTATTACGAACCCAGTCACTATGGGATGCTCTCCGAGGACTTTGAGAAGTATTTAAATGAGGGGCAATCACTTTTCTTCGCCACATTCCACTTCCTGATGATCATAATCCCTGCTTTTTTCTATGGAACAGCCCTCTTTCTACTCTTAAAACAACGAAAAAACGGATTGATTGGCCAAACGTTTACCAAGCCAGTCTCAACGCAATCCCGAACCGAAGCCAGGTGAGTTAGATACTGCTCAAATATTGAGATACATTGTTTAGACTCATCATCCCTTGTATTTTCAACTCAATCGTCTTTATAATCGGCCAAATTGTGATTACAATTGGAACTGGAGAAGGGAAATGGGCAACCTGGACTGTGATGTTACTCTTCAGCATGAACTCGGCTGTAAATCCAGTGCTCTTACTCATGTTTTCCAACATAATAAGGTCCGTTGACTTCTATATTATCCATAATAAAATGCAACAATAAAAATGATTTCAGAGAAAAGTTCAAACAGTTGTTTATCAAGCATAAACCCCCCTTAAGCCGACTCTACAGCACCGTTCGAGCCAGAAAAGAAACCTCTTCCACCAGATGTGTTATGGATAATATATCTTCTGGTGAGCCTTCCAATGATGACAGGATCATAGATCATAGTTATTTGTGATAGATACCTCTACTTAATGTTTATACGAGTACAAAATAAATCAAAACTGCTCTTCTTCGAGGTGATATTCCCCTTTTTCATAGCTGTAACACTCTTCGACGACATCATTCCATCTTCGGACTAGAGTTACTTTCGTTTTGTAAAAGACATCCGGATCATTTAAATGTTGCCAAATTGAAAGCAGGCTGAAACGACAATCATAACAATAATCATGAATACAAAAAGCAATCTGCTTACTTGAAAAACACAAAATATTTTAAATATCTGAGGTAAGAAGCTTTGAGGATCTGCAGCGTGCAAGGAGTCTTATGCGAATCGACCATCTTGTAGTAATATCTCTTCAGAATCTTCATCACATTCGGCCTTCGTTGATGTTTATCCAAAGAAGATAACATGAGATAAGCCAAGTCTTCAATTGGATCTCCAAAATGACAGTTCTACAAGACCCTTCAAAAATATGACAAAGACATACCTCCCATCCTTTTATTAGAGCTACGTTCCCCTCCTGGTCAAAATTAATATTCTCCGGAGATAAATTCCCGTGACAAAAAACTTTCTGAACATTCGGATCTGTTGAAAAGGCATACTCCAGAGAAAGGAAACTTTTGTACAAGTATACCAACTGAAATCAGTGCAATATTATTCGCAGAGTGTTTTAGTCGTCAACTTGACGCGTCAGTCACGTTGTCAAATAGTCGTCATTTTGGTTATGTCAAATCGTCATTTTGATTGAATTGAACTTCTTTGGGAAATTTTTGTCAATTTTTACTAAAAAATGATAGGAATTTTAATTTGTTTAGGAACTAAATCGCCCCTTCTTGTCAAAACTACCGATGAAATAAGCAGTAAAACTAGTTGTGTCTAATATTAACGGTATTCACCATAGTCTACCTTGAACTCGCGTTTGAAAGCTTCGTATATCAAAAGTTTCAATTTAGCCAAAATGACGCTGATTTGACGCAATTTGACGCCAGATTGAAAAAAAATCGTTAAATTAACAACCCTAATTATTGGTCATCTTGTCATAATGAGACATAACGTGAATTGTGCTTCACTTTTCCCCACTAAAATATTACCTTATCCAAGGTGATTTCAGGATGAATAAAAACTTCAGAATAACGGTTCAGAATCTCCTCGAGATAGCGATTGACTTGATGTTTCAAGAAGACGGAATAAAATCCTTGAACAAGAATATAGTTATCCTTATTTACAGTATCAATTGCCTTGGGAGCTGAAGAATAACATAATGTATACAATTCCCGTAATACTTACGAACATTAGCACCATGCAGTTCTGTCAAAACATCGACAATCTTGAAAACCTCCTCAACCTCGAGTGTGGTCTTCTGAATAGTTTCGACTGATGGGATTTGCAACAACAAAATAATAAATCGATTATTCGGAATGGATTTGAACGAATTCCGGATGTAACAGCGATATCGACCTGTTGGAACGGTAAGTTTCTTGTGTTTTATCCATTCAAATAGATACCGGCTATTGTAAAATCCAGCCTGAAGTAAGGGTGATTTTAATTGATTGGCTACAACTTTTTTAGTTTTTGGCCAAATTTTGAAATTCCTTTTTTCCCTGAACTCTCAGCTATCCCGATTTCGTTTAATACCAAAATTATATATACATGGTTTTGTTCGTAGTTATTGGTTTGGCAAAAAACTAAAAAAGTTATAGCCAAAAATCAGGCCGAAAAATTGCCGCACCCTGTATTTTTTAGGTATGAATAATAAAAATATCACAAAAGCTTACCAAAGACCCCGTGTAGTTCAAATACCCGCCGAATTCCCCATTCTCGTCCAAAAAGTAGACTTCATACTTATTTCTTCCATCCTGAAATCGGTAAATTCACCCCGAACTGTTCATCTTAACACTCACCTTCACTGAAAACTTCTGAATATCCGGTAAAATAGATTGTCTTAGTGTTTCTGATTGGAGTTCGGAAACGGGGAGCTCTAGGAAATCTGCTATCGACTTCAAAGCATCAACGTGCATTTTACAGCTGTCTAACACCTCCATTCTCACTATTCTTCCAAAACTGGTCTTCTTATCAGTAAAACGAAATGCCAAAATGGCGGAAAACAGATAACTCAAAAAAAAAAATAGTTTTTCGAAAATTTGCGAGAATATTTTCGTCGGATCGACGCGGAAGGGGAAACCTTTTTTATCTGATATTTGAGTATTTAGCCTTCAAGCCATCTATTTGACTATTTTGAGAGTAGTATCAATGATGTTGAGCCCTTTGAAGAGGAAGTTGGCCCATAAAAAATCGCCTTATAAATCTCCTCGTAAATCGCCTCACAAAAATAAGACCTTCAACTCTCCTTCTTTGCAGAAGACCTTGCTAAAAAAAAGGAAAAGGTGAGTTAAAATACTTAAAAAAGTATGATTTCAGTCGAGTGTCGTTGTTGTTTCAAAAAGTTGACGAAGACTTCAGTAAACCATCGACTTCAGGATCAGGAGATAATTGTGAAAATGTATGTTTGTTTGATTGGTTTTACAAAATATTGTAGGAAGATCCAATTCCAGCAAAGAAACCGAGAAGGAGGTGCTCCCCTGAACGAGTCAAGGTGCAGAATTTGCCTCAGGATTTGAGAATTGGGAATAAACTGATAGTAAAATCGAGTATCCCTTTTACATTCACTCCAAAAATCTCCCAAACAACTTATGAACAGACTGTCAGGTTAAACATGACTGCATCCCAAGCGTATTTGAAGAATCCTAAGGTAACCATTATTTTTTATCTTGATTGTTAGGTGTCAGAAAATCCAGAAGTGCTTTTGCAAGCATCCTGTTTGTACTGGAAGTATCCTTGTTCGAGTATTCTCAAGTTTCCTCGATTAGAAGGAGCTTCTGGTCTTCTGAGAACGGAAAAACGGTCTTATAATCCAATATCAAGAGAGACTGTCGAACTCACGGCGACTTTATGGTGAGAAATGTGGATTTTATTGGTATTATTAAAGTTTTTAGGCAAGATGCATTTGAAGATTTGTATTGTCAGTGGAAAGATTACGACCTGACAGCATTTTATGTATGTTCCAACAGTTTTACCGTCCTTTTTATTAAATCCCAAAAAACTGAAGTGACGACAACTGAAGGGGAAGATCCTGGGGAAACGTCATGTATGGGATTCAACGAGTTCACTCAATATAAAGCCATCATTACTCCTTCAACACGCAGTCTGAGGAAGTGGCTGGGAGATAATGGTGAGTATTATATAGATTTTTTTTTTATTTATCCAGATATCTCTTACACAAAGGTCTTCTCGTCTGGAGCCGAAGAAATCAATGAGTCTCTCGCCTCGATGAATGATTCTCAAGATTCCCTTGACGTCTCTTCTTTCTCTTTACAAAGTCAGCGAACTGAAAGGGCGAGAACTCCAGACCAGAGTTATCAGGTTCTAAAAGCTGTAAACCCAGAGGAAGAATATGTGAGGTAAGATGGAGTTTATAATTATTGAATATCCCATTTTAGTCCGATGAAATTGGGAGAAGATGTAGCCAACGATGACTTCCTCAGACGGATTGGCCTCAGCCCGAGTGTAATGGTGAGGAATGAGACTCGGGATTCCCAATCATGTAGCCAGTTCTCAATGGACTGTAACTCCCAAGACTCGTTGAAACCGGCTGCTGGAACGACCTTGGTATTATCGGATGTGAATTCCATAGATGCCTTTAGATCTCTCTTATGCAATAACAAGACTGGATGGGTACGATCAGGACCAGAAGCAGGACTTCCACCTACTCTAATTTCCACAGAGCAGTTTATGAATGCGTCTCTTACTTCCCTTGAGGTTGTTTTTCATAAAGTATTGAATAATCTTACTTGCAGATTCGAACTCAAAAACTTCGAAAAGAGAAACATCAGTATGTAATTGAGATCCAGAACGGTCCTATTCTTCCCCATCTTCCTCGCATGGTCTTTGAATACCTTCGGAACTCTGGTCAATTCAAAGATGAAAATATAATCCACTTCCATGTGAATGGGCGGTCCATTTATGATGGCCTGAATGAGGGATTCTCGGATGGAATGAAGAACATAAACAATTTCTCATACAACCCTAAAGATTCCCATTTTGAATACTAACAAATAAAGTAGTTATCTTTCATTCGTATAAGTGGTTTTTTGACACACGCGCGAAGCAAGGACGCGACTAGCCGAATTTCAGGAAATTTTCTGACAATGAGTCGGTGAATCAGCCGTCATTTAGGCGTGGACATAGGAAGAAATCTGCTTTGATAAAAGCTCCATCGCAAAGGTCAAAAACATGATTTTGGGCTCGGGAGCCGCTCAGAGTCGGAGCCAAGAGCCGGCTCCGGAGCCGTGGCAATCTCTGGTTGTAGCAATTGTAAAAAATTATATCTTGACGAAGGATTTGGGTAAAAATATTGTTTGCTTTTGTTTGGTACCTGCCAACAGTCATTTTAATGCAAAAAAACTCAAAATCAATTTTGTCCTATGTCCTCGGCTGATTCACAGAGTCAAAAATTTATTTTTGAGAAAAGGTGCAATATTTCGAGAGTGGAAGTAATATAATAAAACTGTTGTTTCGGAGGCTTCTGCGGCTACAACGGGGGCGCTGGACCTGTCTTCGGCAATTGGTCACCATGAAGTTGTCTGGCCCCACATTCGACGCCCTTTTTACGGAAGAATTGAAGCTTTTGTATGCTCTTTTTGGGAAAAATCAGTACGAGCTCCGGTAAGTATTAAAAGTGAGCTTTTTTGATTTTTTAGGATAGCTGGGGGTCCTGTTCGTGATCTTCTGATGGGGATTAAGCCAGAAGACATTGATCTTGCTACGACTGCTACACCAACTCAGATGAAAGAACTGTTCGAAAAGGAGAATATAAGGATGCTGCATAAGAAAGGAGAGGAACATGGGACGATTACTTGTCGACTGAATGATAAAGAGAATTATGAGATAACAACACTTCGGATTGATGTTGTTTGTGATGGACGACGAGCTGAAGTCGAATATACAACGGATTGGAAACTGGATGCCTTCAGAAGAGATCTGACTATAAATTCGTTGTTCCTTGGTCTGGATGGAACTGTGTATGATTATACTGGAGGAACAGAAGATATAAAGGCACGTAGAGTCAGATTTGTTGGAGACGCTGAGCAGAGAATACAAGAAGATTATCTAAGGATATTCCGATACTTCAGATTTTTCGGAAGAATCGCTGATCGCCCTGATAGTCATTGCAAAGCGACTTTGGAAACTATAAAAAATAACAGGGAGGGGATAAAGGTAACATCTTGTTATGATTAATTAAATTCTTTAGAGTTTGAGCGGGGAAAGGATATGGACTGAATTCAAGAAGATCCTTGTGGGAAGATTTGCATCAGAATTGATTAGAGTTATGGTGAAAGATTGCGACTTGGCAGAATATTTGGCCCTTCCATCTCAGTATGCTCGTGAGAAGTTGGATATATTCAAGAGCATATCCATGAACATTAAGGTTCTCTCCTCCGAATCCGAGCAACCCCTGCCGAGTACTGTATTAGCAGTTTTATTGGAGAACATGGAGGATGTAAACAAATTAAATTCCCGTCTTAAGTTGTCTACAGTTGAGAAATCGTTGTGTGAATTTATTGTAGAATATCGAGATGAGGCCAAACAAAGGAAGGATGACCTCGCTTTCTTCCGGGATCTCGTTCTCGACAATTCTTTCTTATATGGAGGTAGGTGACTTCTTTGTAACACCTGTTGACATACTAATTTTCCTGAAAATGGTTTTGATATGCTTGCGCCTTTCCGTTATTAATAGAATTCGGAATGTTTAATATGAATATTAACCCTTCCCAATTTCAGTGCAAGCTCGTGATCCCTCCCTTCGATTTACCATCGAATTACTCAAATACATAGGGGCCAAAGACACTCTTCAAAGGCTCAGAGAATGGTCTGAAGAGGAGGTAATGTTCCCCGTAAATGGCCTCTCTTTGATGACGAACGGAGTGCCTAAGGGCCCCAAAGTTAAGGCCATCTTAAATTATTTACACGACCTTTGGAAAGCGGTAGGTTGAATTTTATTATTTATGATTTCTTGATGTTTCCAGAGTGATTGTAAATTAACCGAAGACCAGTTAATCCACCACGCCCTGAACGACAAGATCCCCAGCACTCCGCCAAGACAATTCCGGAAGAGACGCTGGGTTCAGATATCGTGAGGGAATACATTATGTTGTTGTTTATGAATTCCTGGTAAAGAGGTTGTTATTACTATTACTATCGAAATGCGTTTGCTGTCTAGTCTATTTATACTATTTTCAATATTCCAATTGCCTCAGGTTTGTTAATATTAAACTTTGAATATGACATTGGAAGTATCATGTCATTTATAAGTTTCAGGGGTCTCTACACCCCCGATATCCCTTCAGATCCTTTGAAAACAAGGATCCCGAGGCGAAGAGGGTAAACGTGATCCCCCAGAAGTACCGGAGCTTCTTCGGTGTGAACGTAGTAAGTGTAGATGTAGTTTATTTACAGTTCTCTAGCAATTAAATGGTGACTTCTGGCCCCGAAAAATGACGATCTCCGCACCTCGAATGCCTCAGGGCAGACAGCCTTTGTTCCGCTGGAGTCCTCAACAGGATCTTCTTCATTTCCTTTTATAGTAATCTTCTGGGTCACAGAACCCACAACTGAGTGCACATATCCTTCGCATCAGTTTCCAGTAGCGCCAATGAGTACACAAATGTAATTTCTCATCACAATCCAAGCCCCGATTCGTGCAGAGATCATTCTCGTAGACCTGAGGTTGAGGTCGAGCACCCGGCCTCCAGCGATGATTGTATGTTGGATAAGATGGTTGTCGAGGAGGCTGTAACCAAATAAATATTTTATGTCTTCTTTTTTGATACCAGAAAATTAAATTTGTCTTACCGCTGATGGAGATCCCATCGAGCAGAATCCACATGTCCTTCGACAATTATTTTGCATTACTGGTAGATAAAACTTGTTAAAACACAAAGATTTGAGGTAGAAACAGTTAGGGGCTACATCGAAACAAGGTTTTTGGACAGCAATCTTCCTCGGCTTATGTTTAATCGGCGGAGAAGGTGGAGGTCGGAGAATGAGATGGTTAATGTTCGGTGCCTCAATGGATTCACTCCGGATTTCCTCAGAGTGCCCATAGTTTTCTAACGAATAAGATTTATCCGTGTCCATTCGTGGGTATTTCCAGTTTGTTTCTGGAAATGGGTGATAAACAAGTCCCAAACCTACCGTAATCAACATGTCTGGCATCCTGGATATTGACATTATACAGCGGATCGTCGTCTTTTATAATCTCTCCGCAGACCTGACAAGTCTTTGCGCATTTTGTGTACATTATTTCTTTGAAAGCTTCGTTTTTACATAACCCTTTCTTATCGGCACAATCGGTCGAGTAATCTGCAAAATACGAGATTTAAACCAATTTGTTCTTCAAGTTTACTTGAAATATCATTGTTCTTACCCATGCATTCGACCTCATCGTTCAAAGGAAGATTCAAATCCAACAGTGGAAATGGCAGTACGGCATACAATTCAGGGATCAGATGACTGTACAAGCATAATATCCATAGAGACATTACTAGTATTGTAAGCACTGGTTTTGTTCTGCAGAACCGAAAAGGAGTCCGGGATATTAAGATGGACAAACAAACGGGTCAAATAAGAACCCAACAAGGGAAATGCTCGGGGAACGTCCGGTATTCGGAACTACCCAGGCTTCAAGACTATTGCGTCATATACAGCAACCCTTATTAATTTTGTCTATAACCGATATTACGCCTGGGCTGTAACAGTTTATTCGCTTTGATTTGAAGTCCGATTCCTGTTCTTTCCCTTAGGGAGACTGTGAATGGCCTTCTGATACGCATGCATAAAGTCACGGTAATTGAGAACAGAGCAACAACAAGCATTCTGAGGGCCTTGCTCTGCAGGGACAAAGTGACCAAAGCTGCAAAAACATCCATCGATCCAGTTCTCAGGGGTCCAGTTATCTGGATCACAGATGTATTGGACCTGGGGGGACGCCCGACTGTTTATCAGACTGTAGTTGTATTGAGCTGGGAGGTAGATGCCTGCAAAAACAATTTCAGGCATTCTCCAAAAGTAATTCACTCTATTTTACCTGTCTGAATTATTTCGTAATCATCCAATTTGTGAACAAAGTAGCAGAAAACGCTGAGAATAAAGTCCACGCTCCAAAATCTCTCTTCCATGCTCATATCGGTGTGCAAACATGTCTTATGATACTGGAATGGAAGTATGTTTAAAAGATATGAACTTACACTGGCCGCAGATGATATCAGTCTACTGGGGACCCGTCCATTGTCAAAATCGCGGTCGTATGTTTCTCTTATATTCTCTCCGATTATATTCGATATCTCATCGATACTCACATTCTACAAATAGCAGCAATGGAAAGTCTCTCATTACTTACCACGAACTCGTGATCAACTCTTATATGACATTTGTAAAGCGGCATGATTAGGCTTAAAAGAATGATTAAAATAATTCAAAATACCTTTTGAGAACTTACTTCTTGTTTTCTGAACTGACAGTAGACGAATAGAAGCACACGTTCTCATAGTATTTCGGGGCTACTTTGTAAAGCGGCCGCGCATTGATGACTTTAAAACTATTGTGTTGAACATCATAGGTAACATCATATTCACAAAGAGTGGCGATGGATTCAAGCGTAATGCTAAGAAAATATAGGCGATCTATAGGTACTTTATGTATTTCAGAGTACTCACTCGTTGGATTCAAGACCGCAATGAATTGAAAAATCCTTCTTAAACTCCTCGCTTATCGTAGCTGTAAGTCAATAACATTTGTAGAATGATGAGCATGTAATTAAAGTCAAACAATTCTGACTTACAGGAACACCACACTTCATTTTGGATAACATGCATTCCTGTTTCTTCCCGTAATACACCAAATTTTATTTTACAACATTTTGGGCCGGTCTCCTTTCTATTAGGTGCTGAAATCCTCTCAAACAGGCCTCCATAAACAAAGAAAGACTTCCACTCATCTCCTGGGTCTACTCCAGTTTCTATTGCAGCACATCCGTTTCTGCTCTCTAATCGCACCAAGTTTGTGTATCCTACATCCCGGGATATCATCACACATAGTTGGCTCTGACGAATGTAACAATTGTATCTAGAGAAGAGAGTAAAAACGACAAATCAAACGTACGGTCTGTGGGTGGATGAAGGAGGCAAACAACTTTTATATTGGCTGCCTTCTTTCCGGACATACAACTAGATAACAATAATAAGATCTTATTATATGTAGTATGTTATTATTATAATATAAATGCACACACCACTGCTTATTAAGACATTACTTACATCGCCATAGAAACTTGAGAATATATCGGTCCCATTAAAAACCGGCCCATTATTTGGCGTTGATGTAAAGTTGACGGGAATCAACATAAGCTCTCCTTTCCGGGGTTGACCTGAACCTTTGTATTCACTGGGAAGGGGGTCGATCATAGCCTTGTTCAAATCATGAGATGACACAAAGACAAGGACATTTTTGGGAGCATAGATCTTAGACATTCCGTGGCCCACTACTTCTTTTGCAAACTTTTCCACAGTATCCTTGATCTAAACAAAAATGATGACTAAATAAAAAAATAAAAAAATACCTTAAGCGAACATTGCCATGGCAGTTTGTGATCTTCGGGAGTTGCAAAGGCCATATACCCGCAATCCCTTGATGATACTACCACAGTGACACATTGGCTTCTGTTTTCCTAAACATAATCAGTTCAGTAATGAAGTTACGGGAAAGACAGCGACCGCTGACAAAACCATACTTTGCATTCAATAACACGATGAAGAGGATGCCCTTCAATATTTTTCATCAAAGCCTTTATACTGTGTTGGCTCGCTGTAGCTTCTATTCTTAATGGTAAGAACAGAGATAGGTAAAATACAACCCACATATTGAAAACAGCGACTTCAAAAAAATGAATAAAATAATAAGTCTTTTCTACTTGGATAGTTTGGAAACCTCACAAAAATTATTTGCATTTTTTTGCACTTGTGCTCTAAACGTTTGGTCATCAAGCAGTTCACCTTGCGTGACGCTGCACCACTTTCATCGTATAAGAAAATCCATTGGCAGTCTGCGCCCGAAAGTATATTTGGAAGTTCTACTTTGCGAGCCGAATTTTCAGCAAACCCTTGAAATCTATTGACCCGCGGTCTCTTTTACCCTTGTTTTGTGTCTTACTTGTTTTTGATTGCCTGATTTGTGTTTTTCACTAGTTATCTTATATTACTATTTTAGGTCGGCATGTCTGACGATCCTGTAGCTGAATTTTTAGCTCGTGAAGATGGTGCTTTAGACGAAGAACTGAATAACGTTGTAGCAGCTCCAGGTTTGTTCCTCCCTTTATTGATTGATTTTCTATTCTAGTTGTGAATGGATTCCAGCCCAATGGCATTCAGGACAGTCACGAAGACTCCGGAGTCGATCTTGTCGGTCAGGCAGGTGATATAAGTCCCCCAGCGGTTCTGCAGCCCACTAATGGTGATACATCGTCCAGTTCTGATTGGATACATGTTTCAAATTCAGGTCGCGGCGCCAGTCCAGCCAGTTCAGTCCACTCTTCGAGCAATCACAGTCATTACCTAACCAGCCAAGAAGAACCCGAGTCCATCAAGAAGTGGAGGGAGAAGCACCTGAAATCCATCAAAGAGAAAGGTGGGTAATTTTCAAAGTTTTTATTCCGTGTTTTAGATGAATTGGAAGAGAAACAGAAAAATGAGTTGAGAGAACAAGCCAAGAAGGAATTAGAGGCTTGGCACAAACAGAAGGAGGTAGAGATTGCCGACCGTAAGAAGCAAAACAGGTAACTTCTATTATAAACCATTTGTAATCGTTCTTTAATTTATTTGGAAGTTCATTTGGGCTGTTTAATGATTTGTTTTTATTTTTAGAATAGCCGAAGAAAAGTTGAGCAAGAATCTAGTGGAATCTCAGAGCAATGGTCAAGGGTGGGCAGAGATTGCAAAACTAATTGACACTGGGAAGCCGGCCAAGAATGCTGTGGATACAACTCGAATGAGAGCCTTGATCCTCGAGCACAAGGAGGAGACTGTCGCTTAAGCAGAGCTGCTTAATATTACTGTAACATTAATTCACTTGGTCCGATCCCTGTAATTAATGTACAGTTGATATTTGGGTCGTCTGTTTGAATATTTTCTGTGTGATAAATTATTATTTTAACATTTGTTTCTTGAAAATAACAAAATTTCTGTTCAAAGAATAAATCTAATCCAGTCACTGCGTTCATTGTCGATTAGATAGATTAAAAACAGAGCTTTCAGACGAGCTGGGCGTTTTCCGGTATTCAAGGCATTTGACTGGGCGCTAAATAGAGTTAGTTTGGGGGCCCAACGGTCTGTCTGGCATCAATACCGAGAAAACTTACTCTCTGATTACTTGTAGGCCTTACATAGGCTGCGCGACCAGACTCTGAACTCACCCCCGCTTCAGAGTCTAGGCGTTGCAACGACGACCTTGACTCTCGAGTGATAAACGGAGGGAAAGGAGGGCATCGGGGCAAGGTAACCCTCTGATCTCGCTGGCTGTTCCGTCTTCAGACTGATTCAGCGATGAGTCTCCCGGATGACTCTCCCCACACCCCGTCGCTCTTCCGGTGGTCGCCATATTCAATTAAACGGACCATGTTCTCATGGCTCCTTTTAATTACTGTGGTTTATGCTGTCCAGCCACCTCCCTCTTACCGTCCCTTTATTGTGAACAACTTTGATTTGAATGATTACCATTCCCATAATACGGTAAGCTTGATTAAAATAATCTTTACTCCCTGTTTCAATATGATGACGTTATCCAGATATTTTAGATTCTAAGATTCTTGAACTCGATACAAAATAATCGGAGCAGAGTTCGGTCCCTTGGGCTCTCATCCGAACAGAGACATATTCCAATTGTAAAGGTAATAACATTTTTATTTGGATCTCCTTCTTACAGATCAGTGCTCTCGACACTACCAGACCCCCTGTAGAGGTCTTCATCGATGCTGGCTTCCATGCTCGAGAATGGATCAGCGTAGCCACGGCGCTTCGACTCATTTACAATGTAAACATCTTGCTGCAAGAATTTTATTAACTGTTTTAGCTATCAAGAACAAATGATTGGCCTTCGAATGTCAACATTTATGTTGTCCCCGTCGCCAATCCAGATGGTTATGAGTACACGAGGACATTCGACCGTGATTGGAGGAACACTCGGTCTATTCTGGCACCCAATTTCAGGAACTGTAGAGGCGTGGATGCAAATCGGAACTTCCCTTTCCATTGGGCGGGACAAGGGACCTCAAACGATCCTTGTTCGTAAGTAGCGTCTTCACATTGGATGATTAATTAATGAATTAAAAATATCAAGCCTAGTTCAGAGAGATCTACCACGGCCCGCGCCCTCTGAGTGAGCCCGAGGCCAGAGTTGTCGCCCAGTTTCTCTCGAAGCACGCGAATACCCTCAGGGCATACATCAGTCTCCACTCATACCATAATGCGATCTTAGTGCCCTTTGGTTATAGAAGTAACGCCAGGCCGAGAGATTATGATGAATTGGTATGGGAATATCATGAATCGGGGATGCGATTGTTTAATTAGTAATGTCGCATGTTTTGTTTACAGATGTGGACCGCCTTGGATATGACTAGAGCCATGAATTCGCTCTATGGAAACAATTACACGGCCATAAACTCAGCCCAACTTTGTGGGTTTTCTATCATATGAAAGAAGGATACTTTAAATGACATTATCTTTCGTAGTTTAGATCCAGCAGCTGGCTGCAGCGATGATTACGCCAAATCCCTGGGCATCAAGTACGTGTACACGATGGAGCTGACGACGGGAGAGTTCAATCGACAATATGTTGGCTTCGAAACACCCAGAGAACTAATCCAACAGACCTATGATGAAGTCCGCGCAGCTCTGTTGACATTACTTTTGAAGGTTTCCGAGCTGTAGATAACATATTCGAGGATCAGACATCCAATCGACGGCCTTACGGGTTCTTCTGTTCTGTTGCCAAGAAATTAATTTAAATATTTCGGTGGGATTTTTAATTTGAAATTGGTAAATATTGGATATTGTTTATGGGCGCTCCCAATGGAAACCGGAATGGTTACTCAGCTGTAGTCATAACACATTATTAGCTGACCTGGTGTGTCCTTTGACTGGATTCCCGATTTCCGGCGTACATGCCGAATACATCATGCGCTTCATTGTTATTAGGAGTTCGGCGTTCTCTTGAAATTTAGATGAGTTTCTCGGAATTCTTTCACATATTATTCGTCTTATACCCGATGCCTATGGAGTCATTGAGGTCCGTAAATTCCACTTTTTCCTCAATTATTTAACCGAAAGGGCATGGAATCAGACTGACAGAACCTTCGGAACGCGGTAAACATGCCCGTGGACGTCCTGTGCCCCGCTCTCTGCCTCCTTTCACCTCTATCCTCACCTTCACCTCCATTTGTTCGTATTATGGACATTAATGACATTTATGGATATGTGTCTTCTTTGTTCCGTACCGTATGCCCTGAAGGGAAGTGTCATTCCCACACAAATGTCCAGTGCACTCTGATTGTTTCGGCGATGCAACCCGGGCCCTGAGGGTGAGAACGGGCCCCTGCCTATAAAGGGTCGGTCCCTACTTCACAGTGCCATCGTTTTCGTAACGTTCTATAATATAACTTTTGTCAAGTCCTGTGGGTGTTATTTCGCGCACTCACCAAATTAATTAGGTCTGAAGGACTGGGCCAAGCCCTGGAAAACAACTTCCTGACTGGCTGTAAGGATTCCGGTCTGGGTTTTCGGGCTTTCTTTACTCACCTGGAGGGATTATATGAGTTCATATCTAAAGATTTATTACAGTCGTTAACATCAGGACCTGAGTTTAGGGTAAATCTAATTTTTGGAATAAAGGAATTTCTGAGCCCTTACGTAACACTTTCCCGTTACTCATTTCATTGTAATCTGTCATTAATAATACGAGCATTAACTCCGACCACGTTGCCAACCTGTCAGACTGGCACTTTGAAGGTGCTCAATATGCCCAGAGGGCTTTCGGCTTTCCCGGCGACTGCAGATGGATAATATGGGCTTATTAATGGGTATGATCGGGTGCAGATGCCGTCGAATATTAAGGCCAGGGATCATTGTTTTTATCACTCTGGGGTGTAAAAGGACTTTCTGATATTTATATCCCTGAATTATCTAAATTTATGTATATGCCTAATCCGACCAATTTAATCGGGGCCAGCCTGCAATTATCAGGAACGGGATAGGATTAGCTGCCGTTCCAAAAAGGACGAGAATGCGTGGGTTAAAGGCCTGAGGGAATTTAAGGCTTTGTTTCAAATTAGGCACAAATCCTCCCAAGGGATGTCCTTGACATCCCGAGTCGTTTGCATAGATAAATTAGTATAATTTGAGTTGTCTTTTCACACCTCCATCACCGCGACCCGTCCGTTCAAATTCCGGGGGCCAAATATTTTAATTAGTCCGGCCTAATTAAAGATGAATCGAGTGGAAAAATGGTGGCCCCGGAGGGGACAAACCGTTTCCCCGCTTATGTTTCAAACATGGGATTCACCCAGCCATGGCGAGGATCCTGGAGAGTCGGGTAATCTGGTTACAGTCCGGATCACTGCTCTGATATTGTTATATTTATTATAGGGACTTGCAGATTGAATGATGACGAAATAATTCCCAGTTCTATTGTTACAGGATTACTTTATAAATTAATTTGAATAACTTAAAGTGTAAGTAGGTAATTTGTTTATTTACGCTTTTACTTCTGCTTTCGAATAAACGCTTGGGGGTTTTTAAAGGTTTGTCTGCAACGTGTGACTGGTGGCATTATTATGACATTTGAAACGGTCGGGTTTAATCATTGTTTTGAAATAATCTTTGCAAAACACGTGAGTTTTCGTATGTTTTTGTCAGTTTTTTTGTTTTCGTATTTAGCGATGGATACGACGACTTTACTTTGTTTTATTCGCTTGTTTTTTACTCTACCTTTAAACACAAAGAGTGTCATTTTGAAGGTCGGGGGAACTTGTTTCTCCTCTCTGTTCCGCGACCTCCATTCCTCGACTCTATTTTTTGTGGAAAGCGTTATTTCTTCGGCCCTGAGGGTCTTTTGATGACATTGGCACGGGTTTCATTATATTCCCGTTATTATCGGACTATTCATTGTTTTCAGAGCCAGTAATGTGGAGGAGTTGAGGCCATGGAAGGCGAAAATAGCATCATCAACTTGACGACCATCGGTGTGGAGGATGACGTCGGTACGAGTGAGATCATTGTGGTCGGAGGCATCTCTTTGACCGAAAGTAAGTGTAGCCTCCAAGAAGAAGATGGTTTAGAATTCTTCTCCTCGCTGAGCTTGTTTTTCTCCTGTATAATGGTCTGCATGTGTCTGGCCGGGGCTATCATGAATACGGTCAGTTTGTTTATCTTCACCCGGCCCTCCTTCCGGAAGCGGTCGATTAATGTGTTGTTGAGTGGCCTGAGTGCTTCTGATCTGGTGCTCTGTATCTTGGCCATCCCCGTCTTCTGCTTCTCGCAGTTACAGCAGATAATTCCAGGTATGTTTTCATCCATCATAACTTTTATGCCTTCCCTTGTGGACATCATAAACAAGGGTTACATATAACCGCAATGACGGCCGTGCTTTTCCAGGGATCTCGTTCACAATGTTGGCCCAGATCCTTGTTTACGCATATCCCGTGACAATCATGGCTCAGACCATGTCTGTGTGGATGCTGGTTAGCATCACCGTGGACAGATATCTGGCTGTTTGTCATCCTTTTCTCGTACGGGTGTATTGTACAACGTAGGTTAAATTTAATGAATTTTAAAATATGAAGAAGACGAATACATATCTTTGTTTCTAGTACTAGAGCTCTTTTGACAACAGCCGTCATCTTTGTATTCTCCGTCGGTTACAATTTTGTCAGATTCTGGGAGTATACGATAAGTGATGACCCGAATATGCCTGAAGAAATGCTAATTGTGGGGCTGCTGAGGGAGAACCAAATTTATATGGTGCTCTATCAGAACATCGCCATGTTATTGACCCAGTTTGTTCTCCCTCTGATGGTGCTATGCATTCTCAATCTTCAGGTGAACCAATAGCTTTTTAGTCAGCATGATGAATATAATCAATTACGGCTTTGCAATGCTTACTTTAGGTGGCCAAAACAATACTAGAAGCTGGGGAGACCCGAAGAGAATTGGTCGCCTCAGAGAAACGGGAGCACAGTACTGCCAAGATGATGCTTTTCGTGGTTATTGGTGGGTATTTTCGTTTGAGTTTATGCCTAATCCAAGGTTTATCTTCTAATTTTTTTTTTCAGTATTCATCTTTTGTTATATGCTGAGCTTCTGCCTGAATGTTTTGGAGATCTTTAATCCGGATCTTTTCAAGAATCACATTGGTTTCCTTCTGAATGATGTCAACAACATCCTTGTGGTCGTCAACTCTTCTTCCTCCTTTATTTTCTATGTCAAATACTCTAGTAGATATCGTGCTCAACTTCGGACGATGCCAGTTATCGCTTTCTTTGCTGCCAGATGCTGTTTCGAAAACCGGAATACCAACTTTTCGGACAAATCGGGCGAAAGATCCGAGAATTACATGACTTTGACGGGATATTCGAGTAGACAGACCGTCTACACATCCGCCACGGCCTTGGACAACAGCCAGGTGGACACGTCTTTAAAACCTCCAGTCAGAAAATTCTGAGATTCATCATTGTATACTACATATTTATTTTATTTTTGTTTTCTCCAGCAACTCAGGGTTTGATAAATTAAATTTTATTCAAATAAGGTGACGAAAGTAGGACCGGGAATGTGGTTTCTGTAACGTGGACAGTATTTACACAAAGTTCATCCAGGAATACGGATTCCGTGCCCTGCGGCCATTGAACCCCACATACGGCGACTTCTTGGTTTCTGAGCGGAAAAGGGAATCAAGGAGGAAATCCTGGTTGTTCCAGAAGTAAGCGTCCCGAGTTCTTTTCTGCTGGTATGGCCCCTGCAAGAACGTGTTCTTAGCGTCATGAGATGAGATAATTAAACCCTCAGGCTCCTGACCTTTTATTTTTTCGGCCTGATTTATCGTATAGCTCGCTCCTTGACTTTTGTTTCCTTGTCAATTTGAGCGGAGGTATAAATAAAAACGTCAGATCCTCACAAAAACAGGCTTCACAAACTTTGTTGGCTTGCTTGATCCGAGCACGCAAAGAAGCGTGTTAAAAAATAAACTTTTGTTGAGTTGCAAGCTGACTATACAAAAAACATCTGCTTTCAAAAAAAAATCCTGTATCCCTTCCAATTACCTCTTTTTGTGAACGGGCCAGCCAAGAATAAGGATTTCTGGGCATTGGGGCTCTTTTTTCCTCAGGCAATGCGCCCGTTTCGGTCTCCAATTCATTCTCCAGACTTCTCTTGATCTTGTAGCCTCCATTCTGCCATGAATAAGGATTCATGGGGCGTCCCAATCTTCGCTTCGTTGTCTCAAAAGAGTCTAGTCCGTATACAACGACCAGTGTCAGTGCCACAACAATAGAAGGTCTGAGTAATGCCATGTCTCCAAAACCGTTTACTGAGTCCCTGAAATTCCCAAATAAAAAATTCTGAAGTACCAGAAGGCCAAGTTTAAAAGAAAGGCACTTGAAAATCGGAATAATGGAGTTGAAGACAGTCACCCTTGATGCCCTTTTCATCCCCAAACTTGTGACAGTATCCCCGAGAAACCGGCGATGTCATTTTTCGGATGTTGACAGATTAGAAAAGGTCGTAAGTAGAAGCGTCGACGGTCTATTTTTATGTCTTTGGTTTGAGGGGGAGTTCCGTTGAGGTGCCAATAAATTATAACTCAGGGAAACAACTTCCGCTTCAATTGTCATAAATGAATATTAAGGAAAATATGAGCAACTTAACAATTATTCCCTGGGGTAACAACAAGAGAGGGCGAAGAAAGTCTTAATTTTGTGGCTACTCGGTAAGTCGGTTTGTATAAAAAAGGATAACCGAAAGATCAAGATTATGAAAATTGGGTAAAGTTGAAGAAACCCTGTAACAGACTCAAGAGTAACCCTATAAAGGAGCCGACCCCGAGATAACCACCGACCTGGTCGAATAATTCCCCACCTGTCGGCCCTTATCCAAGTAACAATTAACTATCAGTGATCGTGCAAACAGCCCTCCATTGCCCCCAAACGGCGTGGCCCAACCTCTGGCCTCACCTCGACGCTCGACTTGCCCAATATTGTGACAAGTTGAGCCAATATCAAATAAATGGGCAGGGCCAGGCGTTATAAGAACACGTGCCGTTCAATATTTATCTACAAAGAATAAACGTAGCCATCAGTTGGCTCTGCAAGTTTTGATGACTAATAAATGAAAAACGTGTTTTGGGCGACTTGCCCTCAGGGCACTGCCATTCACCTTACGATTGGCTGTTCGTCGGTGACATGTCACAAATTTAGTGATGGGCGTTAATGAATTTAAATATTTTAGGAAACGGGAATAATTAACTGCTTTCTGGAGTAAAAAAGGAAGAAAGTAAAGTCCCATTGCGCTATCAACATGATGAAGAAAAATAAAATTCAAAAGAAAGTACAGTATCCTTTGCATGGACCAAAAAGATATTGTTTTAAAAAAGAGTGATGACGCTTGGAGGTTTGGCGGATGGATATAATTCCAGCCTCTGACTTCCTGGTTCATCACAACCATGGAGAGATAAAGACACAGCAATACATACACAATACATAGGACTATACAAAGACATGTGTGTAGCCATCTTCTTTTTGTGTAATTTGAACAACTTAATTACTATCTGCTTTTCCAAACTACATTTGTTATTTTGAACTTCCTCAGATCTTTGTCTGCTTTTTATGACCACCAAGCTTAAATCAGACAAGTTCAATTTTATTGTTCATCTGACGCCATTGCGCGCTGCCCGCTCTGTCATGTTTTTGTAAAATCAACATAATTAATTTACGCTAATGTTTCATTTGCTTAGCGTGTTCTCTACACTTACCCCGAGGATGATTTACATGCTCCATTAATTTATTCCATTGACTTCTTTATTTTTTAAAGTTTTTGTCTTCAGATACACAGCCCTGAGTTTAAGCGTCTTCTCCGTTTCTTTCTTTACCATTAAACCCAATAAATGAACCGTGAATCTCCTGTGTGAATCAAGTACAAGCACGTGATTCTTTTGATGTTTGATCTCCATATAGCACTTGCATTTGTCATGTTATCAATTTCAGAACATTTCTTCATCCATGGCTGAGAGAATGAGACTTCGCCGCGCTCATTCCGGTCCGCCTTGTCTCTGAATCAAACGTGTTTTGTTGTGTTTTCCCTTTCGGATACCAATATCTTCCCCATGCCTTGAAAGCCCTGAGGCGTTATTCCCAGAGCGGAACTTCTTCGGCCAAATCATAGGCCCAGGCCTCTTTTTCGTGGACATTACACTCCCGATTACACATCACTTTCTCCACGCTTCTTATTTGAGAATTCATTCAAGGAGATGTTCCTCAGTCAGATCGATGAAGATGAGGAAGAGCATGGACTGTTCGTAGCCCCTCATGTAGCGGACTTTTCATCCTTAAAAGGAGGAGCCTCAAGGCATTTGATGGCGAATGGAACAGAGAAGCGGTGAGTAAGAAAATAATTATGAATTATTACTTCCAATCAGATTGGCTATCAAAATCAAGTGCAGTAACAATGCCTTGTACAGAGTGTCGCCCGTTTATTATGTCTTGGAGCCGGGGGAATCTCAGAGAATACTAGTAAGTATATCTCGGTTCAATTACCACATGCCTACAAACCAACCTTGAAAACGCACTTTAGGTAGTACGGGACCCTGGAAAACCAGCAGTGGACAAAATGATAATACTTTATAAGGCCACAAATTGTAAGAATGCGTATTCGGCCTTTCATGGGGATGATGGAGAAGAGGTAAAGAAAACAATGATCGTTTTAGTGGCCAAAGAGCCCCCCAAACTCGCAACTTTAGATGAGTTCTCTATCGATGCATGTGCCAGTCATCCTGAAGAACCCCCAAATAAATCCCGAAATGATACGCCCTCGCCTCCAGGCCATCTGAAGAATCCGAAAGTTACTCATCGTGCTCGAAGTGTACCTCGAATACCTCGGAAACGAAATCGTTAGTGATATTTTTGTGCATAAGCGTCATCCACGTCAAAATCATATTTATGTTAAACCTTTTGTCTGTCTTTTTTATTTTTTGTTTGTCGGAAATAAAATGGCTAAAGTACATAAATAATGTTACTTTATCAAGATATTAAAATCTAAAGTCATCAATTTTTTGACGATTGCGCAGTAGGAAACGGGACGTATTCTAAACCCGGGTTGGGGACACGAAGCCGTCCTTCTTTCAATTAGACCCGAATCCAGAAAAAAACGTCCCAAAAAAGATTTCGAAACCGTCCGTCGGGCCAAGTGTCCGAAGCATCTCCAACATAAAGTTGGGCATCTCCCCAGGCCGTTTTTGGTTAGAAAAACAGGGTTGCGCTTTATTCGAGAGACAAAGCCGAACAGATTTAAGTGCCCACCCCAGAAGGCCCATTCCATGTCCACTTACAATGCCTATCGCCTGTAAGTTAGATAATTGCTGGGCGCCTCTCTTATCCCATTTATTCCACACCTGAATCCACAAATGTACTCTTGCGGGAGGCTTAAAATAAACCTCAAACAGACCTGCATAAAGAGCTCTTGTCCTTCGTATTAATTTCATTCGAGAATATACGATAATCTCGGGCGCAGCTCGCTGTCTCTGAAAAAGTTATTACTCTTTTTCTATCGATTCTCTCTAACCTCAGGGTTTGGGAGGCTATTTATGGAGTTAATGTAATTTTCCAAGTTTCAAAAAGGCTTTGTCTTTGTTCCTCCCCATTTTATTTTATTTTTGATGTTTATTTATACTTTTTAGGCGAAAAATCGAAGAAGTGGGCAAAATGAATGGTCTATCACAGGACGAGATTCTTCAGTCCACGAGAACGGTTTGTCAAGGGTTAGAAGCACTAAAGGAAGAACATGAAACCGTTAAGAATCAACTTCTCAACACAGCTGAAAGTTTGGAGCCTCAGGAAAGAAATGTGGTGGAAGAAAAAGTTAATCTTTTGACCAAGAACATAGAATCTGTCCAACTTGGAATTGAGGAGGCTCACGTAAGTTACATTGTGCTATTTTTTTTATTTTTAGGTGTCGTGTACGAAGCCATAAATTATCTTATTCTAGGTGATGATGGCATTGGCGACTCATCTCCAACACATGGAAGCCGAAAAACAGAAATTGAAAAGTCAAGTCAAGAGGTTATGTCAAGAGAATGCATGGCTGCGAGATGAATTGAATTCAGTCCAACAACAACATCAGATCTTGGGTCAACAAGTGGCACAACTAGAGGAAGAAAACAAACATTTAGAGTTTATGAATTCGATAAAGAAGTATGATGAGGATCAAGTAAATGAACCTCGAGATCAGTCTGTTGAGCTTAAACAGGAGAACCATCAAAGTACTCTCCAAGAGCTTGGATTTGGACCTGAAGATGAAGATGAAATGCATGGAAACTCCAATTTCGGTGTGAGCCAACCCACTCCTCCAAGTGTCATGGCTGCTAGTGCTAGTGGTGGATATGAAATTCCACATCGGCTGAAGACCCTTCACAATTTGGTATGTTTTGAGTTGTTTTATTTAATTCGTTAATGCATTAATATTTTTTTGGATTTCAGGTTATTCAATATGCATCCCAAGGGCGATATGAAGTTGCGGTCCCCTTGTGTAAACAAGCCCTTGAGGACTTGGAAAAGACCTCCGGGCATGACCATCCAGATGTCGCTACGATGTTGAATATCTTGGCTTTAGTCTACCGAGATCAACAGAATTATAAACAAGCCGCGAGTCTTTTGAACGAAGCCTTGAACATCCGAGAGAAATGTCTGGGAGAAGATCATCCAGCAGTAGCCGCTACTCTTAACAATCTGGCGGTTCTGCATGGCAAAAGAGGGAAGTATCGTGAAGCCGAACCTTTATGCAAGAGGGCCCTGGAGATCAGGGAGAAGGTGCTGGGGGCAGATCATCCTGATGTCGCCAAACAACTTAACAACCTCGCCCTTTTATGTCAAAATCAAGGGAAATATCAAGAAGTGGAACATCACTACAAACGAGCTTTAGAGATCTACGAATCCAAACTTGGATTGGATGATATTAATGTGGCTAAGACCAAGAACAACTTGAGTTCGGCCTACTTGAAACAGAACAAGTATAAGGTCAGTCTTTAAAGTTTATTTGATTTGCGATAATCCCATTCCGATTTAAATGAGGATTTCCAGGAGGCTGAGGAATTATACAAACAAATTCTATCGCGGGCCCATGAAAAGGAATTTGGACCCCCGACCCCCGAAAACAAAGTGATCTGGCAAATAGCCGAGGAGAGGGAGAATATGAAGGACTCAGATCCCACCGAGAATCTAGATCAGATCAAATGGTTGAAGTGTGTTAAAGAGAATCCTGCTGTTGCCGTGACATTGAGGAATCTGGGGTTATTATATCGAAAACAAAATAAATACAACGCAGCTGCGGTCTTAGAAGACACGGCACTTCGAGCGAAAAGAGAGGTGAGCTAATGCTGGGAATAGCGAGTGTGATGCACGGCCGTAGATGTGGTAACAGCTGAATGTGTAGTTAGTTCCCTTTTGCTTACTGTAATTGCTTTTAGTTCGATCCTCAAAGTGGTCCCCAGCCCTCCATGAATGATGACATCATGACACAATCCATGAATAAGATGACCATGAGCACGTCCCAATCGAGTAGTGGCCTCAAGTCCCGAGTTATGACTGCATTAGGATTTGATAAGGACAAGAATGGGCCTTGAGGTGAGTGCCTGTTCCTTGCCAGATTCTTCTTTTTTTGTGTGGCTGCAGACACTTTCGGTTATAGTAAAATGTGTTGTGTTCAGAATCCTTTGAAGGTTTACACCCAAAATGCATGAAATTATTTTACATATGGCGCCGTTTCAGATACGATGATTCCTCCAGCTATGTACAGTATGTATCCCTGGCAGCGCCACGATTAGCATAATTTAAATTTCACGGTGCCTTAGTTGTCCTTCCAGAAAAAATCCCTGCATTCTGGCTAGAGATGCCTCGGTTTCCTTTCCTCAGATTCCGATGTTCCCTTTGAGCCAAGATTCCGCATTTCCGTCCACTTTATATTGTCCATCTAGGGTATTTGTTTTGTTCTTTATGAAAAAACAATGAATTTTGTGATCAGATTCTAGTTGTATTACCCCTATTCTTAGTCTAATTAATTTATATTATTGTACATTTTTAATCTGATTGTCACTCATGCGTTCTTATCACAAAATGTCTATTGCGAATCGAGGTTTCTTTGTTAATATCGAGTATTTATGTTCTGTTTTGTTCTGCTTGCCATTGCAATCAAGTAAAATGAAAAGCTCAATCAAAATGACATGGACTTTCGCTTCTTCCATTCCAGAAATCGAACAGCTACTTCTGACAGTGACATGTCTGCGGTTCCCGGCTGAAATCGAATATTATAATTGGGATTTGATTACTCAAACTTACTTTGCACCAGCCTCTCTTCTCCAGGTATTTCACAATTTTCCTCCATTGTTTTGAATAGAAATATTCCAAGAGAAGGCAGAGGACAGAAAATAGCTTAAAGAGTAAAATTTGTTACAATACTAGTCCGTTCGCTAAGTCGCTGGACTGATTTCGGCGACATGCACTGTGGGAAACAAAAGTTTACCTGCACCGCGCAATTTTGGCTTTTTGCACCGTGCAAATGGCTTTTTTCGGCTTCGCTCGCACTCTCACTTTTTTCGCACAGTGCAAACGCCAAAAATCATGCCACCGATTTTACGGACGGACTATATGTATTGCACTTACCGATCCAGCAGTCAGCATGATAAAAGCACTGGTAAAGTTCTCAATCCCTAAAGGCGCACTTGTGTTTTGGGTATTTGTATCAATGACACAGCTTCCAGTCAGCCAAAAATTTTGCAATCTCTCCAGATCTCCTAAAAACGTCATCATAATACAGGGTGATTCAAAAAAAATGGACAAATTTTGAAGTCGGTTTATCCCACCACGAATACCGCAGTCGGTGGAAAGAAAAATAGTTTTATAATTGTCAACGATCCTGCTTCATGACACCCGTTTCAAATTTTGAAATATTTTTGCTGAACGGCTTGTACGAAGCAAAATACTAGGTCAGCCCATATTCTGACCACATTTTCCAAGAATTTTGTAGGTCCAAAAAACTTTAACGGCCTGAATTCTTACAGCCAGCTAAAAACTTCGTGTTGACTGTTTATTACGATACTAAGGGGAATCTAGAGAAGGGAAAACGCTGATATTATTATATTAATAACGCTCCAGCAATTCGCAACGTGATCCACAAGAGACCCATCCACATAGTTCTGGATTTTTGGGATGATCGGGTTTCAAAACTTAGCAGGGCGGCCTAACTTGTGCTAATAACGGCAAAAAGTGATTCCTGTAAGACATCTAACATTGCTTTACATGGGACAGCAGTTGATTTGATTGTAGCTTGCATTAGCCATGTACTGTGCTTATAAAAGTTTAGCCGGCTATACCCAGAGACGCCGATATTTTTTGACCAGAAAAATTTTACTTTTTTGTTGGCGTTCTTCAACAAGCCGGACAACTACGACAGGCTGCATTTATACGATAGTCATATAAGTCCGTTCTTCAATTTTGAATTGGTCTCCGTTAATTTGAACAAACCTAGCCTTCAGAATCCGCGTATCATTGCGATGACCAATCAAAAAGTAAAAAAAGTCGAAATTTTGTTTGCAGTTTTGCCAATTGAAGGGTACTGTTGTGAAAAATGCGTTTAGTATACTCACAATAGAGCAGCAAACATGGTATAAATGGAATTGGTTCAAAAACTTTGACCACTTTCGACAGAGCTAATTTTTTGTAAAGCCGCCCAAATGAGCGTTGATTTTCCCTCGCTGGTTGTCTAACTTTTGGCCTCTGATTTTTCATTGTTTGAAAGACCTGGATTAAATCCTTATAAGGTCCTATAGAATAGACGTCCGTGTTTCGCTGAGGCCGCTCAGAACGTCTCTGTTACACCCTTAAGACGTTTAGGAACGAAAACTTTCCAAATTTCGCGGCGGGAATGTGTGCGTTAACCCGGCAATTTTTAAGCAACCATATGTCGGCAACTTTTGCAGCTAGTGAACAATTTTTGCAATGAGGGTGTACACATAACATAGTAGTTTCATGCCATGTGCACCTTTTTCCGAGAAAGGTTCAAAGCCAAGAGAAATCGAAGAAAGAAAAGTGTCCATTTTTTTTGAATCACCCTGTACTGTACTTGCCTTTTTGTTGATATTGCAACATGAATTTGTTCACTTTTTTGACCAATGGGGAGTTCTTTGGGAATCCGATCCCATACCCCGTCATACTTGTCCATTTCCCTACAGTATTCAATTCACAATTGGGATCTTTCCCTGATTGATGTTCTAGTACGACAGCATCATAGATTAGAGCGTCTAGTTTCCTGGAAGAGTCTAGTTATTGTTTAATTTACGTACTCTTGTCTGACAGCTTCTATTCCTTGTGATATGTTTTCTACAAAGAACTTGTTCTTCTCCACATAGTTATTCATATCCTTCCAATTCATCTTCATTAATTCGTGTGTATTTCCTCCATGAACAGTTCCATAACGGAACATGGGTGTTTGAAACTCGGCTTCCCGTATCTAAAAGCGAAGGTAATTAAATTAAAAACTGACCCTTTCGTCATCGATCCCCTCCAAATTGTAATACTGTACTCTTGTTATCATAAATGCTGCCAGATTAGCTGTGTATACAGCCATGAAGGTAAGACCGAAGGCTGCCCAGACCAGTGACATTACTCGGCTCACATGAGATCTGGGAACATCGGTAGTAACACTTGCACTAAACAAAGTAGCCCAGACGAGCCAGTAGGATCGACAAAGCGAGAACTTATGCCCTGGGGGAGGATGAGTGGTCATGTTGAAACTTCGAGGACTGACCCATTCGAAGAGGAAGATGGAGAAGGCTGCAGTCTGGATACTCACAAACAAGATCATTACCCATGTAGAGTATTCGAACGGTTCTAGGAGGGAGTAATGTTTTGTATTGCCCTACCTAAGAAGGCAGTTGGTGACAGAACTCCACTTCTGATCTTCACGATGATGGCAATACCTGTCTCCAAAAAAGGCATACTGAAATCAATGTCCCTGGCCCTCTCGCTGTTCAGTTTGAGAGCTGTTGCACACATATCAGCCTTATGGGTGATGAGGTCTTGTATGAGGCCATTCCATCCGTTCTCTCCCTTCAATCCCCATTTCTCATCCCTGACTTTGTATAAGGTGTAAGTGAAGCCAATATCCTCGGCTAATTTGTTGAGTAAGTCTACACAGTAGCCAGTACAACATTTGAGAACAGTTGTGTTCCTAGAAATACTAGTTTGTTGTGCCATTCTTACTCAGTCCCCCAATCACAGACACTTCCTTGATTCCCGGGACATTTGTTTGTCTCCGGATCCAAATCTGAGACGGTCATAAAAGGAGATTCTTGTAACGTAACCACAGTCAGATGGAATTTGTCCGGGGTTCCTGGAGGGGGATTGGTTCGGAATCCGGGCCATTCAATGTCAGCCATCTTCAGCTCGTTGTTTGTGTATTCCCCAACCTAACAATTCGATGATCTTATTGGTAATCTTACTTGATCCCAGTACAAAACATTGTCTTTTCCTTGTTTATTCCGTCCATATCTCAGATTGGATATCGTTAAGTAGCTGTCTTTGAGTTGCCCATCCTGGTCGAAGGTGTAGAAAAAGGAGTCTTGTCCGTCTTTGGGATGATTTGGATTTCCTTTCAAGAATCCTCTTCTCATCTTCCTAACAAAGTAGATGCATTTTACAAAAACTTACTCATATAATTCCCCTCCCAATTCCCATTTTCTCGAGGAGTTATCACAAGTTGAGGTTGGTTGAAAAGTTGTATTAATCGGTGGATTTAGTTTGGTTAAGCCAAGAGCAAAAAGTTTGGGGGCCATTCCAATAATCATGGGTAGCACATCATCTGGAGGAGGGAACATGGAATGGGATACGGTATGAAAGTTGATGGTCAACATCCCCGGCTGGACTGGAGGGATGGCTGATGTCATACTTCCTTTGACGGACTGCGTCCCGATCCAGAGATAATCCTCGGACAAAAGGCCGAGGTCATCTGCTACGTTGAATAAGGGCTTCACTTTGGTTACAGTACTGTAAAGTAATATTATTCGTGCATCAGATCTTCGAAGAGTCATCAATTTACGGCGAATGTGATGTTCTCCAAGGGCATCATCGATCTCCTGATGGTAAACCATCTCAAATCTACAAATGGTGACATTGTAGATGAAGATGACTAACCTAAAGTCCCTTTCAACGTTTTGTTTTATCTGATCTTGCACTATTTTTATAAATTTTGAACTGCCTGGTATCTTTGAGCATACCACTCCAAATCTATACCAGTTATATCTTTTGAGCAGTGCTAACATCGCCCTGATTTGATGTTCAATTGGAGGGGCCATTTGGATTATTCGTAGCTGGGGCAGTGGCTATAAGTAATACATAGTATGCAGAATCAATCTCTGGCAGAAACGGTACCTTAGGGAATGTGAAGCCAGAATTGTCAGCATTCCATGCAACAATGGGGATCCCGGTTTGACCAGCCAAATGCAAAAAATATTGGCCAGCTGAAGTTGTGGATTCATAATCTTCAGAAGCCGTGACGAATATTATAAACGCCACCTAGGTTAATGTTTATTGTTTGTCTATCGACAAACCTTGTGATGTAATAGGGTGTCACAAAGACAGGACAGGACATCTGAGGGCAAGAACTGACCCCTGGGCAAAATACAATCGTATGGGACGAGGGTGTATCGGTCAGCCAATCTTTTGACCGCGGACATTGACTGCCCATTGTTTATATTGCGTAGCGTCTCTTTGAAGGCCTTATAATACACCTTGCTTCTGGCATAATTCTACAATAAACCTTTATAAGACATTTTTATTCTTTTCGACACGTCTGTCAAACAGGATGACGTCATCAAATCATCCGACCACTCACAAACACCGACCTGATAAACAAGCCCTATGGCAATCTCCTGTTTGGCCATTTCCATCAATGGAATCTGCAGCAGGTACCAGCAAAGAATCCATTTTCTGACCATTTTCATAGGTCCGTGTAGTCCCCGAGTATGGCATGTTTTTTCCGGCTAGGTCGGGTTGAGGGGCTAACCGAGTTTCGGCCGAAAAGTGGGCCGAATTACCCTGATAAGGGGAGGGATAATATGAACGGGAGCTGTTTTTTATATTCAAAGAGCACGGGGCCGTTGACCTCTGTGGAAGGGGACAGGCGCGACTCGGCCTTCCCCAGCCCCTTTTCACTCACTCCACATGACAATCACTAATCAGAACTTTTAATTGAGGGAGCAGCGATGGGCGCTCTCGGTTTCCTTTTGGCATTTTTCTCCATTTCCGGGGTATTTTGTGTTCCAGAAAGATCAGGTAAGAGGTCTAAAGTAATATTTATTATTTGAATTCTTGTAGAATACAGATCATACACTGGCTATGACCTGGTCGAGATCAATGATCCTGCCGAGAAAAGTGCGGGAATTTACTTCCGAATTAGTCAGCGGGGAGTGGATTACCTGGCCGATCTGACTTCGGACGGGCTCCCTCTCATCTTCCATCGGATGATGTTGCCCACCATTTCGGAGAGCGGTGTGAAGATACACGACGCCGTTATCACAAAGATTCTAAGACCTGACATTTCTGTCAAATTTTTGAGGGGATATGGTAAGGACGAGCTCGAAGAAAATCGACCATCTGTCTTTTATTATTGAAATAAATACTACCGTCTATTTTCAGGTGTCGATATCTCGATCCGAATGTCCGAGTTAGAGATCCGAGGGAATGCCGAACTCGACTTCCTGATTGCATCTTATTCTTCTCAAGTGGTCGCTCTCTCTAATAATATGACTGTAAATATGAGAGTTTCAATTCGAAGACATCTCAACGAAAGCATTACGAATGTCGCGGTAACATAAATTACAGTAATCGTATGGTCTGCAGGTATCTCATTGTTCTGTGAATCCAGGAGTTTTGAAGCTAAATTATTATGGGAAGGATGCCAGCGAATTCTACAGCATAGGTAATCTAATCCAAGAAGGAATCGATGGTGCTATAAAAGATAAAATTTGCATATTGCCCCCGTTGGTCAGGGAATTTCTGCGGGAGAAGGTAGGTGCTAACTACGTCGTCTTATCGCATTCAAAGATTGATTTGCTAATGTCAACTCGCACTCCCAAAGACGAAACACTTCTTAATGAAATCGGACCCAAGGAGGAGTCCAAATCGGTAATCGATCATTTGTGTGGTGGTATCGATGACAATAAGGATTACATCCCTGATATATACGATGAAGATGATGACGAACCCTCGGTCAGCATTGCTCACAAAGGCCACAAATTTGTGCCAGACCTCAGTCTCAGGTATCCACCAACCTTTTCCGACAACGTGAGTTTATATTTTCAAAGATTATTGGTTTAGGATTTGATCGTTGGAATTGATGGAGGTGTCCTGGTCAATGGAAATCCGCCGAAAAATGTCAGCGAAAGGCCCAAACTCAACGAGGTGACTGTATTGAGAGACCAGGTGAGAATGTTTTGAGATTAGAGTACCACAATATAAGTTTATAATTATATTCTGTTTAATATAGATGGTGGGTCTAATTCTCAGCGAATACGTGTCCAACACTTTGTTCCATCAGATCTACGACCACGGAATGGGTCATGTGTCGGTGGTCTATGGGATTAGACATATCCCGAAGGTGTTCCGCCCCATCGCCAAGTTGGTCTGCTCCGACTGCAAACTGCTTATCACAGCGAATCTGAGTCGGTATGCCCTTTTGAGTACAAACTGATCATCCTTCAGAGTCCCCGATAGTCAGATCGATAACAATGGCATCCTGTTGAAGCTCGAAGGTGACGTCAGCGCCGTCTTCTTCCGCAACAACGAAACCCACAACATCTTGACAACCAATGGAGTGATCCGGGTGAATGTAAGTTCAGGTTATAAGTTCGAGTAATGGCTAAAGATCAAACCCAGGTTCAGGCACAGTCGCCTCTTCAGCGATATTCTTCTGGCTGGAGTCGACTTCAAAGTGCACAGAGTAAGTTGTTTTTGACTCATGATGACTAAACAAATATGACCTTTGACCAACTTTTCCGTTCATTTAGGCGGGTCTAAGTGGCACCATGTCTGGTCTTGTCCGTAAAATCGTAACCTTCATGATTCCTCGGGCCATTTGGCCGAAAATCCAACAGAGACTTCGACTGGCCATGAGTTACAAAGGCATCAGAATCCCCAGATTCTGCACATTGGAATTGCGTAATCTTCACGTAGATTACGTAAAACACGCGGTCGTATTATCCACAGATTTTGATGTGGATCTCCCATTACTGGTTAGATCTTTCAAACAATTTATGGACTCTACTTCGAGGAATGCAGAGACTCTCGATGAATTCAGAGAAGTATTCCGATATCTATAATACAAGAAGATACGAACAAAACATGTTACGAGAACGGTCTACAATGGCATTCCAAATAAAATGAAACGAGAATTATTTATGCGAATAAAGAGTAATGTAAATTCAGAAAGAGGCATGGTGGGCAGTGCCTGGTGTGATCAGAAGCCGCTGGTTCTTCTCGCTGCAAGTACAACAATCGGATTACTGTAGCTGAGCGGATCTAAGCATTAAATCGTGTCCAGCCTCTGGTATTACGCAACCAAAACTTGTAAATAAAGACGTCAAAAGTTTGAACGCAGAAACGTGACACACAGCAAAATAAGTGAACAAAACAACAGCGTTACTCAAAATGGATGCGTAGAAGTTACAGTAAGAGAGGCCAAATAATTTAATCGCTACTTTTCTCTCCGAAGATAGACCATGCACAGATCCCCCAGGTAGAAAAGGGAGCAGAAAAAGTAAAAAGCCTGAAAGTAGAGTCTTTATTTTGTGAGTGATCATCTTACAGCTGCAGCTGCCCATCCTTTTACAACAAAGCCAGTTTCACAGCCAGGAATCCCAGCACAGCCACTGAAAGTTCCCCCTCCAATCTGCCGGATGAATGCGGGCATGTGATCAAAGCCCGTCGCATACCAAGTCTCGACCGCACCGAAGATAAGGAAGGCAATAAGCGCGATTAAAGAGGCCATACTTTGCTGAAAACCAGAGAATAGAAAGGATCACAACTACAACGCGGACTCACCCATGTAATGTTTGAATGACCAGACGTGTAATATACACAACTGAATATCAGCGGGGGAATAGCGATCAATATGGACAAGATTATAATGGCTAGTTGACCCCAAACACTACAAATATTTTGGTCATCGACTTTACGCAGACCTACTTTTGACCTCTCATCTGGAAATGTAACGCAGTATTCCATCGGTCAATATTCATTGGGAACAGTGCATTGGAAGGAGGGCATATCTCACGACTCGTCTGTTGGCCATTGATCGTCCTCCAAAAACAAACGCCTGGGGCTACCATAATTAAGATCATGGCAATGATGCATAATAACTAAACAAGATCATCACGGGGATTGCAGACATACCAGAATAAAAAGTCTTAAGCCCATAGAAATGTTACTGTACATTCTTTGGGCCATGGTATCAGAAGAATCGGTCAACGAATCCTGGTTGTTAATCCTTCCGGAGTATTGATAAGGGGGCAGGCTGGGTTCCCCCAGCTGCCTGACGGGGACGTTGTGTATTCGCGACGTAGCTGAAGCTCCACCGGACTGACGGCCTGTTCCAACTTGTTGGCCGTCTACCCAAATGCGCAGAATTTTCCCGTCTCTCACTTAAAAGAGGCGCCGCAGTAAAAACGAACACAATAAAAACGCCACGTGAATTTACCGAGGTAACCCGATCGGCCTCAAAAACAACTTGAAGTGGCCCTCGAGGTCCCGGATCGAGAGATGACAAGTGACTGACTGACTGAAGGAAGGGCTTCTGGCTCCGACTAAACCCCTTCAATTGGTCAACACCTTTTCTACTCAAATTGACTACAAAACCCCCAAATCCGATTCCCGGGAGCTCGTAAAGCGCTGAATGCATCATCACCATGCTCCTCTTCATCTCGAAAAAAGGACTGTAAATCATCCAACCGCATCTTTTATCCTCGCATTCTCAATTCAAACAAGTTGGGGAGGGTGTTGATCCTTTATCATCACGGTATTTTTTACAATATATAAATACAAGACGGGTTAGGCTGAGATTTGAGCTTAAAATCCGAAACCAAATACAAAGACTAGCTATTAAATTATGCCAAAGTACAAAAGTATTGCCGACGTATAATATAATGCAAAGTGATAGGAATGTCATTCAAGTGAGGTCAGGACTAGCAGTTGTTTCAAGACTTTGGCCTGTGACGTTTCGCGCACTTCTCCGGCTAAGAACATCTCATCCACAACTGTATACACCTAAAAAAGTATTAAAAGGAGCGAGAGCGCGTTACCTTATAAAAATTGAAGACCAAATCTAGTTCACACACATTGTGGAAGTATTCATTCAGAACCTCGACAAAGTTGTGAATGGCTTCAAGGTAGTACAAATTGTTATCTCCAATGTCCACGCAAATGCAGAAATATAAACCAGCATAGCGACGGTAGACGATTTTAAAACTCCGGAACTAAACTCGAAACTAAACCGGGTGCTCTTGTACTCCTACCTCTACAAAGTTCGTATGTTTAGCGTCACGGATGGTTACAATGGCATGCACATCCTCGATTAGCTTCTGCTTCTCATCATCATCGAAATGCATAAACCATTTTGCCAAGCGAGTTTTCCCAGCCCGATTTTGGATCAAAATAAATCTGATCATCTCCTTACTTACAATCTCTATGAATACATACATTAAACCTCACAACGTTTACTCGAAATATTCCATCGATCTCAAACAACGACTTTCATTGGACCAAAAATAAATGAAAACAATTTAATATCGAATAACAAGGATCGTTCGAATATGGATTACAATCGACGACCACGACGTCCACCCTTTCTGCGTGTGCGGTCAGTTGGGATTGGAGTGACATCTTCAATACGACCAATCTTCATTCCAGATCGAGCCAAGGCACGGAGTGCAGATTGGGATCCAGGCCCTGGAGTCTTAGTCTTGGTTCCGCCAGTAGCTCTCAGTTTAATGTGAAGGGCAGTGATTCCGAGCTAAAAGAATGTCGAAATGGGACGAAAATTGTATTGAAATTTTAAACAACAGGAACGCATAAAGCTTTCGCAGTATTTTTTTCAAATCGACTGATTCTAAACAGAGACAAAAATGAGAAATATTTACCTGTTTGCAGCGTTCAGCGACATCCTGAGCAGCCAGCATGGCGGCGTAAGGAGAAGCTTCATCTCTGTCGGCCTTTACCTTCATACCACCAGTAACTTTGACGATGGTTTCACGTCCAGACAAGTCGGTAATGTGAACGAAGGTGTCGTTAAAGGAAGCATAGATGTGAGCAACTCCGAAAACGTTTTCTCCTTCACGAGCTTGAGGTCCGAGGGCCAAAGACGGCTGCTCTTCCTTGGTCTTTCCTTTTCTGGCGGCCATGTTTTCGAGATGTTTTTAATCCCTGCAAAACAATTTATAGATTATATAAAAAAACCTAATCTGTCCAGTATAAACGCGGCAACAATAAATGACACCCACGAGGACAGAAATTAACAAAACTTGCAGCTGTTAACCTGGGATTTGGAATAAACACAGGAGCAAAAATCATAAAGTAAGAAAAACCCCATCGATATATCGAAAAAATGTAAATTCCGTTTTCCTACGGCGCCAGAGATACAAGAATCACTTTTTCGTTGCGGGACCCAACTTCCTTTTTGGAAATTTTTTCTCGTAATTCAGGGCGCAGCTAGAGCTTGCGGATAATGTCAATCATTTGCGGCACGATGACAGACAGCTTTTACACTGTCGGTACAATATTTTTGTTGTGTAATTATTACTTAAAAATAATTTAATGGACAGTGATTCTGCTTTTTTTATAATTAAATGTTTACAGTTTTTTACAAGAACTATATTTTTTGTACAGTTTTTTTGGCTTCTGTATTTTTTTGCGATAGGCATGTTAATCCACCCTTTCCCTTCAAAGCTATTTGTACTGCCCACAAATTTTTCATTCCATGGAGCCCTTTCGAATATACTTTCCGTTATTCGCGGCGTTCTTTTCCGAATCAATTAGAGCGTTCTTGACTGTACGAGACAGCCGCAAATCTCACGTTTCGAATTCTTTCACGCCGGTCGCACCGTCTCTCCCGCTACTGCCTGACCCCGATTCGATCGTCCGCCTACTTTTTTTCGAGAGTTTCACGATCATTCTTTCAGGGTTCCTGCATATTTGTAACGATTAGGTAGTCGAGTAATTAGTCCAAGTCATGGATCCAGTCTCCATTGGGCTGATCTCAGTGGCCCTAATTTTCTCTGCCGTTTGTTTCTTTATTATCAAGATGGCACCCAAAGAGAAATCTTTTGAGGAGGTAAGATCTTTATGTTTTAGTTGTTCCTTTTTTAGATTAATTGACCGTTTATTGTTTTAGGCCTATGGAAAGAATGCCATCAAACTTTTAAGTGACGATAGCTCCAAACAAAAGCCGAAGCCGAAAGGAAAGAAAAATAAAGAAGTAAGTCAATAATCTGAAGTTGTTAGTTTGTTTAGAAGAAAGAGACCACTGGAGATGAAAAGAAAGCCGAGGATAACAGGGCCAAACCAGAAGGCAAAGATGAAAAAGTGAAACAGAATTCCGAAGCTAAATCAAAGGACGTTGAGTCAACGGGTAGGATTTTTAGTAGGGTTTTTTTTTTAAGTAGACGGCTTTTTTCAAAAGTAGCGCCATTTTTGTCATTTTGGCTAACAATAAGTTGAAAATTCTTACATACGAATCTTTCAAACGCGAGTTTAATATAATGAATACCGCTAAACTCTGTTTGGTTCCTAAAAAATGTTTTAATTACTACGGTTTTTTAGTAAAAATATACAAAAAAATTCCCAAAAAAGTTCAATTTGATATTTAAAGTGATAGAAAAACATGACATGTCGAAAATGACGGCTGTTTGACAAAGTGGCCGGCGCGTCCAGTTGACGACTCAACAATCTAATTGCAACGAATTTTTAATATGATTTTCATATCCAAGTTTAGAATCCACAAGTAGCAAAAAGAAGGCCAACAAGAAATCTGAGCATAAGAAGGAGCTTGAAGGCGAGATCCCAGTTGAGGTTGAAGAAGTTATACAATTGAAGACCGTTTCCGCTCAAAAGTCGACCCCTCCGAAGCCAAAACCGAAGAAATCTAGCCCATTGAACTTTGATCGTCTTCTGAATCGCCTTTCGGAAGCCGAGTTGGAGTCTGAAGTTTTGGACTTTGTCCGTCGTCTCAATGAGCAGGCTCAGAGTGGAGAGAAGAAGCAAAAGGAAGAACTGAGACTGAAGAAGGAGGTGAATGAGAAGGAGAGAGAAATCGACCGTCTTCACGACCTTCTGGAATCCTCCCAAACCGATATGGCCAAAATAAAGAGTCTGGAGCAGGCTTTAGCTGAGGCGAAAGAAAAACATCAAGTTTTGGAAACTTCGATGAAGCCCAAAATCAATGAACATCGTCAGGTACGCTTCTATGATATTTTTTATTTTTTTTAGCTGGTGGAGAAGGTTAATCTTCTGCAAAAACAAATGGTTGAGGCCTCAGCTAAATTGGCGACTGCTGAAAGATTGGAAAAAGAAAATGAAAAGTTGAAGAACAATGTTGATCTTTTGTCACAGGCACTTGCATCAGCGAATAACAAGATCTACATCAGTGAATCCAATTTAAAACAAGTGGAAGCCGAGCTAAAGAAGGTTACCGAAACACCTCAAAAGTCAGCTGATATTGATCGACTCTCTGCCAAGCTCGATGAATTCGCGGTAAGTATACAGTATATTATTGTAGGTTTAAATTGAGCTAATTTTAGAAGAAGGAGAATATTCAACGCGAAACCATCGGCAATCTTCAACGTGATATTGGAAGTCTTCAAGCAGAGATTGAGCGCAGAAATGAGTCCGTCAACCAGTTAAGCAATGAACGATCTTTGCTATTGGCTCAATTGAATGAAGTCAGAGATAAATCCGGAACTGAGCTTGATCACTTGAGGAATGATCTAAGCAAATGGCAAAAGAATTACAAGGCGTTAGAAGAACAGTTCACGAAGATCCGGGATGCGGAGAGTCTGGCCAAGACATTGAAAGAGGAATTGGAAATTGTGAGAGAGAACGAGAAAAGAATACTGTATGTTTTATTAGTGTTTTTATTGTATTTTACGTTTTAGAATTGAGAAAAGCAAAATGGAAGAAAATGTGATTGGCCTCCAGAAACGATTAGCTCAACTTGAATCGGAAGTTGAAGCTGCCAAAAAGCAGATCGACTCGGAAGACTCTAACAGGGATCAATACAAAAATAAAATTGAGGAGTTCGAAAACATTAAAGCGGAGTTTAATCAGAAGGTGAAGAAAATGGCTGAAGATCTGACTTTGTATGAAACCGTGAACAAAGATCTCCAGTCAGAAAGGGATCGCCTCCAATCTCAAATTTCCCAAGTCAACGGTTCTTCAGGCTCTTCGGAGAAACTGAGAAAACTTGAAGAAGAATTGGAGTATCAGAAACAACGAAGCCAAGTAAGTAAGATCGTATTATATACTTTTTTTCCCTTAACATACTAACATGGTTTATGTAGGAGTTGAGAGAGCGGAATTACAAACTGCACGAATTGGTCAAAGAATCAGAAGAAAACGTGAGGAAAGTACTCTCTTCACAGGGTCCAGTCAAGGTTGAGGTGCGCTTTAACATTTTACTATTTTTTGTTTTGCGTTTCTTATTTTTTATAAATAACATTTCAGAAAAGGAGTGACAGTGAGGTTGAAGCTGTGATTTCATCAGTCGCCAAATCTGTTGGATTGAACCCCCCTGCATCTTTTACTGCTGCATCAATCCAGGAATGGTTTAAGAAAGCCCTAAATGATGGCAAGGTGCACACCGAGCACAAATCAACTCAAAATGGAACCAAAAATGACAAAATGGCTGAAGATCTTTTGCAGCAAATTGACAGGCTTAATGGGGAGGCGGAGCAATACAAAATGGCCATCAACGTTGCTGTAGGTTATTGAAAGTTTATGTACTGATTGTAGTGTTAATCTTTTTTTAGTATGAACAATTGGATCATGCTGCAAAATTGGCCGACGATCTCCAGCAAAAATACGAATCCCAGTTGAACGAAATTCACAGGAAAGTAAGCATTGAGTCATTTTTATATTTCCAATTTAGTAATTTTAGCTCTCCGACCATGCCCACCACTTTCATCATCTAAGTCAGCGTCGCGGTTCGATCCCCTCCCAGTGTTCCGAAGAATGGGAAGTCGTAGGGTAAAGAAAAGAGACATATCAAACAAGTTTACTATTTATGTTTATGTTTAAGATTGACATATTTGGTTTATTTCTTTAGGGTATGTTGTTGATCTTGCTTTCACTTCTCGGGTTCATAATATTTATTTTTCTAATTAAATCAATCTTTCACATCCAATTCGGTGGAATAATGGGTGATAAATTGGAAGGGATGAAGGCTGTCATGTAACATTCGAGTCAGCCATAAATTTTGATAGAATAGCAAAGCAATTGATTTTTACGTTCGTTAAATGGATAATAAAGTGCAATATTAGATAATTAAGTTAAGAGTTCCTCTGTAATATGCCCACTTTTCCCAGCAGGTTAACCTCGTTTTACTGATTTAACGACTTGGCTTCTGGACTATGACTTAAGAAGGCTTTGATTAAGCGTCTCTCCGATCAGGTATATTTATCCCGATCCGACCTTGTTCATGTCCGACATAAGATTTGACAAATGTTTTCCCTTGGCACGACACTTCTGGCCATCGCACGTGTCCCTGAAGGCATTTTGGAAAGCGGATGCTCTGGAAACGAAAGTCCCGATCCAATTTACCTGTTCTCTCGCGACCAACACTTACTGGAAACCTCTCGGACTGGTCTCTTTAACAGCTGTTCCGGGCACTGATCGCGAGGTTTTGGGTCCAAAACTGCTTTCTTTCTTCTCATCCAAAGAGTGCCAACTTGGAATTAAACTCTTACAGACTTCTAATTTTCCCTTCCCCATTCTCTTGGCCATGGATTAATTGTTTTATAATTAGAATACTTATATTATTATGGTTTGGGGTTACTTCCTCCTTATTGGGCTAATATCAGGTTGGTTTTGAAGTCTTTAAAACGTGTATTTGTGCTTGCAGCCGAGATTTGCAACTTTGAAAATGGGCAGACTTGTGAATTGTGGAAGTTTACCAACTCCAAAGATGTAGATAATGAGGGAACCCCCGGGAAATTCAACAAGAATGAGAACTTCAGAGTTGTTGTGGGAAGTGGATTCAACAATTCGAGTAAGGTTCAAGCAGATCATCTGTTGTTTTTTTTAAATTGCCTCATAAATCATCATGTTTCAGATCATTATGCTTATTTCTCAAGTTCGGAACCAAAAAAGTTTATTCCGATGGTCATCAGTTCCTATTTTCAACATACTGTATCTACAGTAAGACTTATATTTTCTGCTTGAACTCTTTTAGTGTGAACTAATCTTCAAACACCAAGTTCATGGACTTCCTGGATCAGAATTACTGGTCACAACTCAGCATCTGGATCACAAACCAATGTTGGAATTCGATGATAATGATGAAGACAAGGAAGATTGGATTCGACCAACATTCAGAGCGAGTTATCGACCGACCAGAGAAGGGCAGGAAAGGTAAAGCGCGCTTTGATGGCTGTATTATTGTTGTATTCTAATGTAAAAAACGTATTTTAGATGGATTCAAAGCCGAGTGGCAATCGGTCAAATCTTGTATCCCACCAGAATCCGGATTGAATGCCATAGTGCAAAACAACAAAAGGATCCGAACATCCAGAATGTGGAATGCAGAGTCGATGACATCCATCTGGAGAATTGTGACGAAGAAGTTTGGACTCCAGATTCCTGTTCATCCAAGCAATCTAAGAAGTATTTGTGCTCAAAGGGGGATCAATCTAAATGCATCGATTATGCTGATGTCTGTGATATGATCCCCGAATGTGAGGCCGATGAAGATGAAGATGATTTGATCAATAAATGTGATCAGGTACCTCCTGGAGCGAGATGTGATTTCGAGATGGACTCGGAGTCTGGATGCCCGGAATGGAAATTTCAGAAGGGCCAGAACAATTCGAGGTATCTGAAAAGGATCTCGTTGGATGATACGAAGAAAGTTAACCCTCATGGACTCCCTCCTGATGGTTATTTTCATCATGGGACGCATAGAAAAACAGGTATGGCAATGGTCATGGTGTCTAACTAATCCCATTATAGGGCACTTCCTGTTTTTCTCTACATTTGGCGCTGAATTCGAACGCCAGAACACGGGTGAAGTGTTTTATATCTCAGCGATATCACCTGTTTTCCAGCCGACATCCCCGAAAACAAATGAAATTGGAGCTTCTGAATACAGAGCGTGCATGGTAAAATTTTTTTTTTGTAATAAAAAAATATTACCTGATCATTCTCATCATATAATTTCAGGTCCGATTCTTCTTTTGCCACACGGGTGCGTCGACTTTCCAGTTAATGTTGGAACGGGGAGATAAGAAGGAGGTTCTCTGGACACCACCCAAGACTACAGGTGCATCTCCATGCACTTGGCAAAAGGCCACTGCCGTGATCCCACACCAATCCGTCAAATATCGCCTTAAATTGGCATTTGCCAAACTCTACAAGCAACCGTTGAGTGTAGCCATTGATGACTTTACAATGACTCCCATGTGTTTCTCAGAAGGTATGCTTGTATTAGTAGACGATTTATTGAAAATTTAGAAAGCAGTTGGGACACCAAATATCTGCCCGATTCATTGCGACTAGATTCCCTCAAAAAAATCAACGATTCCATCAGAGATTCCTGGATCATTAAGAAGGATGGCGAGTATTATATCGAATTGTATGGAGCAGCAGGGGGAAAATTCAATGTAAAAGATGACAACAACAACGGTGGAGCTGTCAAGACCACTCTTCAATTGGCTAAAGGACAAGAAATCAGATTGATACTGGGGCAACAAGGAGAAAGTCCATGTGGAAAAGGATTGGACGGCAGTCTGCTAAACATAACCAATAAGGTACGTCTTGTGTTCCATAAACAAGTAAAAAATTCAGGTGACGTATGCTAAAATATTTAATTCTGTATGTTCTGACACTTATGGAGATGTCGATCTCCTCCGCAAAGATGTCCACAATCTGTTCGGCACTGGCGGTGGAGGCGCGTCGGCTTTGTTCATCGACTCCAAGCTCAGTATTGTTGCTGGAGGAGGAGGGGGAGTGATTCCTGATGTGATCCCTTCCACCGAGGAGATCGATGCCCGAGGCGGTGTTGCAATTAAGGACCAGAAGGCCGACGATTCACAGAACTGGGCCTCCGGATACGGATTCTCTTTCAATCCAAAGGTAAGAAATCAAATTTGTTTAGATGGAAATACCTCAAGTCCCCGACGCTCAGATGCACGTCAAAATAAAAAGGGAATTTCGTCAAAGCCGTGGCGATCCGCGAAATAACGATTTGCGGTTGGCGAGAGGAAGAGGGCGCACGCACAAAAAGGAAGAGAGCGGTCAGAGAAAGAAGAAAAAAATCGGCCGTTGCTTTTCGCTGCGGCCCCTCACGAAATTTCGTTTTTCTTCTATTTTCATTCTGACGTGAGATGCCGATGAAAATGGCACCACGCCATTTAGGGCGCTACGACATTTCGGGTCAGGGACAACTCGGGTCGCGACAACTCGGGTCAACGACAACTCGGGTCAACGACACTTCGGGTCAACGATGCCGTTTAATATTTTCGCTTCGGGACTGGGAAAAAAGAATTTTTTGGTGAATTTAAAAAATTTTTCAAATGTTTTCGCTTCGGGACTTGGAAAAAAATTTTTTTGAGAGTTTGAACAAATTTTTGAAATGTTTTCGCTTCGGGACTGGGGAAAAAGAATTTTTTGGTAAATTTGAAAAATTTCTGAAATGTTCTCGCTTCGGGACATGGAAAAAAGAATTTTTTGAAGAATTTGAACAAAATTTTTAAAAGAGAGTTTTTTACAAACTGAAAGTACGCGCGACGCCATAACTAGGGATACACTTGGCCAATTATAAAATAATTCCCGCCGGGACCCAAAGCAAATTTGAAATTATTCGTGTGTACGGTAGAAAAATATTTTTTGTTGGAGGACGAGACATTTTCTTGTTTTGTTGATAGTACTGCAAGGTATTTGGTAAGTCGAGTGTGTGTATTTTGTTTGATTTTGTTGATTTTTGTGTAATAAAGATATAACTTTGTCCATTTATTGTTTATGTGCCGCATTACGGTTTCAAGGCCGAATTATTACCTTTCTGGCGGCTCCGGTTTTAGCTATCGCAACACGGAAGATAATCTCTGCCCAATCGTTGGTCCGGAACAAAGAGGTATGTTGTTTTTGCTAATTTTGAGGTGTGTTTTTGGTTTTAGAACAAAAAGTTACCTGTTTTTCTCTGAAATCTTTGGGAGAATCACTTTTCGGTCAATAAGGGCCTAATTTTTTGTTGTTTTTAATACTAAGGGTGCTTTTCAGTGGATTTCACTGTACCAACCAATGAAGAACAGCATGGTTAACACAGAGAAGGATGGCCCACTGGCAGATGAGGCGTCAGAAAGAAAGGAGAAGGCCCTCAAAACATGCGAAACTAATGGAATAGCCATTGTGAACAAAGGAAATGCCATCAAAAAACTGGAATGGGTATTCGCGGTCATAGATCCGCAATATCAGGATAATATCAAATTATGTAAATGTATATCTGAATTTCATTTATCGTAATGAACTTGAATGCTCTCTTGGTTTAATTAATTGTCCTTTGATGGTTTACGACGAACAGGTCTCTTGTTCTAACGCTGATTTTCTGGGCCGTGTTAGTTTCCTTTACCCCATTTTGGCCGCCGATGTTTTACGTTTGGCAGTATTGGATTATAAGTCAAATAAGATGTGTTTCCAAAAAATTTTTGTGTTCACAAAGATAACACGTCAAGCTACTGGAAATCAAGATTAAAACTTTCAATTCATTTAAATCAACGTGTTTATAACAAAAATAGAACAAATAACAACAAATTTACTGTTTTTCAGTCTCAATATTAAAAATAAAATTGGAGCCAAATACATTTTCCATCTTATCCATGTTAAAAATGTCGTCCACCGAATTCCCCATTTCTGTATCATTAACCAGCGTTTTACAGCCTACATCACTTTTCCTTTTTTCACAATGGCTATTCTATTAGTTTCGCATTTTTTGAGGGCCTTCTCCTTTCTTTCTGACGCCTCATCTGCCAGTGGACCATCCTTCTCTGTGTTAACCATGCTGTTCTTCATTGGTTGGTACAGTGAAATCCACTGAAAAGCACCCTTAGTATTAAAAACAACAAAAAATTAGGCCCTTATTGACCGAAAAGTGATTCTCCCAAAGATTTCAGAGAAAAACAGGTAACTTTTTGTTCTAAAACCAAAAACACACCTCAAAATTAGCAAAAACAACATACCTCTTTGTTCCGGACCAACGATTGGGCAGAGATTATCTTCCGTGTTGCGATAGCTAAAACCGGAGCCGCCAGAAAGGTAATAATTCGGCCTTGAAACCGTAATGCGGCACATAAACAATAAATGGACAAAGTTATATCTTTATTACACAAAAATCAACAAAATCAAACAAAATACACACACTCGACTTACCAAATACCTTGCAGTACTATCAACAAAACAAGAAAATGTCTCGTCCTCCAACAAAAAATATTTTTCTACCGTACACACGAATAATTTCAAATTTGCTTTGGGTCCCGGCGGGAATTATTTTATAATTGGCCAAGTGTATCCCTAGTTATGGCGTCGCGCGTACTTGAAGCTTCCCTCCAAGGGGCCCGGACATTGTTGCAACGACCATCACCAAATTTCTTGAAACTTGGCCAGTAGAAGGGCCTGAGCATGCTGATCAAAAGCGTCAAACGTTTTCCCAAAATTTGCATTATTTCGGGATTACTGTAACATTTTGTGTTTTATAAAGCGGCCGTTGTCGTGGACCAGGTGATCGCCCTACGGGTCCGAAACTTCTTGTCTGTACGTTTTCGAACATGGCCAACATTTTTCTAATTGAAACTTTTTTTGTATCTTTTCGTCTTTTGGTAGTACCGTAATCGTCATGATACCATATCGATTACTGTCAAAAATTGGAACAAGTGTAACAAGTTTTCAAACCTGATTATAAAAGTTGGACACCCTTCCCGTAAAATAAAACAAAAAAATCAAAAATAAAAATATAAGTTTTTGAGATATAAGCGTTCAAAGTTGCCATGTTCGGTTACTGTAGGACCAAAAAGGAGATGATCAATTTTCAAACGGTACGATTGATTGCCACGCCTCACCCATTAATAGATCAGCCTTAGAAAAATATTTTCAGGTCAAAAAATAAATATTTGAGGCTTTTTTTCAGGCTTTATACGATGGTTACTGTAGTTTCTAACTTTTGTTAATTTCGATAACAAATTTATTGGAATGACGAATTTAGACAAGCTATCCGGGTTAGAAACGCGCATACATCATGGAAGGCAAAAATCAGAATCGTAATACTACCCATTCCTGAAATAGTGGGAGATTACGGTAGCCGTACCCACTTTTTTCGCTGTTTGGCCGCGGCATTCTTTGGAGCTGCGAGTGTAACAACTTTTGAACCCTGAAATTCATTCAGGATGGATAGAAGAGCATTTCAGCAAAAAATCGCGAAAATAAAAATATAAGTTTTTGAGAAAATCCAGGATTACGGTCATTTTAGGGGGTTTTTGGGCCGTTTGGCCGCGGCATTCTTTGGAGCTGCGAGTGTAACAACTTCTGAAGCCTGAAATACATCCCCGATGCTCTAGAAAGTACCTATGTAAAAAAGCCCGAGAATAAAAATATAAGTTTTTGAGAAAATCCCGGATTACGGTAGTTTAGGAGAGGAAATCCCCTGAAATGACCGTAATCCCGAATTTTCTCAAAAACTTATATTTTTATTTTTGCGATTTTTTGCTGAAATACTCTTCTATCCATCATGAATGAATTTCAGGCCTCAAAAGTTGTTACACTCGCAGCTCCAAAGAATACCGCGGCCAGACGGCCCAAAAACCCCCTAAAATGACCGTAATCCTGGATTTTCTCAAAAACTTATATTTTTATTTTCGCGATTTTTTGCTGAAATGCTCTACTATCCATCCTGAATGAATTTCAGGGTTCAAAAGTTATTACACTCGCAGCTCCAAAGAATGCCGCGGCCAGACGGCCCAAAAACCCCCTAAAATGACCGTAATCCAGGTTTTTCTCAAAATCTTATATTTTTATTTTCGCGATTTTTTGTTGAAATACTCCTCTGTCCATTATGAATGAATTTCAGGCCTCAAAAGTTGTTACACTCGCGGCTCCAAAGAATGCCGCGGCCAAACAGCGAAAAAAGTGGGTACGGCTACCGTAATCTCCCACTATTTCAGGAATGGGTAGTATTACGATTCTGATTTTTGCCTTCCATGATGTATGCGCGTTTCTGACCCGGATAGCTTGTCTAAATTCGTCATTCCAATAAATTTGTTAGCGAAATTAACAAAAGTTAGAAACTACAGTAACCATCGTATAAAGCCTCAAATAAAGCCTCAAATATTTATTTTTTGATCTGAAAATATTTTTCTCAGGCTGATCTATTAATATGTGAACCGTAGAGATTAATGGAAAAGGTTAAAAATTGATCGTCTCTATTTTGGTCCTACAGTAACCGAACATAGCAACTTTGAACGCTTATATCTCAAAAACTTATATTTTTATTTTTGATTTTTTTGTTTTATTTTACGGGAAGGGTGTCCAACTTTTATAATCCGGTTTGAAAACTTGTTACACTCTTTCCAATTTTCGGCAGTAATCGATATGGTATCATGACGATTACGGTACTACCGAAAGACGAAAAGATACAAAAAAAGTTTCAATTAGAAAAATGTTGGCCATGTTCGAAAACATACAGACAAGAAGTTTCGGACCCGTAGGGCGATCACCTGGTCCACGACAACGGCCGCTTTATAAAACACAAAATGTTACAGTAATCCCGAAATAATGCAAATTTTGGGAAAACGTTTGACGCTTTTGATGTATGCCTTGTGGGTGTTCTATGAGCCAAATTTGAAGAAATTCGGTGATGGTCACCGCAACAATGTCCGGGCCATGCTTCACTTTGTAAAAAAGTCCGTTTTAAATGTTTTCGCTTTGGAACTTGGGAAAAAGATTTTTTTTGAGAGTTTGAACAAATTTTTGAAATGTTTTCGCTTCGGGACTGGGGAAAAAGAATTTCCCCTCGCTTATAAACACTATTTTCCCAAAAATTTTTTAAACCTCAATTACCCCTAAGGTAACTATTTATCTAAAAAATTAAAGAAATAACATTCGTACCTTATGTAAAATAAAATTGTAACATTCAGAACAAAAAATCCTTTTCCCAATTCCCGAAGCGAAAAATTTTCAAAAATTTGTTCAAACTCTCCAAAAAATTTTTTTTCCACGTTCCGAAGCGAAAATATTAAACGGTATCGTTGACCCGAAATGTCGTTGACCCGAGGTGTCGTTGACTCGAAGTGTCGTTGACCCGAGTTGTCGCGACCCGAGTTGTCCCTGACCCGAAATGTCGGGACGCGCAATTTAGCAGATCTTATAGTTGTTTTTTAATAAGACAATTTCAACCCTTAGCCTAGCAGAAACTACCGAGATTTTTAGCGACCTAAAATCTTCGACAAGGTTGAAAAAAATAAGGCACCGCAACGTTTTCGGAATTTGGACATTTGCGGAACTGCGCTCATGACTAAGCTGACCACCTATCATGACCGAGGTCAAGAAGGTTGTCTAAAATTACCCGAAAATGGTCTCAATGCTTGACTGTGACGGTGACGCCCATTCCAACCGTTAAAAGCTTGCTTTTTTTGAAACGCTTTTGGCTGGCCGACCCAGGTTTTTGGCTAGCCGTTTAAAAAATTTGGTTGTGATTTCAACTTATTGGCTAGCTGATCAGACAATGTTGAAGAGAAAGGTGAAAACAAGAATTTATAAAGCACTTGATTAAAAGCCTTGCTTGCGCAGCCAGAGAGACGGGCTCGGACGCAACCGTCCGAGCTTCCATCTCCCATCTTCTCTTATCCGATCCCCGATCTTGCCAGATCAAGGTGGGCGGAGTTTAGACATGGGATTACAAGGATTAGATAGATATTCCATGTATCTTTGTATGAGAATATTAGACAATGTGACACAGAATATTAGACAATGTGTTGCACATGGAGCACTCAACTTAATATTTTTCAGTTTAATCACAATTCTACTTGTCTTGACTGTCGCAAAATGAACGGGCGTTCTGAGGGTCCCCATGTTATTGGCGGCTCATGTCCTCGATCGCGGATCTGGAATATAACCGGTGGACTTGGAGGCGGAGGCGCAAGCTGCGGGCCCGGCGCTGGTGGTGGCGGAGGAATTATTGGAGGAAAATTTGGATACAAGGCCAACGGAAGTGGAGGCAGCAGCGCTGTGCTATTAAAAGATGTAAAAGCAGACTATGCCATCGGAATTCATAATGGAAACGGGCGTATTGTCATCATGAGATGCTCTCTGCCTTGTCCGACCAATTCCAGTTGTCGATTTGAGAGCAATGAACTGGGGACACCTCCAAAACCCTTTTGTCTCTGCATAAACGGAAAAGAGACCGACCAGAATGGAGATTGTAGCTCCATGTCTCTGCTTGGTGAGTTAAATGACGTCAGTCATTACATGAATTATTATCGTTTCAGAGCTTTTGGGAGTCTGGTCCAAAGAGGTCGTTGGTCTGAATTCTCCTTTCGCTTTCTTGGTTATTTTTGCATTTTTCCTTATCTTGATTTGTAAGTTCTAAGGTTATTGCACGAAACGACGAGAATTATAAAAGTTATTTACGATGTTTAGTGTTTCTGGTGATTCTCTTCTTGTCATGCCGCCGAGGAGGGTTACTGTATTACATGAAGAAATACAAAATTTGTTGGACGAGGAATAAAAGACATAATCAAGACTTTGGAGGTATGGAGATGAGTGATACAATCGACTCCAGAATCCGGATGAGTGATCGGATTACCCCCAATCCCATCTACGAGAGGCTAACCATGATGGAGCTCCCTCAGATCTCTCGGCACTTCCTCCAGCTCAAGCAATCCATTGGACACGGGGCTTTTGGAGAAGTGTATGAAGGGTTGTTCATTCTGGATGGTCGGACAACCAAAGTCGCCGTCAAAACATTGCCCATGGGCTCGAATCCAGAAACAGATATGGATTTCGAATCGGAGGCCCGGTTACTCAAGTAAGCCCAAAGTTGAATGACCGATTATCTTTTTTTTCAGTCATTTCGATCATCCAAACATTGTTAAATTCTATGGAGTCTCCTTTGAAAAATTGCCAAAATACATTATTCTTGAGTACCTTGAAGGCGGAGATCTTCGTAACTTCTTGAGAGAACAAAGGCCCAAGCCAGTAAGTCATCATTGCTGATACAGTACTCTTTCGAGGACCAAAAATCCGAGGATGCACAGCTCAAGATGGTGGATCTTCTTAACATGGCGCTGGATGTTGCCTACGGTTGTGAATACCTGGAACAGAGTAAATTCATCCATCGTGACATTGCTGCTCGCAACTGTCTTCTGACTTCCAAAGGGCCTGATCGTATGGTGAAAATCGCTGATTTTGGAATGGCCAGGGATATCTTTAGTCAGGAATATTACCGGAAGGGAGGCCGAGCCTTTTTGGCCGTCAAATGGATGCCTCCGGAGGCATTTCTAGATGGCATTTTCAACTCCAAAACAGACGTCTGGGCATATGGAGTTCTTTTGTGGGAGATATTCTCCATGGGCTACATGCCTTACACGATGAAGGCCAATCAAGATGTGATGCAATTGGTCGTGGCTGGAGGACGATTGGAGCCTCCCGTTGGTTGCCCGCAAGAGGTAAGAACCATTAGTACATTTAATATTATGTCATCCTCATTAATGATATTGCAGATTTACAACGAGATGCTTTGTTGCTGGCACACTGAATCCGAAGCCCGTCCCAACTTTACAGAACTGGTCAGTTTCTTTACAATGCTGGCTTCGGACCCGATGATGGCCAATCTTCCCCTTCCTCCCACACTCCATAGACAACGTCAGAATACTCCCAGTGAGACGTCAAGTTCTCTGAATCCAACGGAAGAAGTTGGGACAAGTCAGGCAACCGCGAGCACTGTGATGTCTGAAAGTACCACCAATTCCTCGATTCATTCAATGCCGACAAAAGGAGAAGGGGTCTCCTTTAATGTATTCCCACCCTACGAATCACGATGTTCAAAGCCACTGATGGAGCTGAGAACAAGACCTCAGTTCTCGAACAGAGAGCCGAGCCTGTCATCCCATGATGATTCCACTTTACACGACACTTGTTCGGTCAAACAAAGCCCGTACAAGATCGAGAGAGAATTCTTCCCCAAGCTGCCGGATGTTCAGGTAATTACAATAAGATAATAATAATATATGTATGTATTAATGGTTCTGCAAAACACATTGCAGTGACGGAAAATTTATTTTTGGTGTATTCCACAGTATGTAAGAGTGAAGGAATAAGAAGGTTTAAGATTTTGGAGAAGTGGCGCGTTTCACTTTTGTTGGTTAAACTTTCTTGTAATGTTATTTCGAAGTTTTGCATAGAAAATGTCACAGACCACTTTTTCAAAATCTAAAAATATATGATGATTAATCAGCAATTAAGAGTTACTTTTTAGTCCTCATTCCCAGCAGAACCACCTCCAACTCCCCCTCCAAGAGCGATGAAGAGGACGTCGCCGAAGGAATCGGCTTCTTCTCCTTGTTTTGGGGGCAGCGACAGCCCCATGGTCTAAGTCAGCATTCCCGATCTCAAGCATTCATTCTGCAAACCCGGGTCTAATTATTCACAGTACAAGATGGTTATAATGTCTCTGTTATTTTTTTGTATTTATTTATTTCACAATTAGCAATACAGCCTACAAACGTAATGATGCAGAAAAAGTTCATTGGCAAGTATGGCACGTATAAATTTCAGCGCGCTAGTCCATCCCAACCCGGCGGATTTAGTCCAAAGTTAAAAATTGCGCAATCTTACACAACGTTGCGCAATTTCTCTCGGTTGAGCCTGAACTCTCCCCCTTTTCTGAACTGTCCCCCAATCTGAACTCTACCCCTTTTTCAACTCTACCCCAAAAAAGGCTGAACTCTACGGTCAACGTCATGAATCCATGATGAAATCGGTGTTTTTTGGGAAAAACGAGTTAGATCTTGACCTAAGGCACGATTAATGTCCAAACTCTGCAGAAAAAAAGTTATTCTACTAGTTATTCTGGACGGCTTTGGTACTTCAGTTAGGTCGGGTCAAAACCACACATGACTATGGTCAGTCACTACCTGGGTCGTGAGCTTGGTGACGACCTGACCTAAAGAAAGTGTCTTGACCATTATAGTCAGTTGCAGAACTTCAGCACCACGTACAGTACAAACATATATATATATATATATATATATACAGTGAGGGACCGGATCCAATGGCAAAAAACGTCTGATTTTGCATCCCGGAAGGGACCAAAATGTCTCCAAACCCTTCCCTTCTCTAAGCTAAAAAACCCCGCTTTGAAGGGCCCGCCTTGAAGGAAAGAGCGCGCTTTTCAAGGCGGAGTTTTTTAGCTTAGAGAAGGGAAAGGTTTGGAGTCATTTTGGTCCCTTCCGGGATGCAAAAGGAGACGTTTTTTGCCATTGGATCAGGTCCCTCCCTGTATATGTTCTGAGCAGAGAAAAAAAGAAAAAAATCTTCGTGAGGAGAGAGCAAAAATTTGCGCAATGTTACGCAATTTCAGACAAGAATTACACATTTCTTATCTAGAAGCCTAACAAACAAGAAATGGCGGTTTCTGGCCACGAAATCCGATTTGATTTGTATGCCACCATCCTTATATATCTATATACATATTTACATATAAAAAATTCAAACAATCATTTATTTATTGAAACAACCCGTATTGTATATCCTAAAACTGTGGTATCTAAATATGTAAAAATGTGCTACAAGATTTCTCGAATCGACGGTGTGTCTTCCCGATCAATAATGGGAGCTGTTCGAGCAGTATGTACAGTAATTACAGCGCCTTTATTCACACTGAAGGCAGGATAGTAAAGACCTCGGGGTAATCGGCTAAAACGAAAGGATGATTCTAAACAGAACATTTTTATGCTTACTGGAAAGCATAGAGATGCCCATCATAGCCCAAGGGTCGTCCGTTTATGTAAAAGGAGAGTCTGCCTTGATCGCAATCCAATCTAACGCCGATCACTTCCCCTTCAGAGACTCCTTGCTCCGTTCTCCCATGATGATCTCCGTTATGGAAGAACCAGGATCTTCGGACATCCAGATACATCGCCCAGCCATGGATATCCTTCCCCAGGATTTTATGACGATCCACACTTGGCTGCGCAACCCCGACAACAATATCCGTGTTGATATCTAGACGATCCACGGAGATTTCCCAGAAATGGACTCCTCGACTGAAGGCGACCGTGCCTAGGACTACAGAGTAATCGAGTGAAGAACCGGTCACTGTGCAACTCTGGTTGGAGAGCTGGACATCCATCTGGGAGACTGATTTACACAATTGGAACCAGGCGACTAAAACCATAAAAGGTGATTCAATCCAGTTTTTTTATTTTCCCCAAACGACGATTGGGGAAAATAAAAGATTTTTTTGCTTTTTTGGCTAACTAATACCATACTTCGCTAGCCTTGCTTTAAAAAACCCCCATTTGTAACCGCTTTTAACTATTCACGCCCTTTAGTGGCCTAGAAACGATATTAACCTCTGCAGGAGGTCGAAAATTTTTAATTTTTATAAAACGGCATCTAACATAATAGTACATGTATTATGTTAGATGCCGCTTTATAAATTATGTTTTAGAGGTTAGGTGGATCAAGCAAAGGTTGAAAGAGACTACGTAAGTGAAGTTTTATAGGTTGGGCTAATGAAGTATGACTTTGGCCACTAGAGCAAAAAATGATTTTATTTTCCTCAATCGTCCTTTTCCCCAATCGTCGCGGTCCGGCCAATAAATGAGCAATAACAAGTAATATAAAAACTAAAACAAAAATAAAGTAGGACATACCTGGAGCTGTTTGTAAGCAAATGGGTTCACTGTAAGAACTCTCACCGGCTGCATTGAATCCCTTTAATCTGGCGTTGTAAAGCGTATTAAAGTGGAGTCCGTCGATGGTGCAAGCGGAGTCCGGGCCCCTGTAGACCTCCTTAAATCGCCCATCATCTTTACCACTGTCCAATTCCAATATAAACCCATCAACGGACTGTCCATTCCTCGGGCAATCCCATGTCAAAACAACCGAATTGTTCTCCGCTGAACATTCATTGGCCAAGAAAAACGGTCTTGGAGGAGCTGAACAAAATCGTATAACAAGTGAATGAAATTTCGATAATATTATCTACCACAAAACAAGCAACCTTAAGCTATCTAACTACTACAATTACAATATCTATTTACATCTAATTACCTCTCTCATTATCACCGGAAAATGGTCTTCGCATAATGGCTTAAAAAGTATTATAAATTACTGTGAAAAGTATTACCTTGTAGCTGCACAAATTCCATGGCCTGGATCGTTGCCTGGACTTGTCTCAGGTCTATATTGAACACAAATTCGGGGTTGATATCTGGTTTTGTAATCATATTTTTGTTCCACAAGAAGTCGGTCTCGGTCGCTCGATGACATAAGGCATGATCAATCTAAAATTGTGGTCGAATTAGACAATGACCTCCGCTGCCCTTGTGCCCCCTTAAACCCGCATAGTACGATAATTACAGTAACTCTTAATTAAAATAATTACATGCAAATAAGCGATGGGATCGGGCTCTTTAAGGACCTCGATGCAGAACTGAATCAAGGCCGTGGTATTGTTGAGTTGGCCAGCACATTTGGCCACTTGTTCTTTCAGAGTCCGATGCTTTCTCTCCTTCTCCATTGTCACATATTCCATTAATTTGGCTCTTCGCTCTTCCAGATTTTGAATTAAAACGTCGATTTGAACATTAAGCCCCGTTTGGAATTCGTTGCAATTATCCTGGCAATTAATTTGATGTTAAACATATTCCACTTACTTCTACTGTCTGATGCAGCTTTTTAATCTCATTGATGTCTTCCGATGCTTTTTTCACCTTTTCCGACAATTCTTGTAGTATTCGGGACAATTCGCTCTGCAAAGCAACTTTTTTCAGCATTATTTTTGATAATTTTTTTCCGTAACCGTAATCGACTCTGACAGACTCCGATCCGCACTTATTTTTTATAAAACTTTTATGGATTAATCGGAAATGACAGGTGTCTGCGAGGATGTCGGATTAATCGTCTGTGTACAGCTTTATTAACAAGATCTGCGGCCGTTTAATGAGGTGTTTGCGGTCGTGGCCGGGTTTACGATCCACGGATCAAAGTGGAGACGCCGCCACCTAGGGCCGAGGCCGGGCCACAAATCCCGGAGCGCGGTTAGGATAACAAATAGAAGCCGCCCGAGGAGGGGGAGGCGCGCGGCCATATCTCACCGAGATTATGTCATCTCCTTGTCCGACAAATTGCAGCGGACAATGACCGATGGACCAAGTTTTGCAGCTGCCGATCAGGGAATCGGATTTCCGGCCTTAATCCCTCAAACACTGGCATGTCCCGTCCTGATTATGTCACTCGTTATGTCTCGTCAACAATGCATCAAAAACATGACATGCCCTCAGGGCGCGCGGATTTCCAGGCTCTGCAATTAACTCCCGCGGACGGACAATTGCGCCTCTGATCCCCAATTAAATCTGTCCATTCCAGAGCCGGCTTCACGCCTCACCGGCTCCGTCTTCTTGCTTCAGGCAACAAGAACAATATGCCGTTTTGGGAGGCCTCAACTTTGACCGACCTTTTCGCGTGAGAAGGGGATTTAAGGGATGAGAGAAGGGACCGGAATCCATTAAGGAACTCCCGGAATCTGCACACGGCGTCTTGCACAGCACATAAATCATGTCTTTTGAATGCATCGGATCCTCTGATGAGCGATGAATATGGGGACACAAAGGGAATGCTCTTCCCAATGTTTTTGAATACAAATTTTACAGTACTCTTCCATTCCCAAGTTGGAAAACTGACCTTTAAGGTCTTCTTGATTCATGGCATCTCTCAACGAACATGACCTCGGCAAGGAGATTTATGGGATTATGAGGTCGTAAGCTCCCTGCAGGTAAGATTCGGACATGTTCTTCGATTACACCTGCGGGAAGCTTGCAGGTGTCAGGTTTCGTGGGGGTTTTTCCATTTCCTGACGAAAAACATTTGGCGCAAAAAATGCATACGAAGGCAAAGGGGAGAAGAAGAAGACATGCTGCCTATTAATTGATTCCGCGCCATTTTGTCCCAAGCCCAGCTGACTGGAGATCTGTCAACGGCTTGTCCCGAATTGGCCTATCAAAGAATAATGAATGGCCATTCGAAGTGTCAAATCAGAGCTGAAGTGCGATCAATTTGCCGCGCGCATGCCTCCCTCCCCTCTAATCTGACGTAGCCCCCGACCCCATATTTGGCTCTAATTAAGGAAACTCATCCGCCTGGAAGCGAACGCCTTTTCGGCACTTCCCCATGGGCTTGATGCAATTACATTGCCCGTCCTTAATGAGTTCTCCATAATGAAAAAAGGATTCTCCTGAGATTTACAAGTGGATTCAGAAGTCTCAGAAAGGAAATCAATTTGCATAAGATACGCGGAACTGTCAGAGTCGTATGAAATATGATTAAAAAGCAATGAAAACGAAAAAGTAATATCCCTGACCGACCTTCTTCGTCTTTACGGTAGTCGCCAGCGATTGAACTTGATGAGTTAGATGACGAGCTGACTGAATGCATTGGCAACACAAGGGAATGTTACAACTAGAGCAGAACATTGTCAACGCCTCTTCCACATGAGCTTCGCAACGATGTTCTTCAACGGGCTCGTGTTGTGACAAGAGTTTTCTATAAAAATTTAATGCCATCATTTCAGACAATGCTTACTTCCGACTAATACTTTCGGCGGGGACAAACTTGTGATCCTTCAGAGGTCCCCTGGAAGGGTGGATAATCGGCTGGCAATCGCTGCAGTAAAAGTATCCACAGGATTCGCAATACAATGACGCCTGATTCTGTTTTCCATCTTCACACCATTGACAAAATAAGGCCGGAGAATTTGATGAGGATTCTGAATCTTTTTGAATCTGCGCCTTTTTGAATCGCTCGACCAATCTTCTCAAGGCCAAGTTTGATGACTGATTATAGACTGCATTCTCATCAGCAAAAAACGATGTTTTTTGGCATTTTTCGCAGATGATGGTATGCCCTGTTGTGAGGGGTGTAATCAACGATTGAAGTCGAGAAGAGGGTGTTGACGAGCTGGGAAGGGACCCAAGAAAACTGCTCGGCCTTGAGCCTACAATAAAAAAAAACATTGAGGAATGTTTGCCGCCAGATGAGTGACACCGATAAGAGCCGTGCCTGACCTGAGAAGCCCCGTTTATTACCTTTGCCAGAGTTGCCATTTGCGCCATTGTTGTATATACAAACACCCGAGTCGGTCTCGCTCACCATGCTCAGCTTGTCGCATTCTTGGTCGGGGTCTGATATGCAGATCGAGGCGGTATCACTGGCTGAAAAAAACAATGATATTAAACCGAAAAGAACGAAGTACAGTAACCTAAATAATGCTCACCAGAACTACTAGAGCAGGGTGGAGACATCACCGAACTGGACTTGAGAAGCGCCTTTACCGCACATTCTCGGCAATAACTGTGCGAACATTGTAGTAGAATTGGATCTGTCAGGAATGATCGACAGAGCGGGCATCTCAGCTCCTGCTCCATGGCTAAACAAAGTAATGACATTAACAAATCATGTGTCTCGAATAATCCAAGGCACATGCGCAAACAAAAATATGCAAGATTAAAACGGGATTTGCATAATTGGAAGAACGATATGGGCAGATGTATTGCAATAAACACCGATTTATTAGACTATAAGTATGAATATTCACGGAAAAAATAAACATAGATGTATCGGCAGATACGAATAAAATTAATATTCTCAAACAAGTCAATGTCCACAAACCTAGAATTTCTAACTCTCAGCCGCAAGGAGAGGATTAAAGGTGAAAAAACTCGGACATCAGTTTTTGTGAATTTGAACTATAAATCGTGTGGGAAAAGCAGGTGGCCGGAAAGCCCAAAAAACCAGACCCGAAAGCTGTTTGCGCAGCCCGAAAGCAACCGACGTCAAAGCTCCAAGAAACATGGCACTTCTGGCAGGACATCAAGACATGTCACTCCTCCAGTTCCCTAATAGCACCCATGTAAATTTCTCCGAGCACGCCAAAAAACGTCCATCCGAAGTGACCAGTCCGTCGCCGATTAGCCTCAGGGGATTGGAAAATGTCGGGAGTGCGCAAAGACACTCATAAATTACCTTAGGGCAATTGGAAACAATACCTGATCCCATGGGACACCGGCGGACCCTTTCCCAACTCGAACGGGGACAATTAAAACTACAGGAACCACTTATTAGAGACTGGGAATGCCCGAATGACTGACAAACGCCCCGCCAGACTCCGCCTCCTTCCATATAGTGGGGTCAGGGAAGGGCGAGCGGGAAGTGGACAACACAACGAGCCCTATGAACATGGCCGCAGGCAAAATACCCAAAATGAATCACCGGATCTGCTAATCTTGGAGGCCAACACATGGACACTGGATTTATGTGGGAAAGCTGGAAGAGCGAGAGATTAATTATTAGTTTTCGTTCCGGAAATTGACAAATTTGTCGCCGTTACATAAACGCCCCATTAATCATCAGATGGGAGAGTCACAAAGGCCTTACGACACCTTGACCCCATACTTTGGCTGACAATATTAAAGGCACTCTATTCAGCCAGCACTCGAGCCCCGGCACCCTTTCATGATTACGTCCAGAGGATCAGCCAAACTCATAAAGAAGAGAAATGGCAATTAAGTATTTCCTCAGCCGTTTTTCTTCCTATTTTGGGCCTTCCAACCTAAGAAGAAGACACCTCGGTTAAGCACGGTCGGACGCCTCGAATCGGTTATGGAGGGGAGGAAAGACAAGATGGCACAATAACCTTTCCCCATAACAATCGAATCGACGCATCAGCGAGCCAAAAAGGGCCTATTAAGGAGAATCTGGCTGGGCCGGGCAAAGCGAAAGGCCGAGAACGACCGGAGGCAATATCCTCGGCCTCAAATGAGTGCAGGTGAAGAAAGTTTGGCCAAGTGTTTTTGCAGAATGGGCCCGAAAAAAAGATAATCGTTCATGGGATTTGACTCACTTCTCGCCTTAATCAAGTCTCGAGGCCTTTTAACTCGACTTTTCTGATATCGGAAAACAATTGGAACAATTTTATTTGGGAAGTCACAATAAAAGATTTCCCGCCGACATAAAAAAACATAAAAACATGCAAATCCGATGGCCTTTTGGACCTTTCTTTAGCCCGTTTTAGTCGCCATAATACCACCGCAAACTGCGCAATCGTTTCCAATAACGGGTTACATTATACCTTAGCGTTTATGACTAATGATATAAAAGCAGGGTGTTATCCGCCAGAAAAGTAACATTCTTTCCTCCAAAAAAGTGGAACGGTTTCTTAATGAGGCTTTGTTTATAGTTCGCCTATAAGGCCCAACAACAAAGTAATTAAATATATACAATGCGGGCCGTAAAGTCTTTGCGGGTTCTTTCTGAAACCGAATACGACAGACTGTTGTTAGGCACAGGTTGTCACTTTAGACGTCTTAAGGAAAGCAAAGTATATTCCGAAAATAAAAAATATCAGGCTACCATTACTACAACTTAGTAGCTTACATTGTTAGAATTGTTAAAAAAAAATATTTGAAAAATCTACTGCATACAGCTAGCCCATTTTTTGGTTTTTACAAAGTAAAATTGTCTTTTGAAGATAGTCTGTTCTCATCCCAAAAAAAATTCAGTGAGAATTTCAACGGACTGCGATGCATTTGTAACCGGGACACCTGGTTTCGTTTATTCTTATTCTTAAGCTTACAGTAGGGGAAGACAAAAACAACCAAAGGTGGATTCTATTTTATTTTCTTTACGTCATGGTTCTATGTCATAAAGAGAAAAAACATAGATTGTATATCAAAAAATATTTTAAAAGTTACAGTCTCGATTTAGCTTAGGCTAACAAAGGCAGCCTGCAGGGAAAAGACGGCAAGCTGCGCCCTAATTCGTCCCTTTGCGCTCTATTCTTTGACAAGGAATTGTAAATTTTTTGTTTGCGAGCGTGGACTAGATGTAAACGAACTAGCGCAATGGCAAAAACTTTGGATAAAAATCTACACGAGTCCATTATTCCCACCATCGAGGTCAAATTGCAGGGAATTGAGAATGGTAAGGTCTTAAAGTAATCTGCTTGAATTCATTCAGGATTGGGTTTCAACATTGTGGGAGGCGTCGATACACCTCATATACCCGGTCATGATGGCTTCTTTATCTCAAGGATCCGCCCTAATTCAGCGGCGGCCGACAACGGCCGGTTGAATGTTGGAGATCGTATCGTAGCGGTAAGTGCTTTCATTCTTATTTTTATTTTTTAGGTAAATGGGACCATTATCACACCACTGACCCACGATCAAGCTGTACAAATATTCAAAAGTGCCTCCAAGGAATGCGTCCTCACCGTCGAACCAGACGCCGAAAGGATTCTTTTATCTGTAAGTTCGCTGATTTTATCATTTTTGTTTTTTAGCAACCTTCTGATCTCATCGTACGCTCATCTTCTTCAACAAATCAAACTCCACTAAGCGGCTCAAAGTCAGATAATTCTAGCAGAAGTTCTTCTCCAAGTTCAGCTAAAAATAAGGGAAATTCGAAGAAAACTAATTTTATAGTCAAAGAAAACAACAAAAAACTCCAGGCAGAAGTTGTGAGAGAAGAGATAGAAAGTTTAGCGGCTAAAGAGAATGGTATGCAAAATCAAGCAGAGGTCGAGAGGAAAGAAAATTGTGTAAACGTCACTGAAGATGTTAAGAAAAGAGAAGAAGAGCTTGAGAGAGGGGAGGATGGTAACAATCAGAACAATTGTAAGTTGGCTTTCTTGTCTGATATAACATGTTTAGTGTCGAAGGGTAACAGCGAGGTAATTTCAAATGGAACTGTGCCAAACAAAAAGCAGGGTAATCTACAAAATGTTGTTCCACCATGCAAAGTAAATGTAAGATCTAGGACTATGTCCAACACATCTTCGACATATTTTGCCCATTCCGGTCCCCAAAAACATCTTAATCAAGTACAGGATGATGAAGAAGATCGAGCTTCTACCGTGAGTATGGCCCCGAGTATAGCTCATAGTGTTATCGATGACATCCCTCGTACTCCGAAAAAGCCGACTAGCATATTAGACCCTTCAAAGTGAGTGCTTTTCTATTATATCAGTCTGTCGGGAAAATAACGGCGGGTCGTCGCATCAAAATGTCTCGCCTCACCGCTATCGCCAAATCTCCAGTTTCGGCCGCCGTCGCAAAGCGATGATGGGCGATTCCGAGGCGCGACAATCCGCTGTTATTTTCCCGACAGACTGATATTTTTGAAAAAAAGTTTATTTTCGTTATTTTGTATTTATTTCAGTCCGTCAATCTTAACCGAGGTCCTTTTCGTTTCAATCGGAGTGGTGGCGTTGGGAGCTGGCATTGTACTCTCATACCGGTACTTAAGGAGACATTAGAAAGGTTAGATTTCAATTGTTAGGTGCTATACAATGTTGTATTTACATTTTATTGTTTTCTTGAGAATGTATTAAACTATACTCTCAAAGTCGTCGTTTGTTAATTTCGAGAAGGAGGAGACCGAACTAGGTGCCAACGTTGTTGTAGAGCTTTGGTACATGCCCTGAGGCAACCATCGTTTATCCTCATATTCATTCAGATGATAGGCTTCGTATTGTGCTTGATAGAATTGTAGTAGACAGTATGGCATTGCTTGCAAATTCCATCTATATGTCCAAAGGTCAGCCGCCTAAATTCTCTGTAAGGATTTCATCTTGAATCATCTTACATTAAGCAGTGAGAACCTTGTCAAATCGCTTAAACGGATGTCATTGGAGCAGAGGGAAAGGCGACATTTCATGATTATCTTATCGCAGACATGGGGATCCAATTCGTATAACAGTTGCCCTGACCTTATCAGAATTTGCGCCACACACTGAAAGCGTTGTCTTTGTGATGTTATACTTACTAGAAGATCACCGTCATCAGGATTAGACTCCGTTAGAATAAACATGCAATCGAAGAGAGGACGGACCAGACTGGTGCCCATATACTTATCAATATCACTAAATAAAAAGTTGTCTTCAATTCATTCTTACTTACAAAAATATGGGCATTAACTCGACCAGACTTCGGCAATAATTTCTGAACATTTTGCGATCACTTCTCCTCATTTCGTATCTCTTCTTATAGTCATCCAGAGACAATGACAAAACTTTTGATGGTAATTTCATGTCGTTTGGATTGTCCTAAACAATTTTGCGTACATTTGTTTGCTGGTTTACTTACTCGATGAATATAAGCCACAATTCTTGCAGCGGCGTTCCCAAAATTTGAATCGGAGAGCCATCTCTGATGTAAATGCTCAACCAGAACATCAGTTCGGGCGTTCTTTACCAAAGTCGCAAAGGTTTGAACAGGGAGATCCCCTTGGGCTGACAAATATGATAAGGAATTCAATATTGAACGTAATTCTTCTTCCAAAAGTGCCATTCCGTACGGGACAGTCCGAAAGGAATATTAGTTTTGTTTTTGGAACAGGTGGCCAGCTCGTTTTTAAAGAAAAGTCCAAACAATCTAAAAGAAATTCACAAATAGTTTGTCAGAAATCAGTCCGTCGGGAAAATAATATCGGGTCGTCGAGCCTTGGCCAAGGCCTTGGAATCGCCCATCATCGCTTTCCGACGGCTAGCCGTCATTTCGGGCAAAATACTAGTCGCGACATAAAGTCCGTAGAATTTTCTGCACTGTGCATAAACCCGAAAAAGCATTATGCACTGTGCATTCACCCGAAAACACATTTTGCACTGTGCAATTTTGTTGATTTTGCCTTATTGTCGCGCGCGATTCTCATTTTTCTCAGCGACAAATCGACATTTCGGGGTGCAACGGGATTTGGGGGCCGCGAAAAATTCTACGGACTTTATGTCGCGACTATACTTATATCCAATGTTGCAAAATTGTTGGGGCGGAGGATAGATCGCTCATGACCAACCTCGCAACCTAGGTCGTGGCCGAGGTCTAGGTGTATGTCTAAAATACTCTCAAAATGGCCAAATTAGACTATTGGGGTGCGAGAGTCACTTTGATTATGCTTGGTCGAGAGCGAACTATCGTCCGGTGTGAACACAGGTTTACCCCCTGGCAAGCTAGTCAACCAATTTTGCAGGTTCCGAAGCAAAACGCTAAAAACGCTTTCCTCACTTTTTTTGAAAAAATAGCATGGATAAAACGAGACCTGACATGAGAAAAAAAGCACGAAATTTCTCGTGTCTTTCAAAATCCTAAAATCAATCTTATTTCTTCCCTCTTATATAACAAAAAATCAAAATTACCGGCTTTGAAAGCAAAAAAAGTTACTTGTGTACTCATGCAATTCTATTCGAAGACATTGATAAACCGGTGACAATCATACAGTAGCAAAATTTCTTCCATCGTATAAGATCTCATCTGCAAAACTCGAACCTCGGGCGCAGACTGCGGTGTTGGCGGTTTTTAATTTTCTAAAAAAAAGATTTTGCAAGTCTGTGTATACATACGTATGCAATCTGTACTTTGCATCATTGTGATCTCCATTTCGAAATAAAAATGAATCCTCACTATGTAGCTGCAGCCAATGAATTCCCTATCCCAATAAAAACAGCCTTAGGCATCTCCAAGGTTCAGGTAGGTACGGTTTTGCAAAAAAGTTGTATTTCTAGTTCTCCCCCTCAAATGATAAAAGACTGTTGGCAGTAGCGTCTTGGGACAGTTATTTGAAAATCTACGACCTCACTAATCCTAATAATCCGATTGAGCAACGAAATATCTTCCACAAGAAATCTGTTTTATGCTGTACGTTTGCGGTGAGTTTTTGTTTTGTTATGATGTATGATTTTTAGAATCAACAAAGCCTGGTAAGTGGCGGACTTGATGAAGTGGTCAAATTAGTTGATGTCGAATCCGGTAGAGGTAATCAGTGCATTTTATACTGTAGTCTACTTGACCTTTTAGAGACAGTAATGGGCCAACATTCTGCGCCAGTCCGATGTCTCGAATTTTGTCAAACTATGCGAACGGCGGTGTCTGCTGGATGGGATGGCTATCTAAAAGTATGGATTATTTATTTGTTATATAGTTTTATGTTTTAGCTTTGGGATACTCGAACTCTTCTTCCAGTGGGTCAGATGGATTGCGTTGAAAAGATTTACGCCTTGGATGTGGTTGACAACAGGGCCGTAGCGGGCACGAAGGACAAGCAGATTTATGTTTGGGACGTGAGAAACTTTGCTCATCCTCTACAACAAAAAGAATCCCCATTAAAAGTAAGAAATCGCTTTGTTATTCATATTGATTTAGTACCAAATCAGAGCCATCAAATGCTTCCCGTCTGCGGAAGCGTTTGTTGTTTCGTCGATTGAAGGCCGAGTGGCGGTCGAATACTTTGATCAAAATCCGGATGTTCAGAAGAGTAAATACGCATTTAAATGTCATCGTGTGAAGGATGAACATGGAGAACTGATTTATCCAGTCAATACCATCGCCTTTCATCCAATTCACCGAACTTTCGCTACAGGAGGTCAGTGACTCCCTGATGGATATTTTTTTATTCAGAATCGAAGTAATCCAGAAATTTCTTAGGTTCGGATCAGATGGTTAATATGTGGGATCCCTTCAACAGGAAACGATTGTGTCAATTCAGGAAATTCCCATCCTCTGTGACTTCTCTCTGCTTTACTCCGGATGGATCAATGTTGGCGATTGCTTCAACTTACCTGTATGAGGATGATAATGTTCCCAATCCTCTGCCCGAACCTTCACTAACTATAAGGAAAATGACAGAATTAGAAGTTAAACCAAAGTAAATGTTCATTTTTTATTTACTATTTATAAATGTTTCAAATCTTTTTCTTTGGTACCTATTTCGTCTTTGATCCCCACTAAATTTACCCTTTTTGGGTGGTATGCAAAGATTGGTATGATGTGACCGCAAATGACCCTAATCCTTTAATCTGAGTTAGCGGCCATGTTTACTCCGAATTAAAGGTTCGTTCGCATAGAGGCCTATTCTTTTTCATGTTTGCTTATGGCCGTATAACACTGACTCGTTCCACATAGAACAATTCCTTTTATCTGATTTGGGCCAAGACAAATGTCTTGAAACAACCGGCCTTTTTGACTACTTTTTACCCATAAAAACCAGGCCCGAAGTCCTGTTCTCCAATTTTTAGACAATAAAATACAATAATTATATGTAGTTGGACCCGTATAATGATTTTCTTCTGGAGAAAATTGCTTTGCAAAAATTCGAATTCGAGGGGTTTTAGCCGCGACCCGCGACGTCAAATGAATCAGAAGCGAGGTGAGGGATAAGAAACAATTATATTTCCACCCGTTACACGAAACTGGATACCCAAACACCTTCCCTGCGTCAGAACGTTGCGCGTCCCTCGTTCCGCTCACTCACTTTCGTTCCCCGGATCTCACTTTTAAAGTTCTGGCGACCTTATGTTATACCAGATAGGCTTTTTTGCCTTGATCGCGGGCACAGTGAGGGCCGTGGGTGAAGAAGATCGTATAATTGGGCTACCGAATGTCACGTTTGATCCTACTTTCAACCAATATTCAGGTTACTTAAAGGCCTCTCCAGATGGAAAAGACCTTTTCTTTTATTGGTGAGTGTTGCGTAATATAATTTAGTCAGTCAGAGCCCTCAGTTAGCCCTCTCACGATTTATAGTTTAGGTTGACTGAAGCCGCTGTGAATTCAGAAACAGCCCCTTTGTTGATCTGGCTGAATGGAGGTCCTGGTTGTAGCTCCGTTGGCGGTCTCCTGGCGGAATATGGGCCCTTTTATGTCACAAAAGATGGAAATAATTTGGTGGAGAACATCTTTGCCTGGAATCGGGAATTTAATATTTTATTTCTTGAATCTCCAATCGGCGTTGGCTTCTCTTACGAGGTTGGAGATCCGTTAAAATATAGCATAGGGGATGACGAGACAGCCGGTAAGACTTGTTAGATTAGTAACCCGTATTATCAGACCTCAACTTTCATGCGTTGGTCGACTTTTTTTCGAGAGTTCAGCCGAGATATAGGCATAGGAGATGGTTCTTGACTGGGGAATCATATGCGGGAATTTATATTCCTACCTTGACGGAGCTTGTTCTTGAGGCGATCAGCGAAGATCGTTTCCCAAATCCCAAGTTCCAAGTGAGTAAAGTGCCCAGCTATAATTAATTGCCTTACTTAGGGCTTGGCCATTGGAAATGGATATCTGAATTCCCAGAACCTGACCAATTCCCTGATCCACTGGCATGTTTATCATGGAGCTATTGGGGTACGGTAAGTGCAGAAATAATTCCGTGGAGGGTTGATTATAATAATTATTTATTACTGCCAATTTATATAAATACTAAAAGTAAAAGGGCTACTGTTAGACCTATGATTAAAGGTATAAAGGTTAGAAAAGAGAGGTGCGGCACTCGCTGCCGACTGGCAACGAGCCCGATCACTCGACTGATCTTTATCCGGCGCTGTCGACGCGGATTGTGATTGCGATCCGCGGATCAATATAGAGGGGCGTAGCCCACGCCCTGACTGTACGCTTGAACTTATGACGTCATAAACGATGATTTCAGAGAATGGTCCAATATAAAACACACATGTTGCCCCGGGTTGGAGCACATCGAGGAATGCAATTTCCATGCCCATATTCGCGAAAATTCTACTCAAATCTGGGCCTTGGATCAATGTGGCAAAGAATTCATCGACGTTCTCAACATGCCGGAAAAGTGAGCATTAAAGAAAATAAAATGTCTCTTTCAGCCAAAATGAATACAACTATTACCTCGATTGTTACAAAGCGGGACAGATCAGGTCGAGTAGGAGGTCTCTCAAACAAAACTCGTTACTTTTCACGGTAAGATCTGTTAGTTTAGCAAGTTTCCTTAGAACTTTATAAATTATGACACAACTGATAATCAAATGGGATTTCCTTGTTGGAACGAGGATGCCATGAAGGTTTATATGAACAAAAGAAAGGTTCAAATGGCCTTACATGTGTCTGATGAGTGGATGAGAAACCGGGAGACGGAATGGGAAACTTGCAAGTACGTTTAAAATAATTTTATAATATAAGATTGCAGCGATGACATTACGGATGACTATAGACCCACCTACAGAGACACATTTGATCTTTTCAAGGGTATCATCGATAAATTAATCAAGTTTAGGAAAAAGGTATACTTCCGGACATTATTTCTGACCACCTTCTATTTCGGTTGTTAGTTGATCTACTTGCTCCAAATTTAAGGAGCAGCAAAACATTTGGTAAAATGGATTTTTTATCTTTGCACTTTAAGTTTTCTGAACATTTTCAAAAAGATGGGAAACTAAACTTTCTGATCACTAAGTAATCATTCGCAACTGCCGACAAATGTTTGCTACGGGGCTAAAACTATTGGTATGGTATAGCACAGACGTAGACGAATTTATTTATGGCAAAAAATCGGACAATAGTAACATATATACGTCGCAAAGTATTTTGTGTTCTACTCATTATTTTTCTTACATTAGTATACGACTGCTAGTGGTGGGATAAAGGGATAAAAAGCGCATCGCATTTTTTAATTGATCACATACAGTCAACTTCTATCCATCACACCGGCAGAGCATCGATCTGAGTGTTTCAAGCTCGGAAAAAATTTTTATTTTTTGGCATAGGTTGAAGCGTACTATCCGTCTCATACGTGACAAGTATTTATATTAAAAGTGATTATTCCACCTTGTTAGCCTCTCACGTCAGAAGCAAAGAGTCCCAAAATAATATTATACAATTGGGAAATTAAAAAAAAACTCCCGGTAGCAAGCGCGTAAGTGAATAATAACAGCTACGTTCTCGAGTATGTATTAAAGAGTACTGTAGAGAATTTTCAGCCAGACTTAATAAAAAACAAAATAGTAGTTGTTGTCGTTTAGGGCATGATTTCAACCCGAAAAAGAGCGCTGCGAGAATACTAATTGCTTGAGGACACACTCCTAATTTGGTATTATGGATATACTCACCGTACTTGTAGCTCTTTAGTTATTTTAGGTGATCAGAAAATTTTGTCCACCAATTTTTGGCAAGTTTGCATAACTCACTTAAAGAGATACGAAATACAATTTTACGTGGCAAATTCTGCCCGCCATGACTAGTATACCTGCCAAGTTTTAAAGAGATTGAGTTACAATCACTTAAGATATGAGTGGTCGAAAAATTTATGTCCGGGGATATAGTTGAAGTACTGATTTTTTATACTGTTTTAGTTACCAAAGAACTTCCGGATGCTTTTCTTTAATGGGGACGTGTAAGTTCAAAATTATCGTAAATAATATCCTTTAGGGATACCGTGTGCAACTTCATTGGTGTGTCATGGCATATGGACAACGTCGCCCATAAAAACGGATTCAAAGCCGAAAAAAGATCTGCTTGGGGATTCAGGAATCAAGTAGCCGGGTATATTCAAAAATATAAGAAAGAACTCAGTAAACACAACCATATCTCCATTGACGTTCTCACAGTTAAAGGGGCCGGTCATTTCGTGAGTGATCGACCCGGTCCGGCCCTTCAGATGATCACCAATTTTGTGAAAGGGACCGGGAATTACACAAGGTCTGACGTCGTTCATAAGGTCTTGATCGATCAGACAACTAATACGGGGAAACAGATCTTCATCGATTACTGTTTTGTTTGTATAATCTTTGTCCTTACGGTGTATTTCTAAGTCTTTGCAAGATCTCCAATTCAATAACAGCAATACGGAATTGTTTATATTATAATAGATTAGTCAATTTAGTTCTACATTATCAAATAAGAGTGAATAAATAAGAATTTTGAAAAAATGGCATGATCCACTTTCATTAGGGTTCTCAATTACGAGTCACTTAAATCACTGATTAATTTTTAAAAACGACTGTTACGGCAATAGAGGCGGCGGAATGGGGATATCGAATCTGGAAACCGCTATCTCCACCTAGAAGCCGAGATAATCGACTAACAAGTTTTTAAGGGACAATTTTGATCGTATAAGTTTTCCACCCAGCCTGCAAAAGTGCGACTAGCGCCCAGTCTAAGTTTTTTTTATTTTTATTCGAGGATAAAATAAATTTGTTGGTGTAGAATATTTGCGTGTTATTTTATTTTTGATTGTAGATCTATCTACGTATTTCGTTTCAATCATGCCAGAGACGACAGCAGACTTGAAGAATTGTTGCATTAGGCTAAATCACATCCCCTATGGGTTCTTCGAAAAAGAATTATTTGGATATTTTTCTCAATTTGGTCGTGTTGTCAGAGTCAGAGTTCCCAAATCGAAGAGGGTAAGGGTTCTTGATTTTGATTACTTCAACGTTTAGAAATCCGTGACGTTATTTGATGAACAATGTTTGTTTTTTCTAGGGGCTTTTCAAGAACAAGGCTTACATCCTTTTCGATGATAAGGAGGTTGCGAGGTTGGCATCAGAAGCGATGGATAACTACTTAATGTATGATAAGAGAGTCAGATGTTCGGTTATCAAAGATCGGGTACCAAATGTTATAAAGTCAGGACCTACCTTTGCATACCATGAAGGATTCGAGAAGAACAGAAAGCACGAGGCTCTTCACAATGCTCGTGAAAGAACAAACGACGAAACAAAGTTGGAAAACGTAGGTGGCTACGGTTTGTATGACACATCAGATAGTTAAAATGTTTTTGTTTTTCAGAATTTGAGGGAAAATATTTTTAGACTCTGATAGGGCGTGCCTCACGGATGTTTAAGGAATACTTTTTAGATAAAAATTGCCATAAGTTTGCGTTCAGCGTTGAAGAAACTGAAGGAAGCTGGCTACGAATATGAATTCGATTTCTCGGCCAAAGAGAAGAAGGCACTCACCCAAGAGTAACAACAATTTTTACCCTTTTTTTGTTGATTTTTTGTTGTTGAATAATTAAACCGTCTGAGATTACCGTACTCTGCTCTCTGATTTGTTGTTTTCGCGGAAACGGATAGTTGTGTTTCTTCATTACTCACATTGTTTCGAGGATTAGAGGCGAGACGTTCCTTGAAATGGAATTCTGAAGGGTCCATTGATAAGGGTAATGGGGACCCTTTTATTCTGATATCATGTTCGAGGAGCGATGCACCCGAGTATTCAGTTTTCGCTCTTGTTGATTGTGTGGCTGCCCTTTGCGGTGGCGAAGGATTGTTCCACCCAATATATCAACAATGCCACCATTGGTCTTATTTCAAGTCCTCTGTTCCCTGATAAATATCCCAATTCTATAGAATGCTATCATGTAATCAGAGCCGAGAATGAGGACGATATTATCCAATTAATATTCTATGTATTCGACACCGAAGACAATGCTGATTATGTGTTCCTATATGATGGAGAAGGTGAGAACAAGACACTGATCGCAAAGTAGGTTACAAGAATACGCTTGGCGATATAAATAACTGGTTACACTGACCGGAAACTATTTCTGTTGTTAAAAAAGCAATTGCATTCCTTCTATCATGAAAAAATTATTATTAAAATCAAATTGTAATCATTTTAACAGCCATTAAATTATCCGTAAATTCTTGCAGATTAAGTGGAGAAGTCCGAGATGTATTCAAAACAAATCTGACCAGCACGATGACAATCAGATTCAAATCTGATTTAGACCGCAACTTTCAAGGATATTATGCACAGTACCGAGTCATCTCTAGTAAGTTTTAAGGCCCACTATGACGCAAATGAACATTTAATCCCTGATTAGAAATGTTGTTCTATGATTGCAGGAAATGAATCAACCTTCCCAGTTCTTGAGGATTGTCCCCATGTCACCCAAAATTTGACCGACCCATTCGGAGTTATAATCTCTCCCAATTGGCCAGATCTATATCCAAATCAAGCTTGTTGTGTGTATTATCTTCCTTCCCCCGCTTGCAATATCACTCTGACATTCAATTTCTTCAAAACCGAAGAGAATGCTGACATCTTGTACATTTACCATGGGAATGAGACGGAAAAGTAATTATTTGTGCATTACTTTTTAAGAAACAAACTTTAAAAAGGAAAACTACAACAGCAAGACATGCACAAAATCTTCTTTCAGGCTCTCTGGGTATATCGCAGCTGGAACTACATACGTGTTTAATGAGGAGGATCTAACCCTCAAGTTTACTTCGGATTTAGATCGACCGGATCTTGGTTACAGCATTACTTATGTATCTACTTGAACATATTATGTGATTATTGGCCTTCGATGGGTCCCGATGCGAATCTGATTGTGCCTTGGGAAGTCATCTCACAACTGAAAACACAGTGGCGTAACCAACCCGCGTGATATATGTACTCGTAACGTGTAATAAGTGTCCTATAAAACTGTCCTTTGTTACCTGTATTTGGTCTTGTTTCTGATGACTTGGCCATTCAAAGGGATCACGGTTCCGTCCTTAGAGATGCAGTTCACAACTTCCACAGCACCATTGGGTTTGCAGGTCTTGTTGAAGCGATGATTCTCGATCCAATGTTCTCCCACACTTCTCTGGCCACTCTGTTCGTCGATACATTTAGTGGCATGATCTTGGCTAAAGTTCTGAGGTGCCTTCACAGACTTTGATCCATGGAAAACAACAGTTCCATTGTGATATTGTTGACAGACCAGAGTAAATCCTCCGACTTGTTTAGTGCCATTCACGGGGATCCTTTGTCCGTCTTCGGTGACACAAGCTTTCAGTTCACGGACCCCTCCAGGACGGCATTCCAATTCGAAAGACTTCTCTTGCCATCGGCTTCCTGACATATGTTGCTTATCGAGGATGCGACTTACCAACTGCATGAGTTCCGCATTTTGCATGAGGATTGGGACCCTGACTTAGGGCGACGTTCCCCTGTTCATTGGTTGCGCAACTCCATTCACTGTTGTCATCAATAATCTTACCGCCTAAGGGGATCCTGGCGCCCGTCGGCGAGAGACAGGCGACCACTTCTGTCTTCCAGGAGCCGTTATCTCTGATTGTACATCTCATAATAAAGGCATTTCTCTCAGTCTATGCAAGAATTGTCGTTACAATTTTTTCAACCTACCCATTCCTCATTATTACTGTAACTACGGCCACCTTGCTTGCATCCAATTACCGCCCCAATCAACAGCAGTAATAAAAGACAGCAGCGATTCATTTGTGCCTGGGATTAAAATAAAACAGAACAAGATAAAAAGAAGCGAAAAGAAAGGCTTTTTTGGACCAACTGACGAGATCTCCGGGTCCTGTGATTTTATGGTCAAGGGTCGGTGATAAATCTTATCCGTCGTCGTTATTTACAATTTTATTAGATTAGAAAACGTTGGATTAAAGCGACGAAAGAGACTAGAACAAGGATCAGGAGAATGGAGCCTGAAGGGACCGGCTGAGGATTGGATTGGATGGACTGGATGGGGTGGATCGGGGAAGTGATAGACCGTCTAAGCTGCGATGAGGAGACCCATTCTCTCTTTGGCCGGGCCTTTCTTTGATTCGTTTTAGTCTTTGATCTACAGTGTCAATGTCTGGGCTCGGTCCCATTCTATCCTTGCCAACGATTCGAAACTCGGGTTGATCAGGATCTTGGAATTCAGGGCGACGACTCGATGTCGTTCTATTTCCGTCTTTAATCGCTCTACTTCAAACCGAAGTCTGAGATTTTCTTGTTCAAGGAGAGCTGCTCTAACGGCCACCTCATCTTCCTGTAAGTAAAAGTCTAAAGGTCATCCTTGCTTAAAAAATTCTTCATAAAAGAACAGAGATAACTTTGCTTGTATGTATTCTCAGCCATTTGTAATCATACATTATTTAAATTCCACCTCTTTCTTTCCAATGTACTCTACTTGAATAAAACACATGTCTTATCGTAGAAGACTCACCTTTTTTCGCCTGGAGTCTCGACTTCTCTTGGCCGCATCGTTATTCTTCCGTCTTCTTTCCCAATAGGCCTGGTCTCTGATCAGCTCCTTTTTTCTTTTCTCACCTCCGCTTTTACTCTTATTACTGCAATATGAAGTCGAAGAGAGACAACCATCACTGTCCGAAGCATTCGAAGCTAGATGATTATCTAATTTGGACTGTAATATTGTTGTTGAACAATCGAGAAGACCGAGGGAGGCACCTGAACTTGTATTTAGAGGGTAATCTGATAAGAACGGCATCTTATTCTCTACATCTTGAGGATCTATTTTTATGGGGAGTGTGGTTGTTGCAGGATACTGTAGAGCGGAGGGATTGAATGTGTTGGCACCAGTGTAGATTCCATAAAGGGTTGAATAGCTGAGATCAAGAGGAAGTAGAGGCTGAAAAAATATAATGATTGATAGACAAATCAAGACATAAAAATGGTATCAGATAATTACCTGCTCGAGAAGGCGTTGAGCTGAGTGAGCCAACGATGAGGTCATGTCACCGAGCGAACGGAAGGTGAAATATTCGGTGTGAAAGTGAAAATCTGGAGCGGCGATGGATTGTTTTGCGGAAAGCGTGGAAAGTGAAAGCTGGAGAAGCAGAAAGAGAAAGTCGGTCACCCAGATTTCGGGGCGGCATCGTTCATCCGTGTTGTGGATTCAGAAGGATTGGAGGGCAGCGCCGGAGGCGGAGAAGAACGGCGTCGCTCTGACCCCTCAGCCTTCCGCTGTTTCCCCTGGTTTGAGAATCTCCGCGTATTTCTCTGGAGTTTTCATCTCTGTACTCTCAACGAAGGCTCTGATTCTCCCATTTCTATTTATAATATTCTTTAATGATTTCCTCGTCTTCTCTTCCGTCTCTCATCCATCACATCCTATCTGAGTTGCCGGCTACGCTCTCTTTGACGGCTTCGTACCACACATTTCTTTTCGTAATCGCCTTCCGAAGAGGTCAGGGCATCCGGAAAGCGTTGCGCTCTTCTACATTGCATGCCGCTACCGATCCCACAGAGTTCATGGCGGATTCAGAAGCCTTCCGAATGACGCTCGGCGCTTACATCGGCAAAACAAAAACCGGAAAATGATGCTCGGAAATTTTTTTCGGAATAAACGACCTCGTTCCACTGTAACTTGAATACAGAAACGACACGACACCAAAAAAGGGAACCATCAACAGCTCGTCGAAGCCGGCTACTTCTGATTCCGCTTCTAAAATGACTGTTCGAGTGGAATTTCACAGGCGCGCTGGATTACATAAACTAAACTTAAAACAATCTTTTGCTAAACATCTAAACATGTCATAAGAAATAGTCATCGTGAAAACAAAACAACATTTGCAAACACAGTAACCGCACAAAAAACAATTGATTTCTTACCGAAACTGTACAATAATTAAATGGGCGCCCAATTTTAAAACCTGTCCTTCCCCGGGGTTATTTTTACCTTCTCATTTTTATTTACTCTGCTCTCAATGTCCCGTATTTTTCTTCTTTTCCTAACTTTAAAGATAAATTGTATATCACTAAGTATTCAGGAGGAAATAGAACTCAAAGGTAATTCTTTGATTGCCAGCCTGATGATAGGACCTTGTAGATCTTCTACCTGATGAATTGGAAAACTTAATGGATAGTCTGACTTCAGAAGAAGAAGAAAAGTTCGTTAACTCTGAGAATGTGGAAGATCCGGAATTGGCGGTCAAATTGATGACAAGTTATCAACTGATCAACGAAAAAACGAGTAAATTGAATCAACCAGCCCGGGATTTCTTGAATGACGTAACCATGATTTCACACACTACCTTTGTTTTCTACATTTACAGCAATGTATTAAAAAAAGATTTTAGTTGTTCAACGATCTCTACGAAAGTGATGATAAAGAATTGAAAGGTCTCTCCCAAAAGTATTTGGGACGATGGAATTTGCTATCAGAATCGGAAAGAACGGGCGTTCAGGTGGTGTACCCAAAGATTTTCAATACTCTGAACAGTAAGCATAGCATTCAGTACCACTTATCTTCTTATCTTTGTATTTTGTGCCGTTTCTTGAATCCCTTTGAGTGAGCATTTATATTTTATTTTTCAGGTAAAAAATTCAAGGACTTTGCCAAGATGAAGTGATTACTGTATATACAATATAACATTTATTATTTTTAACAAGTTTTTTTACATTACCCATAACAATGAAGTGATAAATTAAAAAGAATGAGCCTATCAGACATGTCTATTCACTGATAAGAGAGGGGCAGGAATGTATAATATGTTCAGCTACTACTATTTTACTAGCGATGACCCTTACTGAGACGTCGGTTTGTTTTCAGAGACGAACGACGAGAGAGTATGGAGAAACACAACTTTCTCGTTTTCAGACTGTATACGTTCCGGCAGAAATAAATCTAAAAATAGTTAAATTAACAAGGATGCTGATTCACAGCCAATATCATATAATTTAAAGCCAACTTGTGTTTGTAAACACCTACCAGGTCCATGGGCGTATCCTCATGCGGTAATCTGATCCTCCTTTGGTATTCTTCTTCTCCTCGAGGCCAGATTTCGCGACTCTCCAAAGGGCGTCGGGATGGTGGCATTTCATCGATTCTGGTTTCGGCGATGAATCTAAAAAAGTCATCGTAAGTGACGTAAACAAAACAACCGTGATACGATTGACGTCACAACGAAAGCCCAGTTGTGCAAACATGTCTTACCGGCAGTACTCGCTATACGAAAGAACAAAGGCATGCTCTTCAATACTGTCCACATTGATCACATCTATATGTTTAGAGGCCAATAGTTCGTTTTCCATTACGGAAATATCCTCGGGGATCTGAGACTGGGTGTAATACCACATCACTTCAGCGCAAATATTACCCGAATCCTCATCAAAGAACAGTCGGAAGATCTTTCCAATATTTTCCAAGCCTTCCGAAGAACAGACTCGGACACAATCCCGGATTCTGATGACTTCATCGCGCTCCTTCATGTGTCTGATGGCCGTATAACAAATCCGTTTTTTGGACTGTAGTTCCGTGGGCAGCCTCAGATCACATAAGTACCCTTCATCGAGAGGTCTCCAATTGGAGCTAAAGGAGGGGATCTGTCTGCGTTTTCTGATTTGAGTGGCTCTTCCCTTCTTCTTGGAGACTCCATTCCTTTGCCTTCTTTGGCTCACATTCTCGGCAATATTGTGGACAGAAGTGAGGGGCTTCACTTCAGGCATCATCCCGGTTGAGGTGGCCGAATCGTTCCAGAGAGATGAGTCCGCACTACTTACGCCACTTGAAGACGACTCATTCAATTTCTCAACTGTTGTGATATTACTCATTTCGATTTCCTTGTTCTCTTTGGTGACGTCACAAAGCGTTGGGATTTCTGTAAATTCTGAAGTGATGGTCGATGATGAAGCATCAGCATCGAGTTCCACTGTAGATGGAGATAATGCCACATCTTTCTCTAGAGACATTTCGTTGAAGTCACGAGATGAAGACGTGTTACTGGCGTCTTCGAGGATGGGCATTTCCATTAAGGAATCTTCTCGTGATAATTCTGGTGCGTTTTCCTGATTGTCCATCCTTATTTCCATCAATACTGCCTGATCGGATTCTGGTTTTAGAATCTCCGCAAAATCGTCAGACTTCTCAGGACAATACGCCTGAGGCAATAGGCGACTTGGGAAAATCTCCGATTCAAGAGGTTGGGGCTTCAACAAAGGAGTGTCCAGCACGGGTTCAAGAACGACAGGAATGTTGGAAGGCTGAGATGTTCCCGGTTTCAGAGAAATGGGCTCTAAGTAATTGACCGGCTCTAATTTTGGGGGTTCTAATTCAGTGTCCAGAAGTTCTGAAGTGTCTGGTAAAAGGGGAAGTTGATCGTCGAAGATTGGATGCTCTCTTTCCAAGATTGGCGGGGTTAAATCTGAGTCCTAAAACGAAAAATTCAGCTTTATTAGACCGACACAGAAAAAATAAAAATTGGAAATAAAAAAAGAAGGACAAAAAGGACGCCTAATATATCCCCGTTTTTAAATGGCAAATGACCTCCGCAAACACATCCACCCAATCTTCAAACCACCGAAAGAACGGCTCTTGATGCCAGAAAATGTGGAATAAATTGCCCAAGAGAATGTACAATCAAATACGCAGCAATTTTTTTTAAAATAAAGCATCCGATTTCGAAATAAGTAAGTCATCGTTACGTAATTTTGAATGATACTCGAGTTTAAGGAAGAAGATTTCGAAACCTGGGGGCATGTGAGAAAAAATATAAACAAAAAAACAAACACAGAGTTATGTGTTATTTCGAGACAAGTAAATAACTGATAATTAACTATTAATTCAAAAACAGCTGGGGGAAATGTTTTTTGTACTTTGGCTTGGGGGTTTTAATTAATTTACATCTTTTTAAAAAAAGAAAAAAGGTGAGTTGCATTTCGGCCCTAACTATGGGATTATAAAAAGATCTAAGGAAACCCTTTCTAGATGGCATGGCCTGCGGTGAAAGAGGGATGCCCTGAGAAGGTTGGGGAAATTTGGAGAGCAATTGCTTTTTGTTGACCCAAAAAAAACAACTAAATAACAGTTCAAGAAGATAAGAGTAATGACAAAGAACGGAATGTTATTTTGGGCATTAATATTGTTCTCATATTTTAGTATAAACATTTTCAATCCCCCTCTCGGTCTACCTGTCACTTTTATGATTGCGACATGGCCATAGACACAAAGGGCGATTTCTGAGAGACGACGGCGTCTTTGGGCGGCGTCACAGTGGCCATTCAAAAATGAAATTCGCGGCAAAAAAGCGGGGGAATGGCATCGGATGTTGTCTTAGATCAAACTCGATCCCTCCTAATGGCTGATTTCCCACAAACACATACCTAATTTGCATAACATTTAAGTAAAAAAAGTTAAATCAAGTATAATCCACAACCCCCTAATCCCCTGAGGCGAAAACCTTGCCTAAACAAAGAGATTAGGGACTTGTGATAGGATGTGATGATGGTCTGATGGTAATCCAACATTCCCATCCACTGGCATTTGAAGCAAGAAATGTTGTGGGGATTCGGGCATGCTACATATAAAGGTGGTCATATAAGATCTCGGATTTTTTTCCCCAAATCGCGATTTTCGGTGCACAAAAAAGTCGACGCCCAAATCGAAAAATTGGCGTCGACTTAATTTTTTCAGCACCGAATTCCGAAATGCGGTGCTGACTTAAGCACTTAAGTCTTCGGTGCAGACTTAAGACTTTGTGCACTGATTTCGAAAAACTTAGAAAATTTTACCGAATTTCAGAATTCGGTGCCGAGAAAAAAATAAGTCGACGCCAATTTTTCGATTTGGGCGTCGACTTTTTTGTGCACCAAAAATCGCGATTTGGGAAAAAAAAATTCCGAGATCTTATATGACCACCTTTATATATTATACCAATTCCTACTCTAAAGTTTCCATTCTCAGAGGCATTTTTGTTGTTCGGATAAATAAAACAAGGCAAAGTATTACGAAACGGCCAGAAGAACGCCATTCAAATATTTTGGAAAACGAGAATAGAGGGAAAAAAGAACAGATAAATGTAAAACAACACTGAAAAGACGCATGGATAAAAAGAACTCACCTCGAAATGTTCGATGGGTAATTGGGGAATGGGAGTGGCCAGATCGTTAATGGGCAGGGTAATGATCTCGTTCTGGAGCTTGGATTGGGTTAAATTAAACATGGGTGGCTGGATCTGCGGCTGAACCATGGGCATAAAATTATTTTGCTGAATCTGCATAAAGAGGTTCTGAGGGAAATACGAAAGATTGCAAGGCATGTAGATAGGCTGCTGTGGAATCAGGATCATTGGATTGACATTCACTCTACAATAACGATAAGTTAGGTGTCATCAAATGTCATGTAATACAATTTGATGACAAAATTCAAAAACTCACAAATTGGTGGGTAATTTAAATATTAATTGGTTCCCCAGTTGATTGAATTGACCGGTAGAATTGGCCATTTTTACTTAAATACTGCATTATCATTATGTAAAAGATGATTTTTGGCTCGCGGCGTCAGCCATTAAATTCCGGACTCTTGTAAAAAGTTTCTTTTGCGTTTTTTAAAATCAATTCAATGGCACATGCCTCAAAACCATATCCACGAAGTATTTTTTCCTAAAGGCAAAAATTTGCATTCTCGTTTTTTGAGAATTATGATGACTTCAATGGCTCCGGTTATGGAGTAAACTAATTGAAAAAAAATCCATGTAAAAGTTATCGAGGCTGCAGAGCTCAAAAACGCCAAGTTAAGGACTGAAGGATTACTGTAATGTACTAAATCATAAAATCGGTCGATAAAAATCGATTTTAACCTTTTTAAATATCTAAATCATAATAAAAATATCAGCGTTTAATTTCATCGCTGGGGTTGTGACAGTTCTGGTCAACGATGCAGCTCCTCCTTGTTTAGGATACCGAAAATTATTAATCCGAGATCGCCAGGAAGGTCTGGCGATCTCGGGGAAGACTCGGCGGAGTGCATATGACTTTTAAATGAGGGCATTTTTTTAAACTGGCAAGTCACGACTTTTCCTAGGGCGCTAGACAAGGCCTTCATCGACGTTGCGGTATTCTAAGCAAATGTATGGTTGACCCGAATCGTCGCCGATCCGAACTGTCCCTGCCCCGAATTGTCGTAGTGCCCACAATTCCGATACCGAGGATTATTTGACCGTATAGAAACGGCCGTAGCTCTTTTAGATTAAAATTTATGAAATTCATATTCACAGATTGGAATTTGTGGTAAAATTTTGCCTCAGACAATGGAAAACTGTCATTTTTACTTGCGTTTCACTTTTCGTTCTGAAGTGTCCAAGTATCATAATTTTATGCTGATTTTAGCATGCAAATTTATGCCTTTAGGGCCTGATTAAGGAAAAATATTTTGGGGATATGGTTTTGAGGCATGTACCTTTGAATTAATTCAAAAACAACTCAAAAAAATTACAGACGTCCGGACCTGCTTTATCGACTCAAAAATGGTGTTTTAATTACCCTCCAGTATTTATAAACAATGCATGTTCAATTAAAAAAACGACAAATATTACAATTAGAAACAAAAAAAGTAATCGATAAAAGAAAACGGGGAGGGAAGTTGCTGGAAATGAAGGGGGAGAGATCTGGCATCGATAAAAGAAGCTGATCTAATCCAACGAGTAATGAATCCGATGTAAATTTAGAAACACTGGGATTTGGGGGACAAAGTAAACAAGGATAAATTAGTTGAGTCCAATTAGAGACTCCAAATGTCGGCTTAGAGTACAGTACTTGTAAAATATTTTAAAAAATTAAATATTACTCGTATACGGAGCATAAAAAGAAGAGCAAATTAAAGGGCGTCATGGGGGTAAACAAGTCTGCACGAGTCATGTCAGAGCTGCAGAATTATCAGAGGCGAAATTGTTGAGAGTATGCCATTAATATTTACACCAATGACACGACCCTCATGGGCGAAATTGCTACGGGAAAAGTTTAAAAAGACGCTGGCATAGTAAAGAACGCGTATATTCGAGAGAACTTTACTATATTACTATTACTTCAGTAAAAGATTACCTATTTTTTCTATTAAAACTTACAGTTAATTGGGAAAAAGTCGACCTTCGAGGGAAGACAAAATAAACGCGGCAAAAGGAACCTTTTTGTAGCTAATAATTCCCGAGATGTGGGAAGTATAGGGTGCAAAGAGTTCCAGATTTATCTCTGAGGATTGACACACTTTTCAAAGGCGGAACGGCCATTCTCAAGGCCGTTGTAACGTCGCGCAGTACGCCCAAAAGAATGACGGCGACTCGGAGATGGTCGACTACTGATTACTGATCGTACATTACAAGTTCAAATAATCACTGTATAAATATGTCAGAAAAAATTCAACGGAAATGCAAGACCTAATTGAGAAGACAGCCACAACGAACGCCTCAGCTGTATTGAATTAATCTGTCGACTTACACCTCATGATGTAAATATAGCCTCATAAATAATACAGAGCCCCAGAAATATACGAATATCTAATGTCCATTTGTGACAAGTAAAACCATAGGTAAAGCTAATTAATTCCGAACATTTACAACGCGTTAAGCATGGCTTCTACCAAAAGTCCCTGAAGGCAGAACATTTGGGTGTGTGCAAGCCTCGTTCCCTGGGCCCGGCAAAAAAGAGTGCGCCCCTGAGGGCACGTAAGCGATGACTACGGTAGAAAAGATGTAAATAAGACGAGGACAATAAGAGATTAGTTAATTATCACAGGATCTAGGCGCCGAATCTCGGGGGTTTTGTTTCGAGTTGAGAAATTCCTTTTTATATCGACAAAATATATCTATTCAAGGTCGCCGGACATCGACCTTTGCGTGCGGGGATGGGGTTCTACCTCGAATTACGGTAGAAAACCTACAGTAACATCACACAGTAATGTTATCGTGTTTGACAGGTGTATTGGCAGGGGGTGGGGAAAGAAAACTCGGATTGCGTGTTTTAAAAGATACGGCCAGCAAGCACGTGATCTCAGAGTAAATGGGCTTCTTCTTTGGAAAGAATCTCCTTACTTTTTGCTTCAAAACTATTTACGAAAGAGATGTTGTCAAGTGTTAATCGAAAGTGATGATCATTAGACACAGCTATCATTTGTCCCCCAAGAGGAACCACTTTTTTGGAGATAATTGCAAACAAAAACGTGGTTAGTCAAAGCCTTTCTGCATAGCACTTATCAAGGGAAGGAGAATCCCTGATTCAGCGTCGTTTACATCTTACCACCGTAATTTGTTTTCGCTAAAGTTGGGGAACATAAAAGAACAACCCCGAGGAAGATACCCCAGAGAAGATGGGGCCTTCACAAACCATGGAACGCCTTGCTGCCCGGGCCCGAAAAGAGTGTAGAGCGTTCACATTTTTACAGTCCGCGGAAAGAAACATAATGTGGTAGTGTAAAAGAGGAGAAAAACACCAGAGAATCCAACAAAAACGGAACACCCCTTTGAAGAACCCTCCTTTAAACTGTCCCCCACTTAACTCCAGAGGCAGTGCGTACACGGGCAAGAGACTGAGTATTCCGTTGCCCTGGCCGGGGAGTCTCTGCTGCCTCTCAATTCCCCCTTCTCTCTTCTCTTTGGACTTTGCTTTTATCTCTTTAAAGTCCGTAATCTCTCGATGGGGATTGTGCGGGCATCAGAGAAAATAGAATGCTGCTTGGAGAGTGCGCAGAAAGAAAAAGATCACAAGGAATGAAGAGAACGGACACAGATAGGCCTAATGATCGCAAATACAATTACTAAAGCAACAGAAGTCATGGGACCGGGTGGTGGGAAGGTGTTCGATTGCGCGAAAATAGAATCGGGAAAAGGGAGAGCGTTTGCCCGGCTTATCGGCTGGTCGCGTGTTTTTCCCTCCTGTTTCATACCACAGTGACGGTATAAAAGGGAAAAGAACTGAGCTTACCATTTCCACAAGATTGCTTCAAACAACCTCAATAGCGTAAATGGGTGGTTGCATCAGGCCGGGACGAGTGCAATATTGCCAATACACTGAACAGTGCAATCGCCCAAACCGGATACAATGAAACCTCAGTCAGTACGTGCTGATAGCAGCCGGAATCTGATAAGAAATGGGACATCGGAGGAAGCACCGTTAGTCAGAAGCGTGGGGCGTCGGATGAAAGTGAATCCGTTGACCGACGACATTTATAGAGCCCCTTAAGGTGTCTTCAGATGAGTGAGCAAGCGGAGACACCTCCATTCAAGTTTTTTGCGCCCCAAAAGGTGAACTAACTGAAGCGACTCCGCCTTTCAGCGACGCGCACCCCCAGGGCCCAGCAAGAAGACCCGCTCTTCCGTCGCATCTCTTTTTCCATCAATGAATCGCGCAACTTTCACTTTTGTTCGAATGGAACCGATCCAAAAAAATTCCTTTAAGAGCCGAGAGAACGAGAGGAGGATGGAGAGTCCAAAGAAAACCTCTTACTCCGTCGATCCAACCCTTAGGGCATGGTTACGCAACCGAGGAAAATATTTTTTTTATTACTTGGACAATTAATCAATAACGAACACGACTGATAAGAGAGTGTCACAAAAGATGACTCCAATGGAACGGCGAACACCGGATTCTGAAGCCGTTTCAATTTGGATTGAATGGAGAGAGAGCTCATTGAGATCAAATTACATCATATTAAAGACACATTTCTTATATGTAAACTTGAATGGAGCCTCGATGAACATTCTCTGTCAGAGGAGGGGCCAATCGGGGGACCTCTTGTTGAATCGCTCCAAATGCCGGACCGCTGTATCCAAGCGAACATCGAGATTCTCGACGATGAGAATTGGCACTTAAGGGGGCTCCACTGTTACTGTGCACCGGCCCTCCTTTCCTGGTTCTGTCTATGACCTCATTTACTAAAATAAAACTTATTTCCTCATCTTTAATATGGATGACGTAATTATTTATATAAAGAAGATGACTTGGAGGTATCTCCCTTTTTTGTCTTATAAACAGAAGCTAATTAAAGACATCACGGTGAAGATTAATGTGGATTAGGGAGACATGAAGGAGACATTAATTGAATACTTACTCATCTCCCTCAACCCGGGGACAATCCCCGCTTTATCCAAGGGCTGCGGGAATCTGCTGAAGAATGACGCTGTTTGTAGATAAACGCAGATTTGGAGGGGCAGGAAACTCAGAGATGCTGATAAGAAACTTTTACCTACAATTCAAGATTGCAAAGTTTATTTGTAAAGTAAAATTTGGAATCGGAAACCCGTTCCAAAATTTCACAGTCCATAAAACATTTTCGATTCATAAAAAACTTACTATATGTGTAAGTGAAATGCGAGGGATCCCCCGCGGCGTTCGGCTTCATCCGAGGCGTCATTTCATCGTCGACCGCCGCAATTACCTGAAGGAGCGCTCCGAACAAACAAAGGCCTGTAAGAGAATGGCTAAGATCACTTATCTTACCTCCCAGGACATATAAAACGGCTGCATGTAGGGTTCGATTACTGACACGGACTTCTCCCCATATGGAGAATATTACGGCCAGAGAGCAGAGAACAACTCCAGGAAGATGGAGGAGGCCCGGGATGGCTAGACGGCCTGAAAATCGTTTTTACATATATATTATACTCAAAAGTTTTCTTTGCTCATGACGATTTCTACATAGAAGTTGCGTAAGCTATTAGGGTGTCCCATAAGTCTTGTGTATTTTTGGGTCTGACAAGGAAAGTACTTTTATGGGGGCTCCTACTTTTCGACGGGACATATCTCAAAAAATCAGAAAAAATGTGCTGATCAAGGATATATAAATCTTAGCTGCCCATTTTGGGTTTTTAGGGGCGAAAATGCCCAAAAACTGGTCTAATTTCCCTACAAAAGGCACAGGAATCCGAAACGATAAAAAGCGCAGTCGGTCTCTCCCTTCGGAAGAGAGCGGTGTGGCCGAGTGGTTAGTGCCGTAGTCTGGGAATCAAGAAGGGGAACGCCGCACGGGTTCGATTTCCCTTTTGGGCTGAATCAACTTTTTTTGAAGCTGAAGGTCGGAAAAATAAATTTTTGTGCCAAGACTAATTTATTACGTCTTAGAAACACAATAAACATCATTTTAAGCCAAAATAAAAATTGTAAACCTGTGAAAAATTAAGCGAAAAGGGGTTTATATAGGACTTTAAATCAACTTGCGATGGATTTTTCACCGCTAAAAACCTAAAATGGGCAGCTAAGATTTATATATTCTTGATCAGCACATTTTTTCTGATTTTTTGAGGTATATCCCGTCAAAAAGTAGGAGCCCCCATAAAAGTACTTTCCTTGTGAGAATTAAAGTCTCGTTGCGAAGGCCTAAACGAATGTACCCCTTAATGTTTGGTACTCTTGAAACCGCCATCTCTTACATTTATAAGCAGCATAGAAATTAAAAAAAAAACTGTATACCCATTTCAACATCAGCAAGCAAAATTTTTTTGATGTCTAGTACAATATTGGGGTAGTGCGGGTAGCAGGTGAATTTCCTGCAGCCTTGCTATATACGGTTTAAAAGCGCAATTTCTGATCTTCAAAACTGTATGTCAAACATTTCTCGTAACTCGTTACAAAGCTCACAGGAATTCGCACAAGTCAACGACCCCAAAATACACAAGACTTATGGGACACCCTAATATACAATGTATTTCAATGGTAATGGGGATTAAGCCATAAATTGAATATTTTATTGTTTTGAAAATTCTGTATTATAATTTCGATTAAGAATATTTAAAAACATTTCTTCTAATCGTAATGCTTCAATAGAATAAAACTTGCCGTTAACAACATTACTGGCAAAACTGAAGTCACTCAAATCATCTCCAGTAAAGTATGGATTAACGACACAGATTTCTGGATAGTCGGCCACAATCCTGCTCTCGTCCACATTCAGTTCACTCAGGTTGGACGCCGGATATCTACACATCGCGAAATAGCCGACTTCGAAGAAGAACGGGACTTCCTAAGATATTCAAATAAGATTTAGAATGACCGCTGCCCATTTCGAGACTACTTATCATATTTACGGACCGAAAAAATAACAGAGTAAAAGTCAAAAAAGGTCAGATGAGAGCTCAAGTGGATGAACTTACGAGCTGTTCTCCCTTCTCGTTGGTCTGGTTGATTGGTTTCGGCTCTCTGATTGTAACCCAATGCAAGAATATGGGAGGAATTTGCATAATGGCAGCTAATAACCCCAAGGTCAAACTCATTGTGAATTTAGCCCGACGATCGCATTTTGTGTTTATGAGTACCTAAAATACAGTTTTAATTAAATGAAAATCAAACAGCATAAATATTTGTTAACGCATTAGTAATAGTCGTTGCAACGTAGTAAACGCCGAGTTCTAGCGCCAGGGAATTTGTTACAAATACTCGATCGTCCTTTGGTGGCCCGATTCCGTTTTCGTCACAATAGAACATACTTTTGAGGCCTTCAAAAAATGAAACTTACATCGGCGATTCTGTTGCTGAATTCCTGTCGTTGTTGTAGCTGATCAAAGGGAAATGCCGAACAAGAACTCTCTCTCCTCGGAGTCAGAGGCTGTTCAATATCCCTCTTCATCGAGTCCCGTCGATGTGCCAAACACAATTTTTGTCCGGGTTCCTTGGCCCATTTACCGCACTCAATTACCCTGGGGCCCATTCTTGGACCCCTCCCTTCAAGGCGGGGCACGTCCGCACCTTCTTCCATCCAATAAAACTTCCTTTGAATAGGCCGAGACAAACATTTACTTTTTATTCAAGAAGATCCGAAAAGGATGGCTCATAACCTCAGGGCTTATCATCATGCACCCCGCAATGGATCGGCTTGTCAAAACGTAGGTTCTACAGTAATCTACAAAAGTTGTCACAGCTTTTCTTTCACCCTTTTCAGTCATAAATTTGATATTATACTTTTTAGATGTTTTCGAGCGGTGTCTTATTACCCAGAATACGCAGTCTTAATATATTTCATGGTATCATTCTTAACCACAGGAATATCCCTTCATTTTGGGATGAGTATTGTGTCCACTGATCCCCAAGAAGTAAGTCTAATTTATTTGAATTCCCATGAATTTTTAAGGGATTTGAAACTCGAGGGACCCAGATGTCCAAAGAAAGGGCCCTTTTACAACTTTTGGATGAAAAAAGCAAAACAAGGATATCGACCAGAACAAAAAGAGAATCTGGAGATGGCTCCGGAGGCCTTGATTACAATGATTACGGTAACCAGCCGATCGGAATCAGTGACATTACCAGTGGATGCGAACAGTATTACGCTCTCGGGCGCTTCTTTCCAACAAATTTGGTCGATTTAATGGCCAAAGCAATCTTTGAAGTCGATTCTTTCGACATTGTAAGTATTAATGCTACTGCTTAAAAATTTTTTTGCGAAAAAAGAATTTTTATGAGAGCTTGAACAAAATTTGACAATGAAATGTTTTCTCTTCGGATTTTTTTGGAAAATTTGAAAAATTTTTTGAAATTTTTTCGGTTCGGGGACAATTTTTTTTACAGAGTAAGGTAAAAATGTTATTTTTAGAATTTTTTAGATAAATCGTTGATTTGAGGGGTAGTTGTGTTTTCTTTTCATTTTTTTAAGAAAACAGTGATTATAAGCAACAAGCAAATAAGAAAATTGTATCCATTATTTATGCCTTTAACTGGAAGCACCGGATTAAGCATAGACGAGGTGGAATAAGAAGATAGTCGTAATGATTGCATGCAATTAACAAGTAAATCCCTCCATTTCTTTTTGTCCGTCCCGAAACGAAAACGTTTCATTTTGTTGAAGTTCTCCAAAAAAAAAATCGTTCTTTTCTACTCCCCAAGCGAAAACATTTCAAAATTCGTCAGGTACACTGTTCAGACCTAATCCCTCGATTACCAATAAAACGGTTTCGTTGACCAAAACTCGTTGACCCGAACTCCCTGACTCAAAACGCCGTAGCGCCAATATTGACCCCACTTAAATTCATTTCAGTTATTTACATTGGAAACTCTTAAAAAATTATGCAAATTGGATGGGTTTATAAGGGACGTCAACGGAAGATTCGGCAAGAAAACAGAACTTCCGTTCACATTTAATCTCCCGCATTACACTTTATGTATGAACTCGTCTTATACCAAGAACTGTGAGGATCTACGCCAGCCGGAGTAAGTGCAAAATTAATAATATACTCGTTCAGTATCGATAAATTCAAAAAACAAGTAATCGAATGTGAAAATAATGATGACAAAACGTCAATCTGTCAAAGTAACCTGGGTTTACAACTTCGGAATTACATCTTGGAAAAAGATATTTCAATTCACAAGTCTCCCATTTACATTGCAGCCATTTTAAATGTAGGTGAAAGTAAATACGATTACTTTTGAGATCCCAATCAGCTCTGGATATGATCTTGAATATTACTCGCACATTTACAGTACTCTTTCTGAGGAGTATAAAGGTGGTGCTGTAACTTTGAAAGGACTGGAATTGAATATAAAGACCCAATTCTTTCAACGAGACCTCCTTTTCGATTGCATTTTGGCTACAATCGCGGTTATCGTAGTGTTTTTGGGAGTGTTACTCCACACTTGGAATGCAATTCTTACCGTAACCTCGTTTGTTGGGATGGTTTTATCAATTGGAATTGGATTTTGCGTTTATTTTTTGATTTTCCAAATCAATTTCTTCCCATTTCTAAACTTATTAGTGTTCGTTATAAGCATTGTAATTGGAGTCGATGATCTTTTTTTACTGTTAACTCATTACAGGCATTACAAGAGATTTGTAAGTTGATTATTTTAAACTCTTATTAAAACAAAATAATGTTTACAGTTTGATAAAAAAGAAGCCATGTTTTGTGCCCTGGAGCATTGTGGAAAAGGAATGTTTGTAACGTCCGTTACAACGGCCGCTGCATTTATCAGTAACGTGCAATCGGATATTCTAATTCTAAGGTCAGTAACAACCCCCTTGCCTGCTTTACCTCTACTTTTAGATGCTTTGGGATCTTTGCCAGCCTCACAATTATGACCAATTATTTATTCGCAGTAACGGGATTGCCAGCATTGATTTTACTTACTGATCGAAAGAACTGTGCCAGTTACAAGTTACTGAGTTTATTCTATCGACTTCTTCCATTTAAAAAAATTAAATTATTTTTTATTTATCGATTTCCTCAGTTTGTGTTCGATGTAAAAAATCAAATTGTAATGGTCGGAGTGCTATCCTTTGTGATGAGTATCCTGATTACTTTGCATTACCCTGGCGTCCAATTACCACAAAATAATCCAATGCAGGTAAATCGGTAACGAATTTAATTATTTTACAGTTACTCCGACCACATCATCCATTTGAGTGGTATTCCGAGCACTCTAATTCCATGTTTAATTTTACATACCAAGGGAATAGGAAGATGAATATGTATTTTGTTTGGGGTCTGGAACCGGCAATGTAAGTATTTTTGATAAAAAAACTTGATGTTATATATATTCTTTGTACAAATCCTTTCCAGAGACGTTCCTTTAATGGATCCGCGCAAATTTGGAGATCTCAGAATTGACAAAACTTTTAAAATACAGACTTCAAATGATGTACAATCCTTTAAACAAACCCTCAAGTATCTGAAAACGAAGTTGCATCAACCCAAAAATTCATTCGATCTTCCTCTGTGGATCGAAGAGTTCAAAGATTTCGTGGATGAGCAGAAAGAGCCCTTTCATTTTGAAGAGTTTATCAAGAAATTCGTAAATTACATTCCCACATTCAAATTCCCTGACGATTTCACGATGACAGTAAAAGACGGGCCCTTATTTGATATGGATGACAACTTTATTGGCTACTTTTTAATCATCCCGACCTATCATGATCTCGGTTTTGATTATAAAAATATCAACCAGTTTATGATTACCTTAGACCAAGTAAAGACTGCTCTTCAGAACTCCAATCACAGCTACAATCAACCAGTCATTTCACCCATCAGTTTTGTATCAAAAATGGCCGATTTAATGGATATAATGCTCCCAAATACGCTGATTTCGGTACTCATTTCAGTCCTCATTAGTATGATTGTTATATTTCTTACAACGTGGGACTTTGATCTCTCCATCCTCTCGATTATGACTATTACAATCACGGTAATGCAGATCATCGCCATCATTATTTTGCTTGGTAAGTGCTGTCTACAGTAATAGTGATTACTTTTTAATTTAGGTTGGAAAATAAATGTAGTGGAAGCAGTAATAATAGTGATTACAATCGGGCTTTCCTTCGATTACACTTTACATCTGGCTGTGTGCTTCAAGTCCACTCCCAAATATCTCTGTCTTTTGGAAAGAGTTGTGTAAGTTGTCCAAATTTTCTGTCAATATACCCTTGTAATATTCCAGTAAATCGATGGAGACAATCTTCAGCCCGATCTGTCTCTCGGCCCTCACTTCAGCCATGGCTGGCCTGGTTCTCTTCTGGAGCCGGACCCAGCCTTTTTTTGAGATCGGAGTCTTTATGTTCACCATGGCATCGATCAGTTTTCTGGGCGCCATCTCTTTTTTTGTCGCGCTCATTTTCTGTTGGCCTTTTTATACGAAGAGGAGCGTTTGAGGGCAAAAGAGACGACGAGGGTAGCTCCCTCCGATTCTTTTATTTCGAGGATATTTGCATATACTTTGTTTCCGAATAAACTTGGCGTTCTTTTTTGAATAAATGTGAATTGATTTTAAAAGTTTTTAGTCCCATTCCATCCTTTGATCTCGGCCGATTATGTTTGGTCCCGGCAATATTGTTCCCCGAGACAACACCAGCATCCTACAACCTAATAACCCGATGGCCACTCCCCATCATCAAGTAGTAAGTCTTAATAGTTTTAAAATTATTGTATTAATTTAATGTTTTCAGGAATCCCTGAACGTCCCAATGACTCCCTTATCCTCTTCCAATCACTCGGCCTTCAATGAATCCATAGATTTAAACAACAACTTCCCCAAACTAGTCCCGAGCCAGATCCCCATGGCCATTCCCAGCACTTCTCTGGCCAATTATATCATACCCTCACCAGTCATTGAGAACATTGTCTCCACTTGTTCATTGGGTACTGCAATTAATCTAAAACACATCGCTTTGAATGCCCGCAATGCTGAATATAATCCCAAGAGGTTTGCTGCTGTCATCATGAGGATCCGAGAACCGAGGACGACGGCGTTGATCTTCAATTCGGGGAAGGTCGTGGTCACTGGAGCCAAGTCTGAAGATGCCTCCAAGTAAGGAAAAAAAGTTAAAATTTATGTGAAAGTAAAGAAAATAACAGTCAGAACATACGAAACTTTTTCAGATTGGCCGCACGAAAATTTGCCCGGATTATTCAAAAACTTGGATTCAATGCGCGTTTTCTGGATTTCAAGGTTCAGAATCTAGTAGCCGCCGTGGATGTGCAATTCTCAATTTACCTGGAGGGCATCAACCTGACTCACAGCCAATTCAGCACCTACGAACCCGAGATTTTCCCGGGTCTTATCTATCGGATGGTTGTGCCAAGAGTCGTCCTTCTTATTTTTGTCAGTGGGAAGGTGAGTATAAAAAATAAAATCTCACATGGCTGCTCAATCTTAGAAAATTCATCTCTTAATGATGGATTTTTTAAGGTTCTCTGTTTGTTATTTATGCAAACTTTTCTTTTATGACGCCACAAGAGAATCTAAATATGTTTACCTGCGGTCTAATTGGTTTTCTTCAGATCGTGGTAACGGGTGCCCAGAAGCGGAATGATGTAATGGATGCCTTCAACCAGATCTACCCGATGCTCAGGAGGTTCAAGAAATGAGATCTCCGTCTGTGAACAATATAATTTATTCTTTTGTTTAATAAACTCCCATCCAACCTCCCTTCCCACTTATCTCGGCTATCTGGGCATTACGCAATTAATCCGGCGGCGATGTTTGTAGCAAGTTGGACTGTGCGATTCCTTCAGCCAAGTCCCTTTTCTCTTCTCAAGTGCCCCGTCCCGAGGTGTAAGATGACAATTCTCTCGAGATATCTCCAGTTTTAATGGCTCGCTATAACCTGTGCCGCGCAACGCAAAAAAGTCTTAAAACTTTTTACAACTCCGCCAATATTTCCAGTGCTAATGGGGTTTTTATTTGATGAGCACGAAAGAGGGACGTGGAAAGTGTTTTCGGGCGTTTTATTTCTTCTGATCGCTGATATCGACATCTCTTCTCTCATGTCCAATATAATGTCAGATGCTGTTATTATTTGTCTATCAAAAAACTTGGGAATCCTTGCATATATCTTGCAGAACCCCAAATTACCGCGATTCTCTTTTTATCTGGGGAATAATTGTAGCCTGAGATGTGATTGCACAATAAGGGGAGTGACCACCTGGCATAGTGACATGTTTTCTGAATTGGTCATCTAATCCCTTCGTCAAATTCCAGAGTCTGTACGACAAAGGTCAGCGCTTCCGGTTTAAGGTTTCCGGGATTAAGTTCTCGAAGCTCGTCGGGTCTCTGGTCATTTGGCTCTTTTTACTGTAAAAAAAGATGGGTGGGGAGGGATGTTAGATCGGTGGAATTAATTGTAGAATGATTTGATTACAGTTCGAATACTCCACTCTAAGTAGTAGAAGAATGATTCATCTTAAACTGCCCTTTAAACCCCCAGACCGCTGTTTTTGGCGCCTTATTCCGTTCAGTCACAAAATAATCGACCTTTGCATGTCGTGTATACACGAAATGTTTCAGTGTAAGTGGAAACTGTAACGTTATTCCCGTCTGTTTGCCCTGAGATCCACTTCCCAACCATTTCCGTCAGCGCTCTAATCGAATTAGAAAGATTCCTAGCATCCAATCGACCGTATTTATAAGGTGACCGCTGATATATGACACTTGTTTATGTCTGCTCTTGAGACGGGCATAGACACTTAGCTCCCCAATTTCCTACATATTTTTTAGGATTGTTCTCTAGCTGCGCGTACAGTGTTTCCCGGTATGAGACCAAATGTTTCACAAAATTAATTCTGCATATATCGTATCCCGGAAGCCCGTGAAACTCCCATAGAACCATACTTCGAACACTCTTGCAATTCTCCCCGCCCGCACTTGACCGCACCTCTCCTCACAGGGTTATAACCACTTACTTCATTGTGATATCCCGTCTCAGAACATACGAAACGTCCCTTTACTCATGTAATTTCAGAATGGAGAGGAGAAAGTCGGGATTGGTTTACAACCGACTTCCATTATTCATTCTCCAAAACATTGGCAGGGATATGAATATCGAGGACAGGCTCAACTTCATGGTAAGATACCATCTTTTACGACGAGTTTACTGTCGTTTTACGCAACTTTTAATGACTCCGAATCTTTTACAGTCAATAAATATTCCATTTAGTTTTATTTTAGTTCCTTATTTAATTGCTCTATTTTATATTCTTTTAGGACACCAGTCACAGGGTCCATCGAGCAATAAGGCCATCATTCCGTGTCTTCAAGATCTTGCAGATCAGCGATGAATCTGCTGAGACATTTCTCCAAGAGAACGAGGAAGGGCCTCGGTTCCATTTCCCCGCAATCCGATTGCCAGATATCCTCTCGCTCTGCACAAATCTGGAGCATTTATCCATCGCGATCAGAGCGCCATTTACCTTTGAACTGAAAAACGGGACAGGAAATGGTCCCATCTTCGGTGAGTGACAGGTTTAGGGTGCAATTACACGAACGATTTGTCGGCTCTTTAAAGACTATAATTATAATATTACAGACAGTCCGATGTTAAATGTGGGCGGATATATCGGACAATTCTGGGCGTTGGCCCCCGAGGCGTTACTCAAAAGCCTTAAATCCCTGTCACTGACGGTGGACCTTGTATGCCCCTATCTCCGGAACGTCTGCATGCCCCTACCTTTTCAAGATTTGTATTTCGCGGTATCTCATCTTTTACAATACGATTTCACGACGTCAATTCAGGTAATTGCTGCAAATCTCAAGATGCCTTCGCTGTTTCATTAGGTTATACTACAATTTTGTTTAGGTGGGCATTTGTGCAACTGAAGAACCGAGTTTCCAAGATATCCCGGCTGCCATGAGAATGAAGGACAATCTGCGATGGGTGGCTTGGGATATGACGAGTAAAGGACACAAAGTAAACCTGGAACTGGACGACTACACGGGATACAACGATGTCACTGTGGAAGCCGGCAATATCGATTATTCCCTTGGATTCTTCTACTTTAATCCAGAATTATGTGAACCAGAAGAAGAGAGGAAGTTCGAATAAGATTATTATATTGTATTGACATGGGTATTGTATCTAGTTGTTGTAGTTTTGTGGAGATTCGTTGACCGGTACATCGATCTGCTCAAAGTTTTGGTCTCTAAAAACGTTATTTTCTTGTTGATTTGCATAAATTTTGCATTTTTCTTTTCGTTTTCCAATAAAACCATTGGAATTTGAACAAATAAAGCTGTGCCAATTGCTGTCATTCCCGGAATCTCGGAATACTGAACGGTCGAGCTTTGTAATGGACAATTCAACAATCGAAATCACTCTCAAGGTAGAGCCACTTTATCGCCGGAGGTCCCCTCATTTGGATCTAAATGTCTGGAAACAGGTGGAGCCAAGAGATCTTCAAGGAATCAAGGGTTCGAAGACGCCAGGGAAGTCTTCAGTCTCCCAGAACCCGGCTTTTGAGAAGCCTATTTCGCCATCAGAATCCCAAAAAATTTTTGAATCCGAGAAAAAAACGAAAAGTCCAAGAGACAAACAGAATCAAGCTCAAAAGGAAGCATCGACGGAGGAGAAGACAAAGAAATCACGGTAATTAACTGATGATTAAAGAATTCTTTTCATTCCTTTTCAGGCCGACTAGACGGAGAAAGTCCAAAAAGAGTAAATCAGAGAAAAACATGGACAGCTCACACATTTCAGTAAGTGGAAAACCAGTTCTAGCATCAGTTATTATACAGGGTGTTTCAAGAAATTTGGAACAAATGATTTGCTTATATCTTTTTGTTCTTTGCAGCTATCAACGAATTTCTTTTTGCTTCTAAAAATTGACAGCGTGCGTTTTTAGAATCTCAAAAAAAAAATTTTTTCGGCGGCGGAGGGCCCATTTCTCGGCGGAGAAATTTAGGGCCTTTTTTAAAAATCACAGCGTATTACGTGGCGGAAACGCCGTTGCAATGGCTGAAATCAAGTTTACGTAATACCTCCATCGATTTTACGGTATGCATTTTTTTGTTTTCGATTTTACGCACTTCCGCGGATGCGCGGCGGAGACCTCAGATTTCGGCGGACGTTGTTTTGGGCCTTTGGTTTTTGCAATTCATGTTGGAAAAGGAGGTTTGGGTGATTTTTTGTTGTCATCCGATGCACAGATGGCAAAAATTTCGTGCTTTTTATCACCGGCGGAGGAGTCGGCGGAGGCTTTATCAAAGGGTAAAAACAAAACTCCGCCGATTTGTCCGCCGGACCAAAAAAATCAAAAATCTTTGAAAGACAATGCTGCTCTGATGGATTCTTGTAGCTGAGATTTTTCCCGGACTCGTAAGACCGCTTTGACCCTTTGATAAAGCCTCCGCCGAATCCTCCGCCAGGGAAAAAAAGCGTGAAATTTTTGTCATCTGTGCATCGGATGACAACAAAAAATCACCCAAACCTCCTTTTCCAACATGAATTGCAAAAACCAAAGGCCCAAAACAACGTCCGCCGAAATCTGAGGTCTCCGCCGCGCATCCGCGGAAGTGCGTAAAATCGAAAACAAAAAAATGCATACCGTAAAATCGATGGAGGTATTACGTAAACTTGATTTCAGCCATTGCAACGGCGTTTCCGCCACGTAATACGCTGTGATTTTTAAAAAAGGCCCTAAATTTCTCCGCCGAGAAATGGGCCCTCCGCCGCCGAAAAAATTTTTTTTTTGAGATTCTAAAAACGCACGCTGTCAATTTTTAGCAGCAAAAAGAAATTCGTTGATAGCTGCAAAGAACAAAAAGATATAAGCAAATTATTTGTTCCAAATTTCTTGAAACACCCTGTACAATACACAAGTCCAAAACGCGAGTGCCGAAAAGGTCCGCTAAACAAAAAGGTTTCCAAAAGCGAAATTTTAGCAAATGGGCGATAGAGTTTGGGCTGCAACGAAAATTTTCGGTCAACAACACATTTTTGCATGTAATCGAATGTGCTGATTTTGAAAATCTTGTCCCTTGTTCCGATAGTTTTATTTACAGAGTTGATGAAAACGTGGGCTTGCCGACTGCCTACGAAAACACTTTTTTTAGTAACCAAATTGCCCCTTGTCAAAACGACAGATAAAATAAGCGGTAATACTAGTTACGGCTAATATTAACGGCATTCATCATGGTCTGTGTTAAACTCGCGTTTGAAAGCTTCGTTATCAGAAGCTTCAATTTAGCCAAAATGCCGCTAATTTGACGTCGTTTTGAAAAAATCTGTTAAATTAAAAACCCTACTAAATCCACTGTTTTTATAAAGAATAAAAAAATATAAATTTTTTAATTACTGTAAAAAATGTATCATAAAGAATGGATGTATTTTTCTTCAATTGTGTGTAAAAATGTATCGTTGACTCGAACTGCCTGACGCGAAAAGTACGGACACGAGAAAATGGCTGTATGAAAATTGCGCGTCCCGACATTTCGGGTCAGGGACAACTCGGGTCAACGACAACTCAGGTCAACGATACCGTTTAATATTTTCGCTTCGGGACTTGGAAAAAAGAATTTTTTGGAGAATTTGAACAAAATTTTGAAATGTTTTCGCTTCGGGAATTGGGAAAAAGGATTTTTTGGAGAATTGAGGTTTATTTTCAATTTTTTTAGGTAAATAGTGTTTATAAGCGTCTAGCAAATAAGAAAATCGTATCCATTGTTTATGTTTTTTAACTGGATTTAAACACAGACAGTGCCAGAGAGCGCGGTAAGAAGATAGTCGTTTATAGTCGTGATTGTATGCAATTAAAAGCAAAAACATTTCAAAATTTTATTCAGATTCTCCGAAAAATTCCTTTTCCCAAGTCCCGAAACGAAAACATTTCAAAAATTTTTGTTCAAACTGTCCAAAAAATCCTTTTTCCCACGTCCCGAAGCGAAAACATCTCAAAATTTTGTTCAAATTCTCCAAAAAATTCTTTTTTCCAAGTCCCGAGGCGAAAACATTTCAAAAATTTTTCAAATTCACCGAAAAATTCTTTTTTCCCAGTCCCGAAGCGAAAATATTAAACGGCATCGTTGACCCGAAATGTCGTTGACCCGAGATGTCGTTGACCCGAAGTGTCGCGACCCGAGCTGATCCTGACCCGAAACGTCGTAGCGCCGAAAATTGGAATAAAAAGAAAAATACAAGAAATGGGCGGGGTGTGATAGGCACTATGGTTTTACTTGATCGTGACCGATACCCGATCTGCCCCAAATGGAGCCATAATCTCAAATATTGATTACTTTTTTAGTACAAGGCTGATGCAGCAAAGCCCTGTTTCTTGATCAGTAGTGCATCTGATGATAGCAAGAATTCAACCTCAGAAAAGGTCAAGAGACCAGACATTACAGTAGATAATCATCCGGATGGGTAAGATACGCAACATATTATAATTTGACAGTTTTCACTTTTAGTGTGGTCACTCCCCCAGCAAATGTATCCAGGGATGAGACCGTTGTCAGTTTTGCCGAAGTAGACAGTCGTCCTTCTTCGTTGGTCAAGCGTCGATCCAAAAAGACTCAAGCGACGGATCCTCTTCTCCATGGTTCGAATCAGATGATGATCGACGAATTCACAAGACAAGCGATGCTCCAACAGATGAGGGACTATTCCCGAGGCAATTACGAGCTCGTTTCATGGCTGCTGCTGTTCTTAGCCGCCGTCTTCTTGCTGCTCTACAGAACCGAGAGAATTGCCGAAACGTGTCAAAATGCAAATTTGGCTAATTGAAATATTCGAATATCGGAATTCCGTCCCCTTGCCAGTCCCTTTGGACCTCTTCGAATAAACGTTTTATGAAATTTCTGTCATCTTGTACTTTAATCCACCCCAACTTAAGGTCTTCCTGGTACTGTGGGAGTTGTGGATTAGGTTACTATGTAAAAATTAATATTTACATTTTGATTACTGAGAAGATATTTAATTGGGCCTCGTTTTTATGGCGTCGAATCTCGGTTTATAAGATGCAAATTTAATGAGAGCGGTTACTGCTTCTTGTTCTCTGTGTAGAAGTGGTGGAATGGGGAAGTTCGGAGGATTTTTGGTGGCTAAAACAACAGGAATGTTTCACTGGGCGTCCATCTCCGTATATCTGTCATATGCAACATGCGGATTTGCTGCGGTTTGCTAGTTTTGGCCTCCCTCCCTCTCTTTATACGAAATCTGCATACGAATTATCATCACTGCATGCGTCGTATCTCTGATGGCCAGATTGTGGGTGTTGTCATTCCTCTTCTTTCCCCTCTGCCCCTTCAATTTGCGACTCGGAAGGCCGTGGGACCAAATCCATTTCTTCGTAATTAGCTTCCACCTTATCTGATTTTAATTTCAGTATTTTGAAAATAGGAAATGGGGTAGTATACTCGTATTTTGTATTAGTAATTGGGGAAGTCCCATATCTGGAAACCTTCGTATTTATTTCTCTTCTGATTACGATAGACCGCGTGCCTACGGGGGTTTACTGCCGGCTTATCACACATTAACATACGCCGTAACATTTTAATTAAAATTTGGCCCCAGGCCCTTCTTAGGGACTCCGATGACGCAATCCTGTGACTTTCTGTGCTTAGATGCGTGTAGAATAAGTTGTACAATCAGTATTTGACATTATACGTTATATTGTACTGAGTCTGATTACAGGTCTCCTTATCATGTCCTTGTTGACCAGGATTCTGTGCACACTAACAGTTGTTGGCATAACGATAGCTATAACACATGCATCTCCTATGGGTAAATTCTTATTCATTATTTATATATATGTACATGTTTTATATAATTGTAGATAGATCAGCTCTCAAGAAGGCTTCAGATAATCCACAATGGGAAGACCTCGGTTGGGCCTGGGGAAAGCGGTCGGTGGCTGTGGAATTGGTCGATCCTGAGGACGTAAGTGGAGTGTTGCTCTTTTCTAACACAACCCACAGAACTTGATTACTTTTTTCGCAAGAGTTGTTTTGTTAAACTCTTTTTGTTCCTAACTCTTGTTTTCAGGTAATGCTGCAACGATATGTGAGATCGATGAAAGCAATCAAGAAGAACCCCGATTGGCACGATCTCGGCTGGGCCTGGGGCAAGTAAATAGACTAGTCCATCGGCTCCACTCCGCTCCGTTCTCCCGACTCCGGCTTCTGTTCCAAATATTTTTTTGTTTTCCGATGAAGAGTGCGCTTTTTGACTATAGTAAACAGTTCTTGACATCTTTGACGTTACGCTCCGTTCCGGAAAAAGTTGTGTTCGGTCTCAGACTGATTCGAATGACGTCATTGAGTTGGCTGATAATGCCCGATGGTGGGTGGAGGGGGCCCTGCAGGAGAGCATAACCGGTTTCTCTTTTTTTGGCCATTCACAGTTTCAGCAATCAGTTGAGCAGAAAGGGTACGTGCGAGAAGATGATCAGTGTCTTGGTGGTGTTCTTGTTGTCTATGAATCCCTCCGAAGCCATCTTCTGGGATCTCCTGGGTCTTGGCGGAGGAGGAGGATGTTGTGGAGGATACGGCCAAGGAGGATATGGAGGAGATCCTTTTGGACAAGCATTCCAAGGGATCCAACAAGATTACGGAGTTCAGCAGGGATATGGATTGCAGCAAGGATACGGAGTACGGCAGCCAGTGGTCAGTTACAGAATCCCTTCGTATGTCTCCAGACCAGCAGCAAGACGTAAGTATTTACAGTCATACTTCTGAACGTCGGCATTGTTTACCAAAAGATGTTTTCCAGCTGTCACTTACATCATCCGAAAAAAGTATTACCGTCCAGTCATTGAGCGCACCACAGTTGAAGTAGCTCAGGAGAAATATTCGCAGCCATCTGTTTCCGCTTACAACGAGGGCCCCGTAGCCTCCGCGTCGTCATCTTCCTACAACCAGGCAACAGTTTCCTCATCCTATAATGCAGGTGCTGGTGCGGGCGCAAGTTACACTCAGTCTGAGATAGCTCCTGCCGTGGCTGAAACTGCCGAAGAAGTCCCAGTAAGTACCTAGATACAAGATGAATACATCTAAGTTCTTATCATAATGATAAGTTAACCTTTTAGGCGACGTACAGTAACACAGCGCCACAATCAACCTCTTATAATGCCGCCTCTTCCGCTACATCGTATAGGAAGATAATCAGAAGTTGAAGAGCACAACAAACTGTAAAACATTACGCAATATTATTACAATATTTCGCCAATGGAAATAAATACCGGAAACTTTAAAACGTGAATTCTGCAAGAGTTGGAGTTTCATTTGGATGCACCCGAAGAAAGGTTAAAAAGATCAAAGCCCTTAGGGAAAGTAGACTTTTTACAAATGGGCTTGGATGGGAGTGTTTTTGGGGGTCTTCCCCAACTTCTCTTCGACCAATTCCAACATCAATCTGGTAGTTGTGGCCAGATTATGTTCCGGATTCCATCCCCAATCTTCCTTTGCGAGGGAATCGTCCAGGGAACGGGGCCAAGAATCAGCTAAAATTAAATTAATCTATCCAAAAACACTCAAAAAAATCAAAGAAAAACTTTGAACTTACCAATCTTCTGCCTGATGGGGCAGGGATTGTATTCAATTTGGAAATGAGGTATATAACGACGTATCTCAGTGGCGATGTCTTCTGGGGTAAACGAGAACCCAGTCACATTGTAAGTCCTCATGGACAGAGATTGAGACGGAGCGGCAAGCATCTGAAATTGTTTTAAATTCACCTTCTTTTAACTGGTTATTACCTGGATAACAGAAGCCGTGCAATCAGTGTCATACATCATGGGTAACATGGTGTCCGGCTTCAGATAACAAACATGCTTACCGGTCGTTAAAGCGTCAAAAAAGATTTGAATTGCATAATCTGTAAAAAACAACGTCGGATTAGATTCAATGATGACAAAATGAAAGGATCAAGTAACTACATACGATCATATTAACTATCATTTAGATTGCTTACCAGTAGTTCCACCTCCGGGCTGGATGGCTGAGATGATTCCAGGGAACCTGAGAGATCTGAAGTCCAATCCGAAGCGCTCAAAGTAATATTCTCCTAACAATTCGGCGTATACTTTGGTTACTCCATAAATAGTTCTAGGCCGTTGAACAGTGAGATCAGGGGTCAAATCCCGAGGAGTCGTGGGCCCAAAGGCTCCAATTGTGCTCGGGATAAACACTTTCAGACTGTGGGCTCTAAAACAACATAAGAATTCTTTCGCATTACTCACCTGCAGACTTCCAGAACATGTTGAACTCCTTGGGAATTAACCTGCAATGCCAGAGGGACGTTGTTTTCTCCAACTGCACTTAGAAGAGCCGAGAAATGAACAACAGTATCAATGTTGTTATTCACAATTACCTCTTCTATCGAATTCTTGTCCAGAATATTCAAATAACAGAAGGGTACCGCTTTCAAATACTCTGGCCGTTTTCCAATATCTGTCACGATCACACTGTCGTGCCCATATATGGCCCTAACCATTAATTAGCTTTCTCTGACCATAAACTTACTGCAAAACCAAAGCCAAACTCTTTCCCAATTGTCCCAATCCTCCAGTAATCAACACTTTAGGAGCAATCGGAGTGGTCGAAGCGTATTTATAGAGGCGGAAGAGGGGATCAGTCTGTAAATGGACAGTCTTTATCTATTTAATTTATGTTAGACTTGTACTGCTTTTTATTTGTTATCGTGCTGATTTCAAATGTTGCGATATTTCTTCCCGCCAAAACCAATTCCCATCAATGAAATCACTGCAAAAATTTCAAGGAAATCAAGGAAGAAAAGGACAAACCAGACTTTTTTCAGCGAATTTCGAGTGGGATGATCAATCGGCTATGTCATCATCAGAAGGAAGAGTTGGTTTATGCTTTGGAGGCGTTTATGCGATTGCCACGTAATCAAAAGGAAGTAAAATCGAGACTGTAACTTTTTCAAATCCTCATTTAATTTTATTGCTAGTTTAATTTTTCAATTTCATTTTAGTTACCGTAATCCTACGATAAAAAACGCAAAGAAATCCATGCAAAATGAGATAGAGCGAGAAGAACGTTTATTACAGTAAGACAACTACCGTAGCCTTACCTTTGTTGCATTTGGACGCCGGCAGTTGATAAGGGAGCAAGTTCGAGTCAGAAGTCGATTCATCTGAAAAAGGGAAGCTGGTTAATCTTCTCCTTGCTCCCTAGCCGCGATCGAATGATTTGATTGAGAAATCTTTTCCCCTTAAGAACAAATCTCAAACACGTGGGATGAGAAAAGGGAGACGTCACCTGAAGTCGACCAGTCAGTCCAGCGAGAAGCAATGGGAATGAAATTAAAACAATGGTCGGACGTTCGATCAGAGGTCACCTGCTGGATGGAGAAGTGTGAAGACGACGGCGGAGTCAATTCTGTTACATCACATCTAATTCTAATTGATCAATCACATTTCTTAGCATCTTCTTCTTCTAGTTTGGCGACGTTATAAGACCGAAATTGCAAAAGAATGTCAGCGAAATTGTGGGAGACTAAAAATTATGAAATTGAGATCAGAAATTATTGTTCCTTCCGCAACGTGTCTAAATCAGGTCATACGATCATCGACGTCTAGACTCTGCTTAGTCATTGATAGGTATTGTTATTTGATACCGCCTATATACAGTAATGTGTAAACCTGGAATCTGAAATCCGCCACGTGGGGTAGTCTTTCAGTCATTGTTTTCTTCGTTTCGTATGAAGTGCAGAATTAAAATTCTTCGTTTATCGAGTACTTGCTGTGCTAATTTTTATTATGGCGCTTCTAGGCCCTCCAAATTATTTTGTTTGATAGGAAAATCGACGCACCACCAAAAAAAAGAATTTCAATCGAGAATTTCAAAAAATCTCGTTTTTGCCAGCAACTGAATTAGGTGGTATCTGAAGCCATTGCTAACATAAAAGCACAGCACAGCACACTCTTAAAAGTGTGCTGTGTTATGTTATATGTTTTTATTTTCGAAGCAACATCGAAAACCTCAAAATCGAGTATTTATGAAAAAAATTACTTCTTTACAGAACTACTTAAAGTACGCACTTCTGGAAGCCTAGCAATACACTTGGCCACCTGCAAATTAATTCCCGTCGGGACCCAAAAAGGGATTTGAATTTATTTGTATACGGTAGAAAAAATATTTTTTTGCGGCTGCAGCCGAGAATTTTATTGTTTGATATCGCGATGGATTGATCTCAGTAAGTTATTTTATGTTTATTTTCGCTTGTTTCTAGACGGCGAGCTCAGGGACGGTTGGAGAAAGTCGTTTACTAGCTGTTTTTTGTGATTTCTTTCAAAATTGTTCAGATTATCTTTCTTCTCGTGAAAAATGCTATCTTATCCATGATTTGTTAGTATTATCGTCTAAAGAAGCTGTAAAAAAACCTGAACAAGCTCTCTCATACTCTCTTTTGTCAGTTTAAATTTCGCCTGATGAACCATTTGTTGATAAAATTCCGATATTATCCGTTTATTTTCCTTGAATTTTTCAGTTTTTGGACGACAATCACGTCAACCAATACCGCAACGCCTACTACAGCAGCTTCGTCTCTTTGTCTCCCGATTATCTGTGATTAGCAAGAAGCCTTCTTCCCTCCAACCTTTTCAGAATCAATATTTATAACATAAATTTATTAACCGCTTATCTTATCTTTATTTTTGCTATTATTATTCAACGAATTACATAAGTCTCCACTGGGACAGATGTAGGCTCTGTGACGGCATCGGGGCTTCATCAAGATCCAAACCACACTTGATCATGCGTCAGATTCTGTTGGAGTAAGAGGCGGGCCTTTCCAGGAAGGAACACGAAGTCTGTCTCGAAGATGGACATCCAGATGGCAGGGGATCTTGTCATTTCTGACACGTTCGCAGAGAGCCCTAAAACCGAGTAATCAATGTCAAAAAAATTGAACTTACTTCATGATACAGTGTTCAGGGTTGATCTCCAAACTCTTCTTGGAACCCATGTATCTACCCCATGTTAAACGAGCCAACAAAAGTCTGATCCTTCATGATTCTCTCAATGAATCTTGACCTTTTTCTGCAAACTCTGCTTTTCCCATTCGAATTCATGGAGTTCAAGACTTCCTCGGGCGACGAACGGCATTCATTTTACATCGAACTCCTTCCGTTGCTGGACATCGTACTCATCAACGCACGTGAACCCGTAGACGATCACGTTTCTTGGCTAAAATTCGGACCTAAAACATCAGTTTTTATTGAAAAAAAACTAAAATACGGCAAAATATACACCAACCACAAACGATTTATTTATTATACATAAAACTTACTCAAAACCACGCCAAGGCTCCAAAACCGTTGATTCCATGAACAAACAAATAAAATCCTTGGCTGCCGCCGCAAAAAAAATATTTTTTTTCTACCGTACACAAACAAATTCAAATCCCTTTTTGGGTCCCGACGGGAATTAATTTGCAGGTGGCCAAGTGTATTGCTAGGCTTCCAGAAGTGCGTACTTTAAGGAAAAAGTAACGGTCAAAGAAATGAATGTCATTTCCGAAATGAGCGCCATCGGCTATCCTAATTTCGACGCTTACATCTAGACATGGCTGGGGGGCCGGGCCGGGCCGAAAATCGCGGCCCGGCCCGGGGGCCGGAAGGGGTCGGCCCGGCCCCGGCCCCCTTCAAATTTTCTCGGCCCGGCCCGGCCCCGGCCCCCAGGGGGCCGGGCCGGGGCCGACAGGGGGCCGAACTGTAAATATAAATACTGCATTCATTGCGAGATCTAACACATTTTTTTGGGGCTTTGGTAGTTCAGCTCTGGATGAGGGGGTTTATACTGGGTCCAGGGGGGCTGAACTGGGCTGGCGGGTTGTACTACCCAAGTCCCCATTTTTTTGTTATAACAATCGACAATAAATTTTTGAAACAAAAAATTACCAACCATTTCCTAAAGTACTTCAAAAAACCCAATCGGTTCTTGGCTCTGCGTTTTATTTTTATTGGCAGCCCTAATTTTCGCTTTGAGACTGAGAATTTTAGTCATTGGGGGCCTATTGGGGGCCTGGCGGGGGCCCCCGGTCGGCCCGGCCCGGGGGCCGGAAGAGGTCGGCCCGGCCCCGGGGCCTTTAAAACTCGTTCGGCCCGGCCCAGCCCGGCCCCCCGGGGGGCTGGGCCGGGCCGGGCCGGGCCGGCCCGGCCCACTAGCCATGTCTACTTACATCGAAGAAAAATAATACTTTCCAGTTTCCCCAATTGTCTTTTTTCCCCAATCGTCTGTTTCCAAAACTGACGACGTTCCACTTTTGCCATTTATTTTGTTTGAGACATCTATTATATAATATTTCCCCCTTTGGCTAGTATAATGCGCAAAGTCCAGGGTTATTGGACGGGAATTTGTATTCATGATACTCCTCGTACGAAACATAATATCAGTGCAAGGTGTTGCAATTTTTTTCAAAAAATTTAGATATTTTGATGAACTATGTAATACAGTAAACGCCAGTATTAAAATCCACACCTAGTTATGCATTGGCATATCTTTGCATCTACTATGTTAATATGGGACCGAATTCCTCTTTCTGAACGTGATAATTTCACTTTGCAAAATCTTAAGTTTCTGTCACCATCAACATCTGATGACTCTGGAGATATATAAAGGTGGTCATATAAGATCTCGGAATTTTTTTTCCCAAATCGCGATTTTCGGTGCACAAAAAAGTGGACGCCCAAATCGAAAAATTGGCGTCAACTTAATTTTTTCAGCACCGAATTCCGAAATGCGGTGCTGACTTAAGCACTTAAGTCTTCGGTGCAGACTTAAGACTTTGTGCACTGATTTCGAAAAACTTAGAAAATTTTACCGAATTTCAGAATTCGGTGCCGAGAAAAAAATAAGTCGACGCCAATTTTTCGATTTGGGCGTCGACTTTTTTGTGCACCGAAAATCGCGATTTGGGGAAAAAAATTCCGAGATCTTATATGACCACCTTTATATTGATGCATTTCGAACTGTTGTTGCCTTTCTATGCTACCCAGTAATTGCTAAAATTAGAGAAAGTGGAAATATTGCAAGTCTTCGCCGAGTGTCCGCCGACCATCCAACGGCTTTTGGCAGGATTCAAGAGGGGTTCCGGGTAAATTCAAATTTTTTTTCGACCATGATGCTCAGCCACGCATTTCGACCATACCAACTTTTATGTCTCGCAACTTGCAGAGCTCAAAAGACGTGTTCTGAACGGTACAATGGAAAGAACCATTCGCAAATGGCGTACTTTTTGCTTATTGTGTGCCCTATACAGTGCAGAAGCAAAAAATTGCTATGTCCGAAAAGCGTGGCCGATCATCATGGCCGAAAAAAAAATTTTACCCGGAAAATTTTTTTTAACCCCTCTTATTCGTAGGCACTTCCTACAACCCTTTTTTGGGATCCACCTGCTCTACGTCCCGTAGATATCCGGGATCCCGGGCGGGAATATACCCGTGGTACCACGGCCGTGATATATACCCCGTCCGAACCCTAGCTGACAATGAGTCAAAGCCCACTGAAACTGAATTCTTTCATCTGCGTTTCGCCGTGAAAACAAGCAAAAAGAAAAAATTCTGGCATTATGACCCAGGCAGAAAATAATAAAATTTCTTTCATTCGCAATTTTGAAGTTTCGTAGCTATTGTCCGCGCTTTTGTGCTTTATCCATGTTGGTATGAACGAAGAGAATTTGAAAGAAGCAGTTTTGGATTATATTAATAATGCTTTCGATGATGTAGTTGAACCCAAGAACTTCCCTGATGTTATTGAGGAGACTTTGGCTAATCATGTTAAGAGGAATGAACAATTGTTGAAGGAACCTCCTTCTCACGACCAGAGCGATCATCGAGCATGTCTCCAAGCACGACTACTAAATATTGTCAGAGAGAAGCGAATGAATAAGGTTTGTTGAACTTTTACTGGTGACTAAAATATATGTTTATGATCGTAATATTTTGCTTTTAGTATCAAAACAGGAGCGATGAAATGAGGGACAACATACGGCAGTTATTTGAGATCAATTCGGAGGTGGGTTCGTTCTTTGATATATATTATTCATAAGTTTAGTTACAATCAATGATCACACATGCAAAGCACGATAACCAGAAGCCAAATAATTTGTTTTGCAATAGTAAAGAGTTCCATGATGAAAGTTACCAAATGTTTCTCGAAGACCTCAACCGGCGACTAAAATCCGATTATTCTGAAATGAGGTCTCGTTCTTGAACTTCGGACTCCGATGTCGTCTGACTTTGTCTAAGTGTCTGTTTTGTACATAAATCCACATATATATTATGATGTAGAATCAAACTTGTTTAGTGTGAATCATCCGAAATGCAAATCGCCGATCTCAGATGGTCTATTTCGTTATAAATTGGGAAGTAAAAGGAGAGGATACACTCGAATTGCGACTTGTGTTTTGTATTTCCGATGGAAAAAGTCGCTCTTGATCTCGAAATTTGTGGTAAAAGAGCGACAGAAATACCAAAAGTTTACAAAAAAATTGCTTTTTAGGTTTGGTTTTACTTTCAGTCAGATGGAGGCGAAAGACGGTAAGTGTGCCGTTTTTGAAAATTAGTTGCTCTCAGGTGCCCGTAAAACCGATTGGAGAAGTATTTATGTGGTCACTCTTGTGGCCTTTATCGGTTCCGTCCACACTCACTGCATTGCCCCGGGGGTATGGCCTTATATGAAGATGATGGACCCGGCTGTTACCGAGAACTTCTACGGTCTCCTCCATTCCGTCGCCAGTTTTGGCACCGTTTTGACAGCTCTGATCGCTGGATACATCAGCAACGTCAAACAAGATACGAAGTAATCCTTTCTTTATAATTTTATTATACTTTTTTATCAGATGGCCAATGGTATTTGGCAAAGCGATGGCTCTCTTCTCGTGTGTCCTTTACTTGATGATCGAGCTTATGAATAGAACGGAAAGATTAGGAATGTTCTTGATGTTTGAATTCTTCCTGGGAATGTCGATGGGTGCAGCTCAGATCTATCGAACCCATATTGCCATGGCCAGTACAGAGAAAGATCGGCCTCGCGCAGTCGGCATCTCTTCTCTCGCCCCGGCAATAGGCCTTTTCTTGGGTCCAGTCGGTCAGATCTTATTCACGGCCATCGGTTACCCCGGAATCCCCCTTTTAGGGGTCCATTTAAATCTGTATACAGCACCTATTTGGATGACAATTGTAATATCGATTGTTGGAATCTACTTGTTGGTGTGCCACTTCAACGGCCGGATGGACCAGCTGGGTTTAATCAACAAAGGTACGCCATCTAACCGTATTCGGAATTGGTTTTGTTTCAAGATTTCCAGGAGAAACGGGACTACGATGTAGTTGCTGTTGTTGTCTGCCTTATAACAAAGATGCTGGTTAGTTTGTGCACCTTGAATTTTATGACGATCGGTCCTCCATATACGATGACCGTCTTCCAATGGACTCCATCCCAGTCGGTGCTTTATCTCTCCGTCTGCATGGGTCTCGTTGGTTTAAATATCGTCTTCTGGAACTGTGCTTATGTCTTCTTCGATCTGAGAAGACGGTTATCTGAACGTCGAGCGATTATATTCGCCATCTTCTGTCTGTTTATTGCTTACATGGTTACTTATCCGTGGTGGTTTTTAAATGGGACGATTGAATATGCAAACACAACAGTGATAATGGATATGGGATTAGATCTATCCGATGTGACTGTCCCTGACTCCATTGGTTGCAATCCTGCATTTGCTTGGTGTGCAGATACTCCAGCCGTGAATATGATTGTGTTCTTGGGGTCCCTGATCGTCGTCCTTGGCTTCGCTCTTCCTCTGTGTCTTATTAATTTGGATATCCTTTTTTCGAAAGTATTGGGAAACATCAGGTAATTTCAGGCTTTCCATAGCTCAAAAACCAGGTTGGGGTCTGGATTAAGAGTGGATGAAAATCGAGATAAAGAAAATTACAGTAGTATTGCACCCATGCCTCGAGTTTTGGGACTTTAATTAAGCCGAATGCCTCCCACAACGGAGATTAAGTTCCCAGATATTAATTTTGCCTGGGATTTGTTTTCCAACTACCGAAAGTAATCTTACCATTAATCCGTTCGGCGGTAAAGTCGGCCATATGACAGCTTGCACACAGATAAATATTTACAGTCCAAGTTTAAGATTTTACCGTATTTTTTACAGGCAGGGAACGATGCAGGGATTATTCATTGTGTCCGGAGAGTGTCTGAATATCATTGGCCCCATCTTTTTAACTCGAGTGTACACTTACAAAGGACCGCGACCCATCTGGATATTCGAGATCATCTTCATTGTCATATGTTTCTTCCTATGGATTATTTTTTACAACCGAATGATAGGACATTCCAAACGAGTGGCCACCTTGTCACAAATATCTGAGGATGCTTTATAATGGAGAATTCCTCCAGACTCGATTGTTTGTACAATCTCGAATAATAATTTTACTATTTATAATATCTATTCATTTTTATTAAAATGATACCCGAATTAATCAAAGTTTGGAATTGGTTAATTGCATCTAGGAACAACAGTGTGTGTAAGGCAACGTTATATACAATTGTGAACCTGTAGACAACAAAAAATATTGAAAAATTATAAATTGAGGTTGTCCACCACAATCAGGGACATGGGGGCTGCGTATCTAAGGCTCTGCAGGAATGACTGGACATCTCTGACGGTGAAACCTTTCATTAGTCCATCTTCGACGTCCACTATTACATCTGCTTTACCGCCTTTGTCACCTGGCAGACATCTGAAGAAATAGAATTATTGAAATCAAAAAAAATATTATTAATTTTTAAAATAAAATAAATTACCTCCGGAAATCGATAGCCCAGTAAACTTCAGACATTTCGCTCTTTCCCCAGGTTCTTTTTAGTCCATATTTGGTGTTATCTTGCTCATCAAAGTAGACTGTCCGAATATGTTTAACTCTCACAACTTTGGGCTTCATCATGGGGAAGAAATAACGTTTTATAGTTAGAAAATCTTCGGTTAATTCTACATAATCATCTTCATAAAGAATGTGGGACATGATTTGCGCTGTAGAAAGATCTAAATGAACGGCAATGTAAATCTGTAATTGAATCCGAAATCCAGACAGGCTACTTAAATACGAAGAGAATCCATCAGACTCCACCCTTTCATTTCTTCGGGGGATTAAGAGCCTTCGTCAATGGAATAAAACTTCCAAGGAGGGATACCAAAAGGTGATACAAATGCTCGCAAAAACGTCAGAGTGCGGGCGGCCGAACTAAAGTTAGGTTTTAGAGGATGTCGAGTCCGTGTTGAGCCGTTAATAAAATAGATTGGGTTGCGAAACTCGGATGTTATAGCCGTCATAGGTCTAAGATTGCACTTAAGGTGTTTATCGGAAGCATTCTAGAAAAATATTCAATGGTATGTAATAGTTGTTTATATGTAATGAAAGTATTGGAAAGGATACTGTAAAGCTCTTTACGCATTGCCTTTCGATTACAGAATTCTGACGTACGAAAAGGTAGGTATCTTGCACGCAATGTTTTTGCAGTGTGTCATTTCATAGCCCCCAGGTTTTCTTGTGTCATCAATATTCATCATGTTGTCGCTGATTGAAGCCTTTCACTGCTTACTGGGCTTCTCTGTTCTTAGTAATTGCAATCTCTAACCTCTATGAGAGTGATACGATGGACTTGGATTATACTTACACCAAGAAAATCCATTTAATGCAACAGCCAGATCCCTGACAGAAACCTTTCAATTACCCTTACATCATCAACAATAATTTCATTTCAAAACGGAGGAGAGAAGAGAAAGATCCCGTAAACAATTTCCAAAGCATGGCCCGGGGTGTTTATTATTAGAACATTTTAATGAAAATATTTGGTACGAATTGACATTTCATCGTAGGAATACAAGGCAATGCAAGTTGTTTACGGAATATTGGCAGTAAGTGTCAGTGCTAACATCAAACACGATCTCAGAGATTGAACATACCACATTTACAGGAAGACCAAGATGTCTGGTGATGTCTCTTTTCAACATTTTAATTCCGTTACGAGGATTTTGCGTATCAATCTGGAGCAGACATATTTTGGACTGCATAAAACCAACCTTTTTGATTAACGATCGTATCTTGCTGTGATTACATCTGACGTCATTCAAAGATCTCTTCCGTCTTTGATGCTCCTGGATACTCCGGATGGGCTTTGGAACTATAAATACGACCATAAAACAATAAGTTCTAAGAAAAATCGACGAGCAAGCAGTATTAACTTCTAAACGCTACTATAGTGTTGTATATCCTCGAGGAATAAAATTCGGAAAAAGTATATCGCCGACGTCGTGATTGAAAATTGGGGCTGCCTCGCGAAAAGGTGCATGGCACAAGTGAAAAACATGGGAAATTGCAGCGAGAAACACAAAAAAAAGGGTGCAAAGTGTCCGAACTTTATTTCTCAGGGTTGCACTTACTGCTTTTGGTAACTGTTATATCCTCACTTGTATCCGCGAAGATATGTAGTCAGCCGAATGTAGAGTAATAAATATAGATAGATTTATTACAGAAACAATAATAGCAATATATAGCGTAACACACACATTCACTGAATAATATAATCCTCCTTGGCCATGGGACAAAACGTAATGCCAAAGGTCTTGTAGTTTTCGTCACGGGACCGAACATCTCCCTTTGTGGAAAAGGATCATTGCTTGGCTTTTTGACGACGGCCGGAGAGCTGTTGATAGTCCAAGGGCTTCTTGGCGTTTCGGCTGGGCTGTATTCGCCGGGCAACGGTAGGAGGTGCGTCAGGTCCATTAGATCGGTTCGGAACAACCGGGGGTGTATTATTCTCTTCTTCCACCATCGTATCGTACTCGTAAGGGAACCGCTTCCAGATTTGGTTGAAGTGGCGAGTGTGTACTTGGTCCTGCACTTGAACTTTTGCCATAGTCTTCCCCAAGAACTGAATGAGTTTCCCAGTGACTCGTTTACCAGTAACGAGTTGTATCGTCACCATCTCTCCCTTTGTAAAGAATCGAGGCCTGGCTCCATGGTGGCTATCGAATTTCTTCTTCATGATCTTCTGGGACCGATTTAGCTGTGTAATGTCATCGGATTTGTCCATATTTGGGAAGTGAGGTGAGTTTGGTTTGAAAACATCAAAGGGTGTACGGAGTTGGCGTCCAAAGAAGACTTCGTTGGGGGTTCGTCCATCAAGAGCTTCATTGGGGGTGTAATTGTACGTAAGTACCGCTGTATCGAGGGAAGATTTGTTGGCTTCCAACGATTTCTTCAGTGTCTGGACTGATCTTTCAGCGTGGCCATTGCTTTGAGGCATCCTGGGTGCGCTTTTGAGGTGGACGATCTGGAGGTCTTGACAGAATTTGGCGAACTCTTCGGAAATAAACTGTCCTCCGTTATCTGTGACAAGAGTTTCCGGGGCTCCAAAGTGTCGGAACAGGATGTGTAAGTAGGCGATCAAATTTTTGGAGTCCGCAGGGTTCATCCAGTGCGCGTCCAGGAGTTTGGAATAACTGTCAACGACAATAAGGAATTGATGACCTTTCTTAGGTTCGGCGAAATCGAGATGAATCCTAGACCATGGTTTTTGGGTTTCTGGCCAAGGTTGGAGTGGGATTTTGCGGGGTGTATTGGCGGTGTCGATGCAATGTTGACAACCTTTAACCGCCATCTCGATATCCTTGCCCATTTGAGGCCAGTAGAAATGGCTTCGTGCCAATTTCTTCATTCGTGTAATTCCTGGGTGGGCTTGGTGTAATTTTTCGATAACCTTTTTCCTGTAAGCTTTTGGGATCATCACTCTGTCATCGTAGAGTAGGATTCCTTTGACTTCTGATAGGGAATCTTTGATTAGAACGTAAGGTCTTAGCAGCGGATCATCTTTGTCGGAGGTTTTCCATCCCTTCGAAATTCGTTGTATGAGGGTTTGGAACAGGGGGTCGGCTTTCGTCGCCTGGATGAACTCCGATTGAGTGGTGTACGTACTCAAATTTTCAGTGATGACTTCATTGATTTCCCTTTCCAGGACTTCGAAGGAGGCGATGACCGTCTCGAGTTCTGGGTCCTCATCTGATCGAGCTGCTTGGATCAGTCTGGAGAGACAATCGGCTTGACCGAATTGATCGGTTTTGATGTACTCTATGGTGAAGTCATATCCAATAAGACGTAACGCCCATCTCCTGAGTCTTGCCGCGGTTCGGTCACTCAGTCCTTTTGTATTTGAGGGATTTAGGAGGGTGAGTAAGGGTCTGTGATCCGTCTGTAGTATAAATTTTCGTCCCCAGACGAACTTGTGTAGCCGCTCCACTGTAGTGACGAGGGCAAAGGCTTCCTTCTCAATTTGGCTGTAGTTCTGTTGAGAGGGGGTCAGGGACTTCGAAATGTGGAAGACTGCCTTCTCTGATCCGTCTGTGTATCGTTGTAATAGGACTCCCCCGATCCCATATTGGCAGGCGTCAGCTGCAACGATCAGTTGTTGGCGGGGATCGTAGTGTGCCAGGAGTAGCGGACTGGACAGGACCTTCTTGATCTGTGTAAAGGCACGTGTATGTGTTGGAGTCCATTTGAATATCTTCTCCTTGTGTAGTAGCTGCTCGAGCGGGGCTTTGTAAATGTGGAGATCTCGAATAAATTTTCCGTAATAATTTATGAGTCCAAGGAGGGATCGTACATCTTTCTGATCCTTGGGGATCCTCATATTCTGGAGGGAGGAGACTCGAGTAGGATCGGCCTGTATTCCAGATGGTGTGATCTTCATTCCCAGGTATGTAACTTCAGGGACATTGAAATGACATTTGGTCAGACGAAGTCTGAATCCCCAGTTTTCAAGTTTTAATAGAACCTGATGTAATCGTTCGTCGTGTAGTTGACGATTGGGGGCCATAACGAGTATGTCGTCGAGGTAGATCAGTATGCCCGGAATGCCTGAAAGGGCTTGCTCGAGGGTCCGTTGAAATATGGCGGGAGCCGGTTTTAGACCAAATACGAGGCGAGTGTATTGGAACAGTCCTCGATGAGTGTTGATTGTTGTCAACCGTTGGCTTTCTTCATCGAGTGGAAGTTGAAGATAAGCGTCAGACAGATCTAATTGAGTGAAGACCGTATTGCCCGTGAATTTGGACAAAATCTCCTCCATATTTGGGAGGGGGTGTTCAATGTCTGCCAGGGCGTCGTTGAGGCCGGTGGAATAGTCGGCACATAGGCGGATTTTGCCTCCAGGTTTTTTTGCGACCACGATTGGAGATGCCCATTCTGATGTATCTACTTTCTTCAGAGTTCCATTGTCCAGCAGTCGATCAAGTTCTGTATTTACTTGGTCTTGAACGGCAATAGCCACAGGTCTTGCGCGTTTGTGGACGGGGTTGACATTGGGTTTGACTTGGAGATGTACTTGCATTTTCGTGCATTTCCCCAATTCTTCCTTGAATAAGTCCGTGTACTGGACCGCCATCGTCTGGGCGTAGGAGTCGACGATGTTGATATTTGCCTCTTCTTTGTTGTGGAATGTAATTACTCCAAGTTCCTTTGAGGCTTTTCCGCAGAGTAGTGCGGTGTCTTTCTTTGCAAGGACTAGGATGGTATCTGTATATGAATGACCATTATACTTCAGGTTTGCCTTGAAACTTCCTTTTACAGTGAGGGGAGAACCATCGACGGATGAGCAAGTTATGTGGAATGGTGTAAGTGGAGGTCTGTTTAGTGCCTTCCACTTTTCGGGGCCAATTATTGACATATCGGCGCCACTGTCGATTCTGAATTCCATCACTTTTGCGTTTATTCCCACTGTAACGTATTCTCGACTGTCTCCAGAGCCAACATTATTGATCACAATGTTGTTGAATTGTCTGGCCTTCTTCTTGAGGCATGCAGCTTCGTTGTGTCCTTGTTTCTTACAGAAGGCACAACATAGGTTCGTCTTCTGACACGAAGTTGCCAGATGGGGTCCGTTGCATTTGTAACATGTGTAGTCTCCCGCAGACTTTGCTGTCTGGTTTTTGTTCCTGTGAACCGTCTTTCCGCGGGGAGTGTATTTCGGCCGACGGTGGTACTTTTGTAGCTCGTTGACTTCGTATGAGGTGCTAGGATCATGTGAGTTTCCCAGGTTCACGTCTTCCATTCGTGTTTCGAAGCTTTTGAGGACTTTTCGCAGTTCATCGATGGTAATGTCCGGCTTCTGGTCAACGGCTTTTAGAATCATGGATCGGATGCTCTTGTAAGAGGGGTCCTTTATGAATTGAAGGGCGAGGAAGATCTTGAATTGATTGATATTCAAGTCAGTGAATTCAAACTTGTCACCTCTGATATTTGCCTCGTTCAGCATCTCATCTGCTGTTTTTCCAGGTGGGAGGGTGAGGGACAGGGTTTCGTGTCTGCGCCGGAAGAGGGACATCGTCGAACCAAAAATTTCTTTCAATATCTTCAGTAATTCCTGATAGTCCATTGCTTCGGGCGTCTTCGGCGAAGTTCTTCCTTTTAGTTGAACGTATTCATCCTTCCCCAGTGCTTTCAGGATTATTTTCTTCCTTTCAGCATCATCCTTGCAGTTGTCGTCCAGGATGGCCTCGTTTTGGCCGAACCATTCCGTGAACGTGTAGTCTTGATCTGGGTTGTATGTGAACTGTCCCAGGAGTGACATCGTGTGGGTGAGAGCTGAAGTTCGGTCGATCGACGGAAGTTTCATGCTGGATTCCATCGTCGCAGCAAGATTCTTGATGGATTCTCCTTGAATTTTCATCGTCTCCATCATTTTAGTTAGGAGGTCCGGGAGTTTATCCATTCTGTTCTCTCTTCAGTCCTTGTATGGTGTAGGAATTCTGTTTTCCGCGAGGAAGATTCAGAATCTAAAGGCGAGAACAAAAAATTGAAGAGTACCTGGTTCGAAGTTGCAGTAGAAGGTCGTGGAGAGCTGAACTGGTTCCACGTCGTAATTCTTCTTCTGCTCGTGTAGACTGCGCCAGTTGTTATATCCTCACTTGTATCCGCGAAGATATGTAGTCAGCCGAATGTAGAGTAATAAATATAGATAGATTTATTACAGAAACAATAATAGCAATATATAGCGTAACACACACATTCACTGAATAATATAATCCTCCTTGGCCATGGGACAAAACGTAATGCCAAAGGTCTTGTAGTTTTCGTCACGGGACCGAACAGTAACTGCCTCTCCAAGGAATGCGGGATTCACGTAATCATCATCATAATCTGGTTTGGGAGAAGCGGTCACTTCAATTTGGTCCTGAGGAACTATAATCCCCAATTCAACACCAGGCGGGGGTTTGTACCCTGGCTGGATGACATTATTACTGTTGTTATCGTTGTTAATATTGTTAATATTATTATTGTTGTTATCGTTGCTATTGCCATCACTTTCGTATCCATTGTCTTCTTCTTTCGAAAAGAAGCCTGCTGGAATTGTGGTGGGCGTTACGACAGTTGGGGATGATGATGTGGTTTCGTAGTACTATAATCTTTGTCGTAATATTACTCGTCTAACTTACATTCGTCTCTTGATATATTTGTGCAGGTTCAGGAATGTAATTAGAGTTGTGATCCTCTTCTTCATATGGTTCCTGACTAGGTGGGGCTGGGGATGAAGGAGGGGAGTATTCGTGGTCATGAATCGAGTTCACATTACTCTTACCGTACTCATTGTCTTGCACTGGTTTGGATTCATAGCCTTGAGTTTCAGGGGTTGACCTATAATTTTGAGTTGGAGTCTGATAAGTCGAAGCAGTAGCCGTGTTTACATCGTACTCATTGTCATTGACTCTGAGGTATGGGACTTCGGTAGTAGTTATTACAAAAGTCGTCGCAGTTGTACCTGTATTGTAGTCAGAGGTGGTAGGATCATAACTTCCTTCCGTGTTATATACAGTCGTTGCAATAGTTGTGTCCTCATTGTCAGCCACTCTTCCTTCCTCACCATCGTAGATAGCTTGTTGTCCAGTATAAGTTGACTGTTGTCCATCAAATTCTTCATTTTCTCTGTTCGCTGGCTCCACCCTTTGGTCGTAAGGTTCGTTGATTTGATTATACTGTCCTGATGGGAAAACTTGGCCATTTGCATAAATAGATGACGATACAGATATTCTACGAGAAGCAATTCTATCATAAGGATGAGGATTGATATAAGAAGCCTGAGCGGGGAAAACTGGCTGAACTTGAACTGGACTGGGATTAACCTGGACAGGCTGGGAGTTGACAGATGTTTGATATGGATATTGGGCCACAAACTGAGTGGCTTGATATGAAGGAACAGCGTTACTTGGAGGGGTCCCACCACATGAACAAGGGGGAGGGACTGGACATTGAGAGGGACATTGGGGAGTCGCTGGACATGGAGTCGGCTGACATCCACAATTCGAACCAAAGAATAAGGCCGAGGAAGGATTAAAGACCAGGAGCAAACATAATATCCAAAACATTTCAGACAAAGTGACACTTAACAGATTGACTCCCATATCGACTCAGATCTTCCCGGAATTCGCAATTTACGCATTAGAGGTTCGGAATTTAAAGGGTGATAGATAACATCTCCCGCAGAAATTATGTAAAAAACCAATTTGCATAAAACAAAAAGATGGAAAAAATACCATTTGTTGATTACAAATAAACCGGCCGTTTGTATCGCTGACAAATGTCCGAACGGAAAACGGTGGAGTCAAAGCAAAAAACTGAAGATGACACTGAATCCTCCATCCCCGTGACCCTGACTGACGGACCCATTGGCATCGTATTTGACTCAGAATTCGTGATCAAGCAAGTCGAGAAGGACAGCCCCTTCTACAACAAGTGTAAAGTCGGCGACAAGATCGGACAAGTACGGTTACTTTATATCTAATATATACACTTTCTCTTAATAAGTTTACTCTAGTTTTATTTTTAAAGGTGAATGACGCCAAAGTAGAGAATGAGAGTGGATTCCAGGAAGCCCTTCAGAAGTTTGGTCCCACCATCACCATCACTCTGGTCAGGGGACTTAAAAGTGTACGTTTAGCACCTTTAAAATCATTCTAAATGTATTTTAGAGCGAAGTTAAGATTCCTCCCGCAAGAGAGAAGAACCTGGCCCGACAAGACGGGTTCCTTTATCATGTAACTCAAATCGATTACATCAAGGGATGCAAATTCGGCCTCGGAATCAAACATTTCCATAACAAAGTTTTGGTTACCAGAGTCGATGCAGGTTTGTTTTATGGTCATGTTTTCATACTACATTTTAGGATCTCTCTCCGCCAAAAGTTTGATGGTGGCCGACAGAATCGTGGATGTGAATGGAAGCCCCGTTACGGACAAAGAGGTGGCCAGAACCCTGCTTCTGAAAGCGCTGCAGAAGGACCGAAAGGTCAGTTTGTTAATCGAGAGACCGTTCAGCAAAGAGGCCAAGGACAAGGTCGCCTTTGCTCTGAATCAATCCGAGATGCAGGCTCCTTCTGTAGCCATGGCTTCGGATATTCAAGCCATTATCGCCAAACAGAAGGCCAAGATGAAGGAAGCTTCAAAAGAGCCAAAGAAGGTAAGAGTGCATGGGCCTTCATCTAATTTTACCTATTTCGTGATGTTTTTTGATTTATTTTCAGGGCCTTCTCAGAAAGGACAAGGCAGCCCCTCAGGGCAAGGTTCAAGTCAGGCCTGAAAATCCGAATGTGGTGATCATAGCCTCGGACAATGAGGGCAAGCAGCTCAAACCAGTTAAACCCTAAGGGCAAAAAACATGCGAAGAGTTGTGTGTGCGTGAATAAACACAGAAATACATATTTTGATCGGTCGTTTGATCAACTTTACTCGAGTGTAATTCCATTGGCTCTGTCTTTGTTTTCTTCCTTTTATATCATCATTCCCTTCACTGCCTTAGCGCATTTTTTCCGTATTATTTTGGTGAATCGTTTGACTTGAATTGTATGTTGATGATTACTGAAGGTGTTATTTAGCCGTCTTTCTTCTGATATGATCGTCTCTCATCTCTAGTTTTTCCCGTTTCTATTATATATATGTGTTAAACTCGAAGCAGGAATATGAAGTAATTTATGGGGCTGTTATGTCATTCTGTTCTCCCTTCTAATAACAAGGAAGCCCCAATAAACTAAAACATCACAGCCAGACGTCTCCTTTTTTTCTTTTTTGTCTCTAGAACGTGGCACCTAATAGTTCTGACGTATATCATAATAGTTGCTCAGATGATTCTCCAAGCAGTTTTACTCGACCTTTACTCGAATAATGTTGTTTATCGTGCGCCGAATAACGATTTATTCTAAACTACAAAGGAAGATGTGCAAATAAAGTAATTGGTAGTCATAATTACAACCTTCCGTAAATACAATCTCTAAGTTTTATTGAGTTTGCAACCAAATTGGGGAAATCTAAAACTGTGACATATTTATGGCCATCTTTAATTTAAATAGCGAGTGTCGCGAAAAGCGGAAGGCCGAGACGAAGCCAGTTGTTCCGAAGAAATCAATTCTTTTCCTCGGCCTTTACTCTCCCCCTCCCGGCGAATGCCGCAGGGGGTCGAGACGGGAATTGGGGGTAAAAGAGCCACGGAAAGCGTCCCGAGGACTCGGCCTTTGTTTCCATGGTCCTTCTGATTCGATTTATTTGAACAGTCCCGTACAGAAGTGCCTGGATTCTTGGCCATTCGTAGCCCCGGCTCGAACTCTGAACCTTTGTTTTCTGGTTGTTTCCGTATTGCACTTATTGTTTTCCCTTTTGAGGTCATTGGATTCGCATTCTGCGCTCCAACTTTTATAAAATGTGGGTTTTAAAGGTGGATGGTTGTCTCCCTGTCATCCCGTTGTTCAGGAAGTGTTCGTTTACTGTTAATGTGCGCTCCTTTACATTTTTGGATGCGAGGGCTCTTCAGGGGAATCGGGAGCACCGGAAGTCCAAATACCTTTCTCCACCTACCTGAGTTATCGAGATGAGAGGCTGACGGACATCCCCTCTAAAATAATCTGGAAACAGCCATGTTCTCAGAGAGATGCGGGCGGCCAGATAACAACGAGATATTGTGCGCTTTACTGAGGCGAAAGGACCAGTTCTGATCAGTTGCGCAACCCCCTTGTTTTTTGTCGCCCTTTGTTTTGTCTTCTTCCTTTTGCGTGATTCCCCATTACCCATCCATCCTGGCTCCCCACCCCTTGCCTGTTCATATCACCCTAATTAGGTATAACCATTTCCATAACGGTCTTGTGACTCGTGAAAGTAAAAGTGAAACGTGTGTGCGTCTGTTTTTTCTTTTGTGACGTTCGCTTTCCCATCCCAGCGACGACCTTGAATTAAGTCGACTCCCCCGAAGACGTTTGAAGACAAACTCTTTGGAGAACAATTAGGGCGTTATGGGGAGTTACTTCTAGGCTCTGGATATCTGACCTTCTCTTTTTTATGGACTTTTATCTATCAGCTGTTGGGGATGAGAGATGCAAAGGTTTCGGAGAGCTGTTTGTTCTCGGAAGACTCGTTTTTTGTAATGCTTTTTATTGCTTGAGCATTTGGGTCAAGCCGCTAATTACTGTTTGCTCAGGCTATTGCGAGTGTATATGCGTTTGTCATCGCTTTATCCCCGTTGTAATCCCTCTCACGTGGTCATTCCTCCAAATATCAGCCAAATGTGTTTTGGGGCGCCGGAGTTTCTTTGCGGAATATATTCTTTTTCATGTGCATATTTGATGTTCGTTTTCCGGAGAAGATTCGATTTCCGGCCCTGTAATTAGTACATCCCCGTTGCACCAATTAATTCACGCCAGCATGTTCCACCATCGTTGCTCATGCCTGGGTTGACAAGCTTTTGGGAAGGTCTTCTTCTTCCTCCCCGACCTGCCGCGTTAAACGAGTTCTTCCCTCCATGTCGTGTTCCTCCCAAAACTTTTTCTGATCACCTGTTTAGAGGACTCTCGTTTCTGCCCGTTCTCTCTTCCCCGGATGCACTCCCGGCTCTTCTGGTAGCCACACAACAAGGCCAAGCCGTTCACGTTATGGCCATCTTTCTACGGGTTCTACTCATTTTCTCCTTTTATTATCCCTTTTTTGTTCTCTCCGATAAATCAGGTAAGTAATAATATCTGTTGATTGGGTTGCGCAAGAATAATGAAGTGAAAAATTTTGTTGCGCAATATTTTTAGTGAAAAAATATGAATGAATTTATTTCTTCACTCTTCCAAATAAGAGTGAGGAAATAAGATCGCACCGGTCGTTCCCAATCAAAACGCTAAAAACGCATTCCTCTTTTTTTTAAAAAAATAGAATGGACTAAATGAGGACGGCATGAGAAAAAAGCACGAAAAAGCAAATTTAGCGTCTTTTTCAAAATCAAAAATCGGTTTTATTTCTTTACTCTTAAATCCAGAATCCATTTTCGTTTTTAAAAGTATTATTTGTATAAAGAAAAGCCCCGGGACATCGTTTTCTCCGACAAAGGCTTGTAAAAATTTATTTTTTGGATTAATTCGATTACTCTGATCATGTCGCCTTCAGATTCCTCATCCAAAGATGGGATCACTCGAACAGATCACGACCTCAGATTTGTATGGCAAGCAGAAAAAGAAAACTTTTATTGCTGTAACGACGGAACCCCTGAGGCAATTGGATTGGTCCAAAACTTTACAATCATCGATTCGATGGACAAAGAATCAAAGGATGTGTCCGAATTCAATTGCCGGGACTTCAGAATCTCGTACCTGGCCCGAAGATCGAGGTATCTCTCGGATTCAGAGGACGACGCCGAAGATGGAGCCATTCGGATACGTTGTAAATGTCCCACTGCCAATGAACATATAGTAGACGATCATTGTCATCGACTTCCTCCTTGTAAAAATCTGGGAGTCCGAGGATCCAATAACAAATGTATATGTCCAGTCCCTTTCTTCGGCGAGTTATGTGACAAATATTGCGATCAAGGACAGAGAGTCAGTGGCCATAATGGCAAAGATTACTGTAGTTGTGTGCCTTATTATCAAGGCGAAGAGTGTCGAGAAATGGTTTGTTTGAACGGAGGAAGGGAAAGCAACGGACGGTGTGTGTGTCCAAGACATTACCTGGGGTATCATTGTGAAATCAACACGAATGCAACACAATCCGGCTCCAGATTTCAACGGTTTGGAGATCAGGTACGGAATTTATATTCAGAGGATTTTTTTGTCTTTAAATTAAATAATCATTTGCTGTCAGGGATCAGATATGTTCACTCGAGATATATCGGGGACGATCTTCAGCCTGATTATGATCGTGGTTCTAGTTGTTAGTATGTATCTCCTCATGAAGCATCGAATGCAGGCAAGTCCCCATTTCTCTCTCCATTTTTGTATTTTAGACAAGATACCTCAATCGAAGGCCTGACCTTCTGACGGCCTGCAACTTCCCGGTCCCAGTCCCGACCGCCATGGCTGTGGCTGCAAATCATGGCCCTGGGGGTTGTTTTGCCACAAGGAGGGGAGACTTTGTGGATGATCCGAGGATATATTCATTCAGACAGATCATCCCCGACTCGGGGCCTCCTCCCTATATACAGCCTGGGCAGAGGCGTAAGTTTATTAATAATCTGATGACTAAAAACGATACTTTTGTTACCACGCTCTTCCCTTTTGTAAAATAATAGTTGCAGCGATGACCATCTAGATATTAATAGAAACGTAAATAAATGATCTGTTTACATGATTAGTTGTTTCAGGACGCCGCTCTCAGGATGAAGCCTTGCCTCCCTTGCCAAGCTACGAGGATGCTACAAAACTACCACCGTTAAGGTAAGTAAAAGTTATTTGACATGACGTAACATTACACAAAATGATCCTTGCAGACACAACCTCGGCGGCGAAGGGAACACCGAAGCGGACGATGCAACGGGGAATGTCGCGGCCGTAAGCGACCGAGCAGAGACCCCGCCTACGCTCGATCAGAACATAATCGCGACATCCAATCTGGAGGGCGACGTCCCCCCTTCGAACCCAGAAACCTCATCCCTCAGCTCAACCGGGTCCTCAGTTTCATCCTCAAAGGGCGATTAGTCGAATAATCTTTGTTCTCATTCCGTATTTTAGCCCAAGTTTCTCTAGCCTATTCAGTCAGGAATGATTGTGGTATAATATTGCATTTATGTGACAATACCAAAGATCATACGACGATCTTCTCGACTCTGTTACATCGACTCTTTCCCTAGGTATTGTGTGTTATATGTACAGTAATATTTTGGTCTGATTCTCCTCAACTCCTCGAATCCGGTTGAATTTTTTCGGTTTTCTTTTGTTTCGCTTAATGTGTTGTTGATTATGTAATATTGTATAAAGTAAGAAGAACCGATTAGACATCGAACTTGAAGCACAAGTTTTTGTTCTCTTTGACAATAAATTTAAAGGCTTTGTGTCGGGCCGAATGAAAATGTTTTCTCTCTTCATGTGGCCGAGAAGAAGGCGAATGGAAGGAAAGCAACATTAAACACAATGCACTGGTACTGACACCATCGCCACAGAAGCCGAAGACTCTTTTTTATGCTGATTCGGAGTTGATTTCGTCTGCGATGAGTTGTCAGACGGGGGTTTGCCCTTATTTTGAGAACATCGCACTTAATCGGAACCATCTGAGTAATGTTTCTGGACGCGGGTTATGCAAATTTCTGGCCGCTTATGTCATTTCTGGTTCTCCTTTGCGTTCAGTCATCATTTTTGTCATTAGTTTATTCTTGAGAATTTATGATTTGCATGTGGTTACTGTAACATCTGAAGTTTTATCAACTCCCTCGGATCTCCTGACCTCTTCTTGGCCATAACGAATTGATTTTTGGACTTTCATTAATCGAAGTATATTTAGAAACATTGGCGGCGCTTAATTTATGGCGTCCTTAATGTTGTTTTATTTTTTATTTAAACTTGTAAATAAATCCTTGATAAGAAAATTGAATGGATCAAGTCGGATTCGGTTGATGCCTGAGGGCTTTATGGTAGTCATCGAATTTCAAGCATTATAAAAGTGCTCCAATTTCATCATGATTAAAACGTAATTTATTCAATAACTTTAAAATAATAAGCTTATTATTTTAACAAAAACGAAATTCAAGGTTTTTTTGATCCGGAGCTGATATCGAATGTATTATGAAATCATTCTGACCGTCATGACATATCTCCAACAAGCCGTGAGGTGTTCTTGTTGATCCAAGTCCCTTCTAATTAATGGGTGGCCAGATCTTGGCCGATCTTTTTTCTTTCCTCGGTCAGAGCCAAATCGAGAATGGTTTTAATTCAAATCGGGAATTCGAATGGGCTTCGTCGCGGCCAGAAACGGCCGCAAAATATCACAAAAAATCCTTTGCCTAGCGCACGTGCCTTCAGATGGCTTGTCGGAGGGATTCCGGAACTTTTTATATAGGAAGTTGGGGGGTTTGATAGCCAGGGAGATCATTTTATTTAGTCCATATTTTTAGGTCATCTTTATTCTGCGTTTAGAGTTGTGATGACTTGACCCGATTTTTTATACAATGTATTTTCTGTTTACTGAGGTATTTGCAAACTTGTAGATCGTCCTTTGGATCATCCCAATCTCCATTTCCCAAGTCCGGTTTCCATTAATTTATTTGTGGAGCCTTTTTGGCGCCTCATTTTCTTTTTTATCTCCTTTGACGACCTCAGAACAGTGGCGTCGCGCGATCCTCCCGAATGTTACGGTATTCGAAATCCGGAATGGGGACGTTTTGGTTTTTGACCTTGGCTTGGAGATCTGAACCGGGTCTGTAATTGGTGTTTAATATTCGTGGGGAAATTGTTTTCCATTATTTAATTAATTTGTTCTCCGTTTTTTGGCCTTACCATATGATGGGGTAGTCAGCGTTCCATTCAGAGGTCCCATTTTGCAAAAAATGTTTAAAAAAGATTTCCCTTGCATGACCCGAGCATATGGCTAATGAAACGATGACTTCCGTATTGGATAACTTTTGTTGTGAACTCTGCTTGTCTTTATAATATGACCTACTCTGTCATCAGAATCCTTTTGAACTTTACTCAACCCTAATTTCACGATGACATCAGAAGTGTGAGGAACAGCTGACAATCGGGTGCTGGGTTTGAAAAACAACTTGATCAGCTTGATATTGCGGTTTTTCTGAGTGTTTACGTGAAATGAATATGGCCGGGTGTAGCTGGGAGTCCTGGCTGGAATGCAGCGGCTTGTCGCAACTCTGACAAGAGACATATTTTCTTTTAAGTGACCGCCATTCGGCTCTTTGCCGATCAGATTTCATGCCGCCATCGAGTGCGGTCGAGCACTTCGGGAATGTCTATAAAACGGGACGATCCAGACCGGATTGGCACCGATCTCAGCTGATCTTCAACACTCGAGAACCGTGCGAGCGACTTACTGTAAGTCGGGTTGGACTGGACTAATCGATTCCCCATTAACACTGTATTCCACATTAATATTAGTAATAGATTAACGAACCCAAGGACAGCCAAAGATCAAACCCTTGATGTCACTGGCCTCTTTTCCATGACACTCCCATTCATAACGGTCATAATTGGGGTTAAAGATGAGTTAGACCCCACTGTCCGCGCGCTTTCGGCATTCAACAAAGATTTTTTGTGCCTCTCGAGGGGACGATTTATCCGTTTTATCCCGTTGATTGTGTCCTCCGTCCCATCTTCCAGTTATAATCTTGACCCTTTCCCTTTTTCCTTCTCGGTTCGTTATAATTTTTGTTGTGAAGTCTAAAATACGATTCTGTTTACAGTGCTTTTACAGTTTTTAAATGTATTCCCAGTGCTTTATGGGCACTTTTCACAATCGACTAGGCCGGAGATGATTATAATTTGGCCAAATCAGGGTGATCGGTTCTGGTCCTTGTTGATTATATTCATCATGCTCTCAACGGTGGCCTCCCTTCAGATGAGTGCGACCGGATTCGACGAAACTGAACGCAAATTTTTAAGACGATTATTTCTGAAGCGATTTGGATTGGACGATTTGGTGGAGGAGAGTAGTGTTCCCTTAAAACGAGAAGTAAGGCTATTAAAAATTAATTTTGAATCTTTTTTAACCATTTTTCATTTGATCGAATTTAACTTGCAAACTTTTTATTTAATTGCTTTAGATGCCAGATTATATTTGGGAATTGTATGAGAAGGCGCAGGATGAAGATCAAGACCTGGTCCGGCATTTCTTTCCTTCCCAGAAAGTTGGATCTGACATCTACTTTGATCTCGATGTTCAACATGCAAAGCTGGAAGAAGAACAACTAGAAAAGGCTTTCTTGAGGATACAATTGCCTCAGGGCACAGTTCTTAGAGGCATTTTAAAAGTCTCCAAACTCGGATCAACGAAACTTCTGGATTCCAAGATCCTGCCACAATTCTTTTCCAGGAATAATTGGATCGACCTTGATGTGACCTCGGCTTTTCAGAGTACTGTACACAAGGTTTGATCGCCTTTATTGGTTATTTACTGTCTTCAGATCGGATTCTCAGTCGATTTTGTGGCTTCGAGTGAGGCCAAACCCTGGCCAAAGGCCGCCGAATCAGCAGCGTTGGTCACTTTTGTCCAGGAAAAACAAAATCTCCGGAAACGACGGAAACGAAACACAAAGAATCAGAAGCGAAGCAATCGGAAGCATCGAAAACATCACGTTCTGAGCTCCTATGATGGAACCCAATGCCGGAGGTCAAAGCTCTATGTTGACTTTGGGGAACTCAACTGGGACGACTGGATTATGGCTCCGGGTAAGTGTAATGTAATTAGAAATGTAAATTTTAAAGGGACTTCCTTTTTCCTTATACTTGGTTAGCGTCCGCAGGGAATCTTTGATGCATTAAGCATATAATTTTGCACTCAGAACATTTTATTCGCTTTATCTGATACCAATCAGTCAACTAGCAATACTGTGCAGATTTTTGGGTGCCCAGACTTGAATTCTTTTCGTTCTAGCTGGCTATGATGCGTACCAATGTCAAGGTAAATGTACCCATCCGATGCCTTCCCAACTCAACACCACGAACCATGCCATCATCCAGTCGTTGATTCATTCCATCGATCCCTCGGCCGTTCCTCCACCCAGCTGTGTCCCAGTGGAGACCTCTCCCATCTCCATTCTATATCGCGATGTCAACAATACTGTCGTTGTCAAGACATACGCCGATATGAAGGTTGAAGCGTGCGGCTGCCATTAGGTTATTTAAATATTTAATGATGATTTTTACGGGTCCCATACGGGTGGTTCAAGTCCTGGTGTAACTTTTTTCTAATGCGTCATCAGATGAAGTAATCTTGGTCACAACTTCCTCTATTTATTTCAACTACAATATAATTACGTGTTGTTAGCCAGTTCTGGATTGTCTGTTACTTATTGTTCACAATTTCATTCCCTTCTTTTCATGATCTCAACAGGCGATTCCCCACAACTTGTAATAACAAAAAGAGACTAAAAATGGGATTAAACCGAAAGATTTCTGGAGATTAGACGACTGTGAAATTCTTTATGCATTTACAGTAAAACGACCTAGAAATCCGTTCATTACACGTTGTGACAGGCGCCATCATCTCTTTCGTATTTATAACAATAAATTCTCTACCGGTATTGCTAATTATTTGTGCAGACTTCCATAAATAAATCCTCAAACCATGTGGCCGTAATCTGTTTATAGTGCTAATTAATTAGCAGAGTTTCCTTTTCGGGCTAATTATCAACGCCCAGGAGTCCTGAGGGCCGGCCTTCCAAGGATTTGGTGAAAGGGTTTAAATGTAATATCCTGCGTGTTTAACGAGCCATCTCTTTGTCCTGATTTGGAGCTCTTGGGCAGTGACGTCGGGCCGGGCATTTGGATCAACCCAGGCCCTCCCTTTGTGCCCTAAGGCCATAAAAGGAGGGGTTTGAGAATGAAACTTATTCCACGCTGATGAGAGTTCGGGGCCGCGGTTTCGGCTTCGTTTTCTTGCATCTCCAATTTTAATTATGGCATAAGAACCCTCGACTTTCCCTCGACCAACGGACAGTCTCGAGAGTCCACCGAACTCCGGATTCTGATGGATTCTGAAGTCCTTGGCATTCAAGGGAATTTGTCATTCTCTGTTTGCATTTGGTTACGCTCTGCATATTAGTGTAGAGAATTCACATATTGAAGCGTTACTGTTAATGTGACTGTTTTTTGCATCGTATTGTTAGGATAAGAAAATTGTTGTTCCTACGAAACAACAGACAGTTAATCTATCGTCTTTTCAATCTTCTCCTGAGCCCCAATAATTCAATTCATATGTTAATTACAGTTTACTGGTTTTTTAAATGAAAAAAATTGAGTTTACGGCGGGGGTGAAGGTGGGAAGAAGCCAAGTTTAGTATTTTTAAATCTTCTTTTATCCTACAATTTTTCAATTATATCTGTAAATACAAGTGCCCATTATAAGTGGTCGTATTCTAATCAGGAGGCCCCGAAAAGTGCATGAAATGAGTACGAATACTGCGTCGAGGGTCTCTTCTTTTACTTTGCATTTAGCTTTTCCCTGGGATGAGGTTTGATTTGTTTTCTTTTTTTGCGGATTATTGTGTTTTGTTCGTGAAAACAATCCTTTCTGCGTATCTTTACAATTCCTTTTTCAGTTGTAAGATGTTACTCCGATTTGTGGCGGTTTGTTTGATTCTTAACTTGGTCAATTCTTCAATTTGTAGGTTTTTATTCACCAAAGTATAAATCGTGTTACAGTATCCTGCAGAGTAATAAATGGCCTATGTCAGGGGGACGATTATTGTCTGGAGGAGATGAAAACTCGGTTTCCTCATTGTTATTTCGGTAAGTGATACAAAAAATTAATTATTCATTTATTTATTTCGTTTTAGAAGCATTGAAACGATCAGTAACCCCGCCGATCAATCAGAAACGGGCCAGTTCCTTCAAACTTCTGAATATCCTGATGAAAGTAGACCGGATCCCGGTGGGGTGACCCCCTTCCCCTTCTTCAGTCACCTTTTCCGCTCTCTGTCAGCCGCCAATGTAAATGCCTCCAGAAGTGACAAATAAATGTCCTTTAATTTGTTTATGGCAATATAAAACCGGGTCCTCTAATCATATGTCATACCAGTCCTCTTTAAGCTCATTCCCTTCGGCTGTTTGGCCAAGCCTACGCACATAGAAAGTTGGATGGGCTTTGAATAAATGTAACCGATCTCTGTGTGCATTACTTTATAAATATAGCCGAGGAAAGGGGGTTCGGAAGGCGTGGAAGCCGTTGATGAAATAAGGAAAAGAGATGAGGACGGCGTAAGAAAAGAAACACGTCTAATGGGAAGCCTTGAATTTGTAATAGCCTCAGGGAAAACGGTGTTTGTTAGACTGGTTGATGAGATAAATGTAAATGCAAATACATTTTGTCTGGCATCCCTCTCTGCAAGTCCATTTTTATCCCTCAAATTGCAAATAATTTTTTGGTTTAGACCCACCAATAATTGTATAAACACTGGGTTTATGAATCATCATACATATTTGGCAATCTTTAATCGGATGTGGCATTATTTTTACACTAATTAAGCCGTCAATTTCATGAATTCACAGTGTTCATTGCCAATTTCCGTTTCTTTTTATAAAAGAATTAATTACTTCATAAGAGTTATAGTAATCTCTCATTCAAATGGAAGAAGTCAGTCAAAAACTCTATTTGCAGCTTATTCCTGGCTAATTAACCTCAAAAAAGTTTGCATGCAAATTAAATATTCAAATTTATTTTTAGAAATAAAAAAATAATTTGAAAGCATTTGTTGTTATACAGCGATCATTGAGATTGGAATAACGGATTGAAACCAAAGAAAGAAAGGAAAAGAGAGTTTCCATCGACCGTCGGTGCAGCGGAGGTCTGAGTTTCTGATGGTCTGGACTCTTTTTCTTCTGCAAAAGTGTAATTAAATCGGTAATTAAAGAAGTTGATTACTTTCAAACTCCGTCATCAAGGCTTGTAGACAAGAAGATATCTTTGGGGAAACAATTACTGCGAATAATAAAGTGTCTCTCATATTCTCCCAATTAGGACACAAAGAATCAGGTTTGTTATGCCGGAAATCGGGTCGGAAAAAAAATTCCAAACAATTTTGTAAATATTTTCTAGCAGTTTTAAAATTCTTACGATTAAAGAATTTTTTTAAATAAAAATTACTGGAAAATTTTTTCCCCACTAAGATTACAGTAAGCTCTCAGAAAAAACTGTTCTCAAATAATTTCCCTAAATTGTTTGTTAGGGATTACTGTAACTTTGATCTTCCTTGTCCCCCAAATCCAGTCCCAAATAAACTAAATTCTAAACCTAACGTCTTAATCCAAAAAAATGTATTTGAGTAATCTCTTGGTTGACAATGATGTCTAGAAAAGTTATATCCGTAATATTTAATTGGGATTAAAAAATAAACAAATCAGATTACAAGCCATGTGTATTACGCAGTTGTGTATAAAGAATTACCAGTTTTGAAAATTCTCAAAAATATCACGATTTATTCCGTATTACACAATGGTTGAAGTGGTAACTTAAAAAAAGTTATACTGAATTTATTTGAGTCAATTCTTATCGCATGCATGTAAATATCAGTTAAATCTGGGGAAAGTTGTGTGGTTCAGCAAAGTATTTAGGTAAACTTTTAATGAGCCTTACGTAATTTTATATTTTCAATGTGACAAAGTTCAATAAATTTTATGTTTTTATAACAACTTGTTGCAATCAATTTGAAATAAATCTTATTTTCAGAAGCACATACATCTATATATATTTGCACTTCCCAAACCAACCATTAAATGTACAAAAATGCTAATTAATTCTTAATAAGGAGCTGGCTTTAATTGAAAGTGGCCATTTAGGGAATGCACCTAGATGTGCTTATTCTCTGCAAAAATATCCCTAAATAACCATTACCGATATTAAAAATACATTTTTGCTAAACAAAATATATAACTTTTCCTTTACAAAATAAATTCAAAAAACCTCACCTTCTTCCTTTTGTTTTTGCAGCATTTTTGTCCTCTGTTTCTTTTGAAGTCTCCTGAGTTTGATCTGATCGGCCATCAATCTTTGCCTTTCGATCACCACCAAACATTTGGGACAAGTACAATCCTTAAAAGGGCACACTTGCTTGTGTCCTCGAAGACGATTCTTAACATTATGCTGAGCACATCGCTGACAATGGGGCATTCTTTCCGATGGATCGCTGGATTTGGCTTCCTTGGACATATTTATTTACAAAAGTGCAACTAAATGGAACCGTAACCTTTCATTTGGGCAGATCGAATATAAACCCAATATGTATGTATAGCAAATGTCGAAAAATTCTATTTCAAAACCATTCTGACACTTTGGCCAGTTGATCCAGGGTTTCGGCTGGCCATTAAAAAATTTAGTTGTATTTTAACTCATTGACTGGCTGGTCAAAAAAGTTTGCAACATTGGCTATGCATATGGCATATACGCGATCTGCCACAAATGAAGGGTCGCCAATGGGATAAGTAAGAGCTGAAACACAGGTCCTTATCATTTAAAGTATCCACGAGAAGAAAAGCTATATTAGAATGTATGTATATACCCCAAGAGGTTCTGCCAGAGCTTCCAACCTTATTTCAAGGATTTCTCCGCGAATAATGCACTAACATTTATATCAAATTGAAACTGAGTCACCCCATTTTTTGTCCATCAAGTTCGACCTGCGCAGGTTCCCCGAGGCGCCCATACTGACCTTTGACATTTTTGGAAACTTGTTATGTATCTTCGAGGCGAATGTCGTCACGCATGCACACAGTCTCGCCCATTTATTCGCATTTTCAAGATCTTGTATTTCGAAGATTTTCGATAATGGCTTGAAGAATAATTTCTTCAAAATTTGGTCTTTTTTGCTATTTATAAAAGTTTCATTTAGCCAAAGCCCCTCGAATATTTTACGAACTTGCGAAACTTAAAAATTTTCAAAGATTTCGGGCCTCTTCATTTGGAGTTAAAATGTCAAAGGTCAACAGGGAAGCTCTGTTAGCGTGCGTAATTCATACTTGGTGGACCAAAAATGCAGCTATCAGTTTCAATTTGATTAAGAGTATTTCGGTCTTCTTTTTGAGGAGGCGACAGAGAAAGGCGAAGATTTTTAACAAGGAAAGTACTTCTATGGGGTACGGAGTTACAGGTCGAAACATGACAAGCCTTAAAATATCAAATTTCATTAATACTACACCTTATTTTGTATACTATAGCTCCACTATAAAAAATGACATTTGTGTGGCGTTGCGAGAAAAGTTCTGAGGATTTTTTGGCCCTTACAAACCAAAATTAGGCAGCTAACTGTTATTTATTCCGAATCAGAAAAATTTTGCGATTTTTTCGATATGTCTCGACCTGTAACTCCATGCCCCATAGAAGTACTTTTCTTGTAAAAAGAGAAATGACGCAACGTTATGTCACATTGCGCAACTACAGTAACCAGACAGGAAATTCTGTTTTTGTTTGTTGTTTCGCACGAAATAATAATGCACACGCCTTATATCACAAGGTTATGACACAATTATGCAGATGCCACTGTAATACAGTTCCACTCAAAGAGACAAGTTCTATTGAAACGATTATTCGTATCCAAATATGTAATTGAAAATAAGTATATATACATATAATTGAGTATTGCGAACAGAAATTAAAAAAAGGATAAACAAATCGAATCATCAGCATCATAAATATTATTGTCTATAGGGTAAGGAAAGTCAACGGTCAACAACAGATCAGTGATCTGGAAGATAACTTCCCGAGTCACGTGATCATGTACTTTTTGACAGCAATTATGCCAAATTATGTAAGATGTTTACATGTTTCCAAGTTTGCGAAATAAAAAGAAATTACAAAAATACCATATGCCGAAGTCAATGGAAATACCATCGACTTCTGCCTTTTCCTACCGTATCCCTTATTTGGTTGCAACGAATGCCAATCTGACATTGGGGACAAGGAAAGTTGAACCTTGGATGCCCCATCCAATAACTCCGGCTTCCCATTTCCGGGCCACTGACCGTTCTTCGAATATATGATTTATTCGGGATTTATTCCCGAAGTGGGCCCAAAAACAGCTGTCCAACCTAATTTTAATGTTTTGAGGAAGAGACTAATTGAGATTTGAGTGATGAGACCACCCCGATTTAACGAGTTTCAGCGGTTTTTTGTCATACGGTGCCAGTGTCTTTAACAGATTTATTTCACCGATAAATGTACACATAAAGGGTAAGATTTATTTTTTATTTAGGAGAACACGTCGTCGTTATGCTCCATTGGAACTACCAGGAGGTTCAAAAGTCGGAGGAAGTCGCCGCTGCAGGTCTGTTGCAGGTCCAGTACCACGTGTCTACCGTATTTCTTTTTGTATTCATCGCAAATATCGTGGAGGTCAATCTACAACACAAAAAGGAACGGTAATAAAAAGATTATTCATGTTATATAGTATTACAATTGACGTCACTCACTTCACTGCGAGTCACGAGGATTCTAATAATGGCTGAGTGATCAGGCCGTGTTCCCGAGATGGCCTCATGTATTCTCTCGGCAAAGTACAATTGCATGTTTCGGGCGATCTTGGAGTACATCAACATCATCTGTCGTACTTCTGAATGAATGTTGACACTCTTTCTGAGGATGGACTCAAAGTCCTTGGCCTTGCTTGCCTCTGATATGGTCTCCGTACTCTGATGTGCACTGTTCATTTTGGCGTCGAATCTGTCGACGAAACATCGGATCTGATTAAGGCCCTGGTTAGCGAAGACCCGGGCAAATAAATCCAGATTTCGCCCGATTTCCTCGACTCCATGCTCGTTCTAAAGAACAGGATAATATGTATATTATACAAGTGAGAAGATGTCTGGGCACCCACTAATTCTTGCTATTGGATTACCTTCTCTTTTTGGAACATGGATTAGGTGAAAGAAACCCCCTGAGGATACAAAATACGTGAATAACCAAAAGAGAGAATCGGGATTAGAAAACTTAATCTGGAGACCCTGGATGTCGTCTCTCTTACCTTGGTTATCTCGGCAATCATACTGTCAGCCAGCTCAATGTCCACGTCGTCCGAGGGATCGTTTTTTCTCAACAAGATCAATTGCAACATCTTCCCGAACAGACCTTCCACTTTGAGACCCAGATCCTTCTCCAGACTCACATGATATTCATTAAAATATGCATCTTTGATCACCTTTAATTGCTGAAAATACTGTTTACAATTAGACTACTGTTAAAAGAAATACAGTTATTTTGAAGAGACCATCGGTCAAATGTAAATGGCAACTAACAAAGGATCAGAAAAGACCGTGAATACACGGTAATTGAAGAGATTTCATAAAAATATGCAAGTATAACCATGAATAACGTAATTCCACATGTTCTTTACATCAAACTCACCGAGGAAGAACTGGTCAACGCAATCTCTACAGCAATAGATCGATTAACGGAACGAATGGACAAAGAATTGTGCAAAATACGAGCCGAATAAACGTGGGCTGGCTGCAGAAGAGCTAAGGTAGCGTCCAGGAAGAAACCGCCAACCTCTTCTTCAATATCATCAGAGAGTTTCTAAATTAAAATATAAATTATATATAAGGTTAGTATAAAAAACTCACTCTATTGTACATCCCCTCATAAGCGGCCACAATTTTCTGTCGTTGGAAGTTGGTGTGAGAAAGAAGGACTTGCATGATCGCTTTGTCATCAGCCTCTGCAGCTATATTAATATAAGAGAAAAGAGATTCTCCACTTACGGAGTCCACCACCCAGCGCTGCCCTAAGGCGCTTACTGGCTTCCTCTGGTCTGAAAGAGTCATCATCTGGTCCCCGGACTGTTCCCCGAACATCTTCACTCTATAAATATCATCAATTACTTCTAATAAACAAAGCACGACACAAAAACGTGCCGGAGAAGTACATAACAACTAACACTAATAACAATCATGCGATAATTACCTGACTCTCATACATTCTGTACATCAGCGGCATCTGGAGTCGGCGCTGGCGTCGTCTCTCGGCGTCTGAGGAATTGGATTTCTGACGCTGATACCCTCCGGGCGGACTGCTGGTCGAGTTTCGTAACTGGAATGGAAAAGTCTTAAGCCCGCTGAGACACAGGAAATCCTCATCGCTTCAGATTATTACTTTTTACATGGATCTCAATGTAATAAAATTATCCGCTTTAAAACGGGCAAAATGCCATCAAGCCATAAGGCTCGATAAAAAATTAAAAATGGACATCTATAATCGACATAACAACGTAAATGATGGGAAAAAATGAGGCAAAGACGATTGTAGCCAAAGGATTTATAAATAAGTCGCAATTAAAATCTCTTATCAGTCTCATTACTGTTATTATTCAATTCAAGTAAATTTTAAATTATAGTTAATAAATTGTTGCCTGAAACAACCTAATACTAAAAGCAATTGATGTTTTGTGCGAAACTATTATCACCATTTAGTATAATTTCGAAACATGAGATATAACACACCAAACCTCTTACCTGCCCGTTTCTGTTAACCGAATTAACGGCACTGGCCTCGATTGGCGGCATGTGGGAGTTCTGAAGCGTCTCCGTGCTGGCTTCTGATTCTTTTCCCGTAGTCGAAGAGTTGAACCCAGAATCTGGTTCGACTGGCTCAGTTTCAACTGGAGGCGGAATGGCTTCTCGGACTGGACTGGAGTCGCGGGAGTTACACTGAGGAGTGCTTGCGTAGACCTGAATCAATTAGAAAATAGTTTCAAGAGGCCCGACTGATGAAAAAAGCCGAAGGCATCCCTTTTGAATCCGGCCGATCCGCTTAATCGGGGTGTCATCTGTGACGTAACGAGACCTTCACCTGGTAGGACCACGCCTTTAAATGTCCGTGTGCCTGAGGGCTTAAATCCGCGGCAAGAGAGAAGAAATTAGAGTGGCCATACCTAATTAGCACTAATTGGTCCCCCCTCGACTTACCCTGTACATGGGAAGCTCTCGGGAATACAAGATCGGCCCTCGGGCACCGTCCCCCTCTTGACTACTGTATCGCATCGAATCGGGTTGGGAAAATGTTTTGGAATAATTCCTGACTCTTCTTACTTCTCGCCGAATCTTCCCCCTCCCTGTCTATAAGCCGGGCCCGGTCACACACCTTTTTCTATTGCTCTCTTGCGGATTTGGCTTTACATCTACACCTGCCCAATTACTCCGTCCCTTCCCTTCTCTCAATTCCCGCTCCTTTTCGATGCTTCTCGACCTCATCTTCAGTCCTAATCCTCCTTGACGTGCAGATATCCCGTCTGGCACCACTTACCAACACCTCCGGTATCTTCTCATGGTCCTCCTCTTTCTCGCTTGTCTGAAAAAGATTTCTTGCAGTTTGAGTCGTATTATTGAAAAGGTCAGCTCTTAAACCCAATTTAAAAGAGCTTCGCAATCTTTATTTTTCATGATTAATATCTACAAGTTCACTCACTGTCTGATGAATAGGGAACAATTCCACTGCCAGGTTCTCGATGATGCTCGCGGAAGGCGACAGGGCTTCGATCTCTTCATCAACTTCGTCGACTACAGATTTGGCATCGGAATTCCTCTTTTCGTCTTCGGATCTCACCACAATCTGATTCTTGACCTCAGGCAACTTCTGTTTTTCAGATCTAGACTGGGGTTGTCTGGAATGATCAGAAGGATCGAACTCCCGCCGTCTGCAAGACGGTACCAATGCCGAGATACGACTCGCCCAAGAGCGTATCGAAGGCATGGACACAATACTTCCCTCTGGCAGTCTAGGTTGTCATTAGGAAGATGAAGGGGCACGAAAACAGACCAACACAAGCCAAGCCCTCTATCTCATAAACCGATCATCTCCACTCTAAACACAGCCGTTAATGTTATATTACATATTACAGCGTCTTTATAACAGCGAAATTCAACAATAAAAATTACAAGAAATGATAGACATAACAACAATTATATAGCAATGATATCATCGTCTTCGCCCTCAGTCTCTTCGCCAATTTCCTCCTTGATTTCCTCCTTCACCTCGTCTTCCTCGGTCTGAAACATTAAGATATTAATTTAAGTTTGTCTAAAACAAGTGCCCCAATCCTGCGAAAGCGGTATAATTACATCCCAGAAAAATGTCTCTCGCTTTCGTCACAACACTAATCTTCTCCCCCCGTCCTGTGAAAAGGCATACGAAGAGGGAGAGATGAGGTACGACGATAAAAGAGACATCCCAAGCCGAGTGTTACAACACCTAAACCAAGAGAAGATGGCCAAAAAGTCTACCTTTGGTTTTCTCTGTCGGTACAGCTGCGAATGGAAGTCGTTACTCTTAAGCTCCGTTAACAATTCATGTCGCTTGGACCTGATCTTCGTCTTCTCCAACTCATCCAACTTCTCATCAATAATCCTTTGTCTTTCGGCTACAGCATTGAACAATTGCGTTACTCCTCTAGTTGCAATAGCTGCCAACTGTCTTTCCCGTTCTCTGTCCTCCGCATAGCAGGGTTTCTTATAACCCAACTTAGCCCAATCATCATTTTTAGACTTTCTTTTCCTCAACTTCTTAGCCCGGGCCTAAATCAAGAAAAAATAGAATAAAAATAAAAGCAAAGCTTTCAGAGCAAAAGCAACAGATTAATCGAACCTATTAAGAAAACAATTATGAAAACAATCCATTCTGCAAAAAATAAACGTACTTCTTCCTTGTCGCCGTCGCTATCTTCTGGCGATTCGTTTATGTCCACTGTCTTTTCTTCTATTACTTCCACACTCATTTTTGGCTTCATGGAAATTGGGCTGAAAGAAATAGGACCGAGCTACTCCACCGAGTATGCAAATTGGGCTGATTTCTTGGATCTCCCTTTTTTTCTGCCATGCACACATTGCATAAACACATGTGTGCCCATCCCTGAATTCAGCCCAATTTCACTCAGCGCCATTTTTTAACACTGTGAAACTTACGGATTTTACAAAAAAAAATATTATTTTTTGCTTGTTTGCGACAGAATGCCAAAATTTGTTTTCATTTCGAAACCCAAAGAATTTCGCTGTTTTTTCAAAAACAAATACGATCGTGCGAAAAGCTACACCAACCGTATACGATTACTCGTCTTTCACAATCTAGTTACGTATTAACAAGAGATTACATGAAATCCATAACACACAAAAGAGGGGTTTATATCCTCATCAACAACTCTCATCAACAAGCTCCAGGCCCGGATTTGACAAATTGCCTGACGTAGAAGATTTAGAGAGAGTTAAATGTCTTGCGATTAGCTGCGGGATTGTTCGACTTACTAGTTTTTTGTACAAAATATTAATGGAATGCAATGGTGCTCCCTCTCCAAGAACCTTTATTAGCTGTCAGATGATAAGAAATGATTCGTAACGGCTCAGTTTGACATTAATAAACTAGAAACTCGAACAATGAGAGAGTACGATAAGCATCGTCCTGAAAAGCTCTTTTTGGTTATCTTATCGCTCAAACAGTAGTGTTCCGGTTCTTGCAATTGTCTCAAATTTGACCGGGGGATGGTGAGCGGCAAGAAAAAGGTCCCAGAGATCAGTGTCAGTGTGATCTACACAGAAGCTAAGCCAGACGAAAACGGATACTTCACTCCGGAAGGGGAATATATAAGAAAACATGGTCTCAATTGGATTATCACTGGTCTTTTTGTAGTTGGGGATATCGCTGGAGGAGGACTGGTTGCTTTGCCAACGGCGATGATACAGTCTCGTAAGGGTTTGACGGGATTAACGTTCCGTTTCAGAGTTCTGGTCTGGCCTAGTAGCAATGTTTATCATGACTTTTGTGACCGGTTACACTTCCTACGTTCTGGGGTTGAGTTGGATGATTTTAATCAAGAATTGGCCTGAATACAGAAGTCATACGAGAAAACCTTACCCAGAAATTGGATATCGGGCATGTGGTAGGAGAGTTCGGTAGGTTTATGGACAACTAATGGATGACTTCTCACAGGAATATTGTCTCGGTATGTATCGACATCACTCAATTTGGCGTTGCTGTTGTTTATCTTCTCCTTGCCTCCAAGAATATCCACGATTTTGTTCAGACCTTCTTTGAGACGGACTTTAGTTATTGTTATGTCATTTTGATCGTGTCTCTGGCCCTTCTTCCAGTCACATTTCTCAAATCCCCTCAAGATTTCTGGGCTGCCGTTGTTTTGGCAATGTTTACAACAGCGGCGGCTGTAGTCTTGATCATTGTTGGAGCTTCTCTTGATAGTGAAACTTGTGGACCGGAGATGAGAATGCCCGAATTCCGGTTAACTAATTATTTCTTGGCTCTGGGCACTATCATCTTTTCTTATGGAGGTCATGCCGCCTTCCCCACCATCCAGCATGACATGAAGAGACCTGGAGAGTTCACCAAATCCACCATCCTCGCTTTTGCTTGTATGTCCAATGGATGGAATTCTTTTTATTTCAATATGTTTTAGGTACATTGGGAATGTATCTTCCTGTATGCTTGATTGCTTACGTCACCTATGGAGATTCCCTTCGTGATTCCATCATCAATAATATTCAAACTCAATGGATCCAGAGATTGGTGAACTTGTTGATTACTGTCCATTGTATTCTGACTACCACAATTGTTATCAATCCCTTGAATCAGGAAGCTGAAGAGATGTTTGACATTCCTCAAGGTACTTTTTACTACATATTATATTATCGATACTTCCAGAATTCTCTTCGAAAAGAGTCATCGTTCGGACTGGAGTTATGGCGATTCTGGTGTTTGCTGCCGAATCGGTTCCCAATTTTGGTCCCCTTCTGGACTTGGTTGGTGGATCTACACTTACCTTGACCTCGATTCTTCTTCCTTGTGTGTTCTACACTTTCTTGAAGACTGCTGAAGAAGAACATACTCAAATAAATAACCCGAAAGTCCCAATGAAAAGGGTTTCATGGAGAAAGTAAGATAATTTTCATTGATAATTGCTTCCAGAGCCATTGAAAAGAAGGATGCAAACTTCTACATCTGTTGCTTCATAATTTTCTTTGGTATTCTTAGTGGCCTTGCAGCGACTTTCTCAGCCATCCATGGCTTAACGGTCACTCATTTTGTGGCTCCTTGTTATATCCAGCCATTCTTAAAGCCAAGCGAGAATGCGAGTACAAGCTCCATCAATTGTTGTGGCCATTTCCAGAATATTTCGAGATTAACTAGTGCACTTACATGTTCCCAGCCAGATCTCAAGTTCTATGGATGAAGGTTGTCATTGTACAGACTAGGTCAGAGAACCACTGTAATAAAATGTTGATTACTTAGTTATGATAATTGACCATAATTGACTACATTCTGTACTTTCTTGAAATGAATCGGAATATTTTTTCGATTTTTTTGGTGTTTTTGGTTTTATCCAATTTTGACTCTCCGAAGTTGAAGAAAAATCGTCCGCCAAGGTTAAAAATTTCTACATCGAATCCTTGAAATAAATTTCATATAAGGCGCGTGCGTTCTACATCTCATCGGACTTCCTCGCAGAAAACCCGCAGGTACCCGCATTTTTTGTCTGTGGGCCCCCTAGACAAGAAATGCGAAATTCTTGTCTCAAACTGCGTAACATTGCGCAATATTGCGCAAATTTCTGCTCTCTGATTTTTTTCTCTGCTCAGCCAAGATTTTACCAGTAAAGTTTCATCATTTTTTTACTACTTACGTGCCTTGTTTTTACTAAATTATGCTTTCTGGGAAAAATATAGACCCCTTCTAAAAGTTGCAGATAAATTCGCATTCGGGTTTTTTAGTTTGAAATTTCTATTTGGCGCTCTAAACAGAATGCCAAATATAAATATCCGAAGGCGGGAAGTTGTGTCCCGCACAGTTTTCTTATTTTTGTTTTTTCTATAGATCTAGCTAGATCTTACAAGGAAAGTACTTTTATGGGGGCTCCTACTTTTTGACGGGACATATCTCAAAAAATCAGAAAAAATGCGCTGATCAAGGATACATAAATCTTAGCTGCCCATTTTAGGTTTTTAGGGGTGAAAACTCGATTGAAAGTTGACTTAAAGTCCTATATGAACCCCTTTTCGCTTAATTTTTCACGGGTTTACAATTTTTATTTTGGCTTAAAATGATGCTTATTGAGATTCTAATACGTAATAAATCAGTCTTGGCGCAAAAATTTATTTTTCCGACTTTCAACTTCAAAAAAAGTTGATTCCGCCCAAAAGGGAAATCGAACCCGTGCGGCGTTCCCCCTCTTGATTCCCAGACTACGGCACTAACCACTCGGCCACACCACTCTCTTCCGAAGGAAGAGACCGACTGCGCTTTTTATCGTTTCGAATGCATGCGCCTTTTGTAGGGAAATTGAGCCAGTTTTTGGGCATTTTCACCCCTAAAAGCCCAAAATGGGCAGCTAAGATTTATATATCCTTGATCAGCACATTTTTTCTGATTTTTTGAGATATGTCCCGTCAAAAAGTAGGAGCCCCCATAAAAGTACTTTCCTTGTTAGATATCTAAAAATATTTCTATAGAATTGTTTTCCGCAAAATGCGTACTAACGTAGTAGCAAACATTATGGTTTTCAAGTTGTAATTAAAACCTTGTTGATATTTACTTTTTTTCCCTACTTTATTCTGTTTTCAATGTATTCTGTAATCTTTATCTTCCGTTCTTAGATTTTTCAGCAATGGGGGACGACGAAGGAAACCGCCAGCTTCCTTATGGAGCCGAATATGCCAAAAGTTCCCGAGCTTCTTGCAAGGGATGTAAAGATACAATTGACAAGGTAAGTTACAGTCCCTGTTAGCTTCTTATTTATTTAGGGAGCCCTCCGAATGTCATTAAGAACTCAGTCGAGGTTCTTTGATGGTCTTCAGGATAATTGGTTCCATTTTGATTGTTTTTGGGGCCGAGCTAAATCTGGAATCAATGAAGCCACGATCAGAGGTTTTGGATGGCTGAAATGGGAGGATCAGGAGAAAATCAGAGCTCGATGCAAGATGATCGAAGGTATGTGTCTCATTTTTGTTTCTTTAATTTTTTAGACAATCCAAATTTGGCAGCCACTCCCAAAACTGCGACTCCAAAGGTTGAATATGCAAAATCTGGAGCTGGAAGATGTTTCAAATGCAAGGAAAAGGTTCCGAAGGGCGATCCTCGGGTCACTTTTAAGGCGAGCAACTATCATGTCCCATGTTTCTTTGAAGATAAGCTGTATACGGATTCCGCTGAGAAGTGAGTGGCCCTTTTGTGGTTTTAATTTTTAGAATTATTGGATTTGATAATCTTAAAGAAGATGAACAGACAACTATTAAAGAATACCTTGGTGAAAATGAAGAGAAAAACAAACCCGAGAAAAGAAGGGCCCAGGATGAAGGAGAAGGTTCTAGCAAGAAAAAGAGCAAAGAAGAAACCAAGGAAGAAAGGGAGAAGTTAAAGGTAGGCGAACTGTTAAACTTGTAACTGCCGTTCAGGCTCAAACCAAGATTTTGTGGGAACTTTTGGAACAACTGAGAACTCTGCCGAAGGATGCAATTGTAGCGCTTCTTCAAAAGAATAATGGCGTGTATACTAAACATGGAGTCGAAGCAGTGAGTCTTCTACAATTATTTTTTTACAATTAGAATTTGGAACAACTCGCCGACAAAATGGTTTTTGGGCCTCCGACTTCTTGCCGAAACTGTGGTGGAAACTTCAGATACAGTGAATCGGCTCATGGATATACTTGTACTGGGAATATCTCCGAATACACAAAGTGTCAAACTTTTGTGAGAAATCCCGAGAGAACCTACTTCAAAGTCCCAAAAGAGTTAAGAGAGGAATATCCGTTCTTGAAGGATTATCACAAGACTCCGGTATGTTGAATTATAGAGGTTTGATTTGTTTAGAAACTGGATGGCCGTTTTTACTCTACAGTCGTCAGAGAAACGAAGATCCAGGCTCCAAGTCATTCCAAACACGAGAAGCAGTTTGAACGTGAGCTTAATTGTATTTCTTTTAATTCAAGGTTTTACAGGGCGCTTAGCCGAGGAAGAAAAGAAACGTCAAGTGAAGAATGGATGTGTGGTTGATCCAGAATGCGAATATGCGGAGGAAACTCATGTCTATGTGGAAAAAAGTAAGGCATTTCGAGGTTTAAAATTGTTCCATTACAGAAAGACCATGGCAGGCCCTTTTGAGTGCAGCTGATGCTGCAAGTGGTAAAAACTCATATTACAAATTGCAATTACTGAAACATGATCGTCATCCTCAGTAGGTCAATAAACGTTAATGAAATATGATTGTTTAGTTATTATGTGTTCAGAAGCTGGGGTCGTGTTGGAACTACTATTGGTGGGAATAAGACAGAATCATTCCATGAGGATCTTGATGCTGCTAAACATTCTTTTGAAACGTGCGTTGAATTTATATTATTCATTTGCTTGATTTTAGTTTGTTCGTCGAAAAAACTCGTAACGAATGGTCGAAGAGGGACAAATTCCAAAAACATCCGAGGGGAATGGATCTCGTGGAGATGGACTTTGACGATCGTGCCTCAGGCAGAAAAGTGGCATTGGTTCCTGAAAAGAGCAAGTCTAAATTGGACATGCCCATTAAGGAGATCATCAGCATCTTCTTCGATACCAAACTTATGGATGCCGCATTGGTTGAATTTGACCTGGATGTGGAGAAGATGCCATTGGGAAAGTTGTCCCATAAACATCTTCTGAATGCACATTCTGTTCTCTCACAACTGGAGGATTTGATAATAAATGGAACCGAGAATAAGTCGGCCTTGCTCGATCTCTCCAACAAGTTCTTCACCCTTATCCCCCACGCAGTTGGAATGCAAAAGTTGCCCATAATTGACAATATGGATCTCCTCAAAGTAAGTTGTGAAACGATGAGTTTCTAATGCACCTATTGAATTTTTTATGTCTTGTTTGGTTTTAGTCAAAGACGGAGATGCTGGACTCCCTTCTGGAAATGGAAGTGGCATATAAAATGGTTAAACAAGAGCAGAAGGACGAAGAGAACGATGGAGATATTGATCCATTCGATCGGTACTATTCTTCTTTGAATTGCGATGTCGCTGTCCTGAAGGATGATGACGAAGAGGTGAAGATGATCAAGACGTATGCCAAGAATACCCATGGAAAGACTCATAACTTCAAGATTGACGTCAAGCAGGTAAGTAGAAACTGTTCGGAGTGTAATTCATAACTGCATATCATGTATTGTTTTAGGTCTTCAAGGTCAACCGTCGCGATGAGAATGAGCACTTCCGAACCGATATTCCTAATCATCAATTGTTGTGGCATGGCTCCAGAGTTACTAACTTTGCTGGTATTCTCAGCCAAGGGCTTCGAATTGCTCCTCCCGAAGCCCCAGTGAATGGATACATGTTTGGAAAGGGTGTCTATTTCGCCGATATGATCTCAAAGTCTGCCCAATACTGTGGATCCACGAATAAGGCGGATGGATTCTTGTTGTTATGCGAGGTTGCGCTTGGAGAGATTCAGGAAGAAAAAGCGGCCAACACTGAGATCAAGAAGCCAAAGAAGGGATATCACAGTGTGAAGGGGCTGGGAGGTACTGCCCCCGACCCTAAGGGCACAATTTCCCTTCCAGACGGGGTCAAGGTTCCTTGTGGAAAGGGAAAAACCATGTCTAAATCGCAAGATTACCATCTCTTGTACAATGAATATATTGTCTACGACGTGAACCAAATCAAAATGAGATATCTGGTTCGAGCAGAGATGAACTACGATTATTCCGTCTAAATGGGCAGCCATTGCAATATAATGTTGTTGTTAATACTAAATTTATTCTTTTATTGTTATACCCGCATTCAGATGATTAATAAACCGATAATCTGAAAATAACGGGAAGTCGTGTTAGTTGTTTAGTAGATTTTCGAGATCAGCGGCCATTCCGTCTCCGGAATCAGAATCCTCTTCTCCGAACACCTCTTCCGTCACCGACTCTTCATTTCCATCTTCTTGTTCCATTCTCATCACTTTGTTTGGATTGTCACACTCAGAATCGGACGCCCGTCTCTTCCTCAGACTGTCCTCTGTTCCTTCAGTCTCTTCATTACCGTCAGATTCATCGTCAATATCCTCCAAGAATTGATTTACTTCTTCCTCCATTCCCAGAATGTCTTTCCTTCCCAAAGTGGTGATCTCTGCTTTCTCGGTAATCTCTTGAGGCAATCCACAGTGTGCCAACGGTTTGAGGGATTCTGGATCAGTGAATTCGCTCTTCTCCATGTTCTTCCAATGAGCTGCCGACTCTTCGATCCATTTTGGACTCACAATCGGGATTTTCCGTCGATGGGCATCGAAGTATTTTCTAGAAGCGATCTATAAACACAATCTTGTGTAACCCACGATGTTCGTGCTTTCAAAGCCACCAGAACTGTTGTACTTTCGGTTACATCTTCATCCACTACAGCTCCGAATGCCTCCACACAACTAACGAGCTGATGTTTCCTGAGATCTCCGTATTTTGGAAGCCCCGAGAAAACAATGATTTCATCTTTCAGAACCGAGAGTCTGATCGACTTTGCAATGTCCCGAACATGTGCAATCTGAAATTTGAAGTATTTACAATTCCATATCCTACATTTCCGGTCTTATCGTAATGTTGAAAGAAGCTCGAATGGATTCGACTTAGGACTTCGGAGATGCTTTTGAGAGTCGGATCGTCACTGCCATCCGGAATTTGACAAGGTGGCGGTGTGGTCGAATCTTGAGAAATACCTTCATCATCTTCCTTCTCTTCTGCATCATCATGCTCCACTTCGTCTACATTTTTTCTACCATTTGTCATATCCTCATTTTCTTCTTCTTCTTCGTTTTGACTTTCTGTTGGCTCATTACCTTCCATTGTTTCATCCACCATCTCTTTTTCATTCAGCAGCTCTGATGCCTCTTGTTTTTGTGTTTCCTCCATCTTGTTCTCAAATTCCGCCTTTTTTCTGATCAGGTTGGGATCGTTAATATCTCCGATATTATTGAAAAAGACATAGGGTTTAACCTAAAGACATATACAAATACAACATAATACCCACCCAAATCAAAGAATCTGAGAAACCCCATACATCGCACCGGTCGTCCACCATGAGGACCATCTCTTCTCCCGCTGGGAACAACGAGCTCAGATTGGATCTTTTATCATGCTGACTTCTCAACTCATCCCGGGTAAGCACTCTCTCCGCGAAGTATTTTTTCTCCGAATCCAGGATGCTAACGATTTTTTCGGCATACTCTCGTTTTCCGTAGGTGCAGACATGTAATTCGAATTTTCTGCTCATTTCGGTTAAAAATTCTTCAACATGTGGACGTATTTTGGTATGATATTGGAAACCTTGTAGAACATAACTGTGAATATTCTAAACAAAATTAAAAAAGCAATGTTTACTTACAGACATCATTTCTTCTTGAGTCGGAGCTTTATTTGTCGTATGAATAACAGTTTGATCGAGATCTACCATCAGAATTAATTTCCTGGCTTTAAGGAGATTCTGTCGAGACTCCACACCAATTTCAGTCGCTTTCTAAACTATATTTAACATAACTTAACATTGTTACCTTCTTGCTGACCATCAAGCCTGGCTTGTTATGAATCATTGATACATAACCTTCACTTTCATCGTGTTTCCTAAAGATAAGAACATTCAATAAACGGAACCTACCTCTTAACCAAGATATGACAAGTGACACAACTTCCAGCCAATACCATTTCATGCGGACATTCTCCACCAATCCATCCCAGAAGAGATCCTTTTTCCAACTTGGCCCCATTCTTCAAGATTTCTTGGTTTATTCTGATGATACCAGCAGATGGAGATTTAAAACTCTTCTTCGATTTGGCATCTGATACCTTCTTGTAAGTGAAAATGGGAGTGTTTTTAGGCACAAAAATATTGTTCCTGGCTCGGATTGACTCGACTAAGTATTCACCATCATCCAGTTCCCACAATAATTCTTTCTGCTCCTCCGAAGAACCTGGATCAGAATCTGACATCCAAAATACCGATCGTTGTATCAATTTACGTAAAATATATAAAATAGTAAAAAAGTTTGAGAAAATATTTTTTGAGATTTTTTTATTTTATAATGTTTCATCGTATAAAATAACCCTTTATTTTTGGCATTCTGTTATTGCAGGGAAACATTTTTTTAAAACGATTGAGTTTTAAAACACGATTTTTGAGTCACTGAATCAGCCGCCAGTTAGGCCTGGACATAGGAAAAAATCGATTTTGAGTTTTTGATTTTAAAATGACTGTAGACATCCTATAAACATAATGCTGAAATATTTTTGCCCAATTCCTTCATTAACCTACTGTAATTTACAATTTAATGATTTTGCAGTAATCGACCATTACAAGATAACTACTTGTTAGAAATGGCTGAAATTGGTAATACTTATGTTTTAGGCCATGCCCATCATAACAGACACAGAATTTTGGCACTCGGGTTACTGTAACATACCGTAATGTGGGTTCGGCCGCACAAATTCGGCCCTACAAAAGTTATTTCTCAAATGCCGCAGCTGATTTTTACATATGTTAATCAGCGTAAAATTCTGCCCTATAAACATTAAAAAAAAGTGTAAAAAGCCATGATCCGTTTTTCGTGGTATAGTGGATTTTGGCCAAATTTAGTAATCCAAGGGTCGCGAGTTCGATCCCCGTGGAAGCAAAATCCGTAATACTGCCCAGAACCATAAAAAATCAATTGGGCTGAATTGTATAGCATGCATGGGAAGTATGAAAACCTTTATAAAAAGTGATTTGCATTTTTGAAAGCATTTTTTTAAGATGACATCAGAATTTTGTTTTTCGTGGATTAAGGTGCAAATTCAGTTTAGGAAAGTCAGTAAAAATTACTGTATAGAGGTTTTCAAGCCTTCTAAATTCAATGGGACAAATTTTTCGGACCTAGGATTACTGTAACATAGACAAAACGGATTTCGGCCGCTAAAAATCGGCCGTAAAAACGTTGATTTCAAAAAAACGCCGTTAATTCTACGATTTTTGGAATCAGCGTAAAATTCCACACTATATCAACTTAAAATACAGTCATGTTGTCAAATACTTTTTTCTCTTTGGTAAATTATTTTCATATTTGAAAATTGTAAATAAAACTACATTAACAATGGAATTAGACACAAATATTTTGAAGCTATATTTTATTGGTGGTTGTACATATTTCTAGCCTAGAAACTCAAGATTTTATTTTTCGATTTCCGCGGATGACTTCACTCACCCCAAAATTTGTGATTTTACGGCAAAAAAAATCTGTAAAATTCAAGCGGTCAAGTAAGGTACAGTATGCAATGATTCTAGAGCCAAATTTCACGCTGATTCCAAAAATCGTAGAATTAATGGCGTTTTTTTGAAATCAACGTTTTTACGGCCGATTTTTAGCGGCCGAAATCCGTTTTGTCAATGTTACAGTAATCCTAGGTCTGAAAAATTTGTCCTATTGAATTTAGAAGGCTTGAAAACCTCTATACAGTAATTTTTACCGACTTTCCTAAACTAAATTTGCACCTTAATCCACGAAAAACAAAATTCTGATGTCATCTTAAAAAAATGCTTTCAAAAATGCAAATCACTTTTTATAAAGGTTTTCATACTTCCCATGCATGCTATACAATTCAGCCCAATTGATTTTTTATGGTTCTGGGCAGTATTACGGATTTTGCTTCCACGGGGATCGAACTCGCGACCCTTGGATTACTAAATTTGGCCAAAAACCACTATACCACGAAAAACGGATCATGGCTTTTTACACTTTTTTTTAATGTTTATAGGGCAGAATTTTACGCTGATTAACATATGCATATGTAAAAATCAGCTGCGGCATTTGAGAAATAACTTTTGTAGGGCCGAATTTGTGCGGCTGAACCCACATTACGGTATGTTACAGTAACCCGAGTGCCAAAATTCTGTGTCTGTTATGATGGGCATGGCCTAAAACATAAGTATTACCAATTTCAGCCATTTCTAACAAGTAGTTATCTTGTAATGGTCGATTACTGCAAAATCATTAAATTGTAAATTACAGTAGGTTAATGAAGGAATTGGGCAAAAATATTTTAGCATTATGTTTATAGGATGCCTACAGTCATTTTAAAATCAAAAACTCAAAATCGATTTTTTCCTATGTCCATGGCTGATCCAGTGACTCAGAAATCGTGTTTTAAGAACCTTTATTTTTTTCGAAAAACGATCAACTCTGAATCTTTTGATATTTTGCATAGTTGTTGTATTATGATAGCTGAACGTCAGCACGAATTTTTAGGTTCGGAAAATACCGTATACGGGGGTTACGGTATCTACAATTTTCAGAAAGAGTACCCCCCTGTCCTACCCCTAGCTACGCCCCTGGCATCTTGGTATTTTTCAAAGTAGTAGAAGGGTACATCGTACGGCAAAGGTGTCAATTATAGAAATGTTCCTCATGGTCGAAAACGTAAAACAGCGAAGTTTTATGCTTTTGCTCTTTGAGGTTATTATTTAAAACAAGGTTCGCGAGAAAGTCGAGCAACCGCAAAACAGGGGTGGCACATTTTTACCAAGTTGGTTCTACAGGGCTGAAATTCAACCCAGTTAGTACACTAACAAAACAAAATTTTTTGGCACTTCCATTTTTTTGAGATTGGGCTTACTGTAGGCGTACTGTAATTTTACCGCAAATTCTGTAAAACAGTTGTAAGTATGTTTTGAGACTTGAGACGGGTTTTATTAGATTCTTGACATCATACTGAGCACATCTGATGCAAAAAGCAACTTAAAAATCCTTTTGAGTTTGAAAACACATAGCTTTAAGAAAATATTGTTACAGAAACTTAGTTTTTCCAAAATTTTACATATCAAAAAAAGTTCTAAATTAATCCAAGAAAAAACTGCTGTTTATTGCGGTTGCAGAACCTCCATTTTATGCAATAATACATTCGGTTCATCAAAATGTACACATATAATGACACATTTTCTGTAAATGCAAACTTTAAACGGTTGGTTCTGCCCCAGGAGACACCTTACAGGCGTGTTCATAGGCTCATTCGAACGGCAATTGGAAGCACTTTTAAATGAAGAAAAAAAAAAAAATTTTGCCGCATTATGAAAAAATTTTGAGAAATCTGGGTTACTGTAACTTTGGATCCAAAGAATCAATTTTTTCTTGCCTTAGGCAAACCATTAGAAAAACGTTGTCAACAGGTAATTTGCTCAGAATAACGATACCAATCCATCCGAACCACCCCCGACTCTCTGGCATGTCTAGTTTTTGTGATACAAAGTTTGCGGTAAAAGTACAGTACGCCTACAGTAAGCCGAATCTCAAAAAAAAAAAAAAAAAAAAAAAAGAAATGCCAAAAAATTTTGTTTTGTTAGTGTACTAACTGGGTTGAATTTCAGCCCTGCAGGGCCAACTTGGTAAAAATGTGCCAAGGGGTTCTCGAGTCTCTCGCGAACCTTGTTTTAAATACGAACCGTATACGGTAATTTCCGAAACTAAAATTTTGTGGTGACGTTCAGCGACCATATAACACGACAAATTACCTGGGGGACCCCTCCATTCTGGCACATTCAGAAAACCTTTAATCAAATTTTGTTTTAAATAATTCGGCACCCTTCCTTGCGCCGAAACTGTCGTCGGCTTTATGCTGAGACGCTCGGGGGCCCTCGCATATGCTTTTCCTCCAGTTCACACAGTCAGAGAGAGAATCCCAGAGATTACAAAAAATTGCACATTGCATACGCAGAGACTTAGGTCGTGACTGAGGTCAAGGAGGTTGCCAAAAATTACCCGAAAATGGTCTCACTGCTACCACCTAGGTCGCTAATAAGGTGTAGAAAAAATGAACATGATTTTCGAAATCAGCAACCGCGAAAACCCCTAAATCCAGTATTGTTAGAAAAATTTCAAAAAATTACTTTTTAACGGGAAGTCGTGTTAGTTGTTTATTACTACAGAAGAAAAAGTAACAACCAGAAAAAACCCCGAAGTTAATAACGGTCAATCTATTCAGATGGTTCAGATGATAGGTCTAAGCCTCTTCTTTGATTTTTCCCCGGTTCCGGAAGTGTCACTATTCCGCCATTCCGGAAGTGTCCAAATTCCGGAAATGTCGCGGTGCTCTGAATCAAACGATTATAATTTATTTTAAATGAACAGCTCCTAAAATAAGGTAAATTCTTTCGAAAAACTGACTATATCAGCGGTTCCTATCGTCAGAAAGAGAACGTTCCACGGTTAGAAAAACATCTGGCCAATCCCATGTATAACATAAAGATCCTTTCGCTTCATTCTGGCTGTTCCGATGCTCTTCTTTCTTCTTTTTCTCTTAATTTATTCATCTTCTTCCAATGTGTTCTACGTAGATGATGTCTCCAAACAGTCGCTTCCCTTTATATTGGATTTGTAAGTGTAATTACATCTTCTACATTTATCTATTTACAACTTTCAGACAGCAAGCTCAACTATTTCAAAATCAAATTTTGATTTTATTAGGTCTCGAGAAACCGGTTAAAGGAATAAATTCAAGTGATAAAATTGTCTCCACGTTTATGTCATCGTTATATAAGGTTACCGAGAGCTCTGAGTAAGTGTAATTGCAAGAAATGAGTTGTAGATTCTTTCAGAGATCCTATCTTTATGTTCGATTCTCACAAATTGGAAGAAGAAATCTATGCTTCGGATACGATTATGGGTTTCGTCCCTCATAGTAAGATAAAGCTGTGTTAAAATTACACTTCAGATGTGACAATTTTAACTGTGAATGGTGTGAGTGTAACTGAAATAACATTTATAATCGAAAAGGATCAAAGTTTGGAGATATTCGCCGGAACGTTTTATCTGGTGTTGGAAGGTGATTTGATGCAAATAGAAGATGTCGCAATGCATTACACTCATCAAGGGTTGGTAGAATGTATAATTTATTTATTTTAGTTTACATTATTGTACAAGAAGAAGTTTGAAGGGAGATTTTGACGAAGAAGTCAACTTTGCTTCTTTTAATGGGACCAATCTCTTTACTGAGTGGTTGGAGAATGTAAATGGGACTTATAAAATCACTCTCGAGTTATTAGATTGTAAGTGTAATTACTGTAATTCGCATTCTTACAGATGAAACCTCTGAAAAAGACCTGTCGAACATCCACTTCTTCGGAGTTGGATTCTTTTTTTCTGATGGCCCAGTCAATTCTCGGCCCAAAAGGAATGTTAATCTCGAGAATCAGCCGGATCTTTCCCGACGTCCCGAGGCTGAATCCGGTTTTATTCCGATGACGTCATCGTTGGGAAAAAAGCCTGGGCGATGTGTTTTGAAGTCTCTGTTTGTCGACTTCAAAGATCTGGGATGGGATGTAAGTTTAAAATGACATTTATGCAATTAATTTATCAAGTTCGATTTGTTTCTCTGTCGGTTTTGACGAATTTGCACAGTGCAATCGGGTTTTTTGTGGTTTGCATTCTGCGAAAAGAGAAACATCGCTGTGCGTTGGCGAGTGCAGAAGCAAATGTTCATGCGCTTTATGAAAATACTGATGAGGGGTTCCGGATAAATTTAATTTTTTTCGGCCATGATGCTTACAATTAGACGGGCATTTCAGCCATATCGAATTTTTTATCCTGCAATGTGCACGGCCCAAGCCAGGATAAAACTTGTTCCGAAAGGCGGCACCACGACATGCACAGTGGAATGAATTTTTCGCACCTTGCAAAGTTCTTGCTATTGTGGGCCTTGTACGGTGCGGAAGAAGACATTGCTTTGGCCGAAACGCGTGTCTGAGCCATGGCCGAAAAAAATTTGAATTTACCCGGAACGCCTCTTATAGGTACTCCGTTTAGGACTAGGGAGTATTTCCGTGTCTACTGTCATAACTGAATTTACAACCAATTGTATTCCAGAATTGGGTCATCGCGCCCTCAGGGTATCAGGCTGATTTTTGTGAGGGAGACTGCAATTTCCCCTTGTACGAAGATCTCTTCCCTTCCAATCATGCAATAGTACAAAGTCTGATCCATTTGGTCGATGATAAAAGGTACTACACCATTAGTTAAATATTATACCCAAAAATATAGTAAAAATACTGCAACTTTGTATTTCAGCACTGAAATGGCGAAATGCGCAGCCACAGAGATGCGAGAGCAGAGTATCTTATTTATGAATAACCAGGATAATATTGTGATGAAGAAATATCAAAATATGAGGGTGAATCGTTGTGGGTGTAGATGAATCAGAACTCCTTCGTCATCTCGACCTTCCAGTGGCTATTTATTGAGACGGTGGATGTAATCAGACCGTAAAGAATTAAGGAAACCATCCCAATATTCAAGAATACATCTGTTTGATACTTACAAGAGAGCTTGTTGTAACATCTAAGAGTACTGTAATACCATCGCAAGACTTACTTTCCCAGAACCTCCGTATAATATGACATTCCAATAAATATTTGTAGAATGGTGATCACAAATAAAGCATTACTGAACACTTTGTGAGCAGGTCTGAATCCATTCTTCAAATGTGTTGAATTCCTTGGAAAACAGAGGGAATAAACGGTGAAAAGGGCCTAAAGTAATAATTTGAAGATAATACGATTAAATATAAGGCGCGTGCGTTCTGCATCTTTCCGGAGCCCCTTGCAGAAGCCGGGTTTCCTGCCTGTGAGCCCTCTAGACAAGAAATGCACAATTCAACGCCGCGTGATCAAATTACAACGAATTCTTTAAGTCTGCCACCAAAAAATGCAAAGATTCTTGCCCGACACTTGCATATTTGTGCGGGATTGCGTATACATAATAAGGATTTTAGTCAGTTTTAGAAACTGATAAAAATATGACATAAGTCAAAAAGGTTAAATCTAATACCTATCTATCAATTTTGCACAACATTTGTGCTTCATTTTGCTGTTTTAGTATTAAAATTTATTCATTTATCCGCAAATACAACCTCCCTGGCCGGGCCGAAGCGGTCAGGGTCAAGCCGGCCCGGGGGCTTTTTCAAATCTGCTCAAGCCCGGCCCGATTGCGACCTCTAAGCGTAACATTGTACAAATTTCTGCTCTCTCCCCGTGAAGATTTTTTTCTTTTTTCTCTGTCCTCAATCAGCAAGGATTGCGCATTTCTTGTCTAGAGGGCCCACAGACGAGAAATCCGGGTTTCTGCGTCCGAAAAGATGTAGAACTCGCACGCCTTATATTACCTGAATTACATATCCAACGACCAGAATAATTGATATCCATGAGTAAAAAGACGAAAATCCTGAGGCATTGGGAGTTGTGGGATGATTAATCAATGCGATTAGATGAAGGATGGAGAAGATCAGGGCTAAGATATTCAGAGGTAATCGATATAAGGTGGGGACAAGACGGGTATCATGTCGGAAGACTCGGAATGCTGTCAGGCCTAAAAAAGGGTCAGATTACTGTATAAAAAACTTACTTTCCCCTTGAACAATCGCGATTACAATACTGCTAACAATCGCGTAGAAATCGACGAGGAAAGGTACTTTGGCATCTACATCAATATCAGTGTCATTTACATGACTTTTGAATTCAAATTCAGCACTGGTACTTCCAAAAACAAACGCTGTAAATAGTCATCGTAACAATTTTAAGGTGGTTATATAACACTACAAACATTGTGTTTTCTCTGTCTTTCCCTGTTTTATCTTCAAATCAAACGACAGTTCTCTTAAAATTACTTATAGTAACTTTAGTTACCCCTTACCTGAAGTCCCCACGAATGTGGCCAAGGATATTTGGCCCAAGACATTCAAAAAGTCGAAACTTTTTTGGTTTTTTCCCTCCTCAGCCATCTCGTTTAATCAAAATAAACGGAATTCGAAGCGCGCTGCAAGCCTTATCAGTTATTAGCGCCTTGGGCAAATAAAATTCCGATCTCTTTTTTTCAGTTATGTACATACTCAAGTCCGCTCTTTTACAATTCTTGCGATCTCTCAGTAATGGAAAGGTTTTAATCATCAAAGAAAAGGAGTTTGGGGGTCTGGACATTGATATTCATGGGTACGAATTACTGTTTTAATTTTAATTGTAATCATTTGTAATTTCAGAACTCTTTTTGTCGACTTGAAGGTGTATTTGGTCTATAGATTATATCTAAATGAAACGTTTGATATTAATTTTGTTTCTGACGGGAAAAGCTTTGCCAGATCTCTCAGAATACGGCCAATTAAATCTGAAGGATACTACATTACTTCGTCACTTTATTACAACATATTCCATACAAATAAAATTTCACCGGTTCAAGTTACTGTAAGTTTATGATTTATTATGTAGTTTGTCCTTTAGAAAATCTCGAAATCAAAATCTGAAGTTGAGAGAGTCGATGAGATTTTATTGGGCCCAATAAAACAACCAGATATAACGATCGATGAAAATATTCTGGACAATTACTTGGTATCTTACTTTAGAGTTAACAGGATCCTGAATAGCCATGACATAATTGCTGTAAACGTGAATATTGGAACTCAGAAAAGCACGGTTTATTATAAAGTAAGTTGATCCTTGATTTATAATTTCTTGTTTTAGATATTCCATGGAAAGTCTTGTTTCAAAGTTGATTCTAACACCCGGTTGCTCCAAAATCATTCAATTTCCTCTCGAAAACCCTCTTCCTTCTTGTACGACCTCCGTTTCGTTCCATCATCTATGAAAAACGCACTCTCTGATCCCTTCAGAATCTGCGATTCCATTTTTGATTTAGAATCCTCGACGGTTACTGTAAATTTATTGATTGGATCAATTGGATCTGGCCAAGATTTGTTCTTAAAACTTTTGGCCAATGATTTGGGGGTTAATTTATTAAAATTTAATTGCTTTGACCTCTGGAACACCGAGGGAAAGCCTACGGATTCGATTGTAAATGGGTGGTTCGATAAAGGCAAGACTTTTTACACGCATTTTAAAAAATTATACACTTGAGAACAGAAATTAAAAACATAATTTCAGTGAAGACATTCGAGCCTTGCCTGGTTCAATTGGAAAACCTGCATATTCTCGGTGGAAATAGGAATTCGGATGTGAATTCGAGTAAGTCTGAGGCGAAAGGAAGCCAAAAACATAAGTTTAGGCAGTCGAATCCTCGAAGTCCTTACCCAGACCATCCAGAATTTCTCCGCCAAAGCCGTTCTTTTTATTCCTTGCACGAATATTGAAATGGAATCATTCCCCAAGACATTCACCAAGTTAATCCACTTCAAATTTTATATCAGTGATCTCAATTCAACTGATCGAAATGACTTTAAAGAGTATTTGAAAAGAAAAAAATGTGAAATTAATGAGGAGAAATTGTTGGGAGAGATTCGAGTAAGCGTTCAGCCTGCTAAAAGAAGTGGTTTTTTTTAGGGGATGACCCTGAACGAGCTCAATCAACTGGTCGAAGAGGCTAGAATTGCGTCGTTAAAGGAAAATCGGTAAGTACTTTTAGATTAAATGACAAATGATTACTCTAACATGGTACAAGTAAAATTTTAGACCCAATATTACTCAAAAAGACTTTGATTGGGCTCTTGAACTTCGAAATAAAGCCTTTGGGGAGTCCGTTGGAGTCCCCAAAGTCCCCAATGTCAGCTGGAATGATGTCGGAGGACTGGAAGATGTAAAACAATTGATCTCAGAGAGTCTGAACTTAAATATAAATCACAAAAGAAGTAATCTCAGAAGAAGTGGAGTGGTTTTGTATGGCCCCCCAGGGTGTGGAAAGACCCTGATAGCTAAAGGTAAGGTTATTCTAACTGCAATTGACAACTCTGACAGCTGTTGCCAACGAATTCAAGATGACATTTCTGAGTGTAAAGGGGCCAGAACTCCTCAATCAATATATCGGGCAATCAGAAAAGAATCTTCGCCAAGGTGAGTGTAATCAGCAATAGTTTTATATTACAGTATTCGAGAGAGCAAAGGCAGCAGCTCCATCCATTATTTTCTTCGACGAATTAGATTCCTTGGCGCCAAGTCGAGGTGTAGCCGGGGATTCTGGAGGGGTAATGGACAGAATGGTATCTCAATTACTATCGGAATTGGATGATCTTCAGACCCAAAAAGATGCCCCAGTTTTTGTAATGGGAGCCACAAATCGGCCAGATCTTCTAGATCCTTGTCTTTTATCCCCGGGCAGATTCGATAAGTTAATCCAAGTCAAATTGGCTACAGATTTCGAATCCAAAGTCCGTATTCTCACTCCCATCTGCAAAAAAGTGAAGATGCATGAAGAGCTGACAGTGGAAGTTGTGGTAAGAATCGGATCTTAATACAGTCTACTTTAAGGCCGAACTTTGTCCTCCAAGTATGAGCGGGGCCGAGCTGAGTTCGGTGATCTCCAAAGCCGCCATGGTCGCGGTTCAAGAACGAATCCAGGAGCTGGAAAATGGACAAAACCCCATAAATGAGAAACCGGTTCAGATCCATCAGGCTCATATTATACACGCCATCCGATCCCTTTGATTGTTGTGAATAAAAAGTAATCGATATCATGCAAAACAAAAACGCAGCGGGTCAACGCAATGTTCCGCGCACTTAAGACCTTGAAGTTGAGACGAATGCCCTCAAAAATGAACACCGTTAGCTTTTGGCGTCTTCTTCGAGCGCCCGGCGCCACAGAAGCCAAAGGAGAGAGAACGGAGCGATGGAGGGGAGGAATCTGAATGTCGCCTGTGTTTTCGGATCGGAATTATCCCCTATTAACTGTGTGAAGGGGGGCTAGTCTGGTTCTCTCCGCCAGAAGCCCCCAATCCCATATTCTCCTTCATAATAGTTCCCTTCAAATTATTTATAATTTAAATCGAGCCGATCGACTCCGGCCTCTAATCCGCCCTGTGGTCAAATAAATCCCGTTTCGGGCTCCCACCCGCCTCCCCTCGCGCAACCCGGCCCGTTATCTGATCAATCGACCTTGAGGCGCCTTCCAATTTATTTCATTCCGGTCTCTTTCAGGTATGCAATAAGGCGACATGGGCACGGTTTGTTTACAGGCCGCATCTCTGGCCGGTATAATATGCGGTGCCATTGTAGGTGGCCTTATTTTGGCCAGCGCCTTTGTCTTCGTCCTTTATCGAACTGGTATATTCAACCGAAAAGATGGTAAGAACGATGATTACTTGATGATATGGCATTTCTTATGTTAACACATTTTGATTTACAGAGAACAAAATGTTTTATGTCAACCGAAAGGGGTCAATTGAAATGGAAGACACAATCGACGGAGAATCTTGCAAGGTAAACATCCTTATCCGACATGAATGACTGCTTATTTTATTGTCATCATCTTGTGACCATTTTATCATTGTTTACTTTTATTGTTGTTCTTTTAGAAGGAATGTCCCAAGTCGCCTCCCAACGATCAATCGATGACCCAAAAGTCGATTGAACTCTCGGGTCATTCAATTTACAAAGAAACCTCCGAACAGAGTAATCCAACTAAGCTCTATGAACTGGGAATTACCATCAGCAAATCCCATGACAACAACTTTAAAGTAGAATCGGTAGAAAAGACAGACTCCCAGTTTTTGCCTGGGGATACCCTTTTTCATCTTGCACTTGATCTAAAACAGCTTCCCCTGGAGAAGGCAGCTTCTCTTCTCGAACTTCTGGCTCCTTTTAAGGTCAGTGTAGAAGCCCTCAGGGTTAAGCAGACTGAGATTTCTGTGGAAGCTGAAGTCGAACATGATCCTATTGATGAGACAGCTGATGAGATTGAGGAACAAAAGACGATGGAAACAAGTGATTCTGAACATAAACCAGAAGGTACTGATCAGACCGAAGAAATGGACGATGAAAGCAAGATCAGACAAGAGGAAAATCCAATTGAAAGGAGACCCAAACAGGTTGAGGAAGAACTCCAGAAGGCTGAAGAAACGGGGGAAAGTGAGTTACCTGAGGTCTCACCCCCTCCCCCCGCCAGCTCTCCACCGGCCTCCCCAATATCCGGGCGTTCCAACAGAGATTCCCAGGCATCGGAAAGTGGAAGAAGTGGATCTGATGAAGAGTCAAGAAGGCAGGCCACCAAGATACCCACCCCCAAAATGAGTAATCGAAGTCTCAGTCGTCCCACCATCAACAGAAGTCCAGACAATACTGTAAGCAGTCGATGATAGTCATTTTGCATAAAAATGACGCCTAAACTAAATTTGAATTTCAGAGCTCAGGGAATGTGAACACAATGTACCAGGACATGATAACTGGATGTCATAAAAGCTCAGACGTTCTCGTTGTAAGCAGCGAAGAGACAGATGAATTTGGATTAACTACAACTCAATACAATACTCTGGAAAACAACAGGAGGCGCCTCGAAAGGGAACGGCAACAACTTCGGGATCTCGGGATTCTCTCATGAACAAATTATTATTTAATAATTCAAAAAAATTTTTATAAAATATTTCAAACTAAGATAAAAGCAAAACAGATGTTCCAATACCTTGCAGCCCAAACAAGCCTAGAGGCAATTGCAGGGAGTGTATGAAAGGAAATCGCTTTCGCGAGGAACACTTAGCACTGACTAATGCATAAATTGCCTTAACAGCGACTCTGTCTCGCACGGGTCGAACCCGCCTCTGTTCTTCCTTGGAGGCTCGCCCACAACCACTATACTAACAGAACACTTCCCTTCGTTTCTTTTATTTCATCCCAAACCGGAAAATATTTTGCGAACGGGTAAACTTGATGAATATATGATCGAATTGTTGATTAACGCAAAAGTAGGACTGTTAAAAATGAGATTACTGTAATTCCAATTGATACGACGACGACGCCACTTCCAGAGGCTAAAAAAATTGATTAAGAAAATAAAATTAACGGGGAGGATCAGCGACTGAAGAGAGGAAGGCGACAGAAGAGAGGAAGGCGACACAAATCATTTTCTACCGATCACTCCACAGGCCAGTCTAGAACCGGCGTTTCCAGTCTTTTTGCTTCCTGCATCACCACCCTTTCCGAGGTCATCGGCCTTCTCGTGGACAACAACTGCATGATTTAAAACATTTGTTTTCCCTGCAAGACTCGCCAAATGATCTTCAACCGCAATATCAACGGTTCCATCATCCTGAAACAAGAAAGAAATGGAAATAGAATTGAATAGTCTTACAAAAAAAGATTAATATTTACCTTGACTACGATGTTTCCGAGATCGCCAGCATGTCTTTCCTCATCAGAGGGAGCTCCGTGATCCTTTTCAAATGGATTGAAATGACCTCCGGTGTTCAAACAGTTGTTTGTCAGATCAGATTTCTCATGAATATGGAATCCATGTGGTCCTGGAGGCAATCCAGATAATTTTCCAGTTATCTGGAAGTATAATGTAATGCCTATCTAAACTTGTAATTCTATTCATATATGTGATAAAACGAGATCCTTCAGTTATTATACCTACCTTCAGCTTCCCATCTTCCTGAACAAGTTTCAAAGTTCCGATCTTTTCTCCTGGTGTCTTTTCGCCAGCTCGGAGAATATCGACGGATGCTGTTAACTCTGGCAAAAGTGTGATTCTGACAGGGGGAACCTACTCTCAGCATCCGTCAAGTGATTTAAGAGGAGGAGAACAAACACAGCCGACTTCATCCAAAACAAAAACGATTTTATTTCGCGGAATCGGAAGGACCCTTTTAAACCTACACTCCGTTGCGCAATGTTGTTTTGAATGATAAGTGATTTATGATCAGGAAAAGAGAAGGCGGGTTCAATCGCAGCTGACGTTTGTAGAAGAACGTTTACAATTTTATGGCCTGATTTAGTAATGGCAAAATGAATAAATTCGTTGATGATGACGTAATAAATATATGTGCAAACTGAAGCAACACAAAAACATAAAAAATTACCGTAATCCTCCTTTTTTCCAGGACCTAGCCGAGTCCCGAAGGTTCACTTACGACCCGGATTCTGAGATCAGCGTAAGTGAATCCGTAGGGAACTGAGCTCGAGCTACTGGCAATCATAATTTAGATATCAGAAAGACGGTGCTCCTCAAAAGTCAGTCGAGAATTAAAGGAAAAAACCAACCGTTGCCCAGACAACCTTCTGGGCAGTGGATGCCGTCACTTGGGGATTTAGGGATCGAACAGGAGACTCTTCTCGACTTATTCCCGAGACTCCGCCCTACCAAACTTTCGGCTCAATTTGTGAAAAACGAGGCCGAAAAGAGAGAGCGGTTTAAACTGGCCAGGTACGACAAAAGAAGGGCCGTATTCTTTTACAATTAGTCTAATTCGGGCATAAATACTCGCCGAAGAATCATAAAAGATGATAAAAATTTCAACAAAAAAGAGTGATTTCGTTACCATTTTTTTCTGATTTTAAATAATGAAACGGGTATTCGAATAAGTGATATGGCATGAAGCGCCAAAAAATTCATGGAATCAGCCGAGGAAATGACTCTCGAACACGGAATACATCCATAATTATGTTGGTCATCACGCACCAGGCCGAATATGACAATAAAAAGCAGCCCCAACCCGTTCGATTCCCTGAGGGCTGACGAAACTGAAGCGGATTCTGAATCGGCACCTAATTAAAATGAGCCAGAAAAATCTGGGCATCCATGGGAAGGGAGAGGGCGAGAGAGCGGCCTCGTTCGGGCCGAAGAGAGACGAGGAAGAAGTTGGCTTTCATCGACAATGATTGAATTTAAAGGAAGGCCCTCGTTTATTACACCCTAACTCGGTTCGAGAAGACATAATACAGTGTAAAATCCCCTGCTCGACATCTCCCCAGAGAACTGGAGGAATTCGGCGACTGTAAACTCAGTTAGGCCGAGCTCCCCGCTCCTTGCCAGACGTCCACAAAGTGGAGTCCAGTGCACCTGTTCCTCTTCCCTTCCCACTTTACACTAAACTCGCAATAAAAGCCAGATGAACAACATACGCTCACAAAGTTATGGGGATGCGCTCAGGCTCCGATACATATTAGTAACATTTTTATTAGATTATTAAATAGCCGGCAATATTCTAGTGCGGTGAGACAATATAAGGCGGACGGAATACTAGGGAGAGAAAGCCCTGGAGTTATTTACAATCAGGGAATGAATGATCAAGGCGCTGAGAGGGTGGACACATGTCCAGTTAATATACAGAGGTCGAAGGGATCGATCAGAGGCTTTTCGGAAGCAGTCGCAGAACTCGAGGTTATAGTAGACACAATGGCGGGCAGGGAAATAAATGACTTGGGAGTGTTAATGTTGGGAGTTGAAGGCTGAGGGCGCTTCTCCAAGGGTGTGCTCTTCAAGACGATCATTCTGGAATGACAGGATATTAGATATGAATGGATTAGAACCGGAAGGGCCTTTTCGATATTAACATTAAACTTACGACTCGGTTCCGACGAGAGAGAAGATCTTCGACTCATCTTTTAGATCTTGAGTCTTGGCTCCGTTGAAGAAAGAACGGCCTTCCACTCCAAATTTGTGAAATGCGAGAACAGAATCAGCCAGAGGAATCGCGTAAGAGAGGGGGAAACCGAATTTAAACCTGGTCTGCATAAGATCCGTGGTCTTCACTTTCCCGTCTATATCCGTTACAAAAATCTAAAACGACGCCATGAACTCAGAATGGAACAAATCGACTGACCTGATTATCAATGGCCAAGAAAAAGGTGTCCCGATCCAATTGCTTAAACGAAACAACATTACACTTGTTCTGTTCACTCAGAGTTAAGGTCTTGTTAGACCCCAAGGGCTTCAAGGTTTCGTAAAAATCGGCATTCCAAGATTTGGCCACAAAATCCTCCAATCTTCCATTATCGTTAAAGTCGGTAAACTTAAAAGTGAATTGCTGAACATCATCCGAAGAGGACTCGGGTTTCAAAGTAGAGTCGTCTGAAGGAGAAGATGAATTCTTGAAGACTCCGATGCAGACTTGAGGGTAATCCGCACTCAAGGCGCCAGCTCCGAATACAAGATTGAAAGGATTTACTGAGGGACGAGGGAGATTATTCACTTCGATCGCCTTGAGGAATATAAAACATGATCTCGGATCGAACCATTGAAACAGTTGGATGGTGTTGGGGACGGCACAACACATATAGATGTTCCCATTGATCATACTCTTCTCCACATTACACTTGTAAACGTCCCTAAAATTAGAAAGAACAATGTTTTTTAAAAGTTTTAAGTTAATTTAACGCTTTTCTATGGGCTTACTTTGTTTCTGGCAATCGTATTGTCGCCTGGAATAACCGAGGTTTCAGTTTCTCGGGAAGCTTGGTGACTTTCTTCGATGCTTTCTGGATAATCAATTGTTGACTCAGCAATTGCAAGATATCATGTCTGTAGAGATACGACGTTTTCCCTTGTTGAGCAGTTAGGATATCATCTATCACATACATCCACACGCATCTTCGGTCATGTATCTATAGAGAAATAGACAAATATTTAAAGATTCCTACCTGATTCAACGAATTCTCGTGTAATTCCGTCAAATTCAAAGTGAATATCCCTTCCTCCGCTCCAACTAATAGATATTGTCGCCGATTAGCTGGATGAATCCATGATGTAATACAATTTATATTCAAGGTGCAATCATGGAAAATATTGAAGAAACAAGCTCCCATACTCACTTGGGGAGTTGGAACCAGGCCAAAACAAGTTGTGGGACGAGCGGCCAAAGGAGTCTGGCCATCCAAATGTCCCGGTCTCCATTTTGGTTTGTTCATGGAGTTGTTAAGTAGCTGAGAACAGGGCTCTAAGGAAGCCGACCGATCATTCTTGATCCTTAGTTTGTTCAGTTTAAGGCCCAAATGGCTTTTCTTCACGGGTCGACTGACAATTCTCTCCGGAAAACTAGGAGGAGGAATCTCAGAAAGGTCTTGGGAGGACGATGTACACGGTGAATCGTCCAATTCATCTTCTGTTGAGCATTCGACATCAGCCAGAGGGCATGAGATTGATTCAGAAATCTTATCCATCCCTCCTCCAATAGGAATCGTCTCTCGTTCTTGATAACCTCCAAGAGATTCCGATTCGGTGTCAGAAAGTTCAGTTATGTATTCACAGAACTGTTTCTTATCCTTCTGCATTTCAAATTCGGTTTGAATAGCTTCGTCTAAATTAATTTGGATGTTTCAATTCCAATATACCTACTCAAGGAATCCCGTAATGTTCGTTGTTGTTGCACCGGTTGTGTTCCTGGATTATTTACCCGATCCAATAATTCCCTCGTTAATCTCGAGCTCAGCGACCCGCATACAAATTGATGGGTCTAAAATTAAACAATAAAATTAAAAAATCGGTATCATTACCTGTAGCAGTTTGGCTGGAGTTGGCCTTTTCTTCGGATTCTTGACTAGACATGCTTTAACAAAATCATGAAACATTGAAGACCTAAATATTAAATATTAAGAATACGCAGTCCAACCAATCCAACATCCAAAAAATTTAACTTACCATTTCTTCTTTTCTTTCAACTTTGGAGCTTTATAGCTTGACTTCGTCAACATTCGGAGGACTTGCATTGGATGAAGATCGAACAATGGAGGCTGCAGCTCTACTAATTCAATCGATGTTATTCCAACGGCCCACACATCACATTCCACTCCATAACCTCCGGCTTGTTCAACGTTTGCCACTTCTGGTGCCATCCTAAAGATGAAAATGAATCACTATCAAAAATTAGTTACCAATAAGGTGTGCCAATGAAAGATTTCCGTTTTCCAATAGTCGCTGTTATCTGTGCGGCGACTCCAAAATCGGCCAATTTAATGTCTCCGGAATGGGATAGAAGTATATTGGCACCCTTGATATCGCGATGCACCTTCCCTTTAGCATGCAGATACTCAAGGCCTTTCAAGGTTTCTCGGCAAACAAATGCAACTTGTAATTCAGTGAGAGGACCAGTCACTGAAAGATCAATAATTATATAGACCTTCAGAGCGAAGTCCTTTAGGAAACGAGCAAAGAAAATTTCTTCATAACGAAAATAAAAAATTACTGTGATATATATCCTGTAATGAACCTCCTGTACAGTACTCCATAACAATCCACAACCGTTCTCTTCTGAGATAACTGCCGTAATAAGAGATTATATTGGGATGAACACATTCCCGCAGCACAAAGATCTCTTGTTGTATTACTGAGAAGTTGTCACCGGCCTCAATTTTGACAACCTTGATGGCTGCCAAAGTCCCGTCTCTAAAATCGCAATTCCTTTTATGAGGTTTTTAGATATTCAATCTCAAAAAATAACATCGCTTTCACTCACATTAGTTTCCTGGCTTTGTAAACTTCTCCATACGTTCCATGGCCAACGCGTTGCAGCAACTGATAGTCGTCTGAGGGATCGGTTCGACTAATCCCGTTGTTCATTACAAGCTCATGGGCGATAATTTTGATTGCATTCGGTTTATTTTAACCCTGAAAATAAGGATGGTCACTCAGAGATTTTGGTTCATCAATCTTGAGATGGAAAGGCTCGGAGGGAAAGAGATAATGTTTCTCTTTCATCAGTTTGCCTTCATTTTGACAGATATTTTATTGGACATTTTTTTGGTCAAAAAATATAGGGCGCAGCATGCCAGACAACTTACGCGAGTCGCAAATTGGCAGTTTGCGCCCTAATTATTATTCGAGAGTCTCGAACGAAACGTCGGGAAATCGACGTGTTCATTTAGGTAGTGCTCCATTAGATTCGGTATTATATACCTACTTAGAGAGGATGAGCACTTTGAACCGGGTATCCCAAAAATCCTGGAGCTCTCTGGCCTGGGGGCTTCTTTTTTGGGGTGGTGGAATTGTCGTGTTTTACTCGGTCTTCAGTTATCTCCAAGAGAAAATGTAAGTGAGACTTTCATCTTTGATTTGTTTGTTTAGAACCAAAGGACAATATGGAGAAGAGAAGAAGCAATTCACTTACATGCAAAGTCTGGTCCTAGTACAATGTCTTCTAAATTGTCTTGTGGCTTATGTAAACAAGTCTCGGATAAGGAATGTGGACACTGTGCCGTTACATATGTATACGGTTTCTTCAATAAGTTACTCATTGGCAATGTTATTTAGTAATTTGGCTTTAGAATACATCAATTATCCAACTCAGGTATGTGCTTTATGAAGTCAATCTTTACGTTGTGTCTTAGGTGCTCGGAAAATCATGCAAACCCATTCCAATTTTAATTGCGGGTGTTCTTTTTGCCCACAAGTCGTACCATTGGCGGAAATACTTGTATATTGTAATGATTGTGTGCGGAATGGCCATCTTTTTGTACAAGGAGAAGCCCGGAAGTCATACCAAAGGATTTACTTTTGGGCAGGGGGAAGGCTTTCTGGTAAGCGTTGTAGAATATCCAGCTTTTACATTTTAACTCGATTTCAGGTGCTCTCTCTTTGTATGGATGGAATCACAGGCGCCGTTCAAGATAGAATCCGACATTATTACCATACAGAAAAGTGGAACATGATGTTCTACATGAACCTGATCTCTTCTTTTATTCTCGGTTCTGGAGCTTTGGTGACAGGAGAGTTCGTCGACTTTGTTTCCTTTGTTCAGACATATCCCGATGTTCTTGTTCTGATGACTGCATTTGCTATATGCGGTGCTCTTGGACAGGTAAGGCCATTTTTTGATACCTCGGTAATAATTATGCCACTTTAGTGTTGCATCTTTCACACAGTCACCGAGTACGGGCCGCTGACTTGTTCGATTGTCACCAATCTCCGTAAATTGTTTACCGTGGTGGCTTCCATCATCATCTTCAAGCACCCTTATACTACCAAAGATGCCATTGGGGCAGGTATTGTGTTCCTCGCTCTCTTCTTTGATGCGTGGGACAGCAAAAGACAGCATCACCTGAGCCGCAAGGTGGTCAAGGAATGATTCCTGACCTCAGGAAATGCCCCGCGGAGGTCGTTTCTATTATACAATAAGTTAATAATATAAATATTCCCAAAGAGAATAAGCGGTTCGATCTTTCGCACCTGGCTAATGCAATGCCTATTATAAAGGGTGAGGTCAGAGAACTCCGGGGGAGGTCGGTTTGTTTTGTTCCGGGCCTGATGCGGGAGGGGCAGATCTGACTTTGACGGCACTTATGAAACGGTGTCCTCGCGCAATCCATTAAGAAAACGTTAGTTATTGTTTGCGCTCTTTCAAGACGGCGGCGCCAAAATGGTTTCCAGGTTTATTGGGTAATGGGCGAGGGCCGCCCGCTTCGGCCATCTCACCGGCCGTCCGGGCTGACTGTCCACTTTCCATCAAGTCCAGTCCCGAAACCCCGAATTTGATTGCAGCTGGACGGCTTCGGATTTCTGTCAAAGCGGGACTCATTTGTCCGCCGAGATATGCGTAAATCTCGCCTCTTTTCGGCTCCTTCATCCATTTAGCTTTTATTAAGCCCCGACACCGGTTTACGATCCCCGACACGTTGAAGTCTCTTCCCGAAAGGTGTCATCGTTTGTTCTTCCGCTCTTTAACAGGCTCTTAATGATGTCGTATGTTATTTTACGAACTTCGATTGTCGGCAACGGTCATTTTTTTCCTGTCTGCAAGACCGATTCATCCCGGAAGATTCGTCCGGGATCTTCTGTTGGCTGTCGTCTTTGATTTGGGCGGTGGACTTCCAAAAAAGGCCTACAGCGTTATAGAAATTAGTCAAGGAAGGCCGAGATGTCATGTCCAATATCAAGTTGACGGATGTCGCCTCCTCTTCATGCGCGCAGCTGTGGAGTTTAGTCGAATTTATAAGCAGTGCGGGCGATTAATAGGCGGAGGGTCCACTTTTTTGGGCAAAACATTTGACGGATTGTTTATTTCGCAAAAAATAGAGCCCCGGGGAGGGGAAGGGGCCCCACCCTCGAGTCATCTAATAGGTGAGTTCCCGAGCTTGTGTCAATAGTTTACATTTCATCCCTAACACATGTATTGGGACAATGTCATCGTTTTCGGCACCCTCCTCTGAATTTAGAAACTAGGGTATTTTAGATGAAATCTGCTTTTGTTCGAATCGCCTTTGTGTTATGCAAATGAGATACGGATGTGTTTAGTTGGCGCCCGTTTTTTGCCGCTTAATTGAGCGACAAAAACATATGCGAAGTCCTTAAGCGCCGCTGAAGGGTCTTTTAATTTTGATGGTACCATTCTCTCCCCTAATTACTATATAGCTGATGTCAACCATGGCCTTGTTCTCGTCCAATCTCTCACATTTATCTTGTAATTGCGCAATGTCTCCGAAGGGATACAAATACAATATCTAATTAGAGACCATCCGATTCTTATCTTGCGATCTGCCCTGTAATCATGACAGTCGTTGCGTCCGCTTGTTTATGGCCCCTTCCATCCATATCAAGAGTCTTACCGCGGGCTAATATCCCATTCGTATCTGGGGAAAGTGATACGCCAACTCGAGGATCTCCTTAGTGGCTTTTGTTTCAAGGACATTGGGAAAGCGATGAGAGAGGATGGGGAGGGCGGGCGCGGCTATTCTCTGTCCACAACTTGCCAAGTTTGCTCTCATCAACAAGTCCATCCTCCTTTTTTAGTGTAGATCATGATCTGGTGGTGGTTGATCCTTACATCTTGTATATACGCTGCCCCCGTTCACATGGGGCCGACTCCATTCTGGACGAGTGTCCACATACAAGATCTGACCTGGAGGCCCGAATGCATCGTCGACAGGAACTGTGCTGACATGACATTCACCGTATCTTTTGAATCATCGACAGGTGAAGGAAGAAAACAGGCCTCGTGGCCATTAAGTCAGATCACTGCAGATGTAAGCATTGTATTATATAATACAACAAATTTATTTATTTTTTAGATTGTCATCTTTTTATTTTAGACTTCAAACGCCGAACTGACAGTATATTGGAAGAACTCGGTCCAAGAAAATATTACGATAGATTCGAGTTTGACAGCTACAGATGTCCTCTTCAACATTCCCAGACCATGCGACCAAAGTGGTTCTTTAAGAACTTTTGTTCCGTCAATCAAAGCATTGGCTTCGAATGGCCCTTCTTCTGAATATTTGGTGAATCCTGAGGAGACTCGGATTGTGGGATTAGTCGGGAAATGCTACCATGCCGTGGCCGAGATAAGACTCTATAAAGGACGCTGTCCTTGGTGTCTGGAGGATAAAAAGGAACAAGGAAAGGAAGACGTCATTGTAACCGTAAGCTTGACATCTTCAATTCTCATATGATCCCACAAAAAACTATGTTGTATATTTTAGGACAAACTACAGTTGACGGAGATCTTAGAATCACCGTACCTAATTGGCGCTGTCCTTGTTTGTTCGGCAGTATTTTTCATTGGGATTATCCTTGGATCGTACTGCCTCCACAAGGCCTATCAGATCCATAAATACAACGAACATTACACTACGACATCTCTCCCGGACACAGTCTTCAGGGAACAATTGCGTTCTGTTTCCAACATTCCCATGCCTCCTATGTTGCGACCTCCACTTCTGCCTACTCATCATCATCTGAATAGCGACGGACCGTAAGTAGATTTATAATTAATAAGCTCTCATGACAATGACAAGGTCAAGAACAAGATCGATTACGTAACGGCAGGTTATATGTGTGCTCATTTCAGATATACATACCCTCAATATGAGACTCTGGATTCGGTAGTCGAAAAGAAAGAGGCCAACTATGACTCAGCCCTGGATTCGAGTGATACGGACACTAGCCCCAACGGTTCCTTCTCCGAGAAGCGAGAAGACAAAGGAGATTATGTATAAAACCCCTCAGGCAATTCTTCTTACCGGTGCTCAATTACTTGGTGCTGATCTCAAACCAAAATTAGGATATCATCAGATGTATAGCAATAATATTATTTTATAGAACAAATTTTTTATTTTATTATTAAATGTATACATAATTTAGCCTTGAATATTAGTTGAATTGGCAGAAATTGAGCACATTATCCTTGTCGAACCAGGCTGTTCCCACATGTGGTGATTCCTTGGGAGATGGATGACATTTATAAACTTGCAATCCATTATCCTCACACCTCAGCGTAGTCGTTGGTTGTTTCCACAACTGTCCTTTCTTCATATGGTACCTCTCATCACTCGGATCATCTGTTTCGGAGCCATTAAAACAACCTAGAGATCAATCATAATACGGTTGAGATTACCTCGTCGTTCCACCTTGGCCCTTCTTTTGTTCTTATAGACATAACAATACCATAAACTCATTCTATCGCCCACAAAGAACCCTTCTTTCACCAGATCTCCGAATGCATCCGAACATCCGATAATTTGGTTACTTTCACAGGACATAACGAATCGTTCCCTAGTATAATAAGCCTGTCCTTGTTGGCATTCTTCGGCTTCTGCAATTTGTTCCAATGGAGAAAATAGATTGGGGGCATGTCCATTGGCTGATCGATTCTTGCAAGTGTAATTAAAGCCGTTCTCTTCGAAATTGAGAGTACCCAGTGGGATCACCGTGCCCAGATCCGTCAGGCAATTAATCACCTACATAATAAAATATTTTATTTAAATTTTTATGCAAATTCGGTATTCAAGTATCTCACATAATAATTTATTTTTTTCCGCGCAAATTTTATGACTCAAAAAACCGGGAAATGCATTTGGCGGAGTTAGGATGACATATGAGAAATATGCATGGAATTAAGTGACAACTCGCCTGAGGGCATTTCGTGTTATTCTGCCCAAAAAACTTTTTATTTCTATTGTTTTTGGCAAGAAAAAGTTTGCGGAGAATTATTTTTTGAAGAGCCACAAAGCTTACCCTGATCTTTGTTTGATAACACGTGACATTAAAGTAATATTGATGAAGCCAAAACACACCTTCTTCATATATCTTCCCATTAACATTACAGTTAGCATGATATTGCTCAATTAGAGAGAACAGAAGCCAGAGAAAAGCGGGCATCTTGGATAAAAAAAGATTCTTATGCCCTCTTCGGCTCTTAAGGCACATAATTTGATATGCAATTTGTCTGCCCGACAATGAATCTCTGAACCTCGTGTTATAACCAAGTAATTTCTTTTGTTTTCCATTTATTTCGCAATCTGAAGGATGTCTGAGGGCTGAATCATGGGTAATAAATTTAAATTTAATCTAAAGTACAAAGGTCACTCTACAGTAGCCGATATCTGAGATACGAAAAGATCCTTAAGTGAATTGGAGAGTGTCGTAACGACACATAATTTATGAAGGGCCTATAGTCATACATCTTCTTCTTGGAATAACCTCTCATTATGTTCGTATCCATTGACTCCTCTTCGATGCTCGATTCTGGTCGCGAACAATGGTGGAGGTGGGGGAGGAGGCGGCATGGGCATCCGAAGACTGGTGTTCGGGATATCCACAAGTCGCGATTCCATATCATTTCCTCCATAATATGTTAAAGATGGATAATGACAGTACGATCCACAGGCTCCCTTCTGACTTCCTTTAGAATCGCAGCATCCATAAATCCTCCATTCTCTTCGAATCAACAGATACGCTGATACTGTGGAAGATAGCGTAGCCGCGAGCAGGGCAAGGGTCCCGAAGACATGGACAAAAAAGGCATACCCAAGGTGCTGCTGAAGGAAAATTCCCAGAGATATTCGAATTCCCACCTGATACACGTTGACGATCCCTTGAACTTCCTGGTTGTCGTTTTTTTTGGAGGCCATAAAGAAAATAAAATCAGCCAACAACGAACATCCCACTTAAATAGACAGTCTAGTTTGGAATTTGTACATAGACTTACTGGCAGTCATCACAGACAACACATGGAGAACTCCATTGGGTACAAAACATGGAGAACATGCTCCAACTACCATCGACATCATCGCAAAGATTACAGTAAAGATGAAAAAAAAGATGACAGCTTTGTGTTGAGCTAAAATATTGTTAGCACAATTTTTAGCAGATTAACATACGTAGAAATCGATGTAACAACATCTCCGTGGCAGCCACATCCCCTTCCTCAACCGCTATTCTTATTGTCCTCGAGGCTGAGGAATCGAATTTGTAAGTGCATCGTTTACTCGTTCTGAATGTAAAGTCCTTGGACCGAGCTTTTTCCAAAGGCGTTGTCTCTGATCGAACACAATCATAGAAGATCCCATGCTCATGTATTGAATTGAACTCGAGTAATTCCACCACCTTTTAAAGTCATAATCAACGGCAAACGAAGACCCACCTGCCATCCAGGTAATGCAATTGATAATGCACAAATCACACATCCGAAGAGAGTGAGGCCGATCCCTGAGAGAAGACAACAACGTCTCCGACCATTTTCGTTCATTTCATAGGTCTGTAAATGGCCAGATTCGGGTAAACAAAGGCCGAAAAGGCTAGGAAAGTACGGATCGCCTGAGGGCAGGAGTAGGATGATACTCAAAAATGCATGCCCGTCATTCGAGATCTTTTTTACCACATTTATATGCAAATTGAAAGGAAACGCCATAAAAAGATTTTGTGTGGATGTTACAAATGGTTGCTAGATACAGCTGACTCTCATAAACATGAATAACGATAATTGGACGAAAATGAGAAAACGTTTTCTAGAATTATACACACTTCACTGAAACAGCGGCAGAAGCTTTTATTAATTTTTAAAATATTTGAATTCGCAGAAAACTAATCTTTTTGAGTTCAAAAGAATAAATGACAGAAAGGATGATCTTTTTAACAAACAGAACAGATAATTCGACATGAAACTTGCAAATCAAACATCCCGAGACAATGTCAGGACTTTTGACTGATGAAGTGTTTTGAAGAAGGAACAAATTATCAAAGAATAAAATTGCTCTCGGGCATTTATTAAATGGGATGCCAACAAATAAACGGCCACTTTTGGGCCGCTCAAACACCGTTTTTGACCAAACGTCCGCGTCGAGGCTGTTCCCCTCTTTAGGACACGTTTTGATTATTATTGGCCATGTTTGGAAAAGGTTGAAACAGACTGAAGGGCCTGGGAAACCAACAACTCTTTTCTTCTCACCGGGGGCTGAAAAAAAAACGCCTAAAGTGATTTAGCCGCCTTTTACATAGTTAAGGTCTGATTAAGGCCAGGGAATTCTAAAGGCTCAACGTATTTCTCAGAAGTTCTAGAACTTTCTGTTGAAAAAACAGATACAGTAAGTAATTGTAAGCATTCTATTTTAAAATGATAAAAGTTTATTTATAAAAGTAATGCTCAAAGTAAGACCATCATGTCGTCTGAGTCGAAGCCCCCGCTCTGGTCAAGTAGTAAGAGTAATAGGCAATCTGGAAAAAAGGGTAAAACACTCTTGGACACTTACGTTGAAGAGGGTAAAACAAGCAGGGAAGGCGATACTGCAGAACTTGTCGATCTCGTTGGGAGTCCAGGGTTTGAACGAGAATTTAGGAAGCCAAAGGACTGTCCGCTGGGTCCAAGCCAATTCACATTTCTGTACCGGGAACATAAATCTTTTCTCATACCCACAAATGCCTCGAGGCGAAGTTGGTGGAGACTCGGAAAGCTAAAGAAGATGAATTGAGTTTATTCAAAACGCTCGTTATCTTATTTTATTAGTTGTTGCGTTCGTATGGATACGATAACTTACCCTTTTCTTGCAAATTACCGGTCGTTTCTTGACCCCGCCTTCATCTTTGACCAGATATCCAATCACAGCCAGTTCGAGAAGAGATAAGAAGATAAAAGTCATCGCTCCTAGCATCCAGACATCTAAGATTAAAATAAATAAAAATATATGCTAATAATATCAGGAACATACCAATTGCTTTGACATAAGAGACCCTTGGGAGATTCCTCATTATATTTCCGAATTGAAAGATCATGGCTAACAAAGCATTCACTCCCAGCATTGTTCGAGCAGGGATTGCTTTGCTTCCGAGAGAAAACGAAACCCAAGATATGCAGATTGTGAGATAAGAAGGGACATATGCCTGCATAAAATACCAAACAGATCTACGGCCAAATGACAATCGAACATGCAATTCATCCCACATTCCAGCTGGATATGGCTTAAAATTAAATCTTTATGGCCAATAATCTAGAAAGGCCAACCTCGATTCTCAGTTCAGCTTCAATCCTTATCAAATCGAAATCAGGCAAAAGAATAGAGCCAATTGCATAAACAGGGTTCCCATTCATCGGATTCCATCTCATTCGAACCTCCTGGTTGTTGTAATTAAAGCTGGAAAAATAAATCTTTTAATTGTGACGGATTTCTCCCCACAAATCGATAGTGACATTCCGTCCAAATTTAATTTTCGTAATTTTTAAATTTGAAAATGTTGCGTTCTGTTTCGAAATATTTGTACCTTTCATAGATGAGATGACAAGTCTGTGTGTCCATGGGGAAATTGGATAACTCCATATTGCACGGTCCCTTTACCCGAACTCTCTAAATTTGTATGTTTCACGTATCGATGGCTTCCGCATTACACTTACGTAATTTACCCAAACTGTTCCGTTCGGATACAACATAAGGAAGACGTTTCTAAATTCAATAAAGTTATGAAACTCCGCGTAATTGGATTACCTGAAGGGCGAGTTGTGGATTTCAGCAATTTTGGAGTTGATAAAACAAGAATTAGGGGTCCAAAGCTTGTCCAACACCTGATGTGATATAGAAAGATTTTGTTTGCAGGGCGAAAGATGCTCAAAGTTGAGGGCTGGGTCCACCCAAACCTCGTTTATGTACATATCCATCTAAAATTTAATTGTAATAATAGTTCTGTAGTGTAATTCTTATCTAAAAATGAAGACTTGACAACTAAAAATATCTGTTACCTCAAAATCGTTTGTAATTTCATCAATGGAAGTAATCGCCTGAAGCCAGAATTCCACGGCGACGTCAACCCCGGTTTGAACTGAGAATAATTAGTTATTATACATATAAAAGATGGTTGGGATACCTGGGACCTTGAACTTGTTATATCCAGTGCCGTTGAGCAATTTATCGATAATCATGATATCCGATGTGCAGTTCTGTTCTGGCGGTGATTTTCCGCCCTTTTCCTGAGGATACATCTTAACCACTCCAAAGTCAGCATCGTCAAACTGATGGAACCCGTAACCCACATTACACCAGAGTAAACAGAGAGTCAGAAGAATCTCCATTGGTCATGAGTAAATGACATTTAATAAGACGTTTAGCTCATGCCCTTATTTGCATTCCAGTCACAGAGCAGAGTCGGAAAAAGGGATGGTCGAGAGCACGTACAAGTAGAAGTTGGGAGGGTCGGTGGGATTACTAAAGTCAGTTTTTGAAGAATTGGAATGAATGAGCGCTTCGATGGACCGGAAGACGGACTTCCCTGAAACCCAGGGGCACTGTTTTTGGAAACCCGGACTTTCGCTCAACTTATCACCGCCTCAGGTTATGGATACGCCCAGAACCAGCAAACCCAATTTGAGACGAGTGAAGTCGGTAGATCCACAAACGGCGGCCGTTTCTCTCTTTACTTTTACGTAATTCCGATTCCTCAAACGGCCAATGGCCAAGTAGAGGCGACGTTCCCTTTGCACCTCATTCCAGGACAATTAGGACCCCAAGACGCCAAGGTAGACGTCAGAGGTGAGGGCCCAGGCAAGAACCAATACTTTTAAGGACAGGACTTTATTTACAACAACAAAAATGAGATTTATGGCAGAAGAAACGAAATGCCCTGAGGGTGTGAAGAGGAAGTCATGCACTGGTCTCGCGATAGGGACGGTATGGAGGTCGATAACCAGTCCGATGGACATCCAGAAGAGGGTCATGGTGTTCGAAACGAGGGTCGTGGAAGGAGGTTTCGTCCCTGAAGACAAGAACGGTCAGTATTCCGAGAACGGCGGTCAAGCATAGAGGAAAATAAGCATATGAAAAGAGTATTCAGGAACCACGTCACAAGGCTTTCGGTAAGGCCAGACGAAAATACGACCGTGACGTGCATCCCGAGCATCTGGAAGAAGAACTCTGACCTTTTCAGACTTGAGTGTTCGACGGGAGATGGAAGTTTCTCTGGCCCGGAATGAATGTGCTCTGTCCAAAATTTTGTGATGGCCAATCACTCCGAAGTTTTACCGTATCCGACAAACGGAGGTCATCGTCGCGTTCAAAGAGCCGTCTTAAATGCGATCTCAGTCAAAGTCAAACAATAATTGTGTTAGGCGGAGAAGAGTTACAGTCGGTGCGCAAGCGGTGTGAGCTCGGAAGCTGTATCAAAGGTGCATAAACAAACTCGTCATCTCTTAACCTCATAAAACAAGGTATATATAATGACTGTTTGATCTATTGCGAGAAGCGACAACACACAGACACCATCGGCACCAGGATAAATTGGGCACTCACCTTTGGCCGTTGGATGAAAAGAACTTGTAGGTGGTCAACAAGGCACACAGGAAAGCACCACCCCAACAGAGGGTACCTAGCAAGTGGACGTAGAAGGCGTATCCGATCTGTTGTTCATAAGTACCAACCATTCCTTGAACAAAACGATTATCCACTCGATTAGCGGCTAAGAAGAAAACTCCATCAGCAATCACGGAACATAATACTGAAAAGTCATCATTTTTAAATGTCTGTATTCCCAACATCAATAACCCAACAATTAGGATTACACTTACATGCAACAAACAAGGAAATTGTAAAGACGAACGTGGTTGGCCTGAAACAGGGAGCACAAGCACCCGTACAGATCGAGATTGAAGCCAGAAGTTGGCTGAAAATAATGAAGAAAAGGATAATCTTGTGCCAGATCCAGAATCTGTGATGTTCTGATTCTCCAGCTGCACCATCTTCATCGATGTTGTTAAGTGTGTTATCAATGACCAGTTCAGCTGACTGATCGAATTTATACATGCAATGGAGTGGAGTCTCATCATAGAAGTCGCCCACGGCAACAACATGGCGTTCAGCGCGAATACAATCCCACCAAAGACCATGCTAGACGGAGATATTATTACTAACACAGCATGCACCATTGCAAAGTAATTGCTTTATGCAAATACCGTTATGTAAACAAATAAAATGTATATTTACCTGATGTTCTGCTCTGAATTCCCGGATATCCACAACTTGCCAGGCTGGGCTGAAAGCTCCAGCAATTGTCAGCCCCAGGCCCAATAAGATTAGCAAGATCGAGAGGACCAATAAAATCTTCTGGGTGGTCGAACTGACCATCTCGTCTAAAATTATTTTGGAAAAAAGGTTTGAATTTTGGAGGGACGCGAGGAAAACCTTGAAACGACCTTCAGAAAATCACGATAGCATCAACGGCGCCGGAGAGAGCGAAAGACAACAGGAGACGCGGTGACTCACAGGAGTGGGGTTCAATTATGAGGAAGCAGGTAGATGCAATCGGGAAGTTACCTGACAAAAATAACTACATTGAAACAAATAAAAGAGGTAAACATCAAGTATAAACTCAACTACTATAAGGGGCTTGCAAGCAAATTTAACAAGAATTTCATCGACGATAAAAAGCCCCATAGTCAACGCTTCCCCCACATTCTTGGACTATGATGGAAACTCAACAAATCTCTATAGCGACATAGGCCAGAAGAGAATGACATAAATCCTGGAATGGCTTTTTATTCCTCAAATTACCTCGAATGGTCTTATAAGGCCATTTGAGACGAAGAAATTACTTAATATGGTCAGTTAGAGCAAACGTCGACCTTGAGAACTCATATCAAGAAACGGGGAAAGCCAGGCCTCCAGAAGGGCGGCTGCAAAAACATTCAAACTCTCACAAAAAGTGGAGAGATTTCCGGAGCGTCGCCTCGAGTGGAGCGAGGAGGGCAGTAGGCGAGGTTGCGCGATGCCTTCCTTCTATGGGCAGCCTCAGGTGAAAGGGGCAGCTCCCAGCTGGGGAAAGGAGCGACTGCAGAGACGCGGTTTCGATCGACCTTGACTGACCGCCGATCGTCGCTTTAGACATTAAAAATATGCACAAAGTATCCATCTGAGAACCCAATTCAAAACTTGGAATGCGTAAATCTGCACTTGAATTGGAACAACACTCCGTGGGAAGTGGATATCTCGTGTCTACAAATAAAATGTCATCACATTCCAATCACAGTTGTCAGCATTCAAATTGCAGAACATATTCATTACTCTTTTTCAAACTTCAATCTTGATTGTCGGAATCCCCGAACTTTTGTTCTCTCCTGATGCTCTCGTAACCCTCCCTTTTTTGGAATACCGGCAATTACCCCACGTAAAATGTTGACGGAACCACTCGACCCCAAACCTTTCAAGCATCTCGTTGCGCAACTTTTAATAATATGGCCTTTTAAAAAAGAGAATTCTCCATGTCTCAGTCGCAGCATTATGAGGAAGACTCTGCTGTTTTTGCTCAATGTTGCCGCCATTCATGGTAAGATCAGGAAAGGAAATGAGATCATTTTCAGCCATATCCAACTGTCCGATGACAACAGTCAAGCCGATTATTCAACGGGCTATTGAAGCTTCAGGAAGCGACGCCGCCCTTCAAATGCAGGTGAGTAAAATATTATACAAGGTGGGCGGATTCAAAAGGAGACGTCCTAGTAGTTTTTTGGTCTGGATGTTGCAACAGATCTAACTTCAAATATACAAAATTGCAGCTGATAAGAAGGATAATGGAAGACATTTATGGCGGAACATGGGGTGTTCTGATAGTAAAAGGAGCAGACTTGGTGTCGACTATGGTTCATTGGACGATACCCGATCATAAACATGAGGACGGTTCCGCTGCATTCTGTTTACACGTTGAAAAAGAGTGGCAATATAATGTATTTAAGACCGGTAATCACGATACGGACAACCGATTAACTGTGGAGCAAGTGGTTCACCGGTGAGTGACGTCGTTTTATCTGCTTTCGATTAGATATCCTTGCTTTTAGATTTTAGATCACTAAATATTACTTTCAAATCGTGTCTTTTGCGTGGGTCCGTTTCCTTTGATACATGGATAATATCCGAATCTAATCTCCTTAACATTTATCCTCTGGCTATTTTCCAGGCTTCGCGACAAACAACGCCCCGAGCGAATGACCGTCAGCGAATTTGATCGACGAGTGGCAAATGCACTCCTCAAACGTCGCCAGAGCCGACTCATCCAACCGCAATCATTTGGTAGTCCAGTTAAAAAATAAACCCTTTTCGACATTGAGGTTGCAATTCCCTCTTTTTGGGATCCAGGCAGGGGGGAGGCGCAAAGTATAGCGACAGAGGAAACCTGTCTTCTGAAGTAATGATTCTGCGGTAATCAAGTCACATCTGACAGTCGTCCGTTGTCATCCCGACTTTCTCTTTCCCTTCCGCTTGACCCGTTCTGACCTCCAGATTTCGCTTTCGTGACCTGCTTCTCCGATGATCATCTCCAGATATTCCAATTCATCTTCTTTTCTATTAACGAAACCAAAATTTTACTTTTTATTGCGCAAATTATCCTCACCATATGACGATACGGAGAGGTGAAGTTAAGTTTGGTTCGGTTTAATTACGAATACCACAAGTCGTCGTTCATCTGAGACTAAAGTCATATTGTTGTTCCTTTCTTGTTATTGTAGGCACAAGCCAATTATTTGTTATTGACTACAGCGTAGTTACACACTACGAATAAGCGAAGAACCGTGTCATGTTTTCCTGATTTATGCTTCAAAACTGATTATTTTTCGAATTTTATGACTTCCTTTATGTTTGCACAAATCCAATATTGGAAAATTTAACCATCACATGTTTGTGTGATAAATATCACAATTTTGGCATTCCTTTGCAAAAATGAATAAGATCCATTACATACGAAGGCTATCCGATTTTTGACTTCAAAAGGCACCGTCGTGTACAGCGATGATAAAGAGCGTCGAATTGGGGTGTTTATTGAATAATAATTAGCCAAGATTCCGTCGCCTTCGCCAGGACCTAAAGACGCGTCTGATTCATGGTTTTTTGCTTGGCCTTCTCGCCTCCAGGCCCAAGATTATGCTTTGTTTCGTCGTTATTCCGCTGTTATTACTTTTCGGTTTCTGTTTGTACGCGCGTGTTTCTTCTTGATATGAAAGCGCTGACCGAGTCGAAAGGTTTCTGGCGCTCGGGAACCGCTCTCTCGACTGTCCAGCGGCCATCTAAAGCGCCCCCCCGTCCTTTTAGGTATTTCCCCGGAAAGAGCTGTTGATCTGTGTTCCGCTTTAGGTCATGTTGGAGATTGACAAGCAAAGCTTTCGACAGCATCTGGAATGGCTTGTAGATCAGCTGGCGGTGGACTCTGCTCCGTATTTGGAAGAAAGGCCTCGCTTCGCTCATGGGGTTCTGGTTCTGGCAGATCACGACAACGGAGAAGTCATGAAGGTAAATATATAAAATTATCGATATGGTAGTCCGTCTTTAATCACAATAGATAGAATATCCCCGCAAGCAAATTTTCTTTAAGTTTTTCTATCAAACGTCTCTACTTGGAAAACTTTTCTTGTGCTTACACGCAAAGTGATGACGATTAATTCCTATAAAAATTCCAGGCCTCATTGATAAAGCAGCTTGACATTGATATAAACGAGCAACGAATCTACAGTACTCGGGAAGGGATCTATCACAAAGAGGACATGAGAACCCAGAATGATTCTGGAGTCAATCTGAACATTTCATCCCCAGAATTCGAAGACTTTCCAGTAATTCCTCCCCTTATTCAGGATAAATTGGGAAAGGAGAATGATCTGCCGTTCGTGCCCTTATCGAAATATGTTAAGAAGACCGTTTCAACGTTTTCTCCAGTCCAAATTCCAATTGATCAAAGCGTTAAAATGGTAAGAATTGAAGAAAATAAATCTAATGTATCTATACAGAAAGAAGAGAATCTAAGCACCCAAAAGCTTTCCAAATCGCCGGAGACGTCAACGACGACTGTGACGGATAAAAGGACATCCATCTCTAATCTGGGACAGGAAGAACCAAGGAAGTCTGTCACGTATGAGGCGAGCTCATTCTTGACACCAACCAGGGACTCAAATTCATATGAACATCGACAGTCTATTTCTCAGGATTATAAACAAGGAGGGTCCCAGAGATCATCTATCATCAGTGTGCCACGACATTCGATAACCCCTCGAGACCAGACAACAAATTATATTGTTGCAGAGTAAGTGATTAATTCCAAATAATAACTTCTTTTTTTCAGTGGAGGTGACATTTCGATCCCACCAATGGTAGGGACTTATTATGAAAGGCCCGAGATCGTCCATAGATCTTACCGTTCCCATGTTGAACAAACTACCTTCCCATCCATTGACAGGTTCAGAACTGTGAGACAAGAGACCGTTAGTGTGTTTGAGCATCCCCGGCGGACTCCATTAATGTCTCCCATGAGTCATTGCTCTTCATCAACTCCAACTTTTACGTCTCTGAGTTCATCAATCCCTTCCCATCAAAATCCAGATGCCATTGAAAAGGCCGTAAAGATTCTTCAAGATTCCTGTGAAATGCTGGATGAAACCGCCGAGAGAATTGCGGTAAGGGCTCCTCTCTCTGTCTGTTATCTCGTTTTGTTTATCCCTCCTCATAATCGTGTCAAATCAGTCATATCCCTCAATCCTCGAAATGACTGCTCTCCCAAACAAATCAAAATAATTTCAGAGTCGAAACCGTCATCCGCGGAATCCGTCCGCCGACTATGCGCCCAGATATTCCCAAGAATACACTTCCGCCTTCCAATTTCCGAGCGAATTACGCACCACTAATTATTGATTAATTGTCTTGTGCTGAGATTCGACTTTTGCAAAGCTTTGCAACTGTCGGCTAGTTTTTTTTGCTTTCGAAACACCGGTGTTTTTGATACAGAGCTCAATAAAAAAGTTTAGAACATGAGTTTTGTTTCTGGAAGGCCCTTCATTGATCTGTTTATTTTTTGCAAATATCACCACGGCCGTCTCTAAATGCCTTCGCCGTAAATTTTGTAGGTCAAGATTTTTTATCTCCAAAATTCCGCATGTATTCGTTTTTTGGGATCCCGACATTAATCTGTTTACTTCCTCAAGAATCAGGAAGAGCCGCAATTTCAACAGACTTTCAAGTCAACTGCTGTTAACTAGTAGTTACTTTTATCCTTTAAAATTAACTGGTCTTCTACTCTTTACCATTCCCAATACTTTATTTCCCAGGGAATCCGCCCAAAGGTATACTTACGTCTTCCAAAATAGATTGGAGTGTGCATGTGATTGATTCTCTCCACTTTTAATCATGTAATGTTTGTAAAAATTCCCCATTTTTACTTTTTTACACCACTTCCCTAATTAATGACAAGCGATTTCACAGACTCAATTTTCAAACCGATTTCTCGCCATATTTGAGCGTTTTTGGAACAAATGATCGTTGCCTCGTCTCTTATCAGTCGGGGTTAAGACGGCCTCAGGCGCTATACGGTTATAAAACGACCGAGAATAAGTCTTGGTCATATTAACGCGGATTGCACAAACAGCTGATCCGTGTTCGGGCTGTTCGCATCCACCCTAAGACCTTTTCTTTTGCAGCAGAACGCCAAAGTCGTGTCAGGAACCGAGGAAGGGGAATACGACTCAGGTCTCGTGAATCGAAATCCCCCGACAAAACACTAAAATCATTTCGTCCGCTTGGCCGCGGCAATGCGTGTGAAGCCGCCACTGATCTGAAACCGGCCTCGGCACCATGAATGAGTTGTTGGCCATCATCATCATCGTATTCGTATGTTGTGCAATCTTCTGCGCCTGGCTTTTGTCCATGGCCACATGTCCAGACAAAATGGTTGATTGGCTAAATGGGACGTCAAGGTAAGGTACCCACCGATTATCGATTACTTCGATTTAGTAATTCGACCTGCTCTACCTCATATGAAAGTAAGGAACTTATCAATAAGAGCGAAGACAGTGGCCAAGATAACACGGCCGCCCGATGTTCTGCTGAAACATCGTCTTTCTATTTACAATTGGGTCAGAATAAGATGAACCCAAAGAAACTAAGTGTTGTCCCAGAACAGGATGAACAAGTAAGATGGCTCCCTTCATTGACAAAACTCAAAAGCATTCAAAAATTAATCACAATATCTTCAGCTTACCGTGACCTCTATATCCCAGATTCTGTACCCGTCCATTCATAAAGCCGAGGACACCATAAAGACAGATGTGCAAACCTGCTTTAATCCCGATGAACCCGAGTGCGTAGTTATCCAAGGAGGATCTTCCAATGCCCCAGGCATCTCCGACTTGCCAGTGCGCTATCATTACAGCGCCCCAGCCATTCACGTGGCTTAATTCCGATCTCTTTATTGCTCATGACCCCAACTTAAATGTCTTGTCATCTTTATTGCCGCCATATACGGGTCTAATCTTTACTCAATTACAAACGACAAGATACTACCATATATATATTTTGTTGCCTATTCATCGGGAATGGCCTCCAGACCAGTAATTCTGTAATAATTTCCGGTGAGGTTGTGGTCGCGTTTAGTGAGTCCAATCCTGAACATATTTTTTTGTATTTGTAATGAATAAATATCTAGTCAATTGCTACGAAAATTGTGTTTCTTGTACTTTAATCTCCGAAAAAAGTGCTTTTGAAAAAGTGCCTTTGATCTCTCGATTGATGTTAGATCTTAGGACAGCAAATAAAAAGAGATTGGGTAAAACATTATCTGATTATCCAGAATCACGTAAGCTGAATTTCTGTCTGACGGAAACAAGAATGCCGTATAATGTGTGATATTAAGAAGCCGCATTCAAAAATGCATTCGCGTTTTTGCAAGACATTGCAGTACACCATGTTTCAACATCACGTGGTCTACTTTAAACCTTACACTTTTAAAAATTTCATAAAGAAGATGAATAATATAAAGAACTGTGCTCTTTCGGCCCTATGATTTCAAACAAAAAATAAACGCATTCTTACCTTGGCTCGCATGCAGTATTGCGGCGAAGAACACGGCCATTATCGATGTAATTAAAAACTCCGGAACAGTAGAGAGCTCCTCCAACAAGCCCCCAAGTCAGAAGACCGGAATAAATCTGTTCGTACCACATCCCTGGAATTACAGTTATGAACACCAATTCAAAAATTTTTTTAAACCGAAAAAAGTACGCGAAGTCTATATATAAGATGCAACTGTACATTATTTCTAAACGACTAACAGAATTAAAACTTCTAATCTATAATACCTTTTATTCTGCAAAGCAGAAAAAAGAAATTTTCTCACGCAAACTGCGCCCACTATATTGCAGGTAGCGCCTTAACATTATCCACAGGATAATTTTTTAAAACTTGTACAGCATTCTGTCATCCTTTTAGATAAAGAAACAAGTTACCGTATTTTAAACAAGTATTACAGTGTTTTAAACCAGTAAATTGCACTCTGAGACTTCAATACCACTCGCTTTACAACATAAAGAACACGCAATGACTTTCTGGACGTCCATTTATTCTGTCAGCGCGATCGAATTTTTGAAGTGTTTGGGCAGAGAATTTTCCTGTGAAGGTAGGAAAACTTTCGTCCGTTCTACTCACCGTAAACATGGAACCAAAGAGACCCAGACGAGTTCGTGTTGTCCACGTAAATGTCCTCAAAAGTCCTCTCCGTTCTACTCGATCTCCAACTAACGCCTTTCGAGGTTTTGCTCGTAACGTAAGTTTGTGTCTTTGCTCCATGCGAAATGAAATTGTATAGAAACACGCTCAAGTTTTTGTCATCGCTTCTCTGGGATCAGGCCAAGTTCAAGTAAATGGAAAGGAAGTGGGTGGACCAGAAGATGAAGGTCATGACAGATATGTGGGTCTCCTCGCGCAGGAACACATGAAGAAGTACGACTGGAAGATTAGAACTTATGCAAAAAATCCAATCGCCGAGATTTGTGGTATGTTTTAACTTTTTATTAGCTTATATTATCCATGTTGTTTTAGCCCTGAGACAAGCAATTGGACGATGTCTGTTGTCCATGGTTCCACAAAGTCCACCTAAAACTCCAAGATGGGGTGGGAAACGAGCTAGTCCAGTGAAAAGACGTTTTCCTTCGATGAGATATACTCCTAGAAATAACTGGTCTTCCGGATACCCGAAAGAAAGAACCGATATCGATTTCCACTTAAACTTTGATGAGTCCCCTGATGATACTCAGGTGGAGAAGATTGACGAGCTTTCAGATAGAATGAATGCCATTCATCTGTGGTACAAGACACAATTATTACAGGAACAACTTCAGAGTGGAGCCAAGCGTTGCTCCAAGAACATGGTGAAGACCAACGTTAATGGACGTATGAAGGACCAGAACGGAAACTTGATTGACTAACCCTATTCTTCATAGGTCATGTTATACTTACCCTTTGACCTTCTAATATACATTTTTCTTGGTTTTTATTAGGTAACCGAATCACATTCTTTATCCTCATGCTTTTCACTTTTTTCATCTTTCCGACAGCAATTTTAATTTATTTTAATTACTCTCATACGGTGTTTACTGTAAACTAACATCATTTTATAAATTTTTAAGTAAATTATTTATATTATTTGTGTTTTCATTGCGTTCGGTGGTAGTTGTGTGTGAAGTATGAAGGCTGGAGATAGCGCTGACCAAAATCAAAGTTCAATGGGATCGGCTGAGAGTGGGGAGACGACTATCCTTCAGAAAGTTCTCAATGATAAGGCATACTTTGCCGAATTTCAGAATGTCCCTCCGGGTAAGCTAGTAGTCGTGGTAATGTAACCCCTCACAGCGTTCTGTACTTTTTTGAAATGAATCGGACACCGGTTTTAAAAAAAATTTTTTGGAGTGGGCATTTATGCGGGTCTAGCTAGTGAATGTATAATACACATATGTAAATACATATAAGATTAACGTGTGAAATTTGTGGTGCTTATGAGTGGCATGATTGCATTTTTAAAATTTGCCCGTAGGGCATTTTTACGCAGAGTGCAAGATCCAAATTTAAGCTCTGTATTTGACGATGGAGAGAGATGACATGGTGAAATTAAACAGTATGCTCAAATCAGTAAGCATGCAATCTTCAATTTGTACCAATTTACTTTTCTAATGATATCCTTAAAGTGCAAATATTTGGAAAATATTTGCAAAGTTAATGCAAAAATTGCACCGCAAATTTCACACGTCGATCTTATAAATACATACATATGTAGTACGCACTCGCTACACCCGCGTAAATCTCAACAACCAAAAAATTTTAAAAAAATCGATATCCGATTCATTCCGAAAAAGTACAGTGCCCCTGTTCAGTTCCTGAACCAATTTGGCGACCATTACTGGGAGTTGGATTGTATCTCACATACCTGGTGATCATCATGGGATTCGGCTTCTTCTTTTTGCATTATTGCGAATCTCATGACTGTATAGCCGCGGAAAACACAACGAGACGTGATCAGGCAAGTTTAAAGGCGATTTTGGGCTCACTACGTCAGCATCTGTTATGCTAAAGGTCCACCGGAAAAACAGCTTTACCCACTTCGGCCATAAAAAGTTGATTTCTGAAAACCCACTGTGGTTTTCGGTCAGAACTAGTAATCTCAGGTCTCGGGTTCGACTCTGGGTGGACGCAAATCGTTGGAAATTGTTCGGAAATTACTTGAATGGAAGGAATGTGCAAGATTAAATTTATTTAACAAATAAATTTGTAAATTGTAAAATGAGCCGGATAAGATTCAGACAGTTTTCACATTTGTTGGTGAAAAGAAGTCAAAAATACAACTTTTGGACAAATCATATTTACACTGTGTTTTCGAGTTCTTGCCTTAGTAACAACGTATATTTATAAAGTAAATATATTTATTGTTTTTCGGAGAGCGACGATTGGGGAAACTGAAAAGAATTAGGATGACCGATGGCGCTGATTTTGAAAATGACTTTAATTTTTTGATTGTAACTTTTTGCTTAATTGTAAGTATACTCCCGGACATAAATTTCTGACCACCCGTATCTCAAGTCAGTATAACGCAATCGCTTTGAAACTTGGCATGTATATTAGTCATGACAGACAGAATGTGCCACATAAAATTGTTTTTCGTGTCTCTGTCCTTAGGCGAGTTATGCAGGTTTTTTCAAAAATTGGTGGACAAAACTTTCTGATCACCTAAAATAACTAAAGTTTTCTCAGTCTCCTTTAGTAAACGACATGGTTCAGCTATCGTAGAACACTATTAAGGGACCTACAAGGACGGTGGGTATGCATTTTACCACCAAATTCGGCGTGTGCCCCCAAGCAACTCGTATTCTTGCAGCGCTCTTTTTCTCGTTAAAATCACGCCCTATGCGGCAAGGACGACTTTTTTGTTTCAGAAAAAGTAATAAGGAACTCATTGGAGGTAGTGATACAAGATCTTACTACCCTGCAATGTGAAATATGCCATTAACGCCTTAAGCAAATCACCTAGGAGTAGCCGATCTCTGAATAATTGATCATAACCACAGGCGTTTTTGTTAACCCTTTCCGGACGAGTCGGCACGTACTGGTAAAAATGAAAGAGGGTACCCTACTGAGTAACGGCATAATAGTGGTTCAGCCCATCGAAGCGTTATTTGGGACTTAGGACAAAAAATGTCCTAAAACATACCCCCATTTGACATATCACTTTTAAAATTTTTGTGACAAGCTGTAGGTCGGAAACTACCCCTAAATTAAAGTCGAGGAGTCTTAGTACTGTTACATCCAAGAACTGTCCGAATCGGACCACTATAGGATTTGTTATCGATTTTTAGAAATTGAAATTTTAATTTTGGTCAATTTTGGATCTAAAATCAAGTATATCTTCTGTCGACATCAACCATTTCGGTCCAAATGTGTTTTTTCCAAATCTATTTTGATGCTAGCTTCTTTCTAGAATGTTTCCAGAAAAAACATATGAAGCATATTTCTGTAAAACGCAAAAATGTTGAAAATGTAAATGTTTCATCGTATAAAATGTCGCTGCAAGCCGAGAAGGGTCGGGCGCAGCTCGAATCGAGAAAATAATAATTTTTTCTTCGAGAAACATTATTTTAGTGTCAAAAACCTGATTTCAACGATTGAGTACGGAAAGGTCCGCTGTGCGGAAAGCTCCGCTGGACGGAAAGGTCCGCTGTGCGGAATAGACATGGCTAGTGGGCCGGGTCGGGCCGAACGAGTTTTAAAGGCCCCGGGGCCGGGCCGACCTCTTCCGGCCCCCGGGCCGGGCCGACCGGGGGCCCCCGCCAGGCCCCCAATCGGCCCCCAATAACTAAAATCCCCAGTCTCAAAGCGAAAATTAGGGTTGCCAATAAAAATAGAAAGGCAGAGCCAAGAACCGATTGGGTTTTTTGTACTATAGGCAATGGTTGGTAATTTTTTTTTCAAAAATTTATTGTCGATTGTTATAACAAAAAAATGGGGGCTAAGGTAGTACAACCCGCCAGTCCAGTTCAGCCCCCCCTGGACCCAGCATAAACCCCCTCATCCAATCTGAAGTGCCTACTCGGGATTGGGTTCTCTCGGCTACGATCGTCGTTGCCTGAACCACAAGAACGAATTTGGACGGTAACTGGGGGTTTGAGCTAAAACGCCGGGGGTCGTTTTACCCTAATTTGCATTTTTTGTATTATTCTAAATTGTTCATTATGGGGGTGTAAAATGGACAAAACAGTGGGGGTTTGAACCATCTTTCCTGGGGGGCTGAACTACCAAAGCCCCAAAAAATGTGTTATATCTCGTAATGAATGCATTGTTCATATTTACAGTTCGGCCCCCGGTCGGCCCCCGGCCCGGCCCGGCCCCCTGGGGGCCGGGCCGGGCCGGGCCGAGAAAAGAAGGGGGCCGGGGCCGGGCCGACCTCTTCCGGCCCCCGGGCCGGGCCGCGATTTTCGGCCCGGCCCGGCCCCCCAGCCATGTCTAGTGCGGAATGGTCCGCTAAAAAAGGGAAAAGAAGAGGGTGGGAAAAAAGGATTTTTTGTGAAAATTGAATAAAATTTGAAATGTTTTCGCTTCGGGACTTGGAAAAAAGGATTTGTTGTGAAAATTGAAATGTTTTCGCTTCGGGACTTGGAAAAACGGATTTTTTTGTGAAATTTGAATAAAATTAGAAATTTTTTCGAGCTGACTGAGTATGAACTGACTGAATATGAAAACTGGGTTTCTGTTACTTTACTACCTTTAGGGATTCTTGTTGAAATTTTTTGGACTTATAACACTTTTAGACGTTAATGGTGTTGTTTTGGTGCCTAGTACTGCTTAAAAAACACATTTTTAACACTTGGTACTAAATAGTACTACCTGGTACTATTTAGTACGAGGTGCAAATTTGGCCGTAAGGCGGTAATGGCGTTGGTTTGGTGCTTAGTAGAACCAAAAAACACGTTTTAACACTTGGTACTATATAGTACCAACTGGTACTGTTTAGTGAGAAGTGAAAATTTGGCCGTAAGGCAGTAATGGTGATGGTTTGGTGCTTAGTAGAGCCCAAAAACACGTGGTACTATAAAAAGTACCAGGTGGTACCATTGGTTTTAGACAAAATTTTAGTGCTGGCGGCACCACAGTTAATATTCAGTCAGACACCCTTTTTTCTACTCCCGATGCGAAAAGATTTCAAAATTTTGTTGAATTTTCCAAAAAATTCTTTTTTTTCCCAATCCCGAAGAGAAAACATTTCAATTTTTTTTCAAATTTCACAAAAAATCCCTTTTTTGAAGTCCCGAAGCGAAAACATTTCAAATTTTATTCAAATTTCACAAAAAATCCTTTTTTTCAAGTCTCGAAGCGAAAACATTTCAAAAAACATTTTTTTCGAGACTACTCACACCTAAAAATCAAAACACCAAGTACAATATAACTTACGTCTAAATCCATTACTCAAAAAAATTTTTTTTAAAATTACTAGTTAACACTACTGCATAAGCAAAATTGTAAAATTCAGAAAAAAATGGATACGATATTCGAAATCTGCGCCTTCGAAAACCTCCCCCTCCCCGCACGTCAAGAAAAAATAAAAGAAAAACGGGCGCCCAATGAAAAAGCCTAGAATTTTTTTTGGCATTCTGCCCTGTGCAAATCCGTTTTTGTCCAAATGGTTTGCAATATTTTGACATAAAGATTAATAGTAAATCACAAGATATTGATACCAATAGAAAGCTCGAGAGCTGCTTAAGCTAATAGAACCAAAATATACCCATAATCATAGTTTTTTGACAGTCTTCCAAGGCGAAGAATACAACGTCTAAATAAAAGTTTGTATCGACGATACCGAGTCAGAGAGCACTGGATGGGGGTATAGGCTCTACGTCAAAAAAATCCTTAAACTGTTCTTCGAGTATCTACACCGGTCCCGTCCCGCTTGATGGGACAGTTTTTTTGATATTCGGCCTTGAAATTTGCACTATTTTTAGCCTAGCTCGAACCATGTTCAGAAAATGCGTCACGATGACACCCATTTAGAATGTACCAGCGGTATAAAAAACAGTTGTATACGACTAGTAGCACTCCCTAGAGTTCCCATAAAAAAAATTAGGTTAAAAATTGTTGTTATGTGCAATTTGGATGACAGGTTTTATGAATTTTTTTTCGCTGTGAGAACCTTTGCAATGCCCGCAATTTCTTGACGTGCCCCGCCCTCCTCTTTTTTTTTAGCGGACCTTTCCGCACAGCGGACCTTTCCGCGTAGCGGACCTTTCCGCACAGCGGACCTTTCCGTCCTTCGTGGATTTCAACACGAAATACAGGCAGAAATAGCACGCAAACATAACCTAAATGTCATTTTTATATTTTTACTCTGTTTTCAGGCAATTTTCATGGATTTTAATTTGGTTTCATAATAAAATAATATTTATCAAAGAAAAAATTATTATTTTCTCAATTCGAGCTGCGCCCGACCCTTCTCGGCTTGCAGCGACATTTTATACGATGAAACATTTACATTTTCAACATTTTTGCGTTTTACAGAAACATGCCTCATAGGTTTTTTCTGGAAACATTCTAGGAAGAAGCTAGCATCAAAATAGATTTGGAAAAACCACATCTAGACCGAAATGGTTGATGTCGACAGAAGATATACGTGATTTTAGGTAAAAAATTGGCCAAAATTAAAATTTCAATTTCCAAAAATCGATAACAAATCCTATAGTGGTCCGATTCGGACAGTTCTTGGATGTAACGGTACTAAGACTCCTTGACTTTAATTTAGGGATAGTTTCCGAGATACAGCATGTCACAAAAATTTTAAAAGTGATATGTCAAATGGGGGTATGTTTTAGGACATTTTTTGTCCTAAGTCCCAAATAACGCTTCGATGGGCTGAACCACTATTATGACGTTACTCAGTAGGGTACCCTCTTTCATTTTTACCAGTACGTGCCGACTCGTCCGGAAAGGGTTAAATCAGCTTGGAAATCCCCTACAGTACTCTTTGGTGCATACTGAAGAACGTGGGATAGCAATCTCCCGTTATCTTCGCATTTCGTGCGCGCATTAACGCAAAAGTCCAAAAAAACGCAACTATTCCGATTTTGTAATTACAAAATGGTCAAAATTTGCCAAAAAATCCTCAAGTTTGCGTTTTCCTGGAGTTTCACCTCGACATTTCATAAGCCCGGCTCAACACCAATATAGCTTTATTCTACATTATGTAGGGCTAAGCCATGTTTAATTTCAACCAGTTTGGGCTGATTCTGAAAAAGTTACAGGCCGCTAAAGTCCGGCCGGCTGGTCAGTTTTGTAATGATTTTGCACATGCTTGATGAAATCCCTGACATCTTTCGGTATGATGGACGGAGATTGACTATGTGGGATCAATCACATAATCCTGTGCGTTTTTTATTCTTCTAGCCCACCTCGAGCCGTCGTATACTAACAAAATCGCTTAATGCGCAGAATGTACAACCCCTTGCGACGTATGTTACTAATCCCCGATTTTTTGCCATAAATATATGCGGTACGTCTGTGCTATGCTGTATAAGCAGTTTTAGCCCCGTGGCAAACATTTTTCGGCAGTTGCGAACAATTTACCTAAGTGATCAGAAAATTTTGTCCACCCTTTTTTTGAAAATGTCGAAAAAACTGCCCTTAAAGTGCAAGGATGGAATATTCCGTTTTACCAAATGTTTTGCACCTCTTCTTGATAGGGCAGTTAAAATTTGGAACATGTAGCTCAATTAACAGCCCAGCTAAAGGGTGGTCAGAGAGATATGTCCGGGAGTATAGTACTGTAAAGAGGTAATTTTTTAAAACTTTTTTCCGCAGTAATCGATTTAGGGGTTTTCAATATTGCTGATTCCGAAAATCCTGTGCATTTTCTTTGCTTTGAAAGCTGCGCCTGTGGTATTCAAAAAACGAAATCGGGTTTCATGTTACAGTAATCCATGACACGTAACTTAACAAAAAAATGCCAAAAAATCGTGTTTTAAGCTGGAAGGTTCCAATTTGTTTCATTCAGGTTGAGGAATTCATGAAGACAATTGGTTGTGTTTATGATGACAAAAAGCCATGGGATTGTCAAAAGATCAAGTCGAAGGTCCAGAGAACTGTGCATCCCATCTTAACGCATCATACTGTTCACTGTACAGAACCCTTGACTCAGACCATGACCAAAATTCCAAAAGAAGGCATTTCACATGTAAGATTGCTATCTCAGCCTTCTAAGATCGTTTTTAGTTAGTTTGGTCCGATTGGTCTCCGTGTATGGTGGATGGAAGAAAGTACAGGTTCAGAATCCTACCCTTCAACGTTTACTTTGAGAATAACCCCGCACTCTTCAAGAAACTGTATCAAGGGAAACGATGTTAAATTAATATTACCTTTATTTCATTTGAGAATAAACTAGAGCCCCCCAGTCGGTTGTATTATTTGCGATGCCAGAAAAAAATATCCAGAAGCTTTTGAATACGGATAAATCATCCAAACAGATGAATTTCTTTGAGCAGATCGATTGTTTCGACCAACTCATCGACAAACTCCTCCAAACCAGCGATAAAGTGAGTCGAATCTGGCCAAATAAACTCTTTTAGCTGGCCAAGCAAACCGGTCCCGATCGATTTCTTACTCGCCCTGAATAAGAACAACCTCGATAAGTGTATGTGAACATGAATAAATGTTTCTTTTGATGCATTTGGCGGCAACGTACCATAAAAGGTCCATAAAGAGCAGAAACTACAATGAGCAGATTTCTGAAATCTTTGCAAATACCCTCAACGCCCTTGATAATCTAAGGGGTTTTCGATGGTGCTGATTCTGGCGAACTGTTTTACTTAAAGTTTTACTAAGAGAGGCACAAAGGCTAGAGAAGTCGGCATTTCTTTGGCGCTGCAAAAACAAATAAGTAGGAAGAAGTTTAAATAAGCCTAACCATGATACTTTCCCTTTGATCTCGCCGCCTTTTGAGGGCATTTCTTCGAATATCTCCGGAGCTTTGTTGTGGACATGACTCCTTTCTTCCCCTCCCTTATATGGTATGTCGTTATCAATGTAATTTCTAGTCCTTTAGGTACATGTTCTCTACTTTGCACACCTGGTCTCACTTCCCCTTTCATTACTCATCTACGTCTTCCCGTCCCTTCCCTCATTTTCACATTTCAAGACCATCTACGCTTCATTACAATTACCTCAAAAATGATGTTTTATTTAATAATTTTAACTTGGTTTACTTGTCAGTTTGTAATCATTCTCTCAGTGATGGTGGGTTATATCAATGGAGCTTGCTAGATGTTAAAGGAAATAGGCTAGTTACCCTAGCTTCAAATCGTTGTAGAATTACGTGGAAAGCTCCAGATCAAGTAAGGAGCCATTTATTATTTTAATTCTTTTTAGGGGTTATTTACAGTAATCGTCAGATACGTCGATCGGCATACTGTAATATTTGAGGTCAAAAAACGATTCGTTGTAAGAGATTTTTGGATGGTATCAATAGGCGATTCCTTCTCTTCCGGTGAAGGAAATCCTCATCAGAATGTGAGGAAGAAGTTGTGGTTATCCAGAAGATGTCATAGTAGTCGGAATTCATTTGCATACAAATTATATCAGAAGTATAAAAGAATGATCTCAGACGATGTAGCCGTCCATTTCACATTCCTCCCATGCTCTGGGGCTCTCATTGAAGACGGTCCGTTTTCTTTATTTTATCAAATTGAGGCAATAACAAACATAACTATGATGCTGTAAGTGAATGTTGCAGCAATATAATATTACGTAATTTCAGAAACAAAACTCCCGATCTTCTGTTAATGACTGCTGGTGGAAATGATATCGGTTATTCTGATATGCTCCAAAGATTACTTTCGGGTCTCCATCCTGTTCCAGATAACTTTTCTCTGCGATTATTATATTTGTCCGAGCAATTTGACCAGTTGAACAAATTAATTAAAGGACTTAGTCCCTCAAATGTTATCATCCCGCATTACTTTGACTTTACAACTAATGAAAAAGGGTTGGTTGATGCATCCTGCAGCGATTTCGACAAGGTGAGGACTGACTTGCCAAAAAAACAATCTCTCTAGGTGTCATTGAAGTACCTTAAACGTGCTCAAAAGGTCATTCTGAGGAATTTGAACAATCTCATCGAAAGGAAAACTCAAAATTTTGGATGGATCTCAGTGGACCTCGATCAGATTTTCAAAAAGCATGGAATATGTTCTCGACAACCCTTAATCCGGTAAGCCTGATAATAAAGATATTCGGCCCTGAAGAATTAAAAACGTTGCTGACGTCAAAAATTACAGTACCCTCCAAGAGTCATATCGACTGCAAGGTGATTATGGTGGCAGTTTCCACCCCACCGAGCGAGCTCATCAACTTATCGCTGATCTTATTTTTCCCATTTCAAATCCCAAAAATATCCTGAATAAACACGGATAATGTTTACTGAACCGATAAAAAGGTATTGAAGCACGGGATAAAGAAGATAATTGTGATCTTTTAAACACATCCGTATCCTACCCATAGATCATTTGTTTTCTTGTTGACATCTTGGCTGACATCATGATTATCATAAAAACTCTGGGCCTTGGACTCCCTCTCTTCTGGAGATCGGACGGTAAGACGATTCTCTCCTTCTCCTACAACTCTGGAGAAGGATCGTTCGGCAGATTTGGGAGTTGAGGTGTCCAAGGGGTTGAAATAACTTCTGTTTACAGGGGGTGTCTGAAAAAGAACAAAATATTTATCAATAATCCATAAACTGGCTTTTGACATTTAGTAACGACGAATAAATATTATATTGTTGTTTGTAACAAAAAATGAATAAAAGGCTTTACGGTAGCTTTATGTTTCTAGCTAATAATAGACTATTTCATCTTTTTGTACTTGTAATATGAACTTACCCCGACGGGTCTTCCTCGATATGGTGGAGGTGGTCTCCCATTGGATTTAATGGGACTTCCATTAATTTGGGTTGAATATCCATTGATTGTGGACAAGCTGAGACTCTCGTCGTCCTTTGTAACAGGGATACTTCCTAACGGCGACTGTATTTTATGTGCCGGGGGATATCTGACGGAACTGCTAATTCTCGAATTTCTGAGCCTCGAGAAGGAGGACGGTGGCAAGGGAGGTGGGGATCGCATCTGATGGTAGCTCGTCTCTGTTTCTAAACAGCTTTTTTTATTGCATTCGGTCTTACTTTTGCTTGGTACGCTAAAATATTGCACTTGATCGTAATCCGGGGAAGATCCGGAGGCCCGTTCCGAAGATGAACATGTTGGAGTTACCTGGACAGATTCTCGATAGGATTCTAAAAACAGATCAGTCATGGTAGCCCAAAGTTTCAGTGCAAAGGTATGGAAACAACGGATACAGAATGTGCAAGCATACGATCACAGTTTATTACGTGTTGTGCAATCCCAGGGACAAATAAATACAAAGAAAGCGTGCACCCAACACAGGCAAGAACACGTGGACAGTCGGCTTCTAATAACTCTCGTAAGCGGACAGTTTATATGGCACTCTGATGCAACAAAAAGGTGACAACGAGCTCTTCTGATGACATGAACACGCTCTCTTCTCCATCTCCTTATCCTCCGGTCGTCTCAACGAAAGCCTCAAGAACCGGTTCAAGGAGTTGGATCCAGAAGATGGCGATTCACATCCCGAGTCACTCGAGGTGCACAGCAGATCGGAGGGAGTGCCAGTGCTCTCACTTGAAAAGGACTGACTCTCTAAACGTGGTTCTGGAAGAGGTGGGAGACACGATTCATCTGCTGAATAGATACTAGAGTCCTCGGTATTGGACCCTGAGTTCTTGTCGATGGGTTTTGTTGAACGTCGGGAGCTCTGTAATTATGAATTCGTTAAATGTTGGCTTTAACTTCAACATTTTTGTAACTCACTTTCAGTCGTAAAGCCTTTGCAGCCTTATTCATAAAAGTCTTCTTGTCCTTGTTGAACTCGCTGTTGTTGTTGCACTCCTTCATCTTGTCTTCTGCTGCTCTTTTATATCTCGCAACGGCATTTAATCTCTCGTCCAACGATTGCTGAGATAACACGTAGACTTCTGAATGGTAATGCATTTCTTGATTCTGTTCCATTAATGATTTTATTTTCTTCATCAACAGGTCGTTCTCCTCACTGTTCCATTGACGCAAATTTTTCAGATACTAAAAAATATAACATAATGTATCCTCAGGGCTTGACTTACTTCCAACTGTTTCTTCATTGCTGAGATTTCAGTATTCTTGTCATTTATGACTTCATTCAATTGATTTACAGATTCATTCAAACTGGCGATCTTGTTCTTCTGATCCACATCTGCTATCCTCAGACCGTTCAGCATCTCATCGCTCTTGTTCTTTTGTCTAACCAATGTTGCGTAATCTTTCTTGTTTTCGGTTAATTCTTCTGTTAATTTCTTCAGATCTTCCTCACACAATTTTAATTGTTCCTTCCCGAGATTCAGTTCTCTGTTTGTTTGTTTTAGACGGTCTTCCAACAAACATCGCTCATTAAAGAATTCGGTTTTCATTTTATCCTCCAATAATTGCTAAAATACGATTAAAGAATGAAAGCGATGACTTACATCTTTCTTGCCCAATCGTCTCTTCAAATCATTTTTCTCATAATTAGATCTTTCAAAGTCTGCCGCTACACTATTGTATAGTTCGTTCAGTCGGTCAAATTCTGTTTGAAGAGCTTCTCGATTACTCTTCACTTCCTTCAAATCCAGATGTAATTTACTCAACTGATTCTCTGCTGCTTTAAGTTGATCTGTCAATCTTCTGTTCTCCTCATCAGCAGCATTAAACTTATTAGTGGCAGCAGAAAGGTCTTTCTTAAGGTCGATGTTCTTCCTCAAGAGATCTTCTTTATCACTTTTGACAGATTTGATCTGCTCGATGAGGTCGGTCTCCCTTGATTGGGCCATCCTCCAACGTTCGGTCATACTGTTTAGTTCTTTGGTTACTGTAACAAAGTCTCTTTCTTTCTCGGAATTCTCCAGATCGGCTCCTTTCTTTTTGAGGTTCTCAATGTCCTTGCTGAACACCTTAATCTCCTCCAACTGAACTCTTCTTTGCTGACTCAGAGCTTCAGCTTCCTTCCAAGCATTAGTATAAGCTTTGATCAGGACGTTATCTATCCGTTCTATCAACTCGTCATCATTAATATTGTCTTCTTTGATGGAACAATTCATGCAAACTGCTCGGAGTTTGCTAACCAGACTTGATAGTCGACCGTTCTCTTTCGTCAGATCTGCTCTCAGTTGTTGAAGCTTCTTGTTTTCTAATTGATACTTCTCTGTTAATGTTCTCAAATTGGCTTTCAACTCATCATTTTCTGTGTCTCTCTTCACCAATTCATTTTCGACTTTTTGAAGACGATTTTGGATGATTTTTGTATTGGCTACAGATAACCGAAGGTTCCTGTTATCTTCATCCGTCGTCTCTAATTGACTTCTGACCAAGTTGAGTTCTTCTTGCAACGCTTTTTTGCTTCGATCACATTGAGAATGAAGTTTTTTCAGCCGTTCCAATTCATCTCTTAGATCTTCTGTCTCGGCTCTTGTATGGTCAATCTCATTGCATTTGTTTTGAATAACAATCTCCAACTGCATTTTCTCCTTCTGAATTTCCTCAACCAGTTTTAATTCCGATTGGAGCCGTACTTCCGTCTGTTTCAGCTGTAAAATTAATATAAATCAAGAGATATATGATTATGCTCGTAATCTCCTTTGGTCTTACCCGATTAATTAGCGAATCCTTTTCTTGGATCACCTTTAACTGGTCGCAAATCTTTTGATCGAGGGATTTGATGTTATTCTTGTAGTTGTTGAGCTCCACAAGGACGGTCTTTTCTTTGACGTGCATGTCATTAGCCTTCTCGTTTAATTGCTTTTCCATCTCCTGGATTTTCTCCCGCAGTTCCTTGCTCACGGTTTCATATCGACTGATTTCCTCGGAGCTGAAAAAGAACGGAAGTGAGCATAGAAGTCACAACTTAACAATCGAAACGTAACCTTTATTTGGGTTAAATCCAATTTCTGTAACTAGTGTGAAACAGTCTCTAGGAAACGGTTTGTCTCTAAACTATCTCAGTCCGCATGACAAACGGTAATGACAGTAGTCAAGTGTCCTCAATCGCTAACAAAAGAATTGGAATAGTATCCAAAAAATACAGTGCCTGTTGCTTTTTTTGGCTGCCATTCTAACCTCTCAGATAGCGTCATAGGCCGATTGTCAGTGATTTCCACTCATTCGGCATATAACGAAGTTTGGCGACCGTTCCAACACTCAAGATGAACTTTAAGCCGTCTGGTAGCGATTACTTGCAACGACTTTGCTAGCGATTTAGGGCGCCCTGAACCAACTTCAACCTTTTGGATCACGACGTAAGCCCCTTTTCTACAATCCTAAGCATTGTCTAGCTATTAAAAATTTAAATGCTACTCATATCGACCACTAAAATTCTGTCGGCCCCAAACGAAACCTGCCCCGAAGGCTAGCCAAGCCTGTGCTTACTTTTTCTTGATGATCTCGACCAAACTATTGTTCTCCATCTGCAATTCTTTGAATTGATCTTCGCGCTGACTTTCATTAAGTTCATCACAAAGCGAGATATTAGGAGCACTGACGAAAGTGTCGTCCATTCTGCATTTCATCTGCTCAATTTTGTTCTCAAGTCCCTCGATCTGGAGTCTGAGGTCTTCATTCTCTTTCTCCATCTGCAATAATTATCGAAATGTGTTACGAGTCTTATCCTCACCTCATCTTTCTGCTCCTTGGTTCTTTGCAGATCTTCGGCCAGTTTCCCTTTTTCTTTTGCGATGCTGGCCTTTTCGGTGAAATCGTATTTCTGATTTAAGAGGGCAGTATTTCGGCCACGAAGTTCACGGACTTCCTTCCGGAGACCGATTATTTCTTGTGCCTGTTCCTGAAAGGAATATCTTCTTACCAGTCGGGTTTTTACTTACATTACAAAGGTTCTTGTTTTGTTTTAGTTTAAGGATCTCGGCCTTTAACTTCTCATGGTCCCGCTCCATGATCTCTAACTTTTGGACCTTATTTTCTAGAGCCGGCACAAATCTGCAGGTCTCTTTGAGTTTGTCATGATCCTTCTGAATCTTTTCCTTTTCTTTTTTGAGGTGATCCAAGTCTTTTTTGTATCTCATTATCTCATCTTCTTGTTCATGGCATTGATTCTCAAGAAAACTCCTAAAAATAAAAGCGTCACAAATGGATCAACAAAAAATTTAAAAAATCTTACGATTTTTCAGTTAGATGTTTGTTTTTGAGTCTGAGATCTTCTATGACCTCATGATATTTCTGTTCATCGGGTGAGGGAATGCGGTCATTTAACTTTAGAATCTCACCAGAATTAGAGCTGGTCTCATCCGACTCCTAAAATATTCCCTTATAAATCTTGTCTGTACTACCGTATCTTCCAACATTCTTGTCAGCAATTTGAACGTATTAATGTGCCGTTCTTCTGCAATTGTTCCAAAAACTTCAGGATGTAAACTGAGGTCGATTATGGGATCACGGCCGTCAAATACCTTCTGCAGATGAAGACCTAGACTTGTTTCTTCCTGATTAACCAACCGTCTTAACTGATCAACAGCCGACGATTTGTGGGTTGTGTGGACAACAGCACCGATCAGTAGAGCTATAAGTTGTTGCAGATCATGGCCACTACGTTCTGAAAACAGTTTAAATCAGCTTCCCATTCAACAGTTCGAATGAAAATACAATTGTCAATTGCTAATTACAAAAAAGGTGATTCAAAAAAACAATCCATCAAAAACTACGGTATCCCAAGATCAGGAAAGGATTCTCACGTCGACCGGATGTTTGCTCACGCCAAAGAAAGGCCCATAAAACGCAACCAATCCTGTAATTGTAAATTTCGATCAAACGGTTCCCCAGGAAAAGCCCATTGTGAGCATAAGGAGAGCAATGGAGCGATCACCCGGGATGGATGGATGTTCCCTTTCATCGGAGAAACTCATAAAATTTGGACGTGTTCGAAGCCGAACCGGTCTCCGGAAGATGCAATTCGTTCTGATTCCGCCCCGAACCTTCTTACGAAACTCACAATAATCCCGTCCGACGAGAAAGTTTTATGGATTCGCTCGGCTAGCGAAAGGGACCGCTCCCGGATCGGATGGACTCGTAAACGCAACACGCAATCAGACGCTCGTGACGCCAAAAGAATTACAAATAAGGAAAAGCCGCCGTAATACCTCCAAAGTAATTGTAAGAAAGCAGCGGGAGAGGGGGAAGATCCGCTGATGCAATCCCGTTAAAAGCCGGCTGGAAGCAAAACAGAGATTCTTGGGCCCTGTAAAGAGTAAATGGCCTCCGATAAGCTGAGTATTCTTAATGGGCGGGCATTAAAAGGCATGGCATCGCACTCATAAACTGGCCTAAGGAGATTGCGCGCCAGAATGTATCAGAAATGAGCATATCCATCTCTTCTATTGGATTCTGATTCATAGACATGCATGAGGAATCTGCAAACACAATATGCCGCCAAAAAAGGAAACCTGGAGAAAATGATGACATTTGTGTGAAACAACCAATCAACATAAGGAGTAGACAAACAGAGATCAGCTCCTTGCCGAGCACTTCCTGTAAACTGATCTCCCATTTCGTAAAAACATAATTTGAGAGCTCTTTAATCCTCGTATCAATATCAAATCCATCCGCGCTGAGAGCCGAATCAAGTGCTGACAAGAGGCCGGATCTGACGGGTTCAGCCTCCCTCCCCTCCCTTTCACCCCACCTGGGTCCACTTTTCAATTCAGACGTCCACTTTTCGAATACTTCCGAACAAACGGGATGTCTTGTCTAATGCACCGGTATTTTATTCAAATCAGAGTCGCAGCTGACCTCTCCGCTCTTTCAAATCCCGCAATCTGACCTTGCCCCCTCCCTTTCCCCTCTCCGCCATAATAACAGATTTTGTGCCCTTCCAGCAAATTGGCACGCAGGAGATCCCGAAAGAATTTTCTTTAAACGAATTAACATACGACGCTTACGGGTCGTAAATATTTCGCTGAAATTATGAAACTAAGTGTCGACCTTTGGCTGAATGATGGGTAATGTTACGGAATAATTGGATTTGGATTAATGCTCGTTTTATCCCCCTAGGGCAAGAAGAAACGAGGTTATACCAAACAAGATATTAACGTTGAGGATGAGAAGGACTATACTGATCCAGGTAAATAAACTTAATCCTCGAATATCCTACCCGGCAGACTGCAGATCGCCTCGTAACAGAGTAATAAATGCTTCCCGAGTTGACTTTACAACCCCTGCAGCATTCAAAATCGGGAATTTAACTGACCTGGACTAGAATTCTGAGATACGTTTATGATATCCGGCAGGGTCAAGGGAATCTTCTCGTGGCGCTGAAAGGAATACTACATTAGTCAGAAGCCTACATTTTATCCTCTTCTTTACAAAATAAAAATTCCATTATATTAAAGGTCATATCCCTTACTTTGAAGAATTGGACCAGGTTAAAGAGAAAGGACTGGAGAAGGGATAACCGATATGATTTGCTGTGGGAACGATCTTTATATTTGATAAATTCGTAGAATGTACATTCGGGGTAACTGAAAATGATGAATATCAAATTGTAAATAAATGTTCAAAGAAAAAACCTTACATTAACTCGAGCAAGGCGTTCAACAGGTATCCATCGCAGATCTCATCGTATCGCAGAGGGCGCCCAATATCCTGAGGGCATCGCCATTTCGGCTCTAAGATCACCGGATTCGGAGAAGATATACATAAACTGAATAAATACGGTAAGTAATGTTAACCCAGCGGTGAAATTAACGGCTTAAGCCGGATTATAGTAAAAATCTAATTGTTTTCTGAACGCTAAAAGCAATGCAAAAAGTAAACATTTGAAGTCATCATTTGCAACAAAACATTGCGTAAGTTTAGTAAGAGGTTTAAGAATTCCAAACAAAAGAGCTCCAAATACAAACAAAATGACCTGTTGCACTTAGAAGAGCACTTACCGGATCCATCGACCCAAAGCGCTGCACCAAAACTGGTCTTCATTCATGGGCACCGTGGAACATGAGGCCGAGCATGAACGGGAACACAGATTAAGCCTGTAATCAATACAGTAGAGGGGAGAGAGTGACCGGGCCCGGATTTCTTGAACAAGGGCCTGTCGGTCCCTCTCGACCGGCGAAAGCTCACGCAATTCACGCATCGAGAGTTAAGCCTTTCCCCTTTGTTCTCCACGCGACTCTTCAGGAAAAGTTCTTCCCGATTATTTTTTTGTCCGCTATAGTCCCGGATAACGAATACTTTATCAGTTCAAGAAACAAACATCAAATGTTACAAATTAAAGCAAATACTTCGATATTATCAACCAAGAAACCAACAAGTTTCGTAAATAAAACTAATGACCATAATCAGAAATGAAAATTCACGGATAAAGAGCTAGAAGAACGCTCGAAAAATCTAAAACAATTCGACACAAACCTTGGGTATCTTCATAATACATTGCGATGGGTGATTAATCCCTCTTTGTGATCACGGTGATTTGAAGAAATAAATTTTGCGAGCTTAATTAACGCTGTTCTTAATTAAAGGATTACCATAACAAGAAGTGGAAGAAGTGATAAAAGGGATTAGGAATTCGAATCAAAAAACAATTCAAATTAATCGAGGAAGGGGAAGGCTGAAAAAAAAGTAATTCAGAGGAATCCAGGCCCGGGAAGACGAAAGACCTTGATCGCCATCATTAGAAGGGTAGGAGGATGCTTTATTCAAAATCCAAGAGAAGCGAACACCTTGTCATTAACCTTTCATCTCCCGCGCATTCCGGTATCCAAACGACGAAACGCATGGAACATGAGGTGTAAAAACACAAGACAAATGTCTGGGGTATCGTCGTTTAGCCGGTGATACGGTTATGGGGTAGTAAATCAATTGAAAACTGAAGGTATTAGCCCTGGGGTTCAGGTTGGGAAGAAGTCGTGATGTTTTCCGCTTAGTAAGACGACATTTCTTGATCCAACAACCTTGAAATGTAACCGACTCTATCCGAAACACGGACCAACCCGAATAAAATTAAATTATTTCGGGGTTAAGGAAAGTCGCGCAGGCCAGATCGGACCTGCTTGCCACCTGGACAGGTTCGAATGGGCTGGGCAAAGATGGAGGTGGGAAAAGGCGCCAGGACGCCATTCTCGACTCCGCTTGCTTGTGCCTGCCCGGTTCAATCGCGGACCCACAAAAAAGGGAACGAATCCAAAAAGTGAAAATACTCAAATATGAGCCAAGGTCCGCGACGATCGGACAAAACCCGGCTCGAGAGTCACTTTACTCACTCGGAAGGAATTCGAAGTAAGAGAACAGGAAGAGGACCAAAAGTACACAATAAATATATAGGAGAGTAAAAAAAACAGGCCGAGGTCACTCATTAGACAACGAGAAGTGTCCGCGCTAAACATCAGGCCTCGAAGATATCTCTTGTCTCGAGGGGAGAAACTTCATAAAATAAAATCAAAAAAACAACAATGAAACTCGATCGTATTCATGTTCGGAGATAGATTAGAAGGGCTGGGTGGGCGTCTCGGGGTAGGTCGGAGTGTTGACCAGGCAATCATGGCCAGAAAGATCCACATTCGGTGAGTAAAAACCACCGTTACCATCTCCATTGCCTAGATGACATATATTAGCGTTATTTCATAATAATAACTACCAGGACTCCATAAAAGTTCGAATTCGAACCTGGCTATCAAAAATGACCGAATTTGAACTTGGGTTTTGAATTTTGTGGAGCCTTGGTGATGACTTACCGATAGAAGTGCGGGCAAAGGAATTATTTGTGTTTACGAGGTCAGAAGGACTGTCGGTGCCCTCCTTCAATCGTTTACTGTCAACTTCCTCTCTAAAATAAAAAATACAAATCATGAAATATTTCCGAATAGAATGAAGAAACTCTTCTTACTCAAAAGAGGCTTTTCTCTTCAGATTGCTGAACAAAGTTGGTGCTGGTTCGTCAAGTTCTTTCTCGAGTTTCAGATGTTCCAGGTAATGGGTCTGAAGTTTCCCAGGATCATTCCCAAGATCCTCCAAAAAGTCCAATTTCCTTTGAGAGAAAATAAATTTCTGTTCAACAGAGAGATAGCGACTGTCAATAGCAAAGTCAAAGGCATCGCAGACATCCCTTTCGTGGAAACGACTAGAGCTGAACGCGATGTCGACTAATGTCATATACAGTTGAAGGTTGTCCTAGAAGCAGTGCTAAAAATCAATATAATTTATACTACCTTGTCCCGAGAAATGGCCTCCTTGATGACCTTTTCGGCCGCTTTTTTGTCATGGCGCAACTTCAGATGGATCCGGGCCAGCTTCATGGCATAGAAAGAAGAGACTCTACGTGAATTCCCAGGTTCATTCATCAGCTTTTCAAACTTGGAGATCGTAGATGAGTAGTCCGGAGACTTGTCTTTTCCGTTCTTACGTCGGCTCACGTGAATTTTGCGAAGTGAAATAGATGCATATCCAGGATATTGGCGATCGAAATCATACAAAATTGCTGCAGCGGCTCCATAATCACCTAAAAAGATTGCAACATACAAAAGTTTACTTGTCAAGGATTGTCTCTGATCATTTTTTTACTCTAACTTCTCCAAGAACATCTCGAAGTTGACTACTATCGATACACCTTACCACGGCAGATTCTCTATCTTGTTACACTTATTTGACTGCTTCTCAGTACCAAAATAATAATCCTATGAAAAACCCAAACTTCCCTAATTTGTCAAACAAATCCATCGGTTCCGTTTTCAAAACTTTTTCTCAAAACCGAAAAAACAATAACCGTTATAAGAATATTTGAAATCAATAGTATGACAGAGATGTCTTGATTACCATGTTTCTCTTCAAACAGACTGTAAGCGAGATGAATGCCAGGTTTCCTCGAGCAGTGAACCTCTGATGCCCTCTTGAACACTTCCCGAGCTCCATCCGTATCTTTGATCGAATCCAGATAAACCGCGTACTATAAGACAAAATATAGAAAAAAATAAAAAACATACCTTAATCCACATTTCCTCATAAAGAGCACAAGAAATGACACATCTTTCGAAAAGTACTTGGATTCTCTTTTTCTTCTTTTCTTTGATCTCAAAGTCCAAATATTTGTACCAGTTAGATAACTGATCTCGTTCCAATGGCTTAACGTGAAAATATGGACGCCGAATCTGTAAATCGATTACTACAATAACAAACGACTCCACATGCAGCAACAAAAGAATATAATAAACTTACAGAATTTTCATACTTCAGCCGAGAATTAATTTCAACTTCGTTGGCTAAATGAAGTTTCGTTCTTCTGTCAATAATCTCATCTCTATACGCAATTAATGCTACAGGCATGTGCTTCCTTCGCGTAACAGTTCTCTTGGTCTGCGATTCATCAATTACCTCTTCATCGGAAATATCTTCCTCAAATTCCTCAATAATAAACAACGGAGCACCGTCCAAGTCGTTCTTTATTTTGTCATAAATCTTGTCAGTAATAGCCTCGTATTCTTCCATACTTAGAATTTCATCGGGTTCTCTTTCTTCAACGAACCTTCTGTATCTTTCAAAATGTCCAATGTATCCTTGCGTGGGTGTGGAAAGAACAATATCATAGACTTGACTGGCTTTCTGATATTCACCATTTTCAATCTCCCAATCGATGTACTGAGTCCACAGTTTGTCTGATCGAAACTCCATTCCACATGCCTCCAATGCCCTCAGGTAAATTCTAAACTCCAAAATAAATGGAACCTTATGGAAACCTACGCTCTGATCTTCGCATCTGCTTGCCGCTGACCCTGAGCAATTTCCTTGATATAACTGATGTAGCTCAACCACAAATCAACGCTAAGTGATATTTCTTGGAGGCCTCGTTCATAAACCTAGAAAAGATTTTAGACATCAATATCAACGAATGTATTGCCATTTAAAACTTACATTTAAAGCCTTCTCATATTTCTTGTGTCTCTTCTGCATCTCTGCATATTTTCTCCAGTAACCATAGCAAAAAGGATACCGTTTCAAAAAAGATTCGTAGGCACCTTCAGCTTGATCCAACTCGTCCTTCTGCTCCACATATTGTAAAAGCCTTGTCCAGCCATCAAACGAATATGGATCATCCTTCACCACTCGCCATAACTCTCTTGCCCCATCATCAACAGACAAGCTGAATGAAAAATACCAGAATTAACGAAACTGCTACCTTCTACTGCGACTTCGTCGAGTTCTTTCCCCACTTCGGCTCCGATCTCGGCCCATTGTAACAAAATTAATTCAAATTAAACAAATGTAAATAAATAGCAATTGTAAACAAAACTCTGTTATCATAAACAACAGAATGTGGCCGCCCACAGAAGCAAAAAGAAAAGGCTAACGCGCCTACGTTCTGCATCCTGCATGCGGCTCGCGCCCAGGCCAGGTTTCGACTTGCGCCCAAAATAGAAAATTCCAATTTCTGCAAATTTTCTGTCGTGAAAAAATATTCAGCTTGCCCGTAATAGGCCTACCCTCTTATACGAAGGTAAACCACTGTAGAATGTCTGAAGAAACAGATTTTGAAGGAGAACGGCCTTCTACTAGCCAAGGAATTATTCAGGAGTTTGATATCGATGCCGCAGCTAAAGAAATTTTCGAATCCGATAAAAGCTTAAGGTATCTGATTGGTAATCCATTCCGAGATCATGAAACACACAAATTAAGACGCACAGACCGGTGTTATGTTAACAACGAATGGTATGTATCTGGTAAGTTTAGTATACGGCTTGCTTTGATTTTAGGATATATTGTGAGACGGATAAACAATTCGGAGGACGTCGTCTACTCGCAGATTGTGAGTATCTTCTGTGGAAGCAGTGGGTTTTTAGCTTCATTGGTTGATCTTGTTCTTGCCGACGGTTGTGATGGTCAATCAAATCTGTTTAAGCCGGAGAATTATCAGTTAGGGGAGCCAAATCAAAATTTTCTGAATGTACGAGATTTGAAAGTGGTTTATGAATGCCCAATTGTCGAGGGATACTTTGATCCCAAGACAATAAGTGTGGATTCAAGTAAAATACGGTTTTGGAACCTTTGCTGTGAAAATATTGAGAAAGAAAAAGTAGAAAAATTAAAGACAAAAACTTCAGATATAAATAAAAATTATCCTTAAATTTACGTGAATATATTTATTCGTTTGTAACGTGTCAATATCTGCTTGTTTAACATTGTTTAACTTATGTTTGGTTGGCCATGAATAACTTCCCAAGGGTTCTGAGAAACATCCCGAGACCCCATCGGGTCGAAATAGAAGATTCGCTCTTTTCTCCAGGTCCAAGGTGAGTAATATCGTCACTGTTAAATCTTTTTTATATATTAGTTTGCGAAGAGGTCAACAGTTGTGGATTTGTCATCTATGTATGGGGGTTCTTAAAGAAGATACTGGGATTATATGTTGTACTGGATGCAAGACGTTGTTTTGTGGTCCTTGTATGCCTCAGACCACTGTTCGCTGTAGATCATGTGGAAGGAAACGAGTTCAATTTATCAAGACGATTTTGACAACAGGTGGAGATTCGGATGACGAGGAAGAGGTAATTTTCGTTATATTAAGCGTCTAATCCACGATTAATTCAGTCTCTGGAAATGGAACAGGACGTCCAACGTTTACAGAAGGAAATTGAGAGTATTCAGAAACAAATGGATTCCGACGCCATTAATTTTAGAGACAGAAGGGTAATAGTAAGTATTTCCTTCAGGCGATTTCTTATGCCGGGTTTGCCCGTTATGACTATGCTTTTTTAGTTGGAATCGAAGTTAACGGCGTTTGGAAAGGGAGGGGAGATGGCGGCAGCCAAGGTCTCCAACGTAAAGAACCGGATTGCACAGATTAATCAGAAAATCAAAATCTCCAATTAGTAAGTATCTAAAACTATTCGAAACTTTAAATTTTAGTGTGAGCGCTATGGATAACGGGGTCGTGGTTCCTTGGAAGGTAAGCCCGAACGAAGGAGGAATTCTGATGGACGTTTCGTTGTGGTAAGTATCTCTTATTTTGTGTGTATTGTTTTTTTTTAGTGCTGAAAAATATTTTAAACAGCAATGTTTGAATCTCGAAAAAGAGAGCAATGATAGAAAAGCGGAACTAAAAAATGTAGAAAGACGACAAAAGAATTGCCATAGTTTCTTGGATGAGTTGAGGGAGGATGTTATCCGAGAGGAAGAAATGGAAAAACTCGAATCCCTGTAAGTTAAGGAATTTCAAAGATATTACAGTAGATTGGGCCCGGTTTTGTCCCCACCCCGGTTTTGTCCCCAAGACGGTTTTGTCCCCAGGACGTTTTTGTCCCCAGACCGGTTTTGTCCCCAGGACGGTTTTGTCCCCAAGACGTTTTTGTCCCCACTTTTTTTATTTTTTTTCCCCACACCGGTTTTGTCCCCAGGACGTTTTTGTCCCCAGGCTGGATAGTACGATTAAAAAGCATGCATTCAGATGTTAATGCTGTTGGTTTGGTGCACAGTACTGCTCAAACAACATGTTCTTAGCACTTGGTACTGTATAGTACAAGGTGGTACTATATAGCACGAGGTAAAAATTAAGCCATAACGCGTGAATGACGTTGTTTTGGTATGCAGTACTGATCAGACGTTCATTTTGTACAAAAACAAATTCGTGCTATATAGTACCATGTGCTAAAACACATTTTTGAGAAGTACTGGGCTTCAAACCCATAGCATTGACGTGTTATGGCTTAATTTTTACCTCGTGCTATATAGTACCACCTCGTACTGTACAGTACCAAGCGCTAAGAACAAGTTGTTCGAGCAGTACTGTGCACCAAACCAACAGCATTAACATCTGAATGCATAATTTTTAATCGTACTATATCGTACTATCCAGCTTGGGGACAAAAACGTCCCGGGGACAAAACCGGTGTGGGGACAAAAAAATAAAAAAAGTGGGGACAAAAACGTCTTGGGGACAAAACCGTCCTGGGGACAAAACCGGTCTGGGGACAAAAAGGCTCGAAAAAAGTGGGGACAAAAACGTCCTGGGGACAAAACCGTCTTGGGGACAAAACCGGGGTGGGGACAAAAACGTCCACTACGATTACAGTATCTCTCGTTTACCAACTTGCAATTACAGTATCTCTCGTTTACCAAAACGAAAGGCGGAGGATGACGAGTTTGATATGGACGAGGGCATCAACGCCGCCCACGATTCAAATAACTCTTTTCTCGGTGTGGAAAACAAGAAGCCAAGATTGTCAGAAGAAGCTCTCATTGTCAATTTCGATCATTTAATTGAACAAACAAAGTAACAACAAAATCCTAATTGCAATCGTCGGAGGTGAGTCTAATATCCTTTTTCTTCCTTGGCATCCTCAGAGACCTTGATTGAATATCTGTCTAGTACATATTCGGGAGGTATACTTGGGGCTCCTGTTGTCAGACAGCGTCCTTCTTTTGTTTTTGGAAACGCGATCACATCTCGAATTGACGCCGTCGAATCACCCTCAGCTGCCAGTAAAGCAATATAACGGTCAATTCCTAAGGCGAATCCAGCATGAGGAGGGGCCCCCATAGATAGAGCTTGCAGAAATCCTTCCTGAAATGTAATATATAAGATCATAACGTTGGGAAATACCAAAGGTTCAATCGGTAGTTGGAGAATTTCGATTATGTGTCTCTGAAGGAGGCAATTGTGGACTCGAACAGAACCTCCTCCCAGTTCAGATCCATTCAGAACTAGATCATAATGTTGAGCTCGGATTTTCGTTAAATCGTGTTTATCCTTTAATTTGTCCAAATCTTCAGAAATTGGCGCCGTAAAAGGATGATGGGAACTTTGGAGTTGGTCATCTTCGATGCAAAACAATGGGAAATCAACTACCCACAGCCATTCAAACCCTTTTGATCTCATCCCGCCGACTTCTCCAACAAAGTTTCTCAACGTTCCCAATGTTTCCTGACATGTTTCTAATTTTCCCCAACTGAAATTTTTGAATTTTGTAGCCTAATCGTTGAAATAACCACATACAAACCAAAGTAACTTACCTGAATACGACTATGTCATTTTCTCGAACTCCATTAATTTGTATAAAGGACTCTGCATCAAAGTTTTTAAATGGATTCTCTTTGTGCAGATTCACCGCTCTCCACTTGGCGTTATCATGTTTCATCTGGATGAGTCTCTTCCATTCTCTTTTTCTGAATTTATCTTCATAATTAACGGCCCCTTTGGCTATAAATGCTTGACATTTCCAATCTTCAAACGTCTTCAGCGGACTTGAGCTCATAGCCTGAGTGCAATCAAATATTTTCCATGGTACTCTGAGGTCAGGCTTGTCGGTTCCATATTCTCTCATCACTTGTTCATAAGTCATTCTTTTAAAAGGGGTCTGCGGAACGTAATCTGTTAGAACGTCGGGCCATGATGATCGGATGAGTTCCTCGACTAGGCCAATAACGTCTTCCTGTCCAGCAAATGACATCTCTAAGTCCAACTGGGTGAATTCCGGCTGTCGATCTTGCATTGATCCCTCATCGCGGAAACATTTAGCGATTTGAAAGTATCTGTCAACACCACCAACCATAAGAAGTTGTTTGAAAATTTGAGGACTTTGAGGGAGCGAATAGAAGTGACCTCTGATCTTGCCGGAGGGCACAATAAACTCGTGAGCACCTCCAGGTGTCCACTGGCTCAAGATTGGAGTCTCAACATCGACGAATCCACAGTTTTCGACCAATATCTTCCGAAATTCATGTATTAATTGAGATCGTAATCTAACAAAGTATATTCAATTGCGGGATTTCCTACCGAAGATTCTTTTGCATTCTTTCTGATCTCAAATCAAGGAATCTGTTTGCTAGTTTAGTTTGTTCCTGCGCATCTACTTTGGAATGAATGGGCAGATTGACCGGGGCGAGATTGAGAACTTGAATGTCTTCAGCCAGCACCTCAATGTCTCCAGTTGCCATACTTTTGTTACTATTTTCTCCTCTGTTAATTACAACGCCCTCCACAGCAACCACAGATTCATGGGGAACGTCTTTCATGAAGCCGGACATCTTCTCTGGCGTAAGAATTTGGACCGTTCCATAAGAATCCTTGAGAACAAAGAATTTATTGTACCTCTTATAAGACACCCATCCCTTCAGCAGCACTCTGTTTCCTGGAGGTATTATTTACGTTCGAATATCTTATTCTTACCTTCATTTTGTATTCGTAGTTGGCCACAGTTGTGGCTTCGTTGGGTGAATCGATTTACAACTGCAGTTCTCGAACACAGTACATTTGAGATCTTCATCTACAAAGAGTGGATGGCCTGGCCGTTCCCAAGCCCAAGTATTTGTCGACAAGACTATTGGACAGATTCAATAATCCGAAGTAAACTAATCTTTTTTATCACATTCAGAACCCGTATTAATTAATTAACAACATGAAAACAATAAGAATCAATTATACTCATGAATATCAGACAAGATGTCGTGGAAGGACTTGGCCCAATCCCATAAAAAAGGATGCAAACGGCCGAGGGGGACTGGAGAGAAGTTCGTGATGTTCTTTGGAGAGCGTGTTGTAAGCAAAGGTACCAAAGATAAACTGATCGACCGCGTCCAGAGTCTGCTCTTCCGATTCCAAAATATTAACATCTAGAATGTCAATTTGAATAACTGCATAAAATTGTTATCTTACCGGGAAATGTAGAATTGTAATTCTTTGATGGGTCTGGCTTCTCGTATTCTCGACAAATAGGTCCAGGAACAAATGCAAGGCCATTTTTGGAGTAGAGGTGCTTGCTGTAGATCATATTCAGCATTTGTCGGAGGGCAACGGAATCATATTGGGCGTCCAGTTTAACGCAACATCCCTAAAAAAGGCGCTTACAATATTAAAATTGATACTTACTTCGCACACAACCTCGTTGATTGGAATAAGTTGTTGAACTCTGTTACTCATTAACTTTTTCTTCACGTTATCGAATACCTGCGGTCTTCTGTTCGACGCTAAGGCTTGCAACTTCGAGCTAGCTTTCAATAGGTTCGAATATTCCGTCCCCAAAGTGCCGAGTAACTTCAGAAGATTACTGGGATCGTTTTTTCTTCCAGCAGCTTCATCCAATTTTCGAAGAGAATCCACCAAATCCGCAATCTAAAGGTAAACCTGGTCAGAATACAGTAACCTACTCGTTCCTTTACCAAATTTTTCTCTTCCTGTTCTGTAGTCACATCAGTCGGTCCCTTTAGAAGCTCAGAAATCCTTCTTTTCCTTCCTTTCCTTCTTCTTCGCGTCTTACTTGATACAGTTTGAGCATCAACTCCTTGGACCAAAGTGGATTGGACATCTCTTTTTATTTCCTCGACCGGTTCTCGCAACGCGTCAAAATCTGCAGCAATACTATGTTCGAAAGCTCCTTGGCTGCTCTCAAGCTCCACCTCAACGTTCTTGTTGTCTTCTTCCTCCTGAACAGCATCTTCGTTATCATCCTCTTGGTCTCTTCGATCTTCACCTCCTTTTTTCTCATTTTCTTTCCACATTTGTTGTTCAATCTCCCTCAGGTCTGTCTCAACTTGTTCAGGATCTTCTTCCTTCACCTTTAATTCTTTCACTTCTTCATGAAGGTCTTCTTCGTCCAACTTCTGATCCAAATCTTTTAAAAACGGATCACTCAGATCCAGAAATGAGACAAAGTCAATGTTCTCCCTGAACTTTTGAATCAGCAATTCATCTTTGGTCCGTTTGGCCCCACAACAGTATAAAGCAGCAGGGTCGATGGGATGGGCTTCTGTATTAAATATCCAACCACCGCCTAAGGAAAAAAATATAAAAAATATACACCACTAACCGTAGACCACACATTCGCCAGCTGGATGGTCAAATACTCGTGCATGAGATCCGTCAGAATGGATGAAATTTTCTGGATCGAATATTAAATATAGATACTTTGTGGTTTCGGCCAGAAAAAACGATTCCATTCGATCTTCTAACGTCCGTTTGTTGATGTCTTTGATGGTTGCATATCCACAACTCGTTTTACTGTTTGCTTCGATGGAATCCACTATCCCAGCAGCCATGTGAAGATAATGAGGGTCATCCGTCGCTTTGTATAGATACATCATACTCTCAACGATCTCTGGACGCAAAGGATATCCCGATCTCTTGTCCACCTTAACATAAATTACGAATACATCCTATTTCTCTTACTGCTTCTCTGTTAGGAAGATTGTAAAACTCCGGAGGAACCCCGTACTGCCGGTTAACTTGATCGTATGTTAACATTATTCTAGCAGCATCTTCCACTTGCCCAACCAGAGCTAATACTCCAGGCCAATAGGCTTCCAACGATTGAAAAACAGGAAAGTTAACGGTGCCTCTGGACATGGAGACCCACATGAACCAATCCTCCTTCCGAATATATTTATTGATGGCATGGGAATACTCTAAACCCATCACAAATAAATAAGAAGTTGATGACTTACCATTGAATTGATACATAAATAATGGCCTCTGGAACAAAAGAGCGCCTTTAGCAAGGTATTCAAAGTACGAATCAACTCCAGCACCAATCCCGGCATCAGTAGCAGTCCAAGCACCTAAAATGATATAAAAATAAATAAAAGGAGTACCTGTCTGAACATTGATATGATTCCCCACCAGACCAATAGGGCTTTTGGTAGCCCATAATGACTTTAATGCTCTCAGGGCAACCCGTTCGTAAATCGGATTTCCCGTTAATCTCGATAAAGCTCCAAACTCCAATATAAATGTGCCGACTCCAGCTGTGCAAGTTATCGGAGTCTCGTGAATATCAACACCGTATCTCAGATTCACCGTTCCAAATGGCATTCCAGTCTCGGTGTTGAAAGCTGGAAGCAATTTTTGAGCAAACTTCTCAGCCAACTCCAGTAGGGGTCCAGCACATGGCCATCCGGAGTGAAGGTCCATGTCTAAAACAATAAAAACACCTTTTTAAGATTTACTTTTCACTCTCCCAGACATCATGTGAGCCGACAATAATCCCCCAACTACACGTATATTTGTTTCGAACACAGAAACATTAACATTTGCATCTACATCAACATTCGCAAGTATAAGATCGACAGCTCTAATAAATTCAGTCTCATTACCCATAATCAACAGGGTGTCTAGGGCATCAACCAAGGTCAGACTGAAGCTGCCCCAAGTGTTCATACCTAAATGTGTTATAATTAGGTACTAGTCGCGGAAAAAAGTCCTGGGATTTTTCTGCGACTCTGCACTGTGCATGAACCCGAAAAGTGCTTTTGCACAGTGCAATTTTGTTGATTTTGCCTTATTGTCGCGCGCGACTCCCGCGACAAATCAACTTTTCGGAGCGCGACGGAATTTGGGGGGCGCGAGAAAATCCCAGGACTTTTTTCCGCGACTAGTAACAAAACATCCTTACCTGTACAAGAAAGAGGTTTTAATTCATCAAGAGGATACGCATGATTTAAATACCCGTTGTAAGCATGATAAAACATAGTCCGGACTTTCTCTCTGAATAAAAAGAACTTTAAACCATTTGATAAACTTTTTACCTATATTGCAATACCCTTTCTGGAGGAAAGTCGGTAATCAAGGAGAAGCAACCAAAGACGTTTAATATGAATATACATTTTAGAAGCACGTGTTTTATTCGCATACCACACAAATCTACGTTCCATAAAACATTTGACAATTTTTTTACTAAAAAAATATTTTTTACAAAATGTGGGAGACTTGACCGAGTCAACTCTTTCATTTAACCTACAACCTTTTAGTAAAACTAGTTACCTACGTGCAGGGTGGTTAACTACCCTGCACGGACGGGCTGGGCCTGAAAAAAGGACTAGACACATTTGACGGGCAGGGGTGCGGGCCGAAAATCCAAAAAAAAAACATGTCGCCACCCTGCCTGCAATTTAAGAGGCGACGGATCCTAATACGAGTGTAAACACCATGGTTATTACATATGATTTGAATGGTTGAACTTGAATTGTTTGTGCTTACTTATGAATTAATCACAATAGTTGATGGCCATACTGCAATTATTCGCGTTTTAGACTTGTTGATGACGTAGCAGTCATCAATAGCCTAGTTGCTTCCTTATCGTTCCAAAACATGTTTTTTTTCTGACGGCGGTATCTCTTTCATTTTGCATAAAATTTGGCAGTTTTCTTTAAAAGGGCTTTTGAGTCTCTTGGGTTAAAAAACGGAGATTCCCTTGGTCGCTGACTGTTCTGAATATAAAAGGGAGGGAGGCCATTCGTCGATTTGTGGTGTTTTGCGCTTTATTCCCGCTTGTCTTTTTTACATTCCATCGATATCTGGCCTCAAAAAAGTTGGAAATAATGAATAATCAGAAGCCTTCCTTCTCCCGGACGATGGATAACCTGGGTAGGATATTTTCGCTTTATTCTGCGATAAAGTAAACAGTTTGTTATGCATGTAAACCCGCAACCCCAGTGCTTTCTTAGTCACTTTATAATAACATCAGGCCGTGAGATGTTTTAAACTGAGGATCCGACGTTTTTTTTTCTTTCTCCATTCGTAAAGCTCGCCCCCTCAAAGAAAGGTTTTATGGCAGTTGCTTGAAATAGGGCCCAAGTCTTTTTTCGATCGCTTTTCACGTACCTCCCGATCCAAATCATGCCCGTTCAGAAGGGTCAATTCGTCGATGCAGTTAAACCTGCCTTGGGTAAGTCGATGAAATGATTTTCTGCAAACCTCGCGTATAAATAAATTAACCGGCTGCATTTTTCGAGTGAGGGTGGCAGCTGTTTTTTACACGCGTAAAATGGGTGCGTAAAATGGAAACGTTTCCAAAAACAATTCTAACATATATACTAACAGAGTATGCAAAAGTAAAATTATGAGTTTATGGATTTGGAATTTGTAATGATGCATAATTTTAGAAGGTCTTCTGACAGATCTGCAAAGGACTACAGAAGTCCTGCGTCGACATAATCGGAAAAGTAAAGATTATGATGACAAATGGGAGTCCACCTCTTCCCAATTCAGTTACCGAGCCAAGAGAACTTCAGGAGTGGAAAATGGAGACCTCGACCGGTCGTTGAGGTCAGCTTTGGATAGTAGATACTCCTCTCATAATGATGTTAGAGGTCAGTCGACTGGTCGTGACTCCACTTATCGCGATTCCCTAAGGGAATCTGGACGAGATTCGACAAGATTGGACAGTTCTCTAGACCAAACTCTACCAGCCGACTTCCAGACCATCCCTCGAGGCGATTGTGGACAATGTGGGCAGGCTATTGTTGGTGAGGTAATTGTTATTTCTAGTTAATCAGTTCTAAATTTGAATGAATTTATGGAACATTTCATAAAATTTGACATGACATGAAACTTTTTTGTTGATTTCCATTTAATTTCATGTCATTTGTTGGCATTTCCAGGTTATCATTGCTCTCGGGCAGATGTGGCATCCCGAGCATTTTACTTGTTATCAATGTGGAGATCAAATTGGCCATAAGCTGTTCTTTGAGAAGGATGAGAAGGCCTATTGCGAAGATGATTATCATGAGAACTTCTCTCCTCGGTGTGGTTACTGTCAATTGCCTGTAAAAGAAGTAAGATTAAAAGGGCTTGAAGTTATTGTGTTCAGAGAGCCATCAGTGCCTTAGGGAAGACCTACCATCAAGAACATTTTACTTGTGCCCAATGTGGGAAGGCCCTGGACTCTGAGGGATACCACGAGAAGGATGGATATGCTTATTGCAATGAAGATTTCTATCAGACTTACGCCCCGAAGTGCAAGGGATGCGAAAAGCCGATCACGGCCAAGTTTATCACTGCTCTCGACACGCACTGGCATCCGGAATGCTTTGTTTGTGATGTAAGTATATATAATTTTAAATGTACATGTATTATATGTATATGAATGTTGATTTCAAAGCGTAATGGTTTGCCTTTGAAAGGTTTCTGTGACTTTTGTTATGTTGTTTGCTCTTGTTTTTTACATTGCTTTAGGTGTGTTCTGAATCTTTGTTTGAGTCCACTTTCCACCAAGATGGCGTCACCTTTCTTTGTCGGACCCATTATCTCCTGAAGTACGGGAATGTCTGCTATCAATGTCAAGAGCCCATTGCTGGGAAATGTGTGACAGCTTTGGGTCGAAAGTATCATCTCGACCATTTCTGTTGTTGCTACTGTAATAAGATGCTGTGTTCGGGAACATTTAAGCATCTACATGGTCGTTTGTATTGTTCCCCTTGTTTTGATCGCGTTGTTGTTTAATGTTTAAACGGCTATTTATAAAACTTTAAGGCCGATGATCACTTTGCCAAACAATGCCCTATGGCCATAACGTACTTCGAAGAAGAGCCATACTTTTAATTGTGAATAAAATACTATTCCTCCTCATTTTGTTTTTTTCCAATAAAGATTTCTACATGAGTATGACAGTTTGTGTCCGATAACAGTTGTTGAGTTGCGGGAACTGATAAGTTGATTGGAAATAGAAATGGTTCAATCATATTTTACTTTTGAATGGCAAGGAAAACTTACATGCCGACGGAAAGCTTTCACGAAGTGCCTTCGTGCATTCAAGCGACCAATTCGGGAATTCATTATCTTTATGTCGTTCGAATTTGCGAACTCCCGGTTAGAGAGAGACTTGGCCCATTTTGGAAAACACTTGACTTGCCTGATAATTCGTTTTTTCTCGAGATTCTCGACATGTTTGATATTACACTGTTGTGGGAAGTTTAATAATGCTGGGGCGAGGAAACGGGTTCGTATTGTTTCTACTTCTGTTTGTATCGTCGCTTCTGGGCTCGATCTTCTTTCTTTTTCCGTTTGTGCCACTTGCCTTCTTTGCCCCAAGGCTATGGCGCTTTGTAGCTGATCGATTCGTAGGGTATTGGCTAACATTTCCAGCCGTAAGTCTTTTTGTACATTTTATTCTTTTGGTTTAGAGCATTGTATTCTTCTTGTTCGGTGTCAAAATCCGGGTCACGGGAGATCTTATACGCCGAGATGAGCCCGCGATTATTATCATGAACCACAGAACACGCTTGGACTGGCTATTCTTCTGGAATGCCTTATATAAAATGGATCCTTGGCTCTTAACGACGGAAAAGATCAGCCTGAAAGCCGAGTTGAATAAAATACCTGGCGCAGGTAAGTGGAAAATGGAAATGAATAATAGTTCTGATTCAGGGTGGGCGATGGGATGTGGCTCATACATATTTCTTAACCGGAATTACTCAAAGGACCACCGGGTTCTCGAGACCATGATTAAATACTATAAAGATTCGAGTTATAAATATCAGGTGAGCTAAGGGGGATGGGAGTAATGTGCAAAGTTCAGGGTTTAAATTAACTAATGGTTTCATTTTTAGTTGTTACTCTTTCCTGAAGGGACTGATAGAGGTATTAGAGCGACCGATCTAAGCCATAAGTACGCGGATGAGAACGGTCTTCCCCGGTATGATTACATTCTCCATCCTCGGACAACCGGATTTAATTTCATACTCAAAGAAATGAAAAAAAGTAAGAATATTAGTTGTTGTTTTACTCCTGGATTAAGGGGACTACATAAAATATGTTTACGATGTCACTGTTGGTTATCCAAAAGGCATCGTCAATTCGGAAGTTGAACTTCTGAGAACGGGAAAGGTCCCCGGAGAAGTTCATTTTGATATCCGAAGGTATAATGTAGAAGAAGTGATTGGAAAGGAGGAACATCATCCTTCCAATTGGCTGAAAAATATATGGATTGAAAAAGAGGAGAAGTTAAGAAAGTTTTATGAGGAAGATGGACAATTTGAACCCTCAGGAGAAGACTCGGCAATATGGCCAGTAAGTTCAGAAGAATAAAAATATCGTATTTTAGGTGGAATCTTTCTCCATTGGGTATTACGTTGCTTTCTCCATATGGACATTGCTCTCGATCTTTTGGATATATTGGATTTATGCAAGTTTCTATGTGAAGATCTACGTCCTAGTAGCTGTTCTGTTCTTCTCCTTTGCTCATAAATCAAAAGGCGGTGTGGAATTTCTGTTTCTCGAGTGGTTTTATGGATCTCACCTCTTCCTGGCGTGATGCTCTGTTGATTTTTTTGACAACGTCAACGGGTTGGAATGTATAACATAAAATGAAAATCTGTAAATAATAAATGGATAGACTTTAGTTTACAAGATTTTTGATATTGTTATATTCATTCTGATACTTTGCTTAACTCTCCCCTTCAATTTTTATGTATAATCACATTGTTTTAGGTAAATACGATGGCTGAGCCACCAGTCATTAAAAAAACGACCGTTTTCGAAAAGATTCGGGGATGGGTCTTCGTAATCTGCATGTTGTTATCTGCATTTCTAGGAACAATCTATATTTTGATGCCTTTAATGCCACTGCTTTTTGTCAGACCTCGATTATATCGGAAACTGGTTGACAGGTTTGTTGGATTTTGGTTGGTTCTACCATCTGTAAGTTTTTAAAAATCTTTAAACTTATTCTTCCTATTGTATAGGGTTTAATGGAGTACGTCTTTGGTGTCAAGCTGGTAGTCAGAGGTGAATTGGTGGACAGAAATAAGCCCGCCTTGATTATCATGAACCACAGAACAAGACTGGACTGGCTCTTCTTCTGGAATGCTCTTTTCCGAATGGATCCCTGGCTTCTGACCACAGAAAAGATCTCCCTGAAAGGAATGTTGAAACATGTTCCTGGTGCTGGATGGGCGATGGCCTCCAACTGTTTCATATTTCTGGATAGAGTCTTCCAAAAGGATGGCCCGAGGATAGAAACATTGGTAGAGTACTACTCAAACCTTGGTTTTAATTACCAACTTCTCTTATTCCCTGAGGGTACAGACAAATGTCCGATTGCTACTGCTAATTCCAAGAGATTTGCTGATAAGAATGGCCTAGTTCATTATGGTTACGTTCTCCATCCAAGAGTCACCGGATTCACCCATATTGTTCAGAAAATGAGAGAGTGCAATTACATTGATAACATTTACGATGTAACTGTTGGATATCCGGAAGAGATTGTACAATCTGAGCTTGATCTGGGCGTTCTTGGAGCTTGTCCCAAGAAGATCGTCTTTGATGTCCGGAAGATTGAAATGAAAGATGTACCCAAAGAGACGGAACAACTTGGGGAATGGCTGGTAAAACTGTGGGAAGATAAGGAGGTGAAGTTAGAGAAGTTCTACGAGAAACCCCTTTCGCAGCGAGTCTTTGATACCAAGCCCGGGGACGTCGAGTTTAAGGCGAGTCGGTGTTACCCGATGTTAATGCATAAATGTTTCAGCTGTCTACTCAAACATTTGTGATCCAGGCGGCGATAGTTGGTGCTTGGTGTGTAATGTTGGTGGTATGGCTCTACATCATGTTCAATTACAGCTACCAGTTCATGTTGGCCATGTTGACAATGACTTTCTTTGTTGGGTGTCAATTCTACTATGGAGGCCTTGAGTATTTACTTTCTCAACAAGCCAAACAACCAGCTCTGGCTCCGTACTTTGGCTATGAGATTCAGAAGTCATCTTAAACATCTTCTCAGCATCCATCCTCACATTAGAAAACAAATATAATCTAAAGACGGGCCCTCGAATATATCATGTGAAACGAATAAACTAATAATTAATGGCGGAATCATCGCTGCAGGGTCCATCTCGCATCGTTACTTGCTTTTCAAGATGTTTTTGTAAACTTTGGTTTTTTGGAGACATTCGGAGTTCCGTTTGTGTTCATAGATAAGAAGGAGCAGATATCACATGGGACTGATTGAATTCAGGCGGGATATGTGCGTAGTCTGAGTTGCAGGGACATTAAAGATACTTTGAAACTTCTTAACACAGCTGTCAGAGAACACCCGACCAGAGAACATTCAAGTAAACACACGTTGAACACCCCGTTCTTGACAACGCCTAATCAAATCTGATCAACTACAGGTATATAATTGTTCCCTGATATCAGATGCGAAAGGCGGCGTTTCTGGTTGACCCCAGCTCTTTTCTCTTCTTCTTCCCAGTCGGTCGTCGCCAAAAATGCGGCTTTCCCTTCCTTTCCGTGTCCACAATCGCCCCTTGAGCGGCCTTCGACATTACGAAAAACCTCTTAGGAAGTTAGCCAAACCCCGATACAAGGGATCAGTCCTCTGCCAGCCGCAGAAAGTGATAATCGAAGATGCAGTCAGAGTGGTAAAAGCCGGGGATTGGGTTTATCTTCATCACGCCGCCTCCACCCCAGTTGATCTTTTGAATGCGCTGGGCAAGCACGTGAAGAAACACGACGTCCGGAATGTTACGACGACCTCAGCTTTACTGATGGGGGATATTCCTTTTGCCAGGGATCCCGAAATCTATGGTAATTTAAAACTTCCTTTCTCTATGTTCTATATTTTACTAACCATTAATTTAATTTAAGATTACATTCGCCCAAAGGCTATTTTCATAAGCCCAGCGATTCGAAAGGCTGTCAATCAGGGAAAGGCAGATTATATCCCACTTTTTTTGAACGAATCTGGACGGATTTTTGATGACAAAAGACTGCCCGTCGATGTGGCCTTCTTGAATCTGAGTCCCCCGGATGAGAATGGATACTGTAGTTTGGGGGTAAATTGTGATATGTCAAGTCCAGCAGCAAGGAATGCCAAACTGATTGTTGGTAAGCGCCCTATAAAATTTATTTTATTTTGTCTTTTAACGATAAGGAGGGTTGTTAATGAACACGTTGCGTCAAATTGGCGTCATTTTCGTCATTTTAGCAAAATTGAAAATTCTGATATAAAACGCTAGTTTAACATAGCCTATGATGAATACCGTTTATATAAGTCGTAACTAGTTTTACTGCTTATTGCATCGGTCATTTTGGCAAGAAGCAGCAATTTAGTTCCTAAAAATTTTAAAACGGGGTTTTTTACAAAGTGAAGCACGACCCGGACATTGTCGCGGTGATCATCGCCGGTAATCTTCATCATACCATATCGATTACTGTCGAAAATTGGAAAGAGTGCAACAAGTTTTTAAACTTGATTATAGAAGTTGGACACCCTAAAAATTCAATTTGATAATGAAAGTGTCAGTGCAATTTGACATGACGAAAATGGCGCAATTCGAGTGTGACTGACTCGTAAAGTTGACCACTTAATGATCTTTTTTCAGCTTCGATAAATGAATCCCAACCTTTGACTTTCGGGGATAGTAAAATCCATGTCTCCCACATTGATTATTTGGTCTCTGAAACCGAGACTCCCATTTCCGGGGTCCCTAAGGCTGTAATAAAGCCAGAAGAGGAGGAGATCGGGAGACTAATTGCGGAAAATTTAGTCGAGGACGAAGCAACCTTGCAATTGGGTAAGATCGTACTGATTTTGTTAAACAGGCCCCTATTTTAGGTATTGGCTCGATTCCAGATGCTGTACTGAGTAAATTAACGCATCATAAGAATCTAGGACTACACACTGAGATGGTAAGCGATGGTATTATCAGTCTGATGAGGAATGGAAATGTAAATAATTCGAAGAAGACTTTGCATCCGGGGAAGGGAGTCCTCGCTTTTGCCATGGGTTCCAAACATTTCTATGATTTTATTGACGGAAATGAAGATTTTGGTAAGCCCTAAATAATACATATTTCAACCAAGTATTTAAGTTTTTGGAAGTGTGGGATACACAAATGACGTTGATGTGATCGCCTCAAATCATCGTATGACTGGTATTAATTCCGCCATTGAGATTGATCTGACGGGGCAAGTGGTTTCTGATTCAATTGGAACTTCAATTTTCTCAGGTTTGTATATAGTAATGACGTCATCTTTAAATCTATACAAAAACTTTAGGTTTTGGAGGTCAGGTTGACTTCGTTTATGGCTCTGCGAACGGAAAGGACGGAAGGGGGAAATCCATAATTGCAATCACCTCCAGGACCGAGAAAGGGCATTCGAAGATTGTCCCAATTATAAAAGAGGTGAGTATAACAAATTTAGATTATTACGTATAAGTAGTCCTGTTTTAACAGAGCGCTGTTTTAGGGAGCTGGTGTAGTCTCAACTCGAGCTCATGTCCGTTATCTAGTCACCGAATATGGAATTGCCGATCTCTGGGCTCGAAGTAATCTCCATCGAGCTTACGAACTTATCCGAGTGGCCCATCCGGGGGATCGAGAGCATCTCGAAAAAGCGGCCTTTAAAAGATTTGGTGCTCTGCCCAGAAGGGATCTGTGAAAAGTCTGGGTTTGTAATAAATATAAGGTTATTCTGTTTGTCCAAGTAATGCATATCTTCCGGAAACTTGCAAAGTCGGGCTATCTAAGCGCTGAGGGCGGTTTGAAAAAAAACATTTCGCAGGAATTCGAATCAGATATTCTAGAGTTTGGCACTTCAGTTATTCTCTTCGGGTTGCTATGATTTCGAGGGACGGATTATGAACTTCTGAAGGGCGATAAAGTGTGGGAATTCTGTCTGTTTTCGGTCAAAAAAGAAGACTCGGTTCCCTTTGTTTCGATCTTCTACTGAAAAGTCAGCAAGATGATGCGAATTAAAGAGGCTATCCAGAGGAGGAAGCTGATCCAGCAGCTGAATGACGAATACACCGACGATCCAAGTAGGATACCTTTTTATTGTTAAATCAAACGACAATAATATTTTTATTTTAGCGGGAAAGCCAGGTTCGACAACTCCAAGTATTTGTGGGAGGAAAAGTTCGGATCTGAGTCGAGTAGAAAGCGATGATGATGCGCCTTCCGAGGCTATGACGTCCATGGCTCTTCACCATTTTGTTGGAGAATTTGGGTCACGATTAACAGAGAATCATGTGAGACTCTGAGTATTACAGTAATCCTTTTTCAGAGAAGAGCTTTGAGAGTTACCTGGAAAAGACTTAGCGAAGCTCCGAAAACGTCCGGTCGGGGGACCTTACAGATCATGGAGAAGGTATTCGATAGACTGATGGAGAGTGATCCGGAGATCATGGGAGTCTTCTATAAAAGTGCCTTTCTCAAATGTGTGGAGGATCGGAAAAGAAGATGCTCTTCCGGATCCATCGCTACTCTGAGGGATCATGCCCATTTGATGATTGATTTCATTGATGCGATCATGGCCATTATGTTCGACATGCCCTTGCAGAAACCAGTTTGGGATCCAGCAACCATCGGTAAGTAGAGGGTTGAGATCATTGCAGACCAACATTCAGGTCGCGCCCATGCCAGGTTAATCCCCTTAGGGTTTAAGCGACAAGTCTGGCATAAGTTGGGGGAATGTTTTGCCGAGATTATGTTCTCTCAAGAATGCGTTAGAGCTTATCCACATGCAGCCAGTGCCTGGTCGATGCTGAGTGTGGCTTGGACCGATAGGATGTATACCCATAGCAGACAAACAGTAGGTATGATTGTAGTATAACATATAGATTTGTAGCGTGAGATGGCACTTCAGCCATACACGCCTACTTCATTCAGTACTTGGTCTGATCCTTCTCCCTATACCGCCTTGGGCACTCCTTATGGGTTTGGATCACAATACAACAGTCCTTTGATGCAACGACACAATCGTGCAAGACAACGGCAAAGGCGGGCACATACTACTCCCAATTCAACCAGATCAAGTCGAAGTGCCTCAGTCAGTACTCGGAGACAGAAAAGCGAAGATCGGGACAATCCCCGCCATCGGCAGAACAAAACCGGGTCTCGGTCTACACTCAATTGATGATAGGTAATGTTTATTCGAATGTAGTGTGAATAAATTGTTGGCTCTCATTTACTTGGTTACTGTAATCGGAGCTCTAAAAAGGACTCCATTGTGAACCTGGAGGTCCGCCCACAAATAATTTGCCACATTTCTCCATTGCCGCCCATTTAAGAGAGGTCCGTTGAATAGATACAAATGGTCTTCTATGATCAAAGGCTGTTCAGTACAGGTCTCATTCCCCTTGCAAATGGTGGCCACAACACCCAATTGCACTCGCCCTTGTCCATCCGTCAGTTCTGCTGCAGGATCTGTTACAATCAGCACCTCCTGGGGATGAACAAGATCGGTGGTGATGTTTAAATTAGTGGGAGGAAAGAGAGTCTCCTTTTTGACGGCTTCCGTAAACTAAGTACATTAGGCTAGGTCTATTACTTTACCTTTTCTCTGACAGTATTCCTAATCAGGGTCAGAGCTGCTTCTTCACTTGGTTCTTGTCCTTCCAATGGTGTGAGAGACCAAGTCCATTGAACAGGAGGACTGTATTTAAAACCGAAGATGGGATTTGTAGTTATTTCATCTAATCCAATTTTAGCCGTGATCTCAAAACTTACAATCGCTCAAAGGTCCGTGATTTCCTGGATCGGGCTGACATGCAAAGATTACGCTTACTAGAAGGAAACATATAAGTACAGAATTCATGGTATGAATGCATCCCAGTGCGTTCCAGATGCATTTATATATAAGCTGGAAAGGGATTGCCGTTAATCAAATTTTCAAATGGATCTAGGAGTGTTCCGATTCTGATGTTGCAAATAGAAGAGAGGACGTAAAACTTCAAAGGTGTTGCATTATTTGACATCAAAGGTGTCTAAACAAATCTCTGCGACAAAGAAAACTCCCACAAATTCGAATAAAAAGTTTATATCATGATTCTGAAGAAGACAAATATATATGGGGGTATACACGGATAAACGCTTTTAATAACTTTAAATGTCGTCGATGTCGACCTCCTGGCCATCCTCGGTGACGACAGCCGCAGGGACCGCGGTTCCATTGGCCTTTCCGTTGGTCTGAGGCGCAATCTTCTCGGTGATCGTAACTCCAATATTCTTGCTCCGCTCGTCGAAGTCAACGGCTACGTCATCTTCATCTTCCTCCTCAGATTCAGTTTCTTCTTCGGCCTCCTTAAGCCAAACCAAAAACGGCTCGCACTTCTTGATGATCTCCTTAGCCAATTCTTTCTTCACGTACTTCGAACTTGGCTAAAAATGAAACTAATTCACGTCGTCATAGTGAAAAGTTTTAACCCTAAAATTTTTATAAACTTACCTTGGATCCCCAAGCCAATATCGCCTCTTCACTGCACAAATCCTCATCGTATAACAACTTTACAATGTGAGCCGCTTTAGGAAGAAGATCAGGGATCTTCTGGATGAGTTGTTCTATCCCTCCCAGCAAATATCTTTGCGCTTTTTTGTTCTCATAACAGAAAAGAAGCAGAAGATTTCGATGTTCCTTGATTTCCTGAAGAACGTTGCTGGTGAAGATGACATCAGAAACTAAAAGAGGTGCCTTCGTCTTCAACTCCAGACGTTCAGCTTCGTTGACCAAGCTCTTGATTTCCTGAAACAAACCAATTAGTTGTAAGAATAAAAGTGATAACAAGCTAATTTAATTCAAAATCTTACTCCCAGACGATCTTCGTCCCTTGCATTGAGGAAATATTGATGAAGCATATCTAACCGTTCTTCTACCGACTTCTCCAGATCTCGATCAATAATCAACTTTCCAATCTGAGCACTCAGCTTCTCGGTTTCTGCCAATGGTTCAGGTGCCCAATCATCATCATCTTCACCCACAGGGATCTTCTGAACTCCATTCATATCTACTCCTTCCATCATATCCTCGGAGGGAGAGTTGTTGTCTTTGTTCTTTTCATCATCGCTACTTTCAGTTGGTGGTGGATTTTTCAGAATAAAAGTGGAAATCTTGTGCTTGGGATCAACGATAAAAGCATGACCACACGCCTTGCACTTGCTGTGGATGGTGTTCCGCTTAACGGTCAGAGTTGTCTCCGGATTGTCACATGCAGGGCATAGAACGAACTTTCGAATGAAGCCGTCTAATATATCCTGCAATTTGTTGGCGTCATGCTCTCCGTTCACAATGTACCGGTCATTCTTCAGATCGAAGTTGGTTTGAGCTCCCAATTCGCAACCAAAATACTTTGTCGGATCTAAACCAAGAATTGAATACCGAGAGAATACTTACAAGTCGGTGGACGACACAGGGCCTTGGCAATGTCGGACATGTTGGCTATAACAGTCTTTATACCATTTCCCTTTCCTTCAACCTTGGCCATGATGCGAGGCATCTTGTAGCGGTAATAAGGATCTTGGACATTACGGTTCACATTGATGTTCTTGGCCATCTTGACTTGCTGACTTGGGGGCAATTGCCAGGAAAAAGAGATGAATGATGAATTACGTGATTATTAAGGAAGACACTAAAATTAAAGTCTCCAGAATGTTGATGACTACAAGGGGGAAACCAATATGCATGAAACGATGTAGCGGAGGACTGGCAAAACAACCGTTCCAATTCAGGAAAAGATCAGCGAAAATGATTAAACTCCAGGTTTGTGGAGAGGTCCCCATACATCACTCATGCAAATTTCCACGGTAAGTTCACTTACAATGACTAACCGATCGGAAACGACCGGAAATTGAGTCGAGGACTGAAATTCCGAAAATGGCGACAGAGTTTCTGACCCCAAATTGCATACGTTATTTGCTCTGAGCCCGGCGTGATTGCCAAGGGATGAGCACTCGGCAAGCTGCTTCAGTTTCTTTCGTTTACGAGACAACCTTCCTGAAATTAGGTATATTGCACCAGATAACAAGACAGAATTGCATTTTATCGATTACTGCGATCAATAAATATAAAAACAAGTCTTCAGTACTTTTTTCTGAACTGATAATCTTAAAACACAATAAAGATCGACCAAAACTCACCTTGTAGGCTGTCAACCATAAAACGCTTAGTGCCTTCTTTGAAACTCAATGTCATACACCTGTAGCTCGGCGGACAGTTCAATTCAAGCGTCTGGAAAACAGAAACCTGAAAAATGGAAGATAATTTCTTTTATTTTTTCTGTTCAGCGTATGAATTTTTATCGCGTGGCTTGGGAGAAATATATCGTGGTGGGACCTAAGTCGATCCAAAATGGGAGCCCCCTAAAGGGAAGTATAAACTACGGTAGAAAAAGAAGGGCTGAGTTGATGTCATCGTACATTGAACCCCTATATAACCAACAAATGAGTCATAGATTTCGAAATAAAAAAATGGAAAATCGAAATAGCATTTGACGACAGACGGATCCATGACCAGATTATGGCACAAAACGAGAAAAAATAACATAAAAGCTCAATAATTGAGACTATCGGCATATGTCCTTATGTCCTCTTAAAGAGGCAATAAACTATCACGCATGTGATCCGGAGAATGACGCCATTCTTTCACGGGCTTTTAGTAACAGCTAAATGAACTTTTTTCGTTAAAAGATATAGATAAATCCACCGATATCGTTGAAGAATTCCAGCGACGGACCCACCAGAAAGAAGGAACTGTGGCTGTATGGAAGAACGAGAAGTAGTAGTTGTATTGACCGGCGTGACGGTGTTTCGTTGTCTCTCTTTTTGGAGTGCTCTCTCCCTCCCAAAGACCCCTCCATCCATTGCTCCCCTTCTCCTCTCTCCGACTCTCCTTTTTACACGATTTCAGAGAGGGGAGGACTTTTTGGAAAGAAAAAATAACAAAAAAAAAAGTATTTCGGAATGTATTTCTGGACGCAATTTGAAACCGGTAATTATACAATATTGTACAGATGCAGGTATGATACAGTAAGTGTTAGAAATACACCAATAAGCCTGCAGGAGGATCCCCTAAAGCCTTGAACATAAAATAAACAAAATGGTTGCGGCTCGTAAGGGGTGAATAACGAGGTATCGATAATCAAGTAACAAAAAGGGCGGCTGCATTGAAAGACCCAAATTCAGAACACATCATCATCTGTCAAATAGTTCTTGACGAGGAACGAGAACTCGTCAAAGTCGATGAAACCGTCGCTATCCACGTCGTATTCCAAAAATAACTCGTCCAATAATTCCGAATTGGTGATATGTCCGAGTTCCCGCAACACAAACTCGAAGTCCCGCTTCGAGATGAGCCCGTTTTCACTCTGGAAAGGGCGAATATAAGGAAAGCATGGTAAGAGGATTAGCATCGGCCGATCTGCAAAAAAACTCACTCGATCGAATACGGTGAAGCATTCCTTGATGATCTCGTTCCAGGACTGAGTTTTCTCACTCATGGTCTTCATTACTTCACAGAACTCATCGAAATCAATCTGATGATTCCCTCTTTTATCTGCCTCCTTTATCAGCATCTCTAAATCGACTTGTTTTGGATCCATGCCAAGATTTGTGATTGCATTCTCAAGTTCATCAAGTCCTATTGCTCCACTTCGGTCTAAAAAATTTTGAGACATAAAACTGAAAAGATTTGACTGAAGTTAGGTTATGATGACTTTGATTGAGACAAGAATTACGTCAGAGATTTTCGTCTTATAATAATTCAAAAGACATAAAGTGTTGCCCTCACCAGTGTCAAACATATTGAAGACTTGTCGATATTCTTTCAACTCTTCCGGCGAGTACTTATCCAGCTTGGTGATGAGAGGGGTGGTTCCATCGTCGGACTGTTGATCCTGACTGAACTTTGCCTGAAGAATGGGTAAGTTTTTACGAGTCAACCAGATATTGAACTGGGAGCTGCGGCGAGTGTCGCTACGACGGAAAGTAAATCGTGGGTCGGCAGAGTCCCTGCGAAAAGTTGGCATGGCTATCATCCGGGTCGCGGGCCCTGGAGGGGCATGGCGAAGACGGGGGGAGTCCATTTGTACACTATGCCTAGAAGTCGCCTGGGCTCCCCGGCTACGGACCTCGGCTGCCAGCGCCGAAAGATGGGCCGGGAAACTGGTGGAGGAGGCCAGATTTGCTTTTTTTCGAAATGGCCCCGGGGGCAGAGGTTGCTTGATTATAACCCTTCGTTCCTGGGGACGAGCATGTGGCTCAGACTAAGAGGAGGTTGGGCTCTCCCATAGCCCCACAAGATTACCACGCATGTTTAATGATGTGTGGAGTTGCTTAGCACCTCCCCAAGACACAAAACGACTAGTTTAACCCACCGAACTCATGCTTTGTTGATGAGATGGCCACTATTTCTCCCGCTTAGAGCCGCACGAGGCGAGTGTCAGGAATTGGGTCGGACGCCATGAATAAGGTAAAAGTCGAGAAGACGAAACCTGGGATGGAAATGTGTTTTTTGGGGCGCCTGCGGGGACATTATAGCAGGTTGTTCTGGGGAGGGGGCTAAGATATAAAAACCCCGCCGAAGAAACACTTACTCGGAACGTTCCGGCGAAGATATGAGTCCGGCCAGACGTCACCGGCTTCCGTTGGGCATTGTTGCTGAGTCGGCGGAAACTCATCTGCCCAGCAGCTGACAATCTGCCACTCATCGCGCCACTGACGTTGCTGCCCACTCGACGACCCCAGCCGAATGCTGATCGCTGGGAATGACTATGTGTGAGGGCCGGGCCGGTTGAGTTAACACAGTTTGCTGTAATATCATTGGAATGAGACCGAATCGCTGTGGAGGGCATGGCAGATGAAGGACTCAGTCAAGCATTCTGGACGTCCTTCGGGCCAAACAACCGGTTTCCGGTGGCCTCGGGGAACAAGCCCTTTTTATATGTCCCTGGCTTTTAACCCGTCCCTTATACCTTAAACACGACCCCTTACTTACTTATGTCCACGGATTTACACCCGCCGTCTCTTGCCGCAAAACAAAGCCGGCTTCATTTGCGTTTTCGATATTGCCATAAAGACAAAGCCACCGTGGCCAGAATGGCTTGGCCTCTGGTATTTTGGCCCTTCTCCACTCTTATGGAGCCTTTCGGTTTTCCGGGAATGGTGCGTCTATATCAATTTGGCCGGGTTCATAATGGCCGAGGATGACTAAAAACGGAGAAGGAAGATGACTCTGTCATCTGAGATATCCATGACAACTTAGGTCGTTTGAAGCAATTCACATTACATTTCTCCCACATATCCAATTCAGTTACAGCATTTTAATTAAAACAGCCAAAGAATACGGCGGGCACAATAAAAATATTATTTAGAAGAAGAGTCGATGAAAGAGACGGCACCCGTTTACAAACGCTGATGACTCATTAGGTCGCTCTTCACGGCCTTCTCGTCAATATCCGAGAGATCCGAGGCCTGGACTTGCATCAGACTCTCCAATCCGAGAGTATTCTTCAGTGCTCTCACCGAAGAAGCGTATAACATTCGTCGCTTAACTGGAGCTTCATCAGGACAACTGAAAAGTTATGACTGATAAAAAAATCGATATATAATAGAAAATATGTTCGTTTGGCACTTACTATTGAACAAAGATAACCTTGCTGAGCCTGGTTGATCCTTCAGCTCCCTGGCGTTGGACGGTGACATCAACATCCACAGCAGCATAACGACATTCTTGGCCAGAGCCGCATTTCTGTTTGATTTCCTCAACGAATTCGGAATAAGGCGCATTCTTGTCGCCTTTTTTCTCAACAACAATACTCGTGTTGTCGTCAGAGATACGGAAGATGATGTAAGCGTGCTGATGGCGGGAGTGTAGATCATCGTAGGCTTGTTTACAAGCAGGGTCAACTTTCACACCGGAGGCCTGAAAAATTTTTTTTTAACTTTAGCTTGATCTTTTGTGAAGCCAATGATTTGTCATCGTTTTTACTTCTCAGCATTTTGATGTTTTGTTGATGCTAGTTGTTAAGCACGATACTATGTATGTACTGGTTAAGTGGAGGATACTTACCATTCTGATCAAAGGTAAGCAACGTCGGAAAGAGTCGCTGAAAGTAAAGAGATAAAGAATTAAAGCCCGATGCAATCACTCGGAAGATGTAAATAAACCCGACTCGACATTGTTTTTGGGACAGACAGACGAGTCCCAGTAGTTTGATCATACGACAATGTCGGAGTGACTGGTAAACAGCACAGCCGTGATAAAAGAACGGCCGGATTAAGACCAAATCACTGAACTCCGGGAGTTTGGACGGATCAACTGGCTTAAAGAGATATCCTGGCCAGTTCTGAGGCAACAGCCGGCCGGACCGAGGGTCTTGAGAGGCAAGCCCAAAGGCGCCTCTATTGATCGGCTCTCTCAAGTCACCCTCGGGAAGATCGGGAGAGAACAGGACGAGTCAGGAGAGCGTAGGTGTTCAGTCCAGGGTCAGCCTCTTTGTTTTGTCCATCCAATTCTTGGCCGGAATGAGCTTAAATTAAATGGAATTACGTTAAACTGTCTGGGGTCACATTTTTCATCCAATTTTCTCGATTTCGGCTATTACATATGATATCACATTTCAAAATCATTCAACTTTTTTAAGAAATATTTCAAAATCTTTTGACAGCTTATCTTGGAATGATGTCACATCCACTTAATCACCCGTATAAGCGCCATAATTAACAACTACAGTTTTCAAAAACTATGTATGATACATTCCATAGACAGATGCGATCCAAACTAATCAACTTGAGTTTATTTAAATGTACATAATCTTATTTTGGTTATAAATGGACACAAATTTGCGTAAACTATATTTAGACTTTGGTCTTTCCCTTCTTCACGTTCTCGTAGATCCCATCCCAGAGTTGAACACGTGCTTGAAGAGCTGAGAAGGCTGCCTCCTCAGCATCCATCCACTTCTGATCGTCTTCTCCACACAATTCCATCACCATTTTACAAGACATGGGCCCATGATCATCTCCATCCACTTCAATGTGTCTCTCCAAATAAAGAACAAACAAATCCAGAGCACCCTTGGCTTCTTTGTTCATCTCATCGAGGAAACTTTGGAACATAATGGGGATTAGATCTTCGCGGCCAAATGTGAAGGCCGAAGCGATAACGTGGGTCTTCTGACTTCTCAAGAACTCAAATGTTCTGGTTACAAATCTGGCAGCGGGTTCGGGGACATTGGCCTTCTTGAAGGAGGCTTCCAAGTTCTTCTGGCTGCAGTCTCCAAGTCTAACTAATTCATCGGCAAATGCCCTCAGGGCAGAGTCATCAGCTCCAGCAGCAGCCATACTCTCTTGATAGAACTCGCAATGAGAGATGAATTGTCCGCCAAGTTCATCAGACTCTTCTCCCAACACAATCTCATTCACCAAACGTCTGGCAATACGAGATCCCTGAGCGTGCCAAGGAACGGTGATGCAAGTCAAAGATTGCTGGAGCGCCTGTAATGGATAAAATATTATGTCTTATGCTCGATTCTTGCTCAAACGATGATAAATAATACTTGCCTTGAGTAAACTCATGAAGTCCCAAACAGCAAAAATATGGTTGGTCATGAAGTAACGAAGTTCATCGATGTTGTCGATAATGGTGTAGAGAGGGTGATGCTGGAGTTGCTCCTTAAGGGGAGCCAACTTGGCCTCGATATTCTGGATTCTCTTACAAGCAGCTACTTCAGCAGCCAATTCAGCATGTCCATTTTGGTCCGAGGTAACCGAACTGGGGACAGAGGGAATTTTGAAAGTCTCTTGATGGGCCTGGGTGATAAGGTTGGCCATAGTCAATAATCTAAAAGACGGTTTGTGTAAAAGAGATGTAAATCACTAACCTTACTCAAGACTGAAGTGTCAATTGAATGATGATACGACCCCTGAAGGAGCCCTTTTTATACGACAATCTCCTTCTGACGGAGGCCACCTCCAGAGGGCCAGTTTCTCCATTATTTTCAGCTACTCACCATTTACTTTTGGCCAATTCCCCATCATTTTTCGCTGTAAAATAAAGGGGCGTCGCCAAAGTTAATCGCAATATGACCCAATCTGGTCGATAAAACAGGCGTGCCTCGCTGTGTTGATAAGGGAATGCGTCATCTTGGTCTCTTAACTTTCATCTCCACCGCAAGAGTTCAACGACAGAAGTTCGAAAACCTGTCAGTGATGGATGAATTCTCTAATTATTTGTTTAGTTTCCGGCGGTCATAAGACAAATTTGGGATGATTGATCGACAAAAATCAAGGAAAAATGTAGAAACGATGATTCGATTAAATAAACGATCCATCACATCAGGCGTCTTGCGCAGATCCCAATTTCACAATTGAGCCGGCAATTCTAGAACTTCTTATATCACTAATATCAAATCGCTAGATGCAACATCAGCCCCAATATCAATCTTGAAACTATAATTGTGAAATAACTGCATTCTCGTAAAGCCCAATTAAAACTTCGAAATTTGGAAATTAGTGCAATAAGTTTAATAAATTTTCTGCGATGACTTTTATTGATATAATTTAGAGTTTAAAACAACGGAGCATGACTTAACCGATTTGTTTTGTGAGTTCAAGAGCAGGGTTCGAAAACGGGCCTCCTTTGCAAAAATTTCGGGCCTGGGGCCCAGTCCGGCAAAATTCAGGCCCGGGTCGTTTTAAAACTTTGCAGGCCCGGTCTCAGGTGGCCACCTGGTCATGACTGTCAGAGTTTCTGACAGATTTATTCCGAAGGTCCTGGCGCGAAAACTTTTAGCGCGCAAATGATTTTTCGAACGATTGAAGAAAAAGATTTTTTTCTGGTTATTTTTTGTCTGGTTCGTTTGTCGTTTTCGGGATCTTTTTTGTTATATTATAAGTATAAACCTAATTACCGTTCTCATTTTTTTGTTAACTGCGTATTTTAGGTTCAAAAATGGCTAAGACCAGAAACGAGAAATCTATTAAGAAGCCGAGTATTGATAGATTTGGAAGTGTACTACAGCTTTTGGGAACAGACTTGAAGACATTTTGCCAGGAGATTGCGGATGAAGTCAAAGAGATGTATTCAGAAGCCTGCGATCAGGTTCTCCAAGATCGAATTGAGCTCAAGAATATGTTGGAGCCATGTTTTGAAGGAAAAGTATGTCTATTTTTTTAGTTTTTAATATCGTTTTAGATGCCATCGACTCCAAAAAAGAATTATAAGCCCCCTGCCGGCTTCGTTCATAGAAAGCCTCCACATGTTTTGGAATTCGATGATGAAAATGAACCCGAAGTTCCGTCAACGTCTACACATAAACAAAACATTGAAGATAATGTAATCGATGTACATAAACAGCATATCAGTCCTCGTATTCAAGAGACAGAGGTGGTTATTGAGGACAAGCTGTAAGACTGATTATTTGTGGCAGCTTTACTTTTTAAAATTTTTAGGCATCATGCTCACATTGAGGTTCATGTGACGGAAGCCACCGCAACCGTTCCTGTCTTCCCTGTGACGAGAACGTCTGTTAAAACTCCAGAGCCGTTGCCTAGAACGCTCAAGCCTCGGACTCCAGCTCATCTGGTTGACGCCATTCCAGCTACTCCTTCCCCTATTGTTCCTGTTTTGAACAAGGTAAGTGTAAGTATTGTTTCCTAATTGGCGTTTTGTTTTAGCCCCTCACTCGTTCAAAGGTTACCAAGTCGAAGAATGCGTTAACCGCGGACGAAGTAAGTCAAATAATTTCAATTTTGATCTACGTTTTTCTTACAGTTGCAAAAGAAGAACGAGTTGGCAGCTGCAAGGAAGGCTGAATTACAGAAAGAGAAGGCCGAGCGTCACAAATATGACAACGACCAGAGAAAGAGACGGGTGGAAGAGAACAGGAGAAAGAAAATGCTGGAAGAAGCTCAGAAGAAGGAGGAACATCGGAAGAAACATGAGGCCATTAAGAAGTTTCAAGAAGAGCAACGGAAAACTCCGTTACCAACTACACCAAAACCATGCACTCCAAAAACACCACGCCAGAAGGCTGTTCCAGCAAAGAAGGCCAAGCCAGGACCTGCTGCAGTTCATCGACCAAAAGCCATGGAAATTGATGAAAGGACCGAAGAGATGGATCATCAATCATGTGAAGCGATTCATCCAACTTTAAGTGAGCGTATTGTAGAAGAAGATGATCAGACTGTAGATCAGAATAAGATAAACGAAACGTAAGGAGATTTTTTTAATTATATCTTTTTCGTTTTCTACTTTTTACATGACTTATTTTGATTCGGTCCGAACGGTGCACCTGACGAATTGTGCCCCTGGCTGAACAGTGCACCTGGGTGAATTGTGCACCTGGCTGAACGGTGCACCTGGGTGAACAGTGCACCTAACATTTTCTTTTTTGAACAGTGCAGCTAGGCGAATAGTGCACCTTGAAAAAAAGTTTCTTTGTGCATTATTGAAGAAAATTTGAAAGGTTTTCGTTGCGGGACTGGGGAAAATTTTGAAAAAATTCGAAAGGTTTTTGCTTCGGGACAAGGAAAAAGAATTTTTTTGGAAAATTTTTAAAAAATTTGAAAGGTTTTCGCTTCAGGACAGAGAAAAAATAGTTTTTTTGGAAAATTTTTAAAAAATGTAAAAGGTTTTCGCTTCGGGACTGAAAAAAAGGAATTTTTTGGAAAATTTAAAAAAAAAATTGAAAGGTTTTCGCTTCGGGACAGGTAAAAATGATTTTTTGGAAAATTTTTAAAAAATGTGGAAGGTTTTGGCTTCGGGACTGGGAAGAAGAAACTTTTTGAAAAATTTTGAAAAAATTTGAAAGGTTTTCGTATTTAGTCATATTTAGTTTTTCACAATCAAAAAAATTGGTAAAAACGGCTTACCTTGATCCCCCCTTGTCATATTTACCCTTTCACGAAGAAAATTTTTTTACCCTATCCCGAAGCGAAAACTTTTCAAATTCTTTTCAATTATTCACAAAAATTTTTTTTCTTCTCCCGAATCGAAAACCTTTCAAATTTTGTTCAAATTTTCCAAAAAATTGTTTTTTTCTTGTCCCGAAGCGAAACATTTCAATTTTTTCAATTATTCACAAAAAATTCTTTTTTCCCAGTCCCGAAACGAAAACATTTCAAATTTTGTTAAAATTTTCCAAAAAATTCCTTTTTCCCTGCCTCGAAGCGAAAACATTTCAAATTTTGTTCAATTGTTCATAAAAAATCTTTTTTTTTCAAGGTGCACTGTTCGCCCAGGTGCACTGTTTGTTTCAGGTGCACTGTTCGGACACAACCCTTATTTTTTAGACAAATTCTTGACAAAGAGAATCAAGTGATCCCATCCACGCCACAACCACAAAGGCTTAACCAGAGGTATGTTCATCGACTAGACTTCTTCAAAGTTTCCTTTTTCCCGTTAAGGTTACATTATTTACAGTGCATACGAGATGACCCCCGAGAAAGTCCCTATTCCGAGCACTGAAAACGATTATAATGTCGCGGATCTGTCATCGAACGACGAGACTGACAATGAAGATGAGCCGCGGAAGAAGGTCCCCGGATGGGCACAAAAGGACCAGCTTCGAGTACACATCAGTGCCTTGAAACAACGGATGTCCAAGGAACAGATTGACAACCATTTCGGTCAGGTCAGACCTCCCCGAGTGCTCGAGATCTTCGGTGGACCCACAAAGAAGACCTACCGCAAGTTGGATGAGACTACTTTGTGGGATTCCCCTATCCAGAATCCTCGTCCAGCCCCACTTCAGAACATCCGAAGTCTAAATTAATCCTACTTATGTCTATTATTTATATTGGTTTGAGTAAAACTGACTATGGGCCTCTTTTCTAGATCTTCTTTCATCTTGTGGGTTTTTGTTATTGGCATGGTGTTGTGGTATTACTAAACTGCGATGCTTTCTGTGTTGTATAATAAATGTAATCGTTTGTTTTATATTATTTTTTTTTGTGGGACCAATGTTTGTCAGAACCCGTTTAACTCGGCTTGAACTCTTGTTTGTCTAATCTTGACGTAACCTCCGGTCACGTCAATCCAGCGCATTTCGTGGACCGTTTAGACGTTTCGTCCATACACTATCGATTGATTGAAAGATTTCAGATATCAAAATTCTTTCGGGAGAATTTTTGGAGTACAAAATTGGTCCTAAAAAATCAAGAAAAATTCAGAACGCTATTTTCTCATCAGAAAGCAAGGTTTGGCTAGCCAAGGAAAAACAAACAAAAAGTTTTCTCCAAAATTCTATTTGTGACGAAACGCCACATCGGCTAAACCTTGGTCATGAAATAGTTTTAACTACGCTGGATTTATGTGCGGGTCTGCTGTCGGGGAAAAAGTCAGGTCTTAGCTCTAGAATTTACCCATTCAAACAAAAAAGAAATGTGTCACAAAGAAAACAGATGGTATATCGTATCTTTCTCTTCTAGACCATGTTCTTTTGCATCGAAGACAGCTGACATCCGGATCTATGGTTACTGATATTGACGTCATAGGCACTCTTCGGGCATCTGCACCGGCATGGAATAAAAACCGCCGAAGAACAAAGATCCCCCGGAGGGAGCTGGGAGAGGAGTGGATAAAACAAAATCACAGCCCCGTCGGTATTTTGCAGGGATACAAAAGACCTTTGTTCTCCGATTTCCTTCCTCCTATGACGTCAGAGGACGCGCGGGAACGAAGAAGATCTGCAGACATTTCCCCTTGACCGGCACAGAGATCAGGGCCTGGCTTTCGAGAATCTTCCGAGCGGGGACAGGCGGGCTCTTCTTCCTTTACCCCGTACCTCCCCGTTTATAAGGCCGACTCTGGATCTTGTCCCATTATTAATAACGAGAAGGGATGACTCAAGTCGAGGCCACCGGCAATCCAAATTCTGAACCTGTAACCGCTCAGAAGCCCTCCGGACAGACAAATTTGGATGGACTGCTCAACAGAGAACATTTCCACACTGAATTTGACACTTTGGCCTATCTAAAAGTAGGTCGATTGCGCAACTTCCTGAGTCATCAAAATAGGAAACATTTTAATATTTATTGTTCTAGGACTTCTATACAAATGTCGATGATCCTGCCATGCAAATGGTGCTCACGTTTTTGCCTGGAATGGTCGCTAGACTTCCAAGGATCAATTCTGTTCTTGATTTTGGGGCAGGCCCAACCATCCATGTAGCGGTTTGCTTTAGACATAAGGCGGAAGAGATCTATCTGGCTGATTATCTTGTACAAAACAGAGACGAACTGGAGCGATGGCTGGCCCATCGATCCACCTTTGACTGGACAAAGACTCTGAAGATGATCGCCACTCAAGAGGGGATGGAATGGAGTAAGATCTGTGAGATGGAGCCCGCTACTCGACCCAAAGTAAGTCTATTTTTGTTGTTAATTTTGATTGAAACGAACAAAAGTGATCGTCATCCTTCAGATAAAGGGTATTTTCCCCTGCAATTGTCTGGATGACAATGTTCTTGATGCTCCCAGAGAACTCCTGGGTTCCTTTGGGATGGTGACGACCATCTTTACCCTCGAATATTGTTGTAATACCCAAGAAGAATATCGGAATGCCATCAGGAGAGTGGTATCTTTGGTGAAGCCCGGAGGCTATTTCTTTATGGGAGGGATCCTGGAGGAGACCTGGTGTTCATTTGGGGGTCGTCGTTTCACTTGTCTCTACATCACCATGGACTTTATGTTATCCTGTCTGAGAGATGCGGGTCTCAATGTGGATCTGGGAAATCCCGCAGAGACCTTGTATTACGAGATCAATGGCATGTTCCTCATTCAATGCCATAAACCCGAGCTTTAATAAGAGAAGTATAATGTCATTTGGGACATCTGGTGGCCAGGTCCAGAGGATGATCCCTTTCCATATTGCTTTGTATTCCCTTGGCTATTCAATTAATGGACTTTTAAGGAACTACGGTTACAAATCAGCATTATATTGGTTGTAAAAGCATTGTTCAGAACTCAACAAAAGCATTAACAGAGTAACGTGTAAAACAATATATTATATTTAAATAAAATAATTACAGTCGTCTGGGATATGAGATCAAAAACTTAATCAATATAATAAACAGCTCTACGACGGGGCACGGGAATGAATTCCACATCACCAGAATCATCTTCTTCTGCTCTGGAATTGAAGATTTAGAGTATGGAAAGCTCAGTAAGTAGTAACTTTTATGACTCACTGCACAAAATCTTCTGGTCGAATGAGCTGATTGTACTCCTCAGCTAGTCTGAGGGCGTCTTCTTTGTCTTGAATAATCTTCCTTAACCTGAGGGTCCTGTCAATTAATTCATTTTCATCTTCATCATCCGAATCCTCCTCTTCGAAGGTCGGCAAAACATCGAATTCTGGAAGATTCTCTCGGTATTCTTCAGGAATATTTACAAATTCTGAATCCTCCTGGAGCTAAAAGTATTAAATTAAAAAATGTAAATTTAAAACGCACTTTTCTAAACTGTAACCATATTTCTGATTGTAAAAGTACTCCGAGTTCAGTTGTAAAATGCTATTTGTGGAGAACTTTACTATTTTTTCCAACTATAAAAAGTAATTTAACACTTTCGTACTCGTTAGATATGCATACTTGAATGGGCACCAACACTATATTGCTTCAGTTGGGCTCTTCCAGATTTTCTGACTGGATAAGAGACCATTGCCTGAGGGGATAAAAGTAAATTTAGAACTTTGGTGTATCCGGAATTTTTTTGATGTTCACCTAATATAAAAGTAGTTTTTAGCTGCTACTCTACGTAAAAAAAACTCACGGAATTTCACAAACTCATAGAATTTAACGAGACCGGTATATTAACACAAATATGAGTTGCACTGTACTGCAATATGACTATTTTGGGAGACCCAGGATTTTGGGTCAGATGCGCCCGTGTACTAATTATACTTACCGGAAGAAGATCGTCTCGGCCGGCAAGGATATAGAAGCCGCAAACGACACTGATCGAGGCCAATACCAACCCAGAAGCATACAATCGTCTGACCATCTGAAACAACGGTAATCCTCAGAGAGTACTCCTAAATATTAATCAAGAAGATTCCGTCGAATGCTCGCAAACAAAAAGAGATAACTGGAAATTGTAATCGTGGAACCTGAGGGCAAACATGTCGATCTCATCGGGCGCAGTTCTCATTTGTTTTTGACACATTGCCTGAGGGTGTAAAGGCTTCAAATGCGCGGCCTCAGCCCGGAATCGTAGGCGAAAATGGATGGAGGGAGGGCCACAGCCACCGGACATTCGCCTCTAAACCGGCCATTGGCTTCTGGCTTCAATTTTATTCTCCTTTTGGATAAAAAATACTCGAAAACGAGGAAAACGGCTGATTAGTAAACCCGGCAATGGGCGCAGCTATTTGTTTTCCATTAAGCTTCGAATACAACAGTTATTTCGGGACGGACAAACATATAATATATTTACTGAAAATTCCCTTCGTAGACAAGGGATATCTCAAATACATACAGGGGTCGTGCAGAAAGTAAAGCCGAATAAAAACGCGAAACACCATCTACACCGAAAAGTCATCAAATACGAGGGAAAGGCATCAGAAACGAACATAAAAGCATCATAAATAAAATCATTTGGAGAAATGCCCGTTGAATGATATAATTCATAACTCTGAAAGATTCAGTGAGAACGGAATTATTTAAACACGAGACGACTGTGTGCCGCCTCTCAATTTAATAAAAAAGAGCACGACATCTATACGAAGTGACCGCTGCGAGTGTAATACCAGTATAGAATGCAATAACACCTGGCCGTCCACTACTCTTGCCTACTTTTTTTCTCTCCATTGCTGTGAGATGCATCCCGAAGTTCTTTCCGCGAGTAATTCATTCTGAATACGTTGAAATAGGCCTTTTTGAAGGGCGCTTTCCAATTTAAACGAGGCCAAAAAAGTATAGTAAAGTTGTATCAGTGGGACTAGGGAGTTTGTTGAGGCCATTACTTTTGACCAAAATTCGTTTAAACATTTCCAATATGAGAGTCAAGAGTCGGATCTCCTATTTCGAAGTAAAAGTAATGCAACAGCAACAATAAGAAACCTTTCATCTTCGAGGAAGCAAAAGTGCTATTAGTAAATAGATGTAAGATTACGCAATCATATAACTGCTGGCAGCACGCAGTTTATTTAAGTTGCATACTGCCCGACAATTGAAAATGAATTCTAAATTCTGAGTCCGCTACTTCCCTGAGGCAAAATATGTTCGTTCTGTTCACTTCTGCATCCAACGCTGATGCAGAGTCAAAATTTTTATAGCTTTGTACTTTTAAATGCTCAGTAAAATGGGGATCCTTTTAATTGCCGGGCAGTATATGTGGTAACTGAATTGTAATTTTAAAGTTGAAAGTAATCCCCCTTAAAAGTAACAAGCGGTAAAAATAATTTATTTGGATACATAACTAATTACATTACCGTACCCGGCTATTATTCACATTTTTTTTTCTTCGGACCTTCAGAATGCCTGCTCCGAGTCCTTGACTATCAGTGCAGACGGGAGAGAAAATGTAACAATTCATCTCTCCTACATTGACAAGACAAAAGTCATCAGTATGGGCAATGTAACTGAAGAATCCAGTCCCGCAGATCACGTTGAAGAACCGATCCAACTCTTCTTCAAATCTCTTCTGGATTAATCTTTTTGAAGTCTCCGCATCTGTGGGTATTATTAGCTAAAATAAGAATTATAATATATAAATAGTGCTGTAAGAAGCTTTACAACGAATAACCCCTACTCTTTCCGCCAATTTCCTTAGTTTGTCATTATTACAAGTGTCCGTGTTGTCTAAAATAACGTCGTTCTGGAAGATCCACGGATTATGCGATTTTGCATTACACCCTACAGCCGGGCATGGGGTCTGTAAGAAATTTAATCGTATCAGAAAATGATTGTACATATTATACTATAAGAGTGCTCAGAGAAATATTCGTAAGTTTTTCTGATTTTTTTACAATCAGTCAAGATACCTAGACTCTTTTTGCAATTAAGAGAGAATGACGTTTAGGCTGAGCAAAAATTATTTCTTCACGATGGGGAAAAAATTTGTACTCAGCGGAGATTTTTTTTGCATACTTTGCATCATGCATCGTCAGCTTAAGGCGCATGCGTTCTACATCTTTTCGGACCTCATCGCAGAAACCCCGTATTCCTTGTCTGTAGGCCCTCTAGACAAGAATTGCGTATTTTCTATCTAAAAAAACAGGCAAAATTCATAAATCCCTTCTGACTAGGAAAGTGTGGAAACTGACCCTCACTCAACAGTAAGTGTTACATACCGTTCGAAAGCCGTTGAAAAGTAGTATTAGAAAAATTAAAATTTCAACGCAAGTGTTTTCCTAACAACGCAAAAATGATTTTCCGGAAGTGGGGAACCGAACCAGCTTGGCTTGTCAGATTGCTCAGCAACCCCTAAACTATGCATTAAAGCAATCCCCCTCATGTTTTTTCTCTGAACACCCTAATGGATTGAATTAGAAATACCGACTTCGATGTCATCAGCGTCGTTATCAATCTGGAACTGACGATATGGCAAAGGCTGGACTTTGGCCTTCTGAAACTTGTTCTTGGATCTCTCCTAAAGACACGTTTATTAAATCAATGTCATAACCATTTGTACACTTGCCTTGCTTTCTCTCAATGAAACTGGTTGGAGAGCCTCCAGAGACCGGTTCCCGGCGAAGGCATACTCCTGGAGTTGGCTCTGAACTCCAGGTGTTTGGGGCCGGCCTTGTTGGGCTCTTAATTGAGTTCATTAGCCATTTTTTACAAATTTATTTCAAGTGCAGCTGCACTTTAAGCTAGTGCAGCATAATTAGAGCAATTCTTACTTGGAATAATCGTATCCGCTCTTCTCAATGTCAAAAGCCTTTAATCCGTCGTTGGTCAGATTCCTGAGGATGTTGTTTCCCCCTTCTGCATCATGATTCCTCAATGGTCGCTTTTCGGTCATCTTTTTCTTCTTATTGATTCTCTTGAGAGTCTTGTAGAAACGATTCCTCCATTCTCTCATATCCAACGGCGCCAATGTTGATGTAATAACGGCTAGAGGCGGGAAGGAAGAAGTGGATGGAGTTACAGTGGTCGTTCTGATATTACGACTCCATTCCTCGGCAACTTGAAGAGCCGGTAAAGGGATCAGTGAAGGAAGGGTCGAGAGGGGAGATAAAGGGCGAGAATTGTTGAGGGCTACAAAATTCGAGGACAATTCCGAGAGTAAAGATGGCTGAGGGGAAGATGAAGACATTCCAGGCTGGGCGTCTGTTACTCTCCAAGAAGTCTGAGAAGATGGGGACGATGGAAATGGGACTAAAGGAGAGGTCACTGGACTGGAATATGGTATAGACGACTGCTGGGAAGGTGAGAATGGAAGTAATGGTGGAAATGTGGCCAAAGGAGGAGAAGATGGAAATCCAGATGACGGGAATGAGGGGAATTGCGTGGAGGGTAGCGGGGGAGATGAAGGCGAAAAATTCTGTTGAGATGTGGAAAACGAAGGCTGAGACGACGGGGAAAATGTTGAAAACGATAATGGATTTGTAGAAGAAAGAAAGCCAGGAGGATTGCTTTGATTTGAGGATGGCACTGAACTTGGAGAAGGATCAGAGTTTAATGGTGGAATATTTGAAGAATGGAGTGATGGGAAGTTTGAATTGGGTGGGGGAACAAGAAAACTGGGAAAGGAATTAGAGGGAGAAGGAACACTTCCAGGAGGCAAACCAGGGTTAGAAGATGGCCTAGGCAAAGCTGGAGGGGCAGCCAAACCCGGAGGGAATGACTGCAATAACGAAGAAGATATTGGGGAAATAGCCAAGATGCTTTGATGATTCGAATTAGATCCAGGTAACGAAAAGGAAGGCAACTGAGAAGGAGACAACACTGGAGTTGGAGGAAGAGTATTCAGATTAAGGGGCTGGAGTCGAAAACTGTCTTCGATATTGGAAAGCGGAGTAAAGGGAATGTTTTCTGAATTAACATCGGCTTTTGCCAAATCACTATCATCAAAGAGACCTGACACTTGATTCACATTGAACGGGAGATCTCCATCAGGGTCTAGAATCGGCGTTGTTGTCTTTCGATTCTGAAAAAAAAAAATTCTTTATTTTTTAAATATTTTATTGGCTACCCTCCATTTAGGGCAGATTTCATTTGGGGCAGATCAGTCTCGGACCAATATTTACCCGATCTGTTCCAAATGGAAGGTTGCGATTTTTTTTATTTATCTAACGAGGAAATGGTCTATGTAAAATACCTCAAAATAGGTGTTAAGCAGGCCTAAGACTAGGGTTCGGAAAATTCGGGTATATTCACCACGCGGTATGAAGTCGTTAATGAATAAGTGGCAACTTATTCATTATTCATAATAAGTGGCAACTTATTCATATGTAATCTTATTCAATTGTAACATTTAGAACGACTCTCCAAAAAATTCTTTTTCCCAATTCCCGAAGCGAAAAAATGTCAAAATTTTGTTCAAACTCTCCAAAAAAATCCTTTTTCCCATGTCCCGAAGCGAAAACATTTCAAAAATTCGTTCACACTCTCCAAATAATTCTTTTTTCCCAGTCCCGAAGCGAAAATATTAAACGGTATCGTTGACCCGAGTTGTCCCTGACCCGAAATGTCGTAGCGCCCCACGCGTTTCGGCCATACCGACTTTTATGTCTCGCAACTTGCAGAGCTCAAGACAGGATTAGACGCGCCCTGAACAATGGAAAGAACCATTCGCATCTCGCGTAGTTTTTATTTATTGTAATGCCTTGTACAGTGCAGAAGAAAAAAACTGTACTGGACAAAAAGTGTGGCCGAGCATCATGGCCGAAAAAGTTTTGAATTTACCCGGAACCCCGTCTTATTTTTCACCCTTTCTTTCGGATTTCTTGAGTGAAAGTCAAGGTGAGAATCGGATGAAAAGAGGAGAAAAAGAGATGAATGATGACCGCGTTACCTGCGTATCGTCCAGTTCGATGGTGGTCTTGGATGTGAAAGTAGTGGATCCCCTGGATTTGGCTGTTTGAAGGGGCTCCAGCTCATCCAAATTATTGGCATGTTTATTTAAATTCTCCAGCAACATGCTCTTCAGTTCAGGAGAGGGCTTGATGGGGGGTTCCATCATGACCATGGAGTCACGAGCCGAGCCTCGCTGCACCATCAGGAAGAGGATCATGCCTATCTGGATGAACTTGACAAACATTCCGCTATTGTTTGAGGTAGAAGAAGATGGAGTTCCTTAAAGGCGAGGCGCAATAAAACGACGCTTTAGACGGATTTAAGAGGAGGGTAATCGAAGGCGGTTTCAGAAATCCGTTAAAGAAAAAAGAGTTCTGAGTGGGACGGATCTGATTCCCTCTGTCATGGAGAAGATGCCGTTCGGAAGGGGGAGGGAAAGGAAAGTGAGTGGCGGAGAAAAGCCATCACGAGCCCGGTAATTAAACCAACACCGCGATAACATCCATTAACCTCCATTCACAGCTACATCAATTCGATCTGATCGGTCGATTATGGGATTTCTCGACCTCCAAATCCATCGATGGAGTGCCGAAAAACAGCTCTGGATGTACCAAAGAGTGTTGAAACGTCCTGAGTACAGAGGTTTCTGCTCCTTCAAGTTCACAAAAAAGCTGTTGGTCAAATATCCGGGGTAACAACATTAAAAGTTGGATTAAATGTATAATTTCGATGAAATAATCTTGAGAATTACAGTTTATGGGGAATATTGTCGGTCGCAGTTACTCTGTTGTCCTGCATATTTGTCGGATTCCTGTTTTACACCATTTTCACCATCAAATACGCCGCGTTCCCGAGAGAGTAAGTATGTAGATGTTTGCAGATTAATCTTACTTTTAAGGGTCGGAACTTTTATGGGATTGGCGGTACTGATGGTAGTATGTACAATTCAATTACTCCCCGTAATCCGAGCAGTTATTCTGGTGGCAATCCCTTCATTGATGACCAGTCAGATCAGAGCTATACTAATGTTGATGGTCGTCACCTGGGCCTTCCAAATTCCGGCCATTAACATCACCAAGAACATTCAACAGGCAACTACGGCTACTTTATGTGTCCAAGACAGAGTAAAGGCTCATTTGAAGGAAGCTAAAGCAGTTGCGGGAGCGAAAATTCAAACTGTAAGTGCAGTGCATTACATAATGGGTACTGTAACTGGAATGAAAAGGATATTATTTTAGGTTCCGCGGACTGCTTTTTTGAAGTTTATTCACGGTGCCACCAAGCCTTTTCGAAAGCTGAGAGAATTTATAAAATCCGTCGATGAATCCGTTAACAAAATGTTGGCCTGGCAACGTCACATAGCCGATCTGATCAACCAAATGTTGGCCAATTGCGATGAGGAAACCAGAAGACCTTATTACAGGGTAAAAGAGTGTTGTCATTTATATAACTGTTTGCAGTGCGTGGAGATAGTGGATAAGATGCATGAAGACTGCCTGGACGGGAGTTTCGAATTGATTTGTTCTCCCATCTCCCTTCTTCGCAAGGTATAATAATAATCCATTAATATCCAGTTATCGTTTTTTCGGTTCTTTTATGGATCAGCAAGCAGAATCCTGGAATTAATTAATCTAATTGGTTTCAGATGTGTTCAGCGACTCGGGTCCTGACTTTGAAATGTGAATGGCCTCAATATTTGAAGAAGCATTTACAGGAAACGGTCGGCACTGTGGTCAAAGATGGCTTGAGGAAATCTCTGGAAGCAGTGAAGGACACCAGCTTCTATCAGCTCTACGAAGAAAATAAAAAGAATATCACAGATGAATGGGAGGATGCCAGAAACATTGAATTGAATGTGACCCACATCTATGAACAAACTAATGCCTTGGCCTTGAACTTTGATGTTGTCAAAAACAAGCTGAGGGACGAAGTTTCTGGACTGGAGACCTTCATTAGAGCGGTTATCTGGCTGCTGAATGCTTTGTTGTTGCCAATGATGTTATGGCCTTTCGTTACTGTAGGTATTATATATATAATATGCGTAGTGTAATCTAAAGTGATGCAAATGTTTAGGCTTCCATCTATGTCCTTCGGTTTTACCGTTTCCCAATGTATGATAATTACTTTATAAGTGAACGATTGGATGAGATTGAGGTTGAACGGAGGAGAACTGGTCGGACTACAGTACTCCCGTTGATGCCTGGGGAAAGGAAAACGGTAAGATAATTTTTAATTGGACAGAATTTTACTTTCAGTTGATAAGAATAACGACTCCGTTTATGTCAAGGAAAGAGAGGCCTTATTTATTCTTCGCACTGGTAACAACGACAGTGGGAGCACTAGTTCCAACCGTCATCATCATGATGGACATCTTGTTATTCAAGTTGATGAACAAAACTTTCCAATTTTTTAGTGGAAATGTTTCATTGGGCGACGTTCCTGGTCATTATGAGTTGAAGATTGCCGGAAAAGGTTTTATGAAGGAGATGTTGGAATCTCTTTTGGAAGTGTTCCAGCCATTACATCAGAATGTCCAGGACTCTTTCTGGAAGGATTGCTTCGAAGAACCCAATCCCCCCGATTATCTCCTATTCCAACTCATGTTTCTGCTTTTTGTTCTGGCCATTGCCTTGTGCTTTATTCAGGTATAGTTGTTTCATTTGTGACGTTTGGTAGATTTTCCCGCGAGCTGCGCCCTACCATTCTACAGTATTTTGATGACCAGAGAATGCTACATTGTAAGCTTGTTTATTTTTAGATATATGCCAAGAGATGTCGCCATTTAATTGCAGAACTTGTATTCCCAGAAAAACGTCGATTAAGAGGTTTAAAATTATACAGTAGTCTACTGGAAATGAGAATGCATTCCTTGAACAGAGTGGGCGGAAAGAAAAAGGTAAGAAAATTCATATACATGACTAACGACTCGTTTTTAGAATATAATGGACGTAGATGAGTTGAGTGCGAGCGATGTGGACGATGGCCGTATTCAGGCATGCATCAGATGCAGCAAGCCCGACCTCGAGATCAGAATGGGAGGGTAAGGCAAAAAGATTTACGAATTTATTTTAGAAGTGCATCTAGAGTTTGTACTGAATGCAACGAGTTCTATTGCCTCAAATGTTACGATCAAGTCTCGAAATGCATAAGTTGTGGAAAGAAATTGGGTAAAATCGAGAATGAAATCAACCTTTATGAGGACTCAAGCGCCCTGGAATCGTCGGAAGATGAGATGCAAGAAGTGATGGTGGAGGGGGAAAGGGGAGGAATACGGGTAGAAGACATCAAAAATGTATATAATAAAGCGAAACAAGCAAAGGAGGGCATCCATGACATTAAGGACAACATCAATGACATCAATATTGTACCGTCATTTGGAATTTTGGGCAAAGAAAAGGATAAGAATGAGAGAGAAACCAAGGGAAATGACACTAGAGATAGAAAAGAGAGCAAAGGGAAAGAGGAACCTGGGGACAGTGAGCCAGAATATGATCCGGGGACACCAGTCAAGGATGAAGATCAAGGTCTCAACGCTCCATCTAACGTGCATGAAGATGGTGATGATAATCAAGGGCCTGGCAAACCTGTGAGGAATAGTAAGATTCCTGGAGATAAGAATAAGAAGGTGAGTGGCCTGGGAGATGGCTTTTATTATTATAGGGTGATGTCAAGAAGAAACCAGGAACTAGAGCAGGCAAAGTCACCAAGAATAAGAAGAAGAAAGCTGGAACAAAAACCCCGACAAAGAAGGAAGGAAAGAGCTCCAAAAATAAGAAAACTAAATCCGATGCCAAGAAGAGCAAAAACGCTAAGAATCAGAAGAAAAGGAAAGATAAAGTGAAGAAGAACAAACCCAAGGGTAGGCCTACCACTCCCAAACCCGGCAAAGGAAAAGGCAAAAAGAAGAAATAGTCGAAAAAACTGGTTTGAAGCGGGGGATTACACGGTCTGAATTGTAATAAATGCTTGAAATGGAGAGAGTGTCCTGAGCTCAGCTGGCGGAACAGATCCGACCGGTTGTTTGACCATGGTCACCAATGTTGCGCCATCGTTTAAAGGGTTTATTGGGCATTGAAGCCGCTCGGCGTCAGGTTGTCTGCGCTCTTTTGCGGTTACTGTAGATCAGAATGTATTTGTTAATTACCCTTTTGGTTACGGTATTTCCATTGTCAAAGGCGGTAAGAGTATCGAAAACAAGAAAACTGTTAAGTGTCTGGCCACTGGACTGTGTGGAGGTCTCAATTATGGATGTGGAGGAGCTGCTTTGAACCCTCTCTTCCGTCCGGCTTGCCAGAGTATGGGTTGCCCCGGGAATCTGGGCTATCAAGGAGGGTTGGGCTATGCTGGAGGGTACAACCAGTACTCTCCGTACAACAGTGTCTTCGGTAATGGGGGATATGGACCCCTAGGGGGTCTCGGAGGATCTTCATGTGGCCCTTATGGTTGTTATAGGCATCGTGCTCGGGCTTCGGTTAGTTATAAACCAGAGAATTTGAAGGGATACACGTAAGTCTAGTGGAATATTTATTTGAATGCGATACAGTAATGAGACCATCAGACATCTGAACCAATTGGCAGAGATCTCTCCGTCCGTAGTCAACAATTACTTCAAGAATCAGAAAGTGGCTGTTGTAAGTTGACTTTAATCATCATTGTTACATAACTTATGTCATCATTGATATTATGGTTCAAGAACCCGAACAAAGCGTTCCTCCAATGCTGTGTTGATCGTCGATTGCCCGATTCTTGCCTCCGGAAATGTAATTTTGGAGTCTATAAAAGAGAAATGGTAGAGCATAATAGTAAAGATTCATTCATATTATTGCAGTTGAGTGAGATGTACATGAAGAAAGAGGAATGCCCGATTGAAGCCATGCAGGAGATTCATTTCTGTGCAGCCCAAGGTCGAGATCATCGTCAATGTTGTGAAAGAAATGGAGTTTCCACGACTCTGGCGGGAGAGAAGTGTCTTGTTTTCTGCGATCAGCGTCCCGGCCGCGTCGTCCAACTCGATATGACGTATTTGCCGTGTTTCGAGAGATTCGAAAGCATGAAAAGTTGCTTCTGGAATGACTTAATCAGACGTCAGTAGTCTTTTTTTGTGTATTATACCTCCAAATGGCTGCAAGATCTTCGAAATTGTCTGTAATTTAAATCGAATTGAAAGTGAGCAGTTTCAGAAATTGAAATGTTTCTTTTGTTTGAACAGTATTGTAATGATTTGTTTGCATATCTCTCTCTCCAAATAAATTGTAGACAGTGTTGATGGATGGTTACATTGGAATAATGTCTAATATCCCACTAATGTTTTTGAAGATTCCCGAGGGACCAGTGACCTCGCGAGGTAGATGACCAAATCAAAACCCGCCCTTTTTGGTGTGACAAAAGAGTGACGCGGCTGCCAGAAGAGAGGGGGGGCTGTAGCCCTGTCTTACTAAGCACTCTGAGACGGCGCTTTCTCGGCCAAATATCGATCCATGCCATTTATTCCGCTCGAGGGCATTGGGCCGGCCGCCGCCGAGAGAGCGGGAAGCCGGCTTCGAATGGGGGCCTTAAATGGAAAGGGGAGACGGCCCCAGGTGTTTGTGTATGAATATAATTTATCTTTTATAATGCCCGCACTCTTTAATCTTTCTGTTATCATTCTCGTTTTCGACTCATTAAGAGTCGCGTTTCCTCTTTCCTTATCTTTATATGGCCATCGGAATCCAATATTTGGTTTTATCCTCTCAAAATAACGCGTATTTTATATTTCGTTTGGTCGTTTTGACAACAAATAAGTGTATTTTGGGTTGTTTCCTGATACCCAGGCCTCTTCCCCCGACCTAGATAACGGCACAAGTCTGAGAGTACCCGATAATTATTATTTATTCCTTCCAATTAAAGAGTTGTAATTACACCATTCCCTAAGGCCATGTTTTTCTTTCGGCACGCCCGTTTTCGTCGCTCCGACGTTCTTGAGACCTCCAGAATCCATGACTCGCCGCTTTTTTGCATATTATTATGTTTTGGAAACTTGCAAATCGATTTTCTGCGGCAGACTCCATTGTTTGGCCGCGTTTGCCGGAGGCTATGGAACAGGAGCGCGGACCGTTCCGTCTCTTGACGTTCCCCTCAGTTCACCAGGGATTTCTTCCTGAAATCGTGGGCCTTATATAGTTTTTGTTTCACCTTTTTCGCTTCCCGCATGCCCTCCGGGTCCGTTTGTTCAGAAGAGGCTCTTGTCCTCAGCCTCCCCCCCCCCTTCCCATCCCATTTCCGGTCGTCCTGAAATCGCGTGGCCGGGTTGGTTTCCCATCATTTCATATGAATTTACAGCTATTTACTCTTTTCCTGTACAAATTTGAATAATCTCGGCAGAAATGGGTGACGACATACCTCAGAGCCTCGAGGAGATCAACCTCCGAATGAATCAGACCACAGACGATGTAAGTTTTTGTTATGCTAAGTAGGGCATTAGATGGTGGGGAAAGGGCTGTGAAAGTCGGGGTCGCAAAATTCGGCAACGACCTTAATTACTTTAACAGAGTTGTAATAAGTAGTGACATAAAAAAAATAATATAAATGTGAAATTAGAATATTCCAAGAATGAGATCAAAAGGTCAGATAGGTAATTAAAACAATAAACGAGCTCATCACTTGTCCCCGAAACGATCAAAATAGACCCCTAGGGCCTAAATTTACCCGTCCCCTCTTACCTCGGCGCTTCCAATCGTATCTCGGGAACAAAGAGAGAAGTTTAACGAGAACGCGCATCCTCGGGCCCTGAGGGCAGAACGAAGGAAACCGTCCGACACATCCCCTCAAACCTTCCATTTGAGGCTGCTTGAACCCCGAAACCTGACCCCCGCGTCTCCTACCTGTCCAGTCGAGGATCAGGGCCTTTGTTTGTCAACTCGTTGACGCCCAACACTTTTATGTCCTCAGGGCCAACGGTTCAGCCCTTTGCATTTTGAAACAGTGCCGGGCCTTGGATGATGCCGGTTTTATAAGAATAATGCAAGTTCGTGGGTTCCACCCGCCCAACCGAACCCTAATTTCAGAGATGCCGCGCCAGTTTGATCGCGATCGAGGCCGGGTCGAATTCACACCCGGGCCTCATGGAACGGTCGAACATGACGGGCTGGTGATGCCCGGGGACATGAGTGATGAGCTCAAGACTCTCAATGTGTTCATTGACAAGAGCACGGGAGAAGTTAAATTACTTTTATTTATTCCTGTTTGTTTATCGTGATTAACAAACATATTTTAGTCTCTCGAAGCCACAAGACGAATGCTGGCATTATGTGAAGAAAGTAAAGAAGCTGGAATCAAAACATTGGTCATGTTGGATGATCAGGGAGGTATGGTCTTGCTCTTTTTTTTCTCCTTTTCTTTCAAAAATAAACTTGTTATCAATTATTGTGCATAATCATCGTTTTTTCACACGTTTATTTGCAGAACAATTGGAGCGAGTGGAAGGAAATCTAGACACAATAAATACGGACATGAAGGAAGCCGAAGAACATCTGAAGGGCATGGAGAAGTGCTGCGGTCTCTGTGTTTTGCCTTGGAATAAGTGAGTGCAAAAAAAAGGGGGGGGATTAACAGACTGCCCAGAACGAAAAACAAAAATTTGCAGACATAACGACTTCGAAAAGGGAGCCGAATACGCAAAAACGTGGAAGAAGGATGACGACGGAGGAGTGATTAGTGACCAACCCCGGATCACGGTGGGCGACGGAGGAATGGGCCCTCAGGGCGGATACATCACTCGGATTACGAACGACGCCCGAGAAGAGGAGATGGATGAAAATGTACAACAAGTGTCGACTATGGTGGGGAATCTGAGGAATATGGCCATCGATATGTCCACGGAAGTGTCCAATCAGAATCGACAGTTGGATAGGATCCAGGAGAAGGCCCAATCCAACGAAACCCGAGTGGATTCGGCCAACAAGAGGGCCAACAAACTATTGACTAAGTAGATTAGAGTCTCTCTTTGTTCGGAAAGCCCCGGAATGACGTTATTTTAGAGCTGCAGTTGTTGTCCGAGTATTGTTTATGTCTGCTTCTAATCACTTACATTGTATTACACCGATGAGTCGTCTTCCCGGGCAATCCCCTTCCTCCCAACGGGCCTATGTCTATTATAATATTCTCATTTGCATTCTCACCATTTTTTGCATAATTTTTGAACAAAACTTTCGGAAGCCGTGGCTGAATTCAGATATATGAACACTTCTAATCGTTCTTTTCACGTTCCTTTAGCTTTAATCCCACGGCCATTTTCATGTGTACATTTATTGCGATCAGCTTCAAAGTGATAGAATTAATGTTTATTCTGGTTGATAGCTTGATAACCGTCTGAAAATAATGTTTACAATAAACCCCGGAAGATACCCATCAACTACAGACATGACTTGGAGGAAAGCGCGGAAAGATCGGTGGAATATGAAGGATCAGGGGATGTGGGGAATGGCTCTCATCATCTCGTCTTCCTCGGGACTCTGATACACATTGTGGAAGGAGAACTGGACAAAGTTTTGTTGCATTTCTTCCAATTCACTGACCACGGACAGAGATCCATCTCGATGTAATGGAGGCGTCAGCTGGACATTCTCTCGAGTGAACTCCTGAAATGACCGGAAATATTATCCTTCGTGATTTTAAAGTCATCAAAGGATATTCGAATACATACCGCATCAAAATAAGAAGTGTCCGTATCCGAACTCAACTGTGGAATGAACGGAGGTGTGATTTCTTTTCGGTATAACATCTCCCAATCAACATTCCTGAAGAATGGATGAGCTTGGATATCTCGGGCATCATTCGGACCTCCGCCGAGACTAAAATGTCATTCTTAGCCAAACAAAATACAAAAGTCATCAGTATTGCGCAACTCGAGAAAGTAATGCGTAGTAAAATCAAATTACTCACCGTTGACCAGGAGTTTTGACAAGTAGATTGCTGAGTAAATGTCGCGCTTCTTGACTCAATTTGGATGGATATCGGATATTCCCGGATAAAATTAATTCGAACAATTTCTCATGTTCCTTGGAGTAGAACGGTAATCGTCCACACATCATCTCGTACATGACCACTCCCAGACCCCACCAATCCACCGATCTCCCATAATCATTATCGTCCAGCACTTCTGGAGCCAGATATTCTGGAGTCCCGCAAAAAGTCCGTGTTCGATCCCCAAAGGCAATATCTTCTTTACAAAGCCCAAAGTCAGCAATTTTGATATGTCCGTAACGATCCAATAATAAGTTTTCCAGCTTGAGATCTCGGTAGACAATGTTGTTGTCGTGTAGATAACCTAAGGCCAATACGATCTCGCCTCCGTAGAAGCGGGTTCGGTCCTCCGTAAAACCTTCCTTCTTGATCTGAACTTCTTGATTCAAATGATAATAGAGATCGCCTCCAATAGCGAATTCCATTACAAAACATAGCCGATCCACCGTCTGGAAGGAGTAGGTTAGCTCGGTGAGGAAGGGGTGCTTGCATCGTTGAAGCACTCGGTTTTCAGTCATGGTATGTTGGAGTTCGTCCTTGGCCAATATAACCTCTTTTTTCAGAATTTTAATGGCATATAATCGATTCGTTCTTAATTCTCGACTCAAAACAACTTTCCCGAAGGTTCCTTTCCCCAAGACTTTCAAAAATTCAAAGTCGTTCAGTGTGATCAAAGAGTGTTCGTTCTCCCTGTTCCTAATGTCAACTTCTCCGATCTCCATGGCGTCTTGTTGTTCTTGCTCTTTTTGTTGTCTTGCTCCGGCATCAGCCACAGTCGTGCCAGAAGTCTCGGAAGTCGATGCTGATGCTGAATTCATGTCCATCTGCATCCGAGGTTGGAAATCGATGGGTAGTTGGGTGACATCCATCATTCCCAGGCCATTGGGATCACTCTTAATTGCAGCGGCTACTGCCCTCAGGCCTTCAACCCACATTTCTCGGTCTTCTGAAGTCTGGGTGGAGAAGATCCGTTCGATGACTGATGTCCATTGGAGACCTCTGACCAGGAAAGTGTTCGGTCGGGGTTTCTCGGCTCTCATTACCTGAAATAAAATTACTTTAGAGACTGATGCAGGGAATCAGAAAGTATTACAACCTCACAGAATCAAGCCATGTTGTGAATGCCATGCTTTCTCCGTAAGATTTGACCAGCCCCGACAACAGACCCACCCCTCGCCCTCCCCGAAAAAACAAGCGGATATTTTTGTGATGGCCTATGGGGTATGATGATCGTCATGTCGTCATCAACAACCACAGCCCTTCTGTTGTTGTTTATCGCTCAAGCCAATCGCCTGCTACGACGCGCGACCCTCGAGAATTCTCTTTTCTTCCAAGGGTAACAACACTGATTTAAAATATTTTTGAAAACAAGGATTACAGTAACCGAAAAGGATACTGTAAAGGTAAGAGTAAATACAACGGTCCATGCTCTCGATTCATGCGTAATCGTAAAATATGGCTACCGTAGACGTCGTTTACGGAATCGGAACGCTAATAAACCCAGGTATATTTTGAAAAACAGAAGTAGAACTGGAAAAACAAAAAACAAGAACAGAACGGCGGTCATCGTGCGAGAATAACAGCTCTGACCAATCTAAAAACAATCAATTGGGCCAAATAAATATAATGGGGATAATTGAGGGACCCCAGCTGGCTGTAGAAGCGAGTACATATTGTATAACAAAGATCGTAGACCGACTACTGTTCTCTTATGGCCCCAATAATGTTATCAATCTCAATTATCCACCATCCTTGTTGATGTACGCGGAAGGTCCCAATCCATGTCGTCGCACTGTGCACTCTTTTGTTTTCTGTTTTGTCGTGGCGCGGGGGAAAAACAATAAACATGGCGACAGAACGGCACGGAAAAACAACTTGATCGCGCCCAAAAGGACATCGCCGTCCCAAACAAAAATTTATTTTGCAATCGCCCCCCCCTGACACAAATAGATTTCGCCATGTTTTTCCTGAAGACTCAGTAGTAGAGCTGCCGTATTTTCGAAAATACGAAGTAAGGCGCGCCTTATCAAAACATGCTCTGTTCCAAAAAATAAATAAGGATTGGGAAATTGGAAAATGCCCACCGGTAAAATCTAATAACAAAGACTTTTCTTAAATCACCACTCACCTGCACATCTTTGACAGTAAAATCGTTGAGAGGATCCTCGAAGTTGTCGGTCACCTCGTTCTTGTAGCCCAACAAGGTCCCATCTCTGAACAGGACAAAATATCTTTTCCTCCAATTCTTGATGTGATTCCCTCTTTTGAACAGCCATCCAGCCAGACAAACATCTGACCTCAGGCGATATTTATGTTTCGAGACATGACTCATCGGCTGAATTCGACTACTCTCAGAACTCGAGATACTTCCCGAACTGGGAGGGGGCATGGCGCTGATGGATAGATTATCCTTGTCCACGTCCTTGTTCAACGACTGATTTGAACCGAACTGATTGGTCGATGGCTGTGATGACAGCGAGGCCGCAAAAGAAGCAAACCCGGTTGATGAAAGTCTGGACCAGTCTGAAATAATAAAAGTTGTTTACTTTAGAAATCGATGTCGAAGGAAGGGATTCTGCTTATGAGAAAATGGCCCTTTGAATTGCCCCCGAGTCCCTCCCAAATGACGGCAGACCATTAATTTCTGAATTTCTAATCATTACCATCATCTAAATGGCAATAGAATGACCGCCGTTCCGGCGTGAGGACGACGCACCTTTGCTGCCAATACTAACCACACGTCCCCCGACGCCCTAAGGGGACGAGAGAGAAGAAGAAAGTGCAGAGAAACGTTGAGTGAACTTTAGTCGAAACGGAGAGACAGCAGAGGGAGGGAAAGCAAGGGGAAGAAAGGGGCAAGGGGTGTTTTTGCGCTCCCCAGCCCCACCCCGGGTCCGTGTCTGGGGTTGTTTACAACTTGGGCGTTTTCTGTTTTTCCGCGTCTTTTTTTTAGCCATTTCCTCCGGCTTATGATGGAAACAAAATGAAACAACAGGAAACCGAATAAAATAATCCCCCTTCGTGTTTTATGAATCTCCAACCTTGACTTACCCAATAAAGAACTCTTCCTTCTCGGCTTCGACTCCTTGTTTGAGGCCATGACTACAATAACAGAGATGATTTAAGGACCCGACTGATACAAAACCCAGCCGCGTGATCAAAAAAAAAACGAAAAAAGAAAGGGCCCGGGGGAAAGAAACGGTGTTTTAATATATTATTCGAATGAGGCTTTAAAGCGAAGACCCTACGGCCATGTAATTCCAATCTCATCCCTACCTTAATCTGGCCAAATCCTCGTCAACAGGGCCTAGGCCAGACCGGTAACAATAAAAATAATAATTTTACTGATTAAAAAGTAATTGTAAAACCCCTTGTGTGCGAGGAGATACTCGAAATCGGAGAAATTGGCTGTCCTCTTGTTGTCCGCAACGGTGAAACAACAAAAAAGAGCTGGGCCGGTGCCGCTCAGAGTCAACCATCGTCGACCTTTGAATGCACTATAAAGAGAAAAAGTGGAGGGACGCGAGGGATGCGCGTCTCTAAACAAGAGTCACAGAATATTAAAATGTCCACGCAATTAACGTGTTGCCCAGATCTCTTGCGTCAAATTGCAGAAATACAAAGTAGTCCTTCCGGAAAGTCTCCGGACTGAAATCGGCAACACGCACTGTGCGAAAACAAAAGTTTTCTTGTAATATTTTAGTAATGATCATTACAACATCGTCCAGATCACCCAAGAAATTTCCCACTTCAAAATAAATTCCATTTTTAGATTCCTGATGGTCGAAAACCCCAAAACAAATAAAAAACGTCATATTTAGTAGCCAGTACGATATTTTTTATTTAGTAGCCTTCAGTACAATATTTTCCTCAACACCCAAGAATTCCCCCACCCCAAAATTCCATCACCCGAAACTGCGATCGCTCGAAATTTCTCACCCGAACCTGCACCACCCGACTCTGCGTCACTCATAATGTGAGTCACCCCAAATCCGAAATTGTGCTGATCAAGAATATATAAAACTTAGCTGCCCAATTTTGGGTCGAAAATGCCCAAAAACTGGCTTAATTTCCCTACAAAAGAGAAAGGCATTTCGGGTCTTGGACAACTCGGGTCGCGACACTTCGGGTCAACGACGCCTCGGGTCAACGACATTTCGGGTCAACGATACCGTTTAAAACAAGGTTCGCGAGAGACTCGAGAACCCCTTGGCACAATTTTACCAAGTTGGTCCTGCAGGGCTGAAATATAACCCAGTTAGTACACTAACAAAACAAAACTTTTTGGCATTTCTAATTTTTTGAGATTCGGCTTACGGTAGGCGTACTGTACTTTACCGCAAATTTTGTATCACAAAAACTAGACATGCCAGAGGGTCGGGGGTGGTTCGGATGGATTGGTATCGCTATTCTGAGCAAGTTACCTGTTGACAACGTTTTTCTAAAGTTTTGCCTAAGGCAAGAAAAAGTTGATTCTTTGGATCCAAAGTTACAGTAACCTAGATTTCTCAAAAATTTTGCATAGTGCGGCAAATTTTGAAGCTTTTATTTAGAAGTTCTTTCCATTGCCGTTCGAATGAGCCTATGAACACGCCTGTAGAGTCTCTCCTGGGGCAGAACCAGCCGTTTAAAGTTTGCATTTACAGAAAATGTGTCATCATGACATAGTGTACATGTTGAACCGAATGTATTATTGCAAAAATGGAGGCTGATGGTATCTAGACGTAGTCCAACCGTCTTTCGCACCAATTTACCTATCTGACTGCCATAATACGTCGGGATGACATATTTTCTGGAATCCACCGTGGTGGCAAGCAGAGATTGCCACGGCTCCGGAGCTGGCTCTTGGCTCCGGCTCTGAGCGGCTCCGGCTCCGAGCCGGGAGCGATAGCCGGAGCCGGAAATTTTGGGTGCGGCTCCGGCTCCCGAGCCCAAAGTCGGAGCCAGGCTTCTCAGTGTTCAGAAAAGCAAAAATTTCATAAACCAAATTGCTTGAAAAATACTGGAAAGGATGTGCTGCATACGAATTGGCTGCAAAAACGTTGGGTGTATGATATCCGGCACTAATAACTTTTATTTTTGGTAAGATATTTTTTAAAAATTTTTTGCACGGGAGCCGGGATTTGGAGCCGGAGCTGCAAATTTGGCCCCGACTCCGGCTCAATCTCTGGTGGCAAGCTTTAAATCTTCGTATCTTGAGCAGGCGACCCTATAAAAGCTTCAAAATTTGCCGCACTGTGAAAAAATTTTGAGAAATCTAGGTTACTGTAACTTTGGATCCAAAGAATCAACTTTTTCTTGCCTTAGGCAAAACTTTAGAAAAACGTTGTCAACAGGTAACTTGCTCAGAATAACGATACCAATTCATCCGAACCACCTCCGACTCTCTGGCATGTCTAGTTTTTGTGATACAAAATTTGCGGTAAAAGTACAGTACGCCTACAGCAAGCCTAATAATAAAAAATAGAAGTGCCAAAAATTTTTGTTTTGTTAGTGTACTAACTGGGTTGAATTTCAGCCCTGCAGGACCAACTTGGTAAAAATGTGCCACCCCTGTTTTGCGGTTTCTCGACTTTCTCGCGAACCTTGTTTTAAATAATATTTTCGCTTCGGGACTTGGGAAAAAGGATTTTTGAAATTGAAATTTTGTCGACTTATAACACTTTTAGACGTTAATGGTGCTGTTCCTAGTACTGCTTAGAACACACATTTGCACACATAATAAACACATTTGAACACTTGTTACTAAATAGTACTACCTGGTACTATTTAGTATGAGGTGAAAATTTGGCCGTAAGGCGGTAATGGTGTTGGTTTGGTGTTTAGTAGCGCCCAAAAACACGTTTTTTACACTTGGTACTGTATAGTAGGTGGTACTATCGGTGTTAGACAAAATTTTAGTGCTGACGGCACCACAGTTTATATTCAGTCAGGCACACCTTTTCCCAAGTCTCGAAGCGAAAACATTTCAAAATTTTGTTCAAATTCTCCAACAAATCCTTTTTCCCAATCCCGAAACAAAAATATTTTAATATTTTTGTCAACGATAACGTTTAAAAACGTTAACGATAACGCGTTATCGTTGACCCGAAATGTCTCTCCACCGTAAAAAAGTCTCCGCCGAGCCTTCGCCAATGTGTGAAACATCTGCTAAGCCACCGAGACTGTTACATCCTACCAGATATGATAAATTTAATTTCATCCGTAATACAGAAGTCTGGGCTTTGCAACGAGGTGTAACTTTCAAAAAAGGGATCAAATGTATCTACCGAAAAAATGGTCTCTACGCCAAGGCAAGAAAAGATTCTTTTGCATATAAGAGCGAAATCAGACCGATTTTGGGATTGTACAGGGTGGGCCACTAAAACCTTCCGTCCTCTTTTTTTAGATTTCTCCGCGGAGACTCCGCCGATTTTCATGAAATTTAGATTTTTCTGGAGCTGAGATGCGCCGTTTTCAACGGGTAGAATTTGAAAAAAAAATATCCTGAATAGACCTTTCTATGCCTTCCCAAAGTTTTTGAAAATTATTTTCGAGCCGAAACCGCTAAAACTTTGAAAATTTTTGGAATGATTTTGGCCCTAACGTGGACTTTTTCACTCTTGCCAAAAAAAATTTTTTTTCGACGTTCATCCCCTAACGGTAATGCAGACAACACTCTTTTTGCTTTCATCCTCATTTAAACAAGTTTAGAGAAAGCGTACGGGACGTTTTACTCCACGATTTTACCAAAAAAAAGGCCGGAAATTTTCCAAGTCCGAGAAAGGCAATTGAAAATCATTCCAAAAATTTTCAAAGTTTTAGCGGTTTCGGCTCGAAAATAATTTTCAAAAACTTTGGAAAGGCATAGAAAGGTCAATTCAGGATATTTTTTTTTCAAATTCAACCGGTTGAAAATGGCGCATCTCAGCTCCAGAAAAATCTAAATTTCATGAAAATCGGCGGAGTCTCCGCGGAGAAATCTAAAAAAAGAGGATGGAAGGTTTTAATGGCCCACCCTGTATAAAAGACGCTAAATTTGCTTTCTCTGCTTTTTTTCTCATGTCGTTCTCATTTTTTTCCATTCTGTTTTTAAATTGTTTTTCAAAATTTCTAGAAAAACCTTGCAGACAAATGGCCCTTACATTATGCATGTACGTTTTACAAAGTCGCCTCACAACATTTCAAGCACAAAAAGGGAAATCTACAGATAGAAAACCGAATTCTTGTAAATAACACGAGAAAGTCAAAATCGTTTTGACTCCGCAAGCTCCAGAACGGGATGTAAGAATGAAGTAGGCTTACTTTGGGCCTCTTCGGGCAGTAGACTCGGAATTTGACTTTCCTTTCCAAAAAACGAAAAAAATTTGCCTTTCTTTCCAAAAATGTTGCATCTCCGTATCCAAAGAGCTTTTCAATTAAAACTAACAAAACGAGTAAGTGTTGTTATTCCGAATGATTTTTCGAAATCGTCTACGATTGCGTAATTTTTGCAACATTAAATCGAATGCCTTTTTAATTACTCGATCAAGTCATTAATTCTTTGTTTGTTAATCTTTTTTATCATTCTAAAACAAATTTGAGTGAACTCTAATTGGTTTATATAATATTTGTTTTTCAGTAATTTCGAAGGGCTCACAATAATACCAGTTTTTCGAGAAAAGAGTTGTAAAACTGTAAAATCACAGAACGCAGATCTTGCATTTAAATAACGAGGCTACTTAAAAACTCTTGCTTTCTCCAGTCTTACAGTTTTACGACATTAGCTTTTACTTTTGCTCCTTTCCTTTTCTCTCTTCCCGGATTTAAAACCAGAATGGAACGGAGGAAACTGAGGTGGATAATCAAATTATCCGTTCTGAACTCGGACTGTTGTCAGTTGTATAGTTTGTTCTATCATGGAATGGGTCTTGGTCTTCTGTTACAGCCTTTGGCTAGCCACTTCAGCCGAAACTTTATTTAATATTGTGTCTGGATTAGATCGATTGCCTCGGGGTAAGTGAATAATATTAATTTGATGTTTGATCTCATTAGAACCGGGATTAATAATCAGCTCCTCCATGGATTTGAATATATCTGATTTTATGAATGACATGACTATTAATGAACAGTGTCATCAGAGATTGGAGGTTGGAAATGGGCACATGAAACTGAAAAGATTCTTTTATAACAGGCAGAACGACGATTGTATTCCTTTTATTTACCGTGGAAATGGTGGAAATCTGAACAATTTTTTGGATGAAAACTCTTGTCGGATTACTTGTATACTCAGTAAGTAATAGTAAAAATGGTAATATTTAAATTTAGATTTTGAAAAAACGGACAAATGCAAAAACAAACCGACATCGTCTTGTAACAAGCCAAAGGCCTCTGGCAATCAGTTGTTTAATTATGACGTCATGAAAGATGAATGTCATCCGTTTAAGATGAACGGATGTGACAAGGAAGACAACTTTTTTGTTTCAAAAACAGAATGTGAAAGAAAATGTGTTTCAATTAAGAAGGTACCTTGTTTGGAGATCATAACTTGCACCGAGAAGTCCTGTCCATTCACTTGTCTGAAGAAGGGAGATAAGCAATATTGTTGTAATGAGGCGTATAAGGGACCTTAATCAAGGGTATCTGCTATAATATGACTGCAATAAACGACTTTGAAAACCTTTTATGTAGAACATTTTTGAGGTTTGTGAAGTAGTCTTTTTTTACTTTTTTCCCATGCCAAATTTTTTAAGACACACTTCATCTGAAGTCGGTTTAAATAAATAAATGAGTATCCATGGTTATTTTGGTAATAAATCGTGTTGAATTGACAATCCAGATGGCTAAGAGTAATCGGGAGACCCACAAGACGATCTCTTGATCCAAACAACACCTCCCGCGATTAATGAGTAATGGCCGGAGGGTTGATGGATGGACTGTGATAATCGGTTGAGTTCTTCTTTAGAGTATTCGAGGTATATATGGTTCAAAAAAGTAAATAAAAGTCTGTTGAAACCTATTGTTTCTATTACTTAGACAGGAAGTCATGTTCTTCTAGAAACTTAGTAATTTTATACGGTACATTGGGCATCATTGTCATAATTACCCCAAGGGCAAGTGTCTCCAAACTTCTCAGAAAATTTCTAGACCGACTGTAATGTGCCAAGAATTAAACCGAACAAAAAAGAGGGATTAATTCTCCTCTCAGGTGCCCGAGATCAGTTCAGGGGAGGGGGCTTCCTTCTTGGCTTTAACGACCTCTGTCGATTGCTTCGGATATCTTTTTTTTTCTTTTCACTCTCGGGATCGGCTGCCGTTCCTTGGAGACCCAACCCTGAGGGCTCCCTGTTGTTTCCTTGACTTTTTTCGTGACTATAATAATTAAATGTCGCAAATTAGTTCTTTGGGCATGACTTTTAATTGAAATTCCTTCGGCCGCAATTAAACTCCTTCGCGGCCCAAAAATCTGAGGCCAGATAAAAGGGATCGGCCGTCCTTTTATAGCCTTTATTTATGTCATCCCATCCATTGTAGGGGTGTGATATCGATTTGGCCTATGTCATCGCGAAGAAGGAGCCGATGAGGTCGCCCGCAGAGAATGCTTTACAAGATCGTCCATAAGTTGAAATGGTTTTACAAGGAATACAGACTCTCCCATTTTCTACCCTTTACGGTCCTGATTACGTACACGTTGATCGGGGCTGCATTGTTTCGTCACTTCGAATTGGAACCAGATGAAATTCGAAGGAAAAAGTACCGTGAAAGTACAGAGTATGCCTTCAATCAGGTAAGGGACTATTTTTGACGACCTCTTTGATCCCTGGGGCTAAACATAAACTCCCAGATGTCATTTGTTTGTTTATTTTTCTCTTAATTGTTACCTTCTTTGAACACTTGACTACGTCCAGATCATAAAACGGATGACGGAAATCCAATGTGGGAAGGGAAATGGAAGCTCCTATCATCGACACATCCAGACCCGCGAGACCAAAGAGGCGCTCTTCTGGCTGATAGACTACCTCAACATAACGACTGTGATTGAAGAGCGGTGTGACACGAGCCCCTGGACTTGGACAGGGTCGCTCTTCTATGCCGGACAGCTCTACACAACCATAGGTATGTACGTCCGCTATTTTTGAGCACGTCATATGCAGAGAAAAGCTATATTTTAGAACCAATTCATCACACGAAAGAGTTTTTATGAGTTATCTTGAGAAGAGCTGACTACTGATTTAGACAGGCGTTTAAAGAAATGTTACAAGTCATTTGCCTGCGGGCACAAAAAAACAAAGTATACAAATGTTTGCCGTGAAAAGTATCAAAATTTTATGTCATAAAACGGTAAAAATATTGATTGAAAAATATTTAGGGTACGGGTTGCCAGCGGCACAATCGCCAGGCGGCCGAGTAGCGACCATCTTCTACATAATGATCGGGATCCCCATCTTCTTGATAATTCTCAAAGATGTGGGAAAAATCTTATCGAGGACATTGAGGAAGATTTACAAAAGGATGAGATCGGCCAAACAGAAGCTGCCGGACAGTGCCAGAAGGATGAGTGAGCCAGTTAAGGTAGGTTTATCTGCTTATGACCTAAAGTTTGTGATAATTGATGGTCTTTTCTTACATTCTCAATCTCCTTTTCATCCAAAAAATCATCGTCGTCGTCTTCCTCGATCACAATCTCATCCTCGAACTCTGATTCAGACTCTGACGATTCCTCTTTCACTATAAGATTTTGGTTTCCGTAATTCCCAGCACCTTACCTATAATGCCAATTCTTTGTCCCAACCATCTGGCCTTTTGGACAACGTCATCTTGCATAAGTTTAAAGCACATGGCGATCAGAGCCATACCAAATAACAGATATAACGCACAAACGATGAGTTTCTCCTGGGAATCCTCGTCGTCGAGAGTCTGCCCAGGAACAATATCACCAAATCCAATAGTAGATAAGGTAATAAAGGAGTAGTAGGCTCCGTCGAACAGATTCCAATCTTCCCAAATAGCAAACAGAATAGCCCCTCCGGCAATGAACAGTATGACAGTGATGATTCCGACTGAAACAGGCATCTTCTCCCTTTTGTAGCCACGTCTGAATGAGCGGATGCTGAAGTCATCACTCCGTTCCTCGCTCCGATAAGACCTCACTTCGTCTCGGCGTCGGGTCACTGATTGGGCATCGACTGAGCTTTGTTTGGGCAGTGCTCGGGGTGGAGTGCCACCTTCACTTTCCCTCAAGGCACTTAGATGATGGACTGAAATTGACGGGTCGACGTAATCTTCTTCATCAGACATTGTATCTGTCCCATGAGCCAATCGTTCTTTTTCATTGTCGCTAACTGTTATTTGAGGCACTTTTCCATTTCTAAATTTATAATTCCACCACCTTTCCAACTTCCCCTACCCTGAAATGACTGAATCATCAAAATGTTTGGGAGGTCTTCTCTTTGGCTTCCTCCTAATTGGAGCTGTAGCTGATCCCCTATTCCAAGATTGCATGGAGCCAGTCCCATTGACACTGTTATTAGACTTGACCTCCAGGATGGCTGACTTGTCATCATCACTGTTTAGATATCTGACTGGAAGACCTCCTTAAGCACAGGTTAGGAACTAAGTCTCCTTACCTCTTCCGTATTCTCTTCTGGGCCGATCACAACATTTGATCAGGTTCCTTCTTTTCTGATAATTAAATAATGGATCCATTTCGAGGCTGCTCGAATCCACCAATCCATGCACAGTTGAATGTTTTTGTACCTTCCCCTTCGAAAAATTATTTCTGGCCAAAGGATCCGAAGGAGATCCATGCTTTGCGTGACTTATTTTTCTTTTCCCAGGCAGAGAGTGAGTGTCGTATCTGTTGAGGGATCTTACCGACTTCATGCTCTTTGTGTCGCTGAAGCCACTTCTCAAGGGCATATTCTTTCTGTTTATGCTAGCCCCCCTCTTTAATTGACTATTGTGTCTTGAGATCGTTCGAGCTGAATGAGCCGTAAAGTTTTTAATAATCGTCGTGAGCTTACATAATTGTGATTCCTTACCCCGTCGTACATTAACTGGAGCATTTGGGTGATATCTGAAGCTGAGGGCGGCCCTTCGAACTCTTCTTCTCTTAGCTTGCCATCGACAATAAGCACAGCAAACTTTGAAGTATACAAATGTGAATACCTAAAGAAATAAAGAAAATGATGACAAAACGAACCTGGGCCAAACTTTCAGCAATATTGGCCAAACACAAAAGCATCAAGGGGATACCAATCATAGCGTATAAGATGGTCATTCCTCTTCCCAAAGCAGTCTTTGGACAAATGTGGCCATATCCAATAGTTGTAAAGACAGTTATGGAGTATAACAATGCTCCAGAGAATGTCCATTGATATGTCGGTTTAACGTCATCCTTCTCGTCGTATCCTTCATAGTTAACTGCCTTTACTAGTAGCAACTCATAATGTTTGAAGAGTTCGTGGGCCTTCTTTTTGACTTCATTTTCTTCGATGACATTGGATTCATCGATGAATTTATATAACAATTCAACAGTCTTCCAGGTGTCATTTGCAATATGTCCCTGGAATTGTAATTCCTCCGGATATTCGATAGCTCTGAACATAAATGCTCCAAGAACTGCATATAAGGCCACCAATGCGCAAAGGCCAACATGAGAGATGATAAAACCAGCAAGCTAAAATAAAGTTATCCCTGTCATTCATAAATACCTGTCTGGAGAAGATCGTTAACCGCAAACAAACCGATCTGACTTCATCTCTCATCTTTGATATCCGACAAAAATTTCTCTCGAATTAGACTGTGCTTTTATTTGCCTTCGGAAACAGAACAGTCATGCCGGGCCGTCTAAAGAAGTATACTCCGAAGATGGGCTAAATCTGGAGTCTTTCGTTGGGCCGGGTCGTTTTTCTGGATCCATTCTCGGGGGATTCTTTAGTCTTTTCTTTGACTCCGGATATGCCGGAAACCCGAAAACTTTGCATCCCCGTCTGAAATCCATTGGGACAGATTTTTTCATTAAATGACGTTGTTATACGTATAGCGGTAAACAATGTTTTGAGAACGCTACGGTGATTTAATATGTGTTATATATTTGATCTGACTGTCATTAATAGACTTAAAATTTCAGGCGATTTACAATCTCTCCATAAATCCCTTGGGTGGATTTGTTACCCATGAATCCGGAGATGATTTGGAGGCTAATCGCCCTCCGGGCATACTCAAAAAACCTCAGGATCAGCAGAGTTTGCAAGAAGCCAGCTACAAGAAGAGTGGGGAGTACCCGATTCCATTAGCTCTAACCATCCTGGCCCTATGGATCGCTTTATCAGCAGCCATGTTTTGTTTATGGGAACATGATTGGGGATATCTGACATCCGTTTACTTCTTCTTTGTATCCATCAGGTAACAAATGATTAAAATAATTTTTTAAATATTTTTTCAGTACTGTTGGATTGGGAGACGTGGTGCCCACAAAGCCGGATATGATGCTGGTTAACTTCTTCCTCATCTTAATCGGGTTGGCCCTACTTTCTATGTGTATTAATCTGATACAAGATTATATTGAGAAATTGATAGAACAAATATTGGAACAATATATAGAGGAGATAGAGAAGATGGCTCAGATTGTGACAAATACGGATGACCTGCAACAGGAAGAAGCGAAACCTTTTGAAGTTGGAATGACTGGTAAGGCGGGCATGAAGTCCTACGTCTCATTTTAGACATGTTAACGGTACCTTTAACGACAATGACAGAACATCCATACCAGAATACATTAGTCAGATCAGCTAAGGATTGGGTTGCTGAGAAGATCGTGGGGAATGTGTTGATGAATAGATTAGACCCCCACCACAGTTCGTCTGAATCCTCGGAAGATGAATTGGATGATGAAACAAGGAAAAATAGTGCTTCTACACAACAAACCAAAGATGGTAAGCAAATCCACAATAGTATTCACCAATCTCTTCCAGATACAATATCTCGAGCTTCCGTGAAGTCTCATAAAAAAGCAAAAACGCGGGCATTACAACGACATGCCTTATTTGGTTATAACCTGCCCACATTACGAGCAATTCAAGCAATTGAGACTGTTAAAATGAGAACTGATATTCATGGGGACTTCAAGTATGTTTCATTTGTCATCATTTTTCTCTAACTTTATTTAGGTCCCGAATGTTTGCCAAGTTTGCAACGAACAGTCGATGGAACAAGATTGTGGACACTCAACCACCTCCACCACCGACAAAGATGGTCAGCTTTAGCGTTCAGACATCACCGATACAAGGCAGGGATCGACGACGAATTAATAAGACCGATTATGGAGTGGGGTTGGGTGAGAGCTCCCGTTTTAATCGAATATTTATTTAGGATCAATGGATTCCTTCTCCTCGAGTTCTCGGAGAAACGGACCCGATTCATCGACCAGATCTTTCGACATTGACTCTTTATGCTCCTCTGCCTACAATGACGTTGTCTTCGGACCTTACACAACCGACTCGATACCTCAGTTCCCAACTGATAAGAAGAATTCGCTGACATCCCCCAGCTCTCCCGGATCTCCAATCACCCCAACCATCCTTCTGAATCGTTCCTCAAACTCTCCAATCGGGTGTTCAGATATTGCCATTAAACTTCCTCATCGACGATACTCAACTTCCAATTGTTTGGACTGCCCATCAGGTGGTGCCGCCCCTCACACCCAAATGCCTTTCCGTCGATGCCCCAGCTGTTACGAGAATTTAAACAGAGATGAATCAAAGGCAGAAGAGAAAACGATGAAAAGGATCCGAGAATTCTGTGGAATAATGCCTGGGGACTTTTTGAAGCAGAGGAGAACAGAAACAAATGACGATGGCCTTAATCATCGGTCAAACCTCAGGGACTTTAAACGCTCTTCCCATCTTAGTCCGACGTAGGAAGAATATATCACGTCCGAGAATGGCTCTGACATCGTTACCACATTCTGCTTTCGGCGATTTCACTTTTATTTTCTTGGGTCAGAAGATGTTTGGCTGATCATTAAGCTTTAATTACAGTAATATTAAGTTCCGTCTGTCTTCCAGAGCAAGATCTTCATCAAATGTTACGTGTTTAAAGAATTAACGACCCGGGTTTGAGGCCGAGACTGAGCCATATTTTTATTAATAATGGCGTTCTCGGTGTTGTTTACGATAGAGCGTGTTTCACGTATATTTCAGCGAGCTTAATGAGAGCCGAATATCTTCTGCGTAATTGTGTTTCCCATTGTAACAGAGTTTTGTATCCATAAAGTTTTGTGATAAAGGAGGTAATCAGTAGATTTGAGGGAGTTCGGGGGAAGAGTAATACGGGAAATTTGTCCGCTCGTTGTCTTCAACAATTTATGGCCTCGGGCTCAGGGGGCGAAATTGAGTTTCCGCACAAGAACCGAATAAAGGCAAAGGAGACTCTTAAAAGGCACTTGTTCGTCTTCAGGTCGCAGATCGGGGGATCCCTTGCCCGCAAGGGGAACATGACCCCGGCCCGAACAAGGTCAAGGTGGCATGCGTCGCATCCAATTCGCCCCCCCCCCCTCGCCCGCCTTTCCAACGGAACCCGTTTATTTACATAATTTCCACACGTGTCGTTGCAAGAAGTTTTCTGCTTCCGAGAAGAGAGATCAGACTCCTTGTAAGGGTCTCCGTAAGCGCGGTCTTGCCACTTTACTGGGACAGGTGCATTCCAACGTTTCCCCCTCCCCCTTATTATCAGTAATGTTGGAGGGACCATTCATTTGACGTTTCCCACGATCATCTCCGGAATAGAAAGAGGCGCTGTTCAGAAGAAAGAGGTGTCTTTTGAATCGACATTTCCCCTTAGGGGATTCGCTCTCTTCTTAATTACGAAACGGCCCAAAAGGCGCAGCTAGCACCTTGTGGCGATGGCTGTTTGTTTATTTTACCTTTTCTCGTCTGACTTTGCGCTCTGTCAAAAGTTCAGGTCATCATTTGGCCCAGGATGGGTTCTCTCCAGATAATTTCACGGCTCACGTAACCAACGACGATTTTGAGGCCGAGTGGCAGCGGTTTTTGAATATCTTCTCGAATATATTTTTGGGGCATTTTCCTGGCCCCGAGGCGTGACCTTTCAAACAGCGCGCTTCGATTTCAATGGCGTGTTTGGAGGGAATTTGTTGTCCAACTTTTATGGGCGGACCGTATTCCAGGATGGAAGCGAATACGGCCGATGGTGGTCATCTCAGCCTTCCACGCCCAATCCAATAAGGATCGACTCCTTCCCAAGCCACGGGTCTCTTCCCATAAAGTTTTGTAACAGTTTTTACAACATTTCTTATTCTTCTATTGTTTAAATACCTGTTTGTTCCCTTGAGTAAACAAGAGCGCGTTTGATCAAGAAAAATATTTTCTGGGACTCCATCACTGGGCCTAATCTTCCCTCGAATTGTGGCCAATTTGACCGCCAGCCGGACGGATTTTAGTCAGATGCGAATACCCAGCCCTCCCTCCGTTTTTATGTGAAATTCTGAAACTTATGCACTTACAAAATCCGCCGTGAGTTTCCCAGGACACTTGCGAGGTTTTCCAAAACTTTTTGGACGACTTTCCGGGATTTTCTGACGCGGGGGGTTTTTTGAATTTATTCGAACTCGGCGAAAGGAACGAGTTCCACGAGAAAATATGTAACGATCTCACGGGATTTGTCTTTTCCAGCACCGTCCCGAAGCGGCATGAGGATCAAAGAGTGATGTTCTGAGCTGACATGCCTCTGTCCGGCTCGCTAGATGCGGCGCGAACCGGCCGGGCCAGTCATCTCCTCAGTCCGGTCCATCGGCCGCGCCTTCAGCAGGTCAAACCGGACAGTCTGCCCCATCCCATCCATGCAACCCGAATCGAAGCCGTAAGTCATTAGTCAATCATGATGACATTCATTATACCAGATTCCAATTTATATTTAATTAAGCATTTCAGCTTGCAGACCAATACACCTGCCGGCCGGTGACGATTGGCATAACAGATGACGAGTTCATTTTCTATTCGAGGGCTCTGGTGAAGGTACGTTATCTTGGCATAGCTAAGTGAAACCTTCCAGAACCCAACAACAGAAACAGTCTTCATCGATGAGATTGTAGATGTTCATATTGGAAATCTAATTGAATCATCAAAAGCAAAAAGCGACGCCCAAGTCCAGACCATGCTAAATACATCGGTCTTACCCATGAACCCGGAAGAAAGAATAACGGCGTCCGAGAGGATAGTGACTGTCATGTACGGCGACTTTATTCATCCTCAGCCGTTCGTATTTATGGCTCCAACAGGGCCCGAGGCCAAACATTGGTGTCAAATCTTACGAAACATCTCTCTCAAATATTATCAACATCCTCAGGACGTGTTTTATTACTGGAGAAGAATGTTTGCAAAGATCCGGTGTTGTATGAGGCCAGATCAGGTGGTCACTACCGAATTGTAAGACTACTTTTGGTCTGTGAATTACTGAACGATTACTTTCAGAATTCTGGATACAGTAATGCCTTGGTTGTCCAAACAAAGGGAAGAACGTCGTCTTCTTGAGAAACAACTGCAGAGACATCTTCCGGTCCTCAAGGACAAGAAACGGAACTCAGCCAATTTGTTGAAGGATCCGGAGTTTCTTCTCAAGTTGTATAAAGTAATAACTGGAAGAAAAGAAGTGGATGAGATCTTCTCTAAAGCTTTTTCCCATTCCAATGCTTCTGTTGCCGAATTCAGAACATATCTAAATGAGGAGCACCGAGATAAACGACTGAATGAGATCCTTTTTCCTCCCGTATCGGAAGAATATGCAGCCCGGACAATCAGAAAAAATCGGGTCGGGTCAGGTGGGTGAAAAATAAAAATATCACTCACCAATAATGTAGACCAATAATTGCTTTGAATTTAGACGACGGACTTACGAATGATACATACCTCCGCTTTCTGCTGTCTGAGTACAATGTGCCTGTCAGGATGGATGCTTTTGATCTGAACGAAGATGACATGAACAAGCCACTCTCTCATTATTTCATCAACTCTTCCCACAACACATACCTCAAAGGTAATTATTTTTGAATTTACAATCATTTCAAGGCCGTCAAATGAAAAGTCGTTCATCTGTGGCCATGTATCGTTATGCCCTTCTGTCCGGATGTCGTTCCATTGAATTAGATTGTTGGGATGGCCCCAACAACGAGCCCATTATCACCCACGGCCCTACTCATATATGCTTTTGCACAACGATTCCTTTTAAGGAAGTCATCCATGCAATCGCAGATACCGCGTTTGTGACTTCAGAGTATCCAGTAATACTCTCTTTTGAGAATCACTGCAATCAAAAGCAGCAGATCAAGATGGCCAAATACTGTAAAGAAATTTTGGGAAATCTTTTGCTGACGGAGACTCTAGATGACTATCCTGTAAGTCATCACGACTACTCTCGACGCTTCATGTTTACTTTTCAGATCAAGGCCGGCGTAAATTTACCATCGCCGAACGTTTTAAAACGTAAAATTTTAATAAAAAACAAGATCGAAAAGATCAGCAATGACAAAAGAGCCATGGACAAACAAACCTCAATCGATTCGGGAGGGACAGAAGATGACACGATAGAGAGATCGGTTACCCGGATATTCATTGGGGAGACCGAAGAAGAAGATCAGATCGAGAAAGCGGCTCGCCTCAACGGGAACCTGGAAAATGTGAGATATTACGTGAGCCTTTATTACGTTTTTCGAAAAAAATTACGTATGAAATATAACACTGGCTATTAATCCCACGGCATTAAGTGATCGGAAAATATCGAAAACAGCAACAGATAACATCAAACAATATATCAGTAAATAACTTCAGAATCAGCCATTGGTCACGGAATTGTCAGAGTTGGTCACATATATGCGAGCGATGGGAAAGTTTACTTCCTTCGGCGATTGTGATTGTAAGCGAGTAATCAAATAATAAACATATTTTCTTCAGCCAGACAAATCAGCTCCGAAATGTACAGCATGAATGAAACTAAATCCATCGATCTGCTAAAACAACATGCAGAACAGTTTGTGAATCACAATAAACGACAAATAACGAGGGTATACCCTAAGGGTTCACGTGTCGATTCTTCCAATTACATGCCTCTAATATTTTGGAATTGTGGATGTCAGATGGCAGCGATTAATCTTCAGACACCCGATCTTCCAAATCAAATGAACACCGCCTTTTTTGACCTGAATGGCAAGAAAGGCTACATCTTAAAGCCTGCTTGTATGCGGAAACCGAATGCAAAGTTCGATCCCTTCGAACTCGATCGGGTGGAGAATGTGGTTCCAAACTCATTAACAATTACCGTAAGTTTAATAATGCTGATTTTTTTATTTCATTCATTCATAGGTCATATCAGGTCAACTGTTTTCATTATTATGCGAGAAAAGACCATCAATTTATGTTGAGGTGGATCTATACGGGTTGCCGGGGGATTCCCACAAGAAGATGTTCAAGACAAGAGCAACAACTTCTGATGGCCTCAACACCATCTTCAATGATGGCCAACAAAACTGTACCTTCAGTCTAGAGAAGATCATCCTTCCAGCTGTTGCTTTTGTTAGATTTGGTGTCTATGAAGACAATGGTCGTCTAGTTGGCCAGAATTTTCTACCGGTGTCTTTCATTCAACCTGGTTACAAACACATCCCCTTAAAGAACAGCTTCAGTCGAATCCTTGGCCCAGTCTCTCTTTTTGTTCATATAGATGTCCAAGATTATGTCAGCGATGCCCACAGAGACCTAGTCAATGCTCTTCAGAATCCGATCGAAGCCATGTCGAAGGTTAAAGGTGAGTAATCATCGAAATGGCATTATTTTTAGCGATGGAAACGGCCTTAGAGAATCCTACAAACTTTATATCTCGAGAAGAACAACATCAGCGATTACTGGAGGTCCTTGAGAGTGCAGGAGAAGGAAAGAACAACTCCTTAGATCAACAAAGTGTTCGTGGATCTGTGGACGACTTAAGCAAGGAACCTGCAAGTCACAAGAACTCTCTGGTCGAGACTCAAGCCAGTTTCGATAAGGTAAGCGATCTCCATTATACCTGTTACAGTCATTTTAGGGCAGTGTAGGGGGCAAGGAATCACCTCATACAGCACTCTCTGGGTTCAGTGACAAACGGAATCAGATGGAGCGAAAATATACTGTACTATCGGAATTTGTTGCGAGTCGAAACTCATTTTACGTTGAGAAGATGGACGTTGGTCTGCCAAAATTGTGTGACTTGGAAGACAGTCAGAAAGTTCAAAAGATAATTAGGAATTACAACAAGAAATACCCAGGACTTTGGGCTGCCTTCGAGTCACAAACCCAATATAATGGTTCTTTAGGGGACAAACAAGCCATTCAAACATTGCAAAAGCTGATTAAAGAGGTACGAGCCAAAGAAAATTACTGGTATTAATACAATATTAGTAACCAAATTGTTAAACTTTCAGAAGAATGAAGCCATTTTAAGCCTTATTGAATCACATCGAAAAAGAATGGTAAAACGGATCGAAATGGCATTCCAGAGTGAAACAAAACAACTCCAGAAGATCAACGCGAAGTCCAGATTGGAAGAGTTAAGTGGGATAAACAAGAAAAGCAATCCCATCGAATACAAACGATTATCCGATAAATATGTTCGACGAGGTGTAGAAGAGAACAGGAAGCTTTTGGTAATAAAGAATAAGAAGATTGACGAACTCAATGAACATGTTCATGTCCAGAAGATTGAACTGGCACAACAGACGGAAGAAGTAAGTATTTCCACTCTTTCTTATTGATCTGAACAACCATTACATTGATCTAGACAATTCCAGTCACTTAACAAAACGGGAAAGATATTTAACACTTAAAACTTGGTCCACTTGAAAGCCGGTACACGTTCTACTAGACGTCTCAACCCTTTTTCACATCCCAGTGAACTTTTTTGTATAATAATGTATGATAATTTATGTCGTTGTTTATTCCATGTACATATAAATAAAGACGTTGGATGATCTGAGTCGGAGACACATACAGAAAACAAACCGGACCCGACTTTGGAATTCTGTTATTAAAGATTAAAAGAAGAGCCGCCCGTTTCGAGGAAAGTGATAATAAATATGATTAGGCCACGTTATCGGTGGTTGTGTATGAAATTACTTTGATATTCTTCTTGTTTTTCTCTTCGTTGTAAGAAGGACTTCTTGCCCAGCTAAAACGATTACAAATAAGACCAACCAAACCTTACCTTTGAACATCAGCAGAGCCCCACAGAGTAAATATTACTACAGGAAGCAATGCAATAACCGTCGAGATGTAAAATACGAGATTCCATTCAGCAGCGGACCCTGTCCTCACAATCCATTTGGTCATCGCGGGGTTAATCATCCCGGAAATAGCGACAAAAAAGAAGGTTAGTCCAGTAATGGCCCCAGAATACGCCGGTGCTATCGCAACAAGAGCTGCCTGACATCCAGGAGTATGAAGACCAGTAAAAGCCATACTAAAACAGAGGAATACGACAGCTAATGAGGCGTGGCTAGCGTCCAGGAAAGTGGCTGCAACCATAAACAAAGCCAATCCAGCGGAGCCCACACCATTCAGGACCTTGGAGATGGTCGTGATATTCCATGTCGTCTTCTTGTGCATCCAAGTATTCAAATAAGAACAGGCCAGCTTTGCAACAAACAGACATGCCGTCGGAAACGAACTCATAATACCATTTTGCTGGGCATCGTAATGATAAACATCATGGAGATAACTCGGCAAGAACATGATCATGGTCATCAAAGGGAACTCGTGGCACACAACTGATATTAACGCGGCCCACACTGGCCCAGATTTTAGGATTTCTAGCCATGGAACTTCCCTTTCCGTTCGTTTTTTACCCACGTCTTCACTACTATTGGATAAAGTAATGTAACTTAATTCTCCTGTTGAAATACAACTCTGAACAGAAATATTAAACAGAAATATGTTGACTACCTGCTTCGAGGGTTTGTCCGCTCCTACCAACAGGTAAATAAAAACAAACACAATCCCAGTAAAGGCCGAAAGATAAAAAATAGATGGCCACCCACCGAAGAAAGCGCTTTGATTGCACAAGGCACCGGCCGTAGGGACAATGAGTAACGTACCTAAACAAGGAAGTAAACACAATGGAATTGTCAACAGTTAATAATAATAATATTTACCAATCTGACGTCCGCCAGTGGCCACACCAAGAGCATAACTCCTTTCTGAGCTTGGAAACCATCTAGTCAAAAGCGAATTCAATGCAGGCTGCGTTAACGAATCAGCAAGACCAACGAGAAATCTGGCTGTGATTGCATAGTTAACACTAAAAAATTTGACTAGATTAATGTTTGACTCACTGCATCTGTGAAGTCAGTGGGATCATAACATTGGCAGCTGAAGCGAGAAGAACACTGACGATTATCATCCATTTCGCATTGAATTTGTCAGCCATGAACCCAGTAATCAGCATACACAAAAGCCCCGCATTGAATGCCCCAAAAATGTACCCCTGTTCTTCTGGAGTCCAGTTTACTTTTGGGGCTGTTTGAGGATCCACTTCAGCGACTGTAGTTCCATTGTCAATGGTCGTTTCGTTAATCATACAGATAATCGCCATTCCCATATTGCCATTCATCATGTGGATACTGTAATTATTTGCTTACTATCCATAAATTCAGTAATGAGCAGACATAATAAAGTGATCAAGCGAAAGGAATGTCAATAACATCATATTCCATAAATCTTACCTTGCAAAACACATGCAAAGCATAACAGCTGTCAAGGAACGATACGATGGAAACCATCGAAAATGTTTGATGGACACAGGAGAGAAAGTCTTATTGCTGGAGAAAGTTGGAGGGTCATTGGCATCGCTCAAGGGATGCACGGTCGACATTCGAACCAATGGATCTACAAAAAATATAGTGCAATGAGAAGCTACAAGAAAACCAGCGCCCCTACAAGGCCGAATAAGCCCTCGAGACAACAATCATGGGGACTTATAATTTGATTTGCTGGGAAGGCAAACACCGGTTTCACGACTTGCACCCAGCCTTGAGCTCGGCGGAATGACCGCTACATCTCCATCACCTCAACCCAACACCCCTCGTACTGCCATACGTCACAAAACCAGAAAGTCTGAGCTGGTCTCAGGTTGCACATCGCAGCGACCATCTTCAAAAAGTGATCATTCCGCTTCCGGGCTTCACACACAACTTTTCGCGCATTAATTTCTTTGCGGATTAAGCCGCCCCGAACTTCTCAAATTTGCCTCAGGGTATGCGAATCTTTTGTCCCGGAAATACTATCGAATTTCATCCAGTCTGCAGGCCGATTGGTCATTCGTTACCTTTGCTTACTATGTTTTACTTGGATTTTTTTTAAATTAATAATATTCAGGATACTCGTATCAAAATTCTGTCATCTCTTAGTGCATGTGCGGAACACGGAGAATAAAACAAGTTTCCTTAAAAAATACTTTTTTGTTTATGGTATAGATAAAATTGCGTCTTTTGTTGTGAAACAGTAAAGCTATTTTCCAGAATTTACGTGATCGTCAACAAGATAGACGTATTTCTGTTCTTTACGCATCCCGTGTTTTCTGCGAGAGTACGTCCATTTCTTGAGGACGAGGAGAGACATCCAGCGTTTTCTGTGATAATAGCAAGGTAAACAGATGTAGAAACATAATTAATTCTCTTTGCGCTGAACCGGCCGATGACTCATGCTAAAGCAAATTGTGCAAAGGACTTGATCTTAACGCACCGCTAGGAAACGGGAGTGGCCAGTGCGCGGCCGTTATAAAAGCGCAGCGATAAGCGACTTCCGGGTATTTCCGAAATTCCAGTGTTTGGACAGATCGTCTCGTGTGCAATATGATCCGTTTTATATTTCCTTAAGCGTTCGGCCGAGGCTCGGGATTACTGTGGTACTGGTACTTATCATACATACCATGAAAAGTACCATTGTACTTATCATATATGCCTAATATAATACTACGCCCTACAAGAAACTTGAAATGCCCCTCCCATCTTACGACGTGCAAGTCTAAACAGATTTTTCTTCATCATAAACCCTCTGATACGTGAAAAGAACCTCCCACTTCACGTACTTGTATTAGAAGTATCCCTTGTAAAATAATGACCCAATTACTCGACCATCTTTGGCCGCTTTTATTTCTAGAGACAGGCGCCCAAGGCGGTTGGGTCCATTTTATGAGTACAACTAGTAACAATTAATTAGTCCGGCTCTAATAAAACTCGTCTGTCCAGAAGCGGCTTTCCTGGGCCAGGATCAAAGGGCCGAGAATAGCCAAGGTTAAATGGGGGGATCAAGGAAAAAGGAAATCCGATTAGGCTATGGGATCAAGGACTGGACACATTTCATGAAAGACCAAAGGACATACTCAGTCTGCCGGCCATTCTCACTTACCGTATTCAGGTATTTCTCCCCATTTTACCATAGTTGCTGATTTTGTGCAGAATGGCACGGGTTGGCAAGATATGTGAGTGAGGGCAACCAGCTGATTGTACTAGAATGCCCATCCAGCTGACTATTACGCTCAAACAGACTCTTTTGAAGCGAGGCCAGACCCTTAAACCTTCTGGCGGCCGGTTTCAAGAGGATATGGCTGAGCTCATCGACAGGCGTGGTCAGTCCGGGATTGTTCTTTGCAATTATTAGTCATTCCCGAACCCACTCTAAGCTTTGTTGATCGCGCCTTCATGCACCTGTGTGCATTATTGTTACAAAATCAGTGGCTATAAATAAGTGTTCTTTCTATCCCTCAAATCGCGGGAGCCCAAAACAAACTCACGAGCCCCTCAGATTGCCCAGTGACCGACCGTTCGCGTGCGTGACGAGAGAAATAAGGTCGTGGCCGTATACCTCAAATAGCCTTCATCACTTGCAGAGAGGAACACTGTGCTGTCAGCCTCAGTCTTGGGAAAATGTGTGGCATCTGGGGATTGCTAGGTTGTGGGTACGAACCCAAACTACATAAGAATAGTTTCGACTCAATTGTGGGGAGAGGACCTGACTTTACCATTGTTAAAACCGTCTACCCAAACGTCGTGCTCGGATTCCATCGATTGGCCATTGTCAGAGTAAGCATCTTTTAGTGTCACCTCTATGGTTAAAGTTGCGGCATTCTCTTATAGGACGTATTTTTCAGCCTGGAGACGAGCCCTCAAATCAGCCTATTTCATATCAAGGACAGCAAGTCGTGTGTAATGGCGAGATCTACAACCATGAACATCTCAAGAAGATCTCGGGATTTGATCATCACGAAGTCGAGAACGGAGGCTCGGATTGTGCTGCCATCATCCATTCCTTCTGCTATTACCAAGGAGATCTCGTCAAAACTTGTAGCTCTCTTGATGGTGTTTTTGCGTTCGCTCTGTGGGACGGCGAGTTCCTCAATCTTGGTCGCGACCCGTTAGGTGTTCGGCCGCTCTTCTACGGATTTCAGAGAGATGGCTCATTGGTCTTCGGATCAGAGGTCAAATCTATTACTCAGCTGGTCGAAAAGGTTGAGTACTTCCCGCCTGGATGCTGTGCTCGTGTCAGTCTTTCCCAGCTCATCAATAAGGAACCCATCAACATCAGGCAGTATTACTTTGTACCATCGGTTCCAAATCTCAATGTTGATGCAACCTCGGCTGTTGTAAGGGTTTTTAACACGTTATCTTGTTAATAATTTAATATTATTTTTTCTTTTTCAGGAAACAATCCGAAATCTGCTTGTTGATTCAGTTCATAAAAGGTTGATGGGTAACCGTCAATTTGGGTTCATGTTATCAGGGGGCCTTGACAGCTCCTTAATAGCTGCTATAGCGTCCAAATATCTGACACAAGTGAAGCCAGTTGCCTTTTCTGTGGGATTTGAAGATTCTCCGGATCTTGAAAATGCTCGTAAAGTGGCAGAACACCTAGGAATCCCTCATGATATCTTGATCATCACTCCTGAGGATTGTTTGGCTATTATTCCTGAGGTCATTTACGCTCTGGAGACTTTCGATCCCTTGATTATCCGCTGTGGAGTGGCCCACTACCTGCTTTGCAAACATATCGCGAAAGTTTCCGACGTGAAAGTTTTACTATCAGGAGAAGGGGCGGATGAATTATTCGGATCTTATGCATACATGCAGAATGCTCCCAGCACAGCATATTTACACAAAGAAATCATCAGAAGACTAAAGCACTTACACCAATACGACGTTCTTCGATGTGATCGGGCCACTTCTTGTCATGGTCTGGAAATCAGGGTTCCGTTCCTAGATAAGAAAATCATCGATTTCTGTGCCAGATTGCCACCAAGGTAAGGAAACTAACAGAAATAAAAAAACATGTTGCGTTTTATAACGCGAAAACAGAAATTTTATTTTTTTGTGCTTAAATCATCATATTTAAAAAATCTGTTTCAGATTCAAACTTTCCACAGGGAGAATGGAGAAATACTTACTCCGTAAAGCCTTCGACGGGTGGATACCCCATGATGTTCTCTGGCGGAGTAAGGAAGGGTTCAGTGAAGCCCTAGGGAAGATGTGTCTGGGCACCATCGTCCACGATTACGTCGATAAACTCATCACTGCTGTCAGCATGAATCAGAAGTTATCCCTTTTCCCATGGCATTGCCCTGAAACGAAAGAAGAATACTGGTATCGACAACTCTTCGAAAAGTTCTACACCACGTCAAAGATGCACGACGTTATTCACCAAAAAATATACAGGCAAGAAATACCTCCAGATTCTCTAATATTATTTTAGATCAGCCGCATGGCAAACGATGGACGAAAAAGAGAACTGTGATAAGTTGATGTTGAACATCGATGCGGTCAGATTCCGTCGACGGTCCACCGGCTCGGCCAAGTTCTCCGGAGTTGCGTAACGATTCCCGTTAATAATTTTTTCACTTATTTTTTAATGTAAATATTGAAGTAAATATGAATGGATCCTCAAAAAGATATTTTTGTGGCTGTGGAAAGGTCTCACAAATGGCACATGCCAATTATGAACCATTGCCTTTTTTTGTTGATCGAATTTTCGACCAGAATTGGTTTTTGCAAGTTTGGTCGTATAAAAAGGTGACTCGGGCTTTATCGCAGTTAGGGCGCAGTTCGGGTAGCAACAAATATATATTTATTTTACGACTTTTTGGAAACTCGACAGAGTGAAATTGAACAGAATCAAACGTATATGCCCGCGTGGTGTACACCCGAATTTTCCGAAGCCTATTTTTACCGTGAAATAATTTTTTATACTTTTAAAAAAATTTTTTTGAACCCTAAAACTTGTTTAAACGTAGAATACTTCCAGGATGGATGAACATGATCACGAGGGTAATGAAACCGGCGAAAGAAAGAATTATATAATATACCTCAAAGATTCAAGAGAAGCTTTAATCAAAGGCGGGTTGAAAGACCGTTTGAAAGAAGGGAACTTGGTAAGTTTTGTCATCCCGTTGATGTGAAGTTCAATTATTTTTAGATTGCGTTAATTGTTGCCGATGAAGAAGACAAAACATATATTCTGTGTCGTCAAGGTTTCAAACGTATGCGTAAACATCAACAAGGTCAAACAACTCTGGGGGCATGGGTGGAGCTGGAAGCTTATGAAACCGAAGGAAAAAGACGTCTTCAATTGGTGTTTGCATACTACAATTTGTTGCCAACGCGGGTCACTATTTCCGGGGTTATATATATCTACGTCTTTTTGGAAAAGAGAGATGGGACATTCTTTAATGAATATATCGGTCCAGTCTCGGACAAAAATTGTTTGATCCCCCCATGTGTCGAATGCGCGGCAGCTGAAGTGAAAGTTGCAGGATATCGCCATAAACCTTTGGTTGTCAAATATCATGGATCTGTTCGCATTCCGAATGAAGTTCTTCCGGAAGATGTATGTTTTTTAAAAGTTTATGAATTCTGATTTTAGTTAAGGTACCAGATTCCGGAAGACGATGAATTGGGGGCTCTGCCAATTAATGGTACTGAAAAGACTTTGAAAGTCCTTGTTGGAGATGAACAGTATAAATTTTTAATGACAGAACACCAACGACGAAACAGACTTGCGAAAGCACAAGCAGACCGCCGAGATCAAGAAAGACACTTCCCAACGATGGTCATGAATGTAGGAGTTTAATTTTAATTATTTTTTGTTTAGAGGGACGATCTCCCAGACAGATTCAAGGCAAATATTAACTTTTCTCGCGACGACAATGAATGTCGGGAAAACTGTGACGCGCAGGCATTATGTCGGCCGCAAGGAACTCAAACGCCGTCCCAGCAAAACGTTTCTATATCTGATTCTAATTTTAAACAAAAGCCCTCGAGGTGCTCGAATGGCCTGCCGACTGTTCTCATTACGAGTAAGCTTTCTGCATGAAACGCTAACTTTTTTATTAGATGTGGGATTCGAATTGGGATCGAGTCTTGCCAGGAAATACCTCGAGAATAACTACAATGTCGTCCTTCACAATTGCGGGTCGGATGTAGAGGACGTAAGTTTTTTAGTAGAGAAAACGCAAACTTGTTGTTTAGGATGTCAAAAAGAGTCTGATTCAACAAGTCACCGACCGGCTACATGTAGTTTCCTTTGATCTGTTGAAGTTGGATGAAGTCAGGAAATGTTTGGAAGAGAAGAAAGAAATATTTGGCCATATTGACGTGCTTATTCACATTGCCATGGCAAAATGTCTCGATCTATGCGAGGAAAAAGATTACAATCTAAACAAATTCTTGATGGAACAGAATGTGAATAGGTAAGTTATGTTCCCATTTACATTTATTCTTTAGTACTCGTAACTTGTTTATTGCTATGAAACTACTCTCCTTCCATACTTGCAAAACAGAAGTCGCTGTGGTCACAAACCTGGAGCCAGATGAAGCGTTGGCGGTCCCAGAGACTGTCAGGAACGTAGAGAGGTGGCTCGAATACATTGTTCATGGTTTTAAACAGATATTCAAAGGCGCGGTTACCGTAACGTATGTTGATTGCAAAATTTATCCTGCTTGCTTTTTTAATTGTTCACATTGTTGTTTCAGGCGACAAAACTTAACCTACTTACATGGAAAAGCCGATGATTCGGAGTCCCGTCCTCATATTAGACATCTCTCACATGTTCTCAAATCTCAATTAAGAGATCTCTAACTTTGTAATTCATTTGTAAATATTTTTTGTACCAACGTGTTGCAACAGAATAAAGTTTCCGGGCTATATCGTTGAGGGTTTTTATTAACTCGACGAAATGAGAAGGTGTTTTTCTGTTATTATCAACATTTAATCCTAAAGGAAGGGCGCAAGGTGCGTAGTTGACCTTATTTTAGATCAAGCAAAAAGTTTCGGGTCTTGATCCATGACTGTTCCCACTGATGTAATTTTTGCTTTCTGGGATTCAGATCGTCGTTTATTCGAAGCCAATTCATGGAAGATTCACGTGGACGACGTGCTCTCAATTAAATCAACGCCCGAGGCTATTTTTGTTTCCTCGTATCCATTGATTAACGGAAAGAGGAAGCGGGTTTTATTGAAACTTCGTGGCACACCAGAGACTCTCAGAGGTTATGCAACACAGATCTCTTACTCCGATATTCCGCGTAAGACTTAATTTATGCTGATACAATACACTTACTGAATACTTAATCGCATGTTTGTGGAATTCAAAGCAAAATGTGTACTTGTTTGGACCCTCCTGTAACTTTCAAATTACTTTCAGCTCACGTTCCATCAGAATCGTCTGTTACTCGGAATCAGATTCTAGTCCTTCTGAATCCTTATAGTGGGCAAAAGAAGGCCTACAAACATTGGATTCAAGACTGCAAACCCATATTCGATGAGGCTGGAGTCAATTACACTTTGGTCGAGACAGGTAGGAAAAGTAAAATTAAATTAGAACTGCAATTACTACAAGATTCAGAACTGTTTTCTTTACAGAGTATGCTCAACACGCATCTGAGATTGTTGAGAAGATGAAATTGGATGACTACAATGCCATTGTCATTCTGAGTGGAGATGGGATGGTTTCAGAGGTCCTCACTGGTCTTCTAACTCGAACTGATAGGGAAAGGGCATTGAAAATGCCATTATTGCATATTCCTGCGGGCACTGCTAATGCCTTGGCTGCTGCGGTTGCCTTCCAAGCTGGGTAAATAGATGGTTTACTGTGATATGTAATCCAATACCTGGATGAACAATAATCATAAAACCACACTTCAATTTCAGAGAACCATTCTCCCCTCGAGGCAATTTCTGTCCAGAAATGGCGTTAATGATCGGGCGACCAAACTACAAACCCCTCAGGCTATATCATGTGGAAACGGCGGCGGATGGCCATAAACTCATGTTTTTGACTGCTGTTTGGGGCTTAATTGCAGATATCGGTAATTATTCTATGAAAAACGAGAATACATAAAAAAGAGTTCGTCTGACAAAAAGGTATTTTAGATCTTGGAAGTGAAAGGTTTCGCTGGGCAGGCCTGGCTCGTCTTCACATGGAGGCCTTTATCCGCATCGCTCAACTTCCCACTGTAGCCAAATACAGAGGCCGAATATCATATAAACCAGTATTAGATGGAGAGTTGACAAGAAACACTAGACTCAAGTCAAGAGAAGTCAGAGAAAAGCTAAGATCTGAATATTTCAAAACAAAAATGGTCGAAAAATGGAGAAAGGGGGATACTGTAGCGGAAAAATCGTCTTCGACCCTCCAAAGGGCTTTTGAAGATTCCAATAATTTGAGCTATAAGGTAAGTACCGAATGTCATTTAATGATGCCATCATTTCCATTAGTTCCCCAGACTCGAAGACCCAGTTCCCTCTGATTGGACCGTCATTGAAGGGGACTATGCTTTCGTCTGTCTCTCCTCCATCTCTCACATCGGCAGCGACCTCCCCTATTGCCCATCAGCCAAATTAGATGATGAGGTGATGTATCTGAGCCTGGTGGATTGGAGAACCATTAAGTCGAGATTCCACATTGCTCATCTTCTAATCACCATTGACCAATGTCTACATCTGGATCATGAATGTCTCCAAGTAAGCCTTTATCACATTGCCTGTGCATATTTCAGATAATACCTGTAACGGCATGTCGAGTAGAACCTGCAGAAGGATCTGGTGGATACGTGGCCATTGACGGAGAACCAGTGACTTCTGGCTCTTCCTTTCAAGTGACTACTACTCATCTAACGGCTACAGTAATTGGACGATAAACGAAAGGAATAGTCAATGAAATCAGATACGAAGTGTGATTGTACATAAGCATTTATCATTCGAAAATTTATATCTCTAAATACAGTATCCCCAGCCTTAACAGTGAATTTATCAAGAAGCATGGCTCAGTTAATTAATGTTAAGGATAAGTTAAGGTTAGAAGAAGCCCGTCTCTTGAAGTTTCTGAACAAAGAATCTGAAGTCTGCGGCCTCATTGGCCGAGAGAGCGGCCGTTGGAGCGCCGGAAACGATGGCCTCAAGGACCGCGGCCATATTGGCCACCTCGGCTTCACCGAGATGCATCTCGCTGGCAAATTGCTCGATCGTAGGGGACTCTGAAAACAATTTGAATATGTAATGGATAACTTTATATATAGTTTTGGTCATCTTGAATATAATAAAAAAGGAAGTTCTTTCGAACATCATCAGGTCACGTCATCTCTGTTACTTACGTGACAGTGAAACAGCGACTTGGTCCACTCCGCCCATGTCCTTCAACTGATTTCGCGCTTTGGGGCCGAATAATTTAATTAAAAAGTCGTTGCCGTGCGCGTTGAGGAGGGCCTTAAGGAAGGCTGAAGTTTCTTCGACGGGTGGACGGGTGGCTGCAAAAGTTACAACCTAATTCCGGAAGTAATGCAAATCTTTTCCAAAATAATCCCCATTTTGTGGCAACAATGGATTAGATAAATAAATGAAAGAAGAGACAGTTTATGGATGCAAAGAGAGATTTTAGACATGACGAGAGCAGTGTTACAGTGCTGTAAAAGATTCGACCTACCGGCTGTGCACATGCTCTTGTTCTCATCGTATTCATCAGAACAATCAGGAGATCCGTCGCATAAATATTTAATGGGAATGCAATCCCCGTTCGGACATTGAAACGGATGCCAAGTGGGACAATTCACTGAGAGAGTAATTATATTATATTAAAGATTCACCTGGCTCTCCATCTCTGCGTTTGCTTCCTACCCTGACGAAATCGCGGATGCTGAAGGCTTCAGAAGTAAATCCTAGCGTGCACAAAACCAGAATAAGAATCCCCACCGTCCGCTTTCTGTCACCCAAACAGAGCTGGCCGACGCTCATGGCGCATTCACCTGAACGACTTAAGTCTTCATTTGACTCCATAAACAAAGCGACTCAAACTGCGTAGCATCAACGAACAGGACCCATGAATAAGCAACACCCCGCCAGGTCATGTATCATGCATTGAATCGCGAGTTTTTTTGGAAAAAATTGTGTTGACGCCATGCAAAATTTACTCATTTAAAGAGTGGAAGTGGTTCCCCCACTGACTATTTCAAATGTCATCATTGAAAGACGGCAAAAATCCAGGAACGACAAAAGAAAATCTCGACAAATACACAATTCTACAGGAAAATGATGACATAGCTTCCTACAGCAGAAATCAAATAAATCTAATTTTGCGAAACATGGCCCAGCTGGTGCCCCGGTCCCAAGTTGGTTCTGCTCAGCTGGGGATAAACTTTGGAAAGGACGTTTAAACTGGGATTAAAAGGGAAATATTGGATTATGGTAAGGAGAAAGAAAACATAACGTCGAAGCCCGAAACCCACCCCCCTTTCCAAAGCCGAATCCGGCTCCACTCTAGAGACGCGAATCGGGGATGACACCTCTCCAAAAGTCGCGACGTCATGACTAATTTTATGACCCCGGCCCGGGACAAAGCAATTAGGTGACAGTGGACCTTCAGGCCACTTGCCGCGTCCGGATGCCACACAATTGTTATAAATGAAGGCGCAAAAATGTTGACTCGGATTCATCCACACAAAGCCGAAACTTGCAGAACTCAAAAGAGAGCCCATTATCCGTGAAATGACGGCATCCTTACATGGAAACAGGAAAGTCTCGAGCTCAGGTAAGGGGACGATGCCCGAGGGCACGGCCGGAAGCCGCCGCCACTGTGCCCCCTCACTCCGCGGCTTTTCGACTCTTTCATGGATCGGTGACCTTTAGTATTCCATGGCTAGGTGGTCCTATTAATACCCCACAAAGTCATCACAAACGTCAACAACGAAACATCTTCAGCTATACTCGGACATGCACATTTATCGAGCCTTCATACACACAAAGTGGAAAAAACAAACAAAAAAAGTCAAATCAAATCCTTTAATTCGTCAAATTCCATGTATGGGTTAATAAATCACTGCCTTAAACAAATATACATGACATAACGCTTAAACTTTGCTTTGACTTTTCAAGTAATCATTTAAACATTGGTCCACTGATGGGCCGAAGAACTTGATGGCATCGGCTTTCGAAATGAGACCTGCATGCAATTTTACGAGGTTCAACTCGTAATTAAGATCCTCCGACTTCTTCTGTAGATCATCAAAAGAAGAAAGCCTATCGGTCACGTCATGGTTCCTTCGTTCCAACTGTAAATTAATTGTCGATTCAATATGAACTTACGTAATCACATTTTTTCAACAGCTTCAGATGAGGCTGAATTGAGTCCGATTTCTTCTGGCTCTTCATTTGCTTCTCCAAAGTATTGTTTTGATTCTCCAGTTCCTCGATTCTTCGGTGACATTCCTCGATTTGTTTATTCAATCCATCGATATGCCCATCTTTTCCTTTTGTAATCTCAGTTAATCTGTTCTTTAACTCTTCGATTGCCTTTTCGGCTTCTTCCATGGATTCCTTCCACTGCCTCTCTTTCTGGATATATTTCTTTCTTTCCACTTCCAACATGTAATCATATCCCTCTTTGTCCTTCTCGTGCAAAGAGTTCAGACGTTCCTAAATACAGAAAACGTAAATTGGCGTAAAAACGCTCACCTTCTCTTCGCTTCTAACTACATTGCAGATCAAGGATAAGAACTGGTCAAAGTCATTTTTCAATCGGTCGTTGTCTTCAACAGATCCACTGAAGTATTCCATCACATCAAATTCGATCGAATCCACAGTGGTTTTCATCATCTCTCTGAATCTTTCGTCCTTTGAAAGGTTCAGACAAGCTTCTCTGACACAGTCCGTAACTTCAAAGCATCTCGATCTCTCAACTTCAAAAGTTTTGTTGTACTTCTCGTTAGCTGCCTCCAACGTTCTCTGATGAACATCTTCGACAACTTCCTCAATCTTTTCCAGCGACGTCTCGACAACAACAGGATCGTCTTCGACCAGAACAAATGAATCTATGGCACCAGTACGCGTAGAAGATCCCTCAGGGCGTTCTAATTTTTCTTGGTGCGACTTTGAATCATCTTCAAGAAGTGGAAGTGTACTTTCTTTGGCCGTTGTTAAATCTAACATAGACATGTCGGGCCGTCCCAGGGATGGTGACATAGTCTAAAAAAGTATTTGGATTATATTACGCTTATACCTACAAAGTTCACAAAAAAATATAACAAACATACATTCTTGGCCAATGGAGTTTGATCATCCTCCCTTTCTAAATCAAACCGGATCGAAGCTGGAGTTTTGTTCAGAATGTGTGGCTTTCGCAACGGAGTTGGAGTACTCTTCTGAATCTCCAGCAAGCATTCAAGAGTGTCGTCGTCATTAACATTACAACCTGTAGGCGTCTGAACATTTTCTTTTGCTGTCAGAACCGACTGATTCATGTCAGCACATCGAGGAGAATCGACCTGTAATTCTTCGACCTTGTCAACAATTTTCTCCGAGGCTTCTTCGACTGTTTGCATAAATTCAGCAAGTGAATCATTACCACCACAGGTGAGTCCACCTCGGTAGGTTGAGTCGATGTAGGTTTCTTCCATGTTTTCGTCCGCATTGAAAGGACGGCCTCTCTAAAATTGTAAAATACATACATATTCCCAATTTGGCAAACTTCAGAAGTCGAATAAAACTCCCCTAACTTACTTTAGGCACTGGGCCACCACGAGGCGTCGAGCAATTGCCGTCCATGACCAACTTTCTAACGAATAAAAAATCAAAAGTTTGCCGAAAACGACAAAAAACGCCCGAAAATACATTTCTTGTTTTTTTTTGCGAAAACCCTTTTATACGATGAAAGCTTTAGAGTAATAACTGGATTGTTCACTCTGCAGGATATTTTATGTTTAATCGACTAATTCTATTTGGAATAAAGGATAGTCAAAGTAGCCAGCATCATAGCATGTTCTCAGCTTAATTCTTGAATCAATTGTAATGAGTCTGAATTTTTATTATATTTCTGTTCTACAGCATTTATAGAGTACTGCAAGAATCTATTTTTCGTGGTGTTTTTACTCCGTACAGATCTCATTGTGGTAACTCATGTTTGAAATCGATGTGTAAATGTGGAAAATGCAGCTCAGGTTGAAAAATTCTAGTGATACTCAGACCAAGGCGGTTGTAACGGTTTCCTCGGCATAAAGTGGGTTTACATAATTTTATTACTCTCCGACTTTTTTTTGAACCCTTGTTTGGCGACCAGAAAATGACACCTCAAAATTCACCAAATTGCTTCAACATCTACTTTTCTGATAATCCTGTTTCTAAATAAATCAAACATTTTTTAATATCACCTCTAAGAAGCCACGTGATCCGTTAAAGAACGCCGTATAATTGTTGTACATCTTCGAAAGCCTCTGGCATGTCAGAGTTTCGGCATAGACGGTAAAACATTTAACATGATAGAAGGAGTATGCGATCATTTTTACTCTTTTTTTCTATTTTTCTTATGCTCTCTGCTGTCTTTTACAATCAAGCGTTTGCCCTATAATACCGGAATTTTTCACGACCCGGGCGCGAACTGCGTAGGGCAGGGCGTTTTTTGTTCTATTTGAGCTCTGAGAACACCGTGCAAAAATATATTTTTTTGAAAGTTCGTTTGGCGCGCTAAAATTCGTAATTATTGATCGGATTTTTTTGACATTTCGTTCCAAAAAGATGGCCGTTTGTCCAGTTGACATTATGCAACGAGATACGGTTTACTCGGCGAAATTGAAAAATTTTCTCATGTTTCTAACAAGAGACCGGTAAATAATTGGCACCAGGTTTCTTAAATCAAACCTATAAGGTCAATTCATATATTTTTTCGCTTGAAAATGCCGAATCTCAGCTCCAGAAAAAAATGTTACGAAAATCGGCGCAACCTCCGCGGCGAAATCCAAAGAAAGAGGTCGTCAGCTTCGAGTTACCCGCTCCGTACGATGATTTTTTTCCACATTTTCAAAATGGGTGAAAAGAAGGCGCCTTCAGTAGCGTTGTCATACGACTGCGACAGGATTGCGAATGTGCCAACATCGGAGAGAACATTGAATAATGCAATGGCAATTACGTGCCAAGATTCAAACTTGGCTGTTACATCCCTACAACGATTTGCGCTTCTTTCCCAAGATTTGAATCGAAAAACTTCAAAAATCTTGGGAACTTTCTTAAAAAAATCCGGGCCTTAAGCACCACATGAATCCCGGAATAGTGCATCATTAGAATCAGTAGAGCATCACGATTTGTTTCTCAAATTGTCATGTCTTCTTGTGATAAAGCAATGCAAATTTTGTATTGGCCCTAAATGTATAGCCAATGTTGCAAAATCGTTTGAGTATAAGTTGACATGTAAGCCAAACCTTTTTACCGTTTGGCTAGCCAAAAAAATAAAGTAGCTAGCCAAAATGTTAGAATCGTTGTGGAGCCGCCAAAAAAGCTAGCGAAAGGGTTGAATAGGTCTCAAAGAGAGTGCCCATAGTCATTCTAACACTAGCTAGCCCGGCAAAAATAAGCTTTGCCGCCATGTCAACTTGTCGGCCAGCCAGTCAAACAATTTTACAAACTGGCTATGAAAATTCTTTAACTGATCTGCCCCAGATCAAGGTAAGCCAAATATAAGAACATGAACTCTCCTTTTGCGTCCCGCCACGTCTTCCCTGACTAATAAAAAAAATATTTTTTCGTGGATCAAGAAAAAGATTGGAGCACAATAAATTGATGTATAGAAGGTGTATGTCATGGGACTGTGCAAATGTCCAAAGAGAAGAGCGACTAACTTATTTTGTTTCGAACATAGGGTCAATGTCTGCGAACATTGCTTGGTTGATGTCCATGAAGCCGTGAGTACTCTCTTGTTTTTGTTTATCTTCGGTTTAGTGTGTGGTGCAGTCGTATTTATCTTGGTTGACTGACAGTGATTATGATACGAAATGTCTTCTTTGTTCAGAATCTTTGGCTTCGAAGGAAACCGTTAGATTAAAATGCCTTCGTAAGTTAAAAATTTTTTGTGGAAAAGTTTAGATAATTTCCATTGGAGTTGTATGAGTACCCGGGTTGGAAATCTGCCAGAAGGTACTCCTCCGACCACCTTCAAATGTCCGATATGTTTGGATTCCATTTTTCCTTCTGCTAATCAGACATCTCCAGTAATCGAAAGATTGAAGGAGAAGCTGAGTTCTGTCAATTGGGGACGCATTGGTCTAGGTTTGGAGCCTGTAAGACTTTTGTATTTCTTGCGAATAACTTAGGTTGACCTTTTTTTGATTATTTGTGCAAATTTCAGAAGAAAGGGCTTGACATTGTAACAGAAGACAGACATTACCCGAAGAAATCGTTTGCTGTGAATATTGGGTACGATCTTAGACCGAGTGTACAAACAACCTGTAGGTTCAACTTCTAGGAAAAGTTACGGGGTTTTTTTTTCAATTGCTTTTAGCTCGTGTAAAGCAAGGGAATTTGCCAATTGAAAGCCGCCCCCTTCAAGATGATAGCGATCATGTGGACATAAAATATGTAAAGAGGCAATCAACTATGAGGTAATATATTGGTGAAACTTCCGGGTTCTGGGTCATTCCTAAAGTGGAATCCAATATTTTATGTTCACGATTGAAACTTTAGATTTGGCCGATTCTCCAAAACAGTGAAAAGAAGTTTGGTTATATTATTGGTCCTTGGTGGATTCTATTTGGTCCTCTTGATGTTCTCTGGTAGAGATTCCAATGAGAATGAGAGTCTTTTTGATCCCCATGCCAATCCTAATATCCGGGTGGAGCCAAATAATTTATGAAGTATAATATTGTATAATCTATTTTTACCTGAAGTTGTGATACTAACACGCTGATGTCGCGGCTTGTTAATAAAATAAATTATTTTTGGTGGTTTACACTAAAGAGTGGTTGAAAGCCATCATTATTATTTTTCCAAGTCCTTAGCGCAAAATATTAGACATCTACGATTTGCTTAGTTAAGGTCTAAGTCTTTACAGATGTTGTCCACGGGAAAACTAGCCCATCGAGTTTGGGCAGTTGGGGCTCGGGGGCCTGTCAGATTCCAGCAAACTAAAGCGCCGCAGAAGTTCGAAGTGTTCATCGATGATAAGAAGGTGTTAGTCGATCCTGGAATGACCATCCTTCAGGTAATTTTATTCGCTTAATGAAATACTTGATGTTTAGGCCTGTGCTCTGGTTGGGGTAGACATCCCCAGGTTCTGTTATCACGACCGTTTATCCATTGCTGGTAACTGCCGAATGTGCTTAGTGGAGGTGGAGAAGTCAATCAAGCCTGTGGCCTCTTGTGCTATGCCGGTTATGAATGGGATGAAGGTTAAAACTAATTCGGCAATTTCAAAGAAGGCCCGAGAAGGAGTCATGGAGTTTCTTTTAGTTAATCATCCTCTCGATTGTCCCATTTGTGATCAGGTATGTTGTTCTTAACTGCTTTAAACTGCATTGCAGGGAGGTGAATGTGATTTGCAAGATCAGTCTATGAATTTTGGATCCGATCGGTCGCGTCTTCAAAACGAATTCGATGGGAAAAGAGGAGTCGAGGACAAAGATATTGGACCCCTGGTAAAGACAATCATGAACAGATGCATCCAATGTACTCGCTGCGTTCGTTTCGCCAATGAAGTTGCTGGGGTTCCCGACTTGGGAACTACTGGACGAGGATCGGACATGCAGATTGGTACTTACGTGGAGAAGTTGTTCGCTTCCGAGCTCTCGGGTAATGTGATCGACCTTTGTCCTGTCGGCGCTTTGACTCATAAACCTGGAAGGTAAAAATACTTTAATTTTAATATTTTTTTTAGTTTTATGTCCCGGCCATGGGAAAACCGAAAGACTGAGTCTATTGATGTGATGGATGCGGTCGGATCGAACATCGTGGTCAATCACAGAACCGGCGAAGTCATGAGAATCATCCCTAAAATGAATGATGTAAGTGTTTATCATTTTATATTGACCACGTTTAGGATGTGAACGAAGAATGGATTAGCGACAAAGCTCGGTTTGTTGTTGATGGACTGAAGAGACAAAGACTTCTCACTCCATTTACTAAGACCCCCTTAGGACTTGAACAAACTTCATGGGAAGATGCTCTTTTCTCTGTGGCTCAGAAGTTCAGGCAGCTTTCTAAGGAAGGAAGCGCCGTCGCCGGGGTTGTTGGTGGTCTAGTGGAAGCAGGTGTGTGACAAGGGGTGAATGTATGGTCTTTTAGAGTCTCTTGTCTCCTTAAAAGATTTACTTAATCGATTTGGATCCGAGAATTTCTTCACCGAGGAATCCTATTTTTTCAACTCTGACCTGAGGTGAGCCGCTGGTACAATAATAATGCTTTTGTAGGGCAAATTACTTGCTAAACGACCGTCTGACTTCTGTGGAAAATGCGGACTTTGTTCTCTTGGTTGGTACTAATCCAAGATATGAAGCCCCGGTGTTTAATGCCCGAATCAGAAAAGCGTTCCTCCATACTGATGTGGAAATTGGGGTGATTGGATCCCAGGTTAATTTGACTTATGATTATCATTATCTTGGGGACAGTGCTAAGGCTGTAAATGATGTCATCGAAGGGTCTTCGGAGTTTGGAAAGGTTTGTGTTTACATTTAGCCGTTATCGGCCATCTTTTAGGGTCTTTTGTCTGCCAAGAGACCAGTGATTGTTGTTGGAGTTGACGCTTTGCAAGGAGCTGAGGGAGCCAAGCTTCACTCACAACTACTTAAATTGTCAGAGAAATTGAGAAAGAATGGAGGCAAGTTTTTTAAATATGTCGTTGTCCGCAAAAAGTTCTCGTTGGCCGCAATGGAAATATCTTTTGTCCATAAGTTAACACATTTTTGTGTAAACCTTTTGACTAGTAGGGTGTTCTACTCTTACTCCTGGTAATTCACGGGTTAAACGAGCACTCAGGATATAACATCTGATGATGTTGTACATGATATCAGTGATTATTCGACTAAAACCATGTCGATTTTTATACATTCTTTTATCCGGTATACTAGAAGAGTTTTTTTCATTTTAAACACCAATTGGATGCCTTCTTGGGTGCCTTTCTAAAATTTATTTCATTTGCGGACATTGAAAGGCGCGTCCTTCTGTTAAATACATTATCTTTTAGCAGAAACAGTCGGATTCAATGTCCTCCAACGAAATGCCGCCCAAGTTGCCGCTCTTGACATTGGATTTAGGAGTTTGCATAAATTGGGTGCCGACGAGAAGAAGAAGATCAAGCTGTTGTATCTTTTGGGATCGGATGAGACTGGTTTGAGGAGAGAAGACTTCCATCCAGACGTCTTCGTAATCTACCAAGGCCATCATGGAGACCACGGTGCCTCCATCGCCGACCTTGTTCTTCCTGGAGCGGCCTACACAGAGAAAGCAGGTACCTATGTCAACACCGAAGGACGCCCACAGCGCACATACCCAGCAGTTCCACCTCCTGGGGATTCCCGCCCGGATTGGAAGATTATCCGTGCTTTGAGTGAGATCGCTGGAGTTAAGCTACCTTACGATACGATCGAAGAAGTTCGAGAGCGATTAAGCCAAGTAGCCCCGCATTTGGTGAGATATGGCCAAGTGGAGACTAGTGGTCTTCTTGACCTGACGTCTCAACTTGCGACAAATGAATCGTCATCTCAGCCTCTCCATGTCCGTCAGACCAATTTAGCCGACTTTTATGTTACCAATGCGGTGACAAGGGCCTCGCCCACCATGGCTGAATGTGTTCGATCGTCTCGTGCTAATGTCTCCAATCCCCACTTGGACGTACCATTCATTGAGGCTGCTGCTCAAGGTGTTGCATTGGCTTCCAAAACATACTAGGAATGTTATTAATACCAGTTTTGTATACATGTATATGGTTTGTCACCATAGGCTGGAAGTAAATTTAAAACCTAATTATTGCTTTCATTTAGCTTTTATTAATTGTAAAAATTCTAATTTGAGTAATAACTTTGGTTTAGATTTGGAATTGGTGGGATTTCATCCATTCATCGTCAACGAACTTGGTCCTTAAGATGGAATATTTAACACATCAATTTTCACTTACATGTAATTCCGGATGCTGTCGGGTAAAATTGTGACCACCCTCTTTCCAGCACCCAACTTCTTGGCCACTTGAAGGGCTGCCCAAACATTGGCTCCGGAGGATCCTCCACATAAAAGTCCTTCTTGCCGAATCAGACGCCTGGCAGTGGTAAAGGAGTTCTGATCATTAGTCTTGATCCATTCATCCACTAAAGAGCGGTCCAGAACTGCAGGAACAAAGTCGTATCCAGTGCCTTCCACCTCATAGCCATGGATTTCTTTTTGAGACGGGTCGGCAAGAAGAGATCCTTCTGGATCTACACCATAGATTTTGCAGGTGGGGATGACTTCCTTGATCCTTTTGGCGACTCCGCTCACAGTTCCTCCGGTTCCCGCCCCAATGACAACAGCGTCGATCTTATTATCCGTTGCCCAAAGAATTTCTTCGGCGGTACCCTCATAATGTGCCAATGGGTTAGCGACATTACGATACTAAAAATTCAAGGGAATTTCGCATTATAATAGTCTTACGGTAAAAAAGTTAACCGAGAAAATACTGTAGAATCGTAACTTACTTGATCCAAAATTATGGCTCCCGGAATCTCTTTTTGTAGTCTAAGGGCAACACCAATGTGGGAATCTGCATCAGAATGCTGATAATGATTTTCAGTTCGGACAATAACGGCTCCAAGACTCTTCAACGCCGCTTCCTTTTCCTGACTCATTTTCTTTGGCATTACAATCACACATCTATACCCTCTGATAGCACAAACCATGGCCAATCCAATCCCTGTATTTCCAGAAGTTGGTTCAATCACAGTCATTCCAGGTTTCAAAACACCTGTCTCCTCGGCCAATTGCACCATTCTCAAGGCTATCCTGTCCTTTACCGAACCCCCAGCATTCAAAAACTCTGCTTTCACCACTAAATCAATTGATCATGTTGCATCACAATTACAGAACTCACAAACTTCCGCTTGAACTCCGTCTTCTTCAGTAAGTTTATTCAACCTGACCAAAGGGGTTTTGCCGATGGCCTCAGTTATCGATTCCATCAACATTGGCCTCAGAGGACTCTGATTCTTCAACGGCCACGGTCCGGAAATCGATTGGAAAGCTGCATCCGACTTTGAAGTTGGGTCATAAACCTTTTGGATGTCGAATGTATCCTTCGGGAAGAGGTTAACACCACTCTCTGCCTTATCAATAAATCCTTTGCTCAGCATCCATTCATCAGAAGCAAACTTGGTCAAATAATTTCTGATGCCATCAGGAAGAAGAACAACACACTTTTGTCCCTTCTTCAGAACCTTAGCTGCCCTCAGGGCTCCACAAAGAATGGCTCCGGAAGATCCTCCAGACAGGATTCCCTCGTCTCTGTTTAGCTTACGGGCCATTAAAAACGTTTCTTTATCGCCAGTCTTTTGCTAAAATTAAATCATTTTTTATAAAGCACATGATTAAAGTAAGGAAAAGGATAAATCCTTACCCACTCATCTACCGTACTGAGGTCAAGAACAGTGGGAATAAAGTCGTATCCAATACCTTCGACTTCGAAGTGAGCCCCCACATCATCTCCCTTCTCGTCCGCCAGCACACTTCCAATGGGATCAACTCCAACAACCTTGCAACCCGGACATTTCTGCTTCAACTTCCTGGCTAATCCGGTGATAGACCCACCGGTTCCAACACCAGCTACAACCATATCAACATGACCTCCAAGCGAATCCAAAATTTCTTCGGCTGTTCCCTCGAAGTGAGCCATAGGATTTCCACAATTTATATACTATAAAGAAGGCTTTGTCATAAAAAAAAGGGATACCTGGTCGAGGATTACAGAGTTGGGGATTTCTTTGTGCAAGGCAAAGGCCTTTCCAATATGAGATTCGGGGCTATCGAAGGGAGCATCGTCGTTGGACCTCACGATTTGTGCACCCAAAGCCTTCAAAGTGACCTCCTTTTCGTGGCTCATCTTAGCAGGCATCACGATTATACACTTGTAGCCTTTAACAGCAGCCACCAAGGCCAATCCAATACCCGTATTACCCGAGGTAGGCTCAATAATAGTCATCCCCGGCTTCAATCGACCAGTCTGCTCAGCGATCTCCACCATCCTGACTCCGATTCTGTCCTTGACGGATCCTCCGGAGTTCAAAAACTCTGCCTTACCATCTATATTAATTATAAATCATCAAGGACTACAAAGATTAGTTTAAAAAATAGAATCAACTTACAAACGTCACATTCGATGCCATACTCCTGAGGAATTCGGTTCAATTTAACCAGAGGCGTGCTTCCAATGGCCTCAAGGATCGTGTTTTTTATCTTGTTTTGCTTCACCCTTCAAATACAAAATATACCGCAAGTTAACAATGAAAAATGTATCTTACGGGTATTCCTTGAACTCATGAAAACCGTAACCATCCTCCACTCCGGTTTCCTTCCAATGACATGAATCTGCGGCTTCAGGAGAATAAGGTAGAAGATCCTCGGGCATCTTTGATACCTAAAACAATCTGTATCGAAACTCGAAAAGAAATAAAAACAGAAAGTTCGAAATGAATTCAAGATCAAAGAACAACCAAAAATAATAACATAAGAGGAGAATTGGCGGTTACACCTTGATCGCCCTCAAAAATAATTCGTCGGTAAAACAATCGGCAACTCAGCTGACGGCAGTTGTAAAACAGACAACAAACAGGTTGGAAAGATCAAAAATTGGAAAAACCATCTCTTTTTAGGGATCGAATTGTCCCAACAGGCGGGTCCACCCTCGAAAACTACTCGCACCAAAAATTTCTTTTACTTTTTATCAATTTTGTCAAACGACCTTTTGATCCAATATCAATCAAACGGAGGCATTCTACTGCAGAGTTTTCATGCAATTAGGCTACAGAATGTAAAAATTAGAACTGTAGGGAAATTGGACGGATTTTTTTATGATCTTGTTTCTGTGAGATCGGTTCCAGACATGTCTAACAATAAGGCTACCTCCCCCCCCCCTTTTTTTGGTCGCGGGAATTTTCGGCGGTTTGGGAAGGATACCCCAAAAAAACAGGTCACCCCGTGGACGGATCACCCAATAGGTGCTTCATCCGTCATAATATGATCTTTTTCACGATTTTTGGCTCGCTGTGTCAACCGAGAACATTCAAAAAAATTTATTTCGAGTTCTCTGGCCTAAGGTGTTGGCATAGGTCGGTGGCAATTTGCATACCGCAGTTAGCGGTATTCTGAAGCCCACTGTGGCCACTCCAAAAAGGCAAACTCCACAATGTCTGTAGGTTTTGGATGACGGCGACTTAAACAATTGCAATTTCAAATGGGTGGGATTACTGTAACTTACTGTTTCTGATCTTCAGCGGACAAAAATCGACCGTTTTCTTCTTCGAATAAAAAATCCCACAGGATCTTATTTCAGATTTCGAGGTCAAAAACCTGGGTCGGTTAGGCAAAGTGTCTTAATGGCATTGAAATTTCAAAAAAAGATAGCCGAAATGTTGGAACGGGTGTCAGAGAAGGAATGACATCCAATTTTATAAAATGTTTAGCCATTTACCGGGATTGGCTACCCAACGTAACAGAATGGCTGTGAGCAGGGGCGTAGCTGACCAACAAAGATAGAAAAAAACAGTTATGACATTAGAAATGGGTATCTTCTAAATATTACCGATGAGCCCATTTTTTTTTTGAAAAGCTTTGAAAAGTTATGAATTATTTTTAACTTTGAAAAGATGTCAATTTTTATGTTACACTGTTAGAAATGATGCTGTATTTGCAAATTTGTTGTAAATATAAGCGTAAATTAAAATGTAATGTCAAATATATAGTTTTGAAAACTGAACTTCTAACAATCTTACAATTTCATAGCATTCTTGAAATCTGGAAGTTTTAGTACTCGGGTCACTTTACCCTACTATTTCGGGTCGCAATCGATGGAATTGTTGCAAGATGGGTAAACACCAAGTTAAACTCGCTAAAATGGTCAAAACATAATGAGAAAAACAAGAGAAAATTTCTTTTATAGACATTATGATGATATGTGTCAAGGCCTCGGTGGTGTATATCAGTCTGTCGGGAAAATAACGGCGGATCGTCGCGCCTCGGAATCGCCCATCATCGCTTTGCGACTGCAAGCCGCGGCTCGGGATTTGGTGCGCGACAGCGGCGAGGCGAGACATTTCGCTGCGACAATCCGCCGTTATTTTTCCGACAGACTGATAGAATCATAAATCGACAGTCATCATTACAGCGAGGGTTGCGTTTGTTTTAAAGTCTCTTATAGAGAGCATAGTTTTATTACGCAAGAGATTGTCTGCATTTCTCATGTTGAGAAGGTGTGTTGTTGTTTGGGAATCTGTGTAATTCATCATTTCGAGCAATTTAAATACGTGTCCGTTCTCCAGAACCTTAATGAACAGATTAAAAAATAGCAAATATCTCTGCTAAGTTCTTGTTCTTATAGAAAAATGCGATTGTAAAAATTTGGTATAGATAACTTGTAAAAAACGGCTATCATGAAACATCGAAAAAATGGCACACAGACATTCGGATCAGAGTAAGATTGAAATAATATATTATATATACCAAGTAGAGTTGTCAATTCAGCAGGATTTTTCAGAATGACGTCAAATTGCCGTCATTTTCGTCATTAATAAGGAATTGAATGTTTGCCTTGGACCATGGTCGCTTTTAACAGCATATTACCTACGGCTCTGAAATGGCAAGGACCTTAAGTTTCGCAGATTTCGGCACAGGTAGGCCATTCAGCCGGAGTTGTGAAGAACTACTCAACTCACTCGGAAGTCTTCAACACATCTAAACGTTCTGGCAAAAAAGGTTTACCACCGCGGCAGAGTCAAGGCAAGGAATTCCGCCGAACTTCCATCTCCACTATCTCTGGGTCCCACATAGAGCAGGAAACAGGTGTCAATTGTAGCAGCGTAGCTATGCTGAGAGCCCTAAGACACAGCGATGTCGTCATTGGACGTCATATGAAATAATGCCCCAAGCTGGCCTAGGTTCGGTTAGCGCGCGACCAAAATTGTAATTTGACAAGTTTAAATAAACCAAGATTCTGTCGTCGTACCACCTTCCATTTGGCACAGATCGGATAGCCCAATATTCGTAGCCAATATGGCAGAATTGTTTACATCGCTAGCCGTTGAGTTGGCATGACAGCCATACAATTTTTTTTCGGTTAGTTGCAAGAAATGGTTTCCCCATAACCAATGACACAATTCATAATTTATAATTTACAAATGATTGCATTTTCTGATGACAATGTACGCTGTTTCACATCACTTCGTATGCTACTATATTACAAGCTTACTCTGAAGATCGATAAAAATTGCGAAAAATTGCAAGCAGATTTAATTTTTGGACATTCGCAATAATACGCTGTAGAAATCAACGGATAGATTCTTGTTAATGTATGTGACTGCTTGGGTTGCACTTGGTATTTGATGTCGCAATCGCCTTCCCGCGCCTCCGAGAATTAATCGGATCGTGAATCGGAAGGAAATAATTGGATCTTCTGGATCTCGACATTCCGCTTCTTTTTTGTGCCTTTTTCTCGCAGGTATCTTTTTTTGTTTTCCGAAGCTGACCTTGATATAACGACACGGGAGAAAAGCGGGGTCATTTCAGTAAATGTCCACTTGTTAAAACTGTTAGCCGACATGGAACCTTATGGAACTTCTGGTCGAAAGAACCGGGCCAAAGTTTATTCCGAGAGACGATTTACTTCCCCTCCGGAGAGTTACAGTACTGTAGAAGATCGACGGGCACATGAATACGCGGAATATGATTACGGAAATTTCTATGAGAAACCACCAGCTCTCCCTAAGAGAAATCTGCCACCTACGGTAAGATAATCATCGTTTAAGACCGTCGAAAAAGTATTTACAAGACTACATGTCGGACTGTCCTAATCTCATTTCTTTGTAGACATCTTCCTCCGTCCATTCAATGTCTCCCCGTTCCATGCCGACCCCTTTAGCACATTCGACTTTACAACGTCTCCATTATCCCGATCCTCGCCGAAAACAGGTGAGTATTGTATCTTTTATTCCCTGAAAGTAAAAGGAGCGCATCCAAATTATTCGATCGCCATTTTTAGAAAATAATTCTACTTTCTCTTTCGCCTTTGGTCATCGTTAATATTGGATGAAAGTATTTGTACTTTTAGGACTACTGCTGTTCCAAACAAAAGATGATTGGAGCCGGATTTGTGGCCATTACCTTGTTGACAATTACTGCAGTTATTATGTTCTTATGGCATGTTCAAATTAAGAAGGCCCCTGAAACGGTTGATGGGACGACGGATAAAACGACCGAAAGATTAGTCCAATATGATCCCTTGGTAAACAAATCAATGAAGACGACCAGAGCTGATTACTTAATGGCTTCCAATTATCTGGTGACATTAATTATTACGAAACGGAAAGTCTGTTTGTTCGAGGTGACGAACAGTGAAGTGAAACAAAGCGAGTAAGTAATCTTACTTGAGGGATCATTTAAATTTAGGAATGACTTTATGGAAGAGCACATTCAATCAGCCCAATTACTCTATTTCTCCAATCTCTCCCATAGCGGAGTACCTGTGCATCCACTCCAATTCCAAAGGCATGTCAGAAGACTGGGGGTGGATGAAGATTGCCATGTTGTTTTGTATGACAGGGGACAAGTCATCTGGTCCACCTACGCTTTCTGGATATTCAAGGTGGGTTCCTGAAATTGTTTTGTATCTAAGATTATAGTTGTTTGGTCATGAGAAGCTGTCATTGTTGAATGGAGGGTTCGCCGAATGGAAAGCCTTGTCATCTCGTCCCAATTCCTTATACAAACTCGACCATGGCCCCTCTCCAACTTTGCCCCCCGGCAATTTCAAAGCCAGATGGAATGCTGATTTAATTATGACATTTGATGACGTCATCACCAACTTTGATCAGCATACACATGACATTGTAGATGCTCAAAATGATGATGCAAGTTTCTCTAACTTTTTTTCTATCGAAGAAATCTTAAATTATTCAACTTTTAAAAAGATTAATTATTTTCTGCCTTCAGGAGTATAATGGAAAAATTGACGGCGCCGTTTTTGGCCATATGCGAGGTTCAGTGAACATTCCGATCGATTCCGTATATGATTGGATCAACAACACATGGCCGAGTGATACCCGACAAAGAGAATTCTTTGCTTCCAAAGGCTTGGATTTGTCGAAACCTTTATTTATTTACGATGGAACATCTCTCCGTTCTACGATGGTCTGGTTCGCATTAGAGAGACTGCGGTTTAACGCCTCCATCTACTTCGGATCATGGCCAGAGTTTGTGATCCGAGCTCCGGATTTCCTTAAGGTTCTTCCAGATGTAGCGATGACCCCGTAAAATTAATTTAAGATCCTCAAACTTTTATCCACTGTAAATAAAGATAGTCTAAAGTAAAATACGACTATTGATATTACACTCTTTATGTCTCGGCAAAAGAATGAGTCGAGTTAACAAGCAAAGCTCAACATTTACATTTTCAGATTTAATCTTAAAACTTTGAAGCAGCGCCAAAAATAATTAAATTCTAATATCTATCACTACATACAAGTCGGAGATCCCAAACCAGGCTCTCGTCCGTCACCTAAATGCAATGGCAGTGGACTGTCGTGTGAGGCCAATGGAGGTGTAGCGCTTCACATTTCTTCAGCAAGATGAAGAAATTTAAGGAGAAAAACATGGATTATTTGAATTTTACGTTTGAAATTCTTGAGACAATATGATGGGCAAGAAAGGAAGTGGGAATGCTGGTGGCTAATACGTAAAAAAGGCAGTGATCGGACCAGATCGGTGTATCTACAGTAAGTTAGCAGGCCCGATTAGACCTTCTAAAGCTTCGGAATGCGAGACTTAGCTAACCAAGGATGCAAAAACATAATTCAATTCCAAATTTGGCTAGCCAAAGACCTCGACATCCTAAAAAAAACCTCCGACAGTGAGCAATGCATGGGGAAGGACTGACCAAAAAAAATATTTAGAGAATCGAATAAGGCAGTGAGGACGAACAGCCGAAGGGAAGAGCACAACATAATCTATTCTTGAAGTAACAAAACAAATAAAGCTGATAATTAGTCAGAAAGAAAGAACAACAACAGTGAACACAACTCCGAGAAATAAACACGTAGCAAGAACTGGAGAGAAAAGACATCTCTGGGTATTATTATGCGTCGACTAGAGATACAATTCGATTATGCCTACTTTTTGCGAGAAAAGAATCCCTTTTTCTGTTTGACGGGGGCTTCGGCCGGGCTTTGACCGCGACCTTCTTCAGGGATGGGTGTCGATGAAGACTGGGGTTGGGGAGAACCCTGCTCCACACTTATATGGCCTGTGGCACGTTGCAATTGAGTCAACCATTTCTGCATGTCTTCCTGTAAATAAATGTCATCATTACTTTAAAGTATTAAATCCAACATACCTCATCCGCACATTGTAGCAAATATTCAGAACCGAATGGTAATCTCAATGATATGACGTTCTTCCGTTTCGAGTATTCCGAAGGCTGCACGGTGCACCCAGCAAGTTGGATAGCGGGTTCATTGTGGAAGGTAGATTGTTCTTGTCGATGTTTGAGATCTTTGAAGAACCAGAGTTCACTGCCTTGGAGGACGGCATAAAGTCGATCCCAAGCCCTAAAGTAAAAATAAATAAGAAAAAAAAGTTATGCGTACCTATTAGAAGCTCTTCGGTCTAATGCTTCGTAAGTGTGTTTTCGAATAATTGTGCCTTCGAATCCATCCGCTGTCAAAGCACCTAAAAGGAATGACGGTTATAAAAGTTATCAAAACAACTAGCTCCAAAATATCAAATCAAACGACGAATGTTACAACAAACAATACCATGTAAATCATGCACTCCGAAGCGGGCAGATCGAGAAAGCGATTGCCTCCATGAGGAAGGTTCTGCTTGAAGACGAGAGCGTTCTAAAATCACAACCACATAACAATGGATTTACGGAGTTTGGGCGAAAAACTTTTGACGAAAAAACGTTCGGCCGAATTACAAGGCTTCATGGAAATTGGACAGAGTGAGCCTGTCAGGGCCATTGTTAAATCACAACAAAAAATTACCTCTATGAGCACTACCACCACTACCAAATGAGCTCACAGTCAAATCGAACGCTACAAAAGACGATTTACAACATTGAAAGTCGAACATTTGCAAAGCATGACTCTTCACACAACCTACCTTCAGATCGTCCTGGTTCGTGAACTGGGAATGTAGTTTCTCCCGAACGACCTGGTCTGGCTTGAGGAGATCCTGAGCGACGACGGCGTTCTTCATCCGCGTATTGTTCTCGCCTTTGCATTTCCTTTAACTCGAAGTTGGTCAACTTCTCAAGAGCAAGGAATCGATCGTCTTGAGCAGCTGCGGACTTTTCGAAGGCTTCGTGTTTCTTAATCATGGCAATAACTTCTTCCAGATTCCGACCGAAGTTTAATGACTTGAGGTAGGGTTCTTGAGCATTCAACCAAGCGTCGGCCACAGCCGCATCCCGGGCAAATTGGTACACTTCGAGGACTAAAATTGAATGTAAATCGTATTAAATAGATAGACTTACTCAATCTGAGGTACTCCCACCGGTCTTCCCATCTATGCATCATTTCTGCTCGTTCTGTTGTCAGTTTGATCAATTTCTTTTCAATCTCTGAACTTGCATAATGTTTCCTCTCCAGAAGATTGCGCCCCAATGTAATGCAAGCGCTGAAGTTATCTTCTCGAGTATCGATCTCTGCCTTCAGGGATTGATGGTTATTCATTAATAATTCAACTCCGGAGACATCCTTTGGCCGTTCGTGAGAAGTCATTTCTCGTTTGACTTCGTCCATCCACAGCAAGAGATCTCTGACCATATTCATGAACCTGAACAGGTCTGAAGTGTCTCTTAAGCGGATATTCCTGGCTTCGCACAGCGCATGAAGTTGTTTCCATTCTTTGAGGACTTCGGCCTCTTTGGATGCGATTTCAATGGCCTTGTCGCCGGCATAAGAATCCCGAAGGTATGCAGCGTCTTGCTCGATTTGTCTGACCTGAGCTCCGATGGCTTCGATGTCCTTGAGGAAGTTCTGATGCTTGCGGCTAAGAGCATTGACGGATGATGAGTCACGTCCCAATTCGTCGGGCATACTGTGTTTCTTCTCGATGATACGGGATAGACAATCTCGGCAGTCGTGGAAGAATTTATGCATTTGACGTGAAGCCTCGAGAATCTGAGAACGAGTATCTATTAACTCCAGTAGATTCTCCCAAGCCTCGTTTAAACTGTCCTTCCATAGTGCGATTGTAGGGGCATCACTGTGACCTTCAACAATCAACTGAAAATATAAATGTTAGTTGTAAATTTATGTTAACTTTTGCTTACCTGATCACAGTCATTGTTAGCCCTTGCAACTCGTTCTGAACCGATTGCTTCGGTATCACGGGCAAACTGCTGGAATCGTTCTTGGAGCATTTGGACGTGTTCGTAATCTTGTCCATTCTCGTGAGATCCAGCCACGACTTCTTTATCGGCAATCCATTGGAGGAGGTCGTCAATTTCTCGGTGAAGACCGTACAATTGAAGGGTCTCGTCCAATCGTTTTCTTCGTTCTTTGCACAGATCTTGGAGTCCAGCGTAAAGCTTTTCAATTTGAGATTGCCTAAGGGCAATTTGGTCGCTAAGGGGCGACTTCTCCTCGATGAATTGATGGGCTCTTTTACCAAGTTCACGAATACTGTCAGCATAGTTGTTAATGTCTTGCTGTAATCGTTCGTGTTTTTTGATTTGGTTTTGTGTAGAGAACTCGTCTTTTCCACGTTCGTCTTGCATCATGTACAACTCCTGCTCACTCATCCAAGCTTCGGACTCGTTGCAATCATACAAGAACAAGTGGGCCTTCTCGCTTTCTTGAAGTCGCCGTTTTCGTTCATCAAGAGCATCCTTAAGGCTCTGCCATTTATCTTGCATTTCCTTGATCTTGTCTTTGAACTGCTCCGCATTCTCGTGACCTTCATCTATCAGCTCTTCACCATTCTCAATAATTTTTCTGATCCAAGACTCATGGTTTTCCATTTCGCCACGTAGAGAATCCGTGTTCTTCTGTAATCGTTGACAGTCGAACAGATTTTCACCGAGTTGTGGAGCGTTGGCAATAGGAAGACGTTCATCAACCCATAATTTCTCATCCTCAACGTCGCGAACGAATTGGAAGGCGGCCTTTCTGCGCTCGAGTTGTCTGCGTCGATCGTCAAGTGGTGCCTTCAGCCTCTGCAATTTCTCGGTGATTGCCAAACGATGGGCCTTGATATCTTCCAGCTCATCTGGGTGCAGTTCCTCCAATTGCGGCTCCATTTGTTGAAGAGATTCCAGATGAAGGACCTTCTTCTCCATCTCCGATTCGATCGCCTGTTGTCGTTGCATGGCGACATTGACTGTAGACAAGTCGGATGGTGGTTGATCAACTCCGATCTGCTGTTCCAGTTGCTGCGCCCAATCTTGCATATCAGCAATAGATTGGACGTAGAGCTGTTGTCTATTGGCATCAAACAGTTTCTTGCCTTTTTCAACAGTAGTCTCTTCCAGTTGAGTCCATTGGTTCTCCAACTCTCCAACGTGAGGTGAGATGGCTTCAATGAATTCTGGTTTCTCTTCACTCAACTTTTCAGCAGCTTGTTTTAATTCTTGAAGGCGAGCTTTGTTTGCCTGTAGTTCGGACTGGAAGGCTTGATGACGCACGAACTTAGAAGTTATGGTCTTGGCATCTCTGTATGTCTCATCTTGAGCAAGGATCATCTTCTCTTCGATCCATTCCCTCAACTCTTCGCAGTCACTCAGGAACTGTTGGATTCCCAAAGCATCCTTGAGCATGTCGAGCTGAGCCAAGGCTTTCTCACGATTTGCTTCTCGTCGCTCTTGAATATTGCGTGACTTTTTATGAATCTTGTCAGCTGCGTAATGACCATCAGAACTGAGTTTGTCACCAAATATAACGACACCACGGACCTTTTCGTCGTTTGCATCCATGGTTGTCAAAAAGTCTTGATGTCTTTTCAGCAAATTCTCTGCCTGTTCTAATGACTGAGGTTGCTCTTCCTTGGCTAAGAAGTTTTCTTGTTGTGATAACATGACTTCGGCTTGCTTGGCATCACGTAAGAACATTTGAAGATTGAGTCCTTGCGATAACATGTGTTGCCTGTTATCCCACATCCGACCCAGTTCTTCCCAACCTTCCTCCAACCCAGCAAGTCGCTGTCTTAAAAACATGTACTGAGGATCAGTCTGGTCTTGTGTGACTCGATCACCCATCGCTCGCATCTTCTTATAGTCCTCAGCATATCCATTGATCTCATCGTGGATTGCTTTATGTTGAGCCAGCAGTCTTTCGGCTTCGGCCAAACTTTGAGGTTCATCTTCACTGGCAACTTGGCGTTGCGTTGCGGTAAGCCAAGCTTGGAAGTGGTCGAGATCGCGTAGGAATCGTTGAAGGTCACCTGCTTCCTCCAACTTGGCCTCTTGTTCTCTGACCTTACGGTTAAGAACATCCCAGACATGTTGGATTCTGCTGATGTCTTCTCTGATGACTTGGGCTTGATGTGGTTTTTCGACTGCAATTTCGTCGGCTTCAGCTTGCAGATTGTTGAGTTTGCCCTGAATAGCGCCTAGGTCCCGTTCCATCATGGACAGCCGTCTCTTCAGTCTCATAACACCGCTGAGATCATTGGTAAGTTCTCCTGAATCTTCAAGAACTCTGGTCTTATCTTCAATCCAAGTGACGGTTTCTTGGCAATCGATTCGGAAGGTCTCCAGACGATGGGCCCGGTCAAGCTCGGATCTCTTTTGGTCAACCATGTCCTTAAGCTGAGCCCAACGAGCATTGAGCTTGTTTTGGCGTTGAAGGATTTCGTCAACATTTGGATGATCCACTTGAACCATTTCACGGGCCAGTTTGTTGACCGTGTTCAGTTTGTCTTCTTGGTTTTTGAGGTCGTTCTCCAGAGTTCCGAAGCGATGTTTCATGATCTCGACTTCCTCCAAATCGTTTCCGGGAATCAATGTGGCCAAGAGTTTTCCTTTTTCATCAATCCATGCTTCGATAGCATCCGCATCACTAAGGAGTTTGTAAAGTGACAAAGCATCGATAAGGCGTTGCTTTCGGAGCCTTGACAATTCCTCCAGGTCACGACGACGTTTATCAGTTTGAGCCAATCGTTGGATGATGTCGGGGTGAGCTCTGGCTTCTTGAGGCAAAGATTCAACCTGAGCTTGCAATTGGACGATGTGTTGGTCGAACTTGTCAAGATCATCTTTAACGCCGTCATGTTTCTTGAGAAGAACGCCAACTGTTCCTTCGTCTCGGCCAACGTCATCAGATGAAACTACACGGAGAGTATCCAATAGAAGTCCATCTACTTCATCGGCCTGGTTGAAGAACAAGAAGTAATTCAAGGCTCCATCCAGATTGCTGCGGCGAGCATCGGCCAGTTCCTTCAGCTTGTTGTAATAGCTTCGGGTTTCGTCTATTCTGGCATTAATGTTCTCTGACCCTGGAATTCCCTCATTTGCAAGTTCTTGGCCTTGTTCTTCAAGAGTCTGCAGGATATTTCCAAGACTTTCCAGATTGTTCTCCGCATTCTTGTGTTCTGCGATGAGCCGTTTAACGGAGGGGACATCGTGGCCGGTATTGGTAAGAGCCAAAACTTGTTCTTGTTCTCGGAACGTGTTCTCCAGATCAGCCAAATCCCACCAGAACTGACAAAGCTTTCTATTGTCTTCAAGGTCACGATTTCTGTTTGCAGCTAGCTCTTGAAGTTCATCCAGGCGATCAATTAGCGCCTGTCTTCGGTCTCGGACAACCTGAGGGTTGACCGGGCGGAAGTCATCAGCTCCAGCCGGATCTTGGGCATATGGTTCAGCTGCTTTGTTTACACTTTGAATACGGTCGTTGATGATATTTAGATCAGATACAATCATTGCATGTTTCTGGAGTAGATCTTGGACGTCCATCAAATGTTGGCCACGATCTTCTGACCTTAGTTTGGCTTCTATTTCATCACACATGTTAAGAACTCCATCCATGTCATGGAAGATCTTTTCAATGTTCTTATGGGCATCCAATCGGGCGCGACGTGCTTGTAAGAGTTCAAGCAGAGTGTTCCACAACTCAAGAATATGATCTTTCGAAGCAATAATACGTTCGATGTCGTTGTAATTCTCCGCTTCAAGTTCTCCGGCAACGGCGACAACCGCTTGCACTCGTTCTTCGTAAGCATGAATGTCTGTTTCGATGGCTTCATGTTTCTTCAAGGCAGCTTCCACAGCTGCAAGGTCGTCTCCAAAGTTGTCTTGGCTGACCAGACGTTGATTCTCGGTGAGCCATGTCTCCCTCATCCCAGCTTTACGGTCAAATCTAGCAGCCAGTTGTTCGAGTTTTTCTTGTCTGAAACGGTAAAAGTTACTTTTACTGTTAAGCATTGACCTTAATTTAATGTTTTTTATTACCTTATTAGTTCTTCTTTGAGAGCCAATTCCCGTTCATGTTCAGCCCGTTCAAGATCTTCCCAAGCCCTATTAATTTCAGCAACCTTTTTTCCTTCACTTGGAACAAAAGGTCTCTGATTATTGGCTCTCATTCGGCTCTGAAGTGTAAACAGAAGTACTTCTAATTCTCCTTTCTCCTGAAACCGTGGTGGTTTCTCTTGAGTTCGGTACTGATTGAAATCTGTGAGTTGTTTCTGGACACCTGTCAATGAGTTGGTGAAGTTTCTGTCGTTGAGATTGATGATGGTCTTTCTGATCCATTCCAGAAGACTACTTGAGATCTCTTCGTATTTGTCCATCATCTTATCGTTGTCTATTAGTTCACTAATTACTTTTCCGATACGTTTTCCTTGGATTTCCTCTTGTTTCACTTTGTTGAAGTAGTGGTAGAAAGTAACAACATAAGTGATAATCGATTTCTCATCGGGTTGTTCGACATTAACATCTATAAGAGTAATACTGTATTATAACAATTTACCTAATAGAAGCCGGATGTGGGCCATAAAGTAATTGTTTTAATGTTTTTTGCGCTTACCCTCAGGGTCCAGGAATCGGAGAAGGCCAAGATGGTTTTCAGCGACGTCAAAAGCATTCTTTAAGTTATGTATGGCATTGGATTTCTGCAGTTTATCAAAGTCTATGAGATCTGGGCGATGTTTGTGGATGAGAGCATTAAAGGCAAGACCGTCTCTCCAGCTGCAAGAATTCGGTGATTAAAAGTTTTTACGTGCTTAGATTTTTTGGTAGGAAATGATTGTTACCTAGTAGTAAAGTTTCTGACATTAACATTTTTATAGTCAGCCGTCTGCATTTGACACCAAAGAAGGAGGGCTTCCTTGGCTTGTCTTGTCTCTTGATTGTCAGTGTCTTCAAATGTGATGTCTTGGATCTGGAACCGTAGAATAATAGTCCAGATAAGACCCAATGTTAATCTGGGACTTCCATCAACAATGTCATTTGGCCCCAAGTTCTCCAGATGCACACGTTGATCTCGGAGAAACTGCAATCCTTTGTCAACGTTCTCAAGACAATGGATCCTCATCTTTCCCCTTGTTGGTTTAGGCAATCGTTCCCCAGATAGCACTTGGAGAAGCTGAATCAGCATCTTTCCATCTCTCATGTCCACATACAAATCTTGGATCTTACAGGACACGCGGATGAGATGGGAGTTAACCCATTTGGTGAATGTTTTCTTCTGAACGACCTCACGCTCATCTGCAATCACATACATCGGTTATTGCTTCCGTCTTCAATTTTTTGCCATTTTCTTTTTAATGCGATGTTATTTTTGTTAAGCATGGCTGCAAACCGGGTTGGAATTTCCGAGCCCGGGCCTGTAAAAATTCGAAACCCCGGCCGGCCCGAAAAATTTTCATAACTGCCAACAAGAATTTTCAAAAATGCGGGATTGTTTCAAATTGAATTTGAAATGATGTTATTATTCGGGCTAGCGGCAAGTAAGCCTACACGCAGTCGTCACCAGCGTTGTTTTCAAATCAAAATAAAAAATTGAACGAAAAAATCCACTTTTTGTCATCTTTCACGAAAAATTCGGGATTTCGAAAAAACCGGGTCGAAAAATTTTGCATGCCCCGTCCCGGAGCCATGCGAAATTTTTTCGGGATTTCAAAAATTTTATACGACAATTTTTATAGATAGTAGCGAAGGAATGGATTCCTTCCTTACTTTCTCTAATCAAAATATAAAGAAAGGAAATAAAAAAAGACCCCCCTTTTCACATAAAAAAAGCCCGAATTGATTAAGGCAAGGTTATTTTTGAGCACCTACCAGCTAATGCGCGGATACGGGCCCTCTCGAACATCTGTGAGGAGACCTCATCGTCGTACTCCTCAAAGTCCGCTCCATTATTCATAACGGGATTCTCATCGTTAATGGTCATGCTCTCATCAGTCCCTTAAACCAAAATAGTTGCGTAATTTTAAACCACTAAACGCGGGAATAGCCTCCGGCTGAAGCGAGACTGTATCGTTTAAAAATTACAGTAAAATAAAATGGGCCATGGTCAGTGCTTGGGACGTATAAAAGTTGGATATGATTCGTAACGTCTTCAGCTCGACGCATCCGATCTTCCGAGTGGATGAACTCGGTTTAATGCCCGCCAAAAATCCATGACAGAATCGTGAAAAATATTTTGCGAAAAACCCGAAGAATTAAGGGAATTGAGCCTCGAATCCCATGTCGGGCGTGTTTGAGACAAAAGCGGCAAAAAGGAGGCCGGAATCGGCTGCAGGACATTCAGAGAGAGAATGGTTCCGGCAGAACAAAAAATGCTGTGAAGGAACGATGCCGAGGGACGATGGCGCCCGCACTCCCGCCTTGGGCGACCCAACGGGTCAAAAACGCTTTTGAGGCCTTTACGAAAAAACGCGGAGGCGAGCCGAAGTCAAAGACGGCACCATTGGAAGCCCGGGAGCGTCAGCTGCGCGGCTCTACCGGACTCAAACCGGGATTGCAGTCGACTTCCGGCCTCCTCCAGAGCTATTGTGGCCGCGTTTAAGGGTTAAAATTGTTCCGTCCCCGATCCGCTGTACAGACAAACAAAACTGGAAGCGTTCGCTTTCTAGACGTTTGCGACTCCACTTTCCAAGCATAATTTCTTGAACTTGCAGTCTCCAAATCAAGACTTTGCGTGCGAACTCTCCCTTGGGAGAACTCCGAAATTTGTCCACAAAAGCGGCTCAAACAACAGGGATCTCAATCAAATTTGCCCATTGGCCAGATGGCCGCTGTCATCCGGACCCAGCCCTTGGCCGCCCTTCGCCTCGCCTCAGGGTCAGTCCTTTTAGCCTGACTCATCCTCCCTTTGAGAAAAACTGTCCAGTTCTTTTTGTTTTGTAAATTAGTCTTATTTGCGCTCTGATTCCTTCTAAACAATGTCACCCACATAGAAAAAAATACCTATCACCCGTTGGAGGCCTAATTAAAAAGAAGAACAGCTTGGGGTCTGAGAACGAAAGCTCTTAAGATTTGTTAGCCTTAAAGTCAAGCATAAAAAACGGTTTACTTCCAAAAGGCCGTTCACAGATAGGGTCAGTTGTATCGACATAAAGGATCGACCATACAAGCACGAAACCAAAGCAAAATTCTTACAAAAAAGCGTCGTAGAAAAGGCGAAAAAGACGCGGGAATCAAAAGAATTTATTAATTATCGAATAAATAATTCATTATAGTAACTAATAAACAAAACCAAAAAATAGGAAAGCACGGAATTGGGAATGGGCGAAGCCGAGCCAACTTCGCCTTGGCCCGAAAACTACGAAGGTATAAAAAAGAACCCAGCCCCCTCAACGGGTTGAATTTCCTAATGTAAACATCTCTGCTACAGAGTGACCATCAAGAGCGCCCGAAAGGTAAAAACACATTGTTTTCTTTTTTCCCCGTGAAGGAATCTGGGCGGGGCGTTGATAAGACTCGTAAAGAAGGCCCTAACGGACGAAACAGCAATCGCCAGTTCGGTAACATGGATATAGGCGACGACAAAGGATGGGAATCAGAGGCGGCGGCGGGTCCGAGTAAGCCTTCTCTCTTTTTTCTTCAACCACTACTACAACCATCACAGCACTGCCCCGTCATCTCGACCGCACCGCGGGCAAAAAGCAGTTGCTCTTCCCCTTGCCTCGCTTCCTTCGCCCTCGCTGCTGTCGTTCAGCCAGTCCAGTCATCCAGTGGATTGCCTGTTGTTCCGTAGAAACCGAAACGCGCGCATTCTCGTTCTGCTGCTGGTCGTCTTCGATATCGACCAAAGCCTGGCTCTCTTGTTTAGCCCGCCACTCTCGCCGCTTTCCCTCTCGGGTTTGCCACAGCAGATTGGAACGCTCTCGGTTTCGACGGGCAAAGGCGACCCATCCAACCTCACTCACAACAACCCCGTCCTCTTTTCCCTCGCTCTCTTCGCGGCCACGCAGAGATGCCGGCCTAGAATGCATTCGCTTTTCCTGTCTGCGATCTCATTGTTCACTGCTTTCTCTTTACGATTATACTCGCAACCTCAGTTGGCTCGACGGGAACGGGTTCATACACCCCCCCCCCCCCCCCCCTATTTTCAGCAAAAGAAAGAGAGCGCAGCTGTGAATTCGGCACTCTTATACGCCTGTAATGACCTCCATGAACACAAAATGGCCAATTGTTTTATTTTGCAAAATTATTCTGGAATTCAGAATCCGATTGACTGAGGGAGATAATGCAGTTAGATGCCGGCTCATTGGTTTCGGTGTTAGTTAATCAAATCAGTCATCCATTCGCACATTTCATTTTTCTTTTCTCTCACATTTATTTAGAAGAAGCGAGAGAAAAAGCGTACGTGTCCGTTTAGTTGAGGGGTAAGTGGCGGGCCTTTTGTTTGAACGGACCCGGGTTCGATGCCGATGAAGATATCTAATGCACCACTCTGTTAGTCGCACGGATACGTCCGTCTGATAGTGATGAGGGAAAACCGACGAGGCTTTTTATCGCTTTTTAGAGATTACAGCCATAAAATCACCTGTTTTCCGACCACGTTATAAATTTCCGGGTGTTGTTATCATTGAATTTGGATCGACTTTGTTGACGAAATTTATAAACAAAGCAGTAACAACAATCAAACTCTAAATATACCGGGTATAACCAACAATCATAAAAATACAAAAAATGGAACAACTTATTTTAAAACGGAAATCATTACTCTTCCTCCTTTATCGTACTGAGATCCTCATAATTTTCCACTTTCATATCATTCAAGCCAAGCTCCTCGTTCTGTTCAAAAGACCTGGTATAGAATTCCTTCTTCAGTCTGGGATCTGCTCCTTCATCACTTATACTTTGAATGTAACTGTTTCCTGCAGGGTCGTCCAGCACCAAAGTAGCAGGTCTCTTAAGGTTTATAACTTCATCCATCTGACTTAATATATTCTCGAATTTCCCCTTAAATTCATCAGATCCAGAGTCCCCGAAGAAAAAAGCAGATTGCTCATTCAGTTGATCCTTGATGGCTTGCAACAGACCTTCTACCGTGGTAAAACGACCACAAAGGGCGCCTGGACCAATCTCAACATCAATTTCAGGAATCGACAAGCCACATGTGTCAGATTTCAACACATCTCTGGCAAGGTCAACATCCTGGAAAACGTTGCGAAACATACGAACGATAAAAAAGAAAGAAAGTCAGTTCGAATAATGATCACTAAATAAAACTTGCCAACCTTTTCGACCTTAACCGAGAGTTTACAGCCTTGATCCTGGATTGGACCTCCGGCTTGAACCTCGTTTGACTTAAAACCACAGCTCTCACAAGTACTCGACATTACAATCACTGTTTGGAAGTACGGAATGTCTATAAACAAGTCATTCCGAAATTATTCTTATTCATATAATACCTGTGGGCTTCATAAGAACTTCCAAAGGCGTTCTGCAATTGGGACATTGACTGTTAAAATGCATAATGGTGTTCTTGCAATCCTCAAAAGACTTCCATTCCATGTCATCCGTTGTCGGCTTCCATTCTGGGTCATCATCATCAGCCAATGCGAGTAATTTGTTGGCATTCATATCTCGGTAATAATGGGACGTAATGCATCTGGGATCAACATGAAGTGGAGAAGGATTCTGGATGTAACAATTGCCGGAAGGGTCGTTTAATTTCTAAACACAAAAAATAATAACCGGCAGTTTTTTTTACCAAAGTCCAAGGTTTCTTTAAGGCAATATATTCTTCCAATTTAGCCACAAAGTCGTCAATTTTCTTAGCTGCTTCTGGGTCTTGTTGTCTTCTGACTTCTTGGTCTTGCGAAACACCTTCTTGCACTCTCCGTAAGATTCCCTCGACAGTCGTAACCTCTAAACTGTTATAAATTTAATATTATACACAACTCACCTCCCGGTTGGGATTTAAATGGAATTTCAAGTTCCAATTCAGGAACTTCCACAGAAGCGTATTCGGATTTCACTACCGTTCTGTTGAGGTCCTCTTGCTCTTTTACGTGCAGAACAATCTCTGTACCAAATTCCTAAAATCCATGAAATGGAAACTGCAATTCGACTTACCTGAACTGGCTCTCCACTTTGGAGTTCGTTGTTTCTGTAACCACAATGATCACATGCGAATGACATCAAGATAACCTGTTTATAGAATGGAATCCTCGTACACATGAGTTTTGTTACACCCTAAAGAGATAATAGGTGCATGTGATAATTATTTTGCTGCTTCAACCTACATTTTCTTGGCAATTAGGACAAACTGATTCCAATTCCATGGGCGCTTCATCGTCCGCATTTAGCTCCTTGTACACAACTTCGGCCATCTGCAAGTTAAACGACTTTCGGAAAAAAATAAATTCGAAAAGTCCGCATATAATGAAACTACTGGTTTTAAACACAAATGATTAATTCAAGCTATTCCAAAAGGCAGTGTTTCTACTGCACGGCGCACAGCGTTCTGTACTTTTTTGGAATGATTCCGACACCGATTTTTTCGAATTTTTCTAACAAGGAAAGTACTTCTATGGGGTGTGGAATTACCGGTCGAGATATATATCAAAAAATTCGCAAAAATTTTCTGTTTCAGAATATATAAAAATTAGCTGCCTAATTTTGGTCTGATGACATGTTTTTGTCCTCAGAAGTTTTCTCGCGACACAATGCAAGTGTCTTTTTGACCGTGTTTTTACCAATAAAAAAATTTTGTTTTGTGCTAAAATAAATTTTGAGGCCTTGACAAGCCTTAAAATATCAAATTGGATTACAACTACACCTTAAAAGTAGTTCCAATGTAAAAAATGGGTTCTAGTGTGGCAAAAGGAATCGAACCCGTTCCCTTCGGATTCCCAATCTAGCGCTCTAACCACTCGGCCACACCGCTCTCTTCCGAAGGAAGAGACCGAGCGCGCTTTTGTTGCCGCAGATTTTTTCCTCGAGAAATACATTTATTGATAAAACTCGTTAATAGACCAAAATTAGGCAGCTAATTTTTATATATTCTGAATCAGAAAATTTTTGCGAATTTTTTGATATATATCTTGACCGGTAATTCCACACCCCATAGAAGTACTTTCCTTGTAAAATAGCCCGCATTTACGCGGGTGTCACGAGGGAATACTGTAAGATTGACGTGTAAAATTTGCAGTGCTTATAGAGTAAAGAGAGATCTTTCCAACGATACAACTTACGTAAATTATTAACGAAAAAGAAATTTGTAATCAACGCTGAAAAATGACCGACTTTGGACTTTCGGCGCTAAAGATTGCCCTTAGGCAGATCTTTTAGAAGAAGTGGATGGTACCATCATATGCGGAATTTAATTCTCTACAACATATCCAAAAACTACAAAATTTGACTGCTTTTCCGTCGAATTATGCCTCAAAAATGCAATTTTTGCACTAGTTTTACCAATATTTTTAAAATATTTGCACTTTAAGGGCATTATTACAAAAACAAAATCGTACATATTGAAGCTTGCATGGTTGCTGAGCATACTGTTTAATTTTACCCTGTCATCTTTCTCCATCTTCAAGAACAACGGAGCTAAAGTTTGGTGCTTGGACCCAGAATAAAAATGCCCTAAGGGCGAATTTCAAAAATGCGATAGTGCCACTGAACATAGAATTTTTTGTACTACAGGTACGCCAAATTCGAGGAAAAAATCAACGTCGGGAGTTTCCGGAATAGTTTGAAACATCGGTGGCTTCATGAACACATTTACGCGTTCATGATGTTGCATGGATTTCTCGGAGCAGTCGCAGAAGAAGGAATTGAATCGTTGCCTTTTGAGCATGGCGGTTTGAACGCTTATTCTACGTTCAGTGGCACTATCGCATTTTTGAAATTCGCCCTAAGGGCATTTTTATGCTGGGTCTAAGCACCAAACTTTAGCTCCGTTGTTCTTGAAGATGGAGAAAGATGACAGGGTAAAATTAAACAGTATGCTCAGCAACCATGCAAGCTTCAATATGTACGATTTTGTTTTTGTAATAATGCCCTTAAAGTGCAAATATTTTAAAAATATTGGTAAAACTAGTGCAAAAATTGCATTTTTGAGGCATAATTCGACGGAAAAGCAGTCAAATTTTGTAGTTTTTGGATATGTTGTAGAGAATTAAATTCCGCATATGATGGTACCATCCACTTCTTCTAAAAGATCTGCCTAAGGGCAATCTTTAGCGCCGAAAATCCAAAGTCGGTCATTTTTCAGCGCTGATTATAAATTTCTTTTTCCATATTAATTTACGTAAGTTGTATCGTTGGAAAGATCTCTCTTTACTCTATAAGCACTGCAAATTTTACACGTTAATCTTACAGTATTCCCTCGCGACACCCGCGTAAATGCGGGCTATTTTAGAAAAATTCGAAAAAATCGGTGTCGAAATCATTCCAAAAAAGTACAGAACGCTGTGCGGCGGTTTCAAAATCTGGTAGACAGTGATGAAAATATTTTTACCTTTTTTTGGTCACATATTATACGACGAAATGTGTTTGTTCTTCTGATTATTAGAAACCCTTGTCAAGTCCTAAAAAATGGCGAACTTCAGGGATTGTACCCTCATTCTAATCTCGTTTTTTAGCAGATAAAAAAGATCTATGAGGACAGTATCAAATTAGTGTATTTATTACACAAAAAACTTAAAAACAATAAATACAATATACCCATCATTTCAGAAATAAAAATTTAGAATACATTCATAAGAGTGAATACACAAATTGCCAACTGTTCAAGTATATTAATGACAGTGAGATTAAATTATTCCCATTAAATGATTAATCAAGTTCAATATTATGTTCATTAATGTTGCCTTCGGGTTCCGACTTTACTCCTTCAGTCGGTGAGTCAGAAGGTACCTCTTTTGAACTCTAAACGAAATAATATTTTCATGTAGGTACTTACGTCAATAAAAGTTTGAAATACTCGGGCTTTGCACAAAACTGTCGATCTTAATACAAAGTTAAGGAAGTTAGTAATGGCCGTTTTCCTCTCCTCGATTGTTTCTGGAGTGTTAGATCCCACTAGTTTAGTTGGAGCAAACAATGGAACATTATCTTTGAGGTATAGCTAAAAGAATAAATTTTTACAACACCAGCTATAAAAGTATGGTATTTTCCGGAACCAGCATGCATAAGGCAATCAGATGAATTATTACCTGTTTATGAATAGTAGAAACCTGTTGATATAAACGATTTAGATCTCTAAATCTCGTTGTCAACTCAAATATGCGACGATCGTAATTACACACATCAATTGGATCCATCTAAACAAGGTGTAAGATCAATAAAATCTTACCGAAATGCCGATCTTATACTCAACATATCCAAAAATGGAATTGGGTTCTGTTACTTCAATTATGTCGGCCGAAAAAGCGTAGATCTTTCGATCTCTGTACAAAATAGCTCCGATGTCGGATCGACAATGACTTTCATCTGGCAATAGCACAGAATTCTTGGCCATCTCGCGCTAACAGCAAAAAAAATAAAAAAAAATATTTTTTTTTGAGAAAAAACTTGACCTTGCCGAATGTGTCAAGTCTTTCTCTCAATGGCAGGTAGCGCCCGATTATTCTTCTTTCTTTATAAAGATAGTTTCTTTATATTTTTTTGTGGTACGCGTCCGGTTACATCACGCGTTGTAATATTTGTGAACAAGCCAACCTGTGAAGGACATGACTTTGCCTAAAGCTGGAAGTGGCGCCATTGTAGGGTAAGTTGATATCATTACAGTGCCACTATGTTTAGCAAAAAATATTTGTAATGGTTGCAGGTCGTTTGCTTACAACTCTATCAAGGACAGATGGCCTAGGATTTTAACCAAAGTGATTGATCAGCTGCATCAAAGACATGATTTCATGGTGAAGACGCATGGAGAAGTGGGGTTTCTTTATAATTAATTTATCTAAAATTTAGCAAGGGAATATCGACGTAAAAGAGGTTATTCACTCTATCTCTCGGCTAAGGTATTTGATTGCAACAGATAAACCACTGGAATACTTGGAGACGTCGTTGGAAGACAAACAACTCTGGAATGGAGAGATTGACAAGCTCAAGATTGAGGTAAACGAAGTTTAATCGCAAGATTGTATTGATCTTAGCTTGGAGAGGGTAATGTGACCTGGTACAAATGCCCTTGGTTGTTCTCTGAATGTTTTGTCTACAGATTGTTACATGAATTCTTCTTGAGATCTAGTAATCTCAAAGAATATGATCCATTTAGAATGGAAAAGGAAAAGGGTTACTTTGACAGGTACGATTGGATCACTTTCATCTTGATATTTTTTTCAGTGAAGTTCATCTGATTGCCTTAGGCACGGAGGTTTTGCAATTGGTCAAGGATAATTCGCCGGGTGATCTGAACACCGCTGTCTCAAAACATCTCCAGATATGTTTATGGGGAAATAAAGCCGATCTTTCTTTAACTGGTGGAGATCCACATTTCATGGCCGCCACTCTCTTTAAAGAACTTGATTCTCTTCGCGGAAACATTTTGGTTGATCATCTCGATTTGGTTTCAGATTATTTGTCCAAGTAAGTACAATATTTAAGTCAGTTTTAGTTTATAGCCTAAACAAGTCTGGGACGGTTGTGATTGTAATGGACAACGCGGGTCTTGAACTCTTCACGGATCTTTGTTTAGCCACGATTCTTGTCGCAAAAGGACTCACTCCGAAAGTAATATTCCACGGGAAGGCTTTCCCTTGGTATGTCTCCGATGTTACTGAGTATGATTTTCATTGGACGATAAATCAGACAGCTCAACAAAGCGATTCATATTTGAAGGAACTGGGACAACTTTGGCAGAAGTTTGTAAAAGATGTAAGTCTCCCTTGGTTAGGTGAAAATATTTTACAGGGCCTCTTCGAATATCAAACTGGGGACTTCTATACCTACGGCTTTCCATATTTTGAGATGAAGAGAATCAGTCCTCAACTCTACGACACCTTGAGTAAATCCAAACTCTTGATCTTCAAAGGCGATCTAAACTATCGGAAGCTGGTCGGTGACAGACATTGGGATCCCACCACCGCATTTAAGGTAACTTTCTCTATTCTGTTTTATCGACAGTCTGTGTTTTTTATCAGTCTGTCGGAAAACTAACGGCGGGTGTTCGCAGTAAAAGGTTTCGCCTCGTCGAAAAAAGGGTGCAGTCGCGCACCAAGTCTCCAACTGCGGCTAGCCGTCGCAAAGCGATGACGGGCGCTTCCAAGGGGCGACGACCCGCCGCTATTTTCCCGACAGACTGAAAATTTCTTATATCATTTTAGGAGACGTTGAGAGGCTTTGAACCCACTAATCTTGTGTCTCTCCGTACTCTGAAGGCTGAAACTGTTTGCGGACTGACTTCCGAAACCTTGGAAAAGGTAAAACGAAAGTTCGGCGAGGATACTACCTGGATGGTTAACAGCGACTATGCAGTTGTCCAATCGTTTTTCAAGTAGTCATCATTATGGAACTTAAAATAATGATTGCGTCAAACTGACGTTTAGGTACAGTTTCCACATTTATGTAAAAGACAACTAAAAGTCTTTGGTTTCTTTTTTTATTAGAAATACGAACGTTCAATCCATAAAATTATCTGTCCTTCTTTCTAGACATAGTCTAGAGATTGTCGGAGTTTTTTTCGTCAAAAATCTAACATTGCGAAATAGATCCTGGATAATTCCTGAAAGTCTCATATCTCCACATAAAAACAGTTAGCGACATAGTATGTATAAGCCCCAAGTTATCTAGACAATTATATATGTATGAAGTATGAATTGAAATGAAGTTGATTCTGAAATAAATATTTCTACTTATTACCGTACATATATTGCTACTTCTTAAGCTAAAGTGAAAAACTTTATGTTGATTCAAATAAGTATTAAAAATAAAAATGCGATCCTTTTGTTATCATAGAGTGATGTTATTATTTCAACACCTTTTCTCGAAAACTAATAAATACCCAGTCGAAGTATGAGGAACGTAAAGAACGAACACCGGCCGAACGGCCTCGAGAGGTGGTGTGGGAGATCTAGGGCCGCCGATCTTTTTGTTTGGCTACTGATGGAGAGGGAGTGGGATCGATCGAGAAGATCTAGAGATCTCTCTCCCGGCCCTCAGGGCCAGCTCTCGACTAATCTCTTTCCGACTTTTCACTGCGATCAGCTCTGTCCACTTTTTTGTGGCCTTTATCAAACCGGTGTTTTACCTTTATTATTTTACATAGGCTAAATGGAATAGGGAAATCAGTACTTTTGTATTCCATTATCTGTTGTTATGGCACCAGTTACAAGGACTGATGTCGGGAACGAGCGGCAGTAAAGGGGAACAGATGGCCCTCGGAAAGACGTCTTCCGTTACATCTGGAACATTCTTGATTGCATTATAACGGGAATGTCCAGAAAATGAGTCATCTTAAGGACTCGTAATGTTTTCGTGGGGGATCATATCACGTGAAAAGATTAATCTTAACTTTGTTACGTAACGATTGCATATTTTTAGAAATGGGAGTGCCTTATCTGAAGGATAACTGATGACATTAATGCTTGAGGGTCCTCAAAAACAATCGTTCAGCTAAATATTTTCTTGTTGATGTTATTTTCTAATACCTTAAGATGTAATATTTATGCAAATCTTGTGGTTCCGACATTGATCTGAGCTGAATCAGCTCCGTATGACCCCCGATTACTTTTCTAAGGTCGCGTTTTTTCCAGCAACGTTCTGTCCTGACTCACCTGTTTAGGTCTGACCTTGCATATCCCCGGCCTTTCATGTTCACAAATCATGGAAGACATTGAGGCCATAAATGAAATGTTTCCGGACGAATTGCTCTCCGATGCGGAGTTTGAAAAAGCATTGGATGAGCTTTGCGCCAATCCGGACGATGAGGTAGGCTACAGTAATGCTTTTTTTCTTGTTTTCTGTTATTTGTTTACATAGTCTTACGTAACCCTCATTTATTAAAATCCAGACGATTAATCACAATTGGAATTTGATTTCAGTTCAAACGGGAATTGACCGAAATGATGTCCGAACATCAATTGATAACCTGGGAAGAAGCAGAACAGATCCTGGGAGACACAGGCGACGAACCCGTCAAATCAAGTTTGCCTCAGCAAACCAGACCAACCGAGCCTGATAATGATACAAATGTGGAAGATACTATACAGAGATTATTACAGAATGATCCTGGATTAGTTCAAGTAAATCTCAACAATATGAAGGTATGGTTAACAAAATTAAAACGGGATGTTGTTGTCCTTTAGAGAACTCCCATTCCGAAGATCAAAAGGATCATTGAGGCTATGAGACAGAATCAGTTCGTCGAGCAGTTAAGTCTGGCTAACATGGGATTATACGACCATGACGTCATGGTGAGGTCTCATATAGTGATTACCGTTTGTTGCAGAATCTAATTGAGAGTGTCGAAGATAATGAAAGTCTGAGGAAATTGAATCTGGAGACAAATTATCTGAGCGGAGAATTCTTTGCCAAATTATTCGCCGCAGTGAATAAAAACCAGGCTGTTGAGGAAGTTAAGGCTGTTAACCAAGGAATGAATTTCTCGACCACGGCCGAGCGAGACATCATTAAGGCCATTAAAGAGAACTACAGTCTCACTAAGGTCAGCATGAACATCCGTTTACCAGAACTTCGGAATAAAATTCAGCAAATAACGATGAGAAATCAAGAAATCAGTAAGTCAGACTCCACTTATACCGTCTACGTTAAGGGCGTATAATGAGAAAACGAGCGGCCGATGAACAAAAAGCATTGGAGGAACAAAAAAAATTGGAAGAAGAAGAGAAGGCCAGGAAGGTAAGAATCAGATCTCGGTGGTTATAAATTTGTTCAGAAAGCTGAGGTTGAGAAGGCCAAGCAACCTTTAAAGGTGTTCCCTAAAGAGATGTTGCAATATAATAGAAAGAAAGAAGAGCCCAAGAAACCGGAGGAACAAGAAGTTCGGACGTCCATTTCCAAAATAGTTGCCGAAAAGTCGACACTCAAGAAGTACGATCAGATAGACAGTCCATCCCCCCAAAGTAAAGGAATTGCTCCCATGATTCTTGGGGATCCTGTTCCCGACACTTCTGAATCCAAAGGGAAGAATGTTCTCAACCGACTCAATCAGTTGGATAAGAAAGATGCGACAGAAGTCAAGCATAACGACAAGAACTCTCTGGCTGCGGCATTGGAAAAGAAGCCGGTCTTGAAGAAATTACCCTCGCTGGATCCCAATCCGATTGTAAGTAAACCAAACCCAACTCACAAAATGGAGACAAAGGACTGGCCTCCAAAGCCCAGAGACAAAGCTGAACCTGAAAAGCCTCAGCCCAAGAAGAATCCTCTGGTATCCAAATGGGAATCGGGAGAAACGGAGAAGAGACACAGGCAAGACTCGCTTGATGACTTAACATTGCACACCCAAAGCTTAGAAAACGAAGCACCTGTTACGTCATCAAAAGAGCAGCCGGGTAAATTAAGCAGCAAATTTAAGAAGCCATCTTATGACACCCCTCTGAGTCCGACATCGATGTCCATAATGTCGATGGATATGGACATCAAACCGAAAACGCTGACAACTGAAAAGAAACTGCCTTCTAAAATTGTTTCACCATTCTTCACGAAGCCAAGTGATGAGAAAGATTTGGCCTCATCATCCAAGAAGATGACGGGCGTTACAACAAGTAAGGAAGCCATATCCAAGAAAGAAACGGAACCAAACAAGCCGTCAATCTCATCCGTTCAAGCCAAATCTCCTCTTAAAAAAGCCGTGTTACCTGAACCAGTAGCCAACGTATCGCCTCTGACAACGCGAAGAATATTTGGAAAGGCCACCGATGCAGCCAAAGATCTGAACGAATCAGTGAACAAAACCAAACTCGCACCAACACCCGAACTTCCGACCACACTCAAGAAGACAGTTCCACCTCAAAAAGCAACAGAATCTCAAAAGATACCTGAAACGAAAACAACGCTTCAGAATAATGTCAAATCAACCCCATCCGATGAAAAGCATTTGTCTATTTCCATCTCCAAACCTGAACCCCCAAACCCCCGTTCAAAATTATTGTCCCCTTCAGCAGAAACCCCGGCCGTCAGTCCTCAATCAAACCCATCCAAAAGCCTTTTATCACCCAGGCTGTCTAATGACTCAACCTCCGCTGTGTCCGACTCCAGTGCATTGTCAGCAACCTCTGAATCCGAACTCAACGTTGGAACAGAAAAGCCCAAGAGGAAAAAGCGAATTGTAAAAAGAATCGTAAGGCGAAGAAAGAAAAAGGCCACAGAAGATGATAGTGGTGTTAAGGAGAAAGAAAATATAAAGAACAGAGATGACGTCAAAAGTAATTCAAATGGGGTCAGATCGATCTAGGATGGAGAACCATGTGGTGTCGGGAGAGAAAGGCGACAATAAGGAATCTATAGAGAACGGTCACGATCCCCAAGAAACTGACAAGATGATTGGGGGACGGATGGGAAGTGCAAATGATAGTATCAAACAAGAAAATGACATCAATGGTAGCAGAAGGAGGTACGGCGACTATACAAAACCATCGACGAATGAAGAAGCCCACAAGAAAAGGGGCGAGATCCCATCTACATTGCCTAAGCCTTCTCTACAACCCGATTACACATCTCACAATACAACTGGTAGCAGTTTTTCCTCCAGAAATCGGCTGCCCTACAGCAGTGGTCTCAATCGATATAGTAAATACTAAAACAATATAGAATTTCCGTTGTCCGTACATTTATGTATCTTATCAAATATCTAAATTACATTTACAAAACACACTTACATTTACTTTTCAAAATTTTGAATAAAAATTTATCTTGACTGAAAAGTAAGTGGATCGGCTGTTCCCAGAGATGGTTGTAAGTTTAGATGATGTCATAGATAAGACTTTGTCTGCCATTCTGAGTAAAGGGTCGACGAAGTTCACTTCCGAAATACGGGAAGCTACACTTACTTCATTATGCCAGAATGTCGGTGCCGTGTTCATGTCACAATCGACTCTACTTGAGCTAGAACCGCCACTAATTGTAAATCAGATAGTGGATGATGTAATATCTAATCTAAGCCTTACTAACAGGTCTGCGGTGATATACATGGTCAATTCGTGGATCTCCTGAGAATCTTCAATCGTTTGGGATACCCGCCACATGCAAATTATTTGTTTTTGGTAGGCGTAAAACAACACCTAATCTTACAATTAATGGAATCCAGGGCGACTATGTCGACAGAGGGAAGTTCAACATGGAGACGATTACTCTACTCTTTGCCTATAAAATCAAATATCCTAACAACTTCTTCCTATTACGTGGAAATCATGAGTGTTCGGCTATTAATCAAGTCTACGGTTTCTACGACGAATGTTCCCGGCGATACTCTGTAAAATTGTGGAACACATTCCAAGTAGGTTACAACGGATTCCTTAAGACACTTATTCAGGATCCCTTTAATCGCATGCCTTATTGCGCTCTGGTTGGGTCGAAGATACTGTGCATGCATGGTGGAATCTCTCCATGGATGACGTCATTCTCTGCTATAAAACAACTGGTTAGACCTTTAGAACCATGTAGTATAGGTCTGGCACTAGACATACTTTGGTCGGATCCCTGTTCCCTGACCTCCGGCTTTTCGCCTAACTTTAGGGGGGTCTCGTATCTATTCGGAAGCGATGCGCTCAAGCGAGTATGTACAACGCTGAACGTCGATCTGGTGGCAAGGCAGGTTGCTATATAAAGAAGATCACAGAGGCTCTCTACTTGTACTTTTGCCGTAGGGTCGAATTTTAGTGCAAAAAAAATCTGCATTGGATTTTAAAACACGATTTCTGAGGGGCCCTGACTGGAAAAAACCGGGCATCCAATAAACTTCTTGCTGAAATATTTTTGCCCAATTCCTTCATTAACCTACTGTAATTTACAATTTAATGATTTTACAGTAATCGACCATTACAAGAAAGCTACTGATTAGAAACGGTTGAAATTGATAATAATCTGTTTTAGGCCATGCCCGTCATAACAAACACAGAATTTCGGCAGTCGGGTTACTGTAACATACCGTAATGTGGGTTCGGCCGCACAAATTCGGCCCTAAAAAGTTATTTCTGAATGTCGCAGCTAATTTTTACATATGTTAATCAACGTAAAATTATGCATTAAAAAAGTGTAAAAAGTCATGATCCGTTTTTCGTGGTATAGTGGGTTTTGGTCAAATTTAGTATTCTAATGGTCGCGAGCTCGATCCCCGTGGAAGCAAAATCCGTAATACTGCCCAGAACCATAAAAAATCAATTGGGCTGAATCGCATAGCATGTATGGGGAGTATGAAAACCTTTATAAGAAGTAATTTGCAATTTTGAAGGCGTTTTTTCAAGATGACAACAGAATTTTGTTTTTCGTAGATTATGGTGCAAATTTAGTTTCGGAAAGTTGATTTCCGGGCGTAGCCTAAAACATGAGTATTATCAATTTCAGCCATTTCTAATCAGTAGCTTTCTTGTAATAGTCGATTACTGTAAAATCATTAAATTGTAAATTACAGTAGGTTAATGAAGGAATTGGGCAAAAATATTTCAGCAATAAGTTTACTGGATGTCATTTTAAAATTAAAAACTCAAAATCGGTTTTTCCCTTTGTCCATGGCTGATCCAGTGACTCAGAAATCGTGGTGATTTTTCAGAATCAATGTCAACCCACCCATTTACAGCAAAAATAAAAGCCGGGAACGTTTGACCGTCTTTATATTTAATATCATCAGTGCTTTCAGAGGCCATCAAGTCGTTCAGGACGGATATGAGTTCTTTGCGGACCGTAAGTTGGTCACGATTTTCTCCGCCCCCAATTATTGTGGAGAATTCGACAACAGCGCTGCTGTTATGCGAGTGGACGAGACATTGCAGTGTTCCTTCGAGGTGTTCAAATCAACAGAAATGAATATTTACGTTGTCAATTCCGGGACGCTACCTTCCTAACTAGAAAACATAAATTCAAAATAAAACTTTTCCGATGGCCTTTACTAATCCGAGTCATGCAATTTGATCGGTTAACTGACCAATTTTGACCGGTTAAAATTCTTAAATTTCTTTTACTTGACGTCCTAGTGCTCCCCCATAGCAAGGAAACATTGAAGCATGATTTCTTATGAGTCATTTGACGTAACCGAGCCTTGCATGAAACTTTCTTTACCAACCTACTATAAGGTCAAATGTTTTATGGGTTTTTGTCGGTTCCAACTTATGTTGGGGTCTTTTCGAGACCCACCTTCATTCCTTGGCATTCTGTTCAAACGAATTTCCCACTTACGAAACGAAAAATAACTGATTCGAAGATGATTTACTGCTTGGTACCATTTGCATTTCACTTTTATCCATATGCTCACTTTTTTAGCGTAGCCTCGAACATTAATTTAAACTCATTTGTCTTCTTTTTCCGTGCTTATTGCATAAAATTCGTGTTTTCAAGATACTTGATCTCTTACCGTGAAATTTGAGAGATCAAACCATTTTAGGTTGGTCTTGTGTCCCGTACACCCTCACGTTAAACATGTCATCGGGACATCGGTTTAATCCCAATGCCAATGTGTTCGTCCCCAATGCTAATGCGAGGCCGTTTGTGCCCGGAGGCGCTCCTCCTGTACCCGTTCAACCTGAGCCCGAACCTATGGAAGAAATTCCAGCTTGTAAGTGTCATTAATTTGTTTCTTTTATTTTTAGCGTGGGATGATGGACCAGCAGAAGAAACTCCCAGTCCTCCAACTCCTGAACCATCAAAACCAGTCGCGCCACCGGCCGAATTTAAGAAAGAGGAAACACCAAAGGTTGAAAAAGTAGGTTGTCTTGCTTTGTGATAAGTTTCTTAAGATTAAAGAGGAGAAAGTCGAGCAACCAGTAGAACCTGTCGTGTTCAAGCAAAAGTACACTGTGGGTAAGTCTAAAATACGATTATTTTTTACCAATTTCAGATGAAAACCGAAAAGAGCACGTTAACATCGTGTTCGTCGGTCATGTCGACGCCGGCAAATCAACGATTGGGGGTCAACTTATGTATCTGACAGGAATGGTTGATAAACGAACGCTAGAAAAATATGAAAGAGAAGCCAAGGAGAAAGGCCGAGAAAGCTGGTACGTGCTGTTTCTGCTAATTAAAACTCTGCAACATTTAGGTATTTGTCGTGGGCTTTGGATACCAACGATGAAGAACGGGAAAAGGGAAAGACTGTGGAAGTTGGACGTGCATACTTTACTACTGAGAGAAAACATTTTACGATTCTTGATGCCCCCGGCCACAAATCTTTTGTCCCCAACATGATCAGTGGGGCCACTCAGGCAGATCTGGCAGTTCTGGTATGACTTTTCTATTATTACGTTATGTTTTTAAAAGAATTCGTAAATAAATTTGTTTTAGGTAATCAGTGCCCGAAAAGGAGAATTTGAAACCGGATTCGACAGAGGGGGCCAAACAAACGAACACGCCATGCTGGTAAAGACTGCTGGTGTCAAGCATTTGATCATTTTGGTTAACAAGATGGATGATCCAACTGTAGAATGGGACGAAGGGCGCTATAAATATATCCAAGATAAACTTACCCCATACCTTAAAAAGGTCGGGTTCAACCCAAAAACCGATGTTACCTACATTCCATGTTCAGGATTATACGGCCATTTCCTAAAGGAAAGGCCTCCAGCTGGCTTAGGTGATTGGTACACGTAAGTTTCGGGTTTTATTTGGAAATGATATAACGTTTTTAGCGGTCCCTGTTTCCTCGAATACATTGACAGTTTTCTTCCAGCAATCTCCCGCGATTTCAACGGCCCTGCGCGATGTATCGTTGCTGAAAAGTTTTCTGTAAGCGAGTTATGTATTTACAAAACCTTTTCGTTTCTTTCAGGACATGGGAACAATTATTATTGGTAAATTAGAGTCCGGAATCATTGTTAAAGGTCAAAATGTTCTCCTTATGCCTAATAGAGTAGGTGCAGTATGTATGGAAGTATGAACGATTTAGGTTATTTGTCAAGTGATTCAGTCATGGTGCGATGATAACGAGATTGATCAGCTTTATGCTGGAGATAACATAAAATTGAAGTTGAAAGGTGTTGAAGAAGCTGATGTACTTCCTGGGTTTGTTGTATGTTCACCAGAAGTACCCTGCAAAGTTGGAAAGGTCTTTGATGCGGAAGTTATGATTCTAGACTACAAATCAATCATTGCTCCTGGCTATGGTTGTGTTCTTCATATCCATGCAGCAATTGAGGAAGTCACGCTAAAGGTAAACCTAAAGTTTTACTTGGTTTATTAGGCTTTTAGACAGTTATCTGCACCATCGATAAGAAAACCGGTGCCAAAACGAGAGCCAAATTCGTCAAACAGAATGACAAATGCATTCTCCGGTTAGAGAGCCAAGAACCTTTCTGTTTGGAGATCTTTAAGGATTTCCCACAAATGGGACGTTTCACCTTGAGGGACGAAGGAAAGACTATTGCAATTGGAAAGGTGGTGAAAGTAGTCGAATAAAGTGCCTACAGGAGGCTGAGGTCAAGTGTCATTCTTGGTTACTAAGTTATTTGTATCGAGTTTCTTCGAGAGAATTGTCAGCTATCTTGGATTAAAGCTCCAGAGGAGCCTTTTGGTTATATTGTTGTTTTTGACACTTGGTTTTGACTAATAAATGTCTAATTTATAACGTGGTTGAGTTTTTGGAGCTTAGTGTTAATTTCATAATGATATTTTATAGTTGGAAGTGAGTTATATTTCGTTTTAGATGTCTAACAAAAACGGTACGGCGAAGTCTGACACTCGAGAGAAAGTTAAATTACCACCTGGGAAGGATCCAAAGTGGTGGGATATATCAACCTTTTCGAAGGATGATAATCCTCATGGATGTTTAGTGGAAAGTTCATTTGCTACTTTATTCCCCAAGTACAGAGAGAAGTACATCAGGGAAGTTTGGCCTCTCATCGAAAAAGTCTTGGCGGAACATGAACTTAAAGGTGATCTGGATCTTTTGGAGGGAACTGTGACCGTGAAGACGACAAGGAAGACCTGGGATCCATTCATATTGTTCAAGGCAAGGGATATGGTCAAACTAATGGCCAGAAGTGTTCCATTTGAGCAAGCATCTAGAGTACTTCAAGACGACATCTCTTCAGAGCTGATAAAGATCGCGGGGATGGTCAGGAACAAGGCGAGATTTGTGAAACGAAGGGCCAGATTAGTGGGGGAGAATGGGTCTACCCTCAAAGCTATCGAATTGCTAACACAGTGCTATATTTCTATTCAAGGCAGTACCGTCGCCGCTGTCGGGCCGCATGAAGGATTAAAAACCGTCAGGTAATTCGCTTTTATTAGATTTTTCTTACTGTCTTCCATAAAATATTGTTTAGGAAATTAGTTGAAGACACAATGAAGAACATCCATCCGATCTACGAAATAAAATCTCTAATGTTAAAAAGGGAACTGATGAAGAATGATAAACTTAAAGACGAGAACTGGAGCAGATTCATTCCACCGACCAAGAAAAGAGTAAGCCAGTTTTATTAGAACCAGTTTATCATAATTTAGACACAAACGGCGCAAGAAACTAAGAAAATTAAAAAGGCCAAGAATGCTAAATGGAAGCAAAAGAGTGAGTACAATCCATTCCCACCAGCACAACAACCTTCGAAGGTGGATAAAATGCTGGAATCTGGAGAGTATTTTGTTCGAGAAGAGGTTAGGAAGAAGAAGAATGAAGTAGAACGGATTCAAAGGCAGACCGAGAAAACCAAGGAGAAGTCTAGGAAAAGACAAGCCGAGTTGGTTGCACCAGAAGAAGCTCCTCGGGCCAAGAAAACGGTCAAACCAAAACAACAACAAGTGGATTTGGATAGACTGAGGAAGAAGATACAGAAGAAGGCATAGAGTTCTTTGCGTTATTTTTTTATTTTTTTGACATAGATTGCACAGGATCAAAATTGTTTTCTGTTTATTTGATTCCCAATAAATTAATCTTAAATGTCGTTGCGTGGAATGTTTACAGTGATATGGACAGAGGTTTTTAATCAGGCAGTTTGATACGAACTCGATCCATCTTCGAAAGACGTTAAGACGATGCATTTGTCGTTAGTCTACAGGTTATTCAATTTAAAAGTACGTTTTTTACAAAGTATTTGTAAAAAATGAAAAAGAAGATTTCCAAAAAACGACCATCTCAGAACCAGTTGATGGAGTTACGGTATCTTTAATGTTGCCCTTTTGTTACGCAATTTGAGACAAGAATTTTGCATTTCTTGTCTATCGGGCCCACAGACAAGAAATGCGGGTTTTCTGCGAGGAAGTCCGAAAAGATGTAGAACGCACGCGCCTTATATATTCAAAGCCGGTTGTGAAGATGCCTGGCTACAGTAACAGCAAGAGGAGGCTTTTTCACACCTGGACGTTGGCACCACATGCAACTCAACAGACGTCAAGGTGAATGTCTAAACAGTCCGCCTGACATGCATGACTCTAAACTATGTTCAAAGTACAAAAATCAAGAAAAACACTGCTCTTGCTGTTACTGTAACCAATTGTCTGCAACCGGCTTTGAATGTGTTACATTATGCTTAAACGTAACTACCTTTTTGAACCGTAAAATTCGTATTAATGCCCTAGTAAAACACCTATGCACAATTTCAAAAATTATGAGGTCGTTTTTTGGAAATTTTCGGCCCTTGTATGTAAAAAACGCCTTCTTTATTTCGAACCACTTACTTCTAACTGTTTAGCATCTATGCCATACAAATTTATTGTTTTGGATGGGTTGTACGAACACCATCCCTTTTTCAGTTCGAAAAGAGGGTATTCGATCGGGACTTTGAGATCACAGATGGACACCTGGAAAGGATAAGATGATATAAAGCTTCAATCGATACCTCAGCATCTCCTCCGTCCTTTGTTTCTTCGATTTCAAACGTAATCATCACTTGCAATGGGTCTGTGATGGATTCCATCACTTTCACGACTCCTGTTTGCATATTCAAGTCATGAACGGCAGATGCGATTGATTTGACTCCATAAAAGTCTTCCTTCTTCATTTCCTCCACCAACCGTGTATTATCCCGATCGACTTGTATATGTGTACCTCGTCTACATTCAACATAGATAATAGTTTGACTACCTTACAAAAAATGTGAGGGGAAATAAGGCTGGATTGGGAGACCGGGCGAATGCATGTGACCTTCATTCCGAGGATCTTCCGTTTCCTCAATATTTGATAGAACGTCTGTACTCGGATCATCAACAACCACAATCTCGTCGCTGGGCGACGTATCTGCCGACAAAGACGTACTAAAACGTAATAAAAAGATTAAAAAGTTTACCTGGGTTGCTCCCAAACTGTTGGTTCAGCGATAATGGATTGTGGAATAATCGACTGAGCCAAGGAAGTAGAGTTAAACGGATTGAGCATTAAATTCATAAAAGCCGGATTCGTATTCCATTGTAAGGGAAGTCTGTTTAAACGTATTTTACGAAAATGAATTTTTTACCCTGGTTGAGGAATAAACTGCGAATTGGTCGATAGTGCATTTACTGGTTGGGATTGGAGAAGCCGGAGGAGATTTTGGTCAACTAAACATAAAATTCAATAATAATTATATTGCATTATACCTGTCATTGGATTCAAATTGAAGTGGCTCAGAAGCGAGGATGAAGGCCCGGGATTCTGCGTCAATTGATTAGAAGCAAGTAAATTGATTGGCACATTCACTTGTGACCCGTCCCCTCCGACCATTCCCAGTGAAAAACTAGATAACGCCGGCGGCCCCGACATAAGCGCCCACAAAATGCTGCCCCATTTAAAGTCAAAACTTTATCTTTCTTTGTTTAAATATTAAATCAATATTGGCATTGCGCCCAAAGACACAGAAAACGAAATAAAAGTTCATGTGCAGTCCGACGTCTTTATACGATCAGTATTAACATTTTTTATAAAATCATGCAGTCAGATAATACAAATAACCGTCCGAGCCATTACTAAAATTATTCGGAACGAGGACCCGAAAGACAGAAATGGTTACTGCCAACGATTATTGGGACGCGCACTGCACTCTCTGACCACCATGCCCATGCATTTCCTCATCGCTGTCGTCATCGTCATGGTAAGCTTCTCGGCGACCACCGCCTCCACCTTCATATCTAGCTTCATCGAAGTCGCAAAGAGAAACTTCTTCAATATCTGGAGTAACAGTAATTGCTGCATGGGGTCGTTTCGGCAGAAGGCTTTCCAATTGCTAAAATAAATACGACGTTACATTGGCACTCTCGAGTTGCACGATATTTGATTTTTTTTGCCAAAACGACCAACAGATATTCCTTCGTAGTTGGTTCAAATTTTCCTCGCCTTTTTTAAAAAACTAGCTTACCTTAAATCCATCCTCGGTCAAAAAGCGATTTTCTGGGAAAGTTACTGAGAAAATTACATACAAGCTTCCATGGGCACTGTTGTCTTTGTTAGGCATTCCTTCGCCTTTTACAATTCGAACAGATTCTAAAAAAATCATTAATCAGTAACAGACGTCCTGATCGACTGGAGAATCTATCTTCAAACACACGCCCCTCGGAAGAATCTAGCCGCTCTTCAGGAGTTTAGGATAACCGATGGCGTAGATCCCTTCAAAAAAGTATAGTGCGCAACAAAAGTGTGAATTGTAAGTGCAATTTTGATAAAAGTAATTTTTACGTAACACTTTTAGAAGAGGTTACATGATAATTTTTTCTACGAAAGAACACATAAGGGATCCACGTCATTAATTACCCCCCACCCCTGACAGTAGACTTGCCGGGGGGCAAACTAGCAAACCCCCGTCCTGAATTTCATACCTGGTTTAATTACTTCGCCAGGTTTAGTCTTGATCAGAACTTTTCGGCCATCCAAATGTTCCACAACCGTTTGATATCCACAAAGGGCTTCATTGAGGCTGATAGATTTCCTCATCCACAAATCGTCTCCTCTTCTTTGAAACTCTGGATGAGGTTTCGTTTTGATAACCAAGATTACATCTCCAGGTTCGATTCCTGGCTAAAAACGGGAAATTACAAAAGGGACTGCAAATCATACCTCTTGGTCTCCTTCACCATAGAAAATAATCTTTTGATTTTCTCTCATTCCAGGGGTTATGTGAATGTCGATGACCTTTTGTTCTTTGACCGTTTTTTTGCCCAAGCATTTAACGCATCTGTCTTTTTCGTTGATTATAGTACCTTCTCCATTGCAAGTCGTACATTTTGTTTGCATTTGTTGAATCATCCCAGGACCGAACTGTCTAGTAACCAACACCCGCCCTTGTCCATGGCATCTAGTGCATGTCTGACAAGCTCCTTCTTTTCCACCCTTTCTAAAAGAAAGGCATTAACATAATTCAGCAACCTACCCTTCACAAGAACTGCATATAATGTTTTTAGTGACTTGAAGTTTCGCAGTTCTCCCTTTGTAAAGATCTTCTAACGACACGGGGAACGGCTGGACGGTATCCTCTCCTTTCCTGCGTTGCCGCCTTCCACGGCCACCTCCACCAAACATGTTGAAAATACCACCACCACCTCCAAACATACTGAAGATGTCTTCTCCAGAGAATCCACCTCCACCACCACCCTCCAGGCCTTCCAAGCCGGCCTGATCGTAGATTTCACGTTTCCGGGGGTCGGACAACACTTCATAAGCAGCGCTAATCTCCTTGAACTTGTCGCCGTGATTAGGGTTTTTATCAGGATGGTATTCCTTGGCGAGCTTTCGATATGACTAAAAATAATAATAGACTAAAACTTAAAATTATTACCTTTTTTATGTCGTCCTGAGAAGCCGTCGGGGGGACCCTAAGTAGATCGTACAACTGGGTATCGACAGGGCCGTCATTATGTCGACCTCCTCCACCGCCAAATCCCATTCCATCGGTGAAAAACATTATTTGTTGTGGATATCACAAGAAAAACAAATAAATGTATTCGCTGGTGAACGTAGACCTAAAACAGCTGACGAATCAACCCTTCCAAAAGTTAATTCAAAGGAAAGAAGCAACACGAAAGAAAGGTAATTGAATACAGAAATTGTACATCACCCAAAAATACCCATGCTTTCACAATTCATCTCTCTCCTCACCCGCCCCCCGTCGCCCTCATGGCTCACAAGAATTCTCGAACATTTTCGAATTTTCTATGGACCCGAAATATTTTTTAGAGCGCGCCAATTCAAATTTTTTTTCCAAGAAACTGAATCGAAAGAATAATATGCAGTAATATATACGAGTTCAACGTAAACCAAAGTAGTAAATTCCTTGACAAACTTCATGCACATCAGAAACTTGGATCATCGGGAATCAACGTCAAATTTGCATAATTTACGAATCCGTCTGGTTGTCTGGGTCTTGAACAGCAAAGGTTTAACCCGATAAAGTTTGGCTTTCCGATATACAATTTGAGATTTTTTTAATCAACGGATTATCACGGAGAAAGAAGTGTGTTTTGTAATAAGTGTCATCTGGTCGTTTCGTTATGCGCCAAAGATAATTGTGTGCTGAATGGCGTCTGCCAGTGAAAAGCTGCCTACAGGTATGTTGTTCATAGGGTTTCTGCTTATTGAGTTGTGGTTTAGGCACGAAATGCGTAGTCTGCGACGATTTGGCAACCGGCAGGCATTATGATGTCCCCAGTTGTAATGGGTGTAAGACTTTCTTTCGGCGAGCGATTGTTGTGAGTGGATTTTACTTGTAGTACCCATACTGTCATCGATTTTGTTGTTTTCTTTGAATAATTAATTGCTTTAGAATAACCGGACATTTAATTGCATGGGTTCGGGCAATTGCCCAGTAAACAAGGGAGTTCGGTGTGCTTGTCGGTATTGCCGCTTTCAAAAATGTCTTCAAGTGGGTATGAATAGGAATGGTAAGTTGTTTAGAAAGTTGTCTTACCTACTTATTTAGCTATTCAAAACAATCGGGATAGGATTGGATATACCAAACGAACGAGGCAGAAAGATAAGAAGAATGGGAAAACAACCCGGCCACCCTCTCCACGATCAGATGACTCTCCCAGTGAACTCGATGAAGATACTATCGCCTTTGGTGCTGTCTCCTTCGAGTCTACTTTTGAGCCATGCAGCTCTTCTAGGGCATTTGTAGGTTTTTTAACCAATTTAAAATGACGTATCGTTTTTCTTTATCACTTTCATATTTAGAATGACAGTGAGCCGATGCTGGAGAGATTAGTAAATCTCGAAAATAACTTCTCTCTTTTACTCAGCCGAGCTACCCTATGTCCATATGGTTCGTTGGATGAAGCTCTAGCCGCGCCGAGTGTATTCAGCCAACCAATCAATGTTAAATTGAGCGATCCGATAGCCGCTCCGTTGCCAGGCAAAGGCCAACATAAGATGCCGTTCTGGAGATCCCGCATAATTACTTTGTATATCGACTGGGCCAAGACTTTTACCGCATTTAGGAAGCTCCCCATGTCAGACAAGGTAATACTTGTTTGAACTTTTGCTTCGTCTGTTTACTTTATCCACAATCACTGTTTTCATTGCAGATCGCACTTATCACCAACCATGCCAGTTCTTATATGATTATGTGTGAAGCCTTCAGAACTCCGGAAAAGATTAATGATGAATTTGTGAAGTCGACTCATTACTTTGGCGGGGTCTCTCCTTCGAGTGGAGCACTGTATAAGTACGTTATACTGCCGTTTATATTCATGATTCATTTAGTTCTCCCGTCCATTCCAATGGGCCTCCAACCGGCTGCAGTGATGGTTCAGACCCTAGTTCTGGAACTTCCGACAGTCGAGACCCGGTTCATCAGATCTTCGACCCTGATCTCATTTCGTCTGGCTCAGTTTGTGGTCCATCTGGAGTCAGAAGTTTGGTCGATGTCCCTCCAGATGCCCACTATCCGACTGTTGGCAGCCTTAGTGGTCTCGCCCCGGTCATGTCGGTGATGATTGATTATGTAATGAAACCATTTCGGAAATTGAATATAACTACTACCGAGTTCGCAACGCTTCAAGCCATTATGTTCTTTGATCCAGGTAAAGTCCGGATTTCAACACCTGACCCAATGTATTTTAGACACCGAAGGATTGGATTCAGCTAGTCAGAGAAACATCGCGGCCGAGCAGAAAAAATTTCTGGAGGCTTTGTACAATCACATATCTAAGAAATACGATACAACGAGTGCTTCGGAGAGATATGCGAGTATTATACTGAGGATTCCAACCATACGAGTAAGTTTATCTTGCCTTAAATAGGATTTATGAGCATGAACTACATCATCCTGTTCGCAGGAAAATCGAAAACACTTTTTTCTTTTAATTCTTGTAAGCCGATTAATTTACAGAAAGTGGCGGCCAAGAAAAACGAATCTTTACAAATCATTGATATGTTTAACCTCTTTTCATTGAATTCGTTGGTGAAAGAAACAGCTCTCGGAATCAGACAATCCACGCCAGAAGGACGATTCAGAGTAAAGGAGGAGGCCATGGAGTCGATCTAAATATTCGAAGTTAGTTCAAATAAGCTCATGGCATGTCGTTTTCCAGCACATCTTGTCTTTGTGATAGTCTTTCTTTCATAGACCTGGTTCGTTCCTTTGACATTCCAGTCCATTCAAATTCTCTGAGTCTGCATTTAGGATGTTGCTGATAATCTTTTTATTGCATATTTTTATTTCATTCCGATTCATTAACTTTTTATGACATTTTGTTGCTCCAAAAGTTTATCCGACGTTTACGGGCAATAAAATTAATGTAAATCTTAACTTAAGTCAGTCTATACATAATACCTAAGTTGTGTGATGTCAAAGTTAGAGTTGGTTGCATAGTTGTCTAATCCAATAAAGAATTTTACGAAGGGAAATTAGCTTCTATTCACACATATGCCCCAAGATAACCGAAGTCAAATAATTAGTGACAAGGGTAACACTTTTAACAGCTTGATGCAATAGTTCCCATCTGATAAGACATTCCAAATTAATTGTTCTCGCCCGATCGTATAAAAGTTCACACTTCACAAGAAATGGCATCTAAATATGACTTCGTCTTGGCTTAGCAGATTGACTCTATTAATAGGGTGTGTAGGTAAGTATACCATTTAAAATCTGAGACTTATGATAGTTGCGCAACAAGCTCCATGCCCTCCTGGATGGACATATAAATCGCATACCAATCAATGCTATCTTCTGTCTTCCATCAATTTACCCTACAACGAGGCCGTTGAATACTGTAAAAAAGACGGTGGCAGTTTAGTTTCGTTGAAAACTCAAGATGAGTATGATTACGTCAGAGGTAAAAAGCATTTATTTAGGCCCTATTTCTTCAGAACTATACAATAACAACACAAAAGGCTTTTATCCCCCATGGATTGGACTTAAGAGAGACAGTAGATGGTATTCCCCTGTTTGGAGATGGTCTGATGGATTTGTTGCCTACTTTACAAAATGGCTGAAAGAAGAACCGACCAAGACTGCGGACAATGCTTGTGTCGCCTGGAGAACAATCGAGAACCATGGTTGGAAGACTTTGGGATGCAAATATGCTCAGAGATTCATCTGCAAACAAGCCTCTGCAAAGTGGGTAAAATAACTTTAAACATGAAATTTTATTTCAGCTGTCCGACAAGAAATTATGAGCGCCCTGAAGGAGTCTTGAGCTCCCCAAACTTTCCAACTAACTACCCCAACAATCTGAACTGCTTCTATCACATTAAAGTGAAACCAGGATACAGAATCAAACTGGAATTCCATGACTTCTATACCGAGAATTACTTTGACAAGGTCGTGTTGTATGACGACTATAACGGAAACCTTACCAACAAGATTGATACGTAGGTAATGGCTGAAGGAATACACTCGTTTTAGTATCTACGGCACCTATCTCTTCAAGAAAATATACGAATCGTCTGAAAATGTGTTAACATTGAACTTTATAACAGATCACATTATCACTCGCCAGGGTTGGAATGCTACTTATACATCAGTGTAAGTCTAGGAACACGAAATAACCTTCCCATTAGACACAAAGAACCGACGCAAGAGCTTCACGACCCTACAGGCACCATTACTAGTCCAAACTACCCCAAGAACTATCCTAATGACATTGATCAGCTCTACTTGATCAGCACTCTTCCCGACAAAGTTCTCAATATCACGATCACCGACTTCAACCTCGAGAAAAACTATGACTACTTGGCAATCCAAGATGGAAAAGACATAATTAAGAGCAAACAATTAACAAGACTAACTGGAACAGATGTTAAAACTCCCCTCTCTTTCCTTACTAGTCAAAATTATGCACTTGTCAGATTTTTCACCGATCCCAGCCTGAATTATCGAGGATTCTCTCTCAACTACGAAGCGGTAGAAAAATATTAGAGCCTTTACTAATTAGAATAAACAACTTTAAGAAATCTTGGGTAACTTTGAAACAAACTCGGGGTTTTGGAATTCCTCATTCACTACATCAAGACCACCCAACAGTTCACCATCCAAGTACAGCTGTGGATAAGTTGGCCAGTCACTGTACTTCTTCAATCCTTGTCTCACTTCCTCGTCACTCAAAATATCGAAGGCATAGAATTTTATCTTGTTTTCGTTCAGAAGTTCCACGATCTTCCTAGAGAAACCTAAATATCAATTATAAGATACCGGAAAAATAAACATACCACATCGAGGCTGTGCAGGAAGTCCTTTCATGAAAAGGGTGACTCGTTCCTTGTTGATCAACTCCCTCAAGCGGGCGTTTAAGTCCTGGAATTATGAGTGGCTGCATAATCTTATAAGCCATACCTTCACTGGAGCTTCGGCACCTCCCGTTTCTGTGGAAAACGATTGGGTAATTATCGCATTCCTTATTTCTGTTGGGTGAAAACCATCAATTCGATTTAAGCTTTTACCATCCTAAAAACAAGTTTAAGACACATTTGTCCAAACCTTGAAGAATACAACTGTCGGGACAGCTTCAATGTTAACTTTCAACGCGGCTTCAGAAACGTCTTCAGCATCACAATAAGAAAACTTGAACTGACCAGCTAAATCTTTCGTAAGATCGGTTAAAACGTCGTTCAACTTGGAAGAAGCATCCGACCAATTAGCACCAAAAAGAACAAGGTTTAGCCTAAATAGCAGTAGATGGTTTTAAAACTAACCAATACAGCCTACCCGCTTTGATTGGTAAAGTTATCAAATTCAGCCTCACTTCGCAATTTCGCCATTCCGTCAAAGGAACCGAATCCCTAGGAGTTTCTCTATTTTACATGTACTGCAGCTGCAGTCGATCTCTAAAAAAATTATTTTTTTTTGCTGCAGACCGCGCCCTGGCTTTAACAAGTTCTGCACGCTGCAAACAAAAACTGCTCATATCGGAGAAGAAAGATGGACTAGTTGCGCATAAATCGAATAAAATGATGCACCGTGATGTTGTCCGTCTTTTCTAACTCATTATTAGTATTTGAGTAATCGATTATTGCAGTTGACTCTTTTTCTAACGCGTCCATTCTGAATGGTTCTTTTACGGACAATTTGTTTTATTACGTTGTTTGAACAGCATCATGGTTCTCTCGATTATTACAATGTCAACTCGTAGATTACATGTGATTTCTATTCAGTTTCATTTTGGACATTCAGCGTGTTTTTAATTCTAGATCGGGTCCAAACTCTCAAGCGACTTGAGTTCATTTCAGCCATCGATTCCATGATATTTTTATGAAATGCGGGAGTTCAAAGTGGTTATTCTGGGCTCGGGAGGAGTCGGGAAGTCGGCGCTGACCGTCCAATTTGTGTCGAACAAGTTCTTGGGTGAGTTGTTTTCATTGATCATTTTATTTTTAGATTATTTTTGTCCCACTATTGAAGATTTTTATCGGAAAGAGATCGAAGTGGATGGAAAGCCGTCGGTTTTGGAGTTGTTGGATACCGCAGGGACAGAACAATTTGCCTCGATGAGAGACCTCTACATTAAGAATGGTCAAGGATTTGTTGTAGTGTACTCGATAACAAATCTCCAATCGTTCCATGACATACGGACAATGAGGGACCAGATTGTGAGGGTAAAGGTAAGTCGCAGGTGATCTTGTCACAAGTTAAACTGAATCTTGTCGTGTTTAGGGGACAGATCAAGTCCCAATCCTCCTCGTTGGTAACAAATGTGATTTATCCCATCAACGACAAGTTCGAACAGAGGAGGGCGCGGCTTTGGCCGAACAATGGGGTTGCCCTTTCGCCGAATGTAGTGCCAAGAATGCTCACAACGTTAATACAGTATTTGCTGAGATTGTTCGCGAGATAAACTACGTCCAGAATTCACAAGCCAAACAACAATCGGGATGCTGCACGATATCTTAATTTATTCTAATCAAAATGCCTTACTGACATAATTGCCTCTGGTGATCCAAACTTCTTATATCACCGCCCATTTTTGTACTTATTAGCACCTCCACACTTTTGTATATAAAATTGAGAAATAAATATTATGGACACTAGTTGTTTATGTACTGGTATGTTCTAGAATGTGATTACTTGGTTTTCTCTATTTTCGAAGCCCTGGATCTTTGAGAGTTCATGTGTTCTTTGATCTGAGACTTGGCTTGATAGACAAGAGCGATTGTAGTAATTGCACAAGTCAAGCAGGCCAATATCATGACCCCAATCAAAGGCTTGGTCAGGGAATCTCCCCAGATTCCTAATTCTCCGGTGGTTCTGCGTACGCAATCCTTGTGGGCGGACTCGCAGAGACACCAAGTCACAAGCATAATGCAGATGTGGAACAGCTGAACACGATTAGTCAGAGATCCTTGACTCACTTGATGGCCATATCCAACGAGATCAAAACATCCAGGAGCACAGCATTCGGGGAAATGGGCACCCATAAAGATCCCGGAGAGTACCAACCATTGGAGTGCTCGGGTATGGACGGTCATGTCTTCGTGTCCTTCCCAGTATCGCCCTAGAAGCGGAATGTAAATCCAGAATACGACGATTGCGCAACACACAATACGTATCGTATGTCGTGTCTTCCAAAGAGGACGGAGAACGAAGAAGCCAGAGGTGGTTAGATATTGCAAAAGGACGACGCCGGTCAAAGTGGGAATGTAGAACTATGGATGTTACAGTTAATCTGAAATGTCCTAAAGATCACTTACAGTTGTGAACAGCATAGAATTGTAGGGCCTTGAGAGAAATCGTTGAACTCCAATCGCCAAGGAGAAGACACCAATCCCAGAAAAGTCCACCAAAAGCCAGAAAATATGATCCAAAGGAGATCTACTGTGCTGCAAAATAATGCTTATAAAAAGAAAAAAGCGACCAACCATAAGATGGGTCATCGCCGAACAGAAAAATACTGAAGCGACTCCAAAGTAAGTAAAGAGTACGGTAGCTCGTGGACGATCATACGTAAGTTCCGGCAGAATGTAGAACAAATACAAAAGGATCAATGGAATGGCATGTGTCCAGATGTTAATCTGTATGTGTTTTTATTTGCGTTTACCTACCACTTCATTGTGCCAACTGAAAGCTGATTTCACATAGTACTGTAACTCTCGGTTCAATGGTCGATAACCCGTTTTGATGTAATTTCGACGCAATAATGGTGGAACATCCATATCATGCAACATCTTGGCGGCGTCGGAGATGGGCGAGACATTCTCCACCACCTAAAAAAAGATGAATGTATAGATCTCTGGGGACCGGCCAATCTCTTTGACTTATAGACAACTTTACTTTATAAATGGAGCCCTGATTAATCCATCCAACAATTTCTAACAATGTAGAAGCAAAATGATTAAAAAGATGCACATTTTAAGACCTTTTCGGTTTTTATGAACGTAATTAAAAGAGACTTTGCGAGTTTCTGAAGCAACCCTAAACAAGGCATCGTCCTAGAATTTGATTTCATGTTTTTATGGCTTCGTTCGATGCTAGCACGGCCAGTAATCGTTTTTGTATAGTTTTTATGCCATCATGACCGACTTATGACAAAAAACATTTTTTGAAAATGTACATGTCCACAACGTTCTGTTCGAACACAATAATGAAACGCCTTACAGGTTAACTCTGCCTCAGATGCACTATACCGTCAGCCGGGAAGCGATCTCTTTTTATACGTATTTGGGTTTCATTGGTCCTCATGAGCAATAAACAGAGTTTGAAAGGTGCACCAAGACGAACAAGGCAATAAATCGATTGCCCAAATACATGACTAAACACGTAGAAGTTGATGGTTGCGCCTTGAAAAAAAGACTTCAACCTTAGAAACGTTGTGTTATACCATGTGCAGGCCGTTGTTCAAAAGCACTAGTTATTTTACATTATGGTGATAAAACAAAATTCTATAAACATTGTTGAAGATACCATAGAAAAATACGGGTTTTGTATGACTTGGTTCAGTCGTGAATTACATTTTCAAAAAACCAGCGTTCTAGACATTAGTTAAACCATTCATCTCTACGTGCCTAATAACCTACTTAGACCAGCTATTCCGAGTCTTGCTCGCCTTGGCCCACATTTCAAAATCTGTTATGGAACCTAAATAAATCTGCGTATCGGATGGAGAATTTAATTAAAATTTGCAATAACAATCCATTAAGAGTGTGGAAGAACATCTGATAACCACGATGTTTTCTTATCATCATGCAGTTCCTCTATGTTACAGTAATCCTATCAACTTTCGTCAACTATCAAGTTGTTCGCCGTGTACAATAACTTTCCACTTGAAAGTGTCGCGTTTTGTTACATCTACAGGGTATATAGCCTATGCATGACGTTTGAAACAATTTGCTTTTCGTAATTCCATCCTCTCGGCATAACCTTCAAAAAAATCTACAGAAGTGATTACTGATCGTATTGTCATCGAACAAAGCCACAAAAAATGGGGCCAAATTCTAGCGCACCTCGATACCGAACACCTCGATACCGAAGGTCGCTCTTTCAACTCACCTCGACTTCCATCCCAGACCGATTAACAGGAAATGACTTATTCAATCCACTCAAAACAAAATGACATGGCTCAAAAAGTCTAAGTAATTAGGTCGATCATGCTAATTAATTCCCTTTACTTAGTTCGAACAAAAGTTTATTGTCGGATTACGGTAGTTTCATCGCTTCTGAGAATATGAAATGGTACAAATGTTTGGAAGAAATGCAACCTAGCGAGTGAGTGGCAGCTTTTTCTGGGCTTTAAGTGAATTAAGAAGGGTTTAGTGAAGAAGAACGAACTGACTTGGTCTATAAAGTAATGTTCGAAATGTATTGACATTGGGTTCCTGTCCAGGTCCCGCCACGAAGACGACGAACGCAAAAGTTTTGAAAGCGGGAAGCCTTTATTATTTTTTATTTTCCGTGCTCTTACGAGGAAAGTACTTCTATGGGGTATGGAGTTACAGGTCGAGTCATATATCAAAAAATTCGCAAAATTTTTCTGATTCAGAATATGTAAGAATTAGCTGCCTAATTTTGGTTTGTAAGGGTGAAAAAATCCTCAGAACATTTCTCGCAACACCATGAAAATGCGCCTTTTTTACATTGGAACTACTAATTAAGGTGTAGTATAAATTAAATTTGATATTTTGAGGCTTGTAAAGATACCAGAGTTTACTTTAACTCAAAAACATACTTTTGATTTGGTAAACACCTGGTCAAAAAGGCGTTTGCGTGGTGTTTCGAGAAAAGTTCCGAGGGTTTTTTTCACCCTTACAAACCAAAATTAGGCAGCTAATTTTTATATATTCTGAATCAGAAAAATTTTGCGATTTTTTTGATATATGACTCGACCTGTAACTCCATACCACATAGAAGTACTTTCCTCGTTAGAAGGCGTATTTTAGTTTTGCATGGTTGGTTGGAGCTGCAAATGTTTTAAATTGATTAACATTTTATTTCATTATATTAAGTCAAGCCGTCCTCGTGTTTTCGTAACGCTCGTTTTTTGTAGAAAAGATGGCCAAGTCCGGTGGCCAGATACGGGAATTTACGGACACTTCGGAGCTTACCATCCAGGCCAAGGCCATCTACGATGATAAGTCCAAGAAATGGAAACAACTCGAGACAAAAAGATTCGCCGATAAAAGAAAATTCGGATTCTCCGAAGCACCGAAGGAGGAAATGCCACCAGGTAAAAACCTTCTGAGCCGTTTGGTCCAAGCGTAGAAGTAAAGTTATAATTATGGTTGTGATTTTTAGAACATGTGCGGAAGGTTATCCGAGACCATGGAGATATGACTTCTAGAAAGTTCAGGCATGATAAACGAGTATATCTTGGTGCGTTAAAGTACATGCCGCATGCTATATTGAAGCTTTTGGAGAACATGCCAATGCCATGGGAACAGATCAGAGATGTAAAAGTACTCTATCACATCACGGGAGCTATTACATTTGTGAATGAAGTCCCCAAAATCATCGAACCTATTTATATCGCCCAATGGTCGACTATGTGGATTATGATGCGACGAGAGAAGAGGGACAGAAGGCATTTTAAAAGGATGAGATTCCCTCCATTTGACGATGAGGAACCTCCACTTGATTATGCTGATAATATTCTTGATGTGGAGCCATTGGAACCGATTCAGATGGAGTTGGATCCTGTAGATGATAGGCATGTTGCCGAATGGTTTTACGATCACAAGCCTTTAAGTATGCCTGAATATGCGGATAACGGGCAAAAAATATTCAGGGTTGGTTTTTTTCCTTGTTATTTATTTTTATGTAATTCAACGTTTCATTTTGAATTTTTTAGTTTGTAAATGGAGAGTCTTACAAAAGGTGGCATTTCAATATTCCAATCATGGCCAATTTATATCGTCTAGCCAATCAATTGTTGACTGATCTTCAAGATGAGAATTACTTTTACTTGTTTGATCTGAAAAGTTTCTTTACTGCTAAAGCTCTCAATGTGGCCATTCCTGGAGGTCCCAAATTTGAGCCGTTGTTTAAAGATATCCACAACAATGATGAAGATTGGAATGAGTTCAACGACATCAACAAGGTCATCATAAGATCTCCGATAAGAACCGAATACAGGATAGCCTTCCCCTTTATGTACAACAACTTGATTAACGCTCTTCCTGTTACTGTTTGTTGGTATCACACTCCTTCAGTAGTCTTTATCAAGACTGAAGACGATGATCTTCCCGCCTTTTACTTCGATCCCCTGATTAATCCAATCTCCCATAAAAATTCTGAAAAGGTAGGTTTTCGAATATGGAACGTGTTTGGCTTGCCGGTGAAACAAGGTGGAAATGTTTGTATGAGCGTATTATCATTTCTGTTTATTCACCGAAGAGTGAGATATCGTTTAAAAGGCGGGATGAAAAGAAATGGGGTCTTAATTGTCCAGATTTTGAACGATACATTGATGACGTTTGAAATTATTAGTAGTTTTATCATTTTTTTAAGCTTTATGCAACATTTTTATAGACGACAGAGCCGGAACCTGAAGACGGAGAGGATGAATTTGAGCTCCCATCAGATTTTGAGCCTCTATTTGGAAATGAAGAATTATATACAGAGAACACGGCAAATGGGATTGCACTGTTATGGGCTCCCAGGCCTTTCAATTGCAGATCGGGCCGCACTCGCAGAGTCCTTGATGTTCCTCTTGTGAAAACCTGGTACCTTGAACATTGCCCGGCTGGAATGCCAGTGAAAGTCAGAGTTTCATACCAGAAATTGTTAAAGGTCTATGTGCTGAACTCTCTGAGACACAGACCACCGAAGCCTCAGAAAAGACGGTAACTGCCGTTATTTATTTTTTATGTCTTGGGTTTAGGTACCTCTTCCGGTCCTTCAAAGCGACGAAATTCTTCCAAGTGACAACTCTTGATTGGGTTGAAGCGGGACTGCAAGTACTAAGGCAAGGCTACAACATGTTGAATCTACTCATCCATCGGAAGAATCTCAATTATTTGCATTTGGATTATAATTTCAACTTAAAGCCAGTCAAGACGTTGACCACAAAGGAAAGAAAAAAATCCAGGTTTGGTAATGCGTTCCATTTGTGTCGCGAGATTCTTCGTCTTACCAAGCTTGTGGTCGACGCTCATGTGCAATACCGTTTGAACAACGTTGATGCATATCAGGTATCTTAGTTTTTGTAGATTTAAAACTGTTTACCATGTATTTTATAGTTGTCCGATGGTCTCCAATATATCTTTGCTCACGTTGGTCAGTTGACTGGAATGTACAGATACAAATACAAGCTGATGAGACAGGTTAGGATGTGTAAGGACTTGAAACACATGATCTATTATCGATTCAATACTGGTCCGGTTGGCAAAGGTCCTGGATGTGGATTTTGGGCCCCTGGATGGAGAGTGTGGCTTTTCTTCATGAGAGGAATCACTCCCCTGCTGGAAAGGTGGTTAGGAAATCTGTTGTCTCGCCAATTTGAAGGTCGTCATTCCAAGGGAGTTGCCAAGACAGTAACTAAACAGAGAGTCGAGAGTCACTTCGATCTCGAGTTACGGTATGTTTTGTATGCTTAGTTTTATTTGTTTACATGTTTAGTGCGTCTGTGATGCATGATATATTGGATATGATGCCTGAAGGAATCAAGCAGAACAAGGCTCGCGTGATTCTCCAACATCTGAGTGAGGCCTGGAGATGTTGGAAGGCTAATATCCCATGGAAGGTACCAAATCTCCCTACTCCTGTCGAGAATATGATTCTTCGTTACGTGAAGGCCAAGGCTGACTGGTGGACAAACTCTGCTCATTACAATCGCGAGAGAGTCCGTCGTGGTGCTACTGTTGACAAGACTGTTGTCAAGAAGAACCTGGGTCGGCTTACCCGTTTGTATCTGAAGGCAGAGCAAGAAAGACAACACAATTATCTCAAGGATGGCCCGTATGTGTCTGCTGAGGAAGCCATTGCCATCTTTACTACGACTGTTCATTGGCTCGAATCGAGGAGGTTTTCTCCAATCCCATTCCCACCTCTCTCTTACAAACACGACACTAAACTGCTTATTTTGGCATTGGAGCGTCTGAAGGAGGCCTATTCAGTCAAAAATCGGTTGAATCAGAGTCAAAGAGAGGAGATGGCGCTCATCGAACAAGCCTATGACAATCCGCATGAAGCCCTTTCTAGGATCAAGAGGCATATGTTAACAATGCGATCGTTTAAGGTGGGTGGCGTATTAATTTGTATATTTCTTTTTTTAGGAAATTAATATTGAGTTCATGGATCTCTACAGTCATTTGATTCCTGTGTACGACATTGAGCCTCTTGAAAAAGTGACGGATGCTTATTTGGATCAATATCTATGGTACGAAGCCGACAAAAGGCGTCTTTTCCCCTCATGGATCAAGCCTGGCGACACTGAACCTCCTCCACTGCTGGTTTACAAATGGTGTCAGGGAATCAACAATCTTCAAGAAGTCTGGGAAACGAAGGAAGGTCAATGTAATGTAATGTTAGAAGCCAAATTGGATAAGATTTACGAAAAGATGGACCTGACACTTCTCAATCAGCTTCTTCGTTTGATTGTCGATCACAACATAGCTGATTACATCTCGGCCAAAAACAATGTGACTATCAACTACAAGGATATGAATCATATTAATTCGTTTGGTATTATCAGAGGTCTCCAATTCGCGTCCTTTGTCGTCCAATATTATGGTCTTGTCCTCGATCTGTTGATCTTGGGCCTCAGGAGAGCGTCAGAGATTGCTGGGCCTCCTCAATGTCCTAATGAATTTCTTACATTTCAAGATACAAATACGGAAGGCGCCCATCCAATCAGACTTTACTGCCGTTACATTGACAAGATTTGGATCTTCTTCAGATTTGATGCCGAGGATACCCGAGATTTGATTCAACGATATCTAACCGAACATCCAGATCCGAACAATGAGAATGTGGTTGGATACAACAATAAGAAGTGCTGGCCTCGAGATGCGCGAATGCGATTAATGAAACATGATGTCAACTTGGGAAGAGCCGTTTTTTGGGACATTAAGAACAGATTGCCAAGATCGGTGACCACAATAAATTGGGAGGAATCCTTTGTCTCCGTTTACAGCAAAGATAATCCAAATCTGTTATTCGATATGTGTGGTTTTGAATGCAGAATTCTGCCGAAATGCAGGGCTAACTTTGAAGACTCAACGACGAGAGATGGTATTTGGAATCTCCAAAACGAAGTCACTAAAGAAAGAACTGCTCAGTGCTTCCTGAAGGTCGATGAAGAATCTCTTCAGAAGTTCCACAATAGGATTCGACAAATTCTGATGAGTTCCGGGTCAACTACCTTCACAAAGATTGTCAACAAGTGGAACACCGCCTTGATTGGGTTGATGACTTACTACAGAGAAGCCGTGGTGAATACTCAGGAATTATTAGATCTCTTAGTCAAATGTGAAAACAAGATTCAGACACGGTGAGTTTTAAAGAATAATGTTTTTTATTTTGTTTATTTTAGTATCAAGATCGGCTTGAATTCAAAGATGCCGGCACGTTTCCCTCCCGTTGTTTTTTACACTCCGAAGGAGATTGGTGGTCTTGGAATGTTATCAATGGGCCATGTCCTCATTCCCCAGTCCGATCTCAGATGGATGAAACAAACAGATGCCGGTGGAGTTACTCATTTCCGATCTGGTATGACCCACGATGAAGATCAAATCATCCCCAACTTGTATCGATACATCAAACCCTGGGAAGCCGAGTTTGTGGATTCTCAAAGAGTATGGGCTGAATACGCGTTGAAGAGACAGGAAGCTAATGCGCAGAACCGAAGATTAACATTGGAAGACCTTGATGACAGTTGGGATCGAGGAATCCCTCGCATCAACACCCTCTTCCAGAAGGACAGAAATACGCTGGCTTATGATAAGGGGTGGAGAGTTCGGACCGAATTTAAGACTTATCAAATTCTGAAGCAGAATCCATTCTGGTGGACTCATCAACGGCATGACGGAAAATTGTGGAACTTGAACAACTACCGAACAGACATGATCCAGGCGTTGGGCGGAGTCGAAGGAATCTTGGAACACACCTTGTTCAGAGTGAATTTTTTTTTAATTTGTTTTGGTCTGAATGTGTGAATCTTTGTAATATTTATTTTAGGGTACGTATTTCCCAACATGGGAGGGTTTGTTCTGGGAGAGAGCCTCAGGATTCGAAGAATCCATGAAGTTCAAGAAGTTGACCAATGCTCAGAGATCCGGTTTGAATCAAATCCCCAATCGTCGTTTCACTTTGTGGTGGTCTCCAACCATCAACAGAGCGAATGTAAGCTATTGAAGAATCGACTAATTATCGTTTAGGTGTACGTTGGTTTCCAAGTTCAACTTGATCTGACTGGTATATTCATGCACGGTAAAATTCCAACTCTGAAGATCTCGCTCATCCAGATCTTCCGAGCTCACTTGTGGCAGAAGATTCATGAATCCGTAGTAATGGATCTTTGTCAAGTCTTTGATTTGGAATTGGACGCTTTGGAGATTCAGACTGTTCAGAAAGAGACAATCCATCCCCGAAAGTCATACAAGATGAACAGTTCGTGCGCTGATATTCTTCTTTTCGCTCAATATAAGTGGCACATCTCTCGACCATCACTTTTGGCGGATTCAAACGATGTCACGGACAATACTACTACACAGAAGTATTGGGTCGATGTCCAGTTAAGATGGGGAGATTATGATTCCCATGATATTGAGCGATATGCACGGGCCAAATTCCTGGATTATACCACCGACAATATGTCCATCTACCCGTCCCCCAATGGAGTCCTCATTGCTATTGATCTCGCGTACAATTTGTATTCAGCCTACGGAAATTGGTTCCCTGGAATGAAGGCCCTGATCCGACAGGCCATGGCTAAGGTTGTCAAGGCTAACCCAGCTTTTTATGTGCTTCGAGAACGTATTAGAAAGGGTCTTCAATTGTATTCTTCCGAACCTACCGAACCTTACCTGACTTCCCAGAATTACTCTGAACTTTTCTCCAATCAGATTATCTGGTTCGTGGATGATACCAATGTTTATCGTGTCACTATTCACAAGGTAAGACATTTTTAAAAACTGATTTTATTCATAGACCTTCGAAGGAAACTTGACCACCAAACCAATCAATGGAGCCATCTTCATTTTCAATCCAAGGACGGGTCAGCTTTTCTTGAAGATCATCCACACGAGTGTCTGGGCTGGCCAGAAACGTCTCAGTCAGTTGGCCAAGTGGAAGACGGCCGAGGAAGTGGCTGCGTTGATTAGATCATTGCCGGTTGAAGAACAACCTCGACAGATTATTGTGACCAGAAAGGCCATGTTGGATCCTCTGGAAGTGCATTTACTCGACTTCCCAAACATTGTGATCAAGGGATCGGAGCTGATGTTACCCTTCCAAGCCATTATGAAGATCGAGAAGCTGGGAGATCTCATTTTGAAGGCAACCGAACCTCAGATGGCACTCTTTAACATGTACGATGATTGGCTCAAATCAATTTCCAGTTATACCGCCTTCTCACGAGTCATCTTGATTATGAGGGGAATGCACATCAACCCGGATAAGACCAAGGTCATTCTGAAGCCTGAAAGAACAACGGTCACTGAAAGTCATCATCTTTGGCCATCTCTTACAGATGAAGAGTGGATGAAGGTCGAATTGGCATTGAAAGATATGATTTTGAATGATTATGGAAAGAAAAACAATGTGAATGTGAGCTCGTTGACCCAATCAGAGGTTCGTGATATTATTCTTGGTATGGAAATCAGCGCCCCGTCCCAGCAACGTCAACAGATTGCCGACATTGAAAAGCAAACGAAGGAACAGAGTCAACTAACAGCGACAACAACCAGGACGGTGAATAAACATGGAGATGAGATAATCTCGGCCACGACAAGTAATTATGAGAGTCAGACTTTCTCATCGAGAACTGAATGGAGAGTTCGGGCCATCAGTTCGACTAATCTCCATCTCAGAACTCAGCACATTTATGTGAATGCCGATGATGTGAAGGACACTGGATTCACTTATATTCTCCCAAAGAATGTGTTGAAGAAGTTTATTGTTATATCTGATTTGAGAACACAGGTAAGCATTGATTTTTTTATGTTCTATGGCATTCATTGTTCTTGTTTTTAGATTGCTGGATTCCTCTATGGTTGCTCGCCACCAGATAACCCACAGGTAAAGGAAATCCGATGTATTGTATTGCCTCCTCAATGGGGTACCCATCAAGTCGTCAACCTTCCTAACCAACTTCCTCAGCATGAATTTATCAAGGATCTGGAGCCTCTTGGATGGTATGTGTTGTTTGTTTTAAGGTTCCTTCTTTGCTATTATAATATAACTTTACAATGTATGGTGTCTTTTTCAGGATCCACACTCAACCTAATGAATTGCCTCAACTATCGCCCCAAGATGTGACGATTCATTCGAAAATATTATCCCAAAATGAAGAATGGGATGGAGAGAAAACAATTGTGATGACATGTTCGTTTACCCCCGGTTCCGTTTCTCTAACTGCATATCGATTAACTCCATCTGGCTATGAATGGGGAAAGAACAACACCGACAAAGGAAACAATCCCAAAGGTTATTTACCATCCCACTACGAGAAGGTGCAGATGTTGTTGTCTGATCGTTTCTTGGGATATTATATGGTTCCCACAAATGGAATCTGGAATTACAACTTCATGGGAGTCAGACATGATGCCAATATGAAATACGACGTCTCCTTGGGAGTACCGAAGGAGTTCTATCACGAAGATCATCGAACTGTCCATTTCCATAACTTCCAAAGCTTCGATGATCCTGCTGGTGTGGCGTGGGCTGATCGGGAGGATTGTTTCGCTTAGACCATTTTATTTATTATTACCCTTTGTTAACTCCACTTGACCTTGTTTTATTTGTTCTTAATGTAATGATCTACAAAATAAACAGTTCCGGGGCTAAGGTAGTACAGCCCCCCAGTCCAGTTTAGCCCCCCATAACCCAGTACAGCCCCCCTCGTCCATTCTGAACCCCAAAATTTATTTCAAAGAATTAATCCAAGTTGTATGGTCCAGCACAAGCCCCCTATGTTTTAGATGAAGCCCCCAACGTTTTAGATCAAGCCCCTTACGTTTTAGATCAAGCCCCCTTCGTTTTAGAAAAAGCCCCCTACGTTTTAGATCAAACCCCCAACGTAGTAGATCAAACCCCCACTTACATTTTTTGTATTATTCTAATTTGTTCATTATGTGGGGTGTGAAACGGGCAAAAACAGTGGGGGTTAGACTACCTTTCGTGGGGGGCTGAACTACCGAAGCCCCACAGTTCCCACTAATTCAATACTTAATTTTATCTGACATTAAATGGAAATGATTAGGATTACAAATACAAGGTTTCCGGGGCATTGTCTTTCTTTCTGTAGAGAACGTTCTCCTTGGCTTTTCTGAAATCTTCCATAGTCACTCTCATTCTACGTTCACGAAGTGCCAATAAACCAGCTTCCGTGCACATGGCTTTAATATCAGCCCCAGAAAGATCATCCTTGGCTTGAATGAATTCATCCAAATCTACACCTTCTGCCAATTGCATTCGGGCAGTGTGGATCGAGAAGATTCTTCTCTTAGTTCTCTCATCGGGCAATGGAAATTCAATCTTTCTATCAATACGGCCCGGTCTGATGAGAGCAGGATCCAAAGAGTCGATTCTGTTGGTGGCCATAAGCACTTTAACATCACCTCGGGAGTCAAACCCATCTAACTGATTCAGGAGTTCCAACATGGTTCTTTGAATTTCCCTTTCACCACCAGAGTTGGAATCGTACCTTTTTGTTCCGACGGCATCAATTTCATCGATGAACACGATAGACTTAAAAATTACAAAAACTCATTTAGAGGGCTGTTATCTCCAAACTTACTGGAGCGTGTTCTTCTGCTACCCGGAAGAGTTCTCTGACCATCTTGGGACCATCCCCAAGGTATTTCTGGATTAATTCAGACCCAACCACTCTCAAGAAAGTGGCAGAAGTTTGATTGGCAACAGCCTTGGCCAGCAGAGTCTTTCCGGTGCCAGGAGGTCCATACAAGATAACACCCTTTGGCGGTTTGATCCCCATTTCTTCGTAGTATTCCGGGTGAGTCAAAGGCAACTCAACAGATTCCTTAATCTCTTGTACTTGTTGATCAAGACCTCCAACATCAGCGTAAGTCTCTTGAGGGGCCTTCTCCAACTTCATCACTGATACCATTGGATCAGTGTCATCATTGAGGACGCCGATAACAGCATGGGTCTTGTGGTTGAGAAGGACGGAGGAGCCAGGTTCAAGTTGCTCTTTGTCCACAAATGACATGATATTTACATAATGCTCACTTCCAACGTTCTAAAAAATAAATCTGAATTCTAAGTGACAACTTACAGTGGAAACAATGGCATGTTGATCATCGATAATTTCTTCCAAGTTACCCACAGCCATTGGAGTTCCACGAAGATCGTCCACTTTAGACCGCTCCTCTTCCTGACGCTCATCTTGAGGCTTCAGACGCTCTTGATTCTGAATAAATTCAGCCTCCATCACCAGATAATCCTTTATCCTCTCCATTTTTAGCAACTTCAGGCGACATCGAGTAACTGGGGCAATGGCCGGAAGCTTCGAAGCCGATTCTGGTCCCTTTCCCCCCTTCTTCTTCTTGCCAATTCTGGATGGAATTGGAGGTTCATATCTTTTCTTCTTCTCCTAAACTCACATCACATAAAATGAGATATCTTACCTTATCAGCGTCTCCCTGACCTCGATCTTCACCTTTGCGGAACGATTGGTTCTGTCCCATTGTTAGAATTCACCCGAAATCCAACCACAAAACCTTTTTCTCAAAAGAATTATATTTATTTTTGATGACATTCTCGCAGGCTGCGCCCTCTTCTTTCCAAAAAATAAGTCATTTTATACGAAAGATTTTGTTTAACTCTTTCCGGACGAGTCGGCCGCGGCATGTCCTGGAAGTGAAAGAGGATACCCTACTGAGTATGAATATAATAGTGGTTCAGCCTACCGAATCGTTATTTGGGGCTTACGACAAAAAATGTCCTAAAAAGCACCCATATTGACATAACTTGTGTAAAACTTTGTAGCGGGCTGTAGATTACTAACCCACCCTAGACTCAAGTCCACGAGTCCTACTACTGTTTTTTTATATCCAAGAAAGCTGTCTGAAAGTTCGGGGTTTCGAGGTCGCGAGCGCAAAGTCGGGTTTGTCGCGCGCGAAAGTGCACGTCGCTAGTGTAAAAACGGGAAATCGAGGCGACAAATGCTAAAAGTTGAACAGTGCGGATGAAAATGGAAGAAGAATGCACGTCTGCACTTTTGAGCGTGGGTAGTAAATTCTACAGAACTTGGTGCATTATTAGCGGAGAATTACCTGAAATAAGGTTGGTAGTTTCCAGTGGCCCACCCTGTAGAATTTGATGACAAAAATAATGAATATTCAAAAAAAAAATGGTTTCCGGGTACGGCAGACGAAATGGAGGAGTCCGTTTGTGTATCTGGTTCTGATGACATTAAATACGACTCAATTACAGATTACGGTAACTTTTCCAAAATCTTTTTACAGAAAATTACTTTCTGGGTGCTTGGCACGAATATTTGAAAGTTTGCTTTGATTTGAACAAGTTTCAAAATCAGGTCGACACATAAGTATCACCCCGCTCGAGTCTTAAAAGGAAAGTACTTTTATGGAGGCTCCTACCTTTTGACGGGACATACCTCAAAAAATCAGAAAAAAGTTGTGCTGATCAAGGATATGTAGATCTTAGCTGCCCATTTTAGGTTTTTAGGGGTGAAAACTCAATCGGAAGTTGACTTAAAGTCCTGTATGAACCCCTTTTCGCTTAATTTTTCACAGGTTTACAATTTTTATTTTGGCTTAAAATGGTGTTTATTGAGTTTCTAAGACGTAAGAAGTCAGCCTTGGCCCAAAAATTTATTTTTCCGACCTTCAACTTCAAAAAAAGGTTGATTCAGCCTCATCAACAGCTATCCCAGCGTTTTGACTATGAATCCAACTTTCTGGCCGACCGGACAACTCTCTTCTACATCTGTAGGTCATTTAATCCCTTCGACTAGCGACTTTCGCATATGCATTAACCAATCAAACAGTGGGCCGTAATCGCTGGTGGGTCAACTTTAATTCGATGAAATCAAAAAGGTTTCGGAAAAATCAAAAAAAAAAACGTTCGTGGACCGTTTGTTTCTCGAAAGTGCGGAATGTCGTGCGTCCGCGACAAATGCGGAATTGTTTTATTTATGCAATAATAACTTTACAGCCGCTACTTTGACGGTTCAAGCACAGTTATTTGAATTAAATACATAATTCCAGCAGATATCAACGCGGACGCTGGAAGGGTGATCACCCAAGAAAGGGCTACATTTTTGAAGATGGCCCAATCAACGTTCTTTCTCGCTTTGACCGTTCCCACCGAAACGACAGAACCGACCAGACAATGCGTGGTCGATATTGGGAGACCAAGTTTGGAGGCCAGTAAGGTGGTCGTCGCTGCTCCAAATTCAATACAAAATCCACTAAAGATACAGTAACTGCATTAATTAAAAGGGGAAAATGTTTTTCGCATAGAAATAAAATTGCTTTTTCTTACAAGGAAAGTACTTCTATGGGGTGTGGAGTTACAGGTCGAGATATATATCAAAAAAATCGCAAAAATTTTCTGATTCAGAATATATAAAAATTAGCTGCCTAATTTTGGTCTGATGACATGTTTTTGTCCTCCGAAGTTTTCTCGCGACACCATGCAAGTGTCTTTTTGACCGTGTTTTTACCAATAAAAAATTTTTATTTTGTGGTAAAATAAATTCTGAGGCCTTGACAAGCCTTAAAATATCAAATTAGATTACAACTACACCTTAGAAGTAGTTCCAATGTAAAAAATGGGTTCAAGTGTGACAAAACGAATCGAACCCGTTCCCTTCGGATTCCCAATCTAGCGCTCTAACCACTCGGCCACACAGCTCTCTTCCGAAGGAAGAGACCGAGCGCGCTTTTGTTGCCGCAGATTTTTTTCCTCGAGAAATACATTTATTGATAAAACTCGTTGATAGACCAAAATTAGGCAGCTAATTTTTATATATTCCGAATCAGAAAATTTTTGCGAATTTTTTGATATATATCTCGACCTGTAACTCCACACCCCATAGAAGTACTTTCCTTGTTAGAAAACTTATTTTTAGAAAAAATGATTTTTTTCATAGAAAAAAACATTTTTATTTTAGAAAAGAATGGTTTTTCTTTAGAAAGTGCAACTTTTAGTAAATTTGTGTATAATAATAACAAAAATTGATTTTAAACAGTAACTAGTAGTAAACTTTGTTAAGTAATGGGGTAAAATAGTAAGAGTAGTAACTTTTTGAGTGGATATTGGGGACTAGGGTATTCGATGGTGCTGATTTCGAAAACACAGTTCGTTTTCTGTGATTTTGATTTTTTTCTAAAGTAGTACTGTAAGTGAGTATCAATTTTGAATTTTTTGATTAATTTTTTAATTTTTTAATTGAGTATTCCTTCTGGTTCGTCAGAATTTGTTTGAAGTTATATAAGGGTAAACCCAAGTATGAGCAAGAAATCGATTTCAATCGACATTGAGGTATAAACAATACAAATTGTTACTAATTTACAGTACTACTTAAGAAAAAAGTCAAAATCACAAAAAACAAGCTCTGTTTTCGAAATCAGAACCATCGAATATCCCAGTACCAAATATTCACTCAAAAAGTTACTACTCTTACTATTTTACCCCATTACTTAACAAAATTTACTACTAGTTACTGTTTAAAATTAATTTTTGCTATTATTATACACAAGTTTACTAAAAATTGCACTTTCTAAGGAAAAACCATTCTTTTCTAAAATAAAAATCTTTTTTTCTATGAAAAAAATCATTTTTTCTAAAAATAAGTTTTCTAAGAAAAAGCATTTTTATTTCTATGCAGAAAACATAGACCCAATTAAAAGACTTACCTCGCAGGGTTGATCTGAGACATTTCCTGGCCGACTGTCCTTATAACAAAATGCCCGAGAACCCAGAGACCAATACAAGTTGATACGATCCCGAAACAAATGACATACAGAGGAGTGGGAGACGACATGGCCAACTCTTCATTCTGTTTGTCATAGATTGCGATAAGAGCAGCTAAAGGAGCAATCGAATTGCTCACATCGTTGGCTCCATGGGCAAAACCAGCAAAGCAAGCGGTGAATACCTGAATGGCGCTGAATAGCCTCAGGGTTCGAGGATCTTCTTCTTGTTTTTGGTACGGGAAAAACCAGAAGACAAAACCGCGGAGAGCTAAAAAGTGTTTTTTATTTCTACAGTAATAACTTACTCGGCTTCAGTTTTTGTTTTTTATTCTTTTTTTCAGGTTCCCTTTCTAGAACATCAGTTGATAATCCTTCAGCTAAACTTTTTTTAATTTGCATTTTACTGTACTCCTCTCACCAATCATAGCTGGATTTACCATCTGAGCGTTTATCTTTTTCTCTTCGGTTTTATTAATCCAATTCAGGAGTCGGGAAGATAAAAAGAAATGAAAAACAAGCCCAGAGAGTAATCCGAGAGCCAGACTCACGGATAATGTTATATACCATTGCAAATGCTCTAAATTTAACACTTTAACGTGAGAACTTCAATGGTTAACTTACAGTAAGATCCATCTAAAAGAACAGCAAATACATTGAAAGCGATGCAAACAAAGTAAAAGACGGGCAATGCCCTCAGGCCACATTTTACTGGGTCCTTCTGAAGAGAACTGTGCGATAAAAAAAGACTTACTCTTCGGAGGACTGTATGATCGATCAGGATATACAGCAGACTGGAAATTATGCCGGAAAGACAAGGGGAAATTATCCATGACATAGCTGCCAATAATATTATCCTATACTTTGCTCTTACCAATTGATCCGACTTTGCTCCAATGAATCCCTTGCATCCCTTTCATGACCAACGTGAATCCCAAAGTGGCCCCAACAACACTATGAGTTGTAGATACTGGGGCTTTTAAGACGGTTGCAATGATTAGCCATGCGGCTCCTCCACCAAGAATGGCTATTTGACCAAAAAAGAGAGCGGTCACATCATCCTTATAGATATTCACCTCCACGATCTCTTTCCTCAAAGCATCGGTAACCTTGTAACCTACTAAGATGGATCCCAAAGTCTCAAAAATGGTGGCCAAAATATAAGCTTGTCTGAGGGATAAGGTTTTTGACCCCACGGAAGTGCCGAAAGCATTGGCCACATCATTGGCACCCATGCCAAAGCCGAGGAGAAAGGAAAGACAGATACCCAAGATCAGCGCCCATAGATACGTGCCCTAAAGGGATACTTTAGAACCATAACTAAATTGTCATAACTCTTGTTTGTAACTCACTCGGATAGCCTCGATGACCACTGCTGTGGTTGCCTCCATTCTTTGTTTGTTTCCTCCAATTGGCTTAAGGCGATCGTTTTTTGCCTGAATGTCGAAGCGTTAATTGTCATCTAATTCTGAATCAGAGGTCTCGATCTCTCAATTTGTAATTTTTTCCATTATATTGCTCATGACATTTGTCCCAGAAACAAAGCATTCCACATCAAAGGACGCGTTTATTGAGGGTATTGTAATATGACTACTCGCATGAATGTAGAATGAGTCACGATGACCAAAAATACGTCGTAATGACAAAAAAATCGTGAAGAAATTTAAAGCAAAAAGACACCAAGCAACACGAAATACATATATTAGATTTGTCATCACAACGTAAGGTGAACAAATAATTATGTCAGAACGACCCATTTCAGCTCGTATATACAGTATGCCATAAATTATTCGATGAGTGCAGTGGTGGCCATCTCGCTGACGCCGCAGACATTCTTGCCTCGATATAATCTATAGTACCCGGACTCTCCCCATCGACTTCCCCAGCTGTTTTTGATGATCCAGAAAGGTTTGTTGCCTTCTTGGCCAAATCCAACAATCAAAACTCCATGATTTAGCATCAAAGGAGAGCAGAAAATCTTCCACGGATGAGAGATTCCATGACGGTAGAATTGGAGTGGATTCGCATTCACACCTGCAAGTGTAAGACACATAATTATTGAAGTTAAAGCATAATTTTTCCTCTCTCCTTCCTTTATAACCATTCCCGGGCACAAATCGAAAGAGACCCCCAAATTGGGGTCTCTTTCGAAGGAAGCCTCCGGAATTTGGACACTTTCTCGGATAGTGACACTTCCGGAACCGGGGAAAAAAGAGATAAGGCTTACAATTAGATAACTACCATCTGAACTATCTGAATAGATTTATTGTAAATCTGAAATTTTGTTCATTTTTTGATTGTTACTCTTTGAGTACTGATTTTCGAAATCAGTACCATCGAGTACGTTCAGAGAAATTTTAAGAAATTACAATTGAAGTGAAGCCTCAAAAGAGAGCCAGGCTGGAATGGGTGCAAAAAAGAGTAGTGATGACTGCCAAATTTTCTAATGGCTAGCCAAAAACTGGGTAGGCTGGCCAGAGTGTTATAATGCCTTCACAGACAATAGTAACGGCACAAAACATGTGGAAAAAATGGTGTGCCTCACATCAGCTTGAATTTGATATACGTTTTATAGAAATCGGTGCATTATTGGTGGAGCAATACAGTAAAATGTCAATGACATGTTTCTTACGTCATTTGAACGGATTTATGGGTTGGAATCCCCTTATTCGGTGTTGAAAGGGCCGTCTTTCGGCCGTCCTTCTTTCACCCGGCTGCGCAATAAAAAAGTCTGGGTCTAGCCCTCACATCAGGGGCCAACGGCTTTTTGTGCTCTTTTCTGAGGTTATGGGGACAATTTCTTTATGGAAATTTCTTAAATTTCATGTCTGACCGTTGCCAGACAGCCGTTTTTGCGTGTTACATTGTTTCCCCTGAGGGTGTTTAATGGCCAAAATTTTGTTTTGCCAAAATTAACTTTTTGCAGTTATATTTCGAATGAATATCGACTTAAACTGGAAGTTGACATAAAACGACCGGAACTGACGTTATCTCTGCCCTCAGGGCAAAGATGATGAGTCGATCAGTCCGTCTTTCGTCGACTCAGCGTCAGAATAGCAAGATCTTCCGGGCGGATGAGACCAAATCTGGGAGGAATATACCTCAGAAGTGGAGATTTACCGATAACAAAAAGCCGCTTTGCCTCCAATACACAAACTCTTTCAGTCGATGTCCAAGAAAAATATCTTCAAACTTAACCAGGCCAAAAAGTCGGCCAAATTCAGGTGAGTTCTCGATCTTTTTCAGTAAAGTTGAACTGATGAAAATCAAATTTTGATATCGTTTTAATCCACACGTTCTTTTCAGTACGGGTATTCAATTTTTTGGGAAAATGCCGGGATATACTTCTAGAATGGCTCTTCCTGTTACATGTCAAGATTTTTGATTTTCTACTTGAACCTGCCGAAAAGTTGTTTCCCACCGAAATGAATATTCAGCAGGAAAAAAACTGGCTTTTGGTACCGCCACGGAAACCTCAGATACTAAAGACGCGATCGATGGAAACGACAAAACGGATTATCCAATGGCCTTCCAGAAGGACATGGTCGGAGGTCAGATAACTTATAATTAGACGAGATTGTTATGTTGTATTACTATGAGCATTACGAACTTCAATTCACTTACCGATGGAAATCGGGCCATGTTTCAATAAATAGGCAGCAATCTTTTGTTCGTCCTTAGGCAATTGCAAAGATCCGTTGATGAAAGCAGCGAGTTCACTCTTCTCGATCTTACAACTCGCCTCTCTTTCTTGTTCGTAAGGGTATTCATCTTCAGTCTCAAGGCCTCCAAGACGAATAATTTCTCTGGAAAAGTACAAAGCAATTCCAGATTGGCTTACTTGTAAGCATTCAAAGGTAAGCCCCCATTACAAGCCTGATCTATAACATCACAATCGAGTAGCTCTTGTTCACTTAAGGGAACCAATTTCTTGGTTTTCAGTGCCCATTGACCCTCGATATTGCCTGTAACAGAGAAGGCCCAACAACTTCCACAACTGCCTTGATTCTTGACATCGGTAACAACTCCTTTTTGTCTCCAATCAAACGAATCTGGGAGTTCTACATCTTCCAGAGCAATTAATTCTTCCGGACTTAGAGTGTTTGAATTAGGAACTTGAGGCCAGACATAGGGCAGATAAATCTGAGAAATGATTTAAGAGTCTATTGCACTTACATTCTTGAATTCAGTTGCCGTCATATCCATGAATTGAGTCTCCCCATAGAAAGCGGAGCCTTGTTCGTTCTCTTGCCACATCTTGGCCGCCTTTATATTCCTTTTGTAGATCTTGAAGCGATGGAGAACTTCTTTTTTGTGTTTGTAAACCTTGTTGTGTTTATCCATAAATCCGACGAAGAGATTCCAGGCGGAGTAATCTTTGGGTTTGACGTTCTTCCCGATCTGTCTGATCATATCTCCATTACTGTCGATATGATAGTCTATTTCATGTTCGTATTTTCTGATGACATGTGGATGAACATTCTGAAAGTGTTCCAGTCAGAGGTTTCGAAGGAATGACAGGAAAACTCCTTGTTTCAATGTGCAATCTCTTCTTGCCACAAGGTTTCCTTTTTAGAGAATACGGTTAATTTTGCCATACCTTACTGAACTCGCCAAACTCGGTCTCATGTTTCCGCATCCCATCTTCGTATGGGTACGGCTTACTGTAACAAGAGACAGTAGCCGCGCAAGTAAGTAACAACCAAAATCGATTCATCGAACCTGAAATGAGTAAATTCCCGTCAGATGGCCTTAGGACGGAACACGTGAACCGGGGAGAAACAGCAAGATAAGAAGTCCGAGTGTCTCTTATAGACGGCTCGGGACCTGGCGCCGCACTAAGTCGTGTCCAATTTTTTGGAAAACCTTTGCACTTCCCAAAAACAGAAGAGGAAGGAAAGGGGGCCTTCCTGGACTTTTCCGATTGGTCTTCAAAGGAAAAAGGACAAAAGTAAGATCGCTCGCAACGCAGTCCAGGAGGCTTGTCTCAAAGATCCTTCGCTTACACAGCAGAGATGTCCATTGGATGAATTTGAGAAGACAGATGCGGAAAACAGCTGCCGTTCGTTTGGAAATAAATAAACATCTCCTAGGACACTAAATTGCATAAAACTCATTGACATCCAATACCTTCTTTAATAAAATGGAAATACTTGCGAAATTATGAGAACATCTTTACTATAAAATAAAGGAGAACAAGGTCGCCGGTGTTAGAGCTTTGTTAGCAATCACTTCCGACGCCTTGACCGACTTTAATCGCCGCAAGGCACGAGTTAATTCGCTTATTTATACCGACTGAAGATTGCGGTATTGATGATAATATAGTATTATCAGGCTTTTTTAACCTCTCCAAAGGTTATGAAATGGACTCTTGACTCGATGGATGGTCATGTGGAATTAATGTTTTTAGGATCAGATGATTGTTATTAGAATGGTTAGGGTCTCAACTTCTACGATTCCATTTTTTATTATTATCATACTAGTCGCGCCATAGTCCTGACACATTTGTCGCGGGTGTCGCGCGAGAAATTTGGAGCGAGCTCGCGCGAAAGTGCATGTCGCTAGTGCAAAGACGGGGAATTGCCGCGACGGGCGCGATAGGAAAACAAAAACGCACTGTGCAAATGTGTCAGGACTTTATGGCGCGACTAGTGTATATTTTGATGATCAATTAAAATATTTCTTTATAATTTCATCAATGAAAAATTCGGTAGTAATCCTTAAATGGTCCGCATCCACAGTCAGGAAATGGAGTTTTCCTTCTTCGTCCAGAGATCTCAATCCAATTGGGTCCTAGAAGTACAAGATACCGTAAAATATTTTGATCTACCTCTTTGTAAAGATAAGAGTCCGTCCAATCGACGATGGCAGTGGTGTTATTGTCAGGATAATACCCAAACCATTCTGAATCTTTTGGAACGACCATCGTATCTTTCAAAAACTTTACCAGGACCAAACTCTCAAGGCGGGAAAGATTCTGCTTGTATTTGGTTTGATTACACCCCTAAAGGACAACGGTATGATGACTTTTCTGTTCTTACTCTTGCGCAATTAATATCAGCCAGGAATATGTTTTTGTTCTTGAAGTCATCACGGAGGTAGGGATCATCCCAATATTGAGCTTGTACGAGTCTGAAATGGTTTTTCAAGAATCAATACTTCATACTTCCTGATATTATTAACGGCCAACTCACGTATTCTGGACAAATCCGACATAAGCGCCCAGATTTAGCAATCTTCTGACTGTATTGCAGATTCCGGCACTTGCAGGGCAATGGGGTAACCCAAAAACTCCATGCTGAGGGCCTCCAATAGAGACAACAGATTTGGGAACTGGATAATCGCAACGTTGTGCCAGTGCACGTCTAAAAACATTTTGTTTGTTGCAATGGACTCACAGAAAAAGTCCTCCTTGACTGAATCCGACCGAATGATAGCTTCCCTTGATTCGGGGGTCTTTCTTTAATTGATCGCAGGCCTCATCTACCAGGTCATTCATGTTTGCAAAGAACCCTTTCTCGGTGTCCTAATCTTTATTAAATACGTTTAAAAACATACCGTTACAATATTCGAACCAAACATTAAGCTTTTTACGTATACCCCCTCGGGGCCATTTTGTTCAATGATTTTCTTTATTCTTCCCATGCTCAAAGGATTGCAACAAGAATCCCCTAAAAACACTCGATCGTATTAAATGGAACTTGCCCAATCCATGCCATATCACGACTGGAGTTGGAGCCGCAATCACATTTGAAGAGACATAACATACCAAAGCGAATATTACCGGCAGCATCTCGAACAAAAATTTTTATAAATGAACGGCTAATTGCATTTGGTTATTTAACGCTTGACAAAGCTGATAAGAGCACAAATTCCCGAAAATTTACAAGCGAAAAACTTCAGCGTTTAATCTACCCGACACAAGTTACATTATAATAAACATGAAATGTTATAAATAGTGTTAATAATACAAAATGTTATTCCTCCATGACCTCCTCCTCGTCTTCCTCCATCCCCTCCTGTTTCTTCTGATTCTGAATAATTTGTTGGCTCTTATACATCTCGGCCACTTGCTCAGCACTGGTTGCATCTTCGGGACTTTTGTCGTCTCTAAGACGTATATACCGAGGGAATCTCAAGGAGATGCCCTTCTCCTTATCCACCATTCCGATAGCTGCTGTATGTCTGGGAGAGATGGAAAGATCGGCTGCCTTGACTTCCCATACGTATTTCGGTTCAAACCAATGATCCGGCTGGAGCCAGGAATCGAACCTTATGTTGGTCGACGGTTTTTCCACTCGGACCTCTTGGAGATATTGATATTGAGTCTTCAAATCTTCGTCGGAAAAGCCAGTTCCAATCTAAATATATTTTTATTGAAGGCTTTTCTAATATCCTTACCTTGCAAATGGTCTGATATTCCTCGAAGTCTGGATTGTAGCAGGCCAAAAGGTATCCACCATAAACGGCTGTCCTCTTTCCGGCGCCACAATATCCTCCAATCACAACCAGATCGAGGGTATCTCCAACCCCTTCCAAGTAATCCTTCTTTAATTTCAGCCAGCTGTGAGACCTCTTGGCAATTTCATAATTAGCATTCTCATCAAGCGCCTTTACCATCAGCCCTTCACAATTTCCCTTAACAGCATCTTCAAGGAATTGTGCAATCTCATCAGTGTCTTCTGTATCCAGGAATGTCGCAAACATCACATTTCCCTCAACTTCTTTGAATGTCTTCTTTAAAAGATCTCTCCGTTCTCGGAATGGTCTTCTCACTAAGGATTCTCCATTTAAATACAAAAGGTCGAATAAGAATATACAAACTTGGATTTTGATTTCTGAATCGGCATCAATCTTAAAAACAAAATCGTAAATAGTAAAGGACAAAACGAACCTTTCGTTTTCTAGTACTCAATTGCTGGAAAGGTAATATTGTTTTTCTGGTCACATCCCAAGCCACTACCTCTCCATCAGCAATGAATTCGGTATTGGGATCTACAAGAACATCAGGTATCTTTTTGATTACATCTGGATACTTTTCGGTGTTATTCTCCATGTTTCTGCTGTATATCTTCATGGCCCCGTCTTTGCAACGATGTAGTTGACATCTTTCCCCGTCATATTTCCATTCACAAGCAAACTGAGCCGTTCCAAATCGCTTCATAACCTCAGCGACACCCGTTGTAGGATGAGCCAACATCGGTTTCATTGGTATCCCGGGAACAATTGTAACATGCTCGGGAAGTTGGGAGATTCCATATTCGAGAACAGTGGAGATAATCTTACCAAAGTTGGGACATTCACTAAACCAACATATGACACAGAAGAAATTGTCTCACCAATAAGCTGTCTTCAGAATCAAGGCATCGGCTGCTTTCTTTTCCTTCAGCTTGTCTGCAGCCATTTTCTTCTCGGCATTCTCCAGTTCAACATCCGTGAACGCATTGGACAGAGCCACAATCAATGATTGCTCAGCCAGCCCAATTCTCAACTTCCCACTAAGACCTCGTATTAAGAACCTAGCTTCACATTCCTTGCAAGGAACCAAAAGTCCTTGAATTGCTTTAATCTTTCGATCTTGGGACTAAATGAATGAAAAAATCTAAATCTAAACTTACATTATTTCCTGACAAATTTGCAACGTCCCTCAATTTCCTGAAAACGTCAGAAACAGTTAAAGGTTTCGGCTTTGCAAATCCAAGCATAGTTTGACTAGACCGACTGGATTCGGCTACCAATCCAAGATCCCCTTTAGCCACCATATCCGCTTTAATCTTGTCAACCTTCCTGCCAGTCGCCTGAGCCAAAGCTTTCATCAAGATTCCTTCAGCTACACCTAATTCCGATCCTTCATATGACGGACCCAACTGGTTTATACAAAGATAAACACAAGGAGGTAGATCAGCTGGTGTTGTCTTGATTACACTGGCAAAAAATTTGGATAGTATACTTATTATTTCAAGTCTGGAAGACGTTTCTTCAATCTTCTTCAGAGTTCTTGCCAGTGCTAAATACGGTACTCTAAAAGATGAATAAAGCAAAGATCTTGCCGAACTTACTTTTCTCCTTTATTCCATTCAGCGGAAGGTTTATTTTCTACCATGTCGACTCTTAAACTTGCAGCTCTAATGTTGAAAACGAATTGTTGTGAAGATCTGAACCTGTATAATGCGCGGAAGAGCATAAAAAATTATTTTCTCAAAATATATTTTTTGGCGCGTGAAGAATCGCAAATATCGATTGCCGAATAAATTATCGGGGAAATTCGTATCCCTCCTTCCACTTGTCTCTTATTACATTCCAGTGGTGTTATGCAAAGAAGTAATCTTTTCCCTGAGGTGAGATGTCATCGCGGACATTTTTGAAACCGAAGGTAAGTTGTACAAAAAGAAAATAATAATGAAATAAGGAAAATGAGACGCAAGATAAGGTGAAAATTTAATTGTAGAGTCCACTCAGAGCTAAGTTTTGGATTGTAAAGCATTTTGTGAGCTCAGATCGACCAGATTGGAAAGCAATCGAGGACATTGCTTTTGTAGACCGTGAATTTTATCTGATCTGCAGAGCTTTCACTCGTTATAAAAATGCCGAAACATTAATAAGCGGATTCAATGACATTGAATTAGAGCTGAGCTTCAAAAAGTTTTGTCCTAAGGTAGTCTTGGACAACGTGTTTTCTGGTCGACAAGATATTTCAATTCTGGAGCCAACCTTGCCGCCTAACTTTATAGACAATGCAATAAAGGTACGAGGGTTAGATTTTCTGATCTTTGTTTAGAGATTTCTAAGTCTTGATGACAGGGATCAGATGCTATCAACGTTAACCATGCCTCTGCACACTTTTTTGCATCGTATTTGGAAGAAAGCGGCCTGTTCCGAGATGAGGCCAAATAAGCAACTAAGCGGAAAGATTGTTAGTACCCTTTGCGAAGAGATAGTATTGCAATGCAGATGTTCCAAGAACTACCTGATGGATATATTTGTGTTTTACAATTATACGATCAACAAGAAGATGAATGTGGAAATCTATTACACCAAGTCTATGCACAAGTTAGCTGTTCGTTTAATTAAGATATCCTTTGTGGGTATTGAACCTTTATATGTTAGAAGAAGGTAATGGGAACTAAATTTCTAACATCACATTAATTTTAGTCCGCGAGTTCTTCCACTTGATATTCTTTTTGACATTGGGACATTTTTAACCAGGAATGACTTGGATGTTTGTCAATTGGTGTGCAAAGAATGGTATCAGATGATTGAGAACAACAGGAATGGTTTTGCTTTACATAGCTTAACATCTGCTAAACTTGTTTCGAAGGGGGATTTTTTTTGTTTTGGTGTTTTCGACGAAGATGAGTCCACCTCAAATATTGTCGACTTCAGGGAAAGACGTTGTAATTTTGAAGTTGTGGTATGTTTAGAGTCATCTTTCATTTATGTATTTTATTTAGGGGAGTTTGTTCTATCCTCTTCTGCGCAATTCGAGTGTCCACAAGTTGTATATAAAGAGGATTGATATGAGAATTGTATTTGAAAGTTTTGTAAAGGGGATCAGTCGATGTCTGCCCACTCATATTCGCAGATTGGTTTTCTCCGCAGCCCAAGTTGACAGTATGGAGAAAGTATTTGAATTTTCGGAAGCAATCTTGAAGATAAAGGAGTACGAAGTTGAAGTCTTCAGCGAGGATCTCTTCAGGCATATCCTAAAGCAACCAATAGTTCACCGATGTGATCGTCTGGTTTTGTACGAGGTATGGGTAAACCGTAGAATACTGACAAACCGTCCTTTTTCAGCAATATCACAGTAATCGAGAGGTTCTTTTTGACGTCATCAATTTCTTTTCCACGTTTCCCCGCCCATCTTGTACATTTGTGATGAGAAATGTGGTCAGCGAAGACAGAGTCAATGACCTATTATCAACGTTCATAAAAGACTTCCAGAAGTCCAAGACTGCTAATCCTTTTAGTCCAATGTTGTTGGTGTTGCACCATCAACCGCGTGATCTTCCGAGTTGTTGTGTCAATGCAATCAAGGTCAATGTTCCTGACGCCTTTGTCTTCGAGACACCCACTTTGTCCAATGTATATCATTTTGAGAATGCGAGTGCGAACGTGATCACATTTTGCATCGGTCGGACGATTTATCACCCAATTAGACGGATCTGCCACATTAAGTTTGGAGTCGAGTAGATGAATGAATGTAAATGTATATAAAACTAGTTGTATATTGATCGTAAAGTGTATACTAAATAAAGGAAGCTTTTGTCATCGAAATACAGTATCGTCAACCCCAAAATGAGTCATTGCTTCTGTATGAGTCAAGTGTTTCGCGGAGTTTTTTATCGTATATCTTGTCGCTTTTTCTGCCGAAAATAAGAAAGAGATCCAAGAAGTCTTCCTTGTTTTGCTTATTTTCATTCTGTTGATTTAGTGCTGTTGAAGAACTCTAAAAATAAGATGACTGCTCAAGTCCAGATCTCCAGTCTATTGGAGAAGATGACCTCAGTGGACAAAGACTTCCGATTCATGGCTACCAACGATTTGATGGGCGAATTGGAGAAGGAGGCCCTCAAGTTGGATGATGAGATTGAGAGAAAAGTAGTAGTTTTAATGCAGGAGTAACTGTATATTTTTTAACTTGTTATAATGCACATGGCTTATATATCTCCTTTTAGATTACTCGGACTCTGCTAAAACTACTTGATGATAAGAATGGAGAAGTTCAGAATCTGGCAGTTCGCTGCTTGGCACCTTTGATGAATAAAGCAAAACACGGAAATGTAAGGTTTAAAGGATAAGTTTTATATTTTTTTAGGTCGAACTAATCATTCAGACCCTCTGCCATAGTCTCCAGAGTCCAACCGAACGTTACCGTGACGTCAGTTCGATCGCTCTGAAAACGGCTGTTGCGGAGTTATCTTCCCAGATGACCCCGGTTCAGACGAAGGAGATCCTCGACACTGTTTTACCTGAATTGCTCAAGATTTTGCGTGAGTTTAAAGGAGAAGTCCTATTTCAAATTATTTTTTTTTTCGTTTTTAGGGGAGGATGGAAAACAAGACTCTGCTTTCAAAATTGAAATCACGGACATTCTTGGTATCTTGATCACCAAATTCGGTCATTCATCTTATATCGACTTCAAGGATATCGTTAATGTTCTATTCATTCAACTCTCCAAGGATCGTCAGTCTCTTCGTAAAAGAGCTATTTCTGTTCTTGGTCAAGTCGCCGAGGTTGTAGATGATGAAGTATACGTTAGTATTGTGAATCGGGTGTTTGAAGGTATCCAAAATGGTGGATCTAATTCGGTTATCCGGGCTCATGTCTTGGCTGCCAGCACTGTTTCTCGATCAGGGCGAGGGTTGAAAAGCAGACTTCCAGAATTTATCAAACTTCTTGTGAAATATTGCCAAGATACGGATGACGATGAACTGAAAGATGCCTGTGTTCATGCTTTTGAAGTGTTTATCTCCAGATGCAACAAAGAAATTACGCCCTACTTGTCCGATATTGAAGGAATTTGTGCAGAATTTATCAGGTATGATCCCAACTACCAATACGATGACGAAAACGGCGACGATTCGATGGAAGTGGATGCAGGTATGTAACTATTTGTTTATTATAGCGTTTAGAAGAAGAAAATGACGAAGAAGACGATCTTGACGATTATTCCGATGACGACGATTTTAGCTGGAAGGTCAGGAGGAGTGCTGCGAAGTGTTATGAAGCTTTGATCAACTATAGAACCGACAGATTGGGAGAACATTTCACTAATATTGCTCCCTTATTGTTGAACAGATTTAAGGAAAGAGAAGAGAACGTCAAAATTGACGTCTTCAAAGCTTATGAGGCTTTGCTCAAACAGACAAGACTTTATCTTCCCGAGAAGCTGGCACAGTTTGACAATTCTACAAATATCAGTCCTTTTACAGCTCTCGAAGCTAAAAATATTTCGTTTTCGAATGAGATGGTCAAGAAAGTGTTCGAGGATGAGGCTGATGGAAAGCAGAAGGCGGTCTTGACTGCATATAATGAACAAGTCCCGAAGTGTGTAAAGGCGATTTGCAAGCAGCTGAAGTCAAAGTCGGCCAATGTCAGGCTTCATTGTTACTCTCTGCTGACTTCCCTTGTGAGGTAACGAAGCTTTCACACGTTCTTTCTAATTACAAATGGTTTTTTAAACGTTTTCATTTTAGGGCATTCCCCGGATGTTTGGAGCGGCATTTTGAAATCCTGATTCCGCTAATTCAGAATTCCGTGAACGAGGAATCAGCTGACAATGCCACCAAGATTGATACTCTGCAATTTCTGAACCTGTCGTTCTGTTCTCACGAGCCCCAGGTAATCCTATTAACCTTTAAATTATTTATAGAAGGTGTTTAAGGTCTGCGAACACCTGTCAGTCGGTTTGTTTCTATCTGATATTGTTGTAATACGTTTATTTATAGGTCTTCGTCTCGCACTTTGAATCATTGGTGGCGATTATCATCAAATGCGTGAACGAATCTTTTTACAAAGTCAGCGCAGCAGCTCTGATTGTCCTTCAGTCATTAATTATTGTCCTCAAACGGACTGGAGAAGGGGAAAAGTACCTTGAAAGTATCTACAATGTGATTGTATCGAAGCTTAAGGTCGGGGATATCGATCAAGAAGTGAAGGAACGCTCAATAGCTGCTGGCGGAGTTCTTTTATCGTCCTTTGGAGCTGAATTAGGCCCCAAGTTGGAGGAGATATTGCCTCTTTTGTTGGATAAAATCAATAATGAGATCACTCGGCCGACTACTGTCCAAGCGTTCTGTGTCATCGTCAACTCTTCTGAGACTATTGATCTTTCGTTGGTTTTGGATAATCTTCTTCTTCAATTATCCGATTTCTTGAGGAAGAATCAAAGGGCTTTGAAGGTATAATTTAGGGTTTTTAAAAGAAGAGATAACGGCGAAATGTCAAATTTGTATTTTTAGATTGCCTCTCTGACTTTGATGAGCTCTCTGGTTAGCAAATATCCTCCGTCACAACTTCCATCTCAAGGAATCTCCAAAGTTATCAATGAATTGCCAGTCCTGATGGTGGAGTCTGACCTGTTTATTAGCCAGCTCTCACTTCGTTTGGCCAAAGGTAACGTGTTCTATTTAAGCGATTATTATGGTTTAGATTTTACACAAAAGTTCCCATCCGAGATTTCTCCTTCTCTTGGCAGCGTAATCGAGGCGTCAGTGACGTTGGCCAACAACTCTCTGCTCGTTGGAAACATGCTCCAATGGGCTGTAGATCTATTTGTTAACATTGCCTGCGGTGATATCCCCGGAAAGCCCGATTTCTTGGTTGGTTTATATCGGGTTTTTAGAAGATCTGTGTTATTTTAGCATCTAATGGAACTTCTGACCCTGCAAATCTACAATAATGCCAAAGGCCTAAGCCGTCAGACATATCAAAGCGTCGCTGTGATTATGGCAAACGCAACAAAAGCTGTAAACGATGTGAATTCCACCACAAAGATAGTCACTGGATTAATTCAAGTGCTTTCCAAGGACGACGGGGATGGTCTTGGCCTCTTTGCTTTGACTGCCCTTGGAGAACTTGGTCGCATTTTCCCTGATTCCTTCCAGATTTCTAAAGTCGATCCAGAGGAATTGATTACAAATAGTTTTAATTCCACTTCCGAAGAACGAAAGACTGCTGCCAGTTTTGCGTTCGGTGCTTTGGCTTGTGGAAACCTCGAGAAATATCTTCCGGCCTTGTTGAACGAGATCAGCTCCCAACCCAACCGACAGTATGTGTTGTTGCACGCTTTGAAGGAAGTGATAATCTCTCAAAATACCAGTGAAAGAAGTGCTGTTGGCTTCAATCAGGCCATTAATAACATATGGGATGTTCTTGTTGCACACAGCGGTAGTAAGGAGGAAAGTACCCGCAGTGTGGTCGCCGAATGTATGGGAAGACTTTGCAGGATTAATCTTGATGAACTGCTCCCGCGTCTGATCGTAAGCCTCTTGGAAGCATCTTATTATATTTGATTACAGGAATGCAGTACAAGTGGAAATCCGAAACAACGATCAACTGCCGCTGGTGCAGTTCGTTTTATGATCGTGGATTCGAAAGCGGTCTCGAATGATGCCCTGAGGAACAACCTGGGCTCTCTTCTTCGAGCTATTGATGACGACGAATTGGACGTAAGAAGAACCACGATTATGACTCTCAACTCCGCAGCTCATAACAAACCCCGCTGGGTAAGTGAGGCAAAAAGAGGTCTGATCGCGTGGTTCTTGTCGCTTTCTTTTTAATTGTGATGTCTTCTGAAACGTCGAATTAATTTCAGATTAAAGAACTTCTGCCCACTTTACTCCCATCTCTCTACCGAGAAACCGAGATTCGAAAAGATCTTATCCATGAGGTCCAAATGGGTCCTTTCAAGCACGTCGTTGACGATGGCCTTGACTTGAGGAAGTCTGCTTACGAATGGTATAATATATTTAATATTTTAACAATTTTTTTACCTGCAGGTCTTCTGAGAAATATGCCGGAATATTTTTTTCGATTTCTTGGCGGTCAGTCAAGATATCCAAGTAGTTCTTTTTGCGAAGTTGGGCTTTTTTTGCGCACGAAAATTTTTTTTCCGCCAGTGCGGAGAATAGTGGATTCGGCGGAGACTTTAGTGGTATTTTTTGGTCACCAATCTTTAACGCTCTATTATGCATTTTGATGGTTGCAAAGATGACATTTTTTTATTCTTACGTTTTTCAAGAATTTGGGGGACACTTGCCACATCGGCGGGGGCCACAACTCAGCTTCGGGTAATGGTATAAAGCCGGTAACCATTTTTTAGGTCTGCCTAGCATTCCTTTCTGATTCCGTACTCTCTAAAATTTTTTCGCCAAACCTTGGAAGAAGGTTAGCCATTGGTGAACGACTTGGTGCACCAGAAAACAACAAGATATTTTTCGTTCAAATTTCGCTTTGTCCTGCTGTTTCAGCCTCCGCACGGTGCACTTGGACTCTGTCGGTGTTGCAGCGACAACACTGCACCGTGAAATCGCTAAATGCGATCGCATAACGTTGTTGCCGGCCTTCTGATCCATTGCGGAAAATATTTGAACTTTTTCATCCTCTTTATCCTGCAAAAAATTTTTTTTTGATATCTTGACTGAACGCCAAGAAATCGGCAAAAGCTTTCCCGCACATTTCTCGTAACACCTGTACAAACTGTCTTTGCAGTATGTACACTTTGATGGAACACTGTCTGGACCGTATTAATGTCAGCGAATACATGACCTACGTTGAGAAAGGCCTTCAGGTAAGGATAAATTAAGCAGATCATTCTTTTTGATTTCCAGGATAGTCACGACATTAAGCTCTTGAATCTTTTGATGTTGACTCGTTTGGCTCAGACCTGCAGTGCCCAAGTGGCTCAGAGAATTGATCGATTTGCTGACTTGCTGTCTGTAAGTTCATTGGATTATCATTATAATATCTGTACTCGAATATTAATTTTTGTTTTTCAGCCCCTTCTAGTCCTAAAGGCCAAGGAATCGTCGGTAAAGCAAGAGAGTGATAAGATCGAGGAGCTGAAGCGTGCTTGCATTAGGACTATTTTATCGTTGAAGGTGAGTTTAACTGGAATTGTCGGGTCTGGGGCTCTTATCTCTTCAACTTTTTAAAAGTATTTCTTGTTTTTTACTCTTTATTTTTTTATTTTTAGCGAATTCCGGCAATGGAGCGTTCCGCGCGTCTCCAGAGTTGTTTCGAGACTGTCCAGCACGATCAGAAGTTGAAAAGTATTCTGGATTCTCTCGAAAAGGACAACACGCTGAAGCTTCTCTCAGTCCACAACCAAGATATTCAGATGGAAGGCGATTACTAATCATGTTTCTCCGGGCCTCTTCTTTTTGAGTGTGACTTTGTGATCTCTTTTCTTTGGAAAGTCTGCCCAGAGGCGATCGAACAACGAGTTTAACCCTTCTTTAAGTTATACGAGTTCCTTATCCTGGTATCCATATTCAATATTTTTTTGTTTTTAATGAATAATATATGGTTAAAATCGTAAATACTAATTTAGCGAGCCGTGCTCACGTCGGTGTAATATTTTAAAATTTTTATTATGAAGCGTGTGGGCCCTCGTTTTGGTCGATTTTTACTGAAAGTAATAGCCAAGCAAAGCACTAATTACAGGTCTAGATCCATCTTGGCATATGTCCAACTAACATCCACTCACGGAGTCCACAACTTTAACTCACTTTTCGTCATTATTTCCCCTACCGGGCTTAAAAAAGCCAGAATGAAGTAAGTGTCATGGTATTTTTTTATGGGAGGCTTTTCTTTGGCTGCAGTAGTTTTTTCAGATCGTTTATACGGACTCTGGTGTGGTCATCACTACCCTTGTTGGTATTGTACACATTAGCTCCTCTTTTGGTTTTCCTCTTCCCCCATTTTATGCAACATTTATTTTTTCTCAACTTTGGTGAGTTTTTTTTTTATTTTTTACGCACACCTGTAAGTATGATATGATGTGTATTTTTTAGTGAAATTTCCATGGAGGGAATACCACAACTTAACAGAACATGGAGTGGATTCTGTTGGTTTAAACTTTTATATTGATGGCCAGGCATTGGAAGATGGATATAGACCTCGATTGGGACTCTGGCATGTTCTTCCTTACGGTTTGAAGCCCGAGAATGGGAATGTGAATCAACAAACGATGGAGAAAATCCTAAAAGAAGATAATCGACCAGTGGTCGTCTACTTGCATGGGAACTCCTTCGACCGGACGACGCGTCACAGAATCGAATTGTACAAGATTTTATCCAAAATGGGATTCCACGTCTTCGCGCTTGATTACCGAGGTTATGGGGATTCCACCGGAAGACCCACGGAAGATGGAATTGTTGCCGACTCACGGTGTGTGTTTGACTACGTAAGAGAGTTGATCCCAGATCGACCTTTGCTAGTCTGGGGTCATTCCATGGGCACCGGAGTAGCAACTCGATTGGTTTCTGAACTCTCTCAGGAAGACAAGAACCCGACTGCTCTCGTTTTGGAATCCCCCTTCAACAACCTCAGGGACGTCATCAACAATCATCCATTCAGTGCGCCCTTCCGTTTCCTGCCTTGGTTCGATCATCTTGTCATCCAGCCGTTGATTGAATCCGGGCTGATCATGCAATCGGATCAACGAATCAAGAAGATTACCTGCCCAATTCTGGTCTTTCATGCGGCCGATGATCATATCATTCCGATAAAACTGGGGAAGAAGCTGGTCGAGTCGGCAGAGAAAGCGGGAAGGAATATCCGACTTGTTGAATTTGAACCCTCCAGGGCATTCTTTCACAAATACATTCACCGAGCTGCCGAAGTTCCCGACATAGTAATGTAATTGGTTTTGGACTTGTATAGTAATGCCTTTTTTTGCAAACTTCATTTATTTTCAGGGAATTCTTTGAGATGAGCAAATCTCAGCAGACCAAGAAGTCTCCTTAACCCACTGATCCTCACCTCTAGTCATTCATATAGTACTCTTAACGCCCATCCTTAACTGGCGCCTTCACTACTTTTTATGCAATATCTCGGACGGGTTTCAAACTGAATGAGTCTTACATACGACCACTGATTTGTGTATAGAATAAACCGGTTCTACTCACCTTTCTTTTATCGATATTTCATCGGTTTGATCCAGTTAATATTTTTGTTTCCTAAACCACGTGTATTTCTCTGTGACATCAAACTTCAGAAAACCATAGGTATTGTTGTTGTTTTCCCTGATTGCAGGTATCGCTTAAGGGCGCCCTTTAGTTGAGCAATTTGATTTCTCCCAGGATTCGTTCTTTTCCGAACCGATTGATTGGAGTGCGTACTTTTTGTTTTCTTCCCTCGTGCCAACCTTGTGGGGGTCCGATTATCGCACGCAGGGATACGTTTCCCTTGTGTGGACGTTGGTTCGTTTTTAACCCGCCCGTGATACCAATTTTTTACGTCATGAGATCACTTTAGACCGAATTTATTTTGTTATTCGTGTAAATCGTTGTCCAAATTTTTACTCTTTTAATAACATTTACTTTCAGCATGGAGAAGAAAGTGAAGAGTATTCTCTTGGCCAACGGCAGTAATCCCTTGAGAAAGAGCGAGATTATCAATGAATACAAAGTAACCTGCAAGCGGAATCTGGCAGAAGATGTAAAAGCAGCAGGGTTTAAGGACACGAATGCCTTTTTCGAACAGTATTTCTCTGTGGATCAAAACAATTTTGTTGGATTAAAGCCATCAGAAGACGACTCAGCCGCCAAAGTTAAACATATTACTGAATTACTGCTTAACAAGTAAGTCAGGTCTCTAGGGATACGTAGTTTAATTTTAGAAAGCCAAAAGAGAACTATGATGGTTTTGGCCGAAATAAGAGACCGCAATCCACTCAGTCGATACCCCAAAGAAGGCCGGAGAATTTACCTAGAAGAAAAAAGAGCCCTCCCTCCGGGTTCAGTTCCAATCTGGTGCCATTGGGTGGCGGATCAGGAAGTGTGTTCAAGAAGGCTAACGAAAATGCCAGGGACTTCTTCGCACCAAACGAACCTCAACCTTCTTCTTCGCAGCCTTCCAGATACACAGATCACACTGCTGATCAATTTTTCTATGAAGAGGATCTGGATGATGACTTCAGTGTGTTGGCCGTCGATGATGTGTCCGAGGTAAATCAATCGGAAGGGCGGCCTGACTCCAGAGACACTTCCATGTCAATGTTGGATGACCGGCAACTGAATGAAGAAACGGAAAGTAAAAGCAGTTTTATAGAGATAAAACAGAACACTGCTGAAATATACCTTCGGATATTCGAGGATTTCCTTAATGCTGTGTTGGAAAAGGCTAGGACTAATGAAGGATTGAGTCGAGAGACCTTGTACTGTCTAACGAAAGAATTTGGCATTTCTGAAGTCATCAATTGGGACAACATTGATGCTACACTCGCTTATTTCAAAGAAGCTCAGACAACGAAAGAAGCTGGAGTCATCTTTATTGAAGAAGAAAGTGAGGTGAGGGCTCCGTTATATTAATTTTCTTGTTTAGTCAAACTTTGTCAGTGCTGTGGAAAAATTGGGAATGATTAATCCGGCAGAGGATCTGAGTGCCAGAGAAGAAGAATGCGTGATCTGTGAAAGGAATGCCGACTTTGCCGTTCTTCAACCCATCAAATGGGCCAAGCAATGGGCCTCCTTCAATCGGGAACTCTTCCAATATTTGTGTTACACAAAACCAACCAAGGCCACCTTCATTCAGACCGGACATCATTACTTGTGCGCCAACTCGGATCAAACATATTTCAGAGGCCAAGTGTTATCAGTAGATCCGAACGGAAATTGTCGAGTTCTTGGTATTGATCTGGGCAAAGATGAAGTCATCGCTGCCGATAGTATCTTCCAAATGCCTGCCCATTTCTACAACTTCCATCCAATGGTTGTGTTTTTTCGACCTGACACTCCTATGAGAGCCAATGGGACTGCCCTAGTCAACTTCCAACGATATGAATACATCAAAGATAGACAAGTTTACTATGGGGACTTCATTCATCTGCATTAAAGGGTCTAATGTACACTTATGTTTTCATAAGTTAACTCGCCTGAGATCTCTTATTTATGTCGTAGTTTTGTATCGTTACCTACTATTTGATTAATTATACCGTGCTGAAAAAAACCAACCACACTAAAGTTGTTTGAAGTTTATCTTGATGATGGTTAATGTCCGTGCAGTCTCTTTCTATCAAAAAGGGGAGGAGAGAACAAACACCCGAAAAAGAGTTCCCTTTTTATTTGTTGCCATCTTGTAAACAACTCATTTTTAGTGAAAGCAAAAGTTGAGAAGGGTGAGGAAACAAGAGATGGCAACTGCTGGTAAGGTGAGTTTATTATGAGTTAGAGTGTGGGTCAACTCGCTTGACTGTTTCCGCCGTTTTTTACCACAGATTTTTTTCGTTTAGCCGATAAAATGCCGTGCAATGGTTGCTTGGGAGGCAAAGAAACCTCTGAGTTTAGAGGAGATTGAAGTCGCTCCCCCCAAGGCCGGCGAGGTCCGCGTTCAGATCTTGTACACGGCCCTTTGTCACACCGATGTTTATACTCAGGATGGACATGATCCAGAAGGCAGATTCCCCTCGATCCTTGGGCACGAAGGTGCTGGGGTTGTTGAATCTGTGGGTGAGGGGGTCACTGAATTCACTCCCGGTGATTACGTGATTCCCGTTTATATCCCCCAATGCAGAGAATGCGAATATTGCAAACATCCAAAGACCAATCTCTGCCAGAAAGTCAGGTAAAACAAGTTGTGTTTGTTGTTCGTTGATCCCAGTTTTGTATTGTATTGTACACTTTTAATTGGTGGGTCTTCAGAGTTACTCAAGGAAACGGTGTTCTTCCTGATGGGACTACCCGTTTTACCTGCAAAGGGAAGGAACTCTATCATTTTATGGGAACGAGCACCTTCAGTGAATACACCGTGGTCTCTGAAGTCTCTCTTGCCAAGGTGAGCAGTTTGATAAAGTGCGGAGTCTTATGATTTAGATCAACAAAAAAGCCCCCTTGGATAAGGTCTGTCTACTCGGATGTGGCATCCCCACCGGTTATGGAGCTGCTTTGAAGACTTGTGGAGTGGAGAAGGGATCCACAGTCGCTGTCTGGGGTCTTGGAGCTGTTGGGTTGGCTGTTATTATGGGGGCCAAGGTCGCTGGAGCCAAGAGAATCGTCGGAATTGATGTTTTAAATGATAAGAAACCACTGGGTAGGTGAATAAGTATGTTGTGTACAATGGCTTGTATTCAGCCGAAAAGTTTGGAGCGACAGACTTTGTAAACCCAAAAGAAGTTCCACAGGACAAGCCGTTCCAGCAATATCTGGTGGATACTTTTGACGGAGGTTTCGATTACACCTTTGAATGTATCGGAAATGTGAATACCATGGTATGTTGCAATCTTTATCGTTAATCACGGTTACTGGCTTCTAATTAGTGATATGTTTTCAGAGACAAGCCCTGGAGGCAGCTCACAAGGGATGGGGTACTTCTTGTATCATTGGAGTTGCTGCCTCAGGACAAGAGATCTCGACTCGACCCTTTCAACTGGTCACTGGTCGTACCTGGAAAGGAACGGCGTTCGGTGGATGGAAGAGCAAGGACTCGGTCCCCAAATTGGTCGATGATTATTTGGCCGGGACCCTGAAGATCGATGAGTTCATTACCCACAATTACAATCTCGGTGAGCTGAACAAGGCGATTGAAGTACTTCATAAAGGCGAGAGGTAAGGAATCTTCAATTCTTATGAAACAGTTGCTTAATTTAATTTTAATATTCAATGATTCCAGTCTCCGTGCTGTCATCGATGTATCCAAGTAAATAATATTTATTGATGGATATATTTGTGAGTTGTTTGAGATCATAACTTAATAAAGAGATCACCACAAAGAGCACTTCTGTTGGGGATTCATCCGCGAGCCTAAGGGGCATTTGTACACTCGACTGAACTCGGCCCGATTACGCAACGGGATGACGGCCCGCAGGCGAGCAGGAGCATGGACATCACCGGTCAGAAGTTGTCCAGCATAATCGGGATGGACCATGGAACACCAATTCTACAAAGGGTTACGGTATAGCACGTGATGCTTACATTCGCGTAGGCTATGAAGAACAATTGTTCATTGGTGAAGTTCTGAAGGCCGGGCAACGCGGGCTCGGTCTTCTCAGTCTCAGATTTCCATGCCGAATATGCCCTGAAGGCGGTCTTGACTCCTCCATTATCAGCAATATTCTCCCCCAATGAGAGACGCCCATTCAGACGCTGTCCGTTTAATTCTGGGATCTTCTCGTCTTCGTATTGTTTTACGAAACAATCGGCCTTGTCAAAGTACTTCCCAGCCGTCTCCATGTCCCACCAATCATTCAGGTTCCCGAATTCGTCGTATCGGCTTCCTTGAGAGCAGAAGGCGTGTGTTAATTCATGAGAAATCACAGCTCCCACCATGGCAAAGGTCACATAATTGGGGACATTACTCTCCAAAAATGGATATTGCAAGATACCCGCGGGGAATACTGTAATTTTAGTAAACCGACTTGTCAACATACTCATTTCGTTGAGATTGGGGGCATAAAAGGCGTCAACTTGGGCGGGGGATTGGTACCAGAAGTCCCGATCAACCGGTCTTTTATACTTCATAAGCTCATCGACCAGTCGTTTTCTCTTCACTCTGATTGTGAATTCGAGAACCGTCTCTTTTATGGATGTGGGAGTCTGATAGTTATATAAATACATAGCTAATTTCTTCCATACCAGATTCCAGTTCAGATTCATCCAAGTATCGTTGTACATCTCCGGGGGATACCCCAATTTGTATTGAATCATATGGGACTTTTTAATGGCTTTCTGTTTCGTGGCTTCGTCCATCCAATTCAGCTCGTACAACTGTTTGATGAAGGTCGATTTGAAATAATCTGTCATCTCTTTCACCTGATTTTAATGTAACTCGTTCGTAATTTTTCTTGTAATCTCACTTTGGGTATTGCGAATTTCTCATCGAAGTAATTGTCCACAAACAGCTTTCCCACCGGGATATCGAATAAAATGACGGCCAGATTCACGCAATCCACCCAACGGTCTTCCGGAGCCATATGCACCATGCCTGTCTGATTGGCTTTAAACTCGTAGAAGAGTTGTCTTAGTTTATTGGGCAGTAGGGGAGTAATTCCTTGCACAATTCTCCAACTAATATAATTGGCAATCACTCGTTTCGGAGTTAATTTCAGAAGATTCTGAAGGTTTCAAAGGGAATAAGGCAGTTTAAAATAACTTTTAATCATACTCCCGGACAAAAATTTTTGACAAATCACGCTGCAGCGTGCTGCGGAATTAAAACTTTACTTTTCGCTTTTCGTAGGTCCTAATAATAATGTTAGCACTACGCCTTGTAAACCTTGGAATCATACTTTTAGACGGGATATATCTCAAAAAATCCGAAAAATTGTGCTGATCAAGAATATATAAAAATTACCTGCCCAATTTTGGGTTTAAGGGTCGAAAATGCCCAAAAACTGGCTTAATTTCCCTACAAAAGGCGCAGGCATTCTAAACGATAAAAAGCGCGGTCGGTCCCTTCCTTCGGAAACGAGCGGTGTGGCCGAGTGGCTAGTGCCATAGTCTGGAAATCAGGAGGGTAACGCCGCGCGGGTTCGATTTCCTTTTTGTAGCAAATCAACTTTCTTTGAAGTTGAAGGTCTGAAAAATAATTTTTTGTGACAAGACTTATTTATTACGTCTTAGAAACGCAAGAAACATCATTTTAAGCTAAAATAAAATTTGTAAACCTATGAAAGATTGTGCTGAAATGGGTTTATGTGGAACTTTAAGTCATCTTGCGGTTGATTTTTCACCCCTAAAACCCAAAACAATCAGCACAATTTTGCGGATTTTTTTATCAATAATATTATTTTAGTACGGATACAAGCGCGTCTACAGTCTCTTTTTTATAGAACAGTTAAAATTGCGAACGTGTTAACCGAGCCAAGCGGTAGTCAGAAATACTTGTCCGTCAGTATTTTCTAAATTCGCTTACTTGGGCCCTTTTCATGTAAGAAACTTCTCTGATAATTACAGTATCCGAATCCAAAACATCCGCATATCCATCGAGAACAACTTTCATAAAGCCTGCGAAGTCCAGCTAAAAAAGTTACTGTAGAAATTAGGCAGTGATTTCCTTACTTCGGGAAAAGCTAACTTCAAATGTTTGATGGTATAAGGGTTGTTTCCACGGTCTGGATCTCCCCGATCAGCATCGTCGGATGAGATCAAGGCCAGCTTACACTCCAAGTCCACAATTTCCTTCATTTCCTTTTCAGCTCGAGATATCTCAGCGCCTGAAAAAATTAACCGAAATATTATAGTTGAAGTAAACCAAAATAATTTGTTTGCTTACCCAACAGAACAGCAGTCTCTGTGATCAGATGGGTATAATTCTTGATGGTGGGATTATTAAGTCCTTCCAAATATGGCCATCTGGAACCAAGGCCGAACTTTGGTTGATCCAATTCGATTATTGTCTCCGAACTGTTTTTGGGGTTATGGGACACTGTAAGTTCGAAGAAGATGGAAGAAATGGAAGTCAAATTCATTACTCTTGCCAGGTACACTTCGTGCGATGAATTGTATTCTGTCCAGGACTTCTGAAGCACCGGCCATCCCCCAATCTTGTCTAATAGCCCCAATATACTCTCCTTCCCAGTCCGTTCAATTTCCGCTAGAAATTTGAGTGTGATGCAAATGCAGTAATAAGAAGCAACAATTGGGAAAATAAAATCCTCACTTACATTCGTCCATGCACTTGGCGAAATAAGTCTTGGTCATTCGATCCCATGGTTTCTCCGTGTCCTTAATATCCTTCCTGAGGACATGAGCAATCTGTTTGTTCAGATATGACTGAGCATCGATTATCGTATGCCTCATCGGTCGATTGGCTCCCAATTCCCTTTCCGTTGCATAATTTCCACAAGCAAATTCATAAAAGTCATCGCATGGGTCGACCCTTTCGTTCATATTGGATATAAACAAAGAGGCCATCTTTGTGCATTCCCGTGAAGTACAAATTCTACGTTCACTGTGGATGGCACTCTTATCAAAGGCCCATGAACTTTGGATCTCATCCATCTGGAGGAATGTGTTCCATGTTTCTGAAGGAATACGGTGTGTGAACATGGCTTACTTACTATGTCTGAACACATTCCTTCCGCCAAGAACAAAGAACCAAAGAGCACATGTGGACAAGAAGACTAGCACTAGTATCGTTAAGCAACTTAGTAAAAATATCTCCAGTCTAGTCAGCGATGAAGCGCATTTGCTAAAAGTGTTGACAATAACTATTATTAAGGAGAAAAATAATCATCCCGTGATTAAAGCCAACCTTTTGTAGTCGCATTGAACCACATGAACATGGCTTTTCATCGCCTAATCTCCGGGCTGAAGTTCATGAAGAAGAAGCCGAAGGTGGACCGAGGAAACAGAATTCTTCCGCCTTTAATTAGCGCCCTAAAATTCCCCAGTGTTCAAGTTTGGGCAGAAGAAAAAACAAAGAAATGGAGTCGAGGATCGGCCGATCGGGTTGCCAGGGACCGCCTAATAGGGCCGAATGTAACCAGGCACGCTTCTAAACATTCGCTTTAACATTTGTTGTCATCCGTTTATTCATCTCCATAAACAACAGAACTAATGGAATGGCACCTGCCGCAAATAGAGTCCCGGAAGGTCGGGATGACAAAAAAAGAAAATTAAATCAGGAGCGTCTTCCCTTCGCTTCCCCATCCATTTTCGGCCCAAAACAATAAATTCAACTTCTTTTTTGCAGGGTACCGTATCTCCCCCGGGACCCTATCTGTTAATTTGCGTATTCGACTGGTCGATTGGAAGATTGAGTGGATTTATGGAGTCTGGCCTCGAGGGAATAGGCCGCGTTTCGAGAGGCTGTTCGCGAGAAGGAAAGGTCAGGTAGAGATGGAGAAGATGCTCGATCGCTTGCCCACTTAAACGAGGGCGCGGCTGTAAAATAAATACCATCTTCTAACTGCCCAGTACGATTTACGGGGACAAGACAGGGGACAGCGGGGACGAGGAACAAATCTTTCATCTAATTTTAGTTTGCTTCATAATGGGATTAACACTTCGTTTTAACATTCAATCTCATTCAAACTCCGAACTTTATCGTATCAATTTCTACTTTTGATCAGTTATTTAAATAAGCGTCTGCCAAACCGTCATTCCACCCAATGTCAAACAACCGGTATATTACCTTACGAGCTCAAAAATTCCAATATATTACTGTAAACAGGTGACAGAAACGCTACAAGTCGCTTTTACAGGTAAAAGTGGGTACTACAATAAGATTATCCTACTTATAAACAAGACTATAAAAGATAAAAGAATACAAACAGAGAAAAAATAAAAGAAATCAGGGAAACACACTAGATTTGATGGTTGACTCCTTTCTTGTGGTAGTGGAAGCGTTTCAACCCCTCCAGAAACGCGGTGTCTTGCATCCGAACATAATGACGAGGAGTGCAAAGATCCTAAAAAAGTAATACAATAAAAAAGAAGTCGAAGAAAGAACTGAGAACTACGTCTCTTCCCTTACCGAATGCTCTTTTTGTTTGAAGAATCCTTGATACCCAGAATCAAGTACGTAAATCTCCGGGTAATCTAAATGAGGGTAGTTACTCTCATTCAGTTTGCGATCGAACCGTCTCAGAGCAGTAGCCCTAAAAAATTTGTTTCAATGCAAATACTCAATTCATAGAACATAACCCGTACGAAATGTCACTATTTAATTATTTTGCTGTCCAATTTCCATGAAGCCTTTTTTCACAAGGAAAGCAAATAATTATCGTATTATGGGGGTTCCTACTTTTCAACGGGACATAAGTCAAAAAATCCGAAAAATTGTGCTAATGAAGAATATATAAAAATTACCTGCCCAATTTTGGGTTTAAGGGTCGAAAATGCCCAAAAACTGGCTTAATTTCCCTACAAAAGGCGCAGGCATTCTAAAAGATTTCAGTCTGTCGGAAAAATAATGGCGGATCGTCGCAGCAAAATGCCTCGCCTCGTCTCTATCGCGCACCAAATCTTCAGCTTCGGCAGCCGTCGCAAAGCGATGACGGGCGATTCCGAGGCGCGACGATCCGCCGTTATTTTTCCGACAGACTGATAAAAAGCGCGGTCGGTCTCTTCCTCAGGAAGAGAACGGTGTGGCAGAGTGGCTAGTGCCGCAGTTTGGAAATCAAGACGGTGACGCCGCACGGGTTCGATTTCCCTTTTAGGCCAAATCAACTTTTTTTGAAGTTGAAGGTCTAAAAAATACATTTTTGTGCCAACATTGATTTATTACTTCTTAGAAACTCAAGAAACATAATTTTATGCTAAAATAAAACTTGTAAACCTATGAAAAATTAAGCGAAAAGGGGTGTTTATAAGGACTTTGAGCCAACTTCCGATTGATTTTCCACCCCTAAAACCAAAACTTGGGCAACTAATTTTTTAAACATTCTTAATCAGCACAATGTTTGTAAGAGCCCCCATAAAAGTACTTTCCCTGTTCCTAAAATTTTTCTGAACGACCGTTGATGATTTATTTCTTCACAATTTTCGCTTTTTGAATGACTTTTAAAGTAATTTCAAAAAAAGGTTCAGATCGGCAGACGATACAGTCACAAAAATTGCTTACATTTTGGGCCCCCTTGCCTGAGAAAATTCGCAATAAAAGATGGGGATCTTGTTCTGAATGGCATGGAAAGACCCGTTCTCTTCCGAGTAGAACTTCTGACAGACCTGGTCGAATTGGAACATGTTGATTGAGTTCTGTAAATGAATAGAAATCATCCATCCATACTTTTACTCTTACTATGATATGCCCTCCTTCGAATTCATACGGATACCGGCAATCAATCAGCATAAAAGTCTCTAAAAACTTTTCATTTCCCATTTCTTTTATCAATGACGCTAGAATTGAGCCATCAATGGACTTGAAGGCTGATGATTCCACTTGAGGTTTCGTTAGATACCTTAGAGAATAAGTCTAAAAGATATCTTCATCAAAGCAAACGACAAGTAGCCTACATGTATAGACTCAGGGGAAGTGCATCTCCCAAACCTCCTCATGTTCACCATAGACTTCGAGACACCTTTTTCGAGTGATACAACTGAACTGGGGAGTCTGGGAGGCGGCCGTTTCAGAAATCGCCCCTCAATCTTCTTCATCGGTACCCTGGTACTCAACTTTCTTGTCGATATGGGATTATTCCTGAACGGAATGCGGTTAAACCGCTTGCCCTTGAGGGGAGTATCGTTGGAAACATCGCGGAGAGGCCTCCTGATAGGGGAAACTTTAGCTTCATCCATCTGAACATCTTCCTGAAAAAAGGAAAGAAATAAAGAAGAAAAACATGATCTACAGAAGAAACAAAACTTACAAAACTGTTTGATGTCCCCGGAACCATAAAATTAGTCTTGTCTTCATGAATCGACCACGCACTGCAGGAGGAACCCACCCCAGAGTCATTCGACGCGGCCGGCAACATTTCGTCGAGGATGGAGGTGGCCAAACACAACGGAGGATCACTTCCAAAGGGGCATTGGGCATTCTCATCATGGTTTTCAACCTCCATCCGCAAGCCTGGAACCCAATTCAGGTTAAATTTTTAAAGTTTTCAGTTCTCGCGTCAAGAACCACACTATCTTACTAGACCCTCGATCTCCTGGATAATTTATTTCAAAACGAACAACAAAATAAAACATGTTCGTTATTAGATCAAAATTTTATTAATTTGTTGAAAAAATTTATCGACAATGTCAACTTTAGAAATAAATAACGCCAAAACAAAAAGTACAAATCCACGGCAGCCTGCCAACGCGTACAGTAACGCCGCATGTCGATCAGCCCACATGAAACAAGCACCATGAATGGTTTAATAGACAGATCTCATCTAAATGAGCTTCAATCTGAACGAACCGCCGAACGTACAGCAGATCATCGTTACCCGGAGTCCTGCTTTTCTGACCCCATCTCCCAGGTAAAATACACTCACTCAGGCTCCCATAAAAACGTTTTCAAAAAGACGCATCAACCATAAATAAGAGATAAGACAACTAAAGTAGGATCAGATGTAAAATTAAAACAGACAACCACAATAGACCTATCCAGCCATCTCCCACAAACCGTGTCTAAATCGCGTTTACGGAGGAGGGCCAAAAAAAGACTTGACTCAGGGCTTGGATTCAAAAGCTCAGGTCCCGCGATTCCAACACTATGCCAATAGAAATGCCATAAAGTATCTTTCACCGTAGTTGCCAGACCCCTTATCGACACTCTGAGCTATTCGCCCGCAGTCATTAAAGTTTTTATAAAAAAAATTTATTCAAACTCAACAATGCCTATAATAAAAAAAAACGATAAATCAGACAAGGTCTTGGTAGGAACGACGAGACTTGTCTTTGTAAAAATAGTCAGGTTCTTGTTTCCACAGTCCCAAAGCTCTCTCCTCATTTAGCTCGTCTGCTTTTTTATAATTGTGATATTGCAGTAGATGTCTTATTCTTTTACACAGCTGATGCCATTGATGCGGTGAATTTCTCTGCATCTTTTCTTTGTATAAGTTTCTGTAAGGAATCAAATGAGAACCATAATAAATTTTAAAAATTATTGTTTACGCTGCCTCACCTGTAATGGATAAGTTTTATCAGGTCGTTTGCTCGATGCTGACCAGGAAATCCTCTCAGCCATCTGGGAACATGGTACATGAGTTGGGCTGGATGTACATTCGCGTCTTTCTTCAAGATGTCGATGTAGTCGTTCTCCCCATACCTGGCCGAAGCTGTGGACCAGGCATCTCGAATCTTGTACTTGGGTCGAAAAACACGATCTCTGGATTCAGGCGTTCGAGGAAGAGGATCAACACCTTGTCTGTGATATCGGAAGTAATATCCAGTATCTACGGGTTTATGCATTCGTTTCTCATGATCATCAGATACTCGGGGAACTCCAGCGGTATCACGAAACGTCCTAACTGACAGAAGAGACGGAATTCTTAATTGGCAGTACTAAAGCAAAATAATAAAAAAAAGTCTAGTTACTTACCTTCAACATTAAAAAAGCATAGACGATAAAAAGCAGAACATTTTGTGAATGAGAAATGGGAAATTTTAATTGCTACAGAATGCCAAGAAATTTTGGTGAGTGCCAAAAGGATGTTGAGTTTTGAAATTTGAGAGACAAAATTCGAATTAAGAAAGCTTGGGATTGAAAATGGAGTATGTCAATTTATGTTTCGCCCCAGAGGGCCCTTTCTCTGTTCTGAAAAACCTCGATTATCCCAATTCCCTTCAGAATTTATAGAAATAGTGATGTTTTTTAGGTGCTATAAATGTTTTCATTATTGCAGCGGAATCAAAGTTGTAAAATCATAAAAGCGAGTTTAACCAGTTTTTCTTTCCTTAAATTTTACTGCGGGTACACATTATAAACCCTTATAAACCGACCTACAGTAAAAGTGTAACACTCGTCTCAAAAGTGAAACTTGAGTCGAGTGTTCCACTGTTCATTTTTTTGCCAAAATTTGCTGCTTTTTCCACGATTTCAGATTGCTTTCTCCTGCGGTGATGACTTTTTTGGATTTTGCGATTTTTTTTGGTGATTCTTTTTTGAGTTTTTGATGTGTAAATCCAAACTCGTTGTCTTTTTTTCTGGCTAGGTGAATAGCCACGGGGATATGGATGTCGACGCGAATGGGTTTTTGAATTTTCAGCGTTTTATTTGTTTTCTTATCTGAGACTTCTCGTTATCAGCTGGCTTCATTTTTTCTGGAGACAGCGATTCAAATTTTATTTTTGGAAAATTATGCACGAACTGTTCGAAATGAAGTCAAGGTCGGCCGTTACTGGGTCAGTCGGATGGTGAAGGTGTCGCGCCAGGGGGTTGTGGTATACTTTTTCTTTTGTCAGAGTTTTTGCATTTTTACCACGGTATCTATACGAAATTTTAGGATTTCGCTGTATGGATATGTTTATTTGTGGATAAAATTGGTTTTATTTGGCCAGACGGCCACCTGCTGACCGCGGGATGGATTTAGAGGAATGTTAGCTAGTCTAGACCGCCATCTGTCTCAGTCGAAGACACTTTCTCTTTCCCTCCTTTTCGGTCTCTAATTTGCATGTCTGGTGTTAATTGTCCGGCGGGGGATTTAAAATGACCAGAATGGCCAAGCGAAAGGGGTACCCCCGAAACGCGCGGCGGGGAATAGAGCACGCCTTGGTACGGCATTGAAGTGGGGGCTGGCCGGCGGTCAGTCCTTCTTTTTTATGCCATCGGCAGCGTTTTTCGGACCCCAAGGTTGTCGCGGTTGTCCGAACCAGTGTCCTTCTAGTCCTCCTCCTTGTTCTCTGCTTGTTTTACTCTCTCATTATTTTCCTATCAACCCGCGCATCTCTTCGGCCATCAATCCTCGACATTTTGTTTTGAACCTTGTGCAAGCCCCCCTCCCCCAAGCGTCGTTTACGAAGCCGAATGTCACCATCTCGACCCACGGATCATTTCTCGTCTGTCGGGACTTAATACCCGACCCCGAGAAAAACCGTCGCGCGTTACCTGGTGCAAGGTTTGAATTCAAGGTCTATTAGCCCCTTGATCCGGCGGCTTCATCCGCCCGATTGCCTGTTTTCCGGAACTTTTATTGTCTTCAAAGCTAGTTTTTGTGTGCGTATCCCAACTTCCGATGCTTGTTGTTGTTCTTTCGCCCTCAAGGACCGGTCTCAGCATTGGCGTTAAGATGGGACCCGTAACGGCAGACTGGAATATGTGGCCTCAGCTGAACTGGGGACATGACCCCGGCTAGGCCCCTACCAGCTTTTGCTTTTCAAACCACATCGACGCTCTTGCGCAACGCACGCCGACCTGGTCCTCTTGTATATAATCCAAGGCCGCTTGCTGGTTGGGAAAGGGCGAGGGGGGGGGGGGATAGGGAAGGTGGGCCCTGCCTGACCTCGTGCCAGGCTCGACGGTCGCGCTCTGACCTCAGCGACGCCTTCGCAAGCGCCGCGTTGCGTCATTCGCTGACCCCAGAACTCGGCATCTTTTGGGGTTTCGTGGCCTCCTGGACTCAGGTCTCTCTTTCCCACAAAAAATGGCTGCTGGAGGCTACCCGTGGATCTTAAGGAAGCTTGGAATAGAATATATGCCCTTGATGGCAGCGGACTCATTTCCGAATCTATTTTGAATTTTATACTTAAGCGTCGAATGCAAAAGAGAGGGGAATTAGCAAGAAAACCTGTTATTTTAGATTATAAACGGTTTCATATAAGCTTGGGTTTTTTACTTGGTCGGTTAATTTTTATTAAAACGCGTGTTTTCGTTTTACTGTAGTGAGAGTTATTTTGGACACCAAATGTCGAACGATTCGTCGACCTTTCCGCTTTACAACACCGATTGTTGAGTGCCAGTGGTTTTTTTTGTCCCAACTTTGGTCAGGTCGAGATCGGCGCTCTCTCTAACCTCGCAAAAACCACTTTCCGAGCATCGGAATGGCACTGCCAGGCGGATCGGTCGGATCTCGCTCAAAAACTGCTGTCGCGCGGCCATTATTTTCGGTGGCCAAAATCCTTCAGTGGTTCGCTGCTTAGAATTTCTGAAAACCCATAGAGAGTTTTTCGACTGCCGATTATTCGGCTTGGATAACATTTGTGGACAGTCTTCGCGTCTTGATTTGTTCGCTCAACTGGGCTCATCAATTATAATATAAATAAGTAATGTTTCGATTGCAGGCATTTGCTTCCCATTGCGACCACCAGGGAGTGGGATGAACACTTGGGAGGATTCGGTGGACATTGAGTCGGAATTCGATCAAGGTAAGTGGCGTCATCAACTGGGAATAGCGTGAAAGTGAATATGATAAGATGCAAGATTAGGTGTAGATGAATTGTAAAGAGAGCAAATGGGTTTGGGATTGGATAACCCATATTTTTACTCCCCGATTCGATGATTGGGATCCAGAAATTAGAATAAATTCCTTGGAAAACAGCTGTGTCCGGGGACAAAAAGAGTTGGCTTTTGTTGCCGATGACGAGGCACCGCGGAGACTCCTTGCGCTTATATTCTCCCTGCGTTTCTACTTTCCCTTTTCGACAAATTCTTCGCAGCTGCAAGGAATCGCCCCCCCCCCCAGGCTTTCAAATGGCCTTTCTGGATGGAGGTTTAGTTTTTCTTTCAGCAGATTTTCTTAATGGGCAACCGCTGCACTTCTGTATGTTGTAATCGCCCTCTTACCGGTTTTGTTTTCTTTTTTCGGATGACTGTTTTTTGAATTTACATTGCGCATGGTGTTGCGTTACCGTATTGTGTTCAGGTCGACGCGTTCTTATACCGGCGTTATTTATTTCTGAAGGCGACAGCAAATTAACGAAGTCTCGATCTAATAACGAACATGTTTTATTTTGCTTTTCAATTTTTTGGAGAAGAACATCTGCTAATCTGGCCGTTTGATCTTCTGATGTCTTGTTTATGTTTAGTATGAATTATGAGGAGATAATTTGCAAATAAATTATCCAGTAGATCCGACGGTGTAATGAGATAGTGTGACCCTTGACGCGAGAACTGAAAACTTCAAAAATTTAACCTGCATTCGATTCCAGGCTTGCGGATGGAGGTTGAAAACCATGATGAGAATGCCCAATGCCCCTTTGGAAGTGATCCTCCGTTGTGTTTGGCCACCTCCATCCTCGACGAAATGTTGCCGGCCGCATCGAATGACTCTGGGGTGGGTTCCTCCTGCAGTGCGTGGTCGATTCATGAAGACAAGACTAATTTTATGGTTCCGGGGACATCAAACAGTTTTGTAAGTTTTGTTTCTTCTGTAGATCTTGTTTTTCTTCTTTATTTCTTTCCTTTTTTCAGGAAGATGTTCAGATGGATGAAGCTAAAGTTTCCCCTATCAGGAGGCCGCTCCGCGATGTTTCCAACGATACTCCCCTCAAGGGCAAGCGGTTTAACCGCATTCCGTTCAGGAATAACCCCCTATCGACAAGAAAGTTGAGTGCAAATGTACCGAAGAAAAAGGTCGAGGATCGGTTTCTGAAGCGGCCGTCTCCGAAACTCCCAAGTTCAGTAGTATCACTCGAAAAAGGCGTCTCGAAGTCCATGGTGAACATGAGGAGGTTTGGGAAATGCACTTCCCCTGAGTCGATACAAGTAGGTCACTTGATAATCTCCTTTAAAATGATCGTTCTTTTTAGACTTACTCTCTAAGGTATCTAACGAAACCTCAAGTGGAATCATCAGCCTTCAAGTCCATTGATGGCTCAATTCTAGCGTCATTGATAAAAGAAATGGGAAATGAAAAGTTTTTAGAGACTTTTATGCTGATTGATTGCCGGTATCCGTATGAATTCGAAGGAGGGCATATCATAGTAAGAGTAAAAGTATGGATGGATGATTTCTATTCATTTACAGAACTCAATCAACATGTTCCAATTCGACCAGGTCTGTCAGAAGTTCTACTCGGAAGAGAACGGGTCTTTCCATGCCATTCAGAACAAGATCCCCATCTTTTATTGCGAATTTTCTCAGGCAAGGGGGCCCAAAATGTAAGCAATTTTTGTGACTGGATCGTAACCTTTTTTGAAAAGGCCATCTTAATGTCGCGCCTTGTTGGTAGAGTTGTTTTACCGTTTTTAATAAAACGTATTTTTAGGGCCAACGCTCTAAGACGATTTGACCGAAAACTGAACGCGACCAACTACCCTCATCTAGATTACCCAGAGATTTATGTGCTCGATTCTGGATATCAAGGATTTTTCAAACAAGAGGAATGCACGGTAAGCACTTGCTACTTTAGTTATGCAACTTGTTTAGAAAGGATCTATTATTTTGTCTTTTCAGGAACTCTGTACTCCCCGTCATTATGTTCGAATGCAAGATACCGCTTTTATGGAGGAATTGAAGCGCTTCCATTATCACAAGAAGGGTGTCCATCATCAGATCTGACAGTCAGTCCCCGGATCTTCCCCGTTTCTGTTTGTACTTCCTTCTTTGTCGTCTTGTAACTCCTTTGTACATACTTATTCCGCTCACATCAACGTTTTATCAATCTTTTTCGTAACGTACTTTCTTTTAGCTCTACCCCCTTTTTCTCTCATCCATACATCTTTCATCTTCTCTATCTTACAGTAATTAAATGTGGATATTCCATGTCTCAGAGATTAGTAGATGTCCGTTCTGAACGGCGCTATCTTGAACGGTATCTTGTTAATATGATGGTATCTTTTATTAATGTGTGTCATAATTAAAGAGAGACTAGTCTCAGAAACATCTGAAATATGTCGGTTTGGTTGTCACCGTAAGAGACATAGGATATCACAAGTAAAAAGGTACGTGAGCTGTGATTGCACTACATCTACCATCACTTTCCATAACAACTTTTTTGATTAAAATTAAGATGTTATAATTAACTATTAAGGAATTACAACAAAAAATGCGACCGGGACCAAGTTAAGCACATACGCCGTATACGAACATAAAGGTTGAAACATTACAATACTGATGATCAGAGCATTCCTCGACGGAATAATTTATGCGGTTTCGGGTCTCCCCCAGTGTACTTGATGTCATGAATCATCGTTCCGAAGGCCGGGGCACTTCCCACATTTGAACGTCGCTCTTTTAACACGGATTGTTGGGGTTTTAGAATCTATAATCGAACAATAAGAAGTGACTTTGATGATGAAGAGAAGAAGAATCGTACCTGGAAGGAGCACAACAGATTCCTGTCCACATTCATAACAGCTCCTGCATTGTCGAATTCTCCACAATAATTGGGAGCCGAGAAGATTGTGACCAGCCCTCTCTTCCCAAAGAATTCGTATCCATCTTCTACCACCTGATGTCCTCTGACTACAATATCGAGATCCATTTTTTGTAAGAACTGGGCGAGAACGTCATGGCCAAAGACATAGGACACTCCGCGATCGTTGGGGGCCCAGCCCATCACTTTGGCATCCGGATCTGACCATAGGACATCACAGAGCAGTCCATTATCTTGTACATCCACTGGTCGGACTATCCTTTTTAACTGTTCGAGGGTTCGGAGGTGTGGGGATAATCCCCCGTGGCAGCAAAATATCTTGTTCTCGACCAGAGCAGCCACAGGCATACAATTGAAGACGTCCTGGAAGGACTTCCAGATCTTTACATTCACCCTTCGTTTACATTCATCATAGAAGCCGTAAATCCGATTCAGGGCCGCCACTTCGTGATTTCCTCGGAGCATGAAGAAGTTACCGGGGTATTTGATCTTGTAGCATAACAACAGAATGATTGTCTGAAATTTCATATCACTTGTATTTAAAAAAATCAACGTAGGTTTTGCTGAGTAATAGTCGTACCTCTAAACTTTTGGACCCTCGATCTACATAATCCCCAAGAAAGAGATAATTGGATAATGGAGGGAATCCACTCAATTTGAAAAGCCGGAGGAGGTCGTTGAATTGGCCATGGATGTCACCAGCGATCTTCAAGGGGGCATTCAACTCTAACATCATGGGTTGTTGCAAGAAGATTTCCCGAGAAAGGGAGCAAACCATCTTGATTTCATTCTCCGTTACATCCAAAGAACTTCTCCATCCTTCGCTAACATTCTGCAAAAAGAACTATGTTTAATCGGGGATTAAGAAAAGGCCATCCTTAACAGTGGTCCGCTGATAAAGGACAAAGGACTGATCAAAAGGTAATGTCTCAACAGTAACTTCGTAGGAATTAAAAAATTTTAAAAAGTAAATTATCCTTCTTGCTAAAAGGATCAATTAAAATAAGATGTAAAACAAATAATAGGAAATGACACCAGTTTGACGTCAGACTGAAAAATTGAGTTAACTACCCTAATTGCCCTATGTGGACTAATATGTTTAAACCCTATTCTGTCATTCTTATTCCTCCTTGTGGAAAAAACGCGGATTGTTTTTGTTTATATTAAATATGACACCGAAGCCCGTTAATTCCCGGATTGCGTTACATACCTGAGTGAGACGACAGATGATGCCATCCACGTCCAACTGAACACTGCCATACGAATTCTTCCTTCTGCTGACCATAACCCCCAAATAATGGGTCGTTCTGTAGTTGTCAGGGGCTGTTCCACCTCGACTTCACTTAATCTTAACCTTTGAATTCAATTTGTGACGGTCTGCTGTAATGGAAAGAAAACGTTAATTAGAACCGAGAAGATGGAGGAAGGGTACAAAAACATTTGCAACTGATTATTGTGAGAAATATGTTTCGCGATCAGAAAAAAGTGTCAAGTACATACATTGTGATAGATAAGTGGCTTCAATCAAGGGCCGGAGGAGGGAATTGGGGTCAAAACACACAACTCGACGTCGCCGGCACCAACCACACCTCAGGCATGGGTGCGCCCTCTTCGAATTATTATAAAACTACAATAAATATAAACAATCATAAGGGGAGGAGATAAGCAAAGGCACACTAATTGCCATCTTTATTGGCAAGCGAGGAATGACGCGTTCGCCTTCTTATCAACCCAGAATGAGGTCAAGAGTCTCTTGTATCTCTCACATCCTCAGGGTATTACTACAAATGTTTTGTAAGGCCCGAATACAACAATATGTACAACGTGGTTAGTCATGGAGGAGAAAACAACTTTGGCGTTCGAAAAATTTGAAAGAGAAGTCAAGGGAATAGGGAGGGGGGAGGCTGGAGAGACGAAGCCTGATCCGAGACTGACTGCCTGCCCTCGAGCGAGAGAAAAGACTTGTCCCCAATCACCACCCCCCCCCCCTTGCTCTGTTCACGGCCTCAATCTAGTCCATTTGATGGTCGCCGTTCTAATAAATAGGGCCAGAGAATGGCTGCACCTGATTTGCATCCAATGCACTCCATTTCTTGTCTTCCCTAATCCGCTAACCATATTTTATATTGTAAACGGCCGTCCATTCCCCGGGTTATTACGCCCAAAATTGAGAAAAAACACGTCATAAGCAACTCTGCAGAATACAATAAGGCTGGTGAGTTTGATAAGTAAAATGAACACAGAATATAAGATACAAACGGACAGCGAGTAAAAGATTTGTGTCATTAAAGAACCTATGCAATCCCTACACTCTCTTTGAATATCACCCCCAACCCTCACGAGGTCTCCTTAAATGGGTCCTTATCAAAACAAAACTAAACCCGGAGGGCTGAATCCTTATCATTTGCATACAGATGATCTTGGAGCGAAATTGAGAGTTTAAACAGCATACTATGTAACAAAAAATAAATTGCACAGATATATAGATGGGTTATCTTCGGAATAAAACAAGCCAAAATTGAGATCAGAACAAAAAATGCCCAAGAGAAACGATAACAACTAATACAGTTATGGATATATAAGGATGGTGACATACAAATAAAATCGGGTTTCGTGGCCAGAAACCGCCATTTCTTGTCTGTTAGGCTTCTAGACAAGAAATGTGTAATTCTTGTCTGAAATTGCGTAACATTGCGGAATATTTCTGCTCTCTCCCCGTGAAGATTTTTTTCTTTTTTTCTCTGCTCACTAGGGAAGTGTACAAACGAACCCTCATCAAATCGCAAGTGGTATACACCATTGGAAAGCCCTTGAAAAATGGTGCAAGGTACCATTTTCATTTTTTGCAGAATGCCTTTCCGCGACGACATACTGTAAATTGTATTATTTTTAGGTCATTTCGCAACAAAAATCTTCCTTTCTCTTGAGCGGATAAAAATCCTCGAAGAGGGTTGCTTCAATAGTGCAGTGGTTGCTCCGCGGAGCAGGCTGATAAGCCAAACCAAGCTAGGTTCGATTCCCAGCTTGGGGAAAAACGTTTTGCGTTCTTACAGTTAGGATAATATTTGAGTTAAACCTTTACAAACGCTTTATTTTTTCTAGAAGACGGTCGATTACGGTTAAAACCATCAAACTTACATGTTTTTCAAAATTAAAAAAAGTTAAAAGTGTTTTTTCACGTTATGGGTGTTTAAAACCAGTAAATATCATATGTAAAATAGTTTTACTGGTAAGCGCCAAACTTCATAATGTTCTTAGGCCAACCTAGTAGCAATATTTACCATTTAGCGTTCTGAAATAAGATTTATTTTGCCCCACAGCCGATATTGTAACTACTTAAAGGACAAATCAATCGTTTATATTTTTTTGCCCTGAGGCATTCTGCAAAAAATGAAAATGGTACCTTTCACCATTTTTCAAGGGCTTTCCAATGGTGTATAACACTTGCCATTTGGTGAGGGTTCGTTTGTACACTTCCCTAGTCAGACAAGAATTCTGCATTTCTTGTCTAGAGGCCTAACAGACAAGAAATGGCGGTTACTGGCCACGAAACCCGATTTGATTTGTATGTCACCATCCTTATATGTACAGTGTGGGGGAAAGTACTAAAGAAAACGAAGAGAGTGGACAGTGACCACCAAAAGGGTAAACAACATCCATGAATAGCCATCCATCAAGAGCATTTATATTTCCCCTGAGGGGATGAAATCGATCCGTCGGCAAAGTGGCTGGAACGGGCGGATGAAATCGCCGTAATACCTCCTCCTCTTCCCGTTCCCTCGCCCAATACCTGTTCATCTACCTGTCGTCGTATCGGAGGGAACAAGAGTGATATCAAGCGTCATGGAGACTCAAGGGGAAGGGGATGAGGAAAAGCCCTTGAGCAAACCTGAGCTTTCTTCCCTCTTTAATTCGAGAGTCCGGGAATCGGAATCGAATTAGACCCGGATGCGAGGATGAACATCAACATACTGAATAAAGGTGACATCTCCAAGCAGGGTCAACAACGACATATGCATAATCCAATAATATCCCGAAAGCTTTGAAGACGCAGAAACAGCGAACTGCAATGCTCTTTAAAGGGCCAGTACAGCTACTTTTGAATTGCGTCTTTTACGGCACGGGAAACAAAATGTCAAAAAAAGTTTTGTATGTACTGCCACGAAACAATCGGCATATTTTCAAACAACAAAATTTTTTTTGTATGAATGTAGAGATGCCAGTATATTTTTCCGGCGTTATTGGTACAGCGAACGAAAAAATCTTTTGGATATTTCGCCTTTCCAGTCGTAAAACGCAAGATTCAAAAGTAGCTGTCCTAGCCTTCAATGCTCCATTTAGTCATCAAACAGGCATTTTTGACAGCTTCAGAGAATTTAACATAAGAGGAAGAAAATCTCCGCAAAAAAGACAACATAATTACGATAACTGGCAGGCCTAAAGACAAGGAATCGAGCATAAGAATATTTAGTTTAAGGGGGCCGACGAGAATTAACTCCAAGTCGTCTACCCTTTCCAAAATTGTAAAAATACACAAAAATGGGGGGAATGAGTCAACTTTTGATTCCCCCTTTGACTGGAAAAGGCAAAACAATCAAAGAATAAGAGCAGAGAGCCCTTCCAGAGGTTCAGAGTGCATGTGACATAACTAAACAACCGTCGAGTGGAGGGACGTTCTTTTCAACCGGAATGATCACTTTTCAGAAAAAAAGAAACGGTCGGATCACGGCCCCAAAACGCCGGCTTCGATTTCAGGAATGGAAAAAAGAGTCGAGGGTTCAGAAGAAAACGATCCGACAAGTGGGTGGAAAGGACAAAACGATGTCACCGGGACATTTCTCACCACTTTGCAGTCAAAATTACGGGAGTAAATAAAAATTCGGAGCCTAAACATTATATTGGAGAGCCGTCCTCCGGTCCCTAGAACAATATGTGAACGGCGGAATTCCCTCATGAAAAAGATATTAAACCCATAAACCGACACATCTTCGATAAAACGGGGCCAAACACTGCAGATGACGTCTTCAAACGCATTCATCCTTGTCCTCATTACTATTTATGGAGTTCAAAGAATTCGAAGCCTCAGGGCAAGAACTTTACCTGACCCCTGAAATGCCATTATAAAGCTTGGAACAGCTCCGTCTGGCGGAAGAAGCAGGAAATAAAAATATAAAATTTGGCCAAACATGTGATGGCCAAGCTTTCCGAGAGATCAAAAACAGACTCGAGACAATAACAAGTATAACAAGAAGAACCAAGAACTCGGAAAAGTAGGAATGTTAACCTCCATTTCTCACAGAAAGGCGACTTCGTCTCAGGAAAATTTAAACAGATGTCATTTATATGTCCCATAAAATTTTATGTTGACCGTGGAAGTTACAACTACCTTACAACGGACTGAGACGCCTCCGAGTTTCAAACATTACGTTTTACCCATTTCAATTACAATTTCCTACCGAGAACGGTCGAAATGACGAGCAGAAAGTAAGCGTTAAATAATTACTATTACAAAACAATATTGCGCACTGAATTCACAAATCCGAACATTGCGTTAGGTCAAGAAAAAAATGCAAAACCGGAGAAGAATGGACCGAAACAGTGGATCAGATGTCAGAGTAAGTCGGTTACTTTTTTTACTCTCTTTTATATTGTTGCTGACTTATGTTTTACTTTCAGTGACAGGAAAAGTCTTAAAACACAAACTCTGATTGATAACAACCAGACATGGCTACAGACAGGGCCGAGCTTTTGCCAATTCCGGGTTCAGCTGGCAATCTAAAAAAAATTTTAATAATTTTGAATGGCAAATTTTCCCGCCATTTTGGCGATATAAGAGTGATAAGAATGAAGAAATGACCTGTCGTCCCGACATTTCGGGTCAGGGACAGCTCGGGTCGCGACAAGTCGGGGCAACGACACCGTTCCCAGAAAAGGTCAGCCCGGCCCTTGTGAAACTTTCGAGGCCCGGCCCCTGTCATGTCTGGTAAGAACGGAGCAATTAGATCTGGGGAAAAGAAGACGGTCGAATGGAGAAGATCCGCGGACACTTTGAGCCGGATCACGTTGGAAAAGGGCGTCGATGGATTGGTTGAGGAGTATTTGAATGCCGAGAAACACGCCCCTTCTTGCACAATCACCGCTTTCCGAAAGAACAATGCCTTGGGAAAGAATCGATCTCCGGTAATTATCGTACCGTAGTATTAAAGTATTATTTGATGACAAAATTATGATTTTACAGTACGTTGGATGTTTGGATGAGACCCGAGTTGTTCTCAACAATATGCCCAATGACTACATTCATGCCAATTATGTTGGATTCAGCCAGAAACCTCATCGATTTATCATTACCCAAGTAAGTTGCCCTTATTGAAACTACTTTTAAGGCGCCTCTAGATACAACAATTGTCGATTTCTGGGCGATGATTGCGCAAGAAAAATCGGAGGTAATAGAATTGGTCTAATATTTACATAAATTTAATTATTTTCAGCATATTGTAATGATATGTGATTTTATTGAAGATGGTAAATCCAAATGCAGCGAGTACTTTCCTCGAGAAAGAGGTCGCAAAAAAATTTTTGAGAACTTTGAAATCACTTGTATGGCATCAGAACAAATAAAAAGTGTAAGAAAATAAATATATCGGGGGTAAGGTAGTATACTTAATTTTATGACGTAATCTTGTAAAATTTTTGAAAAAAAAATGATAAAACAAATTCGTTTTAAAAGTTCCTGTCTCTTTAATTTTGAAAGAAATCTCAGAATGTGATTTTCGAATTCAGCGCCGTTGATAACCCCAACAGTCGGTCTGGTTTCAAAACTATGAAAGAATAAAAGAAAATCTCAAAAATACACGTAATTTTCGAATTCAGCGCCTTTGATAACCCCACGAGTCGATCTGTTTCCAAAGCTCTAAAAAATATTTTGAATATTCAATAATCAGAATAAAAAATGTAAGCCTTAAAAAAATTATTGTAATTTTCGGATTCAATGCGCCGAACTACCTCAAAATCGACATTTTTTAACCATCTCTACTATTTTTTTCAAAGATTTTACAAGATTACGTCATAAAATTAATCAGTAGTTTAAAAAAATATAATTATTTTATGCATGTATTATTCTAATTTTTCATTATGGGGGTTTGAAACGGGCAGAACAGTGGGGGTTTGAATTACCTTTCCTGGGGGGCTGAACTCGGAAGGCCCCAATATATCTTACAGGGGAAGTACCCCCAAAGGCGACATTCAGATGAAACAGATTTAGAGTAATTCTTTCTATAATATTTACGAGAGGCTCGCGCTTTGCAGAAACAACCGAGATTCTTAAATCAGTCGGCGAAAATTTGTCAATTTTCGCCGAATTTGAATTTCGACAGGAAAAGTTTCCTGGCCGTTTCTAACATAGAGGGCAATGTTTCCACAAAAAATTAATTTTTCCGCATGAAACTAGCGAATTTATGGCCAAAAGGGGTTTTCTCTCTGATGCCTCTCCAGTTTTAGCGTACTCTCTCGGCGACAAGGAACGTTCAATATCTGGGTCGGAAGCGCGAACTAAGACTTTCAGGAATCAATATTTAGTCGATGCCCGACGTGTGCGCAAGAGTTGAATAAAATCTGAGCGTCGCACTTGGGGTACTTCCCTTTTTAGACGAATTCAACCAGTGTTGTCATCTCTAGACTCAAACTGAGTTCTGTCAATGGAAGTTTTAATCTGACCCATTACTTTTTAAACAATTGGCCTGATAGGAAAGTTCCGGATGATCCAAAAATACTGATCAAGATTATGAGTATGATCAGAGTGTCCAGGTAAATATGTTGTAGCTAAAATTGCGAAAGTGTTTCGTCATCTTGACTAGTATGTACTTGCAGAAATCCGATCGTTGTTCATTGTTCAACTGGGATTGGTCGATCTGGAACTTTCGTGGGGATCGAATTGATGTTAGAAACAGTGTCCTGTAATCTCCCCTTGCCTCACCCGAATCTCTTAGATTTTCTCAGACGACAAAGAGCTCATGCCATCAGTGTAGGATTCATATAAACACATGGTTAATGTCGGCCAATTTCAGACCGATCTCCAATATGTTTTCATTTTCGATTTCATACTTGACTACTTCCGAACAGAACATATAATCTCCCAGTATGTGATCACGGGAATTCAAAAATTCCATGAAGAATTCGAAAACTTGAAGGCATCAAACAAAGGCCTCAAATAAAACATGATTTTTAATTACACCTGAATGAAAATAAATATCAATCTTTATTAAATTTTTATATTCTTCTTACACGCATCGGAACAATAATTTATAAACAATGGTGATATCGAGACTCCCAAGAAAATACCTAGCTTTTCTTCCATTTGAATTTACTCAGATCAGGTTTCCGATGTAAGAAAGTGCAGCCGTAAGTGTTGCAGGCCATCCCATATACGCATAATGGGGGATGTTTGAACTCACAGGCGGTGTTCTCACATCTTCCTTTGAATTTACACATTATTTGGGATTTGAAAACGGGAACTGGCACTGTTTTTTGGAGGGGTCTAAAACAAATACAAAATAATTTAGGGATAATTAAAACGTAAAAATGTAAAACCTCAAAAGATTTCTTTCTTCAGAAGTAACTTACACCGCCCCTTCCACATGAGTAAATGGGCAATTCGGCTTCTTACAGGTGATCCCGTATTTGCATAATGGATGAATATACAAGCATTTGTTCCCATAAAAACAACTCGGGAACTTAGCACAGGTCTGGGTTGGATGTATATAAGGACAAGACGCTCCTTTCGTACAATTGGGCCAAAACCTGCAACGCTCATTTATGGGGATCGTGGGCGTTGGTTGGGATACTTCTGGTTGAAAGGCAGTGGTTTGAGCAAGTACTAACATAGTTTTTTGTTGCGACGCATATAAATGTGGTCGAGAGAGGGCTGCTGTTGGAGGTAGCTGAGCATCAAGCACATGTCGTTCTTGGACTGCACTGGCCACAAAAGCATCAATTTCGGCTTCTGAAAAGTATAACTTGGGAGAGTTGAGTAACCCTACCTTCCCCATCTTCACTACTGCTGTCATCAATCGTGATCTGCCCATTCCATCCGGAGAATGAAGGGGTTTTGGATTGTGGCTCACTCTAAATGAAAAAAATAAACTATTCTATTTACATAAACACTTACCGAAGATGACTCTGGATTGGACACTACCTCCTTCTTCGGACTCTCCTCCGACTTTTTTGACTTCTCAACCACTTCGAGTGTACTCTTCTTCACCTTGTTTAATTCCATACCCATTAGCCGAGCGACAGTCCTCACTAAAAAACAAATCGAACCAATTATAGAAACACTTACAAGGATCATCGGCTCTTCTTTTTCGCACCGTTTTATTTTTTGATTGTTTCACTGGTTCAAAATCCATCACTGGATCTGGAGGGTCAGCTTGGACTCCCGTTTCCTTGGTCTCCACCATTACCCGAGTCTCCGAATGCTCTGATCGTCTTCTGGACGAACCTTCCACATTCACATGGCTATTGAGACTGGCAGATGAGATCGCCTTTTTGAAGATCGCCGCATTCTTATTCACAAATATCCTAAAAATCCCCAGTCTCAATGCAGTAGAATGTCATTTTTTGTTTGTCGTAGTGTCTTTCTGTCAATTTCCAAAGTCTCCAATAGGGGGGCCCAAAGGGACCCCCTAATTTCTGGTATAAAATATTGATAGCAGACAAACTCACTTTGATGAAGCTTCGATTTTATTATCAGCATCCTCATCTTCATGCCGTCTATGAGGTTTGTGATGCTTTCTATGTTGTTTATCTTCCTCCTCTTGATTTACTTCTATGGGTTTAGTATTAGTAACTATGCAACCTAATTGAGATCGAAGTCGCGGTTTAAATTTAGGCCTTCTGGAAGTTAGTTCTCCTTCTTCAATCGATTCGTCGTCTGATATAACATGAATATCTTCCTCGTCATCCGATATCACATCGTACCTTAGAGTATGTTTCTCTGCATTATATACCGGCGATGGGGTCCTTTTCTTCTTCTTATGTTTCTTTTTCTCTTTCTCGTGATGCTTTCGTACCGGAGATGGGGACCTATCAGTATCCCTCCGCTTCTTCTTGATCTTATGTTTGGGACCTTGTATTTGTTCGAATGTATTCAAAAAGCCCTCAGGAGTTTCCTGAAAGAAATAATCTAAATTATAAACCAATACTTACTTCTCTTTTGTCCTTCTTTTTTTTCACCTTTTTCTTTTTCTCTTTGCTCTCAAACTCAACCAAAATGTGTCTTTTGCCGCGATCAAACTTCTCTAAAGCATTTCCATTCTCCTGAGGTAGGTTCTTAATTGAATCCGAAAGTCTTCTAAAAACGCAAACCTTATATCCAACTATAACTTACTTTTCGGATTCTGGAGGCTTTGGAGGAGCGATTCCCTTTTGTATTCTGTCAAATGCATCGAATAACCTAAACGCAAAGTAAAAAACCGTATTCAACGTACCAATCCACAAATGCTGCTGTGCTTTTGCCCAAGAATATCTGCAGATCATCTCTCATTAACTGTTTATCTTTCTTATTTGCGGCCAAAACCATTACATAGTCTGGCAGCTCATCGTCCGCATCAACACCCAACTCCTGGATCTTTGCTTTTATAGCCAACTAAACATAATGATTAAACTGGTTACCAGTAGCACTATAAAAGAAACAGAAACTAGCTTACTCTTAACTTTTTAGTAAACGCGGCATTTGAGGAAGCCATTGATATTCTTCATCCGCAATTCAAACCGTATTTCATAATTTTTCGCAATTTTTTGCAGATAAAATGACAGAATGACAGAAATGTGTGGCCATTGTTTTCGTTGCGGGACGTTGGAAAATGTATGTGTATTTATTTTTCGTTTTATTTTTTGGCAAATTTCATGAAGCTGATCTATATTCTTTCGCCATGCTACCTCAGAATGTGAGCCCATATCCCTCCCCTCCAGAATATGCGTTAAATTATACCAATGATAATATAAGATCCGGGAGTATTCCAAAACCCCCTCCTGTACCATTGAAGTTCAAAGTCTTCAATGAGGAGTACAATCTAGAAGGAGTGAGTGTTGTTGTACCAGTTTATCCTGGATTTAGCCAATGATGCCGTCTTTGCAAGACTTGGAGATCACCAAATATTATAATTCGAAGGAACCCTGGAAAGCCGAGCTCAGGAAACTCAACTTTAGTGTGGTCGCCGCATTTCTAGACCTTTTAGATATTCTTATAAAGTGAGTATATTGCAAGATTCGTTTTAATTCTTTAGAAATCCACAGCATCCTGAAAGAAAAGAAAAGATTGAAACTATCAGGACCTTATTTATCAACATGCATCATTTAATTAACGAACGACGGCCTGTTCAAGCTCGTGAAACTTTGGTCGAGATGATGAGGAAACAAAATAGAGATTTATCAGTAAGTGGACATTATTTGGGATTGTGAATGATTATTATTTTTTTTCAGAATGTAATAACCAGACTCAAACTTCTTCTTTCCAACGTCGGATCAAAACTGAACGAAATGCACAAAGAGATTGAAGAATGCACTATAGAATTAACTATTCCTGAATGTTCTACATCCTCCATTTCGCCTCCTGAACGTAAGATTCGGTTAAATGGATGCAATTTTTTTTAGATAAAGTTATGACGTATAATATAATACAAGACAGAAGACTCACGAAGAAGCAAGTGAAAATGCAGGAATTCAAGTGCAAGGATGAAGCCTTGTTAAAACACATGAAATTATTAACTTTGGCCGAAGAAGATAAGACCGAATACACGGATACATTCAATGATGATGATCTGGCTGATGTAGAAGAGAATGTCATTGATGAAGAGGAAAACGAAGAAAGTACCCTTAGTGAAAGCTCAGAAATTAACGAGGATGACTTTATTGAAGACGATAAAAGCTCGGAATCAGAAGAAGCCGTTAAAGATTCGGTCATGGATGTTACTGTGGAGTATATGGATGACGATGAAGACGACGAAGATGAGGATGAAGAGGATCTAGACGATGTAATGGACGACTCCGATGAGGATAAAGCTTCCGGTTCACCTCAAGTAGGTTTAATATAATTTGATTTTATTCCTTCATATTTAGTCAGCGATATCGGCTGAAAATACAAGTGGACTGGAACCACCATCAGAGTTTGTAGATGATAAGCCAAGGCCAGAAGAGCCTATGGAACCCGAGATTAACATGATGCCCGAACAAGAGAACTCTCAGCAGTTCCCAATGTCTCCAGAATTGGATAATCAAAACGATTCTGGAGATAATTCGGACCCTGAGGCAGTTCAATGAGGAGGGTTATTTACTTATTTATTTTGTATTCTCTAATTTATTGTTACAGACTATAGCTTTGATGTCTAGAAGTTTATTCCTGATAAAACGAGGCTAATGATTGGGAGCTCTTCTTCCGCGAGTCAATTTGGGGCCAGGACTTGGGTGAATGTGTTTTGATTCGTCGAAACTTTGATCGAACACCGACGCCTGACTGCTGACTGGATTGACCTGTCTTTGTGATGGGGTGGTTTGTTTATAATAACCCTCACTCCAAGCCAGATCTCTGTCAGTATCAGCAGAACTGAAGGGGCTGATATAATCTTCTTCCTGGTAGACCTTTCCTCTGTAAAGATCGGCGTCGATCGTTTTCTCAATTTCCTTTTCTTCAAAGGGATGGCCGAACAGGTTGACAGCATCCGGGTGGTGAAGCTAAATTAAGTGTTATGTTTGCAAGTCGACCAACCTCCAGTTGATCCCCATATTTTTCTTTCAAGAAGTTTCGGTCGAATTCGCTCCAGATTTTGGCAGTTCTGATCTGATTGAAGTCGTGATCATGTTCGTCAGCCAATTGATCTTGGGCCGCATTACTCTTGTATTCCCGATTTCTGTTGCATCTTCTCTCATAGACAAGAGGTCTGTAAATGTAATCTAACACTATTTTTTCTACATACAGGATGGTGTTTCTTCTTTCATCCACTTCAAATGTCTGAGATTCCCACTTGGCGGCCTTCTCAGATCCCAAAACCGCGGCTTCCATTCTTCTGAATCTCTTGAGATCCAATTCTCTGTAGACAACCGACTGATGAAGGGTCATCTTGCCCGCAGGCACATTACTCCGATCCATTTCGGCCAATTGGTCGTACTTTCTCTTCACATTGACCATTGATTCAGGACCAACTGCAATATTGATGTAGGCATTGTAGATGGGTCTGTTGTCATCGTCGAAGGGCTGTCTTCTAGCATACACAAATCGGAGTGGACTGTATAGATAGATATCACTGGCGTTGACGGTCTTGGGATTATTGCCAAAGTCCGAGATATAGAAGGTAAAGAGATCTTCGATATCATTCGCAATCTTGATAACATCTTGGAATCTAAAACCATTATTAACTGTAAATTCAACATACTCAATGTAACCGCGATGATACCAACGGGCGACTTGGAGTCCCACAAACAATTGGCGTTCTCCCTCGGTCCAATCCCGTTTTACAAAAAAGATCTGATCATTTCTATTCACATACTACAAGAGGTTTGTTTATCTCAAAGCACTACTTACACTTGGACGCTTCTTCATATCGGGTGTGGCATTCTTTTCAGCAGCAATCTTGTCGCTTACCTTGTAAAATTCCATAGGGTCTTGATCATTGGAAATATCGAGAACATCCCTACTCCAACCTTCGTCCAGAGGGGGGATCGGGATGGTTAATTGTACCAAGTAGTACTTCTCAAGAAGAGTTTTCTCATCCTCGCTGTCGAATATTGGATGGAAATCTTTGGCTGCCAATCTCGACGCTCTAAGAAGTCTTTTGAGGAATTCTGGCTTTAAGGCTCTGGTATCACCGATTACGGTAGTCATCTCCTCTCTTAAAGATCTCTCTTTTTCACTCTCAGAAACGTAACTGGTGTTTACTAAAGTTTTTGTAGGATTAATGCAATTTTTTCTTACCATTCCAAACTTCCATACACTTCTTTTTATCGATTCCCTTGCTGACAAATGGGTGTTCTCTCGCTTTGACAAGATCCATCCGGTCTTCTGAATCAAAGGCCATCAATTTGGACAGGAAATCAACAACATGGGGATTGTAGATACAGTTTTCTCCATCGTATGTTTTCGGAGCAAACTTCTTCAATCTTGGAGGATTGGCTCTACGATTGAGCTAAAAATAAATGAATTTAATCCTCACAAAACCGCAATCTTTCATTTGGAGGAGAGCGGGTAATCATCAGATTTTTTGTTCAAAACCGTTTGACTTCCTAGCTGGTGATTTCAGATGGAAGCCGACTTACGCCCCTGAGCCATTGTGTGGCAAGTTGCGACATGGCTATGGAAATTCGATCTGCCTCAAATGAAAGGTAGCCATGCCATAAGTAACAACAAACATGATGGAAAGATGACAGCGATTCTAACACTATACTTTGGCTAGCCAATCCAAATTCCGGGTTAGATACGGCCAAAAAATTGGGTGACTGAAATTATGGGAGCCCGAATATGCTCCACCCGGATTTACATCACCCAAAAGGGTTACCCGAACCTGCGTCACCCATAACTTCTCGACCCCAAAAAATTGACTGCCACGGCAACACATCGGCTAGCTAGTCAAACAATTTTGCAGCATGACTATGAAAATTTAATCTTTACTCGATCTGCCACAAATGGAATCTGCCCCGAATGAAGGGCGGCAGGCAAAACATCTTACGTAATCCAACAAAATGCTCTTGGCGTCGGCTGCACAATGGCGGAATCTCTTGCCACTAATAATCTCCATGGTCAAGAGTCCTAGGCCCCAATAATCGATGCTGGGTTTTATCTCTCCACTTTCCTTCAACACTTCTGGAGGATAGAGATTATGGTCGCCGAGAAAGACCCAGTTCCTAAAAAAACAAAGAGAGTTTGAATAGTCCAGTGGAAGTGTGGCGGCTTTCCATTCAAATGATCGGGAGTTCGAGTCCGATCAGAGGCCATGATGATTTTACGCGAGCACTGGGCTCTGACGGTTACTGAGTTGATAATTCGCGTACTGAGTCTCTTTTTTTCTTGACCTTGTGTTATTGCAACATAGAAACAACCTGAACTTTCTCCAAAAAACGAAGATGCGTAAGTTCTAGCTGGATATTTTTGCAGTAATACATGTAAAATACCTCAAAATAAGGGATAAACTATTGGACTTGGTCAATGTTATCATTTCGGCAAATCGAAGTAACCCAAAGTATCTTCAACCCGAACTGTCGCTGATCCGAAAAGTCGTAGCGCCATTTTTTTGACTACAGAAAGCTTTTTGTCAGCAGCCATTTTTTAGGGTTCAAAGACTTACGTGCTTCTAATGTTTCTGGCATATCCAAATCCTCCCAACTTCACATAACAATTCTCGTTCATGTACAAATTGAGACTCTGCAACTGAGTATGGACATATCCCTTGGAATGGATATATCTGAGCGCTTTAATCACCGGTCTCAGCACCATGGCCACGCAATCTCTGTGGAAGAGAGCGATGGCATTTGGTTTGGTCTCACCTTGAACTCTGAAACTACAGTAACCCAAGAGCTTCTTACATTTTTCTGGCTTCAATTTTTTCCTTAAGAGAAAGAAAAGCGGGGAAAAGAAGACCCAGGTACTGACGGTGTCTGAAGACGCCCAGCAGATTCATCAGACGCTTGTGGGACTCCAATTTCTCCAGAATCTCAATCTCCCTCAACTGGAACATAATTATATTTTGGTGTCATCTTCCCGTCTTACAAGATGTTGGACGGCATCTTCATCCACAAGTTCGTTGATTCGAAGAGTCATTTGCCATTTCTCGACCTTCTCTTGAACCAGATGAGTCTCCTGTACGGGCTGATTGCCCTGATCATAATGCTTCTCCAGGCATCCGAGCACGTTGAACGATTCAATTCTTGGCACAATTCCCCTGAAATTTACAGAATACAGCATGCCCCCAATGTTACAGTACTCACTTCTTTATTTTCTCCTCGAGAGCGAGCAAACGTGTGCCCACACTGGCCATGATTGGGGATCGTAATTAATCACGGCTACTTTTTCTCCACAAATGAGCTCCGAATAATTATGTTCACAAAAATTTGCATAATCTTTCGAAACTCCAAAGCTGGGTATTCCCGGAATGGGATCGGTTCATTTTTGATCGAAATGCATCGAGTGCACGGTCTTCTTCTTCTTCTTCTCATTGCTGGAGCCTGCTTCGGAGTTGAGTACCAGTTCGTCAAACCGGGCAAGTTGGATCATCTGATACCGCATCCGGTCTTCAAATTGTCCGCTCTCTCCATCAAAGAAGAATTCTACTCTTCCCCTGAGGTCACCAAAGAAGGATTTTTGTAAGTTTTGGGCTCGGAGACTTATCTTTCAGCCGCTATGACATCAAGGCTGCCGTCGCGACCAACAAACAAGGATTCTACGGGCTTTTAAAACCCAATTATAAGATCAAATTCAACTTGGACAATTGCAAAAATAAGCCATCTGAGCAGATCTCTTCCCCTTTTTGTCTTTGCTTCACTACCGATGGAAATAAACCTCCAGATGCTGAGGCTGTAAGGGTTTGGAGTTGTATAATACACTGAATATTCAGGTGTGCGGAGAGAACAAGAATGATTGGTCCTACGTCTGTTTGATTAAAGGCAACAAAGTCAAGTATTGGAACGGCGAAAAAATCGAGGAAAGTAAAGAGGAAAACTGCAAAAGTGCCGTTCTTTCTGTCAACGGTGATGTAAGTGCCTTACCAACCCCTTTATGCTGCTCTTAAAGTCCATGCAAATAGGATGTGGAACAGGATCCAATGATGAAAACGTCCTCACTAAGACAGCGCCCCCACCCAAGATCACCGGAGAATATATACGGGGCAAACCTTACAAGGTTCAGATGATCAATCTTTATTTTAACCCCTGTGGATCCGCTGAAATGGTAAGGAACCGGTCGATCAGTGCATAACATTGTAGAATGATCTCTATTACACTCAAAACTTCCATCTGACCGCAGAACCCACGGCCGTGCAGGTCTCTGTTCCCGAAGATTCTTCGGATGAATCGACTTGTCCCGAATGTGAATGTAAAGTGGATGTCCCGAGATTCGCCATTGCTGGAGCTCCCAAATTCTTTGGATTTTACACTCCTCTTCTGGTCGTTCTTGTTTATTTCCTCTTCTTGTAAAAATAGATTTTTGAAGTTTTATTTTCCCGTCAACTTTATTTCGTCTTGGCGTTTTGTTTATTACCGTAATCTAAACATTCTTACAATTTTTACTAAAGTTTTGCCTAATAATAAGGAAAGAAAGGTTGTTTTTGAACAGAAGCTACAGTAATCCAGATTTCCCAAAAATTTTTCATAACGCGGCAAATTTTGATACCTCTGTTTAGAAGTGCTCTCTGCATTACCGTTCGAATGAGCCTATGACACAAAAATGTAGCTTTGAAAAGCTACATTGTTGTCCGGGACTGCCGTGTCCTGATTTAGAGCCTCTTCTTTCCAATCGGTTACCATGGAAATAATTAGGGTACCCGATTCGCTACGAGGACACGTCTCTTATAATTTTATTTCGGTTATACGGCGGCAATGTTGAGAATAATATTTGTATGCTCTGTACTTACAACTTCTAGTTATGCATGTCATTGTGGGAAAGATATGACTCTCGATAATGTTATGAGTTGGTGTAATTGGGGTAAGGGGGGAGACGTATCTTCAGACCTATTTTAGCCTCTCATATTCGAATTATGGGGATTCAGAAAGGAAAAACTGTGGCTGATCCTATTATTTACAGTATAAAACATGTTGAAGAGTTCAAGGTAAGCATTGTTAATTTGATTACATGATTACAGTATGACAAACTGCCATTACCCGAAACGATGGAGACCGCAAGTAGGGAAGCCTTGTGCGGAGTGCCTCATCTGGAAGTGGGCGAGGAGTATTTTGTTGGAGGTAGTTCCCGAAATTTGAATTATAATACAAACATAATATTTTAAGGGTTTCTATCCAAAGATATCCTCAGGCTCGAGAAATGCGCGCAGCCTTACATCGAGATGTACAATGGGACAGGAATAGGGAAGGCCCCTCCCAGGTGGAGATCTATCACCGAAAAAAACATCAAAAATCTCCATAATCTGAAGGAAAAATTCTTATTGAACCGTAAAGAACTCTGAGTAAAGGCATCTACAATATCACTGAAGACCTGTTTCTCGATAACCGTTGATCTGAGGTGTTTTCGGACGGGGATTGTAGCCATAGGAACGGGTGCATTGCCGGGAAAGCCGGTCCACCCTTGAGCAAAGACCTTGGAGATGGGAAGCGACTTGTTGTTGGCGAGATCGGAGGGAACGGAGGCGCTCCTCGGTCTCCGTAAACGCCTGAATTCGTTTGATCAGACGTATTTCAAATTTCACGTTAAAACTTATTTGGAATGAAAGAATTTACGATAATTGTGCATCAAACCTCGGGCGCAGTTCGCAAAAATATTTTTTTTGAAGTTCTACCGTAATACTGGAACACTTACCCTCCTGATGGTGATGGCATCGTCCTCTTCTTCTTGTCGCATTCTCAGTTTCCATCTGCATTTTCTGAAGTCGATAACTGACTGTAAAAGTTTTCTCTGAGCCAATCTCAAGTGGAATAACTCTTTTTTGGAGTTATTTCTGCCGCTCTCGACTCTCCTCTGCCATCTAACTACTCTCCAAGTGGATTGTAAAACAACTGCTGCTGCATTTTTGTGACTAAAAAGTATTCAGATCAAACAATTCAGTTGTAAGCCTACTTATTAGCTAATTGGGATTCAGCGATTACTTGATTTACGCGTTTCTCGGCCAAAGAAAGCAACATTCTTTGGCTAAGTAGTACTGTAATCAAAGACGAGAAGATGGCGCCCTAAAAGATGGGAATATTGATCGTAAACATACCACAACACCGGTCAATATAGCCAGAGATCTTCCACAATAGGTCTGAACTTGGAGATCACCATAACCAATGGCAAAGAAGGTCTAAAATAATCCCATTATAGTGATACGAGCCTTACCACAGCCTCGAACCAAGCGTAATCACTGAGATAATGGAAGGTATTGTAGTGATTGCCTGAGGCATATCGTTCACATTGGGTCATAATCCAACTGGAACAGGCCCAGAAAGTCAAGGATACTGTAATGACGAAGGTCAGAGGTCGATCACAGATAATGCTCTTCAGAACGAACGGGAAATCAACCGAAACTCGGTTAAAAGAGGCTATTGCTCGGGTTGCAGCGTCCTAAAAATAATCAAATATAAATCTGTGGAGTCGGCTATGTTACACTGCAATATTTTTAACCATACCTGTATGATCATGGAATGAAAAATCATCGCTCTGCCGACAAGATAGAGTCTAAAAAACATGGGGAGCGTCAAGAGGACATTCAGTGGAATATGTGCTCTCTTGTTATTGATAATACTCTGGTTGAGGACCGGCCAATCCACATGAGAATGGCCAGGGAAAGGACACAGGGAACAAACTGCCAACTCCAGACATAACTTCAGCTTCCTCTTCGCACTCATCGTCAACAATTGATGGCCTGTATCTGCTGACAGAATCTGGCGAAACGAGTTATTTAGACATGTAGACATACAACTTACTGCAACTTCAGTCCAATGATGACAAACAATCAAGAAATCCAAGGCCAAGGTCATGGAGATGATGACGAATCGGATGAAATGTGAGAAAATCTGACTGTGGAAGGGTCCCTCTTCATCTCTGGGGACCTCTGACTTCTGAATAACCACGGAATATTCTACATCTAGAACGGCCAAGGCTAGGCCAGCCAGAGCCAGATAGACGCACCAATCATTCACCTACAACAACATGATATCTGATCTCCTTTTCCATTACCTTTAACCGTTGTTCACATAACTTTTGTCTTCTCAGATATCTCTCCTGGATGGTCTCCTTGGTGCTGATAGCTATACCATACCTCTTGGATTGCCGTTGCTTGGATGATCGTCGTCTTCTCAAGGGTGTGTGTTCACCTTCTTCTTCCTCATCACGGAACGATCGCAGAGCTGGAACCCAGAAACATAGAAACCAACGGTCCCCGTCCATCCGACCTCTCCTCTGTGCGGCTACAGGGACATCAGACGGGCCCGGTTTATTCCCTTCAGAATTATTTTTTCATCCCAAAGAACTCTTGGCCATGCCCGGAGGCCACAGCCAACCTTTTTAAAGTGAAAGAAACATGACGTGCCGGATTTTACGGCGGTGAACTGTTGGAGTTAATTTAAGGTAAATGGGGAGATGGAAGATGTTCCCTCCCCGCCGCGGGGCATGTTTATTCGGCCAACCAAAGGTACATAAGAGAGAAGTTATTTTGGACCGAAAAATTATGTTTGCACGATATAATTATCATCATTACGTCATTTAAATGTACATCATTCTATGCTGTTATACATTACTTAAACTAGTGATAAATAAATGAATAACTTACGGACAGACGAGTAGAGGGTTACCTTGGTCGCCTCCTTGGCCAAGCCAAACATGCCCAGTCTAGCCGCCGCTGACATGTTGTTGTTGTTATCGGTGCATGGGAATCGAATGGACTCTGAAGACATTCAAACAGTTGAAAGGGGGATTAAGGCCAAAATCTCCATAGTAAGACCCGGTTAATGCCCTCGGTATCACGGTGCCAAGAGTCGACTCGACATTTATTCAGTCAAATATTTGAAAAAATTTTTGTTTCTTGACGATTTTGGCTAATTTAAGTAGAGGAAATTGGGGCCTTAATATCTCTCACGCTAAGATTACCGGTAAAAAGTGGAAGAAAAAAACCAAAAACCATATTGGGCCTTTCTAAAGTGCATACGAGATGACTTACCATTATCCACCATCATCATACATCTAACAGACATTCTAATTCAGCTGTAAATGAGCCCCAAGGACCTATTTATATCCCTTTATAACCAATTCGGTTCCAATTCCCGATCCATAGCAACACAAAAAAGCTGTAAGTTTAGCATAATGCGACTAGTCCTAAAGAAACACTTTTCACTTCCAATGATTTTCCTACTGATCACAGTTTAAGTAAAGTAATCACTTGAACCCAAAACGCCCCTAGGGCAAGAATGAAGGGATGCATTGAGAAGCGAAATCCGCATCGGATCCAGGATTTTCGGAGGCAGAATCCCCTGAGGCGTTCCGCGGGAGCTCAGGTAAGAAAAGGCGTTCCGGGAGCCAATCCTTTCCTCGTGCCCTAAGGGCCTTTTAAGTGGCGGGGACAATCGAAAAATCGAAGAATTTTTGCAGTTCGGGGGGGGGGCATTGGAATGTGGAAAACTATCGAAATCCGATGCCAAAAAGGACGCGAACGGCCGAGGATATTCTCGAATTAGACTAATTTGCATATAAATGTTCCCATAAAACGAGCGCCGGCAAGTGTTCTGGCAGAAGTCAGAAAGGAAGGGAATTAAAAATGGAATTCGGTTCCTTCGATTTGATTAGGTTTGGACTTGCCGTGCCTCCGAACTTCCCCAAATCCGGAAGTCCGCCACTCCCAGGTTCACTACTTTATTCAATATGTATACCAAAGGTCACATGCTATCTTTTGGTTACATCTAAAATCACTACTTTCTTCATACTTAGGTTTGTAAATGCCCCGGAAATTGGGGACCATGTAATCCCTGCTTAATTCAAAGACCAAGAAATCCTGTTTTTGACTTTGAATTCCAGATAAATACAAAGTAAAATCTTACTTTTACACCGTCTACTCTTAGTTCATTTTAGAATTTAATAAAATTATACAGAAGAAAGGAGAAAAAAGTCTTTGTGTGGCCACTTAACAATCAATTTTGGGGGATTAACAAAAAAAAACTTAACAGCTCCAGACCCAACTCATAAAAATGGGAAATCAAACGCCCTCGGGGTTCGAAGCCTAAGATTATTGAAAACTCAAAATGATCGTAAAGGGTAATTAAAATACAAAAAAAACGAAGACAAAAACAATAACCGGCCTTAAATTAACTCCCATTGCCTGAGGGAATAAACAGAACTACCAAGAGTATTCCACGTCCAATTCAAATATTTTCTCAGCAAGATGGTGTGAAGTCGATGTCCTTCTAAGTGGCCAGAGAATGAGTCTTGTTTACTCAGTGCAGTATAACCAACATATTTCGTTATGCAAAAAATCGTGTAATTTTTTCTAAGAAAGTCAAATCAAAGTCAACATTAATTGTAAGTTTTGTCCAAGTTTTCGCAGTATGAGACCCTGAGTGACCTCAGAACACCGAATTTTCAGCTTTCGGTAAAAAAACTCGGCGGTTTCTACCACCAGCAAAGTTATGGCTAAAAAATTTTTTCTCTCGAACCGCTCTCCACGTTTAACGTACTCTTTCGGCGGCAAAGACCGTTCAATATCTCAGCGGCGCTTAGAAAGCACCAGATAAAACTTTCAGGATTCATATTTGCTCGCGCTCGACGTGCGTGCAGAATTTAAACTCTGGGTATAATTACATTCCCTGTAAGTTTAAAATCCTGATATACGAAACTTTCAAACGCAATTTTAACATAGACTGTGATGTATGTCGCTAATATTAGTTGCAACTAGTTTTACTGCTTTTTTCATCGGTCAGTCGAGTACTAGTTTCCAAGGGCTTTCCAACGGCGTATATCACTTGCCGTTTAGTGATGATCAGGTTGTACACTTCATAGTTGAATACCGTCATTATTCGTCGTACCTAATTTTGCTGGTATTTCATCTATCGTTTTGGCAAGGAGTAATTTAGCTAATAAAATTTTTAAATTCATACGCTTTTTAGCAAAATTCTGTTTTTAAATTTAAAAATGACAGAACAACTTTAACAACACCTTTCTATACAACACGCGAGAAAATTTTGACGTTAGCCATTTGACTGTGAATACATGTTTATCAAAAAAATTTTAAGTGAAGATAAAATACAGGTTAGTCAGATAATGATATTATAGTAAAATCTCAGCATCTCGAAATTTGTTGGTTTATGATTGACTGTATATAAGACTGATCCTGAAAAGACGTTACCCCAAAGAAAACAGTAAGCCTTACTTTTCTCTTTACTTCATCCTCCAATCTCTTTATTTCAGTTTCAAGTTTGACACATCCTTCAAATAATGATGTATTTTCTTCTTCAAATTTTTTTATCTCATCTTGCTTTGCTCTAAAATAAATGATAGATAAAGCGACCATAAATGCAAATCTTACTTATTTTCCTGGCCAAGGCTTGCCAGTTCTTGAGAATACTTTTCTCGGAGCTGTTCAACATGGCGCAATGATGCTTGGAGCTCCTAAAACGCGCAGAATAAGACCAAACCTAGCGCAAAATGTCAAACAAAGAAGTTTACAATATAAAACAAAGGGTCTGAGAACTAAAAATACTTTTCCCCACAAAGCATAACTGAAAATAAGGCACGCAAGTAGTAAAAAGTGATGAATAAGTAACTTTACTAGTGAAATGAAGTAGTAGTAGTGAAACAGTAACAGTTGCATTTTTTGCAGAAAATGGTCAAGATTGGGTTATTGAAAACGCAGAAAATAAAATCAATACTCCAAGATATTGCTTAGACGACTTATTAATTGAATTTTGAAAAAAGTAAGAATGATTTATGCAAACCACGTCTGAATAAATTCTCTAATGTTCTATAAAATGACTTATTCATCATTTTTTACTACTTCCGTGCCTTATTTTTACAAAATTATGCTTTCTGGGGAAAATAGGACTTTTTCTATAATCACCTTTTCTGGGGAAAACTATTTTTAATTCTGGGCGAAAATATTTTTCCCTAAAGCAAATGCCTAAACAATCGCACCTACCATTTCGCTTCTCCGAACCAGATCGTCGTACACATGGTTGATCCTATCCTTGAGGCCCTTCAGTTCTCTGTTATTCGAAACCAGATGGTCTAATTGATGTTCTTGTTGCTTCAGATTATGTTGAATCCCTTCCACCGGAGACCTTTCTAAACCGAAACTTCAATAATCAACAAAACAGTTACCTTTCTCCTTATTCTCGGCATTTCCCTCTATGTTAATCACCATCATTTTCCACATGCTCTTTACAGTTTCACTGGCCATTAACCGGGCTCCTGGATTTGGTCCCGCTGATTGAAGTTCGGCAGTGGGAACACTAAATAATAAAGAACTACTCGTGAAAAGATCTTACCTGTCAGAGGTATTTTGTCCTAGTAACCCGATCAAACTCTCCATCTAGAAAAAATATAACGATAAAATCAAACTGGTTTAAACAGCACAGATCATAAGAAATATTTGCGTATTGAGACAACAATAAAGTACAAAGACCGAAATATTATAAATGCAATTTATTCCTAATCTAAAGCCGTTGCCAACGCTCTGGAGGCCAAATAACTCGGGTCACTTTCCCTTCGAAGAGCCCAATATTCACTGGACCAAAGTGCGTTGAATCTATTGCATTCTTCGGGTTGTCAGCTCTAACCCAATAATGATGAGGTGGAACAACAAATCTTAAAAAATTAAATCAGAGAACGAAAAGAAGTAAAGAAATGAAATAGATAATCACCTTGTTGAATCTTTCCAATGCACTAATTCTCCTGGCTCAGCTGATATCCTTTTGATCAATCGTTGCTTCTCATCCCTCGGCGATCTAAACTTTGAAATAAATGGGAATAAGCAACTTACATAAAAACAAATATTTCTTTTTCATGGGGGCGGATAAATTGTTTCCTGAGCCAAACTACGTCGTTCTTCCACCAGCGAGAATCTGATCCATGCAAGGTCGGCTAAAACAACTCAAGATTTACGGCAAAGACAAGAAACTCGACAATAAGACACGGCAGTTTGTACTCACTTCCATTGATGTTCCCTCAATAAATGCGGGTTGCCCGATTCCGTCGAGAAATGCGATCGGGACGCATATCAATCCAACGCCACGACCTATTTTCTTAACCAATCTCCATGCCATCTACCTCGCAATCAAAATTTCTCCCGACAAAAAAGAAAAATTCACCAAAAGTCCGATTTTAAAAAATAAATTTATTTTTTGACGCTATGACAGAATGCCAGAAATCCCAAAATTGTGTCATTTTCATGCTTTGAAATAAAGGAGTGCCAAGACTTACTTAGAAACTCAATAAACATCATTTTAGGCTAAAATAAAATTTGTAAAACTATGAAAAATTGAGCGGAAGGGGGTTTATGTGGAACTGTAAGTCAACCTGCGATGGATTTTTCACCCCTAAAACCCAAAATTGGGCATCTATTTTTTACATATAAGAGGGGTTCCGGGTAAATCCAATTTTTTTCGACCATGATGCTCAGCCACACGTTTCGCCATACCGACTTTTATGTCTCGCAACTTGCAGAGCTCAAGACAGGATAAGATGCGTCCTGAACGGTACAATGGAAAGAACCATTCGCATCTCGCGTAGTTTTTGCTTATTGTATGCTTCGTACAGTGCAGAAGAAAAAAATAGCCATGGCCGAAAAAAATTTGAATTTTCCCGGAACCCCTCCTATATTCTTAATCAGCATGGTTTAACGATTTTTTTTTGTGGTATGTCCCGTTTAAAAGTAGGAGCCCCCATAAAGTACTTTTGTTGTCAGAAAAATCGGCGGAGCTTCCGCGGAGAAATCCAAAGAAAGAGGACGGAAGCTTCCGGCGTCCAACCCTGTACGTATAAATGATTTGTGTTATTTTTTAATTTTCAGTACAGTTTTTATCTTCTCTTGAATAAATATTCTAATTTTTGGGTTTATTTATTAGACCTTGTTCTTGCCCTTTAAACGAATCATCAATTTCCCAATCCTTTTTTTATTTCTTTCTCCAAATATTTTGACATAAATCTTGATGGAGAAGAGCACAGGTCGGGAGACTCACCTGAGATCGAGTTGTAAAAGACAGGTCGGCTGTTCGATCGGCGCGGCCATTAATTTTGTGGCCGAATTCTCCATTTGTGGGACAAAGGAATTCGAATCGGCGTGAAAAGTGAGGCGATGAAGGGACATCTTTGACGCATCTGGGTCCTTTTCTTCTTCCCAGTCCCAGATGGCTTGCACAAAAGCGCGCGCGAACTATCGTATCCCAATATTATAAACGTCCAAGTAATCGTAAATCGGATCTCCTAAAACACAGTTTAATGTTTTTATTGTACCCTAATGGACCTTGGCACTAAATGGAACGGCAATCTGTCATCTTCATCTCCAGGGAATATAACCTACAGTAATCTTGGGATCTTACAATGTGCCTTTTTGTTTCTGAGTTTACTTCATTTTATCATTCTATTATTCATGGCACCAATGAATTTAAAGAAGACCAAAGTTTGATTCGTTTAGGGTTGCTCAATCTCTCTGTCCGATCTAATGTTACGTTATCTTTGGCTCTGATTCAAAAAAGCTTTTCTTTCATCTCTGAAAAGGGTTTATGGCCATCTCTCCGAAATAATTCCTTTGCCGATTACAGTATCTCAAAATTAGGCCTTTTCGAAGAAACATTCACAAAACTTCTAAAAAATTGTGACTAATTTTTTCTGTTGTTCTTTTTCTGTTTATCGGACAAGAGATCCACAAGAACCTGCCTCCAGGTTTCTCGACGAAACCTACATCGTTTCGAGTATACATAAAATATTGTGTAAAAGAAATTAACTCCGAAAATAGCTGGTCGATGTTGTACCAACTTTTAAATTGATTCTGATTACTGGTCGAGGATTTACAACACCAAAACAATGCTTCTTAGTAAAAAATTCAAACAGGAAATTCCAAAATAAACCGAAAGCTTAAAGCGGTCATAACTATGCCCTAAGGCCGATTGGGCGCCTATTCTCTGCGCCCTATTCTCTTTTCGGTCTTCTTACAGTTTTCGTTAAGGAACTTGGAGGCAAGTACATATTTAATATCCCTTGTGAGGGATTTCACGGCGTCGAAACAAATAATACCCGGCCTGCCTAAGGTAATATTTCAAATGCAAAAGAGTTGACTTGACAAATGGGATGTATACAACCATATATAAATAGATAAAAGACCAATTGCAGCAAAGGCCCGAGATGATTCAGAATAAGGCAACTGCACAGTTTGTTTATATTATTTTAGCACTACTAGATCTGCACAAAAGTTTTAAAAAAATGTTGCGAAATTTATGACTTTTTGTAAAAAGAGGACAAATAGGTCGGGATGCCTCATTCCCGGCTTACATAAGATTATTTTAATAGATATGTTCTGATCTGATAAATGATGGATAGTAGGACAAAAGAAGACTCCAAACAGAGCAATTAGAATGCCAATTAAGTCCATGTAATAGCGGAATGTTCCATATGTTCGGAGATAAGATGGTTACCATGAGGTGTAATTATAGATTTAATTAGGTTTATACAACCGCGCTTATAAAAACCGACGATCAGGATCAGACCCCAAGTTGGGCCAGACTTTTGGGACATCGCTTTCTTTATTTTTTGTCGGCCAGAGAAGGGGCGGAGTCGATCGCTGCACTCGGATGGCCTGGTTCGTTATGGCCATGTTCAGTTCGTGGGGTTGGTCCTCTTGGATGAGGGCCATCCACTTTGGCCGGACTATCCAACTTGTTAAAAATATTTATTTTCTTTGACTTTTGACCTCCGAACACCGGAAATTAGGGGTTCGATCAGTTTGCGGCAGGTCTTTCACGTCTGAATTTGGGGAATATCTACTGTTTAAAGCGGAAACTAATACTAAAAAGGAGTTTAACGTTTTCGGATTACGGTATTAAGCCCATTGTTTGGTCGTTGATCTGTTTTCTACGCCGTATTTATGCATTGTTTATTTTATATAAACTGATTGTTAGGTTAAATTTGGAAGAGGAGGACTGGGAGTGCACTCCAATAATATGCACTCCGGCACGGCGCTCTCGAACGCCTTGTGCCTGGCCTTACTGGCATTAATATCGACAACTTCAACAGCATGGAAACTCCCTTTTTTTAATTTTCAACAAGAAAATGAGGTAAGAGTTGAGACAATGGCTACAAAAAGGTTAAAAATTATATTACACATGATGACATTTCAGATCTCTCTACACCCTCTTTCACCTCCAGAAGATAACCTCCGATTCAAACGTCAGACCTACCAACTTAGTGTGAATGGAGATGCTTTCGTTACAGTAGACAAATACGGCGGAGGCCAAGCCGAATCCGGAGCTTGGGGTCCTTGGACTCGGGATGGAGAATGCTCGAGAACTTGTGGAGGTGGGGTTCAGACGGAGAAAAGACTTTGCAAGTAAGGTGTCTGAATCAATTTAAATATTCTTCCAGTGGTGATTGCTCTGGCCCTTCAGTCAGATATCAGTCTTGTAATCTCGATTCTTGCCCCGAAGATTCTCAGGATTTCCGTGAAGAACAATGCGAGACTCACAATGACGATGTCCTTGATGGAAAGTACTACAAGGTATGGTGCAGGGGTGATGTTTGTATGACGTTATTTTAGTGGGTACCCTTCAAAGGATCCAACAAATGTGAATTGACTTGCAAACCCCACAACGAATCTTTTTATTACAAGTGGGCGGACAAAGTTGTGGATGGCACCAGATGTGATCAGACTTCTGATGACATTTGTGTTGATGGAATCTGTCTCCCATTGGGCTGTGATGGAAAATTGGGTTCAGGTAAGTAATTGTGTAATCATTCCTTGCGTTACGCAACGACTTCTTATATACCTGTTTTAGTGGCCAAAGTTGACAAATGTGGAGTCTGTAATGGTACAGGGAACACCTGTAAGAGTCAGGAAGGCCTTGTGAAGGAGTCCGGTCTCTCCAAAGGCTACAACGACATCATTGTTTTGCCTGCCGGGGCGACCGCTATTCGGGTGGAAGAGACCCAGCAGACCAGCAACAGTCTCGGTGAGTTTTATTTATTTATTGTTTATGGGACCCCTTTTTGTTGTAATTGAATCCGAGTGTTCGGAATAAACTCTGGGCATCTGTTTCGAATAAATCGCCAAGAGGGATTTGCAACTTTATCTCGTTTTTCTTTTTTGCACTCCCAAAAAATGTGCCAAGGGGCGGGGCGAAATTTGAGAAGGGATCTATTTCAAGATGATACCATTTAAAAAATTGGGCCAGATATCTATTAAAAACAGCGATCATTACCTATTCACAGCTCTCAAAAACGAATCCGGCCATTATTTCCTGAACGGAAACAACAGAATCACCTTGGGAGATCAAGAAGTCATCGCTGGGGGTACTGTCTTCAAATATCAAAAACCCAAACCAGAAAGTGGATTGGCCGAGTCTTTGACTGCCAAGGGACCCCTCAAGGATGACATCACCATCCAGTTGTTATATCAAGGCGGATCTACTGGAAGTTCCGTTAAATATCAATTCTCGATCCCTCTGGATGAAGATATCCAATTCGTTTACAAGCCTGGAGAGTGGTCCGCTTGTTCTGTATCCTGTGGAAAGGGAATCAAGACTCGTTCCGCCTTCTGTACTGACGCCAAGACCGGGCAAAAAGTTGGTGACGAAGTCTGTGAAGAGAACAATGCAACTCGACCTGACATCGAGAAGCCTTGCGTTACAGTAGATTGTGATGCGGAATGGTTTATCGGTGACTGGGAAGAATGCTCGGACACTTGTGGGGATCACGGCCTCCAGTACCGTGTCGTATATTGCCACAAAGTGTTTGCCAGTGGCAAGAGAATGACTGTCGATGACGAGAATTGCACTTCGGTGGCTCGGCCTGCTGTTCGCCAAACTTGCAATCGCTTCTCATGCCCCGAATGGCATGCCGGTCCATGGTCTGCCTGTTCCGAGAAGTGTGGAGATGCCAAGCAATACCGGTCGGTGACTTGTCGCAGTGAGAAGACGGGAGAGGAAGGCAAGCTTCTTCCCGCCGACGCCTGCCCTCCTGGGGTTGAACTGGAGACCATCAGATACTGTAACCTCGGTCCATGCGAGGGTCTTCATTTCGTGACTACCGACTGGGACCTCTGCGAGCGATGCACTGACACCGAAGAGACCAGAAATGTGACTTGTCAAGATCAAACTGGACGTCCCTATCCTCGCGAGAAGTGTCTGGATGACAAGGTAACCGAGATCCCTCCGGATGTCAGACCTTGCGCCACAGCTTTGCCTTGTATCTATCAATGGCATGTCTCTGAATGGAGCAAGTGTAGCACTGAATGTGGGCATGGCCACAAGGACAGAAAAGTGCACTGTGCTTTGAATGAATTGGGAACCATTAAAGTAAGGAAACAAAAAAATAACAGGCTCGTTTAGATAGTCGAAGACAACTTATGCAGCAGTGAGAAGCCAAATGTCACCGAAGAATGTATCAACGAAGCCAAATGCACCGGTACTTGGTATACTGGTCCATGGTCGAACTGTACTGTGGAGTGTGGAGGAGGAAAACAAGATCGATTTGCTGTTTGTCTCAACTACGACAAGAAACCAGTCCCAGAATGGTGCGGAGAAGAGACCAAGCCAGTGGAGACCCAGGAGTGTAACGTGCAACCTTGTCCCAGTAAGTTGATTTGAGTCATCATTACCCTCATTCAGCTTGTTTCGACAGCGACTTCGGATGCTGCCCAGACAATGTGACCTTTGCCCAAGGCGATTGGTTCGAGGGATGCTCCAACTGCTCCCTCTCTGAGTTCGGATGCTGTAATGATAACATCACTGAGGCTACTGGTCCCAATTCCCTCGGATGCGACGAATATATCGAACCTGAACCAGCCAGCGGAGAGGAACCAGAAACGGCGGAAAAGAAGGAGGATGCCGAGAAGGAGTGCGAAGTAACCAATGAAGAGACTGGAGAAGTCGCAAGCATCCTCTGTGCTGCTGCCAACGAGACCTTGGAGATTGCTGATCTGCTGCTGGGAAATGAGACCGAGGACGGGAATGCCACCAAACATTGCTCGAAGACGGAATTCGGATGTTGTCCTGATTGGTACACTCCAGCTGAAGGGAAAGACTTCCTCGGTTGCCCTGAATTCATACTTGGAGCTTGTAACGAGACACAACATGGATGTTGTCTGGATAATGTCACCTTGGCCAGAGGTCCCAACTTTGAGGGTTGCGGAGAACCAGTGTGTGCTGCTTCTAGATTCGGTTGTTGCAAAGATCGAAAGACCATCGCCTTCGGTCCTCATTATTTGGGATGTGAAAGATCGGCCTTCCCTTGCGAAAACAGCCAATTTGGATGTTGCCCTGATGGTGAGACCGGTGCTCTTGACAAGAATAACACTGGTTGTGGGGTCCAATGCCTCCTTACCAAATATGGATGCTGTCCTGATGGAACTACCGTATCGAAGGGAGTCAACAACGAAGGCTGTGGTTGTGAGTACAGTCAATATGGATGTTGTCCTGATGGAAAATCGTCAGCTAAGGGAGCTGGATATTATGGATGTCCCGAGAGTTGTGCCCAAAGTCAGCATGGATGTTGTCCTGACGGAAAGACAGCTGCCCGCGGCCCCAACAAGGAGGGATGCCCTTGCCAATACACCCGATTCGGATGCTGTCCAGACGGGGAAACAACTGCTTTGGGACCCAAGAAGGAGGGATGTGATGACTGTAGATATGCCAAACACGGTTGTTGTCCTGATGGAATTACCAAAGCTCTGGGTCCAAATGGAGCGGGCTGCCCAACAACTACCAAGCCTCCATTCATTGTCGCCGGAACTGTTGCTCCTGCCAAGATTAGTAAGTTTATTGTTAGTGCTGTCTTCGTTATCCCGATTTTTGATTTACTTAAGGATGTCTGTTTAGTTGCTTGCAACCTGCCACAGGACAAGGGAGAACTCTGCCAAGCTCAGTATGCTCTCAGATGGTTCTACGATTCCGTTGAAGGTCGCTGTTCACAATTCTGGTTCGGCGGATGTGCTGGAAACGAGAACAACTTTGCCAGTAAAGAAGAATGTGAGACTGTCTGTGTGGAACCCCCAGAATTGGGGAGATGTTATCTGCCCAAAGTGGAAGGCCCACAGAAATGTAATGACCTCAAGCCCCGCTACTGGTACGACTACACCACCAAGCGATGTGACGCCTTCTGGTGGCGTGGATGCCTTGGAAATGCCAACAACTTTGATTCCTGGGAATCCTGTCAAAGATTCTGTTCAAATGTTGGTCCCACTACGACAATCTCCCCTCCCACCGCCGATCCCTTTGCCCGCCAACGAGAGTACGAACAAAGAAGACAAGAAGAAGATGCTCGCCAACGAGCTGCCCAAACTCAACAAGGTCAGACAGGTAAGTAGTTACAATCAAGTTACCGTAACACAAATTATAACACGATTTGATGTTCTTGTATGCACTAACTTTGTCTGTGATATTTGTGGTTACATTAACAGAAGAAGAAGCCAGAAGAAGAGCTGAATGGGAACAGCGTCACCGTGATTACTTCGAGAGTGTCAAAAAACAGAAAGAAGAAGCTCAACGAAGACATGAACTTGATCGAGTTCAACACACCGCCAGGAATGATCCTGTTTGTTCTCTGTTGGTTAACAGCGGTGAATGTAACAGTTACGAGGACATGTGGTACTTCAATGTGTTCAACCAAGAATGCCATCAATTCATTTACAGTGGTTGTAATGGGAATGAGAACAGATTCAAGAACAAGGCCGACTGTCTGAACAGATGTGGCTATTTAAAACAGAATAAGACTCAGCCTCAGGTCCACAGTGAGTAGAATCACATGCCTGGCTTCACTCTGTGATCTGTCCTTTTATAACTTTTACTCACAAAACATTTCTTTGGTTGTTCTTCTTGGAATAAGTAGATTTAGTTTCAGATCGGGAAAGTTGTAACCTTCCGAAGGATGTGGGAACTTGCAACGGAAAGTTCGATGCTTACTTCTACAATCCCTCATCCGATTCTTGCGAGATCTTCCAATATTCTGGCTGTGGTGGAAACAGAAACAGATTCCAGAGTAAAGAACAGTGTCAATTCTCTTGTTCTCGAGTTCAGCCGGTCGCCAATAGTCCTATTGGACAGGGTGCCGAGATCACCCAACGTAAGTTGAAAGGTTATGTCTCCGACATAAGTGTTCGAGTTACGTAACGTCGGCTTTTCAGCATTGTCATCGTTGAGTGCGGCCCAGCGATGTGAAGCTGCTCCAGATAAGGGACCATGTACCCGATTCACAACCATGTGGTTCTTCAAAAAGACTGACGGGACTTGTACTCGCTTTTACTATGGTGGTTGTAAGGGCAACGGAAACTTGTTCAAGACGGAACAAGAATGCAAAGACATCTGTGGTTCCTATCTCAGTAAGTGTTACACGGTTTTGGGTCTTGTACTCTCACCTCATCTTTGTTATAACTCAAATCATTTCAGATGTATGTGACCTTCCCGCCGTTAAGGGACCTTGTGGAGGACATCATCAGAAGTTCTACTACAACAAGGAAGCCAAGGAATGTCAACAGTTCGAGTTCAGCGGTTGTCTCGGAAACGGAAACAACTTCGCGACCAAGGAGCAGTGCGAGGAACGGTGCTCGCGTCAGTGATTTTATAATTATTGCATCTCTTCAGTAACCAAGTCTTAGTTTAATTGCGTGGTGGTAAGATCTCTCACACCCCGACTTCTCTTTCCACTGCCAAATCCTCTTCTGTTTACGGTAATATCAGATATTCCACATATTGTTGACTTTTTCTCCTTATTACGGTACATCTGTAATATCGATTCCGAATAAATTAATAGATAAATTTTGAGGATTCCGAATTTCCCGTTGTGTTTAGTCCGTATCTAGTTGTGTTTCATCCGTTCCCGTTTGTCTATACTTTTATGTCATTAATGTGCTTGTCTTGTGTCACGTTTCCTTTGTGTTAATCGTCCTTGTGTGTTGCAGATCCGACTCAAGAGATGAAGCAGTTCGAGGAGAGTGTTCAGCCGACCACCCTTCAAATCTGTAGTATGCCACATGCAACTGGACCCTGCAGGTAAATATCCGTCAATTGTGATGTGTTGAGCTTTCAATGTTCGTGCTAATTTGCGTATGATATATGTTTATGCAGTGACATGATCCGTCAATATTACTATGATATCAACTCCCGAACCTGTCGCCAGTTTATTTATGGTGGTTGTGCTGGAAACGCTAACCGTTTCGAATCGCGCAACCAATGCCAAAAAACTTGTGGAATGACTGATGCTGGGCAAGTCGAAAGACTCTATCAGATGTATGAATATCCCGCATTCGAAGCATTCACTAAGGTAGTAAAAGTTCACAAGAAACATCATCACCACGTTCAAAGAAGAGATGAGGGAACTAAAGATGGTTCAAGCAGGAGAGAACAGCACGAAGGGACCGCATTGGCAGAAGCCACTGTTACGTCGGATGGAGCTACTGAGGAGTTTGAAACGGTTCCCGAAGAAATAACAGTACACCCTCAGAAGGTGACTGATATTCCAGGTACGGCAATACCAAAATATTAACGATTCCGCTTAGAACTGTGTCTGCAACCTGAAGACAAAGGCCCCTGCCATGGCTCTATTCTGAGATGGAGGTTCGATCCAGAAAGACAACAATGCAGATCCTTCCTATTTACTGGATGCAAAGGAAACTCGAACAATTTCCAATCAATGGAAGGTTGTCAGCGTGCTTGCGGAGAATACAGGCAACAGAGAGTTTGTTCGGAGCCTAAGGGAGTTGGCGAATGTTACCTCAAAGTCCCTAAATGGCATTACGATCTGAACAAAGGCGAGTGCGCTCTTTTCTGGTGGTCTGGATGCGGAGGAAATGGTAATCGCTTCAGTAGTAAGGCGGAATGTGAAAGTTTATGTCGAGTGGAACTGCCAACTGATGAACATGGTAGGTAAATGAAAGGAAACGTTTACGTTTAGATGACGTTTGCCTGTTCGAAAAAGACAGTGGCCCTTGTCAAGACCCAATCACCCAGTATTACTACGACTCTCAGGAAGGAGCATGCAAGAAGTTCACATTCGGAGGTTGTCGTGGTAATGCAAACAGATTCAATACCAAGGAAGAATGCAGCAAAAGATGTCGCTCGCCGGTCGGACATATTGTGAAGATGCTACAGCCAAAGGGTAGGTAATAATTAAAATTTGGGATCATCTTTAGACATCTGCTCAATGAATTTTGATTCTGGACCATGTTCTGGAGTCGAGAAGAAGTGGTTCTTCGACATGAACCTCGGGTTGTGTCGCTCATTCACCTACGGAGGTTGTGGAGGGAATGACAACCGGTTTGATTCTGAATTGGATTGTTTCAATCAATGGTAAGAGGAGGGTTAAATTAGAGAAAGGCAATAATCTTACAGTAAGAACTTCGTCGATATGAAGAAGGAAAGAAGAGTTCGCGCAGAGATCGAGATATCCCATAATGCAATGTTCAAACCTGGAGATGAGATTGCAATGAAATGCTTATTCGGGGAAGTGGATGAAGACGCGGTCTGGTTTAGAAACGACTCCAAGTTGGACTTAAATGACCCGAGATACGAGGTATCATATAATTAAATCATAGCATCAAATCAACTAACTTTAGGGATATGGGAACATTCTGAAGATAAAGAACGCAGGAATCAACGATAATGGCCTTTATACGTGCAACGCAGGAATGATGACATTACTGTCTAATCCTAAGAGAGTCGTCGTGAAAGGCAAGTATAAATTAAAAATACATACCTTCGTTTACAGAACCTTCCTACGAAGTTTGCATCGATCGAGGAAGCCCCAGCGTTTGCAACATGGTACTTCGGACGAATTTATGTCAAAACCAAAGATATTACAATTTCTGTTGCAAAACATGCAATCCGAACAAAAGAAAATAATAGCACTATAAGCCTTAATTATTTATATTATTACATTCCCCAATAAGGTGATTTTACAACTGGCCTTTAACTAAAAAAGCATCAACGATATTAAAACATCGAATTTATTCATTGACAACAGTATACAGGGCACGTCTATCCAGCGCATTTCCTGAACCGTTTAGACGTTAGTATTCGTCCACACACTTAATCTGGACGTTTTGTCCACATCCATTGACCAAAAGATTGCTGGCATCACAATTCTTTCAGAAGAATTTTTGGAAGACAAAGTCGGTCTTAAATACCAAGAAACATTTATAACGTTACCGTCTGAACAGACGGAAAGATTAGCCAAGAAAAATCAGCCAAAGATTTCCTCCAAAATTCTACTTGTGACACATTAGGTCAGGAAAAAACTTCAACTACGCTGTGTTGCGTCACAAAATGCAGCTTGTATTCATAGTCATTCTTTTTCAACAAACGAAACTTAACAAAAGTAACGGTCAAAAATATTACCATTAACATGGAGTTGTAGGCTGCTTTTCTTGAATTTCATTTGTTTAATACACGTTACACTTGGTTATAAAAAAATTTAAGTTACAAGATATGTTAGTCATAGAAAAGGATTATTCCTCTGAATTTTCTACAAGATTAGTTCTGATTTCGGAGTAATATGATCTGTTCTCGGCATCGTACTCAAGAGTGAGGGGCATTCCAATCGCATCATCATAGACATCTGAATCTGAACTTTTGAAGTCGGTGACGCTCACAGTTGTATACTAAAACAAAAAGTTTTAAAAAACATAGATAATATTGTAATTTAGCCTACCAAACGGGGGAAGAGGAGACTTTCAAATGGATAGAATATTTGTCGCTGGTAAACGTCACTGAATAAAAATTCCTTCGGTGCTTTCGATGGATAGTCAACACTGCTAAAGATTAGACGATTGCCAGTGGCCTGGATAAGTTGAGATCGAAAAAATAACTAAAAAATTAGAATAAAGGAAACGTACTTACGCCAGTTTCTGAGTCTCTGATGACATAAGCACAGCCAACCCGCAGGTCCCTTTGATCCTGCACTGCAAATTCGTCGGCCATCCCTTGAGCCCCATACGAAGCGAGAACCATCTTCAATATACTCAGAGCCAAGAAACACTCTGAAAAAATAACTAATACTCATAGTAAAACCTACCAGTGTCTCTGACATAAAGGATATTTTTTTCATGTCCAATTACAAAACACGTCACCCTTCCTTCAGTCAATTGCCGAGTCAGGTATGGGTAAGACCCCCTTTTGCAAACTTTGCGACTTTGTTCCGACAAAACCCTCACCCAGGTCTGGTAATCTTCTTCGAATATCTCTCTACCCAGAGTGATTGCGTTGAATGGACTTGTGACATCCATGGCTGGAAAAGTTGTGCAAAACGGCGAAGATAAACTTACCCCTCTCGAAAACGCCGTAGAACGGTTCACTCATGTTAAAAACTGTAACATCAACGGCTTCTCCCTTTCTGGCCCTTCGCATCCAGTCATTGTCAAACCGAAAACCAGCTGAAATACATTAACTTTGCCCGTCACGCCTTACCCGGTACAAAAACCTCCATCCCCATCAAACCAATTGAACGTGCAGTAGATTTGAAGTACTTTTCAGTTGTTCGAAGGCCGGAAAGGCCAATTTCGTCGATCTTCTGCGGGAAATCTCGATTCTTGATACGAATTACTGGAGGCTCAGAATAAATAACCTCTTCGACCTCTCCCCGCTTGTAAACACCATCCAAAACATAAATGTATTCTTCATGGAGGATAACGTCTTCAACTGTAAGCGTGTTTCCAATAAAACTGTCATCGGCCGCATCTTCCGGCTCGTATATCGCCTTCAGTGTTTTGGACAGTGCTTCTTCAGTGACTTGTCGTAGCAGAGAACTGATGTAAAAACGACCCTGAGAAGGCTCGGAAGACGAAAGGACGGCTGTGAAAGAAGCGGGTAGATAATCCTGGGGATTTCTAATCGACTTCAAGTTACATAATTCATGGTCGAGTAGTGTGGTGAAGCGTTGTTTCTCCAGAACTACCGGTAGGAAACACGGATTCTCAGAAACATCATCAGGAGAGTTCATCTTCTTGATCTGAAGTTAACCAATAAAATATATAAAGTATTGGACCAAAACACATACATTTCAAAATATTTGACGAAAGCAAGAACTGAGGACGACAAGAAAGAGAAGAACTTCGTGGTCTACAGTTGTGACGGCACCCTGCGGGATGACATATTTTATGCACGTCATCTTATCCCTGCCAAAAAGCATTTTGTTTTCGTTGCGAAACCAGAACCATTCATTGCACAATCTAGGTGGGTGATGACTACATAAGAATACAACTGTAGGACCTAGTTCATCAAAGGATCGCAAGTTCCATTTGACCCCTCAAATGCCCCAAAAAGCCGAGTTTCATGAGTCATAACATTTATTATTTTGTACAAAGCAATTAGTCAAATGTAACACGCAAATTCGACAATTGTTAATGGTATTTACAATATATGTTCTTTAATGACTATCGACAGATGAATTCCGGGCCAAACATTAACTACCAGTCGCCGCCGTCGAAACCACCGCCATCATCGAACCCGCCCGCATCGTATCCTCCATCGTCGTAGCCACCGTCGTCATTGTAGTCGTTATCTAAATCATCGTTATTATCTTGTTGATAGTCCTCGGGTGGGTCCTCCTGTCCCTCGGACTGATGTTCCCCTTCCTGCTCCCCTTCCTCACGTGGTTCGTTATTCTGCGGCTGAGTACTCTGAGAGTCGTTGTCATTGGTGTTGTAGTAGTTGTTGGTAACGTAGGTGTCATTGTCCTGTATACTCGGATACCCACCACCAACTCCCGGATATCCTCCGCCAAATCCACCCCCATATCCGCCGAATCCTCCGAATCCACTAGAATAATGTGGAGTGAAGAAACTGCCAACGCCATAGCCAAGGAGCGATCCCATCAACATTCCAGAACCAAATCCAAGGCCAGATCCGAGGCCGGATCCACCTCCACCATAAGATGATCCTCCTCTATCCACAATGACGGTCGTCTGATGACTTCCACCTCCGTATCCTTGGGGTCCGGGGTTGTATCCTCCACCTTGAGGTCCTGGATTATATCCCCCGCCTGCTTGATAAGGCGGCGGTTGTGGTTGGGAGGGGTAGGGGTTGGACGGATACTGTGCTGGAGGAACTGAAAATAGAAAACGGTTAAAATTTCTATAATACCGAGGCTAAGAAAATTTTTTTAAATGTCCTTAGCATTTTATTTAAATATTATGGCTTACCGAATCCACCTGAAGCTGGCGGCTGTGGAGCGGAAGGCTGCTGCGAAGGCGGCTGGCCGGGTTGGCCCGGTGCTGGAGGGGGGTTTGCGGGCTTTGGTAAGGTCTTCACTATCTCCGCAAACCAGGATCTGAAATAGGCTCAAGAGATGACGATGCGTAATAACGAAAACGAATAAAACATGGCTTTAATACTTACTCTAAATCAGAATCCGAAGCGAATAGAATCCAATGGACCTTTTCTGCTCGAGGATCCATTCCAATGCCCACAAGATGATGGACCGAGCATCCATCAGGTAAATCAGGTCGTTTTGTGGGCATTCTGTCCGTCATCAGACCCACACAAATGTAGGGAGCTACATCTTTCAGGAGGAATTTGGCATCAGGCTTGGAATCACCCTGAAAAAGATTACATTAATTATACCGAGAACTTACTTGCTTGGAGTAAATACTAAACGTTGAATCGCTGAATAGAACCACGAAACATTCCTTCCATTTGCTGCCAAGGAATCCAGATTTGTATCGTTTAAGAGTTCCCTCTTTTAATTTCCGAATATCCATCTGAAATCAGCTACAAGTAAATTTTAAAAAATTGCATTACGAAAGAGTTAAAACACGTAAGAAGAAATGCGATAAAAGAAAAATAAACCAGGAGAAAGGTAATTTCACGTTCGGCCGTCTAACGGCCGATGAAAGAGAGAACGAAAACAAAGCATCTGGGCCGAAATAAATAACAAGTACCGGCTGGGCATCAAAACCCATGCTTTAGACAGATCGACAGACTGACTCAGCGAACTGAATTAGCTGATAAATAGCATAAAGTAATCAGTAGATACATAACAGCAGGAAAGACACAAATGAACCCATTCTTTTCACACAATAAATCCGTTTATACCCAACTCTTATCGCCTTAAGTAACTTAGCAACCTCAGGCCCGCCCAAAGTTGTTACTAAAAATAGAATTCCAGAAATTGCGATAGTTGTTGCGCAACAAACTATTTCGAAATCTCTTGGCCATGATGACGTCAAGATGGATGAGTAATCACAAGAACAAAACAGAGGGTCATAATCTGACCGCTCTCTCACTTTTCTTTTTTCTTTCGAGAGAGAAAAAGCGAATCGATAGGACGGCGCTTTTTCTGTTTATTTTGGTTCCTAACAAACAAATGTAACCAACTATAATATAATAAATATATTATATGTTCAATTGGAAGGAAAAGGGTTGTCCAACTTGCCGCTGACGTTCATAAATATAGATTTGAGCTGTGAATAATGCTCAATAGCAGCCTGACCGTTCTCTCTGCCATATCCACTCTGATTATAACCGCCGAAGGGAACCCAGGGAGCTGAAAAATAATGTTTGGCTGATAAAAACAGAACAACGTCAGGAATGAGAGGTTATCCACTTGATAAAACAAAGCCTGACAATTTAAAATTGTACTTACAGACGTCGTTGAATGTATTCACGTACACATTTCCAGCTGCCAATCTGTTGGCAAATGTATGCGCCCTTTTGAGATCTGTTGTGAAAACACCAGCAGCCAACCCGTAATCCGTTTCATTGGCTCGAGCGAGGACTTCCTTAAAATGTTCATGGCTGTGAAACAAAGGTAACATGAAATATTTTAGTACAAAGTGGGCGGTTGAATCATCAAATAAGCATAACGAACTTACTTCTTCGTCTTCGAAAGGAATTATCAGAAGAACAGGACCAAAGATCTCTTCTCGATAGGCGCGCATGGATGGTTGAACATTGTCCAAGATACAAGGCGACATGTAGAATCCCTTTTCAAGTCCCGGTACCTTTACTTTTTCTCCTCCATACAATTTCTTCGCTCCATGTTTAACAGCATCTTCGACGTATCCCAAAACTTTATTAATGTGATCCTCTGAGATGGAGGCTCCGACATGAACCGATTTATCCAAAGGATCTCCAATCTTCATGGCCTTCACTTTATTCACCAATAAGTTTGTGAAATCTTCGATTATAGACGAATGGACGAAGACTTTTGATGCATTCGAGCAAACTTGTCCTAAAGAAAATAAACTTTGGTTACGAATACTCACCTTGGCTGTAAAAATTCGCCATCATGGCTCCATGGACGGCTACCTCAATATCAGCGTCATCAAAAATAACGCAAGCGCTCTTCCCACCCAATTCCAGAGTCACCGGCTTTATATTCTCATTATTCGAGTTCTGAGCGATTCTCTTTCCTGTCGCAACACTACCAGTAAATGAGACCTTTCTAATGTCAGGATGTTTACAAATAGCCGTTCCAGTGTCTGCTTCTCCTTGCACAATGTTTACAACTCCATCGGGTATCCCTGCCATGGTTAAGATCTCGGCTAAAAGAACCTAAACATAAAGTACTCGTATTACGTTGAAGTCATACCGTAGTAACCGGAGTTAATGGACTTGGTTTGTAAATAATAGAATTGCCGCAAGCTATGGCTGGAACTATCTTCCAAGATGCGGTCTGAATCGGATAATTCCAGGCTCCAATAGCACCAACAACTCCTAGAGGTTCCCTTTTCGTGTATGCAAATTTCTGGTCATCTCCATCGTATGGTAAGTATTGCCCAGCCAAATTTGGGTCTAAAGAACTACTATTTATTCGGCAACAACTCACTGCTAAAAAAATCCAAAGTCTCTGCACACGATAAGACGTCGGCAATTGCTTCATTGATCGGCTTCCCATTATCCCTCACCTCCCAATCAGCCAGAAGATCAACATTTTCTCGAATGAGCACTGCACTTCGTCTGAGAACTTCTCCTCTCTGTTGCCACCCAAGCTGGGCCCACTTTTTTTGCCCTTCTTTAGCAACTTGAACGACTTCATGGACATCTTGCGTTGTTGCTGACCCTATCTCCGTTAACACTTCGCCTAGAATGATTAAATATTTTAGAATAAACCCTGATCTCTTCTGGTAACCTTTGCATAAAATATTTAAATACCTACCTGACCTTGGTTCGTAAACAACAAATTTATTGGACAACCCCTCGGATCCGTAGCTTCCATTAACATAATGAAGATTCTTCAGAAAAGTCCTGGGGATTGAGAGCTTCGAACTCATCCTAGATGGTCTGGAGGCTTTGATTTGAACGCCGGGGGATATCCTCAGCTTGGAAGGATGAGATCCAGGCTCGTCTTGGGGAACAGATCGGCCTCGTTGTCTATAGTAATTAATCCAGAATTCACTGATGACTCCATCCGCGTTCTTAAAATTCAACTGATGCGCAAGGAAGGGGTTCTTGTGATCAGGATGACTCTGATAATAAGACCAAACGACCAACTGACAACAATAAAACGCTCTTCTATTCTGAGAATCCAGACATTCCCAGGAAAACAGATCATTATAAAAGGCCTGATCAACCTCTTTCTTCGCTTTCTCACACGCTCTCTCTTTCCAACTTGTGTCTACATCCAGAGAAGCCAGCTCAATATAATCTGGAGACAAACTTCGAAGAGCAGAAGAGATCGGTTCCTGAACAACCCCACGGTCGGGCAAAGCATGAACAACATGCTCGCGGTCCACAACCAACGCTACGTGATAAACATTTGAATCAACAACAGCCACTTCGAGAACGGCGGCTTCGAATTCCTGGGAAACAGCGTTGCGACAAAAAAAGATGAGATCGCCGGGCACTGGACGGGGAAAACAAAACATCGGAGGCTTCTCCACACCCAGAATGATATGTTTAAAAGGGGAAATAAACCTTGAAAAGAGCTTTGGACTCCAAAGCATAAAGGTTTTAGAATATTCACTACTCTTTTAGTTCACATTCCAAATCGCTCATAGCAGAGTTTGCAAGACGGAAAAGAACTGAACTTTTTCAAGGCCCGAAGAAACGAGCAAGCTCAGAGAATAAATCCCCACTGTTTCGGGTGACCTCTCTTTCGCTTTGCAGATATTTATTTCTTTCGCTTTTTATCTTTGAAATGGACAGATTTTGCACTAGCCAATATTTTCTGGATCATGTCATGCTTCTCGCGGACGTAACGGAAACAAAGAACGGAGGTCATTAAATACAATCTAAATAAAATACACCCTCTAATTGCAAAACGTTACCCCGAAACCATACTAAATAAAAACACCACTAAAGTAGTAGGAATCAGGAGTTCCGAGCCAATGAAATTAACGGTGATAAGGCCGAACAAGACGATAATGAGCATACCGAGCCTGACAATCAGCAGAACGACCTGCGGCAACATCAGATAGGGTCTCCGCAACTACGAACTTCCATCGTCTGTATAGAGCACCTACCTTCACTCCAAATAAACCAACTCCGATACAAAGAATATGAGCAAAGAACAGGAATATCCAGAGAAAAAGAACTGCGTTGAAAATTATATGATAATAGTAGGGCCTGGTCCTGTCATAATACTAAATTTATTGAAGTAATTAGATCGACTAGACCTACTTGAAGTAATTGTTTATAAATGACCGAATGCCTATGAAACTCTGGGTACATGAATAATATTAGCAGAATCACGATCCCAATCAGATCGAATACAACGCAAACAATCGAGGAAATAAAGTAGAGTAGTTGCACATGCACGCCACATTTGGAATGCAGTTGCAGATTATCTTCAAAATCTTCTGGCTCAAGGGAATCCTTTTTCATGATTTAGATCGGCCATGAGAAGAAAAAGCCCGAGGAAAGAACAAAGACGGCTGTCCGTTTATATCGTCTTAAGTTCCATCACACAAATAGAAACATAAAAAACAGTATTTTAACAACTAAATAAGGAACACACTTAGAAAATTACATCTCAAATCTAACGGTGGAAACTGCAACAAATAGGCTATGCCTGCAAAAGGGAAGATTATAAATGATCAAGTAACCTAACACACTGGAATTACTAAAGTCATAATAGTTAATTTCGGATATGAATCCACGAAAAACTGTGCAAATAAACAATAAATTGCAATAAACTGGAAAACATTTTTAATTATTTTTTATTTTTATTTACTTTACACTTTCCCTTTGTTTCTCTCCCACCGCGAATATTTTTTGTGGCGTTATGTATTTATTCGAGAAATTTCAAGAAATTTCCGAAATTTTCTAGTGTAGTATCTGTGAACGCCTGCAGAGAGAAGGTGGTTTTGTCTATCCTGCGAACCAATTCACTAAACGTTTGACTAGTTAAAGGTAATCATGGCCGACCGTCCAGATGGGAAGAATGTGAACAACTGGCATTGGTAGGTGTTTACTCGTTGATGACATTGTTTTAGGGTGGAAAAAAATGCGACTCCATGGTCCAAGGAACGTCTAACCGAGTTGTTGATCGGACGTTCGATTGAGAAGGGGCCCATTAAGGTGTTGCTCAAGGAATTCAAAAAAATCGAAGGAGATGCCACGGCCAACAATCGGAAAGCCAAGCTCATTTTCTTATTTGACTGGATTCTGGAAATCAAATACGTTGCGAACGTGGCCGGGTCGGACTTGGAGTACAAGGGGGTGCTGGAGATTCCTAATCTTAGCGATGAAAATGAGGCTGATGAGGTTGATGTAAGTTGCTTTTTTTGGAATTGTGATGTCTTGGTCTTCAAAATTATAACTTCGTTTAGCTGAATGTGACTATCGAAACCAAGGGCCCTCACGAAGCTGAAATTCGTCATCTGTTGAACAAGGAAGGCCTCCATGACATCCGAAATCAACTGGCGATATATATCAAGGAATTGAAACAGGAATTCAGCAAGGGACTTATCCTTGATACGGTAGCCAAGCCCCAGACTGTTATTAAGAGTGGAACCACCCGAGTTGTCGACAAGAAGTCATTCCAAAACACTGTACGTGAAACTTCAAATATTTATTTATTCTTCAGGTTATCCAAGGAGAAGAGAAGGTAGAAAAGCCGGCGGCTCCAGTAAATGTTACTTCCTTTGAAGTTTCCGACGGATTCAAAGTCCCACCAGAAAGACTTTACGAATTTCTGACTGACCCCGAATTAATCAAAGTGTGGACTAATGGAAATGTTGTGATCGAACCCAAGAAAGGAGGAAAATTCTCCCTTTACAATGGTCAAATTACGGGAGAGTTTGTGGAAGTCGAACCGAGCAATAAGTTGGTCACTAAATGGAGACTTCGCGATTATCCGTCAGGTCATTATGCAAAAATTACTTTCACTTTTGAGGATCAAGGAGACAGTTCGTTGTTGAAGGTTCAAGCTGAAGCCGTTCCTCAAGATCAGGCCGATAACACCCGAGAGGGATTTCATAGGTTTTACATGCAGAACATTGGGCGTACCTTTGGCTGTGGAATGAGAATGTTCTGATCTCTTGTTTTCATTGTAATTATTATATTGGTATAAATAAATTTGTCCGGCCCACTGGCTGTGTGATTTTCTAATTTTATGAAATAAATAGCCGAACCAGGGGAAGCCGGACTGTAATGGAAACTCCCGATGACAAGACCTCTTATCGTTAGACGACCAAGGATCCGATAAAAAGACGACATCCAGAAGTTCGTTGGACGAAGACCGTGTACAGAAATTGCGACAACCTCAGAATGGCCCCGGATCTCGGCCCGTTTCTCACAATTTTGTGGATGAATAGCAGAAACAAAAGTTAAAACAGACGGTCTCCGATCTCTTCGCGAATTCGATCTATTTTTTGCGCGCGTCGAATTTCCCGCCCTTTTTGCAACACTGGCCTTCGGTTGCAAGAAGAAAAATAACTCACGGTTATTTTTTCGGGGATTAGCGAATCAGCGGATTAAAATGTCTGATGTAGACGAGGCTAATGAGTTTGTTGAAGTCTTAAAATTGCCGCAAGCTCCAATTGACAGGATAATTAAGGAATGCCTACCTGCCGGATTTCATGCAAGCAAGGTAGGAATGCGTTGCGTATGACGTTTACTTCAATCATCAGGAGACTCGAACTGTATTCGCTCGTGCTGTCGCCGTTTTCGTTTTGTGTCTGGGAACGGCAGCCTCAGATAACGCGAAATTGGGGAAGAGGAAGACGATCAATGTGAAAGATGTTAAGAATGCTCTCCGAATGATGCGGCTAGACTTGCCCGAGATCGATGAACTGGTAGGAAAAATGTCGTTTTGAGTCATACTTTAAAATTTAGGTGGAAAGGTTTATAGAACAGCTGGAGACAGAGAAGGTCAGCAAAGCCGATCAGACTAAGAACATTGAACATGACCACGAAGAAGAGCTCTTTAATGACATTGTGGAAAATGATAGCATGAATGAAACGGACACTAGGGAGACCTCTGAAGTGCACCTTGAATAGTAAACCGACGCTTATATATACTCATATCTTTTATGTTACTCAATACTTACGGATCTCATAAATACATTTTACTTTAATACTCTGTATTCTAAGACGATTGGTTACCGTCCTTTTACATCTATAAACTCGTGATTATTTTTTTGTGTTTGTAGAATGTCGACATCGAATAGTGGGGACAGTGATGACGCAGATAAGGTAAATTACCATTTCGAATTAAATGTTCGTTTCGTTCAAGGCTTCCACTGCTGACGAATCGCGCAAGTGGTCGGAAGACGAGAACTCGGATTCGTTGACGGAATCAGATGAGGAAGATATTTCCGCATCCACAACCACAGAGACTGACTCCGCCGAAGCCAGAAGACGGGCTAAGTTGGCCAAGAGAGTTAGGCGTAAGTACTATTCTTCCTTCTTGTCAGTTAAAATTTATGTTTTTAGAGCATCAGAGCGACACTGAGACCAGGAATCTTCTTGACGACATTGGGGATGGTGAGGATGACATTATTGATCTGGAAGAGTCCAAAGGAGCAAATTCTCTAGGTATGTGTTTTCATTAGGGTTGTTAATTAGACGTTAAATTGCCGTCATTTTGGCTAACACCCCAAGTGCGACGCTCAGATTTTGATGAAACTTGGCACAGATTTAGAATAATTTTTTCTAATATATGTGACAGAACACTAGCTCGCGTTTTGCAGAAACTGTCGAGATTTTTAGATTGAAAGGCGGCGAAATTTTAGGACTTTTTGCCGAATTTCGGGCACGAAAAGTTTCCTACCTATTTCTACCGTAAAGGGTAATGTTTCCAAAAAAAATAAAAATTTTCCGCACGAAACTGCTAAGGTTATGGCCAGAAAGCGTTTTTCTCTCTGGCCGCTCTCCGCGTTAAGCGTACTCTCTCGGCGACAAAGATGGTTCAATATCTCGGTGGCGCTTCGTTCAATTGCATCAACCACTGTTGGTAGCTGATGCCATTAATCCTTTTACCGAGTTCCAAGAGCTCGTAGTAGAGAACATCTTGTTTATGTCATCATATACGGTGCAAAGCTTCCGTTTCGGTAATGATGGACTGTGCGGTCGCTTGCGCTTAGAGTTGTCAAAACCATGTTGTAAAAAAATCAGTGTACGTAGGTGCCCCACCCTCTTGTTTCTAAAAAAAATTTAGTATTTTACGATTTTTTAGCAGAAATCTACCAAAAGTTCAGTTTGATAAACAAAATGACAGAACAATTTACATGACAAAAATGGCGGCAATGTGAGAACGTGACTGACGCATCAAGTTGTCGACTTAGCAACCCTATTTTCATTAAAGCAATAATGCAAAAAATTTAGATTTGAGATTTTTTGATATGTCTGATGAACAACTTGATTATTACACCAATTGTTTCCTATATTTACAAAGGAAGACTCAAGGGCAAGCGACGATGGGTGGAGCGGTTTCTGGGGCCGAAGATCTGGTGGTCGAGTTCTTCAGGAAGAGTAAATTAGACACTCACACCCTTTCAAAGGTCTGGGCTTTGGCTGACGTAAATGAAGATGGATTCTTGAATCATTCCGAGTTTGTTATTGCGATGCATATGATTGTTCTGCATGTAAAGGTGAGTTGTTAGGTATGCATCGTTAATTGCAATTTTAGGGGAGCGTTCCAATCCCGTCTCGACTTCCAAGCCCGGTCCGACCTTGCCCTACCCCTGTTCGCCATAAATTTTACGAATTCCACAATAGTACAGCATCTTCAACCTTGACTACAAGTGGAGGTTACTCTCAAGAAAACGCATCAACATCTAAAGCACTCGACACTTCAAATTTCCAATCTAACGAAGGCCAAAAGCATCAACATTCCCTCTCAGATGATCATATCCACTCTTATATTCAACAGCATGAAGTTCGAGTCACCGACTTCTCAGATGCTCCACCTGTATTGGTGGACAACAGACCTCAACCCCTTAATCCAACGAATTCAAAGGGTTTGGCTCTTCTTAACGCTCTGTCCAGCAAAGGTCCCCCGCCCCAACCTCCTCCGCGAGATTATCATAATAAGGGGCATGGCCGTAGTGCATCTTTAGATCTGAAGGCTTTTGGAGGAACATCACTTGGAGTCCAGTAAGCTCAGGGATCCGTTCCATGAAATAATTTTAGTAATCATAGTGTAATCCCTTCACTAAGTTCGTCCAATCCTCAACCCGTTGGCTCTTCAGATGTCCAATCCCAATCTCACTCACTTTACACGAGTTCTGAACAGCCACCTTATCCTCCGGGATCTCAAAGCGGGGTTGGTGGATCTCTTCCAGCCATACATGATAAGAAGCCCGGCTTTCATCCACCTTTGCCCCCCAATCGACCTTGCGAAAGGAAAACTCAAGAGACCCAGACGGATTATGAAGAGCCAGTTTCTCTGGATTCGGATGTAATGGCCTCACTCTTGACCGATATGGAAGATCTGGCTCCCAAAGAAAGATGTGAGCTTTTGAGGAAATATAATACAGAATTGGAAGCGGAAAAGGCGACATTGGCTCAGATTCGTTTACAATTACAACTGAGGATAGAGGAAGCGATGGGCGTTCTGAAACATCTCGGGTTGGACCACTCGTTGACCCATTCCAAATGCTCTTCTAGTCTTTCACAACCAGTTAAACCCACTGCACTATGAATATTCTTCAACAAGTATGTTGCCGTAGGGTCGTACCGGTCGTTTTAATTTATTTTATTACATAATAGCTGATTTTACAAGATTTAACTTCTGAATTATTTTTATTTACTTTTGTTTTTTACATTTATTTCGAATCATTGAAAATAAACGAAACCGGTAGTCTTGGTCGATTTTGTGATGGGAATTTGGTCGCGGATAAATGCTCGGACCTTCCGTCGTCGCAAGAGTACGGTATCTCAAGCCTCGCAGACAGCAGACAGACGTTCAGATGAAGAAGATGAATTCTGTGAAGCAAGGGCTTTCTTTTCTAATGACGTCATCAATCAGACTATTGATGAAACAATGAGAGAATTGTTGATGGAGGCATCCCAAATGGAAAGAAAAGAGGAGGAGGAACCTGGTACTGAAAGGGAAGAAACGGCGATTGAAAAGGAAGAGGAGAAGGAGAGCAAATCCGAGGAACAAGTTGAAATAGAAGGAAAAGTGGAAGAAGTTGAGGTCAGAACAGCGAGAGAAACATCTCCTATCAAACGAAGGAATTCCAGACAGCAGTTACAACTGCCAATCCAGGCTCCACTCCCCAATCAGAGGGCTGTAAGAATAAGATCCAGATCTCGAGCTAGAACTGTTGGTGGATTAAGACAACTTCTCAAGTTGAAGGGTGACAGTGATAATATATCTTTTTCTTTTTAGTCCAGTATTTATGATAATCATGATTCTAATTTTCAGACGATGAATTCGGTGAGGTCAAAAAGACAACGGCCACCTCAAAACTTCCTCCTATTCCACCTTTTGTTCTGAGAAAGCCTAAGGCAAACGAAGCGTATAGTCGAAAGACTGCTGCCGATCCACCCCCAGCTTCTGGGACGTCCCAGAGCCTACCGACTGAAGTCAAAGCGCCACCACCACCACCTTTACCGGATTTCTTGAAGTCAACCAGATCTGTAAGAAACGAACCAAAGCCGGAGAAGATCCCCCAAGCACCTCCTTTTCCTTGCAATTTGCTCACCCCCATCGTTGTAAAAAACGGGCCTCAACTACCGGCAACTCCATTGACGCATGTGGACTCTTCTCCCGGAGTTTCAACTCCAAGAAATTCCCTGCCTCCGGTCGCCCCTCCGCCACCACCTCTGCCTTTCTTGAATTCCACTTGCTCTTCTTCGAATAATGCAATGTTGCGCAATACGTTGCCCCGACAGAATTCATTTGCAATTCCTTCCCCAACCCGGCCTACAATCCATGTTTGGGGATCGTTTTTGAACAAAACTTCAGGTAATCTTGTGTTGTATGACTGAGAGTTCTAATCTTATTTTAGACTCAACTAGACAGACCATTTGGGAAGAGTTCGAACCGCAGACAAGTAATGAGGAAGTCTTCAAGCAAGTCGAAAAAACGTTTGCCGAGAAGGCCAAGACTACAAGGCTGCCGAATCCCTTCAAAAAGAAACCAAAATCTGAAAAAATACTTGGCCTCAGAATCCGCAACACCTTCCTTTTGTCTCTAGCTGTCAACAAGTAAGATGATATTTATTCTACCGTAATCCTAGCTTCAAATGTCCAAAGTCTGAATTAGTCCGTCGGATTGACAACGCCGAATATAAAGCAGGAGCCATCCATTTCTGGAAGAGTTTGAGAGAAAGTTTTCCAAATGCCGACGAATTGGATCAGTTCAAGCAATTGTCAACGCCTGCGGGCTTGGACGATGCTTATGAATTCTGCTTCTTCGCTTGTAAGGTACCGAATATTGGACAGAAAGTACAGTGTGTTCATCAACTCTCTCAGATTCAAGAAAAGGTAAGGCGTAAATCTTCAAAAAACAAATGCCAACATCTATAATTAAGATTGGAGAGCTGGGAGAGCTCACGAAGAAGATTGAATTCATTATCGAAACTGCCAAGGCGTTGGAAAGCAATGAGGAATCGTTGAAGAAGATGATGTTTTCCACTCTCACGTTCATCAACTTTCTCAACAAAGGCACAGCAAATGAATCTTCTCCAGGTTTTCAACTTGGATCTCTGGTTAAATTCCTCCAACTTAAAGGCGATGGAAAGTCTTTAGCTTGGTTTGTGGGTGAAGAGAACTCTGACCTTTATTCTAAGATTCCAATGCTGATCGAGCCATTGAAGAAATCAGAGTAAGTCGATGTTACGTCACGATTCATGACATTGTTATGTATAGAAGTATCGACCTGAGTTCCATCAAAGATGAAGTCCATGAGAATCGGGAGATGGTCCGAATCCTCAGAGAACTGATTTCTGTATGGAAGGAGACACCAACTTATACCAAATGTTTGGAGCACATCAAGGCATGTTCTTTTAGACCTTCCTATTGTCAATTCAGGCCTTTGAACATGAAATCAATGACGTCGCAAGTTCGCTGAAGGCCGTGGGAGAGATTGAGAATATGCTGAAAACCAAGTATTGCGCCAAGCAGAGCACTCTCAACGACATATTCAAACAATTCCATGACGCTTTTCAATTAATTTCGAAAGAAAAACATTGATTTACTTTGAATGGCCTCTATTCAACATGAAAACGTGATATCACAATTAGGTAGAGAATTCTTCAGAGAATCCAATGATCTGTCCGGTTTATGAACATTCTTTAGGTCCTTGATGATCAACTTTTTGAGTCCTCTAGAAATATAATTACATCGTATTGACTTTAAGCCCCTGATCCTCACCTGTATTGTTCCAAATGTTTAATTCCATACTCGGTAATCCTCGGGCACCGTTCCAGTTGAAGGAACGGAAGATATCCTCCGACCTCCTTGCCCATGATCTCCAACGCCATATCGTTTAATGATTTGCACCCAACATATTTCACAGATTGCACACCTTTTAAGCCCGCTTCAATGTCAACCGTTTGTAATCGCGATACTTACCAAAATGACGGCATCCATAACCAGAGACACTCGAGTTAGTGGCATCAATCAAGGACAATATAACTTGGTCTGAAGGCTTGGCTGGATCCAATTCAGCCAGAACACGAATTAAACTATTGTAATCATCGAACGTCTCGTTGAATTTGTCAAACCTGGATCTAAATTACCTTACAATAATACCTACTTCACCGCCCCGCCACATCTCACAATCCATTCCGCAGCAGCCCTATCCGGTCCAACGTCCTTTACTCTCGAGACGTCATAACTAAACCCAAGTTAAAACTCATTGCCAACTCACTAGTTAAATCCCTCTATTAAGAATCTCAGCCCAGGCAAATTGTGCTCGACCAACGCATTTTTGAATCGATCGGCGGCTCTGATCACATATCGCGACATCCTTAAATATAAAAGGAAACGCCATCGTAATCAGTAAAGGACAATATTAACCGCGTCCGACACCATGCAGAATCACCCATCGCTTTATTTAGAGACAATTTACAATTTATCATCACTGCCATTGTGGTTTTTCCGGCATATAAGCGTGGTCAGTTGTGTCAGTCAATTTGATTACAGGAATATCTCTTTTTATCAAGGCCTCTCTGATCTTCCACCGTAACGCCAGTCGTTTATTCTCGCCAGGGGGAGGGCGTTGCGCCCATTCTCTTTTGTAATTATCCAAGGTTCTTATCCTATCTTGTCTAAATGGAAGTCGGCCAGGCTCCGGACAAATCACAGGGCGAAGACCTAAACAATAAAGCCACTAATCTCAAGACTTACAGTTATCCTTCAAGAATCGATTTATCATCATTCGTTCGGTGTATTTGTTGATCGGATTTTCCGATATCTCTTTAGGACTATGTCCATCTACTTCATGGCAAGATTCCTGCTCATCAACGGCACTTCGCTCCCTCAACAGAGACCTCATATCAGAAATTTTTTTGTGTAAATCCACAAACCGATCATTTACATGAGAACCTCCCTAGATTAGATAACATGAATCTCGAACAAGTGAAGAAACAGGTTCGCAGAAATATTTGGAAAGAACTTTTTCGTGTTTTTTTGTTTTCCATATATTTTTTTATTTCATCACTGAACAGAACTTACTTCTGTGATCTCCAACATGTGTGAATAACATCTCTTCACGCATTCATACGATTCTTTGATAATCTTCTCTGCTTCGTTTAAATACTCTGGCTAACTAAAATTAAGACTAGAATACATTATCCCACCTTCGTCTGTTCATAAACGACCGAATTTTCCATCAAAGTATCGTTGAGATCTTTGCAAAAAGGCGCATCTTCTTCTGTGAGATCAACCAAACCATTATCGAAGATATTCTCCTCATTGCCAATGTTATTTAACACCTCTGAACAAAAAATTAACAAACTTGTTCCATTACCTCTTGTTAGAAGATCAAGATCATCCGCACTGACTTCATATCCGATATCCAGTAAAGCTTCTTGGAGATCTCCGGTGGTAATGAAGCCCATATTTATGCCAAAACTACTCATATGATCATGGAAATGCCGGCAAAAAATTTACGGATGAAGATTGTGTATTTTTTTCTAAATATCGACCATATGCCAATTTGTCAGGGTCGTCGTTGTGGGAGAAAGAAGTGATTGTTTTCGGCTTTGGGTCAAGTCTTTTTCTAGACCAAAAATTTACAAGCGGATTTTTTAATTTTGAAAATGTATTTTTGTTGCGTTTGTAACAATGTATTTTCTTTGCCCGTTTTAATGTGTTTCACGGATTAATCCAATTTTCGAGAGCTTTATGTTGTTCTTTTGCGTAGTTTGTGACGTATTAACATATATATTTTAGCGATATTTGATGGTTTATCTATTATTTATCGATAGTTTATGTTTTATAGATGTCGGTACAAGAAGACGAGCTCCTTGAACAAAAGCCCCAATCAAGTGGGGAGGCAATTATGCAGTTATCGGAATTTATAGCAAAGTCGGATCAACACTTAGATGTGGAAACCTATGAGGAAACCATTGAAGAGTACGATGAGGAAGAGGAAATGGAACATCAAGAACAGCATTTCCAAAATGAGGACACCACGGTTCGAACTGAGAAAAGTCTTGGAACTTTGACGAAGAAGTTCATTAAGTTTCTGCAAGATTCTCCGCATAGTCTTGTCGATATAAATCAGGTTGGGATTTGTTATTTTTTATAACATTGCACATTTAGTTCGTTCAACAGTCGGAAAGACTTAATGTCAGCCAAAAGAGAAGGATATATGATATCACCAATGTTTTGGAGGGAATTGGTTTGATTGAAAAAAAAACAAAGAACGTTATTCATTGGAGGTGAGGAACTCGCCTTTGTTTTAAACATTAATATTTAGGGGTGGGCAGTTGAGGAAGCCTGGAGGAGAAATTGATCTGAAACCACAAGATGAAGAGAAACTTCAGATTATAAAAAACCAATTGACCGATTTGGAAAGGGAAGAGAGACTTTTGGATACTCATCTTCAATGGATTAGACAAGTGAGTTGATTCAACGTTGTAATTGTTGCTTTTAGAGTATGAGAAATGTATGTGAAGAACAAGACAACTGCAAGCATGCATATTTGAGTAAAGAAGAGACCGCTAGTGTGTTTGGAAATGATCAGATTCTCCTAGTGCAGGCGCCTCCAGGTACGGACATTCAAGTGGGTCAACCCAATATGTATGTTGATGAAGTCAAGTATAATCTCAAAGCAAAATCACACTGCGGGCCGGCTTCACTGGCACTAATAAACCTCAAAGATTGCCGAGGGTCTGTTGGATTTCCCCGGAAAGATTTGGCATCTGATGTTCCCAAAAATATTCTGGAGAATGAAGAAGAGGAAAGTAATCAGGAGGGGAAACAGGTCGAAGACCATTCAATCGATACGCTTCAGAGGCTAAGTCCCCCTCCATCCGATTACGATTACTCTTGTGGTCTGACACGAGGAGAAACTTTGATGGAACTGTACAATGAGGACGTATATTGACAATAACACCTGTCTCTTTATTTATGCGTGTAAAATAAAATCACCATATAAATGTGATCAGCTAAGTGCACGTGTTGTGTGGACGTGAATGAGGTGACGACTATATCAGTTATAATTTATAATACAAAGCCAATAACTTTTATGGCGTGGAATGGGATAAAATTATCGCAGATCCTCCTCTTCTTCCTCTCCAGCAGCAGCTCCGACCGCCGGGCCAGAGCTCTCTCCACAGAGTCTTTTGGCCTTTAATAGTAAAGTTGTTTGGAAAGGATCGAGACGACTGATCTTATCAAAGTTCTTGACTGTCTCGGTGAACACATCCGGGTTCTGCTCCTCCATGGCAATCGTTAATTCCTTCACAAATTTGTATTCCCTGGAATCAGCAAAGGAAGGAGAGGCATCTTCATAACGTCTTAGAGCTTGTTGAGAATCCAACTAAAAATAACAGTATGAAAACCAAACAAACACTTACCAGATCAACACAAATATGACATAAGAGGGCCAGGAAGAAATGATTTTTGGCCGCATATTTCAGGGTTGGATGATCGGCCTCCCACAAAGCGATCTCCTCGTAGATTTCAATGGCTTTTCTATATTGTTCTAACTCAGCAGAAACTTGGGCCACTTTGACAAGACACTTCGTGGCCGAGCTCTTGGACTCCTCGCCCTTGTAGAAGTCAGCAGCAATCTGGTAATGCTTTGCACACTTCTCCTTATCAGGTGACTCCGTTTCATAGATTTCTGCGATGGTGGTATGAACTTTTGCAGCCATATTGAAGCGGCCCATATCAGTATATATTTCGGCGGTTTTGGACAGACAATCAACAGCTTTCTAAAAACAGAAAAGAATGATATTCCCCTCAAAGTACTTACAGTCGTATCTACTTTCCTGAAGCAATTACCAGCCTGGTCGTACTCTCGAGCACTGTCATGTTTACTGTCCTGTTGACTACCATATAATTCGGCTGCTTTTAGGAACGCATTACCTGCCGCCGACCAATTCTTGGCTACCTTGAACAGGTTTCCGGCCTAAAAATAATTTTTTTTATCCGACTATAACCAATAAAATAGCATAAACGTATTTCACGATTTACATACAACACTACAGATGTTTTCTCGACGGCTTCAAAATCTTGCGGACCCCGGGGAATCCTTTTTCTTGCTCAGAACCAAACCGCGGCCCTCTGTCGTCTGAGATCCTGAACCGAGAAAGATCTTTCTCTATCTTCTCCATCTTTCTTCCATCAAGTTTCGTTATCGGGGATTGAGTGTGGTGTTGTTCTAATACATGAACGTCTCGCTTACTCTTAGAGTCAAACTTCTCTTCACAATCTTCTATATAGCATAAGAAATGAAGCTCGTGTGGATTCTTTTCTGCCTTCAACTGGAAGAATACTGAATGTTCCTCCTCTAAATGGACTTCCAAAGCCTTTGACGAAATAAGTTTGTTCCCACATTCTCCGCATTCATGACTATGGGCTTCTTGATAATGATCTTCAAAATCAGCAACATTCTCGAAACTGGCAAGACATCGAGGGACCGGGCAAGAAATCTGAGAGCACGACGACCCCGACTAAACACAAAAGTGCCAAAAATTGGAAAAATAACAACCCTATACACTACAGCATGAACTACAAACCCAGATCAAAATAATCACAACAAAAATGGGTCAACGTGGACTTACCTGAACGTAAAGATCACAGGTTTCATGGATACTTCCACCTCCGCCGAAAAGGCCAAAGAATCCACCGGACTTCTTCGACTTCTTTTCCGCCTCCTCCAACTTCTGACGCGCTTTATTTTCACTATCGGCCATTTTCTATAAGAAGTAAAGTTGACGTTTTTATTTTATTATCGGATTTCTATCGAGCAGAAATATCCGATATTTCCGAAATTTTATTTATTGATTTACGGTACTTTGTCCTGATTCAACAGACTTTTCGTGACGGGACCGAAAGAGACCGTTTACTCAATGATTACGAAAAAAAGATGCTAAATCCTTTACCAAAAATATGACGACAAGATAACACCAAAATAGTGTGAGCGTTCTAAAACGAGGATGGTCTGATTTGCACCCCACTTCCCGTGGATCCACATGAAATGCATCCAGCCACGTGCAAGGACTGATAAGCCGTCAAGAGATCGGAATACCCAGCCCATTCAAGAACATTATAAAACGGCCCAGAGGTCAACTCATCGCCAATCGTCACAAAGGTCGGTCAATTAAGATGGTAGAGAGTAAGAACGTGGAGGAGATCGTTGTGATTGGGACCGGCCTTATGGGCACGGGTATTGTTCAGGTGGGGATGACTAATCATATATAAGCTACGGTATTCATTCTGTGCTTTTTTGTTATTAGAAGACATACTTTACTGTCTAATTCCATTTTTAAAGGTGGCTGTCGAAGCTGGCATTCATGTAAATCTAGTTGGTCGATCCACAGAGAAATGTGAAGCTGCCCGAGGCAGAATTCAGGCTGGACTAAGCAGAATCTCCAAGAGAAGATACCAAAATGATCCACAGGCCCAACAGCAATATGTTCAAGCAGCCATGAACAATCTTGATCTGGTTACCAGTCTCGATCAGCTGAATCTCAAGAGAGTTGACATTGTAATTGAGGCTATTGTTGAGGACTTGAAGCTGAAACAGGAATTTTTTTATCGATTGGAGAAGGAAACTAATGAGTAAGTCTTGCTTAACGGTTAATGTTAACAGCGGGTATTGTAAAAATTGGGGCCGGAGATAGTGAGAGGGGGGAATTTATTGAAAGTTGGCTGGTTATTAACCAGAATTGCTGTTATCAAACGATAACTACAGTAATAAGCGGATTGAAAAGGAATTTTAAACGTCTGTGGTCTTTTGAAAAGATTAGATAATCCCCAATTGGAGATAATATAATGAAGCGCGAGATCATAAGAACATGCTTGTAATTGTAGAGAATGCCTCTTGGTGACCAATACCTCCAGTTTCCTCCTGGCTGATGTTATGAACAAGATGAACACTAAAAGAGAACGGGTAGCCGGTCTTCATTTCTTCAACCCAGTGCCCGTAATGAAGTTGGTGGAGGTTGTTTGCGGAGTCGAGACCTCAGAAGAGACCTACCAGACTCTCTGTCATTTCTGCACTCAATTGGGGAAAACTCCAGTCAAATCAAAGGTCCGTAACAAAATGATTCCCTTAGGGCTTTTATTAAGATTGGTGCTTTCGGGTGAAGACGCATGTTTTTGCTGATGCCATTGTTGACAACTCATCCCAGACTATTTTCAGGACCGTCACGGCTTCATTGTCAACAGGTTATATATGCCTTTTTTGGCAGAGGCCATCAGAATGACTGAACGTGGTGATGCCTCGCCCAAAGATATAGACACAGCTATGAAATTGGGTGCCGGATTACCAATGGGACCGTTCGAAGTGGCGGATATCATTGGATTGGACACCTTGAAATACATCATCGGCAGTTGGCATCAGGCGTATCCAGAAGATCCCAAGTATTTCCCGTGTCCTTTACTCGACTCAATGGTGGATACGGGGAAGTTGGGAAGGAAAACGGGCGAGGGATTCCACAAATATGCTCCCAAATAATCTCGATTACTGTAATTTCGTACTGTTGAACCGTCACGACCTTTGTAAAAATAAATATTTGTGTTGCTTGTGTATAAATAAATACCTTTTAGTTCGGGTGACTTAATTTTATATATTGTGAAGCACGGAGTACTGTAGGACTTGTTTTTTTAAAACATTACCCGCGATGAACGACTCTTAATAAAGCCGGCGCTCCCCGCATGTCGTCTCTCTCCCTAAAAGTGCTGTCTTATTTCTGCCGTTAAGAAAAAAAGAAGACAGAAAAAATAAAATAAAAAATACTTTCAGTCCTTAATTCTATTCCAACTTCCTTCATTGTAACCTGCAACAAATATTTGAGCTTATAAAAGATGGCTAACCGCCGAGAAAATCCAGATGGGAGGGATCGAAGGATGCTGGCCACATTAAGGGCGAATTTGGGAATGCGGGAAGCCCCGAAAGCACAGCCCCAACGGGTTAACCCCACTCCAAGATCTCGCTACAAAACTGTTGAGGAGGCGTTGGAATGTCTGAATAAGGCTCTCGTTCAGCCATCTACCTCATTATACGATTTTGGTAAGTTCAATTTGAATTACAGTGACTTCAAACATTAATTAAAACTGTTCAGAACTTTTCCTACGGCAACAAAGCAAACAATTTGATGCCGAAACGTGTGAATTAATCGCCGACAGTATTAAAAAGTATTGTATGAAGTCTGAAGAGTATAGATTCATCATAAAAGTGGCCAGTGATAATATAAGTAAGTAAAAGCGTTACTTTTTCATTTTCTTCGATGTTTAGATTGTCTGGATTTGGTAACAGCAATAGCCAAAGAATTTCTGATCTTGGCAAATGAGTACATGACAGATGAAGACATCGGGAAACAACAATTCCCAGAACTGATGGGCAGTGTGATTGCCTGGAAATGGCCTCCGGGCAAAGCGAAAGCCATCGAAAGTGTGAACCCGATTCTTTATCTCGGGATTAACGTAGTCATGTCTTGGGTCAATGTAATGGACAGTTATGGTGTAAGCGGAATCATAAACAATTTTGTTATTGTTCTTCTAATAAATTGATCTTTAACACAATGATTAATGTCATGTTTTCCAGAAAGCTCCAGATTCCAAAAAAAGAAACGAAAAAAATGAAGAGAACAATGAAGATGACAGCGATGACGACATTGCAGGGGAAAGTGATGAAGAAGAAGAGATGTTCTCTCAAGAGGTCACCGAACTGGCCATCGCCGCTGTTTGCACTGTATGTAATGTGGCCCAAAGAAATTTCTGGCTCAATTTCATGGAGGAATTCGACAAAGTTTTTGTGGTTGTTAAAGCCTTGTTGATTGCAAACGTTACACTCTCCAAGTGAGTTCTTCTGTTTCGTCACCGTTTTTGTTTTCGAAAAGGATAATAATATTATTAGTTCTTTGCAGAAGTAGCAAAGAGAGTCTCCTGAACTTGTACATTAATTTGTTTAAATGGTCCGCTACTGGTCAGACGAAACAAACCACTAGTCACACTCAGACTTAAGTCATCATATCTAGTCAAATCGTGTACTAGGCGGGCTAAAAAGTCTTGACATGTTTCCGCACTGTGCGGACCTTACGTTTGGCGTTGCGACGAGGTGTCGCGAAATATAAATTTGGCGACGCCTTGAATTTTACTTGTCGCCGCGCGACAAATTGTCGACGGCGCACTGTGCAGGCATATCAAGACTTTATGGCCCGCCCAGCAAAATTGTTGTAAGTATCAATTGTTGAATAAATTTGTATAATACCGATTGGAGAAAATCATTGAAAATATCTTACGAATCAAACCATTATATTATATCATTTTTAATTGAAGGTTTAGACAGTCTGCAACATTCGATGATGCCGACCTTCACCATGCAAACTGTCTCTGATCGGAAACCAGTTAGTGGCAATAATTTCAGCAAAAATTTTGGGCTTGCTCAATTCCATGACGATAACAGTGACCTTGAAACGGTTTGTAGAGGGAGGAGATAGGTTCAGCAGGAATTCGCGACGTGGTTTCATTTGCGCTGATTCTCAATTAAAATGCACTTTACTGTAGTCTCCGACTTCTGGGTGGGAGTGCTTACGTAATATAACTGGGTTAGTGACATAGTTAGTTAGCGTGTAACAGAACTTGAGGATAAGTCATCATTAAATTTTATTTGTAAAGCTTATTAGGAAATTTGATTTTTAATTGCTATACTCTCCCAAATGTCACAAATACCAATCCAATCGTCATCACAGTACCTGTTCCGTCTTATTTCTTGTATCCAGTTGAAGGTGTGCTTTAATAGAACACAAAACCCTTCTACTACTCCCTTTAAACTTTAAGTTATACCCAGTGGCGACCAAGATTCCAGCTCATTAGAAGGACAAAAAGAGTTTCGAAGGTGGGTCTCTGACTTCGCTGAAGTTGCTCTTATGGCGTCACAATTTCGAAACTTGTGTTTATTATAATTCGGAGGCCTGACCGCCAAGTTTTCTTCCAATTCCTGCCTTTCACCTGAGGCCGTTATCCGTCAGATTCGACGTCGATAAGCGCCGGGGCATCCCGACTGGAGGTCCCTCGCTCTCGCTAACTTTATCTCCATCGATCAGAAAGGGCATCGTGACTATCCTCCGACCCAATTCTGTCGACTCTATCTCTATGTAATCAGCAGCGCGACAACGTTCTTGACCCCGATCCCCAAATTATTATTTTTTGCTACTTCTGAACACTGTCTCCTAACATTTGATATCTTCGGCTACTTGTCTGCGCCATGAATATTACTAATGATCTTTTTGCCGTATTTCTGTTTGTTTACAAGTAAAGACTACTCTTTAGGCGTTTTCTTGATCATGGAAACAAACTTTAATTTCGCTGCACTAATTGTATTATATAAAGTAGGAGATGAACTTAATTTATGGTTCTTCAGGTAGAAACAAAGATTTCTGTTTGGTTGAGGGACTTCCGCTAAGGTGTAATGTTTTATTTAATTTTGGCGGTTTCGGTTTGCGTCTCTTCGATCATTAATTATGAGGTTTCACAATCAGATTCCGACGTTATGACTCGTGGCGCGACTCTCGTTTATCTCGCCCGGGGCGACCTTTCTTCGTCATTCCTGAGGTCTTTATTGCAGACATCGCTCCTCTCTTGGGTTCCCAATGCATCGTCTCCATTGTCATGTCCAGAATTACCAGTGGGGCAAGAAGGGTGCCTCTTCTGAGGTTGGCCTTCTCTATGCCGCCGGTCACAAGAAGTTCATGCTCGATGAACAGAAGCCTTATGCCGAGGTAGGATATTGTTTCGTATATTGAAAGCTGACAAAAAATAAATTTATATCAAGTACGAAGCACAGAAATTTATTTGCAGCTATGGATGGGGACACATCCTGATGGTCCGGCCCGAATTCAAGGCTCCGATGTGAGGTTAAGTGAGCACAGAGCACTCGAAGAGAACAATGAAGGAGATGATCATCTGCCTTTTATCATGAAAATCATGGCCATTGAACATACTCTTTCTCTACAAGTACATCCCACTAAAGAACAAGCAACTCAGTTACATGACAACGATCCCTTCCATTACCCTGACAGAAATCATAAACCTGAACTGGCCTATGCGCTCAACAGATTCGAACTTCTTTGTGGATTCAGACCAGCCAAAGAGATCTTGATTAATATGGAAGGTAAGGGTTTACCGATAAAACTAAGACGATCACATCAAATATATTCCCATTATACATCTATCTTTTCAGCTTTTCCGGAGATCAAAACGCTTATGGGAATAGAGAATTGCCAACGATTCAAGACTCTGGTAAAAGCTGGCTTCAGAGATGACAGTAACGAGCTGAAACAAGCCCTAAAGGCATGCTTCACTAAGATGATTTACATTAAAAATCATGCTGATGTTATTGTAAAATGTCTGGAAATCCTCAAAAATGATCTGGATGATGGAGTGAGAGGATGTTTAATCGAAGAAACCGTCGAAATTATGAAAGATACCATGCAGAGGTTCCCCGGAGATGTTGGATGTTTCGCTCCTCTGTATTTGAATCACATGATTTTAGAGCCAGGACAATGCTGCTACTACGCGGCCGAGGAATTGCATGCATACCTTAGTGGAGGTAAGCAGTCTTTTTGCAACTATCTCAAAATTCCTACATCGCCTGATTAATATTTTTTAGAGTGCGTGGAATGTGTGGGTTGCTCAAATAATACGATAAGAGCTGGTCTTACCAATAAATTTGTGGACAAGAAGAGTCTAATCGAAGTTCTCAACTACAGAATGACTGCTCCCGAATACTATTTGGTGCCTCCAAAAAGTCTGACCAGAAATGTGGCCGAATATGCCCCCGAGAACTGTGCTGACTTTACTTTGCATGAGATCAAAATCAACGACGAACTGGCTTCCTCATCCACAGAGGCCGTCCTCCCAACCTTAGAATGCGCGAGTATCATCGTCTTTGTATCCGGAGATGTGGAAGTCGTAGAAAACGGAGAAAGAATACACCAAGTGACACGAGGGGACATCTATTACATCCCAAAAGACACAAATGTTATGCTGACTCGGAAAGGAGATAAAGCTGTTCTGGCCTACAGGACACTAAGTTACGAAGACGGACCTGATCACTCAACTCGAATCAACACGAAGGAACTCAGCCAATCCGATATTCTTAAACTCAGAATGCAAAGCGAACTCAGAGAGAGTGTGGGATTAAATAACAACCAATTGGAAGATGTCTCGGTGCCGATGGAAGTGAGAGCTGCCTCGATGAACCTACTCACGGACGTTTCTGGGGAGATGGATGGATTTCTGTAGCGTTTTGCATAGATTTATCTTATCGTCGAGCCTTCAATTGAACCCTCATTTATTAAACGTAATTGGAGGTTACTGTATTCTAATCAATCTTTCAAAAGTGTCAGTAAATACGGTTCAGAAGTTCGTTTCTTTCAAATAAAATTCATTCCATCTTTTACATTAGGCGAGAATGTGGTGGGTCGCGTCGATCTACTTGATAATTTGCTGGTCTATGCAATTGCATCTACTAGTGTTATGTAAAAAGATATCCCAAATACGGAGACAGTCAAGACCAAGAAGTGGGACCAGCAGTCAGCCAAACAGTAATGTAAACAGCCCCATTCTTCTAGTCAAAGAAAAAGAGGCTAGTAAAAGTAAGGAATTGTGTAATAAGAGTATAATTATCATCTATAGCGACTTCAACTGCTACAACAATCAGCAAGGATCAAACAACAAGGAACGGAAATCATGGTTCGAAGAGAGTCCATTCAAGCAAAGCCTCGAGTCAACCACAATCACAACAAAAAGTGACCGCAGCCAGTAAAGGAACTAGTACTACTGTTAAGAGTAGTGAAGATTCAAGGAAGTCGAAGAACAAGAAAGAGAAGACCGCCGGATCCGAGAGAAAATCTGTCAAAAAGGTAATCGTATAATAAAACATTAATTGTTTCTAAATCATTTACAGAGAGGTTCCAAGGATAAAAAGAAACATAAGAAATCAAAGAAAGGAAAGAGCCGGAAAGAAATCGACATCAACAAGTACAAATTGGAAGATGACGTCACTCTGGATCCAGGAATCGACATAGAAGAACTGGATGCCGAGAACGACTTCCCTATAGCAGAAAAGTTTTCATCTAACGATACCGACCGTCATGACCGGACTCCAGTCTTCGTTTCTGGTCGAGAGAACTCAGACAACACACCCATAAAAAGTGATAAACAAAGCTGTAGCTACCGATAGAGCGAATAAACATTAGTATCAGGATTTATTTACTCGTTGTACCGCACGAAGATTTGATCGACCAAGTTGATCACTTCATCCATGTCTACGCCGTCATCTGCAAGTTTTAGGAACTAGTACAACATACCACACTGACAACACTGTGTTCTTAAATTATTCAAATGGGTAAAGCAACCCATTTGTGAAATCCATTACCTGCAAAACACCGCCTCATTGTAACCGGCTGATTTGTGAGCGGATTTATAATATCGAATGTCCTCTTGGTGAATGCAAACCTAAACAATTATAATTATACTATTGGTGTGCTTACTTTTTCTTTTTCCTAGATGTTGGTCGTGCAATCGCTTCTACTCGTTCTGGTCTACTAGACCTGCTATAAGAAGATGTATGTGCAATTGTAGCAGATTTCTTGGCTGACGAGGAAGTGGAAACAGAAATTGGTGAGGCCGCTCTTTTCCTTGACGATCTGCTCGAGTTCTCCGTGTTTATTCGAGACCTATTCCCTTCTTCAATAGCAAAATTTCGATTCCTCCTTCTTTCACTACTTGTTGTGGAAAAGTGATCAAAGGTCTCATCATTTCCATATAAATTAAGAGCCATATGAATATCTTCATCAGGAGCAGATTCCGTTGGCAAGGGGCCAAAATCGTCATCCATTGCAACACCTCGGTCATATGAAGGGGCTCTCCGTTCTGGTCGCTTTTTCAACTTTTTGGGAAGGTTGATGTCATCAATGATTTGAACAGGAGAATGACATCTAACCCCTTTACTTGTGCAAGGACTAGATGAGATTGGAAAGAGAGCACTCTCCTTGAATCCCTCTAAAAAAGTCTAGATTGTTCAAATTAAATTCAGGACAATTTTTGCGAATCTTCAAGCTCTAGAGATAATCAAGAAACTTGTCTTGTTTTTAAAATTCGAAATCATGCGTTTTTAGAATACGCAATTTTTTCTCGGGTCGGCGGAGACAATTGGCACATTTTTTAAAATTGCATCTCCGCGAACGCAAGAAAAAATTATTCTGCATATTATATACGTATAAAAATGCACGACTTCAACATTAAAAACAATTTCTTGGATAGCTGCAAAGAGCACAAAGATTTTCGCATATACTTTTTGGAATATTTCTTGAAGCATGATTATGATGAGCTCTCGTTACACCTCTTACCTTTCCTTTGTTTCTCATCAATCTCCTGGGCCAACTTTTGACATTCTCGTTTCTGATTGTCGTCCAGATCATGATTATTAATATAAGAATTCAAAAAGTAAAGAGCAGAGAATCCATTGTGATTGCATCGACTGACACTGGCTTTAAAAGTAATTAGTAGTTTGGCCACATCTATATGACCGTTGGCACACGCTTCCATTAAAGGAGTATCTCCTGCAGAATCCTATATAAATATTTTTTAAACGTAAAAATGGACTTACACACGCAGTCCCATCATCATTCAGAAGTGCCTGTCCAGATTGGCAATCGACTTCAGCTCCATTTTGCAAAAGTACTCTGGAGACATCAAGATGACCATGATTCACAGCCTCACTCAATGGAGTCCAGCCACCGTAATCCTTCGCATTCACATCGTATCCCTAGAATATAAGGGTTTGCAAAAATAATCTTACACACTGTAGAAGTTGCTTGACTTTGTCCAAATCTCCGTCCCGAGCAGCTTCGTGAAGTAGCGTCTCGCCCTTCGTATTTCGACTATTCTTTTTCTTTTCCAGAGTATTTCTCTGCTCATACTTTATATATTTTTCTAGAATAATGTTATCGAAAAGTTTCAACATACCTTCCAAATCATACATCATATCCTTCTCCGTAACATCCCCGAAAACTTCTTCATCTTCTTCGTCTTCTTCCCCATCTTCAACTTCTTCATTTTGAGGGTCTTGACCGTTTTCCAACCGCTCTCTCTTCTCTTTCCATGCATTCGTCCATTTATCAATCTCTTGATTCTTATACTGTTGCCTATTTACATTCAATAACATGACGATTGCTTCCAAAACAACATTTTCCATATCGCTGTTTAGATCAAGATCGAAACATTTCTTGAGAGACTTGAATCGAACATCCACGGGAAGTGAAACGTCTTTGCTTCTTGTAACAGCCAGGCTGATTTCAGTTTCAGTAAGCTGCAATGACCGTGTTAAATCAGCGTATCAAACCAAATTTTCAAGGCAAGTACCCCAAGTGCGACGCTCATAAAGGAAGTCACACATTTCGCAAGGCACGAAACTTTGTACGCTAAAATTTTCAAGAAAGTGACTTGTAAATTTGTGCCAAGTTTCATCAAAATCTGAGCGTCGCACATCCCTGGTTAATTTAGAAAAAAAAACTTACTTTAGTTTTATCTTTTCCAAAATATTTTCTAATCAACTCCAAACACTTTTCGTAATATTCAGAAGCTTTTCGAAAGTCTCCCAGATCAATCAGAGTTTCTGCTATAGACACCAAGGCTTTCTCTTTGTACCGAATATTTGTCGAATACCTAAAACAATATAATTTGTAACAATAACTAATCCTACCCTAACATTCGCTCGTAAAATCTCAGAGCAAGTTCGAACAATTTTATATTGACGGCAGAATCAGCAATCCTCTCACAAATCTTGTATTTCGATGTATCATCTAAGTTCTTACTTAGCGCAGCAATTCGTTTATCGTATTTCCAAACTAAATTAGAATAAAAAAAAGTGAAAGTTGTCTTACTAAAACATAAGTACTCCTTGCACACGGAAGACACTTTAGAATTTTTCCTCAATTTAAATAATATTTTTAAAACTGGAGCCAAATCATCAAAATTGGATGGGAAAAAGTTGAGAATCTGCTTAGAGTACTCGAGATCAGCTTCATTGATATTTTGTTTCAGATGCTGATGAGCAACCTCCATCCTTTGCTTGGCTAAAGCAACTTTCTTTTCCCCGTTCGTCAACTCAATCTTCATCAACAAACAGCTGTATAAGAGGCCGTAGTCTTTAGTTGATCTAAACAAAAAATAATTAATTAAAACGACTTACTGAGCGTATTCAACTGCCATATTATTATACCGAAGAGCCGCCGGATAATCTCCAAAACATTGAAATATCTCCGCCAGGAGCGAGTTTATCCCCGCCATTCTTCTTTTACTATTCTCAGCAGTTTTTACAGCTTCCTTATCATTATCAATGTCCCCTGCATGCTTGGTCAGATATTGTTTACATTGCAACGCCTTCTCAAATGCCTAAAAGAGATAAAGAACACAAAACAATAATAATACCTCGAGGAGGTACCATTTGTTTAAAGTAGCGTATCCTTGATATATAAATGCATATTCATGTAGAGCCAACTGAATCATGTTGTGGCTTCCCATTTTTCTAGCATAAGTCAAAAATAATTGAACATGCTTTCGCGCAGCTTCGTCGTTTTCTACAAATGAAAAACTCTTAAGGAAAATTTACCTTCACTCAAAATCGAAGCGATATTCCTGTGGCAGTGTGCAAGATTTTCAAATTTGGATATCTTCTGTGCCAACTTGACGGCATCATTGTAACATTCCAGAGCTTCATCATTTTTTACCATCTGACGATATTCATCGCCGAGTTGGACCAGAATTTCCGATTGTCCATCGATATTCCCATTGTCCTTATAACACTTCAATTTTTGGCGAAGATCTAAAAAAAGATGAAAAATGTCAAAAAAACATACTCCTGATTTCCCTGTCCTCGTTTCCATACTTTTTTGACATCAGGAATTCTTGACACGGCCTTTTTTATATAAAATAATATAAAATTGTATATAAAAAATTCAAAAATGCTTTATTCTGCCAAAACATCGGGCGCAGCTTGGAAAGATTTTACGAAAGGCGCCAAAGGATAAATTCAAAAAGAAAATTAAAAATTTTAGATTTCTAATTCTAGGATTTCGTGTGCGAGATTTTACCGCACGTTATTGTATTGTAATAAAAAGGCTAAGATCACCTTATAATCGGCATGACGACTTTAACGTCGATGAGATTGCAAAATATAAGGAGTATCGGAGAAGAATCTCAGACCATCGACTTCATCAAGCCTTTGACAATCATCCAAGGTCCGAATGGAACGGGGAAAACAGTAGGAAAAGGAGTTACTTTGACCTTCTTTAGACTGCCGTCGAGGCTCTGAATTTCGTCACAAGTGGGACTTTACCTCCGGGTAAATTGCCTGGTTTCGTACACAGTCAGAGAGTAAGTGCCGACATACTTGCGTAACCTTGCGTATTTAGCTGTCAAAGAAGAAGAAGGTGGATGCCTTAGTTCAATTGGAGTTTGTCAATTTCCATGGCGTTTGTACGGCGACTAAAAGAATGACAGGATCTTTAGGGCCGAAAACAAATAAGATCACCACCAAGTCAGAAGAGTTTACTTTGGCAGTTAGAAAGCCTAATGGAGAGGTTGGCATGGTATCCTCTAAGGTTGCTGATTTTAACAGAGAAGTAAGTTGTTATAGTTTTATATGTAATTGAATCTTAGATGTTGAATCATTTTGGAGTCACCGCTGCCGTCTTGAATTATGTCATATTTTGTCATCAAGAAGAATCAACTTGGCCCTTGAGCGAGCCGAAAGAATTGAAATTGCGCTTTGATGCTATTTTTGAAGTTTCGAAATATGTGAAAGCAATGGAAGGGCTTAAGGATACCATCAAGGAGTTGGTATGCCGAGGTTATGTTGCATGTAACCGAAGTTTATTTTCAGCAAGCCGAATTGTTGGTTGTAACCACGGAAATTCCATACCTTGACCAGGCGAATAAGGATCGGGCCCAATTAGTTTTGAGTAGAGAAGAGACCAACAATCAACTTACTAGATTTCGAAAGGATATCAAGGACGACTCCAAGGAACTGAGGGAAGTGGAAGACGAATTAAAGAAGAATCGGAAGGACACTGAGGAAGTGACAAAGATGGAGAATCAAGCAGGTATTAGCATTGTTTTTAGACATTTCAACAACGATGTTCTTCAGCTCTCATATCCAATGAGATAAAAAATGTCCAAGAATCTCTACAAGGCCTCAAGGTTGATCCTTTCCCGGGCACAAAAGAAGAGTTGCAGTGCAGAATAGATCAGGTTTGTGTTTTAGATGTTGTATTAGGTATCTGGATTCCTAGTCCTTGCGATCTAGTCAAATGACGGATATAACAGCGAAGCGAGAAAAGACCAAGGAAACTGAACTCAGATTGTATGCAGACTTGGCATTGTTTAATTCAGAAGCGGAACAAATCCAGGCTGCCTTAAATACGGCTGAAGCAAATGAAATGGTACGGATTGTAATGATTGTTCCACATTTGTCGTTTTAGATGTTAAACAATTATAAAACAGAATGCGATGACTTGGTCAAACAAGGACAAGAAAAATATGGTATCCAAGGTAAGGTTTTTATTTCCGATACGGTTATTGCTTAGGAGATGGCGCCCATTTCATCGCTTTCTTCACTAGCACTTTGAAGTCCTTAGAGTCAGACCTGAAGAACCTCGACAATCTAAGAAGCGGTGATCGTCAACAAGATGGTTTGGATTTGAATGAGGCCAGGAGGTTGTCCCATGAAAATCAAATCATGCATACTGTGAAGAGCAGAGAAGAAGACAATCTCATCATTTCTGTGCAAAAAACGGAGAAAAGTCTTAAGGAAGTGACCGAAAAGTAAGAAAGAATTCAGTTTATTGTTAATATTCTTTTAGATTAGACCAACTCTATTCGAACAAGAATCATTTAAAGGTCAGGTTGAACAAGATGATTCAAAGAGAACGGGTTGATCTTGCACTTGTCTCGAATCAGCTGAGTGGTCTTCAGAATGAGGCCAATGTTCTCACAGATCTCTCTTCTCATGAGATTAATATTGATGATCTGATTGACGGGGTTGAGGGGCTCAGTGTGGATCACGAACAGGCTTTTGAGAAACTCTCGGTCAGATTCTTGGCTAACAGGTTACGGTAAGACGTCTATTGGTTCGTTTGCAAAGTCGCTGAAGTGAGTTCGGCAACATGCACTGTGCAAAAAATTCAAGGTATGAGCTGTTCCAAAAAAAAAAACCATTTGCACGATGAAAAAAAGTACAAAATTACAAAGGTGCATGTCGCATAAATCATTCTGCGACTTTGCGAACGGGCTCGTATAATAATAATTTTATGATGGAGTCTAGGAAGAACGTAAATTTATCCGAGAAAAGAGATGGAGTAGAAGAATTGAAGAGAGTGCAGACGGAAGTGGTGGACCTCAAGAAGGAACTGAATGAATTGGAAGGAACGGAAGTCATCTACAGAAAATGGGCGGCGTCCCTCGATGAAACGGGCGATTGTCCGCTTTGTGAAAAGAAATGCAACGAGAAAGATGGTCACAAAATGAAGGACAAGGTAAGAATGGCAAGGGTTATATACTGGTTTGTAGTTAAGCGTTGTGAATTTGAATGAAGAAATAATGAAAATCAAAAGCAAACTGGCTGAAGCACAGAAGAAGGAGATGAATTTGATCTTCCATCAGAGAGTCAGATATGTGAATGATGAGATTAAAATGGTCAGAGAGAAGATCGAAAAGGAAAGTGAAGTCTCCAGAATGGAAGCTGACTTAAATAGACAGGTAGGAAGACGGTTAAAGTTACAGGAATCCGAAAAATTCAGATTGAGAATGTTGAAAAAATCATTTTCCAAACTGAAGGAAGTAAGTCCAAGTTTGAAGCTGACCTGGCCGAGAAGAAGAGCGCCTTGGCCAGTGTTCAAGTCGAACTTGAGCAGATTCGGGGGCGAAGAGAACAACTAAAGGCCAATTTGGAGAAGTGTAAGAAGAAAGTGGAAGATACGGAAGTCAGAAATAGAACCGAAAGAAACGAATTATCATCTCAGATCACGGAAAGGAAAAGTTTCTTGGATTCTCTCACCCGCATACATCAGAAATTGGCAAATCAACGGAATCTGAGTGTAAATAAAGAGGAATCGGAAAGAAGAAAGATAGAGTTAAATGAGAAGATTGAAGCCACGAGAAGAGAAATCAACAATTGCACTATCACTTTAGCTAACTGTGATAACGAAGAAAGCCAACACAGAATTCTGGAATTGCAAATGAGAATAATGAATGGTCAGGAAAAGATTGTTGGACTTAAAGCTCAATTGGCATCATTGGGAATCAAACAAAAACCAAGTCTTCAAGAGTTGAATGAAAAGGTAAAGATACAAAATAAGGGTAATGACTGGTTTAGGCCACGTCTTTAAACAAGAGGGCGTTGATCTTAAGAAATCAAATAAGCCAAAAAGAGGGAGGATTAAGCGAGTTACAAAAGAAGTTGAAGGAAATTGATATTAAATTGAAACAGGACTCCATGGTTAACGCAAAGGTCAAATTACATGAGAGGGTTATCGAAAAAATGGTCCTTCAAGCTGGAATTGAGGACATCAACAAGTTCAGGAATGTCCTGGATGAGAGTATCATCGCATTCCATCATGGGAAGATGGAGGAAATCAATGCGATCCTCTTCGATCTTTGGCCAAAGGTTTACCAAGGGACTGATGTGGAAACTATTCGTATCAAGTGAGTGGACGTTACGTGTTTTATTCTTCCAATAGATTTTATTGTATTTATGTATATGTAGATCACAACCGGCATCCGGAACGGATAAACGAAAGAGTTATGATTATTCGGTGGTCATGGTGGTGGAACAAGAAGAAATCGAAATGAGAGGACGTTGCAGCGCCGGCCAGAAGGTAAGATCTCCTGATTTAACAGTAAATCTTCGTATATAGATGCTTGCTTCAATTCTGATTCGCATTGCGTTGGCTGACGTTTTTGGTATGAACTGCCCTATTCTTACTCTGGATGAACCAACCACAAATCTGGATTCGTCAAAAATTGAGAATATGGGATCCATGCTTAAGGATCTGCTGGACGTCTTTAATTCGGGCGACAATTTCACTTGCCGTTCTGATTTGCAACTCATTGTCATCACCCATGATGACCGGCTTGTTCAATATCTTGTGCAGACTTGTCGTCCCGATTTCATTCAAGTGTTGAGTAAAGACGAGCTTGGGATGACCCATATCTCAAAGAAGACTTCTTTGGATTCATAGTAGAGAACATGTAGATTTACATAGACAATAATAACACCGGTTCTGAATAATTTAACCTCTGTGAATAAATTACCGTGCTAATAAAATTATTTTAATTGGATTCAAATATTTTTAACAAATGTGACGTCATCAACTCTGGCCTCAGTGATCTCCCGTCCTTGTGTCATCTTACAAGTAATATGATACTCACGACGTCTGTTCTTATCATCGTTGACTTGGAGTGATAATGTAATCTCAAAGTTTCCATTCTTGTCTTCAACCTGCGATAAAGATGTTTATGTTGAGATAAGAACATTGTTCACAATAAACCCACCTCAATTGGCGGGAATCCAAAATAAACGGCATCTCCAATATTCTTAGCGACCCTTTCACTTTTAGAACGACATCTAAAGGTGGAGGTAGCTGATGAGAGTCCAGGAATCTCCTTAACAACGGATTCTGTTTGTGCTAAGGTGTAATTGAGGGCGTTCTTATCGGCTGAACCTTTTGACGCAACTCCCGAGGCTGATTCAGAGGAGTTCCTGGTGGGTCCCGGCTGATTAACATTCTTTCTCCCCAAAAAACTCTCGTTTCCCATTTGAATCGGCTGTTTCGGGAGATCCACGGAAATGTGACTGGAATGGACTGGTATTTTTGTTGACTGAATTGGATTTTTTTGAAGGGCTGGGGATTTATTGCGCATAGATGGAGGTGGATTGAAGGCTCTGAGTTCTTGTCTGGCCATCTTAATATTCTCGGTACGGTACTTCCTTTGGCGCCTCACCTCTGATTCATTCAAGGAAAGCTGTCCCAATATCTATAAATAACTTGTCGTGATGACATTGCATTCAATATTTACATTTGTTTTGAATTTCTTACATTTTCGACTCGATTCAATGCCCTTGAAACTTGCAGGTCCGCCCATTCTCTCGACATTCCCAATTTCCGACCGATATCAGAAATCTCAGCGTATCAAATAATCGGGAAAAGGAGCAGGACCATTTGGAATGGAGCCTAGTTATTAATGCAAATGGATGAGAACGTGTGCGCGCGGGCCCGGAGGGTATGCCGATCCCCTTCTCTCGGCGTTTATGCAATTTCCGGACAGACTTTGTCTTCTGATTTCCGTCTTCCGGTTCCCTCCACTAATTGGACCGGCCATGAATAGTGTGACCAAGCCCGTCCGCCACAGGCGTGCCGATCTCTTACTGTTGTGTTCATTCGGCCTTATCAGCATGGTACTTTCTTCCAGTTTGGTACTTCTCTTTCACATATTTGGCAACCAAGTATGGCCATTTTATGACCAACCTCCACCATTCCGACTTCCCAATTCCATGGCCCCTTATTTCTACGATCTTAATCTGAAGCTTTATCCCATCCTGGATGCGGAACACGACTTCGGAGAGCACAATAATACCATTCATGGACAGATGGATGTCCATTTCAAATGCCATGAGAGTACCTCGATTCTAATTCTGAATGCTTATGACTTGGTGATTTCTCAGGATTTGATGATTCGAGATCTGGATGAGATTGAATTGATCCAAGTGATGGGTGTCAAATATTATTCTGTGAATCGTCAGATCGTTCTATTTCTTCGGAAACCCCTCTCCAAAGGCCATAAGTATGGCCTGCTAATGAATTATGTGGCCAAGATCGGAGATGAGGGACTAAAGAACAAAGATGAGAGGACCAAAGTCGGCGCTTTCACAAGTCCGTTGGACACAAATGAGATCGAGTAAGTTTAATAAAGTTAAGAAGCAATTTGCTTGCAGAAAAGTACTGGTTACACATTTCCAATTCTTCGAGGCCTCGAGGGTATTTCCCTGTTTCGATGAGCCGGACAAGAAGGCCAATTTCAATCTGAATCTGATTTATCCGGCCACTTACAATGCCCTGGCCAACATGCCAGCACTCCGGACCCATTTCATTAATCGGTAACTACTTTGTTTTGAAATAATTGCTGCACTAACTAAATTTTTTTAAAATCACTATTTTAGTCAATGGGCGCACACCGAATTCGAAATGACACCTCTAATGTCACCTTACCTCTTTGGATTTTACATCGGAAAGTTTGGAATACTTGAAACAGAGGAAAACGGAATTATAATACGATTTAATGCCAGAAATGACACTTTGGAGAAGATACGACCAGCTCGGGACATCGCGGTGAAGGCTGTCAGCTACTTCCAAAAATATTTTGGAATCAAATTTCCTTTACCTAAACTTGGTAAGTCAAATGACGTCGCGTTCCTTTGTAATATTACGATGACTTCCTTCAGACTTTATTGTTGTCGGCACGTTAGCTGTTGCTGGAATGGAGAACTGGGGGATTGTGACGGTTAGAGATTCTGAAGTCATCTTCGATTACGGTGTCTCTGATGATGACCGAATGATTCAAAGGACAGCCGAGCTCATCACTCATGAAGTCTGTCACCAGGTACAGTGTTATGCAATATTGCGTGGGTCGTGACGTCAGATGTGACTTTGTGGTGTGAAATTTCTATGTTTTACCCTTTCCAGTGGTTCGGAAATATCGTTGGCCCCAAATCTTGGGATGATTTCTGGTTCTTCGAAGCTATGACTGCTTATGCCAGCTCCAAGGCGATCCCCCAAATCATGGAAGATCAATATTTTGAGGTCAGTGTAAAATGAATGTAATGTAACAGATCCCGAAGTTCAGACATTATTTGAATTTCGAGATAAAGAAATGTCCTTGGATGTAAATGAATATGCAGATGTATCGATCAGGACCAAGATCGATCGCCCTCTTCTCCACAAAGACCTAGGACGACCAATTTATTATCAACAAGGTCATTGTGTGGTTAAAATGTTGGAGGATATTGTGGGGGAAGAGGTGATGAGGGCCTCGTTCCAGGAGTTCCTCAGAAAATATTCATATGGATCGGCTACTTCTAAGGATTTCTTCCGAATAATCGACGAGTAAGTTCATAATAAGCATCTTTTCAGTGTCTTGAATTATTTTTATTTAGGATTCTGGAATTAGAAGGTCATTATCTCTATGAAATTGGACTAAAAACCTCTGAATTTGTGGAGAGTTGGGCTTCGAACCGAGGACTTCCTCTGATCTCTGTGAATCTTCTGAATGAGACCCATTCCGTCGTCTCTCAATCAGTTTACAATCCGATCAGAGCAAATGATGGGAAGGCAGAGAAGGCTAAATGGCATGTTCCCATCTTCTACACCTCCAATGGAAAGGAGAAGTTAAGACTTTTAAAGAACGGGGAGCCCGGTGAGTGAGAAGTTTGATTCCTGATTTCATCATGGATAATATCAAATTTTGTGCTGTTGTAATTTTTAATGCGTACATCTGGTTGCAACAGCAATGTCATTGTCTATTTTTGCATAGTAATGTAGCACATGCATAAGCGGAAATGACACAATCTTCTGGCATTTGTTTCGGCAGTAGGCGAGACTTCCGTGGGCCGGAACAATCTCTAATTGAGTTGTAACTATGAAATATCCGAGCAAAAAGCATGTATTCTCGGAATTGTAAACATATCACTTTTATATGACATTTGTAATCTCATTAATCTTACACCACTAATTACAATTTTTTTAGTCATAATTGGTGCCAAAACAATCAGCCACAAAGTGTTGTATCCGATCAGACATGAGGTTGATCTCCTTCCCGACCTTGTTGATGATATTACCTCCGAAGAAGAGCGAGTCCACTTCTTTCTGAATCTCGTTTATATCACCCTTCAGAATGATCTCCCATTAGATACGGTACTTGATGCGATGAGGAAACTTCTGGATACGGACTCCAGATTAAGTGTGATGACTTATGTTATACTTGCTCGTCAACTTTCTATCATTTTTTACAGTCATCCCCTGCGGGCGAAGATGGAACTGTTCTTGCGGAAACCTCTGGAAGATGCGTTTGATGAATACGTAATCAATTATAAGAGCGGTTTTACAATTCATCAGCAGTAGGTCGCATTAAGAATGGATTCTTATGCAATTTCTTCTTTTTTAGACACATCGCGGAGATTTTAATGGCATTCATGTGTGAACTGGAGTACGAACCGTGCGTTTCTTTGGCCTTAAATTATTTACGCGATGTCCGTATGAGTTGTGAGAACAGCACGGACAAGGATGGGACTTGCATCGAGTAAGTTGTTTACCCTTTTCACCAGAAATAGAAGTATTTTGTATGAAGTACTGATTATTCATCTTTCAGTTTCCCAATTCCTCTTCGTCGAGGGATCTTCAATACAATCATGACGAAGGATAATCGAGAAGACATTGATTTCTTGAAGAGCATGACCACCAGACGGAATGATGGCCTAAAGTTACAGTATGCCTTTTCTTACCAGCCTTACGAAAGCAAAGAGACCCATGCTGAAGACGAGAACCCAATTATCATGGTGATAGCACATGGGAAACGCGGCAGCACTTTTGGTCTAAGGTATTGCTTGCAGGGGAAGTACTCTAGGTGCGACGCTCATATTTTGACGAAACTTGGCGGTAATGAAAAAACGTCTTTTTAAACATTGGAAAAAATGAGGTTCTAGCTTGTTTCTACAATAGAATATCAGTCCTTTTCAAAAACATCCGTATTTTTAGTGTAAATGTGATAAAGTATGCACATTACTTTATAACGGAAAACTGCAAGAATTCTGCCGCTATTGCAATGCAGTATATCGCAAAGACCCTGGAATATGCATCTCTTTATGGCGACGACTTTATCGATGACTTCATGACTCAGCATAATTGTACAGAAATGTTTAGCATAATCAGAAAAAACGACGGTGAACACGCTTGTAACATGTTGAAAAGACGTGGCCAAGTGCGAAGGGATATCTACCTATCAAACGAACAAATCTTATCCACCTTCCTGACAGACCAGTCGTAAAGTTGTTAATATAATTTTAAACGTTATTAATTATATATTTGATGTAATAAATATTGTTCACAGTAACGTTTGATTACTTTAACACCTCTTAAAATTACTGCGGTTACTGAACTTGCAACGACAATTCATAAAACAACCTACAATACAGGGTGTTTCAAGAAATTTGGAACAAATGATTTGCTTATATCTTTGTGTTCTTTGCAGCTATCAACGAATTTCTTTTTGCTTCTAAAAATTGACAGCGTGCGTTTTTAGAATCTCAAAAAAATTTTTTTTTCGTCGGCGGAGGGCCCATTTCTCGGCGGAGAAAATTAGGGCCTTTCTTAAAAATCACAGCGTATTACGTGGCGGAAACGCCGTTGCAACGGTTGAAATCAAGTTTACGTTACACCTCCGTCGATTTTACGGTATGCATTTTTTTGTTTTCGATTTTACGCGCACCGCGGAGGCGCGGCGGAGACTTCAGATTTCGGCGGACGTTGTTTTGGGCCTTCGGCTGTTGCAATTCATGTTGGAAAAGAGTTTGGGGTGATTTTTTGTTGTCATCCGATGCACAGATGACAAACATTTCGCGCTTTTTTTCCCCGGCGGAGAATTCGGCGGAGGCCTTATCAAAGGGTCAAAGCAGTCTTACGAGTCCGGGAAAAATCTCAGCTACAAGAATCCATCAGAGCAGCATTGTTTTTCAAAGATTTTTGATTTTTTTGGTCCGGCGGACAAATCGGCGGAGTTTTGTTTTTACCCTTTGATAAAGCCTCCGCCGACTGCTCCGCCGGGGATAAAAAGCACGAAATTTTTGCCATCTGTGCATCGGATGACAACAAAAAAATCACCCCAACCTCTTTTCTAACATGAATTGCAATAGCCAAAGGCGCAAAACAACGTCCGCCGAAATCTGAGGTCTCCGCCGCGCATCCGCGGAAGTGCGTAAAATCGAAAACGCAAAAAAAGCATACCGTAAAATCGATGGAGGTGTAACGTAAACTTGATTTCAACCGTTGCAACGGCGTTTCCGCCACGTAATACGCTGTGATTTTTAAAAAAGGCCCTAATTTTCTCCGCCGAGAAATGGGCCCTCCGCCGACCAAAAAAAAATTTTTTTGAGATTCTAAAAACGCACGCTGTCAATTTTTAGAAGCAAAAAGAAATTCGTTGATAGCTGCAAAGAACACAAAGATATAAGCAAATCATTTGTTCCAAATTTCTTGAAACACCCTGCACATCAACCACAAAAAAAAAAGTTTCAAATCGGGAAAACTGTTTGCATAACTTTGTTAGGGTGCCCAAGGGTAGCTCAAATTAAAAATTGGAAACGAGTCGGACTGACCAAAAAATAGTAGATTTGAAAACCTTATTTTAGACATCTTTTGCTACTAACAGGGGAAGTACTTCAAGTGTGACGCTCAGATTTTCTTTAAATTTTGCACACACATCGGGTATGGACTAAATATCAATTCCTGAAAGTTTTAGCTCGCGCTTTGCGGGCGCCGCCGAGATATTGAACGATTTTTGCCGCCGAGAGAGCACGCTCAAGGTGGAGAGCGGTCAGAGAGAAAACCGCTTTTTGGCCATAACTTTGGCAGTTTCGTGCGGAAAAATTTGATTTTTTGTAGAAACATTATTCTTTACGGTTGAAATAGGCATGAAACTTTTCGTGCCGAAATTCGGCAAAAAGTCCCAAATTTTCGCCGACTTTCGATCTAAAAATCTCGGTTGTTTCTGCAAAGCGCGAGCTAGGATTCCCGCATATATCTTAGAAAAAATTATTCTAAATTTGTGCCAAGTTTCATCAAAATCTGAGCGTCACACTTCAAGTACTTCCCTTGTAAATCGTTTCGTAACGAAGCAATTGCCTAAATTCTTTTTTCTATGAGCATAATTAGAGTAGTTTTAGAGAACCATAAGCAACCCTGTGTCATATACTAGCTTACTCACTCAAAATTCCAAAAAAACTGATATTAAAGTGACTAAAATAATATTTTAAAAATCGGTAAATTTTGGCTCAGCTAGGTCCACTATGATCTAAAAAGACAATAAGAGCATAATTAGTGGCATTCGCACCAGTTTAGAAGCTGTTCTAAGAACCTTGTTTTAGGTGATATTGGCCATTTTTGAAATTGGCGCAGCGAAGTTGAAACCAACTCCAAAAGCTCAGTATAGCCTTAGAAAGCCATCTCAATTCACATAGATAGTTTTAAAACTTTGACTTCAGTCATAAAGTTTCATTATTTTTGGTATAAGATCAGGTATGCTACTATAAGGTAAAACTTTTTTCGGCCTAAGAGTTAAAATTTTTGCAATTAATCTCCCTTAACAGGATGTTATGAGATAATATAGTTAATTAATTAGACTATTTAACGCTGTCGGACATTAAAAGTTGCCTAAAATAATATAATCCATAAGGTAAAAAGCTTAAAATCGCATCTACTTTTTTATTATCAGTCCGATTTGCTTCAAACTTCGCATACTACCTTAGAATACAATATTCTGAAGATCGATGCAATCACTTTCCGTGTTTCGATCGTTTTAGACAAGTTATTCGGCCGCAAAGTTTGCAAAAATTCGATTTTCTCCGGCCGTTTGTCGCTAACCTGGTGGCCGAAGAACGACAAAATCCATTAATTTAAAAAATATGGGTCCTTGGCAATGTTTTAATCGAAGGTTCATGTTATTTTGTTCATTACCCACTGCACAGTAAGCTAAAACATTAGAGACCCTTAAAAAACCGAATGCCAAAAATCTTGGCATTCTGTTTGTGGTTGATGTGCCCTGTACATATCACCTTCGAGAGCTTTCATCGTATAAAATGGCTGCCGCAACTAGCGCCCTATTTTCTAATAAAAACTTTCTAAAAATTGTAAAAAATCAACGAAGAAGGAGATAAATACCATGTGCGAGATCCAGATTGACAACGCAGCACTGGAGAATTCAGAAGAGAATGATGGGGCTGAGAAGTTCGGGGACATCCAGGATGAAGTCGAGGAACTCTCGTTTCGTCTCAAAATAGTCAATTTTCCAAAATTCTTGAAGTATCCCCAAGTGAAGCAGTTTCTGGAAAGGTAATTACGTCGATAACTTTACTGCATTTTCTGAATTTTAGTAATTTGAAAGGGATGTCATGGAGAAAGTTGAAGGCGGTACCCGGGGTGGCCTATTTCAGCATGACGAGCGATGAGGATACGGTAAAGGCCGTAGAAGCCATTAATAAAATGCCTTACAAAGGCAAAGTATTGGAGATCAAGAGAGTTGCCAATGAAAAAGAGCGTGTATCTAGAGTAGGTGTTTCAGGTTTTATTCTATTGATTTAGAAAAGTAACCCAGAGGAGAAAAAGTTGAAGACGGCTGCAGAGATTACAACTCCGTATAGTCACCTTGACTATGACAAGCAATTGGAAATGAAGTTGGAGGAATGTAAAAAAACCGCAGTTTCTTTTATAAGACAACTTAAAGATGCTCATGCGAGTGGAGCCAAATATTTGAAAACCGATAGTCTGGTCAGACCGGTAGGTAAATAAAATTCTAGTTATGTTTCTTATTTTCTTAATTCTTTGTCTAAAAAGGTGTTTCAGATTATCCGATCCCCTGTCTTGACAAACTACAGAAACAAATGCGAGTTTACAATTGGAAAAGATTGTAATGGAGAAGTTTGTGTGGGTTTTGTATCTGGTCGGATGGCAGAAAGGGAGATTGTTGTAGTTCCCCCATTCGACTCGGTTATTCTCACCGAAAACACTTATGCCATTGTCCGGAAGTTCACGGAATATGTACGGAAATCAGGTAAATTAGTACAGAAAGTAGCCAGTAGATTTGTTGATCGCTTTTATAGTAAATAGTATTGCAGATCTGGAAGTGTTCGACGAATTCCAGCGCCAAGGGTTCTGGAAAATGCTGACAGTTCGGGACTTTGTTGGAGATTGCATGCTCATTTTTACTACTCATTCCGTTGATCCCGAGAATCTGAAGAAGGTCCAAGCTGATATAATAGACCTTTTTATTAACTTTGGTGATGTTACCGACTCCTTGTCGACTCGGGTAACGTCGATTTACTGGCAGATACTGGAGAATGCGAGTGATCCGATCATCTACACTCATCTTGCTGGTATGTTGTTACTAAATTTATTTTAATTTATTCTTTAGGAGTTCCTTATCTTTACGAAACGGTCTTGGGAGTTAGATTCCGAGTTTCTCCTGCAACATTCTTCCAAACAAACTCTCGGGGAGCCGAGGTTTTATATGAAACGATTGGAAGTGCCCTGGGGTTACCTAAAGCGGAAGAAGATAAAGCTCAACCATTGGTAATCAAGTACGATGAAGCAAAAGATTCTGAGGTCCCAGAAGCTAAGAAACACAAAGGCGAAAAAACAGTCGAAGAAGAGGAGAGTGGGATATCACCGAACAAGCCAATAATTGTGCTGGACATTTGTTGTGGGGCCGGGACCATTGGGCAATGTTTGTTGCGAAGAATGGAGAGAGGGTTTATTGAACAGAGTCACAAATTCCTCTGCGTTGGAGTTGAGTTGATCAACCAGGCAGTAAAGGATGCCCGGGTTAATGCTCTCGATAATGGATTCGGCGATCACAAGTAAGCCTCGTTTCTGTTTAAAAACTCCGTTTCAGTTGTCGTTATTTGAGTGGGCAGGCCGAAGTAATTTTCCCAGCTCTGCAAAATCACCTCCCACAAGACATAAAGTTGGAAGAGAGTGAAGTAGTTGGAGTGTTGGATCCACCCAGAGCAGGGATTACCAGTAAAGTAATAATCAGCTGCAGAAAATTGGAATCCCTCAACAAACTTGTCTATGTCAGCTGCGACCCAAAGGCAGCCTTAAAGAACGTCGTCGATCTTTGCCGCCCGACATCTAAGAAATACGAAGGTGACCCATTCAAGGTGCAGTTCATACAACCCGTGGACATGTTCCCCCAAACCTCCCATTTCGAGTGGATAATACTTTTGACTCGATAAGATTGTTAAAAAACCAATTGTTTCATTGTTAAAGCCCGTGCTTGTTATTTATGTGCTGTATACATACATATCCGGATAGAGGTCCGTAAAAGGTGCGAAACATAACGAGGGAGATTGAAGTAACAAACTATATACAAGAGAGCTACATCGCCGTTAACGTTGCTGTGTTGGAGGGCGGTGAAGATCCACCGGAATCATTGGAACCGGGTCGAAGAAACGGCCGCCTTGCTCGCCCTGTGGGAATTGATGGCGGCGGCATTAAGACCTTGTCCATGTCCATCTTGGTAGCGTCTGATGGCGAAATCCCGCTGGCAATCGCATTTTCACTCGAGTCTACAAATCTAAATCAAAAAATCGACTTCAAAAAGACTTGACGTTAAACCAAAAGTGACCTACACCACTTACCTGTCACTTTTGTCTTTCCGCGGCCGTCCCCTTTTCCTTTTAACGGGTTGTTCATCCCCTGAGGCAGTTGTACTGGGCGTTTGATAAGACGGTTGTTTTGGGGCATATTGTTTTTGAGATATCAGCGAACTTGGGTTGAGATCGGAAGAATTGGTTTGAGATGTAACTGGAAGAGAATTGAGAGGGAGAGCGCTCAGATTATCCCGCTGCTGTAAGGCTGCAGGGCTTTTGAATTGATTCTGGCCTCCTGAAATTCGATTTAATTTAATGTTATATACAAACAGAGCCTGGAACCCATAAAAGCGTAAAATCCCTGACACACGAAAATGTCTAAAAACAGAACCAGTATAAAAATCGTTTTGTTAAACGGCAGATTATAAAACTAATCTCCATACCAAAAATAATTCAGACAATGAAGATTATATAAGTACTCACCAGACAGTACTGTGTCTATGAAAGCATCAGAATCGGTGTTTAGCCGAAGCATGGGAACTTCTTTCGTGAGATCATCCAAGAACGAGAAATGTCGATTTTTCATAATAGCATAGCGTCTAAAAATATAACTCAATAATTTATAAATAAACTCACATATGAGAGGGAGTCAGCGTCCTCGCCGAAGAGAACTGCACGCTCTGAGCGGCACATTCCAGCAATTTCTCCGCAAAATGCTCCATGGCACTACCCAACGCGACTGGAACGGAATGAACCATCCTCCCAATCTCCTCATCACTCTGCATCACCTTCTTGATTCGAGTCTGGAAACGGGAAATCTCTACACTTGACAGTTACACTTACCGGTTGGATGCGCGCACTCGAAAATCGCCGTTTCCGGATTCGGCCCGCTGGCACTGCAAAATCCGAAGCCAAACCCCCATCGCCAACATCCATCTCACGAGAAAAAATGCGCGCTCTCCGCGAAAACGGCGTCGAATATATATAGTTTGAAAATCGTGATTCGCAGCCTCTTGGGGACCGTAGAGCTCCGAGACTCCGCCCCTTCCTTTTCGAATGTACTTTACCGTGTTCTTTGAATATCCCGCTTCCTTGGCTCCTTTGGCATTCCGTTACTTGTTAAATGTTTCCAAATATTTTTCTCGGCTTCATGGCCATTCATGGAAACCCGACAGAGTGAAATTGGACAGAGTGAAACTCGACAGATTTTTTCACTGGAAAAAGGTAATTATTTGATAAGAAAAAATTCAATGATGACATTTCGTACGATTGCAGTGAAAAATTCCTCTGTCCAATCTCTATACCCTGTCCAATTTTCTTTCTGTCGAGTTTTACTCTGTCCAGTTTCCCCTCTGCAATTTCCATGCCCTGTCCAATTTCCTTCTGTCGAGTTTTCATGAAGCTTTTTTCTTTAGCAGAAGTTTTGCAGGAAGGATAAATTATCGTATTACGCTCCTTATTTATGCTCAAACATCTACGCTGATTTTGTAAATATGGATTCTGAACCAGCTGCTAAGAAGATTCGTCTGCCAAAGAAAGCCGAAAAAGTCAAGAATAAGGTGAGTTTTATTTTTCTTGAATGGAACGTCTTGTTTAGGCAGCAGCTCCGTTGCAAATTACAGCTGAGCAACTTCTCAGAGAAGCCAAGGAAAGAGAGTTGGAAATCGCCCCTCAACCGCCCAAAGTTAATGTCACAGATCCAGAAGAATTGGCCGAGTTTCAGAGGAAGAAGAGAAAGGAGTTTGAAGATAATATCCGAAAGAATCGAATGCAAATAGCGAATTGGGTCAAATATGCCAAATGGGAGGAGAGTATTGGAGAGATTCAGAGAGCCAGATCAGTCTTCGAAAGGGGCCTGGATGTAGATCATCGGAGCATCACTTTATGGCTTCAATACGCTGAGATGGAGATGAGGTAGGATGCTCGATTTTAGAGCTTACGTTTAATTCTAGGAATCGTCAAATTAACCATGCCCGAAATATCTGGGACAGAGCAGTCACAATACTACCACGTGCTACTCAATTCTGGCTGAAATATTCGTATATGGAAGAACTGGTTGAGAATGTGCCTGGTGCTAGACAAGTCTTTGAACGATGGATGGAATGGGAACCCAACGAGCAAGCATGGAGAACTTATATTAATTTTGAAGTTCGTTACAAAGAAATTGACAGAGCCAGAGAGATTTATCAGAGATTCCTTCATGTTCATGGTCATGATTTCACAAATTGGATTGCTTATGCCAAATTTGAAGAGAGATACGATTACATTGAAAATTCTCGAAATGTAATTCGGTTTGTTTCTAATTTTTTTAACCTGGTTTATTGTTCTTAACATTTTGTTTTAGGTATATGAGCAAGCTGTCGAGTTTTTTGAAGGGGATCTGGATGAGAAGTTGTTAATAGCGTTTGCTCAGTTTGAAGAGCGACAAAAAGAGATGGAAAGGGCAAGGGCGATATATCAGTATGGGCTTGATCATCTCCCCAATGAGAGAACTGCAGAACTCTTCAAATGCTTGAATCTTCATGAAAAAAAGTATGGATCTCAAATGAGAATTGAGAGTGTTCTCTTCTCAAAGAGGAAGCATCAATACGAACAGGTATGGCTTAGGTTTTTTAGATAACACTTATTTTTTTTAGTTAGTAAAGGAGAATCCTCTTAATTATGACAATTGGTTCGATTATCTCAAACTCTTGATGAACGAGAATCTCGAGAGGGAGGTAGTGGAGGACACTTTTGAACGGGCAATTGCCAATATTCCCCCATATCAAGAGAAAACTTACTGGAGACGTTACATATGGTTGTGGCTATACTACGCAGTCTATGAAGAATTACATGCCAAGGATTCCGAGAAGACTCGGCAAGTCTACAAAGCTGCTCTAGATATTATTCCTCATCGCCAATTTACTTTTGCTAAAGTATGGATTATGTTAGCTCACTTTGAATTACGACAATTAGAAGTTACTGCAGCTAGAAAAGTCATGGTATGTGTGATATTGGTTTGTTTTATTTTTATGGCTTTTTCTATGGGTTGGTTCCAGGGAACTGCTCTCGGTGTTTGTCGGCCAAAGAAGAAGATCTACAAGGCCTACATTGAGATGGAAATCAATCTCAGAGAGTTCGATCGATGTCGGAAGCTCTATGAAAAGTTTTTATCACACTTTGAGACTGATAGTCTGGTATGGAGAGAGTATTCACGACTCGAGAATCAGCTGGGTGAAGTGGATCGAGCCCGGGGAATATTGGAATTGGGTATCCAACAAGAAGATCTGGACATCCCCGAGGTTCTCTGGAAGGCCTTCATTGACTTTGAGATCGAACAAGAACAATATGAGAGGGTGCGACAGTTATACGAAGTACTTTTGGGGAGAACCAATCACATTAAGGTAAGAGCAGCGATCGCCGGCTGATTCGTTTTAGGTGTGGCTAAGCTGGACGGCGTTCGAGGTCGGAATAAATGAGGTTGAGAAAGCGAGGGGAGTGTTCGAAAGGGCGAACAAGGCTTTGGAGGGGAATGGAGCAGAAGAAAGACTCATGTTGCTCGAGAATTGGAAGGAATTTGAGGTTGAACATGGAGATCAGGAGACTCAAGAAACTGTCCAGAAATACATGCCCAAGAAAGTGAAGAAGAGAAGACAATTACACACGGCTGATGGAGCTGATGCGGGTGTGGAAGAATACTTTGATTACATATTCCCGCAGGACTCAATGCTCAGAATGAGTCGGAAATTGTTTGAAGCCGCAAAATTATATAAACAAAGGACGGCACAGATCAATCAGACGGATGAGGATACGCTGGATAAAGATGCTGAACGTCCAAGTACAACGGCAAATGAAGGACAAGAGAAAGAAAAAGAAGAGGAAGAAGGGGAGAATGAAGAGAAAAAAGATGAAGGGGCTCAAGATGACGATGATTCCAGCAGTTCTGATGAACATGATCGCCCTGCACAGAGGAGGGAGCGGAAAAGTGATAGCTAGAGAACATCTGGCAGAGATCGTGAACGAGATAACTTTATAACTGTTTTGTTGTTACTACTATTATACTTGTAATAAAACTATTCTTTCTTTTTGTCACGTTCCAGCTGAACCCCAAGGTCATTTCTGGCCCTTGTACGTAGGCATGACATTTGTTTTCCGCGTGTCTGCAAGCCTTACTTGGAACATCGATCAGTGATTATTATGCAAACTCCGTCTCGGTGATCTGTTTTTTCGGGAGTAATTTATAACTTGTCCCCTTTACCCTGCCCACTTGTCTGCTCGTTCCCTTCCCCTCCTTCCTTCTCATTCAAAAATCTGCTTTTCTGCTCAAACTTGAGTCTTCAGAGAAGCGCCAAAGTCGCCGCAATTTTAAAGTTTCTATAAATTATCTGATCTGATAGGGTAACTCAGATTTATTCTCGTTCTCTTTTAAGCGTTCTCTTAAAAGTTGATACCAGGCATGATCGCTGCACCAAAGAATGCCTCAAATGAAGTCAGCTCCACGGCGTTGTTGGGGACGGCCTGGAATATGGAAGTCCTATCCCAGATCCATTTCTACGACTTCTGGTTGTTCCGTTTGCTTCTGATTGTGCTTGGATATGCTTCGGTAATGGTCCCGGGCTACTTTTTAGTCAAATTTGTTGAGAGGAAATGGAAAAGTACGCAAGATTTAAGTCTTCTTCCATTCACAATGTCCACTCGAAATGAATCTCTGCTCTTCCAGATGAAAGCCACTTCTTCAAAAATAGTTTTGCTCTCAATTTACTCCGTAAATTTTCCGTTGGCCAGCCAGAATACCGACTGATTGATAATGGTGGTGGTAAACGGGATGACAATGGACGCAAGGTTGATGGAAACGAAAGGAGAGAATTCGCCCGTCGTTGTGGAGTCTTATTGGTCGACTCAATTGGGATTCAATTAACATTGATATCCATGGGATTCTACCAGGAGAGGATTATGACCAGAAGTTATTCGAGGTATTATGAGCTGGAGAGTGAGGGTGACAAGTTTGGAGATGCCCAGTATTTGGTTTTTGCGAACAGAATTGTCGCATTGGTCCTTGTCGTTTGTTATTTGACTATTAATTGGGAGAAGTAAGTACTTTTTTTAAATTTATTTCATGTCGTTCTAGGCAGCCCATCCATGTTCCTCCATTTTACTCCCATTCTTTCATCTCCATCTCCAACACTTTGTCCTCTTGGTGTCAATACGAAGCCCTAAAATACGTTTCATTTCCTGCTCAGACAATTTGCAAAGCCTCCAAGGTGATACCTACAATGTTGATGGGTCGTGTTTTGCGAGGGGAGAATTACTCCGCCTTTGATTACAGTATGGCACTGTTATTGGCCGGTGGGGCCGGGACTTTTCTTTTATCGAGCATCGATTACAATGACCTTGAAGAACAAGATGGCATGTATATAATGGGCGTGGTCTCGGGGATAGTGCTCATGGTCGGGTATTTGACTTTTGATTCCTTTACCCTGAATTGGCAAAAGAAGTTATTTGACACCAAGCCAAAGGTCTCTCCACATCAGGTATGTGGTCTAATTACAACTGTTTATTTTCCGAAACTACAGTAATTTTTAATTCAGATGATGCTGGGAGTGAATGCCTTTAGTGCCATCCTCTGTTTGGTGTCTCTCCTGGAGCAAGGGTCGCTTTTTTCATCCACAAAATTCGTTCTTCAACATGCTGATATTGCTCGCGACATTTTTTTATTGTCATTGTCTGGTGCTTGTGGCCAATTATTTATTTACGTGACCATTCAGAAGTTTGGTCCGGTGGTCTTTGCTGTTATTATGACTGTTAGACAGATCCTGTCGATTGTCTTATCATCCATTTACTTCTCTCATCATCTTAATTTTGTTGGAATTCTTGGTCTTCTTGTAGCCTTTGGATCAATTTTAGTTAGTATTTACGTCCGGTACAGGAAACAAAAAAGGAAATCTGTAAATTCGGCTTAATCCAAGGTCAGAAACGAGTAGATTAAAGAGTAATACGGGGCCTGTAGTTTTGCGATTGCATATTGTACATTGAAGGTCGGTTTGTTAGAGTAATCTTCTGTAATTTTATTGCATTATCTTAGAATTAAAGCAGAAAGAATATGAAAGAAATGGCACTCGTTCTTGTTTTGTTCAGGCATACGTGGCAGGGACTTCTTCGGGTACTGTAATGTACATATATTATATTTATTGAAGTAGCCAAAACGGCGCTTACATTCTCCGGCTTCTTGGCCAGGCTTGACTGGAGGCCATTGGATGTTCTTGGCCTTGACGGGGTAATGGGTTTGAATGATCTCGACGTTCTTTTGGGACTTCTCCTCAAATTCTGGAGGGGGCCATTGGACCGAGAGACGGGGTCCCCCGGCCCATTCAGTTTGTGCTACCTCGTTCTCCGGTGGTGGCCATACTCGCTCAGTCTTGGCACTCAGTCCAGACCATGGGGCATTTCCAATCTTTTCTTCTTGTTCTTCCTCGTTCTGCAAGTAATGACTATTTGATTTCACAAGAATTAAATTCATGCATTCTTTTTCATGAACGGAACAAATCAAGGATCAATGGGATAGGTAACAAAACAATTGGAATGCAATAAATAACTCATCAGAACGCACCTGTTGGCCTTGAATCCAGGCTCCATCTTCCTTGGCTTTGATCTGATTGGCACGTCTGAAAACAAAAAAATTAACGAACGGATATAACGAAAATCGTTTTCCAGGAGAGATCGCTTTCTCTGACCCTCCGATCCTCTCGGGTAAACAAATGCTGTGAACCACTCTCCTCAAAGACATGCTAAAAATAAATAATAGGAAGAAAGTTGATATCTGCAGAACAACCCAATCAACACCGGGATATCATATGCTGTAGTAAAAGGATGACAAAGCTCATCATAATTACGTCACAGGGATGATATAAGATAACAAATAAAGGCTAGTCAACCCTAAAAAAGGGATTTTAAAATTCGAAACTTACTGTAGTTCGGTCTGTTCTTCTTCTCCATATCCCGGTGGAGGCCAAGATCGTTGGATTCGTCCTCTCCCGTATTCAGTCTTCAAAATCACCTTCTCGACATCGTTCACAGCTACCCAGTCTTGAGTTTTGACCTTAGGAACACTCTCCAGAGGCTTCTCTTCTTCTTCAGGGAACTCCCATTTGGCCCTTTCATACTGGACAGCGTTGGGAACAATGACTTTGTTCTGAACAGGACTTCAGAATGACAATTAACCACTTACGGTAGCTTCAGATTCGTGCAAGAAGTCTTCGATTTGAAGACGGTCAGGCTGAATTTCGGGGATTTCGTCCAGCACTCTTTGTTGGGTCACCCAAGCACTGTCTTGCTGTAAGGCAAAAAAAATAATAGCAATCATGCGGTTAAATTCAATTTTTTTGTAAATTTAAATGCAAAATTCAAAGTAAACGCCGATTCAAACGGGCTCGGATAAGTTTACAATAAGACGTACCAGACACTGTACTTTGGGAGCCTGTCCCAGCTCCGGCTGCTCCTCTTCCGGGGGCGGTTGACCGGCCATTCTCGGCGTTGTGCGGGCGAGAATGTGACGGGGCTGAATTGGTCTCTCGCTATCCGAAGAGCCCACTGCCTGAGGGTGCGGGGCGGCGCCACGAGCACTCGAGGCAGCTGTCTTTTGGGGCGAAGCACTCCGACCTGGACCTGATCCTTGAACCTTCGCAGCGACTGGAGCGGGTTCTTGTTTTGTCGGAGCTTTTCGCCCGGTCTGGACTGCTCCGTTGGCCTGATTTTGAGCTGCGGGCTTAGCCGGAGGTGCTGGCTGCCCTCGTTGTTTTTGGGCAGGTTGGCCCGGTCTTTGGGCAACTTGAGGTTGCGCTTTTTGTTGCGCAGTTGGAGCCTGTGCCTGACCAAGTTTGCCTGCCGGTTGCCCTGGGCGTTGCGCTGGGGTTGGTTGTTGAGGAGCTTTGTTTAGCGGTTGACTTGCTTTTTGTTGTTGGCCTGCTTGTTGTGGTTGTGCTTTTTGTTGCTGTACCGGTTGTTGAGGAGGAACCCGTTGATTTTGTTGCACCGGTTTTTGCGACTGTTGTGGCTGAGCTGGCTTTTGTTGTTGCTGTTGTTGCACTGGCTTCTGAACAGAAGGAGGTTGCGGTTTTTGTTGCTGCACAGGTTGTTGAGGACGCTGCTGTTGAACAGGTTGTTTTTGTTGAGGCTGCTGAACCGGTTTTTGCGGTTGTTGAGGTTGCGGCTTTTGTGGCTGCACCGGTTGAGCTGGTTTTTGTTGTGCAGGAGGTTGACTACGTTGCTGTTGTACTGGCGGTGGCGGCTGCGGTTTTTGCTGTTGAACTGGTTGCGCAGGCCTTTGTTGTTGAGCTGCTGGTTGAACTTTTTGCTGATTTTTTTGTTGTGCTTGAAGTTGTTGTTGCTGCTGAGCTTTCAACTGAGCCGTTCTTTCCTCAGCCTGTTTCCGGGCAGCTTCTTGTTTTTCCTTCAATTGAGCCGCTCTTTCTTCGGCTTGTTTCCTCGCTAATTCTTGTTGTTCCTACAAAAATTCCAACCTTTTTGATGACTTTACCCACCTTAATCTTTTGTGCCCTCAGCTCGGCTTGCTTCTTGGCGGCCTCTTGTTGTTGTCGCAGGGCCTCTTCCCTAGCCTTGATGGCTTGTTGTTGTGCTTGGTTGATCTCCTGTTGATCTTGCCGAGTTTGTTCTCTCTGATCCACAGCTTTATTTGCAGCAGCCAGTTCAGCTTGATATCTGGCGATGGCTTCTTGCCTCGCGGCTTCGGCTCGAGCTCTGGCTTCAGCTTGTAGCCTTTCAGCATTCTCCCTCGCCTTCTGAGCTGCTTCTTGTTGACGTTTAAGGGCTTGGTCTTGCGCATTAGACTGGGCTAAAGTCAACACCATAATTCCAAACGCTCAGATAATAGAGGGAGAAGAACCGGAAAACAAAAAACAGACCTGGTTGAGATTGCACTTCACCGCCTCCCACAGTTTGAGTGACCATACGGAATCCTCCGCGTCTTACGGGAACATCGTCGTCTTCTTCTTCTTCCTCAGAAGAAGTCCCCAGTGTTCCGTCGTTACGTAATTGGACCATTCTAGAATCATCGAGCTCATAACTATGGAGATTCTTGTATTTTCCATCAATCGGTTGGATAACATAAGGAAGAAAGGACAAAAAATACATAAAATATGACATATTCTGATCGGAAAACACCTCAAGAATGGGACTAAGAGCAATATCAAGGGGTCAAATGGGGATTCACGACATAAAGTAACCCGCAATGTTGTAATAACAAACAGAAGAAGCGCATGGAAAACGTCAAAAGTCACATAAAGTCCAGCCTTGGTCAGATCTGAACCGGCCGAGATCCAACTAATTCATGGACCCGAATCAAAATGGCCAAACAGGCGGCTGTCGTCCCTCGATTGAGGCGATAAGTGAGGAGTAAATAAGGTCGATCATTTTTTCTCCGACTCCTACGCCTCGAGGGGAGAAACGGGGATAAAGAAAGAGAAGATCGGAGTTTGTATTGGCTCTATTACCTTCCTTTTTACGCGTATAAAAACCATTAGGACACATTACTTGGGCCGTGAGTAACAGCGTAAACATATGTAATCACTCAGGCAGAAACATTAAAAGTCGACATGAAAGTATTTACGTCTTTGCCAAACATTCCGGTCGGTGTCTCCAAATATGGAGACAAGCCATGCTACCGTAAAAAAGAAACGTTACCATCGAAGCCAACCCCCGGCTTCGAAGCCGTCGAAGGACGCTCCCACGTCCCATAAACAACGAACGTAATAGTTAAGATTGCTGTATTATTAATCATTGTACTGTATTTTAGACGGAAACTAAGCACCAAGAGAGTGCTCGCGGACAAGACTGATGTCCTCACCAACCGCCAGCCTCTTAGATCATCCCGTTCTGCGATTTCTTCGAGAAGGCCATCTGAACCTCCATCAACCAGAAATACCAATCATTCCGATGACTCCAAAGAAAATAAACCTCCAGATGGACGAGTTTTGGCAGTATTCAACCGTGTTTTCTCCGGAGAATTCTACGAGATCCCTTCGCCACTCTCGAAGCTTGTCCGTGTCTTCACGTCGTCAACATTTACTGATACCATGGTCGAGAGGAATGCTTTGATGGAAGAAGTCTACCCTGCTCTCAAGAGATATTGCAGAGAGACTCATGGGTTGGATTTCCAGGTATAAGATAGTCAATTTTCTATAATATTTATTCATTGTAGGTTGTAGATATGCGATGGGGAGTTCGAGATGAGGCCACTGACGATCATATGACAACAAATCTGTGTATAAATGAGATTCACAATTGTCAGCGGTTATCGATGGGCCCAAACTTTGTTGTATTTTTGTGTCAAAAGTACGGTTATCGCCCGATCCCGTCTCAAATCCTTGCCAGTGAACTCGATCTCCTCAAGCAAGTACTCAAGGACAACCATGAAGATGTCTCTGTTCTTGATCTTTGGTATGTACAAGACAGCAATGCCGTGCCTGCCCAATATATTCTACAGCCGATTAGTTCGATTCTTGTCAATTTTAACAACAAGGTAAGCATACTCGAATAGCTACAGTAAGCGTTCAGAGAATCCCCAAACTTCAAGAACAAGACGCCAAAAGTTGGTGGGAAGTGGAGGCAAGGATGCAGAATCTGCTCCGAAAAGGCGCCAAAACTTGTTTGGACAAATCAATGTTTACTGCCGACCAAATGCACAATTATTATATGTCAGTCACGGAGAGGGAAGTCATCAATGGAATTCTGAATGCCGAGAATCCGAATGAACATTGTCTTTGTTACGTCCGAGTCATCAAGAATATAAATCTAAATCAAGCAGGAACAGCCTCTAAGTTCATCGACCTGCTTCATAAGCAGATTAATCAAGAAGCACAAGCCTTGCTCGAAAATCTTAGAGACCAGAGGGTACCGGCCGTGCTAAGACCTCAAAACATTCGGAAAAGTTGCGTCGAATGGGCAGGAAGAGAAGGGATGGATCCCAGAGTTCATGCTGACTATCTCAAGGAATTCTTAAGTGATTTCTATACGAGCATTACTTCTATGGTGGATGCAGCGATGCGAAAACACGCAATGTATAGAGATCTATTCTTCGCTGAAGTCTTACAACATATGTGGAATGGAATTCAAGGATCAAACATATTTGGGAGAGAAAAAGAATTAACTGGAGCCAAAAGTTATATCACTACAAGTAAGTTGAAGCCATCGCAGATTTTAAAATCCCAGATAACAATTATCCGTTGATCTTCTTCGGAGAACATGGCTGTGGTAAGACTTCAATTATGGCCAAAGTGGCCACAGAATCGAGGAAATGGCTGACGTCATCCGAATCCGACTCCATGCCTGTCATTATCCTCAGATTCCTGGGGACCAGTCCAGATTCTTCGAGCATTGGCCCTCTTCTTGTCAGCGTCTGCGAACAAATTGCGTACAATTATAATCCAGCTCTCCGGAAGACCGCGCCAACCGAACTGTCCAAGCTATTTCAACATTTTAAGAAGATGACTACTCTCGCAGCTAAGAACAAGCCCTTGATTATCATATTAGACTCTCTGGATTTGTTATCCAAGATGGACGGGACTGACGAATTACTTTGGTTCCCCCCATCGTTACCGCCTTATGTAAAACTGATTGTGTCTTTCAGTTCAGGGACTGGGATTGAAATGACAATGAGAAGATTGGTGGAGAAGGAAGATCAATATATTCTGGTACCTCCCTTAGGCCCTCAACTTGGCAAGTAATTAAGCCTGATCTTTCATGCTTTCCAGGCAAACATGTAATTGAAAAGTGGTTGGAGAAAGTAGGAAGGACGCTAACCCAAAGACAATGGGAGATCGTCAACAAGGCCTTATCCCATTGCACATTGCCATTATTCCTCAAATTAGTCTATGTTACCGTAGCCCGGTAAGTCCGAAACACTGAAAACAACTCTTCACTTTTTGAACCGGAAGCAATGCAAATTGATCCATTTACGTCCGGGTTTTGGAAAATTTGAAGGTTTTCGCTTCGGGACCGACAAAAAAGAATTAGAGTAAAAAAGAATTTTTTGTGAATAATTGAAGAGAATTTGAAAAGTTTCCGCTTCGGGAAAGGGAAGAAACAATTTTTTGGAAAATTTATCCTTTCACACACAAAAAATCCGTCAAAAAACTTGATTTGATCTCCCCTTGTCATATTTGGCTTTTCACAAAAAAATCAGCAAAAACGGCTTTCTTTGATTTCCCTGTCCCGAAACGAAAACCTTTCAAATTTCGTTCAAAATTTCCAAAAAAAATCGTTTTTCCCTTTCCCGAAGCGAAAACATTTCAAATTTTGTACAGTCTGAGGTACTTCACCTGGATAACAGCAAATCCTGTACTTGCAGGGGAAGTACCCCAAGTGCGACGCTCAGATTTTGATGAAACTTGGCAGAAATTTAGAATAATTTTATATAAGATATATGCGAGAATCCTAGCTCGCGCTTTGCAGAAACAACCGAGATTTTTAGATCGAAAGTCGGCGAAAATTTAGGACTTCTTACCGAATTTCGGCCCGATTTCTACCGTAAAGGATAATGTTTCTACAAAAAATCAAATTTTTCCGCACGAAACTGCCAAAGTTATGGCCAAAAAGCGTTTTTCTCTCTGACCGCTCTCCACGTCTAGCGTCCTCTCTCTGCGGCATAAATCGTCCGATATCTCGCCCGTAAAGCGCGAGCTAAAACTTTCAAGAATTGATATTTAGTCCATACCCGACGTGCGTATAAAATTTAAAGAAAATCTGAGCGTCGCACTTGGGGTACTTCCCTTGTTAATAAGATATCCAGGGACCGCTCATTGTCAGAGATATCCCCTTTGGGGGATGATACTGACAGTGAGCCGTGATCGATAACTTTGCCCTACCTCCGATTCCTAAAGCGATTAAAATGCATTCTATTCTCAGATGGAAATCATACTCGAAGCCACAAGATGTAGTGTTATTCAAGAGTGTCCAACAAAGTATTCACGCTCTATTTGATCGAACAGAATCTCAACATGGAAAGCTTTTGGTATCCCATGCATTATCATATATTACAGCTGCAAAATCCGGGATCTCAGACTCGGAGCTGGAGGATTTGGTAAGTAGAAACTTTCATTTCATGTAGCTTTAGATCTCCCTCGATGATAAAGTTCTTGATGACATTTATCAATACCATTTACCACCTGTTCGAAGGATTCCTCCTCTTTTGTGGAGTCGGATAAGAGCTGATTTACCTGGTTATCTTAGCGAGAGAGCAGCTGATGGAGTCATTGTACTCAACTGGTAGGCCACTACATAGCCATACCCACCCTAATAGGTATCATGAACAATTCAGAACGGCAGCCAATGAAAGATACTTCAAGAATCTGAACCATTTACAAAACACCCACTCAGCCATCGCAGATTACTTTCTTGGGATATGGGGAGGCGTACCGAAGCCTTATCAATACACAGATCTTCAGAAACAGAGATTTGGAGTGGTCGAAAATGAAGGACTGGCTGACAGAAAGGTCCCCAAACAGCCAAATCTATTCAAAAACAAGGAAGGCGACAAAGTAAGACTAATTAAAGTGATGATAGCCGGTATGTTTAGGTCAGATATAACTCCAGAAAACTGAACGAACTACCGTATCATCTACTGAGATCACGAAGACTCAAAGAACTCTTCAATCTTTGTCTTTTCAATTTCGAATTCTTACAAGCAAAAGTAGGTTTGTCAGCAAGTCCTGTCACACTTAATAGATGTGCTGTTTCCCTCTTCAAGGAGTCATTCTCGACTTTGAAGATGCAATTGCTAAATCCGAGGATCCTGAAGCTACGCGTCAACTGACACTTGTAGTGGATGGATTAAGATTATCCGCCAGTTTGTTGAGTAGGTACCCATGGATGTTTGCTTTCGAGATTACTGGAAGATTACTGCCTTTGGTAGGAGATAACAATGATATCAAGAATCTGCTGATTGGATGTGACCTTGAGAGCCATGAATTCAATTGTTTTATGCCCGCCAATCATTGTTTCCATTCTCCAGGAGGTCCTCTCAAGTATTCTATGGAAGAGCATCCCTTCGCGGTCTTCGGAATGGCTTTGAGCAGCGATCAGAAGATGCTGGCTTCAGTTTCCAATCAATTGATCGTCTGGGATGTCCATACTGGAGACCTAACAAGGGTCATCAACCCAGGGATTGAGGGAATCTTCCTGGGAATGGACCTCTCCAAAGACGACAAGTATGTGGCCGCTTTCTCCAACAATAACACCGTCTCCATCATGTCCTTGATCACTGGAGATCATATCAATATTGATCCGGACGGAATGGAAGGACAGATGGAAATAGGGAAGGTAGTCTTCACGGAAGATGACAAGATATTATTCTGGTCTACAAGTCAATACTACCTCTACGATGTAGATGGGAAACTACTTCATAGAGAAAGGTTGGATCCCCAGATGGGGAAAAAGAATTTGATCGAAGTGTTTTACAAAGAAAGGAAGTCCGTCAGATTCTTGACATGGTCGGGAGATAAAGATGATTGGAATGTGACTATGGTGGGAAGAGAAGAAAACAAATTACTTACACCATTCAAGTTCGCGGCCTCTTTGGCTTTCTTCGACTCTAGATTTGTGACAGGGATTATGTGTGTAGAAGACGAAAACCATCCACAAGGTAAAAATAAGAACGTCACACAATTGCGAGACAGGGCACGTACTCATTTTTGTGGCCCGATTTGAATTGGCTATAACTTCCTTTTTTGAATGTAGCCGATTGTGACCCAAGGCCGATTATGCGTAGTGGACGTTTTTCTCGATTCGGTCCGAACGGTGCACCTGACGAATTGTGCCCCTGGCTGAACAGTGCACCTATTGTGCACCTGGCTGAACGGTGCACCTAACATTTTCTTTTTTGAACAGTGCACCTAGGCGATAGTGAACCTTGAAAAAAAGTTTCTTTGTGCATTATTGAAGAAAATTTGAAAGGTTTTTGCTTCGGGACAAGGAAAAAGAATTTTTTTGGAAAATTTTTAAAAAATTTGAAAGGGTTTCGCTTCAGGACAGAGAAAAATTAGTTTTTTTGGAAAATTTTTAGAAAATGTAAAAGGTTTTCGCTTCGGGACTGGGAAAAAGAAACTTTTTGGAAAATTTTGAAAAAATTTGAAAGGTTTTCGCTTCGGGACAGGTAAAAATGATTTTTTGGAAAATTTTGAAAAAATTTGAAAGGTTTTCGCTTCGGGACAGGTAAAAATGATTTTTTGGAAAATTTTGAAAAAATTTGAAAGGTTTTCGCTTCGGGACAGGTAAAAATGATTTTTTGGAAAATTTTTAAAAAATGTGAAAGGTTTTGGCTTCGGGACTGGGAAAAAGAAACTTTTTGGAAAATTTTGAAAAAATTTGAAAGGTTTTCGCTTCGGGACAGGTAAAAATGATTTTTTGGAAAATTTTTAAAAAATGTGAAAGGTTTTGGCTTCGGGACTGGGAAAAAGAAACTTTTTGGAAAATTTTCAAAAAATGACTTTTTAACAATAGTACAATTCCAAGAGTCGTCGCCCCTTGGAATCGCCCATCATCGCGTTGCGACGGCTAGCCGCGAAATTTGGTGCGCGACTGCGCCCTTTTTTCGGCGAGGCGAAACATTTTGCTGCGACGACCCGACGTTGTGGCTTTTTCCTACGATGCAGGGAAAGGCCGCTGGATGCTGTATCGTCGACCCGAGCTGTTGCTGACGCAAAACGTCGTAGCGCCAATTCTTTTCGCGCAATCTTAGATTTTTTATTAACTTTTTCAGAAGTCGAGCCATTTTACAAACTGGTAACGTTCGAGGTTGCAAGTGGAGAAGTTCGTGTAAAGAAGACAATAATCGATAAATTGGAAGAGAAGACGAACGCCATCTTTTATTGCAAAGGCAACAAAACTTCAGAAGGAGAAGGAGGGCAGACCAATTGGATGATCGGAGTCACTGTCGAGGGGTATTTGTTATGCGAGAATCTGCTCCCAGAGAAGCTGATTACCCTCAAATTGCCAGGAGATGTCCGCAACATCCCCATCAAGCCCATGCACACCACCTCGGCCGTTGTTTTCTCTTGCAATGACACGTTCTTTGTGTCCGGTGTCAGAAAAAACTTTTATATTTTCAACATCGCTTCCCAACAACTGGTAAGAGTGGTCGAGGCTCATTTCGGGAGGATTCTGAGTCTGAAGTCGATGAGCAAGCACAACTACAATCTGCTGATCTCGAGTTCCATCGATCGTTCCATCAAGATCTGGAATATGGAGAATATCTTTGAGAAGAGTTTCTCGGTGGTCAACATGGATCAGTCCGTGGAGAAGATCCTCATTCCTCAGCAGAAGCAATTTTTGGCGTTGATCCAAACCAGAAAGTATCTGAGTCTCTGGAATATCCGCAGCCATACTTTTATTTGCCAACTGGTGACTAATCAGTTCGGGTCGATGTTGACTGATTCCATGATCACTTCTGATGGGAAACTTGTCATCTGCATCGAGTCTGATCAGCTTTTGGTTTGGGATTTGAAGACTCAGAGTGTTTCCTTGAGGATGCCGGCTCAACAGAGCTACCAATTGCTCTTTTTGTATCACGAAAAGTATATCGGAGTGCTCTATAAGCATGTTGAGACCAATGAACAGAAGATTTGTCGTCTAATTGTTTATCGACTGGTCGATTTGAGTGTTTATTACACCTATGAGTTCAATTGCAAGCAATTCAGAGATGCTGTGGTCTTATCGGTAAGTCTTGTAAGGTGAATATGATCGGAATGATTTCCAGGACACTGTGTCCATAGTTTTGGTGGCCATTGCCAAAGGCCATGAGCAACTCCAGATCTTAAATATCACGGAGAGAGCCGTCAAAGTAAAGTTCAGGTAAAGTTTATTCTCGATTTTGTTATATTGGACCGTATCCTTGCGTTATTTTACTTCTGAGAAGAGTTTTTATAATTGGCGAAAGTGTTGTAAAGGCCGAGGAAGAAGAGAATCAGCAGGAAAATAAGAAGGTTCAGCTGCTCGGGGGTCAAGGAGACGATGAATTCGGACATTGCACTCCTCTCTTCGTCCATTTCTTGTCTTCAAATAATTGTAAATATTATCAAATAGCTATGGATACCTTCGAACACTGACTTCACTCGGTTCGACGTCCTGCGGGCGAGAAACAGCATCCAAAAGGAATTGTTCCACTGGGGGATTCGTGGCCGGACAACTGCCTGTGCGGGCGACATGAGCAAGAAGTCGGGTGGAGGTCTGATCGGCAGTCATCTCGTTGTTACTATCCAGGAATCGCGTCACCAACAACAGTTTGGGGGGATCCACTTCTTCCCAGGAATGACATTTCTTGGGGCGATGCCAAGTGAGAACACAACGGGTCGATCCCCGAGCTGCGACATGACCTTGGCCGCTGGGCAGAGCCTGAAATTCAGAATTTAACGAATTTTAAGAAATTTTGTATCATAACGCCAAGCTCCGCACTGTACTATATGCTCAGTCATTGCACGGTGCGGATTAAAAGTAAGAACTTTTGCACAGTGCAGAAAAATCAACAGAATCAATTCCCATAGTCCGTGGAAACTCGAAAGTTGCTTTTCGCCACTCCAACAAAAGGCTTGTCGCACAATGTGAGCGATGGCTTCACTGTTTTCGTCGCTGCAGAACTTAGGTCAAGGGTTATCGCGGGCGACACCCAACCTTGAAAAAAAGGCACAATTTTGGTCTTTCATTCTTCATGTCGCTGTCAGTTGGCACATGACTGCTTTCCGAAACTCAGACCAAAAATTCAAAAAAGGATATCGCAAATCAGGATGACTTACCGAAACATTACTTCCAACATTACTCTTCAATTTGAAAAAGAGAGAGCGGTCAGAGATATTGGAAAGTAACAGTTGGACTCGGGCGACATCAGGGCGACCATGAATCCTGACGAATCGGAGTTGTGTAGCCGGAGTCTTGTGTTTTTTGACCTTTCTTTTGACCCGCTGAGTATTCTGTCGATCCGAAAAACTACGTTGAGTCGAAGCGACGGAGTCTAGGATACTGTAATCTAATCCATCTCTACTTACAATCACCTCTCCGACTCCGCTCACTCGACTTTTGGAGGCTGGGCTCAGATCTTCCACTTGGGGCATTCCCATCTTCTTTGCCTGAGGCGTTTTCTCCTCCACTTCTGGTACTTTGTCGACTGGATTCGTTCTCTCTACCGCTCATTCTCTGTTCAACCGGTCAACAAGTTTTGTGGAATTTCAATTGATTGAAATTTTTAACCAGGACTCCAAAAAGATATTTTTTTAATTCTATTATATGAAGCCGTTCCCGAGATCCCGAATTTCCGTAGTCTCTCGCGAGAGACTAGTAAAATTCACAAACAGACTGGGGAACACTTTGTGGACCACCATTTATTTTTTCAATTTTCAGACCGAGATTGAATAAGAAAACAACCAAAGATATGAGTATTCAGAGGATATTACCCATGCCTGAGAACCCAAACCAAGTAATTTTGATGGATAACGAGACCAGAGGGAATGTTTTTGATCTGAAGACCAAGAAGATTGTTAGACATCTTCCCGCTTTTACTGGGGTTTGTACGAGAGACGGAAGATTGGGGATTAATGCACCCAGCAAAGGGGGATTACAGGTGAGATCAGGGCTGATAATACCGCGTCAGGACATTTCCGGGATTTGGACACTTCCGGAATAGCGGAAAAGTGACACTTCCGGAACCGGGGAAAAATCAAAGAAAAGGCTTACAAGGGCTCGGCAAAACCTCGTCCCCTGGTTTCTTCTTGAAACATACACCATTTGAAAGAGCGCAAAAAACTGGTCTAGGATCACCTTTAATTAGCTGCTAAGATTCACTTACGTGCTAGCTAGCGAACTTTTTTTCAAAATTCCCAATTAGACTTACAAGGGCTCGGCAAAACCTCGTCCCCTGGTTTTTTCTTGAAACATATACCATTTGAAAGAGCGCAAAAAACTGGTCTAGGAGCGACTTTTATTAGCTGCTATTATCCACTTACGCGCTGGCTAGCGAGAATTTTTTAGTTCTAGGCTAGTCTCACCCTTCTTTTGAGAAAACAAACGCGATCGGTTTCAAAAGCAAATCGAAGCAGTGCTTCGGTGGCCTAGTGGGGAAAGGCGCTGCTCAAGGACCTGCGAAGCGGGTTCGAATCCTTTTTTGAATTTGTTTATTTTTCTGGCTAGTATGGAACAAATAGAGTCAGAAAGTTATGTTTAATTTTTGACTAGACTTTTGCGTATACTCAGGTCCATTTTAAAAGAAAAAACTACAACTTTTTCGTTTTTTTTTTGTTTTGGCCGCTTTGACCTTGTATTGGGACATCCTGGGTGGTTGAAACTTTCGAAGGCTTTCATATTTTTACTAGGAATGCTCGCTAACGGAAAGTACGTAAAAATTGAGTCTGAAAACATCTTACATGTTTGGAACATCTTCGTTTGTCTTGAGTTACAGGACCTAAAACATCGCGCAATCACTCATTGAGTACATCAACCTGAATGTTTCAAACTCAGAAAACCTTTTGTATTTTTTGACATGGGTTGAAGCGTTCAACCTCATTAATGACTAATATTTATATGAAAAGTGATTATTCGATCTCGTTCACGTCTCAGAAGCAAGAAGTTTCAAAATTCAACTTGGAAATTTTAAAAAATGCCCGCTAGCCAGCCCGTAAGTGGATAATAGCAGCTAATTCAAGGTGATCCCAGAACAGTTTTTTACGCTCTTTCGAATGGTATATGTTTCAAGATAAAACCAGGGGACGAGGTTTTGCCGAGCCCTTGTTAGGGAACCTTTTCTTCTGAGATGCCAACGAGATCGAATAATCACTTTTCATACAAATATTAGTCACCTATGACATTGGACGCTTCAATCACGATCAAAAAACATAATTTTTTTTCCGAGCTTGAAACTCTCAGGTCGATGCCCTCAACGAGTGATTAGGCGATGTTTCAGGTCTTGTAACCCGAGTCATACTAGGAGATTTCAAACATGTATACCGTTTTCAGGCTCGTTTTTCACGTGCTGTCCGTAAATGGGCATTCCTGGCAAAAAATATTAAAGCCGTTGAAAGTTTCAACCATCTTGGATGCCCACTGCAGGGTCAATGACACCTATATCATAAAAAATTTAAAAACCTGTCGATTTTTCTAGTAAAACCAATCTAGCGTACCCCAAAAATCAATTTAAAATTAAAGGCTACATGCTAGCCTTCTTCATTCCATAATAGCCAAAAAAAATCCAAAAATTCAAAAGAGGATTCGAACCTGGTCCGCACGTCCTCCTTGTAGAGCGCCTTACCCCACTAGGCCACCGAAGCACTGCTCCGCTGCACGTCAAACTGAGATAAGCTAAAACAGTCCGGCGAATAGATTGGCAATTCGCCAAAAAAAGACGCGAAAAAACGTTTTGTCGGGGGAGAAATGGGGAATTTTTGGGGCGAGAGAGTACGTTTTTACGTGTCTTTTTTCTCTCTTTCTCTGGAAATCAAGACGAAATGTAAAAAACCGATAGCGAAGAGTCTATTCCGGTCACCGGACTCCTCAGTTTGACGTGCGCTGTGCTTTTGAAATCGATCGCTTTTGTTTTCTTGAAAGAAGGGTGAGGCTGGCTTAGAACTAAAAAATGCTCGCTAGCTAGTATGTAAGAGAATCTTAGCAGCAAATTATGGGTGATCCTAGACCAGTTTTTTGCGCTCTTTCAAATGGTATATGTTTCAAGAAGAAACCAGGGGACGAGGTTTTGAGCGCTTGTTAGACCTATCATCTGAACCATCTGAATAGATTGACCGTTATTAACTTCGGGTTTTTTTCTGGTTGTCATTTTTTCTTATGTAGTAATGTTAAAAAGTAATTTTTTGAAATTTTTTTCAAAAATATTCGATTTAGGGGTTTTCGAGGATGCTGGTTTCGAAAATCATGTTCATTTTTTCTGATTGTTACTTTTTTCTAAAGTAGTAGTGAAATTTTTTGAAAATTTTCAAAAAATTACTTTTGAACACTACTACATAAGAAAAAAGTAACAACCAGAAAAAAAATGACAAAATTTTTTAGATTAATAACAATAAATCCATTCAGATGGGAGGTCTAAGCCTTATGATTTTCCCCGGTTCCGGAAGTGTCACTTTTCCGCTATTCCGGACGTGTCCAAATTCCGGAAATGTCGTGGTGCCGATAATACAGGGTATTTTATGGTTATTTGTATTTAACAAAAGTAAAAATATCAGTAACATGCAAATAATCGATAGCGCTTATTCTGAAAATTTTATTCATTTTTTCTGATTTGAAATCAACCCCATCGAAAACCCCCAAATCGAGTATTTGTGACAAAAGTTCGAAAAATTACAACTTTACAGTACATACTACTTAGGAAAAAACGTTACAATTAAAAAAATAAATATGATTTTTGAATCTAACGCTATCGATGATCCTGACGATTGAGTTCGAAACTTATGTGCAAGAAAAATAATATTTTCAGTTTCCCTCAATCTGCAATAAGAATTCTTTTCCAGTTAATCGATCTCAAAACAGGCCAAGTCACAAAAACGTTGATTGGCCAAGTTGCCGAGGGCGTGAATGATGTCCAAGCCAGGTTCACGGCGACAGGAGAGCATATACTTTATTATCACAATGGCCTGCAAACCCTGCGGGCATATCGCGTAAACGATGGCCAATTAATTGGTACCCTGCGACCCCATTCTCGGGTCACAACTTGGACGTCGGACAACTCTGGCCAAGAAATTGTGATGGGGGGATTGGATGGATCACTCTTGACGACCTTTTTGTACGATGAAAAGATTTATCCGGACTCTCAGAAATCACTGGCCCATCTCCCGAGTCGACGGTATCTGGCTGATCACCTGAATATTGTTGTATGTGACCAGATTTTACGGGTGCCTGACAGAATCGCAAAAGTTTCCAAGCGCAGTAAAGAATAGTAAATATTAAGCCTAACGATAAGCAGGAGCTTCGTTGCGTTATGCAGCGTCCGAAGTTTTTGCGATTCAGTCACCGTACCGATTTTACATTTCAACACCTAATTTGTGACTCTTTTAGGTTGATGATCCCGCTTCCAATGACAATACCGAGTTCAGGAATCTTACCGTACTCACAAAAGCTGTTCAGAAGTTCAAAAGTCTGATCAACAAAGACCAGCAGTCATCGCAAGTGTGCTCGATACAGTAATCATTCAACTACAGTAGTATTTCGCTTACGGTAACCCCTCAGTTACAGTATCCCCTCTCTAATTGCCCTAATTTATGTGTAGAAATTCCGGTACTCTTTTTTTAAATCTTTATTCCTAAACTTGATTCTGATCCACTTTTTGGAGGAAATCCCTAAAATTTAACTGACAATGTAAGGATCCCTTACCGAATAACCTGGGTCAAATCAGGGGCTCTGTACATGTGATTGTGTCTGAGCTGGAGTTTGGCGTCAAAAGTCTTGATCTCGACCAGATTATTCGCGTGTTTCACGTGGTCGAAGAGCTTCTTTCCCAATTCAATCGGAACCACGGGATCATCATTCGCATGCAGCATCAGAATGGGGCATTGGATACTAAAATGATGATGAAAGAAAAGGAAACCCACTCAGTAATATGTTTATGGTTATCCATGGAGATGTCGGCATACTGTAGACAGAAAGCGAGGTATTCCCGGAAGTAAGGGATCCACAAAAATATCTTGAGGATCTTTTGGGAGAGAAAAACATCGTGCAAGGCCGAGAAAGGGGACTCCAGGATCAGAGAATAGGGCTTCAGATTCATCTTGTTCAGTTGATTCACGAACATACACGAGATTCCAGTACCTAGGAAAGCCATATTTTTATTACCAAATATTCCGCAACCTTTCATTTGGGGCAGATTTCATTTGGGGCTTTTCATATGGGGAAGATCGGGTATCGGGCCAATATTTATATCCAACGTTGCAAAATTGGTTCACTAGCCAGGGGGGTTACTCCGTGTTCACACCGGACGATAGGTAGCTCATGACCAAGCTCGCGACCTAGGTCGTGACCAAGGTCAAGAAGGTTGCCTAAAATTACCCGAAAATGGTCTCAATTCTTGACTATGATGGTCAAGACACTTTCTTTAAGTCAGGTCGTCACCAAGCTGATGATGAAAGAAAAGGTCACGATTAATGTCCAAAGTCCTCTGAAAACAATGTTACTAGTTGCTCCAGACGGTTTTCGCACTTCAGTTAGGTCAGGTCACGATTAAACTGACTATGGTCACGAGCTAGGTTGTGAGCTTGGTGACGAACTGACCTAGAGAGAGTGTCTTGAACATCATAGTCAAGCATTCAGACCGTTTTCGGGTAATTTTAGGCAACCTCCAAGACCTCGGTCATGACCTAGGTCGCGAGCTTGGTCGTGAGCCACCTATCCTCCGGTGTGAACAGGGAGTGAATCCCTTGGCTGGCTAGTCAACCAATTTTGCAACATTGGATACAAATATTGGCCCGATACCTGATCTGCCCTAAATAAAATCTGCCCTATGAAGGGTAGCCAAATATTCAAAAAAAGTAGGTTTTTACCCAAAGAATGTCCCCAGACAACGATTTTCTTTTTCGGATTCTGATTGCACTTCTCATGGACGTACAAATAGATGTTGATGGCATCTCTAATTACTCCTTTTTCCGTCACAAATCCAGTCGAATCCCCATATCCCCGGTAATCGCCCACAATTACATGGAAATTCATGTCGCTCAGGAAGTTGTAGGTCATACAACGATGGGTTTTGGCCCGATGTTCATTGGTTCCGTGATAGTAGACGACTACTGGATAAGAATCATCCGCAAATTCAAACATTTCCGCTGTCTTTACCCCCAATTTTTTGAACTTTTCATTTAATGCCTCAGGCAAAATATGCCATAATCCAAGGATCGGAGAGGTCGCACTATGCGGACATGGGGAGGAAATGTAAAAGTTCCTGGCCATTGATCGAACTCCAAATTTGGCCACATCTTCAAAATGAACTGGGGGTTTGCGGACTAAACAATCGTGATATTGGAGACAATAAACTTACTGAAATTTTGGAATACAATATACCGTGTACTCCTGGGACTAAGTAGAATAAGAGGGACGGAAAGGGACGCGGCGATAAGTGCAATCAAGAACAGTAAGATCGCTCGAGAAATCCATCTAAATATTGTCATCAGAAACGACTCATCGTCTTCGCTAACCTCAGTTTCGGGTCGTCTGAACCCTGAGTTAGAGCGAAGATGACAATTAGACCGATGAAACAGCCAATCACTAGCCATACTCTCTCACTCACGGCCTTTGTATATCTGAGGAACAACAAGAAAGAATCGGAAACTTCAATAAAATCTGGAGCCGGGACTTCTTCTGGGGTCTGAATTCCTTCTTTTACTAAGAATATTATTTATCAGATAAAAGAAACAAACCGCAAGCAGAAACCGGATCCGTCGGAGGATCTGATGGAACATTCTTGGAGTCAGTCATGGAGCTGACCAATTCAAGGTCAGAGAGCTCTAATAATGGGAAATAAACAAATGGGAAACAGACAAAAAGGGAGAGGCTGCTCAAACACGGATTTAAAACATCGTTATCCCCTCAGGCTTAAACTCAGAGAACTCCAAATTCAAAAAAAAATGAGAAAACGATAGTTGATTTTTATTTATAACAATCTACGTTTTAACTTGAGGTTTTAATAAATTATGGAAGGGTGGAAGATAAAACCATCTGGCCGCTGACATGTAGAATGCGCCTATCAAAACATAACTTAGTGTGTATATATATAAGTTACCTGCAGCAAAGAGCCGCATGAATATCTGATGATTTCTTCCACCAGCGAATCTCCCAATTTGACTGTTATAGAGGGTATAAGATCCGAGACCGAAGGCTGTCGCCGTGCCCGTTACTTTACACTCAAAACAATCCTCATTCAATTTCGTCTCAAGGTCTTTGTTTTCCATCTCAAAATAAAAATCTTAAATGATTGACCGAGGTATCTTGAGTCTTACAACAATACAGTACTCGAACAATAGATTTGACCATTTATTTAATCTTCATCTAACTCATTACAATGCACCGGATGTTTCAACGGAATGGTAGACTTTTTCTCCACATCTATTGGCAAGGCTTTTCTCATATCTAAAAACGTAAGCAGTAAAGTATGGTAGTTACCATAAGCGTCTTCTGGACTGTCCCCTGTGTAATAGTCGATGATACGTCGATAGATCACATATCCCAAAGATTCGTACATGGCAACAGCCACCTTGTTACTAACCCGTACAAAAAGATCAACAAAATAACAATTTTTTCTGAAAAAATTTAATAGAATAATGTTGTTGCACCTACTCTTCCGAAATCTTCTCTAATCTAGTCATTAATTCTCGTCCCAGCCCCATTCGACGGAACTCAGGCGCAACGGAGATGGCGGTGACATGCCCGTGCCAGTTTTCTCCGCGACCCTCGGCTTTCCCCATAACTAAAAATAAAAAATGTTAGAATTTATACTTACTATAACCCATAATGGTTCCATCTGGGGCTTCAGCCACTTGAAAATATTCCGGCCAATTGGTTTTGTATTGCAAATAAAATTGGGTCGTATACTAAATCGGACTAAATTCATTTCTTAGGTAACAAACCGTTTCCGTGTAGCGATCCAAATTGCTAAAAAGAAATTATAAACTAGAGCCAAACTTACATGACGTTGAATTTGCGGAGGTCCTCGGGCTCAAAAGGCCGGATTGCTTTCATTTCCGACCGTTTGAGGTCGGAAAAGTAATTTATAATACAAGCTTGTTCTCATTTTCCATAATTATTTTTTTCGCAAGTTGTAAAGTCTCGGGCGCAGCTTTGTTTTACAAAAGAAGATTTTTGGATCAGTTTGTAAGACTAGTTTTACACGAACAGAAATGAAAGCAGTATTTGTGAGGTGTTTATTACAAGGTTCATTGCTCAACAGCATTTTCGTATTTCTCGATGTCGCTACTTCCATTACTGTTCGAAGGGTCCTTTCGTTGCCAAGAAGGAATGTCGTCCCCGCCGTTTAATGCCTTCCCGATCAAGTTGTTTGTTGAATTCGAAGCCTTCAAATTGGCCGGCACTTGGGGGAATTGGTCACTCCGGAGGAATAAAGACTTTATCACTGATAAATCTGTCTGAATCCTTTGAATATCCGAATCTAAATTGATATAATATTAGTCATCCAAGCAAAAACTGACCTCTGTTTTGATTTGAGAGTAAGCTCAGAGCTCTATTTAGTTGGTTCTGTTGAGTGGCCACTGTCTCCAAGGTTTGAGATACAGTATCCATAACAAATTTTGTAGTATTCTGGAGTTCGTTTAGCTGCTCTTTCAGTTCTCGTCTTTCTTTCTCTTCTGGATCGATGATGTCGAAGAATTTCGGAAGGAAAAAGGATCTAATGAATTTATAGGCTAGATAAGATGCCCCTCCCATCACTAGGAAGTTCTGTAAGACTGAAATAAATCTGCTCGGAGGTTGGGAATGCATCATAACAACTTGCTCGGGTAGGGGGGCTTGATTCGCTGCCAGCTAAAATACAGTAATTTATACATATAAACGTCATTATGAATAAAAAACTTTAAAAAAAGGATTTAACATACCTGATCTGGGCTGACTTTACTCAAGGCCTCATTTATTTCGGCATTAGTTACTCCTTTCCCCAACAAGAACTTCTTTTGTTCTTCTAGGGGAGTCGATCTGACTTTGGGATTAATTAGGAATCTTCTGGCATTCTCAACAAAATCTGGTCGCAGGGCGGTCTCTGAGGATGAGGTGTCGGCCATCTAAACATTATATTCATAAAGTTATATTAATGGTAAAACCCGGGATCACAAGGTGCATAATCGTTTATGAAAAAATCGCTCAGATTAAATATAAGACCATTAAGTTTAAGAAAACCTAGAAATAAAAAATGGAATTAACGGGGGCAGGCAGCATGTCTTCCTCCATCGACGGGAAGGGATATCCCAGTGCTGAAACTGGACAAAGGGGAGGCCAAAAAGGCGATGGAACGGGCTACTTCATTCGCTGTACCAGGCCGGCCAAGGGGATGAGTCTCTTTGGAACGCTCAAGGAACTTCTGATAAGCCTCCGTGTCCATCCCAGAACGGGAATGTAGCTCCGTCACAGTGACTCCAGGGCTGAAAACAACGAGAAAGTGATGGGAAAGAAAAGACTACACTTCTTGTGTTGAAAGGGAGAGAGGCTCCTTGATCAATACTTGCTCCCAAATACTGATTTAGTGATAACACACACTAACTTACATCACTATAAAACACAAATGTAATCAAATGCTATTCAAAATAAATCTCTTATCCCGTTCGCGGAATTCTGCGTCAATTTGAAAAGACAGAAATTTTATTTTGTGTGCGTTTTTCTGTGTACATGAAAGAATGCATACATTATTACATAAGAATGATTAAAATATTTATCAGACTTACTTGACAGAGTTGACTCTAATGCCCTTAGGCGCTAGTTCAAGAGCGGTACATCGAGTAAATTGATCTAACCCGGCCTTAGATATATTGTAAGCCAAAATTCCAGCAAACTAAAATTTAAACTATAGAACTTAGCAACAATTCATAATGGACATAACAAAAATTCAGAAAATTATGTAGACGCAGATTTTTCAGTTTCGGTGTCTCGTTTTGTGCACCGAAAACCGCGATTTCGGAAAAAAATATGACCACCATCGTAATGGACGTTTTGTCCCCATGACATACTTGCTTTGAAGCCTCAAAAATAGCTAGCTAAAAGGTTGGAATCAAAGCGTAGTAATGACGTCCGACTTTTTAAATGGCTAGCCAAAACCTGCATCGGCTGGCAAGTGTCAGAATAGCTGTGGAACCTCGAAAAAGCTAGCCAAAAAGGTTGGATCCAGGTTTTTACTCGCCATTTTAATAATTTAATAATTGTCATTTACAACTCTTTGACATCTGTTCCAACTTTTTAGCCAGCTTTTTTAAAGCTTTATCGCCATTCTGAGGGTTTGACAAGCCGATCTAGGTCTTCGGCAAGCCATTAAAAAATTGGCCAATGATTTCAACTCATTGGCTAAAAACGTCTTGGGGACAAAACCAAGGTGGGGACAAAAACGGGCCTAATCGACCACCATAATATATTAGCTAATGGTAATGCGTGGAGAACTTACAGATCTAATAGCATTGACACTGGATACATTAACCACAGAACCCTTTGTCCTTTCCAACAAAGGAACAGACAACTGAGTCAGTTGTAAGACCGACCTTAAGTTGACAGTCATAACTCGGTCATAAGACTCGAGAGAAGTCGTCTCCACCGACCCTCCCTCCAAGATCCCAGCATTGTTTACTAAGACATCTAAACTGTCAAAGTGTTTCTTAAATGATGCGATGATCGAGGAAACCTGGTCTTCTTTCTCCAGATCCGCAACAACATAGTGAACATCACTCTAAAAGTTCATGAGACATTACAAAGAAAACCTACTTTCGTTGGGATTAGACTTAGTTCTTTAACAAGACTCTGAAGATTTTGCTCGTTACGACCAGTAACTAACAAAGAGGCCCCCAACTCTTTGAACAATACAGCGGTGGCTCTTCCAATTCCCGAGGACGCACCTGGATTTCACTAATTATATTATAATCGCACTACCTGTAATAATGGCAGTCTTTCCAGCAAAACTTAACAGATTGGTCGACATTGTTCACTAAAAATGACCGGTTACTACACTGCAATTCCGACCGCGTGTTGTATTACCAACAAATTTCTTTTTTTTTCTGATAATTCATAAAATCCATCGCAATGACACAGTTTTTGAAAAAAATAAAATATATTTTTCGGTCTCACTGATGTGGATGATAATAGCCTCTCCGCACACCGTTCCTTTTTCGTTCTGATATGAAAAATGGCTGAAGGGACGGTCCAGTCTATTTCGAGGCCCGTAAGTAGAGTATTTTTTATTTACCAAACTATCCGAATTTGCTAAATTGTAGGAGGTTCCATTTGCTGCTGTTATCCCTGGCGGTGTATTTCCTGGTCGGGCAGTGCTTGTTCGAGGTCATGTGAATGATTGTAGGTTCAGTTTCTAATTCTAGTTTGAGTGTTCAGCAAGCAGTCGTTTCAATATCGACTTTTGTTGTGGACACGTTGCTTATGGTGATCATCGAGATGATAAGGCTCTTCATTTCGATGCTCGTTTTGATCCACAGAGTGCATGGTAACTTTCTTTAATTATGCAGACGACATTTCTGGATTTAGGCCGTTTAAAAAACCGGATCGGGATATTGTTTTAAATAGTCTGATTAACAATGTTTGGGGTCTTGAACACCGTGTTTCGAATCCTCTGACTGTAAACGAACATTTCACTTTGCGGATTTTGGTATTACGAGATTACTATAAGGTAAGTCCTACATTACGTCAAGAGTTCTATCTCTTAGTTTACATTGAATGGAAAATTTTTATGCGACTTTGTACATCGTATCCCGGTCGACAGAATTGTTCTCCTTTATATTGCAGGATGTCTGAGGATTGATGAAATTCAATATCAGGGCGCTGTAAGAGTTTTTAACCTTTCACCGGTCTCGTTTGTTTAGCTTCAAATAAACGACCTGGATTCGCCTCAATTAAACAGAACTGGAGAGCCAGTTTCAGTCAGTAAGCCAGTAAGTAATATTCTGAAGGTGTTTGGAAATCGTTTAGGAAATTCCATTTGTTCACATTCTGGATGGGTTTGCACCTCCGAAGAGGATTAAGATTACCGGGACGCCCAAAATGAATTCTGATCGATTTGAGTTTGATCTGATGAACGACAAGGAAGAATATGTTTTTCACTTTCGGGTTGATCTTCCATCGAACAGGGCTCCAAGAGTAGGTTATGCGCCTCTTATTAGTTGTGGATTTAGGGTGCGGTTGTCCGCAACTCGACAAAACGAGACGAATGGCAGGAGGAAGAAAGAGATATCCCTTCTTTTCCGTTCAAATTTGGCCACACTTTTGACCTCATCTTAATCGCCCGTATGGATTCCGTCGAGGTTTGTTCGTTCTTTAGATTTCATCTTACTTTTAGGTCGTGGTTGATGGTCTTCCTTTCTGCACGTTTCATTACCGTTTCCCTCAGACGGGTGGCAGCATCAAATCTTTCAAGATTTACGGGGACATTGTTGTTCAGAACGTTGAATTCCAATGACTTATTCAGTCCATGAGGCGTCATCATTCCTTCCCACCTTCTATATCCAAACAATGAGAGTCACCCTTCGTAGAGCTAGTATCTGCACCATTGAACTTCTACTACATATTTCAGCAGCTCTTTCCATAAATATTAAAAATAATAAAGTTAGTTATTTTTTTGATGGTAGTTTCAGTTTGTTAGTGGTAAATGGTGCATTTAAAATGTTCAAACTGTGCAATCCTGTTAGGAGATATATATTTTGTCGTATAATAATTTTAACACGTATAATGCGAAATTACGCAAGGCAGCTCGCGCCCCGGGAATAAGATTCCTAGTTTTTTTTTGGAAAAAATGGTTTTACAAAAAATAGTAGAAGCTTATACTTCTCGTGGAATGTTGTCCTTCGTATATCGTAATAACAGTTTTTTAATCAGAATTTTAGATGACAGGCAAAGTAGAAAGGCCCACGGACCAGAAGTTTCTCAGTAACTTCTATGAATTGGCTGATTTTAATCCCAACAAGCGTCTTCGAGCTGCTGAAAATCTTCTAAAGGATGCGGTAAGATTTTTTCCTCTTGCTAATTTTTATGATTGTTGAAACGCCATTATGTTTGTAGGAACTGGAAAAGTACAAAGTATACGTGCTGGACAGACTTCTGAAAGGATTGGCGTCGGGAAAGACTGCTGCGCGGTTTGGATTTTCTGCGTTTCTTACAGTTTTTGTGGACCAAGTGAAGGGCTTTGAGTTTGATGAGATGAAAAAAAAGATTGGTGAACTTCTGCCGTTTACCGATGAGAAGGTAAGTCTTGTTGGTCTGTGGTTATTTCTTTTTAGGACGTCGAAAATGCTGTCGGGCGTCATTTTGCTTACACCTCCTTGGAGAACAGTGAGCTTTTTGAAAGCAATTTGAAGGAAATAACACAGCACCATCTAGAGCTTCTTAAGTTGGCTCCTTATCTCGCATTTTCTGTTGTTGACGCCATTACATCCAAAGCTAAATCATTGGAGGAATCTAGATTCAAAAAGTTGATTTATCCTTCTGTAAAGGGTTCCTTGAATGTGGAATTGGAAAAAATCAGCTTGGAAGGACTCTTATTTTTGATCAGCTTTAGTCAGATTTTCCCAGTAAGTTACATGAAATATCCTATTTGTTTCTTTAGGATACCATCAAAGAGACAAAAAGTTTCCTAAACAAGAAAGTGGCTCTTCGCCCGATCGTCTACGAGAGGATTTTGGAGTTGTTGAAGTTGATGGATGTCTCCCATAAGTCTTATTTCTGCAAAGAATTGCTAATTTTTTCTAAGAAATTCGATCGTTTTGAGTCGGTTTTGAATGAAGTTGTCTTGAAATTTGTTTTGGATGGAGATGAATGCAAAAGCTCGGAAAGATATTTTATATTGTGCAAGGAACTGTTTGGTGTAGAAGAATTTGGATCGTCTGAGGTAAATACATCTTGTTGTTACATTTTTTTGAACATTTAAAACTTACTTATTTTTTAGCTTAGTACAATATTATCGACAAATTTCCTCCTGAAATGCCGTAAATACAGCCACCGAACAGAGCCGTCCTACAGAGGTCATCATCTTCTCATTTCCGAAGCATTGGAAGCCTTTAAACAAAGGACCGAGCAAGGTGTCTTTTCTAGTTCCGATATTCTTGTTATGATCGAAAGAATTGATAATGTCGAGAGCGGGGATTTTGATACGAAAGTGGGCGCGTCCGTGAGAATCACTGAGGTCTTGGTGTCCAAACTCGATGGACACGATCTCGAAGGCTTTGCGAAGAGGGTGAGTACCCCCGAAGTGATATAAATAGCTTACTTTTTTAGGTATCAATTGCTGAGAGTTGGTCTTACAAACGTCTCATTCCAGCATTTGGCGGTGCTGAGTCTTCTGTCAAAAAGAGTATCCTGAAGTCCTTTTTGTGTGTCCATGAAAGATCCATTCAAAGATTTAACGTCGGATGTTCTTTGTTGGAACAGATATTCAAAATTAAGAAACATATTCATGTCAGTGCGAAAGAAGAAGATACGCAGATTATTTTGGATGTAACTGATTCGAAAGCTGAGGGAATCAAAGAAAAGTAGGTCTATATAATTTAACATCATTTCGTTAGGTCCTTGTTGTTCATGGCAGCTTCTTTGAAATACCTCGGGAAGATCGCAGAATCAGATGAGATTGCTACTGAATACTTAAACGATGCTCGGGAAGTTGTGTTGTTGGCTAAATCACTCAAGAACAAGACCGCTTTAATGGATATTTTCTTCTCTATCGTTTCGCGTGTCAACAGGATTCACAAGATTTTGGTTTGCTATTCGATTGGACAACTGGGGGAGGTTTTGGACTATGAGTGTAGTGATTTCATTATTAATGTATGTACGGAAACACGATTTTTATACATATTTAGACCATTGGAAAAGGAGCAAACGAATTGGAGGGAGATTCGGATGATGATGATGACAGAGACTTCAAGCCAATTACCGAAGAAGAAAGGCAACAAGTTTTAGATAAGTGGGCAAAAGAGGAGGAAGAAGATGAAACTGATGGGAGTGAAGAGGAAGATGACGAGGATGAGGAGGAAGAAATTGATGAGACATTGGTTTCTGATATGAAGAAAGCGCTTGGAAAGTATGCTTTTACGGGGGAGAGCGACGAAGATATTGTAGGTTCATTCATGTTTTTTATTATTCTTTAGGAAATGGATGATGCGGAGATTGAAGACTTGGACAAGGCATTGGGAGCCGCTCTTAAAAAGAATTCCAAGAAAGGAAGGAGGGAATCCGACGAGAATCTGAGCGTGTTCAGAAACAAATGCTTCGATATTCTCATCGTCTTCTTCACAAATGCCAAGCCTGATGTGATTGTAAAGTCTATGACAGCGTTAGCAGAACTTATTACTACTTTTGACACTCCGGAGGATGAGAAGTTACTTCCAAAGATTGAGGGTGTTCTTGAGGCAGTCCACGGTCGTAAGAAGGAAGTTGCGGATTCAGAAGTCGTGGAAGAAGTTTGGAAACAAATTATTGAAGAGTGCGTAGCCAATGTGAGATCAGTCAAAGGAAGACGACTTCTGGGAGATATCTTCTCTCTTTTGGTGGGTCCTTTTGTAATGTTAATAATATTTTTAGTTGACGTTTGCTGCTGACCATCAAAAACTATCTCTTCCTGAAACAATAAGAACCCGGGTTTTCGAATTAGTTGAAGCTAAAGCCGAAGAAGAATCTGCAGATGTAAAAGCAACCCTCCAAGAGATCTTGGAGATTATTCTGTCCAAATACCCGGCATACTTGGTCGATGTATTCCCTCGTATTGCAGAATTATTGGTTAAACAAACCCCAGAGAAATCTGTAAGTATAAAGAGTTTTACTAGAAACTGGCAATTATCTTAGGCCGACTTACTGAAACTAATTACGTTTGCTTGTCGCAAAGATGTGTTGAAGATGGATGAAGGATGCCATGGATTGAAACTCATTTCCACAGTGATCCCAACTTTAGAGAAATTTTATTCAGATCTGTCTTTGTTGAAGGTTAACGTCTTCTCTAAAACTGTTGTGTTTCTCTACAAATTCTTGGTTTCAGCTACGGAAAAACAAAAGGTAAGAGTTAAGACGAGGATAACTTTCAGTTTTAGGAGAAACTGAAGAAATCAGGACTAAAAAAAGTGGCCAATTCCGAGGATTTCAAGGCAAGAGCCATCAAATTGAACCGAGATATCCAGCAAGAGTGCAGGTGCAAGGTCTCTGTCTGCATTCAACGTTTGGAAAGCGCCCTAAATTGAATATTACTTGTTGTTTCATTTGTTATTCGTTTGTTGTTACTCAAATTAAACTGTTAACCGTTAATCTTTGATTGTTGAAAGGGTTACTGTATCCTTTTTTATCGTATGAAGTTGTTCGAAGTTGAATTTTTGTGTTTAGATGGGTGATAGTTGTATTCCAAAGCCCGTGATAGCCAACATCAAGAAGTTTGCGCAATCCCTGAATGAATTAGAAAAAAGTATCGCAAAGTTAATCAAAATTACCCGTGAACAAAAAGAAAAGGTATGGGGAATAAACTGAAGTATTATTATTTGGTTTTCAGATGACACATCTAGAGAAAGCCAAGCTTGATCTCACAATTGTTTCCTTAGTGAACAGCCTTTACTTCTTGCATTCTACAACTTTGGGTAAAAACCCACAAGATGAAGATGCTGTTGGTGTCGAGTTTGTAAGTTTTTTCCTGTGTGATATTCCAGTATTCTTACTTTAGAGACGATGGAAAGAAGTGAAAGACCGATTGCAACAATTAGAAGATGCGCATCTGCGACCTCAGATTGACAAAAGCGCGGCAAAGTCTTTTGTTAGGAATGCTCTGTTTGATGTTGATGATTATAATAGACTGGTAAGTGGAGCAAATTTAACGCACCTATATCTTTGTTGTTACAGAAGGATAAGTTAAACGATGCTGGGGTTGATTTTGGAGAGGAGGATCCAGAGTATGAAGAAGACGAAGAAGAATACGATGCGATGGGACGGCCGGATGATGATTATTAATCTATGATATGTTATACATATATTTTGATGTTTAAAGTTGTTGAGTTTTAAACCGTAATTACGTTCAAGTTTGTGTAATGGTCGGAACCACCTGATATTTTTGTTGCATTTTCCTCCTTTGCATGTAATTGTGATTATAGAATGGACAATGGGCGGCATGGATTCTTTCAGCCGACTTCCTTTTTCCCCCGCTCGTCAGTCTCAGTCCCACCCATGGTGCCTCCCCTGTATCCACCAACCAGTCGAGTTCCAGCTACATTAGAATCGGATCTCCGGGACCTCCCGTCAAATTCTACAGCAACTTTATTCGAAATCCCAATGTATGAAAGGCGAAGGTAACATATAGTTTTGAAATTTTAGACCGAAATCAGAATCTCTTCGTATACCCACTTTTGATGCCTATCTCCACGAAAATTATTTTGCGAGGCTCTCGAAGGGGGAAGCCAAATTAAACGAAGCTCTCCATGCCCGAAACCAGAAGATAACGCCGTCTGGAGAACAATACCAAGCAGTCTCATGTATGGTAGGTGAAGTAAAACAAGCTCTGGAAACTATTGTGGCGTTGGGATTAAACAAAGGAGTTGTAAGTCAGCAGTATTCTTACTTATAGATATTTCTAAACTCGGATCATGTTATTTTTAGAAAATGGAAGAATTCCGAATGGTGGGATCCTTTAAGAACGACACCATGCTGAATAAGAGCAATGTCGCTGATATGGTTCTTGTGTGTTCTGCTTTGCCAAAACGTGTGTTTTATGGTCCTGTTTGCAATTTTTTCGTTTAGATGATGATTTAGTTAAGATGGCCGAATCTGTTGTTGATATGATCAAGGATCGCCTTCCTGTATATACCTTTACGGTTATTAAGGAACCTTTTGGTTGCTCAATTCGGAGCTCGGCCGCTGCCGTCAGATTGTTGCCGGCGTTAGCAGATGATTCAGTCGAAGTTGAGGAAGGTGTACATATGCAAAAAGGATTCTTTATCAGGAATAAATTGGCATTAAGACACGCCTACTGGTTTGAAGACAATGTGAAGAACCCTTCGATTAGAATGTTGATTCGACTGGTTAAAGATATCAGAAGGAGATCCAAAGGAATGAAATCTCTGAATGCTTGGACAGTAATGCTTTTGGTATGGTGCTTTCTGAAGTAATGAGCTCTGTTTAGTCTCATTATTGTGTTACCTATACGTCAAATGGAGAGCCCTTACCTCTATCGCATGCCTTCCGAAGATTCTTTTCGCTTATATCGGCAGGCATCTTATTACATACGAGTATCTCACTTACTGATCCATGTTCTCCTGATTTACGGATAAACCGGGGTTATCAGCTCAATGAGGCGGTAAGATTCCTTGCCGTTGTTTCTGTTGTTTGGATCTTATTGGTTTGAATTCCATTATAGGATGACATTTGTCGTTGCTCCCAATTTGTTCTTCGACTCTTGATCCATGAGAAATACGATCGATTACTGGGCAAAAAGAATGTTCACAGAGATCTTTGTGGGGAGAACGAGTACGAAAAGAACAAGTTGAATATTGCCCCAGTCAGAGAAGCCTACAATTGTGATACCATCGTCAACACACCTGACACTGACTTCTGCACTGATCTCTATGTAAGCAATTTGTTTTGTTTTAATTTTTTTAGCGTTACGGTGATTCGCAACCTCCATTCGAGGAGACTCCGCCCACATCACCTAAAGTCCTAGAGCCCGTTCAGAAAAAACCGAGGCCCTTACCAAATCATAATGAATTCAAGGAGTTTTACAAATCCATTCAAGTCATCACCTCTTCACGGCCAGCTGTCAACAAGTCAACCGCAAAGTCGATGGTTCGGAACGCATTATTTAACCCTTGATTTTATAATTTGGCCTTTGTTATGTCATAAATTGAACCATCCTTTGGATTATAAAATGGTTTTTGGGTTGATAGCCATAGCTATTTGACGGTTTGTTTTGTTTACTAATACTTTCTCAGATCTCTCAGTTCTTATTTCTTTGGTCAAAACAAGGATGTACCCTCCAGTAAGTAGAATGTTTTATAATTTAAATCGTGTCAGGGCTACGCCGCTCGTCCTTTCGGCTATGGTCCTCCTCGTCCATTCTACCCTCCGTATGGCCCACCCTCATATGGCCATATTCCTCCAAGCTTCGGGAGAGGTGGAGAAGAGAAAAGAAGACCTACCCTTCTCCGTCCTCAGACGTTTGATCAGTATATGAGCCAAGCTGAATTCCCAAGGAATCCAGAAGAAGATGAAGCGCTTAATAAGGCCATGTTGGCCAGAAATCAGCAAATCGCCCCTTCCTCCATCGAACAATCGTCGGCCACGACTTTGATGACTCAAGTAAAGGCTGCCTTGGAGACGATCATCTCCACGCAAAGTATCCCGTCAGCTGTAAGTAAAGCAAAATTGATATTAGTGATTGTTAAATTTACTGACGATAGTGTTTTTAGAAGATCACAGAGGTCAAAGAAGTTGGATCCTATAAGACAGGAACGATGTTGACAAAGAAGAACATTGCGGATCTTGTCCTTGTATTCAGCACTCTTCCAACTCGTAAGAAATCTGCGTGTTCTTTGTATTACAATTATTAATTATGTTTAAGATCAAACTGTGAAAGCGCTGGGAGAAAAAATTGTGGAAATCTTAAAGGAAACTCAGTCCGGAGAGATTTTTGGGGTGGTCCCTCGAGATTATGGATGCGAAGTGGCCGGAACTCAGGCTGTTCTCAGACTCATGATCACCGTGCCATCCGAGCTACCCCTTCAATTGGATTCGGAACTCCATTTAAAACCTGAAATCTTAAAGAAAAACATGGATGCCCTTAGGCACGCACACTGGTTTGACGAGAATGCGGGCCAGCCAGCTATCAAGATGATGGTTAGGATTATCAAGGACATTAAGAATCGGTGCGCTGGGCTCCAACCCTTGGATATTTGGACGATCGAACTCCTTGTAAGTTTGCGATTGAAAGCTTTTTTAAGATGTTTATTGTACAGGGTGTTTCAAGAAATTTGGAACAAATGACTTGCTTATATCTTTTTGTTCTTTGCAGCTATCAACGAATTTCTTTTTGCTTCTAAAAATTGACAGCGTGCGTTTTTAGAATCTCAAAAAAAAAATTTTTTCGTCGGCGGAGGGCCCATTTCTCGGCGGAGAAAGTTAGCGCCTTTCTTAAAAATCACAGCGTATTACGCGACGGAAACGCCGTTGCAACGGCTGAAATCAAGTTTACGTTACACCTCCGTCGATTTTACGGTATTTTTTTGTTTTCGATTTTACGCTCACCGCGGAGGCGCGGCGGAGACTTCAGATTTCGGCGGACGTTGTTTTGGGCCTTCGTCTGTTGCAATTCATGTTGGAAAAGAGGTTGGGGTGATTTTTTGTTGTCATCCGATGCACAGATGGCAAAAATTTCGTGCTTTTTTTCCACGGCGGAGGATTCGGCGGAGGCTTTATCAAAGGGTAAAAGCAGTCTTACGAGTCCGGGAAAAATCTCAGCTACAAGAATCCATCAGGGCAGCATTGTCTTTCAAAGATTTTTGATTTTCTTGGTCCGGCGAACAAATCGGCGGAGTTTTGTTTTTACCCTTTGATAAAGCCTCCGCCGACTCCTCCGCCGGCGATAAAAAGCACGAAATTTTTGCCATCTGTGCATCGGATGACAACAAAAAATCACCCAAACCTCCTTTTCCAACATGAATTGCAAAAACCAAAGGCCCAAAACAACGTCCACCGAAATCTGAGGTCTCCGCCGCGCATCCGCGGAAGTGCGTAAAATCGAAAACGCAAAAAAAGCATACCGTAAAATCGATGGATGTATTACGTAAACTTGATTTCAGCCGTTGCAACGGCGTTTCCGCCACGTAATACGCTGTGATTTTTAAAAAAGGCCCTAACTTTCTCCGCCGAGAAATGGGTCCTCCGCCGACGAAAAAAAATTTTTTTTGAGATTCTAAAAACGCACGCTGTCAATGTTTAGAAACAAAAAGAAATTCGTTGATAGCTGCAAAGAACACAAAAATATAAGCAAATCATTTGTTCCAAATTTGTTGAAACACCCTGTACATTAACAGTAACAACAAAACAGGAAATTAAAAAATTGTCAATTATTAATTTTATTATAGTCCCATTACTGTGTGACGTACACCCCTGACCGTAACCCTCTCCCTCTTGCTGATGCCTTCAAAAGGTTCTTCCAATTGCTATCTGCCGGATTCCTTCTCCATTGTGCTGTGGCTGTTGCTGATCCATGTGATCCTTCAAGGCGAATCAATTATGGATTCAGTCCGGCTGATGCTGACTTGATCTGCCGGACCGCTCAGTTCATCTGTCGTCTGGTCATTCATGAGAAATTCGAACGTCTGTTTGGTCTGAAGAATGCCCACAAAGATGTGGCCAATGAGAACGAGACGGATGATTCCGTTAACATCGCTCCTTTGAAAGAGGCCTACTTCGACGAATTCCTTGTTAACAAACCTGATGAACGCAAGTTCGGACCCCGAGTCACAGTCTGATCTGATACAAAAATGGAGTTGGAAGGGGATAATTAAATTATAATCGTATTTCCATGATGTCAATAAATTAACGTTAATGACGAAGGGATGTATTTGGGATGAGGAATGCACGAGCTTTTTTCGCAAAAAAAGTTCTTCACGGTACCTGTAGTCATACTGAGATGGTCGGCCTCCGCGCGCCCTTAGTTAGGAGTTGGTTAATGTAGCCTAGGACTCTTCAATTTCTGGATTTGGTCGAGCGACGTTCTGCTTAAAAAAGACGAGTGAAAGAAGTACGGGGCCGGGATTGGGGGACAAATAGCCATCCTGCAGGACATAAGTTACTTGTTTCATCAGGAATGAGGCTTTGGAGCGCGGAGGAAATGCGACTCCACTGGGCAAGGCTTCCTCGGCTCCTCACCCGGTTCTTTCCCTCATTTCTGAGGCGGAGAACAACATGAACGAGGGGGAGGGGGGGGGGCAAGCAGGCGCTTTTCTTGGCCCCAGGCATTCCTGAACGTCTTCCTCACGGGGCCGCAGGCATTCTTCCTGCGGTCAAGAAAGCCGGGAATCCAGGAGATGACAGCGGAAGCCAGTTTTCTTATTAGTACTTTAATTTTTCCAAGCCATTGTTCTAGATGTCATTAGTGAACAAAAACCGAATGATCCATAATCTTCTTTGACCAATGGCCAGCATATTAACATATTAATTTAATATTTTAACTATTTTTTTTATTCCCATCCCTGAATCACCCACTCAGGTCGTTTCCACTTTCTTTCTCGATGTTCTTGGCCATGGAATCATGGCCGCATATATTTTATTTTTATTCCAATTTTCATTCCAAATTTATGGCCCAACCCAAACAGATATTAAAACCCCTGTTTAACACCATAGGCGTTTTTGTTTCCTCTTTGTTCAAGTCCCTTAACTCGGAGCATTCGGGGCCCTCAGGGCCCGTGATTCAGTTTGCGGAGATTTCGATTTTTGGATCATTACGAATAGCATAAGGAACGCCTCCGGGAAGCGACATCTGGAGGCATTTCATTTGTCGCAGCGCTTCGTGTTTCGTGATGACACTAGAACTGCCTAAGGGCATGTAATAAATGATGTCGTAAACGATGTTTGTTTCGAATTCTGAATTTATTTATAAACAAGCCCCTTTTATTATAACCTTTAAATTAACGAGACGCAATCTGAGCACGAATTCATGGGGCCTCAATTTACGGCCGCGAAAAGAGCGGACACAAGTTATGGGACAGGCCTTTTCTGTCAAAAGTTTCTCAAAATTAAGTCAACATTCCCTTGCGCGGCCGTCGAATGGGAGGGGATTCCCTGGGATTTGAGTAGTTTGTAAAGCCGGGGGATGTCTTGCGATTTGAACGATCAATACTCAGTCTTATCGTGCATAAATGAATATAAAGTTATATCGATTATACATAGAAGGAACCCATAAAAATATTCTTTCAGACATTCTGCCAACCGGAAATGAGCACAACCTAAGAATGAGGAATGCAACGCGCCGTGCCAGTGCGCAGTCCTCCAGTGCAACCGTTCCCAGCGGCCAACATCTCCTGGGCGCCCCCTCCGCCAAGCCCAAGCATTCGTTCTCGGGCAGTTCAGGGGGCACCAAAATCAAGAGCCGGGACCGCGGGTGTTTGCATGTCGGTAAGAACTGACTACTACATTGCTGAGTGTCAAAGTAGAGGGGAATGGCGGGCTGAGGACCCGGAGAATTCAAATTTGGCGATTAGGCGAGAGAGGCGGGGTCGCTGGGGATTAGGACACCTGAAAGGGACGCTGGGGCAGGCTTCTGTCGTCCGTCCGGTGGCCCTTGAGGCCCTTGGGGTGTTGTTTCGAACTGTTTCCGCGGACTCCCATTATAGGTCCGGTTCCGGACATTAAGCATCCATGAAATCGTAATGTCTTCCTTCCACGGCTTATTGGATCCAGGATCGAGGCTGAGAGAAGACAGGCGTGCATGTCGCGAGACTTCGCTTAAGCGTCACTACTTTCCGCACCCCCCCCCCCCTTTTTTTTGAAAACTCTCACAATCAAAGTTTGCCTGTCTCGAATTTGGTTAAAACTCAATTCACTGTCCCCCTCGTTTGGACGTTCGTTCTTCTTTTCCGAAGCAAATGTTTTTTCAGAAGAGGAAGACGAGTGGGGCCGAGAGCGAATCCGTGGACCAAGAACTTACTTCGGCCTCAAAACTTTTCCGGATTTTTTTGATTGGCTTGGGTCTCGAAGTTTGGGGACATTCAGTTTGTTCTAAATTCTCCAAAACAGGTTAATCTGCAAGCGAAAAATAATTTTACCGGTATCTCCGCTGTTTCCCTACGAGTAATCAAAGAGTTATCGGTGAAATGTCGGGATCAGAGAGAGCTTGGAAAGTCCTTGAAAGTGCCCTGTGGCAGTTGTTCTGTGCCAAAGTCAGACAGCACACTCTCCCCCGCGGGCATGATCTCTGGCCGGGCTTCCTTTTCCTCTACCCTCTCGCTTCCCTTGGCTCCCCGCTCTTGGGCCTTGCCCATTTCCGTGGCCCAGCGCCGGCTACATGACCGGATAATATTTTTGCCTCAAGGCGCTCCTCACCGCACCCTTTTTACAGGTAAAGCGCCGGCGTCGACGGGTGTGCTGGATTCGACTGGACTGATCGTGATCGCGCCCAACTCCCTAGCCAGCTCGCCGGTGAGTCCGCTCCCGTTGGGCGCCTCGCTCTCGCCCTCGCTGCACTCCATGAACGCTGCCGCCGCGAATGTCTCCCAGCAAATGATGACCTCCGGCATGGGTCCCGGACCGGCCAACGCGAATCCCCCCGCCTCGACCACCACCATCTCCGCCTCCGCAAGCTCCGCCGACTCCACGATGGCCGGTCAGAGCGGGGTCTCAGGAGAGAACGAAGGCGTCAACAACAGGGACGACACCAACAAGTAAGTCCTTTACTCTCACAGGTCAAAAGACGGGTGTACTCAACCTCCAGTTCAGTTATTACACTGGCTAGAAGCGTGGGAAGGAAAGGTGTTCTGGGCGTGGGTATGGTGGCTAATAAAAAAACAAATGGGAATGGAGCGATAAATTGGAATTCCCATTCTGAAAATAATTATTTATTCCATTATGCTACGCAACTTACCACTGTTTTCTCCAAAATTGGTAGACTTCAATTAGAAAATGGGCCTAATTCTTTTTTCGGGGGCCAAAACCGGCACCGGGCAACGGATTGCGAATTTCGGAAGAAAGGCCGAATGTTCCGAAAAAAGTAAAAGTAATTGTTTGGCCAAGGCTCACTTTTCATTTCTCGAAGGGAGGGGGGATGAGCCATTAAGTACGCTTGGGGGAAGGCAGACCAGCCGAGGCTTGACTCTAATCACCTGCGCAAAGTAAATGAAGGCCGGACTAGGTCCGCCGTGTTCCGTATTCGGTGCCTCATTGCCCCAGCGCCCTTCCTTTCCGTCCTCTCGCCCGCAGCAGACGGCCTTCTTCGACTACAGGCTTCACAGTGCAGAAGAAAAAGGAGAAGAAAAAGAAAGGAAAGGAGAGTCTTGGCTTTGCACTTATCCGCCAACTCCTTCAACGTTTACTGCCTCCCGAAAGAAACAGAATCTACCTTCCACATCTTCATTTGCGGCCGTCACGAGTCGGCTTCATTCATCTGTTGGGCCTCATCATTCGACTACTCGTCTGTCAACAACCCATCCTGTTTCCATTTCTGAGGTTCCCACTGTATTGGTGGTTCCTGGATCTATTTTATTCGTCGATCCCTTCTTCTAATTATTTTATATTCTTAGACGGCCAATTCTTAATACCGGACTGATTGGATCAGTCCCTTTTGCAGAGCAACGTGGCATCTGATGAAGATCATCTCCCGGCAGCCCAGTCTTTGCCGGACCGGACTGCCTCGCTCTCCGAGGCGACCCGCCCACACCCTTGTGCTCTTCTGGATCAGCCTCGAATAGTCTCCAGCAAACAAATCCATCATCGGAATGTTCTCTGCCATCGTCGATCTCTGCCTTTGGCAACCAGCCAAAGTCCCGCCTTAATCCATTTAATTCAGTTAGAAAGACGACAGCCAGTGGCTTTGGTCGCGGCCCAATCATCTGCCCAAATAGCCTATGCCCCGCTTCTCCAGAGTAAATGCATCTGTTGTGGGTTGAGTACAGCCAGTTCGGAGTGTGCGTTGAATGACTTGGTCGATTTCTCGGCCAGTCGTCATGAGTTGCACGCCTTTTCTATCGGGGGGTTAAAACAATTCCATTGTCGATTACATTGCAGTGAATGGCAACCTCCTTTCCCTTTGCTATGTGCCTACCATGACTGTCATTCGCTAGCAGCCGGTTGGGGGCTAGGCCCGCCCACAACTTCATTAGAGGCGGCTAAGCCCACTGGCGCATCTCAGGCTCAATCCCCATCAGAAGATGACCCTGGAGATGGGAAGGCCAACGAACTACTGGCCAGTTGTCCTGCCTTTAGGTAAGTGTTGTACCCCATAATTAATGAATGCCTTTACTGTTACGCAAGAGTAATATTTTTTTCTTAGAAATGAATTGGGAACGGAGCCAGTTCGTCGATTGGCCCTTTCTCGACCAAGTGCCGCTCAGATGTACCCGGTTAAGAGTGATGATCCTCTCAGATCACCTCACGAGACTTGGCAACGAGAGCATACAGCAGCCGAAGCCGGGGTCCTCGAAGACGTGTCTAACGTTTATCTCGGTGGGAGATTGTGTGCCGCTCGTCAACCTAAGGTTGTGATCGAGCCCCAGGACATCGGCTCCTACTATTTTCGGCATTGTTTTGCTGGTAGACGTATGTTCCGTCGTAAACTTTAAATGCCTCTTTGTTTTAGCACACATTGATTATTTTGGAACCGACGAACAACTTGGGCCAATGGCCATTTCCATGGTCAAGGAGACCACCGAGCGGAAAGAGCCGGGGAAGACGGGTATTATCTCCAACACTCTCTACAGACTCATCATTCGAATCAGTGATGTGAGTGATCTCTTCTATCAGTTCCTATTTCTTTCTTATTTTTTGTTTTAGATGATGACAATGAGAGTAGCGGTTCCAGAAGAAGCATTAGCAGATTCGTCTCAGGATAAATCAACTAGGAGTCTGATGCGAGAGCTTCTTGAATTAGTTTGCCCTCAGGTTCACTTTGGCAGTCTGCGCCCAGCGCTTCCCACTCAGAAGGTGGAAGATCTTCTCCTAAAGATAGATGAACAACCTATTTATACCAGATACAAAGTCGGGGTACTTTACTGTAAGGCGGGTCAATCTACAGAAGAACAGATGTACAATAACGGTAAGTAATGTTATCGTACTTTTTTGTAAACGGTTTTTAGAAACCTCATCTCCGGCATTCGAAGAATTCCTGGACTTTCTCGGGCAAAGAGTTCGTCTAAAGGGATTCGAGAGCTATAAAGGAGGTCTGGACACTCGAGGGGACACCACCGGAGAGCACAGTATCTACACAGAATATCACTCTCATGAAGTCATGTTCCATGTTTCCACAATGCTGCCCTTCACTACAAACAACAGACAACAGGTAAGAGTCTCATAAATGTGATGGATGGCCCTTTTTCTCAGTTATCTCGCAAACGCCATATCGGAAACGACATGGTAACCATCATCTTCCAAGAGCCTGGAGCTCTGCCCTTCTCCCCGATTACAGTACGATCCCATTTCCAACATGTATTTATTATCGTCCGGGTCAACAATCCATGCACGGACAACGTCAGCTACGGAGTTGCCGTGGCCCGAGCCAAAGATGTCCCGGCGTTTGGCCCACCAATTTACAGAGGAGCCACGTATCAGAAATGCGCTGAATTCCATGACTTTTTGCTGACTAAAAGTAAGTTTTTAATCAAGCGTTTGTTTCGTTATGGTAGTAGTCGCGGAAAAAGTCCTGGGAATTTCTCGCTCCCCCCAAATTCCGAAACACTCCGAAAGTTGATTTGTCGCGGGAATTGCGCGCGACAATAAGGCAAAATCAACAAAATTGCAAAAGTACTTTTCGGGTTCATGCACAGTGCAGAGTCGCAGAAAATTCCCTGGACTTTTTTCCGCGACTAGTATTACTTTTAATTACTCTTTGTTGTTTAGTCATCAACGCCGAGAATGCAGTCCATCGTTCGTCAAAGTTCGCGGCCATGGCTGCCCGAACAAGGAGAGAGGCCCTCAAAGATCTGGCCGAGAACTATGTCACAGCTCATCCTAATGAAGGTCCTTCACGGATAGCCAGTAAGTGCCCGTGTCAAATTTTTACATTTCCTGTTCTTCCAGGTCGTTTTCTGGGCGGATCGGTCAAAAGGAAAGAAAGGCCCCAGCCCAAGCCAGTCCTCGGCCCCAATGTGAGGGGTGCCCTATCCTGGTTGGTCGATGTTCATGATCATTCTTTCAATCAACGAATCAGCTGTGTTCTGGGGCTTTCGGCAGAGAGTCTGGTCCTTCTGGAGATACCCTCAGGCGCTGTTCTTTTTGCCACCCCAACCCATGCCATCCTTGGATGGGTAAATACAGATGTAGGGCTTAAGATATATTATGATCACGGTGATATGTTGCTGATGCGATGTTGTACTACCGAAGGAAATGATCGAGAGTTACATGCGCTACTGAAGCGATTAGCAGCAGTCACGAATGGAGAAGAGGCCAAAGAAGTTATGCTGAGGAAGCCGCGACCAACTGATCCCTTCGGCTTTCATCTCCAAGAAGAAGGAGTCGTCACTGATGTCGAGATGTATCAGACAGCCTGGAAAGGAGGCCTGAGACAGGGGTCGAGGATAGTGGAGATGGAAGGGATCGCGGTCGTTACCCTGAGTCACGATCAGATGACATCTATGTCCGAAGAGAGAATGCAATTGAGGTTAATGATGATCGCCCCAACTGCTGATGGAAACCCTCGAAGGGGATGTGAAGATCCGAATTGCCCAGCCATCAAAGGCCAAGAAGTCCAAATCTTGACACCAGACACGTTCGCGAAACAACCGCTAACGTAAGAGTACTGCTCAGAGGTTATCAAAAATCTAATTTAGATACCAAGAAATGTTCAAGATCAGGAATAAGGAATTGTCATCATCTCCTCACAACAGTCCTTCAAACAGCTTTGATGAGCGATTTAGTTTTAACACCAAGATAAACGTATGTAACATTATTCTAAATTAAGGAGGTTTTAGAAGGAGGGCATCCAATCTCCTGTGGACACCACAAAAGAAGCCAAGTATTCAAAGAAGATCTCGTAAGTTTTCTGAGTCTGTTACGTCTATGTTATATTTGTTTGAATGTAACTGTTAACTAACGGTTACCTTTTAGAACTGTTTCTATGGCCTCAAAAAATCTCAAATCGGTTTCCCTGACCAATCAGAATAGCGAGGGTGACAAGGAAGACTGGTTGTCCCAGCTGGATGAGATCGAAGCGGGCCCATTTCAGGATGACGCTAGCAAATTTCAATGGCACCTGGAACGAATCATCAAGGAAAAGAAAGACGTGGAACAACAGATGGCACAACTCAGGTCACAATTAACTGCTGTAAGTTCTAAATAAAACAATTCCTTCAATTTTAAGCATCAAATAGGTAATTTATCTTTTTTAGGAACGCCGTGCTCACGAAAATACCCGAAAACAATTGGAAATGGTGCAAAAATACTGTCAGAAGCTATCGAGCCAGCCGGAAGGAGACGAAGTCCTCTAAAGAGCTTTCCTCATCTGTCTATATATCCTATTTCTCTTGTACATGTACAACATATCTTCTTCATCCAAAGACCACTTCCCATTTCAGATTATTTTATCCCTTTCCCTTCAAGGAATGTCTACAGCCATCAGACTTCTCGGTTTGTTTATACGATACTTGTCAAAAGACTAAATAAATTATGAATGTCATCAACTAAATGAATGACAGATTAATGTAAAAAGTTATAATTGGTAAGATCAGCAAAAATCCCAATAATCGTGTTCTTACACCTGTATGAATATATGGATATCACGTTTTCTTGAAACCGTACTTCTTCCGTTCGTAGAACAGATCTGTTTTTGCCGACCCCAGGTTAACGATCTTCGGACATCCATCCCGATCCTTCTCCATTAATGTGCATTCCTTACAATAATAAGCGTCACTTACACCATGACCTCCACAGATTAAACACCGACCCTAAAAAAACTGCATTATTATTACAGCTTAATAACACTTCCTCCAATCCTATCCACTCTTCTCGCATACCTGATACGATCCGTAGTTGCATTCATCGCAGATTCTGACTAATGTGGCCGGTCTGACATATGAATCGCAAATCACACATCTTCCGTCGCCTATAACAAGAATGCCAAACATATGAATAACCTTGGAAATGTTTCTAAACGCTTAGAATAATATTAAAAACCTTACACTTGTCACATAATCTTCCAATAGCAACACCAGGTTGCTTTCTGCAGAAAATAAGATCTGGATGATGTTTAGCCATGGAAAGTATAAAACAACAACACGCAAATTTGCCCGCGCGCACACCAATTTATTTTCTTCTACAAAAAATCCAAAAAAAATTCGTGTCAAGTCTCTCTCTGGCTAGTTGCGTCAACTGTCCCCCTTTTGGTCTTTTTCGAGCTGCGCCCTACCATTTTCAGCTAACGTTCGGCAAACTTTCAGTTAGCTAACAACTGTAGTTAACTCACGGCGGTTTCAACAAATGGAAAAAGTTTCCTTCGTTTGGTCAGGTTTTTGAAGCCTGGCGGCAGCTCGCGGAGCGGAAAATGGTGATTTTACGACCTTTTTAGTCATAACTTTGTTGGTAAGGGTCGGATTAAAAATCGACCAGAGATTAAGAAAGAGCATTACTTTACTGATATAATGGCATAAAGATTTCGAAAATTAGTTCGATTTAGAGGTATGTTGTTTAAAGCCGAAAAAACCGTATTTTACAACTGGTATAACATGCGTATACGGGGAAATTTGGAAAAACTGATGGCCTAGTTACAGAGCTAAGCTCCTGACAAAACGAACAACACCTTAAATGTAAAAAACGGTGGGATATCCGAGGAGTTATTGTCTTTTGAAAAACACCAAAAAATGAGAGAAAAAAAACGTTTGAAAAATGTCACTAAAACTACAGTATCTTTTTAATGAAACCTTTAATCAAAAATCGACCAGAGATTTAGAAACTAGGTGGAAAAGCGATTGTTTATACATAAAAAAGTTGGATCATCGACTCCGATTTTAAACCATTGTTTAAGACGAAAGATACGGTAATTATGACGTCGGCGGAGAGAAATCGCAGTAAAATCGTAGGAATTGTTGACAACCACAAAATTTTTCATAAAATAAAGTTCATACGATAACGCTTTTGACGTTATTAATTGTATTTAAGCTGTGGATTACCTTTTTCTTGTTTTATGTTACACTTGAGACAGCTGAACTAACTCAACATGGTTTGTATAGGACTCTCTAGAATATGCAGTAATATGAATTCTAAAAATTTTATTTGAATTGTAAGACTATGAGGTTACAGTAGGCATGCCATAAATGAGTTCTCAAGCCCTCTTCTTCCACTTAAAAACATTGTACACTAGAAAACGTTGCGCAAATGTGCTATAACTGTGTCTCCTTGTAATGTCCGACATTCGGGAGGGTAAGTACTTCTATTTTAAACGATCTCAATTTTAAATGAGGTATTTTCAAGCAACAAAGTTGCGATAGAGAACAAACATTTGGAAACAAAACCTCAATATTGCGCATGTGTTTTATAATTGAAATGGTCCATAACTTTGTGATTATGCCAAATTTCTTTAGTACCTTCATTATCTTGAAGAAGAGCGATCGCCGTGAAAAAACGTTCCCATAAACGGAATTCACACAGGCAAAATGTTTGCACCCGTCAGGTAGCTGTAAAGCTCTCCTTAATAATGAAGATGAAGTGTAACTTCCAGGCAATCTTATTACGGACTATCTTAGCTGAGTATGTTCTTTGATCTTTTTCAGTCTAGTAGAATAGGAACTTCGACATGCTTTTTATAAGCGGTGAAATATCGCGAACGTAATTATGGAATCCGAAGATTATGACCATCACGGTTGAACCCATACCTCCTATTTTTATTTAATTCGATATAATTATAAATAGTTCACCGATTTAGACCCGTTTATATACCTGTTACTCGCAAATAAATTGGTTTTTCTTTGTTTTGCACTGTAACTCGAAAAACTTATATCGTATAACTTGGGCCCGCAATTTGCGCGCGTTTCATTCCTTTCTTTTCGAAAACTTTTTTTCGCCCATTCGAAGGGTTGCTTTGAAACCGCCGTGAGTTAGCATCCTTTATTGTCATTTGCTGGTTAATATGTACAAAAGAGTTACTTGCTGTAAGATTTCTATTTTTTCACGCCATTATGCTCAATTTAATCCTCGAAACGCGGATAGGGTAAGTAAACTCTGCAATTTTTTTCTATTATTTAGTTCGGACTCTTGGTAAAGCGGATTCCTCATGTTGAGAGAATGAAATCTGTGGACAGAAACAAAAAAAACGGGAAAATTATTGAAGATACGGCTAGTTTTCTAGGTTTTAAGGATAAGGATCATATCGCAGACATAAGTACACCTATTTCTAAAAAATTCCAATCTAAAATGGACAAGGAGAAGAGTCGTTCCGAGTTTTATCGTATGCAAGGTGGAGATTTTTTTGGGCGGAAAGTAGTCCTAGAATGTTCAAAGCCAGAGTTTAACCATTACGAAGGGATGAGATATCATCGAGGAAGGGATACAATCCCTTTGTTTAGTCAACATTGGGCTAACTGTAAGCATAACAATGATTGGTTCAAGGTGTATCGGACTGAAAAAGTAAGATGATACGAAGTTGAAAATTATTTATAGTTTAATTCTTCATTAATTAGTTATGGCGACCGAACTTGGTCAAGGTTTATATCGTTGATCCACCCGAAAGTATTTCGTCCTCTCGTGAGACTATTCAAAGCTCCCACTAAAGTTCAAGTAAGTTTTTTTTCTGCAGGTTGACCTTTTTAGTACGAATTTCTCCGTGAATTTCCTTTGTCGGATCACTTGTTCCTCGCCGGGGAAACCGGATCGGGGAAAACTTATGCGTATGCCCTAATATTGATTTCCAGGATCATGCAATCCAAGGAAAACGGGATTAAAGAGAAAGGTAAGCAGCGTTTATTGCTATATTTTTATTTTTTAGCCATTATTATTGTTCCATCTCTTCTATTGAGAGATCAGACCTTAGAAAAATTAAATGAATTGAATTCGGAGCTTGGCCTCAAAATAAAGGCATCAAAAAAAGAAGAGTTTATCCGCGATCCGAATGACTTTGATATCTTAATCGCTACCCCTGGAGGTGCGGTGAGAACATTAAAAGGGCTTGATGAAGATGTCCAGATACCCTATGTGGTCATGGATGAGGCCGACAATCTTCTGGATGAGAGTTTTGTTTCCGAGATCACAGAATTCCTGCATCGGGTGCCGATAAAATATTCCCATATGAATCCCAATAAAAAAGGTAATGTTTGATCAACGTGTACCAACAAGTGTAATATTTCAGAAGGAGCTAGATTAATATTTACTTCGGCAACGTGTCCAGACGATCTCCAAGATCTCGCCGAGGGTATTGTTGATGCCCCTAGAATTCGGTATCTTCTGAGTCCAAATCTCCACAGAATCCCGCCAAATATTACTCAAACATTTATTCGGGTCAGAGAAATGGACAAAATAAAAAAATTGGTGGAATTACTGCGAAAAGAGCCCGAAAATGCGAAGAGTTTGATCTTTTGCAAGGTAAGACGACATTGGAAGTATGAATTATTTGAATTTAGAACAATGATACAGTGAAATGGGTATCAGGGGAACTTTTGAAAAATGGGTTTGAGAATTTGAAATTGACCTCGGGGGAAGAGAATGTCATGGAGAAGATCCCCGCATTCAAATTCTTTGTCGCCACGGATTTGGCTAGCCGGTACGTTTGTGATCTTTAGAATCTTAAGTAAAAAATTCATTTTTATCAACGAAAATTATATAAGTTTAGAGGTCTGGATATGCGCGGCCTCAGTCATGTCATCAATTACAATTTTCCCAAACATCTTGTAGATTATTTACATCGAATAGGGAGAGTTGGACGATGTAATAGCTCGAGGTTAAGTCAGAAGGTGACTTCTTTCGTCCGCGAGGCCCATGAAGTAAACCACGTAAACAGAATCGAGGTGAGTCACAAGAATTTAAAGATAAGTTTATTGGGTGTGGGGTGATCGTAAATTCTAAAGTATTCCGAGGTGGTCATTTCCTAGGATTCCGCGGAATGCAAGAATCCCGATCAGATAAAGTACAAGGTATAATATAAAGTAATAAGAACATTTTTAATGACATAACTTTCAGATGACCTTAAGACTCAATCGGGTACTCAGCGGGATTGAGACGGATGTTGCCGGTCAGCTAATGGACAGGAAATAAAATGAAGAAATTGTTGGAATGTGGAATCTGTCTCTCTGCCGTCTCCTCCGCGCAATCGCTTTCTTGGACGACATGCTGACCTGATAAGGGTCGTTTCCTTCTCCTTTCCCGTGCATTCCGATCTCTTATCAGCTCCCACCAACAATGTTTTGTCTCTGTTGGAGAGAAAGAAATAAGGAATTTTTTTGTCGCGGAGAGAAATACCTTGCAAAGAAGTCGGGGGGCTCGCGAGAGGAATTCGGGTGAGAGAAACCCTTCCATCTCGTTTGGAGGTATCCTTTTTATATTTATTTTTACCTTTTACGGCATTGTTTGGCCGGTTCTTCTCTCCCATCTCACCTCTCGACCTGACTCAGGGCCTTTCCCTTCATCTGACGTTATCCTTTTCTTTTCTTGACGTCTCACCTTAAAAATAAAATTAGAGTTGTTTATTTTATTTGTTTCGAAATGTTGACTGACCTTTTTCATCGATGGATAAACCTTGTTGAAGATGCTTGAAGGCCCTGGCTGTAGCTGCGAGATCTCGGAGAGTTTGTTTCAAACCCCTCTCTCTATTAACACGACTCTCGCGCAACTTGTTTGATCGATTCGGTCTCATATTTAAACTCACCTCAACGTGCACTGATTCCTGGCGGTCATCTGACATTCGTAAACAAAGTGCTGTCTTATCTTGTCGTATCAGCAGGTAATGTGTCCTAAGGAAACATCATTTCTGAAAACGGTGTTGTGGAATTTACACAAAATTCTGAACACTGATAAGATACTGAAGATTTAAGTTCGTAACGGTCGTTTTTTCCCAGTCTGCTGGCGATTCCAATGCAACGTCAAGGACGCGCTATCTCGCCCTTTACACAAAACCGCAATCAATTCACAACTTTTTTTTGGGTTCTTTTCGGAAGGGAAGGAATATGAAGTCTGGATGGGAACTTACCATTTGTTTTGATGACGTCATTGGAAAAGGACCTTATTTATATTGCACCTGATGGCCTCGACCTTGTTGTTTTAATCCCATCACGGCCCTTTTATGGCGCCGTTTTATGCAAATTCCTGTCATTCCTCGAATGTTTGTCGCATTCTAGATCTTAATCGTCGTATTTCCGGCGAACAGAAGTGGATGTTTGCTTTTATCCCGAGTATCATTCCACGTGAATCTGATCCTTTTTGTCGATGTATTCCGCGACTCCGCTCCGGCTGCCTCGCTCTCGCTTCTCTCAACGAATATCAACACATTATTTCTCAAATGACTCACATTCTCGTCTTTTCTCTGCCTTTCTTGTCAAGAATTTTGTCAAATTCGGAGGGAAAACATTCGGGTAAAACATTCCTCTGCCTATGATCTCATTATTCATTCTGTTACAGTACCATGGGAATTGTCATCCTTGCCTCGATTTCACGGTTCTTCATTGCCGAGTAGCTTATCATTTATAAAATTTTTAAAACTGTGGTCGTTGTACTTATTTCCCAACTCTCGGAATGTGTGATATTAAATGTATCGATATTCGAGAGTGATTTAAACATTTCACGCGTGCTAATCATCAACTTTAAACGTGTTTTTGTGGGCGAATTCCATTTTAAATTGCAAATATTTGAAGGGGTTTCGCTTTTTTTTCTCCCATCGGAGAAAGAGAAGCTCGACGAGATGAGTAGCATGATCAAGATGCCGCTCAAGCTTCGGCTAGGCAAGAAGAGCGGCCGCTACGACCTCAGTCAGGACATCTATGTCCTCTCCATATTTGTGGGAGATGTCCTTCTAGTACAGTGTACTCTGACCTCCGATTCCACAGCCCAACAATGCATGGAATATCTGATGGAGAAGATTGATTTGACGCAGGTTAAGTTCTTTGCCCTCAGATACCAAATGAAATGCAATGATCCGGACCGACGGATGATGAGATGGGTCGAGATGGACAAATCCCTTAGAAAACAGTTGGAGAAATGGGCCTGTAAGCCGAGACAAGTCCAGCTGGCCATTCTGTTTCACACCCCCAATGTCTTCGCTTTGAGCGACCCTACTGCCAGGTAAATCAGTGAAACTTATAAGCAATTGCTTAAAGATTAAAATTAACCTTTTTCTCACAGATCTCTTTATTATAACCTCCTCAAACTCGATGTTATCCATGGTAAATTTGTGATGGATGTGGACAAATACATAAATCTTGCTGCCTATTCGATGCAAGTGGAATATGGCGATTACAACGGTGATAGTCACACGATGGAATTCCTCAGGTCTCTTCCTCTGTTACCTCAGGTACTTAAGTCATCATTTTGCGCAATTTTTTTGCCAAATTACGTAATTTTACGTGTAAAGAGTACTTTTTCAGCATTTTTTCCGTAATTCTCAATTGGTTGATGAGTTCTTAGTCAGGATATTAACAGTGTATGAGAGGTTGAACGGAATGCAGCCTTCATATGCGGCCTTTCTTTATATCGTTGATGCCCAGCAATGCGAGGGTTACGGAGAGGAATTCTTTACGGCCAAGGATGACGAGAGTACGGAAGTTCAAGTGGGATATTCTCCTGACGGGCTGATTGTGAAGAGATGCCATTCAAATAACCTAAAATATAGATGGCAAGACATCAAAGATATCTGCAATGTAAAGAGGACTCTGCATGTAAAGTGCAAAGTTGATGCAACCAATGCCCAATTCACGATGGTAAGTCGTCCTTTCTTTAAATTATCTGGCTTTAGGAGGATCAAGAAGTGGCCAGATATGTTGTCCAAGTCCTTACTTGGCAATGGCAATATGCTTTGACTGATGCCATACAACACAAAGCTGTTCCCATGAGTATTAATAATCTCCAAGGGGCTATCAGAACATTCGGAAGTCAACCAGCGCCTCGGATCAACACATCGGACCTGACCCCCAGCAATGCGCACAGTCTGGACCTTACAGTATCCCAGACCTCTTCTTATTGCCCATCCCAACCATCATCTTCAAGTTCCATCAATCGATTTACCCCCTTTATCAGTCGAAATCAGACCTCGGGACTTCATCCTGTTCAATCATTCCAACATCATGTCAATTCAGGTGTTATGAATGTGAATAGAAATAGAGCCGCCACCTCAGCTTCCACCCAGCATCTTCCAACGCTGGTATCGACCCCATCTCTTACACATCAGAGCTCTCTGTTTGTGACTCAAGGGCAATATAACAAGCAATCGAATGTGTATCGGCCATCCAGTTCGAGGGCGGATAAAGAGAATCTGAATACTCCGCAATTTGACTCCCGATTAGCTGAAAGGCATATTCTGAAAGAGATGGTGAATCAACAACAAATCCAACAAAAGGTAGGGAGGGTACTGAATAATCATCCTGGCTTTAGACTATGGGATCTAGTCCGGAAATCCACACCATGGGGACAAATAATCTCAGGAACTACGGTAATTCCCATTTAATGAGAAGGGCACAGTCCAACGCCCGAGGGTTTCAGACCAATAATCAGAGATCGAACAATTTTTCGGATGAAAAAGTAAGAAATAAAGCGTTTTTCTGATTTTATATTTATAGTTCACTGCTCCAGGGCATACGTTAAGTACCCCGGATCTGGCCTTGAAGTGGATGTCGAGCCCAGATCTTATCTCGAGTGCAGTTGCCAACCAATTGGCAGCCATCAGACAACAACAAAATGGATCTCGGGCCCCAGTCATGAACGTGGTGTCCGAGCCTCCCCATGCCTCTTCAACATCCAGTGGATCTTCTTCCGGGCGCAGAATTAGAGGTCCTCCAGGCACTCCCCGTTTCTCCCAAGGCCATGTTATCTCCGGAACACGTCCTCCCGGCCAACCCATTACCTATCCCATCCCGGTTTTAGATCAGTCTGGTACTGCTTTGGAACCTCCAACTTACACTCAGGCCGTCTGTCAGAAACCAGTCCACTCTCCTCACATGTTCTACAACCCGAGTAGTTTGCCTCAAAGTTCTATTGCGTCTTCGTCCTCGGCTGATTCATACGTCCGACAGTTGAATGGAGAAGAAAGTGAGGGCTCGGAGCCCGAAGCGAGTGTCAACATGGTAAGTGACGAAGCGCGATCATGAGCAGTTCCCCGCACTAATCCGGGCTTGCTTGTATTGTACTTGCAGAGAGAGAGATTTACATAGAATTATGAAAAACGCCGGAGGGGAAAGGTCTATTTTATTCCTTTCAAGTACTCATTATATCATAGAGAGATCAATCTCATGTTGTTTCGATGATATTGCTGAACACCTTCAAATTTAGATGGACACTTTTATGAGATTTTCTAGTTGATGTCTTCTTTATTTTTTCTCAACTTCTGAAATTCCAAAGTTTTGATAATACATAGACGTGATAGATATGACATGATACTTCCTTCCCCTTCTATTGTGTTCCCTGAATGCCGCTCTCCCGATTGATTCGTGTCACCATTCCTTTGATTCCGTCGCTCCGATTGTGACGCCCAGTGTGATATATATAATAAATATAATTTCATGTCTTTTGAAGTGGCATTGACAACTGTTTTAATTTCAGGATCGGAGCTTCAGAAGTCCCTCTCCGCCGTCCTCTGAATCCAAAATGAGACACGTTCTTCTGAATGGAGTGGCCAGGACTGGATCTTTGGCCACTCAAAACATACATTTAGTTGATAGCTCTAATGATGACACGGTAAGTTCGAGGACAATAACTAAGACCGTTTCAGCTCCGATCTCTCCGCGATAAATTGGAAACCCCTCAGGGCATAGATGCAGAGTTTGCGGCGATTCCTTGGAAAAGATTAAGTGCAGGAGTTTCAACCAGTCAACATCCAGAAAACCAACCGAGAAACCGACCAGGAAATGTGTTCCCATATGAAGATACAAGGGTGATGTTAACACCCACAAAACACAACACTGATGGCTATATCAACGCCTCTAATGTTCATCTTCCCATCGGCGATTACACAGCCAGATACATTGTTTGCCAGGCTCCTATGAAATCAACCACCAATGATTTCTGGCAGATGATCTGGGAGTCTGGAGCCAGACTCATCGTAATGTTGGTGAATCCGAATCAAGTGGCCAAGACTGACTCGATCCCTCCGTATTGGCCCACGAAGGCTAAGGAGAAGATGGCTTTGAATGATTATTTTGTGAAGATGGTCAGTTCCACCACCACTACATTCCAAACAACCTCAGTGTTCTCGTTGAAATGTATGAGGACAGGTGAGCGGCGGACCATCTATCATCTTTATTGTGCCGACTTTGCTGTAGATGGGGTTCCGTCTTCAGAATCCTCATTCCTCGCTTTCATCGATGCCGTAAGCAGTCTGAAACGGCAGATTGAGAACGAAAGAGCGGCCGAAACAGACTCTGGAGTCTTCTCTATACTTCAAGGGAAACAAGGGGACAGGAGGTCGAGTAGGGTAAGACATACGCAAAGTTATATAGCTTTAACAATAAGATAAATCTAAATTATTCTAGGTACCTTTCCAAAAATAAACTTCATTGTTTCAGACAAACCTCACTGATGTCACGAACAGAAAACGATCCCAGTCGGCAGATGGCGGAGGCTGGCGACGGAAACTGCGGCTAGCCACCTTGTCCACCCACACTCCGCCCACCTCGAAACGGGCTTCCCACAACTCTTCCCAGATATCGGATAATTCGGTGGTTTCTGAAGTCTCCCAACCGCCAGAACAGAATCTCGAGCCTCCCACTGTGGTCCACTGTACAGATGGAGCTTCGGAATCGGGTGTTTATTTGCTTGTCGAGAGCTTAATCCAATGTACCGAGCATAATTTGGTATGTATGGGAAGAGCTATATAAAATTGTTTCTCTTTGTTTAGACTGTTGACGTTCCTAATACGTTAAAGGCTCTTCGACAACAACGAATGTATTTGGTGAAGAATGTGAACCAATATCGATTTGCATATTCCATTTTGACCAATTATTTGGAGCAATCTCGGCTGATTTAGGAGTTATTTGCATATTGTAAATATTTGATTGTTGAGCGCATAAATAGTTGAATGTTTTCTTGGAAACATTTTTGAATTCCGTTGCACGGCATTCTGTACTTTTGGGACACAACCGGTCTCCGCGACTTTTTCAATTTTTTTCGAAGTGCGCTTGCTTTTTATCTCCATATCTCGCTAGCCGTTGGCGCTAGAAGGCTGAAATTTGGTATGGCAGTAGAGTAAAAAGCTGGCTTTCAGAAAATATAAATATTGTAAGGAACCCCGCAGGATAAACTTCCCGATGACAATCGAAAAAATTTCATTTCTAAAACTTCTGCAACCCAGAAGTGCAGGTTGCATGATCGTATTGACAAATTTCTTTTTGCCGATGTGTTTCAAATTCGATTCTCTACAAGATGGCCAAATTTCATCCTATTCGTTACGCTTCGGGCTGAGTTATGATTACAATCACAGTGCTTTTTTTGGTAATTTAAGGATAATTCGGCCCTTAGGGCATCTACAAACCAGAAGAAATTTGTCAATACGATCATGCAACCTGCACTTCTGGGTTGCAGAAGTTTTAGAAATGAAATTTTTCCGATTGTCATCGGGAAGTTTATCCTGCGGGGTTCCTTACAATATTTATATTTTCTGAAAGCCAGCTTTTTACTCTACTGCCATACCAAATTTCAGCCTTCTAGCGCCAACGGCTAGCGAGATATGGAGATAAAAAGCAAGCGCACTTCGAAAAAAATTGAAAAAGTCGCGGAGACCGGTTGTGTCCCAAAAGTACAGAATGCCGTGCGTTGGCATAAGCCCTCGCTCAAAATCATCAAAATAATCCAATTGCGTAACAGTTTGGGCGAATTGCCACGGAATTAATAGTGGCATTTCGTTACAAATAAAAAACAAAAAACTTGTTTACAATCAAAAGGAAAGAGTGTTTCGTGTGAATTAGTTTTGTTTCAATCGAAGGTCAAAGTCTTTGCTGAATGATGCTAGGATTTATTGGTACAGGAGCGGTCGCCGCAGCATTTGGTGCCGTGTTTTACGCAAATCTTCCAACAAAATACACTTTGGGACATGTTGTGCCCACTGTGAAATACCTGGCCGAGGGAAATCTGCGATTAGTCCAGAAGGGAACGGATATTTTGACTGCCGAACCCATAAAAGTAAGTTTTTAATGCCTAGTATAATATAATTTATTTGTAAATTTTATGTTTGAGGGGTTAATAATGGATTGTTCATCTAAATTTAGAATTCTTCACTGTTATAATGCAATAACAATCTTTTTTGCAGGCCTCAGAGCTCTTTGAGAAGGGTCCAACTTTGCTGGCGGTGATCCGAAGACCCGGGTGTAAATTGTGCCGTAACGAAGCGCAACAACTGAGTAACCTGAAGGACAAATTGGATAAGAAAGGTGTTCAACTGATCGGCGTTGTTCATGAGGTCAAAGGTGTCGAGGAGTTCCAGCCTTATCTCAAGGGACCCGTTTATTTCGATCAGGATGTAAGGTTATATTATCATTGATTTTCAGGTACCTAATTTGTTTGTCATTTCGTTTTTTTCTAGAAACACTTTTATGGTCCCAATCAACGTTGGTTACCGATTTGGATGGGTTTTCTTCGAGTGGGAACATACGTAAATGTATACAAAACTCGACATGTGAAGGGGAATTTGGAAGGAGAAGGTCGCTTGCTGGGCGGTGTGTACTTGATAAAGGATGGAGAGATGGTATTCGCTCATCTGGAGAAAGAATGGGGAGATGCAGCCGACCCCAAAGAGATCGAAAAGGCCATCGACCGCCTTTAAGTTTATATTGTATTAGAGTCAAAAATATTTTTTAATATCGCCTTGCAACCTCTCAAATATCAACGTGTATTCTTATACTAAGTTAGCGAAGTGTACAGAATATAAAGTCTATTTCGAACATGAGTTAGAATTTTTATTTAAATTACCCGAAAGTTGAGGGTTACGAAATAAGATTAGACGAGATGAGACAAGAGTAACGATATATGGCAAGATGAACGAGTACATTCTAATGAAAAAATCTAGACCGTTTCTGTTGGGGGAGGGGACTTGAAAGCATGTCGATTATCACGGGGATCTTTAATCGATTGACGGTTGCACCTAGAACAACTAAAAGAATAAAGTAAAGACGGATTACTTTCTAAAAAGGATAGAGAGTTTTATTACCGGAGTTCGGGTAGACAAGGCACTTCGAAGAGGAAAGATCGTGTCTCAAAGAAGGAGACAAACTTGGTGAGCAGTAAAAAATAATTCCTGAAGAGTTAAGGCAAGTAAGAAGGTAAAACAAGGAAAGAATCTAGGGATGTTTAATGTCGGACTAGACTTTAACAGACTTGGATCGGATCCTGGACTCCATTGTGTTCATTTTCGTCTTTTTTTGGACGTTTGGCTAGCGGTTCTTCTGGTCCAGCCTTCTCTTTCTCAGGGGTCAAAACTAAGGTCGCATCAGTTGCTCGACGTGGTTGAGCACACTTCCGCCTTGATGTTGGGTTTGTTAGTGCTGGACTGGGACTGCTTGAAGAGGCTGGACTAGTCTGGCCAGAAGGGGCTGAACTGGAGACTGGTTTCTCTGGTTGTGAAGACCCTTCTACTGTGAATGGAGATGATTTTCTGACCATGCTGATGGAAGCGTTATGACCGTTCGCAGCGTTGGCTGTTGCGATGACCGGAGGTGCGATTCGAGGGACCCTGTCCTTGTTTCGATCCATGAATCGAGTCACCCATCCCATGGTGATGTTGATCTCCTTATCCACATCATCGGCTTCAGCATTCTTCGCGATGCTTGGCCACAGCTCGCGGGCTTTGTCTCTGATAGAATACCAATCCAAATCAGCGCTTTTGTCGATGAATTCAACCTGAAGTAAGAGAATTGACATCTTAGTTTGCAATCTATTATCCGACTCGGCACTCTCTGTTCTTTTGTTGTGATTTGCGACCTTTTATTTGGATTTATGGCCGATTCTAATTAAATCGCGCAGAAAGAGGCATCGATCTGGTCACAATTCGTTTAAAGTAAGACAAAGCGGGGGAGATCCGAGAGTGCTGGGAATTGATCGAGGCGGCGATAGCAACCGAAAGGGAAACATTCTCTATCCACGCAGCGCGCAAGCCATTAAAACATTACACTCTATCATTTTAAGGACAGCCACGGCCAGGCACCCTCGTTGGGATCGAGACCGATCGTCGGGAAGGGGGGGGGGGCGCTATTAATGGCCCTCAAACCTTTTCGGATCAGGGGAAGAGGACCGGGGAACTATTCATGCCCCAGGGCCTTCTCACTCTCGGAAACACAGGTGTGCCGCATAATAAAAACAAAGAAAAAAGAACGAGCAGTCCATCTATACTACTACTTTCTAATTAGTCAACAAATTTTTACGAAGTTTATATTATGACAACATGACTTACCAGTTTAGCATCTAAAGAACTGATCACATGAGGATACAGTAATTCAACTCGCTGAGCTCCATTCGCTGACCTCTCTGATTGTGATCTGAAATAATGAAATAGTTATTTGCAATAGTTTCAAATATTTAAAATTTCTTATACTTACCGTAACCTTTCTTCATTTTTCCTCCATTCTCTGATCGAGCTTTCAGCGACATTAAATTCTCTGCCAGCAGCTCGATTCCCGATCACTTTGGCATAATCGATGATATCAATCTTTTCATCGACCGAGTACAATTTCAACTTCCTGACCTTATGCATGTGAGGTTGCGGACTAATCAGTGTATTGCTTTCCTTGAGAGAAGGTGGACTTCGTTGCCAGATGAGTGACTGCACTGAGGAGGGAGTGCTGGTCCTGGTCCTGTCGGCCTTTTCTTCTTCATTCAACTGCTGTTGTTCCTGTTGTTTTATTTGGAGTTGTCGTTGATGTTGCTGTTGAGCAGCCGCAACTGCAGCAACCAACAGCAACGGAGAAGCGTCGCTGAAGTTGATGCCGGAGAAGTTGAGGAGAGAAGGTCGATCCGAGTCTGAGCCATGCTTCTTTCCGGCCACATTCGAAGACATAACTCTACAAAAAAGTCAATTCATTTGTGTTTAGTCTAAACAAGTACTAATCCGCGAGAAATCGAGAACCTCGGCAAAAAACACGGCCCGAAAAAAGAATGCCCCGAGGGTGTTTAAACAAAATTAGAGCAAAATTAGTGGAGGAAAGGGTACCGTTGAATACCATCAGATCGCTAATCTGGTGTGTCCACTCTCGAAATGTCACCCTGGGGTTCCCGGCACATGAACTGAGGGCCTGAGGAGTCAAGATTTTACGACCAAGTGAGTGTGGGTGTTTCGAGAGCGTCCGAATCACAGGGACTTGTTTAAACTCCAGGGAAACGTGCGTTAACGACAGCAAACGGTCCATGAACAAAAACGAGGGCCCGGAGGGCATGCGGGAACGAGCCCGAGAGGTGTGGGCCAAAGTGCGCAGGTTAGTATGGAGGACGGACGGACGTCCTCCACTTGGAGCCAGCACTATAGAAGGCGCTTTTTTGGCCTTCAAAAAACTTGCGCGATGTCGGCATGGGTGGCGGGAGACCGGAAGCGCGCTTGGCCACGCATTCTTTAGGCCGCTTGGCGACCACCGCCACGGCGACCGTCTCATCCTCCCGCATCCGGTGGGGCTGGGTACAAAAACACAAGCTCGTCGCGCAGTTCCCTTGACTTCCACTTATTACGTTACCCTTCGCGCACCCTTGCCCTGCAGCCAATCAGAGAGCGGGCTTAATAAACTTGCGCGGGTCCGTTTGGAACATGGGAAATACTGATCGCGAGTAACTACCGTAAACCGGAAGGAGAGACAGCCGACGAGGAGGAAATGTCGGGACACAATCTGCCGGACTCTTCGCTCACCTGCGGGTTGAGATATCGCCTTAGGGCGGGCTGGAGACGCGCCAGGCCGTCTTTGCGGGAGATTTACGCGCTTTGGCTGAACTGAGGGAGAGGCCCCTCTTCCAGCAGTTCACCTTGGAGCAACAGCCGCTCTTCGGCCGCGAGTCAAATGTTACGATGGCAGTGAGTCAATGTCTCGGCCCAAAAACCAAACAGCCCGGGGGCGCAAAGACTAATCGGCGCAGAGAGTGGGACAAGAAGAAGTGGCACAGCTGACTGGCCAGTCGGCTGATAGCCATTTGGATCAAAAGAAGGGCGCGCGGCCTTTCCAAGGCCCGATCGCGCCCACTCCGAAATTCGGCCGGCTCGAGATTGGGGGCGTTTGGTGAAAAATCGCTTTTCCTGGACAGCGGGGCTGCGAGACTTGGCCTGAGGCCTTGCGGCATCAAAACCAGGAAAAGGAAAGAGAAGACGCATCTGTTCCCGTAGATCACGAGAGAGACGGGGCCGGCCGCGCGTTCGAATGGCCCGTCTGATGTGATAGGGAGGGGGCGAAAGGTGCACTCTCGACGTTCGCCCGCCAATGCCACTCACTCCCATCAGTTTTCAAATGAGCCCAGCCAATTCATTTCAATAGTAAGAGGCTGTAAAGCGAGGCAAGTCGCGCTCCAGTCGATACGCGCCGGTCCGACTACTGTAACCATCAAATAGTACGCTGATTATGAATATTATGGAAATTAGTTGGAGCGGAAGAGCGGCATTACTACAACAGAAGGTTGTCAGCAAAGTGTTCGGGGAGAGAGACAACTACTGGAATTGAATGTTCGGACCATATTTATCCCTTTCAAAGTCCATTCCAAGAGACGCGCGGATCGGTGCGTACGTCGACGACAGCTCCAGGGCCTTGCGCAAACCCCCTAGGGGCCTAAAAAACGAAAATGGAAGAGAACGGGCGGATCGGAAGACCCGCACTGAACTCGGATAACCGATGTTTCAGTGTAAAAGGTGCAAAATTATGTTAAAAACATCTAATAAAAATTTTTGAGGACGGGAAACATCCGTAAGATAAGAAGGGACGCGGAAATTGAGGATACACTCATGACGATGATTCGCGGAAACACCAGAGAAAACAAGGACCAAAAGTCTGCGCGGGTCGTTTAGAAGCCGGCCCTTCCCACTCTTCAAACAACGTTCCCATAATCGAGATTTTAAAGGTTTTCCCGTCTTTAGCACGTGTCTATTCCCGCGTTTAAATATCATAACTCATCGTTGCGCAAAGGTGCGGTCAGTGCGGGTGGCATGATCGGATCCGGGAGGGGTGAAAGAGCGGGCAAACAGGCCGACTCGAAGGCCAAAACATATGGAATTGCGCGAAGACTCGATCACCCAGATAAAGAGAACAATTGGGAAGTCTTCATTTACACAGTTGCGGGGAAAGGGAAGGGGCGCAGGAATTATTTCATTTTGGACACCACAGAAGAGAGACCCGCTGGCAGTGATCTGGCCCCCAAATGCGCGCTGACTGATGGAATAATCGCTCTCCTTTCCCCCGAGCACCTGACGCCACTGCTTAAGCGGGGGTAGGGCCGGCTAATTGGCTAAGCCCGGACAAACATCCCGTGGTCAAATCCATGGTTAATTTCATGTTCCATGGATTGGATTTTGTTTATCATGGCAATTAATTAATTTACAAAGCCCAGATACGAAAATGCGTCAGTCACCGTATTAACCAAGATGGGAAAATTAATGGGGGTGAAAATTACGGTAGCCAAAGATGACAAACAAATCACAGAGGAGACGATACAGTGGTGACCATAGGAGAGGAAAGTAAAGTTGATCGAGTTTATAAAAACCAGCCAATGAATTTCCGTCAGAACCCAAAAAACAACTGGAGACAGACAAAAAAAACAAAAGTCTAATGTCCAAATTCCTGCGCAAAAAATTCGGCGCGGCGCGAAATAAAGCCATCTAGGGATGGAGGCTGAAATTCTGAACGAAATTCCGGCCTCACGTGGCGTCGGCCGCTTCCAAACAAAACTTTCTGGTCAGAAGAGCGCTGTTTTTTCTTTGCGCGAGATTCTGGCGGCCGGAGGAATTGGTCTTGGCGGAATCTTTTTCTTGGCCCGAAAGAACGAACTCCTATCGGAAACAAGTCGCGCGTCTCTCTCGGAATTCGGGAAGGAAACCCGTTTGTAATGCAATGCCCAATACTAGTAATGGCCCGATTAAAGACCGTCCGTTTATTTACAAGGGCCCCTAATCACAATTATCTCCACCTTTCCACAAACAAACTGCATTAATTAATCATTCCATTATCGTAATCCCTTTGCGCAGTTAATCCGCTTCCGTGGTGGCCCACGCCCCGAGCAGAGCTTAGCAAAATCTGGTTATCAGATACCTGACATTGCAAGCAACCTCCATTTTATCAATACTGTTCATGGAAAGAGAGATGATTCAATCAAAAGCGTTTTCGGAAAACGACCCGAATGGAGGATGACGTTTAAAAAAATTATGAATGCGCAAGAAGCTTGCGTGACCCTCCCCGGAGAAGATATGAGCCGACCATCGACGACGCCACAGACACAACATGTTATACTGCGCGGCCAAAACTATCTAGAGGGCGGCCGTTTTGAGTGTTGGAATGGATTCGTGGAGGGGGGCAGGTGGGCGCAGGGAGACGAGTTGTGGCCACGGCCTGGCCAGTGCCAACCAAAGGTGCGCAAAGGGCTCTCGCGCACCTCTTCCGGATTTAAGGTGTCCCCACGAAGACACCATGCCAATGCCCCGAGGGCAAAAAACTTCCCAGCACTCTCGCCCTCTACCTGACTGCGGGGCTCTTAATTAGCGATGATGACTCTGCCAATTTGGACCCCAAATCCGGCATTTTAGTGCGGCTTTCCAACTACCGTAATCTCTGACCAGAGGGCAGGTAGGCAAGAGGGACGCGCAATTCAACCAAAGTGGGCATAATTTGAATGAAAAGCACTTAGTCTATTCAGATTGAAGAGACGGCCCTGAGGCCAAAAATGGCTGGCCTTTCACCTGAAGTTCCTTTGGACGCGCGCAATCTCACGCATGGCCGCCAGCCGAAGGAGCGCCGCTCTTGGACGGCAAACCCCCTCAGGGCACGAAAAAAATAAAGCTACTGAATGAGGTCCAAGTGTACCTTTCCACGGGAATTCCGCGCGCGCGTCTCTCTCCCGCCACGCACTTAACAACGCCGGGTCGTGCCGGTTTCTTGGGGCCGCTCAATCGGCCTTTACACTTCAAGTCAAGCCGTGCCCCCGAAGAAGTTTGAAACGTCTGCATTCCCAAACAAACCCTCAGCCAAGAACATCGTCTCCCCGACGGCCAGGGCTGCGCAAGACCGCGGGAAGTGGCCCCAAACAAGGCCAATGAATCCCGAAAACGACTACAGTTCGAGCAGAAACAGAAACCCGTCAAACACACCGATCGCACAAAAGGGACTTCTGGCAAAGGAGAGTCCGGGCCTCAGGGCGTACAACAAGCGTCTCCTTGTGACTAATCGGGACCAGCGCGCGCGGTTCCCTTCCCACCACCAACCACGTCGAGTCGCGCCGCCCCATTCATTTGTTTTCCCTTCCAGGCCTATCACGTCCTGCTGCCTCCATATCAGTCCGACCGTCCGTCAGCCCCCCTCTCGATCCAGGCGCGCAGAGAAAAGCGCTGAACACAAAAATGAATGCACTCGGACCCGACCTCATCTGAATAATCAAGAGCGCGAGAGGGGCTGATACACACGAGAGTGGTATTATCAGAATGAACGAGTCCCCCCTCCCTCCCTCAGTCTGGCTACCAACTCCCGGCTTTCCGAGACCGCGCATCAACGGCAAAGGACCCATAACAAAACACTGATAACAAAAATGGAGCCCTAATCGAGCGACCGCAACCCCCAAAGTGGAAGGAATCAGAGGCCAGACCTTTCCGTTTGCGAAATTACTATTCGAACTGCGCTCTCCTGGATTTGGGCTGGGATTTTGAAGGATAGAGCAACTGAGATGAATACAATGTGGGTTAACAGTAATTCCAAAGAACTACTTAAAATCTGTAAGAAAAATAAATAATTTCAGGGAAAGCAAGGCGAATTTTTATCTTAATGGATAAAATAAAATAAACAACTCATTCTAATCTGGCCAAACACCTGGGAAAAATTGTGTTCGAAGCTAAACAATACGATCCTTTTCGCATTTATTCCAATACTTGCTAATTCTCTGCCAAAATTCGAGGTAAAGAATAAAAGCTGACGGATTTGTTATAAAGATTATGCATTTTCTGGAAATCAAATTTTATTTTACATTTTCCCGATCATAACGAAAAATTCGTTTTTGACAAGGAAAGTACTTTTATGGGGGCTCCTACTTTTTGACGGGACATATCTCAAAAAATCAGAAAAAATGTGATGTGCAAGAATATATAAATCCTAGCTGCCCATTTTAGGTTTTTAGGGGTGAAAACTCAATCGGAAGGTGACTTAAAGTCCTATATGAACCCCTTTTCGCTTAATTTTTCACAGGTTTACAATTTTTACATATTTTGGCTTAAAATGATGTTTATTGAGTTTCTAAGACGTAATAAATCAGTCTTGGCCCAAAAATTTATTTTTCCGACCTTCAACTTCAAAAAAAGTTTATTCAGCCCGAAAGGGAAATCGAACCCGTGCGGCGTTCCCCCTCTTCATTCTCAGACTACGGCACTAGCCACTCGGCCACACCGCTCTCTTCCGGAGGCCGACTGCGCTTTTTATCGTTTCGAATGCCTGCGCCTTTTGTAGGGAAATTAAGCCAGTTTTTGGGCATTTTCACCCCTAAAAACCTAAAATGGGCAGCTAAGATTTATACAGGGTGCGCCAAAAAAAATGGACAAAATTTTTTTGCCAATATCTGGCTCTGGGTCAAGGTATTTGGGGAAACGTTTAGATGGAATAAATAGCGACGTTCAAGCAATATTTTAGCGGTAAGAACGGAGGTATAACTTTATCTCAACTTTTTTTCTTGGGAGTTCAAGTTGACCATGTTCTGATCGCAATTCTCGAAAGCGTGTCGTCTGGAAAGTGAGGCATAAATATTTTTTGAGGCGTCACGAAAACTTCAAATAAAAGTCCTCCAATTCGTTAGGATCTTTACTATCACATACATAAAGGCATAGTATTAGTAACCTTTCATTTCAATACTATGGACATCCAAACTTGAGTAGCAGAGGCATTAAAATAAAACCCGAAATTCCGAAAACCAGAAAAAATATTGTAGTGAGAAAATGATGAGGCTTCGGGCAACTGTAAAGTTTTGGGTTAATTCCCGACTGAGGACTTACTGAACACACGGATTTTTTGCTTTTCAGCGTCGTCATGCTTGGAGGTAGTGACAAAATTCCAAAAAAATGGACGAAAACCGGAGATTTTTCTTTAAAGATATGCTGCAAAGCTGCCGTTGATCCTACCTCGCTCAAACGGCACTTCCTATATAAATCTACGTCTACTCTATGGCGTCAAAAAGTTTCATGCTGAAACCTCTGCTTTCAGCGGAGATCGGAGGGCTCAAAGGGGGACAGGTGGGAGCCCGCAAAAGTACCGTGTCAGTGGCTTCTTTTCTTAACTTTCGGAAACACTGAAGCCGTGTCTTGCATCTCTCTGTTGAATCAACGCATGGCCCGCATAGAATAGAATATGGGGGACATCTCATGCCGGTTTTTACAATTATTCTACCCGATAAAGCCGAGATAATCAATTTAGAAGCCATTCGTTCCAACGACCTGGAAAGATCTGGGTCAGTCCGATTTCTGATGCTCTTCTTCAGAGCCGGAGCCTTTTCTGTTTTGGGTCTACCGCTTCCTGGGAACCTCTGGATGCTGCCAACATCCCTAAACATATATGAAGTCCGGGTGACAGTTGTACGGAAAGAACCACAACGACAAACAATTTTCTTCCGGGAAAATTCTTTAGAAAATAAAAACACATTTTGGTACCTCTTCGCATTTTTGTCCATATTGCAAAAATGTGAAGGCAAAGTAAAAAAGGGATTTAAAGGGTTTGCAAGTGACTGGTTTGTGGTCATAATGGTCACTTTTTCCCTACTCGTACCGCTTTTCGTGGCGAGACACAAACGTTTTTATTTTTGTCCATTTTTTTTGGCGCACCCTGTATATTCTTGATCAGCACATTTTTTCTGATTTTTTGAAATATGTCCCGTCAAAAAGTAGGAGCCCCCATAAAAGTACTTTCCTTGTGAGATTTTTGTGTTAAGGATGCGCAATGTTGCATCACATTAGGCTTCAATACTCGGACGTTATGGCGATTTTTTTAAATTTTGGGCGATTTACACACTTTAGGTGTAAATCGATTTTTGAACCGGAGGTAGTGCAAATTGATCGGTTCGGTCTCAGTATCATCCCCAAATGGGGGAAATCTCTGCGCGGCTCCTGAGGGATATGAGCCATCAAAGTTAGGACAAAAAAGATCGCCGAAAAGACCTCTCTTCGAGCAGGGAAAAGAAAATGTGAATCGGTGGCCGTGTGGATAAGAAGACGGCCTCGCAAACCGTTTGACACGGGCACGAGGAACACCGCGGGATTGGCATAGACATGATTAACATTGTAGTACAGTGTGTTCTAATAAACAACGTCATACGTATTTTATTTTCGCAGGAGGATTTTAGAATAGAGATGCTGAGGGCTGAAAAATCGCTCAATTTTGAAAATTTTCCGTAAATTTTTTAAATACGGGGTGTTTCATGAAATATGACAGAAACTATTTGCGAATATCTTTGAGCTTTTGGGAGTTATCGCTGAAATTCTTTTTGTTTCTAAAACTTGAAGTCGGGCGGTCTTGTACTGAGCAAAAAAATTTTTTTTCGTCGGCGGAGAGGCCAGTTCTCGGCGCAGACATTCGGGGCCTTTTTTAAAAATCACACCTTATTGCATGGTGGAAACTGTTACAACGGCCAAAATTATGTTTACGTTACACCTCCGTGGATTCTACGGTATGCTTTTTTGCGTTTTCGATTTTACGTACATCCGCGGAGGCGCCGCAGAGACCTCAGATTTCGGCGGACTTTGTTTTAGGCCCTCGGCTTTTGCAAATCCATGTTGTAAAAAGGGTTGAGGCGATTTTTTGTTGTCATCCGACGCACAGATGGCAAAAATTTCGTACTTTTTCCCCCGGCGGAGGATTCGGCGGAGGCTTTATCAAAGGGTCAAAACAAAAATTTGACTTTTCTGAGAAAGCCTCCGCCGATTTGTCCGCCGGACCAAAAAATAAGAAAGATGATGTTTCTCTGATGGATTCTCGTAGCTGAGTTTTTTCCCGGACTCCTAAAGACTGTTCAAAACAAAATCTTAAATTTTGTTTTTTGGTAAAAAATGTCAAAAAAATAAATTTTTTGATTTTGGTGTTTTTTGTCACAAAAACCTTAAAAATCTTGTTATTAATCGATAGCAAAAAGAATTTTTTATTTTGGACTTATTAAAAAAAAATATATGACACAATTGTAAAATTTGCTAAAATTTGAATTTTTGGGATAGCGTTTTAACGCTTTGCCAAAAATGGGGTTTTATCTTTTTTTGATAGAAAATAATGTATTTTATCAAAATATTTTCAAAAATGGATAAAGCCGCAAAACAATATGTAAAAAAATTGGTTAAAAATATATTAAAATATTTAGGTTACTTTCATGGTAACTTTGAAGAATAGCATATATGCAGAAAAATTCCTCTTAAAATTTACTATTATATAGTTTTTTCCATTTTTGAATTGAGCTATCCTATAAAAAAATACGAATAAATTAAAAAAACCGCAATTCCTTTTGCATCAACCTAATATTTTTCTACCAAAATTTTTTTCTAAATGAGGAATACAATTTTTTTTCGTGTTTTAGAGTACTGGACAAGTCTCATTCCTAAATTCAGCGTAATCCCGCGGTGTTCCTCGAACCCGGGCAAAATGGTTTGCGAGGCCGTCGTCTTATCCACCCGGCCACCCACCGATTCACTTTTTTTTCCTTTTCTAATTCTTCGAAGGCTTATTAGACATACAGACACCCATGAAATGATTAATACGTATACTCCCGGACATATCTCTCTGACCACCCTTTAGCTGGGCTGTTAATTGAGCTACATGTTCCAAATTTTAACTGCCCTTTCAAGAAGAGGTGCAAAACATTTGGTAAAACGGAATTTTCCATCCTTGCACTTTAACGGCAGTTTTTTCGACATTTTCAAAAAAAGGGTGGACAAAATTTTCTGATCAATTAGGTAAATTGTTCGCAACTGCCGAAAAATGTTTGCCACGGGGCTAAAACTGCTTATACTGCATAGCACAGACGTACCGCATATATTTACGGCAAAAAATCGAGGAGTAGTAACATACGTCGCAAGGGCTTGTGCATTCTGCGCATTACGCGATTTTGTTAGTATACGACGGCTAGAGGTGGGCTAGAAGGATAAAAAACGCACAGGATTATGTAATTGATCACACATGGTCAATCTCCGTCCATCATACCGAGGGATATTAAGGATTTCATCAAGCATGTGCAAAATCATTGCAAAACTGACCAGCCGGCCGGACTTTAGCGGCCTGTAACTTTTTCAGAATCAGCCCAAACTGGTTGAAATTAAACATGGCTTAGCACTACACAATGAAGAATAAAGTTATATTAGTGCTGACCCGGCCTCATGAAATTTCGGACTGAAATTACGCGATAACGAAAACTTGAGGATTTTTTGGCAAATTCTGACCATTTTGTAATTACAAAATCGGAAAAGTTGCGTTTTTTTGGACTTTTGCGTTAGTGCGCGCACGAAATGCGAAGATAACGGGAGATTACTCTCCCACGTTCTTCAGTATTCACCAAAGAGTACTGTAGGGGATTTCTAGACGGATTTAATAAAAACGCCTGCGGTTATGATCAATTATTCATAGATGGGCTACTCCTATGTGATTTTCTTAAGGCGTTAATATCATATTTCACATTGCAGGTAGTAAGATCTTGCATCACAACCTCCAATGAGTTCCTTATTACTTTTTCTGAAACAAAAAAGTCGTCCTTGCCGCATAGGGCGTGATTTTAACGAGAAAAAGAGCGCTGCAAGAATACGAGTTGCTTGAGGGCACACGCCGAATTTGGTGGTAAAAAGCATACCCATCGTCCTTGTAGGTCCCTTAACAGTGTTTAAAGATAACTGAACCATGTCGCTTACTCAAGGAGACTGAGAAAACTTTAGTTATTTTAGGTGATCAGAAAGTTTTGTCCACCGATTTTTGAAAAAACCTGCATAACTCGCCTAAGGACAGAGACACGAAAAACAATTTTATGTGGCACATTCTGTCTGTCATGACTAGTATACATGTCAAGTTTCAAAGCGATTGCGTTATATTGACTTGAGATATGGGTGGTCAGAAATTTATGTCCGGGAGTATATGTTTTCGCACACGTAGAATTCCAAAAAGGGTGGTTTCGGCTCATTTGGATTACTGTAACGTACCAAACTTTGAGTTTGGTCGCTAAAAATCGGCCGCAAAAAGTTTGTTTCTGAATACCCTCAGCTGATTTTTACATCAGCATAAAATTCTGATTTATAGACGCAAAAAATGCAAAATATGGTGCTACATTTTTCATGGTATTAGTGGTTGTCGGTCAGAACTACCAATCTAGCGTCTCGAGTTCGAGTCCGCGTGGGTCCAGTTTGGTATGTTACAGTAATCCGAATGAGCCGAAACAACTTCTTGAATTCTACGAATGCGAAAACATAAGTATTAACCATTTCATGGGTGTCTCTGTATGTCCATTACCAATTTCTAGAGGACTACTGTAGAAGCAGTAAATTGTAAAAAAATATATGTTAACGGCCTAAGTGGGCAAAAATGTTTTGCCATTAGGCTTCTATGGTCGCATTAACACTAAAATTTCGACGAAATATTCCATTTCACGGCCTAACTAAAGATTGCTACACAGACTCAGAAATCGTGTTCTAAAGTTTTTTCATTGTGAAAGTAATCTTTCTGTTTGTTTAGTTGCCAAAAAGTAAAGTTACAAAAGTGGATGGGTTACAGATCTTCACATACTCGCGGACACGTATTTCTGTCCACTCTTTATCTCGGTTATTGATTAGACTACATTGTTCCAAATTTTAACTGCCCTTTGAAAAAGAGCTGGCTACGGGGCTAAAGTTGCTAATATGCAAATCATTACAAAATTCATCAGCCGGTCGGGCTTTAGCGGCTTGTAACTTTTTCAGAGTTATGCTAGTGCTGACCCGGGCTCTTGCAACCTTGAGGTGAAACAACCGGAAACCCAAAACTAGGATTTTTCGGCAAATTTCTATAATTAGAAAATCGGAATAACTGTGGTTATGATCAATTATTATTCAGGGACTTATTCTCCAAATGAATATTCTGGTTATGTTTTATTTCACGACACTGACAATGTGAGCGCATTACAGGCGGTGATTGTTGTGTCATTTATGTTCATAGAAAAACTTAGATTAGTATACAGATACAGCCAACGCTTCCTGCGATTGAAAAAATAGGCTGTGAAAAGCATGAGGGCAATAGTTTTCATGTTAGTCATATCGGTACCCTCTTCTCTGCCGCAGCTCTGACTCGAGTAAGATCCAAGGCTTACATGCGTCCTATTTTCATACGTCGTGTGCTTACACAGCCATTTTTTTAAAATATATATCCATTCTAATATCAACAAGTAAATTTTTTTAATGTTTAGTAAAATATAAATAAAAAAAGGGCAGTACAGGTCCCACGTTGCCTTTATGCCCCTTTGCCAGATACGGTTTGAAAGCGTGATTCCTCAGGGAATGGTCTGAAGTTCTCCCAGCGTTTGGGAAAATGACTAGGGTAGGTGGATGAGCAGGTCAACTTTCGTAAAAAATCATTTTCCAGCTTCGGAACTGGGACATGACGATTGGGGAAAAGAACAGTACGATTGGGGAAACCGAAAAGTATTATTTTTCTTCGATGCAAATGTCGAAATTAGGATAATCGATGGTACTGATTTCGAAATGACATTCATTTTTTTTCTTTACTGTTTTCCTTAACTAGTACTGTAAAGTAGTAATTTTTTGAATTTTTTTAATGAATACTCGATTTGGGGGTTTTCATTGGGGCTGCTTTCAAATCAAAAAAAACGAATAAGACTTTTGAAATCAGCAAGGTTGAAACCCCCAAATCAAGTATTTGTGAAAAAAGATCAAAAAATTAATGCCTTTTTCGAAATCATCACCCTCGATTACCCTAATTTCGACACTTGCATCGGAGAAAAATAATACTTTTCGGTTTCCCCAATCGAACTTTCCCCTATCATCTTTTTCTCCAATCGTCCAACTCCGCCAGCTGCAAAACAAGCCCGACCGACGAAAATATCGACCGAAAGTTCCACAAAAATTTCCTCTTTCTTTTACCGGAAACGAAGAGGAGCGTTTGGGTATTTCCGATCATACTCCCATGCGGATCTTACCAACATAGGTTTACGAAAAAAAATTTTTTAGTCGATTTTTCGCCAGTATAATACATATATGCAACAAAAGTTTGGAGCCGCTACGGAATCGTTGCGCCAGGAACAGGGCTGATTTCCCCCAACAGAAGTTGCGGCGGGTCGCCCAAAACTTAAACCCACCTTTGGACATCTGCATCGCCGTCAAGGAAACAAACTTTGAAACCGGAGCACATATTATTAGTAAACCTCTTTGTTACTGATATTCATCGTTATTTTTGTTGTTTGTTAAAAAAGATATGACTGTATGCCAATATGAGTTGCATTTTTTCGACGCACCCTGTAAGTGCTGATGGGTCATAAAAGGTATGTACTTTTTACCATGAAAGTGTTCTAACTGGTGTATTTATCTAGAATTCGATGACATTGTAAGATGTTTCCCGGATTTATTCACCTGACTCCCTGAGGGGCTTTAAAGAAACGGCCGAAAGGAAGGAAAGAGGAGTAGCGGCCGAAAAAATCCCGTCCGTCCCTCCGTTTCTCTTCTTTTTATCGATTCTGGGGGTTTGTGCCGTGATTGTGATGAGACAAGGAACATGGCAAAGTAATTACTCGGGTCGTCTCGACTCCCGTCTGCGACCCAATAACAATCGGAAACAGTTGAATTCAGCCGAATCGCCGGGGTAAGCAAGCTTTTGTCGCTTTGGTTCGGTATTTTCTTCTTGCTTTCTTCTAGAAGATTTTTTGGTGTCCTTCTTTTTCTATGGTCGTACGAAGAGATGCTCTCTCATTTCTTCAGATGTAAGATCGTCTGTGAACTCATGTTTCTATATGCTATTATCTGTGCTTAAATAAACTTTACAATTCACAGATTTGTCCAGTATCTGACAGTATGTGGCTACATCTTCTTTGTTTCGACTCCGGCCGTTGCTCTGGCCCTATATTATACTTGTATTTGGGATCCGGCTTATGTGAATCAGGTACTCAGATCTTCTGTTCTTAACCCTTTAGGATTTATTCTTCGAAGCGATTGTTCAACTTAATGTTGTTTGCAGCATCTCCATCAAGTTTCTAATCGATCGAACATCCCTCCAAACAGCCCATCCAAATTTGATATTCAATCCAAGCCGCTGGCTGTAGAACCTTCTCTTCGAATTCCTCGGGATTCTCCCTGTGATTGTCCGAAATGTCAGAGTCTGGCTGGATCAGAAGCATTGCCCAAGGGAGTATTGAAAGCGACCTCACCTCCACCGCGAACTACTCAGAAAGTGCTTACTTTTTAAAACACTGTTACTGAGTCGTTGCAGCCGTGGACATTGTCTTTAAAATGGCCGGAGGCATCCTTCTAGCATATTTGTGAAATATTTATGTCCAATTCTGCCGTTAATCAACCGTAATTTACAATAGAATGGTCTTACAGTAACCGGGAATTAATCAAAAATTGCTCATCAGAAATAGCTAAAATCGGAAGTATGTAGTCTTGGCATCTTTTTTTGACAACGGATGTCGAATTTTGGCGCTTCGATTATCTAACATAGCGAAACCTTCGTTCGGCCGCAGAAAATCGGCCGTGAAATTTGTTTCTGTAAACCAGCTAAATAAACTTTTAAAAAGATCCAAAAAGTCAAACATAAGATCCGTGGTAAAGTAGATTTTTGTCAAAATTTTTCATTCGAAAGTCTCGCGTTCGATTTCTACTGGACAGAGAATTTGTGAAGCTGCACAAGAGTGTTAAAATATCGAGTAGGATCGCGTTTTTTTTGCAATGCCTGTGCTTTTTCATAGAAATTTAGCCAGTTTTTGGGAATTTTCGACACTTAAACTATTCAATTTTCCGGATTTTTTGTGATACGTCGCGTCTAAAAGTAGGAGCCCCCATAAAAGTACTTTCCATGTTAGCTATTTCTGATGAGTAATGTTTGAGTAATATCCGATTACTGTAAGATAATACTGCTGAAAGTTACGACATAATTGGTTAAAAAAGTTTCAGAATATGCTAGTAGAATCCCTCCGGCCATTTCAAAACGACAAACTCAAAAAAAAATTTTTCAAATGTCCACGCCTAACTGGCGGCTGATTCATTGACTCAGAAATCGTGTTTTAATTAAAATTACCAGTAAATATAAATAAAACACGAGATCTCCAGAAGTTTATGAAAAAATAAAAAAGTGAGAGATCAGGCTGAGATCAGAGAGCTGAGAGAAAGAGGCGATCTGAAGGGCGGTCATTGGCTAGCCGCGGCTTCGGGAGCGGGCGCGGCTTCGGCGGCGGCTTCGGGTTGAGCGGCTGGCTGCTGGCCGGGGATGATCTTCTGGACATTCTCTATGGCCACATTCGCGAATCCCTTGGCACTTTCACCTGAAGAAGCTCGTGAATCACCCCAAGTGTAACTTACCAGCCGTCGACACTACCTCCTTGGTCTTGTTGAAGGCAGATTCGAGAAAGTTCTTCTGAAATTACAAACTCCTCATCAACTGACTGTTATCCCTCAGGGCATGCCGCTCAGAACCCCAAATTAAGGGCCAAATGAAGCCGAAAACAACTGGTATTCGAATAAAACGATGGCCAATATCGTCCCAGACCTTCTATTATATAATTTATCTTTCCGTAATTTTTGATTACGGGATAATCTCATTGTTACGCAATAATCGCCCCCTAATCTCATAAATCACGTTGCTCAGAGGTTCTTTACTCCCGCTCATTACTGGCAAAACAAGGGCGGCAGTAAACAGGGACCCATGAGGCTATTTACAGCCGTTTCTGGGCGGATGCTACACTTACAGCGGCGTCCGCACTTCCGGCCATGATCACAGTGCTGGTGTTATCGGAGGATCTGGAAATGGACATTAAGAAAACGTTATCAACGGGTATATCAACGGAAAAACACGGAAGGAGAAGAAGAAAAGGACGGCATTCCTTCCCTTTCCCTCGCTTCGGAGAGGCCGTTTCAGAAGAGGACGGCGCCATCGAGTGCTTCGAATTTGGGGGTTCTGGGAGCGAGACTGCCGGAGGGCATAAAAAAGATGCCGCAGGGCAAAGACGGGCCAAAGAAGGCCAAAAAATGAGATTGTTCCGGCTGCCTCGCCCCCCCCCCCCCCCCCTCTGCGGCCCTTTTTTCTTATTCTTTTCTTCTTTCCGAATCGATACAATTCTGACAGACGGGGGCTTCTGAAGCGGCGGCCCCAAAGATAAAAAAGAGGACAATTTTAAAAGTCGTAAAAAGCAAAAAGACGGAGTTATTAATTCGATTAAGTCGATGAATATCAGATGCCATATCATATCCGAATTACTAATAAGCATGATATTGTAAAAACATACTCTTTCCCATTAGAGACGACCTTATTTCCTTCTCTAATTAAATCATTCGAATCCAGATCCCGATGTATTAATTACATCCAGATCTCGGCGCATCATTCACACGTGCGCATCGAATAAAAAGAATTTTTGAGCTGGAAACAAGTCGGAGAATCCTCCAGCGATGCCTTTAAAAGCCTGCAAAAGTTGATGTTGCCTTCAGAGGCGATGAGACTTCCAATTTTGTTATGTCTATTGGTATTGTTGAGCGGGGTCAAACAAGCAGCCCCTGGGAAGGCGCCCTCAGAAAATTATGACAACTACAAAACTATCACCTTCAGAGATGAACCCCATCCAGAGAAGCTTTTTGTAAGCGTTTTCTAAACTATTGGGTTGCTGTAATAAGTATCTTCTTAATAATACCTACAAAGTTATCTACATGAATGATTCCATTTTTTAGTAGAAATAGTTTTACAATGACATTTTAGAACCTGGCCGATCTCTTCACACTCCCACCCCCACCCCCAAAGCAGAATCCTGCCCCCAAAAAAGCGGCCAGAAAGTCCTAAAGGTCGGCCCCCAAACGTCGCGGATAAATCGAACCTCTTTTACTCGATATTCATTTGTATAAATAATTTAAAAAGTAAATAATATATTAGTAGAGGACCTTCTTGTATTTGGCTGTGTAACTCTCTGTGTCGACTGATGTCTCCGCTCTCACCTTTAAGGTCATGTGATGGAAATCTCGGATCTCATATTGCCTCTCAAACTAAAACAAGGTTGTTAAAACTAATTTTAAGATAGTTATGCTCACTTCTCTGACATGAAGATCAACTCCTCGACTTCCGACATCAAAAGAACGCCGGAGGAATTGTTTTAGATGGAAGATAAGCTTATTGTCCTTGGCAAATCCCTGTTCCATCATCGAATACCCTTTACATATTATTTTAATCATCCGATTACATAACCTCACCTTCACTGCTTGTTGTCAGATAAGCGACATGAATTCGAGGGTCTCTTCGGGTTGAATTCTTGACTGGCATGAATCCGTAATCAGATCTGATGACATTCTTACCAGAATCAAAGTAAGTATGACTAAAAATAAATTTAGTTTCAACGTTTTTCTTACGTAATATTAACCGATCGGGCCCCAAATTTAGGGATGGGATTGATGGAGAAATCGATGAGTGAGGGGGCGGGGAGGTCCCTCGTATTTCCTACAGCGGGTCCCTCGATCTCCCAAAGGCCAATGAAATCTCGGATTGGGCGAAGGTCAAAGGGCATCATGTTGATATCATAGCCTAAGGTTAACGAAAAATAATTCCAACAAATAAATGCTGAGACAAATCAGCCATGGCCAACTTACGGTCCTCATATCTTGAATAGCTGAGGTATGGCAAGAGGAGAACCACCGCCAAAAAGACCCACTTCCCGAACATAACTCGACTCCAACTGGACCAGATATTTCCTTAAATTTATAAAACAAAAATAAATAAAGGTAACGGAAAGCGAAAGGACAAAAGGTCTGATGAAACGAGTTCTGAACGGGTTTATATTCTCCTTCTTCACTTCGTCGACGAAAGGGAAATAATTGGAAAAAAGGGGAGCATCTCGATATAAACTAATACAACAACCAATCGGAAGATCAATCATTGTAAAACAACGCCAAACAACATATTAGTGTGAACGGATCATCTCAAAACAAAGGATTGTATTGCACACAAGATCTGAGGACTTTATTCAAGTTCTGATGACTTTATTAATTACTCTTGATTTAACCAAATTTGTAAAGCTTGTTGGTCTTTTCGAAAGCAGTATTAGTAATCACAAGTAAGTCTAGAATAAGACTCTCACAAACGATCTGCAAAAGAGATCCATTACTCAGGTTATGATTAATATCCGAGCGGATTTAAGCCGAATCCAAATGGAACTTCCCTTATAATCGTACCAAATGTGGTTTCTGTTGTGCTTCACTCTTTTTTTGTCGGTAATTTATTTCAATGTACAGGGTGTTTCAAGAAATTTGAAACAAATGATTTGCTTATATCTTTGTGTTCTTTGCAGCTATCAACGAATTTCTTTTTGCTTCTAAAAATTGACGTCGTGCGTTTTTAGAATCTCGAAAAATTTTTTTTTTCGTCGGCGGAGGGCCCATTTCTCGGCGGAGAAAATTAGGGCCTTTTTTAAAAATCACATCGTATTACGTGGCGGAAACGCCGTTGCAACGGCTGAAATCAAGTTTACGTTAAACCTCCGTCGATTTTACGGTATGCATTTTTTTGTTTTCGATTTTACGCACTTCCGCGGATGCGCGGCGGAGACCTCAGATTTCGGTGGACGTTGTTTTGGGCCTTTGGTTTTTGCAATTCGTGTTGGAAAAGGAGGTTTGGGTGATTTTTTGTTGTCATCCGATGCACAGATGGCAAAAATTTCGTGCTTTTTATCCCCGGCGGAGAAGTCGGCGGAGGCTTTATCAAAGGGTAAAAACAAAACTCCGCCGGTTTGTCCGCCGGACCAAAAAAATCAAAAATCTTTGAAAGACAATGCTGCTCTGATGGATTTTTGTAGCTGAGATTTTTCCCGGACTCGTAAGACTGCTTAGACCCTTTGATAAAGCCTCCGCCGAATCCTCCGCCGGGAAAAAAAAGCACGACATTTTTGCCATCTGTGCATCGGATGACAACAAAAAATCACCCCAACCTCCTTTTCCAACATGAATTGCAACAGCCGAAGGCCCAAAACAACGTCCGCCGAAATCTAAAGTCTCCGCCGCGCATCCGCGGAAGTGCGTAAAATCGAAAACAAAAAAATGCATACCGTAAAATCGACGGAGGTTTAACGTAAACTTGATTTCAGCCGTTGCAACGGCGTTTCCGCCACGTAATACGCTGTGATTTTTAAAAAAGGCCCCAATTGTCTCCGCCGAGAAATGGGCCCTCCGCCGACGAAAAAAAAATTTTTTTTTGAGATTCTAAAAACGCACGCTGTCAGTTTTTTGAAGCAAAAAGAAATTCGTTGATAGCTGCAAAGAACACAAAGATATAAGCAAATTATTTGTTCCAAATTTCTTGAAACACCCTGTATATTACAGGGTGGCCAGAAAAAACGGAAACTTGTATTTGTAGCAATATTTTTTTCAACAAACCAAATTCGGCAAAAATAATAATCAATATCTGTAACATGGAGCACTGTTAACAACATGTTCAGTCAGCTTTAAAGCAGCTGCTCATTGCGCCGATACAGAGCTCCAAACGTGACTTAAAATTTTTGGCAAAACGCCGCAGCTTTTTTTTTAGGAAATCGGCCCCGTTCTTGGCGTTGCGATTACATAGCGGCTCCAAACTTTCGTGGCGCATAGTACAGATGCTGGCCTTCCACAGAAAGAAAGTACAGGCCCATTGGATTAAAATCTAGCGAGTAAGCGGTCATTTCGCAGAAGGGACAAAGTCGGGAAAATCGGTCCCATTCTTGGTTCCGAGCCTTTTTTGCGTCGTGAGACGGAGCTGACACTCGTTAGAACGTTAAATTTGCATCGACAAAATGCTACTGCGCTCACGAAGCACGGCAACTTTCAGAATGTCACTAGTAGACTTTTTGGTTGATTTTGACCGGTTTATCTGCAAAAACCAGGGATATCTTGCCGCTGGCGCAAAATTTCGCCCCAGGCCATCACGTATCGGGTTTTGACGGTATTAGAAAAAAGCGAACGCTCCTTGGCACCTAATAGTCCAAACGATATCATCCTTGTGGTTGTGAGCTTGCCCAGCGCGTTGCAACGTTGGGTTATTTCTCGTCCATTTCTCTCATCCAAGAGCAGCGGCGCGACTCTTGAGTTTTCCGACATCTCTGCGTCGTACGCGCTTGTTGTAAGCCCTGAAGAGCTGGAATTTTTGCAGCTTGTATGGGGTGGGTTTGAGCTTATCTTTGGATATTTTGTAGATGGATCGATCGCTGATGCCGTTTTTACGAGCGATTTTTTTGGAAAATCGCAAATTTTGTTGTTGATGATCTTGCGACTGGCAGAAGTGCTGTCGGTGCGTTTTTTTACACTTTCCTGACGCTCACTGTCGTTGTCAAGTCGCTTGCATTGAGTGATTACATTCGACACAAGGTCCTTTACATACCGATCAAATTAACAATTCAAACAGCTCCAAAAAAATGTCCAAAATCGAGGTCCCTCTGTTTGACATACAAAAAAACCATGTTATATAATCGATATGGCCATGAAAATCGAAGTACTAGGGCAGAAGAACACGGAGAATTTAATGGCAAAAAAATGATTTGGCTACACCTAAACATTTTCGCGCCAGGAGCTATGAAAAAAAGTTTCCGTTTTTTCTGGCCACCCTGTAATTGTAAGCATCAAGTTATTATTAGATCGAAGCAAAGATTCAACCAGAATCTTTGACCAAACTAAAATCGGAGGATGATTTAACAGCTCAGGAAGTCCGCGAGATCTTATTTGACATTTTATTCGGAGAGAATCAAACAGAAATAGCCGCCAAAAACGAGGACAGACCAGCCTGTCCATTGCCGAGAACCCTGGCCAAGACCAAAATCACGACTCAAGATTTCACCGCTAATTTACAATTCTGGCTACTAAAACCTAAAGTAATATTATTTTAAGTATCGTCTTAATTATTTGTATTCCTTCAGCTCCAATTCCTTCGCAATCTTCATCCAACTTTGAGTAGAAAACTGGACGCCCCTTACAATGAAGTAGTATTGTAAGTCCTTTTAAAAGACAAATTGTTTTTAGAAAAGAGAATGGGTTGATGTATATCTCTTATGAATTCCTGCAACCAACCGACTGTACAAATCTGGTCGCCTTCTCTGAGAAAATTGTAAGTTACAGTTCGGAAGTGGACGAGATCACGGCCGAGTGTGAATGTAATGTATACGTGATACGCAAGAAGTTGTGACATTTGGAAGAAACACTACCCAAAAGCTTCAATAATTTATGATTGGACTTTATATACAAATAAATGATATGTCAATAAGATATGGGGATTACAAACTACTACCACTTTTAAGCCAACTTCCTTAAGGCTACTGTTAAGGAGAACTCTTTTTCTTTCTGCCGTTCATCTCCTCGAATATCGAATCTAATGTTCGATTCTTGGTTTCGGGCAGATATACAAACAAGTAGACCGAACACAGAGTTAAAGGAGTAATGAAAATCAGAAAACTCAAAGGACCGACCAAATGATACAAGGGCAGGAAGATGAGACTGCTGATAAAACAAGTAATGTACTGGCAGGAGACGGACAATGACTGGATCTGCGCCCGGAAAGGAGCGGGACTCAGCTCTGTGGCGATAAACCAGGCAACTGGGCCTACTCCCAAGGAGAAGATGAACAAAAAAATCATGAAAATAGCCAGAAAAGCATAGCCAGTGCTGGTGTTCTCAGTGATCTGGAAGAAGAAAACACATCCCATGAGGATTGTGTTGAGGAGGGCGAGGACGGAGAGGCAGCCGATGATCAAACGACGTCTTCCCACTCGATCTATGGTGAACGAACCCAGGATATTGCCCAGGATACCCGAAAAGGAGGCCAAACAATTGGCCAGCGCCGCCTGATTACTGTTGAATCCAATATTTTGAAGTAAAAAGGTGCCAAAAAAAGAGGCTGCAGTGATTCCGGAGAAACTGACAGTGGCATTTAGGAGGAGGGAGATGAAGAGGGCGTTCCCCGCTTTTCTAAAATTAAGAAGTATGATAAAAACGATCACTTACTTGCACAACATCATCACCGGGAGGTTGGGGGACTGCTCCTGATCTATATTAATCTCCTGCTCCAGTTGATTCAGCCGATCAAATGCCAGATGTTTATGACAAAACGTCTCCAGACAGATCAGCGCTTCTTTCGTTTTCCCTTTTTTCAGCGATTCAATGGGAGATGAAGGGAGATACAACAAGAGGAACATGATCAGCATAAAGGAAGGCAATAATTCTAAACAAAATTACATTATAATAATATATATATTATAGGATAACCTTATTAAAAATGGAAACAAATACCGATCAAATAGGCATAATGCCAAAGAAGATCTTGTCCAAAGACCTGAGGCAATCCAATCCCGCTTGCCAAAACAAATCCAATGCTGGTCGAGAACCCAGTCAATGTCCCCATGAATCCTCGATATCTGACTAAAACATGACGGATTGAAAATAATGACACTACTCACTTGGACTGATCTCAGTAAGATACACTGTCTGGGCGGTGGTGATCATCCCAATCCCGATCCCAGCCAATAATCGATGTAGAATAAAAAGCTCGGCCAAGTCGACAATTCTGGCAAGGAACGCCATTAAGAAGGAGATGGACAAAATAGAAGAAGACAGGTAGAGAACGGGCTTGATTCCATGTTTACTCATCAACTTTGGACTCATAAAAGCCCCAATAAAAGCGCCGATAAACAGTAATCCAGCTACTGTAGGCCACAATAAATTTAAAGTCCAGGTTCGGAGATGATGATGGAGACGTCTAGATAAAGATGATCGTCATCAAAAAAGTCGTTTTATGATTAAAAATTAAATTGCAATCCTTTCAGGGGTCGCATACAAAATTCATACTGACAAATATACACATGCAACGTTATGTAAGTCACAATATATTCTACTTGCCTTTCGATGGATTGCTCCAAAAAGTTTTGAATCACATCGGCCAAGGGATTGATAATGGATATCTGATATCCGAAATGAAAGCTTCCTCCACAACTGACCACAAATCCCGTTAAAATTAATTTAATTTTATGAAAAACGGAAAAGTCCTCAGGCATTATCTGATCCTGAATTTCTTAAATAAAATCTTTTCCGAGCCGGCCTTCCAATGACTAATGAAAATTACAAAAAAACCTGAAATTATTTTAAAGTCATATTTTTTGTAACAAATGTTTTCGTGGCGAGACTAAAAGACACGAATTTAAAACAGAATTGGAATACAAGCAGACCCAGTTTAAAGTGGGCTATTTTAGAAACGACCTATTTTTATAAGCAAAGGAAACTAATTGACTTCTAATAACGAATAATAATGTACCCTAATATCTTGTTCCTCCTCTTTTTTTGACCTTTAAACCAAGAACAAGGTGGTCGTCTGCTCTTATCTAAAACTGTTGTATTATCTTTGACACGTATTTAGGTTGAATTATTTGGAAAAAATAAATGCCTCGGGGCATTAACCTTTTTAAAGTGGCCCTAAAAAATTCAATGAAATAATTTTACTGCGCTCATAAAGTCATAACAAAAATCGATAACAAGAAGGAGGAAAGGAAGTAAAAATAACAAGTAGTGCGTTGAGGAGTAGCAAGGAACGATCACAATTCGTATTCGGTGCTTTGACCTCAACTTCTGTTACTTTTCGTAAAGAAGAGAAAGGGAATTGGAAAAGGTACCCGGGAGAAAAAGTGGGGCCCGAAGAAATGTCGAAAACAAGTAAAAATAGATCAGAACTTTCTTCTACTTGCTCTATGTTGTTCTTTGTTACAAGCATATAGGTCAGAGAGGCGTTGAAGGGGTCAACATGATATTACTTCAAACCAATCTAAAGATATTTGAGAAAACACTTTTAGAGAGCTTGAAGAGCGATGAAAACAAGGAAATCTTGAAGATGACATCCGATACTTTTTTACTTTTAATTTACTTTCCCTTTCGTCGTTCTATCCATTAGAGTAATGGAGATCAGATATGATTAATTTGATTGATTGATTTATTCTTTAAATTACAGGCAAGTGATCCATAAATATAACTTTGGATATGACGGTTAGAGATAAATATAAATCAATGTTTAGATTACTAAAAGTGAGTTCATTCAAACCAGTATTTCACTATTTTCGAAGTCTCGGGGACCTTCTGAGAGTGGTACTATCATCTGAAGCGACAGAAGGGGTCACGGATGGAGTTCTCCTTCTGTTGGGGGACTTGCGAGAGGTGTCTGACGTCGCAATTGAAGATTGGGGACTGTGGTCTCGAGCTGAATAAAAAACGGTAAAGAAACCCATCTTGGACCCATAAACACACTTACATTTAGGTTCCTTCAGAGACTCTTCGTTTACGGGATTTCTGGCACCCGAATTTCTGCGCGGTCTTTTGACAGCCGCGGCCGGAGCTTCTTCTGTTTCTTCTGACTCCGTTCTCTTCTTGGGAGTCCTTTTAGTTGATGCTGTTGCTTTCGTCGACGCCGAAGATGCTCTTCTCGTTCTTTTAAGGGATTCTGCAATCTCCACTTCAGGAATCACCACTTTGGAGGGCCGACCTCTTTTTTTGGGTGATGGTTCTGGCTCCGGAGTAGCTGAATTCTCCGGAGTTTTTCGTTGAGCTGCTGCCTGTCGAAGAGACGACCTCCCTGAAAAACATAATAAAATAATCTTAAAATTATTAAAGCCCACATAAACAAAGGTTATTCAACTTACGATTCCTTGCTTGTATTTCTTCTTCAAGTTTAGCTTGAGCTTGAAGAGCGGCAGCTCTTGATGGTCTTCCCCGCCGTCTGGTGGGGATCAAAGTCTGTTTCAGAAATTTCTCGGTAGTACTCTCCGCTTGGGCCTTATTCTTTTCCGTAGTATCCTTTCCATTGGCTTGTTCAACATTCGTTTCTCCCTTTTCTTCTTCCTCGTCTTTCTCCATGTTCTCTCTTACCTCGATATCTTCTCTAATCTCAATTCTTTCGCTCTCTTCGTATGACGTTCCATCCTCGTTGACACTTCTTACTGCAGTCTTTACTTCTATTATTCTTTTTTGATGGACCTCAAATTCAGAAGTCAATTCAGGATCTCTGGCCGGGGATTTCCTGGGAGATCTTCTTCTGGCGACGTCGGTTGGCTCCGACACCACTTCAACTGATGGAGCGGCTTCTTTCACTGGAGATTTGGAAAGAGATCTGATTTTTGAAACAGTTGGAAACTCGGGTTCGGACTCTTCAACCACCGTAATTTGAATTTCCTTCACAGGAGACAACCGAGGAGACCTTGAAATAGGAGATCTTGATGGGGAAGACCTGACTTCATGTTCAACCGGTTCCGGAGTTTGTGCTTTGTTCTGAGGAGCAGATAATACTGGTTGTTCTCCACCCTCTGCCCTTTTATCATCCTCGTTACCTTCCACTCCATTTTGCACCTCGTCCTCTTGCTGCTCTTGGAAACTGTAAGTTCTCTCCGTTTCCTCATCCTGATCATCTTCATTCTCAACAATCACAGAATAAGTCGCGTCCTAAATGTAATTTTTATTAAAACCAATAACAAAACAAATAAACAATCTAATATTTCCTATGACTTACAGCCGGTTTCGTGTAAGTTGTGTCTATTGCAGGTTCTTCATTGACTCCGGAAGTTCCAACAGATTCCTCTGGTTCTTTTTCTTCTTCCTTTTTTTCTTCTTCGTCGTCTGAATCTGCATCATCATAATCTCCATATGGATTCGGGGCATTTTCATAAATTTCTTCTTCCTCTTCTCCTTCTGCAGGTGTTTCTTCACTTCCATTTTCCTTATCAATTTTTGATTCCTGAGGTCGGTCAACATTTTCTTTCTGTTCACTTGACAACTCCAAATTATTCTCATCTGGGGATATTTCTCGAGGAGAGAGGCTGACTTCTTCGTCTTGCATCCCAGGAGAAGATTCTTTGGCCCTCTCCTGAGTGTAAAGCTCATCATTTTCGTCATCTGAATTGTTTCCCTCGTCAAAATTCAAGGATCGATCCGGCTCTTCATTGTCGACCGAGTGTTGGGACATCTCAGACGCCGTCGAATCGTCGAATTTCGAGAATTCAGTGAACGAATTCTCAGCATTCTGTGCTCTTCGGCTAAAACAATACAACTAACGAGGGAAGTCGTTCAAATCACAAATAGGTTGAGCTATGAGACCAGTATATTCAGAATCTCCATATTCGAAAACGTTACAGGGTGAAGCAATTTTGGTGTCCGGACCCAGTTTTCGAGGAAATCGACCAAAAAAATTAAACGATTTTTTGAAAGACTGCTTGATTCCAATTTTTCGGGTATCCTCCAACAAAAAAAAACCGTGTTCATTCTTTCCATTTTCATTACCAAAGTTCTTTGGAGACAACCTGTCGCGGCAACCCGGACAAAAGGATTTTGAAAGCGTTCACTCGCCCTCTGCCATTTGGTCCTTGTGCCAAGACTTCATGGTGGATTTTCCAAAACAGGGCCCGGACACCAAAATTGCTTTACCCCTTAGCATTTTCGAACATGGAGGTTCTGAATATACCGGTCTCATAGCTCAACTCATTTGCGAACGACTTCCCTCCTAACACCAGTTCTGGACTTACTTCTCAGCATTTGAAGGGATGTGATGGATCTTCTTGGTCTTTGTAAACTGAATTCTCTGCTCACTGACCGCCTTACTCCTTGTGGAGCCAGTTCTCCTTAGAATCGATGTTGGTTTTGGAGGGGATCGTTTAGTCACTGGCGGCGTCGACATACTTCCAGAGACCGGGGTGGAAGTTTGGGGGTCCAAGACCGTTCTTCTGAATCTGGTAGTTGTATTCGTAGCGAAAATTGAGACCCGTTTCCTGACTGATAATGGAGTCGTCATCTTCTTGATCCTCGCCATATCTTTGGACTAAAATAAACACATACCTATGATCACCCTCATACACTTACCCTCAATGCACTACTAAGAAGAACACCTTCTCTATCCCTCACCGGAGTAGTAGTGGTCTTAACGGAGACTGGAGTAGAAGTCATTGTTCTTCGATGAGATGGTGGGGTGATCTGAGGAAGCAGATAGGAATGCCTGGACGGTGGAGTGACCATTCCCTCATTCTCCTTCTTCTCTTCTGAATCTTGAGAAGGGAATTGGATAGGGATCGGTTCTTCAGGAAATAAACTGTTCATATCTTCATTTAATTGGGTCATCCTTCCAGACAATCCCTTACGAGATGGAATTTCAATGATAGCTGGGCCTGAAGAAGCAGTCAACACCATTCTGGGAACTTCATTTCCTAGAAATAACCATCTAAAATAGAATCATTAACTTACCTTTTTGTCGACATCTCTCCAAAATTTCCGGAGGAAAGGAATTCTTGGAAAAAGCGAACGGGAATTGTTTCTTTATCTTCAATAGATCCAACCTCACCTCCTTCACAAATTCAGGTTCAAATTCGTCAGTTTTGGGTGGTAGCTTTGAAGATAATTTTAAATTTTATTTTGCACTTACCTCAACAAGAAGATCGTATCGTTTTCTGCAGATCATATCTTTGTTGTATTTGGCAACTCCAAAGGGTAACTGGGAATACAATTCGAGCAATTTCACCTTCTCTTCATGAGTTTCACAAGGCATGAACATCAAATCTTTCTCATCAATACATTCCTCCCCATCTTGATCTGACAGTAATTTCAATTCCACCATTCCCGGTGTTTCAGCCAATTTTCCAATAGTGAGAAGTTTGTAATCCGAGCTCCAGACATCAAGCATCTGCTTCATCTTCTCCGAGGTCATGTTCTCGTTTAGGAAATAAGAACAGGCTCGATCAAAGTAGTTCCAATCAGAGTGTTTGTCCACCAAATCAAGATCCTTGGCAAAATATCCAACGATTGAGAGTTTGGCAGCCTCAGAAATGTTGAATAATGGAAGAATGGCAAAGAAATTGAGAAAACATTCAGGTGGATACATCTCAGATCCGAGTTCAACATCCAGAGATTCCTCGATTTCCTCTCGATTGGCTTCATAAATCTCATCCAAAATCTGATGAATCTCCAATTTCACATCCAAATGCCTGGCCATGCTCGATCTCTTAGCAAACTCTAATCTTAATTTGTTCAGAATCTCCACATTTTCTTCGGTTTGTCGTAAAAAGTCTGTATGAATACCAAAAAGATATCCAGAGGCCACCAAAACAAAGTCCGAAGCTACCTTGGCATGCGCTTTAACGCGTGTTAACGCTGCTAAAAAGACATTCAAAATTAATGCTCCCCTTGAGAGGATAACGCACCTTGCTCCAGGTTCAAACTCTCAAACCGATTGGCCAATTCCGAGAAAATCTTAGAAGATCTCCGAAAAACAGACCGGGAATGGGTAAGATACTCAAACGTGGTTTTGGGAATATTCTTGAGAGGTTCCGAGATAATCATAGAGTCTGAAAATAATCGATAAGCTAAACTTCCCTTACGTTCCGACTCTAACTTAGATTTGCATGCTTCCAATTCCTTGAAAAGCCATTTGTCGATAAAAATGAGGATCTCTTTAGGAATCGTGGTGTCCGTCACTATCCTCAACAACCCAAGATAATGATTGTTGAGCAATATTCTGAAGATACAACTCTTCATAACAATATCATTCTGATCAGGAAGAGAATTAGTAAGACCGAGAGCGTAGAGAAAAGACGACGCGTGCTCGGGGTTTTCGAAATGTTCCACAATATCTCTTTCGATCTGACCAACCACCTAAATTACAATAATCAAAACATAAAACCGGCTTACTTGATCTTGAATACAAGTCACATCCATCTGACAGAGTTTGGTAGTAGTGAGAATATCCATAGAAAAGTTGAGAGAAGAGGGATAAAAGAGTTGATCTCTATGGCCTTCAATTGAGGCTGGTCTCTTGAATCTGGTCAAACCAGTAACTAAACCATCCAAAACATCACTCGGTTTGAATGAAATGTTATTAGGAGCCTTGAAGAAAGAGAGGAAACCACATTGACGAGCAGGAGTTCGGTCCGGAATTGGCTCGGCTGGCATTCTTTTAGTGTAATATGCATCCAGATCAAACAAACAGCCCTAAAAATTAATCAAAAATATTCTGATCATACCTTCAAAACCTGAGCCCCATCGATGCTTTCCACATACATGAAGATCATGATGGAGGAATAGCCCTCTACTGGTCCATTGGTCGTATTCAGACTATCTTCTCCATCAACATCATCCGTCAACCCGATCGCGGCTGCTTGTTGTTTGTCGAGGATAACAGCTTTCAATAATACAAGTTCTGAGCAATCTCTGATGATGTAATGGAACCTTCTAATCCATGATATCTCAGTGTTTCCTACGGCTCCAGAGTTGCTGAACAAACAAAGGACATGCTGATTGTCATAGGTTCTACGGATATAGGCCCATAAGAATACACATTTGTCATTGTCATCAACAGAATCCTGCCAAGTCATCTCGAGGACTTCAAACAACTTTCCGATGTAAAGATATCCGCTAAAGTACGTAACATAAAATCGAGGATCCACGAAGAATATCCACCAAAACAAAACTTACACAATTCCGGTCTTTAAGGATGATAACGACACCATTCCATTTGACAATCCAACCGCAATAACTCTCCTTTCATTGACATAACACAATGAAGTGACTTCAGCGCTTTCTAAAACTCAATATCAAGAAAAATTGTAATCTACCTTTCCTAAACGACCCACTTCGCAAATCCGTTGCATATTCTACATTCCCCTGTTCGTCAGGTTCTAAAATCAGAAAATAAAAAAAACAAATTAATTACTTACTTATCAGAGAAACACATTTACTCGGAAATTTGGCGCTATCTTCACAAGGCTCCTCGGGAATGACTCCCATGTGGAACAGAGCTGCATACGACTCTTCGCCACCGACTACCAATACATGAGGATACTTGGCCAAGCCGTTACTTAGACCAGTTGTCTCCTTTATGGCCACTCCATCCACACAAACATGAACATGGGATATTTTAGCATTGAAGAGACAAGCTTTGTGTTGCTTCTTAGTTTGGAAAGAAATAAATGAAACATAATTGGCATCAAGAGCAACATCACGAACTGCGACCAGAGCACCGTCAACTTTCTCTAAACTCAAAAAAAAATTATTTTGTCCGGCAGGGACCAATTTCCTCTACCCTTCGCTTCCTACCCTTCGCTGAAAATGAAAATTTGAATAGAATTTTTTCTCATTTTGGGGGGATTTTCATTCTGGGGTGAGGTTGGTTGACCGCTCTCTCAGAGCTCTCGAAAACCCAAATTTTTGGTAAAAACGCATTGCGAAGAGCGGTGCACATCAACAAGGGTCAGCTATAGCTTGAAAGCTTCAAGTTTTGAATAAAATACGAAACAGATCTGAAATCTACTCTAATCTAAATAAAACTTGACCGTCAAATGGGCCGTTTAGGCCCTTCAGGGTTCGATCCGCGCTGCTTCAAAATATTTTTTTACTTCTCGATTAATACCTCATGGCCTGCCAGTACCTCGCATTTTTTTCAGGTTTATCATGTTTATTATGCTTGTTATGGCCTCTTTGTTTTGTAATTTTTGCAATTTGATGAGAATGAATTACTACTAGTTGCAGGAAAACGGTATTTCAAGCATTCAAAAAATATTCACATGTTGTTTCCTAAATCTTGCGGGTCATAAATAGCATAACAAGCAAAAATAAATCCTAAAAACAAGTTTAACAGTTCAAGCTTATATTTTTCCAGATTAAAAGGGTTTACAATGTGTCTGGCCACGGTAATGACAATGTAATCTCAGTTGTATAAAAAATCCACTCAAAAAGAACTGCGGTACCCTCTTGTTTGACAAATATTGTAATTCATTTATTGAAAACGCCAGCGAAGCCCTCGGAGCTTGTTTATATAACTTCAAGTGAACTTTTAAGTTATGATTCCATGTATTACGACTTGTATTTCTCATGTTCGGAAAAGTTTCCGAGCTCTGAGAGAGCGGTCAACCGACCTCACCCCAGAATGAAAATCCCCCCAAAATGAGAAAAAATTCTATTCAAATTTTCATTTTCAGCGAAGGGTAGGAAGCGAAGGGTAGAGGAAATTGGTCCCAGGTTTCAATAATAAAAATAAAAGCCTTACCATTAACGCGGAAGTACTTGACTGACATTATCGACGCTGTATCGTTGAAATAATAGTTCAGAACGACAGTTGACTGTCGAGCAGAACATCCTTTTTTGTAAACCGTTAGATGATGATTGTGAAAGACAAAAAAATACGTTTTATCCAAATCTAAAAACGATGAATAGTAATAAATCTTGCTTCTACTTACCCTTGGCGTTGAAGAATCCTCCGTTAGTTACAGCGTCCTCCTCAAGATTGAAGGTGTCGTCTTTAAATTCAGATTCCCTGAGTTCTTGAACGACCGAAGAAATAGGTCCGTTGAAGCCTGCACGCCTCATTTTCGGTCGCTAAAACAGAAAAAATCGACCGATAAGAAACACAACCTTTTAACCATAAAAGCTTGTACGCGCGTCGAAATGAAACACCTAAATTTCATAGAAAAATATTATTCTTCCTAAAAGAATTATTAGCTGGATAAAACACTAATAAACCTAGTTCTTCGCTTCTAAAATTGTAAAATCTTTATAAGTAAACAGATGTACAAGAACAACACCCTTTTCCGAACATTCGACACCGACACCTTTTTCGCGCGCCAAAAATTATTTTAGGAATGGGCGCAGCTCGCACATTCCGACAATTGCAGTTTGCAGAAATCTACCGCGAAAATTTGAAAATTCTTTTTACAGGGGAAGTACTCCAAGTGCGATGCTTAGATTTTGATGAAATTTGACACAAATTTAGAATAGTTTTTTCTAAGATATATGCAAGATTCTTGGCTCGCGCTTTGCAGAAACAACCGAGATTTTTAGATCGAAAGTCGGCGAAAATTTAGGACTTTTTGCCGAATTTCGGCACGAAAATTTTCATGCCTACTTCTGCTGTAAAGGATAATGTTTCTATCCTTACACATGTTTTCTGACCGCACGAAGCTGCCAAACTTATGGCCAAAAAGCACTTTTTTTGGTCATAAATCCTCTCTGACAGCCCTCCACGTTTAGCCTGCTCTCTCGGCGGCAAAAATCGTTCGATATCTCGGCGTCGCCCGCAAAGCGCGAGCTAAAAATTTCAGGAATTGATATCTAGTCCATACCCGACGTGTGTGCAAAATTTAAAGAAAATCTGAGCGTCGCACTTGGAGTGCTTCCCCTGTTTGTATTTGTGACACTATGACATAAATATGATTTTTAATGTGATCTTGATGTGTCAAAATTTGTTTCTGATGACAAACATGATGCAAATTTTAGTTTAATAACAACGAAATGACTTCTCCGAATGCATGATTCAGGTATGTTTTCGAGATTACTGTAAATTTTTACACTTATGGACATAAATCAGAGTCCAGAGTGTTGCATATGTCAGAAAGGAGTCAAGATGGATTAATTTGATGGAAAAGGCCGTTCAAAGAAGATCGGGGGCGAGAAGGATAATATTATATTTATTATGATCCCCTCGAGCGCTTTAATTAAGCTTATGACCCGTCTCATATTCTCCTCACGCTTAAACCTTGATCGCGGAGAACAAAAGATCCAAACTCATTTTTCGCATATCTTTAAAGTAAACTTTTTGTTTTACACTACTTTTTACTCCTTTTTACTCGCTTTCACTCTTTGAAACCGCGAGAAAAACAGCTCGAAAAGTCTTGGCCGGTCACTTTTCTGGCCTCTTAATGGCCATTGATACCCTTTAAAACAGGTGGCGGAGAGATTTTAGAAATGTGGGATATCTCGGGATGTGCAATAAATGTTATGATAGGGGGCGGAGATGATGGATCTGTCAATTAGGGATGTCTCGGGCTTTAATCCGACATAAAATTTGATTTTGTTTTTGGCAAACGTTTTTTGCCTGAGGGCAGACTCTTAAGATCGATCCGAGTTAATTCGTTTCTTGTTCTTGGGGGTTTATTTGCAACAAAATTGGTTTGATTTACGAGTTTTATGTCTGATAAGGTTAACAAAGAGTTCTAAAAAATCTACCCTTTAAAATTAATTATACATAAAGAATAAATAACCATTCCTCATAGAGTATTCATAATTATTTTTGGCCTGAGTAATTTCATTCCATAGGCTCACATATTACTTGTGTCACTGTCATTGCATGTCTTGACCGAACATGTCATTCCTAGATTCCTCCAGAATCCACTATACGAATTCCATTCGTGGACTAGATTAGAAATGTTTTGAGCGATGACTAAGTATCGGCGGAATGAATGGGGTGTTATTCCTCCAGATTTATATTCTCTTTACCACATCTGTTACGTAATGTATGGTCTCGAATGTTGCATCGTAAAAGTTGGAATGGAAGAGGCTACTTAAAGAGGGAAATAAGTATTGAAAAATGGGGATCTAAATGTCTATTTTTTTGTTGTTGTTTACTAGTCGCGACATAAAGTCCTGACACATTTTGCACCGTGCATTCTTCTTTCATTTTCATCCGCACGGTGCATCTTTTCGCATTTGTCGCCGCGATTTCCCGTTTTTGCACACTTTCGCGTGCGACAAACCCGAATTTGGGGGCGCGACGTCCAAACCCCGAACTTTCGCACGGTGCAAAATGTGTCAGGAATTTATGGCGCGACTAGTACTTTAATATTTTTTTTACATTAGAGACGTCTAGTGTAAGGTTCTTAAAGACAAATTAATTAAACCTGAACCGTCGTATAATCGAAAACTCCTTTTTGTTACTTCGGTTCTGTCCGAATAAATAATTATTTGGCTGTAAACCCATGCATTATTTTTATTTTATTCCCCCAGGGAAAAGTTTGAATCACCGGTTTTAAGCGTTTTGAGGTCGTTGCAAACCAAGTTTTATATCGGAAAGGCCTAATTATGAGGGCGGGGTCATCCGAGGGATCTCGGAGGAGCGTTAAGGCGTTGCAACGATCTCCGTTAACCGCGTGTCTCCAGCCGGTTTTATGACAACCATGCGGGAGACGACATTGTGATGAGTTTGGCTTTGTTTTAGACTTGAAAGTCTGAAGGGATTTTTTGTAAATAATTTGAAGGGATTTATCCCCGTTTTTAATACAATTTGAGGTCAATTCTTCGTTCTTTTTTCGCTGTTAATTGGATTTGACAAGAGTAGCCAGCCTCAGATCCGTTCTCTACTATGGTAAATAAACCCATCCCTCTCGCCTCAATTGACCATAACAAGCGGGAAATCGGCAGTTCTGGAGGGAATTTGCTCGGGTGCCACCCTTTTATGTGTAGTCAAATTAATCCTTTTCTTGGAGTTTTTAGACCTTCAAATGTAATTCGAAAAAATTTCTCTGTGTCTCCAAAAGCGTAGGGAGTTGTAAATCCATGTTTCCAACATTTTTTGGCCTTTATTTGGCGCCTCAATCCCTTCAAGATTTATGCGTTCGGGCTTTTATCGGTTCCGCCTGGGGCAATAATATGAGAGATGGCCATTCAGTCGGTTTCAAGGACTATTAAACCAATAGTGACCGTGTCTTGAGTCCATTTCAGCCGGATTTAGCAGCCATTTTCTTCTCTGATGTATTTTGAAGATACGAGATTTTTTTTTGTTATTCACTTTGTAATCACATTACTTTTTACAGCCAGAAACATTGAACGACCTTGATTGGACAACTTCTGAAGGCAATTAATTGCCGTCGCCTCCGAATCGCCCCCCAAAAATCGAATTGGGGGAGGCGGAGGCGAAGCGGAGGCGACAGGACGGCGACCGGGCGGAGACGGCACGCTTCTGTCTGGTCGCCGTTCTCGCCCTTTTCCTCTTGGTCGGATCCCTGATCGGACTCGGATTGGCCTTTAAATGGTATTTTGGATGGTCAGCGGAGACAAGATATCCCCAAAAGATACGAGGTAAATACAGTAACCTTTAATCTCAAAAAATTTAAATTGCGCCGTCTAAGAGAGGTCTCTTTTAGTAGATTGTAGCAAATCCTACAATTTTCAGGCATCAAATTATGGCAACAAAGTCTCCCCCATGACAATTAGATTTTCTGAATATGCAAATTATCTCGAACATATGCCTGACAGCCTCTAAGAGGGATTAGTCATCGAAGAGAAAGTCCAACTGTTATTCTAATTGCAGTGCCCATTGCCAGAAACAAATCTCGTGTGAGCAACGGTCGAATTACCAGTGTTTTCCATCAGAATACAGGATGGAAAACAATTACTACCACTGCCACAACTACTACTACAAGTACCATCTCAACGAGTACAATCACAGTATTAACAAAGCCGTTTACCATGCCGAGAGTAAGGATTACCAACTCTCAGATAAAGGATATGTATGACCAATGGAGACCGACAACTCAGAGGCCGATTACAACTACTTATGGGATGCCTAAACGGTAATTTCAACTAAAATTATTATTGCTTACAATAAGTAAATAAACATAATGGTGATTTTAGAAAACAAGTAGTGACCCTTGTAACTGGTCTTTTGGATATTGGACGAGGTCGTTGGAAGACTTATGCCCGTCCTCTCAGTCGCTATCATGTGGCCATGAAAAACGTCCTATCCCTGAAGGTACCCATGATTATATTCACTGATTCCCATTCCATTGAATATGTTATCAAAAAGAGGACTCAACTTGGTCTGATAGATTACACCAGGGTCCACAATATAACCATCAACGACCTTCCACTTAATCAGTACTCGCATTTGTTTCATAGTATTGTGAACGAGGAACAACATGGAGGATGGCAGAGCGATTGGGATCCGGCAATGAAAACTCATCCGGAGGCACACAGTGCTGACTACGACATTGTTGTCAATTCCAAGGCTTACTTCTTGTTCAATGCATCGGCAAGAAATCTATGACAAATATAATGACATTACTTTGATGATTAATAATGGTGTTTTTGCAGAGAGATAATCCCTTCAAGACCGATAACTTTGCCTGGATCGATGCTGGATATGGCCAAGGAGACGAAAGATTTTTCCCGGCTGACTTCCAATGGTATCCGATATTTCCTTCAGGCAAAATCTCCCTTATCAAGGTAAGAATATCCCTCAAACCCCAAGTTATCTTCAGTTAACTCCTTCTTATGACAAACTGAGTAGATATACGGAGAAGGTGTTGTACAGAAGAGACGAGGCTGTAATTTCTGGAGGATTCCTGGCTGGAAACATCAAGACTCTCTCTCGATTTTACTCAGCTTATCATTGGAAAGTAGTGGAGATGTTGGTCCAAAAGAAAATGGTGGACGATGACCAAACAACTCTGGTCCTTCTGATCAACCAACAGCCAAATATGTTCAATATGGTTCATGGGGACTGGCACGACGCGTTCCGATTGTTCTGAATACCGCATGATTTGAGAATTTCCGGTCTTTCACACACTTTGTATGTTATTGTGATTGTATATTGGATACTATGACGAAAACATTGTTAGTAAAAAGTAAAGTAGCATTCATGCTTTTGCGAATAAAGGGAAAACCATTTAGCTATTTTTTGCCTTTCTTAAAATTTCAAAAATTGATGACAATTCAAATTCATTCATTGTGGCAACTTTATGCGAAACAGTCGTTACTAGGCGGATTCCATTAATAAAAACCCTCTTGAGGGACTCGGAAACCATGAACCCTACAAGAAGGAAACACATTGTACAAGGATCTCCTCCCAGTCAGAAGAAGACTAGCAGAGAAACTTTGTCCGTTAAACAAGCCAACAACAAGAAGAAGGTCGGAAGTCTTTTTGATAAACTCAAGATTGGCCGAAAGAAATTCCATTTCAAGAAACTCCCGCCAGAACAAGGGAAAACAAAAGACGAAGGCACGAAGGAGTCCAAAACTGCAAGATTAGTAAAATAAAATTTGAATTATATTTAGGATGACAATGACCATGAACCCACACATGAAGAAGAAGATCAGAAAGCCCCGCATCCCGGATGCCGTCGAGTTATTCCTACAATAAAGGACTGCCGAAGTCCCCCTCCAGAAGAGACCACAGCCTCGACAGAGCATATTGGAGAAATCAAAAAATTAATCGAGGATGGGAAGACTGTTGTGGAATACGAGAAGATCAAGGAAGTGGCCAAGGAATTCGCTTTGGTAAAAGTAGTGAGCCAAAACAAGGTCGTTTAGCATGCTGCCAAATTGACGCCCAAAGGAGCTGTAGAAGAATATCAAACCGAACTCAAGAAGTTTATCCCCTCAGGCATGACCAAACAAAATTTTGAGAAGAACCACCCGAAGAATCGATATAAAGGTGAGTGAAGGATGACCAAATGATGGTCGCTTAGATGTGATCTGTTGTGATCAGGAGCGAGTGAAGCTGAAGGACAGCGCAGGAACTTGTTGTGGAGATTATATCCATGCCAATCATGTCCGAGGCCCCCCTTTAAATCCAAATCAACACTTTATACTTACTCAAGGACCCACTCCTTATACGGTCTCAGACTTCTGGAGGATGGTGAAGCAAGAAAATGTTCAGCAGATCATAATGTTGTGTGAGACTGTAGAAACGAAAAAGCCGAAGTGCTTACAGTACTGGCCTTTGTTCGACAATGATATCATGAAACTGACTGATGCAAGTAAGATGTCATCACTTGTATTATGATTGCTAGATCTCGTGGTTACCAACAAAGGCCGATATCTCCATTGCCCAGGAACGACGACCTCTGTTCTCGAATTGAAGGATACCAGGAATGAGCAGGCCATCAATCTATTCCATCATCAATGGAAATTGTGGCCTGATCGGAGTGTCCCGGACAATCCAGATGGCCTTCTGAAGTTGCTTCAGATGGCACGAGCATGTCCTCAAGGTCATTCTGTCATCATCCATTGCTCAGCAGGGATCGGAAGGACAGGAACAATTATGGCGGCAGAGATGGGGATCCAGACATTCCTTCAGAACAGAACACCAAATGTCTTGCAGATAGTACGCGCACTCAGAGGCCAGTTATTGTAGATTAATATTCAATTCTCGAAGACAATATTACGTAACTGTCCGATTTTAGAGAAGAGAGCTCAATGTGTTCAGACCGATCTTCAATACGCATTCATCTTCAAAATCCTGCTCTGCTGGTTGGAAAAATTAAATCCGGATGCTGAGACCACCAAGGCTCTGGAAGATTTCTTCGAAGGTTTCCAAAATATTGTACAAGCCCTCAGATTTAAAGAGAAATCAGGGCTGAAGGATGCGACGGATAAGAACCGAAAGGGTACCCCTCGAATCACATCATTAGAAAAGACACAGGGTGGTTACCTGGAAACAAGAAACCAAGCAAATTGTGCCAACTCTCTTCCCACCTGCCTTTGATGGATCCGTAAAGAGAGGAAAATAAACTTTTGCTCTAAAATTTTGAACGTTTGACGAATCGGTTTCAACTAACTAAGGTTTCTAAGCCGACAACTTGACGCGTCAGTCACGTTGTCAAATTGCCGTCTTTTTCGCCGTGTGTCCTGTGAAAGAATTTTCATTCAGCCAAAACTACGAAAATGACAGCAATTTGGCGTCATTTTGAAAAATCCTGTCAAATTACATAACAACCCCAATTTTGATGAAATTAATTTATTCGTTTTGAGAGATGCAATAATACAGATCAAATAGGACAATGACAAGAGTAGAACTATGATATTATACAATAGAAATGACTAGTGGCAATAAATAGCGATGGAGATCGAGACGGAATGTGATCAAAACAAGTGAGAGAAACAAGTCAGAAACAACAACAACGATTACAGTACTAGGCACAATCAAAACAACCGCATTCCTTGGCACTGGGGACTTGGACAGTCTTGTTGAAGGAGCCGCAGTTAACAGTAACATCAATCTGAAAGTAGTCGAATTAAAACCAGCTCTCTCTGATTGGCTGGATGCGAATCTTTTCTCTCGCTTGTTTAATTGTAGTGTAAACTGGGGGTTTGATTTACTCGCCAATTAACGTTGTCTATAAGACCCCCACTAGCCCCGTTGTAACACATAATTGTGTGTCATAATGATACGGTAAAAGCGTGACTTTAGTTCTTTTAGATACCCTGAGGGGTTGTTTACGCTCTAAGTGGGCTCTTGGTGTTTACAAGTTTCCCGAAAATTTCGTCGATGAAAGATTGCTGACGAAAAAGGGGCACACACAAAACAGTGACCCCATCTCACTCTCGGAGCCTCCTTTAATATCAAAATTACACTCCGACCTTACCATTTCCACGTCCAACATTCTGCAACATTTCCCGTAGACGCTGAGCTGATTGCCCCTGAGGGGATTGGCGAAGGAAAGGGAGAGACAGAAGCCACTGCAGCGATGCACGAACACGGCCATCAACTCACAACCCGTTTCGTCGATAAGACTTTTGTAACCTAAAAATAACAATCAAGATGAATGGGGCTTGGCGGACGGAGTCATCCATCTTCATGGGTTTTTGATTTGGGCCGTCATCAATTCTCAGCGATGGATTCCTATTTTGGGAGCTGTTTACAAAAATAGCGTACGGCTAGTGTAAAGTGGGACCAGGAAGCATTTGTACTTTAATATTTCCTGTGATCCCTCGGGCGATTTTCCAAATTTAGTCCCTAAACGTGACCCGTTTGTCTTTTTTAGCACTTCTACAATAATGCTGGGAAAAGTCACGTTGCGATGACAATCAAACATCACAGCTAGCCTAAGGGCATTTCGTAATACCGTATTCAAAATCAAAATAAAAATACTTACCGACTTTTTTGCAAGTCGACTTCAGCGCGGCAGCAGAACCCGTCCGAACCAACAAAAAAAATAACAGGAAGAAAAACATGAACATGGAAAAACGGTGAGAGATCAGGCGAATGGCAGAGAATTGCACGGATTTGCGGGAATTGTGACGGGAGAGGCTATAGTTACATTGATTTGTACATCTTGATCCATTGGTGGACTCCGTGGACATCTTGGCATCTTCGAAAGTTGACCCGGGGTGACTCAACTGGGGCTGTTCAATTGGACCGTCGTTTGAAACTTGTTCTCTTAACCCGGGGCATCGGGTGGCGGGCTTCGGCTCGCCATTCACATCCATTCGCAGCGCGACCGATCAATTTTGTTATGATTAATCGAGGATTGGATCCTAAAAATGGTGTGAAGTTGGGGAATCAGCGTTCTACAATCTTCTCGCAAAATTCAGCGAATGAATGCAGCAAAAACAACGAACGCGAGTGACGAGAGAGAGCACGGCCAACACGGAGAGCTCAAACAAAAAAGGAAACGAGGAAAGAGTCAGGGAAGTTTAATAATGTACGAATTGGCTGTTAATGGACGGGGAAATAAACGGGATGGCAGTCAATAAATGACTACTTTCCCATCGATAGGAAGATCAAGAAATAATGGGAAGAATCGAGAAGACCTCTCCACGCTCCAAATCTGATATCAGAAGGGATGATGTGATCTACCACAACATCATCAATCGATACAGATCACGTGGAGCGGAGATCTCGACGGAAACAAGGCCCAGATGATGTCAAGTCGAAATAAATCAAAACAAAAGGAGAGCCAGTTTACAGTCTGTTACAACATGGAAGGGGACCATGGACTTTTGCCCTGAGGCTATAATTTGACGCCATCATGAGTCATCTAATCCCTGATGACCCTGATTCCCCTTAATGCGGATCAGATTTGTGAAACTCGAGCTAGAAGAAGGGGAATGGCCGTAACGTGTCAACTCGGGCGCGGAATCACTCCATCATCCCCATCGCGCGGTCGTTTCATTATTGCTGAGACCCGCAGGCATTGGTTCATGTGATTTAAAACTTTTCTCAGACTCGGCCCATAATAAGTAGTAACTCGGTCAGCAAGTTCGAAAAACGAAACTAATTCGACTACAGTAATTCAATAGCTTGGAAACATCCTCTTGTGATGACGCCCTAAAGACTGGCCACCGATCTCGATGTTCAGGGATTGGAATAAATTTGGAAAAACCCCTACTGTAATTTAATAAACCAAACAATAGAGTCGGAAACAGATGTCATCTACGACTGACGTTGGCCCTAAGATGCTCAGGTTTCTTGGCTGATTGGATTACAAATGTCAAAAATAAGGGAATTGCCTTTGACTCGACTAATAAGGCCATAGTAAAGTAATTATGTCATCTACACAGGAAAACAAAATAATTAAATTAAAGCTTAATTGGGACAACATTCCAAAAGGCTCCAAAAAGGTAGAGCCCAAAATAGGGTCCTAAAATAGAGTTCGGACTATTTATAACGGTCTTCCATGCGTTCCAATGATGCCAATATGAAGAATTAAAAGGAATGGAAAGAAAAACATCTCCAAATCTGGAAGGAATTTGTTTAAAAAACAAATGCAAATATCAATCACCCCTATTCTTGGATTACTCACCCACAAACAAATATAATATTTTGCTATTTGTAAATTTTGGAACTCCCCCCGAGGGCGTTTTTGTTTGCGTCAGAGTGAATCAGGGAATATTCATGCAAATAATCGCTCATGTTTTACGTACAAACCTCGCAAAGAAATATATCCAAAGGGATATTACTGTAATTTGGGAGGGTACAAAGACCTTGTTTGATTATATATAAAGTACTCTTTTTCTCATCAGATATATCACAATGCGCATCAGAAATCATTCAAAATCACGTAAGACCGCGCTGGCATCGGGTTTGATCCAGCGCTTCAGAAGCAGTGTCAATCTGACCCCGAGACAACTTTTTTATCAAATCACGGATCAGAAGCGTTCGTCGAGTTTATATTCTTAAGATTTATGAAACAAAAATAAATACAAAAATAGAATGAGATGGAATGATCGGAATGACAAAGATGATGGATACTGTAACTCACATAGTTTGTCTTGGGATGATTAATGGGACTGGAAAAGGGTCTGGGAAATTGTAATTTGAAAGGATAACCAATAAAAATTAAACAGACTCGAGGTAAAATTGAACAGACTGAGGTAAGGCAAGGTCTTTTAGAGACCACATGGGTCCTGATGCGAAAACCGCGGCCCAAAGTTTTTTCATCAATTTGATTGAAGACCACAAATTCAAAGTTAAAAAGCTCCAAAAATCAAAGCAAACTCCTGAGGGCCGGCTGAAAGTTGATCAGGAGATTAAGCATCTCTCTGCATGGAAATATGGCCTTCGGCAAGACAAATGACACCTCTCAGGCGATATAAATGGCTGCAATTAGTCTTCGGATCAAAGGTTTCTTGTCGTATGTTCTGAATTATTAGATGACGTCCCCTTTCTTTCAATTTACTCGATGAAAAACGTGCTAAGGGAATCTTTTTTCCTCTGCTCGTTCTTTCCCTTTTCCCTAAACTCTTTTTCCATCAATGACCCGTTTATTATATTATACTTTACAGCGAAGATTACACTCGAGAAGCGCTGACAAACCCGATAAACTTGGAGGCGTTATGAACGGGGGATGGTGATAGATCGAATGTTATCAGTAAGAAGATAGGGGTGACGTCATTGGGTGCATTTCGGGGTCGGGGGATCCATGGGAAAATGAGTTTCCAACCGAAACAAACAAACATGCCCGGGGGGAAAATTTGTGGGGAAAAAACAATGTAATGGTGGCAAATGAAATGCCATTTTTGAGGGGGGAAAGGTCTCTGGACTATAGGGAAATAAAGAGGAAAGGAGTAAAAAATATAAATAATATTTACTATCAAGAATGCATTGTCATAGCATTCATGACAGTACCATAGCAAATGTTTGTCGAGTCGTCTACACCTGTTACTTCCCTGAACTTTGTAATTAATTTACTATCAAAATACGCCGTAAGCAATTAAAATTTTTGAATAATTTTAAATTATTTGTACTTCTAAATAGTAATATTTTGCGTAATAAATAAGTAATATTGTCGCGCCATAAAGTCCTGACACATTTTGTCGCGGGTGTCGCGCGAGAAAAGTGGCAAGCTCGCGCGAAAGTGCATGTCGCTAGTGCAAAAACGGGGAATTCCCGCGACGGGTCCGAAAGAAAAACAAAAATGCACAGATGCAAATTTCTCAGAACTTTATGTCAAAGTGCCCTTAATTTCAACAAATATTTGGTCTAATTGCAGTCGAATGTAACTGCATTTCTGAACTTGGCAACCTTTCATTTGTGGCAGATCGGGTATTGGTTCAATATATGGCTCGGGACTTCTAAATCTTTCCGCAAGAGTCCATCCGAACCCTGCAAATTTAGTACAACGTTAAAAGTTGCGCAATCTGACATAACATTGCGCAATTTCTCTCTTTGTAAGGATTTCTGCCTTTCTCTGTCGCCTCCTTCTTTTTTGTCAACTATAAAATGTTTATGCAAATCGCTGAAATATTGATAAAAGTTATCGAATTACAGTAATTTTGGTGAAAAAAAAGAAATTAGCGATAGAAACAGGTACTTAAACACCATCCCGTTTAGCAATTCCATCTTTTTACAGACGTAAAATATAAAATCAATCCAAAATTCTGGAGTGATTAGCCAGATTTCTTATTTTTTAGTCATGAAAAAGTGCGAAACATCCCAAACAAGAGTCTGCATTACATAAATGATTGCGTAAGGCGAAGATACGACCCCTTCTTAAAAGATACGACCCCTCATTCATACGGTCCATTGACCACATTTATCAAAAAAGTACAGTCTGACATCTACATTGCCCTCAATCACACATTTAGGAGCACCAATTTCTTTATAAATACACGAATTAATCGTATTTACTTGCAATACAAATCAAGTATTACATACGCAATCTGAAAAGTGAATTAAACAGCTCCTACGGTAATCAGATTTGTACTATAAATGGAGGTAAAGTATGACATTGAAGCCTACAAACGAGAAAACAGGAGAAAACGTCACCTCAGCCATCTCAAGGCGGGTAAAGACGTTCGAAATTGGAATCTGAAGGGTAGAATTCGGGTATTTGGATATCTTTTGTCCCTTTCTTAGCCCCCGCATTCTCACCGATGATGTAAAATGCATGCATAAAAAAGATTACATTTATTCGGATATTACTCAGGATCATTTAATTGGAGAACTTCAGTTGGGCCACGACGCAGCTAATCTTTTTGGTGGCGTCTTCCCCGTCCTTCATCAGAATTCTCAGTTGGTATGCCTTCTGGAAGTAAATTTATACTTTAAAAAAACGACGATTTGTTTGCTTAGCAGTCTGAGCGTAATATTATGTAATAATGTCATAATATTATCCTCGGCCGACTTTTGCATTTACGAATCAACTTTACAGTATCCCCCGCTAATTCTTTTACGATAACAGCCATCTTAAATGATCACTTACGTCTCCAGTCAGTAGTTTGAGGATTTTGGAATATTTGGACAAGTCCAGTGGCAACAAGAGATCAAGATCTCCACTTTGCAGAGGGCAATTATTCGCAAATTCACAACCATCGATATTTTTTCTAACAAGGAAATTACTTTTATGGGGGCTCCTACTTATTGACGGGACATAACTCAAAATTGTGCTGATCAAAAATAGTGTGTACAAATTAGCTGCCCAATTTTGGGTTTAAGGGTCGAATTGACCCGGATCAACTTTTTTTGAAGTTGAAGGTCTGGAAAATAAATTTTTGCACCAAGACTTATTATTACGTTTTAGAAATTAAAGACACTTAATTTTAAGCTAATAAATTAAAATTTGTAAATCTGTGAAAAAAATGAGCGGAAAGTGGCTTATGTAGGAGTTTATGTCAACTTGCGATTGCTTTTTCACCTTTAAAACCCACGATTGGGCGACTAATTTTTACATATTCAAAATCAGCATGATTCAACGTATTTTTGAGATATGTCCCGTTCAAAAGAAGGAGCCCCCATAAAAGTACTTTTCTTGTAAAAATAAAAATCCATTTTAAGAACAAAGGAATCAGACGCAACCATCGGATCAATACTTTGAATCAATACGTCCATATTGCAAAACTGCTTGATTAGATAGCCAAAGCCTGCATGACAGCCAAAAAAAAAATCGCCTGGCTAGCCAAAAGGTTGTAAATGGCTTGCCAAAAGCCTGCCCCATAGGCACTTACTACACCTTTTTTTGGGTGCCCACCTGTCCTACGTGTGCCATTGGCAGTCTGATTCCTCGCAGTATCCAAAAATGCTGCAACCCCGAGGGTGATAAGAAAAACAAAATACAAAGATTCCCTTACAGTAATCCGAAAGTGGGGATGCTATGCCATTTGCAGTTGGAATCAGTCCAACTGCTACTGTATTGCGCCAATTCCACGTCGACCTTGTTACTGTTTATCTGCAAATTCCTATATTTCAGTTGCATATTTTTTTCATGTATCAGCAGCCCAACTAAAGATTACGATCTTATCATCCCATTAATTATTTTTTCTTACCGCAACTCCATTATTGACAGATTTTAACTTTATTAACAGAGGCACAGTCACATTTACTGGATAGATTTCTTTGTTACTCAATCGGTCATAAACAGCCGCAGAACGGACTTGGATTTGCATGGCTAAAACGAATATTACATGTAATGTAAAGGTGCTTACTGCCATCACAATTGTAGGTATAGAACTTAGTGTCAGTTTGGTTGGGGAATGGACAAGTGGCCAATTTGTTGACATCATTGGTCAACGGAGGGAAGGCCAGAGTCAGTGGGAGAAGGGAGGCAAGCAAGATAATAGTATTCATCTTGGAACAATCACAAACAGGAGTCCCTCTCTTCTTTTGTACCTTCCTTATCAGTGCCAAGAGCCCATCATTTCGAAGCCGGCCCTTTTTTGCAATAATTTCATTTCAATTTTAATCGCCTACACCTTGAAATTTAATTTAATTTTGAAGGTTGGATCACCAATTCGATGATAATATGGTGCCACTAATGGGTTTCGTTTTAAATTACAACTGATAATCATAGAAGACTGACCCTCGAACCTTTCTTTTGATTATCAACAGGAATTTAATAACAAGTCAATCCAACGTTTAACAAGGCGTGGCATATTGGACCCAACATAAATAATATACATTTATCGCCAAAGTTTCGAATAAAAAAATTTCAATACTCTATTATGGTGGAGGCTTCCCATTCTGAGGTTGTTGATGATCTCTACAGTTTTGTGCAATGAAATTCAAAAGTTTTTCTTTGGTTACTGGATATAAAATACAGTTCCAAACAGAAGATGCCGTTGTGAATGCGTTGGGGAATGACTTGTCTGTTCGCTCTCGCTCAATCCTCCATTCTCCATGGGGCGTTGCACTGTCTCGCTGTAATAAAAAAAGATGTAAAGATTGTGAACTTAAAACCGGAGACTAACTATCAAAAGACATACCACAAAATTGCATTCAATGATCTTATTATCGTATTGGACTAATTTCTTGAGCGGTCTTGTTCTCGCAAACTCTACCAAATTCCCACGATCTTGTACTAGAAGAACAGCTTGTGTCTCTCCCAGATTATTGGCCCCTACTGGATTCCTTCTGATCTGAAGTCTGAAGTCGATTGTCTGTTGATGGGGAGGTTTCCATTTGAGCAATTTATCAAATCGACCAGGGACATAAGGCTATACAATAAATAAGTGTTCTATGAGAACTTACTTCATCATAAGGTTGGAAGATGAGACCATCCACTTCATGAGACATTCCACTTTGGAATTTGGGTTCCAATAGTTTATAAGTGTAAAAGACGAAGAAGAAGTCTTTCCGACGAATGCCAATGGATTCATCTGCTCGATTTAAGACGCCTGTTTCAAATGCTTTTTTCTTCGGTTTGATCAGATATTCTTCGATCATCTGGAAACGGTCCTTAAACCTCAGCTGACCAATATCCTTTTCCTAAAACATAGTTTGTGATGTGAACGCCTTGAGGTCGGAATAATTTTAAATGTTATTTTACCTCATAATATATAAGATCGTAGACTAGAAGCCTCGGAAATATCCTTTGGACGAGCCCTTCGTTCACTTTATCTATCACCATCTCGGCATCCACAAGGCAGTTCTTTAGAGGAGCATTGGTCTTATAATTCACGAATCCCATGTCACTAATCAAGAAGACATTCTCATCACGATCTAGAGCATAAACTTCGTGATCGTCCTTTATATAGACCAAGTATCTGACTCCATCCGCCTTCCAAGAGACCATATATCTCGCTTGAGCTAAGAATTGAAGATTATTCAGTTGAGGTGAATGTTCCAACGAGACAGGTTGAGATCCAGGGAATTCCTTTCGTTTCCAGTGACACAATTCTCTAACAGTTTTAATTATTTGCATTCTTAGCTCGGGATCTTCCACATAAGTAACAGATGGAACTTGCCCATCCATAAATTGCTTCTTCCCTTTCCCTAAAAAATATCTAAACGCTCTAAATGATGCCCTACCCTTGCCATTTGCACAATTCAGCTGTCCCGAGGCACTCTTTTCCTCGACCATTTTACTCTCATCTTCCCATAGAGGTCTACCTGGCCCAATTAATTCATCACCGCCACCGTATCTGTCAGCGAGGTCCCTTAGATAATCATTCTTGTAGATTCCATCAGGTCTTGCCTTTGCAAACTCTTGCACGGCTATAGCTATATCATCTCCACACTCATCAACAAGATAAGCACATATCAGAAATCCAGTACGATTAAATCCGTGGGTACAGTGGATAACAATCAAATCATCCTCATTCGTCTAAACAAATGATTTATCAAACGTATCCCTACATCTCTGAACTTCTTAACAATGTTGATAAATCTTTCCGTTTCTTCTGGAGTTGGAGATTGACCATGGCCAGTCAACGGAAGCCAGATATATTTTATTCCCTTATCCTCAACCTAAAAATAAACGAAATTTTTAAATTTAATTTTTACTTACCTCCGCCGGATTGTAGTACCTCTTAGTTTTAGTCAGATTTATCCACAGTCCAATCTTGTTGTCGGGTTTTCCACACAATTCGGGCCCCTTCTCCAAAATGTCATCGGGATGAAAGAACTGAGCGATGTCAATCAAGTGATCATATTTCTTGTCCAAAGGAGTCTTTGTTGGGAGAAATCCTCTAATTTCCTAAAATAGAGAAAGTGAAAATTCTTCAAATTATACCCGATGTTTACTGAAAAGAAAAAAACTACCTTTCCCATTGGTGGACAGAATGCCCATCTCTGTGGAATGCCGAGGTTCACGTCCGTGTCAGTAATAACATATTTATTACCTTGAAATGAAATAACAAAGAGAAAGGAAAACTTACTTGTACCATTTAGACGGGCTTTCTTTGGCGTTGTCGGACCAAAATCGTTTGAGTCACCCATGATTTATAACCTGTAAGTCGAAAAGTTAATTGGATCAGTCAACATCTTACATAAATTCTTTTAGCGAGAAATCGATCCAAGCATATTTCACGCAGATTTTTTTATATATCCCTTTCTCCAGAAAATGTATCAGCGCGACAGAATTATGCAGCCGATATATAATTGAAATAATAAATATCTCGGACTATGTATGAACTACACGGTTTACGCATTAATGCAATATTGTGTTACTACTAAGAAACCAACGCTTGTAAAAGGTGTCACGATGACGGAATTTTTAGAATTCTTGAACGAAATGTCAAAGCTTTTGAAGGCCTGAACAGAGGAACTCAATAGTCGTGATTCGAGCAAATCTTCTGCGCAAAACAGTAAATTCTTTTCAGTCGAATTTATGAAGTGTTTTACAATGTTTTTTGTGATGAGGTGACTGAACTTTTCCTTGTCATATTTTCATATTGCTGTCTGCATTTTGAACGCTCCCGCGATATCCTTCTCTTCTAAAAATTGATTTTCACTTTGCTCAGTTGATAATGTTAAAACAAAGTGTTTATGCTTTATCTCAACGTATTTTGTTTCAGGGTTTATTTGAGTTCGACTCGCCGATCCTCAAATTAATTTCTCCATTAAATTTGCATACGTGCGAGACAATCAGTTCGTTTTTTCTTTTGTCAGTTGATTGAAGAAGAGTAAAGTGGCTGAAGATGTCGGCCAAATCGAATCAACAACTCCCTCCCAAGGAGATGGCCTTATTTAGGAAGACTGTGGTGAGTATTTGTACTATTTGTGATCTACTCTTGTTGGGGTTCAAAGCATTATTTTCAGCGGTCGTATGAGCAAAAACAATATAAACAAGCGCTCCGATGCACGAAACAGATTTTAGCTAATCCACATTTTTCGGAGCACGGTGGTAATTGCCTTTACACATATATTTTTCTGTTTTTTATATAACAATTTTACTGCGTTTTCTTTCCAGAGACATTATGTATGCGAGGTTTGATCCTAAATTGCATTGGAAAGCATGAAGAAGCCATGGATATCGTCAAACGAGGACTCAAGGCCGATCTCAAGTCATACGTCTGTTGGCATGTTTACGGTCAAGTCCATAGAAGTGACAAACAATATGAAATGGCCATGAAGGCCTACAAAAGAGCCTTGAGTTTGGATTCGGAAAACCTTCAGATCCTCAGAGATCTCGGCCTTCTTCAGATTCAGATGAGGGATTACATTGGATACAGGGTAAACGATATTATCTAGTTGCATGGTATCTCTTGTAGGATACTCGTTATCAATTATTGGTGGTTCGACCTCAGAACAAGGCTCATTGGGTAGGATATGCCAATGCATGTCAGATGATGGGTGATCACGATACTGCCCTTCGGGTGATCAATGATGTCTTCAAAACACTTAAAGTGCGTAATTTTATTTTTCTTTTTGAAATTTTAGAACAACGAATCGGAAAGGGGTGACCTGACTCTATATAAAGTGTCATTGTTGGTCGAATCCAAGAAACTGAATGATGCTTTGAACGTTTTGGAAGAGAATGCGGCCATTATTCCCGATAAGTTAACTTATCTCGAGACTAGAGCCGACCTTCTGTTTAAAGTCGGCAAAATCGCTGATTCTCAAAAAGCTTACGAATGGCTTCTGAAGAGGAATCCGGATAACGTTGATTATATGAAGAGAATTGAGGAATGTATTAGACTTCGTAAGTTTGTGAACAGGAACATTATTTGTTTAAATTACAGGGTGGGCCACTCGAAACTGACAAGTTGTTTCTTTGAATTTCTCCGCGGAGACTCCGCCGATTTTTCTAAAATTTAGATTTTTCTGGAGCTGAGACCCGCCATTTTCAATCGACTGAAATTCAAAAAAATATATTTTGAATTGACCTTTCCATGCCTTCTCAAAGTTTTGAAAAATTATTTGCAGGCCGAAACCGCTAAAACTTTGAAAATTTTTGGAATGATTTTCAATTGACATTCTCGGACTTGGAAAATTTTTGGTTTTTTTTGGGGGAAATGGCGGAGTAAAAAGTTGCTAGTGCTCGCCTTAATCTTGTTTAAAGCAAGTTGAAAGACACAAGAGGGTTGTTTGTATTACCATTAGGGCACGAACATACAAAAAAAAAAGATTTCAAAAAGATTGAAAAATTCGGCGTCAATGGTTATCGAGTCAGGCCTGGGGCATCTTGAAGCTTAGAACCCGGCCTGATTGAAGTTTTAACTTTAAAAACCATATCCACAATACGCAATTAAAGCTGCGCATGACTCTCAAAGGCACTGCAAGTTTGTGATGTTAGAGGAGGTGGGCATAATAACTCAGAGAGAGGCATTAATAATCAGATGGTTAAATAAAATTGTTTTCGGAACAATATTTGATAACTATCTGACGTGAGGTAAAACAAAGAAAATTTCACCCAAGAACTCGGAAAAATGACCAAATTTTCAAAATCATTCCAAAAATTTTCAAAGTTTTAGCGGTTTCGGCCTGCAAATAATTTTTCAAAACTTTGAGAAGGCATGGAAAGGTCAATTCAAAATATATTTTTTTGAAATTCAGTCGATTGAAAATGGCGGGTCTCAGCTCCAGAAAAATCTGAATTTTAGAAAAATCGGCGGAGTCTCCGCGGAGAAATTCAAAGAAACAACTTGTCAGTTTCGAGTGGCCCACCCTGTATTTATTATTTCAGTTGATAATGAGAATGCAGAGAAAGTGATTAAAGAATTCTACGAAGAACAAATCAAGGCCAATCCTCGAACGAGAATTCTGAAGATCCGCCTGCTGCTCCATATTCGTAATTCCGAAGATTTTAGAGATGAATTTGTTAAATTCTTGGTTTCTGGACTTCGGTCTGGTCTTCCATCCTTGTTTACTTGTCTTTCGGCATTCTATGAAGATCCCAGCAAGGTAAGTACTTGTTATCCACCAATTATTTTCTTTTAATTTTAGATGGCTTTTGTGGAAACTTTCTTGGTTGATTTTGTCCGGAAATCGAATGAGTTCGGATATGAAAAAGCATCGCTGGACGGCTCGCCTCATCCAGAATTGCCCATTACTATTGTTTGGGTGTGGTATTATCTTGCACAGCAGGTACTTCTCCAAAAAAGGTACGATGATGCGTTGGGTTTCATTAAGAACGCCATTAATCACACCCCAACTCTAGTCGATCTTTATACCCTCAAGGCTAAGATTTTGAAAAAGAAAGGAGATCTCGCGGTAAGTAAAAATTTTTAAATTTTGATTAGTGATTTTTGTGATTTAGGCAGCTGCCGTCGAAATGGAGGATGCTCAAAGTATGGACACTGCTGACAGATATTTGAATTGTTTGGCTACGAAATATTTTTTGAAGACTGGTCGAATGAGTGATGCCGCCAAAATGTGTGAGAAATTCACAAGAGAAGGAATGAAATCTGAAGATGCACTGCAAGAAATGCAATGTTTGTGGTATCCATGGGCTGCGGCTAAGGCACACCGAGCCAAGGGAGAGCTTGGAGAGGCCTTGAAACGATGCCATCAAATCGAAAGGGTATGGAATTGTTGTTTCCGAGTTTGTCATTCTGTAAAGAGAAGCATTGCTAAAGTTTTTTTAGATAATAACATCGTTCTACGAAGAACAGTATGATTTCCACACCTACTGCGTCCGCAAATGTTTCATGACTCCCTATGTTTCAATGCTACACTACCTCGACCGTATCCATTCAAATCCGTTTTACGTTAAGGCGGCAAAATTGGCTGCAGAAATTTATCTAGACCTAGCTGAACATCCAAATGGAATCCCTGATAAGAAGGATGAGCTGGAGTTGCAGAATCCCGACCTTAGCCCGTCAGAATTGAAGAAATTAAGAAGGAAACAGAATAAACAGAAAGCTCAAGAAGAAGAAAAATTAGCCAAAGAACAGCAGAATAATAAGGATAAGAATCAGAAGAGGAAACCTCTGGATGGAGAAGCTGATGTTGTTGATGGATCTCCTCTAGATCCCAAGAAATTGGTTGCTACCAACACTCCTTTAGATGAAGCCGCCAAGTTAATTCATCCTATTATTCTAAGTGGGACTGATTCTCCCAGTTTTTACGCTACTGCTTTCCGTTTATATCAATTGAAAGACAAGGTAAATTTTTGCCATTAACTGGAGTATTTCCTTATTTTAAGCCTCTTCTTATGCTCAAATCGTTGAAAGCACTGTCGAAGCTCGGCGACAAGGATTCAATTGACAAGTTAACCAAAGAAATGGAAAATTACGGTAATATATTGCCTTTTTCTTGATTTAAATCGTATTTGCTAGGTATTATCCGTATTTTTTCAGTCAAAGCGAAATCTGAGAATCTGGATGGTCCGGTGAAAACAACCATTGACGAAATCCTACTCCAAATCAAAGGCCAGTCCGTCAACCACAGGATGAAAACCTTGGAATTAAACGGGACCAGCCGCTAATTCACCTCCGAATACGGTAACGCGTCTGAAGATATCTCTGTTTGTTTATTTTGTTGGAGCACTCCGATAAATTGTTTAATTAGGTATTATTTGATTGTCTTAAATCGAGATGGCCGTGCTCCTCTCTTCTCCTTTGCTCTCATGTCTCCCGTTTCCATCATTTGGGTCCATTCTCGGGTTGAATTCTTTAGTCGTTGTCTTGACCACATCATTGAACCTGAGGCAACTGACGTGTTTTGGCATCTTATTTACCTAAATTACCATCAACTTATTGTTGATGTCTACGGATCTTCTCTATTACGTCGTTCCTAGGTCTCGGAGTCAATAAACGTTCCCTCTTCTTTCCAAAGTCCCTGATATTACGCATCCTGGTGCCCTCCAGAGAATATCAGCAGGAATTATCGCCCTTGCTCCGTCGTGGTATCTCCTTGCTATTTTGTGACATTTTGTTTTCCTTATTTTCGCTAAATTCAGATGCCTCTTTATTAAAATAAATTTAAAACCGAAATGGAGATCGTATTGCAGTTGTTGTCATATATACAGTCATCACAAAGTAAACTATTCTAAGGCAGTGCTTTAACTTAATATCCTGGGGCCGTCTTTGCGGGAGGGCAATGATCGCAGCTTCCGTCTCGACCAGTCTGACCATTAGTTCCGTTCTCTCCATTAGCCCCATCATACCCTGGAGGACCTTGTTCCCCAAGATCTCCAATGGGTCCAGGAGGTCCTCGAGGGCCGGGGAATCCTTCTATTCCAGGTGGACCAGGCTCTCCTTTCTCTCCGACTGGTCCTTGACGACCAGCTGGGCCAATTCGAGGAGGAGTATCAACGAGACGGCCAGGATGACCGGGATTTCCAAGATTTCCATCCTGTCCTGGTGGTCCCATCGGCCCTGGAGAACCTGGTGGGCCCAAAGGCCCAGGCTGGGCTTTAGGTGATGGATGCCCGGCAAGCCCACGCTGACCAAGGGGACCCGCAGGACCAGGCTTTCCAGGGGGTCCTTGATCACCCGGAGGGCAGTCAAAGCACCAATTAGGTGGTGCTCGGGGAGAGGGAGGCTTTCCATCTTCACCATCCTTTCCGGAAGGACCGGGAAGACCCTCTGGACCGGCTTCTCCTTCGGCCCCTGGAGGACCTGGAGGTCCTTTTGGAGACACTCCGCAACTACAACATTTCTTCTCGACATCGGCTATGATTTTGCTTCCGGCTTTGGCCTGTGACAAAATGTTGGTGACAGGCTCACTGTCGGCTGAGAAGGAGATAGACGAAGCACGTTTGGAACGGGTGAATTTCTTAGATAATTCCTAAAAATTTTATGCGTACTATGATCAACAGCTCTAGTAATAAAGACTTACCTGTGTTCTCACAACCTCATCGAGGATGTTGTGCGACCTTCCTTTGCAGAAATCCAATTCATGTTGCATCCTCACTTCCATGTACTGCATCCGTTCGTAGATTGTGGGAATAGCCAGAACAATCATCAGTAAGGAGATTGTGGAGAAAGCGACGCCAAAGACGACCAATGGCCTCAGATTGTCGGCCTCTTCCTTCTGGCCATGCGTCTCCTTCTCGGTCATGATGTTAAGGGAGAGTAAAGACTCGTTGAATAGGTTTCAGTCGACTTTTATATGACCTCAGCGTTTTTTTGCGAGATGTCAAGGCGGGTTTCATCGACGGACGAAAGACAATGAAAGTGGATCTAGTCAAAACTTTTTTGTTGTCCCCAAAAAAACGATTGCGCAATTGAAAAAGAAAAGAAAATCTAAGCTTTTTAAATGTTGTGCGCATTAACAGACGAAAAATGGGCAATAGCTATATGACATGAGAGAGTTGATGGAATGAAAGCCCGCGAGGATTTTAGTGGATTCAGAGAGGCTCGGTGTGAAACTGAGTGATTAACATCTTAAGGCGTAATTTCTTGATGGGAAGTTTTTGAAAAACAATAATTGGAAACACGACAAGGATGACGTCATTTGCCGTTTATGACAAACTGAGAACTATCTTGCCAAAAATTGAAATTAGGAAATCAACTATTCTTCGAAAACTCTTTTTAAAGAAACGCCATGCTTCCGTTCAATTATGGCTGAGGGAAGGAAGACAAAAATAAATTCCATATAGCTATTTACGGCTGGCCTAAGAATGAAAACTTTTATCCCTTTTGGCAAGGGTAACGGCCGTGTAACACAGCAGCGGTAATGCCAAGGTTGGTATCTATTGCAAGACTTAAACAAATAATCAAAAGTTTTTGGAAGTGCAAAAATTTCTTTGCAAAGAATGACCGGGAAATTAATTCGCCCATATTTCAGCTCAAGGACACTAAAGGTCTTCAAATTTATTGTACAGGGTGTTTCAAGAAATTTGGAACAAATGATTTGCTTATATCTTTATGTTCTTTGCAGCTATCAACAAATTTCTTTTTGCTTCTAAAAATTGACAGCGTGCGTTTTTAGAATCTCAAAAAAATTTTTTTTTCGTCGGCGGAGGGCCCATTTCTCGGCGGAGAAAATTAGGGCCTTTTTTAAAAATCACAGCGTATTACGTGGCGGAAACGCCGTTGCAACGGCTGAAATCAAGTTGTAATTCCTCCATCGATTTTACGGTATGCTTTTTTTGCGTTTTCGATTTTACGCACTTCCGCGAATGCGCGGCGCAGACCCCAGATTTCGGCGGACGTTGTTTGGGGCCTTTGGCTTTTGCAATTCATGTTGGAAAAGGAGGTTTGGGTGATTTTTTGTTGTCATCCGATGCACAGATGGCAAAAATTTCGTGCTTTTTATCCCCGGCGGAGGAGTCGGCGGAGGCTTTAACAAAGGGTAAAAACAAAACTCCGCCGATTTGTCCGCCGGACCAAAAAAATCAAAAATCTTTGAAAGACAATGCTGCTCTGATGGATTCTTGTAGCTGAGATTTTTCTCGTAAGACAGCTTTGACCCTTTGATAAAGCCTCCGCCGAATCCTCCGCCGGGGAAAAGAAGCACGAAATTTTTGCCATCTGTGCATCGGATGACAACAAAAAATCACCCAAACCTCCTTTTCCAACATGAATTGCAAAAGCCAAAGGCCCCAAACAACGTCCGCCGAAATCTGGGGTCTGCGCCGCGCATTCGCGGAAGTGCGTAAAATCGAAAACGCAAAAAAAGCATACCGTAAAATCGATGGAGGAATTACAACTTGATTTCAGCCGTTGCAACGGCGTTTCCGCCACGTAATACGCTGTGATTTTTAAAAAAGGCCCTAATTTTCTCCGCCGAGAAATGGGCCCTCCGCCGACGAAAAAAAAATTTTTTTGAGATTCTGAAAACGCACGCTGTCAATTTTTAGAAGCAAAAAGAAATTCGTTGATAGCTGCAAAGAACACAAAGATATAAGCAAATCATTTGTTCCAAATTTCTTGAAACACCCTGTATATAAAGTACGTGCTATTAACTTCGTAACGGCCGACGGAATCAGGTTTGCCGGCTGATCTGGCGGCGCTGGTCGCGGAAACAAAAAAACCAAAAAATTCGGATTTTTGTGCTTTTAAGGCTCTCAGCGGCAGGGTATCGCTCATGTTGTATTCCCGTGAAACTTGAAAGGTTTTGGCAGTTTGCCACAAATTGGAAAGGAGTTGAGCGTAAAAACCAACGTAGCTTTGTATACTAGATACGTGCTGGTATAGGCGAATAACTTTTGCAATCTCTAGTCCAAGCGCACTCCAAGAGTGACCATAGAGTAGATTAAGCCGTGTAATTTATGATTAGGCAAAATCGATTTTACTGTATAAAAAGCGACTGCCGCTCTACCATAAAAAAAATTCCAGCCCATAGCATGCAACGGTAAAGACAGCGTAACCATTTTTTTAACCAATTTGGGGTCCGTATTCGTTTGATTACCAGTCAACCGGATGTCTAACTTTGACTATATAAATCTGGAATTAAAATTCAACGAAGCGTCTTCGCTATGTTTTAATCTTGGAATTCGCCCTCAACACAACATAAAAACAGGCTGTTTTACGTCAAAAGTCTTAGGAAAATATTTTTCTCTGCGGCCATGGAAAAAATTGGTCACAGTTTGGCACGTCCGATGATGTTCAAGGGAATTTCTTAAAACCTTGGTTCATGTTTAGTTTGTTTATGACACATGTTGGCTATCTATTTTCTACTTTAGTGCGTAGGGAATGTCGACATTGTAGACTGTCCCCAATACCCCCTAAATTAACCCCATTTTATGTGTTATATTTCATGTTTCCTCATCTTCCTCCTTTTTTTGGTTTCGGCCACTAGGATCTTTCAAACACGTCTTTACAATCAGAATCAATCAGTCCTCCAAAGTCGCGCGACCGACATCCAGAGGCTCAGAGCCCTCCCGAGGCCCGAAAAGGTCCCTTTACCGGCCGCCAAGTAGCAGATCTGACTCTCTTTGGCTATTTTAATGCGAAACGTTTGAAGTTCGCTAATCCTTTTTTTATTTTGTATCTGTCTTGTATTTTAGCGTTAAAAGCCTCTTGATTACTTTATTTTAATCCTCTTTAATCAAAGATTTTTTTGGGGGAATTTTTGATTAAAAATTTTAATTTTTGCGCAAATCAACCTTCAATCGAACTTAAAAAATTAGTGTTCGTTGCGACCCGTTGATTTATTATTTGTCACATTGCCACCGCTTTCATTCGAATTTACGTCCGATTTGCATTCAAATGCTACAGAAAGGACTCTAATCGCATCCTTTTATGGAAGAAAGCCTCCATAGGGCCCGAGGGCATGCGTTCTCATCCACACTTCAATCCACACAAACTCCAAATCCCGTCAGAAACGCGAACCTCAAAGAACCGCCACAATTTTGCAAAAAACGCTTTAGACTCGGGTCAACTGTTTTCCATGTCTTATCCGGGTATGGTCAACTGTTCCATTTCAATCGAAGGCTCCAAACTGGGAGATTGGAAGAATTTTAAAGTAATAGAACTGAATCAAACATTTGACTTATCGAACCCCTGAACTCTTTTCATATATTTTTACATTTTTTTATGTTATGTTTCGCATATTTTTTTTTCAAATCAGTCTTTTGTCAGTTAGCGTGAAACCACAAATGAACGGAAAAAAGAGTTCTTGATTTCTGATAAGAAGCTACGATTTATTTTTAGATTATTGCGTGTAATTGTTGAATGAAGAACAATGACCACAACTGAGAATTCCTCGCCATCTACTGCCGAAGCTAACAATAAACTGCCGGATGATATAAAGGATACAAGTAATGACAGTACGGAGTACAACTTATCTGGTGGGTCCTCTTGTCTTTAATAGGCATTTTCGTAGCGCAAAGTTATGTCGATTAACATTTTAGACTCTCAGAGTGTGAACGAATCAATTGAAAATGGGGTTAATGGCTATATGCGTGAGTTATCCATCATTTTTTGGTTAAACAATACCTTAATTTTCAGAAAGTCAGCCATCCATAAGTACAGAAGAAGACTTCAACGAATGCATCGAACATTGTATGGTCATTTATGACTTTACAACAGATCCTCTGTCTGATCTCAGGAAGAAAGAAACAAAAAGAAATGCATTAAATGCCCTTATAGATTATGTTACGATGTCACAAAAGCCGTTCTCGGATAATGTCCATAAAAGATCGGTGGGGTTGGTAGGTTTATTCCACACAAGGTGTATTATTTGTTTAGTTTTCCCATAATTGTTTTCGAATCCTTGGACCTCCTTCAAACTCAGGAGTTGAGTTTGATCCGGAAGAAGATGAGCCTGTTCTTGAAGCGAGTTGGCCTCATTTACAAGTAAGTTCAACTTTCTTGCATGTATTATCCGACTTCAGTTAGTGTACGACTTCTTCCTACGATTCGTTGAGTCTCAGTCTTTCCAAGTGCCTATCGCTAAAAAGTATATTGACCAGAAGTTTATAGTTCAGGTGAGTAATCATGTATTCTTAACGTTTGCTTTTTAGCTTCTCGAATTGTTTGACAGTGAAGATATCAGGGAGCGCGATTTTTTAAAAACAATTTTACATCGAATTTACGGGAAATTTTTGAACCTCCGGTCATTCACGAGACAACAGATAAATAATATTTTCTACACATTTATCTACGAAACAGAAAGACACAATGGGATTGCCGAATTGTTGGAAATATTAGGAAGCATAATTAACGGATTCAGTGTCCCGCTAAAAGAAGAACATGTTACTTTTCTATTACGAGTACTGTTGCCTTTACACAAAGTAAGACAAACTACTTTTTCTAATTACTGTCTAGGCCAAATCTCTCATTAATTATCATGCCCAATTGGCTTACTGTGTTGTGCAATTTATCGATAAGGACGTCGCTCTAACCGAAAGTGTTGTACATTCATTACTCAAATACTGGCCAAAAGTAGCGAGTCCAAAAGAAGTAATGCTTTTAAATGAATTGGAAGAAGTTCTCGATGTCATGGAACCTCCTGAGTTTAAGAAAGTAATGGTGCCCTTGTTTTATCAACTCTCTCGATGCGTTTCCTCGCCTCATTTCCAGGCAAGGAATTCAAATTTGACCGTATTTCGATGTTTAGGTTGCGGAAAGAGCGCTTTATTTCTGGAATAATGAATGCATAATGGCTCTGGTCAGCGAAAACATTGAAACGATATTACCTATCATGTTCCCATGTCTATACCGCAATTCGAAAACACATTGGAATAAGTAAGCTGAATATTTATTGATTTTATTTTGAGTTCAGAACAATACATGGCTTCATTTACAATGCGCTGAAAATGTTTATGGAGGAAGACCAGAAGTTGTTTGATCTTTGTACTCAAAATTACAACAAACAACTACAGGCGGAAACATCAGTCGAAGAAGAAAGAGAACAAAAATGGAAAAAGTTGGAAGAGAAGGCCAAAACTAATCCCCAGGTGAGTTGATTTGTTTGGTTTTGCTTATCATGACGTTATAACGCGTTATAATCATTGTGGGTTTTTCTATTTATTTGGTAATTTCAATGAAAAGCTAATGGTTTTTAGTTCTTTCAGTATATTGAATTCAAAATGGAGGCCCTAAATGTACAGTAATTCCCTCATTTTTAACCGTTATATTTTCTGTATAAAATGCTAATGTATTTATTGTCAACTGTCGTATTATTCTTACTTTCACTGTGTTTTGATCACCTCACTTTTCTTAGCTATGACATGACTAAGAACTGTATATATTGGCTTTGGCCTCCGAGCGGCAATAACGGTTCCAAAGGGCTGAGACTAAGCCTCAATAAACTAAACTGACAGGGGAAGTACCCCAAGTGCGCCGCTCAGATTTTCTTTAGATTTTGCGCACACTTCGGGCATAGACTAAATATCAATTCCTGAAAGTCTTAGCTCGCGCTTTGCAAGCGCCGCCGAGATGTTCAACTATCTTTGCGGCCGAGAGAGTACGTCCAACGCGGAGAGCGGTCAGAGAGAAAAACGCTTTTTGGCCATAACTTTGGCAGTTTCGTGCGGAAAAAATTAATTTTTTGTGGAAACATTAAACCTTACGGTAGAAGTAGGGATGCAACTTTTGGTGCTGAAATTCGACAAAAAGTCAAAAATTTTCTTTGACTTTCGATCTAAAAATCTCGGTTGTTCTTGCAAAGCGCGAGCTAGGATTCTCGCATATATTTTAGAAAAAATTGATCTAAATTTGTGACAAGTTTCATCAAAATCTGAGCGTCGCACTTGGGGTACTTCCCCTGTGAGCTTCGCCCGGACGCTAAGCGAGCAAAAATCATAGAATGAAATACGACGGAACGGCGTGCCGAAGTGCAATCCATGTCTGCTCTTACTAACCAATATCAAAGAAGGCTTCACATTAATATAGGATTAGAAGTAGTTGAAATCAAGGAAAAACTCGAGCTGTACATTTAGTAACCGTAATTTAAAACCTATCTGTCCTGATTGATTGATCTTCCTGTCCTCATCTGTAATATCTTTTCTTCTCTGTTCCCTTTCTGGCCGTTACGAGTAATAAATGAACCTAATAATATGAACGGAAGTGCTTTATCTTTTACTCCGCTTACAACAAATCAAAGTGGAAAATAACCCGCCATTCCTGGCGATCGTAGGATTAATTAAAGTTTAGGTACTTCTCTTTGTACACAACCATTAGAATGGATAGAGGATTTGGGGATTCATAGCCGAGATTTCATTTCTTTTTCGAGTTTCCAGCAGGTGCTCCTCGTTGTGGCGATTGGATGGGACGACCGGAATTCAAACCCGAATATTGGTACTTGGCTTTCTTTTCAGACGGCTTCAGAATCTGAAACCCCAACTCTTAAAATACACTGCAAGAGCGACAACTACTAAAAAAGTGTCATGTCAAGCCGGCCCAATTCGTATTTCAAGTTTATATTATGAAAGTACAAGTTTAAATGAATTAATTAATTCAGTTAGAACTAAACAGTTAAAGGGGCGGTCCAACAAAAGGCATGGTATCATTTAATACACATAACTATATCCAGTATACATGTCGTTTATATAAAAGACAACAAACATCAACATAAAGAGGTAAGTATACAGAAAGAAGGAGGGAAGGGGAACAGGCGAACGGACCTTTAAGCGAGAGACTAACTTCCTTTAAGCGTTTGTCGAACAGGGAAGAGGATGGGATGAAGAAGGAGGGACTCTACTCGTTTAGAGAATTTAAATATACGAAAGTAAAAACCTTATAGAGAACGAACGATGTTCAGACATTATTTGACCTTCTTTGCGGACGGCTTTAAGATCTGAAACCAAAACTTTCAGTCTAATATAACGATTCAAAAGGCAATCACTGACACAGCTTTCCGAACCCAATGCCAGCTAAGGATCTATATAAACGTACGAACCAGACCGGCCCAAACACAACAGCAAAAAGAGTCGAACTTACCTGGAACGAGCACATCAACGTTTCATCAACACTCATCATTCCTCCGGCATTGTCGAACTCTCCGCAGTAATTGGGAGCAGAGAACAGTGTGACAAGTTGTCTTTTGGCAAAGAACTCGTAACCATCTTCCACCACTTGATGAGCACGACAAATGAGATCGAGGTCGTGTCTGTTCAGGAATTTGGCGACTACATCGGGACCGAAAGTGAAGGAAACTCCTCGGTCGTTTTCTCCCCATCCCTGCACATCTTTGTCGGGATCGGACCAAAGCAAATCGCACAGTAGACCCGTGTCGGGAACATCAGTTGGCCTCATTATCCGTCTGATTTGTTCCATGTTTTGTAGATCGGGAGAAAGACCTCCATGGCAACAGAAGATCTTCTCGTCGATAAGAGCTGCGATGGGCAAACAGTTGAAACAATCGGTGAACGTTTTCCACAACTTTATCGAGAACCGCCGTTTACATTCGTCATAGAATCCGTATATCCGGTTGATCGACGCACATTCGTGATTCCCGCGCAGTAAGAAAAAGTTCTCAGGGTATTTAATCTTGTACGCCAACAACAGACAGATAGTCTAAAAATCGAAAACAATAATTAAAACGTAATTTAAGGCTGCATACCTCTAGACTTTGTTTTCCACGATCCACATAATCCCCCAAAAAAAGGTAATTAGCCTCGGGAGGAAATCCACCATACTCAAAGAGACGAAGGAGGTCATTGTACTGTCCGTGAATATCACCTGAATAATATTAATATTCAATTATCTATGACCATAAAAAGTGGAACATAAAAAGAATCTCTCGTCACTTACCACAGATTTTCAGCGGAGCTTCGAGTTCCAGTAAGATTGGTTGAGAAAGGAAGATCTCCCGGGATTTGTGACAGAGAGCACGGATCTCATTCTCAGACATCTGCACCGTCTTTCCAGGCCGGCATCCGCGGACTAAAAATACATTAAAAATCACAAAAGAGGCTTACCTTCTAGAAGTCGCGTGATCAGGTGGTCGACATTCAGATCACCATCGTTGGTCATTTTCCTGAAACCCCTGATTCAAATTAGAAACCATATGGTAAAAGTCACGAAGAATCGAATAAAGCGTATTCAAATTTCAAAAAGCAGGGAAGCGAGAAAGACATAATAATATCTACATTATTATACATACAATACTTCAAAACTGGCCAGCCTTAATAGGATTAGAGAACATCGCCGCTCGCGTCGATAATTTAAACAACACCCGACAACCAGTCCCTACTCTAGATATAAATAATTAGAAACGCCATTTCCCATCAAAAAAAGAAAAGAACATGCCCTACAAAAACGGAGCCACGTAAAAATCAACAAATTCAGTCAAGGGCATATCCGGTGACCCTTAAATAGTAACAAACATAATACAAACCACTTCTCCAACCAAAAAAAGGAAGACGCACATTCTAAATGCCTAAAATATCCTCATACCTCTCATATAGACAATAAATCCTAAAGTCGAGTCATGAAAACAAATAATCTTGCCATAACCAAACAGCAGAAAAAACCTTGGAAACAAGGTGTCAGATGCAGAAACATTTTAGAACGGGAAACAAACGTGAGGATGGATGAAATTAAAACAAAATCATTACCAAATTCGATAATGATTTTTTGCAAAAAATAAGATCCCTTAAAACGCATTAAACTCGCTACAAACTCGACCTGAAGGAGAATGATGAAAGAGGAATTGTTCTAACGTTTTCAGCCAAAAAATCCTCATTTTACATCAAAATTCCCATCCGAAAATCGGAGATTCGTGGACTTCGGCGAAGGAACGGCCAAAAAACGGCCCTAGGGCAAAAGACGGCTTGTTTGACGTTTTAGCTCTTCCTCTCGACAAGCCAACACACACTTTCCATTTTATTTTTCTATCTTTTTGCCAGGGTTGATTCGCAGCCGCTTTGCTTACGGTAGAATTCAAAAAAGCGCGCTGGCGAAGCGTCACTATTGATTTTTTAATAAAATAATAAATTTTTAGTTATAATCCAGTCGCTAGCGATGCCAAGAATACGGCTAAAATGTTATAGTAATGGGACAGTCGCCTTAGAATTTTCTATGAGATACAGGGGTGGCCACCGGGCCGGGCCGGCCCGGCCCGGCGAAGCCCGGCCCGATCGGGCCTAAACGGGCCGGGCCTGACAAATTTTGAAACGGGCCGGGCCGGGCCTGCTTTTTACCGGGCCGGGCCGCGGGCCTGAGCCATCTTCAGGCCCGGCCCGGCCCGGTTTTGTCGAAATGCCAAGCGTTTGGCATTCAATGTTTTCGCGCCGGAAAAATTTTTGGATAGGTTTGTATTTTTAGTATATCAAGTTCTACAATAGTTTATTACTTTATAGTACTTTTTTGTATATATGTTATAATATAAGGTCCAAATTAAAACATATAATACATATAGGATAGTTCTTAGCAGATTTTAGCACACTACAGAGGCGGTAAGATCAAAGGAAAATTTCCAGCTCGCGCCCTAACCGGGCTTTTACCGGGCCGGGCCGGGCCTGATTTCTACCGGGCCGGGCCGGGCCTGCAAAATTTTGAACCGGGCCGGGCCTGGGATTTTGCCGGGCCGGGCCCCGGGCCTGAAATTTGGAAAAAGAGGCCCGTTTGCCACCCCTGATGAGATATTAATATTGGTATCCCTATGCTTTATTCAAAGTGAATGAATTAACTGATATAAAATTCGAGTTTGGTCTTAAACTCGAAGAAGTGTAATGCACGTCACATGTATTACCCGAACAAATACTCCCTTAAAGTACGCACTTCCGCTAAGCCAAAATTGGCTTTCTCCCAGCAAAGAAATTTTTCGTTGCGGGACCCGCAATCGGTGGGCGTGTCAATAAAAATAAAAATATTTTTGGGTATTCCAATGTAAAACTGTTGTTCGAAGGGAATTTTTGCAAAGGTAAGTCAGTTTTTATACCTAGTTTAGCTTGAAAATGCAATAATTGTTCTTATTTGTCCAAATTTTCGACATTTTTCGCAATGTTACATGATTTTTGATGTAAATCAAGGTTGGCTATGGAGAATTTTAGTTTTTTGGTTGTAATTTCAGGAAAAAGCGCAAAATCGTCCATCCCGACACCGGAGTCACCTCCAAGGTCATGAACATCGATGTTTTTTGAACCGATCGGTATGTTGTTTTAGATCATTATTGAATTATTTTTTTAGATTTTTGGGTAAATCTTTGGACTCGTCACTGCTAAAGCCTCTCGCATCCTCCAGTTGAAGAGTTGCTCGACTATCTCCACGCGGAATCCGGATTTTGTTTCGTCTGATCTTGCCCAGAGAAAATAGGCCATGAAGAATGTTCCCGAAGACACCAAGCCATCACCAAGTACTCCTCTACCAAGGAAAATGGATTGGTCTCCTAGTCTCCCTTCACATGTTGCTGATCCCAAACGGCCCTCTTTAGGGCCGCATATTACACTAATTTTTTAACCTGTTTTTGATGTTTTAGGTATAAATATTCTTATTTCAATTTGTCGTATTTTAGACGGTTTGGAGCTTATAATGAAGGATTCTTGACCAGTTCTTCCTTTTTTAGTCGTATTTGCCAGGATTATCTTCTTCAATCCACTAACAAGACAAATTCTTTATTCGCAGATCAAAGAAATGTGGCCCTAAAGAGGGCCGTTAGGGATCAGTAATGTGTGAAACACCAGGAAAGAAATCCATCTTCCTTGGAAAAGGTGTATTTGATGATGGTCTTGGTGTCTTCGGAAACATTGTTCATGGCCTGGGCAAGATAAGACGAAGCAAAATCCGGATTCCGCGTGGAGATAGTGGAGAAAATCTTCAACTGGAGGATGCGAGGGGCTTTAGCAGTGACGAGTCCAAAGATTTACCCAAAAATCTAAAAAAATAATTCAATAATGATCTAAAACAACATACCGATCGGTTCAAAAAACATCGATGTTCATGACCTTGGAGGTGACTCCGGTGTCGGGATGGACGATTTTGCGCTTTTTCCTGAAATTACAACCAAAAAACTAAAATTCTCCATAGCCAACCTTGATTTACATAAAAAATCATGTAACATTGCGAAAAATGTCGAAAATTTGGACAAATAAGAACAATTATTGCATTTTCAAGCTAAACTAGGTATAAAAACTGACTTACCTTTGCAAAAATTCCATTCGAACAACAGTTTTACATTGGAATACCCAAAAGTATTTTTATTTTTATTGACACGCCCACCGATTGCGGGTCCCGCAACGAAAAATTTCTTTGCTGGGAGAAAGCCAATTTTGGCTTAGCGGAAGTGCGTACTTTAACATCACGGATATTAGCTTACGTGAATTCGAAAGAGCATGAAGACAGAATCTATAATATAATAGGGCCGGCTTTGCGTGTCATTTTCTCCTCGTCGTCGGTTACTACGGAAGTTCACGAAGTCGAACTCCGACATTTCGAGGCCAAAAGGGGGGTAATTTCCCTCTGTTAGATGTATTAAAACTACATTCATTCAGGCGAGGGCGTTTTCCCTAGAGAAAAAATATTATTCTAGGCGTCCGCAGGTTAGAACGCTCAGAGTGCATGGAATAGTGTAACAATAAAACATAAAATTTGGGTGTGCTTTACTATTTCGTGTAAATTTTATAAGATATAATTCGCTTTTCGGGGCAAATCGAATTAAGAAAAGGGGGAGGGGGAAGTCTAATGTAAATTGAGATCAATTACAACCACACCCTGATTGAATGTAATTGGCAATGAAAGAACTCCTTTTGTTATCAAGCGAGCAACAAAAACATTCTTATCGACTGTCAGTTGACTGGAATTGAAAAGGAGCGTTCGTTTAGATCTCCACATATCTTCTAACCGCATGTGAAGTGACCGCGTATACACATCCCCATACCTGCGCAGTCCACCCTCCTGTCTGACGAAGAAGGGAGACTGACCTTCGGTTAAAACACTCGCGCCCCCAAATAAGAAAATCCCCGATCAAATTGGACGGAATTAAAATAAACAGAGCTCTAGGATGGGTGAAGTAACATCCCCGTCGACGTTCCTAACGCGTGCCTGGCGTGCCATAAATGGGGTTAAGATTCAAGTAAATTTTAAATTATAATTAATAAAATGTTACATTTTAAAGTACAAATATAGAGAATGTCAAAGCAACGGAGAAGGAGAATTCGGACCGATGAGTAATCGAAAAATATGATTGGAAGGGAAGGAGAAGGTCCGCCCGGACTGGTGATGCCTTTATTCTGGAAAACAATTATCGAAGTCCTTGTTTAACAGAGGAATTAATTTGAGGTTTTGAAATACCGATTGCGCAATAAACTTGATGTCAAAGTTGTTGCCCTCAGGGTCTTCTTCACGGGGATTAGAATGATGATTGATAACTGTAATATAAGCTATTATCCAATTCTTATAACAAAATAAAGCTTACGAGGGAATGGTCTGAACTTCCCCCAGCGTTTGGGAAAACGACTAGTACAGGTGGATAGAGCATGTCAACTTTGGTAAAAAGAGCCATTTTCCAGCTGCGGAATAAGCCCGGCCGACGAGAAAAATCGACCGAAAGTTCCACAAAAATTTCTCTTTCTCTTCCCTCGGAAAAGAAGAGCGGTGTCCAGTGGTTCGGTTAGCCGAGTGGATAAAGCGTCCGCTCGATATTCTTTTGGGGGTTGGTTCGATTCCGGGGTCTCGCGAAGGACCGTGATAAGGCTTTGATGAGTAAGATCAAACTCTAGCAACCCAGAAAAAATTATTTTGCCTTTTTCAAAGTCAAGTCTATCACCAAACAAGTATAACTTCGACATTCCATCGCTTTGAAGGTTCGGAAGCACCCAAAAAATTCATTTTTTGACGATTATATGTTTGGTATAATTCCCCTATAAAACGTATAAAAATGGCAAAATATTTTTTTGGGTTGTTAGAGTTTGATCTTGCTCATCAAAGCCTTATCATGGTCCTTCGCGAGACCCCGGAATCGAACCAACCCCCAAAAGAATACCGAGCGGATGCTTTACCCACTCGGCTAACCGAACCACTGGACACCGCTCTTCTTTTCCGAGGGAAGAGAAAGAGGAAATTTTTGTGGAACTTTCGGTCGATTTTTCTCGTCGGCCGGGCTTATTCCGCAGCTGGAAAATGGCTCTTTTTACCAAAGTTGACATGCTCTATCCACCTGTACTAGTCGTTTTCCCAAACGCTGGGGGAAGTTCAGACCATTCCCTCGTTAGAAGAATAACAGAGAAAACGGTCTGTTAAGACAAACAAGGAATATTTTTTAAATTATGTCTAGAGGAACGCCATCGAAAAAGATTTGCAGCCATCTTTTATCCCGAAAATAAATTATGATAATTTAACAAAAAAGAAACAAAATCAAGGAGAGATAATCCACTGATGAACCCCATCCAACTGATCCTCATCCAAAGCCGAAAGGTCCTTAAATTCCACATTTCCAGAGAATTTTGACCACGAAAACTCTCCTTCAGGGCTAAGAGATCGGACTGTGGTCTCGGCCGTTGATTCCAATGTTCGGTTCCGAGTTTGGCAAACCAGCCCTAGCTCCTGAAATGAGTAATCAAACTGTGATTCACGTCTCTTACCTTTTCCAAAAGGGTTCGAATAGCTTTGGATGACTTGGCCGTGTCCAGATCTTGTTTATTGCAGCAAATTAGGATAGGGATTTGATCAGCAGCAAATAAAACATCATGAAGAAACTCGGCGATGTCTCTGGCTTTCTTTGTGAAGCTGTCGCTGTCAATAAGAAAGAGGATGCGACGGATTTGTCCGACATTCTAAACAAATATACAAAAAAAGAAAGGGAATTACTCGGCCGAGCCATGTTTCGAACAACAAGGACCGCAATCGTTCGGCACCAGGGAAATCGACCAATTCTGTGGGTTTGTTGTTGACATCATCGACCGTCGCTTTGTTCTCGGTCATTGACTTGTAACATTCCCAGTCAGAACCTAACAATCAAAAGTTTCCGGCCAAATGGGTTTTTGGATTAGGGTCGACAACTTGACGGTCAGTCACGTTGTCAAATTGCCGTCATTTTCTTCATGTCAAATTGAAGTCTTTTTTGCGGTAATTTAAAATTTTTAGTAACTTTCTTGTCAAAACGACCGATGAAGTAAACTACTTACGACTAATTTAAATGGTATTCATTACAGCCTACGTTAACTTTGAAAGCTTCGTATGTTAGAACTTTCAATTTAGCCAAAAGTGACGAAAATGACGCCAATTTGACGTCAGACTGAAAAAACCGTCAAATTAACAACCCTATTTTTAATTTACCTTGTCCCAAAAATTTGGAAAAGATGAACGTTTTTCCGGAATCACTGAGCCCAAGGATCAGGACAGTATTCCGGCTCTTCTTCTTCCTCAGAAAGACGACCAAGGTCAATAAAATGGCAACAAGTCCAATAATAAACGGCAATGCCAGACTGGTATAGCTCAAATCAACATCCACACCTTGAATAACTTTATGGAACCCATGTTCCACATGTTCACGGCTTTCTTCCTGGTTAGATTCCATCTAAATGAATGTAATAACAAGAAAAAGCAAAGGAAATCATGAAGGCATGTTTATGGAACATCCAGATAGTCGAGAAACGTTCTTTGGAGTTTTATTATTTATTACCTAACGAATGTCACGCAAGACCGTACATCTTTTTAACATGGGGTTTGAGATCAGCCTTTCCTTTGATCTTGTCGTTCTCAGTGAACAGAACATCCATCCCCACTAAAACAGAATAATAAAATAAAAGTGGACTTACGGGCTGGATCGAATAAGATCTTCTGGACCTTTTCTCCTGCTCTCTCTCGGACCCATACTCTCGTCGAGCCACTGATCACGCTTTTAAGTTGAACTAGTAAATATCTAAAATCATTTACAATATATATTCACTGTACTTACCGCGATTTTGCCCCCATTTCTAATATCCGACAAAAAATTCCATCAAAATCTTTCTTTGCAGTTGCAGTCTTCCGCAAAGTGCGCCCTACCCCGTTTTAACTGCGCCCTATTATCTATAATTTTCACTAGAATTTTCCAAAATCTGTTATCTTCTATTATTGAGTGTTAAAATTTAACTTTACCAATGTCTGACAACGAGAACTTTGAGGATTCTTCTGAAGAAGAAGTCAGCGGATCTGAATCCGAGGAGGAACCGAAAACTGAGGATAACAAGCAGACTGATGGCTGTGATGAAGGTAACGAGGAGGATAAAACCTTCAAGGACCTCGTAAGTGAATGTTTCAACATCTTGAATTTTAATATTATTTTAGGGCTTATGTGAACCACTATGTGAAGCGTGTGAACGAGTTGGATGGAAGAATCCGACCAAGATTCAGTTGGCCTCGATTCCACCGGCCTTGAAAGGAAGTGATGTGATTGCTTTGGCTGAGACAGGGTACGTTGTCCATCAAATTATCTATGTATGATTAGGTCGGGTAAAACTGGAGCCTTCGCCCTTCCAATTCTACAAGCGTTAATGGAAAATCCCCAAAGGAACTTTGGATTAGTTTTATCCCCAACCAGAGAATTGGCGATTCAAATCGCCGAACAGTTCACAGCTCTTGGCTCCGCGATTGGACTGACAGTAGCTGTGGTCGTTGGAGGAATCGATATGGCCACACAGGCCTTGTCTTTGGCGAAGAGACCCCACATTGTCGTGGGTAGGTCACTTATAACTTTGTAAATAAGCCTCGTTCTTTAGCTACTCCTGGCCGGTTGGTGGATCATTTGGAGAACACCAAAGGATTTAATCTTCGCAGTATTCAATATCTTGTAATGGATGAAGCTGACCGAATTTTGAATATGGATTTTGAGGTTGAATTGGAAAAAATTTTGAAAGCGTCTCCCAAGAACAGACGAACTTTCTTGTTTTCTGCTACAATGACTCAAAAAGTATCCAAATTGGAAAGAGCGTCTCTTAAGAATCCAGTCAAAGTTGAAATTTCCAGCAGTAAATATCAGACCGTGGATCAACTGAAACAATATTATTTATTTATCCCCTTCAAGTATAAGGTATGCATTGTTGCTAATGATTTGTGTTGACCCGAACTGTCGTTGATCCGAAAAGTCGGGACGCATGATGGATGACTTTATTATACGTATTATTTAGGAACCATATCTTGTTCACATGTTGAATGAAAAACGCGGAAACACGGTAATCATCTTCTGCAGTACGTGTGCATCAGTAATGAAGATCGCCTTTATGTTGAGGCATCTTGGATTCACTTCCATCGCCTTGCATGGACAAATGAATCAACCGGCTAGAATTGGAGCTTTGAATAAGTTTAAAGCAAAGGATTGTTCTGTTCTGGTGTGCACTGATGTCGCTTCGAGGGGTATTTTCAATTTTCCATTTTTGGTTTTTATCGTTTAGGTCTGGATATTGCCAATGTGGACGTTGTTATCAACTATGATGTGCCCACAAATTCAAAGGATTATATTCACAGGGTGGGAAGAACTGCTCGTGCTGGGAAAGCTGGCGTTGCAATCACAATTGTAACACAATATGATGTGGAGATTTATCAGAACGTGGAATCGAATCTTGGGAAGAAGTTGGATGAATTCAAGGTATCTCATGATGATATAATGCCTCTGGTGGAACATGTGACCCAAGCCATCAGACATGCAGCCCAGCGGTATAAAGAGACAAATGAGGGACAAAAGAGGGCAAAAGGAGGGGATGATGTCAATGCAAAAAAGAAAAAGTTTAAAGGAAGGCGGTAAATTACGTTACAAATTGTTGAACCTTTGTTTTTGTTGCTCTTGTTATGAATCGCTAATAAAACGAAAATGACTGCTAGGGTTTGTTTTTTGTTGTTGATAGAAAATTTATTGTACCCGTTTTATTTGCCGAAGGATGATTGTTAATGTATTATGTAAATTTAGTCTTCATCACTCGTTGATGAATAAGGTGGTGGGGGATCCCTGGAAGTGGATGATTTCTTATTCCCCGCATTCCTCAAATTCTTCTTCCTCGTCCTCCTTTTTGATCTTTGGGGTCGAGTACTAGTGGATGCCTGAGTCGCTCCACTATTGTTTATCTCATAATTTGGTCTAATATCAGCTGCTTTGACAACGCCGTATGTGGAAAGACTGGCGGCTGAGGGTGGAGGTGCATAGAATCGCCGGTCATATACAAACTGAGGTGGAGGAAGAAGGCCGGAACTGACTCCTGTGATCGAAGAGGCCGAGGCTGGAACCAGTGTGGCCAGATCTTCCCCCGCTCCACTTCGGACTCCATAATATAAAGGTTCCATTTCGTATGAATTGACATGAGTTGGGATATGTCTTGGAAGAGTTCGGTAATGAAGAGATGGCTGGTGGGCCGGAGGATGATGATATGGCCTCAGGGTACAAGATTGGATGGGTGGGGAGTAGATGGGGACTTGATTTGAGGGAGAAAAGGTTCGGAGAGCCACCTAAAACATTACTTAATCAGATATAAATGACGTTATGTATAACATATATATTGACTGCATACCTCCACCATGCTTGTTTGATTGTGGTGAGAGAGGACCAATTTGGCATCGGTATTATGTTGAGAAGGTCCTAATAACACTTGTCTTGTCCCATTTCGATCGTATCTTCGACTACTCCATTCTCTTTTATAAACAAAACAAGTAATGCACAGTACGACCATTATGAAGAAGACGATTGCAGCGAGCATCAACAGCAATGAACCTCGTCCTTTGGACAGTAATTCCAATAACGATGGTGGTTCCGATGTCAGAAGATTGCACAACTAAAAGGGTGACAGTTACAGTGGTCCTCTTACTTGTCTACTCTCGTCGACTCCATTGATGCAATCTTTCTTTCCATCACATATCGTTGATCTCGATATACATCCATCGTCCATTGTGGTATGAGAATAGGTCCATAGCATACAATCGAACTGTTTCGAAGGCTCAGAACATCTACAGTACACTTCATCCGAACCATCGGAACAATCGGAGTGACCGTCGCATAACTAAATATGTTTGGATCTTATACACTTAAATGATGAATAATCTAGAAAATTGATTACCTTGTGTTTCTTGATCGAGCCTTGTCGGTCATCACAAACCCAGTCCATGGAGATGTTGCTAGACTTTTTGGCATTACATTTTAAGGGGCTTTCATCACTCTGATCATTGCAATCATTCCATCCGTCACATTTCTTCGAGATGTGGATACATTGTTGGCCATTTTGACAAGGGAATTCCCAATGTTTGCAGATTAAATTTGCTTCACAAACATTGTTGCTTCAACCGATATAGTTAATTCTATTTTAAGCTTACTTTTGTTTAATCTTACTGTACCCCAACGGGCACAAACACCCGTAACTCCATCGATTATCACTCCGTTGATTGTATTGTAGAGTGCAAATATGAGAACAGGATTGGCTGGAGCAAGGATTCGTGTTGATTTCCCATTCGAACGGCTCATTCAGGGTGTTTTGATTGCCCACAGTCAACAAATTCATCTTTCCTTTCCCGAATTTGTCGAGATTTTGAATCCAATCGACTGCCTTGATTGAACCAAATGACGTCATAGAAGAATTCTTATGTAAAATATATATATTTTCATCGTATTTGGAGAAAGACGAGGCTGTAAAAAGAATAGTCTTATCATTCAAAGGCGCAATCGAAGATATTTGGGCTGAATTGTGAGATCTCGTATTGAGATGATGTTGGAGATCATGCTCAAGGTAGACATCCTTAGACCAGATCCCATCGGCAGCAGTATAGAGAAAAGAATACGTAGTGAGATCACTTTGCAATCTTATTTGATGGAAATTTAGACCTTCCGTTACAGCTGGCTGACAATTTCGGCCATCCAGATTACAGCGGACGACGATTGGATGCTCCAATTCGGGATTTTCATCGGTGTAAAAAAAGATTCTGCACAATAATTATATCGTCAGATAAGTAAATTCTTACTTTAACCTGTTAAAAACCGCAATTTTTCTCGGCGCGGGGAGTAAATGAGTAATGGGAGACCTTGTTGATCCATCGACCACTTTCCCAATGTATTGAAGCTCATCATTCTCCTGAATATTCAATTAGATTACTGTAGTTTTGCTTACTTTAATCTTCCACAAATGAATATAAGAAGCAGGATCATTTCTGTCATGAATACAAGAAACAAACAACTGTCTGCCGATGTAATCCACAACAACATCAAATAATTGGGAACAATTGGAGTCCTTGTTTAAATTGAGGTGTGAAGTGTGCTGTTGTCGAATTATATCAGAAGATCTCTTCAGATCCGCGCCATTTCTGTCAAAACCATCGATCCAATAGATGTATCTGTTCTTGGAATATAAATCAAACGCAATGGCCAAGGGTTGGCCAACATTATCGATAGAGAGTAATGTGAATGGAGATTTGTCATCAGCCTCATCCGTTTTTGTGTCATCCCGGATTTTGAACCGAAGAAAATAGTCTTTCACGGAGAGAAGAACAAATTTAAAGGGTTCTGAAAGTATTTATATTCTTCAAGGTGCTTACCAACACATTCGTCTGTTATGTCATCATATTCGTACTGATCTCCACATTTACATTCGAATTTATCTTTTTCTTTCAGACAAATGCAATTTTTGGATTCTGATTCCAATTCGCATTGTAAGAGATCCTCCGATTTTTGTATTTTCCCGTCTTCTAAGCTGACTACAGAGAGGATATTAACATCTTTTACATCTTCATGAACAACATCGGTAATCTTTCGAGACAAATCAAATCTTCGAAGAGTGTTATCAGTACGGTTGTGGAAGTACGTAAACGACTGATGCATTGAAATTTTGTTAATTTCACTGGCTGATTTGAACAATTTTTTGAGATCTTGGCCATTCAAACCAACAGAATATACTTCCTTGGACATGCTGAATACAATAAACCCTGTCTTTTTATCCAACGAAAGAGCAGTTATTGGATCGGGCATTTCGATTACAGTAACCGGAATAGCTCGGGGATTATTGAGGAAGAGTTTCTGGAAATAAAATTGTCATCAAAATTAAAGACTTACCATGATCTTAAAACAATCGCCGTAGCTATTTGAATAGATGAGAAGATTACTGCGTAAGTCAAGAGTAATATCTAGGGGTTCTATTTCCTTCCACACTAATGATAATCGAACGTGATTTCGGGGATTGAAGACTTCAATTCTTTTCAGTAATGTATTCACCCTAAAATAATAAAAAATATTTTTTATGTAACTTGCCAAAAAATATTTTGAGTATTTTCATCCAAAATCATATTCGAAATGAATCTCAAATCCCTCGAATCCATCAGAATCCGTCCTTGATTCTTATTTAAATCGAATAAAGTTAGTTGAAAATTTGAGTTTTTCTTTTCAAGATGATCCGAAATCAGGTATAATTGATTTCTTTTGGTGTCATAGGTCAACGACTTGATGTTGCCAATATTCTGAAGAGGCAAAAGAGATGCTCTGTCTTCAGAATTCCTAGCAGACAGTCGAAAGAGACCGTGAATATTTGATGATGACAAAAGAATAAAAGATTTTATTCTGGAGCAGTGTTTTTTATCCACGCTTAGCTCAAAACCATCTCCACATAAACATCTTACAGTGTTAGTTGGTCTAAAAAAACTCTTGTATTAGAATAAAAACACTAAAGCAATACACACACATATATATGAGAATCGCTTACAATTCCAGACAAATGTGTCCGCACTCTCTGCATTCCTCGTTATATTTCTTTTCCTCCGTTAGTGCAACTCCTTTAAGTGCCATCTGCCCATAAATGGACTGCCCCAATTCAGATCTTGTTATCCTATTTTCAAACATCCTTAATCTGATCACTGATCTTCCAGCCAACGAGTTCAAAAACAAAGTTGGTCCCACCTTGGACATCTGGTGTGGATGTTTAAGGTCTTCCGCCAGCACCCTCTCATCTTCTCCATTCCATTCAATACTCGATAAAGTCGACTTTTCCTTATCAGTAAAGTAGATTTTCCTCTCAATTGGATCTACGCATAACGCTGAAATGGATGCCGGAGCTAAGGTTCTGTAGAGTATAGAGCGATGAGTCCCATCCATCCATATTCTCTCGATCCTTTCTTCATTATTCCAATGATTTATATAAAATAAATGATTTTGAGAGAGAACCAGCGATTTGGGACGAAATAAATCTTTGGATAAGATGACTTGGACATGATAATTTTCTGTTCTGTCACCAAGGTGGACCAGTTCAATGCGGCCATTGAAGGAATCGAGCCAAATAAGGTTCTGGCCAGCCGAGTCAACGATTATTCCATCGATAAATTTGACTTGATCCGGTGACAACGGCAACACCTGAGAATAACTTAAAAATTTCGATGACTTACTTCATATTGATTATCATAAAGACGGGCCCTCCTAATCTGACTACTCTCTTTATCCAACCAATAAACCTTATGATCCTGATGACTATAGTCGATGGAGGTAATCCTCGAGTCTTCAGTCCGATTATTCTTCCAATTCATTCTTTTCGGAACAAATTCCTCAGTGTCAAGACTAATATAAAATAGACCCGCTTCTGACCCTACAAATAAAAGATTCTGGATTCCGTTTCCATCACAGTTTAGTCCATCTTCCAGCAATCGAATTCCAATCGGGCAAGCACAAGCTCTCCAAGGAACGCCCGGAATCAGAAGACAAAAATGACTGCAGCCTCCGTTCCTGACGTCGCAAGGATTCAACGTTCCTGGAAATAAATCCAACCAGGGTTTGCAAACTTACTATTGGGTTGAATTGACTGGTCGATTAATTGAAATGAATGGAGTCCCTGAGTTCCTTGGATCGCCCATTGCCTGCTCCCACACGATTCCTTGTCGCAGAATCTGAATCCTTCGTTTGTTGAGATGGGAGTCCAGAATATTAGATTCTGAAAAATCAATTCACTTTCAGAGTTTCTTACTTTTACAACTCCCAGATAAAAAGCATTCACATTTTCCATCAGAATCCTGCATGATTCTCGATTATGGATGTCGCAAAAAATGATCTCTGCTCTTTCTCTGCTCGCTCGATGTCTAACATAATAGATCTGTTTGTTGATCGAGTCCAAAGTAAGTGAAGTTGTAACAGAGATCTCGTCTTCGGATATGTCTGATTGGAAAGGATGCTTGTCGAGATGTTTCCCATTCATCCAGGCTCTCTCGATCCTTTTATGGACTCGATTTAACCAGTACATATACCCTTCCAAAGGGTCCAAAACCAAGGAATGGAGACTGTCCAGATCTTTGTCTACGATCAGAAAACAATAGTTATTCGAATACAATGGGCACGCTGAATGTGATTTTATATTATTCGGGATCCTCTTACCCTCAATTTTTCCCAAATTTCTAGGAGAACTTGCTTCGAACGAAATGTATAACTTGTTCGTGATCCAATCCACAGCCAAAGATGTAATCATCTCTTCACCGATGGCCACATCCCTTTTTATTACACCCAAATATTTTGATGAATTCAATGAGATAAGTCTTATCTCCTCGTTGGCACTCCTCAATAAATTCTCGACATAAACAGCGGTACTCTGAAGCCGTCAAAAAGTCATAAGTTGCGTAATTATGACGCCATACCTGCTTATAATCAACATCCATCCAAATCGGGGAGTTCGGGTCTATTCGATTGACTAGTACAGTACTCCCGTTCACATTTCGGGCCAGGGGATCAAGGCCATACTTTGTTAAGGTGTGCTCTTTTCTGACAAGGACTTCCAGAGAGACGAGGGATACTGTAATTGAACAATAATGCCCAACCGATTATGCAATATCGACATATTTGATGATTGCAAATTATATATTTGTAAAAGCAATCTTCTATAATATAACCCACCAATCAGCCTGCATAATATTGCCTGGGCTAGCCACCAGTCCAGTCCAGCTCTTTGCATGGCCCGTTCTTTGGGTTCTGAAGTCTCTCTCAGCTCGCTGAGATTTGCGCATCCATTAATTTGGGACAAAGCGGCGAATCGACTTTTGATTGTGACCCTTCCTTCTCTCCCTCCTTCTCCTTCAGATGTCGAGGGAAAACAGATGTTCACTGTGAGTGAGGGATGCGTTATAATAAATATAAATCTTGTCGCGAAGAATTGAACAAGTTTGAGAAAAAAATTGAAAAAAAAAAACAATTTAAATCCCACTTGGCTATCTAAACATAATCTTCAGATTTTGGCTAAAAAATATATAAAAATGCCCGTTTCTAATACAATAAGGCTTGACTCATCCCGTAAACGCATCCAAAGTTTGGTATTCAAATAAGATGGACGACTTCAAAAACTTGTAGGAAAGGCCAGTCATCCCTTTTGTCTCCTTCTTGGCCAATTTAATCGGCAAAAGAAAGGGAAAGGAGAGATAATGAAAAGAAGATCAGCTTCTGGCGAATTTATGGGCAGAGAATGGATGTAAACGGGTTATAAAATGAAAGGCGGCATCGGCCTGAGATTTATGGCCATCCATTAAAGTACATGTACAGATAGTTGTTTATCAAATCTTTTACAAGTAGATTATACTGGACATCCAAGGCTGTTTCTTTTCAGAATCCCCAAAGTCCAACTCCAATTTGCCCATAATTTGTCCCTCCCGGAGTTTTTTTATCCGCAAATAATTGGTTTTGGCCAAACTGAGAAGGCAATTTGAAGACAAAAAAGATTTGGATTGAAGAAACAGAACCTATAAGGGGCCCTTAGAAGGCCCTTATGAGTTGAATTATGGCTGACCTTCGCTTTCTTCACACTTGCTGATTCTTTACTGATTAACGACAAAAAACGGCTCCGCTCAAATTTTTTATTTTTTGAAGCTTTCAAAAAAAATTCATGATAAGGGAAGGCGAAGGGAAAACAGATTCCTCGAGGCCAATTTGCATATTTGCGAATTTACACAACTTTATGATTTTTTTACTTTGAAATACAGTAGTAGAACATAAAAGAAATTTTTATATTGAAAAATAATGACAACAGAAGACCAGCAATATTTTACACAACATTGAGACGGAAGTAATCATCTTCTGTTATTGGGCAATCTGAAAGGAAAGGAGCTCATGTGGAAGATATTATTACCGTCAAACTTACGAATGTCATGCTGGATGTAAATACTTGTTCATGACCCGTGATGCTCTGTAATTCATGATCTACGGGTACGTGAATTACTTTTTGTTCATGTTAAAACGTGTTATTTGTGTTCTCGTTAGCGCCTTTATCTGACCGTTTTGCTTTCCCTCTGACCCTTCCCTACAAAAAACAAATAAACTCTTGTGATTCAAAGCGAAGGAGAGGACAAACATGGCCCCAATCGAGGCGAGAGAGGTCTTCTTACCTCGGCGTTCCTCCATCTCATACGGGTATGCCTCGAAAGGTTCTTTCCAATTATAATATTATGCTATTTAACCCAAAAGTCTCGGCATTAATATTATCAGTCTGTCGAAAAAATAACGGCGGATCGTCGCATCAAAATGTCTCGCCTCGCCGCTGTCGCGCACCAAATCCCAAGTCGCGGCTTGCAGTCGCAAAGCGATGATGGGCGATTCGGAGGCGTGACGATCCGCCGTTTTTTTCCCGACAGACCGATACAAATGACCTATGAAAGGCTGATATTATTCAAAAATTCAGTTTTATTCATAACATTACTGATTCACACTTTCAGAATGCTCTTTTGGCTGATTTCCTTATCATTCCCTCTACTTTTGGTAACTGCAGATCCAATATTCGAATCTCATATTGGAAATTTTGTTGGAAAAACATTAGAATTCAAGGATGGGGTCAAAGTTGATGCCTTCTATGGAGTCCCATTTGCCCGGCCTCCAATTAATGATCTTCGATTTGAAGTATGCAAATCTTATCTTTAATGATGACGTCATAATTTAAATAATTTAGAAACCTCAAGACGCTGAATTTGTAAAAGAAAGATCAGCCAAGACCTTGCCCAAGGTCTGTGTCCAACAAGATTACTCGAATCAGATGGAGATGAGTGAGGATTGTCTTTATTTGAATATATTCAGACCTCATCAACCTGTAAGAGTATTTTTCTCTTGATTATGTTCTTTTAGAGCGAAGATAAGAACGGATATCCGGCACTGTTTTTTATCCACGGAGGCGCTTTCCAGGTGGGATCTTCTCATGAACATACCACTGATTACGTGGCGGAAAATTATGCCGGAAGGGGGGTCGTCACCATCATTCCTCAATATAGGCTGGGGCTTTTTGGTAAGAACCAGCTCATCTTTTGGATAAGAGTCATGTTGAAATTACAGATTTTTTTTATTTCAGGCTTTGCTTCGACCGGTCCCGAGCAATTTGCGGGCAATTACGGTCTTTGGGATCTCCGCCGAGCCCTTCTTTTTACTCGAAAAAATGCCAAATCCCTTTTCCTGGACCCTTCCAAGATTACTGTAGGTGGCTACAGTGCCGGATCAGCTGCTGCCAGCGCTCTCTCAGTCAGCGAACACACTCGAGATCTCTTCCTGCAGACTCTCCAATTTAGTGGATCTATCTTCGCCGAATGGGCGTTGAGTAATCGACCAGTTATTCATACCGAAAAACTGGTCGAATTATTGAAATGCGATGATCAGAGTTCGGCCAAGATCAAGAAATGCCTTAGGCAGAAGTCTGTGAGGGAATTACAAGTGGCCGCTGTCAAAGTTGTTAGTTTTTTTATATTATAATTTAATACAAGCTTTACATTACCGCTTACCTTTACTACCTTTAAGCATGAGACGGATGGAGAAATCAATTCATTTGATTACACCCCCAGGTTGGATGCTGATTTCTTTACTGCTGATATTGCGCAATTAATTGAATCCGGGAAACCAAAGTCCTCAATGATGTCATTGACCGAGAATGAAGGGCTTCTATTCAGTATGTTGATTCAGGTAATCTTCAATAATATTTTTAGCGATTTACTTCTCACATGCCATTGAAACTTTTCCGCATGCTCTAACGAAGGATAAAAAAGATAAATTCTCATTGGGAGACTTCAAAAAATTCGTCAGAAATGTTGTAGCACCACAGAAATTATTTGGAAATAAACACAAAGAAGTCACCGAGAAGATCATCGATTTTTATTTGAGGCTAAAGCCGGAACATCAACATGACAGGACCTTCTATTTGGACATCCATGGAAAAGTGAGTATCAACGCGAAATCTGAGATCGTTTAATTATTATGCAATATACAGGGTGTTCAGAGAATTATGGAAAAAACTATTCATTAATAACTTTGCGCTCGGTGGTCCAATCCAAAAAATTTTTTTTGCATTTTACAGAAAAACCTTGGAGTTTTTAGAATCTAAAATTTTTTTTTCTTTTATCGGCGGAGACTTCCGTAATCCGCGTTGAATTGGGCGGAGTGTTTTTTTCACAAAATAAGGCTGTGAATCGTTGTATGTGTAAAGAAAATGGGCGGAAAAGGATCCGGCAGATACAATATGACATTTCTTTCAAATTACTGCGCTTCGGCGGAGACATTTTTTAACCTCGGCGGACGATTTTTCTTCGACTTCAGATAGTCAAAATTGGCTGAAACCAAAGCGTATGGTATCTCTGGTGGCGTGGCGTCTAAAAACGACTTAATACGTCGCCAGCCGGCTGGCAGATGAAAAAACGGCAATTCGGCGGAGAAATCGGCGAAGAAAAAAGGAACATATTTAAGAAAATATGCATATTTATCCGCCGAGCATCCGCCAATAAGAAGAGTCATATTTTTGGTTGATTAGGGCCGTGTAAGACCTACAATTTTAGTTTTCTCATCATAATTTCTTAAATGGGTTAATTTTTTTCTCCGCCGATTTCTCCGCCGAATTGCCGTTTTTTCATCTGCCAGCCGGCTGAAGACGTATTAAGTCGTTTTTAGACGCCACGCCACCAGAGATACCATACGCTTTGGTTTCAGCCAATTTTGACTATCTGAAGTCGAAGAAAAATCGTCCGCCGAGGTTAAAAAATGTCTCCGCCGAAGCGCAGTAATTTGAAAGAAATGTCATATTGTATCTGCCGGATCCTTTTCCGCCCATTTTCTTTACACATACAACGATTCACATCCTTATTTTGTGAAAAAAACACTCCGCCAAATTCAACGCGGATTACGGAAGTCTCCGCCGATAAAAGAAAAAAAAATTTTAGATTCTAAAAACTCCAAGGTTTTTCTGTAAAATGCAAAAAAAATTTTTTGGATTGGACCACCGAGCGCAAAGTTATTAATGAATAGTTTTTTCCATAATTCTCTGAACACCCTGTACATAATAAGAATTGCAGCTTCTTGGAGATATCATGTTTGTGATCCCTCAATTATTGGAGCTCCGTCACAAAACAGCTGCTGGATGGTCCATCTACAACATTTTGAGTGTTCACAACGACTTCATTGAAGAGAATCTCTCCCATCTCGAATTATATAATACCACCCATGCCATTGAATATGCTTATTTGTTTGGAAAAGGGTTCCTCGGAGATCATAAATTCACGGAGGCCGATGAAAAATACAGGAAGCTCTTGATCGATGCGGTTGTTACGTTTGTCAAAACAAGGTGAGCTGTGAAATTATCATTTTTATGAAGAGTAAGTTTTAATTTCAGATCCCCGAAAAGCGACGAAAGTCCAAACTTCGTGAAGGTAAATCGCCATCATCCATTAATTTACACGGAACTCTCTACCGAGGCAACCATCAAGGACCCCTTATTCGCAAATGAACTCAGATTCTGGAGCAAATTGTCGGAGGAATACGAGTTTGATATAATCAGGGGAATCCACAAGAAGACTCTCAGGATGCGGACTGAATTGTAATCCCCACAATTTCACATTAGCTTCTATTTTTTTTTTTATTTTTTTTTGTTTTCTCATTTTCCTCGTGTTAAATTGTTTTGTCATTTCCAGTGTCAAATTGAAATTTTTTGTAATTTTTTTGTTAAAAAATCGTGCAAATCAAACATGAAATAAGCCATAAAAACATAACGGTATTCATCGTAGTCTCGAATTGAAAGTTTGTTAATTCAGCCAAAATTACGAAAGTGACACTAATTTGACGCAATTTGGCGTCGAGTTGACGTCAGATTGAAATCCGTCAAATTAACAACTTTTCGTAAAAAATAATATATTGAAAAAATTATATCTATAAAAATCATAATTTTCTCTAGAATGTGGTTGTTCCAACTATTTTTTCTCTGCCTTTGTTTTGTTGCAAGCACCCAAAACTTTTCAAACAAGGCCTCTGAAGAAGAAAGTACTCCAAGGCCAGTAGTCGATGATTACGTAGAAGATGCGGACCTTCATGTCTTTATACTACTTACCGTTATAACTTGCCTTGTGATGATTAGTCTGGTCAGTTTTATCATTTTTATGATATTGGAAGAAAGGGTAAGGACTTTCCGAAAACTAAATTTTAATTGCATATAGTATACACGTGTCCTGTAATTGGAAATATTTTATAATATTTTTAGAGACCTGAACCCGAACCCACTTGCGAAACGAAAGATTTAACCGTTATATTGCCCGATGTGCCTAACAGAACCCCACAAGAGTCATCAGGAAGGAAAGGAAAGACACTTTCTACTGGGAAAACTGCTACCGAAGCGACTATTACCACTCAAAATGACGTCAGGGTGAGCCTTATCACTCTACTTATGTGGTATCAATTTTTTTGTATGACAGGTTTTGCATAAATGACGATTGTTTTTGTATAGTACATACATATAATATGTCTTATTGGAGTAGTAATATTGAAGATTGAAATTCAGCCCAGTCCCCATCCAACTGTCCGTGACTCCCGAATTTACATGTGGCCAAGAAAACGAAGACCCAACTTGCAACCCGGAGAAGCGGTGACTCGGTTATTGAGGGTAACACGACATATTTAGCTTAATCTTATGTACTTTATGCCCTTGCAGGAGATGGAGGGCAAACTCCACGAATTGAAAGAAAACCATCAGAGCATGGATCAAGCTTTTGCCGAGAACATCAAACAACAAGAATCTCACGAAATCCCCCTTGGTTCCGAGGATGACCAACGATTAACTACTTGTCAAGCAGGTGGAGAGAGTGTTAACGAGGAGGTGAGGAAATCTCTTGCTCATTTAGTGATTCAGTGTTTTTATATACATTTCAGAGAGTGATGTTTGATTTCAGGAAAACCTCCAGGATTCGGTGGATCAAACTCAACAATCGATCACTCCAGATAACTAAAATAATGTAAATAAATCTATGCGTAACACCCATTTGTTTACTGTAAAACATTTCCAAATGAGCCCTTGGGGCGTAAAGTTCAAAAAACAAAAAAATATTTTTGGCCATCTTGTATTGTTTATCAGATAGGCCATAAAACGGGGCCAATTGTTTGGGACGCGTGATTCCGCCTTCTAAATAGAGAGAACGTCTGATCGGATCTAATACGATCTGTTCGGCTCTGGACTTTGTCTGGAAACACTTCCTTGAGCTCGGACTTGAGAGATCTGAAAAAACTTTTAATCCCATTTCTTTGTTATTCTGCTGTTCAAGAACATTTCCAGCCTTATCAGAGTTCGCGATTACCGTAATCTTATCAACCGAACTCTATTTATTTGACGCAGACTGTTTCTTTCAGAATGAGATACTTCTTGGCTGCGCTTTGCCTTTTTCTGGCTCTATTACAGTATGCAGATTCGATCGGAATCAGACCCACTCAATCTCTGGCTGTTCAAGGAAAGTTCATGTGCAAAGGAAAGCCCGCCAAGGGTGTGGTAAGAGGAGATCGGGGAGTAAAATGCTCTTAGAAAGTGAAAATCTATGACCATGACACGTTCACCTTGGACGATAAGATGGGGGAGACCAAAAGTGATGCCCAGGGATTCTTCCATGTGACTGGGAAGTCGAATGAAGTCACTCGATTAACTCCCAAGATGAATATGTAAGTCCAATGCCAAGATTAAGACCTTTTAGTTATCACAAATGTGGAAAACTCCTTCCAATTTGTTACACCAAGTTCTCCATTGGAATCCCCAAGAATTATTTGACTTCTGGCTCCACTCCGAAGAAGACTTATGATGCCGGAACCTTCAATTTAGACGCTAAAATGCCCGGCCAATCTACAGATTGTCTCAACTAATGGTCACAACTATCTCCAGCATTACTCCACCCTTTAATACCATCTGATTAGTCATAAATTTAATCTTAGAGGGTCCCTTACGAAACTTTATATATACTCGGTCATTGACCGCGCGATATCTGTTGAAAGGATGACTCAGCCAGTCTGTTCTCCTGTAATAATAACACACTCCACTTGGATACAAAAAGTTGAGCTGCGCTCTCATAAACAGTCCCCTTTGTATTGTTGTAGATCACTTTTCAGAATGTTCGCTCTATATTTGATGTTGATGATGGCCATGGCCACAATCGCCTCGGCCATTGGAGTCAGGCCAGTCCAGAGCATGGCGGTCGAGGGAAACTTCATCTGCAATGGCAGGCCTATGCGGGATGTGGTGGGTTTGAAAATTATAAATCCAAAAATTAGGACAAGAATTTTGTTTTTTTAGAAATGAATTAAAATTAAGTAAAGGCTATGCAATGATGACTAATCCTCATTTAGAAAGTAAAATTGTACGATCACGACACCTTCACCTTGGACGATCTGATGGCCAAGACCAAGAGTGACAGCAATGGCCATTTCTACTTGAAGGGCCATGCCAATGAAGTCAGCCGAGTTACTCCCAAATTGAACATGTAAGCAGCACTGCAAATAATTTTGTTTACAATCTTAAAAGATTTTCGTCAAGTTGTTGTTTTCGATGCTTCCAAGGGAAAGCTTCAAAGTGCGGCGCTCATACTTTCTTTAAATTTTGCGGTATTTGGACGTGTGCGTCGAGCGTAGTCTATAAAATACATACATATAAGAGGGGTAAATTGGATACCCACGAGTTTCGCCATTGCAATTTTTTTTCAGCCCACAGTAGCAAACATTTTCCGACGTTCGAATATATAAAGACTCTAATTTCGAAGATGACATTCCTTTTTTCGAATCCTTATTTGTTTCTCTTAATTAGTAGTGTTAAATAGTATATTTTTTTATTTTCATATGGGAAGTAACGCGCTCAGGTTTTTCATAAAAATTGGCATATACATATAGCTCGCGCTTTACAGAACCCGCCGAGAAGGAAGGGCCGGAATATCAACAAAAATATTCAAATTCGCCCCTTACCACTACTATTATACTTAAAAGAAACAAGTAATCATCTAATTTATTTTCGAAATCAGGACGGTCAACTCCTATGCTTTTTTACATTAGAGCTGCTATTAAGATGCAGTTTTAATCAAATTTGATATTTTAAGGCCTGTCAAAACACAAGAGTTTATTTGAGCTCAAAGCAAAGCTTTTGAATTGGTAAAAACGTGGGCAAAAAAGCATTTACGTGGTGTTGCGAGACGGAACTGGGACGATTGGGGAAAAAGACGATTGGGGAAAAGTACGATTGGGGAAACCGAAAAGTATTATTTTTCTTCGATGCAAATGTCGAAATTAGGATAATCGAGGGTGCTCATTTCGAAAATGACATTCTTTTTTTTGATTCTTACTTTTTTTCTTAAGTAGTACTGTTAAGTACTAATTTTTTAAAAATTTTCGAAAAATAATGGATTTAGATGATTTCGACGGTGCTGGTTTCGAAAATCATGTTCATTTTTCCTCTAGTACTATATAGTACTATTCTGATACTATATAGTACGAGGTCAAAATATGGCTTTTGACGTTAATGGTGTTGTTTTGATGCTTAGTACTCTTCAAAAACACGTTTTAAAGACTTGGTGCTATATAGTACTACCTGATACTATGTAGTACGAGGTGCAAAGTTGGCCTTTAGGCGTTCGTGGTGTTGTTCTGGTTCTTAGTACGCCTATTTTTACTTCGTGCTACATAGTATCAGACAGTACTATATAGCACCAAGTCTTTAAAACGTGTTTTTGAAGAGTACTAAGCATCAAAACAACACCATTAACGTCAAAAGCCATATTTTCACTTCGTACTATATAGTATCAGAATAGTACTATGTAGTACTAGAGGAAAAATTTACATGATTTTCGAAATCAGCACCCTCGAAAACCCCTAAATCGAGTATTTATGAAAAAAAAATTAAAAATTACTACTTTACAGTACTACTTAAGTAAAAAAGTAAGAATCAAAAAAATGAATGTCATTTTCGAAATGAGCACCCTCGATTCTCCTAACTTCGACATTTGCATGGAAGAAAAATAATACTTTTCGGTTTCCCCAATCGTACTTTTCCCCAATCGTCTTTTTCCCCAATCGTCCCTTTCCCCAATCGTCTTTTTCCCCAATCGTCCAACTCCGTTGCGAGACAAGTTACGAGGGTTTTTTCGCCCTTACAAACACAAAATTGATCAGCTAATTTTTACATATTCTTGTTCAGCATAATTCTGCGAATTTTTTGATATATGTCTCGACCTGTAACTCCCATAGAAGTACTTTCCTTGTGAATTTGTGACAAGTTTCACCAAAGTCTGAGCGTTGCACTTGGAGTATTTCCCCTGTTAACATAATACATTTAATTCCAGATACCATCGTTGTAACCAACTTCTGCCCGTCTGTTATCAAAAGTTCAGCATTGGGATCCCCAAGGATTACATCACTTATGGCAGCGCTGTTCCTTCCAAAACTTACAATTTGGGAACTCTCAATTTGGATGGCAAATTCCCTGGCCAAGGGCGAGATTGTCTCAATTAATCATCCCATTTTATGCGTCATCTATTCAATTTAAAATTTATTTTTAAATTTCTTTCCCAAACTTTTTAAGAAGTACAAATATGAGATTTTTATTAAAGTCTTGTTTGATTACTGGAATTTTAATTTTAATTGTGTATGGATTTAAATTAAGACCCTTACAGAAAGTAAAGGTTGACGGGAAACTGATTTGTAACGGGAAAGCGGCCAAAGGGATTGTAAGAATGCCTACAAAAGAGTAATCAGTAACCTTTAGAGAATCAAAATGTTCGAATTGGATGACATTTTATTCGATGATCTGATGGGTAAGACAAAGACGGGTAGGAACGGTCGATTTTATATTACTGGAAGTGCGCGGGAGATCAGTAGAATTGCGCCCAAACTAAATATGTGAGTATACTGAGTCCATTTTACTGAAAAAATCGATTCCTATTTAGATACCATCGTTGTAATCAAAGCAGGGCCCTTTGTGATGTAAAGATACCCATCAAAATCCCCACAAACAAAGCGAGTTACGGATCTCAAGAAGAGCCGGAGATATTTCATTTGGGAATAATCGAATTGGGAAAGCGATGGCCTGGGCAGGAAGACTCCGATTGCATCAACTAGCAATGAGATTTACTCCATAATTTTGAAAGAAACAACAAACTAACAATTAAATATATGCAGCTCTTACAACTTCTTTACTGTCCCATTGTAATTATATCCCGATTTAATAAAAAAATGTCATCAAATTGTTTCGAAATTTACTGCATTAGTTTTATTGAATTGACTACCGAAAGGTCATTGCTGATCACATTTCGATGGTTCCACACCCACTGCCAACTCACTGATACCTCCGTTTTTTCTCCCGCAGACATGACACCCATCTCCAATATCATCCTCCACTCCAGCCATTTTCTCGACGTTCTTTCATCGATTTGCATTCCGATCTGGATGATTATTCAAATCCCCCAGCCATGACACTGATTTCAAACATAAAACCTCTGCTTACTTCAGGGCTTTGCTTTAGTTTTCGGCAAAGACCGACCCCCGAACGGTAAGTCTCCTTTCTGATATTATTCTGTCCTTATGTGCTTTATGTCACCCTTAAAATTTTTATATTGATATAGACTTAAATCTGATCTTTTAACCGGACATCCCCCTCCACATAAAGGCTGTGCTCTCAGATCGTAACATTCGTGTCTAAATATTTGAATTTCGCAACCTTTCATTTGGGATACTTGTGGCCAATATTGGGAGCTTGACGGCCCTTTCTCCATGATTCCGGGGTCCAAGATATCAATGAGACAACCCCTCTTAATCTCATTCAAGCTTCTAACCCAAGGTCTCAACTGACATATTTATTGATGATCGCTCGTACAATAGAAGACAAAATAACGGTAGACCGATTCCTCTTCACGGGTGCCTCGCACGACCGTCCACACGTCGGTTCTCAGAATCATTCTCAACCGCATCATTCTGTAGATTAACCGCAACCTTTTATTGGGGCAGATCGGGTATCGGGCCAATATTTGTATCCAATTTTGCAAAATTTGTTGACTAGCTAGCGAAGGGAGTTACTCTGTGTTCATTAACGCCGTAGGATAGGTCGCTAATGACCAAGCTTGGAACCTAGGTTGCGAGCTTTGTGACGACCTGACCTCTGGGCATCACAGCCGATGTATACATGTATCCCCAAAGCGTATGCATTCTTGTCTAGGGCGTGATAAAACTCTAATATTCGACCTTAAAATCGTTTCTGCAAAACATTGCATCGATATTCAAAGTCTGTTCCGTCTGTGGCGATAAGGAAACTATGGGTGACCTATCCTCGGCGTGACCACGGAGCAACCGCCGTTGGCTAGCCAGTCAACTATTTTTGCAACACTAGATGTAAATGTTGGTACCCCATCTGCACCGAATGGATCGTAGCCTTGAATTTATATGTTCACGCACTCTGAACAACCGGCAATCCACTTTCTATGTCATAAACCATAGGTAATAATGTCCTGGACAGCTGAGACAATATGAGGAATGGCCGGGGCCGTTTGTTTTTGCATAAATTCCAACTGAATATCCGGATTTTTGGACAAATTTTATAATTTTGCATATTTCGGTGAGTTTAAAAAATTGGAAATTTTATCCATTTTTTAATTTCAAATTAAAACATTCTGCGTTTCTTCATCATAGATCATGGCTGACAGTCCTCGAAAACCTCAGGATCTTATTCAAATTAAGTTCGAATTCGATGCGAAAGGTTCGGTCAAAGGTATGACATAGTACTAGACATCTGATATGCTTTTATCGTACAATCAGACAACAATTATGTAGTAGCCCGTAGACGATGTAGTCGACTTGTTACATAAATGGGCAGCCTCCCTCCCGCCACATCCCCTCCCAAATAATCGCCTCCGGTCTTATAATTCGTGCTTTTTTCCGCGTAGAATGCCGTCCCGTCGATGGCTCTTATCTCTCGCCCTCAGGGCTGGTTGGCTGATCCAAATCTCAGTCTGGATTCTCATTTCTTGAAGTCTCCAAAGTCTTTTTACGCTTACATTTTTACTCGATTGCTACCTTTACACTACTTTCAGACACAATGAAAACCCAAAACGAAGATCTGAAGGCATGGAGATACAAATACTTTGGAATCTTACTACTTACCCTGCAACAGGCCAGGTAATTCTATCTTTCGTAGGAATTTAGACCCTTTTTTGGTATTACTTTTTACCCTAGCATTACATAACTTAATATTTTTTCTTACAGTATGCCTTTGATGGCCCGTTCTGCCCGTTATCGAAGTGAAAATGAGGTGTTCTTCTCAACGGTAAATGTATTCCTGATGGATGTCATCAAACTGTGTCTCTGTTCGCTCGTTTTGATTGTGAATGAAGGATCCATTGCCAAATTTGTGAGAGATGTGAAAGAATCCGTGTTCGGGAATCCCGTAGAGACCATGAAGATCTGCGTTCCCTCCTTGATCTACACCCTTCAAAACAATCTTTATTACATCGCTTTATCCAATTTGGAATCAACTACTTTCTGTGTGGGTCTACTACAATATTCATTGATTAATTGAATAATTTTAATTGTTCTAGATCACTTACCAGATGAAGATCTTGACCACAGCCATCATGCTCCGCTTCGTTCTCTCCAAACAACTCTCCAATATGCAATGGCTGGCTTTAGTCATCCTGATTGCTGGTGTCACCGATGTTCAGATGCAATATCAACCTCCTGCTGACAATTCCAAGGTCGAACAGAGGCCCTTCGTCGGATTTGTGGCTGTGATGACCATGTGTTTCACCTCGGCTTTTGCTGGAGTCTACATGGAGAAGGTGTTGAAGCAATCCTCGGCCTCGGTGTGGATGCAGAACATCCGCTTGGCCTTATTTGGAATGGTTTTGAGCACTTTGTCTATCTTGTATCAAGATCTGGATGGCATCAGAGAATGTGAGGGGTCTTTATTTACAGGGAATTACCCCAAGGGCGACTCTCAGATTTTGATGAAAATTGGCACAAATTTAGATTCATTTTTTCTTTGACACATACGAGGCTTCAAGCTCGCGCTTTGCAGAAACAAGCGTATTTTTAGGTTTGCGAGTTTTGGCATAAAACGCGTCGTACTCCTTTTGTCAGAGAGAATTTTATTACAAAAAATCAACTTTTTCCGGATGAAACTGGCAAAGATATGGGCAAAAAGTTTTATCTCTGACCAATCTCCGTGCTTCGCGTACTCTCTCAGATTTTTCAATATCTTGGCAACACCTGAAAAGCGCGAGATAGAACTTTCAGGATTGATATATGGCCTATGCCTGACGTGTGTCAAAAATTCAAAGAAAATCAAAGCGCGCACTTCCCTTGTTAGTTATATCATTTTTCAGATGGATTCTTCCGAGGTTTTGATACTCTTGTCTGGATTATGACCTTCACCAACAGTGCCGGAGGTCTCTTGATCTCTATTGTTATCAAATATGCAGACAATATTCTCAAAGCTTATGCTCAGGTAATCTCTATTCGTCCAAGTTAAGTTCTCTTAGTCCATGGCTATTGTCGGAGCTGCCCTCGGATCGTGGATCCTATTCGATTTCATCCCCAACTTCCTCTTCTTGGTCGGCATGTTGCTGGTTATGGTGTCAATTGTAATGTACACAGTGTTCCCAGCCAAGGCCAAGCCCTATCAGAATATTGTCCAACCAAATGAGATCCGTGAGCCCCTCTTCTTTGTGTCCCTTTCTAACAACAATTAAATATTAACCTTTCTCTTTCAGGCGTGTGGAACCAGAAACCCTGAGGTGATTAATTGTTGTCCTAGCTTTGGTTTAATGTATTTATTCGAATAAAAACCTAACTTAATTCTTGGGTTTTACGTAGTAATTGGTGGGGTGAAAAGGCATCTTCGTTACAGTAACCTCCGATTGTTTGGAGCCAAAGTCGACCAGGATTTTTTTTCCTATCTTGGCATCCTGGAAGTCCACATAACCCATGGCAATGTTCTTATTCAGAGTGGGAGAAGGAGAACCCGAAGTAACAAACCCAACTGAAGCCTTGTCAATGGGATCAATCAGGGGAAGACTGCCTCGGGGGGATCTTCCACCATCAGAAATGAGTCCCACTCTTTTCTTTGCAACCTTCTTATCCTCAATTTGCTTCACAATAACTTCAGCTCCAGGGAATCCCAAGGTTTGACGTCTTCTCTTGGCTACCACAAAGTTGAGACCAGCCTCGATAGGAGTCGTAGTCTCCGTAATATCATCTCCATAAAGACAGAGACCAGCTTCCAATCTCAACACATTTCTGGCACCCAATCCCGCCAATCTCGTGCTGATTCTTTTACTTTCCATCAACTTCTTCGGTACTGTATCTCCTGAGGAAATTGGGAATTTAATCTCAAACCCATCTTCTCCAGTATATCCACATCTCGTAACTCGGCAATCAGACACTCCAGCTACTGTACCCACTGCAGTGTGCATGAAATACAACTTGGTCAGATCGATGTCAGTCTCGGTCTCCAAAAGAAGTAGTGCCTCAGGACCTAAACAAATTATATTACACTAAGAGATCATATGTTCTTCAAAAAAGCCCTTTAGCTGTCATCGCCCACCTTGAAGTGCGATCAACCCGTAATCATTGAGCACTTTGACTTGGACATCCTTTCCTTTGGCCTTCCATTCACTTTCGTGTTTCTAAAAAATAAACAAAATTGAAAAAATATACACTTACTTTCATATGAGCAACGTCTTTATCAATACAACCAGCATTCGAAACAACATAAAGGTATCCTTTGTCGGTTTTTGAGACAACCAAATCGTCTTGAATGCCACCATTCCCATTGGTAAACACGGATAAACATCCAGCATTCTCAGCTAATCCCTGAACATCAGCTGGAGTCAGCGATTCGAAGAATTCAATTCTAAAATTATCAAAAAAATTAAAATCAACAAATACTGTAAACAATATAATCGCTTTTACCGTACGCGTCTTTTCCATGAATCTCCGTCTGTAACATGTGAGACACATCAAAAATGGAGGCATGATGACGAGTGTGGAGGGTACTCTTGGGAATGGACAGATCCGTGTATTGGATTGGCATCTGGAATCCACAAAACTCAACAAACTTGGCTCCATTCTGTGCGTGGAATTCGTAGAGGCATGTCTTCTTCCTAAAAACAACTTGTTTACCACTTCGTCACCCTTGTTCACTTTTTTTACGACTATAGATTTACTGACTAACAATGGACTTACGCCGATGCCAATGTCTTTTTCAATCGCCTCGAAGCAACGGAAACGGGCTGCCGTCGAAAAAGCAATCGGTTCATTTTAAAGAGTACAGTTTCACTAGGATCGACCGCTTGCCTCAAACTTTCGGATATTATAAATTTTTGGAATGAAAACAAAGTGCAAAAGCAAAAGGATTTGGTATAAACAAGCAAAAACAAAAATAAATAAGGAAACCCCGAATAAACGTTTAAAGAAAGGGCCCGCTGATAAGAATTCGCCTGTCTTCCGTGTGATATAAAAAGGCAGTTTTCATAAACTGTATTGCGCACCTTCCTTTTTTCGCTTCTTCAATTATTTATTAAACCTTTATATACATACATGGGCATCAAAGGAAATCAACTTTGGAAGATCTTTAGGAATTTGGCTCGCTTGCATTGTTCCGCTAAAATAAAATAATTAATCACACAAATGATGTCATCCACCATACCTTGAGCATGTCCAAGACAACAAGCCTGGTCTTTTATCTTCCTCATATAGTCCATTAACTGATCTGCCGACAGCTGACCCATCTCTAAACGAGAGAATAATATAAAAATTTATGATTACCATTAACAAGTTTAACGTCTTCTGGTTCCAATTCTGTCCGAAATCGATTATGGCCTCTCTTTGCTGCCAAATTACTCTGAAACTATAATAATATGAAAAATAATAAGACAAGCGAACACGTAAGGCTTAACACGTATAAAACCTCACCACTCTTCCTCTTTCGAAGGCAAGAAGACCAGGAATTTCTTCGGAAAATAAGTCCTTATCGATGTTCATGCTCTCCTCACAAATTAGACTGGTCTGATCACCCTGGGGCTCTAATTTGGGAACACTGGACTCTCGGCATTCTTCTTCCATTAGCTGCACCATTTCTGCATCCCTGCTTGATTGAGCTTGACCATCTTCTTGGATAATTTCTTCGGAAATTGGGACTGGTTCGTCATCTTCAAAATTAACGTCATCGTAGTCCGCCATTGTCGACGTGTGATGTATCGTAAAAAAAACAACTTGAAGAAAAAATATTCCTCACAATTTAGAAAAAATAAATTCGCGATTTTCCGTTGAAACTAAATGCCAGAAGGGACTCTCGCAACGAAAAATTTACAAAACGAACCTTGTAAATGTAAAATACGGTTAACTCACAATCATCGTGTAACATGGCTAAAAATTTGTATGCCAATCAAAATGTCTTAGCAAAAATTTTATTAATCAGACTTCACAAAATCTTCGGCGGTTTATTCTGATTCCACTGATTCGGTTGAAGATGTCCTATTTGAAAAGCCTGATAAGCTCATCGTCATCAACTCAGGGCTCCATCAAGTCCGCAATCCCAGATACTCGACCTCCTGCTGAAAGCCTTGGAATCAAAGATATTCATCCTCTTCTAATCAAGTTTCTGTATAAAAATGAGAACAAGAAGTTGACCGAGTTCTTTGAGAAATTGGAGAAGAAGACCCAAACCAATCGAGAGAACGTATGTTCTAGTAACATAAACTAGCATTATCTTCAGTTGAGTTACATTATAATCGGAATGTTATCTTGTTACGTTGCATTCGGTCATCAACGGGAGATGGTTTCTGATCTGATTGGATTCATTTTCCCCTTCCACTTGACAATTACTGTCCTCCGAAACCCCAACATCAAGGAGGAGCATTCTTTGATGGTCTACTGGGCAGTGTTTGGCTTGTGTCAAGTGATGGACAACTTCTTCAGAGACATGGTTCCGGCCTATTACCTGTTCAAGACCGTCCTTTATGTTTATCTGCTGGTACCAGGAACGGGAGGAATTCATTATGTGGAGAAAGGACTGCTGATCAAGGCAGGAGAGTTGATGCACGGTTTCTTTGAGCTTTTCGTATCCCAATAAATGTCATTCCACGAAATGTCATTTTTTTATCGACTTTGCGAAGTGTCACAAAAACATTTCTAACAGAATTTTGTGGCAGTTTTTTTTTAAATTAACCTGTGGGACTATTACCCAAAATCTGCAATCGTCTGGAAACTGGGTACACGAATGAAGCCATTTCAGCTCCCTTCGTCGCCCCAGACCTTCTTTTATACCACCGGCTTTCTCTGCCTTTTCCCCGTTCCGCCTGCTCTCTCAAAGAAAGCCTCCCTCCAGAACTCTGCCACCCGCTGCGTCCGTCGCGTCTCGCACCCGTGTTTTTTTGTTATTCCTTCTTTCCCTTGCTTTTTCCCGGTGAGACCTTTCGTCCTTGCAGAAAGTCGTGTCAAAACCATAATAGTAATGTGTAATTGTTTTTATTTGAATTTTAAAGTTTAAGAATGTATATAGATACCCCGTATCTGTGCTCGAGAATATTTTGATTGATTTGTCTGATGTCTGTTGCTGTCCTCGATGATGTTTATTAATTTTAGCCCATTTTGTTTAATTATAATATTTGACTGCTCTTAGAAAAGATTATTCAAAATGATGCGTAAACGAAGACACGTTAAGGAGGAAGCTCCAGAAGACGAGTTTGATGCTCCCCCGATCCTTCAGCCAGAGGCTACGAATGAAGATCCATCCAGGAATAGCACGTTTGTGAGTTCTTTTTGCGGTTCGTTTTACTTTTTAGGTGGTGAAAAAAGTCCATCGCGCAATACTGTTTTAGAACCAAGCCCAGTTTAATAACTACGACGACGCTCAGTTCGTAGTGCCAGAAGGTCAATTTGCTGCTCCAAACGAGATTGAATTCAACTTTGTTGACAATGAGAACGTGCAATGTGGCATTTGTGGGGAAATTGCCAGCTTCAAGACCTTATTTTCCGAGCACATCAATAACAAACATCCTGAATACAGTGGGTACACTCTTGAACATGATGGCTATGATGTAAGTGGATTGTGTTATTCTTCTAAATTAATGTCATAATTTCAGCTTCCTTTCCAATCCTACCAATCCAAAGGATACATGGATTCTTCTCGTCTTGATCATAGAATCGCCAATAAAATGTCGTTACCTCCTCACTTTAATAATGATCCTACCAGACCTATAAGATCCACAAGGACATTGAGAAAGGTTTCTCAGATAAGAGTGAACATCAATGATATGAGTCTGGATAAATTGGAGGATTGTTTGAATAAAAAAATGGTGGAGAAGATGGGAAGGAAAGTGCCGGTCACATTGGTGGATAAGCAACATGCCAGATGTGGACTTTGTAATGCAGTGAGTTTATGATGATGATCATTTATTTTTTCCTTTTCTTCTTTTGTCAGACTTTGTGTTTTAGGTCGTATCGTTGAATAAGAAGTTTGAAATCGTCCATCTTGTTCGTCATTTCAATGCCTGGCATCCCTCGGCCCACAAATGTTCTGGCCATTGGCTTCAACGAATCCAAGATACGGATATTTATGACCAGATGAAGCCTTTAGGTCTTGATGATTTTGCTGTGATTGATCTGAACGCTGGAGCTGCTGATAATCTGCAATGTATTTGGTGTGGAATGTTTATGGATGTGGACTCTTTGGCCATGCATTTCCATGAGATCCATCCTGAAGAAGTTGAGGTCCCGAAGTGCAGACTATGTCTTCAGGTAGGGTGATTTACAAGTTAATTGGACTACGGTTAACATGTAATATTTGTAAAAAAGCGTTACTTATTGGGTTGGGATATTGTGAAGCCGACAGAGATGTAACTATTTTAATTTACAGGAATTGGTGTGCAATGCCCGTTTCAGAGAGAAGTTTGGAGAGATGATGGACATTAGACTGCCGGATGAACACCATTACAAATGCCGAAGATTTGATCTCACAACCAGTTCGGAAGCCGGCATGGACAGAGGTTGGTCTATTAACTTAGAGTTTATGATTGTCTTCAGCTCTCAAGCGTCATGTGAAGAAGCAAGCACAAGAAGATGGAGGTACCCCGGCCAGGGAATCAGATGATGAGACCAACCAAGAAGACGAAGATCAGCCCACTGGCCCCGAGCCTTTCAGTAATTCCAGAATGTCATTTGGAAAAAGAAACAAACCCAAGCGACAATTTATAATGCCATCACTGAGACAGGCGGCCCCAGTTAACAGCAAGTACATCCAGCCGGTCTCGGAATGTCATTGGAAGTGTAGATTATGTGGGATGGATATATTGGCAGCTGTGATCTCGGCGGGAGCTATCAAACATTTCCGTCAGCTTCATCCCATTCAACTGGATGCCATGCAATCAGAACTTTGTAAAGCAAGATTGGAAAGGATCTCGGATGGATGCATGGAATTTGTGAATCCAGAGGAGATCGAATGCCTCATTTGTGGAATGACTTATCCTTTGCATCGTCCATACAATATGTGTCGAGCCATCCGACATTTGAAATTGAAACATCCAGAACAAATGCCCGAGTACAATGCCAGTTTTGTTGATAATAACCCGGTATGTACAGTATTGGCGGGATTGTAGTTGCGGATGGTGTTTATCATGTGAATTATCTTTCAGGAACTCCAAGGTGAAGATACGATGGAAGAGGAGGCGATTGAAAACGCCCTGAACGATGGTCCCCTCCCGTTACAGCCACAAACAATAGCGACTCAACAAATTGTTAGACATGTCCGACCACGACTTCAGGAAGAAGAAGAACAAGTTGAAGAAACTCAGGAAGAGGAAGGACCGCCTCAGATATTGGAACAACAACCTCCGTCGGAAGAACCGAATAATTAATTGATTTAAATAACCTTATTGTTACCTTTATTATAATAAAACGTCGTCGTTGATATGTGATGCGTTAATGATATTATGCAATCATGAGAATAGTTATATCTCGGTACGTGGGTTTTTAGTGTTATATGGAACATAGGTTCCAAACTTTTTCAGCTTTTTTACGTCCGCTTTGTCGTAAGGTCCATGTTTTTCTTTTATCACCCAGATCTCATCCTCAATCAGGCCCTTAAAATGATTACATAAAGAAGTACATAGTCAACTCACATTAGTGGCGTTGATTTGTTTAAAGTTGATGTGAGATGAGTTGTAAATGTGCATCAACCCGAACCCATAGTTACTTGATCTGAAGGCATCCCAAACTCCAGGTTTGTCAAACTGATCCGTGTTCTCTTGACATCCGGCTGATCCACTCAGCAGATGGACTGGAGCTGGCGGCTCTAGGTATGGGGATTTGGTTCCATTATAAACAATTCTATCATAGACAGGCCATAGCCTTTCGTAAGTGTGTTCATGAGCCCAGAAGCTGACATCTACTCCTTGGTCAAAAAATAATTTTTCTAACCCATATTCATGTGTCTAAATTAAGGTTACTCTACAGTAAGTGCATTATTTCACCTCAGGATCTCCTTTCCGAACTCTAGATTCGATATGAGTGCAGTCGTCGTCATCCAAAGTGGAGCAATACATTGGACGATGGGCCATGGTGATTATCCAGGGAACATTCTTTCTGTTTTCATTGGCTTTCTGAAATTTATTGTTGAGAAAGTATTGTCACCTTTAGATCGTCAACAATCCAGTTCCATTGAGTTTGCATCATACTCTTACCAAGCGTAGGCCAAAAATAGTAAACTTCGCTTGAGAACCCGATGAAATGAGTTGGTCCCAGATCGAAACTGAGATGTATAAGTATAGTGAATAGTCATCTTACCTATACCACAAGTTATGTTCACTTCTGGGCATTGTAAACCTGTTTTTATAATGACTGAAATTTCCTTCTTGTTCATGGTTCCCAGGCACAACTTGATATGGAACATAGGCAGCTATTGGTTCGATTTGACGGAGGAATTCATCTCCAAAATTTCCCTTTTCCTAAGAGATTGCTGTAATCCGTTTGTCCTCTTACAGTATCCAAATCATATGCCATATCTCCTACATGAAGAACGACATCATAAAGTCCATCCTGAGCCCCTCTCTGGAGTCGCCCCAATGATCGGCCATTCCGATTCCCGAGGTCTCCATAAACTGCATATTTATATCCACCTTCAGGGCGTTCTTTTAGTCCGGTAAATGTAAATTTAGGACTAATCCCGTACTCGGAACCAACTCGATACTCTTAAATATTTTAGATACCTAACGAGGGAATGGTCTGAACTTCCCCCAGCGTTTGGGAAAATGACTAGTACAGGTGGATAGAGCAGGTCAACTTTGGTAAAAAGAGCCATTTTCCAGCTGCGGAATAAGCCCGGCCGACGAGTAAAATCGACCGAAAGTTCCACAAAAATTTCCTCTTTCTCTTCCCTCGGAAAAGATGAATAGTGTCCAGTGGTTCGGTTAGCCGAGTGGATAAAGCATCCGCTCGGTATTCTTTTGGGGGTTGGTTCGATTCCGGGGTCTCGCGAAGGAATAAGGCTTTGATGAGTAAGATCAAACTCTAACAACCCCAAAAAAATTATTTTGCCTTTTTCAAAGCCAAACAAGTATAACTTCGACGTTCCATCGCTTTGAAGGTTCGGAAGCACCCAAAAAATTCATTTTTTGACAATTATTTTTTTGTTATAATTCCCCTATAAAACGTATAAAAATGGCAAAATATTTTTTTGGGTTCTTAGAGTTTGATCTTGCTCATCAAAGCCTTATCACGGTCCTTCGCGAGACCCCGGAATCGAACCAACCCCCAAAAGAATACCGAGCGGATGCTTTATCCACTCGGCTAACCGAACCACTGGACACCGCTCTTCTTTTCCGAGGGAAGAGAAAGAGGAAGTTTTTGTGGAACTTTCGGTCGATTTTACTCGTCGGCCGGGCTTATTCCGCAGCTGGAAAATGGCTCTTTTTACCAAAGTTGACATGCTCTATCCACCTGTACTAGTCATTTTCCCAAACGCTGGGGGAAGTTCAGACCATTCCCTCGTAAGATTGCTCTTACCATACTTTACTCCAGAATTAATTGGCTTCAAAATAGCTCTATGGATAAACCTATCAACTCCGGCCTCCGAGAAATTGCTGATTTTTGCTTCAGCTGTCAATCTTTTGGTATTTGAGACTTCTGACCATTCCACATACGATGACTTCGTATCGGAAAAAGTGATCCAAGTTACCGTATATTCAGCCGAATTATCTAAGAGAAAACATTCGTAAAGGACGACTATTCAGCCCACCTCCTAGAGACAGATGGACTTGTTCTGGCTGCACATAATCAGGTCCATCATTGGGGTTATCTGTTTCCCAGGAAGCCCGTCTTCCTGGTTCTAAATAAACCCTCTGGGCAGTAACTAGACTGGTTACAAATAAAATTAAGACCACCATTATTCGAAACGATCAGCTGTCAGAGAAGACGTGGCCTTATAAACAAAGCGAAACTTGTATTTTAAATGGGAGTGACCTCCAGATTTGGAAGATATACAAACTCAGATTGTCATTTCATTGACAATTGGAGGAACGGCAAAGAAAAACAAAAGAAATGATATGATCTCAAGCAGTTGAAGGTCGGCATTTCGAGGGAAGTTTTAATGAATAGCTGACTTTTTGGAATTTGAATGCTTTTATGTTTCGATTTAATCTTACTGTATTCTCCCCTCATTTTTGGGATGTTCTTACGGTTGTGACAATCAAACATTGCAATAATTAATTTTATTTACATGAAGCAACAACGGATATAATAATATAATACCACTTTTTGTTGGCCGTTTCGATAAAGATTTCTAACCCCTGAGGCTACTCTCTCCTTCCTCGTTGTCCAAACTCCATCCAATTAGTGCCGATCCGATGAGAAAATACAGTAACCCAAGGCGGAGGCGATTCCAAAACCCGTAATAGATCATATTTTGCTAGGTAAAGTGGAGTACAAATATGTATACAACATATATGTATTTGATAAAATAGACCGTCGGGGATCGAAAAAACAAACGGGGAAGGGGAATGGAGAGGCGGGACAGTTGGACAGATATCACCCATTATCAGGCCATTTATCAGTGAAACATAGATAATGTATTGTTTAAAACAACAAGTTCTGAAAGAATCTGTGGAACAAGAACCACTTTATCACACAATTACACCCACAAAAACACTTGTTGTTTATTCTGAGTCTGTTCGGAATGCTTTTTGTTCTCGAGTAAAATAATCTTTCCAAGGGGTTACTACCTCCATACCGTATTCTTCAACCGCCGTTCTACATCGTGGATAAGTGAGCATGTCATCCTCGATTCTTCTTTTTCCTTCTTTTAATTCAGATTTCAGACCCTTGAATACAATAAATGTGGTTGATGGATAACTTGCCTTTTCTACGAAAAAAGTCCAAACGATGAAAACGGCACTTCCCAGAGATATCAACAAGGACAATGTGATCAACATAACCTGAAGATGAGCGTTCTTCGCAGATACCTTACCTGGTATGTTTTCACAGAAATGTCGGGCTCTGGACTTCCATGCATCCCATATAATCGACCGATCGTGTTAAAAACAACCGTGAGAAATAAGTCTACAACGAATAGCTTCCCCAAAAAATACAACTATTCTTCTGAACAACATTTATTCTCCCAAAACATACGATATTTTCCATAAATTATTACGAATTAACCATTAGAAAAATGCGAACATACATCCTTTGGAAGGTCAAACAAATAATAATAAAACATTGAATGAGAGCGGGAGCAGGATAAAACTCCGACTCCAGAGAACTTTGACATGTGAAACATTTCAGAGTGTCCTCACGACACTGCGGTAGTAAAGGAATAACAAAAAGTAGAGAAAAGAAGAGGTATCCAGCTGGGCTGTCATCCCATGTCAGGCCCTTAGGCAGAGGCTTCCGTTGATTGGGGATCGGGGGCTTCGGCCACAACTTCTGACTCACCTCCGTTGTCAGTAGCCGGTGCTTCTTCTGACGCTTTCTCCACAGGGGTCTCTTCATCGGCGGTTGGGGCACCTTGCTTCTCTTCTTCGGTAGATTTGACTGCATTACGTGGAGGTCGGCCTCGACGTTTTGCAGGAGTATCAGTTTTTGGGGTTACTGGCTTTCGACCACGACCACGTTTGGGCGGCGAAGCAATCTTTTCTAAAATAACTTCTTCATTAACTGTTACTGGAATATTCAAACATAAAAAAATGTAAAAAATAACTAAAAAAATAATTACCTTCGCCTTCGGCTCCCTCTGCTTCATCTCCGCTCTTTTCTTTCTCGCTTTCATGATCGTCAAGTTCAATCTCTTCGTCATCATCGTCCGATTCCTTGGCATTCTTCGCTTTTCTTCCTCTCTTCGCGGGCGTTTTTTTGTTGGTTGGAGGTCTGCCTCGTCTTCCAGTAGGTGCAGATTTAGATCCTCGCTTTGTCTTCTGCCCCTTGTAGTCATCATCGCCGTCATCGTCGTCTTCTTCCTCCGCATCGGAATCATCAGACTTCCGTTTGCGGCCCCTTCCCTTTCCAATTCCAGACGCTGGTGGTCGACCACGACGCGAGCCCCTTCTTCCAGTGCCAGCTCCTCCGGGCTCTTCATCATCGATCTCAGCAATAACCGTAGAAGCATCTGGATTGGCGTAGTCAATATTTGAGCGAGTAGAACGACGAGGACGGCTTTCTGAGAGTGGTGCAGCGCTCTTTTCAGCCTAAATAAAAGTTAACCAATACGATAAGACAGCATACCTCGGCAACAACAGGATCAACCTTCCTGCGAGCACGTTTCTTTGGTGGAGATGGCTGTTCAGGTTCTTCTTTATCCTTATCCGCTTCTGCTTTGGCTTCTTCCTCTTTCACAACCTCATCATTGGCATCATCGGCTGACTGGACCATCCATTTGGGTAAAGTCTTTTTCTAAAACGATAATATAACTCTAATCTTCCGTTGTTACCTTTGGTTCATCCTTAGTCTCGTTCTTCTCTTCTTCATTATTACCTTCAACTTTTTCTTCTAACTTCTCCACGCTTTCATTACTATTGGCATCAACCTTCTTAGGTTCTTCCTTGCCCGGATTTGCATCTCCATTGGAAGCAATCTCCTCACTAGTCTTCTCAACGGTCGCTTCCGCTGGCTTTTCGACCGGAGGAGTAGCAAGCTGTTCGGTGCCAATGGCTCCCTCGGACATCTCTGAAAGGAGAAATGATTTTGAGACTAACTAAATAACCTTTCACGCCATATTTTAATTTAAAAACGACGTTCAAAACGCATAAAGAGCATCAAAAACAATTCGCTTTAAAAATTCTTCTCATTCGCTTTTATTAAACACCCCGACTTATTCTGTTTCCCGCCAAATTCGTCGGGGTTCCGAAGGACAAAACGGACAATGTTGGTCAAAAATGGGTCCGAACCGACAAAACGCAGGTACCGAGAAGATCGGGAGCACGATGAAGATCTAGGCGAGAGAATCTCAAGTCCCCAAAAAAGCGAGGGCAGCGAACCCCAAAAAAAACGGCGCGAACAGCCGAGAAAGGCCCGGCTTGTTTGTTTCCTCTCGGGGCCGGGTGGGGGACCAAAGGGCAGGGGAGCGCGCGTTCTCTCTCATCGCTCTGCTCTCTCTCTCTCACTGGCCAGCACCCATCTCTCGCAACGAAAAGGCAACAAATTATAAGCACAAAAGATGGAACGGATTTCATCAATGAACATCTACAGATTACAAAAAAATATAAAACCAATTACGTAGCAAAATCCACACCATTAGTTGATATTATACTTAGGTGACCCAATTGCCCCGCGTTCAAAATATTTTAAGCCGACTTGAAGCGTAAAAACCCACAAAATTATCAAAAAAAAAACATGGAGAATAGTTTTTCAAAAATAAATTGAAAACACGGCCATTAGAAAAGTCCAGATTCAAAGTAAATAAATCGGGATAGAAAAGAAGGCGAATAAAAAAACAAGAAAGAACCTTGACCACATCCACATTTTTTGAAGGGCAGTGAAAAACGCATGAGGATCAACTACGTCGCGTCGCGCTTGTTGACCACCAACTTAGTTTGGCACCAATGTTTTCGTTGCGAGACTTCTACAAAAACTCTTACGACTGTAAACGTACAATTAGATTGCATGCTATTGACATTGTGAAAATTTATGTTTGTGGAAATATATCAGTCAAACATCTAACATTGAACTAGCTCATAAAGATGACTTGTTTTCTGGAAATAATTTCACAATTATCCCAGATTGGCGGCAAAACAGCGGTGGCTACCGGGCCGGAACGGCCCGTTGAGGTCCGATTGGGCCGCGCCTGACAAATTTGAAGCGGGGCCGGGCCTAATCTTTGTTCGGGCCTGAAATTTTAAAATAGAAGCCCGTTTGGCCCCCTGGCGAAAACATTCAAATGGACCGAAAACTCGGCTCTCGGTCCCGTAAAGAAAAATTGATTATAAATCTTTATTGGCATTGTGTTCAAGGCCGGTAAGAGAAGGCAGCCGGCTGACAGAAGGAATTGGCTTGCCTCTTCTTCACTTTTAACTTTTTAAAACTTTCTCACTGCAGAAACGATATAATTATTGGCTGATTTATAAGATCATGGCGCCCCGAACCGAGGCGTTTAAGAGGTTGCAGCAACGTCTCAGAAGATCATTGAAGTATGGAGATTTGAGAATCGACTGTCTAACTGCGCCTTTATCCCGTAGGTTAAAGTCCACACATTATTTTTGATTTTTCTGATCCATAAATTCACAAAAATATTTAGAAATGGTTGTGGAGTATTTTGATCACCATTCGCCTTATGATTATCTGGATACGGACTTTGCTGCTTCCTCAGTGTAGGTGTTTCTTGCTTTACTTGACTCTGTTTAGTGGGGGTTTTGTCGATCCTTGCACTCTGATTGCCGCCATGATCTACCTCGAAAGGTTGAGGGTCAGAAAGCCTAAGGACTTCTTGTCGCGGAACCCCAACGAACTCTATCTGGCATCTCTGATCATTGCAAATAAGTTCTTGTTTGATGGAAATACTTATGATTATCTGTGGTTGGATGATTGGGTTGAAGAGTCCAAAATAACCAAGTCTATGATCAACCAACTGGAACTTCGTATGTTATACGATCTGGTAGGTCATGTTAAGTCATTGATTATTCTGTAGGAATGGGATCTAATGATATCTGGAGATGAATATGAGCATGCCCTTCAATCCATTGAACGTTATGTGGCAACTAGATCTCTCAAACAGTCAGGCATCTTGTCTTATGGAGATGCCCATGCCTTGATGTCCGACGCCAAGCCCTTGTTTAAACACATGTCTCGTTTCCTGACTATGTGTGCTTCCCTAGCGTCAGCTTATCTTCTTGTATGGACTCTCTCGGTTGGCACTTACCTCACAGCTCAGAAGGCGGTAACCGAGATGTCAACTATGAATGATTTTGTCCTTGTAAATGACACCTTCCCATGCTCCCTCAACTCTGAGAATGCCCTTTGTGATTCCGGTCGAGAAGAGGTGGACTCCGAGTTGCCCGAAGCGATGGTTTCCCAACGTTCTATGAATCTTCTTAATCTGGATGTCATCGAGCATATCCCTCGTAACAGAACATTGCCTGTGTATGATGGATCCTGTGTTGCTCATCGTAGTGTATTCTCGAAAAATGTTCGCATGAGACTTATCTGTTAACATGAATGCCTACTTCGTTTTGATTTCCTTATATTTCTTGTTGTTTTTATCTTTATGGGGTTTCGTTTTAATGGGTACCTTTTGTTAACACATCGAACTAATTGTTTTTTTTGTTGAAAATAATCGAATTCAAAAGTAAAATTTTATTCACACAATCTGATTTGCACTAATCCTATACAAGGTACAATTTAATTAGTATTCACAGAAATGGTTTGGATATCTATCCGATTACCTTCTTATCAAAAAGATTTTTAATGGAGGTAGAGATGACCTGAGCAGATTTATGAGTGTATCCTCCACTCAATAACATAACTATTGGAAGACCCGCTTCCCTAACTTTGGTGAACACCATTTCATCTCGAGTTACCGTACCCTAAAGTAGCTGCTTGGGTAACCAGAGCGCGAAAGCAAACAAACTATAAGTAAAAACTCTTACCCTTTCCGAGAGACTAAGATGTCCAACCGCATCCCCATCAAGACAATCAGTGCCAGCATTATAGATAACAAGATCCGGCTCAAAATCCTCTAAACTTTTGCTTAGAGCCTTTTTCAGTTCATACAAATATTCAGTATCTTGAGTGTAACTCTGTAATCTCACAGCCAGATCAATGGATTCCTTGGCTTTGAAGTCGCGAGGGTAGATCTCGTAATTGAATACATCCACAATACAAACGTTTTTATCCCCGGCAAAATCCTTTTCAGGTCCATTTCCTTGATGTGCATCCAGATCTATTATCATCGCTTTTTTGATCTTATTGTCCAAAAAGAGGAATCGAAGAGCGAGTGTAATGTCAGCATATATACAAAAGCCTCCACCACCGTAGGCATGAGCATGATGGAATCCACCTCCAATATTGATGGCCCATCCTTTTTCTAGGGCTAGATATGCGGCTGTGATTGTTCCTCCAGTTTGGAGTCTGAAATATTTGACTTTACATTAAAGATGACCAGAAAACAGGAGGTCCCTCCGGGAGTGACCTGTGTTTCTGGAATTCATTTCTATGTGTTTAATGCTGTTTTGATAACTGTTGTTCAGTCTATAAAAGTTGCCGTAAAAAATATAAGTTCTACTTTTTTGGACCTCGTCACAGAAACCCCAAAAATAACAAAATGATCTTCAGACGACCAGATAGGATAGAAAAGGCGCAGCGACGATTGAAAAACTGGGAATCCGTTATGACTGGAATCATATAAATTTAATCGCCTGCATCGCAGACAACTTTTGCTTATTTCTTGTCGGGCTCTGGACAAGATTCGCCGATTCTTGCTGAACTCAGCGAGTTCTGGACAGAAAGCCCGCAGGCCTTGCCTAGCGGGCCCACAGACAAGAAATCCGGGGTTTCTGCGATGAGGTCCGAACAAAAGTAGAACGTTTTAAACAAAAGATGATTAATAAAAAAATACCTCATTGACTTGAGTAATCTTTTTTCGATGATACAGTAGGGAACGAGAGCCACCAATGGGACTTCCACACATTTTGCAACGACGCAAGATACCAAAAGAGAATTCAAATAATGCTGGGAATGGACAACTCTAAGGTCTTGATGAGAAGCTTCGGTTGGACGAATGTACATGGACTCTGTCATGTATCCATCTTCTAAAATTGCAATGAAGTATACTGAAATTCCTCACCGATGAGTTGATCCATAACTCTCCCCCATTTACACGAATCAAAAGGATGTAATTTCTCGAGCCCATAACAGGTTATATTGTAATCAGGGCTGTAAACAATGGGTAATTGATGTTCCGGATCTTCGGCTGTCTTCTTAATCTTTGAATTCCTCACAGAATTAACGCGACCACTACAAATTATAATACATATATTCGTACCTACATCCTGACTTTATTCATCTCACCTTGCTCTTCAGGCTCTGCCGATTCCTCCATCTGTTAATATAGCTAATGCTACTCAGATTACATCAACTGTAATTTAAGGAGAATAACCGTACGTTCCATTTCACACATTAAAGTATACTCTTTATTACTCAAAAATATAAGTTAGAGGCAAACGTAATATGATTTCAGGTATATAAAAAGAATTGGAAACAACAACCCGATAATGTTCGCAGTGATCTGGAGGCATCTATTTCGTTTTCTTTGGCTCCTTCTCTTTCTTGGCTTCTAAAAACGATAAAATACTTGTATTAAACAAATGAACTCACCTTCCGAGAGCTTCTTGTCTTGCTTCTGCTTCTTCTGAGCGGCTTTCTGGGCAGCAGCGCCTGTTGGGAAGACGGCGTCAATAATGCAGACGATAAACTAAAATAAACAAAGTAAAATTAGGTACAATAGCACTTACGTATCCAAGAATGCATCCCAATCCAAGGGTGACTGCGGCAAAGAGAGAATAGGATGCCCAAGCGGGGACTCCCTTATCTTCAATCAGATGGTTGTGGAGATCTCTGACAGCCATTGAGAGTTTGAAGAATAAAGCAACGACTCCCATCCTAAAGAACATACGTAGTAATAACATTTAACTGTAACACCCAAAAAAAAAATAAAACCTACTGGGCACTGTCAGGATGCTTGTAGTTTGGCAGAGGCTCGACAAGTTGCCATTGTTTCTCTTCAACAAAAGTAATGAAAGCCTCCTTATCTCTCGGACCAGTGTATTGACGGAAAACACCATCCTTGACACTAAAAGAAGAACAATGGAAACAACAAATTATCTTACTGATAGATCGTTGGCAAAGCAGTAACTAAGAAACGACCAGAGAGGCCAGGGTTTTGTGTAACATCCACTTCAGCCACATTTACATTCAAATCCTTGGACCAATCAGCAAAGGCATTCCAACTCTTGGCCAAGTCCTTGCAAGCGGGACACCAAGGAGCATGGAACTCCAAAAGCCATTCACCTTTCAAAACATCCTGCCAGTTCTCTTCATGAAGATGAATTAGGTATTTGGATTGAGGAGCGGCCGTAGTGGCCAAGATGAATGTCAGGAAGACGACCAGGGAGAGATGCGAAGTCATTTAGCGGTTTCCCAATCTGCAAAAGTCCATGAATAGAAAAGAAAACAGCAAGTCTTCACCATCGCGAACATTTTTTGGCAAAACAAAAAAGGAAAAATGTTGTTTTGACCTCCAAAAAATGGGTCATCTGAAACGAAATGTCAAAACAGTTTGCGAAACGAAAAGATTCAACTCATGGAAGGGGATGGAGTATGAGAAACACGTAGCTTCCTTTAGTAACGAGCGGTTACACTGTGTTCACTATGGTGCAAACTCTCGTTTCAGCTGCGGACGCGAATGATTTTATTTTTCTATCGCGACCGCTTGTTTTCGCAAGTAAATGGGGTCGAAGCAAGTCAGAATTTCATCGCCAAGATTCAAATTTTTCAAAAATAGATTTTTGGAAAGCCGGAGGGACGTACCACTTCAAGTGTCCACTTGCTAATTTCGATTTCAAGAATTTTCGATCATCTTTGAGTCAGAAATAAATGAAAAAAGTATAGGAGGTCTGTAATCTTTAAGCGCAATTTTGTGGCCCTGCGGCACAAGAAAAACGTCTCAGAATAACTCGTTTTCTATGCTATGAATCTGCCAACAATAAGTTTGATTCCCATCTGGCGAGCCGATTTCGAGAACGACTCTACAAAGTTGTATTACTTTAGGCACCGAACTTCAATGCGCGAGAAAAGGGAATTTTTAGCGTTTCTATGTTATATCTGAAAACTAGGCAATGTCAACGATACCGGTTGGTCACTCATAGAGGCGGGGTGCATTGCGTATTTTATACATTCCTTCACGTTTCTTGAAGGACCCTGTATTATAAATTTTGTTTCATTTTTCAAAATCATTTGCGTTCGCAGGGGCGAATCCGGAACCAGCCGGAAAAAATGTCATGAGAACTGACATTTGTTTGGAAACCGAACACCGACCTTTTTATCCGTTAGTTTTTCGATCACATCAAGTGAAGGACGCGCGAATAAATAATACGGCCGTTTTGAAGAAAAAAGGGTCAAACAAAGTCGAATAGCATCCGAATCCGCGGCGGAGGCCCTCTTCCTCATTTTAAAACACTAATTTGATCTATACATATTTGCCACAGCCGAGTGAAAAAACCCCAATGTCGTATTTATGACAAGGCGGACAGAAACCGCGTAACAGGCCGGATACAAAAGCGACAGGGAGTCGACACCATACCAAAGAAAACCCGTCATTAATTGGGCATGTTGAGAATGGGATCCCGCTTCTTCCTTCTGATCTTAATAGTTCTATGGTGACGTGTTCTTTCGGAGTTGGAGAGTCGGGGGAGAAGCGAAGAAGGAAGGTGCGCGATGAAACAAGGGCATTTCCTTCATCCCCACCTACTTTTGGTTCCGCAGATCGTTATCAAGTAAAATATACAAAAAATGGGCAGCCTTTGTGTGATAGATAATATGATCGCTACAGAAAAAAGATACCGCTGGTCATGTTGAGATGCAAGTGGATATAAGGAAGGGAGGTTAGTGGGTCAAACAACCAAGAAAAAGATTCGACGTGACAAACACTGGCTTCCGAGAAAGGCAATCATTTAAAAGTTACGTATTTAAAAGAGATTGTGATAAGTTTATCTTTTAGTAATCAAAATTTATAGTAATGCTACAACTCGTAAATTACAAGTGTAATTTATTTACACGGTCTTGAGCTCTGGTTTGACCACCCTCTCAAAGAAATCCCGTTGATATTTCGGTCGAATCAGCAAAGCGAACATCTTTTCGAAGATGACTTCATCGACGGATTCCGCGACATTCAAACGGAAGATTTCTGGAAGGATCGGTCAAGTTAAAGAAGGAAGAAAAGGGATGGATAAAAATTGAAAAGAAGAGAGATAAAAAAAGAGGGATCTCACCTTCCAACATCTCCACCAAATCTCCATTAGCCTCCAGAAGACGCCGGCGGTCGGCGGAGGAGAATCGGTGGAATAATTGAGCGGCTTCCTGGAGGGCCCTTCTCATTCCTCCAGACTTCTGCGGATTCAAAAATTCCCCCAGCCGAGGCATCAACACGAATATCTGCAAATCTCATGTGGAAGATTGATTAATTCTGCTTTCTTTTCCTTTCTTGATTACTTACATTGTAGTAGAGTTGGACAATATTCTCGGAGAACCCTTTGCTCCGGAGTATTTCATTGGCCAATTCCATTGTCCTTGCGTATCCGTGAGGTTCTTTTATGGCCTCCAGGAGTTCGATCGTGGAGGCGTCTACTTTACTACTCCTCAGGAATAATTCCTTTTCATTGGAAGTCAATCCTTTCGCATAATCGGGCGCTTTATCTTCGAAGATGACTAAAATTGAAAAAGATTTTGTACAAAATGAGGTTAATCTGCTACATAAATGATGACTATATTTTTACCTTCAAAATCTGGCACCAAACTTTCGTAACTAATGGATTGCTTGGCTTCCAGCGATGCCCAAGATAAAATGAAGAATAAAAAGTCCAAAGATTTCATCGTCGTATGTTCAAAGTTTTCAGCCCGAGGTAATAATTCTATCGCCTGGAAGGATTCTTAAAGGTTCCGAGAGAAGAATACCATTATTCTCGTGTTTGTTCGCCTTATCTTTACTCAGGAAACAAACGAATCTGAAGTCGTATTTTTATTCCAAATATAGATATGATCTCCATTTATACGATCATACTCTAGAAAAGTTGTTACTTATTTTTTGCCTGCATATCTTTACCTACAGTATGACAAGCGTTGTAAACGATGATAAATAATGTCATCCTTTTATGTTTATGGCCTTTTTTCTTCTGGTCACAATCGCTTGAAGTGTTGACATAGTCAGCAGAATACGGTCGTAAAATGTTGCTTAGCATTATTTACACCACAATACATTCTTTGCCTGATGTTTGCTCACGTTGCAACATATAAATGACGGTAAGAAGCCCAGTAAAACCTAGATAATATTCTTTGTGAATGTGTATTCTTGAGCATGAAATCTTCAGCTTTTCTGCTTTTTGTCCTTTTTAAATCATCCTTACAATGTGGAAGCGTTGGAGGTAATTGTAATGTAATCTGTAATAGTAGTGTGTAGGTGGGGCTGATGGTCGTATCTACACAAATCCATCACTCCAATGGGAGATGTCGCCCCCTGCTGCTTGGACATATCCAGTCTCATATGCCCAACAAACAGGGCAGTTCTTTGCCCAGCAACCTCTGACACAGCAAGATGCGATAAATAAAGCGCAATCCGATATGCAATCCGCCGTAAGTCAAGCACGTAATGAACGCATTTCCAATTATTCTGATTTAGGTTTTGACCGCACTATCCGAGAACGACCTGCCTACCAATAATGTGAGGGTTAGTACCGGTTACTCTGCTCAGCAAGTCAGCGATTGTGTCAAAGTAACTCCCACTTCTACTGGTCAGGGAATCCCTTCGACGACCACCGCAAATCAAGAATTTGGAGTGGAGGAGCAAGGAGCGATCACTCGCTTGGCCCAGTCCTCAATGGATGTTCCTGTTGCTATGTGTGCGGCAAGAAGTTTTACAATGGTCACATACAGACCCAATATTGTACAAGGATCACTACAAGTGAGCTCTATTCAAATTACGTCCAATGTTGATACAGTATGACATGAATGTTTTTTAGATAAATGGCCTCACGCTCAGTGGATTCCAGCTCCGAAGTTTGGTGGGTCAGATACAATCTCTTCTCAGTTTCCGGTCTCATGTTCGATTTCAAACTCCGATTACTTATTCTTAATTTTCTAACAAATAAAGTTATTTCAATTCTTAATTATTTTATACCAATGCCAATATAAGTTAATCCAATTTGAAGCTCTTTTTGCCCAATAAGGGCTCGGTAAGCGTAATCTTCTTCACTTTCATCACTTTGCCATCGTTTACTCTAGCCAAGAATTCTCTCTGAAGTCGGATATTACTCTCTCCATCGGATAATAATGCCTCTCGAGGGGATTCGAAGCAGGATAAGGTGGCTGAAATTAAAAATTGGATGCCCCAATCGTAACGGAAACTAAAGTGACATAACTCTATCTACCTTGGTTTCTTCTCTGTATAAGGTGCTTCAGTGTGGAAATGACCGACATCGCAGCAGGAGAATATAATCCAAGTGGGGAAAAGTGATAACAAAAACCCGGTTATTCCGCTCAACAACAACAGGCTTTGTCCACTAAATATATCTTATGCAAATACACAGCGTTCTGAAGTTTTTTCCGCCTATCGGTGCCCAAAAAATGTAAAAATTTTATAAAAAGTGGCCATAAGCGTTTGTGTGAGATGGCTAAAGACAATTAAAAAGATAAAAAGTATTTTGTACAGTTCTTTTTTCGCTGTCCCGACACGAATACATTTCAAATTTTGTTCAGATTCTCCAAGAAATTCTTTTTTCCCAGTCCCGAAGCGAAACCATTTCAACATTTTGCCCACATCAATTATTTACAAAAAATCATTTTACAAGGTGTTCGTTAGGTGCACTATAAGTCAGCTGCACTGTTCGGACCGAATCGTTCGGATCCAACCTTGTTCATAAAAAATCAATAAATGTTGACATTTTGTCATAATTTGTTTTTTTCCGTCCAAAACTTGTTTTTGAGGTCGAAAACTTTGCCAGTCTTCGCCAAGTCTCCGCCGAACCATCGCCGAGCGTCCGCCGACCATGCAACGGCTTTGCCAGGCCTCGTAGGCACTTCCTACGTCTTTTTTTGGGCATCCACCTGCCCTACGATCCCTTTCGAGCAATTTTGTGATGGTCCGAACTGTTGTCGACCCGAAAAGTCGGGGCGCGGTAAAAAGATTTGATACAGTATTATTTTAATTTTACCTACAAAGCAACAATGCAAATGCAATACAATATACATCAAGTGTAACATCTAAAATTACTTTTTTGAATTAAAAATTATTGAATTAAATAAAAATTATTTCAAACGCTTGCGGAATTGTCTGTAATCCAGAAGGTTCCCAGAACTCTAATCAATTAATTCTCCTGAGGAAATGGCATGCCCTCAGACTACTTTGCATTCCGAGCGTGCAGATTGGATTGCTTTGTGATCGCTTAGACAGTAATGTAATCTTTGTATCTGCAAGTTTCTCTTCCTGATATGTTGGTAATTACGTCATCATTACATTTCCTTTCGTTGGCATTTCTTTTAACTTTGATGATTCTGTAATGTGAACAGTGTTTGTGTCATCTCTTAAACCGTTCTTTGTGTTTCTCCCCGATTAGATTAAAAAATTTGCCAATTGCATAAAATCAAGGAGATTCTGGAAAAGCCCCGGGCAATTTGTCCTCTGAATTAGACATTTGGTTAAATCTTCCCCTCCACGATAATTGGCCATAAAAATTTGAGAAAGAGAGTCAAGTAGCCATATGCCCTTAGGGTTTAGTGCTTCTGTTCCCGACTTTCAGAACCAGAGATTGTAAGAGCTGCAGTAAGCAGGCAATTGTATTTTTAGTTTGGTTTTGCGACCATCTTCAAGACATGCGTATTCTAGGAATGTGTTTTTAATATGTAGCAATTTACATGGCTATCAGCCTATCTTTCTACCGTTCCAAACCCCAATAAATTCGGCTATGACTGTTATCACATCCAGACATACCACTTTTTTCCCACTTTTCATCTCCCGAACGTGTTCATTTTCTAATGTAATCCCGAATTTTATGTGATACCCCCGTTTCCCGGCCTTATAACATGCTCAAAGATGTGATTACCACCGGTTTTATGGGATTCCCAGAGCCTCAGGTTGTGTATCGGCATGTTCCCCATAAATCATGGCCTAATTATATGGCCATATCATTTGGGGGTTTTGTGGGTTCGGGAAGAGGGAAAGGGAGAGAAAAGATTCTTTCGGTTCCGGTTTCCGCCATCTTCTGGAATCCATTCAGATGGCCGTATTCACCCAATGGTTACACCTTTTCTTTTGTTTGCATTACTTTTTACGCACCTTCATTCACATATATCTAGAGCCAAAATTTTATTAATTTTGAGTTATGTTACAGTAATCCGGAGAGTTTTTTTGCGATCATCCAAGCTGAACGAATGCGTTTTTTCAAATGTTTTTGTGAACGGAGCGTCCTCATGAATTTATAATTCTGAATTTCTTTTCAGATCAGCAATCATTAAATCCTCCAGTCATCTTCCCTGCTGATGTCATGAACCCTTATTTTTCTGGTATTATTTTATTATTAAGTGCTCGAAATCTTTTTACAACTTGCTCTGCACTTACTATTTATACATATCTATATATAATTTCACCAGTTCCGAGCTCTTTTTGGGGAAGATTTATGGCTAAAATAATGTCATAAATTATAAAAATGTGCGATATGGATATAAAATAACATCGGAAAAAGGTTCCTCATGCAAAATTGGTCCTAAAAATGGCAATTTTACAATGAAAGAAGGAAGTTTAAGTGTTTTAATAACTGTTTTACAAGCGTTTAAGGTCCTGCTGACAGTGATTATGTTATTTTTTGGTTCCTTTCATACTTCCGGGGCCCAAACTTTTTTTTATAGATATCTAAGAGGTCCAGAGATTTTTAATTGACACTTTTGATACTTATTTTTGTCCTCCAATTCCCCTTTTTTTTCCTCCGTCACCTTGTTTTTGTTGTTGTCAAAGGTCCTTAAACTTGTAAGATGTAATGAAATATACCCTCAGCGTTTCGTATTTATCCGATTTCAGCTCTGATGCTCTCCAAAATACGATTAGTTGAGCATATATTTGAGCAGAGTACGATGACATTTGTGATATTACCTATCAACTCTGTTTTTAACCCATTTTCTGAGTCATTTCTTTGGTGGGTTCTGTTGGGAAATGTCCCCAATAATGCCAGAATCTAATCTCGGATTAATTCTTTACCCAAAGAACGTGTTCACCTTATTTTTATAATACTCTTTTGTGTTCATATTTATTGTTTTCGTGCCCCAAAGAGATGCACTTTAATGGACATGATGTGTACAAAATTCATGTCTAACAAGTCTTTGCGCTCATGCCAGGTGCATTCTTCGCGTGTTTATCGCATTATATAGGCATCTTCTGATTTTTTTTCCTTCCGGGAATCTGGGTTTACGGGGAGACTGACTTTTCGGTCCCCCCTCTTTCGGTCCCCGCCTTTTCGGTCCCGCCGTTTGGGGTGGGAGACTTTTCGGTCCCCGGCTTTTCGGCTGGCGCCTTTTCGGTCCCTGGCCTTTTCGGGTGGGGACTTTTCGGGTGGTGAGTAAAATACTGTAAAATAAGATACCACTGATGACGCAATATTGTAAATGATTTAAAAAAAACCTTTTAATTCGTTTTTTTGGGATTTTCGACCAAAAAATAGATTCTTTTAGACAACCGACCGAGGAGAATCCGAAAATGAAGTTTATTTTTGCCAAGAAGTATTTGAAAAAACAATTATTAATAATTATTAATCAACGATTTAATTAATCCTGCGACATTTTCAATAAAAAACTTCAAAATAACATTAGAAGAAGTGATAAAAGATTAACATTATCAAATCGTTCATGAAAAACTCGAATTTCTAAATGAAATTGACATAAAATCCTACATTAAATCGGAAAATTCAATAAAATAATTCAAGTATTCATTAAAATGTTGTTGTAATTATTAAATGTTATATTTTCTGCGTTAAGCAATTATGTAATTCTGTTGATTTGGTTGCGTTGGGCAGAAATTTTGATTTGACTACATCGACGGCAGAAATTTTACGCAGATTGGTGAAACAGCTCATTTATTTTCCTTTTTCTCATCGCATCGAAATGGTTCGTGTACCTGCGTCCTTGCAAATGCCCACAGCGCCCGAACGAGTAATAATGGACTTCGAACTGGCATCCAAACAGGCAATACATGATGTATATGGTAGCCAGGTCCAGGCACATGGTTGCCATTTCCATTACACCCAGTGTTTGAGGAGAAAAATCGACGAATATGCCAAGCGGGACTTCCGAGATAACGAAGTCTTCGCCTTGTTCATCCGACACCTGATGGCCCTCCCATTCGCAAAGCCTCAGCATGTGGAACATTATTTTGAACAACTGATGATCAAATACCGTGGTCTGCTTGGCACTGACACACCGAGATTGCTGGTTCCGATAAAAGAGTACATGGAAAGAACATGGATTGGACTTCCAGGCCTACTTCCAGGAGATGATAGGCAAGTTCCATTGTTTGAAATTCCATTTTGGAATTGTTACGAATACACTATGATAGATTTGCCTAGGACCAACAACAATGTAGAGGCCTGGCACCGTGCCATTCAACAAGCAGTTCGCCAGAAACATCCGACAATAGAAAGCCTCATCAAGGTTCTGAAGCAGGAAGAAGCGATCGCCAATCTGGACATTGCCCATTCGTTAGCTGGAGACGTGCCACCATTCATAAGACGGCAGAAGTATTTCACGCTCAATGAACGTTTCAAGAAAGTGTTGACCGTCTACAACCCCGATCCATTGCTTTTCCTTGGTGGAATCGTTCAGAACATTCGCTAGTCATCTTATCATTTTCGAATTGTGTTATTACTGTTATTTTCCGTTTTTTCTTTTGTAATTCGTTAATTAATAATTATTAATAATTAATTTTTCAAATACTTTTTGGCAAAAATAAACTTCATTTTCGGATTCTCCTCGGTCGGTTGTCTAAAAGAATCTATTTTTTGGTCGAAAACCCCAAAAATGGATTAAAAAGTTTTTTTTTAAAACTATTTACAATATTACGTCATCAGTAGTATCTTATTTTACAGTATTTTACTAATCACCCGAAAAGTCCCCACCCCAAAAGCCCAGGGACCGAAAAGGCGCCAGCCGAAAAGCCGGGGACCGAAAAGTCTCCCACCCCAAACGGCGGGACCGAAAAGGCGGGGACCGAAAGTGGGGGGACCGAAAAGTCCCGACCCCGGGTTTACGTACATTGTAGTACTAGAACAGGTGGTCCCACACTGCAATAAACAGTTTCACAGACCGCGATTTAATTGTGTAAAGAATGTAAAGTGGTGTCTGCAGGCGGAGACGTTCTGAGGTCGTTTTCGGACCTAAATTTTGCGAAAAAATATTAAAAATGGTGACATAATTTTTATTTTTTTCAATTTATTCTCAAAATTGGTGTTGACAAGCAAAATGTTATATTTAAAATGAAATATGTCCATCTATACATCATGAGCATTCTTTCCTGTTTCTTGAGTAAATTTTCTTTTTTTTTGGGATCTCAAAAAATATTTTTTGAATTTTTAGTAAGATGACTTATGATCCCGAGTAAGCCACATCTATTATGGAAAGCTTGAGGAGTTGTTAAATCTACGTCACAAATAATTGGACAGTATGTATGTACTTAATTCTTTACCCAAAGTTGGCCAAAAAGTTGCCGTAATTGTCAAGTTTCTCTCATAATTGTAGTCATTATCTAGGTTTTGACTCTATGGCTTAAGATCTATGATTATAGTTTTAATTTCGTTGACTTTTACATAAAAATTAAATCAAAAGATTTGTTTGAATATTCAAATTCTAATCTAAATGGCAATAATTCTGTTTTTCCACAGTAATATCACTAATATGACCCGATGAGACATAAACAAAACAAGAAAGTGACATCTGGTGGTTGTTTTTGTTGACATTCCCAGTAAATATGGCCAGAATAGAAGATTGGACTTCTTTTTACACAAAAAATACAGTAATCCTCACAAATTAAACTACAAATTCCTTCGTTTTAACACATTTCGACGTGCTTACTTTAAACGTCACTAAGTAAGTGTGTAGGTGTGACAAAGTGCTTATTCAACAATTCCCTCTACAATTACGCAAGTTTTCACTTGAAAGTCCAAGATTTTTTTATGAAAAACTAGAAACGACTTTTTTTTAAGACTAGAGGAGATAAGTCAGACATGATTAAAAAAGTTGTATTTACTCCCCAATTACTCCATTTTCTCTGATATGACCTTTAAGTAAGATGACATTGCTTCCCTTCAGGTTGCAGCTTCCCAAAATCATTTATTTTCCTCAATTAAAGCGTGGTGTTATATCCGCTTCGACTGATTAAATGCAACTTTTTGTGTAAAAAAATAAAACATTTGCATTTTTTATTTACTTTTTATTTTTACCGATTTCTCGCAGACTCCGCCTCCTTTTCGGCCGAGAGTATTTTTTATCGAAATGAGGCCGGCTTCGTGAAGCAAATACGGCCTCAAATCTTTACTATATCCCTACTACATAATCGGCCAACAATTGCCTTACATCTGTTAGGTGCAGTCCGCGTATTTTATATTCCGTTCCACTTGTCCAGTACTGTAGGTATTCAGAACATGTTGCCGATCGAGAATTGGACTCAAGTCATGGAGCCGAGTCCCGAAGAAGACAACGATTACATGCTGGTGTTGAGCAGTATTGTAATCATCGGATTGGTGGGGAATATCATCTCTTTGGTGACCATTTTAAACAGCCGTCTCAAGAGGGTACGTCTTGTTTTTTTGTTTTTGAATAGTTGATTGAAGCCAGCATGTTTTTCTTGTAAATATTTCGCGTATTATTCTTCACATTTATGCAAAATTTGGCTACTCTTCATTTGGGGCAGCTTGGGTATGGGCCCAATTTCGCAAATGTTGCAAAAATTGTTTGACTCGAGACGGCTAGCCAAAGGTTGAAATTCCAAAAAAAATTTTTAAATGGCTTGCCAAAAACCTGGATCGGTTATTGCCATTTAAACCCATTGTCTAGCTGGTCCAACAGTTTTGCAATCATGGCTAGACATATTGGGCCAACACCCGATCTACTCCAAATGATAGGTGTGCAAAATTTATACATTTTTATACAAAACTTTTTAGATTTTTGCAAAGTAAATATTTTAAAATTTTAATGTATTACCCTTCAGATCACAGCCAATCAATATCTAATTGTTTTGACGGCGTCGGATTCGGTGTTCCTGGCCGCAATGATCCTGATTCTGTTCAAAGTCGACTACGTCAACTTCCATTTCTGTGTCGTAATCGAATACATTTTAATGACCAGTTCGTATGTTAGTTCGTGGTCCGTGGTTGCCTTAACTATTGAGCGATATATTGCGATTGCCCATCCCCTCAAACATATGAAGGTGAGGATCTCTGATCTTCACTCTGTCAACCCTTTATCTTATTCTATTTTTGTTCATAAATTATTCTTCAGCTATCACACATTCCGAGGGCCAAGATAATGGCGTATTGGGTGCCGATCCCGTTTCTCTTCAACCTGATCCAGTTCATCACTTTATCCCCCACAAATGCCGATCCCGATTGGCCGAATGTGAAGCAATGCGGGATTCGGGAGGGTCCATTGCAGGTAAAGGTGTCAGCATTATATAAAATTTTCTATTACTCTTACTTTAACCATAAACCTTATTTCACAACTACCGCTTATTTTCTGCAGATGACAGTAGAGATCACGGATGTTGTTTTATCCTACGTCTTGCCCTGTCTGACGGTCGTATTTTTGAATACTTTTATCGCTTCCACCGTCCACAAAGCAGGGAAAGGCCTCTTTGGGAGCCAAGATAACCTCTCCACGGCTGACAGACAATCCAGGAATCGAAGGACAGGGAATGTGAACACGGGATCTACCAGGATCTTGTTGGTAGTGCCCATTGTATACACAGTACTCAACACTCCATTCTATTTGATGCGGATAATGGATACTTTGGCCCTGAATTTGTTTAACTCGAAGGCCTTCTCGATGCAGGGAATGGCCGAGGATCCCTTGGCCGTCTTCTTTTATAATGCCGCCCATTATTTATATTATTTGAACTTTGCCAGCGATTTTATGGTTTACGCATTTACAAGGTGAGTCCTCAAGCTATGTGACTGTTAGATTTAAAGTCAAATTTAACAACTCAACTTCCGTATGCTGTTATTGTTGTTATCTTCTTGTTTACCATGCTTTTTTCGCGCTGAAAAAGCAGATTTGGAGGGAGAAGTAATCTCATCACATTCCAGTATAATATACAGTCGGATTAATCCCTTTCTTCCGGGGATTTGGCCCGTTTTGAGAGGGCGTTCTGCTTGCAGAGTAATTTGCATATAATTGGAGGTTTCGGGTTACTGTAGCTAATTTTGATCATTAACTCCGACCTCGATTGGAGCCCGTTTTGTCCCCATATTTTTTTAGAGGTTTGTCCCCATAGTAACAATTACCGGATGCGCCATTTTTGTAACCCGATTTGAATTGGCTTTTTAAATATTTTTAGGCCGAATATTAAAATCACTTTTCCCCGTAATCTCCGTTACCTTTTTTGACCGATAGTCAGCGCCTTCACGATGTCAGTAGACGGAATCTTGGCATTACTTTACTTGTTGGAAAATTCATTTTTTTTATTAACGAGACCATTACGGGCCGAATAATTACATAGAACAAATCCGGTCTGGGGACAGAGACCCTAAAAAATTGTGGGGACAAAACCAAGTTGGAGACAAAAGCTCCCCAATGTTTTTGGTCCAATTAAAAAATGACTTTGTTTTATATTTTTACCCCACATTCATGTTGAACCATATTCGAATCAGTTCTTTTTGATATCGAGTCTATAAAACACTGTAATTCTGTTAAAGTAATACTGAAATCCGAGTTATTTACGCCCGAATTCGGCAACGATCCATATTCCATTAACCCGTTCGAGTGTCATGGATACTTGGAGACTCAACGTCTAACAACCTTAGATCATAATTTAAAAGTTTTCAAAACTGCACTTTCTATAACATCATTTTTTAACAGTGTTACGTCAAAATTAACACTTTTTTCAAAGTTACACTTTTGAAAATTTACACTTAAAATTTATACTTTTTTGAATTATACATCCTTTTTACAAAGATGTAAGGGTATCTATGACACTCGAACGGGTTTTCGAAATCTGTCCATTATGAAGAGAAACGTTGATCTAATCCGATTACTTTTAGCGCCAATTTCCGCAAAAGTGTAACACTAGCCTGGGCGCAGCTGTTATGTCCGAAATGGGCGGCCAAGAAATTTCATCGTGACACGCATCTGGAGAATACATTGGTCAGTAATCGGACACAGATCCCCTCGATCCGAAACTCCCATCTCAGATCGACCCCTTCCAACAATACGCCCACCGAATTATAGACCTGGATCTTGTTGTGGATAACTGCCTTGTGTACATGACTGCTTGTTGTTTTGAATATTTAATTATTGTTAATATTATTTGGATCTTGTTTAATAAACAGGAGAGCGAAGAGCGGCGTCTCGGGGGAGCGGATGATTAAATTTGTATGATCTAATGGGTGTCTAGTGCACCGTGGGGGAGAGCAGGGAAGTCTTGTACTACTAGTAAAGTCGTTTCCCGAGTACTCTGGCTTCAAAAGCATGTTGTTCACCGAGAATAGCATCAGAATCACGCCCTGTATCTTCTCAGATTGCTTGTTTTCTGATCGTGGTCCACAACAATCGCCTTATTCTTTATCAAACCATTTGATCCCACTTATCTTCAATTATAATTAAACAGTATAACCAGTAGAATAAACAGTCAAACCACCATTCTAGCCCTCCACATTCGAGAGCACTCATCTTGATTACTTATTTAGATTAAAATAAACGTAGAACACTTTTCCGATGAGAAAGAATTAATATGGTATGGCCATAAATAATTAAATCCCCCTTATTTTATTCGTATTCGGAGACATGTCAGACTCTCATGCACCCTGCATATCCCCACAACCACCTCAATATGCCACTCGGATGGCTAACACCAATATCATCATCATCACTTTGTCCATTTATGAGGTCATAAAGTCTGAGGAAACCCTTCGAGGGCTAAGAAAGCCTCAGCTTATCGTCTGTATATAACCGGGATATGCATGTACGAACTCTTGGTCCGTCTAATTATTTTAATCCCTCGAAAAACGATACTTTGGACTATTTGAATGGAGGATAACACCCGTTTACCCGCCGGATTACCCTAGGAAACTACGTTAAACCCCAAAGACGTCGTCATCGACTAATCGCAGTCTAATTAATCATCAATTAATGTAGATGGCGCTTCTCGGGATTAAATCAAAAATCGGTATTTTTTCTAAAAAAAATGAGCAACCTGTAACCATTCAGGAAAGCAATCATATTAAAACCAGACATGAGTCTCAGTAAAAACAAGAAAACAACCAAAAAACGAAAATTATATTTGAAAACAAGAAGTCGTTTACATTTTTGGTTGCTCCATTTTTTGCCGGATAAAACGATTTTTAATTTAAATACATTATCAGACAGAGACTGAGGGTCTTCTGAAACCCTCAGGGCTCATGTTCATCCCGTATAACGACATATCAACAGGGCTATTATACTATATCTAGTCGTCTATTAGTTAGGAGTCAAGTTCAAGTACTCGGCCACAAAGACCCTGGTTATTGTAACCAAATTGTAGATGGTATTCCAGTCCAAGGCGCCCTCGTTATCGGCAGGGGTATGCCAGACACGCGGGAATGGAAGCGGGATTACATGCATGATGGGCGTTCCTGGAATAAACACTTGTCCATTTCATCAACATTATTTACAGAAGGATCAAAAAAGATAAACACAAGAAAATATTTGACACAAGTAGTACAGGATAGAGTCATCATGACTTACCCTTTTCGAGGAACGGAATGTGATCGTCTTCTACAGCGTGATAAGAGTCAAACGAAGAGAAGATCGGAGGAATATTCTTCAGTTTCCCGGCAGTCCTCAGATTTCTCTCTGTGAATGAATTAAAATATAAATTGGTAACTATTTACCAACACTTTCTATCCCTTCGAACAAGGGCCGAGTTCCATGTCCAATAGTATGCGTAATTTGGGGGCGAGCTGCGCCCAGGAGATCCAAAAGCACAAAGGCATCAACCCGATCCAATTCTTTTGAGAGCTCCAATGGGGCCAGATGAGATTGGGTGGGATACCATTTCTGAGACCAGACTTTGGCCAGATGTCTCGCTCCGTAAGTGCTGTCATTTCTACTCCATTCTACAAAGGCTTCTTCGCCATCCAGGAATACTAATTGCAGCGTGATTGGCTGAAATTTCAATTGATAGGACCTTACCAATTCATAATCAGGATTAATAACTTTATTAACACTCACCAAGCCAGACTTGGTCTTCAAGATTGGGCCAAGAGTTCTGGCCAGATCTAATAACATTGCGCAAGGGACGGCAGAATCAGTGGCCGCAATAAACACCTTTCTAAAAGTATTCACATAATCAAACCAATAAACTCAGCATTACTTCGACCATAATTTCTTACCCTGGAATGATTTTAGAGTCGTAATGACAAGCGAGAACCAGTCTTCTTGAAGCATGGGGGTCAAATGTGCCAATTATATTTCTAAAAGGCATCTTCCCATAAGGAGTTTGATCTTCGAATTCATCCCACTCTACATTAAATCCGGCTTTGTTTAGTTCGGTATGGATGTGTTGCGCAACTTGTCGATGTTGTTCCGTATTTACAATTCGAGGAACAAGAATCGGCCTCAGCTGAGCGTAGAAAGCCTTCATATCAGTCAGAGATGCCAGATCGGCGGCATCCCTGAGAGACAAAGAGTTTGGCATCTGAAGGGGCCTCTAAAAAGAAAACTGTTAGACCAACATACACAATCAACGGCACAAAAGAGAAAACTAAATTATAGGGAAATGGCAGTGTTATAGGCAGGAAATTTACAGAGAAGGCGACATTATGTTAGAAATAATCGTTAGTTTTAACATTATAAAGCAGCGCAATCACCAGAAGAAAAAAATCACCCGAGAAGAACGGCGTCTGTGGGCCCGAATGAAAGGGGAACGTCTCAGTCTGTGGGCTAGAGGATCAGCTACAGAAGTCTGAAGGGAAGACATCAAACGAACCTGTCCCACCCTCCATTGAGCCATCGTTTGGACATTAGTGATCCCCACAAATATCACACTGACTAACAGAAATTGACGAGATCGCAACATTCTGAAGACGGATTTAAGCACCGGGAATATCACATGAACCGGGACTGTTGACATCAAGGCCCTGCAAACAAAAAAGTTGTAATTACCCGGCGAAAGTAACTGTTATCACAAGAATTTCCGGTTCCGCAGTTCGCTTAAGTACCCAGACCGGGTCTGATCTGACTCGGAGATAACCCGGTTTCGAACTTTTGAACCAGAAAATTTAAATTCAAAACAGGTCAAGCCGCACACTAAAAGTCCTAGGAATTCAAGGACATATCACAACGAAATTTGTAGGATCTACAATAAAATTGGCCTTTACTTGAACAGATGAAAACGCCTTCAGTCCCCTTAACATCAGAGTAAATGGTATATTTACCCGTGGTATAACCCTGAAACCGGAAAGCTCAAGATGTTTGGCGAGTCGATTTGGAGGGCAAACAAAACCTTTGGACCTACTGCAACCCTTAACACTCCTCTGCAGCCTGATTTAACTGACAGGGGAAGTACCCCAAGTGCGACGCTCAGATTTCGATGAAACTTGGCACAAATTTAGAATAATTTTTTCTAAGATATATGCGAGAATCTTAGCTCGCGCTTTGCAGAAACAACCGAGATTTTTAAACCGAAAGTCGGCGAAAATTTTACACTTTTTGCAGAATTTCGACACGAAAAGTTTCATGCCTGTTTCTATTGTAATGGGTAATGCCTCCACAAAAAATGAATTTTTTCCGTATGAAACTAGCGAAGTTACGGCCAAAAAGTGTTTTTCTCCCTGACCGCTCTCCGCGGTTAGCATGCTCTCTCGGCGGCAAAGATCGTTCAATATCTCGGCGGCGCTTGCAAAGCGCGAGCTAAAACTTTCAGGAATTGATACTTGGTCCATGCCCGACGTGTGTGCAAAATTTAAAGAAAATCTGAGCGTCGCACTTGGGGTACTTCCCTTGTGAATTCAATACCAAAACATGGAGATATTAAAATTACGGAAATAACGAACGTTTTTTGTAATCGTCATTCCCAGTGAAAACGTGGAGATTTCCCTCCCATCTGATTCAGGAGAACAAACTCTCGCCCCAACCCCCATCAAATAAATTTTAAATAATCAAAAAAGGACACAATTCAAGAAATCAGACGTCATAACCAGACCTGCAGATATTTAGTAAACAGGATGAAGAGGAGCGCGAAACATCTCCACAACTAATCAAACAGACTTCTGAATCAGGTCAGGCGTCATTGAATCCGGAAGAACCGTTTGTTCGATTGAGAAAAACGAATTTAAATGAATAAATTAAAGTACTATGAATTGTGTACAATTCCCCGAATATTTCAACAACTTGCAGGAAGAAACTGTAAAAATCGCCCTAGCAAACCCATAAATATTCAAGAGATCCGTTCGACTTACTTTCACAAATCTCCCATTGTGAGCGGCGAGAGAAAAGGAGAGCCGAATCTGCTAGTGAAAGTAGGTGTTTTATCCAAAAAAGGAGATCAAATAAACGGATCGGAGAAAGAACCGCGATGCGAACAGCTGGTCAGCCTTCATTTTATGAATTTATTAACAAAAAGAAATAACAAACATCTAATCGAGTACGCAGCTAGGACAACTTCAGACGTTCTGATGTCTTCTGAAACCGAAGAATCCTCCATATTTCTTGAGGGAACTCTCGTTCTTCTGCTGTTGTTTTTGTTTCTCCCACTCGGCCAGTTCGATAGCGCGACGTCTGAACTCAGCCGGAGGGTTGTCGAAGCTGGAATAGTACTGGAGGGTGGGGCGAACGTCGTCGGTGTCGCTGAGGTGAATGGCTGAAAAGATTTAAACCATATTATCCATCACAACAATCACCAGTAATAAAATTAAACAAAACCCACTTTTCAGAAGTTCCGCCAGATCTACCAACGCCGTATCATCCATATCCCCATCCCATTTTGGAAGTCTGAGGACATTTTCTGGATTCAATTTGGCCGATTGAGCATCGAAGTCAATGAAGATGACCTTCGAAAGATCTCTGTTCAGTCTACCCAAGTCCTTGATATGATGTCCATCCTGATATTTGGTGCAATCTCTAAACAGACGATACATTATTCTTTGCTTGGGATCGATGGAATCGACGACGGAAAAGGCACTCATTGGCGGTTCGCTGGTGTAAATAACCAATTCGAAGTTTGGATAGCCAACCACATCCAAAAAGTAATCCAAGGCAGGTCTCTTTTTGAATCGATAACCGGTTTTGTACTGTAGTTTCGATTAAATAGGCATTATATATCACAATTTTCACTTACAGTCCATTCAGGAGCTACTAAAACATTCTTCATTTCAATAACTAGCGTATATTTGGGTTGGATATATGGTGGTTTCAGAGGATCGGGCAGCAATTTCTCTCTACTTGGTTCGACGGCATACTGTGACATAAATTTAAAAATAATTTAAACAAGCTTACATTCATCCAATCTCGGAAACCATCTGCAATTCTGTAGAATGGAGCTAATACGCTGGTCGAGTAAGCATCAACAATAACATTTCCAGCTTCATCTCTTCTTGCTCTTCCTAAAAAATTGAAGTAAATATTTTGCGCAATGAACGCAAGAAGTAAGGATGAAGATTAACCTACCGTAATGGAAGCAGAACCAAACAAGACCACAAAAGGTTCCAAACGTCAAGCACAGGATACCCAAACGCGTGTTTCTGGCCGTCTTCTGTTTTTTCTTCTCATCTTCCGGGATATCATCAGGTATCCTCTCAATTCCCAATCGGCTTAAGATTGAAGAACTAAAAGACGATAATAAAAAAAATACAAAACGTACCCAAAAGAAGTGGACGCTGTTTGAACTCCTGCTGGCTGAGCCTGAACAGGTTCTTGGGCATCTGACTTCAAAGTTTCGGCTGCTTTATTGATATCTTCAATCTTTTTTGCCACTTCTTCGGCTAAAACTGTACTTCCAAGTTCCTCTTTTTGTATTGGCTCAGATTTAAGTGTGTCCGGTTTAACTTTTTCGACTTTAGCATCTTTTTCCAGTTTGTCTGTTGGGTATGATGCCTAAAAAATTACAAAACTACTACGTCAGTTAAACGAAGAAGAACTAATAGACAAAAACAAACCTTGTGCACCCTCCGTGGGTTATCAAAAGGAGATCTAATTCCAGGCGCAAATTTCTCGACGACACTCTCATCTGAATAAAATCTGCCAGGGACAATGGCAGCAGCAACGTTACTCTTAAGTAAAAGTTCGCTGAGGCGTCTTGAAGATATCTTCCCAACTGACCGAACTATGAGCCTCGAAGACATGTTGAGGCTGATTGTCTACGTGATGTTGTTCATCCGTGAATTTTATTTTTCATAAAATATTGTAGTATAAATAGAAAGCCAATCCAATTGCTTTCGGGCCGAGACAAATGAAGCAAACACCTGACGCGAAAAAGAAAACACTTGACACATTAGAAAAATAATTTGCGAAAAGCATTTGTTGAAGCTTCAATTGAAGTAGATGAACATTACCTATTGATCGGACTTCATGGCGCATTGGTTTCATCGAAACCCATTGAAATCTTCAAAAACAGCGAAGTTTGAGTTGAAACAAGTAATAACTAACTCGGATTCTTCTAAGATATGCTCGTGAGTTTCTAATCTTCCCTTTATTGCGTAACTTGTGTAGAGAACTAAGACTTCGACGAGAGCAGTTACTCGATATTTTGACATCAGCCAGTGCTTCTGTTGATCTTGTGGAATCCGAATTCGAGTATTATTTGAAGCTGCTTTATGGATTTGTGTTTGATTTGGAAAGTCAAGAGAAGAACAGCAAATTAAGGTACCTTGGGAAGTTTACTTGGACACATTCTATGTTGGGAGGGGATGGCTAGTAAGTTTAAGAATTGGCGTTAGTTTTAGTTATTATTGTTTTCACGGAAATGATAACCGGGTGTATGACTCATCGTGTTTTTTAGTCAGTCCTCCGATTCGTGGTATGAGGTGTTAAATATGGTTTCGAACATAGCAATATGGTATATGAAGAGGTCAGCCTTTCTGTCATCTAGCGACGAAGTTAGTGATTTTGATTCTAAAAACATTCATACGGCGTTACGGAAAGCTGCCGGCTTATTCGAATACGTGTCCCAGAACGCTGATAAAGTCGGGATTATTCCACAAGCGACCGGAAATGATCTGGATGCCCGAGTTTTGACTGCCTACAAGCAACAATGTTTGGCCGAAGCACAAGAAATTACAATTGCCAGGGCCATTGAATTAAAACATTCATCCAAATTAATTTATTCATTAGCTAACCAAACTTCCAAAGTTTACGAAGAGTGCTGTAAGTTGGTCTCACCGCATTTTATATTTTTTACTTCGTTTTTATCACTGATCGCTATTTTTTCAGGTTCTTGCCTTGACGGTCTAGATCCTAATACTTTCGAAAAGTGGCGGAAATATTTCGAGTTGAAAAAAGAATTCTATTTATCTTATGCTTATGCCTATTTGTGTGAACATTTACTCTCCAACGATGAATGTGGAAAGGCGATCCGAGCTTGTCAGGAGGGTCAGGATCACTACAAAACAAGTGCTTCTCTATGTGTCCAATATGCCAAATCGTCTGGCCCCGGGTTTGTGGCCAAACCGGAAGATCATTTGTTCTTCCGAAGGATAGATCCGATCCTGGTCAGGCATATGGACAAAGCCCGGAGAGAAAATGATTTCATATACCATCAGTCGGTACCCAGTGAATGCCCCAGTTTCGAAGCCGAAGCAGAGTTTGGTCTCGCCAGCAAGATTGACTTCAATTATCCGCCACGGGCTGAGGCAGTTTCATTAAGAATTTATTTCCATTTATTCCTCATCTGCGTTCTAATGGATGCTTTTTAGATCTGGACAAACCTGTCTTACAAGGCTTTTGACATAACCAAGTCAGACACTCCCGACTTCAAGCCTCCGCAAAAAATTGGCAAGATACCTCTGGTAAAAGAAAAGAAAGTTTATGAAACAGATCGCGATCCCTCCAACCTCTCAGGATGCACCATTTCCTAACTTATTTTGTACATAACGGACTTCTAACGTATTTTTATTAATGCAATATCCCCATTCATTATGTTGTACGTAAAAGATAAATAAAATCCCAGCCGCTAGACCTACAAGCATACAGGGTGCGGCAAAAAAATGGAAACTTTTTTCATTGGGTCCTGACGCGAAAATTTTTTAATGCAGCACAATTATTTTCATACCATTAAATTCTACGTACTTTTCTCTCCTAGACCTTACAATTTCATGTCCATATCGGTTTATTAACATTCTTTTTTTGAATGTCAAACAAAGGGACCTCGATTTTGGACCTGTTTTTTAAGCTGTTCGAAGTGCTAATTTGCCCGGTATAGAAACGACGTTGTGCCCAAAGTAATCACACAATGCAAGCAGCTTGTCAACAATTTTAAGCGTCCATTAAGTGAAAGAAAACGCACCGCCGTTACTTCTACCAGCCGCGAGGTCATCAACAGCGAAATCCGTCGATTTGCAGAAAAAATTGCCCGCGAGACCGGTACCAGCGACCGACCAATCGGCCAAATAGCTAAAAATCAACCCAAGGTCTCCCCATACAAGGTCTAAAATGCCTAACTCCTCACCGGCAAGGTCAAGCCCGTACGCCTGAAAAAATGCCAAAAATTCAGACGTCGGGCCGCAGGTCCATGATGGGAGCGCATTCCATTCGCGGTGCAATGTTTGGCGGGTGCACAACCAACAGAACGCCAGAATCCGATCCGGTGAGGCCCTCTGCACGTCGGCTAACGACGAACACCGTCAAAAACCGGGCCGTCATCGCTTTAGGCGGAATTTGTGCCAGCGGCAAGAATTCCGAGATTTTCGTGGACCAAGAGGGCAAAATTCTAGCGCCGCGTTAACCTCGATTTCCTCATGCTTCTGCTGGCTCAGTAGAACCTTGGCAGCTCAAGTTTGGCGTTCCAACTTGACCGAGCGCCGGCTCACAGGGAAAAAGCGAGTTAAGACCAGTAATGGGACCGATTTTCCCGATTTCACCCCGTCTGCGAAAAGTGCGCCTGCTCGCCGGGTATGGATCCAATCGGCTATAATTTTTTTTCATTTGGAGGCCAGCACCTGTACTACCCGCCACAAAAGTTTTGAGTCGCAAAGTAAATGCTGCGCCATGAACGGGACTGATTTCACCAAAAAAAGCTGCGGCCAAAAGCCCAAAATTTTAAGTCGCGTTTGGAGCTCTATATCGCCACCAAAAGCAGCCCCGGTGAAACGGGTTGAATATGTTATAAATAATGCTCTATGTTATTCATGATGACCGTCACATTTGCGGAATTTTGATTGCTAGGAAAAATATAGCTATGAAAACAAGTTTCCATTTTTTTGCCGCACCCTGTATTGAATATTAAGTACGGCTGGTGGATTTCTTGGTAGGTGCCCTAAGGGTCGAAATAACCTTAAAGTACCAAAAAAGGCACTGTCATGTTAATCATAACTTAGCTCGTTGCACATCAAATAAGATGAGATTTGGCTATCTTGTTGAAAATTGAGTTTGACACACATAGACTAAAAGAAATTTGTCAATACGATTATGTGACTTGCACATTTGGGTTAAAATTTTCACTTCTTACTAAACAGTACCAGGTAGTACTGTTTAGTACCAAGTGTTAAAAATGTGTTTTTTAAGCAGTACTAGGCGCCAAAAGAACACCATTAACGTCTAAAAGTGCTATAAGTCGAAAAAATTTCAAAAAAATCTCTAAAGGTAGTAACAGTAACAGAAACCCGGTTTTCATACTCAGTCAGCTCGAAAACATTTCAAATTTTGTTCAATTTTCACAAAAAAATCTTTTTTCCACTCCCGAAGCGAAAACATTTCAAATTTTATTCAAATTTCACAAAAAATCCTTTTTTCCCAGTCCCGAAGCGAAAACATTTCAAAATTTTTTTTTTCAGAGAAAGACGCAATCAACCGACCTCACCCAGAATGAAAATTTCCCATAAATGAGCGAAAATTCGACTTTCATGCAAATTTTGCACTAAATGTATGAGAGATTGGGGTTGTCAAATGGTCGCTGTGGAATTTTATTCAAATTTTCTCCATGGGATTTGAATGGGATTGGCTCATTCTACATTCAATCGAGTCCAGAGCGTGGTGATTCTTTGTCATGGCCAACAAGCCAAAGTAAGTTTTTCATTTTGTTGTCCCTTGACGTTGTCTATGATGATCATCCATCGTTATTTCAGAAAGAGGAACCAGGAGTCAAAAACCCGGTCTGTCAACGTAGAGAAGCAAGGTGCTCGTCAAGCCGCTGTAGCTCCTTGCGCTTCCGATGGAAGTCTTTATGTATGTTGTTCATGCTAAATATGACTGGTTGTCATAACTTAATAATTAATATATTGTTTTTAGGTTGATCGCTGGTTCAATCGGACCTTGGAAAAAGGCGTGAACGGTCTGCGTGAGGAATTTATGGAGATGAAGCGTTATTGTCCTCCGGACATGAATGTGACGGCTTTTCAAATTCATTGGGAAGCTGGCCGGAACCGCTACAAAGATGTTCCTTGCCAAGAGAAGGCACGAGTGCTTGTGAAATGGCCTGGAGTCAGTCATGACTACATCCATGCCAACTACATGCCCTCTCCCGTCTCTGACAAAAGATACATCTGCACTCAGGTGGGTACTATAAGATAAAACGTTTGGTGCCCGAGGTGAGAGGCTTAGATTTGTACATCTTTGCCTGTGTCATCTATGGGCAGTAACATTGCGTCTGATGTTATCGTTTGTTCTGCAGGGTCCCCTTGACAACACAATCGCCGACTTCTGGCGAATGACCATTCTGGAGCAATCGGAGAGCATCATCATGCTGTGCAATGTGAAGGAAAAGGGAATGGACAAGTGCGCCCAGTATTGGCCACTGAAGGAAGGCGAGAGTGCCACTTTTGAGGGAATTGTGGTCACGAATCTCGGGGTCACTCCTTTGGGAGGAAGTGACAAGACCGTTATGAGAACAATCCTCAAGTTATCGTATACCTTGGAAGGAAAGAAGTCACAGAGAGAAGTAAGCGAAGATTCGATTTATGTCATCATTCAGGTTCGCCATTACCAATGGATGGATTGGCCGGATCGTGGAGTCCCCACGGTGGGACACACCATCTTCGACCTGCTCTCTTCGGTCCGTGGCACCAAGAAACCGATCATTGTCCACTGTTCCGCCGGAATTGGCCGAACTGGATCCATCGTGGCCATTTCCTTCATCATGGAGAGATTCCAGAATGGCCAGCCGTGTGAGGACATGCCTGTTATCTTCAAGGAGCTCCGTGACCATCGCCCCTACTCCATCCAGAATGATGTTGTAAGTCCATATTTTAGATTAAAATTGACTTTACACATTTTTTTTTGATGTTTTTTGTGCTTTCAGCAGTACCTGTTTGTCCATCGTGTCGTCTTGTTCTACTTTGTGGAGAGATACAAGAAGTATGATCCCAATGATCCCCGCTATCTCAAATTCCTTGACGAATACAACAAGGCCGTGGCTTGATCTCTCTGTAGGATTTTCATGAGTAAACTTGCTCTCAAGCTGAACTTTTGGCTCGTTGTTTATTTCCCGTCTCTAATCGCATTGTGCAAACATGACTGCAAAATATAGATGAGGAGTACGGTCGAAAGAACGCGTCCCGACATTTCGGGTCAGGGACAACTCGGGTCGCGACACTTCGGGTCAACGGCATTTCTGGTCAACGATACCGTTTAATATTTTCGTTTCGGGAGTGGGAAAAAAGATTTTTTTGATGAATTTGAAAAATTTTTGAAATGTTTTCGCTTCGGTACTTGGAAAAAAGAATTTTTGGAGAATTTGAACAAAATTTTGAAATGTTTTCGCTTTGGGAATTGGGAAAAAGGATTTTTTGGAGAATTGAGGTTTATTTTTAAATTTTTTTTAGGTAAATAGTGTTTATAAGCGTCGAGCAAATAAGAAAATCGTATCCATTGTTTATGTTTTTAACTGGATTTAAACACAGACAGTGCCAGAGAGTGGGGTAAGAAGATAGTCGTAATGATTGTATGCAAATAAAAGCGAAAACATTTCAAAATTTTATTCAGATTCTCCGAAAAATTCCTTTTCCCAAGTCCCGAAACGAAAAAATTTCAAAAATTTTTGTTCAAACTGTCCAAAAAATCCTTTTTCCCACGTCCCGAAGCAAAAACATCTCAAAATTTTGTTCAAATTCTCCAAAAAAATCTTTTTTCCAAGTCCCGAAGCGAAAACATTTCAAAAATTTTTCAAATTCACCAAAAAATTCTTTTTCCCCAATATTTACAAGTTTTTCTGAAGAGCGAAAAAACTTCAAAGCTCAGAGAGAGCGGTCAACCGACCTCACCCGGAATGAAAATTTCCCATAAATGAGCAAAATTCGAGTTTTATTCAAATTTTGCACTAAAGGAAGAATTTGAAAGTCGATACTAAACCCCGGTTGTGTCCCAAAGGTACAGAATGCCGTGGACCATAAAATTTGTGTTTTCTTCTGTAACTCATTCTAATCGGTGGACGAGGACAGGCATCGGTAGGAGTCTTCTCTTCCTTTGATTTGCAATGCCCAGTGTTCAAGATAACGTAGGTTGGCCATGCGGGTTTCAAACCGTGTTGTTCTCTAGAATCCTGAGGTTGCGAATACCGCTAGGAGTCCCACGGCCTCAGAAGATGTCTGCACCGCGAAGGTACCCAAAAGTGGAGATAAGGAGACCAACACCAATACCGATGCGAGTGCTGATACCCACACTCTGAGAGAGCCCACCGAGCAGGAGAGAAAGCAGGCCCCAAACTGCACTCCTGTTCAGGAATTCAGCTTCACTGGAGGCTACGGAATACAGGAATTCGATTATTCCGCGATGATGTAGGCTGAACTCAAACTATGTAATCATTTTCAGCAAACCAAAGGTTCATGCTTTCGATCCAGCCACCGAAGAAGCCAGAAAGAGAGAAGAAAGGAAGAAGAGACGGGAGAAGAGAAGAAATTCCAAGACCGGTTAATCTCTGCCCAACATATATGCCAAGTCTATCCGCAAACAGTAAAATGAGGTCTCGCATAAACATTACTGACAAAAGATTAACAGTTTAAGAAAATATAATCAACAATGTCAACAAAAACAACAAATGAAAATTGGTTAACAGTGAAAACAACTAGGCCTCGACTTCAACTTGCTTCTTGGCCTTCTTCTTCTTCTTGGGCTTTGGCTCGTCTTCATCGACTTCCATCACTTCTTCGATTTCAGTTTGACCTCCATTGGCGTGCCCATTGGTTTCTTCCTCGGCAGCCTTCCTGGCCCTCTTCGCAGCCTTCTTTCTCTTCTTGATTACCTAGATAAGGTGGGTTTTCAGTCATATCTTTCGGCGCTTACCTTGGCGATAACAGGCTCGGCCTCCGAGGTGGCATCTCTCATCACTTCCAAATTCTTCTTGGGAACTTGACCAGTCTCAAAGTATGTCAGACGATCTTCCACTTGTTGTTTCAAAAACTCCCCGAAAGTGGGAACAGGAATATCAGAGAAACAGTCAATTCTGGAGGCAATAGTGCACTTGTTGGCCAAGAATCTAGATATCCTGCCTTTGTTTTTGATTGAAGCCTTTCCAATGAAAGCAGAATGGAAGAGAAGACCATGTTTAGGAGTGTTGGTTCTGGTCTTCAAAGCTCTGAACAAAGCTTTCTCGGCTCCCAAGATCTGAACAGTGGAGGCTGGATACTTGGCCAAATTTGTCAAAGAGCCAGCATGAGAGATAAGACGGGCTCCAACTTGCTCTCCAATAAGAGCGGACAAAGATGGGGCGCAAGCAGACATTCTGTTCTTAATGTATTCGTGGAGTCGAGCACGGTATTCGGAGAGGGAAGCCACCCTCTTTCCAAATAATTCAATGTTGTCGAGATCCAACTTGGCAATCTCCATTCCCATGGATGTACGGGCAGCTTCAACCACCTCGTTAACCTTGTCGTCGTCTTGGAGAATTTCTAAAAAATACGTTTAGCCCCAGAAATAATCTTACCCTTCAACTGTTCGATCTTAGCCTCATCCAAGGTCTCTCTGTCCATAATCGTGGTTGCACATCTGACATACTTGTACTGCTCGGGAACTAATCTGAAGAGCTCCGGATAATGATAAGAGTACCACTCTCTAATTCTCATTCCGAACAAATTAATATCCTTATCCATTTGGTCAAGCAAAGCAATAGATTGAATAACCATGTTGTCCACTCTGTGCACATCAAACTTAACCTTGGATCGAGAGTAAGAGTGACCCAAAGAGAGCTGAGCCTTATCAAGAGCTTTGTGAGGGAAGTTCTTGGAGAGATGCTTAAAATGCATTCTGATTCCTCGCAGGATCTCGGGGATAACACCCGTCTGTGTGAGACGAAGACCGGGAATCTGTTCGGAGATAACCGATCCCACTTTGGGGTCTGCAATACCCAAAAGCACCTTCTTCTTCTTTTTGGGAAGATTTGCCTCCAAGAAATTTATCAGATCAGCATGAGCAAGACCTAAAGTTCAAATAAGAATGAAAAAGCTAACAGAACCTTCAGAAATACAATTGCAGTTTTCCAAAGCAGCTTCTGTGTTCTTGAAAGGCTCAAATGCATGAACTTCGACAATAGATGAGAATCTTTGAGGATCACTGAGGGCAGCAGCAACCTACAAGAGCACAATTAATCCTTCGATTGAATCAGCATTTGATTCCCGGTCTCAATGAGTAGAATAGAATGTCGTTTTTCGTTCGTCGCCGTGTCTGTCACGCTTCGAGTGAAGCCAATCTATTCTCATTTTGAAAAATTCGAAGCAAAATCGGTAAATTTCGGCAAATCGTGGAAAAATTCAAATTCATTTCTCAATTTCGGAATCAAAAAAGTGCGAGGGGGTCCGCAGGTCCCCCGAGCGTACCAGCGCAAAAGCAATGATAATTTCTACTCATTGGAGGGTGCCGTAGGTGGCCGACCCTCAAATTCTGTCTAACATTCTTAAAAAAAGACCTGAATAAACGTTTTCTAAATGCACCAGAGGGGATAGGGGCCCGTAGGGCCCCCCGACGCTCTGGTTAAATACTAGCGTAACACAAACCTCGGAAGTTACATTTCCAATATCTTCAAATTCCTTGACTTTGAACAAAGTATAACCAACGGCATGTTCGAATAGCACAAAGTTTGGAGCCTCCGACATCTCTGAAAAATATATATATTCGCCTGTAACTATCACCGTCGATCAGCAAGTAAAGAATGTACGGAATTAATTTTTCTTGTTTGATAAAAAAAAGAAAAATAAAGCGAATTTTTCATACAGTCATCAGGAAAAATTTTATTTTCGTGGCGGGACGCACACTGGAAACAGATGAATGTAGAATGAGAGGGCTACAGTGAAGTCGTGTTCAGAATATATAATCACAAATTATTTTTTGAAACGTTAAAAAAGCGATTCAACCAGAGTGCTAGCTGTTTTCCTTGCATCATTGTATTTCCCCGTTTTAAATTTTGTTACAATCAATAGTTGAGATTAAATTATTTTCCGTCAGAAAAATTTTTACATTTTTATTCGAGCATCTCTTCAACATTGTGGAAAATGAAGCTCGCATCTGCGTCGAGCAGAATTCTTCAGATAAATAAACGGCGGAGTTTTATTCGGCCATTCTCTTCCGAAGCCCCGACGCCTGAAACTTTACATAATTCAACCGTCCGACCCGAACTCTTGAGGTAGATTATTAAACGCTTTTCATTCCCTTGAAAATCCTTTTTTAGAGCTAATATTGGCGATGATTTGAACAAATTTCCACCATTTGATACGGATAAGGTCTTGGATATCCAAAAAATGTTTGAAGCCAATGTTTGGCATGGCCATAAGGTAAGAGATTCGACTATTTGTTGGTTGTATTTTAGATTGGAACCCTGAAACCGAATATGAAATGGGCCTTATATGGAGAACGACTGGGCACTTGTGTGTTCGATCTGAATATAACAAAACAACATTTGGAGAAGGCCCTGACTTTCTTATCCATGGTCTCATACCGAGGAGGAATCGTCTTGTTTGTCAGCACTAGCAGGTCAGCTTTCTCCATTGTAATGTAAACTTTTATAGGCAAACCATGCATCTGGTGGAAAGAAAGGCAAGAGAAGTTGGGGAATATTCGCATACTAGAAAGTGGGTGGACAGTAATCTAGCCAATATTAAGCAATTGTTTGGAGCTCCATTAAGGTTACCTGATGTTATTATCTTCCTATCCACATTAACTTCTACATTGGAAAAGCATCCGGGAATTGTAGAAGCAGCTAAACTGGCTATTCCTACGATTGGAATCGTCGATTCGAACTCTGGTAAGACATTTATTGTCTTTATATTGTTTATATACAAATTGTTACCAACTTACAGTACTACTTGATTGATTTTACTTGTAAAGTTACTTATTCGTCAATTTTTACTACTTCCGTGCTTTATTTTTACAAAATTATGCTTTCTGGGGGAAAATATTTTCTTTCTGGGAGATAAATATAGACCCTTTTATTTTTTAGGTTGATGACTTTTTTCAGAGCCTAATTACATTACATATCCGGTGCCAGGAAATGACGACTCAGTTCAGTCAGTCGAGTTCTACTTGGACGTGTTTTGCAAAGCAATCCAGCACGGAAAGAAGTACCGCGACCAGCTACAGCATTAGTTGTTTGTTTTATTGTTACCTTCGTTTAGATTGTTATTTTTGATGTAAAGTTCGAAAACAAGTTTAATATGGAAGACAAAGGTACACTCATTCGGAGACAGTTTGCTATGAGCCCTCCTTGAGCTGATTTTTTTTGTGCTTTTCCTTCCAAAAAAATTAGTTTGTGGTTCAGAAATTTGGCAATGAGATTTCGAGACATGGAGTTTGTCAGCATTTCGTTGTGGACGAATCACCAAAAAGGTGCGGGAAACTTTTTCTTCTATTCTGGCTTGACGCGTCATGAGGTGCCTTTCCTTGTTCCATCCGAGGCTTAAATACCTTCTTTGACCAGTACTGCTCCGAAAAGCTTCTAATTTCTAAGTCTGTCCCATGAGTTCAAAAAGCCGAAAGCATCTTTCGAACTCAACTTTTTTTCGGAGTTATTATTATAAGTAAATAAAAGTTTTTATAAGTAAATCAAAATAAGCTCCGCCTTTTTTAAACTTATCAGTCTGTCGGGAAAATAACGGCGGGTCGTCGCGCCTTGTAATCGCCCATCATCGCTTTGCGACTGCAAGCCGCAGCTGGAGATTTCATGCGCGATAGCGGCGAGGCGAGACATTTTGCCGCGACGACCCGCCGTTATTTTCCCGAAGACGACATATCGCCGAGAAATTAAGGAAGGTAAGAGGTTCCGGACTAGGCAACGTCCAGGAGTCTTCGTCAGGCTCCCATTCACCTCGATTTATCTTTTCTCCTGCAACGAAAAATTTGGATGCGAATTTTAGTTTTTTGGCATTGCGTTAGACGCCGAATTTGAATCTCAATATCAAGGCTATTAGGTCGTCAACTTTACTCTAAGAAGGTTTAAACAGTTTTATACTTAACATCAACGGGGAATACACACCCTTCCCTAGCAATGACATGGGCAGCAGCCCAAATTCCACAGTTTACGCTATCTTCTATCGACTTTCCTTGTAGATAAAGGGCCAAGAATCCGCCACAGAAAGCATCACCAGCGCCAGTGGTATCCACAATTTTCTCCTTTGGCAGTTCAGGAACCGGGTATTCTTTAAGCTCATCGTTTTGGATAACAATCACCGGATCATGTCCTTGAGTCACCACCAAAATTCGACTTCTTTGTTTGTTCACCTACAACAATCATTCTTAATGTATCCACGTTATTTTACCTTCTCTTCCTTCACAAGCCTCCTAGCAATATCCTTGATATCCTTAGTTCCATAATCATGGGCTTGGGCGTATGCTTCAATCTCAGATTCATTGCAAAACAAGAGATCGACATATGGAATAATCTTGTCTAAGCTCTCCTTGAAACAAATAGGAACGAAAGGAGCGCTCAAGTTCTGGCAAAACAGCTTGTTCTCCTTGGCTGCATGCTCAGCAATGTGAAGAATACCCTCGGGACAAACAGTGATAAAGAATCCCTGGAAAGAAGTAAGAAGTTAGAATAACTGGACCTACAGAGATCGCATAGTAGAGAGCGTTCTTAATCAGTTCCTGACTTTGAGGCTTGAGAAGATGATCAATTGTGAAAGTATTTGCCGCCGCAAGATGAGCGCATAACGATCGATGATGCTTGTATACTAAGGCCGCGCACGTTCCGGTCTTGATTTCTTTATTGATTTGATATTGTACATTGACTCCGGCTTCTCTTGCCTTCTCAGCTAAGATCCTTCCATATTCATCATCACCAACCGCGCCGAAGAAAACAGACCTGTTAGGCTGTCCAACAATCCACTAAAACCAATACAAAATTACATACGGCGATCGAATAAAGGCTTTCAAGACAAAATCATACCTGGAAAACACGGAATGCATTCTGATTGGCCCCACCGGGAACATAAGTAACTTTGTAATTTTGGGTGAGCTCATCGAATCTGTTATTTATTGTTAAATGCAGTAGAACTTACAAAGGAAGATGCTTGTCCTCTGCCAAAATAGCATCGTTCTGTTTTAGACCGTATTTTTCTAACAGATCCAACCCGACATTAGCCTGAATATCTAGAAGAGGGTTGCACATCCCGAGCAATGCGCCCTCCGGTAACTGGTTATCCCCACTGGCCATTCTGAGGTATATGCACTGAAAAAGAAATTGTCTAGCAACACGATGCAAGTAGAGCTCAGACAAAAAAGGAAAATCAAGCGGCAAATACCGAAAAATTTAAAGTACTTGATTCAAACTGATAAGACCAAGAGATAATATCGCTTCCAACCAGAAAATCAAATGAAAAAACCTTTGGAAAGTCAATGTAAAGTGATTTTTGTAGTTTCGAGGGTTCCTTTCCTTCCAAATGATATTAGAGACGGACAGTTGATCATAGTGATCGCGCAGAAGAAAAAATCACTAAAGCATTGGCAACAGGTGTAAAAAAAAGGAAAAACTCAGAAGAAATGTTGAAACACTGTGAATTTATTCACATACGCGTATAAGTTAGGACTCTTACAAAACCTTTGAGCATCCTAAAAAAATATTTTTGGACTTTCATCGTATAAAATGGATTGTGATTTGCAGAATCCAGGGCGCTCTTCGAAGTCCAGCTGTATTGATCCTCAGCAGAGAGTCATAGCGAAACTAAGAGGTTCGCAGGGAGTGTTTCCGAGAGCGTTGCTTTTATTTCATTTGTGGACCCGAGTCGAACTTTGGCTATTGTTAGGTATCTAAGCGTAATTTTTTATCAAGTTTTTCTTCCTTGGTTGGCATCACGGATGATGGTAATTTTAGAGGGTTTTGGGATTTTTCGCGCGTTTTTTCTGTCCAATTGAGCTATTTGTTTTTAATGGATAGAATTGGCGAGCATAGATAAACGTATTTATTTTTTAGAACATGTCAGGTGAACCTATCGACGTTGATCCAGCTGTGGCGCCAGAAACCGCATCTGAACCGGCACCAGCCGAGCAAGTTGCTCATGCCGAAGCGAATGAGAACAACGCCGTCGCAGCGGATAGTGGAGTCCCTGCTGAGGCTCCAGCTCCTGTTGCTGCTGCTCCAGCTCCCGATGTTGCCAACAAGAAAGACGTAATTTCCCTCACATTATTCGCTATTATGTTTAGGACGAACCCGTTCAAAATGCTCTGCAGTCAATCCCCACCAGACAATACCTCGACCAGACTGTCGTTCCCATTCTTCTTCTTGCTCTTGGTTCTCTGGCGAAGGAGAGACCAGCCGATCCTATCGAGTACGTTGCTAACTACTTGCTGAAGGAGAAGAGTCGCTTTGCCGGTGGTCGAGCGGTCAACGAACAACAACCTAACAATTAAACGGAGCTCATTCTTATAATTCTCAGTGAATATCATCTTAAAATTTCCTTGTTTTTGGAATTTCTTGTTGTTTTAGCTTTATACGAATGACATAAATATTAATTTATAGTTTTGCTGTTGCTTTTTGTCTGGTTTTAACCGGTTCGAATACTGCTAATACTGCCCTTCGGTTTATTTCTGTTTTTTTAGAACCTTTAACTTCTCATAGAAATGGTGAAACTATTTGTTGGAAACTTGGCTGAGGGAGTTGATTCGAGCAGATTGCGAAACCTATTCTTACAATATGTCCAGGTCCAAGAATGCGATGTGCTAAAGAACTTTGCTTTTGTTGTAAGTGAAATTTGAGATGAATTGACCTTTGCCTTTAGCATGTTGTTACCGACGAGGATGCGGAACTGGTGATAGAGAAGTTAGAGAAATATAATTTGGATGGAAGAGAGATCCACATTGAGAGATCCACGTCTAGACTGAGAAAGGAACCAGGAATGGGGGATAAATGTTTTACTTGCGGGGCTACCGATCATAAAACCCCCAATTGTCCTCAGGAAGAGACGAGGAAGGGTCCGAAAAGAAAGGGCGGTTCCGACGATCTCGGTGAGAAGAAAAAACCTCTTTTGGCTGTCTCCAATCCGGGACTCCAATTCCCGACTACGCATGAAAATGATCCTGAACTTCCATGCCCTCAAAATCCGTAGGTGTAACAGGAAAATCTCTATTCATGTTTGATTTCAGGGAATTGCGGAATCTTTACAATCAATACATTGAATCGAGGACAAAGTATTTCTTCTACAGAGAACGTCTTTCAAAAGAATTGGCCATGCAGCCTCACGTTGCGACGAGCTCCGTCCCCGCGGCTCCAGTGGTCGCTCGATTCGATATGACTAAGGCTAATCCTCAGGTTCAAGTTAAGACTCCTCAAACTTCAGCTCCTTATATGGCCGCGCAATCAACGCCATATATTCCTGCAGTCGTCCAGCCAGCTCCGTATCAAGTTCCTCAAGGGTCTTACAGCTCCAGTTACGCCACTGCTGCCCCTCACTTGAAGCCCGGTGCCACAATTTCCGCTCCGGCTACTCCTTATTCATCATCGACTGGACTTGCGTCGGCTCCTTACACTAATCAGAGCCCAGCGGCGCCTTATCAAAGGTTGTCGCAACCTTATCCAGGTGTTGCCGGCAGCAATACGGGCACTCCCCCACCCAATGCTCCCTACGCGAAACAGAGCGCGACGTGTGTTTTTTTAAAGATTTTTGCCGGGATTTTACTGTTTATAGGGATTGGTTTATTACATCGGATAAGGTTTTATCTTGGCTGTTTTTGAAGCCTAGTTGTGTTCTCGTCGACTTATGAAACAACGGAACAGTAATATGCGGAGAATAGTTTTTATTGTTTTCTTTCGGATTTGTTTTACATTGAGCGTGATTATCAGGTCGTTGAAACAATGATAGCCGCGATGTCAAAGGACAAACTTTCGAGACGTGATGTTCGGACGTGAAATTACGAGAAACTCTGTCTACTTTTGTCTCGATTCCCGATTCGTGTGAATTTGTGACTGACCCTAATACAATTTTTTTCAGATACCGCTCCCCAGCTGCCCCGCTCTACGCAACAGTTACCTATAATAACCGTTAATGCCTTTATGAAATTGAGGTGTCATTTTGATTACACGTAGAACGCGAAAAAGATATTGGGAATTCAATGTTTTGATAAGTGTTATTGCATGTTGTACTTTTATATCGATTTGAATAAATCTTGTGGCGGAATCATGAATTTGGATAACCCTTTCAATAATAATAGTGCATGATCGTCGACGAAAGAGGAATTTTATAAATCGTTTTGGGCGCGATCAATAAACAAAATGTCAAAAAATAAATAAAATTCGTCGATGCCGGGAAATTCTGGTAAGAGGTTGAAGATCGCTAGGTAGGTGCTAACGGGTATGGAAACAGTTTGCTTCAGATGAGTAAAGACCTCATCTTAGTGCACCTTCCGTTCGGCCAACACTCCAAATTGAACGTTCGTCGAGGAGAAACTCTCAGAGATGCCATCGCCAACATCCTCACAAAGCGGCGAATCAAACCAGAGCTCTGCACAGTCTGCGTAAGTGCGGATCCGGACAGTTATCAAGTTGATCTGAAGCAGAGTTTGTCTCACTGCGCGCACAAATACAAAGAGTTGTGGGTTCATTCCGATTGTTTGGAGTTGTTCAAGACCGTTCATCACGAGTTTGTGCCAAAGAACTTCTTGGCAATGACGTTGTGTGGAGTCTGTAACAAGATGATTTTGTTTCATGTAAGTGGTTGTGAGCGTTGGATCGAGATGTCTTAAACAATTTGCGAGTGTTTAACGCGTTTATTTGGTCTTGTAGGGTTATAGATGTAACAGATGTAAATTCAACTTTCACACGAAATGCTGGGGCCGGGTTCCTGCTCTTTGTGAGTCTGATCAGCTCTCTTATGATGCAACCAGAGCCGAATCCATCAGGAATATTTGTGCCAGATACGGACCCCATGCTCGAATGGCCACGACAGTTTTCGAAGCCTTGCTGCCTGCTGGATGTAAGTGTTTTTTTAAACTCGTTGTTGTATTACGCTTCCATTATGATCTTTAAGGTCTTTTATGTTAATCGTGCTTTTATTTTAGCTAGGAGTCTTGCCTCTTCTACTCCTACATTAGACTTTGATCGTTCCGCATCTACACCAAATATTGCTGATAAGGATGAACTCAACGACTCGTCCGATGTGTTGAGTTGTTCAATTCAAAGTAATGACATTAATGAATCGTCGACTCCTCGATCTGCTCCACCGAAGGAGTCCGGCAACTTCTTTCATGAGAAGCATAGGAAGCATCAGAAGAAGATATCGGAGAGCAGCGATTGGTTATCTTCCTCAAATAACAACCACCGTAGGAAGACTGACACTTGGGAGATCAACTACAAGAAGGTAACTTTCCAAGGGAAGATTGGCCAAGGCTCATATGGAACTGTTTACAAGGCTTATTATTTCGGTAACGTTTCGGAAAAGTTGCTAATGTAATTTTAGGCCCCGTAGCTGTGAAGATGTTGAACATTCAGCATCCCAATATAAGTCAGTTGACGTCATTTGAGAATGAAATTACACTGTTGAAGAAGGCTCGTCATGGCAATATTCTGAACTTTGTCGGAGTCATCCTGGAGCCCACCTTATCCATTGTGACTCAGTGGTGTCGCGGATCTTCCTTGTTCCGACATCTTCATATTCTAGAGGATTCTCGCTTCGAAATCACAGATACTTTGGATATTGCGAAACAAACAGCCTTAGGAATGGATTACTTGCATTCCAAAACAGTGCTCCATAGGTAATATGGTGAAGGTTTATATTAACGAAGTCTTAGAGATTTAAAATCGAGTAACATCTTTCTGACGGAGGGAATGCGTGTGAAGATTGGAGATTTTGGATTGGCCACTGTGCAAAACATTAGCGAGATGTCTTCTGATAATGCATTAACACTGACGGGGTCGATTTTATGGATGGTATGTTATCGTTCTACAGCTTGTAAAAAGAAATCTGTTTAAGGCTCCAGAGGTGATAAGAATGAAAGAACCGAATCCTTACAGTACCAAGTCGGATATTTACTCTTATGGTGTTGTTCTGTACGAATTACTAAGCGGTAAATTACCTTACGAACATATCGAAAACCGAGATCAAATCTTATTTTGTGTTGGAAGTGGGATTCTGAGACCAAATGCCGAGGATATCCAACACTATGCTCCTACTTTGTTAAAGAATCTCTTCGAAAGTTGTGTTTCCTTTAAACCAGAGCGAAGGCCAGAGTTCAGGGAGGTAAGTCTCCCAATAGCTTTGTTTTAATTGTAATATAGGTACTCAAATTGCTGGATAATGTCCATCTCGGACGTCTGATTAAATCGGCTACAGAATCCAATCTCAGCAAAAGTTTCAACGATCTCCCATAACCTTTCTTCTTGTGCATTTTTATTTTCTTGGTTATAAACGGATTTCTATGTCACAAATGATGAGAATTGTTATACTGGAACCTACTTATGGTAAATCCGCACCGAATAGTTTGTTTATTTTTTGGTTTTTTAAAAATCAATCAAAGTCTGACTTTAAACACGGGACCATTGTAGAGATGTTATCTTTGATATCGATTACATTACTCATTTCCGATGTATACAATCGCGGCTTTCTCCTTTGTATTTTCCAGATAACTCCAATCTCCCGGCGTCGTATATTCTGTTGGGTCGAGCTCCTTTGGTTATGTAAGAGTCCGGGATGGTGATCGAAATCTTGCGTTGGCATGGCTGAAAGGCGAGTATTACACAACGAAACATCTTGAGAGCAATCTTTAAACTCTTCTTACCCACCACCCATCGTCACAATCATGATAAATATTAATTTTTGGATCAATGGTTGTAAATTCGTCTTCGCTTCCCATCAAAGTGAACTCTCCACGATCATTTGTGTATCCAGAATCCATCAAATCATCCATATCAGTCCGATCATGGTCATATAATTTGACTTTAACCCCTGATATTGGTTGGCCGTGACATAACAAAACTCCTCGGGCCCCAGCACTTTGCGTAAATCCGACCAATGAATTAACTCCGCATATCAAAACAGAGACCACAATAAGGTGACTAAGCATTGTAGAGTGGGAAGTTGTGTTGGTTTCCCTTTTCGAAGAACAATAATATAAAAATATTGGTCGGGTTCGTTTAAAATGGGAAGGTATCCCCTGGCGCTTTAAACCTTAAAAATGAAGCGTGATTATGAGAAGGTTGCCGGCCTGTTACTTATTTATTTAATTTCTCATTACTGACTCACTTAAATCTTCACAGATTTCTCAAGGAACGGTGTTTGTTCAAGGTAAAAAAACGTTCAGACTTGATTGTTTATACTGTCAATCACGGCGAGCAACGTTCTGTTATTTTACCTGGGCCACAGAAAACGCAAGAAAGGTCACTTACCGCACAACTTAATTAGGATGACCAAAGAATATTGCTACAAGAAAGAAGCCAAATCTCGTTTCCTTTTGCTCAGACATTTGCCACGAAGTCTATGTTGCGAATCCATCGTATCAAATGCCTACGCAAAACGACCGCGAAATCGGTAAATATCCGAAGTAAAATAATAAAGGTCAAATAACAAACCCCTGGGGCTGTAATCTCCGCATAATTCGTATTTTCTGGCGAAGGTGGATGCCAACTCGAATAAACCTGCTTAAACAGGTGGAAATGAGACGAATTCGGATTCCAGAGTTTGCATAAAGGATTGCATAATTAAGGAAGTCGATTGTAACTCTCCAGACTTATTTGAGGCCGTTACATATTAATACCTTGATTAATTAAAGGGCAGCAAGAAAAAATAAGAAACAAACAAGATCCTTCATCTGATCTTTAGAGGTTATGAAATCCGGAAAAGGGGTTAAAAGGAAACCGTTACGTGTACTGTAGTCGCGCATTGGCTGAAAGGCCGAGAGGACCTAGAGTGACACTTTTGTTGGGTATTCGACGAGACCACGGATGTATTCGAACCTATGCTCCGGCGGTTTGTATTTATTACTTTTGATCAAACAGAAAAGTACCTCAAGACCCTCGGAAAGGAGTCGAGATCGACACTAATGGACTCGAAAAGGGAAACAATCTCTCGCTGTTTAAACAAATCCAATTGTAATCCATAATATATCCCCCACTTTCGGGGGCCGCACCAACCTTTTTATGGTCACTAAATATCGTCAGCTTCGAACTTTTCCACTGTGATATGAAAGGCTTCGTTTAGTGACCAGGAGGCCACTTGATTCCGTTTGTTTGAACATGGAACAGACGCAGCTCATGAAGTTCAAGAGTGCATCGACTGGGCATCCACCGTGCAAATAGCGCTTACAACAGGCATTCCCATCAATATCCCAAGCATTGATTACGCAAGTTTATCATTCAAAACGTCAAAATAAAAATTACAAGTAAATACAAGGAATACAAAATAAAAAGAATATGGCGGATTAAACCCGTTTATTATATCGGGACTCACAAAGTTAGTCATTTCTTAGCATTTTGAGCTGGCAGGGTAGGTTTGTTCGCTACAAATAGTGTAATTTGGATGTACCCTTACCATTCAAATCGGGATCCCAAAGAGTCAGTGATCGACGGAGCGTCAATAGGGGCCTTTTCGTAAAAATTCTTGGCATCTTCCTTGAGCAAACTGGGAGAAAGGGCCAATTCGTTGGAATATCCACCTACAAAACCAAAATTTATTCTATAGGCACCACATTTCAGATGATATAACAAAAAACGTACCCGTGTTCCTGTGAACTTTCAGGGTGGGCAGACGGTCTTCTTCATGGTATAACGTAAAAAGTTCGGAGGCCAATTCGGACGCAACCAGGAAGCCCGCATGGGTCTGAACAAACCGGAGCAACAGAAGGCCGTCGAAACTGAGAAGATCGCCGACGAATTTTCTGACCATACAGTACTCAGCATAGCCTATGAGTTTCATATCAATTACTCAAACCAAACTTACCCTTTCCGTTGTTGTTGTTGTTTTCGTTCAAAACCTGGCGAAGGTATTGCTTTGTTTGCCAGACTCTAACCGGCGCAGCACACATTATGATGAAAGAGTAGGCAAGGTTCAACATGGTGGGAATCATCAACAACACCAGCCAGAAGTAAATCATCACAAAGGCCTTCTCATTCAGCATGTTGATCATCAGAGCACACTGAACAATATGGCTGTCGTCGTATGAAAGCTTCAGTCTGGCAATGTTGCAGTAGGAGACACGAGGAAAGAACCCAGTCGCATCCCAATAGATGCCCTTCAAACCATCATCAATGATCTGAAACTAATGAGAGCAATATTCACGCTTACCTTAAAACCCCAATAACTGGACCCCGAACCAATAAAAGAGTTCAAAATATGCAGCTGAAAGATCACATTGACCATGTTCAACACTTTGCTGGTCAAATAGCAGGCTGTTCCCATCCATCCAAGAGAACTCATGAACCCAGCGCGATGTCTGATCAATGAAGACTCCTTTAGATAGACGGCAATCTCATGAACTTCTTCTTTTCGCTCTTTCTGGCTTTTGGATCGAACCTTGCAACATCTTTCAACGATAGACTCGTAATCGACCTCTGAAAAAAAGCAAAATTAAAGAAAAATAGCAACAATACCTGACTTGTTCTGAAGGGTCATCCAAAACAGATGAGGGGCGTAGAACATAACAGCGACAACAGCAAGGAAATACGGGACCCACTGGTAGTAGTCGATGGTCATCTGAGGTAATTCAGAATCAAGATGCGTTCCATTCCGAGTGTGGTATGTACCCGTCACAAAACAATATTGATGAACGTATTGTGCCCACGAACCTAAAACAACAAATCAATAATAAATTATCAAAACGCAGTTAAATTACCTGGAAAGTTCGCCGGGACCATACAGGTGATTGGGTCTCCGAAAGTCTGCTTCGAACCAATCAAAAGGGCAAAGAAGATGAGTAAAGACGGAGTGTACAGATAATGTGAACGGTCGACGAAGTCATCCAACTTGGCTGACTTCAGATTAGACAGAAAATTGGATAAATATGGCACTTGCATTATTTTACCTGGAATGAATCAAAGAAACGTGCAAATAAAGTGTGCTCGTCCAGGAACATTGAAACCCCACCGCGAAATCAGTCGACACAAATCAACAAAAATAAAACAATGAATCAATTCATATCCAAAAAATACATAAATTAGTTTTATCAGCTAAAACTTTCTGATCACGTATGCGTAAACGCAACAAAACCAATGAAAAACATGCATCCGCTGATTGCGTCAATCACTTTTTTCCGGAAGTAACGGCACTGACAACTTAGCGCGCAACTCGCGCCGTCCGTGGTGGTCCTAACTGGAAAACTTCCATTTGGCATTCCGAATTCCTGTCCTACATTCCACGAAGGACGGAAAGGTCCGCTGCGGAAAGGTCCGCTAAAAAAAGGAAAGAGGAGGGCGGGGAGGGGGGAGGTTTTCGATGGCGCTGATTTCGAATATCGTATCCATTTTTTCTGAATTTTACAATTTTGCAAGCAGTAGTATTAATTAGTAATTTTAAAAAAATCTTTTTTGAGTAATGGATTTAGGGGTTTTCGGTGGTGCTGATTTTGAAAATTGTATCCATTTCTTCTGAATTTTTGCCTATCTTCCTCAATTCTTTAAAATAAATGTTTTAATTGGTAAAAACTTGGTCAAACTTGTATGATATTGTAAGAAAACTTATGACGCTTTTTTCGTCTTTACAGCGAAAATGACACTACTGCTTAAGCAAAATTGTAAAATTCAGAAAAAAATTTATATGATTTTCGAACTCAGCGCCATCGAAAACCTCCCCCCACCCTTCCCCCCGCCCTTCTCTTTTCTTTTTTTAGCGGACCTTTCCGCAGCGGACCTTTCCGTACTCAATCCCTACATTCGGCTCACGTCGTTTTTACTGCCAATTTTGATTTGTCCCACCACGGCCAAGTCTATCAGTGCTAAAAAGTTTTGGCGTTGTGCAAAAATCGGAAAGTTCGTTTTTTATTTACCGCAAAAAGTAAAATCGACCAGTGTTAATCGGAGAGCAAAGAAAACATTTTGAAAATTAGTTGTGGTGATTACGTCATAAGTAAAAGTAAAAAAATTTTGGGCATAAACCGAGGCCGCTGACTTCAAAAAATGATATTCATTTCTATGATTCTTAAAATTCCGAATTTTCTTGGTTATAATCGGATTTCTATGTCACAAATGAATTGTTATACTGGAACCTCAAATCTTAAAATTGTAAAAGATGGCCGGTTTTCGTCTATTCGAGCAAATCGTATACGACACGAAACCGTAGGAAATGATTACCTTGACTTGTTAAATTTATTGAGTATAACTGCAAAAGTAACGTAAAACGAATAAATAATATAAAATAATGCGCAGATTAAAATATAAAGTAATATACAACTGCCAAAAGTAAGAAAATAATATTTAGGGAAGCGAAGCGTTGAGGTATAGGACCGGATGAGGCAAAGAGACGACCCGAATTAACCTTTCGAAGGCCACGATGACCTGATCACAACATTTGGGAGCACCAATCAAACTAGAACCTTCTTTACATTATACATCGATGGAGGTGGGTGTATTCTTGAAGGTCACTCTCTTCATACTTAATGGACTTTTGCGGTCAGTGATTGGGTTCTCATCCAATGGAGGAATGCCATGAGGAATGGAGTCTTCTTCTGATCGTGTGTCCTCTTCTCCAATTTCCTTGAACAACTTTATGTATTCTTCCGCAGAAACATATCCACGATCAGAGGTCTTGTAGACGTGTTTTCTGTTCCTATACCAGCAGAACAGACAACAACCACATAGTAGAATTCCCAAGACAACCACCAGAATATTGAGGATCACAAATAGGGTGTGGAATACTGGAAATTATAGGTTATAACCGATTATATTTACATACCCCAAGCAAAATCAAATTCGTGATCTGGGTCATAAGCTCCGACTTGGCCGAAAGGTTCGGAATTTGACTCCCATAAAGTGGGGTCTCTGATTCCACACTCATCATAATATCTGAGGAGTCCGTCGACACTCGTCGGACGTTCAGGGCGCTCAATTAATTCCTTCAACACCTCAAATTGTTCCATTTTGTTATCCTTTATAGGTAATCCGGTAGTAAAATCATCATAATCAAAGGCTAATGAAAGTTCTATAAGAATAGAATATACAATTTTTGTTTTAGTTACTTACCACTAATACAGCCACCGAAGCCTTTTTCCAACTTCTGAATATGAAGTTCGGCCGTGGAACTCTCTTCAATTGGAAAGATGTCAAGTTGGATGGTTCGAACGTCGTTGTCGACCCGGAAACTTAAGGACCTGTCGGCTGAATTCGTTCCCACCGAAGGATTCCTTTCGATAGCTACCAGATGGAGACGTTCATCATTGGGATCAACGGTGAATTCTGAAAACGTAAATTTATACCAAAGTCACCTACCTTCTTTGTTTCCGCTCTCATCTTCAATATATACTGTCTGCCCATAATTGTCCACAAGAACTCTAACTCTACCATAATCCAAGATTGAAACAAGTCCAGCTGATCCTTGAGGGAATCTGAGAAGAGCCCATAGCTTTTGTAACTTTGCGTATTTCAAAAACCCTGGGCGTATTTCCAGATGAACAGGGCCTTCAGAACGCGACAAAGCCAAGGATGTTTTCTTGGTTGTTGTCTGTTGTTTAGATTCTACTTTACATTCACCATTCAGCGTATTCTTGTCAGCAAAAACCTGGGCGCAGTCACAAACGGGATCGGCATTCTTCCTGAATGAGTTCAGTATAATCGGTTGAGGAATTCTGCATCTGGCTCCATGACAATTCGACTTTAAACCCTCGCATTCGATACACTTTGGCTAAAATGTGTGGTATGAAAGGAATCAGAGAGTAAAGGTAGAAGAAGAGTGTTCAACGAAGTAACTCACTGTAATAGAGAAGATGTCTCGCTGCTTCTTTGTATCGTTAACAATTGTTATTTGCTGAGAAGTATAGATGTCATGCAAGTCCATCGAACTTCCTCCCACCCTGAGATCGGCAACACAACCCTAGAAATACACATACATACAAGCACTACCTTTACGTTAACTTACTCTTAGCGGTGGTGCCTTTTCCCTTGTGTTCTCAAAGAATTTACTACGAAATGAAACGTTAATCAATTCTTCATTCAAATACAACCGCTTGGCATAAGCAGTTCCACCTCCTAAGAACAAAACTGAGTTCACGGCGCTGGACATTGAGTACAAATCAGCAACATCCATTTTCCTCTCATCCTCTGTCAACTGGCAAATCTGTTCATCGACGGTTAGGTACACATTAGACTGATGATAAAACAGCGAAACTCTCATCCATGTGTTAGTAGCAAAGCCGCCTTTCCTTTTGATAGCACAAGAAAGACAGATCTGATCGGGTCTCCGGAGTTTTGAACAGGCACCGGCAGTCATCCTTTCCCCTTCAAATTGCACTTGAAACCGTTCCAATCCATATCCGGTTCGATTATGTTGACCAAAAAAGATAAGTCCCACATTCTGAAAACGAACTCCTCCTCGAGAGAAAACGAAAAGAGAAAAGGCATTCGGTCCGATAGAAAGGCGAGAGAGTCCGTGGTCTTGTGGTGTAGTGGTTATCACGTCTGCTTCACACGCAGAAGGTCGCCGGTTCGACCCCGGCCAAGACCTAATTCTTTTGTTTTCACGGAATTTCGCGCCAAAAACCGCTCAAACTTACAGAATCCGTTTTGATCAAAACTGAAATTGGTTGAACTGTTGTGTAGCTGGGAAGATAAAACAATGACAACTTTCGAGAGTCCCGGTACAGTGTGAATGCCTTCTCGACTTCCGTTTTTGCTGGGCAATCCACCCTCCGGTTCTTCAAATTGATTAAAGCTGACTGAGGACCTTTACAATAACAGAATCCGGGTTGATTCTCTGAACAAAGGGTTCGAGTTGAAGATTGAACAAGTTTGAGTTCAAGTTCGGGGGCTCCATGGCACATCCATTCGGACGAATCTCTTCGGAAGGCCCCCACCTGGCCGTTCAAAGTCAGCTGGATAGCATTAACAGTGAGGCCAACATTGATAGGGTCGTTATAATCAATGTGAAAAGCCAACGCCCTAGGATCCCAGGTGAATGTGTGCCAGTTTGTGTCGGCAAGAAGACTAATTGGGTAAACGTCTTGTCCAACTCTGATCAAATAACCTGTAAATTGTGAACCTGTATTTAAAAAAGAAATATTTACCATCAACCAATTGAACTTCCAAATTTCCATCGGCGGACTCGAAAGAAAGAAGTCTTTCGTTTGGCCGATCTGTTCTGAAGGAGAAACTCAATTTTCTGGAGCCAGTTACAAGGAGACGGACACGATCAGAAAGGGAATTCAGGTCGAATTTGCACTTGTGTTCTCTTGGCCAAAGGACTTCTCGAAACTCCAAAGATGAAGTTTTAATCTGGATAGCAGCGGTAAAGTTGTTCGGCAGACCGTCAGGAATGATATGCAGAACTCCGGCATGTGTGTTGGACAAGGTAAGATGCTGCTCATAAGCTGTAAAAGTCCGTAATAGCAGTAAAGTCTATCTTCTCCTTACCATCTTTTGTTCCATTCCACTGTATGGTTTTGTCGATTCCTTGAATAGACCGCAACGTAAAGGAATATCTGAAGTAAAAGAAACTTTTTACAGTACTCTCAATGTTTACAAAAACAGTGGCCGCATCAAAAACTGTTTAAATCGGATGAGTAATCGATCGCTGATTCAGAAACAAGAAAGAACAAAAGACTGAGACATTACAACTTACGTTTCGGACAGATTTCCATTGAATGCCGGCCATCTTATCCAAAGTTTTTGCTCGCATTTATCAGAAGGTTCTATTAAGTGCTTAAGAAAAGATCGATCCGAGATTCTGAAAGGGAAAAATTAGGAATAAAGAAATGAATAACTTTACACAAAGTAAAAAATTTTACATACTGAAATCCGACAGTTTGAGGCTCGAATCCAACAGAAACCCATCTCTCCAACGCTGTTCTGATTACAGTCGTCACTTCCGAGTCTCCTTCTGCATTAGAGGGCATTTTGCAAAGCACTTTGAAACTTGTATGGTATCCGTCTCCCAAAGCATAGACACCGCTCTCTGTTTTACCGTGTAAGAAATGTTCAGGGCATGATTTCCTAGCCACTAAAACAATTTCAAATCTAAGTCAAACAGTATGAATTTCAACTTACAATCTAACGAATTTGCAACTGTGAGAAATGTGAATAATATTACCCATGGCCGATCCATCCCAAATTTACGATAACGCTAAAAATAGTCTTATAAAACACAAATAAATATATTATACATAGCCAAACACGATACAGGGCGAAAGAAGTAATCGGATCTGAAAAAATCGGAAGCTCTCATTCCGTCCAATTTTAGGAATACCTCGAATTTGGCTAAAGCTGCAGAAAATGTCTGTCAGAAAAATTACCAAGGAAACAAACAAAGCGGACAAAATACAAAAAATATGTCATGGCGACGCAAATTCTAAACGATGACGCAATTTTTGGATGTATATTTTAGAGCAAAAAAATTGAATTTCTTTGCGAAACGAAAGCGGAAATGGGTAAGTGAATAACAGGCCGCATAAATGTGTCAAAAAGAACAAATGGCTACTTAATATATTATATCTCTGGAGAAAGTGACCGGCTATTTCTCAAAATTATCTCCCTTTCTTTTCAGCCCTTGGGACACGACTTATTAAAAAGACCCTCAGGCGCTGGAGAACCAAAGAATCGCCGCCCGGACTTTAAAACACTAAATCCGATCATAAACAAGGTCCAGTTTATGATCGCAAGGCACGGCAAGGCTGACTGGGTGAAGTCGAAACGGTGAGAGTGCTGAATTCATTGAAGGAAATTCTAGGAGAATGGAAGAAAGGCAAAATCAGTATAGCGTGCCTTGCCGCATTGACGTAAACTCCAAGTTATACGAAAGTATCTGCCTGGGAAAGCCTAAGCGCGCGTTTATGTAGAACCGATCCAACCAAATTAAAAATCTTCTTGTTAGAAACATTGCAATCTGCAATGCGTTGCAGTGATTTTTGGTTTCGTCCAATTTCCGATTTTGTCCGGGAGCTGAAGAAATATACTAGACACATTACAGTGATGCTCTGAAGAGAATGGTCAGATATGTGAATACAATTTATGGAGTAACAAAGGGGATTGTATAAGAGCAAGGTACGAGACCCAGAGCGATCGGGTTTGAATGGCCTTTAAATCCTCAAGGATCGAGAAAACAGTTGGGAATTCAGATTCCATGATTCAGTTTAGGTCTTTGCGCGACTTTCGGGGCGAAAGGTCAGGGCCATTGAATTGCAATTTTGGCCAAACATGAAAAGCCGAGTTTGGGGGGGGGGGGGCGATTCATCTCATCTTTGAGCGTCTCCAGCCGTAAAATGGTATAATAAAAAACATTGGGTGTGGCGCGTGAAAATTGGGTGGGAGTGGACCATCTTTTGTGGGGATGCGCAGGCCAATCGAGCGCTGAATAGGCGTCCAGGGAGAGTGCCGTGGATTGCCGGCTTTGTGCCGGAATCTCATTAAAGCGGCGCTCTTAATAAAAGAGTTTGGCGCGCTTCCAACGGGGGCTCAAGTGCGACCGAATGAGGGAAGGCACGTCGAATGAGCATCCGGAGTCATCTTCTGCAGACTTATAAAGGAACTTTACTACCTAATTATTTACTTATACAGTTTATTCATGGGCTCCCAGGGAAGTCGCTTCAACGAGGAATATTACTCTGCAATTAGACATAAATTACTCACAGAAAGTCGTTGTAAGGACATAACGCATTCAATTTGAGTGGCATTCATTACAAGGACCTTCTTCGTGTCACTTTTCGTTTTGAATTGCATAAAGTATGGGATTTAAAGTGGTCCTAAATTTGGTTAGGCATAATCATAAAGTGACCCTCACTGATCCCAGCAAAAATCCTGCTCAGGCAACGGGATATCCTGGTCGGGTAACACTTTTCATGTCTTCAAAAAGGTTTAGGAAGTGGGGAATGAATTCCCGACACTTTCGGCGCTAAGAAACCCCGTTTCAAATAAAAAGACTTATAAGACATAAGACCTCGGGGGCGAAACGGCCGCTGGTCACTCATCGAAAGGCTCAAGTGGGACATATTAGGGAACTCCGGAAGGAAAGAACTCTGTTTATCGCCATAAAAATGCTTAAGCAGGACAAAACACTTGTCGCGCCATCTGGTGCAGATTCCGGACCCTTCCGAAGGTAAAAACAAAGCGGAATTTGAATACATTTTGAAGACAAAGCAGGGCGAACCCTTGGAAAACGGTCGATTAAACTCTAGAAACAGAGCCATTAAAGCAAGATCTTGGAGTCTCAGAAGGGAAAGGGAGGAACGGCATTCGAATGAATGGCTGGCGATTGGTTTAAGGGCGTTGGGAACCTAATTGTTCTCGAGAAAATATGGCGTCAGCTTGCGACCTTTCATTCTCATGCAAATTTTTGTAATGCCGATCTTTTTGATTGATAAAGTGCGGAGAAACGGGTAATCCAATTAATAGTGTCCATCATCGTGCGTAGATTTATTATTATTCTGTTTTAATACACAACATTAAAATATTAGAAGTTGGAGACCGCCGCTTCTTGATTGTCAAAGTACACTGGGGTCGGCTGAAGATGCCGCGGTTTGCGGATCCCGGTGTTACTTTTTTCCCGACCGCCTAAGGCCATTTCCATGGGATAATTGGGGTAAATGAACTCGACTCCTCCATATTTATTATTGGATAAGAGTTCGCGACTAAGAGGGCGCGATTGCAGGTCTGCTTGGTCATACCAATGATGTCGGACTACTGTAATTTTGATTAATTTTGGGTTCAAATTTAATTACCTCCGGTCCGATCTTTAACACTAACTTTTATCTTTCCAAATTCTATATCACTGAACCTGATGAGTAGTGTCGATCGAGTGCAGTCGTTTAGAAGATGCTCGGCCTCATCCTTTCCACAGAAACCGTAGATCAAGCCATCATTCCACATCTGTAACATGTATTTGTTGAGCATTTCTGCGAGTTTGAAGAACCATTCGTAGTATGGCACTAGTTTCCATTCTCCTTCTGTAGTCGAACCTCTTTTCAAACAGAATTCTTCAGCTACTGGTAGTTTCATGAAATTCTCCAGGGCAATTTGTGCATTCCCATCGGGTTTAAGCCGATGGATAATATGATGTTTTACCTGTAAAGCCAATTATTATTGAAGAAATCATCGTTCTAGGTTATATTTTAATTGCGTAACAGATCGTTTCCTTACGTTGTTGGTGAATGGCTTGGGTTGAATCAGCGGGATTGTATCCGTCGACTTCTGAGGTGTTTCTAGGATCGACTGGAATTTCATTTCCAAGGCATCAGCCATGTCCTGATACGATACAATAGTTGGGGCATCGCTTAAAGGTTTTCTGACCAGGTCGGCGAAACTTCTTTCCAGAAATAATTTGGCCTCGACATCTGTTTTGGGGCCGACCAGAATAGCGAAGGGAAGGGATACCTTCTTCCCAATCAGATCTATCCCATGAGACGCTGTTACTCTCACGTTATAACATAAACAGTATCGTTTTGTGGCCACGGAATCTCGTCTCAAGTTGCCTTTCTTGGACACTCTCATGTCATCAAACTTGGCCGAGAGTCCATGATGGATTTCGGAGTGAAGGACCGAGGTCGGGGGCTCGATCAGAAACTCTTCGTTTTCGTATCTGTAAATAATGCTGGTAATTTTAATTTCATTATTCATCATTGGTTCTGAGAATGGCTTACACTTCATGGTAAGCGTTACTCAACAGTCTCTTGGCGGTGTCGTCGGTAATCAAAAAACATTGAACTTGAACATTCTCGGAGTTCTTGTGCAAATTGAAAGCTCGTCCTCCAAGGATTCTGAAAGAAGAGCCTTTAGAAGTTCATTTCGAGATCGAATTTGGTCGTCTTCTCTTCAATTGGCATAAAGTTCCCCACCTTTTTACAGTAAACTTTTCACATTTTTTACCTTAAATCGTGTAATTACTAGCCTACAACTGCCCCCGAATGTAGTAAAAACCTTTACCGAATCTCGGTGTTGAACCAGAATCGGGACCTTCGATGGTTCTCTGCTTCGCCGCATTTGACTACAACTGAAGGCGGCTGTTTGGAGACGATTATCGAGTAGAATAAAAAGTAATGTGTAATATGTTTGACCCGACTATGAAACTCCTCAAATCCTCGGTTGGGGAAGTTCTCCATCAGATAATTGAGACCACTCAACGTCTGTTCCAATAGTTCTCCGAAATATTCGAATTGGGTATCGATTACGGAGAGGAGATTGTAATTTTGTTGTTGGGTCCAAAGCGTTGCAACTGTCAACTTTTGCTGTTTGATGGCCCAATTACAAAGAACATCACCCATCAAATATTGTTTCTCGTCGTTTAACGCTGAGATCAGCGACTCCAGAATCATGGGAAGTTGCTGAAATTATACAGCTTATACTCATGATTTATGTGATGAAACTAATGCGTGATACAGCAATTCTCTTACATTCAGCATCTCGGATTGGTCCTTGATGGATACAGCATTCGAGAAGATGATATCCACATCATCCTTGAACTTCTGATAAATCTCCGCTGTTGTGTTATGTTTCATAACAAATATGGGATCATTCTGAGCGGCCAAAGTGGCCGGACTCTGCGCTGAGAAGGATACACTGGAAGCTCGGCCATCTGATTCGTAATCCATGAAATCGGGACTGTAAACCCCGGAGGACGGAGATGGGTCCATTGTCTGGAGGTTACTGCAATCATGCAATCTTAGTAATCAAATCGATGAATGGTCACCGAAACGTAGGGTAACTGCACTTCCTAAGGGTTGGAAAAAAATTTGGAAAGTCGCCTCAAGTCACGTGGAGCCTAAGAGAGACGTTACAACTAACGTTGAAACTAGCGGGATTTGCAAAGAAAATTGCACGTTCATCTTAACAGACTCCGTCAACTACAAAACAGTTATCGTTACTTCGTGATAGGAACACCAACTCGAGAGTTGTCTCAAGTAAATAAGAGAAGGTCGCGTGTTCGCGAGAAAAGATTCTAAGATGATGTCCTTCTGTTTCCCTTCTATTTTTTACATTACTCTCTCTTCCTTTTTTACAAATATTTGAAAAGGGAAATAACAGTTTAAACCCCTTGAAAATGGAGGTGACCTTGAAGTTGAGGTTGTGAGTCACCGCTCTTATTGACACCTACAACCTCGACGAGGGTGTGTAATAAAATTTGTTGTGACGTATGAACGAGACTGCTCTTGGACGATTGCAAGAACCGCAAAAGCCTTGCCCAACCTACCTTTTTAGTCTTCCCAACTATCACGAAGTTGTTGGAAATGGAGATCAGCACCTCGGCTCACATCTACAATCATCTCTTGTCCGTTAATATTGTGTTTGAAGGGCGGGATTCGATGTTCGTCGACCCTTGAAGGAGCGAGCCGTCTTCTCACGTCATCAAACACCCAAATTAAATCTTTTCTCCACAAATTGTTCGAATTGATGGTGACGTAAAAAGAGATGGTGAAGCCGACATTAATGATGGTGATAGCTAGGGCTCGGAAGCCGAAAAGGAGCTCCTGAACATCGAGATGAGTCATAAATAAATTGCAGTAATTACATCTTTCACTTTTTTAAAAATATTTCTTCAGTGATTACTCAAACAAAAATTGCGCTTACTCGATAAAGAACGTCGTATTTTGCATATCCGACTGCATAAAGAACGGAGGTCACACATCCGACTACAACAAATATCTGAATGCCTTTCCTCAGGCCCCGGGTCATCTTAATATTCTCCACCAATTGGAATCGCTGACTTAATGTGTACGAGTTTTTGTTGAGGATGGCCACTTCGTATCTTTTCTTATTCCATAGCTCAATTGCACGTAAGATCTGTGAAATGACGTCAGAGCCAATGTGACTTACAATTAAGGATGTTATGAGCAATGACGCAATGAAGAGACAAGTTAATTGTATTAGATATCGGACTAAAAGTAATTTAAAACCGGTCACTGATTACGGTGACTTACTTCTTACGGGGTCGTTAAATATCTGGCAATAAGTCATATAACCGAATGCAGACAACGTTGTCATAAACACTAGTATGACTAATTGAATGTTCTTTTTGTGTTCGTAATTCAAATTCTGAGCAGATGCAAACAATCTTTCAAAAGCTAAAATCAGAAAGTCTGAAGTCACCGAATAGAATCCCATAAATGTCAAGGAAGCCGCCAGAGGGACTAAAATCAAGTAAAGTGTAATATAATCACTACTCACACAACCATTCATCCCTGTTCAAGGCCAAACAAAGTAACAAAAATTGGCCGATTACCGTAACCAAGGCTCCCACTTGCATTTTGATGACAATCACCCAGAAATGCAGATGCAAAGTCCCCTTTCTGCGGGTCACACACAATGTGAAGGCCAGGAAAAGTATCGTGAAAGCAATGGAGATACCGAGAATAATGCGACCAGTCAAAAACAATGGACCTCCGATGTTATCCATGAGGATTTGGAGCGTTGGAAACAGCTGAAAGCAAGGCATACAGGTGAATAACATCGACCACTCGTCCAACCGGTACATTAATGTGTGACATTAGACTTTCCATTACGCAGTTTTGGAAAGGAATTTAAATTAAAATCAAACAAAAAGGAGACCAAATGAAGTCTTGGAAAGGAGGTTTATATAGCCGGAGTACGGTAGAAATGAATAAAACGACGCTTTGTTTACATTTCCAGGACTTTGCACATGTTAGAGCACATGGCTCGGAAATTGCATAGAGGTTATTGGGATGATGTCATTTTTTAAATTTTTGAAATAAAAAAAATTAAATGGAATCAAAATAGAGAAAGCGGTTGATAAATGAGATGAGAAGATCGATTCTGGTAAGATGTAAAGAAATAAATCCTATTTCAGGTGGAAAGGGTAAACGGACCTGGATGTGAGGATTCGTCATGTTCGGAGTCCTGCTCTGAAGTGGAAGTTGTGATCGGAAAGGAGCATTTACACGCAAATGGAGTGTTCAGCAATGTCTACAGAGCTGTTCTCTACTCTCCTCGTCGACAACCAGTGGCAATTAAGAAGATTTGGTAAAGAAAAAAACATTAATCTAGTCAGTTAAATATCGTCCTTTTTTAGGCCAGACAAATCGCATCCAGATGCTGCAGAAAAGGAAATCGAGCTCTTGACAAAAGTCAACCACGAATGTGTGGTCAAATTACTCTACAGATTCAAATTGGGAGAGGGCTCGCAGGTAATATTTAATTGGTGTTGTCCCCGATTCACCTGTAATTACACTTTGGGACTCCCCTTCAGGCATGTGACTGTCTCATCATGGATTTCCTGCCCATTGATCTCTCCAAACTCCGGCTTTCCCAACCCAATCGCCGCTTCCATCCGTTGGATGTCAAGTTGTATTCTTTCCAAATGTTTGCCGGGATTGATCACATCTCTTCCAAGGACATTATCCATTGTGACATTAAACCCTCCAATTTGATTGTCGATCCAGAACTCGGACTTCTCAAGATTGCTGACTTTGGAAATGCGAGGATTCTGAAGAAGAGTGACAAGGTGGACTCTTATCAAGTCACCAGGTACTATCGGGCACCAGAACTTGTCTTCGGATGCACCAATTTCACGGTTTCCGTGGGTCAGTTGATTATTCTATGCACATTACGTTTCTTACACTTAATTATTAATTGGTATTTATGATATGAATTTAATTTTTCAAATGTAAATTTCAGATCGTTGGTCATGCGCTTGCGTGTTATCGGAGATAATTTTGGGCAAGCCATTGCTCCAAGGCAAGGATAAATTGGATCAAGGAAGGGTGATAATCGAGATGCTGGGATACCCCAGCTCCTCTGCTGTCAAGGCCATGAACGTTTCTCGGCCGAGGATCTCGAGGAAACCCGGAAGAGGTCTGAAACCGGTAAGATTGACAAGGATTACTGTAAAATGGACATACAAATTTTTTACATTACTTCAGCTGATTGCTGGATACGATTTCCCTCCAGAAGCCGAAGACATTGTCTCCAGAATCCTCGTTTACGAGCCTCGACTCAGAATGCGGCCCGAAGAGGTGATGGGCCACAAATATTACGACGAATTGCGACGATTGCCTCCGGCAAAAAGGGAAAACGGTCGAAAGATTCCTTCCCTCAATTACTGGACCATCGAACAAGTACATCCCTTACAACAATCTTCTTTACTTTTTAGAGCACCCAATCAGACCGGACTCGAAGACCGACCACTTGACAATGACAACTTGACTAGAATAAAGTACTACTTTACAATTTATATCTCGATTATCAATGATGCTTCGGCTTCGTTTTCCTTGCTTTTTTGTTTTTGGATGGGCGTTTATCCTTCACCTGCTTCAACTTTTTACTGCTGACATCCCCCTCCTCTCGAGTTTCCTGAGTCCGATTCATATCCTTTTCCTTCTTTTTCTTCACCTTCCTCTGACTATTAGACGGTCCGGGTTTGGCCTTGGGTGCAATGGGCTTATTCGTCGGTTTCCCCTTCTTTCTGGCCATCTTCATTGCCAGCATCACATCGGCATGTTTTTGCTCAGCTCTGTAAACCAGAACATGATTAAAATTATATCTACGCTTACGCTCTGACGGCAACAAAAGTCTTCACAATATTGCCGAATTTGGCTCTAATCGAGGGGTGTTTGACAAAGCATTCAGACATTATAGTCTTGACGTAATCGGGAGCCCACGAAGGAGGCCCCAGCAATGATCCTTGGGTTAGCACCTGGAATGATGACAACTAAATACGGAAATGAAAGCTCAACTTACGATCTGTTTGACTTGTGGAGGAGTCTTTCTGGCGTAGGGTTCAGCTCCATTGGAGAAGATCTCATACATCAAAACACCGTAGGCCCAGACATCAGATTGGCAAGTGTAGGTGTGGCTGATAAAGACTTCGGGGGCGAGATATTTGATGGGACATCTCTCGGCCGGATCGGCTTTGTAGATGGCGGCTTGACGGGAGAGTCCAAAGTCACTGATCTTCAAACAATTTCTTGTGTAGAGACAATTTCTGGCCGCGACATCTCTAAACCAATACTTAAACATTACAGAATAATATTTATGTTACCTGTGTATGATTCCCATTTTGTGGACGTGACTCAGACCTCTGGCAGCATCCAAACACATGGAAACTCTTTCATAAATGGAGATCCTGGGTCCATTCGTCCTCAAATACGCATCCAAAGCCCCTCCGGCCACATATTCGATGACAATCATAAGCGGTTCCTGGTCGGCACAGACCCCAAGACATCGAACAATGTTGTCGTGGATCATCATTCTCATCAGACGGGCCTCCCTCATGATGTCTTCGATCTTGTCCCTGTTCATCATGCTCAATTTCATCTTGAAATTACAATTGATGGTATACCTCCATGGCTTACTTGTTTCACGGCGACATCCACGGGTTTTGGAGAAGACTTGAGAGTGAGCTTTCCATAATAAACCTGACCATAAGCCCCATTTCCAATGGGCTTGATACATTTAACTTGGTCTTGATAGAATTCCCATTCCTGGCGGCAGATTGGTCTCAAAAGTTGACAGGAGGGACGTCCAAAGATCTTCTTGGTCTTCATATAATGGTTCACCAAATCCACAATCGAATCGAATCCGACGGGTTCGGTAAGAAACAGCTTTCCCTTTTCCTTCTTCAGAATAAAAGTTTGGATCTGCCCTCCGGCGGCCACAGGCCTGGTAGTGATGCAACTCTAAAGAGTAAATTAATGGCGGGAAGATAGTCTCACAGTGCCGGTGTCTCCAGCGTTGAGCTCGGTGACTCTGAGGAGGAAGTCTCCAGGTTTTGACAACAATTTGTCGACATCTTCTCGAGGCAACAAACTAAATGTCTCATCTTATCCGTCACCACCTCCACTCACCCATGGTGATAGTCCTGCTCGGTGATCCCATCTTCTCCCACATCCTTCTGGACCACTTTCTCTTCGAGGTCTTCCTGTCCACTCTCGTCCATGCTCACCGTGGGGAGATCGACTTTGTTGGGCGCTTCGGGCGTCTCCGGTTGCTCTGGTGCATTGGTTACGGCCTCGATCTTGTTCGTTTTGTTATTTGTGGTGCCTGCGGGCGTTGGTGGAGGGATGTCGACGGGCAAAGGCTGGTATTCCTTGTTCTTAACATCCTCTGGCTTCTCTGCGGGGACTGTTGCTATGCCATCAACGAAGTTTGGGTCCCCTCCAGATAACATGATGTGCCCATTCTTGTCGACTGGATACGGGATTTGGCGGAAGGAGTCGTCGATTGGTAAGAGTGTGGCTGGATTCTCGAAGGGATCGAAGCCAATCTTCACATCGCCTGGCAGTTTGATCTTGATCCGCCGTTGGTAACCAACGTTTTCTTCCCTGAGATAATATAAGTTACAGCTTATCAAGGTCAATAACTCCAAAACACTACCGTATCCACTTACTCAGGCTTTTTTTGCGCCATTCCTACGAAAGCCGCTTCCCAGAAACCAAAGTGTTACAAATGGCGACATTCTGCACTAAAGTATTCTTACGTAAACTTTCCAGTATTATGCAAATTTTTAAAATATTTAAAAAGTGCAAAAGTCCTTCAGTCAAATAATTTGTCGACATAAAGCTTCGGAGTGAGCTAGGTTATCTCATCACAAGGGGGGCCGAACCTACGACCTTTTGCACAAACAGCGGAAACACTGCCACTGCGCTAAAACTACACGGGCGTCCAACACCGTTTTGTTTGGTGAGAAAGGAATGGGAGAATTGAAAAGGTTCGGAGGGGAATCTAATATAATATGAAGTTTTCTTCTGTCTGTCAAAAAAGTTATTGTTTTAGTTTAAGAATGTAGAGAAAAAGACTTCCGTGAATCTTCGGAATTTTTGATTCTGAACTTTGAATTTTCTGTTATTGCGAAGCCTTTATCTTATATCGGACTGCACTATAATCGTTGGGCCATGCTGAGCGCGCTACAATTTTCTGTGTGCTGTTTTTGCTTTTACAAAGTTATTTTTAATCATGTTTTGATTTTTTGTTTTTATTACGGTAGTCGTGATGTGACATCTGAAGGCAAATATTTAGTTTGTACAGGATTGGCGTGTCAGGGTCCTGTTGAATTGTTCTCGTGTATCCATGTTTTTTTGGTCTGCACCTTGAGAATCCCGAATTATTGGTTTTCGATGATTTGAACCTCCAAATTGTTTGAATGCGCCGAAGCGAAGAGGCGGCCAAAATCGAGAGTCTTGACTTAATCTCCTGTCATGAGCATATTCGGTTTTGTTTCGGCGGCGGGAGGCGAGGGCGGCCGATCCTTGGCCGTTTTCTGCTTTCGCCGCGCGTTTTTGGCCGCTTATCACTCCCCTGGACACCGCTTTTCTCACGAGAAAACAGCTCCAAGTGGGTCAGTCGTGTTTTTTTATATTCTCCATGCCCTATTCTTCAAAAGAATGACCAGAACGAGCAGGAAAGCGTAGATGTCGGAGGTGGGGGTGCTTTTAAACAAGTGCCTCCAGGGCATGTCCTTTCTGACTTCGGATCCTAATTTTTAAACTTTTCTTCCCTTTCGGAACCATGAACATAAGGAGGGAGTATTTATGAGGGTGTATCACTTGGAGATGACTTGTTTATCCACACTCCTTATGGCCATCCTCTTGAGAATATCGGAAATCGGGGCTCCTGCTCTTGTGGTAGATAAAGTGGGATCTAATCCTATTACTCGTCCCGTTCCTGACTTTGCATCAAATTCTTCGATTTTTTGTGATTTCCAAAAATTATGACATAATGAGACTGGGTGTACTTTAAATGTCTGGTCTTAAAAACAACTTTGTGACGGATAATGTAGTATTCTTATTGTTTTATGGGCCTCGATTCCTCTGTGCTTTGAATTTTCCCACATTTCCCGGGGAATCGAGACCGTCCGGTCCTATCTGGGCTAATTTTTAAGCGCGGAAATTGGGTTTGCCTCCAATTGGCGAACCGTTTGGGCGTAGATTTGTTTCCATACATTTGTTTGAACATATTTTATTGGCATCTATCTTCTTTTCTTCCCTTTCCGGTCCAATGAATGGCCAAATGTTTGCAGAGACAAAGGCCACAACTCTCAATGTAAACTTGCAAATGTGTTAAGAAGCCTGTTCCAATTCCAGAGGCCCATATTTTATACGTCAACATGGGACTGGAGATGCTGCAACTTCAAAATCGGGTCTTGGAGAAGGTGAATATCAATAGATTGGAGGAGACCAATGCCCGACTGGGAGTGGGGTTGGCTGCCATGTTCATGTACATGTTGATCGGGGCAATAATTTTCTGTAGAATTGAAGCGCCCATCGAAAGGTTCGAAAAAGAAACTTATCGGGAATTCAGACAACAATGGGAGAAGATTTTGAACGAACGGGGCATCAGTTGTAAGTGTTCCACGGACCTTTATTCATGTTTATTGTGCATCTGACATTTGGAAATAACTCTCTCTTCAGCCAGTGACGTGGACCGTTTGTTTGCCAATATCAGAGACGCGGCCTTAAATGGGGTCTGGGAAGAGAAAAACGAAACTTCCGAGCTGAACTGGACCTTTGGCTCGGCCTTCTTTTTCTCGGGGACCTTGCTCACCACCGTTGGATATGGTCATGTTTCCCCTCGCACCACCCATGGCAAGTTGTTTACGGTCATTTACTGTATGGTGGGGATCCCCTTAACCTTGTCCTTGTTATCTGCACTGGCAGTGAGGTTAAGATGGCCAAGTCAATGGCTTCGGACAAAGATGAATATGAAATTGGGAGGAGTGTTCCATGGAAAACATCTTCAGGTATGTTTTTGATATTAGATTTACAAAGTCATCATGGTTCTAAAGAAGTCTCTGATTAACGACGCCGCATTCCACTATTTATCGTCCCATTTCAGCTCATCCATCTCGGATTCATAACAACGCTCGTTTTAATTGTTGCCTTTATTATCCCTTCGTGGATATTTATGTCGATAGAAGATGACTGGACGTTCATTGATTCCTTTTACTACTGTTTTGTGTCCCTTACAACCATCGGCTTGGGTGATTATATCCCCGGAGACAAGCCGGATCAGCCATTGAGATCTTTTTACAAGATTGCCATTACCAGTAAGTCACTATAATTCAAATTTAATTTATTTTTTATCATCATGTTTTAGTCTATTTGGTCCTCGGATTGTGCTGTATGATGCTGTTCCTGGCCACCTTATACGACGTTCCTCAATTTAATATCGTTAAATATTTTGTGACCAAGTCCGAAGCCGAGGATGAGAACGAAATAAAACCCATCCACATGAACTCTGGGAACACGAAATACGAAAGATACGACGATGTGGAGACACCCAATCACATCGTGAATCCATTTGCGATCAACGGTTATTATCAGTAAAATATTTATATTTAATTTTAAAAAATTTAAATAAATCTGAGATATTTATCACAGGGAGATTAGACGAAGAGCCTTAGCAATATGAACAAAAGTAAAGCGAAAGGCAATGAGTGGACAGGAGAGGAGTTACATAATTGGTCTGAGCAACAACAAATATGGCCGAGGGAGGGGATCGACTGGCAGGAATCGAAGATACGGTAGGTCTGGCAGATCGAGGAGGTACCCACGCCGTCACAGTATCGGACCTAAAGCAAATGCTTGATTACATTTTTTGAAAATTCGTTTACGAAAATATTTCTTTTTACTTTTATTTTTTAGCACTTCTAAAAAAACACACTTAAAATTGCGTGACCTAAAAAATAAAACAGAGCTTACAGTATCCATTCCCAGAGATTGTTTGATACAACTCATACTCGTGCATTCGACGATCTGAAGCGTCGAACCGGAGAAACATTGGATGGAAAGGGCTGAACTAATTAATGAAAATATTGAAATTACCAAAATCTGAGAACGCATTTCTGAAATAATTCGGGGAATTAGTCGGAAATTTCGATTAAAAGTATGGCAAATACAACTCGAGATCAACATTGAAGACGCCCAATAATTTTAGCCTTGATTTTAATTAAAAAATAGTAAACAAAATGCAGAAAAGGAGCGGATTCATTAGCGCCGAACACCTCTGACGGTATTCGAAAGATAAAGATCTCGGAAATCTCGAGGAAAACAAAATTTAAATAACTTTAAACCCAAAAACAGGAGCGAACAACTAAAAAAACTAATTGGATGGGACTTCCGAAGCGCCAAACGACGACCTCCAACAAGAAAAACCGTGTTCCGAGATTAGGAATAAAGCCGATTCGGAGGTTTATAAACCAAGACACGCTCTGATTTGGATGTCCTCGATTCGGAGGGAGCGATCAAAATAAAAGACTGATAGTATCGGGGCTAAGGCTATTAATTAGCGTTCGATTTGAGCTGATCTTTAACAAATTTTAGGTCAAGAAAACCTAAAGTCAGGCAATGTATTCTGAAATACGGTCAGATCCAGGTCCCAATATTCGAAATAGCTTTTCTCAGACCAAGCCAGGCAATCTTTATTTTATTTACTCGACGCCCATAATAAATTCCGCGCGCCCTTGGTTCAAGAATTACCGCCAAACTAATAAACAAGTTCTCTGGCAAGAAAAGGAATACCATGGAGAGGCTTAATTCGAGCTGCAATGCATTTTAAATATCCCTTCGAAACGCTTCTTTTTTTGGGAACCCTTCAAAGACGATTACGCAACGGTTACGGTAATTAAATCGAGAAAGAATTGACCGACTACAACAACAGGATCAGATATAATATAAATAATAATAGAAACAGAAAAAGAAATTTGACGGTCTCGTTAATAGAGCCGAGGCCCAGTTCAAGAGGTTTAGAGAGCAATTGGGCGTGTTTTGGGAGGGAAGCAAAACAATCGGAACCGCGCAAGAATTCCCAAATTCAGACGAACGCAGGTGCGGTAATTGTCCACTCCAAGACGCCCTTCACTGTCTACATATATGGGTTTTATATGAAAATTACTCGGCGAGGAAAGGGAAGCCGGCTGGTTTCTGTGCTGAAGAAGAGATTGTAAGACAATATTGGTTATGATGACTATAGAAAAATAAAAAAAAAAAGATTGGACTGGAGATATTTGATGATAAATAAAGATCTAAAAAGCATCCCCTGTAGGCAATTAACTGTAATGAATATTATGATGAGCTCCAAATCGGAACACACTAAAATTGAAAAACGATGACAAACTCGGTTTCGGATATCCATTTTCTGGTTTCGAACCCTGATTGGACACGCCCGATTAAACACAAACCGTTTGTTTCACACACTCGCTAAAAGCACCCTCGGATTTATACTATAACGTCTGAAAAACAGTACAAATCAGAATAGTAATCGCGTAATTTGACAACTTAAATACTCATTAAATGGGGACGGTATGGGGCTGTTAAATTGACTATTAAACTTGATCCGCGCATGTTTTAACCTGGATGGATGGCGCCTTTAAAAAGGATGACCTTTGACGATATTGTAAACTTTAGAGGGGCTGTAAAGCGGATTCAAATAAGACCTAAGGGCATAAATGTTTGGAAACCGGGATTAAGCAGAACGGAAAACAAGAATTCGCTGCGGGAGATCTCTATACTGTCATGGGCATAAAAACAGCGAGCTATCAAAGTTGCGAACTTTTTTCGAACATTTATGAGTCAAGCTAACCTCTTTAAACAGTAGTCTTATGCCCCTTTCTAAGATCTTAAGTGGCCGTTTAATCGAGGCTTTAGATCGAACAAATGGCCCCATTTCTGGCAGATTGATGATGACTGGCCATAAAGTTTCTGAATTGGAACAAGGCTACTTTCTAAGGCCTTTATGTTCTCACAAGGTTAGAGGATCAGAACCGGAAAGTGTCCCAGAAAAGGCGGGGATTCTCGCGGCTTCTGAAGAGAGCCTTCAGAAGGCCTTCCGGTCCCTCGTCAGCGACATTATGTCTTTTTAACTGGACAATCCAATTTCCTTTTATATTCCCCGACTTATGATTTTATTTCAAAAAACTTGCCAAGAACCGGAAATTACACTTGGGCCATGAGGGCAAAACATGCTTCACGCCATTTTTTTAATAAAATGTTTTGTCCAAGAAAGGAGGGTCCAAGTATGGAAGAGGTTTGGAATTTTGGAAATCTGGGAATTTTGACCGGAAAGAATTAAATTAGAAAAAGCTGCGGGAGATCCACAGAAGTCACGAAGGGAAACCCCATTCAAATTTATGGATGACCTGTATCTTTGATTTTATTCAAGTAATAATAAATAAGTAAAGGAAATGTGATTCATTCCCTTGTGCCAAAGGCATCACTCCAAGTTGAGGGCTTCCAGTCGTCCATGGGCATGTAATCCGGATGCTGAATTTGATAGGCAATTCTGTTTACATCGTAGAAGAATCTTTTGTAAGTATACTCCTCAAATAATCTCTCAAAATGGAACTGATCCCAGGGATTGTATTTGGTCTCAGCAATCGCCAGCGAGATAATCGAAAGAAGCACTGCCAGGAGGAGTACGAGTCTCATTGCAGCACTAAAATTACAGTTTTAGAAGCAATAGAGGCATTAATGTTGAGACAAGTTCAGCTTTAGAGGCTTGACTTACCCAGACGGAGGAAGAGTAATAAAATGGCATCGAACTTCAAGAACATCCGCGCGAGATCTCACGTCATAGTGATTACAAATCCCTCGCAAGTTTGAGCTCTCAATGAAACGGGATTCGAATCTTGATTACGCAATCCTACACAACTTTTATTATTTTATTTACATTAGACGTATAAAAAAGTTTTATCATGAACTACAGTTCGCTCCTGATCTTGTGACTCCTTTTGTGCTTTCCCCGGATAATATCAAACTCGTAATCATTGCTGAGTTCACTCCAGAACTCGAATTCCCTTCCAAATAAGTTGTTTTTCACTATTGCTTCAGATGAAAGTTCTGTGTAAACCAGTGGATGTTCTTTGTCGACCTTTACAAAATTTGGATTTTCTTCACTTTTGGGCGATCTAAACGTTGTTTTAGAAAATACGAATAGAATATTGAACTTACCCAGTCTTCACAAAGTTAATTACTGAGTCAATTAATAGTTTTTTGTACTTTAGATCGTCCTCCGTAAATTCATGTGGGCCTAAAAATCCAGCGCCGAATAAATAATAATATTCGAAGGAATGAGTGGCATTCAACAGTTCCACTTGGAGAGTATTGACCTCCAGGTAATCGTTGTGGACTGTCAAAATGTGATAAACGTCCCAATCTTTGGCCATCCGTTTTTTTAATTCTGATAGCTGGGGAATCACAAACATTACATCTCCGAGGACCTAAAGTAAATTATATTATTCGAAAGAAAAGTTACCTTTCCATATAAGTCCAAGTAATAATGTTTCTTCCCGTCTTTTTTGTCCAGGTCCATATAAAAGTCGATGATTTTCTTGGCAACTTCTTCATGTTTCTCCCCAAAAACTTTCCGTGGCGCAATTACATTACTAATAAAGCCTTCAAAATCTTTTTTTGAAAATTTTTCTTTTTGTTCTTTTGTCAGCGAATGATGGAAGATCTCGACTTCATTTGTAAAGTAGATTGCTAAAAATAAATTTTGCTTCTTTAAAAAAAGACGCTATAATAAATATTATGGTGAACTTACTGAAAAGAAGACCTTCGTGCTCAGTTAATGACATCAGAGAATTCTTGGGTTTTGCGGAATCCAAGAGCTCAGCCACATCGGCAGGGAAAAAGTCACCGTCGATTTTGGGGGTGTAATCAAAACTGTTAATTTCCCCTTCAGCATCATGCTAAAACAAGGAAAATATAATGCTGCTGGGAAAATAAAACTAACTTAAATTACTTTACTTACAGCTTGAGCAGTCGCATCTTCCAATTCCTCTGCAGTTTTTGACTTTAAACATTTTTTAACCTCCCCTCCATCACACCCCAACAGTTTGATCACTCTTTCTGTATGAATAACCCCTCGATTACTAAATGCCCATTCCGAAAAAATGGAGCCACTGAATTGAATGCTTTGAAGAAACAGATCTCGAGTGTGCGGAGAGATGGTCAAGGCACTTGTGGCGGCTGAGCCAGCACTGTATCCACCTACGGTAACCCTTGTTGGATCCAGATATAAGGAGTCAGAGTTCTGATGGAGGAATTGTAGGGCCTTTTGGAGATCCCAAAGTCCGAGATTTCCCGGAAGATCCGCAGAATTTGTGGAGCCAAAGCCTGAACATTGTCTAGGAAATGTTTTCAAGACTCACCAGAAATACTGAGGCGGTATTGTGGGAAGATTAAAGTAATTCCTTGAGTTGCATAATGCTCGGCCGCGTATTCTGTGGTATGTTCTAGGGCAGAGCCGGCTTGGAAAGCGCCGCCATGGATGAAGAATAAAGAAGGGTACCCTTTGGGGTCCTGGAATCTCACAATCAAGATGAGAGATTAACTTTTGTTACCTTTTTGTGAGGTCTGAAGATGTTCAAATAAAGGCAATCTTCGCTCTTGTTGATCACTCTACCGTAATCCTGCTGGTAGCAAGCTGGAGGCAGAGATTTGGCGTATCTTTTTTCCAAAAAATCAGCATCAATGGGTTTCTAAAAAATAGGGATTTACTCGAATAAGATGCCTACTTCAAATCTGAGATCTCCAATCGGTGCTTTTGCAAAGGGTACCCCATAAAAGACGTCAACTTTCCCGGCTTCAAATTCCAAAGTAAATCCGACAAATTTGCCGATATTTGTCTGTAAAATTGGATCTTCGGAAGTCACCAAATTGACAGCAAAAGGTAGAATAAGCCAGTAAATCATGGAGTCTGAAACTTTATTCTATCAATAACAAGTTAACAAACAAATAACAGTTATTTATAAAGCTACGATGAAGAGAGTTGCCCTGAGATAGCATCCATCTTTTATCAATTTTTCTTCTCTTTACAACAACAAGGTAACTTTTGGTAAAAGTTTCCCTCGAAGTGCAGTCTCTTAGGCATCACTAAACAGCCAACCATGAGGAAGGTGAATTTGTTAAGCCATTAATCTCTTAAAAGTAGTTTTAAGAGTTTTCTTTTGCAATTTTTTACATACAGTCGAACAATGTGAACAACTTGTGATAGAATCGTGGGTTTTGGATCCATGTAGGAAAAAACAAAACGGTTCATGTGGAGATAAAAAAGTTTCAAAGTGAAAAACGTTTGCCAATTTCAAAGATTACAGGACATGATCTAGTTCTTATATGGGCGGTGATTTTTAAATTTCATCGCACAAATTCGTCCGAATCCTGCATATTTACAGTTAGTCCAAAGTTATTTAAAAGTTGCGCAATCTGACACAACGTTGCGCAATTTTTCTCTTTGTAAAAATTTCTGCCTTTCTCTGTCGCCTCCTCCTTCCCTTCTCCTTTTTTGTTAGTTTTTTATTTTGGACTAAATTCGCAGTTACTTGTGCGATAAAATTTAAAAGTAAAAATCATCGTCCACATATCCACATGTATACTAGTCCGTTCGTAAAGTCGCTGGAATGTTTTCGGCGACATGCACCCCGCGAAACCGAAAGTTCACTTTGCACTGTGCAATTTTTGGCTTTTTGCACAATGCAATAGGCTTTTTCGAGCTGTCGCTCGCACCCTGAGCTTTTTCGCACAGTGCACGTCGCCGAAATCATTCCAGCGACTTTACGAACGGGCTAGTATACACATTGGAACTTTCCATGCGAAGTTTAAAGCTGAAATGTCTCTCGTAAAAAAGGTAAACGAAAATAAATAGTTTAATAAATTAAGATGTATGTATATACAGACAAACAGTATGTGTTATCAATGCTTTTTGAGTAGACTCAAGTACGATTGTTGTTTGGTCCAATGCTGCAGTTCCTTGGGATCCCTGACTCGATGCTCCGATTTGATAATCCAAAACGAATCTTCTACTTTGTCCTGCAAACGAATCCTTGTTATAAATGAGAAACTTACAGCAGAAGCCATCACTTGTTCGAAATAAAGATGGGTTTTATTGAAGACCTGCATCCTGCTGAACCCATAATGACTTGATCTGAAGGCACTCCAAGGTGCAATTGGATCCGCGAAATGATTTGTTTTCCCCTGACAACCAGCCGAGCCGGTCACAATATGAACAGGGGCTGGAGGGTCAACGTACGGACCTTCGGTTCCATTGTAAACCTTTAAAATAAAGTTGTTGCAATGAATTTTATCCATTGCTTACAGTAAAGTTAAACAGAGGCCAATGTCTCTCGTAATTATGTTCATGAGCTCCGATTATGAGGTCGACTCCGTACTCGTAGAAGAGGCTCTCCAATCCGAAGGTACTGTACTCATCGATCCCTTCTCTCATTTTCTTTTCAACCCTCGTACAATCACCTTCCACGTCACTACAATACATGGAGCGATGGCCATAAACAATGATCCAGGGGACATTCTCTCTGTTTTTATTGGCCTCCTATAAATACAGTTTTTTAAATAATTGCAATTGTTACCTTCAAATCATCCCTCAACCACTCATATTGTCTTTGTATATGACTCTTGTCATAAAATTGGTTCGCGTAATATATCTCGGATGAGTATGCAATATAATGTGCGTCTCCCAAATCGAAACTAAAGCACGTTTCGATTATTATTCATCAACTTACCTGTAGTACAGGTTGTGATCGCTTCCAGGCATCGTGAATCTGTTAATGTAGTGACTAAAGTTGTATCTTTTTTCATGGTTCCCCGGGCTGACCATATATGGTAAATAAGCGGCCATTGGCTCTATTTGTCGCATAAATTCATCTCCGAATTTCCCATTGTCGTCATCCATATTGTATGCCAAGTCACCTAAAATGTGATAAATAATAAGGAAACAATGAGTTTGTAAGTTTATAAAGATTACTGTATTCTTACCATTGTGGATGACCAAGTCGAACTCCCTGTCTTGAGCTTGTCTCTGGAGTTTCCCCAAACTCCTTGCATTGATGTTCCCCAAATCTCCGTATACGGCCACTTTAAATCCCCCCTCCGCTCGTTGTTTCAGTCCCACGAAAGAGTAGAGACTGCTCCATCCGAAGTCACTGCCCACTCGGTAGACTGTAATCAAGCAATTGTTATCAGTAGTCCTTCTTACAGTATCTTTTTCCAGGTTGGATGCCTTTAATAACGGCCCTGTGAATATATCTAGCTGTTTTCTTTTTTCCTCCATCCACAAATCTGGAAATCTCTGAGGTTGCATTAAACCGCATGATCAGATCATCTCCAAATTGGACTTGCGAAGATTGGGTGTCATCAAAAGTGAGCCAAGTCACTAAGTAAGTTGAGGGATGACCTGAATGAGGACATGGTCACATTAATAAATGTTAATCGGGGTTACCTCCATACGAGAGATGGATCTGCTCGGGCTGTCCCAGAAACGGCGCTCGATGATCCGAATCCTTTTTCTTCCAAGAAATAAACCTGTCTGCCCTGAGGGCATCCCTTGTAGCGCTCACACAAAAGGCCGAGAGAACAAACAAGATCAGCTGCATGTTGCTGAAACGATAATTTTTCTGCTCACGTTTATATAGTTGTGTCCTGAGGGCACGGTTTCAGTTCCCAAAATTTATTTGTCCAAGACAATGCGATCAATTTCCTGCCCTCTGGCGTTGCACGGCGATAAGGTTACAGAACGATAAGCACATTGGGGATCTCTCGACGTGACTTAAACAGTGTTACAGGGGGCGAATCGGAGTTTGAGTGACCTCAATTCTGATAAGAAAACGGAAACCCCCATTCATTTCGAATACACACAAAGGATCCAAATCAGACGGCACAGAGTATTTAATAAAACAATTAATTTTAGGGGACAAAACCTGCACCGAATCAGCGGAGGTCACAAAAACTCCAGCATATTTCATTTCCGTTCTGCAAAATTGATAAGGACGGATGAATTGAACAGGAATTCAAAGCTATGGTAGCTATAATTGGGGTCGTGAAGACTGTCGATAAAAGACTCGACAGTGTAGTTGCATTATCTTTTAATTCAGCTGAATCAAGATACAGTAGTCGCCTTAAAAATTTGCATCAGAATTATTAAGCGTCAAATTCGTCAGAAAGAAACATTTTTTTGCGTTGTGTACCCCAACACCGACGTTTTACGTGAATACCACTTATATGCCTAGAGGAATCACGATACAAAGTACTACGCAAAACCGACAGAAATTTACAGCATCGAAATTAATGGGTCTGCGTCAAGATTTTCCGGAATTTGGACATTTCCGGAATGGCCAAAAAGTGACACTTCCGGAACCGGGGAAAAATCAAATGTAAGGCTTAGACCTGTCATCTGAACCATCTGAATAGATTGACCGTTATTAACTTCGGGTGTTTTTCTGGTTGTTACTTTTTTCTTATGTAGTAATGTTAAAAAGTAATTTTTTGAAAATTTTCTAAAAATACTGGATTTAGGGGTTTTCGAGGTTGCTGATTTCGAAAATCATGTTCATTTTTTGTGCCCTTTACTAGCTCGCGATCTAAGTCGTGACCGAGGTCAAGGACGTTGCCAAAAATTACCCGAAAATGGTTTCAATGCTTGACTAATATGATGGTCAAGAAACTTTCCTAGGGCAGGTCGTCACCAAGCTCGCGAGCTTAAAAATTACTTTTTAACATTACTACCTAAGAAAAAAGTAACAACAAGAAAAAACCCCAAAGTTAATAACGGTCAATCTATTCAGATGGTTCAGATGACGGACCTAAGCCTTATCTTTGATTTTTCCCCGGTTCCGGAAGTGTCCAAATTCCGGAAATTCGGCACAGCGCCCCTAAACGCGACCTTTGGAGTGGTATTTAATTCTTTATTAATCATATACTACACTACACACATATTATGACATAAATGAACTGCATTATGTATACCCGTAAACTACAAAAATCACCGTTGAATTTAAAAAATCTCTGATAATGTGATCAAACAATGAGATGCCCTTGGGGAGTGACGCGAATGGCCGTGGTGATAACAAACGCAATGAAGGGGAAGATGGCTGTGAAGATAAATGCCCAATTGTAACCGATTACACCCAGCAAATATTGACATCCTATGGCCAAAAAAATTCCACTGCAAGTCTAAAATAAAAGAATCGGAAGATCACACAGATTCCGGGGGAATTTACCGTGGAAAAGATGAGAAATCCGTAGTTAATAGTCTTGTATTTGGTGCCGAAACATCTGACCGCAGCCGTAATAAAAAGAGCGTGAGTGGCAGCCAGACAAACAAACATCCCGGTCAGCTAAAATACGATAATAAATAGCAATTTTTAAAAAATTTTAAAGTGGGAAAGTCACAATGTTATACTTACCCATAAAAGATAAACGAATTTCCCAAAGTAGGCAGTCAATGGCATTGTCAAGAGTAAGATGGTCGCTGAGAACGTGGCTATAGAAAGGGATATCTGAAAGCTCGTCTTGTCCGTCAACAGTCCCCATCCAACTCTGGCAATCGCGTTGGCCGTACTCCCGATGCTGAAGGCTGTCGCGAAAAAGAAATCATCTTCGATAAAAGTTTCGCCAAAAGTTTTGTAGAGATTGTAAAAAAAGTTGCCATAAAAGGAGCAGCAAAAGAGAGCGACGAATAACCAGTGGAAGGTGGAGGACTTGAGCATCTCTTCCGGAGTCATGGACTGAGCCTCAGGGCGGATATTCAGATCCTCATCGGAATCTGAATCCGCGATTTCGACTTCGTGATCGGGCTGTAATAAAATTGCTTAAGTTAATGGAATACTTAATAAAACAAAGAAAATGTACCGATAAGAAGACCATCCCCACAAGACGACAGCTCTACCCAATCAATCACATACCCTCTGGCGTGTTGGAGAATCAAACTCGACCGAATCCCTCTTCACCGGCAACTTTACGTAGCCGTATCGGTTAAAACTGACCTTGTTCTGACCCATGAAATGGCTCCTTTTCTTGGACAACCAGGCCATATCGATCAATGCAGAGTGGTCCAGATGTTTTCGGACGAACTAGAAAGAAATATCATCATCAAAACATAAGATGGCGTCAGTAATCAAGCACAACAATTACATCAGCAGGTGGGTCACACACAACGATTAGTCCGAGAATCTGCATGATTGCATAGACAATGGAAAGCTGAAGAAAAGTCTCAGGAACTCGCTCCAACATGCTTGTTTCATTGAAGTAACTATAATGGTAAGTTAAAAGTTGCAGTAATTTCATTAAAAATTACAGTAACTTACCCCTCCTTGGAAGCTGCGTGGTTTTCCGGATTGATCATTCTGGTCTGAATTGGTGCAAAGATACTGGAACTAATCCCGAATCCAGCTGCAACAATCCCCGAGCCCAGTCCAACCATATGAGGGGCCCAATTGATGACACAACTGACAGCCACGACATACGCAATTCCTTGGCCCAGACCAAACATGAAGCCATAAGTAAAGAGGAAAGAATAAAACGACATTCGGATCGTCCAATACGATAAGAAAACGCCCCCACTAAAAAATGTTCAACTTGAATTTTACTTTAACTAACCTCATTAAAGCACAACCCAGTCCAGCAGCCAGCCTGGGACCCAACCGTGCTGACAAAAAGCCTCCAATAACCATGGCAAAAGGAAAACATCCCTGGAAAGTGGGGATCCAGACCAACTTCTCCAGGGTCACACTACTGTCTGCATACTTCCTCATGTAACTTGCCATATAAGGTAACATATTCCCGAAAGTATGATAAGTACCCAATGATAAATGAATCAAAACAGCTCCAGTTATAACAACCGTAGTCCGTTGTTGTTGCGAGAGTTTGGTCAATCGGACAGCGATTGGATCCATGATGAATATTCGAAGCCAGGATGGAGAAGGAGGGGTTTATATTCGAATACTTTGAAGAGAGTAAGAGTAGTTTGAAGAATAATTAATAGAGAAGAGAGGAAAGGGAAGCCGTTGACCAAATCTGAGTCAAGGCATGAATCTTCCCTTGATTTCACGTGTTTCTAAGTCCAAAATCTGCAAAAAAGCTCGAAAAAATAGTTTCAAATCCACATTTTTCCCTTGGATTCTTTCAAAAAAACGACGCAAAAACCCTGAGGGCAGGAAAGAGAGCAGGGGGAGGGGAGACCGCGCGAATCGATATAAAAAGAGAAAAGAAATAAACGCAATTCGAATTTGCCAAATGCCCGACCTTGCAGGGGACATACATTTATATAAGGATATATTGGGGCAATCAAGGTCATAATTCGTTTAAAAATGGAAATTGTTTGGGGAATTGCATAAAGGGATGAAGCGACAACCACAAGAGGAGGAAGTCGTTACTGCAAACCCACCTTTTCTTCTTTTAAATCAGACTTCTGAACTTTACAATTACTGGTGGTTCCATTTAAAAATTTTTTTTTCTAATTTCGCTTACTAACAACAAGAAGTGATGTTTGAACTCGGAAATGACATATTACGGCGCGGAAAATACTATTCACTCGATAACAATATAAATAAACAACCTTTTAATAGCATTTGTTGATGAGATCAGGGTGAACAAAGAGAAATATCAGATATTATTGTTGGCCAGTTTTTTCAATTTAATTTCCATGAGATCTGCTTCGTATTTGGCCAGTCTGACTTGATGCTCGGCCTTTTGATTGAGGATTCTTTGATGTTCCAGTTGGAGATCCATCAATTCGAGTTTCTTCGAGTTAATTTGTTCATCGAATAAGATCCATTCAGCTGATCTCTAAAGAAATTTCATTTCATTTTGATCTCTGGACCATACCTTGATCCCAATTCGATTGTCATCCCCATTTATTGACTCTTCATTATATTGGGGATCCCCATCCGAGTTCCGATCTCCATTTAATTGAGCATTCTCGGCCGTATTTAACAGTTCGTACAACTGAAATGTATAATTTAATGCGCAACGTATGTTTTCTATTCGTCAAAAAAATGTGTTTTGCGATCCTTGCAAAGCTGTCAAAAGAGGGAGATACGATGTGTAATGTACACAGAAAACCGACCCTGTCCATTCCATCTTGAGTTTCGTTTACGGAAACCGTGGCCATCGCTCCATTGTCCTGATATGAGGCCACGGAAGAGGTCTCTTCCTTCGAATTGGTCTTCCGATTTCGATAGAACTAAAATGCACAGAATACAAAACCATGTAATCTAAAATAATGTTACCTTATATTCGGTCTCCTCCAGAAAGTCCAATTTGGTGCAGAATTGGTAACCGGTCTCGGAATTCTTGGAAGTGCAGGGATTCCCGCAACTTGGCTTGTGCCGATAATACATGGTCTTGACCGTGTTCCATTTCTGCTTCACTCGCTCGGCTAAAAGTAATCTGATTAGCCAAAGAGGCCCAAATTGATGACTTCACTACGAAACAAAACAATTGAGTCATCCAAAAACATCATGCTTGTCCAAAAAAGAAGTCATCATGTCAAAAAAATGAAGAAAAACGCACCGGAGATGTCTTTGTAACCAAGTCCAGTGAGCTCCCGAGCGACTGCCAGATATGCCTGATGTTTCTTGATCAGATGTCTGAAGAATTTGTGACCCGGTTTGTAGATAATCTCTTCCTTCCTGACTGCCTCGATCAGATCCCGAACAAAGTGTTCATTTCCAGTCACACTACTCTTCTCGCCATTCTCTTTAGAAGATTCGGCCATGTACCTGAACAGTATAGTCATCATTTTGTTCATCTTTGCAAATGCAATAAAAATTTCGAACAAAATAAATATCTGTACAACATAACCGATGCGCCTATAAGTTTTAGAGCTTGGAATTCTCTTTTTGAATGCCTTCTGCCAACCAAAAAAGACCCCAAACCCCATCAAATCCCAACGCCGAATGTGCAAGTGGAGCTGGCAGAGAACTCAACGTGCTCGGCCGTGCCTAATAAGGCGGTCTCTCATAATTAATAAGGGCCGGAACCCGCGAAACGATGAAGATATCATATTCGGAACCGCAAAGCCTCGGGGCCTGGCTCCGCTCATTGCAGCCCTCGCCAACGCCCGGCCCCAAGTCCCTTTCAACGGCTTCCCCCCGCTTTCGAAGAGAAACAAGAAGGCGGGTTATGTACTATGTTTAAAGAGAAGGCGACCTTGCTCTTGCCAGCCTTCATCATCATGGCTGGCCCTCCACAAAAACTCCGCATTCAAGGCTGTATTTGGCGCTATAACTTTATGGTTATGGAGTGGATGGGCCGGTTACAAGCCCGAGGGCCTCGCTTGCATGTTATAGTGGCTTATAATTGGCATGGCATGAGACAGTCATAAGTATGAACCAGAACGTGATTTAAGATAGCACGACATGTAACTTGACAAGAAGACAACAGAAATACAAGGTGAAAGTTAATTTATTGTCCTCAAATAGAATAAATACAGCCTCCATTCCGCCTTCCAAGCTCATTCCAACGCCGTCTCAATTGAAAAGAGTCTCTTGTCGGCCTTTGGGAACAAATTGGCCTGGTTTATGTTGAGCGGCTGGATGGTTGGCTAGTTCTGGAGGACATGTTGACCCAGGAGATTCCATTAGCACTTGTTTTAGATCGTAAAATACATCTTGGTCATCTTGAGTCACAAAGGTTATGGCTCGGCCGCTTTTACCGGCACGACCTGAAAAGCAAAGTTACCGTATAACTGAGTTCAAAGTAATGCCTAGTTTACATCATTTTACTTGCCTGTCCTTCCAATCCTATGTGTATATTCTTCGATAGTCTTGGCCATATCGTAATTGAGGACTAAACTGACATCTTTAATATCGATACCACGCCCAGCCACATTTGTTGCCACCAATATATTCTTAGAGCCGTCCTTTAAGGCCTGGAGGGCGAACTCTCTCAATTCTTGATTCTTTCCACCATGAAGAACGACTGGATTGAATCCGACTTGGGTTAAGCCCTTGGCCAACATATCCGCGCCCTTCTTTTGATTAACGAAAATAATGACCGGAGGGTCATAACGTCTGAAATGGGCCTCCAAGACTTCGACGAGCTTCTTCCTCTTTGCTTCTTCTGGTATCATGTACACGATCTGTTCAATCCTTTCTGTTGGTTTACCCGCAGATCCAATATAAACAATCGCAGGTCTTCGAAGATACTGTCGAGCCAATCTTTCCACATCAGAACTCATCGTAGCTGTGAACATGACTGTTTGTCTGTACTTATTCTTCTTGAAAAAATCTTCTTTCAGCATTTCCGAATTTTCAGCTTCATCCGTATCCGGCTTCAGATTGGTTACGGGGATAAACTCGAGGATCTTCTTCACATCATCTTCAAATCCCATGTCCAACATACGATCAGCTTCATCCATAATCAGATAGGAGCACTGATTTAACCCAATATATCTATTCTCCAGAACATCTAACAATCGACCCGGTGTAGCAATCACAACATCCACGCCCATTCTCATCTTGATGGCCTGCTCTTCCTTATTGGTACCTCCAATCACGCAGACTGTCCTCAATTTGAGTTGATCTCCAAATTTCCGGGCTTCTTCTTCAATTTGAAGAGCTAGCTCTCTTGTTGGTGCCAGAATCACAGCATACGGCCCACTATCAAAATCATCGACATCCATGGTCAGACGATTGGGATCTGTGGTTTCATTCTTGCTGACTTGAGTGATCCACACCAACAGGGGAATCAAGAAGGCCGCAGTTTTACCCGAACCAGTCTCGGCTACTCCAATAATGTCACGATTCTGAAGACCAATTGGGATTGCCTGTTTTTGAATGGGCGTGGGCTCCTGAAAAAAATATAATAATAAAATAACATAACACAATGTAAAAAATCAAACGGGGATTCTTACCGTATACCCTATTTTCTTGATAACATCTAAGACTTCTTTCGGCAAGCCAGCTTCTTCCCAATTTCTGATGGGCTTCGTGATATTACCTCCCTTTATAGTAATATTAAAGTCCTCTCTGAAGATACGCCAATCCCTGTCTTGCATTTCGGCCAATGGTTTTGTGGTCCAATGTCTGTTGTCATGGTCCTCTTTCTTCTGCTTTCTACGCTCAAGTTCTAATCTAAAAAATGCAAGAGTAAAATTAAGGGTAATATAATGAATAACAAACCTGTGTTCTTCCTGTTCTTTCTGCCCATCAGTCCGTCGCTGATCCATAATCGTCTGATAAAACTCGGATTTCTGTTTCTTCTGGGCATTAACGTCGACTCCTGCAATAGATCCTCGACCAAAGAATTGGACTTCATGTCTTTCTTGATATAATTTATCATAATCAACTGAAGTATCTTCGGAGTTATCCCATTCAAACACAAATTTCCTTTCATGGAGTCTCCTGCCTCTCTTTTTCTTCTCTTTTTGAGCTCCTAAACACTCTCATATAAAACTAAAAGCATTTCCTTACCTAAATACCTGCTTCTGATTGCCTCTTGCTGCTTCTTTGGGTCAATTACAAGATCATCGGTCTTCTCTTCCTTATCCTTACGCTTTTTTTCATCTCTGTCTTTACTTCGGTCCCTTCTACGGTCTCGGTCCCTCTCTCTGTCTCTAGGACTTCTGGATCTTCGATCCCTTTCTCTCTCCCTATCTCTACTTCTTGATCTTCTTTCCCGACTTCTAGATCTTCTCCTTCGATCACGATCCCGGTCTCTGTGCCGTCGATCATCTTTATCTTTACCTAAACAGGTCTACTACAATAAAAGGATAAACTTACACCTTTCGGCTTCTTCTTCAAACTTCTTCCTTTTTTCCTCCGTCTCTTTCAGCAGTTGTTTCTTCTTTTCCACCTCTTCTTGTCTTCGCTTCAATGCCAAGGCTTCTCGTTCGGCCTTGGTTAAGAACTTTGGCTAAAAAATTCATTAAACAGTACAGTACGCCACAACATACCTTAGACTCTTCTTCCTCCAACTTCTTCTTTTTAGCTAGAAGCTCCTCCAGACTGAGAGGTTCTGCTTTTGCCATCCCAACGTAAACCTGTTACTTCAACAGTAAAATAAACTTTAACAACACCAATCCAGATTAGATATCTGTAGAATATCTCGAAAACTTTTTAGAAAATTCTTTCAAAATTATTTTACGCACCCTGCGCCCTTGACTTTTTGCATTTGAGTCATTTTATACGACGAATTGTGTTTACAGTACACATTTTTATTTTATTTTTATTGTATGGCCAAACCTCCATGTTCCCGCCGGATGTTGTCCACCAGTTCTCCATAGGCTTCTCCTTTGGTCATTGATTGCAAACTGGATGTGGATCCTCCTCGGTTTCTCATATTCGGACGGGTAAGTAAATTCTTTTCATCTTCAACCTGCAGCACGTAAATTTTTATTGATTATGAAACGGATGTAATTTACCTTCTTAAACTCTCCCAGTAATATCTCATTGATCTCTTCGATCTTTTCCATCCGATTTCTGAGATCCGCAATGGTCTTAACGTCTTTCTAAAGCTACTTTAGTCATCTTATGCTTGTCTTACCTTCAGAGCCCCTTGATCGACCTTATTCTTCTCATAACTGTGACTTAACACCTTATATTTTCCTTGGAGATCTCCGTATTGCTGTTCTAATTGGTGGTGCTTGTCATTCAGAGCAGTGCATTCTTCTTCTTTCGCCACAAGATCGTTGTGCTGTTGACTATTCTCGACTTTAAGCTGAGTAATCTCCGCATTCAGGTGTGCTTTTGTCTCAGCATTGGTCTCTTGATACTGCAGAAGTTGTTCATTCTGTATTCTAACCATCTCTTCAAGCTGCCTTTCCTTTTCTTCTTTCACAGCTCGCAACTAACAATAAATTAATTTTAATGTTCTAGCTAATATAACTTACCTCCTCTTCATGCTCCTCTCTTAGTCCTTGTTCCATTTGAACGACTGCGAATTTATAATCAGCTTGAGCCTGGATTTTCGTGTTTTCGATCTCCGCAATCAGCTCAGCCAGTTGTTCATCATGTCCCTTCAAAAGATCGTTTACACTGCTCCTATCCCATTCAGATTCGGTTTGAATGGACACACTAATCTGTCCCGTGCAATCAGAATCTTGGCCAAAGGGGTCTGTTTGAGTGGCCATTTCTTTTTCCAGTTGAGTATTTAGTTGTAACATGCTGATTCTTTTATGTAGTAACTGTAATGTAATCCTGTTTATCCACAAAACGTACAGAAACAGTCTCTACGTGGACAGATTGGATTTTCTGCATTTTGGCCTCCAACTCCACATTCTTCCTCTCCAACATCTGCAGTTGTTGTTGGCTTAACAACCAGAATTGACTTAGTTTTTCGACCTCCAACTCCTTCTCCTGATAATTCTTCTTGATCATTTCATTCTCTTTCGTTAACTTTTCTTCTGATGCTTTCGCCTTGAAGATTATGTGGTTATGCAGTCATGTCAACTTACTTTTTCAACGGATACATGCAACTCGTCGATCGTTTTGTTAAGCTCGGTCTCCTTCTTGGCCATGAGTTTCCTTTCCTGGGCAATGGGATCATTTTTGGAAGCCTTAAACGGTCCAATCTTGATACAAACAGTTCCTTACCCTTTCTCTGTTCCTTGACATGTCATACTTTTGACGGACCCTAGAATTCTCGACCTTTCCCCTCTCCATTTTTATGGCCATTTGACGAGGAGACAGAAAAAACTGGACTTCAGGGGAAGTCAAGTGTAAAATCAAAGGGAATTATGAGGGTTTCGAGATTTTTTATTATTCTAAGCTGAGATTTTACAGAAAACAATCAGAATATTTAATCAGATTCAAAGGACTCAGGAGCTCGGAATAATTAGCTGGAAACCAAGGTGTAGATCATCCTGAAATCGAACAATTAAATCTTTGTGGAGAGAAATTGACTTACGCATAAAGATAATAGAAGAATGAGATTAAATAAAAACCGAGTTTGATCCATCCTTCTCGGTTGGCCTTCTTCAATTCATCGTTATTCAGAATGGTGGTCGGATCATAAATTCCTGGCTCCCTCATGATCGGGCGATTGATGTAACTAAAGGAAAAATGATTTTTTACAACCTAACTTACCGATAGATGTGGTATCCAACCAATGGTAGATTCCAGACGATGGCAAATAATTGGACAGAACAAATAAAAAGGAAGGTGAAGACCATCTGGATGACATACTCGGGAAGGATAAGTTTGTTCAAGTTGTCACATTGGCTTATCGGATTTTTGTAGTCTGTTTTAAGTTCATCGATACAAATTACCTAAATTTCAACTTCATGTTTCATTGTAATTAACTTACTGTGTAGATGGCGAAGAATATGCAAAACGACACGGCGATCAGAGCGATTAGGTAACAAAGGGCAACGAACCCGAAACCCATATCTAAAAACAAACCTTAACACGTATCAATGAGTAATACACCGACAAATGTGTCCGTACAGTGAAAATAAAAGCCGCAAAACAAAAGTAAAGCAAAATGACCAACTATAAGATCAGAGATCCGTTTTTAACGTCGTGCGGATGGCGGACTAAACACCTCATAGAAGTTATTCGCTCTATCTTTGATTGGAACCTTCGAACTTCCGATCTCTTCTTCGGAAAAATAAAAACTATGTATAAACGAAATGCCAAGATCTTTTGGCAAACAATGACGTGCCGAGAGTCGATGTCAAGGTTTATTTGAATATAAGAATAGAAGTAGTGTTGCTATGACTGCAAGAAAGGACTTTCTTGAGGTCCTCGAACCACTTATGACGCAGACAACAGGTGTTGCTTGGTCCTGGTCCAACCTTTTATATGAATCAATCTCATCAAAAATCATGTCGGTCCCGTTTGGGACGTTGCAATTATCCGCAAAACAAGTATCACAACGACCTCTGCCGAGTACAGCGTTGCAGAATTCGATCTCTTTGGAGCATGCTAAGTCTGAATCACTCGCGGTACAAAATCTGAGCACAAAAAGAGCTGAAAATATATTATCCTTTATAAAAAGGTAAAAATTAATGACTAAGACTGAGGATGAATTATACACATCAAGGAAGGGATTGTTAAGTTTATTTATCGATTACAAAGATCTCCATCACAACGTCCACATTTCCCTTTTCCTCCGCTGAATTGGCAGATCCTAGGCCCAGCAATGCATCCAATGTTCTTTCGGGCACAGGTTCGGAGAGTAAAGGGAGCTGCACAGCAAAGCGTTAGGGCTAAAAAATCACTTACACTTCCCTCCTTCGCATGTGAAAGTCTGACAAGCGTAGTCCAAGTCCAATCCTCCACTTGAACATTGTTTTTCCGCGTATCTCTGGTTCTGTCCTGAGTAACATTTTTTGGCGGCGTTTACTGAAATTAACCCGGAAATAAATAGAAGTCTGACGGATCAAAAAGGACTGCAAGCGAAAACAAAAATAAACAATGATGTCTGACATGAAGTCACCAGAGGACCAAAGATTACTGTAGTTCTAAATTGCTTTTTTATGCAATTAACAAGGTGACTTTTTTTAACTTACTTTGTTGTACAATTAATAAGGCTAATAGGAGAACAAAAGGTCTGATCATTTCCTCTAAATTAAAACAGTAAAGCCGTAGAGAGTAAAGTAAACAAACACATGAGCGCGCCAATTTTATTTTCCGACGAACTTTTTTTTGATCTTATCATTTATTTCAAAGTTCAGAAACCTTGTTTTTCTCGATAAAAGGTAATATCAGTGAGGGCACAGACTTGATCTAGACAATACGTTTGGTCCATTTGAATACAAGAAAGGCTAGGAATACAGTAAAATGAAATGGCAGTTCTACTTCATGTTGTAGTAGAGATCTGACCTCCGAACTGAGCCTTTATTCAGTTCCGATTTGATACGAGATATAAAAATATTTGATATGAAAGAGAGATGAATCATTTTTTGGGGGGAGTCTGATGATCGGCGGGGGGCTGAGAGTCTTGCGCGTTCACTCGAGATGCCCCCAGGGCCCCGGCCGCAGCACAGGCCAGGCAACAGATGACGCAGACCATAATGAGGAGTACTATGACTATCACTAGCAAACTGGTACCACCTCCATCTCCTAAACGATTAGTATAAATGGGGAATTACAGTCGGGAAAAACTATTTTGTACCAAGAAACAGCTATAGAGATAATTCTTTAGTACTACCCCTCAAAATGGACCCGCTGGGTCAAATGATTCCCTACTGACCATTGAGTTCAGCAATGACATTCTTTCCGTTCGGTTAATTCTTAGCTTCGAGAAAAGTATCATTTTGGCTCCAAAAAATGAGCTTGCGGCGTTCACTAACTTGAAGGAGTAGTTATGGAGTAGTTTTCTTGAGGAGTCAGCCTTGAGAATTACTTTAACATTTGAAAGCAAAGAATCGAAATTTTCTGCCCCTAGAACAAGGCGGCCATAAAGAAGATTTCTAAAATCTTTGCGGATATCATTAATGTCGGGCCATAAGGTTTGAATGAATAGTTTAATTTGAGGAGAAGAATCTTCTCCGTGAATCAACGTTCCTTTGTAATCTTTAGGAATATATGATTGTTTGCTCAACGTTCCTCTCCTTTAAGCCCTTTTCAATTTGCAAACACATGTCACGGTTTTTGAAGCCATTTTTATAGGCTTGTAAAACACCGTTATTGACTTTATAGCAAAGTAGATCACTTACTGAGCCATCCGATGACACTATTCCAAGATAACACACATTCTTCGCATAGCTGAAATATCTGTTATCATCATTACCCTAATAGATGTTCGTACCGCATATCCAGGTGCTATTGGATAGACTGGAACAGGAGGACCAATTGAAGGCTGCGGGTAATATCCAGAAGGCTGGACATAATTATCTGGTCCAATTGGGGCTGGTTTATATGGATACGGAGGCTCCACGTAGTGTCCTTGTCCACCAGGCGCTTGCTGGTAAACGGATCTCTTAAACCTCACGCCGAAACAATTTGTAACAAAGATTGAGGTTAAGATTAGAATACAAATAAAACGACCCATTTGTCTGGAGACCTTTGTCCGAAAATGGGAGACTCGAGAATGGCCAGAGGGCATGAATCAGAAAACATAAGAAGAAGGTCATTTCTCGCCGAAAGAATAACACAAGAAAGTGTTGTAAGCTCTTCGAGACAGTACGAATATTCATTCCTCCTCAATCTTGTACAACATTGTCGGACAAGAAAAGCTAAGAAAAGACAGAATTTATTTAATTTATTGGTTTCGCTGCTTGCAATAAGATCTTTAATCTCGAATAACATCATGAGCAGTATACTCCACGGTATTTTCTGTCACTCTTCCTCCAGGTGTATAACTTGTTGGTGGATATGGTCCCGATATTTGTATTCGATGGGGCTCTACTTGAACTCGATGGTTCCTATTTCTTGATCTTATACACCAGATGCAAAGTCCGATCAGAAGAGCAAGAATCAAAATGGCGAGGGCTATGCTCGCCACCACTAGGATGATCCCCCAACCAGGTGCTGTATTTTTAAAAGTGATTACTTTTGTTTTAAATACTCACAGTTACTCCAGCAATCATCACATTTCTTATCACAGCATCCTTCAGAACATATCGTTTCGCAAATGCATCCCTAAATGAGTGCTTTAAGAGTACAAAACGAGGCATTCACATTTATTCGAAAATCCAGAAAATACGTTACAAGTACGAATACACAGACACAGAGATTCCGGGATGACGTATTTTCTGGACGTTCATCTTTAACCGACCTGGTCACCACATCCAATTGAATATGGCTGGATTGGGGATGGATATAGTGGAGGTGCGGGAGCGTACGTCGAGTTGGGTATGTATGGAGGAGCAGTTATATATGAGCCATTTGGAGGAATATAGGGAGCGTAAGTGGATGTCACATAAGGAGTAGCAGTTACGGGATAAAGATCCGGTGGAGATGTAATGGGGACCGGAGCTGGTGGAATGGGAATTGATGATGGGGGAGCGTATGGCGGGATATAGGGAGGGACTGCTGGATTATAGCCAGGAATAGGGGCTTGAGCTGGGTAATTTGTCTGATAAGGAGGTAATGTGGGGATAGGGTAAGGCCCCACCGGAGGGATGGGAAACGGAGGTGGAGCAACAGTAATGGGCTCGGGAGGGCCTGGCGGTTGATATGGAGGGATCGGTTGTGGAGGTCCGGGCCAGAAAGGAAATGGACCCGGAGGCGATGGATTTAGGGGATTTGGACTGGGAATCGGACTCGGTGGATTCGGCAATGGAGGCGCCACATAAGAATCTGGAGGAGGAATCGGGGGCTGATACGAAGGAGGCTGGATTTGATAAGAGCTTGGATAAGGTGGGTTAACATTACTCCCATCAATCGGATACGGTAGATTATTTCCGTCTATCCCTTGTCTCAAACGAAATTGAATCGGAATCCTGATCACGGCTTTATTACAGGTTGCAGATTCACATAAGCAAGGGCTAAAACAGTGACATTATAAATCCAAACCGAGATTACCCTGGATTTGACGGTATTGGATCATTGCATTCGCCTTGACATGATGGGCAACAACATAATTTGTGACAACAGGAGGAATATACAGTAAGAACATGGATGGCTAACAAAATTACACGAAGCCAGTACATGGCGGAGAAGAAGTGAGATAAAAAGAGACCTGAGACCAGATATAAAGGCCTGAGGGCGTCTCCTTTTGGTCTCGACCTTTTGTGTTTCGTACTCTTTTCCTTTCATCCAAGTCAGGTAAAGGAATTTGTTTCACAAAAAGTAATTCATAACAATAAGACAGGCTAATTTGATAAAACTGCTAATATGTTTGAGATATTATACAGTAAAAGACGAATGAACAAAAAAATTTATTCCTTCAATTCATCAGCTCCTTTCACAAAATTTGGAGGTTGAGTTTTATCATCCACAGGCTTCCTTGCCTCCATTTCAGTCCTCGGATTCTCACTTTCTGCTTGTCTCAGATCCAATCCAATGACTTGTAGGACCGGTTTTTGCATTGATTCCTTCTTCTTGAGCTTACTAATCAGTTTTTCCATATGTTTTTTATATTCGTCGACAAATTTGACTACTACTTCTTTATCTTCCTTAATCAATTTCTCTTCTAGTGCAATTTCAGCGAGAGCGGCGTGGAGAAAGATGTATTGGACGAGACTCTGAACAGCATGGGCACGTTGCTGACGCAGCTTCTTGCAGATCTAAAGCAAATAATACACTCCGTTACAAAAGTGTACCTTTTTTGGCAAGCGTCACTTAACAACGGATGCTGCCGTTCAAAAGAGCGGGTGACAAAACCCAGTAGGGTAGGAACTTCGAAAGTCCAACCTTAGTCGATCGTTCGATATAGGCGAAGGAAAAATTTCAAACATGTATAGTACTACACCCCTGAGGATTTTTGGGCCAATTTGATCCGGATTTAAACTACTATAACGGCGTCGCGACTCTTCCGGTCAAACACTTTGGGGGCAGCCGACTGCAAAAAGTCCTTGGAATTTTTCGCGACTTCCCAAATTCAGTCGCACTCCGAAAAGTTGACCTGTCGCCGCGAAAAACAGGAATCGCGCGCAACGTAAGGCAAAAAAAGCAAAATTGCACTGTGCAAATGCACTTTTTGGGTTACTGCCCTTTCGGGGTGGGCCCTTTCGGGGTGGGCTTTTCGGGGTCGCCCTTCCGGGGTGAGCCCTTTCGGGGTGGGGCCTTCCGGGGTGGGCCCTTTCGGGGTCAAGGCAAATAATGGGGTTTCCGGGTCCCGGAGCAGAAATAATTATATTTTTTTAAACTACTGATTAATTTTATGACGTAATCTTGTAAAATTTTTGAAAAAAATGATAGAACAAACACCGAGATTGAAAATGTTAAAAATGACATTTGATAAAAGTTTCCTTGGGGCTTCGGTAGTTCAGCCCCCCACGAAAGCTAGTTCAAACCCCCACTGTTTTGCCCGTTTCACACCCCACATAATGAACAAATTAGAATAATACAAAAAATGTAAGTGGGGTTTGATCTACTACGTTGGGGGTTTGATCTTAAACGTAGGGGGCTATTTCTAAAACGTAAGGGGCTTCATCTCAAACATAGGGGGCTTGATAATCAAGAATTTCTGCAATAAAAATATTGTATCTTTAATTTTGAAAAAATCTCAAAAAATGAATGTGATTTTCGAATTCAGCGCCGTTGACACACCCCACGAGTCGGTTGTTTCCAACTTTTATCAAATGTCATTTTTAGCATTTTCAATCTCGGTGTTTGTTCTATCATTTTTTTCAAAAATTTTACAAGATTACGTCATGAAATTAATCAGTAGTTTAAAAAAATATAATTATTTCTGCTCCGGGACCCGGAAACCCCAGTATTTGCCTTGACCCCAAAAGGGCCCACCCCGGAAGGCCCCACCCCGAAAGGGCTCACCCCGGAAGGGCGACCCCGAAAAGCCCACCCCGAAAGGGCCCACCCCGAAAGGGCCTGCTTCCACACTTTTTTGGTTGGATGCACGGTGCAAAATGTTTTTTCGAGTTCATGCACGGTGCGGAGTCGCAGAGAATTCCAAGAACTTTTGCCGAGACAGTACGAGTTACAGGTAATTTTATGGCGCGCGCGCAATAAGATTTCAACTCACATCTGGCATCGTAAGTCCTTTCGCAGAATTCTTGAGATGTTCGTTAGCAAAATCGATGGCCACAAGAGTCCCAGTACGACCAATACCTGCCGAACAATGTACCAATGCCATCTTGTCGCCGACTCTCGACTTAATCTGCTTCAATAAAAACAGAGTGGAGTCAGCCTCGAGAGGGGCCAAATGATCTGGCCATTCATTCCACCAGAGATGGGTCACGGTCTTGATCATGCTCGTGAAATTCCTGCAAGATCTTTCGTACATATTTATCAAGTCACCTACCGATGTTTTACAGTAATCTTTCGTGTGATTATATTGTGTTCCAATGGCTCTACCATCTCCGTGTGAACTGAGAACTCTCCGGCCAAATGAGTTTCTCCAGATTCAACCGGAAAGTATTCCGCGCACTTCTCAGCGTCCTGTTCCACAAATTGGCAGAGCATTACGATGACCCCTACATCTTCATTCATCACCATATGCCAGAAATCAGCTACGGTTTCTTCGGTAGGTCCTTGCGCACAAATATACTTGGGAACGGAACTGTTGGGGAGATGGACGAAGGAAGCATGGATGTAGTCATCATCTCGTTCTCGGCCTTTTAGAATTACACGAGTTGCGTCAAGACAATAGACATCGGCATATCTGGAACCGAGTGTACTCTAGAGGCATTATGAAATTTTTACCGATTCCTGACTTCAAAAGCGTTGAATGCTTTGCATTCGTCCTCTGCTGGCTTCATATCCTTGAATGCCTTGAATTGTTTGATTATCTCTCGAACTCCGTTTTTGCAGAATTTAGTGATGACTACTGCCCTTCGATCGCTCACTTTCTCGACTTCTGGTTCAGGTTCTACCACAGCGGCCTCGCACTTTTTGATTTCCCTATCTGATATCTCCACATCATCATCCTCTTCCATATAAGTCCTCTTCGGTCTTCCTGTTCGTGCATGAAAAGTCGTGGGATTAGCGGCATCCTGAAGATCAGCATGACTTTCCTTTTGTGGTGCTTGTTGTGGGACCGGAACAGGTGTTGCTGCAGCCGGGGTTGATGGCTGCCCTTGTCTTCCTGGCCGAGATCTCTTTGACGATTTTTTCTTCTTATTTTCTATCTGTTTGACCTTCTTTTTCTTGGTCTGAGATCCGGATTCCGACTGGCATTGAACCTTGGACGCTTTGTGTTGCTGAGCTTCAGCCTGTTCGTTCACCAATCTCCGTCTGTGAGAACTGGGTGTGGTGGAATGTTGGGTATTCTCCTGTAGCTTTTGTTAATTTACTTAAAAACAATTTTACCTTGGAACAACTTCGGCTCCTTTTGTTTTTATCCTTTCGAAAGAATCTCGGGACAACACTGAATTTCCTCTTTGTCTCCACCTCATCATCATCACACTGGGTATTTTTCTCGGCCTTATCAAAACTTTCTCTGGGCTTCTGGAATCGACAATGTAATTGTCATCTTGTAAATACGACATGAAATTACAGAAAAAACGCACAATCGATGCCTTCTTGCTGTGCCTCCCCCATTTTCTGGAGTTACTCTTTTGTATTTTCCCTTCTTGTGACATGCCCAAGATCAGAAGGATTGGAGCAAACGACTGCCCAGTGAGGTGGATGACAAAATGAATGAACTTTGGTCGGTGATTTCTCATTCTCATCAGTTTTTTTTTGCTTGATTTATTCAAACCTTTGGAATAAACAGTGTAACAAAGTTCGTGGCATGGCGTCTTTTTAGACCAATAACCGCGCTCTACGACAATTAAAAAAATCTTCCGAATACTCCTTAACAGTCTGGCTTTCCAACGATAAATTTTTTTGGAAGAAGTTTAATATGTGTGTGGTGGGAGCGAACACCGAAATCGTTTAGTAGGTTTATCTAACAAAAAGAAACGCAAAACATAACAGAATCCTCATTTGGATTATTTAAATTCTACTTGGTTTTTCTCTTCTTGGGTTACTTTTGGAAGACCTAGAAGTTCTCTAACCGCTTGACCATAAATCCTAGCAGATTCAGGTGTCTCGGTCTGCAAATTAAAGTATTAGTTCGTAGATAAGCCTTACGCAAGCGTATCTCATATTGTAACTTACTTCATTCCTATAGCTGAACCAGACATTCGAGAACTTTTCGACCTCGGAAGAAGCTTTGGTTTCTTTGTCAAAGTTCTTAGCAGCTGGGGGTGCGTTCTGAAAATAATAAATTGAAACGGTAAATATGTTATCTTGTCTCCATACCTCGTCTGCTTTTAATTGACCCAGGATCTCAAACAACCTCTCTTCTGTCTTCGATCCTACAAATTCCACTTTCCAATTATCAATTCTTTCTTTCAGTTCCTCCCACTCCTCAACCTTCCTTGATTCGTTCACGGCTACCGTGATTAGATAATCGGCATAATCTTGATTTTGTTGCCTAGTATAACATCGATCCGTGACCAATGTGAAGATGTCCGTCTTCTCGTCATATCTTTGTCCAACTAATCTTCTGAACTTATCTTTGGCATGCTGATCTAATTCAAGATCGGCGACTTTGATCTGGAGGGTCACAACCCTTGCTCTAATATCTCTTAGAGAAGTCCCTTGATGAACATAATCCGAGTACTTCTTCGTAACTGGCAAATGCTCATGGATTAATTTAGGGTTTTCCTTGAGTTCTTCTGGGAATTCAGTACAGAATTCTGAAATCAAATTTTCGGTTATGGAGTTTTTAACAATAATGGAACGACATAAAGACGGTCACAGAAGTTAGCGGTTTCTATTCAACACATTTTTGCACCGAAATTTGACCCAACAGGAAAAATAAAAGCCGAAAACTTCTGCCCATCTTTATATTAATCAAACCTCACGTTTTAATTCGTCACAATGCCTTTTAATATGTTGAGGAGTCAGATGGAGGAAGTTCGGAATCTTCACCAATTCCAAATTCCCTTCAGCTTTGCATGGAGGTCTGATTGGATTTCCATTTTTTATCTTCGAATACCCCATTCGAATTGGCAAAGGCACCACGGATGATCTAAATGACTGGGCTACCGGCCAGACTGAAACCCAATCCTGATTAGGCTTCATCTCTTCCTTTCGCGGTGTCCTCACCTAAAGAGTAACCACAATAAGAAGTAGCACTTACCGCAATCCGATCCATAATATCCACTTTGCTGAATTTTAGTTGTTCAGCTCTACCTGTCATTCTTTCTATAGTTAACTGGGTTTGCAACTTTCTCTTGGGTTTAATAAAGAGCTCACGGAATGGCTCATTCTGAAACCATTTATAGAACATTAGGCATGACTTACTTCTTTATCTGTCTCCGATTCAATCCTCAGATTCTCGACTTCAGGTGTTTCTTTGGCTGAATTTGATGATGCCAAAGCCAATCGTTCGGCCAGAGTGGAAGAAAATCTCCTCCCCACAGAAAGATTAGCCGTTTTGGAGAACATGTTGGACAAAGCCCATCAAAATCCGAGAAAATTTTATTTTCGAAAAAGAATTTTTTTTGACATTTCGTCGAATTATCGATTTTTCCAATCCACGAAAAATCGGCTTCGTGGAAACTGGACAGAGTGAAATTGGACAGAGTGAAATTGGACAGAAATAATTTGGACAGAGCGTGGAATTTGGACAGAGTGAAATTGGACAGAGTGAAACTCGACAGATTTTTTTCACTGCAAAAAATAATTATTTGATGATTCAATATTGACATTTCGTACGATTGCAGCGAAAATCTGTCCAATTTCACTCTGTCCAATTTCACTCTGTCCAATTTCACCCTGTCCAATTTCCACGCTCTGTCCAAATTATTTCTGTCCAATTTCACTCTGTCGAATTTCACTTTGTCCAATTTCCACGAAGCCGAAAAATCAAAACTGATTTTGATTTCCCGGCGGGAATTATTTTATAATTGGCCAAGTGTACCCTAGTTATGACGTCGCGCGTGTGTTAAGCCGCGGCTTAAGGCGCTTGAAGCTGATTTGTCACGAATTACGCCTGCATCGATCTCCCTGATTTTTTAAGGCTATTCTTGGCGCAACCTTACATTTGGGCCATGTCGGGTAGGCGCTACGACTTTCGAGTCAGCGACAGTTCGGGTCAACAATACTATGGATCGCGCCGGTTTGTCGTTTTATGTATGAGAGCGGCTGGGAGAAGGCTTAGCTAGTCGATATAATAAGATTTATCGGGTTCTAGGCTAAGTTATCACCTACTTATTTTGAGGTATTTTACATCATCTACTCACAACAATAACGTCTAGATAAAAGTTACAGATCTTTGTTTTTTGCCGCAACTTTAGTCTTTTATATTTTACAATAACGCAGGGTGAAGAAAGCGAACGTTAGTAATAGCCATAGTTAGAAAAAGTGGACATATTACAAGTCTCCGCCGAGCGTCCGCCGACCATCCAACGGCTTTTCTAGGCCTCGTAGGCACTTCAAAAAAACCGAGACGCGGCCGGGTATCGGTTTGTAGCCGATTTTGAAAAATTGTATGACTCCTTAGCCAATACTACTGCGAGAGAAAAACTAACGATCCGGAAAAACTCATTTTCGAAAGCAGAATGCTGAAGCTTCTTTTGGTCAGGTCGTTACCAAGCTTACGACCTAGGTCGTGACCGTGGTCACTGTAGTTGTGACCTGACCTAACTAAAGTGTCGAAATGAACTAGTAGGATTATTTTGATGATTTTGTACATTAATCATGATCTAGCTCACGACCTAGGTCATGAATTAGCTTGTTTTTCTCCCAAAAAAACACTGATTTCATTTATTTGATCATTGCCCGAAGCTTACTTCGGCAGGACTTAAAGGAAATTTCAGAAATGTTCTCCGCCTACAAATTATCCTTCACTGAAGTCTCCGCCGATACGAAGATTAACGTTTTGCTTAACTCAAATTTCTTAAGAATTGCCAATGTGTCCCGAAAAAAATCAGGGGGATCGATGCAGGCGTAAACAAGTTATTTCCGAAAAACTTCCTTCAAAATTCTTGGGACGGGTCCTGTGTACTGCGACAAGCTTTTAAATGCCATAAGCAAGCGCCATTATTCGGCAAGTGTACATCGAAAAATGAGAAAGAGTTTGGCGTTGCTTATGACAAGATACTCGCTTCTCAAATGACGAATTCCCCATCCAAATGATAGATTTACCAATCTCAATAAATTTTTTATTGCTCTTCGCATCCAATATAACCAGAGTTACTGTAGTTGGTTTAATTTTGAATGCTTTAAAGGTCATTTGGATATTATAAGACATCCCCGAATGTAAACATGAAATGGGATTGTTTGACATTCGTTTTCTGCATCGGAAATGGAGTTTCTCTATAACAGGAAGATCGGGGATAATTTATATTATTTTAGATGTAATCATATCATTTTCTATGATGTGGTATCATCTTTGAATCCTTGATTCTGTAATGTATAATTGAATCTAACTCAAAATTGTAGTGCGTGCATGATTGAATTTGTTGTCGAGATATTAAGCTGCAGGTGTTTTTTGTTTGATTGACCGTCTGTTTTCGCTACTTGTAAACGAAGTATGGGTAGTAGTAATTCAACGGAATCAAAGTCTTCGAAACGCCATTTGATCTCATTTCGGTTTCTGAGATTCTCAGGTTTCAAGTTTTATGGCATTCGTAAATATAAAAAATACGTAATTCCCGAGCCCTGGGGCAGTTTTCGGCGGAGAGAAACGAGATGGCGATAACTGTTCTCTCGGTTAAGCCAAATATTAGTTACACTTATTTCCTAATTTTTCGCACTTTTCGAGTATCCTATATTGTAATAATATTGATGGAGAGAGGGCGATGTCACGTGCCTGCAACACTTTGAAATGCATGATCTGTCGTTGAGGCTATTTTAGGGTGTTTGTTTATTGGTTGTATCCAAGACGTTAATCGCCATTCATTTCTAATTTTGTTCATTTTTCTTTTTATTATTTTATATTTTGCCTTAATGGCTTTATTGTTGCCCCAACACGTGCAATGATTGTATGTATGTTGAACTTGGTCCCATTCCCTTGCCCTTCTGACTCTTTCTTGGGACGTCCGGTTATGGTCTACAAACAAGGGACGGAAGACCTTTCTCCGGCAGTGCAATTTCCGTTTTTTCCTTCCGCCCCAAACTCTCGACGACGGTTTTCCGTCCATTTGGCCATTGTCTCGGCCATTCAGAAAATCGCCGAAGTAATTATCATATCTTTGGGATCATAATTACTCTTCAATTTACGGTGTCAAAGAGAGTTTTACCTTAATTTTTAATCAATGGAAATGCCAAAATGATGTTTTGGGAAGCCTTGTCCTTACTGATTACAATCATCAAATCTCATAGCTCCTTTCATTACACTTTTCTGTTTGTTTTATTTCCAATTCTGGCGTGAAACGTCTGGTCAAAGTAAACATGATGCGGTTAAGGGGGTCTTCGGCAGCTCCATCCTTATACGAATGCACGTCAGTCCAACTGTAATCGTCACTTTACACTTCTATTTATATGACCGAAATCTACTACAAATCAACTGCTTATATACATTTTTACATTCCCATGTCCACCTCCAGAATTCTATCGTGGTTTCTCACGATCTTTTAGCTGCAATAGTAAGAAAACAATTAATAATGGGAAATGAAGAACATTGTTCTTGGCTTGCAAGTTATCTAGGGTTTGGAGCGTGTTTTTGAATGGTTTTTTTCAATTTTAAATTGGGATTTTTTATTTTGTTGATTTGTTGCAAACTTCAAACCTTGAAATCATTACTCACCTTCTCTCCTCCATGACGCTGTGCTCGAGCCGGAGCCGGGGACTCTTGACGGTCCTCGGGTTTATGGCCAATTCGGGACCTAATTGAATCCGCTGTTTTCGCGACCATAGATGTGTGGAGATGACTTTAATGAAATACGACAGCTTTGTTCCATGCCCTTAGGCTTTCTGTTCCCACCTTTAGGGAACTCGGGTTTTGTTTCGTCCTCCAGATCCATTCCCACGCTAATTTCGGGCGTTTTTTATTCTCCTAACACCCCCGTGAAGTGGTCGTACTCGCGGGGCCGTGTATAATATCTGAACTAGTCAGTTCTTCATGTTTTGATCGTCATTTTCTTGGCTCATCCATTTGTTTTGTCTGCGTTTCGTCTCGAACTCTGTATTCGTTTCTGCATTCGGCCAATTATGAATGAGTTTACTGGTCTTCTTTGTAAGTAACTAAAAGAAAGATTTGTGTGTCAAAAAGGACTTGTTTTCTTCAGGATGACAGTCCAAGTCTCATAAAACGGCTGATTCAGATCCCCACTTTACAATAGCAATACTCTTGTTACCTCTTTTCCCTTTTTGTCGTCACTCTTTGGCCATTTGAACTTACTCTTCCGGAATGTGACATCTGTCTGATCCCCGACGGTGACGCCTTTCGTTATCCGCCACTTGCTAATGATCGTTCGTTTATTTTTGGGGTTCTATTTTGTTTTTTTCGAGCCCCAAAGTGCGTCTGGAGACGTATTTCGAGGAGAGAACAAAATATAGAAATGAGGAACGCTTTACGGATTCCTAACAAATTTCGGCTAAAAGAGTTAAAGCGCAGGGTTCCAAGGCTTAACCGATTTTCTTTCGCCTGACTGTGGACTGAAAATAGAATTGTAAGGTAAAATAGGTAATTTGTATGACATTATTTACTGTAGTCGTATCTAAAAGACCAACATTTTTTAAACCCCAGGTCAAAGTTCTCAGCATTTAGAATCTGTGACATTTGATTTGTTTCGAAAAAAGTAAATAGGTAAAGTCGTAATGATGAGATGTATGAGCCCATTACCTCGTCAAATCAAAGTCACAAGTCCAATAAAATCGTTTTTTGTCACAGGAAAGACCAATCTGCATGTTGTTTCATCTATCTTTAATTTGCAGCTGATATCAATTACGATATAGCCGTCGGAGCCGGGAGGCAAGAAAGTGTTCGATCAGGACAAAATACGGGCATGTTGTACATGACAAGGTGCCTGATTGATGAGTGAGACCAAGAAAACTTTTGATTTGCCCTCAGGCACTGTCCCGCCCTTTTTATTCAGACGTCTCGGCCGTTCCGAAAGGCCCTCAGGACAATTTTCAACATTCTGTAACGGCTTTTTTTATGGGTTAATAACTTCTTCCAGGATGATAGTATTCACAGTGAAGATGGATGTCAGAATGTTGTGTAACAGGGGGTGATGTGGTAATTAAATGACTGCCAATGTTTGAGACCCGTGTCGAGGCATGTAAATGTGGGATGTTTCCACATGTTTTCTCGACATGTTTTTCTCATCTTTCCTTTATTTCCTATTTTTACAGTATGATTTACAACGTTCTGATGATAGTTCCAAAGCTAACTATTCCTTCCTTCCCTCGACGTTTGCGCTTTGGGCCTTATCTGGAAAGAAAACGAGTAATTAGTTTTAATCGAGGCAACATTTCCCCGACCGTCATTAAATGAATTCTTGCGATCCAAAAGACAACACTTACCAATGCTAGTTAGCGCATAAATTTAGTTGAAGAAAGTGTTGGAAACCTTTTCAACGGAAACCAAATTATGTCTGGAGCAGGAGGTTCTGGATTGGACGTGGGGGAGAAATTCTTTGCCCGCATCCAGGACCTTACGCATGTCAGAGGAAATGTAGAAGGAGGCGTAATTAATCGTCGGATGTCATCAAACCCCTGAGGGCGACGAGCCTTGGCCTCAGACATCATTCGAATCCCATAAATCTTATCTTCTGAAGTTTGCAGATCCGGGATTTATGGGTAAAGTCATGAGAATGGAGGTGCAAGTTTTATACTTTTGGATATATGATCCCGGTTAGAACAATGCTTTTTGAACCCAACACTTTCTTACTTACGCTCCACAAAGCTCTGCGTCTTTTTGTTGTTTATTATCAAAAGGTCACGGATCATTTATAATACAACATCAGAAATTGTTTGCCCTCCTACTAATCAGATTACCAAAAAGCAGCGAACACTTCTTAAGCAAGCTGTTCACTTTTTCCATCTACTTTGAACTATTTGCTCAAGTTGTAAGTAATAAACCCCAACCTTTGCCTAGATCCAATCGCCTCAGGCAATTGGGGATTGCTCGTTCTGGGCTTGGATGTCTTTATTGCGTGTGCTGACGCTCCACCCTCCCTTCGTTCTCTTCAGAAGCCAAGATTCGAATTTCCGTTGTTTTCGGCCATCTTTTTTCTGGGCCCACCTGAGCTCATCGCACCCTCTTCCTAATATTCCCTCTTTTATTGTCCCCTTAACTTAATATTCCGCATTCCACATGCCCCCTTCAATTCTTGTATGACAAGCTAAAGGACACTCCGCAGGTGGTCCTTTGGTACTAATTGATCGAGGTTTGTCGGACGATTATCGCCGTTGAAATGACTTAACGCCCTGAAACTTCAGAATCCTCACATCAGCTTCGGAATCCATTCAAAGACTTCCTGTGCCTTGTGACTCTTATGCCATGCGTAGAAAACGCTGACTCGGGAGCTGCCGTCCTAGTCCAGTCCAATGCGATCTGCCAATCTTTTCGGCATCTTTCTCTGCTTATTCACATTTGCCGAAGTAAGTCCAGATATTCAGTTACAGTATTATCCCGGGTATTTTCGGACAAAACTACGGTATTCTGGCTATAATCCTGTCAGTGATTATTCGATTACTGCGTCCAGAAGACTACAAGTCTAAACTCGTTTAGAGCTGTAGACGTTCGTTATACTAGACTCGGTTAGAGACGGCTGTTATGACAACATATGCACATGATATAATAAATCTTCAGGTTATGGCTCGTCGAAGAAAATGCCCTGAGGGCTCCTGGTCAGAAGGGCGGATAGTGAATGAGCTCATGTCTAATTACACGAAGATGTTGCCTGACACGGAAGGCAGCGTCATGGTCAACGTTGAGCTACATGTTCAGGTGAGGCAAAGCGATATTAAATATCGATTTTTTGTTAATAATAAAGAAAGCATAAAATAAAGATAACAATAATCATCTATCTTTTAGGATATGGGTTCCTTAAACGAGATCTCAGCCGATTTCCAAATTGACATTTTGTTCACACAGTATTGGCACGACGCTTCTCTAAGCTTCTCAAATCACTCACAATGCATCAGAAACATTACAATGGAAACGAGGTATCTTCACAAAATATGGACTCCAAATACGTAAGAGTTACTTGCAGTTAATGCTAATAAAAATGGCACACAACCGATGCTCCCTTTTAGATGTATCATAAATTCTAAAGCGACGACAGTCCACAAATCCCCCACGGAGAATATTTTCTTTATCCTTTATGATGTAAGTCCACTATTCTAATTATATAATCTTCAAAATAGAATGGAACTGTTTGGACGAATCATCGATTATCCGTGAAGGCTCCTTGTGCTCTCGATCTCCGAACTTTCCCTTTTGACACCCAGACCTGTACTCTTTTATTCGAGAGTTACAGTCACAACAACGAAGAGGTCTCCTTGCATTGGATGGAAGAACCAATCACATTGATGAAGCTCATCCAATTACCCGACTTTGATATGGTCCAATATGACACGCGGAGAGAGATGTTTGTGTATCCGAATGGGAAATGGGATCAGCTGCAGGCAGTGTTTACATTCAAACGAAGATACGGGTTTTATATTCTTCAGGCCTATGTTCCAACGTATGTCATCATCTTTTATGATTTGTTGTCGGATTGGCGGCTCATTTATAAATTTTTTCAGATATCTGACCATTATTGTAAGCTGGGTCTCTTTTTGCATGGAGCCTAAGGCTTTGCCAGCCAGAACTACAGTAGGAGTGAGCTCTTTACTGGCCATTACTATGATGGTATGTTATCCATGGAATATATATCCGTCTATTTCTAGTTCGGTAATATCTTGAAAAACCTTCCACGAGTGTCATACGTCAAAGCTATGGATGTCTGGATGTTGGGTGAGCATAATTTGACTGATCCATTCTTGTTTTATTACTGACGACAATTATTTAGGATGTATATCATTCGTGTTCGGAACGATGGTTGAACTGGCCTTCGTCTGTTACATCACCAGATGCCAAGCGGGTCAGAAAAGGCATGATCCTACCGTTCACGGGCCTTATCATTCTGTCAGCAGTTCTTCTTCCTCGTTAGTTGGTGGTCTCAACAACACTCCAGTTGGAGCCTTTGGTTGTTTATCCAGTCGGGATCAACAGATCAACAGCGGAAGTCTGAGGTATCGTCCGTACGCAAATGGAGTGTGTGGAAATGGGAGAACGGAGATAAATCGATCAGTTCTTTTGAGTCATGACCACCGGAACCGAAGGCCGAGCCATATTCAAGGTCCTAATGGACCGACCACCCATTTCCGGCAGAGTCCTTCTCCTCCGCCATCTTCTCGATTACTCAGAAATGGGTCTCCAACTAATTCTGCGCACAACATCGAGATGAATTCAATCTTTACACCAGCCGGACCTCTGACATTCGAACAAGTAAGTCAGAACAACAACGATCTGCCTCGCCGGACAACAAGTTTTGATATAATTTCGTTTAGATAAACGGATACCAACCTCAGCCAATGTACCTGCGCACAATACCGAGACGAAGAAACCTGCTCAACATCCAGCCCGAAAGTATTGACAAGATGTCCATCGTCTGTTTCCCTCTCGCATTTACATTCTTTAATGTGAGTAAACCATTCTGTTTGTATGTTCTCTTTTCAGCTTATTTACTGGTGGTATTACTTGTCCCAATCCTTTGAGGGATTGTCTCCACCACAGCCGGGATAAACTGTTTATTAATCATCATGTTGTTTGTTGTTGATTTGTACATGTATAAAGTGAAAATAAAAAAATATGAAGTGACCAAAAACCCTTCCCATATAAGGCGCTATAATGAATATCATTTTTATTTCAATACTGCGAGTATTTCGTCAACAAGATTATATACAGACAATATGTGTTATGAAAAAAGATGTCTTTGGAAGACCAAAAAAAAATTAAATGTCAGAAAGTGTAAATAATAAAAAAGTTAAACTAGTACGATATAAACAAACATGAATTCACTAAATAAACGAGATATTAAACATTTGAGTCATCTTTCTTTTCTTCATCGATGTAATGAACTTCAGCTATATGTTCATCCGAATCCGATTGCTCTGATGATTCAGGAATGTAGGCAATATTAGCCTGAGGGTCCCCGCCCATTGGAACCACGATCGAACTTCTGAAAACACTCGGTGATCTGACTCTACACTTGGGATCCCGTTGTTTCATAGTAGCAACAGAGGCGTTAACAGCATCGTGAATAGTGGGGTAGAAATTGGAACGATCCACGGATTTGAAGAACCCACAATCCTCCAGTTTATCTCTGACGGGAGCTTTGGCCCCAGCAAAATAAACTGAGATTCCTCGATTTTCTAATTGATGGAATACGTCAATGAGGGAAGATACGGAAGTGTAATCAACAAACGTGAACCCGGAACAGTCGATGACAAAGTGTTGCACATCTTCGGTCAAACGACGGTCGTGTATCTAAAAAATTAAAGCTAGAAAAATTAAGAGAGTAGAACAAATGTCGTAAAACTGTGTAATGCTGACCTGCTTATCATCTTTGGAAAAAATCTTGGCAACTACTCTCTTTGCCGGACTGCTTGGTTTTCTCAATTTGATTCGATTAGTCCACAACGCCTTCTCAACAGCATTGGCAAAACTGTCAACATTTGTAAAAAGCAATGGAGCGTCGAATCTGAAGACCCTGATCGATTTGATGAATGTAACCCGGGAATATCGGCCACAATCCCTGTATTCTTCCGTTCCATTCAATCTACTCAACACTTGCCATCTTGGCCATTGGATTCTGAACACCGTCGTGAGGAGAGCAATGACAATGGAGACCATCAGACCGGTCATCACATTCAGAATAGCGGTAGCCAGGAAAGTGACCACCCAGATCAGCTAAAGCAGAGAAATGAAGAATGAAACAGAAACATAAGCATGTTATGGATATAAATTCAACCTACACAGTCCAATTTGGCCACTTTCCATAAATGCCAAATCTCGAAAGGCATCTTTTTGAATACATTTTTGACGGAGTAAATAATAATAACAGACAAGATGCACATGGGAAGCGCGGACAGCAATGGTCCAACGGAGAGAATTACAATCAGCAACAGGGCAGCCGAGAAGTATGCTGACATCTAAAGAAAAGATCACATTACAATATAACATGTCAGACAATCATCAACTATTTTAGCCTTAAACCCACCTGAGTCTTGACTCCACACTCAACGCTCAGCATAGATCTTCCCAATGACGTTGTAATCGGGTATGTTCCAAAGAATGACGACAGTGTCCCCATGAAGCCAAGTGCATAAAGTTCCTAAACAAACTGGTAAGAGAGAAACCAGCCTTACCTGATTGTTATCAGTCCGCGTTCCCAATTTCCGGTTAAATACCTTGCACATACTGAGATGAAGTGCTACAACGACAGCTGCAATCTCCAAAGAGTCGTAGAATACCAGGTGGACGATATCAAAACGAGGCAAGTTGACCTCCGGCAATCTGAATATAAACATTAAATTATTACAAAATCACACACCCCAAGGGGATATTCTTGACAATCGAAATGTTTTGGGTCTCGTGAAGTTTGAATAATGCAGATACTGCAGTTGAAATTATCACCAAAATCAACTCAAATGGTAGGGGTGCCGTCAGTTTCTTCTTCACTATCGGGTTGATTATATCCTTGCCGACGTAGAGAAAAATAAATCCAACCAAAGACATGACCGCTGCGATCAAATTAGTCTGACTAATTCTGGCAAAAACATCATACACGTACTGAAAATAAAAGGCCTTATACATGAGAGCAGAGAAAAGAATAGAGTTGTAAAAACTTGCCTTGAATATATATCCGTAGCTCTCGGACTTCTTGACTTCAATCTCAAACATCTTGTTAAACTGAACAACAACAACATGAACAGCAGCCCCGGTACAGAAACCATTTACCAGTTGATCACTCATATAAGCCGCCAAGAACTCAATATGTAACAGGCCCATCACTAATTGGATAACCCCCACAACAAATGTTATCGTAGACACGATCTCCACATTCTCCAACTCGAGTTTTGGCATTTGAACCGAGAAGTTGTGAAGATCGTACTGTTTGTTCAGATTGTGGGCATCCCCAATATAACGAGCTTCCAATCGATAGTATTCGTTGTCTATTCTTTCTTTTATCTCGGTACATGCAATACCAGTCATCAGGGAGATAACGGCGAATGAACCTGAAAGTTCATTGTGACATCACATTACAGTAAGATAGTTGTTTTCATAACAATTGTCACGTAAAACTCAACTAATTTTGGTTTCCAAAAACTACAAAATAATTATCAAACGCAGTTATAAAACGATAATTGCTTTGCACAAAGTTCATCAAGGTGAGTAATGACAGTCAATTTAAACTACCTGTAAAATAAGTAAACTCACCGACAGAAACGTGTTTAGAAGTGCCGAAAAAAGAGTACAGTAAGACCCCAAAGAAGGCCGTGTAAAGACCTTGGACAGGCGGGACATTCGCCAAAATGGCGTAAGCAATTCCTTGGGGAACATGAACAATTCCGACAGTGATCCCGGACATCAGATCTCCCAAAATATATTCCTTCCATTTGTATTCTGGGAACCACTTCAAGATAGGAAAGAAGGAGATCAGGAAGTTCAGGAAGTTCTGGATACTGAGAAAGTTCTTGCATAGCTTCTTTGTGACTTTCTTGCAAGTTAATTTCCTTTGAGGAGCTGGTTGATATTGAAAGATCTCGTCAAATTGGTCCTAAATCACAGTGTTACAACAGTCTTCCGACATTCAGTATCTTTAATGCTTCATGCACACAATCGAATAAACTTTTGTCGCAAAAACCGTGTACACAAAAGAGATAACGGTTCGTGTTATTTTATGATCTTTCGACGGTATTCAAATAAAAACATCAACAAAAGACGGAATGAAATCTTTTGTCGCTTAAAGATTACAGGAACACAAGAAAAAAAGTGAAAGGACATACCTGATTTAGATAAGTTACTCTCTCCATGCCGGCCTTTGTGAATGCCGGCTTATTTTTTGATGCCTTTTGGCTGGGAACATCCTCGCTGAAAACAAATTGTAGAATCAAACCTCCAAAAATGCCGAAAGACAACAAGAGAGAAACGAACTAAAACTACGCCAGTCTTTATCCTCGCACGGACCCGTTCACACCATGATCAACTTACGTTTCCATTTCAGTGATATTCAGAGAGCGGAAGGTTTCAAACAGAGAAAGATCAAGTGAAAATAATAATAATCTAATGAAAACTCGTCACAAATGTATATGGGAATAACGGAGAAGGAGGCGGAGTTATTTACCTTCAAGGCACCCTTTCAGATCCCGTCCCTCAAGGCTATCTTCTCCGTTCTTCGTGCAGAGCGAAACAAAAAATGGACGTCCATAAAATTAATCATTGTAACGCATTTTTTAAAAAAATTACGAATTGCGCAATTGGAATGACAATAAATAGAATTGGAACTGAGCTGTAGAGTACTGATATTTGTGACATTGCTTTAGCAATCACGTAAGTTTAGATAAAAGACGTCATGGGTAATGCTATACTACTCGCGCCATAGAGTCCCAAAAATTTGCACTGTGCATTTTACTTTGATTTTTCGCGTTCGTCACAGCGACTTCCCTTTTTGCACTAACGATATTCGCTTCCGCGCATTCAACGACAAAATTGTCGGGACTTTATGGCGCGAGTAGTATAATCTTGTTGATATAACGCTCATAACTCTTACCTCCATGCCCGCATTGCGCAATGTGTAAATTGTGGAAGGTGATTTTATAATTTTCCCATCTTTTAATGATTGCGCAACTTAATTAATTGATTCATACGAAAAGGAAAGGAACGCCCTCCGGCGTGTTTGTTAAAACTTTTACTATTTTTGGTGGGATTACTTCAAGGTTCTTTGTAATCAGGGTTAACGATATAGAGCAATTCATCGATCGACCATATACGATAGATGGTATATCAGGATGAAAAGAAGATTAGGATGTAACGAAGATGATTACAAAATCAAAATTAAAGTCGGGATTGGATAAGATAATTAAAATTACAGTAATCCAGGCGCTGCAACTACCCGAAATAGAAGATTTTCAAGGAATTATCATAATAACCCTACTCATCCCCAAGATTTGCTGGCTTTTCCCCTTACCTATAATATTTTCCAAGTCTTCCAAATTGAACTTGAGCCATTTAACATTGAATTTTCTCCACACTCGCTTCTGGAACTCCCCGTTTTTCAATTCAAAAGTTGGTTTTTTGAAAGGATTGCAATGTATAAGTAAGCTATGAAATGATTAAAAATGCAAATACAAGCCCAAATATACAACATGTAATAACGTCAGGACCTGATGGCATCAAATGGGGAATAATTCGACACTATGAGTCATACGATGGGCCACTTGAAGCTGACGTCCTCTTTCTATGGATTTCACAGTGGCGACTCCGCCAAGTTTTCTAAAGCTAGCTCGCGCTTTGCAGAAACAACGCGATTTCTCTCTAACCGCTCTCCACGTTTAGCGTGCTCTCTCGGCCGCAAAGATCGTTGAATATCCCCCGCAAAGCGCGAACTAAAACTTTCATGAATTGACATTTAGTCCATACCCGACGTGTGTGCAAAATTTAAAGAAAACCTGAGCGTCGCACTTGGAGTACTTCCCCTGTAAGTCTCAATTGAAAATCATTCCAAAAATTTTCTAACAGTTACATAGTTTTACCGGTTTCGGCCCGAAAATAATTCGTCAAAACTTCATGAGAATGGCAAATCTCGACAACTCTATAAATTTTAGGAAACTCGGCGGTGTCTCCGCGGAGAAATCCAAAGAAAGAGGACGTCAGTTTTGGGTGGCCCACCCGGTATAAGACCGTCCAAGAAGAGGTCAACAGTAATTTAATTTTTCTGTCAGCTCTAAAATTTTTCTTGCCATAAATTTTCGGTTCCATTTTTACTTTTTTACTCCTAGTACGGCTGTATGTTCAGTAAATCCTATCCGAGCCGACTTCCAGATAATGAAACTCAGCGTCCATCGTTGAATCAAGGGTCAATCGATGAGACTTTCAGATGTAACACTCAGGGTACCCAAGGCAGTGCCATGAGCACCATCTGTCTTAACCAGACTCAAGAGCCCTCCGAATCCACTGATGATGACGATACACAGCTCTCCACAACCGCTTCTAAATATCAGTCCGTGCTTTGGAACGGAATTGATGCTACTCAGGTGGGTAAGATGCAGTAATCCTTAACATATAGCATGTGCGATACGATTGATTATTAATTTTAGGATGATGAACAGTCCAGAAAGTCCCTTTTGAAAAAGGACCTGCAGATCCAATCAAAATACAAATTCCTCCCTAAAGTCTTATTAAACCCTCAGGATAAACGAATCCAGCGAAGTTTGAAGAGATCGGACAAACGGAATCACACTAAGAAATGCAAAGCATTCAATCGGTTCCACACTCATCCGGATTTTATTTTCAAGTCAGATAAGAAGAAAAAACGACGAGACCGGAAATTTCTGAACCTGGTAGAAGCATGCAAGTGAGTACGATAGCAAATTTATTTTTTTTTTATTTTGTGCTATGACATTACACTATGGCTTAGGAAAAAACGACCCGCGATGATATGTGTTTGTGAGGAAAGGAGGTGTTCCTGTTTGGATGGGATTTCCTTCAATCTGAAGAAGTTCTTTCATGCCGTTTGGAGATTAATCTACATGTTTTTGTGCCCACCTTGGCCAACCTCGACTCTCCTCAAGTTGGCCTTTTGGCCACCTCCTCGTGAATATTTCTTTTTTCATAATTCAAATAAATCCGAGGGAAGCGAAGCAGCACAAACAGCCCCAATCAAGATAAGAAAGGCATCACGGTGAGGCTTCAACAGCTTAACATGAAAGCGCTAACTTCAGATATGCCATTGAATTCTGTAATAATAACTGGAGATTCGGGTTCGAACATGAATGTGTCCCAGAAATTACAAAGATCAGATGTTTTGTGGTCGAAACATCTGACAAGCATGTAAGATGGTAATAGAATTCTCATCATTTCCAGTATATTGGCTGTGTTTTTATAAAATCGCCCCGTTCCAACCCGCGTTACACTTTATTATTCTCTCACCCGAATGGGTCAGACATCTCAGACCACCTCACAGGTATCAAAACTTCCACAACTTGATTACTTTTAGGCGTTCCGAAGTTACATGACACCGCAGATTACCTCAATTGTAACATCTGCACTTATGATTACAGTGGATACGGTATTAGTACCGGAAAACCGAGCGAAACAAATGCTTTCCGAGATATCGACGCTGTGCATAAGGTGAGGAGCCACTATAATTTGATAATTTTTCTTTATTACAGCACTTGAGAGACGTTGAGAACATCCCTGACGAGAATATTATCCTCTGGGGAAGTAGCATTGGAACGGCAATTACAGTACACCAAGCTTTGCAGTTGCCCAATATTTCTGGTGTCATCCTCTTTTCTCCTCCAACTTCTATGATACGTACTTTGTGCTGGAAAAGATGTTGCTGTTGTCAGCAGAAACAACCTTGCAGTTCCCCCAATTGGAGATGCAATATTGACAAGTTCGACACGCTTTCGAAGGTATCTCTTGTTCTTTTATTATAAGAATTCAGGTTTAGATCAGCCGCATCAAAGTACCCTTACTGATATGCCACGGAATTGAAGACGAACTTGTCCCAATCGAGCATGGCCAAGCACTTTTTGATGCTAGCCAATCCGTAAATACGCCTTTGTGGGTGGCTGGAGTTGGGCATAACAATCTGGAGAACAGTGAACTTGTTTGGATGAGGGTCAGAGACTTTTTGAATAAGTATGAACTGCTTCAATTTTATATTCTTATTCCGTTTAGAGAGACTCGTTGTCCTGAGCCCAGAACGGCGATTGAATTTACTGAACGAGAATTCAAAAACAAAAAGAAAGGACGGAAGAAGAGCGACAGGGAAAAACATTTTAAACACAAATCACAGAGGACGAACAGCGTACACTTATCTCCCGGGAATTCGGCCAAATCTCCCATTTCATCAGAATCGAAAGCAAAACCACCGTCACTACCCATTCTGAAGCATACATAAACGTTTTGTGATCGTAGTTGTAAGAGAATTTTATTAACCGCGTACCGACATTTCGGGTCATGGAAAGCTCGGGTCCGACAGGTCGGGTAAATGACACTTCGGGTAAACGATACCGTTTAATATTTTCGCTTCGGGACTGGGAAAAAAGAATTTTTTGGTGAATTTGAAAAATTTTTTGAAATGTTTTCGCTCCGGGACTTGGGGAAAGGGATTTTTTGATGAATTTGAAAAATTTTTTTAAATGTTTTTGCTTTTATTTGCATAAAATCATCTCAATTCTCCAAAAAAATCCTTTTCCCAAGTCCCGAAGCGAAAATATTAAACGGTATCGTTGACCCGAAGTGTCGTTGACCCGACCTGTCGCGACCCGAGTTGTCCATGATCCGAAACGCCGTAGCGCCAGTTTAAAAACTCCAATTTTGACAAAACGCCTATTTTGACGAATTATTTGTTTTTTTCCGTTTTTTGTGTATAGAAAAACTGGCGTGCCCACAGAAGTAGCTTCCATGTTAGAAAAATTTTAAAACACGTTTCACTACAAATCGTAGATTGGCCCGGACATTGTTGAGTGGATGTCTCAGAATCAAACCAAATTTGGTCAACCGAATCACCAATCGGTATGAAACAATCACTTGAACTTTTTTTGCCCAACGTCGTTATATGGAGGATTACTGTAGCTTTCTTCCTGAGAAAAGGATTGCATTTTCTGCAAAAATAAAGCCGTATTTTAGTCGAATCGATCAACCACCATATGTTTTCGACCACGTAGAACATTTTTGTAGTTATGACTAAAAACTAAAAATTACATCTAAGCGATGTTTTATCTGCGGTAACATACCATTTCGGACATAAAATGGGCCATTGCAACCAGTAGCACTTTTAGATACGCTAAAAAGAAACTTCAACCTTTATCCAATCAACCATGGAAATTTCAAAAAAATCAAATATATAAGTTTTGAGATACAGGGAATTCAATATCTCATGTACAAGGTCATCAGAGCCCCAAAAAAAGCTGGCATTCTTGGGGTTTCAACCTGTAGCACTTTTTCAACGGTTTTTATACATTCTTAAGCTTTGAAATAACGATGCAGCAAGTTTCAGGAGAAAAAATGTATAAGTTTTGAGAAAATCGCCAAAATACCTTATTTTATGCCAGTTAGAGAGAAATTCCTTCTTTTATTTTTCTTTCAAATAAATATTTGGGCTCCGTGGAAATTGGACAGAGTGAAATTCGACAGAAATAATTTGGACAGAGCGTGGAAATTGGACAAGGTGAAATTGGACAGAGTGAAATTGGACAGATTTTTTTCGCTGAAATCGTACGAAATGTCACTATTGAATCGTCAAATAATTATTTTTGCAGTGAAAAAAATCTGTCGAGTTTCATTCTGTCCAATTTCACTCTGTCCAATTTCCACGAAGCCAATATTTGCTTGGCCTTTTTGATCAAGTCGGTTTTTTTGTCAATTCCGGATTAATTTCCATCACCGAATATGCATCTACCAAATTGCCAGGAAATGTGCGCCCATGGATATGAATGCGTGAGAAGAGACGAAAGGTACGAAATATAAACGACCTTTATCTTTTTAGTATAATATGTGAGCGTAGAGTGACCACAACACCTCCAACATCGTCTATGGTGCCTGTGCTTGACGATCCACTGATTCCGGCCAACCAAATCTTCGCTTTGGCGTTTACTGTTTTCATATTGGTGGTTGCTATTACAGCCTGGGTTATCTACAGAACGTATAAAAACCATGTATAATGTATTAAAACCGTTGAAAAAGTGCTACAGGTTGAAACCCCAAGAATGCCAGCTTTTTTTGGGGTTCTGATGACCTAACATAAGGTATTTTGCCCATTTTCTCAAAACTTATACATTTTTTCTCCTGGAACTTGCTGTATCGTCATTAGAACGGTTAAAAATGAATAAAAACCATTGAAAAAGTGCTACACGTTGAAACCCCAAGAATGCCAGCTTTTTGTGGGATTCTGATGACCTTGTACATGAGATATTGAATTCCCTGTATCTCAAAACTTATATATTTGATTTTTTTGAAATTTCTATGGTTTATTGGATAAAGGTTGAAGTTTCTTTTTAGCGTGTCTAAAAGTGCTACTGGTTACAGTGGCCCATTTTTTGTCCGAAATGGTATGTTACGATAAAACATCGCTTAGATGTAATTTTTAGTATTTGGTGATAACTGCAAAAATGTTCTACATGGTCGAAAACATACACCTAAACCCAATTTGCACTACAGGGTGTTTCAAGAAATTTGGCAGAAACTAATTGCGAATATCTTTGAGCTCTTGCTAGTTATCGCAGAAATTCTTTTTGTTTCTAAAACTTGATATCGGGCGGTTTTGTACTGAACAAAAAAAAATTTTTTTTCGTCGGCGGAGGGGCCTGTTCTCGGCGGAGGCATTTGGGGCCTTTTTTAAAAATCACACCTTATTACATGGTGGAAACTCTGTTACAATGGCCAAAATTATGTTTACGTTACACCTCCGTGGATTTTGCGGTATGCTTTTTTTGCGTTTTCGATTTTACGCAACATCCGCGGAGGCGCGGCGGAGACCGCAGATTTCGGCGGACTTTGTTTTGGGCCCTCGGTTTTTGCAAATCCATGTTGGAAAAAACGCGCGCGATTTTTTGTTGTCATCCGATGCACAGATGGCAAAAATTTTGTACTTTTTTCCCCCGGCGGAGGATTCGGCGGAGGCTTTATCAAAGGGTCAAAACAAAAGTTTGACTCTTTTGATAAAGCCTCCGCCGAATCCTCCGCCTATGTGTCCGCCGGACCAAAAAATAAGAAAAATGATGTTGTTGTGATGGATTCTTGTAGCTGATTTTTTTTCCCGGACTCCTAAGACTGTTCTGACCCTTTGATAAAGCCTCCGCCGAATCCTCCGCCGGGGAAAAAAAGTGCGAAATTTTTGCATCTGTGCATCGGATGACAACAAAAAATCACCCCACACTTTTTTCCAACCTGAATTGAATGATCCAAAGACTCAAAACGACGTCCGCCGAAACCTGATTTCTCCGCCGTGCCTCCGCGGATGAGCGAAAATCGAAAACGAAAAAAAGCATACCGTAAAATCCACGGAGGTTTAACGTCAACATGATTTTGGCCATTGTAACAGAGTTTCCACCATGTAATAAGGTGTGATTTTTAAAAAAGGCCCCAAATGCCTCCGCCGAGAACAGGCCCCTCCGCCGACGAAAAAAAATTTTTTTTTGTTCAGTACAAAACCGCCCGATATCAAGTTTTAGAAACAAAAAGAATTTCTGCGATAACTAGCAAGAGCTCAAAGATATTCGCAATTAGTTTCTGCCAAATTTCTTGAAACACCCTGTAAAATACAGCTTCGTTTTCACGATTAGGGCATATCTTTTTTGAGGAAGAAAGTTACAGTAATCCGTCATATGGTAACTTTGGGCAAAAACAAAGAAAGCGAATATTCTATGCCCAGGGGTGATTAAGTTGACCAATTTTGGTTTAATTCTGAGACATCGATTTTAACAATGTCCGGCCTCCGTTAGGCTAAGCTTCAAAGTGTAGTGAAACGCGTTTTAAAAAATTACTTTTTAACGTAATAACCAGAAAAAACCCCGAAGTTAACAACGGTCAATCCATTCAAATAATTCAAATGATGGACCTAAGCCTTATCTTTAATTTTTGTCCCGATTCCGGATGTGTCACTATTCCGCTATTCCAGAAGCGTCCAAATTCCGAAAATGTCTTGACGCGCCTCCCCCATGCATACAACGTATAAATAAAATAATATCGTTGACCCGAACTGTCGCTGACCCGAAAAGTCGTAACGCCCATTTTCGCCTTCTTTTGCGTCCGTTTCTCTTCCCTCGATTTTAGCGGCGCAAAATTCCAAATTCCATTGGGCACGATAAAAAGAGCGGCGGAATTACCAGATATTGGGCCAAATGGATCCATCGGATCCCAATTTTGATCCGTTGCGGTTGTTACAATGCGAAGATGCTGGTGTTCCATTGTCTTACAAGTGCTTTGACTCTATTGACGAGTGGGAAGAGGACTGTAAACACAGATACAAGGAATTGGCAACGCAACTAAAGGTATTTTTATACTGTTTCTAAAGGTATTTTTGCACTTTTCTATTAGAATTATGACTTGGGCCTTGAAAAGAGTCTTCGTCCAGTGGCTATGGGAATAAACGCCAGGATCCGGAAGATGAGGACCGAAAATAAGAAGAATATTGTAAAGGAGTGGGAGAACCGGTTACTGTAAGTAGTCTAAAAATTAATCATTATTTTTGTTACAGCGGCAGAGGGGTTGTCCATATTCTTAATGTTGGATTTGCCTGTAACTTCCGTAAAGCCCATGAAAAGATATTAATCTGGATGAAGGACCAGGCACGAGTTTCAATAAAGTTGTCACCGCAAGGGAAGAACACCACCTTCAATCGTCTGATACAGGTAAGAGTGAATTGTCTTGTAATCAAATAATCTAGGGAGTAATTATCAGCTTTGATGCCTCCTGGAATCTATTATTGAGAGATGTTGACGAAGTTTACCGACCCGAGAGTGGATCTCCTATTTCCAGGCCGAATGAGACAGCTTATAAGAACTTGGGCAACGGCCTCTATCGACGTTCTTTGGGATGCTTTTTGGTGGTGGGAAAGCAAATCGTGTGTATATATGTTCCTTGACTATTAATTTCAGTAATTTTATTCTAAATCTTCTTGAAGTTATTAAAATCAAGTTATCGTTATAATATTGAAATTAGTGAACGAGCTGATAAAAGAGATGAAAAGGGTCTTCGACACTTAAATACTATTTTACGGTCGGAGGTCGAATAACCTAGGGGACAATATAATACAGGGGGACTATCAAGATGGGTATCACTCCAAGTCAGTTAAGACAACGTTGGCCTGTTTGCTTTCCTCTTCCATCGAGTGTTCTTCGGAATCGGAAGTGAATCCATTTTCTCTCTTAGTTCGATCTATGACATCGTCGATGACATGTTTAGCCAGATCCAGTCCACCATACACCGGTGAACGCTCGAGGTCAGTGTTGGCCTTTAGGTAGGAGATAATTGTATTGGTCTCCACCTCCCTCACTTCCTTCAGGAAACGGTCGGCATATTCTGAAAATCGAAGTGATCATGATCGGTCAAGTGGAAACATTCAGTTCCAAAAATAGGCACTTCACAGAACAAAATTAGGATCAGGTCATTGTTAACACACACAAATCAATAATATCAACCTACCCTTGGCCTTTTCACGGACTTTATCCAACCATTCCTCCTCAGCCTTCGATGCCTCAGGATTTTTCTTTGGCGCAGCTTCGAAGATAACTGCAACCATTGTCATGTTGTCCCTTGACCCTCGGGCTAAGCAATAATCCAAAACCTGATTTGTTGCCTTCTTTAAGTCGTCAGTAACAGTGAGCCGAGAACGCAGAAGAACACATAATTCTTCGTTCTCCAAAACATCATAGATACCATCACAGGCCAGGATCAAAAATTCATCTTCATCCGGATTTCTTTTGATCACATAGACATCGGGTTCGGGCGATACTAATTGTTCCGTCGGTGTCAAACCAGGGACATTCTTGTACTCAAAATCTCCAAGCGCTCGGGAGACAGCCAGCGATCCGTTAACTCTCTGTATCATTACCGTTCCACCTGCCCGAATGATTCTTTCCCGTTCTGCTGTTAAATATGGTTTATGGTCGACAGTGTAAAACACTTCCTCCGTTTTGCGACCAAGGAGGCCCCGGGAGTCACCTAAAATTATTAGTGCACATTTATTCGCAGACGTTGTGGCAATCCCAACACCCATGGAAACCTACCTAAATTGCAGAAGAATACATATTCAGGAGTTAAAATAGCACAGGTAGCTGTTGTTCCGCTTTTCTCCTTCTCTTCGCCATCAGGCCCCTTTTCGGTGCTCATATGTTCATCAAGCTTCAAGAACCCAGCCTTTATACCATCTTTAAGTAATTGTATCGCCTTCTCTGTTATCTTTCCTTCATTCTTTTTTAATTCGGGCACCAACTAAATCCATAAAATAAAAAGGAGCTCCCCTACCTGTTTAAATTCTTCTGTATTTAGTAGATACGCCAGTAGATTCTCTGCAGAATGATTGGCAACTTCGCATCCGGCATGGCCATCGAAGACTGCAAAGAAAGACCAATGCTTCAGGGGCTCTTCTTCTGTGATAGCTACTTTCACCTGATGGGCATCTTCCATGTTCCATCTCCATCCTTGCATAGATGCAACAACATAACGGTATCCCTAAAAATTAAAATTACATGTAGAAAGGTTTCTGCGGGGTTAATAAAGAAGATAACTCCTTTCAATGAAAATAAAGCAGAGCAACAAAATTTGAGACAGCAGTAAAATCAATGTTGGGATCCATAATGCGGTGGGATAAAACGAATTTTGAAAATAAATAGCTAAATTATGAAAACAAAACATTAGTTCTTACCGGCCCCTCTCCATGATCGTTAGTTTTTTCAGTTTTGGGTTTGTCCAAAAAGGCTCCCATCGAATTTGTGAACTGGTTTGGGGTTCTTCTGCCCCAACTGAATCTGGTTAATCCCAATCTGTAAAGAAACGCTCATATTCCAAATTTCGTTAACGGAATCACGCGACTAGGAATCCGGCTGAAAAGAAGCCAAAAACTCAAAAAAACGTGCGGAAAAAATTGGCTGCGACCCGAAAATCAACGAACTATAACTATTGACCGAAAGGTAAAGTTACATAGAAATACACTCACTTTTGATTTTCTGATTGATTCTAAAGTCGTTTAGTTGTTCGTAAGTGATCTTATCATGCCCTGAAATCAACGAAAAAAACTATTTAGAAATGTTACGTTTGCGTATTAGATTACATGACGGTTTTAATTTCACAATACATTCCATAAAAATGCAATTCGGATTTTAATCCAGAAAACCCGGGAAATATCCAAGATAAGATCGCCCTCAATGACATCATCAAGCTCATAAAAGCTCGGCATTTTAAATGTAGATTTAAAGCGGATAGAGTCTGCATGTTTCTGCTTGCTGTAGTTACCGCGACCTCCCGACGACATACACAAAGTTATCTTAAAAACCCACAAGAACAAATAAATCAGGAAATTCTTCCAAGAAGTGTTTTGGGAGAGAAAGGCCGAAAAAGAGAGGCCGAAACGTATATATGAGAAGAGATGTCACTCCATGCTCCGTGTTTCTCTTGCTCCCACTCCAACTTTTTAAAAAGTCTTAAAAAATAATGGAAACTTTCCGAATAAACATCCGGCAAAATGCTTATATGACACATTATCACAAGTCAACAACCGTGGTATAACAAGACTCTGTCATAAGCAGATGTTTACTGTAGTTAGAGACAACGGCGTGATGCCAACTGTTTCTCGTCACGAATGATTGAAGTGCGAAAAGCTTTGCGAAATTTTTGGCATTGTGCTACGAAACGATTTTTCTGCCCTTCGAAGGCGAAGATTGAATTGCTGCCTTCTTGTCGTATTTGATGTTCATTTACCGTTTTTCTTGCTTCATATCGTTGTATAAACCAAATGTTTTGATCCTATTTGTTTATTGTAGTTTAGTCTGATAAAATGGCTGAATCATCTAAGCGCCAGCAAGCCGTGGATCCGGATGAGGATCTCAAGCACGTTGAGTTTGAGACTTCTGAAGGAGTCGAGATCATTCCAACATTCGATGCAATGGGGCTAAACAAAGATCTTCTCCGAGGTATCTACTCATATGGTTTCGAAAAGCCGTCCGCCATCCAGCAAAGGGCCATCAAGCAGATTATTAAGGGGAACGACCTTATTGCTCAGTATGTTTCCTGATACCGTATTTTTTATTTCTTTAGAGCTCAGTCTGGTACTGGTAAGACAGCTACATTCTCAATTGGAGTTCTTCAATCCATCGATGTTCAGACCAGAGAGACTCAAGCTCTCATCTTGTCTCCAACACGTGAATTGGCCACACAGATCCAGAAGGTTATTTTGGCTTTGGGAGATTACATGAATGTGCAGTGTCACGCTTGTATTGGTGGAACAAACGTTGGAGAGGATATGAGAAAGTTAGATTATGGACAACACATTGTAACCGGAACTCCTGGTCGTGTCTTTGACATGATCAGACGAAGAAACTTGAGGACCAGAGGAATTAAGATGCTCGTTCTTGATGAAGCCGATGAAATGTTGACCAAGGGTTTTAAAGAGCAACTTTATGATATCTACAGATACCTTCCTCCAGGAGCTCAAGTTGTTTTGTTGTCTGCCACATTACCCCACGAAGTACTTGAGATGACTAGCAAGTTTATGAGCGATCCAGTTCGTGTTCTGGTCAAGCGGTAAGTGGTTGATATATGGGCTTTGTTTTTTTATATTTTGATTCTGGCCTATTTTACTATTTCAGTGATGAGTTGACTCTTGATGGCATCAAACAATTCTTTGTTGCCGTTGACCGGGAGGAATGGAAGTTCGACACTTTGTCTGATTTGTATGATACCCTTACCATCACCCAGGCCGTCGTTTTCTGCAATACCAGAAGAAAGGTCGACTGGTTGGCCGAAAAGATGAGAGAAGCCAACTTCACAGTCTCTTGTATCCATTCAGATATGGAACAGAAGGAAAGAGAAGAGGTAATGAAGCAATTCAGAGCCGGAGAATCTCGAGTTCTCATCTCTACTGATGTCTGGGCCAGAGGTCTTGATGTCCCTCAAGTCTCCCTCGTCGTCAACTATGATCTTCCTAACAACCGTGAGCTCTACATCCACAGAATTGGCCGTTCAGGACGTTACGGAAGGAAGGGTGTAGCCATCAACTTTGTCAAGCAGGACGACATCAGAATTCTCCGAGATATTGAACAATATTATTCGACCCAGATTGATGAAATGCCCATGCAAGTGTCCGATTTGATCTGATCCACTAATCCTAAGTAATCTGCACTATACTCTTATTATTTTCTGACCAACGTTCGTTCGAAGTTGTTAATAAAATTATCAAGAATTTGAAGATTTGACGTATTGGGAGCTTCACTCCAGGCCAAAAAGAGCGTATGATTCTGAGTTGAAACTGGTATGCTGACGACTGCAAAGATGGCACATTTTGCATTTTCGGAAGACGTATATATCTAGAACAAGGTCAGCTGTGGCCTTTGTTGCCGTCGCAGATAATCAAATGTCGACTCTTTATAATCTATTGTTCACCGAATCACATCTTGATGGTCGCATGATATCATGCGACCATCAAGCATCTTTTTTGGAACGAAGTTTCCACAAAATCGAATCAATAATGGCGAGTATTCGCTGAAAAAACGCTTTTCTCGGGAGATTGTGTTGTGGACTTGTTCGTTTTGGGCGCTAAACATTTGACCAAACCGCAGTCTGCGCCCAGTGCTCTCTCTTTGGGGTTGCTTTTTCGGGCATGCATGTAATAAATAGTATTCTTCGTTTATCTTTTACAACCAGATGTGATTGTATACAAGAAAATATATTATTGTTTTTCAGGCATAGATGGCAGAAAATACTGATATAGAACGTTTCCCGCCCAACCAGCATGGTGAAAGCTCCCTAGCTTCAAGCGGCCGAAGCGAATATGAACTGAATTCATCTCATCAAACGTCACTTCCCCGAAGAGCGCAGAAGAGATTCTATGAGAAGTTGGAGAATCTTAAAACAACACAGGCAAAGAACAAGCAGAAAGGAATTTCAAGCCAAGGGATGAAAGGTCTGACTGAAGCTGCACGAGCGAAGAAGAAATCCAAGAAAGAACGAGTGAGGTTAAGAATGGAACAGCTTCGCAAAGGAAAGGAGGCCCGCAACCGTGAGGTGATGTTACAGCGCGTATTCCAATACCCAAAAAGAGCCAGGAAAGCGTTCGAATATGGTAAGTCGCGACGTACAGTATTTGATGACCAAGTTTAGTGGCAAAGGAAGAATTGGATGCCGAAATAGTAGACACGCTCAAATGTTTGGTAGATGAAACTATAAATACGGTTGGAAAATCTATTTTCTATACTCCTGATGAAGATCTGGGTGATTACACGGACGTAAATGATGACGACGAGGAAGAAGAGGGAAGTAAACAAAAGTCCATAGACCTTCTAGATGGCGATGAGGAAGTTGATTGGATCGAAGCAAATGCAAATCTGTCAAAAAAGGAATTAAGGGCTTGGTTTGAACGGCACAGGAAGACCACATCGCAGATGGCTTTAGAAAGGAAACATCTCCGAGAAGAACAGATTAATAAGATGATAAGCCAACGTAACATGGTTGATCGAAACTTGGACAAGTTGCGCAAAGTTTTCCAATTCTCGAATAACACAGAAAGAGATTTCAGATTGGGTGAGTTACGGTATAAATTTATAATTGATTTTAGTTGCTGAACAGAAATATAAGAAAGTGGTCGTGGACATTGTAAAGAACTTGGTCGACGCTACCATTGCTTCCTTTGGCGAGAACATATATTTTCGTCCGGATGACAAGTTAGCAGAGTATGTTGAAGAAAACAACGGACTTCACGTTGCGATCCCTAAAAAACCGAAGCCAGTCAAGATGACGCTTGATTTATACCGTCAGAGATGGTTTAGGAAGAAGCAGGAGCACAGGATTCGGAGTACTATTATTCTTAATTCAACAAAATTCCGATATTCCCTCAGGGAATTATCCCAGAAATTTAAGTACCCAAAAAATTCAGAGATGGCTTTTAAGTTCAGTGAGTGACATAATTCTGTTAATTTATTGCTATTTTAGTTGCTGCCCATTATTTGGACTCTGAAGTGATTGACGCAGTGGAGGGCTTAGTGGACGCAACTGTTGATGCAGTTGGTGACACTGTTTACTATCACCCAGAAGAAAACCTCGCCAATTTTGTTCCTTATAATCCGATAGTTACAAACGTTGAGGACGACCCTGAAGATCTCGTGGTTATCGACGGAAAGAATACACTTCCAATTTATCTTCCTGAACCAAAGAAGAAGGGACGGCCTAGGAAATTTGAGAATAGCGATACACCGCCGGTTATGCTTCCGTTACCTCCAAAAAGAGCAAAGGTCACTCAAGAACCACTTCCAAAGGCAAAGAAGAATAACATTTCGACTCCGGCGAGTGTCCGTACTTCAACTTTTACTGCTAAATCAGCCTCTAGACCCTTGAAACAACATGAATTTACGGACTCTCCTTCTCGGGTAATCCCAAAAGCCCGCGGTAGAATAGCCATAGGAAAGGACAAAGAGAACAAGTCGCCACCGGAAAGGAAACGTCGCTACAGAACTCCTTCACTCTCCCCTCCTCCCCCTCCACCGAAGAAAAAGATGCCAAAACAACCGGAGAAGAAAACTTACGATGTTATTACTCGTAGTAGACTGCTGGATGAAGTTGCTGAGTCCAAGAAGAAAAATGTGGAGTTAGGGCAATTGAATCACGGCTTAAAGGAAAAGATTAAAGTTCAGGAGGCCGAAATCGAGCGAAGGAAGCGTGAGGACATGATTAAAAGAAGATTAATGTTGGGTGAAATCGAAAGACAAGATGAAGAAGTTGTTCATCGGCAAAAGGTTAATGATCTGGCATTGAAGCATCTTAGGAGCGAAGCTCATGAAACCTTGAAGTTTGTGCTGGCGCGAGCTGAAGAGGTAGAGAACTTGACCCAGAAACTTCGAAGTGGTAAGCAATCGATTGGAATCTGTATTACGCTTTAATTATTGTTGATATTTTAGACTGCTCCCACTTGCGATTGGCCGCGCCGAAAAAAGAGGAGAAGAAGGATGAGAATAAAGATCAACCCGAAGCTGGACCGAGTAATTCAGCCGAAGCCGCAGACACTACAGTACCTGCAACCGAAACGCCAAATCAGTCGAATGGTGCTGCGTTGAATCCGGAATCCATTTCTCTGCAGGATCCAGATCAGCCTTCAACTTCAGCAGCGTCGGCTCCATCGGCCGAAAATGAGGGCAAGAAAAAGGAGAAAAAAAAGAGGATTAGAACACCAAGAGGTAGGTCCCGAATTCTTATAATTAACTTTGATTATCGTTTACAGTCCACAAGAAAATAATTCGTCCTCCAACACCTCCTCGTTTGGCCAAACCCAATAGTAAAACTAATGATATCCTCAGGCGTCAGAAGCTCCTTACTCCTCCAGAACCCCGCTTGAAGCCTCCACCGAAGTCTAAGGAAACCCCCAAGGACGAAGTTAATCGATTTGTTGTTCCCCAGATGACGTCACTTAAAACTGGCAATGTGGTGGTGGCAACGGATATCCCAGACAAACCCTCCGAGAACTCGTTGCCAAATGTTTCGACAAGTCCTAAGGAAAAAAGTGCCAATAAACCGACCGCCGAAAGCCCCAACGTTATAATCCTAAATGAATCATCAACGATTATCGTGAAACCCGCCAAGCCTCCGGCCCCAGTTAAGGCCAAGAAGGAAGCACCAAAGCCGGTCGCACCTTCGACATCCACTTCCAAAGCACCATCGTTGCCTAAAACAACTAGAACTGTTATCGTGACCTCCACTTCTACGAGCACCCCTTCTACAAGCCGACCAGGGCCATCGGCATCATCCTCCCGGCCCCTTCAGCAGGCTCCAGCCACTTCTATGTCTCTTTCTACACCTAAGACTAAGCCCAAGAAGAATGAGCCCAGAAAGGAAGAGGTTCCCGGCGCCTCTGCCCAATTCCTTAGCAAAAGATACCTCCAGATGAACACCAATGACAAGAAGACCTCCCAATCAGAGTTCCGAAACAAGATCAGGAGTATGTTCCCCAACTTCACGGATGAGGATCTGGTGGATCTGATCGGCGAGAGTTTTCCTAATCTTTTCAATTTTGACTCATAGATTTCTCGGAAAGAATTCACATTTACATATAATTTATTGTTCTGTTTTTTTAAATTTGCATAAATATTGTTTTGTTTAAGTTTCATTAATTTATTAGCTTTATGTTTGAATAAGGTCGTTGTGTATTATGAAACCACTAACGCCGTCGAGAGATGGGGATCTGGATACAAAGATAACGTCATCGATGTCCGACAAGGAAGCAGAAGATGCCATGTACAAAGCCATAAAGCATTGGAATTTGATGGATAAAATGGTGGCAAATGATTCCAAGAAGCAGGATGATAATACGAAAGAACAGGAGCATGTCGGGAACCGGAAATTTGAGATTGGCGAGCGTGTTCTCTTGCATGCGGCAATGTGGAATAAGATCAAGGATGGATTCAGAATGTGGGATGTCCCTTTTAAAGATAAAGTTCAAAAGGTATGACAAGAAAACTATTAATCAATTATCCCGTAAAAGTTTTACATGTGCATTGGCTGGATTGTATCATCTGAGAATGAATCTCAAAGCACTGTCCGTTTCTATCTTCGGTCAAGTGAACATCAACAAACTCTGGGTGTCGACTTTCAAGTTCCCAATTTCATTATCAAGAAAGCCCCTCGGTCCATCAAATTCCAGACGCTTGATTTTGCAGTAATTGTTGACACGGCTTTGGTTGGTATTGTAAAATAATTTTTTAGTGTTTTTTTTAGAAAAAGGCTAATACCTATACGGTATTGGAGTGTGGCTCAGGTAATCAATTGAAGTTGAGACAGTTTCAAACTGCAATTAAAGTATCCGTGGATCAGACTGAAGTAAAGACAAATCATTTATCGGGTTAATGTTACTTTTAGGCCATAATACTTCCAGTGTACAATGCAGAAGAGCCATGGGTTGTCGAAATTGATAATCGGAGAACAGCTGCTCCACCAAACAATCCATTAGTTGAGAAATCTAATAAACGCAGAATGACGCAACTTATTTTTGGATGTAAAGGGGAGAAATTGAACTCCCAAATGGCTCTGGAAACACTAACGAAACTGAATAATGACAGAAATGGTATATTGTTCACACAGGTTTGCATCAAAGACGAAGATTTTGTGAATACAGTAATCGATGACAAGGTTCCCTTGGTTGTTGCGATCGAAATGAATTCTCCTTTTCTCATCAACATACTCATTGCGTGTGGGGCCGATAAAGACGTTATGGACAGAAGAGGCAACACACTTCTACATCTAGCCGCAGCAACGTATGTTTCTATCAAATAATCTGACCAGTTACAGGGGTTCCATACACACTGTTCAAACGATCCTGTACTATATTCCCGAGGTGATTAATACTCCCAATCTTGCTGGGGATACGCCATTCCACGTTTTGTGCAAAGCAAAACATTATAAACTTCTGGAGAAGTTCTTGGAGATCCCGGAAGTCGATGTCACCTTTCGAGACTCGACTGGAAACACTGGCTTTCATAGTCTAATCAAAATGGAGGAAGACGACCCAATACGAATTAAATGTTTGTCACTGTTCATGAGACCTGGTCCATGGTTAACCGCCACTAACGGTGAGAACATGGTCCCTTTGCATGCTGCAATTGCTTGGAAAAAGGAAATGTAAGTAACGCAAATAGATTTTGAACTATTCTCTAGGGCTGTAAACATGTTCCTGGACAATATGAGCTTCGGAGACAGACCGATCGGATCTCCAGACACCGATCTATCGTTGGCTCAGGTAGCAGCAAAGATAGGGAACTACAACATCTTTCACAGAATTGCTTCTGGATGCAACGGAAGCTTCATGGAGACCAGCACCAAGAAGAATGTCATGCACTTTGCAGTGGAAGGATGGAGTAGAAACGAAAGTGAGGACTACCAAAGATGTAGAATCGTCCAGTTCCTGCTTGCCCGTCAAGATGCTGTTAGACTTAACCAAGCAGATCTTTTCGAGAACACCGCGGTCCACCTGTTGGCCAGAGTAGTCAATGAATTCGACCGCAAAACGCCTTACGAAAACAAAATCTTCGATTCGCTAGTGTCCAGCAAAGACCAGGTAAATGTCCTATAACCGATGTACATGTTTTAGGGCCTAATGGCATTAATGAATGCTTCCGAAGGCAATTACCCTCTAGCGACTCTTTGTTTCTTTTCAACTTGTGGTGCTGACTTCTGGCATGTGAATGCTGATGGATTCACCCCTTTAGATTTACTCGAAAGGGAGAACCTCCGAGTCCTAATGGCCGATTGTTCTAGAGCTGGAGTCAAGTATGTTTCGATTGATGTGTGAAAATTTTACTGACTGCTTAATTACAGCTCCTGGACCCAAATGCCAACCCGCAAGAATGTTACAACCCCAGAGACTAGAAATTGTTTCCGTTGCAAGAAACAAATGGATCCGAACAACGTTGTATATTGTCTACCGTGTCAGCATTACTTTGCATGCGCAGATTGTCGTCAACACATTGCCAGAATGGATAGATGCATGATCTGTTCGAGTGAAATTGAAGCCATTCGCGCTTTGTGTGACGGTACGTACGGACTTGAAACAGTATACTTTTCAGGAAATGACGAACTGTTACACGGCGAAGTTGCGCCGCAATGCACAGAGGATGGAAGAAGTAAGGCGGATTGCAGAAACTAATTACATTTTTAGAAGTCACGGACGTGCTTGATGAATTGAAGAACAAGATCACGGCATTAGAAGACAGTATCCTCTGTGAGATATGTATGGAAGAGCAATGCAAAGTAGTATTCAACTGCGGCCACACCGCCTGCCGCAACTGTTCATCCGAAAATATCCTCAAGGATTGCCATATGTGCCGTCAGCCGATTATAAAACGGGTTACTATTTTCTAATCAGAGTTTTATTTAACAACAATGAGTTTAACAATAAAAACAACAAAACTAACTACGTATGGCTATCGTACTGTGGTTATCGCTAAAAATTAACAGAATAAGAACTATATAAACTAATGGTTTACAAATGAAACGTGCTGAGGTGTCGATGTGCAGACGGGATACGAATTTTCATTTCCTCCAATAGGTGACAACAGTTCAAGCCTCTTAAATTACGTAAAAATAATATTGCGTGACCTTACATGTTTTAAAAGTTGCACATGTTTGAGATTTATGGGATCATACTTCATTACCCTTCTTCGCAACTTCTGATTAACATTTTCCGGCGTGTTTAACGCATCCCCGAGGACAGGGGTGGATGGCTTTAGAACATTTTTATGTTCTAATCGAAGTGGCGCAATCTGGATCTTCTGAAGTTCTTTAAAGTACCTCTCTTGCGACTGATAAGCCTCGGGTTGTCCGACGTTCACAAAATTTTCCTAAGGTTCCGTTTAATCGAAAAACTTATAGTAACATACCTCAACAATGTTCTCATCGTTTGGAACTGTTTGGCACGGGGGTAATGGAATTTGAGATACCCTCATAATATCCTCCGCCCCAACTAACTTCCTTTTATAAATGGATTGAATTGTCTGCAACGTGAATTGGAGAGATTTCCCATGTTCTTTGAGTTCTAACAGATCCCTGCAGGAGGCGATAAAAAATTACAAAAACTCACATTGACATCCAATCCACCTTTGAAATCTGATCCACCAACGCTGCCGGGATTACTTCCGTTTCAACAGATTTTTCCACAGAGTGTTTACATGGCACACTTGGTACCTCAGAAATCGATCTACAAAAACAGCATTCTACCCGTACGAGTTTTCTTACCCCGTGGAAGGTTTATACGCTAAGCTTTCTGCCAATAACAGTGGCCGGCCCTTGTAGAAAATTTGATTGTTATAGACATTAACCTTCCGACCGGCATCAGGATCATTTACGTACTATAGAACATTATGAAAAACGACCAAGCAACTTACAACATAACCGAATCCTTCATGAAGAGATATGTCCTGAACGCGAAACCTTGAGGAGAACAATTTGGCCACATCACCGACGGTGGCATTAGGTGGATGATGGGTAAAATAAATTTTGTGAGGTTCATAAAGCCTCTGAGCTAAGTTCTCTCTGAATCTGATGCATCTCTGCTCCATCTCTCAAACGTTATAGCGAAAAAGTACAAATCGAGAACAATTTGGAAAGCCAATAAAATAAGCCCGAACAATTTTTCATTTATTGAGTTACATTACAGTCCACAAAGGTTTTCGTGATGGGATACAATATCGCAAATTATACACAGGTTATTTACATTAGTTAAAATTTCCTATACAACAGGTATTATACTGCACCTTTCATTAGATCAAGCGAAATCTCAGCGAGCCTCGACATCGTGATTAATCTTTGCTGGCAATTCTCCTCGAGTATCAAGGGGTTGTATTTCTTCCGAGTAATAGACGGTGGGCATCTCACCATACACTTCATACAATGTGTCATCTTCAGCACGAGCATTCATTCGAGCCATCATTCGACGACCTTGTTTATCTTCTCTTATTCCGATAATTTCTAAAATTAGAAATATTTTTAAAATTCCAAGAGTCCCTGTTACCATCAACATAATCCTTTCCCTTCTCTCTTTCCATCTTCTCCAATCTCTTTTGCCGTCGTTCTTTTTGAAGATTTTGCCTCCGTTGATGATTGGCATTCACGTAAAAATCATCAACTTTCTAAACGTTGCAACCAAATAATCGATGTTATACCTACTTCAACGACTTTCCTCTCCTCTGATTCTGGGTTTATCTCCATTTCTTTGTTTTCATTCGCCTGATTCTGACCTTCTTTTGTGTTCTTCTCCTTCTTTGCCGTATTTTGCGCTTGAGCCGTCGGTGCCATCGTTTTGAGGTTATTTTGTACTGATTCTTGTGTTCCTTGTATTTGCAATGAGACAGATGGCTTGGAAGGTTGATTCTTCTGATTCTTTTCTTTCCCTCTTTTCTCAAGATGCTTGTTCAACTTGGGTGGCAACTCCTCCGTTGACACGTCTGTATGATAGTGCCCATGCTGTGGAAAGGCCCCTCTTGACATTTGTGGAAGACTCGAACGAGGTCTCAGTCTTGCAGTAGAAGGTTTGCATCCCATCTTGACACCTCGATAAACAACCGTGCTCTATGAAATTTACTTGTAAGACCGTAAAAATTTTTATAAAAATGACATTCGAATTTTTTACTTCCAAAAAATACTGTAATGCGTTAAGTGTTTCTTCAAAGGGTCATGTGTTTTCTTATTCGGGCGCTAGTTGCGGAAAATAAATATATTTGCACAGGGAATTCGAAAATACTTGTTTCTTGCGTTTGGCAAAACTTTTTCGTAACACAAAAGTTTCCCAGTTCTTCTTTTCAATTTTTGGTTGTTGATATTTTTGTTTAGAGCTTCTAACGATGGCCAAGGGCAAGTCCAACAGGTTTATGAACCCAGCTGACCGGGAAAGGAAGAAACAACGCGCGCAGGAACTTAAGAAGAATAAGAAACAGCGAACTCAGGTCAGACAAGCTTTGGTAAAAGCCAGAGATCCTGAAGATCTGCTCAGTCAACTTAGACGTTTGGATGAACAAGGTGGGCATACTTTTAATCCAGGCTTTTATGATTTTAGATCTTGATCCGAATGGGGAATTGTCCAAGCACGTTATTGCCGACAAGCGAGGGAAATGCCTATTGGCTTATGAACAACAATTACAGTTATATCGTCAGGAAAAGGATGAAAATCAGGTTACACGCCTGGAGAATATGCTTCAAGGGTATAAGCAAGAGCGAAGACGAAGAGAAGAACAATATCGTAGGTGCATTTTGCTTTTTAGCGTATCTTGGTTTAGAAGCATTGATGTTTTCCAATGATATGAACTTGGGCGAGATTCCTTTGCCTAGCGGATCTATGGCTCCAGAAGCTGCATTGACTCCATTTATTCCGGCCCCTCCTCAGCCGCCAAGTTTCCATACGACAACAACAAAGCTATCAACACAAAAAGCAGACAAAAAAGAAGTGAAGAAAGCTCCTCCTGGACCTCCTTGTGGAATTCCTCCAAACTTTGACGAAGATATGAATGTAAATAGATCCAGGAGACACGAGTATTTGAGGGAAACCGTTCCCGAAGCTGAGTATGATGATTACGATGTAGATGACGATGACATGGGCCCTGTCCCTATCCCTGATGAATTATTACCGCCGAAACCAGCTTTCCAACCTGTTAGGTCGATGGTTTCTGCACCTATTATTCCTCCAAATATGGCACCCCCTCCTCCACCCATGCCCCCTGCCTTCAATCGACCGCCGTTTGATCCAACGAGAAGATTTAACAATATTCCGCCTACAAATTCAAATCCGGTACGTGGTATTTTGTAATTTATAGATTTTTAGGTATTTTCTCGACCTACTATGCCAATTCAATCGACGGCTCCAGGAGAAGTTGTCATCTCGGCGGCTCCCCAAATGAGGAATTTCAAGAAGGAAACTACCAAATTTGTGCCTGCGGCGTTACAAGTTCGAAGGCCAGCAACTCAGCCAAAGTCCAAGCCAATATCCAGGACGCCAATTGGGCAAAGCGGAGGGCAGATTATTGCTGCGCCGGCGGTTGGCGGAAAAAGCGCCGACCAAACTTGTGACGAATTCTTACGGGAGATATCCGATTTGTTGTGAGGAATAAAGTTAATACTTATATGGTTTTATTCAAATAATGTTACCAAGGTATCTATTTATACTGCTTTTAAAGTTTGTGGAATTCTTATTCTTTTTAGAAGATGGAAACCGGAGAGATATTGCAAGAAAGGATTGACAATTTGTTTGAACTATTAGGGCCAGAGGAATCAGAGGTTTATTATCACAGTCCATCTCCAAGTTTTCTGGATAAAGATATACAATCTCTGATTGATTTGACTGAGAAATCTTTCCTACAAGTTCCCAGTTTGAGGTAATTTAAACTTTGATTCGGCACGCACTCCCAACCTACATATAAATACTGAAAATATAATTTAGAGAGGCAGTTTTAGAACTGGTAAAAGCGATGGTTCATGAATGTACTAGATATACATTAATCCAAAAAACTCCATCACTAGAACAAAAGCGACTTCAGATGTCAGAGGGTCTGTGCAATCTGTTCTCTCATTTGAATGCGCATGTTCAGAATATGGAGTCCGATGATCTCAGGTTTTTACTGTTATCTGTAAGTCCACAATTTTGTCTGAAAAATAGCGTTACAGTGGATTCTAACTGTATGCTCGGAACTATCGAAGAATTACACCGAATCGATGAATAAGAAAGTCAAAGCAAGTGAGATCACTACGATTCTTACGGGTGCTCCTTTCATCCGAGATCTGGTACAACTTCTGAATTCTATCTTAATGAACTTACTAGAAAAGGATCCTCACAAAGTAATGGACCGGCTTCTAGATGGCTTGGCTTACGGAGTTGCCTTCGATTGGGTTTTCCTGCATATTACGTTAGTTTAGTCATCTTCCAATTTATGTAACTCTTTAGGAAGACATTCCCGTTCCAACTGATCCCTTTACTGATGGATCTTGGAGTTCGTGGTACGGCACAGATTTTAGAAAGACCCGATGCAATGGTAAGACAAATATCCCTTATTTTAATACTTGTTGAAGGAAACTGAGGGCGTCGTCGACCAAGATCATTTTATGCTGATCTCAGATCTCTTACTCTTTTTGTCATCCTTCAAGACTCCAAAACTTCGCAGTTCCTTATTGGATCAATTAGAGGTGCAACTAACTTTCATCGATTGAAATATTACTGTTTTTTAGGCATTCTTCTCTGATAATCAGCATGTTGCTCATTTTGTTTTTGCATCCAGACTTTTCATCAAACATTCCGAAGTATTCGGCCTTGTAGGTGGTCTTGTTGAGCGATTTGTTAACGAACCCAATATGATCCGAGTTCTTAAATTAGTGGACGATCCATTCTGGAAAAGTGTAGTCCCTGCTGGTGCCGATATTAAACGAAGTGTCAAAGGAATGTTGAAGAAAACTTCCTTGAACGGACTCGTCCTTCTCTACGAATGTCTGATTCCATTTTCTTTCGATAAAGAATACGTGAAGGAGGCATTGCAACTTAAAGATTCCGAAGTTGACGGCAAGATTGGGTTGTTTAGTACTCTGAGCGTAAGTTTTGAGAAAGTTGCTTATTATATGTTTTTTAGATGGACGTTTATTCAATTATAATCCACGAATTAATGTACAGTAAGAATTTGGATATAAAGAATATTGCCAGACTGAATGAGATCAGAGAAGAAGTTGGACTCCAAGATATGTTCATTAGAAGGATTCTAGAGGGTGGGGAAGGGTGGGTTTGTGTTGGGTTGAGTGATTTTTTAGGTCGGAACATTACTGTCGATTACTTGGGGCGGTTTGTATAAAAAGTGACAAATCTTTTTCTGTGAAAGTTTTATCGAAGATGTTGTATTCGTCTCGCAATGAAGATGAGGTAAGTTTTGTCACGAATTTGACTAGTTACTTTTTAAGGTATGGAATGTGTGTGCATTTAATCGATGCTTGACGACGCATCATCCTCTGGTACTGACTGATGCCCTCAGATGTATCATCATGCATCCCGAGCAGTTTGAACATACTTATGAAAGTGATGCGAATCTTATCAGACATCTTTCGATGCTTGCCCGGGTTCAAGATCAGGCTTTTCGGCAAGAAGAAGGTCTTCTTGCGATGGGATTGCAGTTCGGATTCATCGATGGGAAGCTCCAATGTTACTTGTTGGATATTTTAAACTCGAACATCGCCGAGGTTACTGATGAAGACTTTGATCAGTTTTTGGACTTCTTTTCCACTTATTTGAAAGGATTGCAATATCTGAAACCAGTGGACTGTAGACGGTTGCCGGTTTCAACCTTAAAAGGAATCACTGAGAGATTGGCTACGATTACAACAACTATCATCAAATTGTTCAGTCGAAAATGTAAGCCTTCTTTGTAAATCAGGGATGTGAAATATGTTGCTCACAAATAATTTTATAGTGGGAAAAGAAAAGGCGATGTCAGAACTCAAATTGTTTTTGGCCTTGGCTCGAGATTTCTTGCACAATGAAGAACTTTTTAATATAAAGAAGAAGGAAACGAGGGAGATGGTGGAGTTTGCCGACGTTCCAGAGAAGACTGTACAGGACTTTGATGCGGAATTTAGGGTTGAATTGGCCGAATTAGAACAGTGGTTCACAGAAGCATTCTTAAAATACTTCCTGGAGAATGTTTTTGATGTAAGTAATGAATTTTCTGTCATGGTTCTGTATTTAGGCATCCCATGATTTATTTGGGACAGTGAAGGGACTTTTGGAGAGTCCCGAAGCTTGCGCTTATGTTGACACGCCAGAGAATCTCTTTCCATTAGAATGTTTGGAATCCTCAGTAACACCAAGCGAAATAACATTACTCGAGAAACTCAGAGCGAAGCCTCTCCAGACAAAGAGAACGGCGGAACTTGCCCATTCTGGTGTTATTTCGTCTGCTCATTCCAAACCAAAGCCGAGAAAATGGACAGAAGTGGAGGAAAAAAGAAAAGAAATGGTCTTATTTGTGGTCATCAACATCATCGATAAGAAAGAGAATGTCGACAGGGAGAAATTGATCAATGGAGCAGCCCAGGTATTGACTGGATTGTTGTGCACTGAGTCCTTGGTGGACTGGACCGGATGGTGTCGATGGGAAATGGAAAGGGAGTTTGTTCCAATGTAAGCATTATAAACATAATTAAATTACTCTGATTTAGCTACAACGATGTGGCCAAGAGGCTCGAAGCCAGTCCTATCGCGTTCAATTTGATGATTTATTTTGCGGAAGCTGGGAGTCAAGTAACCATGTTCAACTGTATGCCTCTGTGGAAGAGTTTTCTCTCCGTTACCATAAACCAACTCGGTTCGACGCCGAGAAGAAACGATCCACTTTCGGAGAAGAGTTTAGGGGACCTGGCAAGGGTATTCTCTTTGTTGTTACTGGTATGTCCTGACATGTTTATTGGTTCATTTTTTAGAGCAAGATTGTCGATTCAAAGTACCGATCGCTCTACGAAATCATCCGAACTCTGGGGCATTACGACGCGTATACTGTATTAGTCGCCTTTTGGGAAGTGCTGTCGGTAAGAATTCCTTTTCTTATTTAATATCAGGATATGTATGTAGAACCTGGTACCCAAGGATGGAAAAGTGCTTAGATCACTCGAAACAGGAGAGAAGACATTGAAAGAAGTCCTTCCCAAATTGGACGAAGGCGCGTTCTATAAGGTCCTGGTTCCAATTGCCCATCAAAATTACTCCGAAAACGCCGAATACATTGCCGATCTCCTGGATGGGTTTGAAGAAGAGGACGAGGAATGGTGATATTATTTTTTGTTGATAATTTAAGTGTATTTACTGGCAAAATGTACAAAAACTTTTGTCTAAATTTTCTTTTTAGACGTGAATATATTTATTGCAACTTCTGGTGACATCTTGTTATTAATAAAGCCTCTTATCGTTACTGTTTATGTTTATGCTTTTTCCAATTCTTCGGGTTGTTTATACCTGTTAAACTATGATGTCATAGACAGGACATTAAGAAGAGTCTGTCAAACGTCTTCTTTTGGGGCTTACATCTCTTCCGGATATATAAAAGAGACATTACGATTACATTAGTGAGTATGGTTGTCGTTACCGCTAAGCTCCTTAAGGCCTTTCTCACCACGACGCCGTGATTCGGGCGGTTTGCGGAGGACGGAATGCCAACCATTAGCTGGACTCCCTTTAAGAGAATTCGCGCGTGTTATTGCATGTCGATTGTCCGATAAAATAATATTCTTATCAACAGTGAGTGTGTTGAAGCCTGGGGCAGTACGAGTGTAGACGTTTTAACGGCCCGTTTCTGGTACCCACAGTTTGTTAAATTCGAAAGTCAACAGCTCTACTTTTAATGGAATAAAAAGCATCTAACGTATCTCTTTCTTTTCTACAACGTCATGAATCAGCACGACTTTAACACTTTGCTGATCGACTTTGTACGTGAAGAAGATGTCCTCTATCGTTCGCAGAATCTCAATTTTACCAACTCCGCCGAAAGGCACATGGCTTACGAAAGAATCGCCGAAAAATTAAGAAGGCATGGGGCCACATACGAACAGAGTAAGTGGGATGTCAAGATTATTGTATTCTCTGTTTAGCACATCGACTGAATGAAAAGTTTCTGAAACTGAAATGGCGTTATATGAAGGAATACCATCAGGTGGAAGAGGGGAAACAATCAAGCTGGCCTTATTACGAATCCCTCAGCTTCCTTTTGCCATCAGTTTTGGAATTAGAAAGGTTGGTTTTAATGGAACTAATTTTGTCAACAAAAGATTCTTTATAAAAAAGATTACACAATTTTCGATGATTAAAAATCAATAGGATACAGCATTACTGTAACTTGTGAAATTTGATTCCTTTACAATCTCTGGATGCTTCAAAAAAAAACAAGAATCCCTTCCGCAGAATCGCTTTCCTTGTTTCGTATCTTCCCTTTCCCACGACATTAAATGTGTTGTTTATTTGTGTTGAAAGTTCTGTCAAAACGTTTGTTTTCGTATCTCGGAGGGCAGATTCTGACATTTCGTCACAACTGTTTATTTCCATGTTACATTGTTTTCCTCGGTTCGCTTGACCTTGGTCGAATTTTTGTCATACATTAACTAATGAAACTAGAATCACTATGCTACGCTCGTAATACTAAACATGACTTTAATTTTCTATTTATCAAATTGGTATTTTCTTGTTTACATTATAAAAATTACAGTATTTTTTTAGGAAAAGACTAACAAATGCGGAAGAAGCCCAGAACCGGGAGCACCCTCCTCCACCCCAACCCATGCCCTCTAATCAAGCCCCACCCGCACCTCAACAACAATTTGTGGAAGTTCAAACATGTGAGGTTATGCCAACATCAAGTAACGGGACAAAGAGTAGGACGGTAAGTCACTCTTTCTTACCATAGTCATCTCTTTAGGCACAGAAACGAAAGAATCAAGTGATGCTGGAAGAAACGGACACCAGATTGATGGAGAAAAGGAGAGTCACCAACCAAGCATTTGCTGACTTTGTTGCTTGTAAATTAGACGAGATGCCAGAACCTATACGAACATACACAGAACGGCAGATAATCGATGTTGTGATGAGTGTTCATGTGGAAACATACCAAGAAATAAGTCAATCGGGAGTCCAACAGATGCATCACGGAGATCGAGAGATCCCCATAGCTACCGAAGTCTACCATCCAAACTCGATAAATGAACAGCCCTTTGATCATTGTCAAACGATCAACGCAACCGTCCGTCCAAGGGCAACGCGGACGCCAAGAAAACCCAAAAATGACCTCTGATTTGCATATATTATGACGTATTTCGATTATATTATATATTTTAGATGTGTTGGAGAAAAAGATGACAATAAGTTGGCCTTACTGTAGTAAAACCTTAGTTAGAAACGTCTGCTTCTCTCGACATTGTTTATACTCTCATAACATGGTCTCTTTTCATAACAGATGATTACGAATTAAAATACCACAACTTGATGATCGCAAGAAATGATTGATTGGTTGAACCCATAACTACTGAATTTGTTCACCCATTACCATGCCAATTTAGATTTCAGATGCCGAAAAAAGGAGGAAAGGATACCAAAACGGAGGCGAAGGCTTCCAGAAGAACAAGATCTCAAGCCAAGATTGGGGAATCGGAGAGAGAAGAGCCTGGCCCGAGCGAAGAAAAGAAAGCAAAGGTTGATTCGCCCGAAGAACAGGAGGTCGAGAACGTTTTTGGCGTGACGTCAGAGGCTCAGGAACATCTGAATCAACAGAATCATGCACAGGATCAAGAAGATGACACAACCGAAGGACTGAAGGCGAAGATTGTGAAGTTGGAATTGGAACTGCAGGTCAGTAAAATGCATCTATGCTGTCACGGTCCGACTACAACCAAGTCAATTGAATGATTTCAGAAAGCAGAAAAGTCGAAGCGTGTTCTGTATAAAGCCCTGGTTCGAGAGCGCAATATGAATGGAGAGAAACCGTCGGTTTTGATGGCCGAGGCCACCAAATCAGGCCATAACTTCTGCAAGCCGTTTAGCGCTCTTTCGTCCGACCAAAAACACGACAGAATCCGTCTTCTGGTGGGGGTTGTAAATGAATTCGCGGACCCGAAGGGCACTTGTGAAGACCGTAAAGGAGAAGTTCAGGCCCTCATGGAAGAGCTCCAAAGCCATTTCGACACCGACGAGCATGCATTCCAATGACTGTAGATGATCCACACATATATTATATTTTTTTTCGACGCTGTTCTCCACGTGATATGAATCTTCAACTCCTTAACGTATCCTTCCTTCCTTCCCCATTTGTCCTGTCATTTATCGCTAAGGGTTACTGTAGCGGTGGTCTATAACTGAAAGGCAGCACGATATTTATGTGTTCGTTATAACCGTGTTGTAGTGTAAATAATTATTAATAAAACAGATAACAAGGCGGTTGATGGAATCACGTTATGTTCGTTAAAACGGCTTTTTAGAAGAACAAAAAATATACAATTTGGTTTCTGATGTAAAGGATAACAGGGAAAATTAAAGACAACAATGAGCAAAGTAATCCAGTTCATGACATTCGGCCTTTTTGGGACAGAAGTTGTCCTTGCACGACTTTCCCAGAAGATTCATGGTAAGTCCGCCCCCGCTGTCCGCCGTCACCACCTTTCCCTTGCGACATGTGGGCGAATAATTCTTCGAAAACACTTCTGAAAATTTTGTTTTTATAAGACTCGCACATCAAATTAATGATGATGGAAGTTGAAAAAAAAACTCACCTTGATTCTTCTTATCACAACATAATCCCGTAAATGGCCCATTAATACATTCATAACCTTTGGGGCATTTGTTTGATCCTGTATCAGAGAGCATCACTGGACCGCCACAATTTATATAATCTCCTTTCGCATCCCTGGCCGACTTCCTTAAGCCAGCACATGAGAAGAAATCAGCTAAATCATCAATATTAGATAGGATGGAGTACTGTAATTAAAAAATAATCTCATTCTTACCCAATTTGCAAGCACTCCAGCAATCAGATTGGGTGTCAAAGTTGTTCTCATTCCCTCCACATCCATTATAACGAAAAGCCAAGCATTCGAAAGTTTCCACATCAAAGTAGTACTGTAATTATTACGTAAGAAAAGAGATTGCCTACTCTAATAGAAGGGGCCGAAACACAAGTATTGCCGTAAGCTTTGGGCAATTTGCAGATGGGAGAAGCGATCGGGCTCTCTTCTTGATAATTGTTCTTAGGCTTGTAGACAGTATCATTCTCTAAAATAAAAATATTTTGTGGCCTTTTTAAGTTACCGTTATATTTTTGAGGATTACAATTGAGATCGGTGTTTTTCTTCACTTCCGCATTGATCCTTCGTCCGGTTTTTGGATCGACACAGAAGCAAAAGTCCTCTTTCAGACATTGTTCCCTTTCGTAGTCACCTAAATAGCGTCACGTAACCTTATCTATTGAGCTTACCATTCCTCTTGTTGCATTGAGGGAACCAGTTTCCATTCCTGGCCACAATCTTCACCAATTCCTTGTGACATAATCCGCATTCCGGCGTGATTGCTTTACTCGCAGTCCTCGTATGTCTGGCTTCAGTGCCATCTCTTATGTCAACACAAACACAATATTCATCCAGGCATTGAGTTAGCTCGAAGTACCCATTCGATGAACATTTTAATTTATGGGAGGACATCGTGCATGGCCCATCTTTGGCCAATACTGCAGAAATTTGGAATTGAAAAACGTTCAGACAAAGAAATCCACAAAAAACAAACAGTAAATTACCTGCTAAGCTCGTTAACAGCAAGCTCAAAAGGATTAGCATCCTGAAAACAAATAAACTCCAGTCAAACCCTTTCCTTCTCTCAAAAAAATAACAATCTTGAGATGAACTAACGCCTTGCTTTCTCCCCCCGTCAAACTAACTTCTCAATTCAACTCTCTTCGCCCAATTACAATCAAACTTTAATAACCGAGAAAAGAAAAAAAGGTAACAAATAACAAGGAGTTCCTAGAAAAAGTAATATAACTTGTTAAAGTATCAAACAGAGTTATCTGAGGCGACGTCAGAGAACCGTTTACTGTAACAATAATCATTGTTCTCCACCAACTTGAGCTCGCACAAACCAGTGGACGTAAGCTGAATGTCCTTTAAGATATTCATGGACCGTCTGCTGGGGATGGAGAAGAAAAGCCTGGCGGAGTAATTGAGTCTCATCTTCATCGATGTATGGACTCTGCAAAACGAAACTTTATAAATGAATCATAAGTACCAATAAAAGATTCGGGTAAACACGAGGCGTTATGGTCAACATCATCGGCTATTGATGTTACAAATAACGTTATTTATCTCGCGGAATAGGTCGTTTTAATGTTTTTTATAGATTGCAAACAACCCGTACGAAAATTAACGGCATTTTATGCATTAACAAATTTTACAAACAAATAAATTTCAAAGGCTTACCTGAACTTCCTGGAATGAATTCAATTCATCGTCTTCTCCAACATGTTCGGCTTCTCTTTTTACCAATTCTTCCGTTCTTTTTTGAGTATTCTCATCTGCCGGCACTCCCAAAGCCGTCGGTTTCATTCCAATAATATGTTGGCAGATTTGATTGGCCAAGACATCAGTTGGCAAAGAAGAAGATTGATCTCTACCAAGGGTTAACACAGATACAAATTGACCAATCTTAACACCGCTCGAGTCAACTAAAAAAAACTCATAAAAACAATGTATTTGAGTCTAAGCTTCAGTGCGTTAATCAAAAAACATTAATAGAGTGAAAGCTGATAGTACGGCGTACCAAAGTACAGTTGCAAAAAAAATTTAAGGCTGACTTACCATTTGGATGAACATGACCGTAGATGTCAAGACCCTTCTTTGCCACAAGAATTTCAGCTTTCTTCAGTGTAATGTTCTCTCCTAGCTTGCCAATCAGCATTGCAATTGCTTCCTTGACAGTTTTGTTACCTTCTGTTCGCAATAAATTCTCATCCACAGGGATTACAACGATTTCTTTATCTTCCTTTGGAGATTTCTCCTCAGCAATCTCTTCCCCCGCTTTTAAAACTGACTCTGTAATTTCGCAAACCTAAAGAATAATTGTAAAACATAACCAGACTTACCAATTTCTTGAATTCATCGCTTCTGGCAACAAAATCGGTCTCACAATTTAATTCTACTATGGCAGCCACATTTTGTTTGGACTTGAAACCAACAAAACCTTGAGAGGCAACTCTTTTGCTCAATCTAAACGACTTTAATTCATGAAAAACAACTTACTTCGTTGCTTTGGCCCATCCTTCTTTCGCGGCCAACTCTTTCAGCCACTGAATAGCTTCAACCTCATTGTCTTCACCATACTTTAGAAGAGCTTTCCGGCAGTTGACATAGCTGTAACCCGTTTTTTGTCGAAGTTTCACTAATGCCTAAAAATTAAAAATAATCCTTTTGCTAAACTTTACCTCTTTACTAACTTTCTGAGCTTGTTCTGGCTGAGCAGCACTGAGGAATCGTAAATGGCTGGTTACAAGACGAACTGAACGAAGGCCAGAGGCGATTCGGAACATTTCCACGGCAAATAGAAGAACTAGAACAATTAGAACTAGTCTTGACGAAATTCGTGAGTTTTCACAAATTTGGGAAAATATTTATTTCTTGAAACAGAATGCCATAATGCCAAAAATGCGCGATTTGATATAATTTTAAAGTACGAATAATAATGAGCGAAATTATTCAGCTGCAGCTGATAACTTCACGGTTATGTTCCATCAATGACCTCTGATTGAACATTTTGGTTGTCCTTCCTTTCCATCTTTATGTTAGCAACTTTTCCGACCAGTAGTTGCTTGCAGATTACTTCTTTAGCCTCTCTTTCCTTTCTCGTCGATGAAAGTCGTCGTCTAATCGTATCCAATTTTGAATTATAATCTTTTGAAACTTGATGGGGATCCTCTGTCTCCAACACTTTCAAGTTTTCCTTTGTTTTACCGATCTCCAATTCAACTTTCCTCACACTTTCGATCAGGTCAAGCAAAGTTGTTATCATTGAATCTCCCATTTCTCTAAAAGTCAGGCCTATAATAATACCCTTTATTACTTTCTCCTTAATTCCTCCACTTTGTCAGCTTTCGACTTGGCCAGATCTCTTTTTTCAACCAGATTTTTCAAAGTTTTTTCCATCTCTATGACCTGAGCCACCTCGATCTTCAACTTCTCATTGAGAATCTCATCATTCATCGATGGAATATCAGAAAGATTAGAAGCCATACTTATTTTTAGAGTTATACAGCTCACGAAGGAGACCTCAAGTGTATAAAACTGGTTTACGCATGAATAAACTGTATTTTCGTAAAACTTTTTGGCCTTTTCAGGCAAGGTAGCGTGACATTGGAATTAATTCGTTGTCTTTGTTGTCAACCGGAATCTCGACATCAATTGGAGCATCATTTTTCACTGGGCATGTAACGACATTACTGATCGGATCGACGACTTTGGACTGGGTTTCGAGTTGAGTCATGGCTTCTGTTGTTTTATCCTTGTTTTTGGGCTTTGCATTCTTCCTGGAAGATTGGATACATAAATCAGATCAACTTACTGTCGATATTGTTGAAGTTGCAGATTGAAAGCTTCAGAGCACAGGTCGGTATTTTCTTCTTCGGTTGTATCATTACCTTAAATAAAATAAGTATTCAATTTTGTAAATAATCAAGAACTAGACATGGAATTGTATAAATCAATGTACGTTGTTCTTTCTTTGGTTGAATCTTCGGCTGTTCAGCTGGCTTTGCATCCGACAGCAGCTTCGAATCCGTAATAATATTATCAGTCTCTACCTTTTCTGTAATTTTAAAATTACAATTTCAAACTGTTTATGTACCTACTGGACTCGTTTGCAATTTCTGGCTGTTTAACTTTCACTCCATTAGGCGGTTGCTTTGCGGTTCCAGGTGCCTTTTTTAGTGTCTTCCACTTAAGCCTGTTTCCCTTCGCTCCTTTTCGTGAACAGTTCCACGCAGCGATTGTGATACTTATTGGTATTATCAAGATTATCAAATACATCTTCAGACACAACCGTTTTCCAGCCCCCTCATAAAAATACCACCGATCCAAATTTTACATGTTTGCGAGAAATTCTCATCAAAAGCGATCACAAAAATTGTCAATCCGTTTCAAAAGTCGATAGTGGCGTTTAGTCTTATTTAGATTAAAATAAAAAACGAAAATGTTGAAATTCTTGTCAAATTTTGATAGAATTACCTAAACAGTCTGATGGCAACTTCATTTACTTGTTAGAAATGCTCAGTAGACTAGTCAAACCGAGATCATTGGCCTTGATTGGCGGGACTGGCGTGGGAATTGGATATCTGGTCAATAATAATGAATATGTCTCCCATTTAGGGATTGTTAGGTTCGCTAGGGCTGGATTAACGGTATGTCTTGCTTCTTTCTTTATTGTCTTCTTTAGGCCAGTAAAATGATCGTTGATTATAAAATAACAATGAGAGGAGATCCAGGATCAGAAGAATATCAGCAGCGAATGCATTTATGCCATTTGAGAGGGGCGAATAGGATCCTGGAGTTGTGTCGTAATAACGGAGGTGTGTTTATCAAGGTTGGCCAGCATGTGGCATCATTGCAATATCTTTTACCGGAAGAATACATATCGGTATTGGGTGTCTTACATTCGAAAGCGCCCTCAAGTGATATTATAGAGATCAAAAAGGTTTTCGTAGACACAACGGGACGGGAAGTAAGTCTCCAGATTTAGAACTTATTCATTTAGGTATTAGTTGGAAGATGTTTTCGAGTATTTTAACCCTGAGCCTTGTGGAGCGGCTTCTTTGGCACAAGTTCACGAAGCTCGTCTCAAATCTGGAGAAAGGGTGGCAGTGAAGATACAGCATCCAAAAGTGAGGGACAGGTCGGTTATGGATGTGGCGACCATGGAATTGTTTGCTCGGATAGCCGATTATCTATTCAGTGACTTCAAATTAATGTGGTTGGTGGATGAGACAAAGAAGAATCTTCCTAAAGAATTAGACTTTATCCATGAAGCCAAGAACGCCGAGAAGGTTAGGGAGTTGTTCAAACACATGGATTTCTTGGAAGTCCCGAAGATTTATCTTGATCTCTGTTCGGAGAAAGTTCTCACGATGCAATTCTGTGAAGGTTGTCAGATCTCAGATGTGGATTACTTCAGAACAAATAATATTGATACGCATGATGTAAGTTTACGCTTTTCTGGCTTGATTGCATTTAGGTTTGTCGTAAAATAGGTCGCTTGTACAGTGAGATGATCTTCAAGGATGGTTATGTTCATTGTGATCCCCACCCAGGAAATGTTCTAGTCAGAAAAGAAGGAAGCAAAACAAAACTGGTCCTTTTAGATCATGGACTTTATTCGGTAAGTCAAAGCGGATATAATGTCTACTTGCGGACGGAGCGGAGATTCTTTCCTTCGTTGTCCGAAGCGATAACGTGTTCACCAATCCTGTCGATGATCTGGACACGTTTTCCACCATTGGATCGGCCCATAATGCCCTTCTTCGGCTAGAACAACAAAAGCTATTTCAGTATAGATAGCATGATAATAGATCAGTTCCAACTTACCGCGCCTTTTTCCTTCAGTCTGGCGCGTTCCTTAGCTGCAATGTCTCTGACATCCGAGTTCATGGCCACAGATGGAGGTTGAGCGGGATTGGCCTGAAGTGCCTGCTGGGTCCAGTGCTTAGCTTCCATGGATTCTGGTCTCTCCACGACCATTGTCGCAAATCCTTGGGACTGGAGGGACTTGAGAAGGAACTCTCTGGCCACGTCTTTGTCCGTAACTGGTTTGGAATCAATGTCGATGATGTGATCTCCGACCTTCATCTGAGCCGAGGCCAATGAATTGGGATCACATCTCGAGACCAGGACTCGGTTCTGGTAATGGCGAATGCCCAAGCCGAGTTTGGGTCCTCCGGGTTTCCATTCGATTTTGACCAGCTGAAACTATTAGTCACTGTGATCAGTGGCATACGAAATATTCGAAGCCATCACGGCGTTGGATCAACTTGGCACGATCAGGGGGGATGTGAACCTTGGCCTCGAGCTCGGCCGCCTTGTTCTCGTCTCTGATTATGTGGAGCCGGGCATTGGGAGGGGCGAATCGCAACAGCTGGAAGAAGTGGTTCGTGTCCCGGATCGGAGTGTCATTGATCTTGACAATTTGGTCTCCAATCTAAAAGCGCAATGCCCGTCTTCAGTGGTCTTACCTTGAGCTTTCCCTCGGCCAAAGTGCCGGCTTGGACTCGAACGACGACCAGCTTGTCATTGGGTGTAGCGCCCAGCGGTTCCCCTTCCTCTATGGGGATGTCGATGACCTTCTCCTTGTCCGCCATCTTGTCTCGCTAAATGGACGGGACAACCAGAAGCGACCGACCGACCAACTCTCAGCAACTCAGACGACGCAATGAAAGCATTCTTGTGGTCCCACGCAGTCTTTATACTTCTTCTTACTCTTCGTTATGCAAATTTTGAATCCGAGAAGAATGACTTTTATTGTACTTTCAGGCTCTCGATGAAGACTTCCGAGTGGATTACTGTAACTTGTGGATGGCTATTTTGAAGCCGGACAAAGATGAGATTAAAAATATCTGCACTAAGATGGGTGTGGGTGAGCTCTTTGGGTTGTTTGCTTGTATTGTAACTGCTCGGTCTTGGGAGTCAGTAACCAAAGGCATCACCAAAGTTAAAACAACAGCTTCTGAAGTGAGTTTACTTATTAAAAGATTAGTCATTTAGACTTCACATATCAGAGAATTTGCGTCTTCATTGATACCACAGATCAGCCAAGTTTTGGACCGAATGCCTCGAGCAATGTTGTTGATTTTGAAGACCAATGATCTCCTGAGAGCAATTGAACATAGATTAGGAGCTCAGAACAGATCAGATGCTTTCCTTGAGGTGATTTGTAGACCTATTTGCGTAAATTGTTCAATTTAAGATGAGTAGGCAATGCAGCAGGACGGTGTTTGATTACCGAAGGGCGAAGACGAAGTCTGTGGTGGCAAAGTTTGTGTTGACGGTAAAGCTTTACACAATCCTCTTCAAGATCTACCTTTACGAAGTTTACCTCCGGTTCCGGGAAATGTTTTACGGTGCTGAGAGTCTGAGAGCCCAGTCGACATCTCGTCCGCTTTCAATTGTTTATTAGGAACAATAAATTTTTATAGATGATCAATGGAACTAGATTACGCAAGACGCATCGTACGTTGTTTTTTTATAGAAGTAGTCGAATGGGGAACATGACGATTGGGAAAGTCAAAATCAATTTTTCAGTTATTCTCTGTATAATAAATTCCCGACACATTTATCGCGGATGTAGCGCGCGAAAGTTGAAGTTAGCTTGCGCGAAAGTGCGTGCCGCAAGTGCAAAAACGGGAGTTGCCGCAGCGATTCCGAAAATTCTCACAAAACTCGAAAGTTGAAAAATCCGAGAGCTTGCACGACCACCATCGAACAATGACCTCAAAGGAACAGGTTCTTTGATATGATAGGATGTAGACAGCTATATTACAGACTTGGAACTGTCATCCAGCCCTCAAAAAAACGAAGTTATGTCAGTGTTTGCATATTTCTACAGCCCTGTTTATCCCCAAATCCCATGGTTCATTTATTTTCTCATCTCAGTATTGAGATGAGAATAAATTGAAATGCATTAATTATGCAGCTTTTCACGAAATTCGATTCTAATTTCTATTTTTCGCATCCTATTTTGGGCACGTAAGATGTTTCGCACACAAGTTTTAATTGTCGCCTTGCTTTTTTTACATTTTGTTTGTATACTAAAATGACGTCATATATCATCGAAGATGTCATTTTCAGTGTTTAATTCGAGTCCTTCTAATTGTTATAGACAGAGACAAAAGGAACGCGGAACATGACTAATTTGACTCGACTAGAGAGCCGGGAATGGATGATTCGAAGACAATGAAGACTGAGTCAATGTATGAACATTGACTAAGCCATTGATAAAATTCAAATTTTTCGGGACCACAAACAAAGGCCAGACTGTGGATAAGGCCACGGAGACCACAAACGGGGCATTACAGCAGAAAGTACACAATGATTCCTTTCTTTGGATATTTGACATTTACTTTCTAGAGAAAAAGAGAGATGAAGATAGACAACCCGTGTCCGATTAATCGATGGCCTTGCCCAAAAGTTTTCCGCTGAAGATCTCGTTCTTTTCATACGGGAAGGCGGGATTAGGGCCGTCAAAATAATGATCCAACTTGAGCTCCCGAAGCAATTTGAACTCCAATTTTTGCTCATACATCTTCTGAGAAGGTTTGGAGTCAGCGACGACAAGAACATGATCACAGTTGAACTTTTCCTTGGCCAAGCGAATTGTCATCTGAGCCATGTCGGTGTAAATCCCCCGTCTACAAATGATTGTAATTTAAAGGGCCAGACAAACAAGAACAAGTAAGAATGAAAAACTTACTGCTGATATTCGGGAGCGACTCCACCCATTTCAACGAACATGATCTTCTTTGCATTGGGCAACAATCTCTCCAGATCCGAGCTCAATGTGTGCCAGAATACCCACATTTTCTTGGCCGCTCGATTTTCATAAAGGGCCGCATCAATTTCTGTAGTATTATATTACACTGTGATTGAGTTTAGCGTACCTGGAGAGTAATCTTTGGTGGGGAGGATGTCCGGATGGGAGATTGGTTGGCCGTTTGAAGGTTCCATTTTCCGAATTGAGTGCATCGAGAAACCGACAAGTTCATCGCCAACAAACCCCAGAAGAGAGCAGTGTTCCTTGACCGATCTGTTCACAATCTGATTCGCCAAGTCCAACATATCCTCTGGTTTGGCACCTAAAAGACGTTTCAGATTACAAAACTCTTCAATCGGCTATAACCCAGAAGAGGATGACCTACCAATCGATTGAAGAAGAGGTGATTGATCACCAATATTTTCGCGCCAGAAGTCGACAATATGTTCAATGTCATGTTCAACGGCAATCTCATAATGAACGATACCCTTGAGGAACTCTGGAGGCTTAGGTCGCGTAGCTTTGCACCAAATGGAGCCATCAGATGGACCATACGGTTTCTCGGGAAGGACTGGCGAGTGACTGTAAAGCCTGCGGGCACATTTGTCATTTGCATAAACCTTGGCCAAGACCGTTCTGAAAACATTTCATAAGGCCATAAAGAGGTCATAAAAGTAATGTTTTCTTGTTTATGGGGACTGCTTCGATCTACGGGCATCTCCTTAATGGTAATTCCACTCCCTTTCATTGTCACGTTTTCACTGTAATTTCATTTTGTTTTCCAGTGAGATTATCCTTCCAACTGCTAAAATTAGGTCCCGGCCCGTCTTCTTCTTTTCCGGGAACTCTCGAAAGCAAAAACAGGAAAAAGAAAAATTAAATCATAAACATCCGACAACTGCTAACACATTGGAAAAACATGGCCAGGCAGACTAATTTTATGTCTGTTCTAAGTGTGCTACACACAATTTGAAGGCCAAAAAAGGTCATAAAACGAAAACATGGCCAGAAATTGTGGAAAAGTTTGTTTTTAGACGAGAGTTTGCATGTCCAGGTCTCATCTTCCATGTCTTAATCTCACTTGTCCCTGATCTCCAACCTATGTGTCCCCATTTTTGCACGTTTTTTTGTCGAACACGGGTTCTCCATTCTTTCCATGGGGCGTCAATCTTTAAGATTTATGTCCCGGATGCCCTTATCACTTCCCTGTGCATATAAACGAGGGGGTAATAAGAGGTTTAGTATCGTTTTCAGGGTTATAACGAGGTCTGCCAGCTGTTTTCTTACCGTTCTTTTCTTCAAGACAATTCTATATTACCCATAAGTCCCCCTAACTTATTGTATCGGTAATCCAGATGTTTAATATTAAGTAATATTACACTTACCTGGAAACAAATCTCTTGGCAAGTGACATTGCGGGAAGATGGAGCGACGGCAGGGTGCACCGTCGTGTCTGGTGGTGTTCCAGACTGACTGGAGAACGGGGACAACGTGGCGACGAAATTTTGAAACTGAAAAATTAAAAGTAAACTAAATTTGCATAAAGAAAAATAAGAAAAACGCAGGCAAATTGGAGTGACATAGGGAAAGCGGCCAATCCAAGCGGAATCATCGACCAAGACAAGACTTTGAAAAGAAAGTTATTGTTTACCCCAAATACTGGGTTATTGTGTGGCATGCGATATGGTTATACAAAGGAGGCGTGTTTTATTTATACTTTCGGAGTGCATGGTACTATAAATATGGGTCATATTTCGGGGTTTGAACCCAGAAGACCCGTCAAAAAGAAGAATCGTGGGAGATAACACCTTCTCGATGTTATACACACTCTTTCGGCATGAGAGATCAAGTGTTCGGGGATATGGTAATGGTGACATTACAAATGAAAGTTAAAAAAATTATACAGACAAGGCCCATGAACAAGGTCAGCACTAACATCTTCAGTCTGAAAGACGGCGTTTGCGGCTGAGCATTTCTCCCAAGCATGATTTCGTCACATCGCGGAACGTTCGGCACGTTCGCCTAATCAAAACAAGCTCCCCGCCCTTCTCGGCGTTTTTTAAACCCTCTGGCATTTGGCGGCCGAAAGGGGCGGCACGTGTGTGCCGGCTCTTTCTTGGACAATGTTTTTTATTTTGAGTTTCCGGGCAGTTGGCTCATGACCTCGGCCTGTTTTCGACGTTAAAGTTCGGCTGTTCTATTTATATTCGACTAGGATTATATTTAGGTAATTGCTTCCTGGACCGGGCGAATCGAAATTGCAAAGCATAGCGCTAAGGCAGTGTCTGTCGTTGTTTCGGGTTTATGATCACTGATTCAGCTAGGAAATAAACATGAAACAAGAGACAAACAAAAGAAGGAAAAGTGATGACTATAACGAAAGAGACAGATCACAATCGTAAGGTCATTTCAGGTCAACAAAACTATGTATTGGTGGCAAATAGGCATCAACTATTATCACAATTAGGTTGTTAACTGATCAAACATTAATTTCGAAATTGCTATGAATAAAATTATTAACCAGGCAGATTGTGGCATGACTAAACAAAGATCAGATGGCAATCATGTCAGAAGGCCTCCAAATATTCCTAATCTGTCCCCGATTACTGACGCCCTTAGGACCAATTGCCAAAATTCTCCCTAAGCGGTAATCTGGTTGTAATTAGCTCCATTACTCCTCTTGGTTACGTACAATTACTTCCCATTTCAAAGTATTAGAGATTTGATATTCGATAAAAGAGCCCTTAAAAACGGGCCCTTCTTCTTCTAATCCCAAGCCAAACAAATTGCCAAAACAATTCTCGAGGAATCTACAAATAGGGTTTTTGCACAAAAAGAGTGCTGCTAGTCTTCTTTCTTTCTGTGCCTCGGGCAAAAAAATCGCCAAAAAATGTGAATATTTATAGTACTTCCGGAGAATTTCTATTTTTGGAATTGGATGTAAATAACAAGACAACATGATTTCTACATAAAAAAGTTATTGTTAACGTAAACGGACAATTATTCAGTAGTTTGACCGGCCCTGAAGTGGAGTAAACAACATCAAAGATTGGCCTAGAGGACATGACTTCGGGGTGCATCATCAACTTCCAGAAAGTTCTTGCTTTCTTATGAAGATATTGGAATAAGGCTTCTATTAACACGACTAAATATTGTATTGGGATTCACAGTGATAGACATAACATGATCTTCTTCTACCAATGACTTTAGGATGAATTCGAAAAGCTGGAATGACGTCTTTTATCTTCGGGGTTCCTGTGATCAAGGCAATTTTATTGAACCATCGTTTCACCGTGACCGGACTCATAGCACACTGGCCGAACATGGCGTTCATACTTCGTGTAGCTTTTGAAAACTTCGTACCCTGTTTTTGTTCAATTTAAAGGCACGAATCGACCTTTTATCCATAACTTTGAATTGAGGCTAAACTACCGTAATCTTATCCAAATATGGCAACTGATACATTAAACGAAAGCCTGAGATTGCCGCTTCAAAATGGGATAATATTGTGAGATTTGGTTGTTGATTACCTTTTTTATAGACCTTTGACTTTGCCCATCTTGAAGAGGGACATTATTATATTTATGGGACAACCTAATGTGAAAACTAAATATTTTTTTATGGTCAAGGTGGCCATACTATGAGATAGAAGTAGCCAAAGTGATAAATTTCTACTAAAATTATGCAAATTTCTGAATTTGGAAACAAGAAAAAAGAGCGATCGGCCCCATACTACTTACTGATTGGGTTGTGGATCGGTCGGTTGTTTCCGTCGATCCTTCACTGACTTCCTCGATCGTCATGACCAACACTAACCGTCGCTCCGTCAACAAATCCAACAACAGGAGGTCCAACAACCGCCGTTCCCGTCGTTCTCGTCGTCGTTCCGGGTATGCTTTGGCCATGTGAAAAGAAGCATTGCGTTATGATGATATTCTATATCTTCAGATGGTTCCGTCGTCGTGTGATTGAGAGCAGCAGTACGTCCGACAGAAGTGCTGAATCCGCGGCCTCGAATTCCAATTCGATCTCCAGTCTCAGCCAACGAATCCCTTTCCTGAGATCGTTGTCTTCGCTGACAGGAGTCTCCACTCCTCCAGCCACTCCTGCCTCTTCCAATGCTTCCAGTCAAACTGCTATTCCAGCTCCGGATTTCGGTCCTCAACCTCCGAATCCATTCAAATGTAAGTGTAGTGATGATGATATTTGCGGTATTTTTTACTGGTCATATTTTATGTATTCTTTTGTTTTTTTTTCAGTGTTGGCTCCAGATCCGAACAAGTTGGTTTTCGAATGTCAATTGGCCCACGGCAGTAAGACGGTGAAGATCACGAATGTGAGCGGCCTGAGTGACATGTACAAGGCCATTGCGGATCAATTCCCTGATATTTCTGCGGAGGATATCCTTTTCTGCACCGTGAATACTCACAAAGTAGACATGGACAGACTTCTCAGCAGCAATCTCGCCATGGATGACTTCATCTTTGCTCATGTCAAGGGGCAGAAGAAAGAGGTCACCTTTGTCAAGAAGGCTGGGTAAGGTGATAAAACCGGAAAGTGTTTTGTCAGAGATTACTCAATGTTATATCAGATGTTACGCAATAATGTTTTGATTTTAGTGTGCTCGGCTTGACCGTTACGGACAATTCGAATGGCTTGACTTTCATAAAGAGAATACTCCCGGACTCTGTTTGTGCCACTGTCCAGCCGGCCATTGATATTGGAGATCACATTGAGAAGATCAATGGTGAATCTGTGATTGGAAAGCGACATTTCCAGGTCGCCAGAATCTTGAGAGCCCTTCCAATTGGAACTCAGTAAGTTTTTTAATCTTCGATTAATCTAAATTACGTTAGGTTGACTCTCCGTCTGGTGTCGCCCTTCAAAAATGGATTCTCTTTCTTGGCCGCACGGTCCGAAGTCCGTCCTCGAGCTTCTCAAGATGTCGGAGATGGCTGCCAGACTCTCAGATTCTTTGCCAATGGCCAGTCGACTGTTCAGGAAGCCCCGAACAAGGTTCTTTTGGCCAAGATCAACAAAGTTTTTGAGGAATATCTGGGAGTCAACGACGATGAATTGGCCTTGAGTATCTGGGAATTGGGGCGTGGATGTGGAGATTTGATGGAAATGGAAGACAAATTGAGGGCTTCGGAAGACCTGAGTGCCTTCTCTTTCCCCGATGAGCTCATCTTTGATATGTGGGGAATCGTCGATGATCACAAGAACAACAGGATCCAGAAAGAGAAGGAAATGGACGACGGAAAGAGTGCTCATCCTGACCTTAAGATCGAATAAACTGACTGAATCGAGTTGTTTTTGTTTGTTGATGAATTCGTCTCTGATTTCATCTCTCCCGTCACCTTTCAATGATGAACAAGAGAATAAGAATTACTTTTTGAAAGAGTAGCTTATAAAAAAGTAAGAAAAGTTTTGCAAAAACAACCGATCTCTTTCCGGTCTTGTTTACAGCAATTTGGCTTTGGTCGACAGCGGCGTTCCGTGTGACCCAGCGTCTTTTCGGCACGATGTTCTCCGCTGAACCGTTCCATCGACCCCCCTTTTACTTTCCCTTCCATTTAACCTCTTGACGATCGAAGGTGAAAACCACTTTTTGGGAATTATATAAATGTTCATAACCCTGCTCGTTTTTGCACCTTTTTCTTCACTCAACAGCCCCTCCAAAGTGCGAGTAATTGCGGTCTCTTAAACGTCTTCAGAAGTCGCAGAAGTCTCTTTTTCTGAATCCGCCCATTTTGACGCAAACCCTAACTTGTACTTTTTTTCAGTTATTGGATGACGAAATGAGGATAATTGGATTAATTTTTCTGGCCGGACTTGTTGCCGCATCCGGTGAGTTTACCTCGAGCAACTTTCTTCTTAAATTACTAGGTACTGCTTGTATTACAGTATCCCGAAAGTTGCAATTTAAAATAGCGTATAACTTCCGCGTTTTCCCTCGCTTTTATCACGTATTTCTCAGATGACGAGGTATTCGAATTCGATAAAAGCGGTGAATCCACAGAGCCTCTGCCGGTTTTGTCATCAAATTCCACCAAGAACGATGACTTGGCCAAGTGTAAATTAAATCCAGATGTAGGAACTGGAGAGGAAAAAGGTAATTAAAAATTAGTTGTAATGGTTATTATTTCATTTATTTAGTTTCTAGATACTATTACAATCCCGTAAACAAGACTTGTTTTGAATTTGAATATCTTGGAAATGGCGGGAACGAAAATAATTTTGGGTCTGAATTGGATTGCCTTAGTGAATGTTATTCGGAAGTCAAAGATGGCCCTCAATTGAAAGAAGAAGATGTTGTTATGATTGATCCAAGGCCCACTAGAGATGTGGAAGCTTGTGTTTTTCCAAAAGACAGCGGCACTGGGAAGGGTATCTGTAGCTTTTTGTGATGACAATTCTTTTAGACGCTGTTCAGAGGTTTTATTACAACGGAGAATTAAATAATTGCTTCGCTTTCAAATATTTTGGCCAAGGCGGAAATAAAAATCGATTTGGAAGTCGATCTGAATGTGAAGAGAAATGTCTCAAAAGTAAGAACGTTTTGAAAGCTTCTTGTTTTTATGCAAATTTAATAATCATGATTTAGTGGATGGCTCCGTCTGCAAAATCCGGCCACCAGCAGAAGCCGTAGATCTTGGGGATGATTGTAGAACAACTAAATGCCCCGAAGGCTTCAAATGTTTCCAAGGGGCCCATTCCCCGGAGTGTTGTAACGCGACTGTTCAAGGTACCCTTTGTTTTCTTTGCTTACTTAAATGGGTTTAGAAACCGTCCAACAGATCTTTGATCCTTTGTGTCCAAACGGAGAAAGAGCGTTTGGAGAACAATTGAACGAGTTCTACCACGTCTCCGTTGGGAGATCTTGTGATGATCTTCTTTGTCCCGATGGCTTTGAATGCACAAAGATGGGGAAAGAGATCGCCAAATGTTGTCCGGCCATCAAATCCGGCTTCCGAAGAGACATCCCGCTGCCTGAGGCGGGATTTCAAGGTGGATTTAATTGGTTTCTCTAAGCCCTTCGCTTCTCCAACTGTACATTTTTTAAACATTTCCTTTCTTCTTTCCAATAAACTGTAAACTTTTTTTAAAGTTCGAAAGAAAACCCGTCCCTCCGCCCGTTTCTTCGCCGTCCCTCCGCCGATTGGCCGCGATTTCTGCGGTTTGGCACCGGAACGCGGAAATTGTTCAGGTGAGGGGAGAAGGTCAAGTGGAATGGCTGAATGAGCAATCCTGTTCTTTCATTTTGATTTCAGGGGAACAGCAAAAGTTCTACTTTTTAGCCGAATGGCAGAGTTGTTTCGCTTTTAAATACTCGGGTTGCGGCGGTAATGAAAATCGATTTGATACTCGAGAAGAATGCGAACAAGCTTGCCTTTTTGGTAAGTCAATTTACAGTTGTTAGAATACCTTGGTTGAATTATGAAACAGGTTATGCATGACCACGATTACTTTAGCTGACGGATCTGTCTGCCGGGGTCCTCAACGGCCTGTCTTTCCCAAAAATAATGATAATAAATGCTCAAAGGTATCATGCCCTGAGGGCTTTGAGTGTTATGAAAGTCTGCAACAAATAGAATGCTGCAATAAGACCGCGCAGGGTAAGAAATTTTGTCTTCACGTGACCCTGTTTTTGCGCCTGAATAATATTTTTGAATTTTCAGACACCTTCAAAAGTTTTTATTCCGAGAAATGCCCAAACGGCCAAAGAGCCCAAGGCACCGTATCTGATGGGTATTTCTGGGCAATTGTGGCCGAGAATTGCAGCGAGTTGACTTGTGAATCCGGATTTGAATGTCTTCAATTCTCAAATCATTCAAAATGTTGTGAAAAGTCGAGATCTTTACCTTCCACATCCCATCATCCAAAGATGGTAATGGCCGGTGCTATGATGCACAATGGGATGATCAAAGGGGCAGATTCCATCGCCAAGAGAAGTGTAGAAGTATGCCCAGCTATCGAAAAACGGCTGGTCAAGTCCTGTTCGCAGATATTAACCGACATGGAGGTGGTTCGGAAGATCTGGCAAGCCCCGAGGATAATATCGGCTGAGGGAATTATACAGGTTTGTTCCCTTTTTTGAAATTTTATTCTATTACATCGGAGATTTGTAATATTAATAACTGACACCTACTTACAGCATTTGAACATAATGTGCACAAAGTTTGAGGAATACAGGAACTGCTTGACCATGATGACCTCCAATGCCGCTTGTTTGGATCCGACGATGTCAAGAAAGGAACAAATCCTTGGATTCATTTGTCAAAAAGTGGTTAGAGAGGCAATTGTCAGCACTGAGAATCAACGATGTCTCAGGAGAATTTCGAAAATTGAAAGGGTAAACCCAAGTTTCATCCTGATTTTTGAAATTTATTATATCTTTTAGATCAGAAATTGTGAAGATGAGTTGGAAAAAGGGCTTGTAAATAATTTATTCGACAAGTATTCAATATGCAATGCCTTCGACGATACGTTGCAATGCTCAGCCAGCGAACTTCTCAAATGTGGCCCCAATACCTTCAGCCTGATGAAAAATATTATAACAACCCTCAAGGCGAACATAAAACAATGTGTAAACCAGACGGAGGAGTTGGAGAAGATGGAAACTGTTGATTCTGAAGACAAGGACGACGATGAAGAGAGTCATGAGGATGAAGATTACGACTCTTCAACCGTCTCTTCAGCTGAACTCACAACTCAAATGCCACCAACTACAACAAGAAAAGCGAAAAGAAAAGATCGCCGATGTCCTCGAGAGCACGTGGAGAAGGCCGAGAGTTGCACTTATTTGATTGGATTCAGGAAGATACGGGAGATTTTTCGCCTTCAGAATGACTTTGTTTTGGCCAATTTTGATGTAAGTCCGGGTTGCCGCATTACTCTTCGTACCTTACACTCGATTACTTTTTTAACATTTGTAATGATCCACACGCAATTATTCAATTAGAATCTGAGCGTCATAGCTGAGTCCAAAGAACATTCAGAAAAGCCGACATTGAAAGTAATGTTTTATAGTAAACTTTTTATATACAGTAGCTGCCAAAAAACTGTCAATTTTTTTGTTTTCTGTGTAACTCTGCTCAACGTGGACGGATTTCAACGAAACAAATACCATTCTGTAGAGAATTATTGTTGTTATCTAATGGTGTAGCGGTTGGAGCGATTTTACATCTTAGTGTGTTACAACTGTCGATGTAAAATTTTCGGAAAGACAAAAAACTGTCAATTTTTCCAAAAAAATTTTACCGCTTTCATACGTCGCGGCAAGTCATGGGTTTATACATTCCGATTTTTAAATAAAGTCCCACTTTATATAATTAACCATCAAAGGGAGCCAAGAAAGTTAATTTAGTAGACCTTTTGGTGGTCCCAAGTTCGATACCCCAAGACATGACGTTTAAGAAAAAAACGATTTTTTTCTTTGACTTAGCATTGACGCAATGCCTTGCAGTAGAAGCTAGACAACCTACAATTAAAATAGAACAATGATTGGGAGCCTAAATGTAAGTCTACGGACTCCACTTGACATTCAAGTTTTTCTGGCAGTAGATGTACCGTGGAACTTCAGCCCGGGTGCTTCCGCAGACACCTCTAATCGTAGTTCCAAAGCGACAGAAGGCACCCATGTTAACAGTGAACGGTTTAGAACCGATACCGCGCCAGGCCCGTACTTTGCGCGTAAAATAACAAGCTCCTAATTGGAATTTTTGAAGAAAAATTGTTGTCTCGATTTTCACTCTCCATAGGATGGAAATAAAGCTGCGCAAGGACAAGCAAGATGTTGTCCCATACATTTACAGCCATTCCTGACATTTCTAAAGTAATTTCACTCCCTCTAACGTGTTTCTAAAGTCTTATGCTGGCTTGCAAGTTTCCACAAAAAAATTTTTTTGTTAATGACAACATAACCCACCGTAATTCTTATGTGACTTGCATCGCCGTCCTACAAATGCCCATAAAATGCTTCTAGAACATCTGTGATCATGTATTGATAAAACATTAGCAAGTTGTTACAAAGGCGGGGGCAACAAGGCCAACTCTCTATAGAAAGTCGATTACCGGAGAAACTTGAATGTCAAGTGGAGTCCGTAGACTTACATTTAGGCTCCCAATCATTGTTATATTTTAATTGTAGGTTGTCTAGCTCCTACTGCATGGCATTGCATTAATGCTAAGTCAAAGAAAAAAATCGATTTTTTCTTAAACGTCATGTTTTGGGGTATCGAACTTGGGACCACCAAAAGGTCTACTAAATTAACTTTCTTGGCTCCCTTTGATGGTTAATTATGTACAGCGGGACTTTATTTAAAAATCGGAATGTATAAACCCATGACTTGCCGCGACGTATGCAAGCGGTAAAATTTTTTTGGAAAAATTGACAGTTTTTTGTCTTTCCGAAAATTTTACATCGACAGTTGTAACACACTAAGATGTAAAATCGCTCCAACCGCTACACCATTAGATAACAACAATAATTCTCTACAGAATGGTATTTGTTTCGTTGAAATCCGTCCACGTTGAGCAGAGTTACACAGAAAACAAAAAAATTGACAGTTTTTTGGCAGCTACTGTAGTAAAGAATATAATTTTTGATGGTATTTGATGTCCAAAACGCGATGTGATCAACAGTCTCTGAGCCTTTATTCCCTGACGCCTTTTAAGAGCCAGAGGTTATTCTGGCACCCAATAAGGATGTGGATGGGCTTGCTTTAGCCCGTTATGGTCTCATTAAGGCCAATCCTTCGATGATTAGGGCTCTTCTTTTACTGTTATTTTTACTCCATTTTCCCGTTTTCGAACTCTTAAGATGTCTGAGGGTCCTCTTTATACGTAATGATTGCAACCTTTCACACGATTCCTCGACTCGCCTCTTTCCCACAAACTGCACAGTATATAGTTTTGGTAAACAAGAGATTTGTCTTGTCAACTTTCCACAGCTTGGTCTACTATAAACGTGAAATGATGACTCGTGAAGACAGCTTGATGACTCAAAACATGTTTTTTGGACTCACAAAATAAATAATTTTAGGTAAACAACATCAATGAATACTGTGATCATTCCAAAAGTTACCGTAAATGCATGGAATTGTCTTTATCGGCGGATCAGCGATGTTTACATTTACTCAGCGAGGACCCCTTTTACTCGTTCATTGTGGCATTTGAAGACAGATTATGCGAGGTAGATCCTCGAATTAATTAGCGGAATTAATTACTTGTAATTATAGAGTGAAAAACAACTTAAATGGCTGATAAACGCGGGCTGCCTGAGTAATATTGCCCAAGTCCCCAATCTGGGTGAATGTCTCAAAAATAAGGGGACTCAGGACGAAAGGGTAATCCTAATTAATCGCCTTAAATGTACATGATTACTAATTGAGACAGTCATCCTTTGTCAATCTGATATTGTAGGTGTTGTGTAAAGTCACCGAGCATATGGAGACCTGTGTTTACAGCGAAATAAAGACGACCTGTCGATTACAAGAAGTCCAATTCTTCAGTGAGCTCATGGAAATGTTGAAGCATCGTCATAGGTTCTGTCAGCCAATGGCCAATCGGACAGTTGTCAGAAGCCGGCACGATACGCGGGCTGTCCAATTTGATGACAAAGACAATGGGGCCTTTCCATTAAGTAGACAAGGTAACTGCGATGCTAATCAAAGTACTGCAATACCTCTTTTTATCTGCTCCTTTGAACGTTTCAACATCACCATCATCCCTTTCAATGTATAATCTATTTATAATATTTCTTGGACATTCGATATCCCAGGGTGGCGAAATCTCTGAAAGTTTGCGTTGTCAAAAATAGAAGTGTATCCGGTTACTAGAAACATATATGACAACATGAGCGGACATGGTTATTCTGTTTACTTATTTGGTTATGTCTTGTTCTCGCCTATTATTACAACATTGAACTTTGCCTTTCAGGGTGTAGAAGTGCGCGGAAGATAGCCATGTTCACGTTAAGTGGATACGTCCCCGAGTGTGATGAGAATGGGAACTATAGATTTATGCAATGTGACAAGACCTCAGGGTCTTGCTGGTGTGTCGATATTCACACAGGAAATCCGTTAAGGGGTACCCATGCCCCTCCTGGTCGACCCCTTCCAATGTGTGGTCTTAATTATCTATTTACTTGTGACAAATTACCGGAACAAAGATATTGCGATGCGGACAATGAGACTCCACAGAGTACCGAAAGATGGTACCGATTGGGGAACAGATGTGTGCAGTATATGCACAGCTACTGCCCGAGTACGGCCCATCTTCCGCCAATGCCCATACGAACTCAAAGTGCCTGTAAAAGTTTTTGTTTGCCTTCCAGTGGGTGAAATGTAAATTGATTTGTTTCGTATCTTTAATATAAATTTGCAATGCAGCTGAACTCTGGCATAAATTTTTTTTTGAAATGCGTCATGGTTGGCAGACATACAGACAGAGGGACTGGATGACTCAAGACGCCCTCCACATTCTTTTAAACCCCGCAGGCAAAGAAAGGAAGGAATAATATAACATGTACAACAATTGTGTCAGCCTCTCCGTATCCGATTACCGACAGAATGTGCTAATCTTGCTGTCGAAGGCAGATTACGAAGACTCGCAGGTTGGTGTGGATTCAGTGAATGTAACGTAGAGAATGTTAGCAGGATTACCGTACTCTGTCGCGTGAAAAAGAGATGGCAGACCTGGAAGATAGAAAGGTAAAAGTGCAAATAGCTCTGTTCAAAGCAGGATGCAACGCTAGAAAAGCATGTGGCTCCTCGAAAGTCCTCCTAGATATCCTCGTTTTACTGCTATTACCAATTGTATTACACTTCAGCCAACATCCATCCAAGCCGAAGTTCATCGTCTACAGATCAAAACCCAAGTCCCACAGACCGAAATAGCCGTATTTGTGATGGGGAAAAAGCGTTGGAATCAATTGTTTTGCACTTCAATCATCACTGGCTGGACTTCAGACACCTCCAGTTTCGAGGACACAATGGAAAAGATAATCTGATCAAGCTATCATTGTATAAATTCCGTCTCGGTGACCTAAACAATGTAACCCCCGCGCGACTGTTTGTTTATCGTATTTTTGGGTCTTCTTAAGAGCCCTTACCCGTTATAAACGTGTAAAAGCAAAAGGTCGCACTTCCAGTTTTTTGCGTTCCAGTGATGTGGCTATCCTCGGTAGTGCTATGGGTGGCAATGACAAGTATCCAATGTCAGGTATCAAGTACGTTGAGGTATCAAGAAGGGCTACTAGATCCTTCAAATCCGGCTGACCCCTCGCTTACTAACTACTACATGAATGGCCAGACTTATAGGCCTAAATCTGGGTCCCCAAATCTTCCATTCGATTCCAATGTCACTCGAGATTCCCCGACCTTGATCACTCCAACAGTTGGTACTCCCACCTTAACTGTGATCAGTCCAACTCCGATGATAAGTCCTATCTCATCGATCCCTCCATCGCCTCAGATGGCAGCTCAAGATACTACGACATCAGTGGTAAGACAGGAGCAAAAACCCCGAAACGCTTCAATAGGTAGCCTAGGTCGTTTTCTGAGTTTGTAATCATAGCCTTTTAGCATCGGGGTATCAACAGAATCCCGCAAACCCAGGATTCATCGGACCGAGTGAGTTTCCGGAGATCTAACGTCATGCTTTTGTTACAGTAGTCCCTCAGCCCATATACGCTCCTCCCGAGCCAATTCCACTAATCGTCGACGCTGACTGGGTCAATGACGCATTGCTGGTAAGAACCGAAGCCATTGTAATGTTATTGTGTAATAAAACTAATCAGAAAATACTGTAATATAATTAAATTATGTTTCTTAGACACGGAAGCCGATAAAATTGATAGACGCAACCATGTCTTCACGACATCCCCCGATGGACTACAAAGTGTTCCGTGACCAGTATTACGGGAAATGGGATCGACTCTTCGCCGAGAATGTATGTCACCGAAACGCGTGTAGTTTAGGCCCCAGGCCAACACCGAATTCCAGCGTGTCCACATTCCCTCGGCCGTTCACTTCAACATGGATATAGCCACCTATCCCGCTTGGAATGATCCCTCGGCTTTGTATCCGCCGGAGCTTTTTCAGGAATATGTTCAGAGATTAGGAATAAACCAAGGAGATCACTTGGTCATCTACTCCCGAGGAACCCTGGGAGGTGCTCTCGAGACGAGGGTGTGGAATCTATTCAGGGTAAGCGAACCGACCAAAGAGCATGGGAAGCCCACAATTGTTTCAGATTTACGGTCATTCACGGTCTAGCATTCTGGATGGGGGATTAGCTCGATGGATGGCCGGTAATTACTCTTTATCCGACTTGGATGGGCATATTGAATCAGGAAATTGGACTGCTGCCTTCGATCCTGGACTAGTCATCGGATTCGACGAACTCTCTAGTGTGGAGGGGAATGGCTACTGTCTTTTGAACAAATTATATTGGGTGAGAACAATTCTGAGGGTACAATTACTCTCTTCAGTACAACTTTTTGGATGCCAGACCAAAACCTGAATTTATTGGACTGGACCAGCCCCGACCAACTCCCGATACGATTGCTCAGAATCCTCCTCCAGTTGGACTGGCTCGAGTTGTTGGCCCCCATCTTCCAGGAGCCAAATCTTTGCCTGCCGAAGATTTGGTCAGACCTGATGGAAAGATCTACTCTCCACCAGAGTTGGCATTGCGTAAGAGCAAAAGATTCTGGATTACCAAACATTTACAGGGCTGGGACAAGCTGGTTACATGGCAGGCAGAGAATCGATTGCAGCAGGCAACAACCCTGAAGAGGCTTCGATGGTCGTGCTGGCTCTGGCCATGACCTATGACCCCAGAGTCCGACTCTACAATGTAATTGTGTTTAATTAGACATCCTGACTCACCCGTCCAATTAATCTTTCTTGTCCCTTTTCAGGCCGGCATTCCCGAACTGAAACTCCGTTCGCCCCATCTCATAAACTAATCTTGGTATGTACAAAAGATAATAAATTGTTATGTGTGCGTAAACAGAGTAACTACAGTCGCGTGGACAATGGGGACGACAGGGGGATTGGGATGGGAAACTATTTGGGGTCTTCTAATTTTGGGCTTCGAGGACTCTAAGAAAAGATTATCGAAATACAGCGTCTTTGACGTTGTACTCAAGCCAGCCCCGAAATCCTTTGATCCACTTAAGGAAATGCCAACCGGGGATTAACGGTAGGTATGAGAGACTCCTTACCGTCAATACAATTCCTTCCGGCCATTAATACTTTACTGCCGTGTGACTACTCCCAGGAGACCCTGAGTTTCAATAATGCACTTTCTTAAAAAACGGAAGGGTATCAATAAATTACAGTCAGGAAAAGTAACAAAATGTTGTCAATAAAGCATTTTTTCTGCGGCCAAATGACTCATGGTAAGTGTAAAACTTTCTACCTTTTGAAAGGAAAAACAATCGTAAACCAAAAAAATACAATGTGCGAAAATAAATGTAACAACAAGAAACGATATAAGTACACGAAAACTACCCAAAAAGTTGTTTCATAAACTTTGGGACTACTGTAAGTTTAGGCTTTGACACGAAAACTCACAACAAATCTTGTTTTTCAAGGTAGAAAAGTTTCTGAAATTGAAATGTTTCAATGGCATTAAGGTGTTCTTAACGAGGTAAATGTAATCAATGTTTTTTGGGTGTCTATCGCGTGAATCCACGTGATTCCGGGTTTGGAGAATGGGGTTGGGGGCGTTTGCGTGATTGTGGGGTTGGAAGAGCTGTCGTGTCCACAATTGACGGCATAAAAAGTGATCTGAGAAGGTCGGGCAATGCCGGGAACTGATTAATCAAGTATAAAGTCGCGTGTTAATATCCAGACGAGAGGAAATGCCGTCTTTTTAGGGTGTCCTATGTGGTATTTAACACTCATTCGGATGTTTGTTTTGATTCAGGTGTTTTCATTTCCAGCTATTTTTAAAGCGGCTTTGCCCAGATTTCCTCCGCTATATCCGATTCTACCAATCTTTCTCCATTAATGGTGTGATTAGCTTGCCAAAAATAGGAAAACAAAGTTCAGTAGTGCGGTTAAAGGATAGTGCCGTAAAAATTAAATTTATTTCTCAATTTTCAACTTCGGAATGGGAATCCTGAAGTTCTTAGGCCCAACCTGAAGTTCTCAGAGAAAGAACTTACAAAAACTTTAAGATGACTTGTTCAAAAAAATATACCGAGCGTCTTGTTATGTTAATATTTACCTATATACAAAGTAATAACAGTATACAAATAATAATAAATAGAAATTAATTCTAAAACAACAGTTCAACAATAAACAATGAAGGCTGTTTGACTAGCACACTACGACTCGTATTCTTGATTGTGATTCCTGAGGCATTAAAATACTGTTTGGTCTTTCGATGATGGTGACCTGTCATGTGCTTCGCCTAACGCCGCCTTCTCTGCCTCTTCTTCCATCTGCCATTGGCCGATGAATTTGTTGAGTGACTCGAACGGATTCTGTTCCGACTTGGGTGTCAGTCCTTTTCTCCTCTCGCAACGTTTATATTCCTCGTGCGCCTTCTGAAAGAATATATAAGTTAGCGACTTGTAAGTTAATTGAAACACAGTGGAAGCCTCAAAGAGGTTATATTCTTAGTGCTTCAAATTTCTCCTTACCTTGATAAATTCGTGAAGTTTCGTTATCGTCTCTACGTATTGTGATGTGCATTGAAACATCCCTCTCGATAAGTATTCCTTGAAGTAGTCAGGCGAGGTCTGCTGGACGGGCTCATTAGGTAGAGGCAGTACATCTTCCAGGATGCTGTTGAGGTCGCGTTGATGTCGCCGTCTCATTGCAAGGCCTTCGAGCATCAATTCTGCTGTGGCAGCAATTGTTAAAAGAAGAGATGCTAGGCGCATTATTGTATACGCCTAGCTGGAAAGCTATTTCGGTTGTAAAAATTAGAAAAGTAGCTGTTTTAAGACCTCCAATATATCGTAGTGGGACAATAAGGAGGTGGAATGTTGAATGACAAGTCCAAAATCTTTTGCAGAACTTGAAATGTATCTGAAATGAATACCATTAGCTACGGAACCCAAACTTGAGACATCGCGGAAGGAAGTATTCAAGTAAAGAAATACAATCGAGCACCGGAGAGAATTGTACTCTTCAAATGTGAACGCTCAAGTACATCGAGGGTGTAATAAAAGAAACATGTTTAACTACAAATGGATAACAAAAACAAGCAACATATTGTTGAGTAAAGTGGCCCACGTACGGAACATAACAACTCCTAGATAAATAAAAGTATTGAGCCTTCTGGGGAACGACCCGCATCGAATGAAACCAGCCAAAGAGACTTTGGCTTTAAAAGGGGGCGGAGCCCATGGCCAGGGACGACTTCGGGGAAAGTAGGTCCTCGGCCGATGATGGCCTGAGGGTCAACCAAAAAAATAGACAAAACCCGGTCTACCTGATCTATTGGCCGCACCCCAATAGTTCCTTATATATAAAGTTGGTGGGAGGGGCTCTCTTTGGCTTAGTCATGGATTTGCTGAAAGAATTCCGTGGGAGAAGCTCACGCCTCAGGTAATCGACACCCAGCGAGCCTCCAAAAATAAAGAGATACAAGTTGACAAACAAACCCCGCTGCCAAGTTCGGCGTGGGAACCGCAGTTCCTTTGGCCTTGGCGTCAATTTCTACACTGTACTTCTCTTCTTAGTACAAACAATCTCGGTTTATATATACATGACGTACGAATGCTTAGATGAATAAGCATTGTGTTTACCTTACAAACTTCCTCAGATATAACGAGCTTAAATTTTAATGCAGTAAGAACAGAGAGATGTCTTCTTTCCCAGGAGCTATGAATACAAACTGCGTACTAGGGGAAACCCGTGGATGTCATAAGATAATGTTACGAATTCCTTGCGAATTCGTGAAAACAATATATAAGATACGACATAACGTGGGTATTAGAAGACGGGATAACCCAGGAGTCCCCAAGGAATTAGAAGATGCTGACGTTCATGGGGATAAACGTGGATTCCACATCCAGCAAACGTTGGATTCAGCAACATGTTTGTAATCCCTTTATGTATCTTCCACCGTTCTAATTGACGTGAAGACAAGGGCTGTGAGGCAAGGTCTGACAAAGAACGTTGTCCTCTTAAGCTCCGTCTTTTATGCCGTTAAACGGATTAAGAACTATCGTCTATACAGGGACTGTTTCTGTTTCCGAGCCTATTTGTAGGCCTAGACAGCAATTCTATAATAAATAGGTCCTCAAAGCTCAATGTTACACTCAACTCTGGTATGAAACCCGCCTACATCTTGGTGAGTCTGGAACACGATTTTTTTAAGGTTGGTTGGGAATCAAAAATAACAACACGTCATTTTAAAAGCCCCAGAGAACAGTGTTTCACAAACGCCTATGTATCTAGGCACGTCCTCTTACTGTATGGTCGAAGATTTTGCCTTCCGTCCAATTTGGGGCGCGCGGAGAAGGCGCTAATTGGGATTTCGTTGTGGTCGGTTCCGGTCCAATACATCATTTGACATCTTGGATATTATTAGTTACAGCATCGTTATGGTGTGGCGGAAATACGCAGCCCTTCCCGCTTTGTCAGCGGCTAAAGGTCGTGCGTAGGACAAGGCTGGTTCGGACTTGAATAATTCAGACTCTGAGCAACATTACCACTACCGCCTTCAGACTGACATATCCGATTTTTGGCCATTACTCTGAGGTGAGTCATATGAGCTGGCATTAAGTGTCAAAGAAATACGAACACCTTGTTTATAATACAAAATTATGTGCCACAAAAAAGATTTGAAGTGTCCAATCTACACGTAAATATTGTATTATGCGAGACATGTGACCAGACCTGGACTGAACTTTCATAAAACAACGCTTAACGGCCTACGAAATCGTTCCGTGACGACGCTGATTGCGCCCATTCACCGTCGTATTTATTAGCCGGCCGAAAACGAAGACGTAAAGTTTTCAACGAACCCAGTCCGCGGAAACAATTTAATTAAAATATTAATATTCTCCTCATCAAACATTTATAGTGAGATATCTGAGAGCGGTCTACGTACAAAGCCCGTACCATAACCCTCTAAACAATGCTTTTTATTGAGTATAAATAAAAGACTTAAAGTACGATGACCTGTTTCTTATCTTGGTACTTAATCCCCATTGTGTGTTGTGAAGTCACAGACACGTTGCCATGGGTGAGATACAACCAAACCAACAGGAAGGGGCACCTAGTTTCAAAGTACACTAATCAAAACAAACTTCAGGACCTGAGCCACCGTAACGACCCTGATTAATTGAATAGCATTAATTTAATTTAATAATGTTAATCGGAACCGGGGATGCCGTGAGATTAGATATGTCCCCTTAATGCGGGGGTTGAGTTTCCCCCCAAAGTTTAATCGCTTATTAACATACCGTTGGCATTTGGATTAGCGATTTTTGTATGCTTAACTATCTAGATTACCACGAAAAAACGTTTATCATTTACAGCTGAGACACAGCGCGAAGGCCAAGGGATAATAGACACCTGGAGCTCGTACCTATTAAGGAGAAATGCCAAGGGTTACTGTACTTCAGTTGAGGTGTCCAAAAACGGAAATAACTTCCCCAGAGTACGCAAAATATAGTATCATCTCGATTATCCCGATTGTACGATTCCCGGGTTCATCTTGTATCCAATTCATTTTGTTTGACCTTAAATCCTCGTCAAGATCAATTGGCGTCATCAAATCCCCCGTTTACAACCCGAACCTCCGTCCGCAAACAGATGACATAAACAATGATGACGGTGGTATAAACGGATTGGTATGTATTCCCCTGTTCCTCTTAGTAATTAGACCCAATTTCCCATAATTTCCGAAGACTCACACGATGCATCAGTAATATATGGTACCAGAATGATTAAGGGAATATGAGATTATGTCAGGGCGAGACGGCTATCACCGTTGATCGCCAAAGAGACATTATGAAAACAATATACTTTAGATACGAGACACCTCCACCCACGATACAAACGACTGTCTTAGTAAACATAGCCAATGTAACCTTTGGGATTTCATAAATGGATTATGTTATAGTTAATATAGAACGCTGATGTAAGATGTTGATGAATCGTATAGACAAACAGATTATATATGTCAACATCAGCCGACCCACTTCCATTTCGTCACGACACATCCATCACGACATCCGATAAAAATAACATAACCGCGAACAACTCAAGAATGTAATTAATAACTGTCAAGAAGGCAACTGGGATTACTTACTTCGTCCTCAGTACATGGAATTACAATTATTTGAGATAATCGGTTCTATAAAAGTATTACAAGCCAGAGAATGGATTCGAGAAAATCGCCTTAGGCGAGTTTGGCTCTCCTCAAAGATCAAGCTTTGAAATTTTATGACATAAAAGCATTCGATTAAATTTGATTTTTGAAAAAAATTTCGATTTACTTAATTAATGATGCTATAAATAAAAGAAGGTACTATAAAGACATACGTTTTGAAACGTACATTGACACGTATTACATGTTAAATCGTGTAAAGATGCGTTCGTCTGAGCTAACAGAACGTCCGCCTCAACGAAGCTGACGTGCAATTGTATTATTAGATGTGTGATGAGGCCACATTCCTTGACTCAAATCGTTTTTCTGACAGCCTGCCACAAATGTAAAGGTCGATTTTTTCGGTGAAACAATCCCCGGAATTCCATTTCGAATGTCTCTTTGCAGTGTCATCTTCAGCTGCTTGGCACTCATTTTTTCATATAATTAACGTGACTGTGGCTATTTCCACAATCTGAGCTTTTACAGTAGTCCTCCCACACACGCCATTCACATTTACATTACAACGTCTGAGTACAGGAAGTTGGTATATTATACATACAAAACATGACGGCTCTTACGAAATTCATAATGAAGTGTATCAAACTCATAATAAGGTGAATAGTAAGGGTATCAATAGGGACAAACGCACAAACACCCGGTAACGGCGGTATTCGATTGGAGAACTGAACCAAATGACATGCATGAAGCAAACATCCGGAGGCGCCGACGCCTCCTCACATTCATCTCGACCTTTCTAAGTATTTACAATTAAGATGAAGTCAAGGAAATCAAAACATTTTCATTATTTATCGTAACTGTAAAGTCCAAATTACAAGATTCAGGACAGCAGGATGTCATCACTTGTTTATGTCGGGTCTAGAATGGAGATGACATGATAAAATGGGATGGATCTGATATTATACATCATCAACAGAGACAGCTGAAGTATGCTGAAGACATTTCTCGATAAAAAATCCTAAAATAGTATTCAAAGATGATTTTTTGATATTTTATGTGCATTGCGCCAATTTAAGAATAGCTTCAAAAACAACGGAATCCAGTTTCCTATTATTATTACTATTATTAGACTATACGTATATGTGTTTGTCAAGGGCTACAACTCATGGAATACATGGCTATGGCTGCATTGGGTGACTTCATTTTCAAAGTTATGTAGTGCGGCATAACATCATAGTTTTTGGATTGTTAAATCAGGTTAGAACTCTAATATATATAATAATTTTATTTTCAAACAATGCCATTCGAGATATCCCTGAGAACAAAATGAATCCATTTGCAACTCTTTGACTTTCCTCATGACAATGGTATACTGTATTATACCTTGAGTCAAACGGCTTGTTGTTGTACTGCTCTACTATAAATTGTATTTTCTGAAGAATACTTACTAGTTCAACTACAGGCAAGCCTCCGCGCCATAAAGTCTGTAGAATTTTTGGCTTCGTGGAAAATGGACAGAGTGAAATTGGACAGATTTTTTTCACTGCAAAAAATAATTATTTAATGATTCAATAGTGACAATTTTAGCGAAAAAAATCTGTCCAATTTCCACACTCCGTCCAATTTATTTCTGTCCAATTTCACTCTGTCCATTTTCCACGAAGCCGAATTTTTCGCGAACCCCAAATCCCGTCGCACTCCGAAAAATTGATTTGTCGCCAAGAAAAATGCGGATTGCGCGCGACGTAGTGCACAAAAAACAAAAAACAAAATTGCACTGTGCAAACGCAATTTTTGAGCCGGACGCACGGTGCAAATTTTTTTTTCGGGTTTATGCACAGTGCAGAGTCGCAGAAAATTCTACGGGCTTTACGGCGAAACTAGTATCGCATACACCCATACAAGGTTCTCATTGCGCATGCATATTCGCGGAATAAATTTACATTGGATTTTAATGTTAACATTAAATAAGTGTAGTAAAAGTAATAATACATCTGGGTTTCTCTCACTGTACAAGGTTATTGTAACACTCAAATGCCAAGTACAATTTCAACTCCAGGCAAGCCTCCATGCAAAGAACTCCCACGCAATCTTGGGGCAGATCGAGTAACAATCGCCAACGTTGCAAAATTATTTGATCCTTACCCGTTATGCCCCAAATAAAATATTTCTCATGAAAAAGGATAAACAACTCTTGTACAACAAAACTTGTCGATTATACATAAAACGTTTTAGGAGTCCCGAGAGCCAATTTCAAGCCAAAATGAACAAAGAGACCTTTCAATAACGAACAAATCTTTTGGTCCCTTGCAATTCGTTATACACGGAGGTGTGACTCGGCATATTTCGTTTCAGTAATTGCCACGGTCAAACTCTATTTACTTTGTGAAAGCATGTAAAGTAACCCTTACAATTCCCAATCTAAATTTTAGATAAAGCCCGACTATTCGAATACATTAATGAATAAATTTTTATTTTTCTAACAAGTATGTATACAAATTGACTAAAATATGAAACTTTCCCGGTAAATAAAGACTGGTGCTATAAGAAGATGGCGTCGAATTAGACTTGAATGTTTTCGACGGAGGCGTTGGTTTCTATAAACAGAACAGGCCACTGGAGCATCATTTTCGTCTATTATACCATCGAATCAACGAATATTCGACATTTCCGCCCAAGTTATGATGCCATGAACACCCTCAAGGTGTAATTACTGTTTATACAAGTGGAGACTTGTCTTCAATTCCCATTTTTAATACGTAAGACCTGCAACTGAATATGTAGTGTGATGTTGACGTGAATGTATTAAAAAAAGTCTCCCAAGCAAACGGTCATACCATCTACCGTAACCTCTGAAGGTGTTTCCAGACTACGGGCTTTGTGGCGATCTGTTCATAACGGAGGGTTTAATTGATATTGTCAGACGCAATCAGATGCTTTCCGACCTTCCTCTTAATACCTTCAACGAGAGGAGACCTAACCCATTAACAAGCCGGGTTAATTGACTCTAATCGGGAGCGAGAGAAGACGAAGAAGTCAAGACCATACCTGTTACGGTGAAGTCATCGTTAATTAGGCATCGTTTCGGCGATGACCTTGTCCAAAAACTCTTTAAACCTACCGTAGGTAAGACTGTTTACCCGTTACCATTATTACTTTGTATTATATTGCCTGAGTTCTCTTTACTTTCTTTCAACTTCAACATTGGACTCACGGGAACAATTGTATTTATTAGAGCATCTTATTAAGAACAATATAAAATCCGCAGAATATAACAAAATACACGATTCAGACGAAACTGGCACAAGAACAACACCTAAATTAAGTGAGAGAGAAGGTGGGACTAAAGTTGAGTATGAGCCGGGCTAATACAGTATCCCGTTGGGTTTGGAGGAACGAGAAAGAGGATCCGAGAGACTAGAAGATACCGTCCATTGTAAGGCTTCAATTACATTCGCTCAGACCTTGACCCAATCATCCTCTTCGTGCCCTGAGGCGCCGGATCCTGAGGTATCGGTAGTGGGTTCTTCGGTCTCCAGATTTTCCACCGACAATTCTTTCTGCTTCAGCAACTCGTCGATGCATAACTTTGACCTCTTCGGAGTCACCTGGGTCTCAGATTTGATTTCTCTTTTCTCTTTTCCCTCTTTTGTCGATGAATTCATCAACTCGCTGTCTTTTTGTTGTTGAATAAATTGCTGTTGTTTGGCCAGAATATTCATTTGAAGTTGTTTGAAGAAGGGATTTTGGAGGAAATTGGACATCATCATCTCCATCGGGTTCATATTCGAATTATTATTAGGACTCAATTGGAATTGAGGGGGAAGAGGAGGAAGAAGAGGGTTTATAAAGTTCGGGAACATCAGATTCGGTGACTTCAAAGAGCCGGAGGAAATATTGTTGTCGTCAGAGTCCGTGCTGGGTGATCCCCTCAAAGTGGATGTAGACTGACCTTCTTCATGATTCAGGTCTTCCGAATGAGGAGAATCGGGACTTCTGAGGCCGCTGTTCGGATCCAGGAGAAGTCCGTTTTGTCTGAAAACGGATTAATTACTCATACCACTCAAAATCGGCCTTTAATCTACTGTAAATCAGATTTTGTATGCAAATGTTTGTATTGTGGAGTAATCGAATTGGCACTTGCTCTAATTGGTTTCCCACCGCGCACTCCAGATGCCTTATTCGGAGAAAATCTAGCCTGTTGCGTATTCCCTTTCGCTTACATAATCTTGTTCCTAAAATACGGTAGCGGCGTCAAGGTCGCCTCGCCTTCCTTGGGCCACTTGAAAGCGGCACCTTTGGAGGAAAGGCGCGCCATTTCACACCAATTGGGGGATGAGGTGAGGTCTCAATTTAATCGACCTGTGCAAACACAAGCATTGGCAAATATAAATTGCATAAAGAGTCGGCTTTTAATACAAATGCCAGTTGGGGGTCAGATTACGGTATTGGCCAAGCGAAAGATGAGCTGTTTTGGGCATGGCCAAGGATGACAGCTTGCGTAAAGCACATCGATTTCATACTTATGTGTATTGATGGCCATCGGGATCAGTCTCTTAGGCTCTTGGGCCGGATCCTCCGCTTTGTTTGCACTTCGAAATCAGCGGCCTCGACTGTCTCGCATGTCCTACGGTACAAAATTGATCGGTAGCCCTTTACACAAACAAATTAATTGTTCTCGCGCACTCAAACCCTCTCGATTAAGCCCCGCCAACATAATACTTGAACAACTCTATTTGCGATTATTTTTATAATTCTTCATACCTAATGTTTGTAATTAGTCCCGCGAAGAGATGGGCGAAAGGGTCGGCGCTAATATAACATAAGCCTGCACATCACATCATCGGCCCGCTTAATCAGCCCATTTGACGGCCAATTACCGCTCGCGGCCCTAATAACAGTTTATGCAAATCTGGCGGCCGAATTGGCCCAACTCGGAGTGCGCATGGCCATAATCCTTTAGGAGTCAAATGTAGCGTTATAAGGGAACATATTGGCCGGCCTTTCATTAGACTCGCTGGCGGTGCATCCGGTCGCAAAAAGGTAATCCGGTCAAACCTATTACACGCTACAGTGCATGATATATATTATGATTTCTTTCTTGTCTCAGAACCAACGGAACCGAAAACGGATTACAGTAATCCTCCAAAGAAGAAGGAAGAATCGCATTTGTATCAGATGTAGATAATCTTAACAGAACTTACTGGTTCTTCATGTGAGCCGCCCGATCTCGCTGTCTTCGATTCTTGAACCAATTCCCGACCTGCATGGGGGAAAGGCCGGTCTTGTGGGCCAATTCCTTCTTCATTTGAGGATTTGGATAAGGATCCTTAAGGTAGTGCTCTCTCAACGTGCTGCGGGTCCTCTCCTTGAAGCAGTGAGTCTTTTGTTCTCCATCCCAGATCGTTTTTGGCAAGGGGAACTTCTTGCGAACACGGTATTTGTCGACTGGGCCCAGCGGTCTAAACACAATTATTTTATATTTGTAAACGAAATATTGTAATAGTAGTTTCCAAACATAAATAGTTATTTCAATAATGGAAACAAACTGACCTTTGCCTGATCCGTTCGGCCTCGAAGTATCTGGCTTCTTGCCAGAGATGCTGAAGCTTCTGATGATGAGCGGGACTGAACTGATGACTTTCCAGAAGGTTGTACATTTCTTGGTATTCACGACGATGAAAGAGGACAGAAGCTCGGGCCCTGAGGAAGCTCTCATGTCGACAAATGGCCAGGATCATATCGGGACTCAGCTGTTGTATAAACAACATCAGATTGTTGTAATCGCCGTCGTCGTCCATCTTTTCTATCGTCTTGATCACCTGCAACTGAGACGGGATTGAAGCGGCCATGTGGAGGGATATGCCCGGAGGGCGGAAAGTCGAGTGAGTTGACTGAGACGGGCCGAAAGCGAGCTGAGATAACAAACCTAATTGATGGGAAGTGAGTAGTCGAGGACAAGGGCGTGTCCCCGGCGGTGTCATGGCTGCACTCTCGCGCTCTTTATTAGATGATATGCCCGGGATTTGTGCCAGCTCTTTAAATGCCATTGAGGACCGCTAACCAGGTTTGGGGCCCGCGGAATGACAACGAATATCCCTATCGTCCTCTTTTATGCCCCTATTTGAGGGATTCCTCATCATCAATTTGAATAAAGTCCAGAAAGCCCCCTCCCTTCAGAAACTTTACAAAACACCCAAAACGCGGAAGTCCCCGGCCTAATCTGCCCAATAAAAAGGACCAAGATGACGTTCCCACGATGATACGTTGCACCTTACATTAGGAAATTATTATACCGGATTAGGGAAACGAAACTTGGTGAAGGTCCGCACGTTTCAGGAACATCCCACTTCGGATCAACAATACACCGGATACCGTGGTATTTTCGGGACTGTCATTTCTGCACGTTATCTGGTGAAATGTGAGAACTTAAGATTTAAAATAAGGCATCATACGAGTAGATAAACTGTGTACATTTAAATATCAGATTAAGAAAGCGGGAAAAGACGGATTCAAAGATCAAGACCACTTACTTGCTCCGAATTCAGCATATTATTCTGGTTAAAAATCATGGAGAGTCCGGGATTGGGCTCGGTTGCGGAGTTGCTGAGACCGAATTGGAAGGGAAACATCTGTCCTGGCTGTTGCATCGACTTCAGGAGATCTTGATACGACTTCATCAAGGGATTCTGATTATTATTCGAACAATTTTCAGTGGATTCTGGAGATCCGTTATCCGAGTGAACTGATCCTGGAGGAGAAGCTGCCCCGGAGTTTGAGCCATTGGAACGTGTGCCCGTTGAAGCTGCATTTTGTTGGACCGCAGCCATGGCCATCATCTGCTGGTACATCATCATGGCCTTCTGAAAGTCTTCCATGGTCTGAAATCGTATAAAAACAGAGTTGTGTTTCATGAATAAAATAATATAAGTACACGAATCACTCGAAATATTAAGTATCAGTTACAATAATGTTACACTAGGATCCGTGGCAGTAAAAGTGTTGGGAATGATACGCTTGTTGGGAGTGTCGGTTATTGGGAGTCCAAAACCGCTTCCTCTCTTGGCCCCGCCCACTCTCTTGCAACGAAATGCCCGCGAGGATAACGCGGTCGGTTAATTGACACAACAACGGCATATTAGTCGTCGCAATCGGTGCCGGAACAAGAATTACATGAACAAAAGCCCTTGTTCCCAGATTTCCCCAGGGCCTCAGCCAATGGACAATAGATAAAGAGAAGCCGGAAACGATTCCGGCGCCACAGATTCGAATAAATGCCAGAAAGGATCGGCTGAGGAGTACTGTAATAATATTGGAGTAGGGCTGTTGTCAGGTTTCCCAACACTCTCAAAAGTCAAAACTCCCAACACTTTCAAAAAAAACCTCAGGACATTGCTTTTTTCACGGACTTTCCGAATAAAACCCTCGAGTAATTGATAAGATATCAACATATATAATCCACGGAAAAGGCAGAATAATCAAGGGATAAACAGGTGGGCAGACAATTCCATGGTCATTCATATAACCCGCGCTGTAAAAGAGAGTGACTTGAGGAAGAAGATCCTTACGCTTCAGTTAACGACAAGGAAAGCAAGTCGATTCGGATGATCCGAATATTTGTAACCACTGAAAATGAGACATGTCAAGGTGAGTTGTGTGTGAGAGTCGTGGGAAATGCAGGTAATGAAAAGGTATACAGAATGATACGAGGTTTGAGAAAGTCAATGACAGGTAGCCATCAAACCTTTTTAAGAAACAGAATTCTAAGGAATAAATGAAATAAATTGAGATCATTTACAGTGTCACCCATCCGTCGCTCTCATTGGTTCGAGTAACTGACCCCACCTATTCTCCGACCTTCCTTCGCCCCCTCCCTGCGCCTCGCCCAGCATGACCGCCCTTAAAACGTTTAAAGCGCTTATTGGCGCGAGATCGGGAGCTGCGATTCTCGAGAGATGGTCCCTCGGCTCTTTTCTCGGTTTCCGCGATCATGCTGTGCAAGAAATCTTTGCGGGGTTCGGGGCGGGGCCAGTTTGTATAAATTTTAACCACTCTCGAAGAATGTCCCCCCTCTTTTTCTTTGCCTGATTCCGCGAGGAAAACTTATACCAAAAAAGGGCGGCCGTAAGGGGAACGAGAGATGGAGATGGTTCGACTGAAAGAGAAAGCGGAGAGGCGTCAAGAAAGGGAGAACAACACGCTGGGAACGATGCCCGGCAAGGATTGGCTCCGCAGTACCGTAGTTTAGAGAATGGGGACACATCCTTGTAATAAACTAACTATATGTATGGCGCTATAAATGGATAAACAGTTGGTACAACAATTAGAAAAAGGAAGGATCTCAAAAGCCGACGCCATAATTGACTTAACAAGTGCAATTGGACCCCGAGGCTAGGCCGACAATCTCCCATTGAGCCTTTTAGCCCCCGCGACCCACCGCAAATCGCAGATCTCACGCTGCTTTCGGGGGGAAAATACCCAGATCCAATTCATTTCATTCACATGTACATGTACAACAATATATCGACAAGCGGGCTCAAGCTGCGACCGATAATTGCACCTCGACCGGGGCTGAACTTTTTTGTTTTTGGGGTTTAAACGGCATCTAATCGCCATGCTATTGAATAGCTTGGCTGGAGACATGGCTTTAAATGACTTGTTTCCCGGCACACAGGCAAGGAAGAGACGCTGCTTAATGACAAATTAACTGGTTCTCATCAAGAAATTGGAGATCCTTCGGATGAGAATAGGATGACATTAGACTAGACGAATAATATTATGAAATGACAGTAACAACAGAAACCCTCTTCAGTGAGCTCTTTCTATAACAAAGACTACCTGTAAACCATCGCTCACCACCAAACCCCTGTTCCCTTCACTTCCACCATCTTCTCCTTGTGCTTCATTTCGAATTAGAAGAGACTGTTCCGCGCAGAGACGGAGCGAAGTCAGCCCGAACGTAATCATTTACTCAATACCCGCAAACAAGAAGTGGAAGAAGAAGGTTTCTCGCTTCACAAGTGGAAAGGGATATGGTATTGGATCGCCTTTCCCTGCCGAGAGAGTGTGTGAACAGGAGAGACTTCAGAGACATATCCAGAGGCATCTTTGGGGGACTTATTTTCAGTTCAATGCACTCGGGGCCTCTTCTCATGACTGCTCTCAATTCAAAGGAAAAGAGAGCATGAAGCGAAGAGAGACGACAGAGAGATGACGATGATACGAGTAAAGCGATACTCCCATTGGCTCCGAAATACGGTAATTGAGACGGAAGTGGTTCATGGAAAGAATCGCGGTTTGAGCAATTCTCTGACTTTACACATCAGAGATTAAGATTATGTTGAATCAGACAAGAAAAAGGAATAGTAAAAGTCTTTCGAAGGAGCAGAGCCATCTCCAAGTGACCCTCCAATATTACACGGAGAATCTGATACGACCTCGACTTGAAGTATATTACCGAAAACAATGTAAACTTAATAAAGAGATCGTTTGACTCGTCGAGAGGACACAGAAAGGGGAGTCAAGTGCTTTGAACTGAGGTCGGGACCGGTAAAAGAGCCCGAAATGTGACACCTTGTTCATCCAAGTGCAGGCCATCAGTGGAATTAACTCTTGGCTGGCCTTTCTCTAATCGAATGGGAGGCAGAAGACCGACTTCTGGAGCCTTTTAGAAACCCTAAACGTCACATGTGCATGAGACCGTAATCGTCGCTTAATGGAAACAGATTTATGTGGAATTAGGGAAAGAGAGAGTTGGGTTTCGATGTAAACATTAAGTGCTCTGACATTAACGTTAATCAACTAGGAAGTCACCGAGAGAGCGCAAATTGAGGAGACTTGGCATCGGCTATAACAGTGACAGAACACTCTGGTTACTGTGAAAAGACATTGTTAATGTAAAGAAGAAACGATCGAGTGAACTTGACGGCCTTGGCCTGAGCATCTCCATCGACGCCTTCTCACCTCGATTGGCTCCTTTTGCGGGATTCATCCTCAACCTTCTTCCCCCCTCGACTCTCCCGATTCTCCCGCGCGGATTACTTTTACCCGCACACTAAATTGCTTTCATCGGGCGGCGCGCTTTACTTTATGTACATGTTATACGGAGTTATGAAAAAAGAGAACAAACACTCGGTGCGCTTCATGCAAAGCCGACGATCAAAGGGCGATCAAAAAAGGCCAATATTATTGCAGACGAGTGCCATGTTCAAGAAGGTCGAACACAAATCGACGGAAATGAAGGGAATCGACGTCAAGAGTGTCCGAAGTAATATATCTTCTACTATGCATTGTACAGTAACCCTTTCCCACCTAATTCCATTAAAGACCCATTATCAATTAAAAGGTCATCGCCATTAACTGATACCATAATTCCCATTCAATCTGTGGCTAAGTAACTTCAATATTGCGGTCATTGCAGGGTCATACGATTATCTGATTGTTCTCGACAAAAGGTCGGGATTACGGGCAAATGAAGCGTGAGGAACAAGTGATTGTCTCCGCTCACCTTGAGAATCTCTATTATATTATAGATCTTGCAAAGATCTTATGTTTTTTGGCTATAGTTGGAGTGCGACCCCAATCCTGAAACGATGACGCAACATGTTATTTCAGGAGCTAATGACAATAGCCCCGATCCATGCCCCGCCAATAGACGGCAATTTGTGGATCAGCCATCTACTAGAACGCCTCGTTTAAACGCTGTGTGCAATGCTATGTAACATTCCTTCAGCTGCACAAACATGGCCTAATTGCCAGTGCTCGGATGGACAAAGACAACGCTTACATTTGCCATCTGACCGGTGTCAATTGGCATCAGATCGAGTGCTCCTAATCCCCATGACTCTCGACCAGCCATTGCGCAAGAGAACATGCAGAGGACAAGCATTTAATGGGACAATTGCAGACATTACACAACCCCGAAATGGGAAAGACTACAGTAATCAGATAGGGGTTATGTCATCGACGGGATTGAGAGAAACGGAAACAGTAACAGCTATTATGCGGTCCAATATTATCCATGAACACAACAGGTGAGCAAAGTCACAGCTGCCCCTTGTCTATTCAAAGCGCAACAAAAAGGATTTTAATTATAATAACCATGCTCAGAATGTATGAGACAATGATCTTAGACCGTAATGGAAGTAATCGTACTACAGTATCCTCCGTGACTTCATTGGATTCTGCGCGTGTGAAAGCGGCCGGATTTGGCTTCAGATGGCCCGGAAAGTGGCACGGGACAAATAAAGCCTGGAGATAATTTGAGTGGCCTCGAATCAGACCAAAAATGCTAATCGCCCGGGCCGGAAGCCCAAGGAGAAGCCACTGGTTGGACTCGGGCGAGAAGGGCCAATGCAAATCACGCCGGTTGACGCCGTTACAAACTCTCAAAGTTCTTCGCTTCGGGAAGCCGGTCACCGCCACCATAAGGGAACTCCATCCGAGACTCGAGGCCGTATGCCCTGAGGGCAAGAACCGGCTGTCGATCCAAGAAATAATCGGATTTGCATATTTGGGGAGCGCCGAAATCAGCATAAGGCCGGAAGGAAAGACATCGGCTTCAGACGCCCTCCAGAAGCACACCGTATCCCTTTCCGGGCGCTGTTGTTGCGTGTTCATGTTTCGTTCGAGTGGATTCCATTCATTCATCAGCGGCTAATGACGCCGCCGAGGGTCCTCCTCCAGTCTCCATTCATCGCTGAAGTTCCAAGTGCACCTTGAAAGGCTCTTGTTGCACAATCGACGCTCTTTGTGTGGCGTGCCCATCCCCGGACATATGGCCGATGGGAGGCCGGGCCCAGGCCCACAGCGAGGAGGGATGCGTAGTCATTAATTATCTCCAATTAGTATTCATTGCGGCCCCAACCAGGTGGCCCATGGTCAGCCGAGGACTGGACTGGCCTCTTGACGCGGCGCTTAATCCCCATTCGCGCACTGCTTAAGTGCCACGAGAGGATTTATGTCAACAGAATCAGAGGTCCCTGTTTGTCTTGTTAAACATCCGGTCGATTGTAGTAATCTGCATCGAGATCCCAATGCAAATATATGCAAATATTGGGCGTAACTGAGTGGGGATAAAAAACATATATCTTGTATTATGTTACAGACGTTGTTGATTGTAAGATTAGAGAACGAGACATTATGGAAATTGTGATATAAAAGACATTTTAAAATTAGATCAAAATTAATATTGTGGAAGTCCGTGATAATTGCACACTGAATTCATCATTTACTGCTGTGAACATTCATAAATCACGTCAAAGGAAGTACATCAATGGAGCTTTTGCCGTCTTTTTACATTACCCATTTTTTCTCATTTACCGCTTATTCACGCGCTCAAAAAGAACTCAAAAAGCCCTGAGGGTCTTTGTTTGGAGGTCCTCAAAAATTGTTCAAATCCGGCATTTTCTTTCCGAAGGGTATTTTTTCTTTTTAGAGGCCAAAGTTATCGTCTGCAGCGTTTATTCTTTTACGCTTTATATCTGTATTGCTATCACAAATGGACGGAGTCTTTATGGACTTTGCTCAGCCCCATGACTTCGATGCCATTTTCGAGTTTATGCAGAACCATTTTCGAATAATTGAGCCCATCACAACAGCCTTAAGTAAGTTTATTTCGATTGTACGAGGCTAGTATTTCAAAGTTTTGATGTCAAATTGATTCTCCTTACTCTTCTTCACACAATAACAGAACCCGGATTGATCGTCGATATTGGAACGAAAAAGAAATACAAAAGAGCCATCGTTTTGGATAAAATAGGCGCGGGCTTGGGGAGTACTCACTTGTTGGAGTTGACTCCCATCCTAAAAATAATAGAATTTCGCTTTTCTCATATTATTCTAGATACCTGATGACATTAAACTTACTTGTAAATCGAAAACAGCCTCCGAATAAAGTTGATATTCGACGGACCTCTGATCCATTTTCTGATCATTCTGGACCTTTCTGACCTCAATCCTCAGCTTGTTTATTTGCTCCAGGGCATCGTGCAGAAGAATCTTGGCTTTGTCTTCTTCTGCTTTTTAAAGAAATAGAAATGACATTAGACGTTCAGTATATGACATGAGGTGACACTTACTAGATCTCTTTTGAATTTCTCTCCTAAGTTTGTCATGGAACAGCCAATCTTGGTTTCTAATATCACTTCGAATAGTCATAAAATTTTCAAAATACATTGTTTTACTTAAAAAACTGTCAAGGTTACGGTAAGGACAAATTAAATGTCATTTTCATCCAGGAATTTTACTCTGAGCCATTTAGTTTGTCGGACATGACCTGAGGAAATTATCGGTTGCGTAATAAAGGTGACCAATTGATTCAAATAACCCGTTAATTGCATAGAGCAATTAAACTGGCACATTAAATAGCTGAAACTTATTACCTCATTTTACCATGTTATTTTCACAAGTCTATTCGATCCAAACCTTCAGACTCTTCATACAGCGACACCTTTCAATTCTACAAAGATATTGTTTCCGGGGATCTGAAGGTCCCTTTTGCCTCATTGATTGCCAGAAATGGAAACAGAGAAGTAATTGGAGTTGCCCTGAATACAATTTACGATTATGATGATCTAAATCAAAATAAAATGGATACAAATCAAAGAGAATTTGGAAATCTGATCGATCAGGGACCCTATGACAACAGAAATGCCAATCGATTGGCCGTTTTCATTGATTTCGTGGAGAACGGACTTTTCAAATTTGTGTCGCCTTGGGCAAAAATATTCAAATTTGATATTCTGGCAGTCCGGTCTGACCAGGCTGGGTGAGTTGGATAAGAAAATATGTCCTTTTGAGAGACTCCAATCTCTTTTATAAGTATTTTTTGAAAACATTTGTACACATTATAATATTTTTTCAGAAAAGGCCTTGGTTCATATTTTATAAATTCATCGATGGATTTGGCCAGAAGGCATCAATGCACCCACATTGCAACTTGTGCAACTGCCCAAGCATCTCAGCGGTTATTTTCGAAAAGGGGATTCAAAACGATAAGAGAGGTGGCCTTTGACGACTTTAAGGATCAAGATGTAGCTGTATACAATAGTGTATTTGATAAGGGGAAGAGCGCCAAATTAATGTTACTTCCTCTTTTATAGCAATAAAGTGTCCTTAGGAATCTTGAAGTGAGAAAACGTCATTGTACATTGTAAATCCGTAGGCCAGAATCTGCATATGGGACATGTCGGCTATCAAATTCATAGGCGTTCGATAGAAATTGAGAGGTTCCTTTTCCAAAACATGGATCAGACTGATATCAAAGTACCATTTACAACAACTGACAAGCAAAGGCACGTAAAATAAATCACAATCAGTAAATAGTGCAGAGGAAGCAAAGATTTTGTTATGGTATGGGAGATAAGTATGGTAATTGTAGCGATCGTAGTTAATGAAAACGGTCATTCCAGCAATTTCGGCAGCGATTTGGTACTGTCCGTGAGATCCGACCTCCCTTTCTTCGATGAAAAGTTTGGGTTCCGACATTCTACTGTTCCTTTCGAATAGGCTGGGCTTCTCTAAAGTAAGGACATCAAAAAATTTAAAATACGATCGAGGATGACTTATATCTAAAATCGCATGGATCCAAAAAATCGATTAAGTGCTAATAACGTACCAAAAGGTATATGAATGATTAAATAGACCGCTCCTTCGTTTGTTGTATAAGAAATATCCTCTTTTTTGATATGATCAGGCACCTCGATTTTGATAAAGCAATGTTTTATTAGGACAATCTCATCGATCTGAGTTTGACCCTGGTAGAAAAACATAACTGATGAGTCCAGGAAGTGAACTTTGATATCATTTCGAGAATGGTTCTTGAAAATTCTGAAGGATACAAAAATTTCTTGTGTATAATCATACATTTTATAGACAGTCTCTTTTTTATTTGATAGCCCATAGGAAAAGATGTCCAGATCCCGGCCACTATTCCACAACATCTTCTCCCAATCCCGCTTACAATACTGTTTAATGATCTCCATCTTGATCTCTACATCATCTCCGTAAATATCGGTGAATAATTTGATTCGATCTGGAGAACAATAAACTGGGAAAAGAATCCTGGATTGGGAGGATAATGAAGATAAAATAATGATAGGAATAAATAAAAGCATCCCAGAACAGAAATGGCCAGATCATCTGGAGATTGGCCATACAAAAGGAAGGAAAACTATTCCGACTTCCTTTGTGAACGCAAAATATTCCTGACCACATTTCGTTCAATTAAATTTTCATAGGCACCAAACGAAGGCTCTTTTTTTAAGCCCAAATATTATACTTTTAGTCTGTTTGTAATCGTACGCACAGTGGAATCAATGTCCATAAAGTTTTTCTGGCCTCTACAGGGACATCACGGTGCATTAATAAATTTTCCAGACATAATTTGACAAGATTTGTATAATCGCGTGATTGTATCAATCAGATGTTCTGCGTTTTCTTTCCTCATGAGACTGATATAACACCTGTTCTCTTTGATGATGCAATCGTTCCAAAAGTTTCGTACAAAAAGAAAAACATAACAAATGAATACCAAAAGTACAAAGTGTAGTTGATCGATAAGAGTATCTCTAGATTGCTGTACATTTATTTGCCAACACTTATTGTTTCTCAAGAATACAAATTCTTGTCATCTCGATTAGAAAATTAACTTTAGTACATAGTACAATAACTCGATGAGTGCTGGAAAGGATATGTGCATAGAAAAGTAGACAAGAAAGACTACTGTAACAACTGGTTAAATGCGGATAAAGCTATTCTTTGGTAATGTGAGTGAAGATCAGTTCAATAAAGTCAAAAGTAATGAAACAGTAATCCTACTGTAAAGAGCAGCCGTATATCAATGGGAAAGATTGTTTGGAAAGCACGAAGAAAATCAAGATCAGTGACGTCAGGCCGATTTCAGGTATGGAAGATTGTGGCCAAGGATTTCCAAAATTTTATCCCTCACCCTCCTGGATTCGCAGGCCTTCAGAAGTCGTCGTTCGATGTCAAAAAGATGGGGATCGTGGATATGAGGGGCCAGACGACGGTGAATGTCTGCTAGCCTCAGGGCATATTCCAGATTGGTGCCGCTCCGTCCTTTAGAGGTGAGAATCTAAAGAAATAAATGATTAAAAATGTTTTCAAAAATAATATAAATAATTTTTTAAACTTACAACATCAACAATCTCCTCATTGGTCACAGGTCCAGTATGATAGATATTGTCCTCATGATGATGAGAGATGTAAACTTCCAATTCGAAGGGCGCATCTCCATTATCCGGATGGAATTCGACAACTTCCCTCTCGTATCCAGCCCGTTCACGGAAGTTGAGATAAGCGACGGTCGCCTCAACATGCTCTTCCGGGACCTTGTATGCCAATCCCCAGCAAACGCCGCTGTCTTGTGGAACCAGGGTTACAGTGCGTCCAGGCTGAAAATAAAACATTATAATTGATCTAACATACCATAAAATCGTAAAGGACGAAAATATTTACCTTATTCTGAGTTCCCCTGTGGTCGGGACTCATCTGCCAGAATCTCCGGACATATCCGCGGACAACGCCGGGTACCACGGCCTGATAAGGAAAGTCAGTGTACCACAAAAGGCTTCCGTAACCGAACACCCACATAATAAATGGCTAAAAATGAAAAGAATAATGGAGTTCAAAACGAAATTCGAATAAAACACGAGCGGATTGAAAGTTAGGCGTATTTTATTTCAGAGTTAGAGACGTCAGAATTGAGATCGGACAGCGAATTTATCCCGGATGGCACTAATAATGATAGAGGAGATCATGGAGACTTTGGCCATCGCTCCATAGCCTTTATCTCCACACATTAACTCCTTTTCAATCGGTGGGATCTCCTGAAACAAGAGGATTAGTCTACTTTATCCACTACTGCTAATCCAACAACAATTTTAAACAAGAATATACAAAAACGAACGCTCACCTTGCAGCCAAATACTCCTCCGAGTTTCCTCACTTGTTCGGCAGTTATTGGATGTTCCCACATACAAGTATTCATGGCTGGGGCGAAGAAGAAGGGCTTATTGAAGTCCCAGGCTCTGGCCACACAAGTCAGAAGATTGTCACATTGGCCGTTCGACACTTTGGCAAGGGTGTTCGCATCCAATGGAGCAATCAGAAACGCATTCGCCCATTTTCGGAGATCTAAAATTCGAAAACACATAAATCAAATCGTATTACACATCATATTGGAGAACGAATCAAATGAACTCATTGCCCAACAAAAACGTCAACGGTCTTACCAATATGCAAGACCGGATCTCCTCTCTTCTTGAACATGTTCCATTCGTCTCTGTCTTCGTATACAATAATATTTTGTTCTTCCAACTTGGTCGGATCGAAGAAATGAAGGGCGGATTGGGTGGCGATCACCTAAAACAATATATCTAACATGCAAACTAGAACTCACTTTTATAACCAACTTGTCTTCATCATACTTCTTTCTCAAATCGGCAACCAATTCTTCGATTTTTATTGTAGCCACACTTCCAGTGACTCCAATAAGAAGATGAAATTTGTCGAGAGACTGAGTTAGTCGATGTCGAGAGTCAAAAGGAGCCCGACGAACTTCATATCTTGGCCGCTTTTCAGGCACAACAGCCTCATCTTCACCCATTTCCACCTCTCGCCACAATTTTCTTTTTATTTTTTGTGAAATTTTAGAAAAAGACATAATGCCAAAAATCAGAAAATCCAGTTGAGACAAAAAAAGAAAACATGCAAAAAAGTTTTTCAAACCAAATAAAAATGTTCGGGAGTTGTCGCATTGATAGTGTAAAAATGAGCATCAATTTGGGGTAATTTCAAATACTGATGAATATTTGGAAGGTCAAAGAATAAATCCCAAGTGTAATATCAAAAGTACAAGAGTTCATAAAGCATGGGCACTCGCCCGATTAAAAATTCCGACGAAACAGATGTATTAATGTTGAGGGAGTTTTCCAAAGTTTGTTTCACACGAGAACACTATTTATACGAGCTATATTGTCTCTGGAAGGGGATCCGAGGGGCGTTTTTCGAACGAAAAAACGACGGAAAATGATGCAATTCCGATACAAATTTAACTCAAACACATTACACAGACGGTGAGTTTAAAGAGAATGATGCAAATACAGAGGAACAGGGACTCATCGATCTGTTTGGCAACTAATATGTTGGGTTAGGCCAACAAAATAGATTCGGATTTGGGATATTAGATTCAGCGGAAATCCACGTGAAAGTATAAGATCCGAGCGCCGTTCAAAAGAGGGAATCGGGATTGAAAGGGTTTAAATTCGTAAAGGAGGGGGTCAAAAGTTCCCAAACTTCCCGAGTAAAAATTTTCTCGGGATTGACAGACGAAGAAATGTACTATATTATTTTAGTGATTTATGAACAAGAAAAGGTGAAGGTTAGAGGTCAGGGTCTAAAATTACTCAAAGCAATCTAACCTTTTATTCTAATGCAAAACTATACCCATAGTATATACATAATAGGGTTCAAAATGCTCGTCTGTCCGCCCTCTTGCCTTTTCCTTTGCATGGCCAAAAAACGTAAAGCCGCTGTTTTCCGCCGTCTGGCCAGAGATCTCTTTCTTCGAGGGCCAACCCAACAGCCGGCTTTAAACATGAGGACTTGACAAAAAAACCACTGGGTAAAGTGTCAGGCTTGAAGATACGACGGTCATGTTCTGTTTATATAATGTTTTTTATGGACAAACAGTAACTGACGCATTATTTAATTAAAACGCTCCCATTACTCTGATCTATTCAGTCCGTTACAATGGCTTGCTATGAGTCGTCTTTTTTATGTAAATAGTATCATAACTCCATATTCCGCATGTAAACCTTTTCATTTCACGTAATTACAGTTTAAATAAAGCAACAGCATATGTGTATATAAAAAGAAAACGCTGTATCAACGAGGCATAAGGAGAAGATTAGTCAAAGTTTAACGCATTTTATATGCTTTTATAGGCACCGGAACGTGAAAATCTGAAAATAAACGGCAAGATATACGTAAAAAAATATGGAAAGATCTCGAAGTTGCGCGACGACGAGTAGATGGCATCAGGAATGTGGAGAATACCGAGTGTAACATCTGAAAACACATTGTGGATAATGACCGTGCTTTGAATTAAGGAAAAAGGGTGCAAATTTTTATTAACGTTCTGACTGGCCATTTGATTTGAATACAGATCATCACAATGTTGAATACTTTTTTGTAAAATTTTAAGCATAATAATGAAGATAAAATAAGTCATCGGATGCAATTACATATGTTCTACAAATGAGTTCTCCGAATTGTGAAATCTTTTCCCTCTGATCCCGATGTGTATTATAATTCAGGTCGGAGGTCAAGGTTGGCATTCCTCTTCTTTCGATTCCCTTTCGCGCCATTTTTTATGACTTTTCTTGTATTTTGATAGTATCAAATTCGATGAACTCGATTGGAATTCCACACCCTTAACTTCCTCTTTCAGTTATCTAAGGGGTGATCTACCTCAGGAAAGTTCAACTGAAGACCGTTTTAGGTCTTGGAACACCTCTACGAATCAGTTGTTTACTCTCAGTTTATTGGACTTTGTGATGACTTTTACTTTCATTTGGGTTTTATCCGGAGCTTTTATTACTCGCGCTCAAGGGTCCGAAGGAGGGAGCTCTCAACGGGCGACGGAAACCGGTCAGAATCAAGGTGTTGCGCCCCCTCCTCTTCTATTTGGGTTGTTCATGACGTCATCGCTCCCTAAACGGATAACTATTTGCAGTTGGCGCCCTTTAACTTGGTTGATATTTTCGAAACGGAGACCTCGATTATGGGGTATTGTGTTTGCAATTTTCTGATCTCTACTCCCACTACATTACCTTCAATTCCCTCTGTTCTCTCCAACTCCGCGCAGTCGGGAAATAAATCGATTTGGAATTGTTATTGCGCAGGGACGGGGTAACCCTCTCCGCTCCCATCTGATAAGGTGGATTTTGAGGAATTTGAGAGATCCTATTGTCTCTCCGAAAAAGTTGATCAGCCCCCCGATGACTTGACTTTAGTTCAATTTGCTTGTTATCGGAATTTGATTCCCTCAGGCACGAGGTTCCCTTTGCCCTCCAGATTTGAATATTTAATTTCCGTTCGATCCCGAGTGACCTTGACATTGTGTAACCTCCATAACTCCATCTATTTCCAGTGTTTATGATACGTGATAAGCAAAGATGAGCCCGTTATTATGGGCATTCCTATTATCCATCGTTATTAACCTCAGGGCAGAACCAGAAGTCTCAGCATACGAAAATTGTTTCCTGATTTGTGTGGCCAAATGTATGAAATCGGATAAAGTGAGCCAAAACTGGCCAATTATATTGTTTTAGGGGATCCAAACTTGCGGAGAGAAGTGCCGGGAATATCGAGAACCAAATCTTTGTGTAAGTGTATATTGATTATTACTCCTAATTCACATTTACTTTTCAGAAATCTCCGAAATGTTGGAAAAAGTGTAAAGATCTGAAGGATTCGAGTGAAAACTCTTCGGAAGATTTCAAGCCTCTGGATGCACCATTTAATCTGAGTGCTGTTTACAATAAGAACATGTTTGTTGACATTCATTGGGACTCCAAGGAGGATGTGAAAGTGTTCGTAGTGCAGTTTAAAAGACATTCTCAGGAAGAATGGGATGTCTCTGATCAATTGGTGAGCCTCGCTTACGATAATATAGCCTTGACTGTTTAGTATTACATTAACTTTTATTCAGATTGTCAACCAGAACTTCTTGACCAACTTCTCAATGAAAGATGCGGATGTTTGTGAGCCATTGGACTTCAGGATAGGTGGAGTGTCCCCGAAGAAAGGCCTGGGAATCTTTAGTCCACCAGCCACGATCCTCTCCCCTGAGCCCGATCTAACTCATTTAACTCACCTAAGCAGTACTTACAAGCCTCCAGATTCCAATTCCAAATATCCGAATGGAACCATCGAGATTGTAATGACCTATGATAGTAAAGGTAACTGCTGCGTAATCGTTGCGTCATTTTTAATCACCTCATTGCGCAAAGATTATACATGCTGACTGCTTGTTTTTTTTCAGAGTGGCCTCTGGGTGATGAAGATCTTGTGGTCGATGTCAATTTCCATAATGTAAAATGTGTGAAGCCGGATTTTCTGGGATCCGAGAACCCTGAATTTGTAAATTAACGTTTTTCTTAAAGTATTTTGTTTTTAGTACAAAGGCCCTCGTCCGAAAACTTTGATTGGAATAGCATCTGCAGATTACATGTACAGAGAATGTATATTCAGCTATGGCTTGCAGAAGGTGAGCTCAACACAATGCAAGAAAACCTTCAACTTTGATACGACCTTCAATATTCTCTATATCAGTAAGTTTCAGAATGGATAATATGTGTAATATAATACATTGAAGTGGCGCTAACTCTTGATCATTCCCTTTTAGACTGCTCAAATGTAATCAACAGTAACTGTGCGCTTGAGACCAAAAGCAAAGGCCCAGTCTGTGGTCAAGTTGACAACTTCAAATATTCGATTCAGAATATAAACGAAGTCGACTGGTCGAACCCATCCTCCAATATCTCCGTGAATGTGACATTTGAGCCCATGAATAAGATCAAGAAGGATGTCCTCTATTTTGTGGCCTTATATGGGACTGCCGAGAAGTATGACAACCTGGAAAAAGTGAGTCCGCACTCAGATAATCGGCGGCCGAAAGACACGGCCCGGACCGGCGATAATAAAGATCTGGCGATTTCAGGCAACTTATATGGGCGTCAACCTGACCACCGAGATGGGGAGGGTCAGCAATTGTCCTGTTGTAGAGGGCAAGGTCAACCATCAGAGCGAACTTGTCCAGAAATGCATCAATTCCTCAGGCAATTCAATTGTCATCTCGAATCTTCGGATGGACACTATATATGGAGTCACTTTATGTGGGGTCAGAGATCCCAATAACCTCGAGTTCCCTCTTTTAAATGCTCCGAAGAGTGTAAAGCCAAAAGCCGATATGATTTACATTGACTCGGACGTCTATCGAACATCAAACACTTGGTTGTTTATCTCTGTTGGAGTTGGTTTGCTGATTTTGGGAATCTTTTTCTTGGCTTATTATCAATGTAAACGGGAGAAACAGTGGAAGAATGAGAAGAAGAAGTTGGAGCAGTCCCATTCAGCGGCATATTCAGAGAATCGATATACAGATTTGCCGAAAATCCAGGATCTCTGGGAATTGGAGAGAAGGAATCTTATTATCTATCATGAGAAACAACTGGGATCAGGTGAATCATTGTGTCTTTCTGGGGTGTATCTTGGAAGGGTTAAGGTTGACAATAAGGATATAGGTGACAAGAGACCAGGGTGATTAACTACCTGTAAAGCGTTTTACTATCTGTGGTCCAAAAGATAGACCTCCTCCTTCCTGATTTTGGGCCAGATACGCCTCTGGAAACTTTCTAATATGTATACACAGATAGTGATTACACACTCAATAACGATTTATTTCAGGAGCTTTTGGAGCTGTTTATCTGGGAAAATTAATTGGATCCGCCAAGGGATCTCAAGCAGCTCAATCCACGCTCGGAGTCAACCTAATGAGGGTCGAGAATTGTGAAGTGGCAGTAAAGATGCTCCCAGAATATGCAGATCATCTCTCAAAACAAGAATTCCTTCGAGAAATTGGTCTTATGAAAACCCTTGGATATCACGAGAGATTGGTTAACATGCTGGCCTGTATTACTGACTCAGAACCCTACTGTCTTGTTATGGAACATTGCAGTGATGGAGACCTACAACACTTCCTAAAGAAGAGATGTGAATACATGCTAAAACTGGAGAATGAAGGAGTTGAGGTAGAAGATGAGAGTGTGGATCAGGAGATGGTCATGACCTTGAAACAACTGTTAATGTTCGCTGTTCAGATCAGTTATGGCCTTGAATATTTGAGTCAGAAGGGGTTTGTTCATCGAGATGTGGCTGCTCGCAATGTTTTGGTGCATGAGAAAACGTCCGCCAAGATTGGCGACTTCGGTCTTTGTCGTTATATTTATGCAGAATCATCACAATATAAGAGTAAAGGAGGAAGGTTGCCGCTGAAATGGATGTCGCCGGAGGCTATTCGTCATTACGAATTTACAACCAAGTCGGATGTCTGGTCGTTTGGTATCCTGATGTTCGAAATCATTACGTTGGGTGGAACTCCGTATCCCGGAGTACCTCCAGAGGATATGTTGCCCTTCCTGGAGAGTGGGAAACGGATGGAAAGACCAGACAATTGCCCGGAGACATTGTAAGTTCATACCGTTTGATTGGCTCTTAAAGTAACAACAATTAAATATCGTTTTGATTCTTTTAGCTATTCCATTATGACCCAATGTTGGGAACAATCGCCAGAAAACCGCCCATCCTTCTCGGACGTCAGGCAACTCTTGGCCAGGCAATTGGAGAATATTACTGACGAATATTCGTATCTTAAGTTAGATGCTGGCAAAGATTACTACCGGGTTGATTATGATAAAGACGGGGAACCCAAGGTGGAGACAGTTCTGGTCAGCGCATGATCTCGGACGAAGGACCGCTGTAAATTTTATGATGACAATGAGACTTAACATGTGACTTTAGACAAATGTATTAGGCCCATATGTATATTTAGCAACACGATCTCACAATAAATTGCTCAATATTATTACGAATAAACAAAGACTTTTACCAATTAAGCCTTGTCATTTGTCATACACATCTATTTATTAGAAAAGTATTACGATTTGAAAGCATAACAAACTCCGTTCGTCACCTCTGATGTACAATATTCCTCAGTTCGGGTTGCATAATCCAAGTCAGTTGATGAGCAGATGACATGATAAACGGAACCCCTGCTTTCGCTCTCGGCTTCTCTTTGAATATTCAGTTTGGCGATGGCGATTGTCGAATTTCTTGCCTGAAGATGTTAGTAAACCAAAGGAAAAAGTTATCAAAAAACAATGTATAATAAAAATTAACTGTTTGTTTTTACCTTTTCCATGATTCGTTTTAACATTTGGCTTGAGCAAAATGGATCAGCTGGGACCTTGACTTCTTCCTTTTGCAGTGTCTTGGCCACAAAGTTCTTAGGTCCCCTTGATTGTTGAGATGCCGGATAGATCATTGCACATGGCTGACATTGAGTACAACAAGTGAGAAGAGGAGGAGGAATAAGAGGAGGGAGGATGATTGGAGGGGGCAGGGTAAAAGGCTGGGGTGGAGGGAGGGTTGGAAGTTGGATTGGTGGTAATGGAGCTGGCGGTGGTGGAGGGGGAGGGGGAGGCAATTGGATGGGCGGCAAAGGTGCTGGGAATAATGGAGGGGCGGGTTGACATCCAGGCTGAGGTAAGGGTTGATAAGGAAACGGCTGATACGGAGGTGGACCGGTTGGGTAGACAGGTCGGCCATAAGGATAATACGGAGTGTAGGTAAGAGGCTTGGTTTGAACTTGAGGGACGATTGGCGGCGGCAGAATCAACGGCTTATCCTCTGTCTTGGACGAATTAGAGTCTGGTACTTTGGTAACTTTTGTCTCTTTTAAGACAACCTTATCAGGAGCAAATGGAATTCGGTTCAGATATTCTTCTGTAACAAAGTTTAAGTCATCCTATATACAGGGTGTTTCAAGAAATTTGGAACAAATGATTTGCTTATATCTTTGTGTTCATTTCTCCGCGGAGAAAATTAGGGCCCTTTTTTAAAAATCACAGCGTATTACGTGGCGGAAACGCCGTTGCAACGGCTGAATTGCAACAGCCGAAGGCCCAAAACAACGTCCGCCGAAATCTGAAGTCTCCGCCGCGCCTCCGCGGTGCGCGTAAAATCGAAAACAAAAAATGCATACCGTAAAATCGACGGAGGTGTAACGTAAACTTGATTTCAGCCGTTGTAACGGCGTTTCCGCCATGTAATACGGTGTGATTTTTAAAAAAGGTCCTAATTTTCTCTGCCGAGAAATGGGCCCTCCACCGACGAAAAAAAAATTTTTTTTGAGATTCTAAAAACGCACGCTGTCAATTTTTAGAAGCAAAAAGAAATTCGTTGATAGCTGCAAAGAACAAAACGATATAAGCAAATTATTTGTTCCAAATTTCTTGAAACACCCTGTACTTTCGTCATCAAAGCAAAGAAATAAAGGGCCAATTAAGTTTCTTTGTCAACGCCAATACGATTACCTGGAGCGACCGGGAATAACTTTGGTGGTGGTACCAGCTGAGGCAACTCCTTCTCTGGAGGACAGTTCCTACATGGAGTTGGATTACAAGGTAACGGAGGAGGGAATAAAGGCTGCGGAGCCGGCAAGTACAAAGGAGGAGGTGGCCATTGAACTCCACCACCACAGCCTCCTTGGCCTTTCACAAAAGCCAAAAACCAGAGCCAGACCGACCATCTCCAATCCATGCCGATTGCATTGACTGAGGTAATCCAGGTTTCAGCCCTTCCGATCGCCTCCGCCTCGGATTTGACGGGGGATTTGGGTGTTGTCTGCCAAGGACATCCAAATTAGAGAAAAAAAGACCTCACGTCACCTTGACGCTGTCGGAGTCTTTAAGTCGTGCCGGGTAAGTAAATAGTTACAAAAGCCGCTTTATTGCGTAAGAAGTTATTTATTCAGACTTTCTTGGCGTACACCACGGAGCCTTTTTTGATGACAAAACGAATCAAATCCTTGTGCGATCCGAACTGATATATGAGGTGCTCCCATCGGGGAGCGTCAATGACGACAAGGTCGGCAACTCGTCCCACCTGAAATCCGCAAGGGTTAGATCGAAGGTTACGTTAAAGAAAAGGCGATCCGTGAAACTCATGGAACTCATGTGGCTTACCGAGATCGCTCCATGAGTTTTTCCTCGACCAATAGACTTGGCAGCGTTGAGTGTCGCTGCCACAATGGCCTCAGTCATACTCATCTTGAACAGAACACAAGCTAAGTGCATCACCATGGGCATAGCCAAGCAATGCGCGTTTGGATTAAAGTCTGACCCTAGGGCTACGATAACTCCGTTATCAATCATCTTTCTTGCCGGTGGCGGTTGTAGACGTAGAATGTAGGCAGTTGTGGGGAGAAGGACCGCTACCGTGCCTGATTTGGCCATTTCTTGAATTCCCGAATCACTGATCTCTTCCAGATGACTGGCTGCTCGGCCCTTAAAAATCATTTATTATTTGAAAGGAATATTTGTTTACTTGTAATGCAGCCGCCAGTTCAGCACCTCCCAGAGGGTACAGTTCGTCAGCATGTATATTGACGTGCAATCCCGCACCTATTCCGGCCTCCAGGATTTTCCTGGTTGATTCCAGTTCGAAAACATTCTTCTCACAGAAGACGTCGATGTTCTCCAAGGTATTCAAATTCCCGATTTGTTTCTCTTTTGTCAGAGTTGGAATCATTTCTTTGATTATGATTTCCGTTTGTTTTTGTTCATCTGATCCCTTGGGCACTGCATGCGCACCACAGAAAGTTGCTGACAATTCGACCGGTGACGTTTTTGATGCCGTTTCGATGACTCTCAGCATTTTTAATTCAGTTTGAGTGTCCAGTCCATAACCAGACTTTGCTTCTAAAGTTGTGGTGCCAGAGGACAACATCTTTGATAAAATAATTTCAAAGTCTTTCAAAAGATCATCTTCTGAAGCCTCCCGGGTTTTCTCCGTTGTGAAATGAATTCCGCCTCCTGCCTTTTGAACCTAAAATGAGAAAATAAATATCTGTGCATTCACATTACCTCCATATAAGTGGCTCCGGCCAATTTCATCGCGAATTCATTTACTCGATCACCAGCGAAGACAGGGTGGGAATGGCCGTCAACAAGGCCCGGGATTACCGTACCTCCATGGCAATCCACCTGCTCTTTGCTTTTGTTTCTCAACTAAATTTATTAATTTATTACACACGTCAATTTGTGATAACAACGAACCACATTGTAAGGTCCAATCTCCTTAACCAAACCATTCTCCGTTAATATGGCTAGAGATCCATCTGCCGAGTTTAATACCTTAAAACCATTTATTTGAACTTTGCTTTTACAACTATCAATAAATCGAGGAATAGTAAATATAATATAAACCATTGTATAGCCATACCTTTACATTGGCCATATCCTTTCCGGCCAGGAACTCCGTGCCATTATCCACAATTTGCACAATTTGTTTGATATTAAAGAGCAACATAATAAGTTTATTTCTGATCGCGCGAATGATCTCTTTGCACTGACTTTATGCTTCGATTAATGTCTTTTTGTGTGTGTTCGATCCTTTGCTTTGATATGATTGATTACGCAACAAAAGTTTTGTTTTATCTTCAGGCCCTAATAAGGCCTTGGAGGGGAGTAAAGCCCGAAAAAACATCCCAATTGTGTACATATACATTCCGCTCTCTCTGGCCAAATTCGTAACGTTGGGCCAAGGACAGAGAAAAAAGACAGCTGCCCCCCTTCCTCCCTTTGGCCTGAGGGGAAATCGATGCGCGAATAAATATATTTTGTATATTCGTATCACCTAGAAGCATAACATCATAATCGTATGTTGCTGTAGATGTCTGTAATCTCGTGTAATCCTGCTTTTAAACTCCTTAATCTGATAATGCATTCGTGTTCGAAAGTTTTGATGACCTCATATGACGCGAGGCTGTTGTCATGGCCACAATTTTTTGGAGAGAAAGCCGGCTTCACGAATTTTACTCCCAATATTATAACAAAAGGCGATTAAGAAGGGGAAGCGGGCGGTTGAGTGTATCGGGGGAGGTGTAATACGATTGTGAAGCGTTTAGATAACTACATTTCGAGTTGTACTTGAAACTGTTTGTAGTTCTGATGCACAAATTAGATCGCGGAAGAGCGTCTGAGAGCATTATCAGTTGGTTGACTGTTACTTTTTATTGATTGCTGATAATCCCACTAAACTCCGAGCTGTCACGTTTTCATGAATAGTGATGGTAGTTTACTTATCTTATCAGTTGTTTGTTTCCACGAGGATTCTTCTAGTCTAGTGATATTGTTACGAGGATTTCCATCAATTACGCATACAATACATATAATACATGCTATTTATGAATTATTTTAGGGTCAATCAAACTGGTTTGAATGCGGCTGTACAAGGCCAAACGGGAGGGTCTCTCGTTCTGGCCCTTTGGCCGCCAGACCGGGCCAGAACATGAGAAATTGTCGGAGGAATCGGCGGTCGTCGACGAAGTGACCTTAGGGCCAGATGGGGGAAAGAGATTCGGAATCAAGTCCTATCTTCATCACTTCTATCTGTCCCCCACTGTCGAAGATATCGAAGGGAATGCATGGTAAGGAATTCAAAAATGATGATATAATATTTAAAAATATAATAAATGAAGTCAAGAAATAAATAAATTTTCAGGTATCTGCTGCCTCCACCACCGGCGCAACGAATGAGTGTTTACATCTGTCGAGTTGTTACTTTGATTGGGCTCTTGTTATTGCTAGCCGGAGCTGGAATGATCATCGTTGGCTACACATGGAAGCCGCGAAACAGTGTCGAGGAATCCTTGATGAAGATCGCGATCAGTCAAGATGAAGATGGCAACTTTTATATCCCACCCGAACGCTTCAACGAAGTCTTGAGGGATCCGATGCATGACTGGAAGATGGCTGGGTTCTGCTTGTTCGCTTCTGGAGCTGCATTCATGGCATTAAGTCTCCTGGTTCCAACATGCGCCCATGTGTTTGGCGGAAAGAAATTGGCAGCATTTGTGAGTGAGGACAACACCCCCAACGAACCGCCGGTCAGAATCTACCCATCGATGGGCAACCGATTCAAAATCTCTCCCACCAAATTGGCCGGAGCTCACAAGATCTCCCCAACAAGGTAACGTAATCATTGCGTAATGCAGGCGTCACTTGTTTCCAGAACGATAACGTAATTCTCAAAACACACTTGTGGCGTTCTTTAATACTTTTTAGTCTCCAAAAAGTAATGTATACACTCCTGCCAGATGTCCGAAAAACAATCGTGGCTTGTCTTGCCCTTTAAATCGTGTAGTTCTATAGCTTGCAGGAGACTTTCGTTTAATCACCAGGTAGTATTTCGAATTTCTTTTTTTGAGAAGTTACAATTATGTACGGATATTAAAAAAATAACATAGATAAGTAAACAAGATATTATTAGTAAAAAAATGATGACATAATTACAAAATTTGTCGTTACTTATCGCATAATTTAGCGGCCCTGTGCCCGTTATGGAAGAGATCGCCAAGGTTCAACCGGGCAAAAAATCGAATCAGTCATCGCCAATCCAGCCCGTCAACGACTTCTTGACTGGCTCACCTCAAGAACCTCTCCTCAAATGATCTCTCATCTCCATTTCTTGGTCTCAGATCTACGGCATTTTTCTCTTTTTTGTGGGCATTTCGTGTTCGGAACGGCGGCAGCTGGAGTCAACAATAAATTATAATATTCATAACCAAACTTATAATATCGATATTTATTATCCACATAATGAACATAAAAGCATAAATATGATGCTGTTTACAAAAATAATTGCAAAATATGTGGGCTAGTTATAGTTTTGGATACAAACCGACAAATACGACAACAACGCGTAGAAATCGCAATAATCCATAATGTCATCTTCCATGGAAACAAGAAAAATCATGGCTCGAATCACTAACACACTCCCATTTCGCTCCCTAAACTTTGGTTCCACTAGCGATCAGAAAGTTATATAATATTGTTTCCGAGCCACATCTTACTTCCATATTGTCTTTCCTTTGTTATTAATTTCATTTTATCCGACAATCATTTGTTTTTTATTTTTCTGCAATTTCGCTCTGTCAAACCCTTCCTTTATAAACACCGCTAACAGAAATTATTTCTTCTTGCTGCAGCAATTGGATCGGTGAGTAATATTTTTTACCTTGTACTATGCCCTAAAGGCGCTTTGATAACATTTATTTATAACCGAACCCTTTTTACCCCGCTTATTACAACTAATGGTTAATTGATTAAAGAAAACATTGTAATATTTTTCGGAAAGGGTACCCTCTTAATTGTTCCCACTTTTTGTCCATTCCAGTTTAAAATCGAGTAAACACAGCTAGAGATGCTTTGTTCAATCTGTGATGATCGCCGTCCGAATATGTTTCCTCATCTGGGCTCGAAAACATCGTGCCCGATACCTTTGGACCGGAAATGACTTTTGGATTTGCACAGAGGTCGGGCTCGATCCAAGGAGAACGCACGTTTTGTCCTTTGTGATGCAGGTGTTGTTTTTCCTCATTTCTCAGGAACCGTCTGTTTCTTTTTCTGCTTTCTTCATTCCTTGCACCTCAGTTTCTGTGTTCTCCCTTGATTTCGGGTGATATTTGATGTTTTCGGACTTTGTACTTGCTGGGAATGCCTTGATCACAACCCCCCTCTCGTGCTCTCTTTAAATGTGGAAATTCCCCTCAGAGACGTTATAACCCCCTTATCAGGGTCCACTTCTTCCCAGAGAAACCAAAACAAAAAAAGGTTTGGACTCTAATACCCACAGCAAATAACATAATTGAACGCCTGATAAGCACATAGGAAACGTTACCCCAAAAAGGGTTCTTATTTTTCTTGAGGATGAGACCCTGAGCAAAAACAATCGGAACGGTCAAATGACAGGCGCATGCCGGCTGTATTTTTTTAGAGAAAGAGAGAGAAGATGGACAGAAGAGACCTTGATGGACTCGCAGGCCTTACTCATCTTGTATTTGTTCAATTCTTCCAACTGTGCTAGCTGTAACAGAATGTTAACGCGCAGTCAGTCACGCACAAGCAAAGTAACGATGGACGCGAAACACGTTCGACCTTAAAAAACACATTAGAAAAGTGAGACATGGGTTTAAAGTGAAGATTCGTTGAAACGAGAAGGACTGCGATGTCCATTTACTACACGGAGTTTGATGCCATACAGGGCTCTCATCCAGTATCTCCGTTATTCTCATCTGATGAGATAAGAAAGCTGATTGTTTTGAGGGGAGGGGAGACATTCCGGTCACTCGACACTTTCCGGAACCCTCGCGAATTTAAAAAAACGAAAGGAGAAGGTCCAAAGTCCAGACCAGTGCCGAAGACTCCTCTAGATTATAGCGAATGTCGTAAAAGAAAAGGTTTTATCCTTGCGATGGAATTTCGAAATCACTTTTCGTCTATTTCGAAATGATCATATGCAGTGGCAGTCATCGTATTCTAAGAATAGTCACGTCTTGTTGTTCGTTGCTGTTTTGCTTTAAATTGCCAATGCTCGTTCTGTAGTAATGTTGTTTACCAAAGAAGATGACCACTGCGATCTGTGAGACTTAAAAATTTCTCTTTGGAAAAACATTACGAAAGCCTCGCTGATTAGAAACTTATTCATTTTGCATGCTGATTATGCCGCGAAAACTCATTTGTTTACAATAAGAGTCCGGAGGGCATCGAACAAACCTCTCCCCTTGTCCCTTGCTCCACGACAGCATTTCCCCCCACGTGACTGACGCCCCTCGTTATCAATCAAGACATGAGAGGCGCATCGGAAAAAAGAATTGGGGCGGAACGTTGGACCGAATAAAAGCGCCGTCTGGACCCAGAAGTCATAAAAAAGATTTAAAGATCGGGCATGGAAAGCCGGAGGTTAAAGGTGCTTTAACGAATTGGTTGAGGGTTCTTGGAATTTATTCAAGCCATGGTTGTGGGTTTCCGCTTTTTTCTTTTTTGCTTCCATCTGGCCAGAGAGATAACTCCAGCTGCGCGTTTTTCCCATTTCAAAAAACCACGTGGTCCCATAGACGAAAGGAGCGGGAAAGCATGGGTCTGCTGTTTCTAAAAAATTCCTCGCAGTAAAATCTCCTTCCCATTTACTTTTTGCTCGTGTTATTTTGCCGCTTTTTCTCAGCCCGTGATTATCTTGTTTTCCTTTTCAGATTACAATGGACAATGAGAAATCTTTGATGCTGCGATCAAAAAACTGGCAGCTAACTCGCGCCACTGATTATGCCCTCTTTCACTGTGACACAATCAATGTTACAGTGGCGTGGGGAGCCAACCGAGCCGATGCGCCATTAATTCGCATCCAAAACCATGAAATGAGTGAACTGGAGAAAGCTTTGGAACGTCTGGATTACCTACTCAGTCATGTTCGATGTGTTCGCACACTCACACTGAATATGGAGACCTCGGAAACCCGTTCCATCAACGCCATCATCGAGAGGTTCCTGGATGCAGGTAAGACCGGTTTTGTTTTCTTTTGTTGTGGTTTACAACGTTTCCTGGAAACGACTTTCTTTGTCCCAGAAACCGCGGATGATGATGAATCCATAAGCAATTTCTTTGTCGCAGATTAGTTACCTCTCGCTTTCAGAAAATGTGCGACTAGAGGTGTTGAAAGTGAGACGGCGCTACGTGGGTCAGCGGATCGACCTGCTTCCCGACCTTCTCTGCATGAACGCCGAGACCCTGCGCGAGGTCGGGAAGATCGGACTCAGCGAAGCGACAGAGGGATTCAACGATAAGATCCGCCTGAACCGACTCTCGTTGATGAACTTCGACTTGATTGATGATGGAGAACTCGAAAGCTCAACTTTAGCCGAAAGAACACGCATCCACATCAGGAGGTTAGGAGGAATCGGCGCCAAGTTCCAGCACCTTTCGTACACCACATACAGCGGATTCGACCTCTCGCGCAACCCGGCCCTTTTTATGTTGAAACAATGCGAAGTCCGTTCCATCAGATTAACAATGCAAAAAGGAGCAGCAATAACTTCAACTCCCATGCAGCCAGTTCAACCTCTTCTGGATACCCTAGAACGACTCGAACTGATTGGAAGTCTGAGTGCTCCGAAGGAACGACTAAGTGCACTATTCCCTAATTTGGATTACTACGATTATCAACGACAAGACCTCGCAACGGGAGGTCAGACAGCAATGGCGTGCTAGCGAGTGCAATGTAAATATAATTCCTACGATGTGTATGTATTTGAATTCACTTAACTTGTTATGTACAATACCAAAAATGTAAATATGGTTATGTAAATAAAATATTGTTATGATTTACACTCTCCCAAATCGTCCCAAAAATTACGAGACTTCTAAACACCAGACTTTATCACGCTGTGAATTGTAAGTTCAACATTACTGCAATGAGAACTCGGCAAGTTTTAGCGGCAGTTTAAAACAACGTGAGAAATTGCAACTAACTGCAAAACCAGTCCAAATGACCAAGGGATCCCATACATCAATACCAACACAGGCTCCTAATTATTCTACTACTAAGTTTTATCCGGATCGGCCTTTACAAATTTTTCCACGCCCGGCATGGAAATTTCAATCCGAACTCGACAGCCCAAAACAGTAACTTGCACGGTGCGCAAAGCAAGAAATTTGACATTGCAAAGTGGTTTTGTTTTCGCACAGTCCGGACTGCAGGCCATGCCGCCGAAATGAGTCCAGCGACTTCTCGGCCGGACTAGAACATAGCAAAAGTTACCTCTAAAAGAATTTTAAATCGTTTTGCACTACTTTCTACCCATTTACGATAAATTATCCTTCCTGCGGAAAAATATTTCTTTTCTGTGGAAAAGATTCATTTTTTCTAACGATAAAATATTCTTTTCTGGGAAAAATAAAATAGTTACTTGGCAATCAATTTTGACATTTCACCCTATTGATTGAGGGAAATATGAGGTAGTTTATATAAAACCTGTCGTTACGACATGATAAAATAAACACTTATAAAAATTTTGTTTTTCTATTTCTTGTTATTTTTTACTACCAAACATACAGAAAATAGTTTATCATATATTTCATACATCATCGGGCTGTTTACAAAGTCTAAGTTGACCGCTTTTTCAGAGATTTTTGATCGGCCGCTCGTCTGTTTGCTGTTGCCGGTCTTTATTCCAACAGGTTGATCATGTTGAGTCGGCGGGTGTTTCTCCGGCTTCGGAACTGTGAAAATGCCCTCAAATCAGTGAGTGTGAAAAGGAGATTTATTTTTGATTTTAGGGAGTGAGAAGTGCATCATCTCTCAGTGTTCCCCATGAAAAAATTTACAGGTCGGCACACTTTAATATCCAAAGACCTTTTGTTGCAAGAAGATTTATCCATCTCTCTGCTGGATTAAGTTAGTTGATTATTGGTATAACTATTCGTTTACGTTTCTTTGTTTCTACTTGATTTTTTAGGAGGAGAAGTTGTTGAGGTTGAAGGACCAGCCTTTGCTGAATCTATTACTGAAGGAGACATTCGGTGGATCAAACGTAGGTTATTTCAAGTTTATTCGACTTTTTGGAAAATTTTAATTTTGTAATCTTTTGCTAATCCTAATCTATTTTCAGAGAAAGGAGATTTTGTCGAAGCCGACGAACTCGTTGCCGAGATTGAGACAGATAAGGTAGAGTTGGCTAAATTTTTTATTCATTTTTTAGACATCTGTTGAAGTTCCTGCTCCGTTTTCCGGAACCTTGGTGGAGCTTCTAGTTGAGGATGGAAACAAAGTTACAGCGAAGCAAAAGCTTTACAAGTTGGAGAAGGGTGCGGCTGGATCAGGTTCGGCCGCAGCGGCCGAACCAAAGAAGGAAGAAACTGTTCCAAAGAAAGAAACACCTGCTGCTGCTCCTCCTCCTTCACAACCAAAGGCTGAGGCACCGAAGCCAGCTTCAAGTCGTTAGTTGCATTTTTTTACCGTTTAATTTATTTTTGCTTTTAGCTATTCCGTCCTCTCCCCCTCCTGTTCCCCCTACTCCATCTGGCCCAATAAATCTCCAACCCATCGATGATATCCCAGTGACTCCAATCGTCGGTTTGAAGGCCCCGGCTGACGGAAAGAATGCCATTACAGGGGAGCGTAGTGAGACTCGTGTGAAGATGAATAGAATGAGACAACGGATCGCTCAACGGCTGAAGGAAGCTCAAAATGTGAACGCGATGCTCACTACTTTCAACGAGATTGATATGTCGTGAGTGCTTTGGAGAGCTAGTCTTATGTTGTTTAGGAATATTATGGCTCTCCGTAAGAAGTATCAAGATCAATTCGTCAAGAAACACGGAATTAAGCTTGGTCTTATGTCTCCTTTCATCCGTGCCTCTGCCTTAGCCCTTCAGGATCAACCAGTAGTGAACGGTGTAATTGAAGGGGAAGAGATAGTTTACAGGAACTATGTGGACATCTCTGTCGCAGTAGCAACACCAAAGGGATTGGTTGTCCCGGCAATTAGGAACGTAGAGCAGATGGGGTATGCTGACATAGAGAAGACATTGGCTGAGTTAGGAAAGAAGGCGAGGGATAATAAGATCGCCATCGAGGATATGCAGGGAGGAACCTTCACCATTAGTAATGGAGGTGTCTTTGGTTCCCTTTACGGAACACCAATTATTAATCCCCCTCAGTCTGCCATCTTAGGAATGCATTCAATTAAAGATCGGCCGGTAAGTGAACTCTGGTGTATCAATATTGCTTTAGATTGCTGTCAATGGTGAAGTCAAGATCCGTCCTATGATGTACGTAGCTTTGACATACGACCATCGTCTGATCGACGGAAGAGAGGCTGTTCTGTTCCTCAGGAAAATCAAGGAGGCCGTTGAAGAACCGGCTACAATCCTATTAGACCTTTAATTTTTTTTTGTCCCGGAAGCGTAATGTCCAGTGTTAGGCAGATGAATAAATTCGGTTATTTACCAATGAGTCGTATTAATGTGGTTACTAAAACCGAATTTTACTTAACTTTTTCTTAGTTTCTAACTTTGTTTGCAAGGATGCAGTGCGCGAGTTTGGTTTTCTTTGATCTTGAGACACCCGGGTTGATCCAGGAGTTGGACAAGAATGATCCGCGAAGAGCCCCGAGGGTACGGCCGGGTGATAATCAACGAAGTGTCCAGCAAATCTTTGATCTTTACGATCAAGCCGACCAAACCAAAGAAACTAAAATCCCCAAGATCATGGAATTGTCAATGGTCGCGCTACCCAGAGAAGACTTCTTCCGTTGCATCACGCAAGTCGCCGAACAACATAAGGACGGAAAGAAGGATTTTCGGTTAGAAAGAGTCGCCTGTCCAATAATAACATTACAGTGCAATCCAGGGTTGTCAGAAGCCCAATGGGAACAATACGACAAGCGAGGGCAGTATAAATGTAAGTCTGCCTAAAGATTACTTATATAATTACAGTTACGAATCTGTTGAGAGAAGATGTTGCCAATAAGCTGACGTTCAGACAAAATTGGCCCATTATCCGGAATTTTCTTGACGTTTTACCAGCTCCAATCGCTTTAATAGCTCACAACGGATTGAATTTTGACTTCAGGATTCTACTAAACGAACTGAAGAGGAATGATTTGATGACCAGCCAAATTTTCAAGGAGAAGGTCGTCTTTGCAGACACTCTTTTGGCATTCCAAAGCATCGAGAAGGCCCATCACGCTGTTGTGCGGACGGTTACCGAGTCAATTGATTGGAGTCGAGGTAAGAAGTCCTCTTATGTTGATCTTGCTTTAGTTAGGCCACACTCCCCAGAGGAAATGCAAGTGGATGACTCTCAACAAGAAGCCCCGACGTCTTCCATGTTTCAGGGGAACGAAGGAGAGGGAGATAACGAAAATACCAGACTGAATGCTTCTACCAATAGTATACGATCAGGACTAGAAGTTCTGGATGAGTTTTTGGATCCGGATTTCTCCGATGCGACTCCCACAGCTAGTATCTTGAAACGCCCGGCAGCGCATCAATTGGGATTATTAACTCCAAATAAACGGCCTCCCCCACCAATTAATCCTTGCAAAACTGCGCCACCGAAGTTTAAGTGAGTCCCTGAAAGTAATATCTAAAAAGTAATACTTTTATTTCAGTCTTCAAAGAGGCTTCTTCGAGAAATGTGCACGAAATAACCCTCTCAGGTTCATGAAACACACTGAGTGGTCACCGGCAAAGGTCCACAGAATACGTGATGACTTTTTTATGTAAGTTTGTGATAGATTGGTCATGTTTATTGTTTCCAACATACATTTTATGTTTTTAGAAAACACGCAGATGGATCCTGGAGCTTCCACACACAAAATGCCGAGAAATACTTTGTCGAAAACGGGAGATTCAAATTGCAGCAGATATACAAAGATGTTTTCCGAGCCGATTACAAAGCGCACATGGCCCAAGAAGATTGCATAGCTCTTCTTCAGGTCTGTTCGGCTTATGGAAAGGACTTTCTGAATTATATCGACACCTTTGCCATGCCTTTAAGGCAATACGATCCAATATCTAATTAACAATTTTATGTCACTAAGAGTGCCTTCCGTTCTGAGACTCAAACTACATTATTTACATTAACATTGTTACTAACCGTGACCTCTTTTATTTAAAAAGTAAAACTTTAACGTTGTTTCGTAGCTTGGGCACCGAAGAATGGCTTCACCTCGGGGATTTCCACTTGGAGATTAGTAAAGCCGCAATGAAAAGATGGGATCACATATGGATTCAAGGTCCAAGTTTTCCCTTTGGCCTTCTCAGAGTTACCCAGATCTCTCTCCAAGACCACCGTGCCCGAGAATGGATAACGAACTCCCAATCGAATCACATCCGCGATACTCCAAGGGCAATAAAGACCTGAAAGAAACGTCTCGCAATATTATAGGTCTTACGCAACATGTAACGAAGAATAGCATCGATGACGGGAGCGTGGGTGACGATAATAACGGTCCCTTCTTTATTGCAATCAAACCCATCCATGATAGTTCGAACCACTTGACCGACACGGTTGTAAAAGTCATGGGGACCTTCCTGAACAATTATTGTGATCTTTATGGGACATCCACTTACTTGAGTTGCCAAGGTTCGCATCATATCTAAACTCATGATAGGATCATGGTTCGTATTCACTGGGAACCTGGCTTCTTCAAGAGCATTGAGGGTCATGAGCGGTGGACACTAGAAGAAGGTGATGTATGCATGGGACAAACCTTTTTGTGGAAAAGCATCGGCTCATACAATCCTGGTTCAATAAGGATCTTGGTCGTTTTATCGCCTGATTTCTTCAATAAAGCCGTGGCTGATTGGACGCATCGAAGAGCGGGAGAGGATATTACGGCGGACGGGGACAACTGGATCTTTTCCATATAACGGCCAACCGTTTCAGCGGTGAATAAGCCAACCTGTAACGATTAATGAGATAGATCAACCATTTAAATAGGAATTTACATTGGTCAGAAAGTCATCATGTTTGAAGTCGGCATGAGGCCGCGAAATAGGGACCTTGACTGGCTGATTGGAATCGATCATCTTGTATCCGTCATCAAACGCTCTTTCATGCCAATCAGGTGCAAGTCGATTACACGACTCCCCATTGCGAACCAGAATTAGTCTCAGCTTCTCTGGCGCTAATCGAGGATAGGTGGTAATGTAGAAATTCTTCTGAGCTGGCTTTCGACCCGTCATTCCAAACCAACCGATTATCACACCGACCGAAATGAGGAATAGTCTCATCCGGCCACATTTGCCGAGTAAGCAATTCAAGTGAATAAATATTTTTTTGCACTCAAGAATCTTCGTACTTTAACCATTCCGACCGAAGCCCCATATGGCTAGTAGAATGCCTGATTCGACCCCAAGGGTTATTATATTAATACATATACTATAAAGTTTATTCGGTGTACTGTATTTTATATTTACATGTGTAAATACATTCAACATTAGCCATTTGTTGGAATTACTCATACATATATTATATAATGAGGAGTAGTTAGTTTCGATGATTGTAAGTTTGGCCCTTCCGGATCATTTCCAGTTCAACGAGGTATTGCAAAACTGAAACCACTCTAATATAATGATTGGCTAATACCTCTTCGCTTGATACTGGAGGTATAAACCGATGCGTCCTGTTTTTCAACTCGTCAAAAGACCACCCTTTTATTCCTAAATGCTCCAAAACATCAACAACGTTCCCCGTATCATCTCGATAAAATACTTTAAATGTCGGTTGAGATTTTTGATTACTCCACAGTTCGAAGATAACACTGGATGCGGGTCCAGGGTACCCATCCTTGTCTAAATTCATCTTTCCACCCAGTATTCCAAAAATGGCTGATATTATCATATCATGCTGAAATGATGACAAATCATAATTACTTATCTTTCTTACCCCGGAATATACGTAATATCGGAGATCGTTTACACTTTTGCATCCTACATCTTTAGAGTTATGACAATTTATTTTAGCGTCAGCTCTTTCCGTTATTTCTTTCCATATGGGGCCTCCAATTAACTTAGGAACTTCTAAGGAAAAATCAATCCCTTTATACGGAGAGAGACCTGAAAGCGAATACAAAATGTCAAAATTTCTCACTGAATCCATTCGTAAAATTAAGAACTCGATGATTTAATGCTTTCAGAGCTTTGTAGTTCTCCTGGACCCATTTTGGGACAGGTTTATTTAGACGAATCTGCAAGAAATTATTACGATTACTCTTAAACTTACTTCGATCTCGGTTAATTCCTCAATTACCCAATAATTATCAAGTGTTAATGTCATCTTCGAATGTTCGGACAAGTTGAGTAGTAATGATTTGTAAGTATTTTCAGCCTCTTTATATTCAGGAGCTTGATGAAAAAGATCCCATAATTCCAATCTCCGTTTACAATTTGATCTGGCATTAAGTAGCTATAAAAATAAAAGCTGTTGGAAGTGCGGGAATTACATACGTAATCTTGTTTGTAGTCTACAGTACTGATTTCCGGCCAGAGATCGTCCTGTGATCCATTAAATGTTGTCCTTAAGTTAATTTTGGCGCTTTCAATGGTCCGACTTTTGTTCGAACTTCTGACTTTGACCTACGCGTAAAGTTTAATCGATACGTTATTAATTTACTTCTTTGTCATCATACTTCTTATGCAGAAATTCCTGGTACCTCTCGCGCAGAAATCTGGCCAATTGTCTTTGTTGTTCCCTTCCCTCATCGGTCAACCCACCCAACTCTTTTGGCCAGGATTCTAGATTCGGATCAGTTGGATAAACCTCCAATGGAGTCCTGAGGCCGTGTCGGAATAACTGAGAGGGTCAAGAAAATCAACTTCTACTTACAACTTGCACGAGTATTAACTCGGGCTTTGCATGAACACTAAAACTGTTCCAAATCAATAGACCAAAGATAACAGCGAGCACAATCATGATAAAGAACAAGTCTAAGCATGGATCGGACGGCCTGAAACAAGCCCGTTTCAGAGAGTATTGCGTACCAAGGTGGGAGTATTTCTAGTCTTTCCTCTCGCCTTCACACTTCTCAAATTACAACGAGATTCTTGGAAATAAACTATTTTTTAAGTAAACTTATCAAACCTTTTTAATATTCGCGAACTTAATGAGAGTCCCGATTTTTTCATTTTCCTTAACAGCAGCGACGGAACGAAAAAATCAAAGGGTTCCAAACAAGGAGACTCCCTCCTGTTTATTCAGTCAATTCAATGCAAATGCTACAACATAATGCAGTTTATTGTTAACACCGTCTCTGATTTTGACATGCTTTTACAAATGGTGACGTTCATTTCTCAATATGTACAGTCGATGTTGCAAAATAATTTGATCAGCCAGCCAATGAATTGAAATCACAACTAAATTTTTTTAATGGCTAGCCAAAAACCTGTATCGGTTAGCGTGAAATCTCGAAAAAAGCTAGCCGAAATGTTGGAGTAGGTGTAAAAAATAGGAATGTGCAGTCGGGCACCAAATTTACAGCTGGTGCTAGCCGTCGCAAAGCGATGATGGGCGTTTCTAAGGCGCAACAATCGACCATTACTTTTCCGACATGTGGATACTAAGTAGTCATCATTAAGACCTAACGTACTATATTCCTGCAAAAGGAAACGACATCGATGTTACTTTTAGAAAATAGAAAATTTTTGAAATTCATCACCAAAACATACAGAAGGTCTTTATTTGTGCGTCAAACGGATTATTGCCTTTGTTAAAACAAAACGTGAAGTTCACGTGTAAATACTGATTGCTGTTTTTTCGAGTGTTCTTTCTTTCTTCAAGAGTGCATTAAATCGATCTCAACATCTGGCTGTCCTTATGAATATACCCACAAACCGATCCTCCTCTTCCCAACTTTTACGTTTTGCATTAAACATTTACGAAGATCACGGTTTGTTTTCGTATTGTTGAAATCTCCCAAAACAAAACTTATCAGAACCCTTATAAATACATCGATCGCAAATTAATGAACTAATGTTTTGCACAACAACGAAGATTCTAGAAGCGGGAGTTGTGCTATAAATCTGAGGGTAATCGACATTCTGCGTGCTTAACTTTTTCCACTGTCATTTTAGCGTATTCTGGCTTCAGTTATTGGGAGGTAAAGACGAGGGAAGCCTACACATAAAATTTTTATTAGAGTTGGCAAATAATTTTTGCCTTATAAGTATTATACTTTGTTTTTCTGGCAAGCGCTTTACGGTAACGGGCTTTTTCGTGCAATTTCGGTAAAGCAGTTATGTTTTGGAGGCTTTTTTTGAAAAACAAAAAAATCCGTAAAGGTGGCTCCATAAGCGAGGACCAAATGTGCTACAGAAAGTGGGTGAACACAATCACATCAGTCACCTTTGTTTGATTACAAACTCGGACGGATTGCCGCGAGAGATTCGGGCCTTATTTTCATACTTTCGCCCTTTCTTCATCCGAGTTCCGTGTTTTTTTCTGATATTTGGCCCTTTTCGCAGCGGCCCGGCCCGAAAAAACAGGGAGAAATTTTCGCTTTGAGGACGTGCATTTCTGGAGCGAACGCGGCCGTTCCACTTTCAATGGTTTATTTTCTTGTTGTTTTAAAGGGTTTTTGTTGGTCTACAATTTTTAAACCCCTAGGACAATCTTTCTTTGTCTTCCTCGAATTTAACCAAATTTTGACCTCAGTATTTCGTAGTTTTCGGGTGTTTACGTGCTTTACAAGAAGTATGTTCCCTTGTGAGTTTTCTTCCGTTATATTTCGGCTTTACTTGGAACGCCGGTTTTTATCCTTCACTGTTATCCTTGACTAATTTATATAAAAAATAAATGTTTTCAGTGTTTTTCTTTTAACCTTTACTCCTATTAGTGATAAGTGGTAAGTTTTTGACGCGCAGACACGTGAACGGCGCACCTCTTGGCCTGGTTTCGGGTGAGACGGCCTTGCTTTCTGTCTATACCCTTCTTTCTCCGTTCTAATAAATGTGTTGTCCATTCCTCCTGTTTGCAGGCTTCTCCCAATGTGATTCGGGTCCTTTATCATCTTATCAAAGTTATCATTTGATTAGATAGTTGTAAATAATGATTATGAAATCACCTTGTTTATGTTACCCATAACGAGGTTGGAGTAATTTGTTTAATTCAACTATTCTAAAAGCTGGAATTGCATGTGAAACGTCAGTTTGAACATGATGACTTTTGAAAATCCCGTGTTTTTAGTTTGCTGGGTGTTTCCATCGACAGGTTGCGTAATTCATCAACCGGGGATTACAATTTCGTCTATTAGGGTGATTCTTACACAAACGGCAACCTTTTTGCAGCCTTGTTTAGAGTTATGGGGTCAGCCCAGGTCGAGATTGCAGTACCCGGGACGAACCAAAAACGTTGTTATCATATTTATGACCGGGTTTGTTGATTGCGATCAGATTATTTTCCATAGGAGTTGGTAGAATGTGTTGATTACGCGTTTTATTGTCTGATAATTGTTGAATTTTTCATTTTCACTCCTTTCAGTCAGTGGGAATCTGATCCAACAAGATGGCTACCGACCAAGATCGACGTAAGCAGATCAGTGTTCGTGGGATCGCTCAAGTGGAGAATGTAGCGAACATCAAGAAAGCATTCAATCGTCATCTCCATTTTTCCTTGATCAAGGTAGGTGTTTGTATTTTGTTTATGAGTATTGCTTTAGGACAGAAACGTCGCGACTCCCCGTGACTACTACTTCGCCCTGGCCGATACTGTCAGAGATCATTTGGTCAGCCGATGGATCCGAACTCAACAATACTACTACGAGAAGGACCCCAAGAGAGTCTATTACCTTTCGTTGGAGTACTACATGGGCCGAACTCTTTCAAACACCATGTTGAACTTGGGAATGCAGGCAACCGTGGATGAGGCCCTCTATCAGCTTGGCTTGGACATGGAAGAGCTCCAGGAATTGGAAGAGGATGCTGGTCTCGGAAATGGTGGTTTGGGTCGATTGGCTGCTTGTTTCTTGGATTCGATGGCCACTCTCGGAATCCCGGCATATGGTTATGGTCTACGCTATGAGTACGGAATCTTCAAGCAGCTGATCAAGGACGGATGGCAAGTTGAAGAGCCAGACGATTGGCTTCGCTTCGGAAATCCTTGGGAAAAGGCCCGTCCAGAGTACATGCTTCCTGTAAACTTTTACGGAAAGGTGGAAAAGGATGCAAATGGAAAGGTAAGAGCAAGTCGTGCTTAGTTTAGTCTTGTCCTGCTGACTTACTTACTCTGTTCTTCAGAGCAAATGGGTCGATACCCACGTCGTCTTTGCCATGCCTTATGACACTCCAGTTCCCGGATTCCGCAACAACGTCGTCAACACTCTCCGTTTGTGGTCCGCCAAGGCGGAGAACCACTTCCACCTGAAGTTCTTCAACGATGGAGACTATGTGAACGCTGTTATGGACAGAAATTTGACCGAAAACATCACTCGTGTTCTCTATCCGAATGATAATGCATGTTTTTGTCTTTTTAATTTATATATTTTTAGGTCTTTGTTGGTAAGGAACTCCGTCTCAAACAACAGTACTTCTTGTGTGCTGCCACGCTTCAGGACATTATTCGACGATTCAAATCCAGCAACTATGGCTCTAGGGATACCGTCAGAGTTGACTTCAAGCAATTCCCCGAGAAGGTCGCCATTCAGATCAACGATACCCATCCAGCCATCGGAATTCCGGAGTTGATCCGTCTTTTGGTGGACGTTGAAGGTAAAAAAAAATCATAAGCGTCATTACCTTCTGATATCTTGTTTGTTATTTTATGGCAATGATATTTCAGGTCTTTCGTTCGAAGACGCTTGGGATATCTGCGTGAAGACCTATGGATACACCAACCACACTCTCCTTCCCGAGGCCTTGGAACGTTGGCCCGTAACGATGCTGGAGAATCTGTTGCCTCGCCATCTTCAGATCATTTATGAAATTAACCAACGTTTCATGGATGTCCTCTCCAAGAAATACCCAGGAGATTTTGACCGTATGAAGAGAATGTCAATTGTGGAAGAGGCCGATCAATTCGGAGAGAAGAGAATCAACATGGCTCATCTCTCGATTCTCGGTTCCCATGTTACCAACGGAGTGGCCGCCATTCACTCGGATCTCTTGAAGAAAACAACGTAAGACTTACCTGAATTGTAAAACAATAATGTTCCTTTAAAAACTTCTCTAATGCGTGTCGCTTTAGTTTCAAGGACTTCTTTGAACTGTTCCCAGAGCGATTCCAGAACAAGACCAATGGAATCACCCCTCGTCGTTGGTTGCTCCTCTGTAATCCCGCTCTCTCTGATCTGATTGTGGAGAAGATTGGCGAAGAATGGGAGACCGATCTTTCCCAACTACAGAAGCTGAAGCAGTTTGTGGATGACAAGAGCTTCCTCGATGAGATTGGTCGCATCAAGAGAGTAGGTTCTGACCTCCTTTTACGTCCCTATTGTGCCGGCATACATTTTATTTTTATTACAGGACAACAAACTTCGCGTTGCCGAATATCTCAAGGACAACTTTGGTGTTGATATTAACCCCGCCTCGATCTTTGACATTCACGTGAAGCGTCTTCATGAATACAAACGTCAACTGTTGAATGCCCTCCACATGATCACTTTGTACAACAGAATCAAGGCTAACCCAGACAAGAAGGTGGTCCCCAGAACGATCATGGTTGGCGGAAAGGCTGCTCCTGGTTACTACATTGCCAAGCTAATCATCAGATTGATCACTGGAATCTCTGAAATTGTCAACAAAGACCCCATTGTCGGAGACAAACTGAAGGTTGTCTACTTGGAGAATTACCGAGTCTCCATGGCTGAGAAGATTATCCCAGCGTGTGATCTCTCCGAACAGATCAGTACCGCTGGTACTGAGGCCTCAGGAACTGGAAACATGAAGTTCATGTTGAACGGAGGTCTGACAATTGGAACCATGGACGGAGCCAATGTCGAGATGGCCGAAGAAGCCGGAGAAGAGAACTTGTTCATCTTCGGAATGAGGGTTGATGATGTTCTTCAACTCCAGAAGAGAGGTTATAATGCGTTGGACTACATCAACAAGAATCCCGAGCTAAAACAGGCGGTAGAACAGATCGAGACCGGTTTCTTCACTCCCGATCAGCCTGATGCTCTCCGTGATCTGGTTAATGTTATCAAGAACCACGACCGTTTCTACGTGTGCGCTGATTTCGAGGATTACGTGAAGACCCAAGAGAAAGTCAATGAGTTGTATCTGGTATGTCTGTATCCTTGTTTTATACGTTCCTTTTTTAGGATCAAGACGCCTGGAATAAAAAATGTTTGATCAACATTGCTAGTTCCGGAAAATTCTCCACTGACCGTACCATCGCGGAATATGCGAAAGACATTTGGGGTGTCGAGCCCGGAGCAGTCCAACTCCCTCCTCCATTCGAGACCCACAAACCGGCCGGCGATGACTAAAGATGGTTATTACTAACTATTCATTTTCATAACTTTACAAGCTCCATTAGGTTTTCTTTGTATCGATTATTTAGATACGGATATATTACAGTATATTTTATAGATTTATGCTAAAATCTTTGAACAATAAAAAGAACGGTATCGAATTTGGAATTACGCAAGCTTTCATTTGGCGCAAATAATTTTGCTAATATTGCAAAATTATTTGACGAGATAGCCAATCAGTTGGCATCACAACCAAAAAAAAATTCCGTTTGGCTAACCAAAAACTTGCATTGGTAAAGTTTCAGAATGACCAAGTTCAATGTGTTTACCTCAGGGATTATATAGACCGAACTTTAACGCATTTGGAGAGATTTCTAAAGTAGCTCACGAGCTAGGTTACGGCCAGGTCCAACCAAGGTGACTATCGCACGCGAGCTTGGTCATGGATGACATATTTTGCAATAATTTTTTCGATTTGGCCAAAGTTTCTTATTTTGCTTGGTCGTGGATGACATATCCCCGGTGTGAACACGGAGTAACCCCCCTTGGCTAGCAAGTCTCTTAATCTGCAACATTGGTTATAAATATTGGCCCGGCACCCGCTCTAGCCAAAATGAAGGGTAGCCACGAATTGAATAAAAATTTATAAATTCAAATGTAGAAGAACAACAATGAACAAAAAACAATATATGAAAAGAAACGACAAAGGAAATAATATATAACATCAATAGGTGGTCAACAGGCTGGTGTCAGTTGTCATCTCCATGGGTTGGTCAGCATACATAAAGTCGTATTCATCGATCTCAGTTTGTGATTCCATTCGTCTTCGAGGAGCAAGAACAACTGCGGAAGTGGCGAGATCATCATCAGCTGGTGTGAATTCACGAAGAAGTGGTTGCACAATTGCAGATAACCTGAAAATGTAATCGTAAAATAAAATTATCGCATTAAAAGCCACCGAAATATCTTACCGAGGCAATCCACTTTTGAGGAAAGGGAAGTAGAACTCAAGCGGGCCATTCTCACCCAAGCTGATGATGTGATTGCAGTAAACAATCTGCATATATCGACTCACACAAGCAAAACATTTGGCTAGAGGAGTAGATATATAATTCAAAGGCTCCAACTGGCAATGGACGATCCTTCCAAGACCCCAGAGTCTGAGTTCATCAATTTCTAAAATAAGAATAATATAAGAATTAAGACGACATACGTTTATTCTCAACAAACTCCTTGTATCGGAAGCACAAGACGAAAAGGAACGCTTGGACAACAGCATAAAATGTTCCATGTTGATGCGCTCCCGGCCTCTTCACTTGACCTGCCTTGTCAATGTAATGTAGACACCAATTAGCCATTTGTTTCAACCAGAAACACATGACTCTGAAGTCACAAAATTAAAAACATTCTTCATTGACTCACTGGTAATTAACAAAGTTTGCGCGGGCCAAAATTCCACTCATAAAAGCGGCAGAATTGTGGGCCTTCTTAAATTCGTTGGGCCTTTGGCTCGGAGTGATGACAACCTTCCAAAAAACTCTCATCAACTTCATCAGATTCTCACGGGAGTAGGAAGCCATATAGAACCACAAAAAAGGAACGTTATCCATTTCATGACAGTTCAAAATATGGGTTTCCAAGATTGGCAAAAGCCGATTGAAGGCAACTTTGTTCGGCTCGTACGACTCCAGGAATCTCGTGTATGGAGTGTCTTGCGGTTTAATCGCCGGGTTCTCCGTTCCCAACCCAACATAACACATCAAAATCGTCATACAGACGTCCAGCTTCTCCTTTATTTGAACTTTGTATCCTTCCTCATCATAAGTGGCTTCAACTTCAGTTTTCAGAAAGAGACTGGAGGCCTCTTTGGCAATATCAGCGCCAGAATACTGAGAGACAATCCCCTAAACCCAGATGCACAAATATTATTACGGTAAAAGTTCCTCATTCTGGCCACAACGTATAAATCGCGCAATATAGCCAGCATTGGCTAAAATTTGGAACACAGCGTTTCGACCAAGCCATAAAAAGCTGGGCCGAAACGCTTTTCATAACTTTAGTTCACAGCTCGCAGAGTACATTTTTTGTGGCCAGAATAAAGAACTTTTTCCTATTATTATCAACATACATCCATCTGAAGTAATCCATTGACCAAAGCGCCATATAGCTCCTCGCTGATTTGAGGAAACCTGTCACTTATTACAATAATGTGCCTGACATGTGCAACCAACTTCTCCAAAGGTGCTGTTCGATGTGGTTTATGCTTCAAAATGGCGGAGCTCAAGGAGAAGATGGCTCTAAATTTCCAGATACAAATTCACAAACATGCAACTTACGGAGGCAATCTTTTAACAATAATTTCGATACATTCCATTGACTTAATGTAAATTAATTCCAATTCAGAATCACTGAGTGGGCAACAAGCCTTGACTTCACCTGACTCGTCGGCAATAAATTCAATGGGAGGAGAAAGATTCCTCACACAAGACTTTAGAACAGGATCAACAAAAATGGGATTATACGAGCAAGTATCAGTTAACAATTTAAGAAATTGAGGCAGTTGGATTGAGGGAATATGCATCCAATCGAGATCCTAAAAGTTTTAATTAAAACCAAAAAAGAAACTTACACAAAGACTTCTGACCAAATCAATACAACTACCATCAAAGACTGAAGCCAGATTCAAGAATCCACTTAGAAATTCTTGTTTTGTCTCATCCTTCCACATCCTTATCTGACTTAATGCTCGACAAAGTTGCTTGTACTTCAATTGTGAAATCGTTGTCCCCTAAACAAGGATGCCAAAATTAGCGAACATTTAACTTACCGCTTTAAACCCTTGCACAACCTGCTCGACCGTCTTTTCTTCAACCATATCGGGCTTCGACTCCGGCTTCATATCGGTTAATAAAGCCGGCTTTTCCTCTTCCACTTCCATATCCATTCTATCTCAATCTTTGATGATTTCGACCCCGAAGGGCAGAAAATAACAACTGCAAAAAATATAAATTAGATGGAAAAATTAAAACAACATGAATTAACGCGATTAAAGCACCCCAAATTCATAAATACCGGCATTTGTCCCGTTGTTCCTATTACAAATTCCTCGACAGCCGGTTCGACCTTGTCACACGAAATATCGGATTTTCAGAATGCCAATTTTACGTTTTCGCTGTGAGACCTTGGACCAGAGCTTATGAAGGAATAGGAAAAACGGAACAATGACAAACACCAAATAAGATACGAAAACCTCCTTTCCAATTTATTCAGTATCACATATTTATTTCATAAGCAATTTACATAATTTTTTTGACTACATAAAGGCCAAATTTAAGAAGGCCACGTCCACCCATTGTTCATGTAATACTGTGATCCGAACGTCGAAGTGGGCACGTTTGAGGTGACGGGTAAATACGGGTTGTTGGAAAAGTTGACAACATTGTTCATGCTGATGTTCGAATCCCTCATTAGCACCGGAATTGGCATCCTTCTCGCTGTAAAATCAGTCGCGAGATTGGTAGGAGTAGTGGAGTCGAAACTGGACGATGACGATGGCTTCTCGGGGGTCACTTTTTTGGTTTTATAGCTGAAAGTGATTTGTTATAAAAAAGCGTTATAATTAACCTCGTGATTAATTTCAGCCCCTTACCGATGGTTTTGGAACCAAATCTTTACTTGCGTCGCCGTTAAATTGATTTCCCTGGCCAGATCTTCCCTTTCTGGGGCCGATAAATACTTTTGCATTCGGAATCTTCTCTCCAGAGCAAATGTTTGAGCCTTGGTGAACAACACTCTTCGTTTCCTTTTCCTTTTTTTACCGTCAAAGCTTGTCTCGAGTTCGTCTCCCCCATCCGAATCGCCATGTTCTGATTTGATTCTACAATCTCTAGTTTTCATAATAAGTATAATTCCTACTTTTCATCATCATTTTCAGATTTTATTTCTGAATCCAATGACATTCCCGGGTGTTCTCCATCCATACCTTGACCAGCTAACCTTGCCCCAAAAGTGTCGCAGAAGACTCCATAAGTAGGGATGTAGCCATTTCCAGTAAAGTAAGTGGGCTGGAAGGGTTGATCATAGACATAATTGTTGCCAATGTTTACATTCCCGTCAAGGGCGTTAGCGTAACCTACAAAGCAAAACTTAAATGTTCCATTGGATTGACGATTGCGTTTGAAGACATGTTTTATCTTACCCCCGAGAAGTGGGATGTGTTCCGTCCATGGGCTTTGATTGGTGTAGATGGTTGTGGATGCACTCAAGGGTTGAGAGCACACTTCATTCGTGTCGTTTTTTGTGTCACATCTAAAACAATTACGGATTTTGTGAGATGGGAAACAATCTTACCGACTATCGCTAGATGAGGAAGCTGGAGTGCCCAACGCGGCGACGGCATTGGCAAAGGCCGTGTTCATGTTCATGAACATAAGCGAGACGCCTAAAACGGGGCATGGTAATCGAGATGGACGCTGAGTCGAGCCGCCGGGATATCAAAAAGTATGATGGGACGCCACTTACCCGTTCCAAGTCTTTAATTGACCGGCTCTTGAGCTTGAGTGGCAATGGGGCCGTGTTATCGATAGCCACTCCTGAAGGGTTGGCTGAAGATGCCTGCTCTTGACTCGGGATTAAGTGGATAACGCTTTTCTGAGACGAATAAAAAAGTTCAAGTCCGGCTTCTGTAGATCGGGGACGGCCGATCGATGGGGCGGAGAGTGTTGCGCGAGATCTCGAGTCCTTATTCTTGGCAAACAACATCTCGAGAGGGCTCTAGTTTCCACTATAATAAGCGAAGCACTGCCCTGATCTCGTTGTGCAACCCAAGCAGCGGTTATACAGTATCTCTGCGGGCCACACCCCCGCCCCGGCCGCGTTTTATTGGATTCGAGACCTCAAATATTGTCTCTCAAATAGATGAGAGACCTGGGTGGGGCGTGTTTCGCTTAATCCGACAGTTTCAAATTGCCTCCCGTCCCCAATTGACCCCGACTTGAAACGTCGATGTCATCTTCAAGTTGCCGCTCATTACCTGTCCGTCTCGTGCTGGGAGACAAACAAAAGGAATATTCTTTCGCTTTTATCTTCTTCATAACACTTCCGTCGCTCTTTTCGGCACCTTTTACCGCATTATTTGGCTTGGCCAATAAGTTTCGACCGCAGCATAAGATCGGCAATGAAGTATCAGATCGGGAAGGGACAAAAGGATAATCTTTGAGATTAATTAAAATCAGACACAATCAAACATTATCTGCTGAGAATTAAAAAGGAAAGCAATTAGATGAAAAACAATGACGTTCATTAGTTTGATTTGTGACAATGATGTATTTTGAAATCGCCGTTCTTCCTCTACAACAACGTGGATGCCCGTCGTTCCAAAAAAGTTGCATATATAATAACCGCCTCCTTTCAAGGTTACTGGTTGCCAGGTTTCTCCAGTCCAAGTGTTTCTAGAGATGTGGAGTCTTCCGAGTTCCATCTTCTTCTTTTGTTATGTTCTTCGTTTTCTTTCTTACTGTACTCATATCTGCCCAAAGTAACGAACTCTCTTGTAAATGTAATTCTACTTCTACGGTCGGGGATTACTGTAATGCAAAGGTAGACAAAAGAAAAAATTTTTGATAAATAAAAAGTTACAGCATGATGAAACGGGTAAATTATTGGTTTTTGATGAATGCAAATGTAAAGACGGCTATAGTAATCTGCAGAAAAAGGTGTATGATAATCGGGTTTATGTGTTCTGTGAGGATTCCAATAAAACTTCCATCAGATGTTTCTGTGATAACAAATCTGCATTCAGCAATGGAAATATCTGCCTGGCCGATGTAAGAAAATAACTTTTGCAGTTAAAAAACGGCCAAAAAATAATGAAATAAATTATTTTTTTAGGTAACGCCCTCAGGCATTATAAAATACAAGTCTGGTTGCAAATGTTCTCATCCTCTGGCTTCTCCCAGTGTAATTCCCGAGTTCTTTTACAGTAAAATAATGGTGGTGCATTGTATTTGGAGCAGAAAGGAGACCATCTTCGCCGACTCCAACATGTTAGTCATTTCCGCTTTAATGATCTTTGTCCTTTTATTTCTGCTACAGTAAACTTTTAATCTTCAGGCGGAGATTTGAGTACGATAAAGAAAAAAGTGAGGAAATTCCTGTCATTCGAAAAGTGAGAGAAGCAGCGGACACAAGCAATAACACTTCGACAAGTACATCTACAGTATCCACATCAACTGGATCCGAAAGAACAACAAATAATACGGCTAGTACAACACCAACAACGTCGCACACAACACTGACAACAGGAACAACACATAACGGAAGCACTAGCAGTACAGCAACCACAAGTGTGACAGGAAGTACAGTAACCAGTAACACAACAACATCAAATATAACAAACACTGCAACAACCCATTCATCCACATCACCGAGTAATGGAACTACACCCACTTCCAACACTACACACTCCTCAACACATACAACAAGGATTACAACAACAACATCTAGAACTACTCATAATACGACACTTACAACAACCACTATGAACGTGACTACTCGAAATACAACAACAACACATACCATAGAGACGACCAAAGCTAATGTAACAGCTACAGTCTCCGGCGTCACATCTTCTAAAGGCACCTCCAAGTTCACAGACACAACGGTCTCAGTAAAAACTACAAACTCAACCAAAAACACAACAAAAGTAACAACAAGCATGCCTTTTTGGTTTACTGGGAATGATACGACGGATGAGGATACCTTCGGAGTGTGTAATGTCACCAAATTCACTCACAAAAAGAAACAAACCGCTGAGATATTAATGTACGTCGCCTCGGGATGGGTGGTTGCATGGACAGCGCTTGCCATTTTGTATAATATTATCGCCGGGTAAGAACAATACTCTAAAAAATAATGTGATTTTAGAGTGATTGGTCATCATCGGTTTTTGGATTTGTTCCAAGAAATTATAATTATCATAATCTTCGTATTTATGGGAGTTTTTACGTTGAAACCGGAGTGGGTATGTTTTGAGGAAATGTGAACGACCTTATTTACACTTCAGAGTACTTGTGAAGCCAACAAAGTAGTTCTACACTTCTGTATGATGTGCATTCTCTTGATTGCAAGCATGCAAGCCCTGTTTGCATCTAGGTTTGTTCGTATCTACAAGGGATTACTGTCATTTTCTAGTTTGATAAAAGGAAAGAGCTCCCGGAATAGTCGACTGCCGGTGATGGTTAACTATATTTGGCCGCCTTTCTTCGCTGCCGTTGTCGCCGTAGTTGTTTATTTTGCATTCAGAAAATATTATGATGGAAATGGAGTACAGTAAGTTGGTCATCATAATCCCAATTAATTTGCAGTTGCTTTTGCGAGATATACGAGAAGTTATACTGGGCGTATACTTTCCCTGCGGGCATTCTTTTCATGCTGGCCTTACTAAACAACAACATGGCAATAACCGCCTGCCGAATGACGCGGCAGAATGTAGACCGAGTACAATTGTATTGGGCTAGACGGACTTGTCGCGGGATGCCCATTCTGATGGCCTGGTTCTGTGCTTGTTTCTTTTGTCTTCTTTTTGCCGTGGACATGCAAAAAACATGGTTATTTGGAGTATACTTGGGATTATGTGTCATATTTGGTCCCATGTTGTTTGTGTTCCACACTTATTGTTACGAAAAAAGTTGCAGAAGGTTGTTTGAGACGACCGGATTCACTTTCTACAAGCCTTGTCCCACCAAAAAAGGAGACCCGAACCATGTGGAAAAGGTGGTGGAGAAAACTGATCTGCGCGAAAAGAAACCCGTACGTATAAACATTCCCTGCACTGAAATCCTCAATTCTTTTAGCTCACTGATCCTATAATACCACCGAACCCCGAAAAACCAGAACTTCCGCCAGCCCCAGTGACCTCTGATGTTGTGTTACCCCCACCCATGGTAGATGTTCCAACTCCAATGCCCAATTCCGGAATTCCAGCACCTGTGGCTGCACCAACCGGGGGGCCGGTGGGGGTAAGATTAAAAAATGTTTACAGAGTAAGCACATTTAATTTTAGCCTCACAATCCGACCTCTTCTCAAGACTTTTACAACTGGTTAACGGACAAAAGCACTGCGCCAGGCCAAGCTGAGAATGTCTTATTTAAAAAGAACGTTTGAGAAATAAGATCATTATCCAGGAAATAAATATTACTTACAATTAGAGGTCGAGCTTTTTGAGGACAATGACCTTATTCTTAAACTTTAATCTTGGCCAGTAATACGGGAATGAAGAAGACTTAACGTAAGTGAATTTAAAAAAAGCTTCGACTGAGAACAGCTCCTTATGAGACTTACTATAATTAGACTGGAATATATTGTAAACGTTATCTTTCTGACTGCCAATCAAAAGGAAATCAAACTCTTTGAGGGATTCTACTGGAAGATTTTCGGTCTTATTGTATTCCCATGCTGGATGATTGTTCAAAAACTGGCTGATTCCAGTCTCAGCGCAGAATTCGTCAATATGAACCCTTCGGAAATCATTTCGATGGAACCTCTGGACGGTTTGTAGATGAGCGAGAGCGTCCCCACCAGGATAATTGCGAGCACTGGCGTATAAGAAGACACAAGAAAGGATGACATTGGCCAACAAATGTGTCCCAACTCCCAACGCGATTAGGTAACGAGCCCATGACTTGTCCTTGTTGATCCATCTAATATATATAAATTAATTCAATCAGTATTCGAACTTACAATCGCGCGCAGAAATTGGCCGCAGCAAGATTCAGAAGTGGGAAGGCATAGATGATAAATCGAAGCTCTTTATGGGGAAGAAAAGAATAGAGTCCGATGAAAGAAAGGGCCACAAAAGCCCATCTCCAAAGTCTCCGATCCATCAGTAATCCGAAAGGAATCAAAAACAACGATCCCAATAATGCTCTGGGTAAGACGGAATAGAAGTACCACAGGAAGGGGGTAGTCCCGTATAGATGACTTTTATTCTCAACAACATTAAATAAGATCACCTTGCCTTCTGGCCATATCCATTGTTGCCAGAAGAGAGAATCAATGGGAATTGTAACCGCTGTAATAATAATGAATAATTACAGACTACATTATCAAAACAGAAACCTGTAAAAACGAACGTACCTAAACCCACCAACCCGGCTACAACTCCTGTCTTTATCGTTGCCAAAACATCCGCCTCTTTTGTAAAGAATAATAGCAGATAAAGGGGACCAAATAATAAGACTAACTCAAATCGGTAAACCAAGACGGCAACTGTTGCCAACTTTGTGGCAGCATTTATTCTACCATCCATTACATTTCTGAAGACTTGTAAAACTAAAAGAAGATAAAGAAAATATCTAAATACTTACCTAGGAATATTGCAAATGTGTTGGGAAGGGGACGAGTACTGTAGAAGATAAAATGAAATTGGGAAACGGTAATCAATCTGAGGAAGTCCGCTGTTTCTCTTCCGAATTTTGTCTGGACGGCTCTACAAAATGACAAAAAAGAACCCAAGACGAATAATCCGAGAGAAAAGCGAGCTAAAATAATATGTTTAAAAACGCATAACACAAACAATCTTACCTAAGAAGAGGTTCCACATCTTGTGAGCATCAAACCAGGAGAGCACAGAATAGAATGGAAACATTGCTCCGGCCACAACAACTGGACCAGAGAAAGTTCTTGGGACGACTCCGGGAAATTGAAGATGGTCATACTAAACGTCAAAAAAAAATTGGAAAATAGACTTACTTGGGAAAAATTATGTCTCAAAAACAATAGATCATGAATGGCCTGCGTATTGAAACTCTCTTCTACCTTGGTAAACGGGCACATGATCATGTGGATGATCATACCCATGAAGACCATCCATTCCGTGCCCGATATATTGTCCATTTGGCAAGTGGATTATGCCCTCGAAGACATCAATAAACAACGTAGAGATCAAGCGATCGCAATTTGCACTCGCGAGAAAATTATTTATTTTCGTCCTCACAAGAAAACACTTATTTGGCATTCCGTGTCAAACAAAAAAATCTCGTGTGTTGTTATGGCTGTGTAAGAGAGGGATCTCATTGAGGTGTTTGCGAGTGAATCGATAACGTCATAAATCAGTAAGAGTTGTTTCCAGTGTAATATTGGAGAATGGGGGCGATCCTTGCGGCTCCAGCCTGTGCTAGTTCGGTACGTTTGTTATTTCTTTTTTATTCTTGATTTTAGATGGCCTGTTGTTTTGGAAGCGCGGCTTGCCAACTGTGCTGTGCGTTTTGTCCAACATCCAAAAACTCGACAATGACCAGGATCTCATATGCTTTCATGTTGTTGTTGGGCACGGTGGTCGCCTGTTTGATGCTGTCTCCTTGGATTCAAGAGAAGATAGCAAATGCGGATTGGTTTTGTGAAAAGTTCGATATAAAGTGTCAACAAGCGACAGGTTTTCAGGCGGTTTATCGGTAGGTGCTTTTCGGCGTAATTCTTTCTACGTTTTTAGGTATGTATTTAATATAATTTTTGTAGATTATGCGGTGGAATGGCATCCTTCTTCTTTATCTTCATGTTAATGATGTTGGGAGTCAATTCGAGCAAAGACGCCCGATCCCATATTCAGAACGGATTCTGGTTCTTCAAATATCTTCTACTTGTTGGTCTCGTCGTCGGATTCTTCTTCATCCGAAATGAACATTTAGCTGGACGTATGTTATAATCTGTTATAATTATTCTTGTTTAGCGATGATGTGGTTTGGAATGGTTGGAGGGTTCCTGTTCATCTTAATTCAGTTGATTTTAATCGTTGATTGGGCGCATGGGCTGGCCGAAGGATGGATGGCCGCATATGAGGAGAATGATAGCCGGGCTTGCTTTGCTGGGCTGATTGGATTTGTCTTTGGATGTTACGGCCTAGCACTGGTCGGAATTGTCTTCATGTTCATCTGGTATACAACCGTAAGCGGCACTTTTTCGGCATTTCTAACTTGTCCGATCAATTTTAATGTCATATTTTCAGGGCGGAGGATGCGGACTCCCGATTTTCATTATTACTTTCAACATTATCCTTTGTTTGCTTGTGTCCGTTATCTCTATCCTCCCCAAAGTCCAGGAAAGAATGCCCAATTCCGGTCTTCTCCAGTCCTCTTTCTTGACGATGTACACCATGTACTTGACTTGGTCTGCTTTGATTAACAACCCAGATCATACTTGTAACCCATCCTTAGTTAATATTATTCGAAATGGAACTTCTCCCGATCAGGATCCTCATGTAAGTATTTATGATTTTTTTAGGTATATGTGCCATGGATACTATCGAATTTCACTTTCAGGCTTTTGCTACGCCACTCCCCGCTAACTCAATTATATCCCTCTTGATTTTCTTTGCTTGTCTTCTCTATGTGACCATCAGGACGAGCTCAAACACTGCACTCGGAAAGATTACAGGTGATTCAGGTAGATCAAATGATATTCCGTTGAGTGAGTCGCGCGATCCTATCATCGGAGGTATTTTGAACAACAACTAACGTAAATTTAGCGATTTCAGATGTTGATGAGGAAGCTGGTCGTGTGTATGACAATGAGCAGGAGGAAGTTGCTTATTCTTACAGTTTCTTCCACTTTATCTTTGGCCTGGCCTCACTTTATGTGATGATGACTTTGACTTCGTGGTATAAGTAAGTTTCTTTTTAATAAATAAGTTTAGAAAAGGATATGTATGCTTATTGATTTTTTGCAGGCCTGACAACGATCTTTCCCACTTGAACAGCAATATGGCGTCTCTTTGGGTGAAGGTAGTCTCCAGCTGGTTGTGTGTGATCATATACGCATGGACTCTTCTGGCTCCAGCCTTCTTCCCGGACAGAGATTTCAGTTAATTTATACTTAAAGAAAGAAAATGTTCTCCTTATTTTTATCTTGAACGAGTACTCTCATTTTGCTTCCAGTTCTTCTATTATTTTATTCTGTGTACATAATTGGCAGTTTCCCCGATAAACCTGTTATCCTTAATTTAGAAAGTTCTTTGACTTGTTATGACAGTATAATATTTATGGTGAGACTGAGTGGCCTAATGCAGTTATAATGTAGAAACGTTATAATCATGGTTGTCGACATTTCCCAGATGGAGAGATACGAAGGTCCAGTAAGTTATTTGGTGTTGGTTTGGTTATTACGTTTAGGTGAGCCAATCCCTGTTCCCTCAATTCTCGATTGTTCTTCTTGGGATTGGACTTGTCCTGACCTCCTTTTCTATCATCGGAGCCTTCACTTCCAGCAAGAATCGAAGTTTTTTCAAGGAGATTTTTAACGCCTTGGCCGCTGCTACCTTCCTTGGCTTCGGCTCCGTATTCCTTCTTCTCTGGGTGGGAATCTACATCTAGAAATGTCTCACAAAGCAATGGTTGATTGTGATATTAAATTAATTTAACTGTTTTGTTAATAAAATAATTTATTGAGAAAATCTGTACACTTTGATTTGTGATTACAACCCGTTGAGTGGTCCTAGTATATCGTATTGGAAAGTTAGATCTGCCGACAGAAGCTTCGACATTTCTCCAGAGAAACAAAATTATTGGCATTTTTTGAGCAATGTGGCATCAGAAAGGCGAACGGATAACATTCTTCTGTCACTGTGTCGAAATAATATCTCGTCGTTTGCCGGATTGAGGACTTTTTGAGGTCAGCCTTTACACTTTCCACTCCATTGTCACAAGCGCCCGAATCTAAACAATAAATAATTATTAAACCGGCTATAACAATTTGAAAAATCTTTAAGTTAATATAGCACTAGATTGCCTTTTGACCAAAATTTGACGCTTATGGTAATACCCAACTTGCCTGGAGGTAAATAGCACTCGCTAGAGAAAGTCTTGACTTTATAGAAGACCGGAGGGCCGGGCATTGGATTGGCCTTGATCACGCATATCAACAGTACTGTTAAGACGATCCTTCTCATCTCTGAAAGTAATCCCGAGTCTGCTTCAAAACTTCTAAAAATGGTCACGCAACGCCCACAGATACCGCTGCTTAAGAATCGCCGGACCTTACGCAAGATCAGGGGCACCGGTTGTCGGGATATATAATATTTTTTTGAAAGGTGCGCGAGAAATTGAAAGCGCGCGTCCTCGATTTCACTGAAGGAATCCGGCGCGGTCTGACGCACTTCCCTCACCGCAAAAACCCTCGGGGCAAAACTATAAAATTTTGTAAAAATAAATAAAAAAGCGCCGGAACGAGAGATAATTACAGCTGGAGGAAAGAATTGCATTGTAAAGTGGAACGGAGGTATTACAGTGCCGCGATCCCTTCCGATGACAACAACGACGGCAGGAAATGTCATCAAAACAGGAATTCGGAAGAGTTTGGAAAAAAAAACAACAATAAATAAAATAATATTATCCATGACTGAGGAGAGAACGGGTAAAAACAGTAACTTTTCCGACTTTCTCTTTTACTTTTAAATCAACAAACATCCATTTGTTCACTCGACCCTTGAGAAGGTGCGATAGTCACGAAGAAACGCGCGATTATGACCTTCGACTGGAGGGGATAAACAAATCCGAGTGAAGATTGCACTCTCGCTCTCCGATCAGCTCGGATATCCGTGAGGATATCAGGTGCTTGGATCGGCAGAGGGAACAGGACCTGCCGATGCTACGATTGCGCATTCAGACAGCGTTGAAACGAGCTTATCGTGATCTAGCGTCATCAGCCGTCCTTTTCCATTTAGCTGACTCCGGGAAGAGTAAATTAGATCCGGATTAGACTCGGTGCAATTCGGATATTCCCAGGCATAAATCAGGCGCTCCAATTACCCAAAATTAAACAAATCTCCCTCGGATTCAGATTCATTACCCGCGGAATTCAACGCCATTCCAAGACACGGTCCAACGCCTCCAACAAGAGAGCGGATCGGGTATCGAGGAAGTGGACCGTGAGTGAGGGGAGTTGATGACAGGGGAAAGCAGAAGAACGGGTTGCCTCCAAATCTTAGCCTTGACGTCCGATTAATCTACGCGAGGTATATCTAACATCCATCTATATGAAAAGGTTCCTATGTCATTCTAAATCAGATGAAAAGAGCTATTAATTTATGTATAAAAAGTAGCAGTTAGAACAATCTTCAAGTCGATAATTACAGCCACTCTCCCGAGACCTCAGAATATGCAAATTTGAATGCGTAATGGCTGTCAGAAATTTGAATAAATTAGTCAAATCAAATGTTTTGATAATCGGCGAAGATAACGACAATAGAAAACATTACAATTCAGGTGGGCAAAGGAGCTGTTTTTCTTGCGGACATGGCTGGACTATAATAATAGGAAAGTGGGTCTTCATGATTCCCTTTCATCCCCGCAACCTTTGAATATCGGGAAAGAGATGACCACTAAAGATAAACGACTTTCAGAGAAATTTTCAATGGCCTTGTAAACAGAACAGGCGTTTGTAATGTGACTATCACCAAGTTTGCGATACTTTTGATAACATGAATAAGATGAATACGAAGGACTGAAAGAGATATTATGTAACACCCCGACGCCTTGAAGAAATTCAAAACCAGAATCTCGAGACGATTCTGTAGTCGAAAGAACAGCATTATGAGTATTCGACAAAGCCCTTTCCCTTCAAATTAAATTTCCCCAATTTGCATATTTCCCATTTTTTCTCTTCGTTTCCCCGCGGCGCGAAAAATTCGAGGTAATTCGAAGGGAGGTTGACGAAAAAAATAAAACTTTTGGGATCCTGATCTCTTCTGACCGGTTTTCGGGAGTAAGTTCAAGAAGAGTCAGGGTTTGTTTACCTTCCCCTCCATTACTCCACATTTCTTCTGGAATCGAACGACTTTTCGAACACAGAAATGGGCCATTCAATTATTCCTTCTATTATATGAATTTGATTATATAATAGTATAAATTCGAGGGAAATCATCAAAAATTTGAATTGGAAAGAAAGCTTATTCATAGTAAGCAAAAATTCATCTATAAATCGCTGTTTGCCGAAAATCAAAACAGTTTCCATAAAGATAATTTAGACTCAATTGGATCTCCAAGCCATGATGATTTTTGTAAAAATTTTTTTTGGTCTGCTGTATCTACGGTGGACTGCAATGTAAAAGAATGTCAAAAGGAAAATAATTAGGGCACATGTTTCTAGCAATTCGTCTTTTTTGCACATTATTCTTGAGTGATTTTTGTGTTTCTTATGTCAATCATTGCCAAAAGTTAAAGTAACAAACTAAAGAGCCACGAATAAAAGTTGATGCCTATCTCTCTCTACCTACTAAGTAATATAATAATAAGAATACAAATGAACGTGGTACCAGGCTCGAATCCGCACCGGAAATTTATAGGACGTATTTCTTAAAAAGTTTGGAACATAGTCTAGATTAGGCATGCGTTTATGTTTACGTGGATTAAGCAGATCAAGTTCATAGCCCAAAATCTAATTTTTACGCGGTTTCTACTATATGGCTGGCTAGAAGGTTGGACTGGCAGAAAAAATAACTAGCCGGATCTGAACGAATAGGAAAAAAGGCAACTGGGGAGAATCAAAATATTTTATTAAATCACACCGTCGCCAAGTTTAATTTTTCCCGTAAACATGGGGTTGAGGTAGAATTTACGCTTACCTTACACTTGGCTAGCCATTTGTTCTTAAAATGTCAGCGATTAACGACGGCCGGCCTTAATTTATGTTTCCGGAATTTTGGGGTTTTATGCGCAAAGAATGGCGACAAAAATCAAAATTCGTGACAGTGCATCTATGCAATACGACTCTTCTGACTTTACCCGGTGGCTTTTTTCCCCAATTGTCGACGTTCCATGACTAGCTAGCTACCAATGCGCCTAGACCCAATATATTTTGGCAAACTAATTGAAACACCAAAAATAGATCCCCAACAGTAATATGACATGAATTGGATACTTTCACCACAAAAAGAAAAGTGAAATCTTAATAAAAAATAATTCCGTCAAAATTGTTCGAGGCAAATCAAAACTCCTGAAAATGACGGGAATTGAAATTGAAAACCTGTCAAAATCTGCCTTTTTCTGATTCCCTGCTTTTTTTATACCCCGTGAAAAGAAAGAGGGCTCGAGTTACAGTAGTCGGAGTAATCTTTTGATTGAAATTACTTCTTTGAGGATCCCTAAAAGGTGCTGTAAATGTATTGTTTCGGTCGTTATTCAATTTGAGGCGTTACATTTATGAGATGTTGCGACAAATTGGAAAATTGGTCTTCATTTCCATCAGAAACAGCGTGCAAGTTTCTGCGATGGAAAGCTGGGGTTTTTGCAGTTAATTTCAGCAGATTTTTTGAGTTTTTTAGGTCGAAGATGATGACAAACGAAAACCACCACACAAAAAAATTATGACGCCTCAAGCAACATGCGATCCAAGAATACGAAAACCGAAAATCCTGTAGGTTTATTTATATGATTTTATACATTATTTGAGCAACTTTTAAAAGAGGCAACAGCATGATCCAAATTGGGTTGTTTGAGGCTTTGATTCGACGAGATGATCACTCGATGCCAACATTAAAGCTTCATCGAATACTCGTTTTAGACCGCGTAATGTGAGGGCCGAACAGGTCAGTAGTTTTTGACATCCAATCTAAAACTTCTCACAATAATAACGGGAAGGAAAAGTTTAATCTGTGATCAGTTAACAGCTAATATTCGCTGCATCATTTAGTTTTTATCATAACCTTTCATTTAGGGCAAAATTCCCTTGATGCAAATAAAATTTCCACAGCCAGTTTAGATTAGGGGAAGATGGGTTGGGCTACTTCACAACTATCAACTAAACTACCCCGCCTGAAAAACGATACACAAAAAAGTAGTCAAAGAGCCCAAATCGCTTATGCTCTTTGGAGTCTGAACAGTAGACAGAACGTTAGAGGGCCTCTGGCAGGGTGCGAGCGACAGCTTAAAAAAGCCTACTGTACGGTGAAAATAGCAAAAAATTGCCCAGTGCAAGGTACACCTTTGTTTTCTCACAGTGCGTGTCGCCGGGTTCAGTCCGGAAGAGCTATATAGTAGACCCACCGCATGCCTTCTGAAGTTTTTGGGAAGAAAGGAGGTTTGGCGACCGTTCCAACCTACATCAACCTTAATCCGACTGGTAGCTATTATCAGTCTGTCGGGAAAATACTGTGGTCTTGGAATCGCTCATCATCGCTTTGCGACGGCAAGCCGCGGCTGGGATTTCGGTGCGCGATTGCGACGAGGCGAGACATTTTGCTGCGACGACCCGTCTGTCGGAAAAATAACGGCGGATTGTCGCAGCGAAATGTCTCGCCTCGCCGCTGTCGCGCACCAAATCCCATGCCGCGGCTTGCAGTCGCAAAGCGATGATGGGCGATTCCGAGGCGCGACGATCCGCCGTTATTTTCCCGACAGACTGATACTTGCAACGGTTTGCTAGCGACTTAAGACGTCCGGCACTGACTTCAATTCTCTTGGTAAAAACGTAAGCCGCTCTTCTTTTTTCAGTCCCAAGCAGCGTCCAGCTGTTAAAAACCTAGATGCACTCAATTCAACCACCGATTTTTGGTCTGTCCCAAATGAAGGCAGCCTTTTTAACGTATTCTTATTAATGGTAAGCACTGCCATATAAAAATTAAAAAGTAATGTTTTTCTTACCTCATGAGCTATCCGAAGTGCCTGTTTTCGGTCAACCCTTTTGTCCAGAGGTGCTCTTTCGACCAGATCTTCCTTTATCCCGACCAAAAGAACGGGTGCTTGTGTATGTCGTCGTATTTCCGGGATCCATCGTCTTCTACATGAGTCCAGAGAAAGTGGATCCACCAATGAAAAACATAGTAAAACGACATCTGCCTGAGGGTATGAAAGTGTCCGGAGTCGAACTAACTTCTCTTGAGTGGAGCCAGTCGTATCGAAAAGATTAAGATTGACTTTCCGACGATCTAGTATCACACTGGCGGAGTAGTTTTGAAATACTGTAGGCTCATAATCTTCGATGAATTTCTGTTGAGTGTAAGCGAAAATGAGACTGAAATTAGAGCAGTCATTACACAATTGTATACATGAATCATTTGTTAAAACAGACTTCGGGAAATCGAAGAACAGAAAATATATTCAAAGATGACTAATGCAGAAGTGGCAGAGATTACAACAAAAAGTAAAAAATATTATGAACTGACCTTGTTTTGCCAACAAAGGCGTCCCCCACAACGACCAGTTTGACACTTTTGTCAGCACTCATGAACTCTCAGCCCTTCCTGATCTGACCATTCCGGCCACAAATCGTTCGGTTTCGAGTCGAGAATGGAGCTAAAACAAACTGAGGTCAACCACGAGCCACGTCAGATCTTGAGGTGCGAATGGAAGGGGGCGTCTGAAACGTGAAAAGAAATGGGAATCAGGGCTCCTCTCGTATTGCGAACCAGCTCACACAAACGAATATTCATGAATTTTGATTCGAAAATGCGAGAACCCGAAAAGGAATGGGGCGAAGGACGATGGAGAAGACGCAGTTCGTACGAATGCCGGAGGGAATGAGAGGCGCGAAGATGACCGTAATAATCCCAATATTTGAGTGACCCCGATTGCGCAACTGGCGAGCAATTCAATCAAATATTTAGTTTGGAAAAAATATCTGATGGATTTCGAAAATCATCACATAAAGCTAGGGGGAAATTATTCAACGTCTGTTTATTACAAATCAAAATAAGTAAAACAAAAGACAAACTCATAAAACATTTCAAAAAAACATAACAATCCGCATAAAACAAGGTGTTGCTGGTGGGAAATAGCAGTTGGAACGTTCTCCCTCCCGCTTCGATTAAACCCTCAGCCCGTCCCAAATCCCTTCGCTCACAGTTAAACCGGAATTTGTTCGAAACGAGAGTAATCAGCGATGCAAAACCCCCCACATCACCGAATGACCTGAAATAATCTCGAAAAGGAAGGGCTGAGGTTTCCCCTGAAGTTTGTTTGTTTGAACCTCATTACCGCCGTCTGACCTTCTTTCTGAACCACGGTTTCATTCTTTCTCTCCCGCTTCCTACAAGTCCTACATTCTTTTCTCGATTCCCTGTCGCATCTTGGTTATTTGTGTTGTATTCCCTCCCCTCTGTCCATTCCCCTCCTATTTATATTACGCTTCTCTTAACCGCACCTTGTTTGTTTAGCGGACATTCAGTTTTAACGGAACGCCATCCATTGGGCGATACAAGACGGCGCTGACTCGGCAAGGCAATTCCTTGGTCCTCAGCTCTTCTCCCAGCTCCACGCTGAAGTTTCGGATCAGCGAGATTAGAGCGGCCTTTATTTCGACTTCGGCGAATCTCATCCCAACACAATTTCGAGGTCCTAGCCCGAAAGGACACCATTTCAGCGGGTCCACTTGATTGTTGCTGATCAGGAATCTGTTTGGATCGAATGTCATCGGGTTGGTCCATATCTCGGGATCAAAATGAATAGCGTGAACTGGTGCTTGGATGCAGACTCCCTTTTTGATATTAATCCCCTTGATCACACAGTCCTCCACACATTCTCTGGTGGTGAAAAACACCACTGGAGGGTATCTTCGTAGGCTCTCTTTGACGACGGCATCCAAATAAGACATCTTCATCATGACGTCATAAGTGATTTCTTCGTTCATTCCAATTTCTTGCATGATCTCCTCATACAAGTTTTGTTGGACATCCAAATGCTTGGCCAAGGCGTATAATGTGAATGCTAATGCGGTGCTGGTGGTTTCATAACCGGCCAAAAGGAATGCATAACAATTGGAAGCAATGGTCTCTTCGTGCAGTGGGGCCTTCTGTAAATTCAATTTCATGATGCGAATCCCAGCCAACACATTTAAAATAAATATGTATAATCAAAAGGTAAATATTTCATACTGGTTCCATACAAAAAATAAGATCAAGACAGCTGTTTAAATTACCTTTTGAGATTTCTGTCGTTCCCGATCTTGTTCCAAAAGTAAAGTAATCAAATCTTTTCTCTGATCATCATCAGTTTCAAAGGTCTTTCGTCGATTTTTGATGACTTCTTTAAGTCCATTTATTAATGTCATCTCAGACCGTCCCTCTAAAGTAAACGGTCTAATCATCTGGGCCAATTTTGGAGAAAGGAAACCCAAGAACATTCCTTTAGATTCCTCCAGGTTCAGACAGTTGAAGAAGGTCTGCGTGTTCACATAAAAGACATCATTCTTGTCATTAATGCAGTCAGTCTTCATTCCAAAGGCACAGCGGCCAATCACATCCAAAGTCAAGGCCTGGAGTTCTCTAGAATTACATTATAATCAAAATGAGACTTAATTAGGATATATGTAAATGTAACAGAGTTCATTTCTATACCTGTACATCTCAATTTCTCCCAAACCCACTCTTGATTTGAGGAACTTTACAAATTCGTCAACACGCTCTTCCATAACTGGAAACATCTAAAGAAAACTTTTTATTGACGATTCCCCTACGGCTTATAGGACTTACAGCCTTCAATTTACCAGTAGTGAATATGGGTGAGATGACAGATCTAACCTCTTTCCATCCGTATCCTCTTCCGGGCACGCCTTCCTTAGTCATTTGTAGGATATTCTCATTCATCGGGTATCCAGCTCCAAAATGTTGGGTCTGAAATAATCAACATGAATATTGCAATAACTAATTACTTACCGGTCGGTTTACAAACTTGGAGAACTGCTTTATAAAAACTTCATTGATGATTTCGGGGTCGTTTGTGGAGATTTCAAAATGTCCTCCAAGGTATATGCCGGTCGTCCATCCATATTTCTCAGCTGTCCTGAATCTCATATTGATTGTGCCTTCTTTTCCATACTACAAAGTAATTAAATCAATTGTCACCATTAACAAAAAAATTACTTTTTTGATGTCTTCTATAATATAATCAATGTTTCCCAATGGAAACCTCACTGGAGGCCCTGGAATCCCCATTTCGTCGCGCAACTTGAGGAAATGATACCGGTCCCTTCAAAACATCATAGTTCTATTATAAGCGATGTTACAACTTACCACGACCATTTGAGAACTATGACAAAAGCAATAGCAACCACGTATTCAATCATTTATTCCTGTTACTAAAGAGTGAATATTTTTTAATTTTTCTTATCAAGAAAATGAGCGCAGCAAGGTCTTATATATTAACCCTTTATATTCGTACTTTGTTCCACAAAACATATCACAAATCATATGTAGGGATTGCGAGAATGCTGATTTATAGTGTAGTCTGTTGCGAGTTTTCCAGTGTAGGACTCAAAATACGACAGGATTTCTAGACTTGATCGATCTTTTTATGCTGCCGAATTTCTATATTCGGACACAACATCTCTAGTCTCCTTACAAAATCATGTTTTTTTCAGGTGCAACAAAGTAGTTTTACAAACATACTCTAGATCGTTTGATAAGATCAGCTACAAAACACAAATTTAACCACTGATCTTTGAAAAATATAATTTATTGTGACATCACATCAGTTTATAACAGACCGGACCACATCCCATGTAAGCAAGTTGATGACGATGGGCGGTGTAGGTGACGTTGCAGCCCTGGCAGTAGAAACGATCCAACAGAACCTTGAACTTTGCCGTCTTGATGGGTTTTGCACATACGTAACACTGCAGAAAGAGGATGACAAATTATGTAATATAAAAAAGATGACTAAGATACAGAACTCACGTAGAAGCAGTCATCACACACGTTGCGCCCCTTTTGTTTCGACGTCACCTTCTCCGTGGACTGGCAGCATTCACATTTCTGTGCCATTTTTTGGAATAACCGCCCTCCAATTTCACACAAAATAAAATTAGAATTGTTATATCGATTTGAACATTTATTCGGAAGATTTTACAAAAAATAATATTATTCTAGGGATGTTCCATTTGCCACAATTCCTCGTTCTGCTGCGTCCTCAGGCGTAATGCCAGTTCATCATCGTAGACGGCCCTGTTTGTGAACCATTCCAAGCCTGTTAGTAATTCAATGTCTCGGACTCTGCATGTGTGGCGATAAAGATATTCAAGGGGTTGCTAAAAAACACTCATTGATTAAAAAATTCTTACCAAACAATTCAAGTCACTATCAAGAAGGGGAAGTAGAAATGAGAGCACTCTTGTGGCCTTGGAATCCTCACAATAACGGCCACTCCGATGCCAGCTACCTTTGCAGCGAAGGAGGATGATAAAAACATGAGTCGGCTGCTTTTTTGCTCTGGAAAACAAGTGTAAAGAGTTAAAAATGGATGCTTAAAAACACTTTACCCAAAAACAAGCGATAGGTATTACATTCACACATGCAAATACACATTAAACTTACACATTAACAATCTGTTCTGTCGAATCTCGCAGTCCATTATGATCAACGTCATATATGGGACCAGCAAACATGACGAGGTTCTTATAATGCCTCTGATACTTCTTCAGAAGAGCCAAGAAGTCATTCCAAATCCCTTTAATGAATCCAATTGGAGCCGAAATCTGTCCTTCAGCCAGATATCGAGAGTAATCATTGTCATTAAACAGGGTAATCCAAGACGTATTCGATGTCAAAGTCATTCCTTTAGAGCAATTGCTGACAGTCGGTATGATTGGAGTTGAAAGGATTCTACTTTGGGGATTCTCATCATCTTCATGATCCATTTTTACTTTATTACTAAACTTGAGATGCACAGTGCAAGACGCCCGATGATCAATGTGTGGAATCTCGGCTTTCAGAAGACTTTCCACGAATTTGGCTTGGCCCAGGTCCTGGTCGTAGACTAAGGTCGCATTACAAATCCCGATGGTGCAGAGTGTGGCCGAGTCAGCCCATTCTTCCGGGACTTGCATTCGGTCAAGTCGATTGCAAGCTTGCTTTTCTTCCTCTTCGGTTTGAATCTGAAACTCAAAATCATCATTGTAATATATGTGTGTATACGAATGTACGGTGCATAAATTATAATTAACAGGGGAAGTACTCCAAGTGCGACGCTCAGATTTTCTTTAAATTTTGCACACACGTCGGGTATGGACTAAATATGAATTCCTGAAAGTTTTAGCTCGCGCTTTGCGGGAGCCGCCGAGATATCGAACGATTTTTGCCGCCGAGAGAGCGCGCTAAACCTGGAGAGCGGTCAGACAGAAAAGCGCTTTTTGGCCATAACTTTGGCAGTTTTGTGCGGAAAAATTTGATTTTTTGTTGAAACATTATCCTTTACGGTTGAAATAGGCGTGAAACTTTTCGTGCCGAAATTCGGCAAAAAGTCCTAAATTTTCGCCGATTTTCGATCTAAAAATTTTGGTTGTTTCTGCAAAGCGCGAGCTAGGATTCTCGCATATATCTTTAAAAAAATTATTCTAAATTTGTGCCCAGTTTCATCAAAATCTGAGCGTCGCACTTGGAGTACTTCCCCTGTAAGCTAAAAATAAATCCGTATTCGTGTTCAAGTTTTTTTCCGGCACTCGGCAGAGACGCCACAAAGGCAACCTAATGTATGTAACATATATGTAAATAAAATTTTCAGGATCTGATGGAAGAATCCGCACGGAAAATTCGAGAGTTTAAATTACCTTGAAATGACAGCCATCGCCACAGTTGACAAGACTAACTCCGAAACACTCTGGAAGATCAATCTGAGGTCCATTCTCATATGTTGGGGGGTTCTTTAAGATGTTATATAAAGATCCCCTGGTTCCATTGTTTGGCGCTGCTATTGGGAGTTGCATCAGATCTAAATGAATGATTACAACGGGCAGTGGGCCACCTACCAACAAAAAGATTGTAGAGCTCCACATTCTGAAATGGTGCAATCTCTAAATTCTTCTTGACCGACGGTCCATAAGCTCCAAATATGGCTCTCATCGGCTTCAGTGCAAAGTCATATCCATGGTCTCCTCTTAGTGTACTCTTTTCTTCTCGTTGTTTGTTTCTGAAAATAAAAATAAATTTAGTTAGACTAAATAGTTTTGTAGGTACTGTTAGCACTCTTAAACGCTTACTTATACATAATATGGCCAACCGATGACTCCAAAATAACATCGCCAACCCTGGGTGTTGATGCATAATGATATCTTTTTGGCAAGGTATCCGGAGTATGGACATAATAGTATTCTCCTTTTTTACAACGGAATGGCGCAATCTTCTCTGTGATGTTTAAATTAGCTAAACTCGCTTTATTATACTTTTAGTGCTCTTACTTTTGTCTTTCCAGTACAAATGGCTGATCACCCCGTCAGTGGCGATAATATTCTCGTCATTAATGTCGATGTAATCCTCCATCTTTGCGTTTTCCGTCCTTAATTTTTGCATTCCATGATCAGAGAGTAACACAATGTTTACACATCCGAGATATCCCTTCCTATCCAACCTCGATAAAAGGTAATTAACCATGGCATCGATGTTGATCAAAGCTGTCTGAATAGTGTCCGTATCTGTCCCATTATTATGACCAACTCCATCCGGCTGCTCAAAGTAGACCCCAAGGAAGTAAGGGCGTTCGTCATCGGGTAATTCCAGCCATTCAATGATCTAAAACAACATTAAACTAACATCGGTCATTCAAATCGTCTCAAAAACAATGTGGCTTGACCTGGATCCGAAAACTCTGTGCAAAAAGAAAGACATATGTATATGTAGAACTTATGACCATAACAACTATATTTGTATATTATTATTTATTGAGCGCCTCCAATAGTAACATCTAAACCCATCAAGAAACAAGCGACGGTGCTCTGAGCCATACGACGTTGCAGAATGGCCTTGCCGAAGGCCGAGAGATACGATTCGTTTGGATTGGGGGCCATATCCATCAGATAAACGGTGATAAACATTGAGATCTGAAATGAAGACTAATTTCACTGCAAGAAAACACAAGAGAAAATACAGTAATCGAGTGAAAAATTACCGGAGTTTTTTCCAAAATATTATTCTGAATTTCGGGAGGAATGTACTGTTTGGCATCGTCCAATTCAGGCGTACACATCTCGGTCTCAATGTCATAAAGACCTGGCTGCATTACATCGCATTTACAAGACTCATCCAACGACTCGGTCTTCTTATTTAACGGCGATTCTGTCACCGAGATCCTCGAAGTCTGGCTCTTCATTTGTCTGCAGAAGTCACAGAACACACTAAAATCTGGATCATCAACTCTAAATGGGCATAACAGACCAGGACCCCTCGGTTTTGGCACAGGGACATTGGTTGACCTTGTCATCGATCTTTTTACTGCACGGTAAAGTGGGGTTGTTGGGGTCGGGGGTGCCGCCAATCCTCATCTCCACCTCGGCTATCAGATTCCTAATCGGCTTCAGAATCTCGACGCCCTCGGCTTTGATCTTTACACAACCAGGGATCACCGGATTCTTCGGAATCAGCTGGATTTTGTCGGGATTAAATCGGATCAGCGGTCGATATTTGCTCAGTTCAATTCCCCGACGACTTAGATACACTGCAATTAAAATAAGGAAAGGTAATGCAAACAAAACAAGTTTACAATCAAATTACAGTAACCCTACCTGGACTGCATTGGCCTGACACCCGAATATTGACCTCGGCCTTGTCCTCAGCATTTACGGCCCCGATTAATCCAAGCAGAACAACAAAAACATTCAGAAGGGTCATTCTGAATACAAAAAATAATTTAAATCCAAAAACCCGAATCCTGGGGGGATAAAAGAATAAAAAATGGTCAGTGAACCAAGGATAAAAACACGCGCGGATCACTTTGTAAGCCCGAAAAGGTGGTGAAGATAACCAGTTGGACCCCATAGATCTCATGATGAATAATATGGATTCAGGGGATAACAGACAGATTAGCCAGGACATCGGTCATGGATGCGGGGATTTGGGGAGGTCAGATTAGACGTTGCACCTCGAATAAAAAGTTGCAGACATGCCAAGGATTACATAAAGCAGAGTAATTGCTTTTATAACAGAATTAAATTTTTAGTTTGAAAGAAGTCAACATTTGACGTCAATGACCTCACAAATACATGGTAAGAGCAGACGATAAATCATCGAAGGAGGTTGCGAAACAGATATTCACAGCTGGAATCCATCAAGTTCTTCATAAGTAAGCATTAAAACATCTACAAGCCCCTTTTGAACTCCAACTTCCTCAACTTCTTTCATCGCTTTGAGGCTTTCGCTGAGCAGAGGCATAGCGAGATAACGATTAGCTGAATGTCTATATGCACCTTGCAAACGATGCCCTCTCGTCACTGAATCCGGGTCAGCCGGTCGGCGTAAAGGGCGCCGAGAAAAAAAACTTTTTCGCAAAACTTTCCGAATTTTCGAACGCCTCCCAGTCAGTCATTACAATGGCATTTACTAGAGTAGTGTTTGTTTTCGAAAAGAACGAGTTTTCTCGGATCAAGATCAATTGCCGAATAAATAATTCAAGAAAAGGCACCTCTGGAGGGTAAAAGTATTTCTACTTTACTGTCTTTACCTGATCTACTCGTTTCGAAAAGGCGATGGAACTATTGTAATTCACGATGAAAGTCGGTCTCCCGCCGTTAATGTAGACCTCAGATCCGGGCCAGAAGAACGTCGCCGATTTTTTGCCATGCTTTTTGGCTGTATTCCAGATCTGAAATGATTTTTGCAAACATTTGAATAACAATTTGGTCATCAAAAATGTCAAAGATCTCACAGGTTCCCCGTTAAACCATACTGGATTCCTTGTTCTAGGAGTAAATGGTTCCTGGGAGATATTAAAATCCATGAAATGGCTTCCCACAATCCCGTGACTTTCTGGATATAACCCGGTGACAATGGCCAGATGATTGGGGAAGGTTTTGGAGGGGAAAGTTGGATACATATAAGTGGCATTACTTCCACACTGAAGTATTTTTGAGATGGCTGGAGTCAGCTGACGTGTTAGGTATTCAACTCGAAATCCATCAAGACTAATCAGTAATAATGGGGGCACATCAAACCTAGAATAAATTGCAAATTAATTAAAATCTTAAAAGTAACTGTGATGACATAAGACACCCACTTTCCGGAACACTTTGGCTCACAAGTGTGCTGCCAATGGATATCTTGATTCAGGAAAGCGGCATCTTCAACGTATTTCCTCCCAAATGTCCTTGTCAAGACCAGCCCAACAATTACTCCAATAAAAAGAAGCCCTGCGGCAATGGAAATGGCTACACAAATATGACGCTGTTGGAACTTGAAGTCGCGAAATCTCAGCTATAAATATTATAATGCATAACTGTCAAAACCCAGTTTATATTTTACCCTAGGTACACCCGGCAATTCGGCTTTGGCACCGGCTGTGGGGCTGCATAAAGGAATGTCGACCATCCTGGATTCTGTGGCCATGTTCGGAGAATGACATAAAGAAAGGAAAGATCCACTTGTAAACGTAAGTGGCTCAGATCATGGAGGCGTTTAAAGGACGGGAAGATGGGGTTGACATTCATCATGAGATCATATTTCCTCTCTGCTGATTTGAATATTCAATTATTTGTTATTTTATCTCACCGTTTTGGCGTTTATGATAATTAATGGGTTCGAGGTTGTGTTAAAATAATAATGCTTTATTTATAATTTCTGAATTTCTGAACTTGTGATTCGTATTTTAATCGTCATAAAGTAGGCAATTGCTTTCTTTTTTATATTACACCTCTCTTCCCAACCTGATCTCCCGGTTTCCCGTTGTTTCCGAGGACAAAGACAAAAGTGCGCGCCTTTTCTCGGACCGGTTCATTCGGGAAAACGAACAGCCTTGGGCGGGTTCATTATAATTATTCCGATCAGTCATTTGAATAAGCATGGGCACTTAGGGGTACCCCGAATATCATGCATAAAACTATTATGTTTCAGATGAAAGTTTTAGAATAAGAACAAATTTTTCGCCTTTTCCTTTCACGTTTTTCACGCGACCTTTTTCGTCTCGACCCTAAGGGCAAAGCGGAGAGCCCCGTCTTTTGTATGATTTTTCGATCTCCTCGGATTTTCAGTCAGTGAGCAGGGAAGGGGGGAAGCAGCTGCTCGGGCCGCGCTCTCTTTACAGTCGCTGTAAAGAAGAGAGAGCTCTTCAAAGGCCTTGAAATACGCCATCTGGCCGCGAGAACAGACAGACAGATTCAGGGGTGAGCTTATTACTCCGGATTACCGGGTACCCTGCAATTCCGCTCGATTAGTCCACTTTAATTTCCGTTATTTTTGGATCGTTGTGACGTTACGGTTTTTACGTTTTGTGCTGCTCGTCCCTATTCTTTTGATCTATTCGTTTTTTGTGACAACAATCATTTTCAGAATGCTAATACGAAACTCGTTGCTTCTGATTTTTCTCTCCGCAATTTCTTGTGTCAAAGTTCGATCCCAATCTTTATTGACACAACAATGTTTGGAAATTGTATGTTCTTATTTTATTTACAAAAAAGATTTAACTCAACAAACCTTTAATCTTTAAACTAAATTTAAAATGGTTTATGATTATATTGCAGGCCTCAGACCGAGATTGCACCGTCTTTAACAAGTGCTGTGACTTTAAATGCCATCAATCAGTTCACGGCGGACATAGCAGAGAACACTTTTGCATGGCCTTATTTGGAAGAATCCAACGGAGCGAGTGTGTTTGGTAAGTCGCGGTAATGTTACGTAACTCTCGATTACAGTAATTCGGCGTCATCCTTAAATGGAAAATCGGCTCCGTTTGGCTTCAAACATCTGGATATTGTGACTGGAGTCTTTCTACTCTTTGCTTTTGATTTTGTTCTTTTAACTTTTGCTCTATGACCTACCTGTCTTCATGCCTTTGAAATACGAGTAACATCTCTAATCGTGCCATACAAACAAATCTCTGGCATCATCTTTGTTGTCTTTCATTCTCGGTGAAAATATTTTTTGTAACATATCGGTCTCATGTATTGCAGAATGTAAATAAAGTGAAATATTTTTAACTCATTGGACTCTTGTTTGAATAAAATAACTCAAAACTATCACATTTTCGTTAGTTCAGGAGAAAGGCGTCATGAATTTGCATAAATTATAAATTCCAAAAACTGAACCGGTTATCGATAACTGCCAATTCAATTATTAATCCTCAAAAAAGGAACAAGAGCATAAAATGAACACTAATCACCCCCGTTCCTTATGCTGCTATCCGATTTGGCTTCTGCTCCCTAGACTCTCTCTAATCCAATTATCTTTCCATTAGAACGAGCAATTCCTCGGAATGTTTTCTATTTGGTTAGAAAACATATTGACGACAGTACTCACAGTAGAAAACGAAGTACAGGATGAGGAAGTGTCCCGAAATGGTAGTTAATATATTACGAGTATTCCATTACAATTACATCTTGTTTTTTTATAATAGTCATCTTGGACGTATGCCATTTAGATTCTTGTCATTCCTTAACTTCATTTAACCAGTAACAAAACGCAAGCGTTCGCTATTCAGTGTTTATTGGTGGAGTATATCTCTCAGGCCAAGGGATTGTGAAGTTTAAGTTTTTAATTTTTTCGGCACCTTCCCATAGATTTGAAGATTCTTGGAGTTGATTTTGCGAAACGAAACTTTAATGGAATCCAATGAAATTAAGGCAATCCGTCTCCAAATCCGTTGAAACGGGGAGTGTGCGAAGCCTGAGGTTGAAGACTGATGGCCACAAAAACAGGAAAATAAAAACAAACTCGGCCCGGTTGTCATTTGCACATATCCACGAGATTACATTCTGGCTAATTTTCGAAATTCGGAAACTGTCTTGTGGTATTTTTAATCTAAATTACCCATGGTCACCAAACGGTAGCTGTCATCCCAACATAGCTGCTGTTATGACAACTCGTTAAATGGCCTCTAATTTATTTCCATCTCCTTGTCAAAATAATTCAAGTACTTTTAGTCGGCTTTTTTGGAATTTTCTCTTATATCGGAACGCCTTATATAAATTTTCATTGTCAAGAAAATTCGAATTAAATTTTTGAATCGCTAATTTCCTGACCTTTATGAAAAGATGGCGCTGTTTTGGAAGAAAGTACAGTACAATAATGAAATAGGAAAGGCATCATCCATTCCTTTCATAAAACCAGTATTCTTAAGGGTTTTCTTGGCCATGAATTGTCATGATGTCAGTCTATATACTTGCTCTCTGAGAATGACCAACATCCCATGATGACAAAATTTTACCAAGGCCTTGAGTGGGAATCCCGTCTTTGAAGACGTTTCCTTTGCTTCTTTTGGGTTAACCAAATTTAACGGTGCGTATAAAAAGGAAAGGTCTTGGCCACAGGGAATCTCCAACCTCTCCCAATCTCCAAATAAAAATTTTTATTTTTAAAATTTGGCAGCAAGTCGTCTTTTCGTCGAAAATAAATGCAAATTTCCTTCCTCTGATGCTTGTACTGTAGTCCTAACATGTTTATTTGGCCAAGTTTAGCCATTTAATATAAACGATGACGTTATACCAAGATATTCGGCGGAGTTTTGTGAGGTCCGGAGCCGTTCGACGCTAATTTTTTATTAGGAAATTTGATTGGAACGTGCAGCATTTGGAGGCCAATTTCTGATCCCCTCGGGGCCCACAAATTCGTTTGGTACCTACTTCTCGACGACAGTAATCCTTGTACTTTATCCCTGTTTCAATCCATTTTATCATCTCACGCATATGATTAGATTTTATATTTATCTTTGATTTATTTTCACATGATGTTACAGTATCCTATTTCTATTTTAAAGTCAAGATTGAGGTCCAAATGCCCGAGCTTCTCATTAAATCATTTTCTAATCACCCCCCCCCCCAAATTCAATGCCTAAGGCGATAACACCTGCAATGCCTCAGGCATTTAAGGCCTAGCTCAAAAGAGCGACCTGTTTTTTGCCGGGGGTCTAATTGTTTCATCCGGGGAACTCCCTCTGTACAGCTGACTGAAAATTTAATTTCTTTGACCAGTTGACGTGAGGCGAGGCCCTTTTTTCGATACGTTGTAGCCGGAGGGGATGGTCGTAAAAAACAGAAAGATACGACTCAGATTCAATTTGGGCTTTCTTTCACAACTTTTTGGACACGGTTCTGATTCGGAGTGGACGTTCGGCCAGAGAAATTAGGGACTAAATTTGGAAAAGCTTTTATTTTTAGAACACTGGCACTTAGGACTCTGCTCTTGGTGCTGATTGTAGTTGCTTCCTCTTGGAATCCTTTTTCTTGTTTGATTTATACATGTAAAGTTGCCCTTTGTACAAGAATGACTCTCAATATTGTACTGATCTCAAAAACCCAATTTATCTTTTAGATATCCCACACAAAGGAGTTCGAAAAATGTCGAAATTCGAAAGAAATTTGATTGTTATGACTTGACAAGCTGTTTTTCCTTGGGCAAAATAGATTTCTCTTTGCAACAGCGAGTCCTTTTTGCTAAATTTATCTCCAATTTGTTTAGCCCAAACTTAATTTTACATCCGATGGTGACATTATTGCGCAATTCACGTCTTTTTTACCGCCCTTTGTTTATTTGTTTAGTATTGTGTTGTTTTGCATGGATCTTCAATTTTTCCCTTTTCGGGGATCATGATTTACATTTTGACTTTTTTCCGAGTTTTTAAATTTCCGAATTTGGGAGATTTTCTCACGGTCTTTTGAATGCAAATTTTAAAAACCTGAATCTTTGAATAATCAGGGGATTCTTTGCTTGAGCTTTAACTTTTAAGATTTTGACCGTAATATCTGCTATGTTATTTGGTTTATTTTTTGCTTTTCCGGTATTGTAAGATGTCCCCAAACTGGCTCTCCCCTCTCCGTTCTGGGTGGGCTTCGTTAAAGGGCCTAACGCCCTTGACGTCTCTTAAATATTCTCTTAAGCGGGCTCCAAAAAACGTCTCCGGGAGTTTCTTGAATTGTATTTGGGACATCGCGGGACGTCATTTCCTTGTGTTTGACTTTGAACGGGATGTTCTTCCAGCAGATCCTCGGATTATGAACACATGAATCAGAGCTCAGCCAATTCCACGGACCCCGTCCAATGTTTCTACGAACCTCCCTTATACCTGGAGGGTCGATTCTGGTTGGTCAGTGTCTTTGGAACTTCGGTGGCGTTGATCTCGAGTTGTGAGAATGCATTTTTGTTCGGCACTTTGGTCCAGAAGTAAGTATTACATATTCGCCAATTCATTTGCCTCATTTCAATTTCAGAAAGCAACATCTCAACTCCCACTGTCTCTATCTGATGTTATTGGCCTTCTTTGACTTCTTTATTGCCGTCGCTTACATTCCTTTAATGTCCATCAGTCTGTTGGCTGACTATCTTGAATCGCCCTTGCTGTTAACAGCTTGGTATCATTATATGAGACCCATGATTACCATCTCCCATATTGCCATGAGTGCCTCTTCTTTTCTGATTTTGGCAGCTTCTTTCGAGAGATACTGTATTACTTGTCTCCCTGGGAGAATGCAAAAAGTCCAGAAATTGAGAAGATTCATCGCTTTAACGGCCGTTCTAACTGGAGTCATAACCAAAATCACCTTATACAATGAATTTGAGGTAAACCGGAAGATCAATAGATTTTAGATGGTTTGCTTGTAGATCATATTCAACAAGGAATGCAAGGGAACAATGGTCGAATATAATCTGCAGTTGTCAGCCATGGCCACAGAATACTACTACAATTTAGTGTGGAGACTTGGATTCAGGAACCTGGTCACTGTTTTGGTCCCTTTCTTTGGTCTTTTGGCCATGAATTTCTTAATTGTAAAGAAATTAAAGCAAGTAAATTCGAAGCTTCCGGCCGAACAGAAAGGATTGGATGGGGAACTTCAGCCTAAAGTAAGATTATAAAAAAATGTTATGGACTGTCATGGCCTTTTAACTTGTTTTAGAATCGAGTCAAAGCAGCTACGATGACATTGCTTATGGTCGTGTTTACATATTTGGTCTCCAACATTTTGAACGTCATCTTGACTTTTTGGGAATACTTTGATATAACTTCTCTGACGTCAAAATTCCTTGCCTTTTATACTTATGGAGTGGATACGGTAAGCCTACTTTATATTGCGCAATCAATCAAAGATTTGTTTGTTGTGCAGAACGAAACTAAATTTTAGGTGTCCATTCTGACAATTCTCGCCGGTTCTTTCCGATTGCCCATCTACGTGATATGCATGCCTCAACTGCGAGGAGACTTCGTGATCCATTTCAAGAAAATCATTGGACGAAACAAGTATCAGATTGTAGGTTCTTATATACGTATATCTTATAGCTATATGTAATCACCTGCTTTCAGAACGAATATGGCTCCAAAAAACAATTTGAATACGCACCGATGTTAATCCGCATCAGCGAATTGCTCATGAAATATCCGAATCTCTCCTCGGACACTTCTATGGATTCCCTCAGCTCCAGTGATCACGAAGTCCGAGAAGAAGTTTTCCTGTAAAAAGTAGCCCCTCCCAACATATCTTGTATGTTATTTACACCTCGCAACATACGATTGTACAACGTTTAACATAAATGCTCAAATATTTATTTTTTCGGTCTTATCGTGCCTTAACAACTTCCGTAACTGCAAAAGTTTGTTCTTCCAGGACTTGAGGATACTGTAATTAGTAGTTTGGTGTGGCCGTTCTTCTTTGACTTCGGAAACTTCGGGTTCATTATCCAAAATCAAAGACAATATAATGGATCGGAGTAGATCTCGGGCTTTTCTAGTTCCTCGGGGAGTTCCGAATATTTGAATACAGTCCTCTTCGACTATAATTTTGGTGGTTGTCATCATCTCGAGTTCTCTGATCTGATCCCCATTAATTAGTCGGCTGAATTGTTTACTCCATCCCTCGAGACGAAGTTGGCGGATAATCATCGTCTAAAAGCAGTTGGCGAATAACTAACACAACTTACGAAACAAGATCTCCTTACTGTAAAACTTTTCTCGAATGGCCTAATAACCGTCATCTATCAAAAGCCCTCAGGCAACAGCTGTCTTTCGTAAAAGAATGGACAGTGGTGACTCAAATTTCAAGCAAAAGAAGTAACTATATTAGTAAGACATGCTCAACTCGTTAAGCGTCTTTTGTCCCTCATATCAAACCTTATTGTTGTCTAATACCGAAAAAAGAGAACCGAATACAAACGTCACTCACCGTCTTCAACATATCATACCAGAATTTGTAATTGTCGTCTACCATCTTGAAAATTAGAGTCGAACAAGGCGGTTTTGTATTGAATATCTGGAGTGTCGCCGGCGCCGAGATCCGGTTTCACATCCATTCCATGGCCATAAACAAAGTCGTGGCCACATCTTCTCAATTTCAAACATTCCAGAACCAGCAGATCTCGCAGAACCGGACATCGGAAGGTGTAGTTTGTGTGGGGTGTCACAAAAAATGGCTACGAAGTGCTCACTCCCAGTAGGGTCAGGCCGCATTTTCAAAGTAAGTCATCGTGTTTTATCAAAGCACACTTTTTGTTTATAAGCCAAAAAGCCAGACATCGAGATTCTCTCGAGTACGTATTTTCTGTATGATGCATCATCACATACGCATATGATGTACACATGGTATTTGTTTGGTCAGTAATTGGCTTGTCGCTTTGATTTATCGGCATTTTGATATTGATTTTAGACGAAGTGCCACGAATTTTTCCTATTTTTTTACAATTTTGTTTTCTCTTTTTTACGTTCGACTAGATAAAATGGCTATCGATAACGATCCAGAAGAGATGGAATTTGAGGCCGTAGAGCCAATGGATGATGATGATGCCAGCAGTGAAGGTAGCGAAAATAACGAGGAAGAAACTGGGAAGAGAAAGGTAAGACATTCGTAATTATTGGTGTATTCGTTTAGGTGTATATTCCTGGAGTGAGCCGACAGTTGAAAGAAGGAGAAGAGCTGGAATATGATCCAGATGCCTACAAGATTTTTCACACGTTTGAGACTGGTAAGTATCTTCGGCATTGTTAGTTATTCCATTTTTAGAGAACCCATGTCTTTCTTTTGATGTCTTGAACGACAATCTCGGTGATAAAAGAGAGAAAACACCACTGACGTGCTATTTGGTTGGTGGCACTCAAGTGGAGAAGATGAATCAAAATCAGATTATTGTAATGAGATTGAGTAACATGTATGGAATTGCTGACGAAATGTCAGAGTCGGAAGATGAAGACGAAGATCCAGAAGACGACGATGAGGAGGCTGCCAAGAAGAAGAAAGAAAAGGAACCTGTTCTGACTACGGCTATAATCAAGCATCAAGGTGAAGTGAACAGAATAAAGGTGAGGGGCTTTCCAATGTGTTTCTTGCCCTTAGTATTGGCTTCGATATCATTTTTGCAGAGTCAATCATTAGGCCCGTCAGAAGTGTGCGCTGTGTGGAATTCCACAGGAAAAGTTCAGATCTGGAATCTGAATGCGGCCTTGGAGAAGATAAATGCACTTGAGGACACAAAGAGAATGGTGAAACTCGAAAATGAGCGTCCCATCTTTTCCTTCGACGGTCATAGTGCTGAAGGATTTGCTTTGGATTGGTCTCCTCTTCGCCCGGGAGCTTTAGCCAGTGGCGATCAACATAAGAAAGTGAGTGTTTCGGTTCATCCGTCAATTGTTTATGTATCAAATTTTTTATCATCATTCTTCTAGATTTTCTTGTGGTCTATGGGCGAAGGAGGACAATGGTCGGTCAATCAGCGACCTCTGACCGGTCACAATGACTCCGTCGAAGACATTCAATGGTCCAATACTGAAGAGAGTTTGTTGGTTTCAGTGTCGGTTGATAAGAGCATCAGGCTTTGGGACATTCGAGCTCCGGCTGCCCAAGCCTGTGTTTGTAAAGTGGAGAATGCACATGAAAGTGACATTAATGTGGTTGGATGGAACAAGTACGATCCTTTGATCGTAACTGGCGGTGATGACGCTGTTGTCAAGGTCTGGTCGCTCAAAAATATTCAGGTAGGTAAATTCGTCATCTCAGTATACGTCTTATTGCAGTACGGGCAAGCGGTTGCTCGATTCAAGCATCATAAAAGCCCAATCACATCAGTTGAATGGCATCCTGAGGATTCAACGACGTTTATGGCCTCCGGTGAGGATAATCAAATCACCTTCTGGGATTTGGCAATGGAAACAGATACTGGTGCGGATGAGGATCTTGATGGCATTCCTCCTCAATTACTATTTGTTCACATGGGATTGGAAGAGATCAAGGAAGTTCATTGGCATCCCAAAATAAATGGATTGGCACTGGCCACGGCATTGAATGGATTCCATGCGTTCAGAACTATAAATATCTAAATCTCGTATTTGCTTCACATTTTTGTTGAATTTGTCGTTATTAAAATCTTGTTATCCGCTTTCGGTCCCTCGTTTCGTGTGTATCAGTCGCATTTTTTATTTCAGAATATCATTTACGTCAGCAAAAGACTTGACCTAAAATTTTTGGCTTCAGGAAAACACTTGTCTCTTTTCCGACGTGTAATTTTTTCCTAGATTTTTGTGTTAGGAAGTTCGAAGGTCCCAAAGTATAAGGATTACAGACCTAATCACTATGCCCAGGAGTTTGATTGTTTTATTTCTACTGTTTCTCAGCGTTAATGGCCTTAGGTTTTACGTTTCCTCAGGCGAAAAGAAGTGTTTGAAGGAAGAAATTCACCGGAATGTGGTGTTAACAGGAGAGTATGAGTTCAGTGAGGCTATTGGATACACGTCGTCTGTTCACGTGACTGATACTCGTGGCCACACCTTATACAAAAGAGAAGACTTCCCCGATTCAAAGGGAAAATTCGCTTTTACCGCCGACGAATACGACATCTTCGAAATCTGCATCACAGTGAACAACAATCCCAGTAAGTCGACGCGTTAAATAATTTTATTTGGCTTTTAGACCAAGTCAAAGTGCAGAGGGAGGTCTCGTTGATTCTGAAGCATGGAGTGGAAGCTAAGAACTACGAAGATTTGGCCAAAGCCGAGAAATTGAAGCCGTTAGAAGTTGAATTACGGCGTCTTGAGGATCTGTCCGATTCGATTGTGCAAGACTTCATGTATATGCGACAGAGAGAAGAAGAAATGCGATCAACTAACGGTAATAAAGTTAGCTTACATTAGGTTTCTGCAGTTTTTGTTTTAATGACAGCATCTTTTTAGAATCCACAAATACCCGTGTTTTATACCTGAGTATCTTCTCCATGCTGTGTTTACTGACCCTGGCAACTTGGCAGATCATGTACCTCCGACGTTACTTCAAAGCTAAGAAGCTTATTGACTAAGCGCCTATCTGTGCCTTCCAATACGTCATTATTTATTTATTTTGAAATAAGGGTTATTGTAGGTAAAACTCAGTTGTTAATAAATGTCGTATCTCTTATAGCTCGAGTTTAGAAGTTGTTGAAATCAATGTATATACCGACGAAGGAGTTTGACAACTAACAATAATAGTTTGAAGTGATAACCTTGCAATAATGCGATCATAAAGTAAAATTAATTCTACTGGGTGATAAAATGACGATAACTAACGGTTTGAAAGGAATTCAAAGGAATGCCGTGATAAGAAAAGAATATGACATGAATAGCAACAATAACACAATGGGATTACATTTCTATATAAAGTTATTCACAGAAACATCAACCAGCGACAAATCAATGATCCCCAATGGGTGAGAATGCGATTATTTCCTCTGAATTGAATCCATTAAAATGCGCCAAATGCCTACAAGTAATATCTGATCCAAAAAGGCAACTCTTCAATTTAGGAACTCAACAAGCCTATAAGATTGCCTTGTCAGCATTGTTATTGTATGGAGTGTATTCGTTACAACACCGAATGTCCAACTTGCTCCTTACCGTTCGATTCTAATATTCTGAAGATTGATCCGATTCTGAATTATCTTCTAGATTCGGCCAAGGAATTAACAGAACCTTGCGCGAATTGTGACCAATGTCGGCATCCCATGTTCTTTTGTGAAACCTGCCAACAACCTTTATGTCATGAATGTAGATTGTCCACTCATCAAGCAAAAATCTTCTCCTCTCATCAAATCTTACCATTGGAAGAGAGTGGGAGACTAAGAGGGAACTTACAATGTAAAGAACACAAGTCTCCGTATGTCCTTTTCTGCTCCGAATCAAAGAGTTTGATGTGTATCGAATGCTTTAATGGATCATCTGTTGATAAAAGGTAATCTGCTTTGATAGCTTTACTATTTTATCATAGAAATCACTTTCTGAGTATTGAAGTTGCTCATAAATCTTGCCAAGACAGACTGAATGAGAGTGTCAAACTATTGAAAAGCTTCCAAAACGACCTCAAAGAACAGATCGAAGTCAGAAAAAGTGCTCAAGAACAAGTTCATATGAATTCCGATAATATTCAAAAAGAGTAAGTCCAATTAAGAGTATGATTACCTGATTTAGGATCGAGGAACAATATGAAATAATGGTTGAAAAAATCAAAGCCGTCAAGATGAGAGTGATTGAGCGAGTTAAGATGACCGAAAACGATAAAACAAATCAAATAGCAAAACAGATCAAGACGCTAATTAACATTGAGGTAGGATATAAGAAAATGATGACTATATCAGGTATGACTATAACAATTCCAGGCTCCAATCAAGTTGAATCTCCTGAGTGCCTCAGTTTTCTGTTCGTACGCATCACAATTAGACCTACTTCACTCGTTTTCCTCCATCTTGGACAATATCAAATTGATATTGGCACAAAAAATGGAGAAAATTCCGTCAGATGGCTTCGGAACCGTCAACTTTGTCGGTCAATTTGTGAGCTCTGTAGAGAATGAACTTGATTTCCCGAAGCCTCAGGCCTCCCACACTCTTCAGCAATCCGTAAATCAGCTATCCCTACAGTTATTCAATAACAACTTAAATGAAGTTGAAGAAGACAGCGAGAGCAGCAAGGGATCTTATGCATCATACGCCTTCAGAAATATGATCCTGCGAGATCCCAGTTGTGTGCTGGAATACGGATCTACAACATTCAACGAGCAACTCCAACGAGTTGAGAATCCGTTAAAGGACTTCGTTAACGAAAGAAATCATATATCCAATACTCTTCTGGAAGTGCAAAGAGACATTACTAAACGTCGATGTATAGTTGACAAAACGTTGATCGAAGAATTAACCAGTAGTTGTGAATCACTAAATGCTCGGCTGGACGGGCATTTGCAGGTGGTTGATGAGGTCGAGGGAGTTCTTCAAGATCTTTGGATGGAGCAATTCGACCTTCTCCGAAGACAAAACGCCATATTCCAACAGAAGAAAGAAGAGCTGGCTTCCCTCCAACGATTCTCCCAACAAATTCTAGATGCCGTCGTGAAAGTCAAGACGGTCAGCAAATTCCTATCTTCGGTTATATCAGTTGTGGACGAAAGGAGAAGTGGAACAACAGCAATCCCACCAATGGAACAGATCTGCATGCAGATACTGACATTATCTCCAGACTCAAAACAACGATGTGAAGCTATTGAAAAGGAAGAAGAAAATAGAAGACTGGCAAAGGAGAAAGAGAAATTGTTAACTCAAAAGGAAGTTAGACAACTCCCAAAGAATCTAAAAGAGACTCCTAAAAAGGCGAGGCCTGTGTCTATGATTATGATCGAAAACAGTCGGGATCGGCAACCAGTGCCATTAATCTTGAAGAAGAAGAAAAGAACGTAGGTTTATTTAATACTAATGTAAATGTATTTTAGGAAACGGAACTCCCAATCAGATGAGAGTAGTGGGATCAGAAGTCCATCTCCCAAAGGATTGTTCTCATCCGCCACAAGCCTGGATACGATATCTCTGAACGCTGGGGGGTTTTACTCCCCAACGTCTCTAAGTCCTGTGCCCCAAAAAGAAAAACCAATAACAGAAGAGATGGTGAGATCTACAATAAAAACCAAGCTAGAATCGCCGACCATCCCTGGACCATCTATGACCTCGCCTCCAGTCTCTCCAATCGTCAAACCCAAACCTCAGATCCCACTTCCACCGATCACTCCACCCCGATTAGAAATGAGACCGCCGCCTCCTCCACCATCACCCAAGATTCCAGACGGAGGTTCAAATGCAATATCATCAAGACCAGAGACCCCAAAAACACCCAAATCCTTGCAATATGGGGCTAGTTTGGGAGGGAACACGCCTTCGGAAGAAACAATCAAAGCCCGGGAAATGTTGTTACAATCAATCAAGGAGAGAGTAAAACGAATTGATTAGCTTTAGCCATAAAAAATAACTAGTCGCTTCCAATTCGGCATCTCGGTGAAACCTCTGTCAGGGCAATCTACCCTCTTTCCTTATGTCATCCGCTTAATAGGTCGATTTCTATTTTCGATGTGACACTTCGTTAAAATCAATAAATTTTTGACATTTCGTAGAAAAATAAATATTCGACCTAGAAAAAATAATTCTCAATTGAGCAGCGAGTTCCGATCAAAATGGATGCCTCAATTGGTCAGGGTGATGATGAACCTTCTCTTGAAGATCTTCCACAAGCTCTGAAGAATAAATTGGAGAAGAAACTTGGAGAAGGCAATGGTGTAGATCAGCCAGACAGCAAGAAGTCACGACGAGAGATTCTTTGCGAACAGTGTAATAATTCTCAATCCAAGTATACCTGCCCAAAGTGCGCCTTTAGGAGTTGTTCAGTTGCATGTGTAAAGCAACATAAAGTCGAGAGGCTGGTAAGTCCGTTATTTAATCTTTTATGTGTTTAGTGTGATGGAATGCCTCAAAAATGGACAGCGGTTGCTAAAATTTCCGAGTTCAGTCCGCTAACTTCGACCCGGGATCAGGGATTCTTGCATGACATCAAGGATAAGGTCCTGCCTGAAGGAAGTAATGGAGACCAGAATTCTGAAGCACAGAATGGAGATGTACAGAGGCAACGACCAAAGATGTTTTCGGCTGTTATAAATTATCTGCTTGGCAGCTGTCGAATGCGGAGGATCTGGCTCTCCATCAACGAAGAGAATGGTATGTATAAAAATTGTTTTTTTAATGTTTTTTTTGTAGAAGCCGAGGGTTCAAGACATGAGGGGTTCTCAGACACAATTTTCTGGACAATCAAGGTAACCTTTGCCCGGTCTAAAAATTGGGAATGGGCTTCCATGCCCGAGAAAGCGCAGACAACAAAAGTTTTGGAGGTTGTGGGATTAGAAAATTCCGAGAAAGAAGCTCAAGAACAAAATGAAGAGAAAAAGGAAGGTATAAAAGTTGAGGTGGTTGACAAAGAAGAAATTATTCCAACAGAAAGTCCATCGGGAGATATTGAAGATGGAGAATTACCTTCTGATCATGAAGAAAATGGAACGTCTGAAATAGCAGAAGAAAATGATCGGCAAAGCGCTCCAGAAGAAGTCGTTTTAGATGATTTTGAAGCTGTGGACCCTGTGGAAGATGTTGGTGTTGCACCTGAGGATGACGATTCAGAGCTGTTATCTCACTCTTATGTGGTTTCCAACATCCCTGAGACTTTGACTGTCCGCACTTTGATCAGACAATTTGCTCAGCCCAAGGTTTATGGCCCAGTAATCTCAAAATCTGATCTCGATTTGGAGAAGATGGATCCATTCTTGAAGCATCCGGGTGAATTGATTGCTTATATGCCTGTTAATTGTAATGGGACCACACGATATTATGGGATTGACACCGAAAGAAGTTTCTTGGATAATCTTAGAAACAGGTTCGTAGTCGGACGTCCAGAGTTGATCATTTTGTTGAACAAGGATCCTAGAGTGATGGTTGCACCCACCTCAGAAGAGATTGACAATCTTCATCAACAGAGAAAAGATAAACAACACAATGAATCTCCACATTTTCATGTAAGATCGCCTATTTGTAATGTAACTTTTGTTTCAGCGAAAACCTCGAAATAATTACAACAATTATAATAATAACAGAGGAGGATTTGGCCACAGGAGAGGCGGTGGTGGAGGGAATAGGCCACAAAGAGGAGGATCCAACTTCCAGAATCGAGGGTAAGATAATATTACAGTTTTGGATTATGTTTTAGGCCTAAAAGACATTATCAACACCGAGAAGATCCATTGGAAAATATCCTGGCTTCCAGTAATATAAGACAAAAAGATATTGCTGCGATGGGGCCAGCACCTTAGAATATCGTTGGTCTTTTGTTATTGTTATTTACCATTAATACACCTCATGTTACACTTTGTTAAGTTTTGATTGTTTTCAGAGTTTCTACTCAATAAAAATACACTTTTAAAGCGCAGGTCTACTGTACAGGGTCTTTCAATGAAGGAAAGTAGAAGGCTATAACTTTCGGCGGAGGCGGCGCAGAGAGTTCGGTTTTGGAGTATGTATTTTTCAGTGACATTATTTTTTGTCTACGAAATAACAAGATTTTTAGGTGCAAACTGAGGTCGCTACAACCTTTTGAAAAAGGGGTCTTTTACCCCGAAAACCAGGGTTTTTCGATTGAAAATGATCGAGAAATTTCAGAGTTTTTCGGTCGAAAATCACCGAGAAATGTCGGGTTTTTTGGGGGGTTTCGATAGAGCTGACGTTGAAAACAGGGAAGGAAATTGCCAACACGTTGAAAATTAAACAAATATTTATATATATAACCAGTTTTTGCTAGCAGTTTAAATGTTTGGTTATCATTCCTGCCCTTTGACGGCCATTAAACCCCTTTGACTAGTTTTTTTAAGACTTCACAGACATTCTGGTGTGTTGACCAGCCGATTCCAGGTCCCCCAAATCCCCAAACGAAACACTGAAAATAAACTCGAAATCTGCCCCAAGCTGAGGCTAGCCGAATATTTGCTTAATTTTCAACGTGTTGGCAATTTCCTTCCCTGTTTTCAACGTCAGCTCTATCCAAACCCCCCAAAAAACCCGACATTTCTCGGTGATTTTCGACCGAAAAACTCTGAAATTTCTCGATCATTTTCAACCGAAAAACCCTGGTTTTCGGGGTAAAAGACCCCTTTTTCAAAAGGTTGTAGCGACCTCAGTTTGCACCTAAAAATCTTGTTATTTCGTAGACAAAAAATAATGTCACTGAAAAATACATATTCCAAAACCGAACTCTCTGCGCCGCCTCCGCCGGAAGTTATAGCCTTCTACTTTCCTTCACATTTCTTGAAAGACCCTGTAATGCTTTGACGTTCGGGTTTTTCAATTTTTATTTATTTTCTTTTGAAGGTATGAGCAATCCTGGATAGCTGCATGGGGGTGGAACCCAAGAGAAATAGGAGATAATGTTTTTCCTTAGGATCCACCATCCGCCGGCTCTTCTCTACCAACCATCTCACCTGCAAGAATAGTATAAAAAAGATGAGTTCTTACAACTTGATTTACGTATTTGGCCCGACTTTCGTCCAACCATAACTTGGCTTGAAGATCGTTTTCAAAGTTCTGATTTTGAGCGAAGAAACAAAACTCGAGTGTTTGTTGAGCATCAGTCAGAGAAGAACTTCGTTCCATATTTAATAGCTGAGAGCACTTCCTCAATCCAGACGACCATCGACTTTTCTCTGTAATCTCCGGCAATCTATTCTGAATCTTCAATCCTAATAATGTACATAATGCCCTTAGGGCAAATTTGCAGAGAGTGACCTTAGGCTCAGGGCTGACGGTCTCCTCATTACAGTCTTCTTCAACTGTAGATCTGAGAAGAATAAGGCGAGGAAGCTGGTCTAAAGACTGACTGAAAGGACGGCCATCAGGGTTACTGTAAGAGAGGAGGAATTCTTTGAAATTATTTGATAACAACTCAATTCCATCTGCTTGAAGACATTTGAGGGCATTCAGAAGTTGAATCATGATAAAGACCGTTTGTTCTTCACGTTTGTATGGATTGACTCCCTAAAAATCAGTCTTATTTTACTGTGGGGGACCTGACCCGCTCGACAAAAATGCGCAATATTGTTTCCCGGATGGAATAACAATAATGCAAAATGATTTTGTCTCACAAAGAGGCGCATTCACGGATACTTCCAAACCAAAATCGTGCGCTTTTGAGTTTTTTTTTTGTTTTCTTTTGGTCAAAGATTTTTGTTCCCTCATTGAAGCAAAACTGCACATTTTTGACGGCTGGACCAGGTCCCCCTGTATCAAGGCAATAAAATCAGCTTCCAAGTCAATCTATCACCACCCGTTACCTTATGCAAATTATGAGCAGCTAACGCCGGGAAGGAACAGACATGCATTGGGGGCATTACAGTAACCTTCAGAGTACTCTGTTGCTTTAATTCTTGCCCAGCTTCATCCAATAACTGAGACATTTCTTTTGTAATTTCTTCGAATTCGGCCAAGAGTGGAGGTCCAAATATCCGATCAGCATGCCGTCCCAACAAAGGAGCATATGTGTCGGCAGAGCTGATCTGCAACAATTCCGTCAAGTTGATTCCTTCCTTACCATTACAGTAATAGGGTACTCATGATATGAAGAGGAGACAAAGGCGGCTTCGAATAGTAATATCTTATCCTTGATTACTGTAGGTGTTGTGGATTTGAATACAATATTTGATAACGACACTCTGATGTAATTTTGATTGCCTTGAAGTCTAATTTATATTACCTTTCGTATATCTCAACTCCAATTTGATTGGGAAAAGAATGTTCTCGAAGAAGTTTATTGTAATTGTTGGAAACAAAGGCTAATGTCGATGAATGCGAGACAGCCATCTGAAGTTGTTCGTATAAGTATTTCATTAGTTATACTTGCCTGATGGAAGACCATATCTGAAGCGGTCGATTTGATTGAATTTGTGGGGGATTGTGTATTCCGAATTGATCTCGGTGAATGGAAAGATGGGCTGTAAATTGAGCTGCCATAGTCTGAAAACAATGAGTATTACGACCCTCACAAATTACTGTAAATTTAGTTACCTCGAACATTTAGCGAGAGTAGAGAAGGCGTTTTGACCGGCGCTTTGAAGGCTTTAAAATGCTTTTGTTCCAATCTCTTCTAAAACAATATTGCATTGGGTTGCTGGTCATACCTCTGTGACCATCAAGCAGCAATCGTTCTCGTCGGAAGAGAATGTCTCGGACGGTTCCATTTTACGCACATTGAACTTTGGCTGATCAGCTGACTATAAGTATAATAACAACAAAAATAATTGTGATAATCGGGTTTAAGTGTTGTGAAGGAGTGTTTGTCCCCAGCAAACACTTCAAGATCACACGTGAATCAAGAGGATTGGAGAGGATGGAAACAATTGCGGGGATCTCGCTTTCAACGCGAACAGAAAGTTCAGGATCTACGGGATTGCATAGAATAAGAACGTTTTATGGGTTGTAAAAACGGTTACCAAGTAATTTCAAGTGTAAAACATGTAACGATACCCAAGTTAGACAAACCTGAAACAGTTTTAGGAGCTTCGTAAAGTTAGCTGGCTTGACTGGAACTTCTTTTACTGGAGGGGACGTTGACGAAATTGAAGCAGAGCTTAAAAAATATAAAAATTGATTCATTTTTAAAGGATTTCTCACCTCAAACTGTTTTGATACTCAAGTGGAATAAGATCCGGCTTCGGAGACGGCGTATCCGGCCCGGAATCCTCATACGGTAAATACTCTGGCGTTGGGACATCAAGTCTAATATAATCACGCTCAACAACTACAGGTGCCATCAGCCGGAAGTGCGAAGATAAAGAATAATTTGAGTGGACAGTCCAGTCTTCTCGTTCTCCCGCTCTCTTCTCGACTCTACTTCCCGATTCTCTTCGCCTGGAGACTGACCCAGCTCGAGGAGGAGGTGTGATTGAGGCTTAAATTCTTTTCAAATGCAAACATAAAACTTTTTCGAAACAAAAGAAGCGTTCTGTTCTCGATATCCGGCAGGAAAATACGACTGAGCCGATTATTTTAGTCATCCAGCTGCGAATAAACTGGATGACTTTTGATATAAACCGACAACTTTTATTATAAAAGAAACTTATTTATACTGAAAATACCACAATATAAAAACAAAGTCAACAAATACTACGGGACAGCCTGTCCCAACTGTTATCATTCTATTTTTTGAAAAACATGGTTTTCAAAAAATTCAAAAATATAAAAATTCGTAAATCCAACCTTGTCTTGCCACGAAAACATTTCGCGGGAAATGCGTTTTTCTAACGAATATTTTTGCGAATTTTTTCGAAAATTTTTGTGATTTCGGCAGATTTTTTTTGGATATTCGCGAAGTGGTTTTGGTCACCTTTCTTGTACGAGAATTATTATGGCCCAACAACAGAAGCAAACTCAGAAATCTCGAGGAGCTCAGAAGACTGCAGTCGAAGCTACCCATCTTCTGACGGATGAATTGACTGACGGACAAGAAGATGAAGCCTCTCCGTTTATGCTCGTCGAAAGGTTGGAGGTAAGCTAAAATCAACCGTATCTATTTTTACGATTTTTAGCAATTTGGTATTCATGCCACAGATCTAAGGAAGCTGAGAGAATCTGGGTTTCATACCGTGGAAAGTGTCGTTTATGCACCTCGGAAGGATCTTCTAAATGTTAAAGGAATCAGTGAGCAGAAAGCGGAGAAAATTTTTGTAAGTTTTCATGTGTCTATATTGTCGTCAAAATTTTCAGACGGAAGCAGCTAAATTAGTACCTATGGGGTTCACAACGGCATCTGACGTCCATTCAAAGAGATCCGAAATCATTCAGATTGAGACTGGCAGCCGCGAACTTAATCGTTTACTTGGTGGTGGAATCGAAACGGGTTCAATTACTGAGGTGAGGTGAATTACTTTATTTGTTATGATCTTTAGATTTTCGGCGAATTCAGAACGGGGAAGTCCCAGATTTGTCACACGTTAGCCGTAATCTGTCAGTTACCAGTCGATATGGGAGGTGCTGAAGGAAAATGTCTCTGGATTGACACTGAAGGCACATTTAGACCAGAGAGATTGTTATCCGTTGCTAATCGGTAAGCTGGTTACTCCAATATTTATAATATTTTGCTCCTTTAGTTTTAAATTGTCTCCAAAAGATGTTCTGGATAATGTTGCTTATGCGAGATGCCATAACACCGACCATCAGATGCAATTGTTGGTTCAGGCCGCTGCGATGATGTCTGAATCAAGGTATACTTTCATATTATGGTATTATTCGCTGTTTCAGATATGCTCTTCTGGTGGTGGATAGTGCAATGGCTTTGTATCGAACTGATTACTCTGGTCGTGGCGAGTTGGCCGCTAGACAAATGCATCTGGCCAAGTTTTTGAGGGGACTGATGAAACTTGCGGATGAGGTTAGTAACTACTTTTCGAATACTCTTATTAATTGCTTAGCCTTTTTATTCCTTTATCTTCAGTTCGGTGTGGCCGTTGTAATCACGAATCAAGTTGTCGCCCAAGTTGATGGAAGTGGAGGAATGTTCCAAGCGGATCCGAAGAAGCCGATCGGTGGAAATATCATGGCCCACAGCTCCACGACCCGGCTTTATCTGCGGAAAGGGAAAGGAGCCAATCGAATTTGCAAGATTTATGATTCTCCATGCCTCCCAGAGTCTGAATGCACTTTCTCCATCACATCCAATGGAATCGACGATCCCCAAGAATAACCCCGAACATGTATATCTGTCTAAACTATTTTTTTGGAAATATATTTATTAGTTATTTTATATCGAACTGGTCCGTTTTGTTGAGGTTTTGGTCCTTGATTTATTTGTTTCTGCATAGAATTGGTTGATTTCGGTGTTTTTTAGATGAGGCCATCAATTGGAAGACAGAGCGTTGGAATGGGAAGGCTTTCTACTGGGTAAGCATTCGTTGATTCCTTTTATTACTTACTTGGACTCATTCTGACGTTGTTTTAGAGCTGAGTTTTCCCGTTTTTCCGTCCAAAGTTCCTCTGCCAGACGTCCTTCTATCGCCGCATCTCGTAAACCAACAAAAGAAGAAGATATTCAGGGATTGATGAGATTTTTTGAACAAAGAAATGCCAGTTTCAACTATTCGGAGAAGAGTCTTCGGAATCCGCAATTGAACGAATTCAGAACTTGGCTTGAGTTTATCCTCAAATGCATCGATAAAAATTTCAAAGCCGAAAGGGAAATTGAAAAGGTGGGCGTTGATGATTCAAATAGCATGGTTTTAGTCGCTCCCTCAAATTTTCCTCACATTGAATTATCCGTATGTCATCAAACCTTCGATGTGTATTACTGTAAATTCCCCGCACAATTGGCCAAGTTTTCTCAAGGCCCTTCATTGGCTTACTAAAGTGGCCGAAGGAAACAATACTTCCAATCAACAGAAGAGCGATCAGTCTGCGGTAAGTCGCTTCTTTTATTATCTGATGGCGTTTAGTATATCACGGCGTATACCATCCACTGCTGTCGATTGAACGAAGGAGAGGATCCTGCGGATGTCTACAAAGCATTCAGCGAGATGATTGTAGATGCTGAAGCTCAGACGGAGGAAGAGAGGGAGTTGGAAGAACTGAATCAACGATTGGCGGAGCTCAGGGAAACGATTGCTTTGGTGAGTAAAGGAATTGTTCAATACCTTTTGTTCAGGAGGAGACGGCCGTTTCTTCTGCCGAATCTGAGAAGTCTACGCAAAGCAAGCGCAACGAACAGGCCGAGAGAGATGCCGAATCAAAACGAAATGTTTTAAACAAGTTAGTCAATGAGAAGGTAGGCATTAGAGTTGCAATAAGTCTTGGTTTTCTTGATTGTTTTGATTTGGATATTTTAGAACACTGTTGGATCTGATCGCCAAAGTCTAACAGAAAAGGTCGAGTCTCACAATCAGGAGGCCGAAGATCTGAAGAAGAAGATTGAGGCTCAGCCAATGACTCCTGAAGAGGCCAGCGCACTTCTGAAGAGACGTGCTCAGGTAGGGAAGGAATTTACTGGATGTGCCGGAACCACGACATTTCCGGAATTTGGACACTTCCGGAATGGCGGAATAGTGACACTTCCGGAATGGCGGAACAGTGACACTTCCGGAACCGGGGAAAAATCAAAGAAGAGGCTTAGACCTGCCATCTGAACCATCTGACTGGATTTATTGTTATTAATCTCAAAAATTTTGTTATTTTTTTTTCTGATTGTTACTTTTTTTTCTTAAGTAGTAGTGTTAAAAAGTAATATTTCGAATTTTTTTCTAAAAATACTCGATTTAGGGGTTTTCGAGGTTGCCTATTTCGAAAATCATGTTCATTTTTTTAGTTTTTGACGGTTTTTATATATTTGTTCGATATTATCCATGGCGATTTTATCTTAACTAGGACGAATTCGGCGCCGTTAAAACTGTTGAGATAAGTGAAAGACATATACGGACTGAAGCATTGAGATCTCTGAATCGTAATTTTCGAAGAGGTCGGCCATCGGATTTTGACGATCAGGCACTTCTGGCAGCCGTGGAGGACGACGAAAGAAGCTTGACAAAACACGACACGAATGCTGGCTGACCCTTTCGCAATGAAAACGATTTTCGTTATCAGCACCCTCGATCGAGCATTTTTAGAAAAAATCCGAAAAATTACTTTTTAACACTACTAGTTAATCAAAAAAGTCAAAATCATAAAAAAACGAGCATCATTTTCGAAATCAGCACCCTCGATAACCCCTAAATCGAATATTTTTGGAAAATTTTCGAAAAGTTACTTTTTAACATTACTACTTAAGAAAAAAGTAACAATCAGAAAAAATGAACCCGATATTCGAAATCAGCAACCTCGAAAACCCCTAAATCGAGTATTTTTAGAAAAAAATTGAAAAATTACTTTTTAACACTACTACTTAAGAAAAAAGTAACAATCAGAAAAAAAATAACAAAATTTTTGAGATTAATAACAATAAATCCAGTCAGATGGTTCAGATGGCAGGTCTAAGCCTCTTCTTTGATTTTTCCCCGGTTCCGGAAGTGTCACTGTTCCGCCATTCCGGAAGTGTCACTATTCCGCCATTCCGGAAGTGTCCAAATTCCGGAAATGTCCTGATGCGGATGTGCCATTTTTTGGCTCGTTTTGAATTGGCTCTAACCTCTAGGGCCAAATTTCAAGATTCTTTTTTCCTTTAATCCCCAGAATCTCCCGTTTTTTGATACCAAATATGTTATACCAATCGGCTAGACACAGTTAACATTAACAACAATAAAAAATTCTTAGTTCACATTTTTTGGTTATTAAAATGGGGTATAGATGAATCCAATTCAAAGCCTTTCGACGTTTTTGGATTTTTCATTTGGCGGAAATTACAGGCGTTAAGAAAGGATTTTTTTTACTTAATTTCGGCCGTGACCTTCGAATTTTTTTACTTTCCTTCTGTTGGCATATTTCACCGTTGTTTAGGGCTAAAACTTCGCCGCAACTCTGCGGATTTTGAAAATTTGCATATTTATGCGCTCCGGGTTCCACCTCATAGTAGACGATTTTCTTTGATGCCATACTATTCTACGCAAAATTCTACCTGTCGTGACATTTACGGAATGCGGGAAAAATCTTTTATAAATTGTTGTTTTCACGCCCTTCTTCAACTTGTTCTATATTTTTAGGTCTATAAAAACATTTGGGAGCCATATATATTTTGAGACGTATTAAAAGTGTAATTTCAAAAAATGTAGTGTAATTTTTTTTTTGTGGAAGTTTGGGGGCCATGTATATTTCGAGGTTTTTTTTGGTTTAAAGTGTAATATTAAAAAATGTAGTGTAAAAAATTTATATGAAAAATAATGTGTAAAAGTTTTAAAAAAATGTAGTGAGGATGAAAATCGAAATCTCCTCAAAAGGCTTCCAAATTTACACATATTTTTTTACGCGTTACACCCATAGGTTTCAAAATACGCGATAAGCTGAAGAAGGGAGGTGAAAACAAGAATTTATTAAACATTTATTTCCGAGTTCCGCAAATGTCGCGTTGCCAAATTCTAAGATTTCTGGATAGTGTTTGCTACACATATATTAACCGATACATTTTTTAAAGATTTTTTATTTTCACCGTGAAGATGTGGAATTTATGGATTTCTATAACACATTTAGTATCAAACAAAACGGGAGATTCTGAAGATTCAGGGAAAAAATAGTGTAAGCATTTGGCCGAAGAATAAAGAAGTTATAGCCAATTGCAACCGGAGAAAAAATGGCGTACTATGTGTTATATAACTGGTTTAGTTGCGCGAAGAGATTAACGAAAAGAAAGATGAAGCCGATGCGTTGAACAAGAAACACACCGAGAAACAGAATCAATTCCAAAAGATCAGTCAGGAAAAACAAAATCAGTTTAAGAAATTGGCTTCGGAATTGGGAGGAATGGCCAGAGAAGTAAGAGTTTCTCCGGATACCATCACGCAGTTCGAATTATCCTTATTTGGGAAGAACAGAGATCAGTTGAATACGGATGGAATGAGCGGAAATGTGGCTCATTCTTATCAAACATTGATCAGGGCCATCAGTGAAGGTATTCGGAATAAAATCACTGAACTCGGCCTGGAGAACCTGGAGAAACAGATTAATAAATGCGCAAATGACAACGAAAATATCCAGGTCAACCTGAAAATGGTAAGTATTTTCAAGAAAACTGTCGGTTACTACAGTAATACGTGAACAATAACATATTTTAGGCCAGAGAAGGATATGAATTGGACCTTGAGAGCGACAAAAGAAGAACTGGAGAGTATGAAAGATTGCTCCAAGAAAGCCGGGAACAATACGAAGCTGTCAAAACGGAGCAGAACACCTTTGATGATAATGTACGTGTCTTAGCAATAATGATTTTAGTACTGGATTAGGTGATGGAGAAGGAAAGTCGCATCAAGGGAGCCGAGAGAATCAAGAATACATTGCTTCATGAGAGAATGACAGCATCCACTGACTTGAATAAGATCGAAGAACAGAAGATACAACTGCTCGAAGAAGTTGTTCCTATTATTTGTAGGGTCCACGAAGAAATTGAAAAGCTTGGCCAAAGCAAAGCAAAATGGGAGCAGGTCGTGAAGAATCACCTGAATGGATTCAAAAAGATAGTAGAGAACATCAAGGAGATTGAGAAGGCTATTGAATCTCTAAACAAGGGCGACCCTTTTTCTGACAAAACCAATTTCTTACCATAAATGTTGGAGATGTCAGTCTAATTTATTAAAATTGTCAATATGTGTGTTCTAATCTTATATTACCGTTTTTTATAAATGATATTATGTGCAGATTGTTTGAGGTTTAACCATAAAATACAACGGAATATCAGGATGGTGACAACAAATCGGGTGAAACCGCGATTTCTTGTCTGTTGCCTCTAGACTAGAGGCAATTTCTTGCAAGAAATGTGCAATTCTTGTGTCAAATTGCGTAACATTGCGCAATATTCCGCAAATTCCTGCTCTTCCCGTCAATATTTTTTGTCTGCTCAGTCAAGCGCATTTCTTGTCTAGAGGCCCAACAGACAAGAAATCACGGTTTCTGGCCACGACACCCAATCTGATGCGTATGTCACCATCGTTATATATTCGGCTTTCAATTTGTTATTGCAGGAGCGGATTGGGGAGGTTTTAGAGCATGTTGTTCCTTCAAAAGCGGGCTGACTTTCAGAGGACTGGAGCCTGGGGTCATTGATCCTCGTCGTCTTGGAGATAAGGGGCATCGGGGGGTTGGGCTTGGGCATCGGAACGGTAAGTCATGTTGAAGGAACATTGTCGAACGTCTGAGGCTGACCGGAGCTCCATATTGCTTCTTCGCTGATCGTAGTCGATCGATCAGGGCTGCGACCATCAATGTCCAAGCTCGACACGCTTCTGGGAAAGCGCGCACACAATCCTGCAATAATACGTAACCTTTTCTGATGTCACAACTACCTGCACAACAATGGCGTCGACCAATATTACGCCCAGGGTGTCCCACATCTGCGCTTTGAAGCCGATCTTTTTCATGTGGTAGTGATAGGCACCTGAGGATTGGTGTTATAATCGAATGCGCACTTACCAATCTTGTCAATGTGTTCGAAAATGTCCGTGGTCGGTTTCTCCAACGAATGGATGACCTGGGATATCAATGATACGAAGAAATGGATGTGATCTCGGAGAGTGGCAATCGACTTGTCGGAATGCCTTCGGCCATGAGTGTCAGCCATCGAATCAACGAAAGCTGCTTGATAGAAGACTTCCTTGATGTGTTTATCCTTCTAGAATCAGATTAGGTGAGTCTATAAGCTGCTTCTGGATTCTATAAATAACCTCCTTCCGGTTACACAATGTTGTTTTCTTTCTTTTTGATCGTCTTTCGGAAAGAATAAAAAAGATGTATGAAAACATTCCAATTGTAAAAGGGGGTCCCTTCTTCGTAGGTGATGGTGAAACATAGATAAGGGGACTTACGGACTCAAATTTCTCGAAAACCCGTTCCATAATCCCGAGAATGCCACGACAATTGGCACGTGGAACGTCACATAACCGATCCCATGTTATCTTCAGGGCCCGGATGTAGTCGGGCTTTAGACTCCATGCTACAGCCTAAAGAGAGCGATAATTAATGAATGCGGTGTGTTTACAAATGAAGGTTTCCTAGTTACAATGGATAAACCGAGACATACCAAAGTAAATCTGATGACGGGGACAGACCCGGCTCGTTTCCTTCCCAACGGCGGTGTTCCAGCTAAAGGGACAGTCAAGAAGTTGTTATTCCCGTTGGATGATGACTTGGCCTTATCGCTGCCAATGATCGGCCCGGCACTTCCTCTTCTTTGCGTGTTCTTTTGGGGACTTTGCTATAATACAGTTTATATTTGACTAGAATTAACGCAAATATTTGTAATAGGTTGACAAAAAGATGACAGAAAGAGTAAAACATGTCGGTGTTAATATCGAAATAAAACGTATGGAAACGTTGAAAAAAATTTCTTCACTACCTTGCTGAAATCGTCAAGTGTGAGACATGACAAGGAGAATTTGCGCCTAAAGAACATCGACTTTCGGGCCGAATGAACTCACAGTTGTCCGACGAACACGACGCGGTGAGCCGGTCAAATTGGGATTAATTTGTGGGATCCGCTTCTTGGTGTATCTGACGTGAGCTGCGGCACCGGCCAACATGGCGCTGAAGAGATAAAGAGATATAAAGGGCCCGCTACGCGTCTCCTCCCCGCAAATCCTGCAGATACCACGGTATTCTGGGGGGAATTGGGTCATCGTTTTTGGAAACTTCCGCGTAATGAATAGCTGTCCGGACAGCTGTTTCAAAACTTATGATTTCCCTCAAGGAAACCTCAAAAGTGATAAAGTTAGCACTCTAAAATGTTGCATTGTAGGAGAAAGGACTGTCGGGATTGGACACTGACCGGATCCGGATCTTTTCCACTTCAGATCCCATAATAAACTTATGGATGGACCGAAAGACACCCGCCCGCTCCAACTTTCCTTGGGGATTCGTTGGCCGATGCGGCCAGCGGGGCAACTTAGGGGTCTTATCATGACAATAGAGCGGTGGGGGGAGATTGGAAAAGTGTCGAAAAGTGACATTCCCCATCAATGTCAGAACTTGTGGCTTCGAAATAAAATATTGGACGTCCTGAAGAATCGAGTTCTTCTCATCCATAAGGTTTCTTATGATTTATGTAGGCGGAAGTGGGAATTTACATATCAGACATTGAGGGAGAGTGACATCAACGGAACCCGAAATACATTTTGGTTTAATAAAACTGGACTTCGAACCTTTTGCTCGCTGACGAAATGGCCTCAAAATTTATGGGGATTTATATAAGTTACCAAACAATAGAAAAAACAGCCGGGAGATGCGTGCTTTGCTTATTCTTGCAGGCATCGAAGGGCTCGAAATCAGATTACAGAATAATGTTCTTAACCTTGAGATCCCTAAAAGTCTAAACGGATTTGAAACGGAAATGTGGGCCAAACACATCCCGATGACAGATTGAAAACCCGTGGATTACTTAGTCTAATGTGGTACCACTTACAATTTATGGGGAGTAAATTTGAAGGAACCCAAAAATAATATACATATTACATACTGTATAGCAAATTTACTATACTAAAATAACTTTACAAATATTTCCAAAGAACCGCCCGGCTTTTTATTATGAGGCCCTGAGGGCTGACATTCCGAGTGATCCCATAAACATAAATCTTATTCGAATACTCACCCAATGAATGCCATGTTCGTAGAGTTGAAAACAAACGCCGAATTGCTACAAAATCTAAGGGATTAAACGTAGATTTATGTCTCAACTGTAGTTTTACCACTTTTGACGCCAAGAAAATAGCTTTAACTGAAAGTTCAAAGCATTTTTTCCGTAATTCAAAAGAATTTTTGATGAATTTGAATAAATTTACAGTTTTGACGACCTTTTCGACGATCTCAAGTCCAATATGAACAAAAAAGGTCTGCTGTTTAACATTATTTATAATGTTTGTGGACTTTGTGACATTAATCACCGATTTGTTTCATTAACCTCTTTGATAACCAATTTTTATCAATTATAATGTAATGTCACATGGTGCATAATAAAACTCAAAGATTCCTTCTGCAATTACTACTATCAACAAAACAAATACATCGGCCATCTGTTTGTTTAGAACTTTTATCATTCCCATTGATGATGTGGTGGCCACTCCTGATTTTGGTTTTTGTTCCGTCAATTTTTGCGGATTTTCGGATAAATTGTGACAAAAATATATTTGAATTAGATGGGAAACCGTTTCAATATATTGCTGGAGAGTTACATTACTTCCGAATTCCGTATGAACTATGGAGGGATCGGCTGCAGAGAGTGAGGGCCATGGGAATAAATGTGGCCCAGATCTATGTGGCCTGGAACTTTCATGAAGAAACGCCTGGAGTGTAAGTTGATTTTGAAGGATTCACGTACAATCGGCGGATTATCAACAGTCAATTTTGATTCAATATTTGCAGTTTTAACTTCGACTACGACCGAAATGTAACTGAATTTATAAAAATTGCTCAAGAACTCGGGTTGTATGTGAACCTCCGCATAGGCCCTTATATCTGCGCGGAGTGGACTCATGGTGGATTACCTTGGTGGCTGCTAAAATATGATGACATTAAACTCAGAACAAATGAAGGGCCGTAAGTTTAATCAAATATAGTCATCATTTTTTGTAGATATTGGGAACATGCGAAGCGATGGATAAAAAGAATCTCCGAAGAAGTCAAAGGACTACAGTATCCCAATGGTCCCGTTCTTTTAATTCAATTAGAAAATGAATATGGGAGTTATGTGGGAGATAGGAAATACATGGATGAGCTTGTCGCTTATGCAAAACACTGCGGATTGACCAAAGTCCCCCTCTTTACAACTGATGGACCTGGAGATGGATTTTTGAAGAATGGAGTGGCCAAAGGGGCCTTTCCTACCATAGATTTCGGAGCCGTCGGATCATTTGATTCTGTGAAAAACTACTTCGAAGCACAGAGAAGGTTCAGCAAATGTGGTGAGTTTCATTGAAGTAAAGAAGATTCAATTTTAAATTGTACTGTATTTCACATTATAGGCCCTTATGTGAACTCTGAATTCTACCCTGGCTGGTTCGCAGGCTGGCTTTCCCCGAAACCTGTTTATTCATCTATTCATGGCATTGTCAGTACGATGCAATGGATGCGAGATTTGAATGCCTCGTTTTCATTTTATATGATCCATGGAGGAACAAATTGGGGATTCACAAGTGGGGCAGAGACCGATGCATATATTGCAACCACTTACGATTATGGGGCTCCCATTGATGAGGCTGGCCAGCTCACTGAGAAGTACCTCAGGGTACGGGAATTCATTGGAAATCTGTCGGATCCGTTGTTAAAACCACTGCCGGTACCTGAAAATCATACGTACGTAGTTTTTAAAAGACTTTTTGTTATATACATAAAAGTTGGATGTTTATTTGCTGTTTATTTATTTTCAATCCCGTTTTAAGGGCGTTTGAGGTCAAAGATCTTGAATTGAATCGCCTTGACTACAGTTTACCCGACTTTTTCATGAAATTCGGAACCAGCAAATGTGAGAAAACGGATGAACCCCAGAATTTTGAAAAGTTTGGGCAAGGCGAGGGCTACGCCATTTATTATCACGACCTTATCAAGATCCCCAAGGAAATTCACATCGAAACTTTTCGAAATTTAATCTATTTTTTCATCGATGATGAGTATCAAGTAAGAAGACCGATACGTATTTACTGTATTTTAGGGATTTATTGGACCTTGTTGCATGGAAAGATGTCACAATAAGACCATACAATTGAAATCGATCAACAAATCCAAGGGCAGATTGTATTTGATCGCTGAGAACCTGGGGCGTCTCAATTTCAGACGTGGAATTGATACTAAAGTAAGGCCTTACTTATAAGGTGCCACTCGCGCTCAAAATTTCGGACCACTTGCACTGCGCATTTTTCTTTGTTTTTTTCGCTTTTGTTGCAGTGATTTCTCGTTTTTACACAAGACATGCACTTTCCGCGCGGTGAATCCAAATTTCACGCGCGACGTCGGCTAAAAAGAGCTGAGCGCGAGCAGTATTTAACGATTAATGGACACTTTTTAGGGAGTATTGTCACCTGTTCTTGGAGATGGAGAGCCAATAAAAGATTGGTATCAATGCCAGACGAAAAAAATTGGCGGAATTAAACCCAAGAAAAACCTAAAATACGCAAAAAATGATGCTCCGAATGCCCCAGGGATTTATGTCGGCAAAATTTCGCTTAATGAAACGGACAATCGGCCCGGTACTTTTACATATTTTGACTCTAAAAGCATCGGAAAGGGTCAATTAGTGGTGAATGACATCAATATTGGAAGAGCATGGCCGGAGGCGGGACCTTTGGTAAGGAATTATAATGCAACGCATTGGGAAATATATGATAGAAAAATGTATTGCACCGCACTTCAGAGCACATTATACTTGCCCGGAGCTTATCTGCATCTCCAAGGATCCAATGTATTTGCTTATATTTCATTTGCCCCCAATCCAAGCACAATTAAATTTGATTTGGTCAAGGAACATCGATGGTACCCTGTTCCGAAAAACCAACTTTACGCCAAGAAACCACGTGTTTGGGATCGCTGGTAATCTTGTCTATTATGTTTCCTTTATTTCATTTTCTTTGCAAATAAAATTGAAAGTTGTTGGATCAATCGAGCTTCTAATGTAACCCTGCATCAACCCCAGAGAACTGAGAAACGTCGCAAACACTATTTGATTTATCATTCAGAGACTTCTGAATGTCGGATTTGTGAGGATATTAGGAAGCGACAAATAAATTGACCATTTATAGTTTGTTCTACTAGTCCTTCCGGAAAGTCGCCGGACGGAAATTGGCGACATGCACTGTGCGAAAAAACTCAGGGTGCGAGCGACAGCTCGAAAAAGCTTATTGCACAGTGCAAAAAGCCAAAAATTGCACAGTGCAAAGTGAACTTTCGATTTCGCAGAGTGCATGTCGCCGATTTCCGTCCGGCGACTTTCCGGAAGGACTAGTAGATGCAAAATCTTGTGATGACATACGCTTAGTTAGTGAATACGTAAAACCATCAAGTCCAAAAAGGGGATTTTACAATACACATCATTCCGAACTTTTTTTGTGAGCAAAATCCGGTGTCAAAAAAGCGAATTTTTTTGTAATGATTTTTTTAACAGCTAGAGGCGCCTCAGACAAGGCGTAATAAAGTGCGGAAAAATATCAGAGCGATAAAACACATGTCGCTCTCTGAGATTATGCAAATTTTAAGGATTTTAACGGCTTACAACGGCCGGGAAAAATGATTTAAAAAATGGTATTTCTTACTTTTGATGCCTCAGAACTGCACTTTACCGTACACTTTTGAAAAAACGAAAGTTCCTATTTTGTAGGAAATTTGATGCTGTATAACATAGTTGGGAATTATGTCATTCCCTCCCATGGTTCCTTTTTTCTATGGCTAAAGACCCCACTTTTCGGCACAAAATCGCGGTTTTTTTGCCTAAAGTGCAAAAATCGAAAATTTTTTTGCAACATATTCTTCTTCTCCCTATCAAGGAGTAGTGTACCAAAAATTTTGTTTCATGCCTTTCAGGTTGTTCTGAATTAGGGGATTTCGTTCTCAGACGTGAAATGGAGAAAGTTTTGATCACAACTCAACTCATGGCGTTAAATAGATGCTTGTTGATAAAAAGTTGTCATCCGGCTTGTACAATAATAAACTGTAATTGTCATCTTGACCATCGGTTTGCTTGTCGCAACGAGAATACGAAATTTCCAAATTCAGAACAACCTGAAAGGCATGAAACAAAATTTTTGGTACACTACTCCTTGATAGGGAGAAGAAGAATATGTTGCAAAAAATTTTTCGATTTTTGCACTTTAGGCAAAAAAAACCGCGATTTTGTGCCGAAAAGTGGGGTCTTTAGCCATAGAAGAACGGAACCATGGGAGGGAATGACATAATTCCCAACTATGTTATACAGCATCAAATTTCCTACAAAATAGGAACTTTCGTTTTTTCAAAAGTGTACGGTAAAGTGCAGTTCTGAGGCATCAAAAGTAAGAAATACCATTTTTTAACGAGGAAAGTACTTCTATGGGGTATGGACTTACAGGTCGAGTCATATATCAAAAAATTCGCAAAATTTTTCTGATCAGAATATGTAAAAATTAGCTGCCTAATTTTGGTTTGTAAGGGTGAAAAAATCCTCAGAACATTTCTCGCAACACCATGAAAATGCGCCTTTTTTACATTGGAAACACTAATTAAGGTGTAGTATAAATTAAATTTGATATTTTGAGGCTTGTAAAGATACCAGAGTTTACTTTAACTTAAAAAAAAGCTTTTGATTTGGTAAACACTTGGTCAAAAAGGCATTTGCATGGAGTTTCGAGAAAAGTTCCGAGGGTTTTTTCACCCTTACAAAACAAAATTAGGCAGCTAATTTTTACATATTCTGAATCAGAAAAATTTTGCGAATTTTTTGATATACAGGGTGTACCAAAAAAATGGAAACTTTTTTTATTTGTCCTGACGCGAAAATGGTTAGGTGTAGCCAAAGAAGTTTATTACCACAAAATTCTCTGCGTTTTTCTGTCCTAGTGTTTTGATTTTTACGCCCATATCGATTAATCGACCTGTCTTTTTTGAACTTCAAACAAGGGGACCTCGATTTTGGACTTGTTTTTGGAGCTGTTCGAAAAGTTAATTTGCTCGGTATAGAAAGAACGTTGTGTCGAAAGTAATCACGAGGCCCAAGGAGCTTGATACGGATAGTAAGCGCCCAGGAAGTGAAAGAAAACGCACCGCCAGCGCTTCTTTCAACCGAAAGATCCCCCACAGCAAAATCCGCGATTTTCAAGAAAAACTAGCCCTTGAGACTGACATCAGCGACCGATCGCTCGGCCGAATAGTCAAAGGCGAGCTCAACCTCATGTCATACAAGCTCTAAAAAATTCAGATCTTTAAAGTCGAGAGAAAGTGCATACAGCGCAAAAATGTCGGAAAGTCAAACGGGTGGGCCGCAGCTCCGAGACGTGAGCGCATTCAGTTCGCCGTTTAATATTTAGCGGATCTACAACCACCAGAACGATAGAATCTGCTTCAGTGAGGCTCCTAGCCTGTTGGCCATCGTCAAATAACACCAAAATCCGGGTCGTCATTGCTTAAGGCGGAATTTGTGCCAGCGGCAAGAATTCCATGTTTTTCGTGAATAAATGGGACAAAATACTAGCGCCGCGTTAATTTCTATTTTGTCGTGCTTCCGTGAGCTCAGCAGAACCTTGGCAATGCAAAGTTGGGGTTTCAACAGGGCTCAGCGCCGGCTCACAAGGCAACATCGACTCAGGACCCGAAATGGGACCGATTTTCCCGATTTTGTCCCGCCTGCGAAATGGCCGCCTGCTCGCCAGATCTGAATCCAATGGACTATATATTTTTTTAAATAGAAGGCCAGCACCTGTACTATGCTCCACAAAAGTTTGGAGCCGCAACGTAAATGATGCGCCAAGAACGGGACCGATTTCCCCCATAAAAAGCTGCGGCCCGGACCCCAAAATTTTACGTCACGTTTGGAGCTCTATATCGCCACCAAAGGCAGCCACTGTGAAACAGATTGAATATGTTATAAACAATGCTCCATGTTACTAATCATAACCGTTACTTTTGCTGAATTTTGATTCTCCGAAAAAATATAGCTATAAAAACAAGTTTCCATTTTTTTGGTACACCCTGTATAAAGCGGGAGATAAAAGATTTTCTGAAAAATTTTTGAAATTTTTCTGTTTTTACTTTTTTTTTTAAAACAAAGTAAATTTTGAAAAATTTCCGGAAATTTTCGATTTCGGAGAGTCAAAAAACATTCTTACTCCGAACGACAAATTTTTGGAAAGTTGGATCAAAAATGGCTCGCCAAAAGGTCGATCCGCAAAGTTGAAACAAAAATTTTCTCGCCCATTTTGGCTGGTGAGTAGGATGCCGTTTTTACTCACCTGCACGCCAATTTATTTTCTTCAAGTACGCACTTCTGGAAGCCTAGCAATACACTTGGCCAAATACAGATTATTTCCCGTCGGGACCCGTGAAATATGAATTTTTTCCCACGACCCCCATCGAATTTTTTTTTTTGCTGGCGAGAATCGCGAGAATGTTTTACGGGGACTAGCTGGTTGCATTTTTTTATTATACTTGATGAAGCTTTGACTAATTTTCTCCGTCCCGCTGGTGAGATGCGCGTTTTTATTGAACCCCACCCAGTGCAAGATCCCCAACTTGTTCCTAAACAGACTAAAGGATGGCAGATACATCAAAGTGAGTTCCGTTTCTCTTTGTTTTGTTAGTTTTAGGTAAAAAAGCTTAGCTGGAAACAATAGGATGCGTTTTGTATTATACTGAAGTTGCGACCAATTTTTTAGGGTATCTTCACTGTTCTCGACCCAAAGCTCCGTGACGTTTTGGAACGCATAGAGATCTGTCCTCACCGTGGTCTCCGTCACTATTGGGGTCTTCATGTTCACGGTCAGCACACCAAGAACGTCGGCTGTAAGGGACGTACTGTCTGTCGGTGTATCCAAGAAGAAGGGAGGATAGGCCGACCTGGCGCCGTTTTCATTGGTTTCCCATCTTTAAGTTATCCTTTATGTTGTTCATGTTAATGAGAAGGAGAAAAATAAACTTATTATTATATTATTCCTGTTGAATCTTTTAGGAAGTAATAATCTATTCTTTTTTTTGAAGGTTTTTGTTTAGAATAGGTAATAAAAGGTAATGAATATATGTCAAACATGTGCAGGTTATTAAAGATGAATGTTAGTTATAGCGATCATAACGTCTCTCTCAGTGTCAATGTTGCTACTCCTTCCGGAAAGTCGCCGGACCAATTTTTGGCGCTTGAACTGTGCGAAAAAGGTGTCCGAGCGACAGCCCGAAAAAGCCTTGCACGGTGCAAAAGGAAAGAAATTGCACAGGTGCAAAGGAAAGTTTTGTCTTCGCACAGTGCGTGTCACCGATTTCAGTCTGGCGACCTTCCGGAAGGACTTGTAATAATGAACTGTTATTAATCCTGAAATCATGCCGGCACCTCGAAAATGTTTTACACGCAGTAAGGAAAAGCCGTGAAAAAATATTGCCGAAAAACTATTCTCGCCAGCAAAAAAAAATTCGAGGGGGGTCGTGGGAAAAAATTCATATTTCACGGGTCCCGACGGGAAATAATCTGTATTTGGCCAAGTGTATTGCTAGGCTTCCAGAAGTGCGTACTTTCAAAACTATTTTTGCGAGCTGCGCCCGGGAATTTCAGATGTGTCAAATTTCTCTCTCCCGGAAGAAACACAACGTTTAGACAGGGGTGGTCAGCAGACCGTATTTTTCCGATTTTCGGCCCGCGGCCCGGCCCGTCTAATCACCGGCCCGGCCCGGCCCGTCTAGTCTTTTTCCAGGCCCGGCCCGGCCCGTGACGGGCCTGGCCCGGCCCACTGCAGGATGAGCCAAGTCTTTCTCCTTGGATGGTCAACTCTTCCTCTCAAAATTTTTTTTTGTCAAGATTACAGGGTGGCCCAAAAAAATGGAAACTTTTTTCCATGGGTCCTGCCGCGAAAACCTTAAGGTGCAGACAAATAATTTTTCCACCGTTAAATTCTCCGTATTTTTTAGCCCTAGGTGTTTTATTTTCATGCCCATATCGGTTGGTTAACATGTTTTTTATGGATGTCAAACAAAGGGACCTCGATTTCCGACCTGTTTCGGCAAGAAAAAGGACCGTGTGAGGTTGATAAATTGCTCGGTGTGGCAAAAACGGTTATGCCAAAAGCCACCAAACGACTCAACGGAATAGTCCGCAATGGTACGCGTTCGGGAAGTCGAAAAAAGTGCACCTTGAATGCTTCTGACAACCTTGAGGTCATCAAAAAGCGAGTGAAGCAAAATCTGATGGTGTCCATGAAAAATATTGCGCGAGAGGCCGTTATCAACATAACAGCTATCTGCCAAATGGCCTTAGATGTACAACAGCTCAAGCCTTATAGGCTCCAAAAAGTTCAGCGCCCTGCGGAAGACCACAAGTTAGTACGGCTCAAAAGACGTCAAAAACTCAGGCGCCGCGCCGCTGCTCGGCGATGAGAAGAGATCCTGTTCATGGATGAGACGTAGCTCAACATTGAGCAGGTCCACAAACACCAGAATGACAGGAGTTAGACTGTTGAGCGTCATCAAGCACCCGCCATCTTCGAACCCTGTCAAAACTTCTTCCGTCATGGCCTGGTGCAAGATTTTGCGCCAGAGGCAAGATATCCCCGGTTTTCGTGGTTAAAGATGTCAAAACCTACCGAAACGTCAACCATCGGTATTCTGGTGGTAGTGGTGCTTCCGCGGGCTCAGTAGCAATTTGTGGATAGAAAATTAACGTTCTCATAAGATTCAGCCCCGGCCGAGAAAGAAAAAAGCGCACGAGGCCAGGAATCGGCTGATTTTGCTACGTCTGCAAAATTGCCGCCTATTCGCCGGATCTAGATCGTACAAACTAAATTTTTTTTTCAATTAGAGGCGAACGCCTGTACTATACGCCACAAAAGTTTGGGACCGCTAAATAATCGCTGAGCCAAGAACGAGACCGATTTCCCGAAAAAAAGCTGCGGCGTACCGCCCAAAATTTAAAGTCACGTTTGGCGCTCTATATCGCCGCCAACGGCAGATATTTCGAAAATGGTCGAACATGTTATTAACAATGTTCCATGTTACTGATATTAATCATTACTTTGGCTAAATTTGGATAGTTAACTGAAATATGACTATAAATATGAGTTTCCATTTTTTTGGGCCACCCTGTAATATAAACTTCTTTATGTTTTAATCTGCATATTTCGACAGGACAATAACCCCATAAGTAAGTTAAATTATCCCTCTTACTGACTCTGCAACAATTTTTTGCATTACATAAGTTTATCCTTGCGTATTTAGACATTGTATTAGGTATATAAATTTAGCTGAATGCGGTTCGTTCTTGCGATTCCATGAACGAAATTTGAAAGTCCTTCCCACAAAAGAACCGGCGTCGAGCCTTCTTGGTGCCAGAATTGTTTCAGCGTGAAAGGACTTACAGTTTTTTTGTTGATTCGATTTACGATATTACACTAGGTACTTTTATCAAGTTGCAGGCAAAATCTAACGTTTTTGACGTTTAAACCCGGAAAACTACAAAGCTGAGCCATTACTAAACCGTCCCCAACATAAATATTCTTTCAAACCCGGGTTTGAGATGTCTTAGGGTCTAAGTGATCAAGTACAACGTGGATCTAAAAAAGTCTCAAATACCTCTCATTCTGTTCTAAACATTTTTTAGATCGACCAGGGACCTTTTAAATATGGTTTGCGAAGTATTAATACGCATCTATGGCCGCGGATACATCAAAATTGTTCTATACCTAAAATCTGAAAAAAAATCAAAAACGACAATAAAAGGGGGGAAATCACTGTTACGACGTTAAGAATGCTAAGATAAAGTTTTATTGTCCATTTAGACCTTACATGACGTAAAACGTGACCTAATCTCGCCTTAAACTTACAAAAGTACCTAGTGTAATATCGAAAATCGAATCAACAAAAAAACTGTAAGTCCTTTCATGCTGAAACAATTCTGGCACCAACAAGGCTCGACGCTGGTACTTTTGTGGGGAAGACTTTCAAATTTCGTTCATGGAATCGCAAGAACGAACAGAAGTCAGCTAAATTTGTATACCTACAACAATGGCTAAATGCGCAAGGATAAACTTATGTAATGCAAAAAATCACTGCATATATAGAAAGAGGGTTAATTTAACTTACTTTTGGAGTTATTGTCCTGTCGATGTATGTAGTTTGAAACATAAAGAAATTTATATTAATCTTGACAAAAAAAAAATTTGAGAGGAAGAGTTGACCATCCAAGGAGAAAGACTTGGCTCATCCTGCAGTGCGGCCCGGCCCGTGCAGGCCCGTCTATAGAGGGTTCTGCGAACTGCGCCCAGGCTCGGGATCTAAACTGAGGCAAAAAAGGCGTTGATCTAGCTAGTAAAGGATCAATGTGATAGTTTTGTGGTTCTATAATGGAACTATAGACTTGTAAACGTGTTAGAACTTGAGAAACAGCAACTATAACAACATCAATTAATTTTCCCGGCGCGAAAACAATGAATGCCAACGGTTTGGCATGTATTTTAGACGGGCCGGGCCGGAAAAAACCCCAGGCCCGCGGCCCGGCCCGGCCCGTGACGGGCCCGGCCCGTTTGTCAATTTCCATTTTTGAGGCCGGCCGGCCCGTTTGGGCCGGGCCGGGCCGGCCCGGCCCGGGCCGCCGACCACCCCTGCGTTTAGACTCTACTAGAAAAGCGGAAGTCGAGCTAAAATTGCGCCATTATCGATCGAATTTTTGTGACACTTCGCTCCAAAAAGGTGGTCTTAAAGATACGATATTTTCACCCGGTCATCCAAAATTGAGCGACTTGATAATGGTGAATTGGAAAGAGTAGACAGTTATCTCTCTGTTAGAGGTTCAGAAATTTGTATGTGTTATTCAGTCTTTGAGATATTCGACTTCAAACTTCCCAAAATTGAGAACTTTGCAATCGCCTAGCGGGCGACGTTTAGTCACGAATCCTACAAAAATGGTCGATCAGCACTACAACATCATTCTCAATCATCATGCAAAGTTTCAGAACTTTTTCTGGCTCGAAACTCGACTTATTGAGACATCTTTCCTGCTATTATAATGATTGAAATCGTTGCCCGGGCTTTTCGCAAAATGACAAAATCCTTGGCATTCCGCAACTAGAGATATTTTAATTATCAAACTCATCAAGCATGGTGTTTTTGAAAGACAAACCAGACCTACTATAACAAGAAAAATTCACTGATAGGGTCTATAGCTTTTTTCTGTCAAGATTTTGTTCAATACTGGGCTAAATTACAATTTTTGTAATTTCTCGAAGAAGCCAAAAAACATTATTTCAAAAAATCAATGCTACAACGAACCGAGAAGTGATATTACACCATGAAATGGACATCACGCTTTTTGTAACATTAGCTACCTTATTTTTCTCTTCCTTGCAGATAAATTTATTACAGTAAAATTCGATGCATGACCATTGTAAAAAATACTTATCGTAAGGTTCATCAATCTTATAGGACGAAGAAACATTATGTCCGTGGGTGATACACGTTTATTGGATAGAACAACACGTCAAGGAGAACTAAAGTATAAGGTCTAGACTGTTCTCAGGATGAGAACGAGTGATTGTCAAGTTAAATGGGACATTGAGCTAAATAAAGAATTGACGGACTATCTCCGTGCAGTTTACAAATTTGGAAAGAAAACTGTTGATCGTTCTTTCAGAGAAGATTGAAATCAGAGTTTCATTACACTTGTTCTCATAGTGTATAAAAGAAATGGAATCTCCACTATAATCAGGCAATGCACATCAGTTCTAAACAAGGCAATGTGATGAGAGTATTTCAAACATTCACGAAGATGCTATCTTAGTCGTCTGATTAATCTGAGAGTTAACGAACTTAATCAGATTAGAGTTACTGTGGTCTCCACGAGATGTAGATACCAATGGGAGTGATTGGAGGCTGACTTCCTGTTTCCTGCGGGCATTTTCCTCCTCAAATTCTTCTCTTTTTTGTGGGAATCACGGCGGGATCTTCTTCATCTATAAAAGGGATGTTCGAATCCCGTTAAGCAGGTTACTTTACTCGTTATCAAGGCGCCGCCACATCTGGAAAATCTATTTTGGAAGTTTCATATTCTGTTTCGCACGTTTCAAATGCCCGTCATTAGACTATTGTTTTACTCGTTTCTTAACTATTCGTAATTATTTTTTGTAATTTCAGAAGATGAAATTCCTAATTTTGTTGTTCTCCATGTTTGCCATTGTCCTTTCCCAGGCTCCGTTTTCCGAACTGACGGATCAAATGCACCTTGAAAGACTGTTCGAACCTTATACTTATCAACGTATCAACTATGATCTAAGCAGGTTCGCGTACAACGCTCAATACCCCAACAATAACTACAACAAGGTGGATGGATGGCAACCAGCCAGTTGGACTGACATCTTCGGCCCTCGCAAGGGAAAGTAGACACTGTTCTTACTATTTATTCTAGTTATCAAAGTTATAAATAAATAATATTGTTTTGATTGCCTCAACTTATTTTTTTTATTTTTGCCGAGCTGCGCCCTATTAATGTATTTTTTTATACGATGAGAAGGCCTCCAGCTATTTGTAACAGGGAGAGTTGAGTCTGCCGGGAACTCTAAGTAACAAATAAATAGAATTTAAATTCAAAGCAAAGAATCTCTTGCCAAACTTTACTCAAACATTCATTTACAATATGTACAACACTAAACAACCTCAGCCTGTATTCATCTACTTTCTTCCGTATCTGCGAGATCCGAAGATGTCGTCCCAAGTGGCTGGTTGCCATCCATCGACACGGTGGTAGTTGTTGTTGGGGTATCTGGCATTGTAGGCCATTCTGGAGGCATCGTAGTTCATACGCTGATAGGTGTAGGGCTCGAAGACACGCTCCAAATGCATCTGATCCATGGGGTTTTGTTGAGCGAAGACGGCGACGAGAAGAGCGACGAAGATGGCCAAGAATTTCATTATTGGTTCTGAAGAGAAGACAGTAATTAAAATGAAAACAAAGACAAGAAACGTAGAGTAAGACGACAGTAATCACATACTGTAATACCATCGGGACACTTACCAATGGATGATGAGAAATCGAATGATCTGATTGGAACCGCGGCCTCGACGCCTTAAATACGACCTCAAAACAAAACAAGTGTTTCCTTAAAGTGAAACTAATCCGATCACCTATACAAAAAAACATTTTTTATCACTTTCTTATCACTTGTCAGGTTCCAGCGATCGCATTGTTTGTCGCTTTTTGATGAAAATTATGTTAAAAATGCACCGCGGATTCCTCCGAGCAAAACAAAAAGGTATTCGCGTTCGAAGGTCACTTTTAACCACTTTTTATGGTCGTATTCGAGGATTCCGACGCAAGAGACGATTGATAAAATTTGCGACCTCCAAGTGTAAGAGTTCAGGGGAGTATATTCGGATCAATTTAGAGTAATTGAAGAGTAATTGGGCTTAAAACTTACTAAAAGTTTGCTAAATTAACGATTAAGAAAGCTCCTCGTGCCCAAGGTTGTTGATCAAAGATAAATGATTCCTAGGGGTTAAGAATTGGTTTTTTTGGTAGTGCATTCAGCGATTACGACCCACTGTTTGAAAAAACGGGCTAATTTAAGATCTATAAGAGCTAGCCAAAGGGCTTAAATGATCTGTAGGTCTAGAAGAGAGTTGTCTGGTTGGCCAGTAAGTTGCATTCTTAGCCGTAAGTCAAAATGGCAAGCAATTCGGCTAGCCATATGCCTTGGTGGTGCTGATATTATAAATAGTGTCTGTCGCAGTGCTCTCAATGAATTATCACCTCTTAATCCAATCATGAAACCTTTTCTCTTCCCCATCTTTGACACTTCATTTTTTTCGCGTTCTATTGCAGCAACAGACAAGCATTCATTTACTTATTCAGTTTAATCATTAACCTTTTAACTTTTCGTAAACTCGTTCAGCGCGTAAAAAACGAATCCTCAGACACGGTGAAGAAGAGGCGTCTGTCTGTTCGCACGTTTCATTGGATTTGCGGGATGGGCGTTGTAAAATACCGGTTGCGTCATCTACTTTAATGCATTTAGATTGTGACGCAACATGACGTAATTAAATCCAAACTCAATGTTAAAACTGTTCCCCAAGCCGTCGTCTACAACAATATATACCGATCACAAGTCTTTTATCAAATTTTTATTTTTTTTAATATACAATGGTGGTTGGCACGGGTGATTGATACAACATAAGGAGAAAGCTCGAATCATAAATAAAGTAAGAATATGCTAATTTAATTACCTCCGATGACTCGGATATAAATCATTTTGGCTAATATAAACAGACTAGACTTCAAAGTCAGGGACATATTTCTTGGCAGGCTGCGCGGAACCTTGTTGGTCTTCATCATCATCCTCATCAAAGCCCGGGGATCTTGAGCGATATTTGACCCGTGCCGAGGATGTGTCCATGGGTTGGTCGACTCGGGGAGGAGATGCTAAACAATAATTGAGTATACAGGTTTTAAAATAGGAGATCGTGCTTAGTGAATTAAATCTTACGCTTTCTTGGCATGGGAGCTGAATTGACATTCGACCGGTCGATAATCTCGCCTTGGCCAGCCTGTTCTCTCTCCTCTTCCCGTTGTCTCTCCTTCGCCTTTTGTTTCTCGTTCTGATCGAAATACCAGATAGTAACAGCATATCTAAACAACTATATCAATCAAATCAATCCCTTACCGATGTCTGAAGACAGGTAACACTTCATGGGGATTTCTCCTGTCCGACCAGAAGAAGACCAGCCGATCCGCCTGAGGGTCAATGTCCATGGGAACGCGCGAGGTCTCTGGATACAATCTGAGAGTACCACCATGCTCAGAGAGGATCCAATCGTCATTGCAATAGTAGATGGAGGTGATGCACCGTCCATCCTTGATGGGGTTATCTACATGTTTCACATATCGAGTGCCATTACCCGGATAGCATGCAATCATGGCTCTCGATCTACCCGCAATCTGATATGGGGGGATTCGGTTTTGGAAATGTACAATCACAGAATCGATCATCGACACCAGCAACCGAATGGTGACCGCATCCCGGGCCTTGCTTTCCGACGAATCAAACCAGTATATCTAAAAGAAAATCCATAAGTATCTCAAATGTAAACACATAACGTAACAGTATTCGATACGTACCTTATCACTTCTAATATCCTTGGTTGGCAAAACTTGAGGGTCCTTGGCCTCCATGAGTTGTCCTTCTTTGAAAACTCCTCGATTATAGAGCTGTTCGATCTCCTTATACGTGTATTGACAATGCGTTTTTCCCATAAAGTTATCGACCACGGCCCATCCATATTCATTCAGAGATCGTATCACATGCTCCGCGATATACTTAAAAAAAATTTTTTTTTGTCTACTACCCAATCCGCATGTGTGAATTTCAAAATAATGAATACTTACCCGAAGCCGAAACGCAATTGCCTTGTGCTTATTTAAGGCCAATCCAGACGCTGCCAAAGACTTCATATGATCTTGTAATGTGGTCTATAAAACTGCATAAGAATCACGATATTACAATATACCTTAAAAAGGAGATTTTTGGAGTGGTCTTTGTATGGCTTGCCCTGAGGGTTGAGGGTATTCTCGTCACTCATTCGGCGCTTCTGCACCTTCCTTGGCGAAGAATCGGTCTCAATAATGTTGATATCAGGATCATCCGTTTCGATCAAACGTTCTTGTCCCAATCCATTCGAGCTGCACGAAACATCCGAAAACCCTGCAAAGAGCTTATTGTCAACAACTCCGGGCCTCCCCATCTACACGTATCTAGGGAATCGAGAGTGAGGATGGGGCTTTAAATATTACAGTATGCTTTTACGAATCTTTTGAGATGCTATATTGTCCACTTGACTTCTGAATTAATGCATTTAAAACAGTCAAAAGGTCACGCATTTCCAGTTTCTTTGGAATTACAGTATGCCAACCTCAGGAGAGATGTAGCAAAAAGCGGAAAAGGGCCTCAAACAGAAAGTGAGGTCGTAAAAAAGCAGGCGATGCTCACGTAACCTCGGATTTGACCCGCCTTTGATAGCAAAAACACTAGATCCCAGATTACTCACGATTAAAAAAGCGCTAAACCAAGAGTCATCCAGACAGTATACAACAAACCGAAAAATCACAAGGATGGCATACCTGAACTGGAGCAACTGGCGGACATTGAATGGAGAGAACCGGTACTGGCACTTTTTCCCATGATCGAGTCGACGGACGTGTCCATGGGCTCGTTCAGGTTCTGCTGATTGTGGGTGGCAATGCGCATTTGTGTCGTCCGACAAATGGGTTTGTGCTTCTTCCAATCGAATTTCTGCAATTCATACTTTACGTTCAGAATTGACAAGAGTTCTTGAAAAATCGTCAAAAAAACCACCGAAAGGAAAAACTATTCGACCGGTCGAAACGAAAATATAACGCTCAATCTACCTAATTTTTGTGCTCCTTGTGCCTTGTGAAATCGAGCCTCCAAAAATCCAAATTAACCATTTACGTGCGAATCCCAAGAAAACAAGCCAGATTCGCAAATAACAGGTAAACTTTGGAACTGCACGCTTTTCCATGCAATCTCATATGCAAAAAGTTTCTTTAGCAAATTAAAAAAGATTCCGAAGCGCTATTCATTAAGCGAGAAGTCCATAATTTCATAAAAAATAAAATCCATTACATCGACAAATAATCTACATTAAAATACCATGAAATTTTCAACTTTATATTACTCATGACTTCCCTAGCCCAACTTTTTAAAACTATTGTTTTCCAATCTCGAGGTAAGATAAGGGAGTTCTGTCAGATAAACCCCAGGGCTTCTTCCAAGGCGTTCGGAACGATAACCTGTGTTCCCATCACTACGGTTACGATCAAATAGTGGAGTAAAGACAAAAGTAATTCCCATTCTGGGTGACTTCTCAATTTCCACACGTAAAAAGAACAACCCGAAGAGAGTTGGATTAGTTATGGCATAATATCCAGCTATTCTTAAGAAGAAAAAGGACAAAAAGTCACCCTATCCTACAGTATCCCCACTCTTTTCAGACAGGACAAACTTAAGACTTAAGTTGGAACAAAAGCAAACAACTAATCTTAGGCTAACTGCAACCTATTTTTCAACATGTGGATCATCTCCAGCTAATCAGCAGTTCCTACCGTAGTTTTTGTAATCGAAATGCATCTTTTCGAAGAAGACCTTCGAAATGACTTCAGGCCCTGAGGCATCATCTTATAGATCATATGACCCCTTCTGATGGCCAGTTGATCCGCCCTGATGGGTGCCCAGCCGGCCTAATGCGATGTCCATTCCGCGGAGTTTCCTCAGCCCGGGTTCCTCCGTTTCTCCTCCCGAAAACTGCGAATTCTTTCTCCTCGGTGGTGGGATGGAAGAGAAAGGAACAGTGCGGCGAAAGAGTGCACGCGGAAAAGCTGAAGTATACGTGCAAATTCAAACAGAATGGTGAGCAATGGAAAGAAAAAAAAACGAACAAATATCTAGTCAATACTCTCCTTCGAACCGATGAATCAAGAGGGAGAAGAGATAACACGGCTTATGAGGAGGGCGAGGAAATAAAATTGATGGCAATTAGCCCCTTTTTCCATTGAAGCATGGCCAAAACCGTTGGAGACTTCTAAGAACCCGCTGGAATAAAGAGGTGACATTTGATTTTTCTTGTCACCATGAGTAATGCCTGACAAAACAAACCGTGACTAAGAAGAAAGGGAGCTCAGAAGAGACCCCTTCTTTTCCGACATTATCCCTTCCGGTCACCTTCCCTGACAAGGTTTTTTCCATTTCTTGCGTAATTAAACGACAAAGACGAGATCAACATTTTGAAATCCGAAATAACAAAGACTTCACAGAAAGCATTAAGGTGAGAAATTAGAATAGGTAATGTCATGGTTAGACGACAGTAAATATATATTAAAAGCATCATAAACTATGTATCTGTACTGTACTTTTCCCAAAATGGTTCTTCACCTTCTACAGTATCCATTTCGGTCATTCCTTTTTACAATCAACCATTCAAGTGTCAAAAACAAGTTACTGTAGCTGATGATACAACGATTCTTATTCTCCTTGCTCGCAATTTACGACACAACCTCATTTGCTACTCCCATTCCCAGCATAGACTCCAACTGACCCACAACCTATTCATTTTGCAACTAATTATGGCCTCAAAAATAGATTACACCAGAGTAGGGGGCTGGGAAATTAAAATTATTTGCAAAATCACGTAAAACCGCCATTTGGCAGCCAAATCCCCAGAGGGGAAACAAGGCTTCGGCCATTTGACAGCTCATTTGCAACTGTTCAGAGCAAACACAAGATACAACCTACAAAAGCTTTAAATTCTCCAAGAACATAGTCACTCCGGCCTAACCAATAAATCCACTAAACCTTGAAATTTTATCCTGGCTAATCTCAACCACAAACTCTAGTTCTATTCTAGTCCAAAACCTTTCCCAATGTCATCCAATGGAAGCTTTCACTTTATAATCAAGGAGCGACAATGACCCGACCATCTGTTTCGACCTTTTCAAGGGGGATATCCCGAAACCTTCCTTCGTTGACGCCCTTTTGCAAGAATTCAAAAGGAACGTCGTCATTTGGGGAATAATACAATTAAGGAAACTGAAAAATACGGCAACGGTTCGTAATGGGCCGATCCCATAATGGCCAGAGCATAATGGACAGTGCCATAATGGAAAAATTCTGATAAATCGTTCAAATATCATCGAAATCCTTAAATCTTTGTAAAATTCGAAAAAAATTATGAACTGTAAATGCCAATTCAAAAAAATATAACTTTGAAAAAACCGTTAATTTTGATGTAACAATGTTAGAAATGATGTCATACTAGAAAATTTTTATAAGTGTTAAGCCTTTTAAAAATGTGACGTCGTAGAAATTGACTTAAAACAATGATCTTCTAACAATATTAGATCAGACCTAACACTTTTTCGAAAATTGCACTTTAAAAATTCTTTACACTTACAATTTATTCGCTTTTCCTAATTACACATTTTTAGCAAAGATGTAATGGTATCTACGACATTCGAACGAATTCTCCAAATCTGCCCATTATGGATCGTTGCCGTATTTTTCAGTTTCCCCGATTGTCAATCTCCGAATTCAAAACAATCTCAAAAACACTAAAAAACGTGCGTTTTCGGGGTTAGCCGTCTCCCGCGAAATAATTGCGCATAAAAACACTCCCACAGACATTAGATCACCGGAATGGAGCGTCAAACTTAAAAGTTGATATTCTCCATTGCGATATCCAATATATAACCCTCCCCTTCCAAAAAGCACATACCGTGATTCAGTAATGAGAACAGCAAACACTCACCTTGTGTTGATCACTGCAATATGACACTTGACGACATCCATCGCATTCGATCAGATCTTTTTGGGTCTGTCCATTGAGAGAACCACAAAAATTGCATCCTCTGGAAGAGGACGTTGTTTTAGAAATGAAAGACGATTTCAGACTAGATGAAGGCGAGAATAAGGTCGTGGCATCCAAAGAAGCTTGGGCCAAAGGTCGAGGGACCGCAAAGATGTGGTCAGAACTGTGAGATGATGAGGATTGGGATTGAGAATCTGGATTCAGGGATTGGAGAGCCGCTGGAATGAAGTTGTTGGAGTTAGGAAGAAGAACTGATGGAATCTGAGGTGTTCTGGCATCTAGAACGAAATCAGACATCAGAAACGATCTTATTCTTCTGGATCAAAACGCCAAAAACACCACCGGATAGACATAAAATCAACTTACTGGCTTCGGCGGCATTCAAAAGGGCGCTCAGGGAGACGGAATTGGGATTATTATTTAAAGCAAATTGGAAAGCAGCCGCGTGAAAGGAGGACTTTTCCATTCCAGGACCTGAAATCATCATTAAAGTAATTTGAATTTGTGTAAACAACTCCCGACATCAAAAAGATATTTATAATCGCAAAAACAATGATTAATCTAATCAATGTCAACAATTTCCGAACAATTGAGATTTGAAGAAAAAGCTGTCAAGATTTATTAAACAGCGCCCTAAGTTATCAATTCAATCAGAACAAAATATTGGAGTTATTCCCGGTGATTACTCCGCTACAACAAAAGATATTTCGTATTCTCTCCTCCAACTTTTGCCCCACTAGACGAACAAATATAAGATTCCGTCCAGGCGACCAAAAAAGCTAAACCAAGAGAGAGCCGGGGAATCGGAGAGGGCTCAGACAAACCGTGTTTTCGAACGTGTTAAGATGCACGTAAGCAATTTGAGCGAAGAAAAAAGTTGGCTGAAATTGGATAGGAAAGCGTCTGCTATGGCCTGTTTAGGTATTCAAACCTGAATCTGCAGAAAGTCACGTCCCGTCACCGAAAATGGAGACAAAAAATGGGTTTCAAGTTCGGAAAGATTCGATGAAATGGTTTGGGCGAAGCCAATGGAAGACCATGCAAGTATTATAGGAATATTATCTCAAAGCATGACTTATAGTCTTAATCATGATATTTAAGACGACTTCTCCAATTCTCACGTATTCCTTTCTGTAATGCCCTTTAAAATTTCTTTTTTAAAGATCAATCCCAACTTCATCTCTATAAAATTCACACGTCCACGAGGAGTAAAAAACCAGAGCTTCCTACAAAACCCATATTTTCAAAAAGGAATAAAATGTTATATTTCTGAGCTGAAATAAAGCCTCCGTATAAGTTCAGACGAAAAAGTTCTGGCCAAGCCACCGCTTTTTGTCTTTAGAATTTAATTTTATTTACATCTGAACCCTCAAACGTCGAGTGCCCTTGGAGGAGGCCGAGTAAAGTGTAACATTTCAAATCTTTAGACATACAAACTCATACGAAAAGGAACTACATTATTTTACGTGACAAAATGTAATCATAAGACTTTGTGAAAAGAGCGAAAGAGACCTCGAAAAAATTGTAACAAGGTGAATTAAAAGTCCGTTTCGGAGACGGAGGACAGACAGAAATGGCATAATATTTTCCGAAACGAGAAGAACCGACATAAAAGAGCATTAATTTAGACAATAATCGCGACTAAATCACAAAATGGATATTATACTAAACCAGTACGATGCAAATGGACTTGTAAACCCTCTTAAAGAGATCGAAATTACATTAGTTAGGAAATACAGGCAAAAGGACGTAAACGTTTTGTGTAAAAATAAGGTTAATCCCCAAATTCGGCCGGGGAAAATACATAATTCATTGGAATTACGCCTAAAATTCGATTATAAAGCGTCTATACAACAAAACTTTGTGTAAAGTGGAAATAACCCTAAAATTAACCATGTACGTCAACAAAAATGATTTTCTAAAGCGCGCGGTAATTTCATCCTTAAAATAAACCGGGAAACGTCGATAACTACCTAAAATTCTCCATTTTGATTTTCGTAATTTATTCATAAGAAAACTATCACGAATTATGATTGGAAAGCGGAGTACAGGTCTAAAACAATATATTTGAACATAAATAGTCAATCGCCTGGCGTTTTCTGACTCTTCTAACCAGAAAAGTAAAGAAACGCACGTTCGCATTAGCTGTCAAACAAAGGAAACGAAAAAGAGGCTCGAGAAAAAGAGCATTTTTACATTCCGCTTACTTGGTATTGGTTTTCGGTGAAGTGTCAAGAATATTTTATTTTTCAACAAAATTAGAAAATTAATTTTTAGGTTTCTACGAGGTTTTAGAGCATATACGCGACTGGATATTGTTCGTTTGCGACGAAGTTTGTTTTAACTGTGATGTACTTTATAATTTTAGAAATTTATTGATCATGCCGACATAATACTGCCAGGGATGTTTTCCTATTCTCCGTTCCACTCTGGAGTCTTTGCTAAACAAGAGCCAGTGGCTTTGAATGAGCCAGCGGCTGATCTTAATGCTATAAATCTCCTCGATTATTTATTTGTCAGTTATCCTGAATATGGCCGGAAAGAAGGACAAGAAAAGGAGAAATTGGTCTATTTTTGGCCGCCAGATGAGAGTGATAAGCGTAAGGTAAGGTATTTTCAATTTTATACTGTTTGTTTTTATGGGTTATAGGCACTCAAAATTTTTATTTTTTATCATAGTTTTGCAAATGGATTTTATTAATGCCTAATTTTCAAAGTTTGTTTTTTTTTGGTCAAAAGTGAAAGGAGACGCAAGTGTGGAAACGTTAATGTTAACCATTATCAAAATTTCTGATTTTTCACGTATGATTCGAAACGGCGAGTTGCGTAGAAAAGCTCGAGCTGGGTCGGATGATAAAAAGGAATTTTGTATGAGCCTTGTATTAATTTACAGTATCTAAATTAAAAAATCGGAATTCAGAATGGCAAACAACATGATACTTACAGGATTATTTCAGCTTGACCTCGTCAGTTTTTCGGAAGCCGTAATCAACTTTACTAGTGAGTTTGGCATTGAAAATTCCTCTGAACATCGTTTTTTGACTTCCCAGCAGCTGGTTTCTGTTATTCTGCCAGTCGAAGGGGGATTTATAATAGGAGCAGCGTTTAACAAGGAGAAATGCGAGGCTCTTCACTTCTTTCCTCATCAAGGCGCACTTCTGAAGACCGTAAAACGAATCTACAAAACTTTTAAGCTCTTCAATCGAGGGTTTGAATATAATTTAAAGTACGGAAAGGACCTGATGATTGAAATCTTGGATGCCTTCTTTACCACTTATCTGCCAACAGTCAAGCTCTCTCCCATTCCATTGATTGATGTCTTTGATGGAATTAGTTTTATGCCCTTAGGGTCCAATCTGTTTCTGCAGACTCAATGTTTTGTAGAACAGTGTATGGAGCAATGCTTGGAGATAAAACAGGCCATGTTTTTATATCAGAACAAGTTGGCGCAATTTGCGGTGCCCAGAGAAGATCTCAAGACTTATTACGACCTTGTAGTTGACCATCTGATTCCATCAGCTTTAAAAAGTGAACTTCAACCAGAATCTGTTTCATGGTAAGGCAACTTATATAAATTTTTACGATGTTTAGGTCTTTTTATACCATTCTTCATTTTTCAGTGCTCAAGTTGGGCGATTTGTTAAATTTGCATTTGATTTTGCCCCGAGTAAAGGAAATTTCTCGGTAATATGGGTAAAGAACAGTGAAACGCGAGAGATGGAGAGACATTATATGGTAAGTTTGATGAAGATTGCAGTTTTCAGCTTTCAGGTTTGTTATCGAACTCTCAACGCAACAATGATCATGTTGATCAAAGAGACAACGCAAAATTTGGATCATTTGCTGACCAGATTTGGCCACTTTTTGTCTCCTCGATTATGTCAGTTAGCTTCGGAAATGGCGGAGACGGTAACGGAGACAATTCAGCCGGTGATATCGGGTATTCCTTTCCATTTTATCTACTACAACACTGAGAGTAAATCATTCAAAACGAGTCTTTCCTCGCTTTCTCCATCTTCAAGTCCAATCACTTTCAGCACTGAGATGTCTAGGTAAGAATTTACTTTGGTTTGCTTGTTACATCTACGCATGCAATTTTTTAGTGCCATTTACGATGTGTTTGACAAATTTATCGAGTGCAATGATCGGACCACCGAAGTGAATCTGAAGTTGGAGTCAGATATTTGGGTTGTTTTTAAGAAATCCACGGGTCGAGTTCTGATCGTTTTCATCCCAAATGCTCAAAGCACAACTCTGGGAGAAGTGGAAGGCCATTTAAATTCAATTATTGCCAATTATTTTCAACATGTACACTTTTCATGAGCCAGAATTTTTCGCGAAGATGTTGGTTGGTTCTAATGTTGATTACTGTTTAAAGTTGACTTATATATCTTTATTGTTGTTTTTGATAAATCGTGATATTACTTTTTCTTTGGAAATATAGTTATCGCTGTTTGAACTCTCAGTTGCTTTATTTTTATGCTTTACTAACCATTCTATTCTGTTTTGATGATCAGGCTTTTGTGTTGTATTGAGATTACGATTTTTTATGTCAAGTTAGAGGGCCTTAGCGTTAAATGATGCGAGTCTAGAGTTCACTAATGGTGTTATCTGTGTTATCAATTTGGCTGGAATTCTTTTAGACATCGAATAACTGTTCATATTTTTTTTGTTTATTCAAAGGATCGTCTTTTTTTATTGAAAAAAATCTTAAAGTATTTTTTCGTTAGCTTTTCAGACATTTCCGAACATTCTTGAAATCACTTTTGTCAAAATAACATGCCTGGAAGACTAAAGGTAAGCTTTGAATATGTTTGTGATGCCTTTTGTCATCTACAACATTCATGGGTAACATAATGGCTGATTGAAGGTTGGTATCATCGGAGGAACTGGATTGGAGGATCCTCAGATTCTGGAGAATGTCCGTGAGGTCGAATATGACACTCCGTTTGGAAAACCGTCTGATAAGTTGAAAGAAGGGACCATTCATGGTGTGCCTTGTGTTTTGTTGTCAAGACACAGTAAGAAACATGACATTGATCCCACTGGAGTCAATTACCGAGCTAATTTGTGGGCTCTCAAGGAAGCTGGTAGGTCAAAGCTAACACAAAGTCCAGTTAATTAATCAAATTGAATGAATATGCAGTTTTTAGGTGTTAATGTCATCATAGCTTCTAATGCGTCTGGCAGTTTGGTGGAGCATATTAAGCCTGGTGATTTCGTGTTTGTGGACTCTTTTATTGATCGGTAGGGTAGCGGAGCAATGGTTATTCGTATTTATAGTACCCACAAACGTCTGCAAACATTCTACGGAAAGAACCCAGGAGAACTTCAGGGTGTTTGCCACATCCCGTGCCATCCAGCGTTCAACGAAAAGGTCCGAGAGGTAAGAATAGTTGGCTTGAATAATGTTGGTAATTTAGTCCCGATATATTGTTTTATTTCAGATCCTTATCGAGACTGCAGAAAACCAGAAGATCTCCTATCACAAGAATGGAACGATTGTCTGTATCGAAGGCCCGAGATACTCTTCCCGAGCCGAAAGTAATATGTTCCGTCAATGGGGAGGTACCGTCATCAATATGACAATCGTCCCTGAGGTCATTCTGGCGTTGGAATTGGGAATCCCGTATCAGTCTATCGCATTGTCCACCGATTATGACTGCTGGAAGGATGACGCGGAAGGTGTTTCGGTTGATCTCGTGGACAGAACTCTCCGGGAAAATGGAGAAAAGGCCAAGAAATTGTTCGTCGAAGCGGTGGGTAATTTGGCCAAGAGGGAGGCGGAAGTTCTGGCTGAATATGAAAAGGCTCAGGTAAGAATTTGGTGGCAATATCATAGTACAACACTATTGATTGGTTATTGATTTTATTTGAATTTCTTTTTAGGTCACCGCCAAATCCGCAGTTATGGGATGAGGAAGTGCAATTGTTAATATTTGTCAGCTATAAAGCGTTGGTAGCGAAATAATTATAAATTTTATATCACAAGTTTACTGGTTCTTATTATAATTGATTGATGTCCAAATCAAATCTCATCATTGGAGACGTTCATCAAAAACATGAAGGTTGTCCCAAACATGATACCCGTGAATTGAAGGACGGTGGTCAACAGGGCTTCACTCAGATCGTTCTTCAGAAGTTCGTTGAACGCATCTCGGATCTCAGGAAGCTAAAAAGGATCAGGTTACAGCCCAACGATTAGATAATGTTGAGCAAGGTTTTTATAATTGCTTTGCTAGAAAACTATTTATAACTTACCAAGGTCCCCAAAAATATGTACAAATACATTCCGGCGGAGATGGAGAAGATGAACGAGTCGTAACTGTCATCCAAGTTATCCAGAACAACCCCGGCGCCGAAGCCGAGATAGCTCATGATGATGGGGATGATCTGGACCAGTAATGTCCTCTTCAAACCCAAGCCGGAGTTTATTAGAATGGCAAGAGTACCTGAAACCAGCAAGTAAACAATTGAACTATGATTGGAAACGTTTATTTTCAATCCAAATACTAATATTGCACTTACCCAACTCCTGAGGGAATTGCTGAGAGACCACGGCCATTCCAATGCTGACTCCTCTGATGACACTGTCGCTAAAAGCCGCGCCAATTGACATTCCATCGACAAAGTTGTTGGCAGCACTCCCAAATATAATCATATAAGCGACACTGGCCACTTCCAACTCTTTTTTGTCCACAACTTTCCTCTCATGAACTTCTACAGCCACTTCTAGTTGTTCTGACGATGAATCCGAAGTCGGTGAATCCTTCATTTTGGTAGTACGAGTAGTGGCTGGAGAGTGAGCTGGGGATGTTGCCGGAGATGGAAGGCGACTCTGCTGTCTACTGCAAGGTCTTGATGCGAGACTATGGACATCTACTTCGAGGACTGAACCATTTGGAGATTGATATTGGACATTGTCGATGGGTTCTGATTTTATTACCGCGGTTCGACGACGGGTTGAGAACTAAAGCGAAATGTCAAGACCAGGCTTACATAATGCATTTGTATTACATAAAATTAGTAGATTTAAAGGTGTATATTTGCATTAGATTAAAATTAATTGGAATTACCGTTCTAGCTAAAGTGTTTGACAGCATGGAAACATCAATTTCATCCTTAATTTTCTCGATATCCTTCTCCATGTTATCCTGATTATGTTTTGAATTGCCATTAATTTTGAATTGAACATTCTCCACATCTTTATGATCATGAGATAACATTCTCAAAGTAGTTGCATGTATCCTGGCTTTGTTTTGTCTTCTCTGAACATAAAATTTAGATAATCTGATACGAAACATACTCTTCGTAGCTCCAAAAGACATTGTAACAGGCGATCGATGGCAAAGAATCCATACAACGCCCCCACAATGAGCCAACACTTTTGAAGGTAATCTATAGATGTCACTTCGGTGATGTTAAAGGACTGAAATAATAAAAAAATAAAAAAAAAATCTCATACCAGTCTGTCGGAAAAATAATGTGGATTTGTCGCAACAAATTGTCTCGCCTCGTTTCCGTCGCTCGTCAAATCTTCAGCCGCAGCTGGCCGTCGCAGGGCGATGATGGGCGATTCCAATGCGCGACGAATCCACATTATTTTCCCGACAGACTGATAACTTTGGGACGTTAAATTCCTAGAAAGATGCCTTACATGAGGAAGAAGGATAAATAAACAGGAACCAGACATCGCGCCAATGCCCAACGCAACAAGGAAAGTCATGCATCGTTCGTACAAGGCTTTGCTCAACAAAGGCACCATGATGATGCCAAGGGGACTGCTGACACACGTAATCGTCATGATCGCCATCCCATAGCACCATGCTGAAATTTGAGTCTCCATAATTTTATCTTTCGAGCGATGTAAGTTACAATTATAAGATCAAAATATGACCCCCGTTACCGTATACTCACTTTCCCACAATTCGGGCTCATCTTCGATATCCGGCGCGGCGACGGGCGAGGCCGTCGATCCGGCTAGACTAATGTTATTCATGGTCCTGTCCCAGTAGGCATGGAACGATCGCCGATGTTCTTAAGACGAGGTTTTCTGAGTGAAAACTTCGTCGCACCGAAACGTAAACCGACAGCCAAAAAATGAAGATTGAGTGGCTTTGGGGAAATATAACGGACTCCGGAGAGAACACTCTCTAACCCCGAAAAACAGTGATTTTTGAAAGTAAAATACCGCGAAACCATTGGCGCGGCGGTCGGTACCGATGTTCTCCGGCCTCAGAGAATGGGTTTGGTGGTCAGTACAAGAGATCGGCCCTCAGGGCTCGAATTACTGGCCGAGAAACGACCGACTTTTGTCATCGTGACCTCAGTCGCCAGGCTTCCTCAAAAAAATGAGGGGAATTCGGCGGCGATGATAACAATCAGCTTGAGTTTACAATACTTTGTGTGAACCCCTTAAATTTCAAGGATGGCGTCATGGGTATAGTTTGATTTGCGTTTTCTTTGGCCTGCTCTTTCAATTTAGTTTATTTCTTTGAACTTTAGGAAGTTAATTTTATATAAAATGCGGAAAGGAAAGGCAAACAACGTGGTCAGCAAGACGTGGGGCTCAACGATACAACAATGGCTATATGGAAAGTTTGAAATACGATTATTTGCACATTGCAACGTATTGTGATGTGTACTGCCCTTTGAGAGAAATGACGATGAGAATTCGACTCCTTTATATAATAATTTATTTTTATATCCTGAAGTTCATCTCACGTTAACCACCGTCTCTTCATATCAAATTCAAAGTTGACGCGTTGTCTGGCGTTATTTCCAGCTCGTGTAGTTCATAAAGACCCTCTTGGCAAGCCCTCAAATTTGAAACTCTGGAAATCGGATATCCGAAATATAATTTGGAGATCTTTTATTTCCTCATTACATTAACCTTTACATTATATAAGATGATATGCGACTACAGCAAACAGAAGATGGCGAATACCAAGATAATTTATGCACAGACATTAGAGATCACATTCAAATATTTGGGTGCGAAAGCTCGGTGAAGATAAGGTTGCGGAGGCGATAGGAAAGTCTTCAGAAGACGGAAGTACGGTGCGGTAAGAGGAGGTCAAAGACGACGCAAATGGGGCCACAATACTGTCATCAAGTCGGGAGTACTGCTACCAGTTTACTTCGAAATGAGAGTAAAACTTTCAATTCAAAGATTACGATCGTTTGAGATGAAGATTCAGATGCACTTATTGCGTCGAAAATTAAGAATACAACTGATGAGAACATTAAATCGAGAAACAATCCGACTTTTTGCGGATTCGGAAGCCGACTTTAACAAGCAGACAGAAAGATTGCTGTGAATGTTATACATTACAAAGGGATCGATGTAATCTTAAGGCAAGTAATGATATAAGTTAGAGGACGAATCTAGATGGTCCTAATAGACAAGACGGGCTTCTTCCTCACTTCTTGAGACTCATCCGAGTGAAAAGACATTGGATGGGGCTGAAGTAACATATCCGCGGATAGCTCTTCTTGTCGTAGGCCAAGAGTTCTCTTTTGTCCTGAGGCAATTCTGATGCCACGGCTCGACGTGACCTCGAAGGCATCAGGTCGTCCGAGTAGGGGCTCTCGAGTTCGTTGTCAATTGCTCTGAAAACAACCTTATGTTAGTTTTTGTATCGACAATTATATTTTTATCTACAGGGTGGCCCAAAAAAATGGAAACTCATATTTATAGCTATATTTCGGTTCACGACCTAAATTTTGCCAAAGTAATTATCGATATCATTGCCATGGAACATTGTTGATAACATGTTCGGCCAGTTGCGAAATATCTGCCGTTCGCGGCGATATAGAGTGCCAAACGTGACTGAAAATTTTGGGCGATACGCCGCAGCTTTTTTTGGGGAAATCGGTCCCGTTCTTGGCGCAGCGATAACTTAGCCGGTCCAAACGTTTGTGACGTATAGCACAGGCGTTCGCCTCCAATTCAAAAAAAAATTAAAATTATACGATCCATCTCCGGCGAGTAGGCGGCAATTTTGCAGACGTAGCAAAAATCGGGAAAATCAGCCGCCGAGCACTTTTTGCCTTGTCGGTCGGAGCTGAATCTTGTTATAACGTTAAATTTTGATCCACAAGTTGCTACTGAGCCCACGGAAGCACCCACTACCTCCAGAATACCGGTGGTAGACGTTTCGGTTGATTTTGACATCTTAACCACGAAAAACGGGGATATCTTGCCTCTGGCGCAAAATTTTGCCCCAGGCCATGACGGAAGAGGTTTTGACAGGGTTCGAAGATTGCGGTTGCTTGATGACGCTCAACAGCGTAATTACTGTCATTCTGGTGTTTGTCGACCTGCTCAATGTTGAGCTATGTCTCACCCATGAACAGGATCCCCTCTGATCCCCAGAGCACCGGCGCGGCGCCTGAGTTTTCAAAGTCTTTTGTGCCGCACTAAAGTGTGGTCTTCCGTAGGGCGCTGAACTTTTTGTAGCCTGTAAGGCTTAAGCTGCTGTACATTTTTGGCCATTTCGCAGATAGCTGCCCTGTTGATTACGGTCTCTCGGGCAATCTTTTTCTTGGACACCATCAGATTTCGCTTCACTCGCTTTTTGACGATCTCAAGGTTGGCAGAAGTATTTAAGGTGCACTTTTTTCGACTTCCCGGACGCGTACTATCTCGGAGTATTCCGTTGAATAATTTGGTGGCTTTTGGCATGACAAATTTTGCTACAGCCAGCAATTTATCAACCTCACACTGTCTTTTTTCTTGCCGAAACAAGTCGGAAATCGAGGCCCCTGTGTTCGACATTGAAAAAAGACATATTAAACAAGCGATATGGGCATGAAAATAAAACGCCTAGGGCAGAAAAATACAGAGAATTTATTGGTGAAAAAATTATTTGGCTACACCTCAAGGTTTTCGCGGCAGGACCCATGGAAAAAAGTTTCCATTTTTTTGGGCCACCCTGTATATAAAGGTTACGTTTCTACCTTGTCATGTCATTCTTTCCCCATTTTCAGCAAAAAACCCCGACTACACGCAATTTAAATACTATTCTTATCCGGAAATCCTTGAATTCTTTGAAGATTAAGCGATAAAATGATTTTATTCATTGGAATTCACTTTACACTTGAAACAATTTGTTTCCGTTCGGTTTGTGGATGATAAGCAGCGAAATTGGATGTTATCAGCTGATGTCGGGCTGTTTTTCTCGAATTTCTTTACAAAAAACAAGCAAAGTAGTTGATTTCAAGCGCAGTGATTGCAAAAAAGAAAGCCGTTGATCAGCCAAAGACCAAGCCCAGATCGAAAAAGTGCTAATTTAAGGTGGATTACTGTAACGCCTAAACCAAACTACGTTATCTTTAGTTGGCTGTAAACTATTTGACAGATGATTTTTGGAAAAAAAGTTTAAAAAAGAATAATAATCTTACCTTAACAAAATCTGCAGGGATCTCCGATCTTGGGACAAAGGTTTTGCCGTTACTGTAGAAATGAGGAGTACTGTTAACAAGGAGAACATCAGGACACCTCGAGATTCCCTCAGAGCCGTTAGCATTGCAGATGAGAGTGACATTAGCTGGAAATCAATACGATCAACTGACAAACAATTCGGCTCCAAAAAACGCCCGAGGCGATTGCGCACGCCAGATTTCAAAGTGTGATTTAGGGGAAAGAACGATGGAACGATGAGAATAGAGACAGAAAATACAGAAATCAATGATGTCAGAGAAATAAAAATAGCTGCAATTTTAGTGAGTAGGAGTGATAGGCGTGTGATTTGATGACAAAAATAGATGACTTTCGAAAATTACAAACATATTTTGAAACTCGCAAAACAACGTCTTAATTCATACGCATTCCAGAACAAAACTGGCTAATTAAAACAACTTGATCCCGTTGTCTGTAGGAGCTTTGCAGGAGGAGAACTTAATTTAAAGAATGTAGACGGTATTTTAGAGGATTAAAAATGGCAAAAAATGAAAAATACTGAAATATAGACTCGAATATTTACTTGCAAAACTGTGTAAATTAAATACTTGTTAATATAAAAAAGAACAGTAACCCAAGAAGAGTAGTGATCCCACTGAGCGACTAATTGTAAGGTAATATAAAAGCCACACGGCGAAAGTTTAACTTTACTTTTAGTACAAAAATCTAAAATTCCGTAGAGTACGGGTAACAGGAATTTATAAAAATCATAGGAGATTCATGCAAAAAGGGTTTAAGTTTTTCTTTGGCCAAGCCCCGCCCCCTTTGGAATTCAATAATTCTATATTTGCACAAAGAACACGTAATCCGATGAATATTAGGGTGGAAGACGTAAAGAAATATGAATACGGTGGATGCCATGAATAACTCGAGGATGATTTTATATAAAAGTACCACAGGAAATTGGGAGGGAAGGGCGTGTTTACATTACTACGGCCGTACAATCATATATAATACTGGCTTAAATTTCCAAACTGACTATACAACTTGAAATACGAAAGATGAAACAACAGTATCCAATGGCATGAAACGAACAGAAGACCTAAATTTAACGTGTAATCTCATCAGTAATTCACGTGAAAAAGGTGAACTTGCAAGAAATGACATCATCGAGCCGGCTCCTCGCCTCCTCAGCCTCAGCGCAGCCCAAAAGCCAACCCCAGTTACAGGTGAAACTTTCAAAAAAATGTTTGGAGGCCTACCCGGAATAAGACCTGACATTTGTATAAAAAGAGAGGTGAAAGAACAGTACATTAAGGGTCGGAGGAATTACAAAAATTTGAATGGGACCGCGACTTAAATATGAGCGCCCGCCCCGGTGCGTCATGCCCCGAGGGGGTGTTCCGGAGTTATTTTAACAGGATTGGATTGCGTAACTTTTTTGTTTGTTTTAAGCCTTCTTTTGGCTCTCCGCGAATTAGCCGGATGTCTCAGAACTCGAAATAAAAAGGCTCGATTACTATATACGAGGATATGACGTTTCGTATATGCCTCAGGGCGTCTATTTGCCCAGGTACAACTCTACATCAACGTCTTATATTGGCTCCCAATTTTGGCGATTTCTCATCATAAGAGCGGGGCAAGGGCATTCGGAATTGGAAAGGGGAACTACTTACAAACTTGTGATGACGTCATCTCGCACTTAGTCATCTTTTCATAACTCCACACCCACCGTAATAAGCCCTCTCCTCCCTCACAAAAACAGTTCAATAAAGTGCTCCCAAGATGGAGAATATGGGGAAAACATGCATCAGCAAGGATCGAATACAGTATGAATATGCGTGGGGAAGGAGTAAACTTTCAAAACACGAGTGTCGCAAAAACAAGACACCTCTCGGTGAGTGATCACCAAACCAGGATTAAATACTAATTAAGGGGACAGGCATGGAACAAAGAATGACATTCCACGCAACTTATCCGCCAAAGATCGCCCATTCTCTCCCGTTCTTCAAAGTGTGTATGTACGACAACCTAATTCTCTCCGATTCGCCCAACTCTCGGTGATTTCGCAATTTCCTCCTCCCAAACACCTCAACATTTGCGAACAACAACATTACAGTAGAGGGCATGTTGTCACTCCCGTGGTCGAGATCTCCGAAAAGCCCTCACGTATCATTCTCCTCGTCGTCGTATCTTCCACACCCAAAATTCATTTCGCATTGTAAACGGAAATTACTTGCGAAGAGATGGAGATGAACCGGTTGCGAAGAGAACTGCTCGGCTAGCCTATTTTCTGCTGTTTTTTTTTCGGTCGCGCTTTAACCGGTTTGGTTAAGGTCCAAATTTAACTCTTCGGAATTCGAGTTCGCGCTGTAAATTTTGAATACAGTCTCGACAGAGTGAGTAATCAAGAGGAATAAGGTCGTGAGTGAAGAAAAAAGAGCTCTGACTTTAAGTTCCAAGACAGATCCGAAGCCAGCTCAAATGGTAATCAACTGGTCAGATCACACGTTCTTAACTCTTTGAAGAAACAGGTCTCAAAGAACATTACTGGAAATCACTGCAGTCTAATCCTTATATGGTAGTCCCTACGCATTTCCTATAAGATTTCGAATGTTCGGAACAAAATAAAAACAAATGCAACGTGTAATCTTTAATTTGGGCCCAATCAAAGTGAGTTCTAGAAATCGTGAAAAGCGGATATTTACATTCCTCTTGGACGTCTTCAACTTTACCCCCAATTAATTTTTATAAAGTCAAAAAACATTGCGAAACACGCGACTAACAGGAAAAAACAGTAGGAGGACAAGACTGGTATGACCGGTGGGACGAACTTTTGATGCTGAAGAAAGGCGATTAGAATATAACAAAGTGCAGAAAGGAAACGGTGATGACGCGAAAGATGGTCAACCACAAGATTAGTTGAAATAGCCGTCCAATTCCACGTTAACATTCCCAAAACATCGAAAAGATTTCATCGCCGCAGTGACAAAACACTTCATTTAAATTGACTAAAGAGCTCGCTGATGTCACAGACTAGTAAACAAAGCACAACACACGGTTATCAAGGCATGTTTCTGCAGAGACTATAAACTAAATCGACTCGAACGTGCAATGACTCACCCGTTCCAACCCCCGTAACTCCCTCTCTACCGTAGTAAAAAACAAACATGAACTCATTCTGAAGAGCCCTCGGAAAGTAATAACTTGTAATTTCATGCATTTAACAGCATTTCCAAGACTCTTATCAAAGACCACTGATAAACGTATGTTCAAGGAGGATTTCGCCGAAATTCGAATTTAAAACGGGTCTTGTTTACACAGCACACCCGAGGGAAACCCTATAAAAATAAATTACAATAAGCGTTGTAGCGGTTATGGTAACCAGAAGAAAGTGCAAGACGATATTAAAAATGGAACTCGATAACAGAGCACAACAATCATTTGGAACAAAAAACAAAAGACGAGTGATGACTTAAATACTTTCCAAATACGACAATTACGTAGCCAAGTTGCTCGCAAAAGGCCGGAAGCCTAACCCAAACTGCGTAATAGCCATTAAACTGTTTTAATTTCGTAGGCTAACAATAAAACCAAGTATATGTATAGCAAAAAACTGAAACTGGTCAATTTAAATATTTTGAATTAAAAGCAAAATGGTTTTTATATGTACATTTTAAAGCAAAATTGTAAACGCTCGGATTTTGATCAAACTTTGTGAACTAATATTCAAAAATACCACCCAGAAGTCTTGTATGACAGCTTTTATGGGAAGCTCCTCCTTAAGCGGTTTAAAAAAGCCACAAATCAATTCAAAAATAAATTAATTTTCGAGATTTTATGGCAGGAATATGTCGATGACACCTCGAAGACAAACAAAAACACGGTCGATGACATAGCTTTCGGTGTGGAAGACTTGGGAATTGCCCTATTATTCCAAAACAATTACTCTAACAACGTTAATTTCATTTTCCAAATTTCTGATGTTTGGATTCCCTTACCATATATGTATAGCAGCCTCTCTTATACAGGCAAACGGGATTATCAATTACCGAGAGGCAGAAGCATTACTCATCTAAAATGCTCATCCACGCACCAGAAGATACCAAAATATTGTTATGATCCCCGTAAATCCAGCTAAATCATCGCCTAATTGGAAGGCGGAAAGTGAAAGGAGAACACCCCTCCTCCACCCATTCTCGATCAATCCCGCAAAACAACAGCTCGCAGTTTAAGTAAGAGTAACACTAATTTGCAGAACAAAAGAAACGCCCCTAGGGGATCCGACAAACTCGAATTAATCGCTGATTCATAATGATTTGGGATTTTTTTGGGAAGCGCCGAACAGTCGGATTATAGAAACAGAACGTGTGGAAGGGCCAGAAGACATGCGGGATGATGTCATCCGTTGATGCGATTTTGTAAATAAAAACACCATATGATTCTGCACAAAAGGGTTTCCGAGCAAATTCAGATTTTTTCGCCCTACCAAATGACGCTCTTGAGTTTCGTCCAAATCGAATTTTTGGTTCTGCATAAAGCCTGCAATAGGCTCACGTTTTCCCATGCCATATACTATATGCATACATTGCAGAACAAAAGTTCAATATGGACCAAACTTGAGGTTAAGCATGGCCGAAAAAAATTTAAATTTAGTTGTAACCCTTCTTATCAGTCTGTCGGGAAAATAAAGGCGGATCGTCGCAGCAAAATGTCTCGCCTCGCCGCTATCGCGCACCAAATCCCAATCAGCGGCTTGCAGTCGCAAAGCGATGATGTGCGATTCCAAAGCGCGACGACCCGCCGTTATTTTCCCGACAGACTGATACATCCGAAAATTGAACATGCAATATTCATAAGTAATCGAATAACCGAAAGTGACCATCGGAGTGCACTTAATTGTGACACAGACTAGACACGATACGACACTTTATTCTCATCACAAACATTTTCTGTCCAAGTTCATATAAGATTCCCTCGGGCAATTAAACGCCGATGAGAATGATTTTACATTCCGCAAGATTCCATTCACCCGTATTTTGAGCGGAGAATGCATCCCCGTATACTCCTTTTTGTGGTCGGCGTTGGAACCAATTCCGCAAAAGTATATTGGGTAGGATAGGAAAAACAACTAAGAATCTTAAGATTATCCATAAAACTCAAGTTACCTGTCGAGTCGTAAATTCTCCAATTATTTGGTTGTTTTCGAGGTGCTCAAACGCCTGAAAAGCAGCTTTTAATCCAGCAAGATCGGCTGCATTTTCGGCTAATGTAAGCCTTCCATTAACACAAGTGGAGTTGTCATAACAATAGGAATCGAATTGGTCAATAAGACATTGTTTTTGGATGTTAAATTTTTCTCTAAAATATTCGTCCGACTTAAACACGTTGAATATTATTACTACTCACTCAGATTCCTTGGTCCACCAGTTGTTTTTATTTCCATCCCCGTCGTATTCAGCCCCTCTTGGGTCGAAGAATCCATGACTTATTTCGTGTCCAATTAGAGCCCCAATACCTCCAAAACGAGCCCAATTTGGGAAGCCTAAAATAAATTTCAATTAAAAATTACAGCGAATTACCTTCCCCAATTGCCGGATGATGTATTTCCCCTAGGGAAATTGTGATCGAATTGGCTTCATTCATATACCAGGCATTAGTTAGCACTGGAGATCCTCTAAAATAAGTTCTTGTGTTGATCTGAGCGAGACGCTGAAGATTCTGACGGACTCCCCATGATTTGAGGAGAAGATTCTGAAGTCCAAATGGAGAAGAAGAGGACATTTTGAGATCTAAATCACCATTAGAAAATATTTTAACCTCCAACCTTTATAGTAATCGTCGATTTGCGTACTGTTCCTGAGGATATCTGGAAAGCCGATTATATTTTCCACTTTATTCAATTTTGTAATCGCATTTTCCTTTGTCTCTGAATCCATCCATCCAGTTGTATTTATCAATGCCATCAACCCGCTTTCCACAAGTTTTGTCAGTTCAACGGTCTCCTAATAATCATTATTATTTTGCATTATTATTTACTGTAACTATTGCTTGATTAAATCCATTTTTCAATAAGGCTTCGGCAGCACCAATCCCAAGGCTTGGAACTTCATAATTTCCTTTTACGGCCTTAAGGCAGATGTCTGTTTGGTTCACTCGAATCTCATTTCCAGTCAATACTGTTTGAAACTTTTGGTAAGCTGTCTTGTATTCGAATGATAAGTAATTGATTTGCGACAAAACAAGACGCCAGATCAAATAATTTTGCACATCCTTCTCATCGGTTGTGTCCAACAGAGAACGGAGCTGAGACAATTATATTACAGATATCAAGCATGTGACTATGTTAACAAGTTTGTCGGAACTCACAGCGTTAATGTACTCCGCAGCATTATTAATTATCCTAGCTTTGTTTTTAAGAAATCTGTAAGAGTCTCCATCCAAAAGCTCTTCGAAATATTCTGCCCATTCGAACTTGGGCACTTGTTTTTGCAACCTAAAAGTACCTATAACCGTTATACTGCATACTCTTCCAGTGTTATTTCATCATCACCATCGTCATCGTGATTTTCCTGTTTCAATCTCGCTACTTTTACTTCGAAATTCAGTAAACGATCAACATCCTCTTGTTTTATTTCCCCTTTTTGTCCGCCATCTCTAGCCAACAACAGTGCCACTTCAAACTGCATCGACGAATACGCTTTTCGAACATCTAGGGTACAATAACCGAGTGGGTCAATTGTTTCTTACGTTCAAACTCTGGCTGGGTGAGATAAAGAGAACTCATTCCTAAAGGGAGCATGTTCCCAGTGAGCCACAGAATATTCTTCGTCGAGTTGTTATCACTCCCAAGGACGTATGAATAAAGTAATGTGTCCACTCCAAAAACTGATTTTAGAAGTCCTGAAATCAGGTAAACGCAGCTTAAATAAGGCCGAAGACTCACCCATTCTTTTTTCAACCGAGATTCCATTCCATTTATAATCATGTTGAATCAATGGCCACTGTAAGACCCCTGAGGGCAACTTTTTATAAACTCCCTCGGCAGAACCCGTATTTATCAAATCAAACAGCCATTTCCCCTTATCCGAATCCGCTTTTTTCTGATCAAGACAAGACCTGTAGTAGCCTTTGGTCATCCTCAAACTTGAACTTTCGCATTCTTTATCTAAACTGAGTAGAGCATCATGAATTTCTTTCGAAACATCATCCCCAATCTGAAATTACGAGTGCGTCGATTAACACCCACTTTTAGTTCGCCATTGTACGAAGTCCTTCCGCTGGGAGGAGAATTGTAAGAAGCCCAATTACCACAGGCATACTCGTAAAAATCGTTGCACGGGTCAGCAGATTTATTTATTCTGCGCTTAATTTCGTCCAATAATTCATCTTCAACAGGTCTCTTCTTTTTGCGGAAGAGTAAGAAAGATGCTCCTGCTGTTATTGCTAAAGCAATAATAAAAATTAGAACAAAAAGCAGAAGCACTTTCTTATTCATACTTCATTTGATTTGAACTTTATCAGTTTTATTTTCCGGAGGCTCATTTTATTGTCATACTTGTTATATCATCCAATAAAGAACAAAGAAATGAAATGAAGAGATGCGGCGTCATTCCAAGAGAGCGGTTACGCAAGAATTTTGAGTCAAACTGACCGTAAGCCCGGCCCGCTGACAAACCTTGACTATGGGATAAAGCACGTCAATCAAGCGTAGTTGAAGCTATTTCCTGACCAAGATTTAATCGATGTGGCGTTTCGTCACAAATAGAATTTTGGAGATTATCTTTGGCTGGTTTTTTTTGCTAGCCAGGAAAACCCCTCGCTTTTTAGTCAGACATTAACGTTGTAAATTTTTCTTGATTTTTAAAACCATTTTTGTCCTCCAAAAGTTTTTTCTGGATGAATTTGTATATCGAAAATCTTTTGGTCAATCGATAGCATGTGAGCGAAACGCCTAAACGGGTCGGGATGCGCTGGATTGAACCAAATCGGCAAGCTGCGCCCGGATGAAGAAAAAATAAAAACAACAAAAAATTGAAAAGGAGGCCGCACGGTTACCTAATTTTAGATCTGTGGACATCACGTGTGACGGTTTTGTATATTCTAACACCGAGTATTCATTATGGCCGCTCCACCTATCAGATTCGTCGGTAACTTTGATGTGGCCGCCGAAGGGAAAACGATATGGGAAATTTTATGCAGATTGAGGAACCTTGGGACTGGGAGGATTGTCACAAAGACTGAATGGAAACTCAGATGGCCTCACCAACCATCCTACCTTCGGATTGTAAAGGTACTGTGATATTATTTTAGAGTATTTGTGTTTAGGCCAGACCTGAGATGGATCCGTGGCTTCATAAGGGTAAAGTCTGGGCCGAATGGACTTTTCGAGGAAGGAATTTGGGTGTTTACGAGTTTGCGCATGATTTAAACCGCTCGGATTGGAAATTGGTCCACAAGCACGAAGAATCCGAACTTCTGAATAACAAAAATAAAGTTGAAAAATACACATTGCCCTCGACTTTTCCTCTTCCGCCCTTGCAAGTAAGAAATCTTTAACTTTAACCAATTAATACACAGTTTTATCTATAAAATATATTTTTAGAGGTACGTTGATAAACGAGCAGCGAAGAAATCGGGTACTCAATGGATTGAAGATAAAGATGGGAGGGCGAAACTCGATATTTGTTTGGATCCTCAATTTAATGTATACAAAGATATAATCAAACAAGAAGAGCCGGCTAAAAAGAGTACCTCCATTTATTCAGAAGTTGATCCCGAGTTGTTTTTGGATTGGTATGGCCAAGTTTTGCCCACGAAGGTGGAGGCTTGGAATGTAGGGCCCGCGACTTACGAACCTCGCTTTAAACCTGACAAATCATTGAACTGATTGTATGTATATGTGCGGATTTCTTAGGATTCTTGTTTTAGAATAAATTGTTATGTTTGAATAGAAACGTTTCAATGAAACACGAGGTTAATACCTAAAAAATATTATTTATATTCATATTTGATGTCACAATCTGTAGCCACATGTTTCTTTCGTTCGATTAAATTTGTTGCAAAAAATTCTAATTCTTTCTGCAAGGAATTCTAAGGAATTATTCGGGGTAGATGCGTAAAGTACAATATGTCACACGTTGGATCGACTTTAAACAAAGACGCGGGCCTCCAAGGATAACTGTAGGGAATGTTTTGACTAGACGCTTGGGGGAACGCGATCTTTGCCCGCCATTTTTAGACCCACCCTCTTGCATCTGAGTTCATTTTATTTTATTGAAAGCTCAATCTTCCTTTGTCTAACTGTTCCTTGATAAGAAAACGAATCTTCTTCTTCACTGATAACGCTCTACCTTTAGGATGAGCTCTCAAAAGGAAGTGAAGCTTATTCTGGTAACTGGCTCAGTTATTTCTGGAGTTGGAAAAGGAGTGGTCACCTCCAGTTTGGGTCTTCTTCTTCGATCAAAGGGATATCGAATCTCAGTGATTAAGATCGATCCCTATTTGAATATCGATGCTGGCACCTTCTCACCTTACGAACATGGGGAAGTTTATGTTCTTGACGATGGAGGGGAAGTGGATTTGGACTTTGGAAATTACGAACGATTCTTGAATCTGCGGTTCCGAAGGGACAATAACATCACCACAGGAAAGATCTACAGTATGGTGATTGGAAAAGAAAGGAACGGAGATTATCTCGGGAAGACGGTACAGATTGTTCCCCACATTACGGATGCCATTATTCAATGGGTTGAAAGAGTGGCCGCGAATCCTGTGGATGGAACAAATGAGACCCCGGATGTTTGCATTATTGAGGTAAGCCTTGTTGGTACTATATGGAGTTATTCCAAATTTCAGCTTGGTGGTACTGTGGGAGATATTGAAAGCAGTGTGTTTGTGAAAGCATTCGGGGATCACTTCAGTCGACCCAAAAACCGTCATCTTCTCATGAACGTCCATGTCAGCATGATGGTCGGGACCGAAGCCGAACCTCAGAAAACGAAGCCAATGCAAGAAGGAATCTCGAAAGTCAGAAGTTTCGGTCTGACTCCTGATTTGTTGGTTGTTCGAAATATGGAAGGGCTGAGCACACAGATGATCGCGAAGATCGCCGAGTTCAGTCAGCTGGAACGCCATCAAGTCAGTTTTTAAATATGAAGATTATTTCTTTCTAGATTGTGGATAACAGAAATGTCTCGAGTGTATACCGCGTGCCTCTTCAAATGGCTCGTGATGGAGTTCTTGAAGTAATCATCGACCGTCTTCAACTTCCCCGATCTTTCCATCGGCGTGTGACCCGACCAACTCCAACCTTAGATCAATGGGAAACATTGGTTGATTTGATTGAGAACTCGTCCAAGAATCTTAAGATCGGATTGGTCGGAAAGTACGTGAGCAGTGAAGACGCTTACAAATCCGTGAAAAATGCTTTGAGTCATGCGTCTATCTTCTGTGGGTATAATGTGGAGATTGTTCCTATTCAATCAGAAGATCTCGAGGACGGGGCCGACTCTACGGTTAGGGATAATGCCTGGAGGAAAGTGAAAGAATGCAGGCAGGTGACTAGATTGTTTTTGAAATGGTTTTAGTGGTATTCTGGTTCCCGGAGGTTTTGGAGAACGAGGGGTGGAAGGCAAGATCTTGGCCTGTCAATATGCCCGAGAGAACAAGATCCCCTTCCTTGGAATCTGCCTGGGAATGCAATGTGCGGCCGTGGAGTACGCTAGGAATGTCTGCAACGTTAAAGGTGCGGATTCAGCTGAATTTAAGCCTGATATCGAATACGAAAAGCAAGTCGTAATCGATATGCCTGAACATGCTGCATCTATAAATGGAATGGGTGCTACCATGAGATTGGGAAGGAGAACCACACAGTTCTTGACAGAATCTTCGGTCCTTCGAAGACTTTACAATAAGCAGAGTAAAGTGGAATCCAATGAAGTTGATGAACGACATCGACATCGGTTCGAAGTCAACCCTACCCTTGTCCCAATGTTAACAGAGGCGGGTCTTCATTTCGTTGGAATGGGGGTAGATGAGACCTCCAAGGGAAAGAGCAACATCCCGGCGACATCTTCTTCCGCTCAGTTATTCAAAATGGCCGGTTCTAACGTAAGCATTATGAGCCTTCTACTTGATAGTATTTTTAGGACGGTCTTTTGGAGAAGGTGAAAAAACTATGCGAACGTGGCGGCGACGGAGTTACAGCCGCGGCAGTTAGAATGGAAGTTGTTGAACTGGAGAACCATCCATATTATGTGGGCGTCCAATATCATCCAGAATACCTAAGCGATGCCCTCAAACCTTCTCCTCCTTTCCTGGGACTTGTTCTAGCCTCGATTGGACAACTTTCAAAGTATCTGAATGATGAGTTTGAAAGTGCAGTTGAGAGGTTATCCAACATGGTATGTAACGATGAGAACGCATTACCAACATTGGTAGGGTTTTTTTTGATAAAAATAGTTGGTTCTTTGGAGGATTATTCATCTGTTTGCTTTAGGACGAACATGGACTCAAAACGGTGAAGAAGATCCCCTTCGCCGAAAAGACAGCTCAGGTTTGAAGTTCCCGTTGATTCACCTCCCTTTCACACTTAAAATTTGTTGAATTTTGGCCAACAGCCAACTCCAGAAAGTTTTGATCGTAAAACGCGTTGTTATTTCCATTTTCCTCTGTTGAAAAAATAAAGTAGTTTTGAATTTGCAAAGTTGATGAGCGGTGGGAATGGCGAAGCTCGCAATCCACAAAACACATCAGAATCTGGCAGAGGATGACACCGATACTCCAATGTCTCTCAAACCAGAACCCGTTCATAAGTTACACGCATCCGAGCCTCTGCCGATTGATGATGATGTTAGTCGTGTAAGTGCAATGCAAAATGTTATTACAAATTACAGAATTCCATCTCGACGACCACAGAGTCGGCCCAGAACAACGCTAAAATGGCCAAAGGTACAGTTCTCGTCCAAAAATTCATTTTATCCATTTCAAAACGGGACGAGCTCAAGGTAAAAAGTATCCAACTGTTTGTGTTAACAAATTTTCAGCCGGACGTAGATGCAGACTTCAAGGATAATCTCAGACAAGCCGAGGAAGCCATCAAGTGTGAAATCTACCCAGAACTCATCCCAGCAGGAAGTTCTGGATCATACTTTGTACGGAATAAGGGCGGAGAATTCCTAGCTGTATTTAAACCCAAGGACGAAGAACCGTTTGCTTCCCTTAACCCCAAATGGCCCAAATTCTTCCAACGTATCTTGTGTTTCTGCTGCTTTGGAAGGGCTTGTCTGATACCAAACAATGGATATCTAAGTGAAACGGGGGCTTCCTTGCTGGACGATCGGCTCAAGGCAAGGGAAACCGCACAAAATTTCTAATAAACACTTTTTTTTCAGCTCGGCATTGTCCCCAAAACCCGACTGGTGAAGCTCACATCTCCCACTTTCAGTTATAACAAGAGATGTGGCCAAAAAAGAGAGATTTCTCCAAAAGAAGGGAGCTATCAGATATTTGTTCACGGTTATCGACCAGCCACCGAAGTGTTCGCCGAATGGAATGACAAAGGAATCTCTAATGTCCTCACTGATGCTGAACAACACGAATTCACCGTATATTTTCAAAAACTGGTAGTTCTCGACTATCTGATCAGGAATACGGACAGGCATATGGATAATTGGTTGATCAAACACATTCCCGGGAAGGAATTGAAAATCGCCGCAATCGACAATGGCCTCGCTTTCCCCGTTAAACATCCGGAAACTGCCAGTCGCTTCCGACAATTCCCGTTCGGGTGGAGTACGTTGACCTGGGCCAAGAAGGTCAGTTTTTGATTAATGAAAAAGTTCAAATTATAGAGTTTCCGAACAACAAGCTTTTTTAACTGTGTCGTAGAATAAAATCTGTGACACCGGTCATGATGACAAGGTGCATCTTTATGGAATCTCGTAAATTGGTCATAATGATCGCGAAATTTGACACATTTTCTGGAAATGCGGATAAAGTTTGGATTTTTTCAGAAATGGGAGAAAGAATTGACGGATCATTTCCTGTCGCTCCTCACTCCCAAGAATGTCCATTTCTTATGCCAAGATCTAAAGGCCCTCTTCAAACACGGCTCTTCAAATTCCCAGTTGATCAACAATCAGTTGCGAGTATTCAGAGGCCAAGTCTGGAATCTGGTGGATTCAATGAGACATAATGAATCTCCTTTTGAATTATCCAAGAGGACTCCAGTTCTCCTTGCCAGAAGGTATCTGACCACCATTCCTAATACGAACAACTGGAGGGATTGGTATAAACTCAAGGAGATGGATTATAGCAACAGAGCCTGTTGCTGAAGTAGAAAATAGTATTACGAGAAAATTATATCAGTTTATCTATAAATATGTATTGTTATTATCAACATTATTCGTCGAATTCAGTAGCAATTAAAGCGCGGCATTCTCTTTTTTGTAGGAACCTGGCCACGCAAATAGGATGCCCGACGTTTACAACATACGCTTGCAACGATTTCTGACCCTTCCTCTCAGAGATTGCTGTATGACCGAGTATAAATTGAGTGAATTTAGGCCTAAATGACACTGCCAGATCCTTCAGCCATCTTGTAAATGCTTTCATATCCGATACGGACTTCGGTAATGGCAATCTAAAGTTGAGTTGGCAGATTGGGATAGCCAAACCATGGGTCCCTTGACCTAACAATTGATTGATGAATAAATGAGATGATTGGGAATTTAGGAAGACCACGTCAACTGGTCGAGTCGGGAAGAATCGCTGGAAGAATTGGTCGGCGATTGTTCCTTCGGACTCTGAAATGGTTTTGGATAACACCCAAAACATATATTATGTTAGATATTCGAATTCCTTTCTGCAAGGTCTAATAGTAAGGTTGAATAGTGTAATCTCAGTCACTTTGAGGTCCCCCTTTCTCGGCGGATTAATGTTATTATTAATATTGAAAGTTAATATGGGAGATGGGAACGTGCTCTTTTCATGCTTTTGGTATTTAAGAGCTACAGCAGGGTTCTATCATTTATTCATTTATTTTCAGAGAATCCTAAAGTCCCTTAAAATGAAGACATCCGATTAGAGATGGCCATAGTAATCGCAAGTGCTTAGGTGAATATTCAACGGGCCTAAAGCTAAAAATGCGCATTAATTTGTCTGAGAGCAATAGCTGAATAATAAAGAGGATTCATTTTTTATTACTTTATGGATTCCAAATCCTGGTTCTAAACAATATCACTCACCAATCTTTTCGGGGATTGTATTGATCTCATCTGGAAGGACAGTCCCATTTAATGTATCCACAAAGTCTTCCTTGACCTTGTCTGAGCCAAAATTGACTCCGTAATACTTGACGGAACTGATATTCAAAGCCAACTGCCTCTCTAAGAGGAATGTTCGGTCATGTCCAATAACTAATGCTGTCATTGGAGCATTCAGATTGGATGGAGTCAAAGATAACATAGTCTTTCCGAGGGAAATCAGCTGAACCGTCCGTTGTTCTCTCAGCCAATCCATGTTACAGTATTTTGGGGCCGCCAGAATAGCATCATCAAATGTTCCGAGGTCATCCGAGCTCAGTGCTTTGGTCAGCCGATCCCTGACACAATCAAACATTTTATGGATTCGTTCTTGGAAGAATGGACAGTGCTTGCAAATCTGAACATGATGACGTCTTCAGAAATTTTAGAAGACAGGCTTACCGCATCATCTGGATCACACTTCTGTATAAATCTCGATTCCAAAAGCTTCTTCTTAACCCTTCCGTCTTTGAAAGAATTCCATTGAAGTTTGAGGATAATAAGCAGAACCACACTTGTCAGCACTACTTTCAATATTCCCGTCCAGCTGTAATTACCCGCTTTCATAACAAAATTGAGGGAATTCGTGGGGTTCGCTTGTCGAGACTTGAATAAGTCGGGAAATCAATTTTTTCCTTATCTGATCCGATTTTTCCCTCAAGAAACTCACCGAAAAACAACGAAATTGCGGAAGATTCGAAGCCAGGGAAGAAGAAGATGCATTGCTCCTTTTCAGCCATTTCCCAGCTGTACGTAGCTATGTGCCGCGGATGGTACAACTCCGGAAATGAACGTACAAATAGAAGGCTTGCGAATGGACAGGCTTCTACGTCGCTTAATCCCCCATTTTCTGAAGCCGGGATTATCCGATTAGAAGGGATGACCAATTCTCGAATATTTCCCGGGTTTTAAACAGCTCCCTCCATTTGTGAAATGAGTTCTCCCAGTATGAAACAACGCACCAAGTTCGCCTTGGATCTTCTCGCGGAGGTTTTGGATAGCAAAAGTGTAAGTTAAAATTTTTTTGACATTCGGTTTTACATTGCAAACTATTTAAATTCGTTGAATTGATTCAAACAACAAAGCCATTTCAGAGGAAGTATGCAAAGATTCAAGCCGTTTCAACTGGTGCTGGCCTTGTTTCCGAGGTCTACCGGGTCGAACTCAGTGACAATACATCGATGAAGTCCAGTATAATTGCAAAGGTACAATGGCTGACTCTTTTAATCTAAATCGCCTTCAGATTCCGAACCATGTATTCCGGGATTTTAAGTCTAGCGAAAAATCAGAAAATTGGAATCCGAAAGAGAAAAACGGTAGGATAAAAAAGTTAAAAAAGTCATCATCTTTTTTAATTATCAATGTTGAATTACAGCTGCAAAGAGTGGCCATCTTGAGCAGACTGTTTGCAGTCTCCACAATCGGGAAGTCCAGTTCTATCGGTTTATAACAGTCGAATCAAAGACTCCACTTAAAATCCCCCAGTTTTTCCATGGAGATTATGTTAGACAAGGTGCGAATGGAGTCATCATTATTGAAGATTTCACCGGGAGCATTGATAAACATTATTCTGAAAGAATGTCCATGTCATTGGATCAGGTAAACATACAACAAGCGGTGGATAAGTGAGGTTGCAGGTGTTTGAAGTGATGCAACAGATCGTAAATCTCCAAAGTATAAAGGCGGACTTCAACGCCTTTAAACTTCTGGATTCTCAGTTGGAAAGCCTTTCGAATTGTATCTTTCTGAGTGCGAATGTATTATTTCACAGAGGATTGCCTTGGTTTTCGCATTCGGTGTTCCAAAAGATTCTCAAAATCAGTGAAGTCAAATATCTGAGGGAATTATTAACGCCAGAAGAGTGCGGTCAGTTTAATTTTGAAGGTGCTCTTATTTTTGATTTTTTCAGTTTTATGCCATGGCGCAATGTGCTTGCGGAATACACTATGGAAGGATGAAAGTGGCCCAAAACTTTTGGCTCTTATTAGTTGGACTGGAGTCCATGCAGGTAAGCTAGATTTTATATGTTCATGTAATGATCCCAGGGTCAAGAACAACGGATTTGGCCACACTTTTGGCCATAAATCTAGACCCAGAGGAACGGCATGTGGTGGAATCTAACTTGCTCCGCGAATTCGTGAAAATGGCTGGATATCAAGAAGAAGAGAAAAAGGTGAGCTCCCCCTCCCATTACTGTCTCCCCATTTAATTGCAACTTGATTTATGATCCATTTCAGATTGTTGAGAATTATCGGAAAAGCTTGGAATTCGGCTTGTTAAAGCTGTTGGTGGTCGTGGTCACCAATCCCGAGTGTGATATCTCGGACGATCAGACGCCCGAGGGCCTGCTGAGCCGTCGTTTGAGCTCCCTGATCGAAGAACTTCTACAGTAATACCTTTTTACTAGTCTATCTAGCATGGAATATTTGTAATCGATGATGTTATCAGTTAACGACGTTTCGAGTTTATGATCTTTTTCCTTTTATGCTCATTATCTTTGATTGCTCTTATTTATGGCATACATCGTGGTCTCTTTGTCCTTTCTCTGAAGTCTACTTCCAAAAAGGGGGTTGATGTTACACCTCGTCGAATATCCGTTAATTAAATTCACTTGTCGGATCCCCTCCTAATTATCTCCAAACTGATTTGAATGTATTTTTTGCACCATTTCTTCTCTCTGAATTGGCCTTAAATAAATCTTTTAACACTTAATTAGGCGCTTTGTAACGGCCATGAATAAGATGGGAAAAGGCGAGCAAAGGCCTTGATTCCCTCGCTCTATTTACATGCCCGGAGTGACTTGTTGAAGACGGCTTCATAAATGCGGTTACCGGGATATGCTTGCGTTAAAGCCCTGTGATCTCCTCCCACAAAAAACGTTGCAACATTTAGGGTTTGTGGTCAAACAAGGAGCACTGGACATTGATGTTGGCCTTAATTTGATGACATACGGTGAGAACAAGGCATGGATATGGACGACAGAGTAAGTAATCATCTTGAAAGGCATTATTCATAATTTTTAAAGGCCTGCGGGAAGCTCTTTGAACAATAAAATAAAACAAAATGTCTCTCGAATTAATTATACGTCATATGCTGGTAACCTTTCGCTTTACAGACCCCTTTTTGCTTTGATCTTTTTCTCATTATTAATATGATTCACGTTACATGCACGATTTATGTTGTTACAAATCTCCCCATAAGCGCTGATCTTGTTTTCCTTTGTAAAATAATCCTTTTTTTTGTATTTTTAAAACATCCGAATTCTTTTGCCATCGAGACTATGCTGACTTTTGATATGGCCCAAAAGTCTTATCAAAGTGTTGGCCTTTTTGTTTTTTTCCATTTGAGGACTTCTTTGTGATGGCCAGACCAAAGGCGGTTAAGTGGTGTTCAAGATGTTCGGCCGGCACCCCCACAAACAATGCTTCCTTCCCTCGTTTCTACTGTATTATTTTAGAAATACATGGTCTGCCCTCAAGGCGATCTACCGCCGATCCTTGAGCACAAAACATACATCTGCTACAGAGAGCGATGGTATGTTCTTCTAACGGTTTGTTTGTTGGCTCTGTCAAACGCAACGGTAAGAATTTCACAATTTTTACAATTTAAATTTAATTAAACTCATGCGTAATAATTTGGAATTGATTAGGACACTTCGTATGTCTTTGTCGTTTATTCTCTAAAGCTTTTTTTCAGATATGGATATCATATGCGCCGTTACATGAAGCCACCACAAAGTTTTATTGCGTCAAAGACGGGTCTGAATGTGACGTCATCTACTGGACTTCGCAGATTTTTCAGATCGTGGGTGTTGTTACGGGAATTTTCGGGATGTATGTAACTGATCGTTATGGGATACGGATGTCGGCAAGTGACCATAAGTCAATTCAAATAAATTTTTAGACATTATGCGGATCAACATTTAATTTCCTCGGGGCAATCGTCCGAGTTCTCTCCAGTTTGCCTATCATTCCTATTCCAATCCGATTACCGTTACTTTACACAGGTAGGTTACTGTATTATGGTGATTAAGTAAACTTCAGGGCAGACAATTGCGGCCATGTCCCAGCCATTTTTCCTCTGTTTGTCCCCAAAAGTGGCCGAATATTGGTTCTCCGATCATCAGCGGGCTCTGGCCAATGCCCTCAGTTTCGTTGGTATGACTTTATAACGACGCCTTGTTCATATATTAAGTATGTATACACTTCTAATATTTCAGCAAACCCTCTGGGAGTTGTGGTTGGCTCCATGATTCCCATGATGTTCGTTTCGAATACAAATGCCACCGAAAATTCCGATGATATCTTGTTTTTGGTAAGGAAGTAATGAAATAATTTTGTTCAATACTTTTTTCTAGAATTTTATGTTGCTGGTTTTATCGGCAGTTGTAATTGTTATGAGTTTCACAATCAGTTCCTCCAAGCCCCCAACTCCACCATCCGCCTCCAGTGAATGCGCCCATTCTCCGCCGTTCCTTCAAGGACTATGTCACTTATTTAAGTGGGTTTCTAACAAATAAAATGTTGTCATTCTAAGAATCTTATTTCAAAATTCTGAGCCTAATTTTAGAACTCCCGTATTTTACATCCAAATGATCACTTTCGGGATGGCTTTTGCCCTCCAATGGTCGGTGTTTATAACTGCCGACAAGATGCTTGGCCTCCTTCAATACAAGGACAAGGTGAGTATTATGTAAAGGACGCATAAGTAAGGAATAATTACAGGTAACCAGCTATTTGATGGCCCTTTCTGCAATCAGCGGCTGTATTGGTTCGGTTTTGGCCGGGTATTTTGTGGATAGGACAAAGAAATTCAAAGAAGTCATCAAGACTTGCTATATTGGGATGGCCATAGCTGCGGTCTCCATTAATGTGGTATGATCTTTGGCCTTGATTATTATAGATTACGGAATAGCTATGTACTTTATAATTTTAGTTTCTCCGACATCCCAAAGCAAACACAATGGACGACGTGACCTTGGTGTTGTTGTTGGTCATCCTCGGATTCTTCGCCATTCCCGTCTTCCCGATTAGTTTGGAATTAGGAGTAGAAACAACGTTCCCAGTGGCCGAGGCAACTTCCTCCGGGATTTTGATAATTGCGGGGTGAGAATGGAGATCATTTCCTATATACATGTTTAGACAGCTATTGATGTTCATGGTCACCCTTGGCATGCAGTCACTAGAGTCATCCAAATGGATCTATCAATCTGAAATTGATTCTTCGCACACTTTGGTCAACTTGTTTGCTAAGAATTATCAATGTAAGACTGCACATACTTCTATGACGGAATTTTTAGTGTCGGTCGATTTCTGGACATTATCAGCAATTTTTTCGGCAATTTTCGCTTGTTTATGCCTTTGGCCACGGTAAGAAATCTAAAGAAATTTACTTTTTATAATTTTCCTGGAAATGATGACTAAAATTTTTCTTCCAGATATCGGCGATTAGAGTTTGAAAACCGAAATATTTACGTCGATGTGGCTAATGGCGCCTCTCAAGCCTAGAATCCTCCAAAATCAGTAATCTCAGCCCTTCTTCACCCTCAACATTCAAAAGACATTCCAAAAAACGCACCTGAATTTCGAGTGGATTCGTGGGTCAAGTAGTCCAGTCCGAACAATTGAAATTGACACCCGTCGAGAGGCGCTGTAACTGTTTACTTGCGCGGAATTGATTGCGCAATATTTGCTTGTCGAGAATCGCCGCTCCATTCTGTGTATTCTGAATGTAAATATTCCTGGAAGTAAATAGCCGGTTACACCCCTGTTTATTTGTGTTGCTTTGATTGAAATGAAATTTGATTTTATCGATAATGTCGTCCAAGATTTTCTCCACGGATTCGTTTGATGCCTCGGCCAAAGGTGCTGGTCAGAAGTATCGGCTGTACAAGATACGATGGGCTCTGATTGCGGCGTTGTTCATCATGAACTTGTTTTATGGAATGGTACTGAGTTTTCAGTAAAAAAATTTTATCAAAAAAATTTTTTTTGACAATTTTATTTTTTTAGTTGTCAAATGCCTTTGACAGAATCCAGAATGTCGCTAATTCCTCGGAAACTTCTTTCCAAAATATTAATTTTTGGTTCAAAATAATTTTTCCGATAGGGTTCTTGACTGCGGCGTTGCCCTCTTCCCTCATCATATCACGCCTGAGTATTCTTCCAAGTGTGAGTACTTATAAAGTGACCTCCACAACATGTTTTTAGATGTATATATCCCTATTCCTTGGTCTGATTGGAATTGGAATCCGCTTCGGTGGATTGTATTTCCCCAGATTCTATGACTATCGATTCTCCATTATTCTATTTGGTAAGTCCATTCTTTGGTAACTCATCTTTTTAGGTCATACTGTAACGTCTTTATCGCACTCGATCTGTCTTATTCTACCTTCCACTTTATCCCATTTATGGTTTCCCTCGGGCCAGAGAACTATGGCCACATCTGTTCCATTTCTCGGATTTATTTTGGGGAAAATACTCTCGGTATTGATCTCAGGATATGTGGCTTCAGTTAACGATACAACAGAACTGATAAATCTCGTAAGAATAAATTTTGTATTGTTTATCTTGGAGTTAAGACTTGTGCCCACGGAATATTCGCTTTACTGCCCGCGTTCCCATTATTTCTGGTCTGGAAAAGTCGGCCGAGGGTACCACCAACAAGTTCAGCGGACAGATTTCAATTCGAATATCAGATCCCTTTACCGGAAAGTTCTAAAACAAGTAGGTTTGGCACTTATCATCCTCATTCGTAACCTTGTTTCAACATTTTTCTTCAGGTACCCTAAACAACTATGTAATAATTGGGCTGACCACTGGCTGCGTATTATTTCTCTTCGATATCCACGTGCACATCCTTGAGTCCATTGAGACCCCAACTAAACTAAAATATGTCAATTCATTGACTCTTTTTGTCATTTCCATCATCGGAACTTTAGCTTTCAGTGGAATTGTTGACTCCTCATATGCCCACAAGACTGTATTCCGTGCCTGTCTTTCTTTATCAACATTATCGGCCAGTTTCTTGTCATTAATGAGTCTGATGACATACAAACAAGCCCTGGCGATCGGATCCTTATGTCTGATGGCCTTTTGTTTGGTCAGTTTGATTTCTGTTGGTCATGAAATGATGATTGAAATGTCTTTTGGAAATGGAACAACATCTCCATCTGCCTTTATTTGGACCATTTGCAATGTGGTTCAACTGGGGATGATGTGTTTGTACGAGTTCTTCAAGGGTGTTTATGATGATGACCATAGTGTGCAAGGTAACGAATATAAAATTTTTTCTATTAATCTGTATTTCAGTCGTTCTTTGGACGGCAACTGCCATTTTTGTCCTGACTTTCTTCTTGGCCATCATTGCCCTCAAATTTGTCCCTCGACGCAAATTCTACGAAGATAATGCGAACTCAACGAGGATCCGAGATATTTTAAATGGCGGGATTCTGAGCTCAGATGAAGTCAGAACCGTCTTGTAATCGATATAATATTCAGATATACTTTTAATAACGGTTATTGAAATAACAGAGAGTAAACAGACATATAAAATAAGATAGGATTCAACTCGAAATAAATTTGTTCGAAAAAATCGATGCAAAAAAAAGACAAAGCGCCAATTCCTGAGGGGAAATACGCAGTCCTGAATCTTGGAAGAAAAGTTTGGGCGGGAAATATTGAGGAAGTTGAGGGAATTGGACACTCAATTTTTTTAAACGTGCTTGAGGTTTTTATGAAGCGATAATTCAATTTATACATAGCTTATGCAGATGCTCAATTTCTTAAAGCAGAATGCAAAAAAAAACTTTACGTAACCAATTCTGTGCGAGGCCCATTGAATCTCCAAATTCACACCCAAATCTCGTTTCTCCAGTCTCAATTCAATTAAAACACTTAAATATTTAAATTGCGGGCCGTTTTCTGACATCAGCTATCTGCAATTTGCTACTCCGGCTCTCTTTAGCCATGCAATGCTTTCCCAAGAAGTAACATAAATTTCATGTGGATTATCAAAGCCTGAGATTTTTTGTTATGCCGTTCTTGCCGTGCGGCGGACGGTCTGGAGATTTGAGAATAAGTGTAATCCACCCATTTGAAATGATCTCCCCGAGTTGTTTCCTTCAGGCCCAACAGCATTAACGCCTAATCCGACGTTTTTTGTCTTCCTCCGCCACAAAATTCTCTTTTCAGCCGGCCGTTTGAAAGCTCTTACAATTTGTCTTCAGGCATTTGGATCGTCGTTGAATTTGTTTGTTCAGTAAGTAAGTTGTATCAGTAAGTTGGCAAAGGAATAAATTAACGTTTTAAGGATCAGATTCGTTGCGGATGCCTCACCTTCAACGCTTAAAACAGTTTATTCATCATCGACGGAAAATCGAGCGGCGTTTGATGACATGGCTTCTAATTTGTGGACTCGTTATGATCATATTTTATGTTTTGTTGGTGGTCGGAACAGGTTTTTATATTCTCTACAGTCAATTACTTTCGAGGAATCCGGTACTCGAGATTCGACAACAATTTCGATTGAATGAAGACCCAGTTGTCCAGCTATTATCAGACGGTATGGCTGCAGAGGAAGGAGATGACGCAAATCCAGATGTTGCCGTTCAAAACAGACCCATTGATATTGGCGTAAATAGAATGCTCAGGATGAGGAGATTGATTAATAGGGAGAGGGTGCGGATTAAAAGGGAAATCGTGACCGATCTTCGGAATGAAACAATTATTGGTGACAAATCGAGGCCTAAAAGGACCACTTGTTCCGAGCAAGGTAAATCTCTGCTTTCTGTTTCATTTTATTGCCATTTCTCCAGCCCTTGGTCATATTCCCAATAATTCAACTGATGCTGACGATGTTTTCCCCGATGATCTTTTCACTTTCGATCAACGTCGTCACGGAGCCATCATCTTCCATTTCTGCGGCCTCTGTTATATGTTTGTGGCCTTGGCCATCGTTTGCGATGAGTATTTCGTTCCGTCACTCGGGGTGTTAACGCAACAGGTAATTGAAACACAAAAAGAATTAAATATCGAACTAATCTTCTAACTTTTTTCAATTTGCAGCTCGGAATCTCAGACGATGTAGCGGGCGCTACCTTCATGGCTGCTGGTGGTTCGGCCCCAGAGTTCTTCACCTCCTTATTTGGGGTCTTCATCACTCAAAATAACGTCGGCGTGGGGACTATTGTCGGCAGCGCCACCTTTAATATTCTTTGTGTCCTTGCCTTCTGTTGCCTTTTCTCGCGACAGATATTACATTTGAAATGGTGGCCAATGTTCAGGTAAGTATACACAGTTGCCACTTCCGCTTTACCATCTTCCAGATTTCTCATAAAAATACTCAAATTAATAACAAATTTGTTTTAGAGACATGTCGTTTTACGTGATGGCTCTGTTCGCGTTGCTGATATTCTTCCGTGACGAACAGGTCGACTGGATCGAGGCGTTCTTTCTCTTCTCCATTTACATTTGTTATGGGGTTTTTATGAAGTACAATGAATTCTTCGAACAAATGAGTGGCCGACTGTTTTCTGGTCGCACAGCTGTCACACCGCAAGCCCAATTGGTCAAGGTAAATTCGCGATTACGCTTGACTTGAATTAAAAATATATAACCATCTCAAGCTTGATATTACTGTAGATTGAACAAGATATTTCCAATGGCCGTACTGCCAATGAAGCCACAAGTACTGAGAACGGTCCCAAGGTTGAGAGAAACATTCCTGTTCTCCATTCCGGCGCCATGTTTAGAACAGGCCTTATGCATATGGCTCTAGAAGATATGGAGATTGCATCTGACACTTCTTCTTTACCAGGTGGAGGTAAAAATAAGTCTGCCTTCAACAACGTTTATTTTAGTCTCCACCTTCTCGATCCCTCATGACTCCCCTCCTAAACCAAGACTTGTTAAAACAAAGTCCCAACCATCGATTACACCATTAAAATTAAAAGCCGCAAGACTAGGCAAGTTAATTTCATACAAATCATTCACTCTCACGGGCATAAATATTAAGTAATCCAAGTGTAACAGATGACATAAAATTAATTGAGTGTTAAATGGTTTAGCCCCAGCCCGTTCTCTGGCCGCATCCGTCATCGAACTGGACCGTGTGAGTATGGCCTCATCCGCTTGGTCCAACTCAACAGCTGTTGTGGATTCGGCGGTTATAAGTAACGGAAATGGTATGAAGAAAGACCGTGGAAGCATCGCGATGACAAAACAGAAGAGTATTGAGACCGAAATTGAACAGCCAGTCGATATATCATGGCCAAATACCACCAATAAACGGGTCATGTATATTATCTTGATACCAATCATGATCCCGTTGTATTTTACGCTCGCGGACGTCAAGAAACCGGTAATTTTAAAAGCAAAATACAATTTTCTAGTCTACTGTCTTTTTAAGGGCCTAAATTTCTGACAGAAAACTTATTCATCTTCAGGGACGCGAAAGGTTCATGATTTGGACATTCAGCGGAAGCATTCTCTGGATCGCACTTTACTCCTATTTGATGGTTTGGTGGGCGAATACGATTGGGTCAACGATCGGGATTCCAAATGAAATTATGGGACTTACGATCTTGGCGGCTGGAACTAGTATTCCAGATCTCATTACAAGGTAAAATACAAAAAAAGAATTGCCTTAAGGTTGCTTTTTTAGTATCATCGTAGCACGAAAAGGGCTTGGTGATATGGCGGTGTCAAGTTCTATCGGTTCAAATCTCTTTGATGTCTGTGTTGGGTAAGTTGCAAATGTGATTACCTCACTTGCAATTTGCAAGATTGAAAAATAATTTTGATTTTCAGTCTCCCAATCCCTTGGCTTATGAAGTTTTCTTCTGATTTTGTGTTCAAATCCAGGACAGAATCCATTGCCGTCGTTTCAAACGGTCTTATCTGTTCGGTTGGGATGCTCTTCTCCATGCTACTCATCCTTTACCTATCTGTTTGGGCATTTGGATGGAGGATGAACAAGAAGTTTGGTTTCACCATGATCACTTCTTACGTCCTTATGTGCATATTCAGTGTTCTCTTGGAGCTGGACATCGTTCTATGCCCTTTGAGAAGGCTGACTCATCATTGTTAGGGTACAAAATACATATTGTTACACAAATATATCAATTTAAAGATGATTTATAATTCTCGGATTGAGTTAGCTTATTCATAAGTGAAGGTCGGCAAGGATCAAGGCTATTTTTATTATCCCAAGTTGTTTGTTCAGATGGCCCTGAAAGAATGGACTCAATCCATAGGTCGGGCGTCCTCAAGGACTCGTCTACGTATTGCGCGGATTAATTCTCTGGATTAATGACTTTCTTTTTTTACGAGGCTTCAAGAGTCATTTCTTTTATTGTCTTTAATCCGAGACCATGACTTGCATTGTCAGATAACTATGTACAAACAAGGATAACTAAATGGAATACTCAGTAACAGGCTACCGATTACAATCTATAAATTACATAGGATCTTTCCATGACTGAATCAGGAAAGTAATTTGGGATTATCGACGGGATAAGGAGGTGGGGGAGAAGAGGAAGCGAAGAACTTGGCTTCATCTAATGTGGGTCCTCGCTGAATTGGAGGATTCTGGGGTGACCGAGACTTTTGGATGTACTTATAAGTCTTCTGGATTAAGATGACGATCGAACAAAAAAGACAGGTGAACGATGCCAAAAGGATCAAGGTGTTTAAGGTGATTGGAGGATCTGGATGTGGAGGAGGTGGGGGATTCCAGTATTGATGGGACATCTGATTGAAGATGGGAAGTTCAGTTGACGGCTGAGACATTTTGGGGATCTAAAGCTTAATTCAAGTTACTTACAAGTACAATTTAATTAAATAATGATTGAACATCCCTTACCGTTTGATCACAATTCTTCCCATGATATCCCGAATCGCAATGACAGACCTTGACACCTCTCATAAACGCACATTGTCCATGAACACAATCATTCAGAACACATTCACTGCTGATATGTCGATCACACAAAGGTCCCGAATACCCCAATTTACATTTGCAACTGTAGGGTTTCTCGGAACAAGAGCCATAAACACATCCTTCCCTTCGAATGCATTCATTACAAGTCTCTCGAATCCATCCAGAATCACACACACAGACTCCAGGAGATACACACTGGCCATGGCGACTACAGTTGGACTGACAATAAGGCTGGTCACAATTCGGTCCCAACCATCCTTTATTACACACTTTTCCATCTCTACTGCACACATAATGATCAGTCATTTTGGGAGGTTCGCAGGAAATGTTACAGTATCTCCCAACAAAATCGTCGGCACATTGGAGACTTGTGTTGTAGATCATTGTGAACTGTTCGCTCGACTGAAATTTCAACTTCGAAGTTTGGCGGAATGGATGCTTTTTGAATTTAAAAAAAAGTTTTGATACTTACAATCTTGTGTTTCATATAATTCGGGGCATTTTCAAGAGTATTAAGAGATGAGTAAGCGGTATAAACTTCTTTTTTGGTCTCAGAGTTTCTGATCGACAACAGAAATACAATCTGAAAACGAGTTAAGGTCAAAGTTATAGCAAAATCTATAAAGCGTTTAGATCTACAGTAACCCCTCATTTCCGACAATTGTGATGCAAGAAAGTGTATAATATCACAAAGACGACGCATCTGTTGCTCTTTCCCCCCTCACGGATAATCTACTCTGAACAAGGTCACTTGAAAAACAGAAGAAATCGATCCGATTGGATATCCGAAAAGGGTTGTGTAATAAGGGATAAGAGCTGATGAATAAAAGGTAACCCTGATTCGAGGCAATTGGTCACACGTGTTCTGGCATGTGGCACATTAATTACCTCAAGACGAATATTTCGAGGGTGCAAAGATTGCGCAAGAATTATTTGGGTAATTAATTGGGGATGGCGTCGAGATGAAGTTAATTTGCAGCACAAACCGGATGTTTTAAGGTTGATTTTTACTATCTAGTAGTGGATGATTATAAGTAGTACTAAAATCATATAAATAAAGAATATATTATTTTAAATTCTGAAGAAGATTTTGTTCTCTAAACAAGGTGATTTTTGATAAATTAATCTGAATATTCCGCATTATAGTCGTCCGATTACGTCACACTTCCGATTGGATGCTCAAACAAAGATCAAACCCCTCCGCCCTCAATATTTATGGGTGACCCCGCAAAGAAAGTTTTAATTCCAATATAGGGCGTTCGAATTAATTATGCAAATTAGATCAAGCAAACAAATCTTTTGTTTCCAATCTCTCTCTATTCTTCATCTCCAGTGCTATTCAAATCTCAGGTAGTGTTTTTAGACTTTTAAAAGCCCATAAAACGAGTCATGTCAGTTAATTGGAATCTCATTCACAACAGATGCATTCTGGAGGAGAAAAAAGACAGAAGTCCTCGGATAAGTGCATAAAATGTGAAAGGATATGATGCAGATGGTCGATTAAAGTAATCGAAATCAACAAATTGGAAGTAGAGATGCTCGATTTTTCATACCCGCATACAAGAAGCTCATAAAGCATTGACATTTCAGGCAAATGTTATGGTAAAAAAATAAAGCTCACCGGATATGTCAACGTCCCATTCAACGACAGCTGATGCTTTTGATAGTCGATTCCCGGTGAACAATCAAACGAAATGTTGGCTATAGTGTTCGACAGAATCTCGTTATATAGCTGCAGATCACAAGAGAGACTCCTCTCTTCAGATTTGACTGAACTGACCACAAAGTTTATATAATTTGTAGCATTTAGGCGTCGTATTAACATCAATAAAAGTAACGACCAGATCAGCGTCGGGTTCATTTCTATAAAAATAAAATCATAAAATGCCTAAGGGCAAAATGCAAAAAATGAAACACGTGAAAAGTGTAAAACAACCTCTGGATGGGCGGATATTAAAAATAAAGATCTTAACTTCCCTATGATCTAAATGGGATAAACGGAAGGAAGGAAACAGATTCCCAAATGGAATACAGTAACCGCAAATCAAAACATTGCCTTTCGTGAGAAGAAAAGACGTTTCGAGGGGAACAAAGAAAGAATATCGGGCTCTTGTGAGTCGAGTAAATAAAAATTATAATCGATAAACTTAAATTTTCCAAGATATTTTTATGTCATCGTCTACTCATAAAGATCACAATTTTTTTGACCAAAAGGTGGAAAATAAATAATCATAATGCCCCTCATCCACAATTACAGTAAGCCCGGTTACAACAATTTCTTTGATCTTCCTTCATTTGGCCCCTCAAACAAGGGATGAGATCTGGCAAAACGCTGCGCCCTGGAATGGCTTTTATTAAACATAACGAAAAGGCGGGATCGAAGAGAAATCCGGGGCGGGCAAAAAACAAATTTCCAAAAAAAATTGGATGATGAATATTTTTCTTATGAATATTACTCGGCGATTTCGCCCACAAAAAAGCTGATTTTTTGAAAACTAATCGAAAAATTAGGGGATACGGTAGGGAAAAATATGGATTATAGAAATAACAATTATCATTGATGCCAGCCAAATAAGTATGGCTGCAATAGTTGATAAAATATCGCTTACGAAAATTTGCTGAAAGGTGAGAAGAGGGAAAGACTAAAATTTCTTACTCAAAGATTGGGCAAAAAATAGAAGATGCACCGTCTAATTTGCGGCTTTTTTCATTGTTTTTTTTTGTTTCCGTTGCGGATCTTTTGCCCAGTGACATAGCCACAAATTTATCGTTTCCGAAAATTAGACGGAGCAAAGAAATTTGAAAGTAATGCAGATTTAAACCGGCATGATAAAAAATTTTGCCCGTCTTTTCCAGTCGAAGGATATGGTAATTACTATAGAGTTCTCACTCTATGTATTTAACAATAAACTCTGTCATGATCATAGTTTAGTCTAACTTTCCGTAAAACAACTAACCCAAGTCTGCCCGCAGACCACCGGCGGAAAAACGGACCAAAATTGGGTTTGATGGAATTTCTTTGAAGTTGACGCCCATTTAAATATAAATCAGAGGGAATTCAGCCATTTCCGAGGATCCAAAGGAGGCAATTCCAGATCAAAGCAAGTACTTCGACTCAATTAAATCTTTGACACAAAGTAATACTAAACGTCACATGCCTGTTGGAGGTAGGTTTTATACAATATTGGACGGTATTCAGTAACTGGAAAGCAGTAAAACAGAGGTAATCTCAGAAAATACATATAATCGAACGATGTGTTAGACAAGCAAGAAAAAATTCCATCAAAATAAATACTTTTTTTCCTACTGTATTAATCATTAGTAAGTTTATTTTTTTGGGATTCTTTCTTTGTATTGTTACACCTTTCTGAAACATTGGATTCCTCTTCTCGGTCCAAAGACCATTCAGAAAAGAATTACAGTAAGACCAGCAAAGGAATCCAACCGAAATTGCAAACATAGGGACCCAACGTTTCAACCAAAACAGAGAAAATATCTTAAAAAAGCCGGTTCTGCATTCAAATTCGATCTGAAGACGTCCCCAGAGATGGTCGCGCACCTGTCCATCTTTATTTAAATTAGACAAAAAACGAAGAAGACACACGTGTTATCTAATTCCATCTACAAACCAAAGGTAATTCCCTCCGCGCTTCCGATGGAGACATGCAAATTTGAGTGGTGGTGGCGTCACAAACGGGACGAGTCAAGATGGCCGCAGTGATAGCGGACAATAAAATGGATACGGACACGATAGAACAGGTGAGATCTCACTAAAACAACAAGTGCAAGGCTCGTTGCCGAACAAATAGCCTCATCGCGCGCACCCTTTACAAGCATACGCTCACTTTACCTACTTAGAATTTTCCACCAAAGCTAGCCACAAATTCAATTTACAAGTCTTTACTCGTTATGAAAAGTTAGTTACAAGATATGGCATGGATTCACAGTCACAATTTATAATTAATGGGTGTTCTACTCCTCAAATTGTATCTCGATCCATTATCTCCGCCGCCTTCTGCCTGATGATTTCTTGGTTCTTCGGCTTCCGGGGCTAGAGCACGACGTCTGGTCCTCTTTGGTTGTGGCTGATCAGGGACAGGATCAGGCTTTTTGGAACGACCTCCTCGTTTCTTGGGCGCAGGGTCACGGATTGGTTCGGCCGCAGGCGTCGAGTGGAGTCTGTTGGCTCTTCTAACTGGTGGTGGAACAACGGTCTTTGATCTCCTCGGCTTAGGCGGTGGTACAACATTTTTCTCTGGTTTTGGTGTTGGAACAACCCTTCTCGATCTTGTTGGAGCTTGCTGTCCTGCCCCCACCGCGACCGCAGCTTTGGGCTGAACTTTCCGATCTCTCAACCTCCTGGAGATAGGTGGAAGAACTTCAGATGGTAATTCACTAATCCTCGGTTGAGGTAATGGTTCAACTTTTCTTCGGAGTCTCTTGGCCATTGGAACCTCAGGCTCGGCTGTTAGTGGTTGACGCTTTGCAGAAGCAGCCTTCTAAACAAACAAAAAACTAAATAGGTAGAACTGTAACATACCGACGTCGTGGGCTTTTCGGCCTTTTTGAAGGTTCCCTTGCGCTCAGCTTTTCGTGGATGCTTGTTCCGAGTGCTATTCGTTGGGATCTCAACACCGTTTTCTTCAGTAGCAAGGAAGACATCATCGTGTAGATTTACTGGAGTTTCTTCTCTGGAACCTGAGGGACGGATGGTCTGGAAATGATTGCCGTAATCATCTCATAAATTACAATTATACTTAATCAAGCAACATACCATTTCACATTCTTGATTAACGGGCAGATCAGACCGACTGAATGACAGAACTCTGGGACGCAGAAAACTTATACGTTCATCTTCGTTAACCTTATGAAAGCTCCCGTCGGCCTCATCAACAGATTCCTTCAGCTCTCCGTTCTCATCGAAAAAATTATTGTACTCGTCTGCCAGATCGTATAACGTCAAGAAGTTGTACCTGGCCTTCCGATTGGCCAGACGTTCCTTAGCGTATTGTTCGAACAGCTGAAACGAAAGTATGAGACATCTTGACAACAGTTTCTGCCGTTCAGTCCAGAATTCCAAAAAGACAAAGATATCAATAAAACCCTTACGTAATTCTCGAATAGAGATTCCCGTCTGATGCCACAATCGCGGAAATGGTCTCGAAGTTCACCAACACTCTCCGGCTTTCGCTGAAATCGCCATCCTTCCTTGACGTAGAGCACTTTCATTGCTCGTTCCCATCGATCTGGATCATTGCTCATCCTCTAAAGTGCTGTATAGACAACGATTATTCGTAAAAGTATCGAAACGACAAGAAACGACCGCCCAAACAAAGAGCAAATGATATCAAACAATTTATTTATCGTAAATACCTTTGAAAGGCCAAAACAAAATAATATTCCCGCTACAAAGAGTTAATAAATAATCTACTGTACGATATAGCTCTAAAGGTTCAAGAATGATTAAACAAACAAGTTCCCACCTAAATTTTTTATAAGAAATTTTCATACGTTTAAAACCCTTCGAACCCGCAAAAAATTACGCATTCTAAAAGCCAAACGTGGAAATTGAACTTGAACCCTGATGTAATACTACTCTAGAAATACCTATAATTATTCTACTGCATATTAATGAGAAACTCAACTAAAATAAAGATTAACTATATGAATCATGGACCTTCAGCGTCTTGTTGTAAAGTGGTTCATCGGTCTTTGGCAGTGTCCCAACGCTTCGAGGAAGTAGGAGGAGTTCAAGAAGTCTAAAGTAACATTTCTTAAACCATTTATCCCAACAAAATATTAAGTCATAACAATAATAGAAGTAGTTTGAGAGACTGGGAATCTTTTTTCAGATGTCATGAACAACGTAAAAAGGTAAGAATATCAAGAATGAAAGATTTAGAAAGGAAGACATTAAGGTAGTCGAAACATAAAACGTCCCCAAATAGTTTCAGTTAATTTTACCCAGACAGTTACTCCTCAAAATTACAACTGATACAATAACTCACTATTCCACCAGTTGTTCGAGAAGAAATGAGATCTCTCTTCGCATTGGACCATCTCCTGAGAAGCTCTTCTGATAGCCAGATCGCTTCTGGTAACATCTTTCGAACCCACCACGGCCCTGGAACGACGTCTTCTATTTCCGAATCTGGTGCATGCAAAATTGGAGGCAGTAAACACAAAACGTGCCGGACCTGCGGCCCGGAACATCTTGATGGGCTCAGGCAACATCTTCGGATCCTGGACTTAATGTAACGCTCATAGAAAAAATACTTACTACTCCCATCAGAGGGAAAGTGTGTCCAGTCTTTTCCGGATCCACCAACTCCAGAGGAATAAAATCGCTGCGAATCTTCTGATCATACGACAACACCATAACTAAAGCAATATCAAAGGCTGTTTAATGGAACACACCAGTTCTTTCCGACAAACTTTGAAGCAAAACAGGCCACGGAACCGGAGAATATCCACTGCAACCCAAGTCCTTCCAAATTGTAGTAACTTTGCCATTGATCCGGGCCTTCACTTCTCCAACTTGAATCGAAATGGACAATTCGCCTGAACAATAAGTTACATCATGATCAAACTTACATGGTAAGTACGCAAGCAGCTCACCTCCGCCAAGAGCCACCTCTACTGATGATTGCATCATAACAGGAGAGACAAAATTGTTTTGACGGCTTACGATCACCCAATAGCCGTTCGTGTCCACTGAAATGCAAGCAGGTTTGACCGAGTACAACGTAAACATACTTTCATTGGCGATCATCTTGCTAGGATCCATATGATAATTGAAAACCCGGCATAACATGTTATTGGCGAACGCTTCAGCAAACCATGCCACCTTCTGGCGAGGTACCTGCTTCGTGATGAAGCTGGTCAGAACATAAGTGGCCTCCTTGATCTCAGTGTACATTATCCCCGGTGCCGCGTCCGAACCTAAGACAATAAGAAGTTATAATAAAGCTCTCAAAAAAGGTAATAAGAACCGCGCAAGGTTGCAATCGGCCAACCCTTCAGCTGAGGAACGGTCGATCGACTGCTTCTCGGTCGAAATCCACGTCTCTACAGAATGCCAAGTCCAAAACTACAGAAATTGAAATTCGTGTTGAGACCAACTGGTACAAGCGACGAAAGAAGAATTCGAAATCGGACTTGACCCCAACGTGTAACCTCCGTATGGAAAACGTGATGGGAGCTCCGCGACATCTTCGCATTCATATTTATTCTTTCATATATACATTGCATACATTGTGTTTCTTTGTGTTATATCAAGTTCCAAATTTTGCAGCAACGGTTTATTTGATTATACAACACATACAAAATGTTTAACAAGTTTTATTGAGTATAATATTATTAACATAGATAAGCGCAAAAACAAGTAGTTTGTAAGTTCCCTGAAAATGGAGCGCCTTTTCTCTGCGCTCACGAATATCTTGCATTCATCTGTCTACCTAATGGACAACACATGAAAAAAAGAGAACAGGGCCGGGAATCCCTCGAGATCGCGTTACACCCACATTTAATCAATTACCTCCCCAGTATCCCCGTTTTGTGCAAGAGTAACTTTACTTGCTACTTGACGATTAATAATATCCTCCCCCTCACCCTCGTCCTCAACTTCCCTCAATTCCCGTTCCGCAACTTGTTGGCATTTCTCGATCAGAGCTGAAAAAAATAGTTTAGCGTCTTTCGAAGGGGCAAACATTTAGGTACACCATAAAGAAAATAGACTTACTGTCCATGTTCTTTGATGATTCCTTTAGCAATTCTAAAGATCTCAACGTATGCTTGGCAGGCAAATAGAAGATCGGAGGTTTTGTTTGGGTCTGGATGAATAACTTCAGACGTCCGAAATGAGTTTCCTTCTCTTCCAACTAAAATGAAACGTATAATTTTATTCAGAATGGACTTACATTTTTCTGGATTGCTGATTTCTTCTTAAGTTTATTAATTTCGGCCTCTTTCTCCCTCTTCTTGGCAATGAGATCACCCTTCTGTTTAAACACCTTTTCCTTTTCTTCTTTCTTACTTTGTTCCAATCGCTTCTCCACTTCTCGTTGCTTTTGTACCTAAAAAACACTATACACACAAAAACAAGGGCTTACCTGTGCATCAACCTTCGGAGCAACGTTCTTCTCCTCCTTTTGAAATTTGTCCAACGTTCCCATCAGAAGATTCCCAAACAAACGACGATTCCTAAATTAATATTTTTGAGTAATAGTGAGTAATCACAGTACCTTTTGCTGTCTTCCGCCTTTTCGCATTGTTTCAATTTGCTGAGTGTTTCTTCTCGTGACTTTGTCTCAATTGGAAGTACCACACTGGATTGTAGAGATCTTCTTGGGATAACGGGAGCTGGACCACTGATGGGAATGAAACGTCGTTGCCCATTATCCTCGTGCCCACTACGTTTTTCTCTTAACACGGATGGTAATAGATACATTATTGAACTTACTTTGGCTCTGGCTCGCTGTAAACTATCACCTTCCGCTTGGCACTAAAACAAAATTTAACGTTCTTATTGTTAAAACAAACAGTTCAAAGGAAAGACAAGGGAAATAGGACCATCTCTTACCTCTCTCCACCTTCCGGGGCTTTGACTAGCAGGCGTTTTCTAAAATTCGGTTTAAATTATGTAAACATATGTTACCTTGACTCCGGTTCTCTATCACCATCGCTGATTGTAATAGGTCTTCTTGCCGGTCTAAAATGAAAAAGATACTTATTTAAGCCGGTTGGTACTTACTTCTCAATAGAACGCCCACTCAAAGCAGCGATGTTTTCATTGATTTCCTTTAATTCTCCCAACGCCTTCTCCAGTTGGGTTGATTCGACCTCCGTCATCCTCAGTCTCTTAATATCAACACGATCAATAAACAAAGATTTTTTGACAGTGAGTCCAAAAATGAATGAAATCTTTTGCCGAAAAACAGAAAAATAATTCCGAAGATCCGCCGTTGTTTGTTTTCGTGGCGGGACGCAATCGCAAAGTTTTACTGCGGAAACTCGCAACGAGCCATAAATAACGCAGCGTTTGTAATTGAGGGACCGAAACGATTTTATTTTATAATTTACATTTTAACAATTTGTGTTATCGAGATTTGGCGGAGAGGTATAACCAGTAGATGAGGTTGCAAACGGCGAATGTGATTGGGAACAGTTTCTGGCAGAATCTAAAGAAATGCGGTTTACAGTAATAATGCCAACCTATCCAAGTCTTCCCCGGTCCATTTGTCGAATAGCTTTGGTGTGATAGCCTTGACGGCACCTTTTCTTCGGAATGACTTTTTCCAGAAAGATCCGCCTCTGGTTCCAGTTCGGGAGGCCGGAAGTGATCGAGCTGAGGGTGAATTAGGTGCGGGAATGTCACCAGTAGTATCCGTTTGAGGGCATTCCACAAAGGTAGCATCCTCGAGGTTGGCCCAAGTGCTCTTCTTCCATTCTGTGGAAGCACCGGCATTACTATCAACTCGGCGGACACGATATCTCTATAATGAGGTGATGGTTTTTTTTGATGAACTGCCTTTTATGTAGATGAATAAGATAACTTACTGGATTGCTCTGTCGTTCCCCGATAGCTTTTTGGAACGCTCGCCGTGCCAAATCTTTATTCGATACAATACCCGTTTCAAAATATTCAACCGGTTGAGAGAGATCTCTTTTGAAGTTGCGTTTTTCCAACGATCCAACAACAGCCAATTCAACAACAGTCAAGAAAATAAAAGCCAAACAACCAAAGGAGAAAACGTCAACGGCCTTTACATAGCTGACCTAAAAGAAGAAGGATTAGACAAAGAATCATCAAAAATGTGAGATTAAAAAAGTACTTACCTTAGGGAGAGATCGAGCAATATTACTGTATTGCAAAGTGAGGGCCATCAGAGATGATACGCCCAAAGTGACCCGTGCAGGCAGGGACCGGCGGTCCAGCCAGAAAGAGATAAATGAAATGAAAACCATACAATATGTGGGCATGTAGATTTGAAGAATGTAGAAACCAAAGGAACGCCGGAAGAAGATTTTAATACTCAACTGAAATCATTCATTCTGTATTTCTTTGAGCACCATTTACCTTTACAATTATGACTTTGAAATTTCGAAAAAAAAGATTTTTAAAATCGCCGGCACATGCCAAATAATCGGAAATCTTTCGCGCTTGTCATTTCGAATTTCGGAGGTGATTGACGGACGGGAATTTGATTGATTACATGGCCAAGAATAATATTTGTGAAGAACCAACTGACTGCACCCCAACTTACTTGATCCCAAACACCAGCTGGATAATGGAATGTGGCCTTCTCATGGACAAAGTGAGTCATCATAAAGTCGGGTAGATTAATGTCACCGATGATCTCAACGGGTACTCCTTGTCGTTTCCAGAATAGTCGCACTTTCCCAACATTGAAAGAGTAACTCTCGAAGACAGTAGTGCATTCGACTTGGTCCATCTGGAAGAAAAACGTGCAAATCTTTGATAGTCTTCTTTCATTTCAATAATACACTGTTATAAACATGGAATGACAATTGCGGGATATCATCTGCAGGTCATGCAGAAAGTCCCCTGAATGTATTTTTCGCCGAGTTCTTCCATTAATTAATTATTAATTATTGTCACATCTATAGACATCTTCGGGATGAATGGGAGAAATTCAGAATCGTCAGGCTATTGTCATAACAAAACCTAGCTCGTCATGACAATATCAAGTAAGACAAATACTAGTGTTCTTACCGGGAAAGTAGTGAATTCGAAGGTGCAGGGAGATTCAACAACAATTCGGTAATTCATCCAGATTGTTCCGTTGGGCAAAATGGCCAAGAATATGTTAGGAGTAGGTGAGGAATGGACTCCGGCTGCTTTGGAGTTCACCAAACACACATTGGGAAGCCAGATACTCTCGACCATTCGATGGGATAACGAGAGATTGGCCACACATTGGGCTCCTTCTTCATGTTCGAATGAAAGACCAGGGTCATGCCATATCTGTGAGAAAAGGATATCCATCTTTGAAGATGACGTGATTTCATTTATCTCTGTTACTTTCTGGATCAACAGTTCCACGTCAACATCCACTCCGGAGATTTTGGGGACCAGATTTCGGTCGTACCTTTGCAGAATTCCCGTGAGTATTCTAAAATTGTATTCATTGCATTTGATGTCAGCTTCGTACCGAGTGGCGTGTTTTTCTGCCTGTCCCAAAATGCATTGGTCTCCACTTTCTGTGTACAATTTAAGTTCCTCGTCAACATCTCCTTGAATGACACATTTCCCCGTGATTACGTTCCTCGTGAATCCGTTTCTGCATTCACAAGTGTAATTCCCATCATCCCATGTTTTACAATACGAAGAACGAAGATCACACTTGTCACATTCTGTAAAGTTTATGACTTTGATGAGCAGAAACATCATCTAAACATATGTCTAGGAGGGAGAATGAAATCGGATACTTATGATCCCCAGATCCCTTACAGCCGTTTCCAATGCACTTGAACCCTTTTTAATGTCATCATACCAAGCTTGGCTGAAATCCTCGACTTTGCTCTACCGGAAAAAACGTTTCGCAAGACCGCAATGACATAAAGATTATGTAAATCTGGTGAAAAGCCTGAGGCATTCCCCAAACTTTTCGTTTCTCCTCGTATTTAAAAAAGGGCCCTGGATCTGTCGTTGAGCTGAGTGACATCCCGCTGACCAATCTCTGACTTTTAATTTAAATTGGCCACGTTACAAGATTGATAAGACTGAAATCGACAAAGTGCCAAAAGTTGCGCACATTATCCAACGGTCAACCGCTACGTCAACCAGACTTGCGAAATGTCCGAGATCACGTGAGTGCTGAGAAATGAGGAAGAGGAAGGAAGTGAGATGAGAACACAAACGTTCGAAGCAAGAAGTTCAAAAAAAGAAAAGTTGCAAACTTTGAGCAAACCTTTCGAACGATGTTTGTGAGAGATTTCGGCAGGGGCTTCAGTGGCACGTTGAGCGGATTCCGGAGCCACTAGAAGCATGATTAAGACCAGCAGGAACTGAGACCAATCCGTCCGCCTCATCGCCCCGTTTGGAGGAGGATTTGCAAAGCCGGTGTTCTGGGTGGCCTTGTCTTCAAATCCAGGGCGTCTCTGAAAGTACGCGATGAAGAGCAGCCCATCAACAACATATCAAGTGCGGCCGAGAACAATATGAAAACTTTTGATCCCTTGCCTTTGGCGCCAAAAAAGTCAAAGCCAACTAATTGCCGGGTTAACTTTTCTGGAAGAAGTAAGTGCGGCAGCGGGTCGGAAAGGCACAATGCCTCATTTAAATAACTCGAGAACAAAATTTAAAACAACTCAAGACACGCTTCCATGATTTAGACCGAGGTGGGAAAAACCGCGTAAAATTCAAAAATTGAGTTTTTTTATGCACCGGGTCACTTCCGAAGCCAGCGCCGGTTCCGGAGTCTACCGAAAAAAGGCGGGACTGCCTGAGAGTGGGAGGAAAAACGGTGTTGATCATCGGATTTACGCTTCACGAAATCAAATGTAGGTACATTAAGAAAGTATCGGCAGGGCATTGAATGATGTGTGTAATGTCAAAAAGCTAAATAGAAAGTAATTATTACACTTTTGGCAAAAAATTTTAATACTGGAATTAAAGATTAAGAGGTTAGTCAACGTGCTAGCATCTAATAACATTATTATTAATGTCGCCCCCAAATAAAAAATAGTTCCGAGATTTGATAGATGGATTTCTGTCGCAATCCATAATTGATAGGCGGGCCATCATCACCTCGGCTCTTATCCATCTTTTCCCTCAACCATCCTGCTGGGCTCATTTCGAACTTCTTGTTGAAGCATCTAAGCATCAAAAAACGGGCCTAAACCAAAACCGTCTCCTGAAACGGGGACAACGCCGCGGCGTGGTCCAATGAAATTTGTAAACAAATGCAAATATGCACTCCAAGCAATGATTTTAAAAAAAGCAAAAAAACGGCCGAGAATGTCCTGATTCCGGCTTTCAAGGGCCGCGACTCGAAGACAGGAGGGCCGGGCTGGGCATGGGCCCGGATCACTCTGACATCTCGCCTCTTCTTCCATCTTCTCCCCCCTCTTACCTCAAGCCCCTTCCCCCATCCCGTTGACAGCTCCAAACCCATCTTTTGACGAACTTATGACCCGATGATAAGGGATCCTTATTACTTGTAATCTAAAAATCCTTTGGGTTTGTTTTTAAAAAAATAGGAAGTTCAAAATTCGTAATTATGAAGATGTGGATGCCCATCAAAATTGTTTGTTTAAGAAAATAAACGCTTTTTACATTGCCTCGAGGAATTCTGACCAGAAAATTAAACCCACGGATTTCACGTATAACGTTTGCGGCTTATCCCTTGAGTCAGCCAACGTATGTACTTCACGGACAACGGGAGCATTGATAAGCTGTTATCTGATCATGTCATCCACAAATTCTTTTGGATGCATATTTTAGGCTCTAACCAAGAAGTGGAGAGACTACTCCTTATGTTACGCCCAGCGAAGATTATTGTTAGTTGGCTAATTGATTTTAATTAATCCACTGCTTGTTTTAAAAAACCTCTTCTAATTAAAAAAAACAGTCAAATAATCGAAAGATTCAAGGAAATCAAACTGAATTTTTTCCTGTTGCATAAAGCCGAGGGTTGTCACTGCAGACACATTCTGATTAACTGAATTGTATTACATAAAGGTTTACCACATTGCACTGCAGGAGACTTCGAATGCCCAGAATTTTATTCATCGTCCTTGTGCCAACTACTCAAACCGTAATGTTGCTGCAATAATCGTGCCATTAATAAACTGTATTGCCTTTACCGGCCTAATTGAGCCGAGTTCTATTTATTTCGACTAATAAAGAGTTTCATCATTAGTACAGGTTTAAGTTCTCCATTCAACGTTTGACACAAGCGAAAGTTCGTTTAGAAAATACATTTGTGTATCTCTTATCACATTTATGGCTTATTTGGAAACGACTAAAAGAATCTCATCATTTTATAAAAAAATGCAGTGAAACGTTTGCGGACTACAAGATGTGGGCGGGCGCAACATTTGCGGGCAGGTTTTTGATGGGTCAAGCATTGTTGCAGCTTAAGATCAGTTCGTGTGACATAATGACTTCAAGAGCATAATATATGTTCAAGGTTCTTATTCGTTTGCTCTCGCCTTCATTTCCCTTTATGTTCCATTTGGCATCTCCGGATTTGAACAAGAAGGCGTACTTGTTGAGTAACAAACGATTCCCGTCATCAATTTCTTCTGTATTTTCTTTCACGGTATTCGCAGGAGCCTCTTTATAATTTCCCGGCACCAATTTTTCATTTAGATGTCACATTTTGAAGATATGTGCTCAACTTCCTGCCCGGAAATGTTGCAAACTGCCAGAAACGTTGTGCTCGCAATTTTTTCCTCTCTAATGGTTACCCGCAGTTGTGGGCGCTTCCTTGAAGCATCTAGACTACAATTTATTTCCTTCTAGGGGTCGGACTTCGTCGAGCTATTAGAAATTCCCCAGTGCTTTGAAGTGTCGTTGTTACCCATTGGCAAATATTGTGTATAAGATCAAAACGGTTAGAATATGCAGATTTATTTTTTATCTGTTTACAAACACAACGGAGTAACCACAAATTGTGTCGTTTTTAATTTTTTAAAAATTGTACTCACTCATTTTAGTCCTGCTATAATTTGTACGCATTGTAAACGCAGACTTTACACATTTGTAAATGAAAGTTTACACAATTAATCGGCAGGTTATATAATTACTTTCTATTTGCATTTACTTTCAATAAACGTAAAGTAACTTTGGAATACTAATACTTTTTGCCCTTCTAATAATAAAACACGTTCTTTTTTCGGCATTTTTTTATTTTTGTATAGCTGTGTTTCGGGTGAGAGAAAAAGAAGAAAAAAGTGTAGTCCCCGAGTCTATTTTTATGTGTATATACATGTATGTATTATATTCTCTTTTTGAGTGTCCACCCTCTCTCTCTCCGCCCATTGCACTCTTCTCGGCCAGACGATTACTATACGACTTGAATAAACAAAAAAAAAGAAGCAGGGAATTACATTCCAAAATGTATCAAATATTAATGGGTTATATGCAAGGAGTAAATGGCAGTATTACATTCAACATTTACTGGTTTACTTGATCTCAATTCGACTAAAAATAGGCTAAAGCAAATCTTAAGTAAAAACAAAAACGCTGAAAAATGTAAATCTAAAGATGTAAAAATCAAGCACTACTCTCGTAGATTGCAAGGATATGTGAAGGTCGTCTCTTGTGGATTACAACATGCATTATACTAATGAATCCAAAACAGCATAGCTGTTTGAATGATCTTTATTCTTGATCTCAAAAATTGCGCATTTTACTCGTACTAGTGGCCATCAACGCAGCCAAAAAGTCGACTTTACTTTTTTGCCCAAGTTGTGGCCATTTTTTCTTCCGTTTGGTCAGACATGTACAACTTCTCTTGGACTTTTATTTTTCGTTTTTTCATTCCTCTTCGGCCTTTCGGACTTGGACTGAGGGCATGCATTGGCAGCGTCCACTGTTTTTTTCTTTTTCGTATATATTTTTTGTCTAGACCGAGACAGTGCAGAGCATTTAATTGTCGGCCGAAAAAACGTTTGTTTCGGCCGCCAAATTGCAAGTTTCTTGGCACGAATCCACAGGCTTATGGAACTTTATAAATGAGGATATTAGAGCCGGTCTTTAAATCGAGTTAAGCAATTCTTATGCAATCTTCCTTTATTGCGTTTTATAAAATTCCTTTCAAAAGGGAAAAACGATCTGTTGTCAGCATTTATTGTTTTAGAAGCCTTCGAAATGACCCCTATCCTCCTCCTCGGCATCCGTCGACCTTGAATTCCTTGAGATCTTGGCGGAGAGTTGCGTAATGTCGGGAGTTTCCGACCAGTCTTCGCGGCTGGTCACTCCCGGTTTTCACGCGGGATAACCTTAATTTCACAGCCTTAAGCGGTCATTGCCCCGGTTTTTTATGCGTTTTGATTTGCAGCTGGCTGGTCCCTTTTTGTTTATTGTCAGATGTTTTCTTGGGTCTTTTGACGTGGTCAGGACCGCTGGGAGAGGGGTTAACATTGCTTTATTTCGGTTGTGGAATTGCGCGGAGATAACGAAAGGATTCTTTGCTCCTTTTGCCTTTCGTTTCTTAAATCTGCATACATTTGTATTAGTGTTTTTGACTCTATTATTAGAGTAGTTCGTTCTGAATTAACCTTTAGTTCCTTCTCTCTGTGTTATTCCCAATCTTTCCGCAAAAAAGATCTGTAATCAACCTTTGGTCCTTCTTATCGGAAGACCTTCCTGAACCCCCTCCAGAGGTATTTTTTTATTTACAGCCACCAAAAAAGTAACTAGTGAGGCCCGTGACCTGAGTGCGCAATCAGCCTTCGCAGGGTCCCGGAACGATGGACGGCGAATCGGGAAGAAAAGGCCGTCGACCGGTTACTTTGTTTTGTAAAAACAGTCTCAGTAGTGAGAATTGAAGGTCTTTCGTCAAAGAGTTTGGGTCATTTCGACTTCATTCATCAGCACTTTCCATCAATGGCAGGTGTCCGGCTGGGTTCTTTGTCTTCAGGAGCTCGTTTCTTTCTTTGATTAGCCGAATAAAGGGACTGGGTATTTGGTAATTCTAAGTGCAATGTCCGGTTTAGCGAGTAGGAATGAGTCATTAATAGATTATCATAACAAAAGCAAGCATTTAGCATTAACTTGGCTAGTGGGAATTGCCGGATGACAAAGGAATGTGAGTGCGGGAAAGGAGAGCGCATCTCTTAACGTTTATAAGTTAGGCATGTGTTTAGCAATATATTAAACACAAATAAAATACAGAAGCACACGCAATATATGACTGATTTTCTTTACAAATAGGGTAATTAAGTGTCCGGCCCTTTACTTCTTTGGCCACGATACACTTCACGGTCCAAATTAGTGGCCAAAAAAGTGCTGTCCTCTTATTTATTCCGTTTTTCGTAGTATTCTGGTTCTAATCTGGGCGTCCAACCTTTTTTCTCTTGACCAGCCTCATTTTTTTGACTACAGGATGAAGAGTGAGTTTATGCCCGGCGGAGGGGATGTGGGGAAATGGACGTTTCGTAGGTTGCCTAATAATAGTACCAAGGATTAGGGAAATTGTAACTACTCATATACGTTAGACAGCTGTATAACTACATTTTCCAAGACTCCTCACGTTTTGCAGAACGATCGAGTATATGGTTTCAAATTGTTTTTCTCTGTGCCCGCTTTCCGCTTTTCGCGTGTTCTCTCAGCGCCGTCTGCAAGGTGTGAACTAAACTTCGACCTTTTCCTAAAAGTACACAGTAATATTACATGTTCTTATTAATAACCCGTAGTGTAATAGGCACATAAACAGAACATCTGACTTGATTACTGGTTGGATGCCATCCGACTGCAATTTAATTCGTACTAAATTAGTTGTTCTTGTCATTTCCGTTGCTTTTTGCTATCATCTTATTCTCTTTTCGTTTTTTCTCGAGCAGGTGTGTTCCTTCCCCTCCGGACATATGCCGCTTATCAACAGCTGGAGATCAGAAAGCCGCTTCTTCTGACCACGGCTTGTTTCAAAAGTGTTGGCATTTGACGGATCATGTATTGGCATAGGTTCCGAGTGATCTTTTAGGACATCCAGACAAAGAATGTGGACGAATGCGGGTATAAGAGGACAAGCGAAGTCATAAAACGACCTTATTTTGCTGTTGGGGCAATTAGAAAACAACTTATCAACTGGCCATCCCTTGACACCAATCCCAAGTCTAATGTTTTCTGTCTGTTCCAAACCATCCAGACAATCCCATAAAACCGAATCGAAGACTTTTTTGATACTCTCGAGTTGTGTCCATTGTTTGGCGACTCCAATTTCTCTTTTTGTCTGATAAGAGCCGCAAGAGACAAGCCCACGATAAGCGCCACAGGGGTTTTGTTTCTTTTCTTTTGTTTGCTCGCAGGACATGTGACATTGGAGGCTTCCATCGACGAGTTCAGCCAGCTGGACGTCATCTCAAAAAGGTGTAGTAATCAGAGGAACTGGTTCGACTTTCGCTTTCGTTGGCTGGACGTCGCCCGGTGATCCAACATCATCATTCC